AAGAGAATATCTTCATATATCTTCAATCCAAATTTGAAGGTATGATGATGACTTTTTTTTTGGATAAATTACAAAAATATAAGCAGGTACGCGCCCACTCAAAGTGCTGTTACAGCATAAAAGACATCATGGACCTAATTTCTCGGTATGAACAAGTTAAACAAGGAAAAAGCCAAAATGTATGTTTAAATAGCTTTTAGCAGTGCAGTTAATGACGAAGAGAGCTTAAGGTTTGAAGTACTGAAAAGAAAAAAAAATTGGGTGGAAACTCATAGGTATTTTGTATCCTACTATGGATGTAGATAGATATTTAAAATAAAACAGACAGTGAAATTCCTTTATAATTCTATTTGAGCAGAAAAAATTAAAAAGATATACACTTGAATGGGCATGGATTTTGGCAAGGTTGGGGATTGGGATGAAAAAAAAAAAAATCATGCCAAATTGTCGTAAGTGGACGGGCTTCAAAAAAAAAAAAAAATAACTACCCCTTCATGCAGTTTTATTTTTTTTCTTTCTTTTTCTTTTCTTCATCCAATTTTTTTTTCCACATTGCGTGTCCTCTTTGTTTGTGCGATCTTGTCAAGGTAGATTTTATTGGATTCGGAGGGTTTTGAAAAAGGGATTTACAAAATACATGGGGAAACCCTTTCATTTTGAATGTAGGATTTAGTATAGGTAAATGACAAAAAATATTTTATGCTTTTTTTTTTCATATGAATTGCTTGACCTAGATTTATTTCATTGGTGATGTGAACTGACTGGATAGGAAACTTTGTTTGGTTAGGATCTCTTGGTGGTGGACGAATGCTTCTGGTGTAATATATACAGTAGAGTGGGTAGTAGTGATAGTTATACTAGTTAGTATATGGATTATCTTTTTTTTGTTTGAAATAAAAATTATATTGTTTTTTATGATACATAGTTTCCGTGGTTTTTTTTTTTTTTTTTTTTTTTTGAGCAAGAGTAACAGTGAGGTAATAGAGAATCGTTTTCCTCAACTCCATCCGATGGAAAAGATTACTATCACGTCTAGGCGACTCCTAGGCAGTTTCTAGACTATTTTCAAGTATGGACAATTATTCATAGTAAGATACAAAAAAATGAAAAAGAATATTTTACAATATGATTCTCGTTCTCTTTTTCTTATTATTATTATTTTGGGGTGTATCGGTCACTATCATTATCAAACAACATCATTATCATCCTGGACATCATCTATTATATCCATCGGATTGATCCAATCATCCATCCATCATCAAGCATAAAGCATCAAGCACTATTGTCCAATCTAGATATTCATCAAAATGCGAAAACAATACAAAGAAAAAAAAGATTTATTTTGGTATAATGTTCTACTATGCTAATTTCTATTCTATGACTAAGTAAATAAATGATTCCTATATTAAGCTAATCCTTTTTCGTGTTCAATGGCTTTCACCTCCGTAGCTACATCAGCGGGATCGATATGATATGAGGATCGTTGATCATGAGCTTGGAACATAGCAGTGACGAATTCAAAAGTTGAATTGACGTTAAGAAACCCTCAAAAGTAAGTTCAACTAAGATATCAAATGCATTCAAGCAGTCTATGGATCATATCTATTCGACGGGTGGAAGGTAATATATAAAGAATATTATACAATGAATACAGTATATCATAGTTATTACTAAAAATCGGTCTCTTTCTTTATATATATACAGTATATATTTTAGAGTACTGTATTATAGTAATATTTATAATTAGATCCAATCATTTGATTATACTATCACTTTATTACTTTATCACTATTGATCATACTTCTTATTATCGTCTATATTCGGTCATACTATTATCAACTAATCGATTCAGTCGAAGACGGAAAGGTGAATATTGATTTGTTCTTATTGGATTACTTTATTTATCATCAGGATAGACTGATCATGGAATCATCTTGATAGTGTTGTCATCATAGATACGTCTTTGTATTAAAAAAAAAAAAAAAGAGAACCGAGTATATTGAAAACAAAATTTTATTCAAGTTAATATAAAATCATCATTTGGATAAAATAAAAAAATACACTATAAGAGTAATATGCATTAGTAAACGTAGTTTAAAAGTTGAGAAAAAAAAAAAAAAAGGAGGAAAAAAGACAAGAAAAAAAGGTAAAAATTCTTTGCTCTTAAGCCTGGGAGAGTAGGGATGAGATAAGCGAAGTAGTTGGTATCCATGGTCACCAAGTGGTTGTTCTATGTTTTTCGATCGCTGTATTGTCCGTAACTAGATAGCAGTTTTTTGAATTCAGAGTGTATGTTGTTTCATCAGGTCATTCTGCCTATCCATTCGCGTCGTCGTACGTCCTAAGAGAAAGGGAAAAGAGCAAGTGCTTCATTATCATAATACAACCGGTATACACCCATTTTTTTTTTTTTTTTTTTTTACCTTTCCAACTAGTATTGATTTCAGCCGGTTTATCATACGGGGGGAGATGGCAATATTGACCGCTTCGACTACCACATGCAAAGGCAACGACAAGCTGTTGAAATCTTGCCACCACACAATGGATTGGAATTTGTCGACCCCAGGACAGGCGCCCTAGTCAAAGTCAGCCAAGCAGAACGGTCCATTCCATACCTTATCAGTGGTCCAACGGTAAGTTTTGGACATTCGTCGACTTTCACCCAAGTTCTGACCATCTTTTCACATCTTTTTTTGCACCAAAGAAAGCAATATTGACCGCTTCGACTACCACATGCAAAGGCAACGACAAGCTGTTGAAATCTTGCCACCACACAATGGATTGGAATTTGTCGACCCCAGGACAGGCGCCCTAGTCAAAGTCAGCCAAGCAGAACGGTCCATTCCATACCTTATCAGTGGTCCAACGGTAAGTTTTGGACATTCGTCGACTTTCACCCAAGTTCTGTCTTCCTTCAAAAATGTGCCCCATGGAGAAAACGCAGCAAAAAAAAAAAAAAAAGAAAAAAGAGGAAGGAAATAAAAAAAGTGGGTAAAATGTTTGTGACCACAGTGACGGGGATTTAATTTTTTCTTTTTAACTTTTGGAAAGAAGGTTTTTTTTTTTTTTTTTTTTTTTTTTTGCTTTTCAACCACTTCAAAAATGCCCCACTACCCCCAATTCTTCCTTGCGAATACTGACTATTCTATCAAAAATTACCTACGCTACTTAAAAACCAATGGACAAGACCTTAACGAGAATGACGTAAAGACATACATTCAATGGTATCGAACGGACTTGGATTGGAAAAAGGCGCAGAAAAATATCAGTTTGGGACAGATTCGAGAGTTGGAACGCGCCTTAAACGAACTCAAGGTAAGACCTAAAAAGAAATATATCCAATTCGCCTCTTACCCAACTTAATTTTTACCATCTTTTGTCTTCATTTAGCATTTATCAGACAAAGACTTGAAGGCAACAATCGTGAACACCAATAATCCTGAAACACCCACTATAATCAACAAATACATCAACAAGAACAGTATCAATGCACCTGGGAATACCATCTCCTTTCTACAATCATCTGAACAGTATACATTACCACCACCACCACCACCACCACAACAACAACAACAACAACACGAACAACAACAACAACAACAACAACAACAGCAACAGGCAGCGGCAGCTTCAACGAGCAGCAACAACATACAACTACAGACGTCACAGCCGCAGCAACAAGCAACAAACAAACGGAAAAGGTAATTGTTTATTTGAAAATGAATTTGACACAATCAATCATGAAATAGAAACATTATTAATCAAACTTCCTTCAAAGTGACTGTATAGAACAACTTCCGCAGAAAAGGCAGCAACAACGGCAAGATGATGATGATGACGGTGAACTTCTTGACATTGGAATTGAATATCAACCACCTTCACCAGATGACCGCTACCTTGTTGGGAACTTTGACGCCTCTCAAGCTTTTTACGACTTCCAACTGTTCGTTGCGAATCACAAAGCGAAATATTATCTCGAAAGTCATCTACACCATGTATTGTAAGTTGCGAAATTGATATATGATGATATTCTTGTTGATTTTTTTTTTTTTTTTTTTTTTTTTTTTTTACATATTATTATTGTTTAGGGCGGCGTCATCAATTCTACTTGTCAGGCCTGGAAGGATGCCGAAAGAACTCGTGGACGTTTTTGGTGAACAACAGCTGGATTCTTTCATCAACGACCTACGGACCAGGATTGATATGAACTCAAGAAGGAACTCCCGACTTCCCATGAAGCTCATTTTATATCTTACTTCGATTGTAGAGGTATGATTCTTGCTTGGATGTAGGGGCTACTAATTTCTTATTTTTATTTTTATTTTGATAGGACGTTCTAGCGGGTGTCAAATCACGAACTCAAGGCATGTGTTCTCTACTCTCAATGGAAGGGAAGGCGTTTTCAGTGGACGGCGAATTAATCATTATGGAGGAGGAAGAAGTCCCAATTCCAGGTAGAGTGACTAAACAACAATTCAGGTTCATCAAGTCTTTGGCGAATCTGTAAGTATTTTTAACGAATATGGTTGAAAAAGCAAGCAAACAAAATGAATAGAAATTAACCGCAATTTAACTTTTTGAGGTAGACTTGACAAGCTGCCAAATAAAGTGATAATGGAAGAAATTAAAGAACACGAACTTTGTACTCGGTATCTTGATCCAATACTCTGCGGTTTATTCGACAACCCTTCTGACTCGGTGTTCTTTAGATGGTAAAGTTATTAGAAAAATAAATGGAATACAAAATAGACACTGAATATTAAAGGATTACACTGATTTGGTTTTAGGACTGATCATTCGAACCTGGAATCCAAAAAATCAGCACTTGTGTCGAAACGTCGCCCGGACTCTTGCATCGCAAGACTTAACGGTGTAAAATGGGACAATACTCTTGCATACGGTGAAGTGAAGTGTGCTGGCGAAAGTGACAATCTATATGGCATTTGCAAGGATACACTCCGCGTTGGGCTTTTCAGCAAGAATGCGTTAGACGTTGGTAAAATGAAAGGTATCCTTGGGTTCCAAGCTGTAGGTAAGTCAATTATATAGAAAGGGTTTTATTATCCATGATTAAGTGATTTGTATATAGGACGGACTATCACCTTCTACCTCACGACCCTTCTGAAAGATGGACTTTACACAATGATGGAACTGGCCGAAATCACTATTCCTGGGTCTGTTGATGATTTGCCGAAATATCTAATGGACTTAACGAAGGTACTGCTGGTATTGGATGTATGTGATAACTGGTGCACTCCCGTGGACCTTGACCAAATTCAGCTGCAAAGCCAACGCTCTCGTCCCACTCTTTCAACTCCCTCTTTCTGTCGAATCGTGTCCTCTAGCACCTGTCGTAGTCGCCAATCCATTATGAAGTCTTATTACAATTAGCTTATATTCTACCCTTTTTACCCTACTCCCTTTTAGCTTGTATATATGATGATATGATCTTTTATTCTGATGAAAAAAATAAAGTTGTCTGTTGTCTTGTTTTTCTTTTTTTTTTTTTTTTTTTTTTTTTTAGATCTTTGCGTTAACTTCTTTTTTCATTAAGGCGATAAAGAATAATAACAAGATGATGATTGGGCTGAACTATTCATAATGATAAACTATTCATAATAATAATAATAATAATAATAGTATAAACTTTAGTAGAAAGAAGAAGTGATCAATCAAATTATTATATTTAAACTGCTTCAAACTGGATTACACAATGTGATTGATGTTCCATCAGTTAATAAAGTTGTCAAACTGATTTAATCTGGATTATTGTGATTACAGTTTTTTTTTTTTTTTTTTTTTTTTTTTCATCAGGTAAAAAGCAAAAGAAAGCTGTCAAATTGATTTAACACTGATTATAGTGGTTGATAGTCCTTTCTTTTTTCTTTTTTTTTTTTTTTTTTTTTTGGTTACTTAACTGTGACCATGATATGTAAATATGATGGAAATGGAAGAGATAATGATATAAATAGAATGATTTTTATTCAAAAAAAAAAAAAAGATAATAGAGACTAAACTAGTGAAATATATATAAACAGTATCATAAAGAGATCTATAGGAAAAACATTCATTCAGATATATGTTCCAAGTCAAAGAAGATATCTTGGCCAGCTCCAAAGGTATCAGCTTTACAAAAACCCATTCCATCAAATAAATCATGGAATGCCATTTGCGTCTGTACAAGGATGGGAATCATCATGATGAATAAGAAGTGCATCACACACTTTCTTGTTGGCGCTACAATAATAATGTGTTAGTATCATAATCAATATCATATTTTATACTTATAACAAACACCAAATCGTAAGAAGTCGTAGGAAGTCGTAGGAAGTCGTAGTGGGGAGGATGATTGCGACGGGGAGTAAATGGATAATGAAGGGGATACATAGAAAAGAAAAAAAAAAGGATAGTGGGTTGACAGAGATCACAGGGAGACACTAGTCAGTGCTGTCCAAGTTCCTACTCCACAACATGACTTTAACCTAGGTTTTCTTCAGCAAATCCGTCTAATGAGTTAGCGGGATCTCCTTACTTACGCTATGGAAAAAGTCATTTTTTCAAGTAACATTGTAAATTGTGCTAAGCAATGGTTATTTACAATATAGCGTTACAAGAAAAAAACGAGGGCGATACCTTTATGCCTACATTACATTGTGCTAAGCAATGGTTCTTGTAATGAAGGTGTTAAGAATGAAGGATAATAGTCCAACACTCGAAACAAAGGCAATGAAGATGAGGGGACAAAAGAAAGAAAAAAAAAGGGGGGAAAGACAAAGAAAAAAAGAAAAGGGAAAAAAGCAGAAAAAGATCAAAAAAATACCACGAGTTTAAATAGTTTCAAAAAAAAAAGTCAAGGAGCCAATCATAGCGCGTCTTTTTTTTACTACTTTCGTGCCAACCAAAGCGTGTTTTCATGCCAACCAAAGCGTGTTTTCGTGTCAATCAAAGCGTGTTTTCGTGTCAATCATCATCTACCACTCTTTTTTTTTTTTGTCATAACGTCTACGTGTAAGCAAACCGTTGTCATGATCAACAATCCGTAACAGATATGCATTGGATGAATAGGCGATTAAATCAAATAAAAACCGCAAGATGCGAACTTTTTTTTACTTTTTACGTGGTTAGCGTTATCATCATGGAGCCATCACTTTGAATCTTTACGATAGTAAGAGTTAATCATCATCATCATCATCCATCTACTTTTATTGTCCCTGAATATTAATTAAACTAAACTACTATGCAATATTGTCCCTTTTTGGCGGGGCTTGTTTGAATTTCTACTCCTATCAAACTTAGCATATTAGAACGTAGATCGATTTAGTGTAGTACATGTCCTACTGCATGAAAACACTGGAGTCATCATCATGACAAGTGTATCAATAATAATAATAATAAAGAAACGATGAGTATCCATACCATTGATACATCTACCACTCAATTCCAAAAAAAAAGGAAGACGATTAGATAGAGCGTGACACGTGGAGTTTGAAACGCGTAAAATTTAAAGTCTTAAGAGCAAAGAATTTTTACTTTTTTTTTCCTTTCTTCTTCTTCTCTTTTCTTTCAACATTTAAACTAAGTTTACTAATACATATTACTCTTTGATTATTTAGGTCGTTCCTTTATTATGTTTTTCCTTTGGGGACCAGCTCATGCACAATCATCTCTTGTTGGAAGGTTTTGTAAGTACTTAAATGAATATACCAAGTCATTATATACTCACATTTTTCTTTTCTTTCTTTTATCTTCATTGTTTTTTCGAACGGGTGAGTATTAAAAAAAAAAAAAAAAAAAAAGGGTAATCTTCACTAACAAGCTTATCTAATTCTATTTATATTATATAGGCCTTGGAAGCAACTTCAGTGTGACCCTCCAACGACAATCTATCACAGGTAAATTTATATTGTATAAATATTAACTGTTCACAACAAGAATGAATAGTTACTAAAATCATTTTGTTTTGTTATTATATTAGCATCCCGGGTCGAGAAGAGACTTTTCCAAAAATGGTGATATGATAGAGGACTTCTTCTTTTGCTGGCAAAATAAGAAACTCTGTGTATGAAGGATGATGGTGATGACGGTGGGTCCAAAGGAAAGGTAGTATTATCAATGAAATTTACCATAAACTACTGCCTTTTTTTATATACGTCCATTCTTTCTCTTTTTATAATAGATATGATCGATGCCATATGAAGCTCTGATTATAGCACTTCTTTGTCTTGTCAATGTTTTATGGTTGGTTGATGGGCATGAACAAGGCATATACAAGGAACAAGTAAAGGTAAAACAAAAGTAATATGGGTGTGGTAAACTACTTTATATGCTGCTTTTTTTTCTTTTACTCTTCTTTTGTAGTTGCTGCAAGCAAACAAAGCAAAGAATTATGTAAGTACTTTATCTCATTTTTATCATATTGTATATGAATAATCTATTCATCCTCTCATTACCATTCTTTTTTATTTTTATTTTTTAGTTCTAGATGGTTTAATAGATACTTGAATCTATTTGATATATCTTGCTTGAACTTTATTTTTTGAACTGACTTGGTCTTGTATCAATTTGATATCTTAAGATCTTCTGTTGGAGTCAGGTCTTGATCAAACCTGCTTTAACTGCAAATCATAAATATCAAATTGATGCAAGATCAAGTCAGCTCTCAAATGTAAGTCCAATCAAGATGTCAAATGGATTCAAGTAGTCTGTGAATTATCTATTCGCGGGACGAGTGGTGGAAGGTAATATATAAAGAATATTATACAATGAATACAGTATAACATAGTTATTACTAAAAATCATTCTCTTTTTTTTTTTTTCCCTCTCTACTCTATAGTAATTCTTTATGTTTGGTGACATCAAATCGTATGGTTGGCAAGGAATATAAAAGGTGAGTAAACAAAAAAAAAAAATATTGGGAGTCAATGTAGTTCTACCTCCTTGTGGTGGCTCCTGGGTAACGCTAAATGAACTACCATCATCATTTCCTCTTTAGTTTAGAAAATAGTCAAATATATAGTGTATTTTATTTTATTCAAATATGATTTTATATTAACTCGAATAAAGTTTGTTTTCAATATACTCTTCTCTTTTCTTTTTTTTTTTTTTAATACAAAGACATATCCATGATGACAACAGTATGAAGTTGATTCCACGATCAGTCGAGAATGATGGTAAATAAAGTAAGGCAATAAGAACAAATCAATATTCACCTTTCCGTTTTCGACTGAGTCGATTAGTTGATGATAATAATAGTATGATTGAACATAGACGATAATAATAAGTATGATCAATAATGGTAAAGTAATAAAGTGAGATCATAATTTAACGATTGAATGATAGCTATTTTATTTTTCTCACAGTTTCTTCTTCTTCCTTATCACTATTGTTATAGACATCTTTTTTATTTTGTATAGAAAGTAAGCGAAGATAGAGTAAAAAGGAACTTTATATATTTATTGTATGTTAACTGACCTCTCTTGTTCTAGAAATATCATCTCATGACTCTTTCACAAACTGGATCCGTAACGATATATTCAATGGGCTATAAAACTATAGCAATGGGACTATTACCATCAAATGTACTATTTCCAAAAAAAAAAAAAAAAAAAAAGGAAGAAACAAGTGATTTAAATATGGTTGTGATTTTGATTCTTTTTTTTTTCTACTAGTATAATACCAAGGGAGAGACTGTTTAACATATGTATCAACTATGGTTATCAATACAAATAGAGCGTGATCAAAGATATCATCTTTAAAGGTAAGGCCTAAAATACGATAATGAAGGACTTGTCAATCATTAATATCATCTTTTCTTTCTTTTCTTTTTTCTTTTTTTTTTTTTTGTTGATGGGTAGTGTCACGAATACAAGTTTAGCTGCTTAAATGTTACTCTATTCTCTATAAAGGCATCCTTCTTATCAAGATGATTTTCATCAGTTAGTTATCCTCGTGGAAATTGATATCGTTATCATTACTATCGTTGTCATCCTTCAAATATTATTAGTATAGGTTCCAATTGCAGTGGAATAAATATTATACACATCAATCATTAACATTTATTTGTTAAATAGATAGGTTGTCATGATACATCGTCCATCAGTCTTATTATGTTACTATTATTCAATTGTTATGATCATTTTCAAGTAAAAGTCAATTACTCTATTCAAAGTAAAATACAAAAAAAAAAATGAAAAAGAATATGTAAAATATGATTTTCATTCTCTTTTTCCTTTTCTTCTTTCTTTTTTTTTTTATTGCTTTGATACATCACCATCCTATATATATACAGATCACAGAACCAAATGAAAATTAGATTCATAAAAAGGATGAATAACTAATGTAACTGTATAGTATTAACAACAACTGGAAAGGGAAAGCAATTTGTGTACAAATAAATAACATTTTTTCTATAGTTTCTTTTATTGATAGTTTTAGTCTTATTATATTCTTTTTATATTCTTCTTCTTATTCTTTAATGAAGTTTATCTTCATATCATCATCATCATTTTATTATTATTATTATTATTATTATTATTATTATTATTATTATTTATTCATCTATTCTACTTTCTTTTAATGCAAATCATAAGTGTTTTCCATAAATGGCATAACTTCAAAGTCCGTTCTCGATGTGGGGTGTGTTGGATCAGATTCTCAAAAAATCTGGAGGTTCCTCAAAAAAAAAAGGTCTGGAGGTCGAGATCAAAAAAAATCTGGAGATTGAAAAAAAAAAAAAATTGTTGGAGACAATGGAAAAAGTTGGACCAAGCTCTGACAAGAAAAAAAATTTGGCGCACTTCCACCTTTTTTTTTCCTTTTGCTTTTTTGTACTTTTTCTTAACCAATGAGTCTTTGAACATTGTAAGTTACCATTATACATTATTTTACTAATTTACATTATATACTTAGAGTCACTCTTTATATACTATACTTACTTTATACTTGTTCTTTCTTTTAGTCTTTCATATTATGAACTAATCTATTTTTGGTTTTTCACTCTTTTTGTGAACATATAGTAGATAGAAATATGAAGAAATATATAATAGGATTAGCTGAATATTGGATAAAAGAATAGCAAGTTAAGGAAAAGTATTTAACTCTTTATCATTGGTTTATTTAATAGTTTAGTCTTGTAGTTATAGTGTTTTATAATCTTTTAAATAAAATCATATTTTTATTATTTGTTTATTATATTGTCATTTCACTATTATTTATCTATTTGTCCTCGATCATCATCATTATCAAAAGGAGTAATAAGAAAGAATAGTATGATTATCATTTTAGTTTCACTAAAAAATAAAACAAAAATAAATAAATAAAAAATAAAAACTGTTGTGAAAAACAAAATCCATATACACATCAGTATCTTGTTTCATGGTAAATATATATATATATATATATATTGAAAAATTAGTATTAGTATCGACTTTTCAATACGAGAAGTCAATATCGTCAGTATTCCATCGTAAAGAAAAAAATCATACTGTTATTGACTAAAAATCAATATCTGATCAATATTGGTCGATACTAGTATTGATCACGTATCGAGTTTTGTTGGTTGATTTTTCAATATGTGTATTGATGTATGTTAATAATGATCTTTCAATATATATATATTTTAACTTACAATGTTCAAAGTGTCATTGGTTTTAAAAAGAACAGTACAAAAAAGTAAAAGGAAAAAAAAAGAGAGAGCGCCCCCCCTTTTTTTTTCTTGTCAGAGCTTGGTCCAACTTTTTTTTTTTTTTTTTTTTTTTTTTAGTTCTAGATGGTTTAATAGATACTTGAATCCATTTGATATTTTGGTTAGGTTTTACTTTTGAACTGACTTGATTTTGAATCAACTTGATCTTTTATGATTTTCTCTTGGAGTTAGGTCTTGATCAAACCTGCTTTAACCGTAAATCATAAACAATGAACCTCCTCGCTAAGTTCAGCCAGTCACGATGAAGTATTGGCAGTTTGGTATTATTCAACTCATCGATGCTGCCACTTTCTTCGAGGACAATATAATCATGCATGAACGGAAACGAAACACTTCGGTGAAAAGAGAAATGTGCCTACCTGGGACAATCGACAATTTGCGTTTTATCGTTATAGCAAGATTCTTCTATATAGTTATGGTTACATTAGTTTTATATTTTTATATTCACTTTCTTTTTTTATCACTTTGAACAAAATAAAACACTGTCAAATGCGCGATTCTATTTTTTTTTTTTGGGTCATGAATTGGATGATAAGTGATGGATTATAAGTGATGGATTATAAGTGATGGATAATAAGTGATGGATAATAAGTGATGGATTATAAGTGATGGATAATAAGTGATGGATAATAAGTGATGGATGATACGTGATGGTATTGGTGTAGATAGTGATAAAAAAATAAAAAATAATGATGAGAGCAAGTCTGTGAGATTTCTTTTTATTGAAAAAAAAAAAAAAGATCGGGTTGCCACTTATAAGCATTTTGTATCCTACTATGGGTGTAGATAGATATTTAAAATAAAATAGACAGTGGTGAGATTCCTTTATATTATATCCTATTTGGGAATAAAATTAATGTTCAAATTGTTATCAGTGGACGGGCTTCAAAAATTAATCACCCCTTTACCTGCGTTTTGCTCTTTTTTCATTTTTTTTTTTTTTCTTTCTTTCTTTTTCTTTTCTTCATCCACTTTTTTTTTCCACATTAGGTGTCCTCTTTGTTTTTGCAATCTTGTCAAGGTAGATTTTATTGGATTTGGAGTGTTTTGAAAAAGGGATTAACAAAATACATGGGGAAACCCTTTCATTTTGGATGTAGGATTTAGTATAGGTAAATGACAAAAATATTTTATACTTTGTTTTTTTTTGAAATAAAAATTATATAGCTTCTTATGATACACAAAAATATCACATCCGTGCCTCTTTTTTTTTTTTTTTTTTTTTTGATATCAATCATTATTATCGGATGAGGGAAGAGGATATTGACGTCTCATTTTTAATTTACTTTATAAATCGGGAAATAAGGTACAAGTTATTATCAATACCATTGAAAGAGAATGATTTCATCTATGTTTGACCAAGATTTGGTACAATCATTGATTACTTTTGAGTGACAAATGAAAAGATCAAGTTTGCTCTCCAACTTGAATGCAGGGTGAACAAATAGGATAAATTTCTCTGTTGCTACAACCACAACTGCCCTGCAAGATTTTTTTTTTTTTTTTTGCTGTATGTTAGAAGTAAATCGAAGGAAATGAGAATAAAAATTCTCTTTTTTTTTTTCTCAACATTTTCTTTGTTACGACAGTACTTTTCCTTTTTATATTTTTACACTACTATGGCAAGTACTACGGTAACTACAACAGTTTTGTATAAATAGTGGATACATATTTTACGTTTTTATTTTTCTTTTATATTCTCTTCTCATCAATAAAAAAAATCAATCATCAATACAATCTTTATTGTAGAAATCTATTATCAAATCTAGCTTACTGAAATTCACATACTCAAGCTTTATTGGCTGAAAAAGAGATCATCCCATTTACTTTTCGAACGTTGTTACTTTCCTTTATTCTAATTCAATTTCTTTTTTTTTATTATTATTATTCAAGCAAGGTCCTCAAAAGTCCCCAGAACTCTCCCATAACTCCATCATATCACATCCCATAGGTCTATAAACCTATCCCATCAATTCCGATCTGTAATCCTAGCACTTGTCACCCATAGATCCATCACATCACATACTGTTTCTAATCCAAATCCTAAATCACTTCTAGCCTATAATCCTAACCCTTACCTCCCATTCATACCCCCCAAGGAGCCTTTTCCCCGAATACAATGTAAATAGTGTGATTTCAATGCATTCCGTACCTATAAAAATATGCGTTAAAAACATTCAAAAAATAAGAATAACATAAGCATATGATGTAATATATATATATATATATTACTGAGGATGGAATCAATTACAATGACGTGTACAAAGTAATTGGAGTAAAAATAAAAACTTTATTGAATAAAAATTATAACTACTAAGTACTACTAATTAAGATACTGAAACTAAGCTCAATAAGAAGAAACGAAAGAAAAGAAAAGAAAAGAAAAGAAAAGCAAAATTAATCGCATATCAAAAAATATAAAAAAAGAAAAACGGACTTCGAAAAACGCAATGTCCAAAGGCTATACTACTGCTCTGAAAGACACCATATCAAATGACAAAATACTCCAGGGCAATCATCATGATGAATCACTGCACTTATGATGATTCATCACTTCAGTAGGAAGCACACCAATAAAAAATTGCTCTGTATAGTCTTATTCCATCAATCAATAGTCGACACCTTCTCAACAAAAATAAACATTCACATAAATGGAAGATTACGAGAGACTCCAGAGCGTTTATTAGAAATCATTATTTTAAACAACAGGTATTATATCAAAGAATCCGTCATTACCCTTGATATCATTTCCGAAGATGAGTTCGATATGGGGGGAAATAGTGGAATTAGAGGCCCAAAATAAGCCTGGGCCTATTGGGAAGATAACATAAGACCCTTCTGGTGTTCGAGCTATATTGAATTCATAAGAATCACTAACAGCAATTATTTCATCGCCTTGTGCTGCTTGATTCACACTCGCGTAAAGGTCTGCTTGTTGATCATAAATTGTAGAAACTACAACCCTATTAGGATCAGGTGGAGGGTCAATTGTCCATGTACCAGCAGTATTACTATTTCCTAATGTTAACGGTGCTTCAGGTCCCACAGGTGCTTGTAGAAATTCGTTAGTAGCTACGCTTTTTATATGGAACTGATCATTCTGAGCAAAAGTAATGTTAATTATTATAGCAAAATAAAAAACAACCAATAGTTTTATCATCATATACAATTTTATGTATCAAATAGTACTGTTTTATCATTTTGCAATAAAGAAACTCTGCTTTTATACTTTTTCTATTTTCTGATGATAGTCTCAGCCTTTGTTACTCCCTTGTATTTCCTTAACCATAAAAGTTAAGGTTGCTCTCAGGGACAAGTTGCATCCTCCTCCTCCTGTAGATCTGCAGTATATTCAATCGTTCATATAGCATGCGCAAATCATTCATCATCCAACTTATCCACCATCCAATTCATCCATCATCCAGTTCATCCATCATCCAGTTCGTCCGTCATCCAGTTCATCCATTGTCCAGTTCATCCATCATCCATCCTTCCAATTCATCCACTCGTAAAGCAAAAAAAAAAAGTATAGTTTCAAGGAAAGGTAGCATCTGCAACCAAAAATATTTGGGTACTTCCTCATGCAACTTATCTTGAGAGTAAGCTTGATTTCGTCTCTTGGTTATCTCCTGGTACTACCTTGGACTTTAGATGCTAGCTCCCCCCCCTTTTTTTTTTTTTTTTTGGTCTCTTCCTTTTAGATCTGCAGGAGGTAAGATGCAACTTTTCTTGAGAGGATGACCTAAATATTTTACTTTTATTATGATTACTGATTTTACTGTTTTGAGAGGAAACGAACGGTTTATCATATTAGATGATGATCATTATTGGATGAGAGATAGTGACAATGATCTTTTTTTTTTTAATTTTGGTCTATATTGGGAGACAATATATAAAATATGTTATTAAGAAAAGTAAAAGAGAATACTTTCATATATATTTGTTCCGAATTTGATGTAATGATTATGATTATTGAGTGAATTGCAAACGTATAAAGGGGTACATGTCTCACTCATGTGGCGTGATAGCATAAAGACGTTATGCATCGAATTTCTCACTATGGAGCAAGCTAACCAACGTGAACCCATTATCTATTGTTAGGTTGTTCTTTATCAGTGCAGCCAGTAGAGTAGTAAAAAAAAAAAAGATCGGCTTGAAACTCGTGGATATTTTGTATTCTACTATGGGTGTAGATAAATATTTAAAATAAAATAAGACAGATAGTGATATTCTTTTTTAGTTTTATTTGGGAAGAAAAATTAGAAAGATCTACACTTGGCTAGACATGGACTATTTGGATTTTGGTAAGGTTGAGGGGTTGGAACCAAAAAAAGCAAAAAATCATGTCAAATTTGTCACCAGTGGACGGGTTTCAAAAAAAAAAATACACCCTTTTTGCTTTTTTTAATTTTTTTTTCTTCTTTTTCTTTTCTCCATCCAATCTTTTTTTTCCACATTAGGTGTCCTCTTTGTTTGTGCGATCTTGTCAAGGTAGATTTTATTGGATTTGGAGGGTTTTGAAAAAGGGATTTACAAAGTACATGGGGAAACCCTTTCAGTTTGGATGTAGGATTTAGTACAGGTAATAACAAAAATATTTTATAATGGGATATGAATTGCTTGACCTAGATTTATTTCATTGGTAATGTGAACTGACTGGATAGGAAACTTCGTTTGGTTAGGATCTCTTGGTGGTGGACGAATGCTTCTGGTGTAACATATACAGTAGAATGGATAGTAGTGATAGTTTTACTAGTTCGTATATGGATTATCTTTTTTTTTTTTGAAATAAAAATTATATCGCTTTTTATGATACATAGCTTCCGTGTTCTTTTTTTTTTTTTTTTTTTTTTGATCAAGAGTAACAGTGAAGTAACAGAGAATCGTTTTCCTCAACTCCATCCAATGGAAAAGATTACTATGACGTCTAGGCGACTCCTAGGCAATTTCTAGACTATTTTCAAGTATGGACAATTATTCATAGTAAGATACAAAAAATGAAAAAGAATATTTTACAATATGATTCTCATTCTCTTTTTCTTAATTATTTTGGGGTGTATCAGTCACTATCATTGTCAAACAACAGCATTATCATCCTGGATATACAGTATATGGATCACAACATCAAACGAAAATGGATAAAACAAAAAAAGGGATGAACAGCCAATAGCAAACAACTATATTAACTACGGATAGACAATGGCTGGAAGGATTTATTACAGGAAAAAAAAAAAAAAAAGAAAAAAGACGAGTATATTGAAAACAAACTTTATTCGAGTTAATATAAAATCATATTTGAATAAAATAAAATACACTATATATTCTACTATTTTCTAAACTAAAGAGGAAATGACGATGGTAGTTCATTTAGCGTTACCCAGGAGCCACCACAAGGAGGTAGAACTACATTGACTCCCAATATTTTTTTTTTTTTTTGTTTACTCACCTTTTATATTCCTTGCCAACCATACGACTTGATATCACCAAACATAGAGAATTACTATAGAATAGAAAAAAAAGAGAATGATTTTTAGTAATAACTATGATATACTGTATTCGTTGTATAATATTCTTTATATATTACCTTCCACCCGTCGAATAGATATTATGATTCACAGACTACTTGAATCCATTTGATATCTTGATTGGACTTACCTTTGAGAGCTGACTTAACTTGAACTCAACTTTGATATTTATGATTTGCAGTTTAAAGCAAGTTTGATCAAGACCTAACTCCAACAGAAGATCGTAAGATATCAAATTGATGCAAGATCAAGTCAGTTCAAAAGTAAAGTTCAAGCAAGATATATCAAATAGATTCAAGTATCTATTAAACCATCAAGAACTAAAAAAGAAAAAAGAATGGAAATGAGAGGATGAATAGATTATTCATATACAGTATGATAATAAAAATGAGATAAAGTACTTACATAATTGTTTGCTTTCTTTGCTTGCAGCAACTACAAAAGAAGAGTAAAAGAAAAAAAAAAGTAGCACATAAAATATTTTACCACACCCATATTACTTTTGTTTTACCTTTACTTGTTCCTTGTATATGCCTTGTTTATCCCCATCAACCAACCATAAAACATTGACAAGACAAAGAGGTGCTATAATCAGAGCTTCGTATGGTATCGATCATATCTATTATAAAAAGAGAAAGAATGGACGTATTAAAAAAAAAAAGTAGTTTATGGTAAATTTCATTGATAATACTACCTTTCCTTTGGACCCACCGTCATCACCATCATCCTTCATACACAGAGTTTCTTATTTTGCCAGCAAAAGAAGAAGTCCTCTATCATATCACCATTTTTGGAAAAGTCTCTTCTTGACCCGAGGTGCTAATATAATAAACAAAACACAATGATTTTAGTAACTATTCATTCTTGTTGTGAACAGTTAATATTTATACAATATAAATTTACCTGTGATAGATTGTCGTTGGGGGGTCACACAGAAGTTGCTTCCAAGGCCTATATAATATAAATAGAATTAGATAAGCTTGTTAGTGAAGATTACCCTTTTTTTTTTTTTTAATACTCACCCGTTCGAAAAAAAACAATGAAGATAAAAGAAAAAAAAAGAAAATGTGAGTATATAATGACTTGGTATATTCATTTAAGTACTTACAAAACCTTCCAACAAGAGATGATTGTGCATGAGCTGGTCCCCAAAGGAAAAACATAATAGAGGAACGACCTAAATAATCAAAAGAGTAATATGTATTAGCAAACTTAGTTTAAAGGTTGAAAGAAAAGAGAAGAAGAAGAAAGAAAAAAAAAAAGTAAAAATTCTTCGCTCTTAAGACTTTAAATTTTACGCGTTTCAAACTCCACGTGTCACGCTCTATCTAATCGTCTTCCTTTTTTTTTTTTTTTTCTTTTTGGTAGTGAGTGGTAGATGTATCAATGGTATGGAGACTCATCGTTTCTTTATTATTATTATTATTGATATACTTGTCATGATGATGGCTCCACTGTTTTCATGCAGTAGGACATGTACTACACTAAATCGATCTACGTTCTAATATGCTAAGTTTGATAGGAGTAGAAATTCAAACAAGCCCCGCCAAAAAGGGACAATATTGCATAGTAGTTTAGTTTAATTAATATTCAGGGACAATAAAAGTAGATGGATGATGATGTGATGATGATGATTGACTCTTACTATCGTAAAGATTCAAAGTGATGGCTCCATGATGATAACGCTAATCACGTAAAAAGTAAAAAAAAGTTCACATCTTGCGGTTTTTATTTGATTTAATCGCCTATTCATCCAATGCATATCTGTTACGGATTGTTGATCATGGCAACGGTTTGCTTACACGTAGACGCTATGACAAAAAAAAAAAAAAAAAAAAAGAGTGGTAGATGATGATTGACACGAAAACACGCTTTGTTGGCACGAAAGTAGTAAAAAAAAGACGCGCTATGATTGGCTCCTTGCCTTTTTTTTGAAACTATTTAAACTCGCGGTATTTTTTGATCTTTTTCTGCTTTTTTCCCTTTTCTTTTTTCTTTGTCTTTCCCCCTTTTTTTTTTCTTTCTTTTGTCCCCTCATCTTCATTGCCTTTGTTTCGAGTGTTGGACTATTATCCTTCATTCTTAACACCTTCATTACAAGAACCATTGCTTAGCACAATGTAATGTAGGCATAAAGGTATCGCCCTCGTTTTTTTCTTGTAACGTTATATTGTAAATAACCATTGCTTAGCACAATTTACAATGTTACTTGAAAAAAATGGCTTTTTCCATAGCGTAAGTAAGGAGATCCCGCTAACTCATTAGACGGATTTGCTGAAGAAAACCTAGGTTAAAGTCATGTTGTGGAGTAGGAACTTGGACAGCACTGACTAGTGTCTCCCTGTGATCTCTGTCAACCCACTATCCTTTTTTTTTCTATGTATCCCCTTCGTTATCCATTTACTCCCCGTCGCAATCATCCTCCCCACTACGACTTCCTACGACTTCCTACGACTTCTTACGATTTGGTGTTTGTTATAAGTATAAAATATGATATTGATTATGATACTAACACATTATTACTGTAGCGCCAACAAGAAAGTGTATGATACACTTCTTATTCATCATGATGATTCCCATCCTTGTACAGACGCAAATGGCATTCCATGATTTATTTGATGGAATGGGTTTTTGTAAAACTGATACCTTTGGAGCTGGCCAAGACACCTTCTTTGACTTGGAACATATATCTGAATGAATGTTTTTTCTATAGATCTCTTTATGATACTGTTTATATATATTTCACTAGTTTAGTCTCTATTATCTTTTTTTTTTTGAATAAAAATCATTCTATTTATATCATTATCGTCTTCCATTTTTTATTGTTTCTCATCTGATTCTAGTTGTTTGTGATGATGGGTAGTGTTAGTATAGATCATATATTTATTGTTGTGAAAACAAATTGATACTGACTTAGGCATCCAGCATCACTTATCATCCGTCACATATTATCCATCACTTATCTTCCATCACTTATCATCCAATTCATGACCCAAAAAAAAAAAAAAAAATAGAATCGCGCATTTGACAGTGCTTTATTTTGTTCAAAATCATAAAAAAAAAAGTGAATATAAAAATATAAAACTAATGTAGTCATAACTATATAGAAGAGTCTTGCCATAACGGTAAAACGCAAATTGTCGATTGTCCCAGGTAGGCATATTTCTCTTTCCACCAAAGTGTTTCGTTTCCGTTCATGCATGATTGTAGTCCTTAAATAATTGGAAGAGTAATATGTGTTTAGTAAACTTAGTTTAAAAAGTTGGAAAAAAAAAAATAGAAAAAAAGAGAAGTAAAAATTCTTTGCTCTTGACACCGTGATTTTTACGCGTTTCAAACTCCACGTGTCATTCTCTGTCCTTTTTTTTATTTTTATAATAATAGCAGTAATAGTGATATACATACATCATATCTTTAAAAGAGAAAAAAAAATACATTGATACTTAATGTCATGATGAGAAAAGATCGTTGATGCTTTTTATGCAGTAGGACATGTACTACACTAAATCGATCTACCACATTCTAATAGGTTTGACTGATTTAGAAATCCTAGCAAGCTCTACAAGGGACATTTTAAGTAATTCAGGGAAAATAAAAAATAAATGGATGATGATGATGATGATGATGATGATGATGATGATGATGATGATGATGATGATGATGATGATGATGATGATGATGATGATGATGATGATGATGATGATGATGATGATGATGATGATTGTATTCTTATAATAACTCTATATGATGAATCATGAATATTAAGCTCTTTTCATCATATAAATATAAGTTATCGCATGATGCGGATTTTTAAACAAATAGCCTATTTTGGTTTAATCGCCTATTCATTACAATGCATATATGTGATACGAATGATAGTCTCGATAAAGATAAATGTTATGGTGAAGGAAGAGTACTAGATTGATGGATGCAAAAATGTAGTTTGTTTTTCATATGAAAGCGTGAATAAGGAAATACGCGCTATGGTTGGCCCTTACCAATTTTGTACGCGTGATTTTTTTTTCTTATTTTGTTCTCTCTCGCTTACTTTTGTGGGGGTGTTGGGCTAGTATCCTTCACTCGGAACGCTCTCTTCATAACAGGAATACAGCAACATGGATCATCATTTTATCCATCTTTATAAGGCCCAATGGTAAATCATTTATCATCAACGTCAATCTCATTGAAAATCATCACACATACATCTTAAAGTCGATCATCGAGTATATTGAAAAGAGTATTTTATTTGGATATCTTTTTTTATATAAAATCAATTGAATAAGATAAAAGATGAATACTACACTATTTTTTCTACTATTCTCTATACTAAAGGGAGAAGGATGAAGAACGGTGATAGGTCTTTTCGCATGAAAAAAAAGAGAGAGAGAGACAGAAGAAGATCATCATCAAAAAGATACGTGTACACTCTTATTGATATTACCTTTTTCCTTCCCTTCTCGAATGTACATCGATATGTATTTATATTGATTGTCATCCAGCATTTTAATGATTTTCTACCTAGCCAAACTACGAAAAAAGGATTTGAATCAGTAAATAATAATTAAAGTTTGTAGTTCTTAATTGTTTTTACCTTTTGGATAATAACAAAATTGCTTTGTTATTGCCTATAGAGTAACGTTTTTTCCAGGAATAGTATAATGGATTAAATCACCACGTCTTCAAAAAATCAAGTATATAAAATATTGAAAAAAGAAGATAATAAGTATTAAATAAAGTTATTAAATCATATTAATGTTTATTGTACCTTCAATTATAATAAAAGTCAACAAAAAGAATGGTAACCATCTATTCCAACTACTCAAGTTTATCAAGTCAATATCTTTTAATAGAGTTAACACTACATAGTTGTCTTTTCTATCCTTTGCTAATATTGTAAAGTCGCGTCAAAAAGTAAAAAAAAAAAGTAAAAAAAAAAAAAAAAAGAAAAGAAAAGAATCGCGATAGAAATAAGCGTGATACAATAAACACATCTAAATTTCTATCTCAGTCATATTTAGCCCATTATTATTGCGTACCAAATTGTCGGTGTGGTGTTGTGCATAAAACATATACATAATCCGAATGTCAGGTACATTTTATAGTTATTTCATTTTTAAATAACAATCCATCAAAACTAACAAAATGATAAAAAGATAAAAAGAAAAGAAAGTAGTAGTTAATCGATATAGCCTATCATGAAGCGTGGAGTTCTAAAAGGATGAAGCGCGTCATGAGAAAGAAAAAAAAAACTGTAAAAAAAAAAAAAAAAACGCGATCTGTCTTTTTTTTTTCTTTCTCTTTCTTTCGCTTTATTTTTACTTTTTTTTTTTTTTACTCTTTACTGTTTTTTATTATTTTATTATTATGCTCTGCTCTATTCTATTTTTCACAGTTTCTCTCCCTGCCGCTATTATTTCCTACCTTTACTCCTCCTCTTCTTCTATCGCTTTGTTTTCCTTCACTGTTGAACCCGTCACCCCCAAAATCACTGATCTCATAGTGTATGTACCTCCTTCCGAGATCCTCTTTCCTTCTCCTCCACCTTCTCCATCCATCACCGTAGATCATATGATCTATGACGCGCCTACAAGAATCCTTCTTCTTCCTTCTTCTCCTCCTCCTCCTCCTGCTGCTGCCCATGTCGACCCCTTTTGGACCTTCCACCTGGTGGCTTGTTCCTTCTTCCTCACCGCCATGGTACAATTGTCTTCATGTAAGTGACATTATACCAACAAGATCCATTGCAATGTGTTCATTAGTAAATGCATATGACTAATTCTTTTTTTTTTTTTTTTTTTTTACATTATGTCTAGCTCTCGCCGCTTCATCTCGTAAGTAACAATAGCAACAGATTAACTATTGCGCAGTATACTGATCAAGAAATGTCAATGATTAATCTTTTTTTTTCTTTTCTTTATTATTGCTATATATTTAGCTTCTCTTCCTGCCTCCCCCGACGTGGTTGTGGCTCCCTCTTCTTCTTCTTGTAAGTAGCAATATGGATAGTTCATACTATGTACATTATGGAGACCAAGGTCCTTGATGATTAACTGCTTTTTTTTTATTATTATTATTATCATTATTATTACTAGCCCACTGCCATTCACCTGTTTTGTCCACTTCGGTCTTGGAACCCTCTCCCCCTGAGACGCCATGGATCCTTGTGGAACACAAGAAGAAGAAGAAAAAAAGAACGAAAAAATCATCATCATGTAAGTAATAATGACAACAGATCTTTTATTACATATTTTACTGATCGAGAAAATTCATCGATTAACCTTCTTTTCTTTTTCTTTTATATATTATTATTTATTTAGCCCATTCTTCCGTGGTTCGTCCTTCCTCCTCCTCGTCCTCTGTGGTTCCTGCTTCTTCCTCCTCCTCTCCCGTGGTTCGTTCTTCCTCCTCCTCCTCGTCCTCTGTGGTTCCTGCTTCTTCCTCCTCCTCTCCCGTGGTTCGTTCTTCCTCCTCCTCCTCGTCCTCTGTGGTTCCTGCTTCTTCCTCCCAAGCCGCTAGTAAGTAACAGCAACGGAATAGATACTGCGTTGTGTGCGTCTTCAAACTAATACTTCAGCACTGCTAACACCTTTATATTTTTACTCCTAACGTTATTCATCTTAGATGATCAAGATGTGTTTTCTGGTTTCGACCGAAATACTGATCATATGCGGCTGATACAAGATCTTCTAGCAACCAATTCCTCCCAAGTCGCTAGTAAGTAAAATCAAGAAATTAGATAGTGTTATATAGGGATCTACAAGCTAAGGTTACTGACATCTTTAAATTTTTAATTTTAAAAACGTTATTTATCTTAGGTGATGAAGATGTGTTCGCTGGTTTCGATCGGGATAAAGACCACATGCAACTGATTCAGGACCTGCTTCGCGTTTCTTCCTCCTCCTCTTCCGTGGTTCCTGTCTCTTCTTCCCCTGCTACTGGTAAGGAATAACAAGAAAATAGATAGCGTATTGTGGACATCATCAAGCCAAAAAGCCAGTAATACTAACATATTTATATTTTACTCTTGAAAACATTACTTATCATAGATGGTCAAGACCCATTTGCCGATTTCGACCGCAATACCGACCATATGCAACTAATCCAAGATCTTTTGAAAAGTTGCAGGAGTTGATGTCCTCTCTCTCACTTTCTCTCACTGTCCCTCTCTGTCTCTCTCTCTCTCTCTCTCTCCGCCTCTCTCTGTCTCTGTCTTTGTCCTATGGTGCTAAAAGTGTCAAGGCTTCTATAAATCTATCCGTCCCATGGTAACATATTAAAAAGAATAATCCTAAGATTTCTTTGTTAATATTTCGTTCTTCACTGTTTGTAGGCAAAATGATGATCAATATTGATGATAATATTATTACTTTCTATGAATCTGGTCCTCTTCACGAAATGTTACCCAAACTACTCAACCGCCGCAATCTGGATGATCTTCATCGTGCTATTCTTGATCGTGAATGCGTCAAGGTCGAAAAAATCCTCAAGAATTTCAAGATCGTTGTCGTTCACCTTGGTGCTGAAAAACAATTAAAATACAAGATCAATCAAGGTGTCAATCCTCTCAAATACAAGAATAACCCATAAATTCAACAATTTGGTATCAATGTCAAATCCGATATGACCATGATCAATGTTTGTGTTCTTTCTACTCCAAAGATCTCTTATCATACATCCTCTCAAGATGCTACTTTTTCTCCTATCGGTGGTGCTTGGAATCTTCGTAGTAAGAAAGTCGCAAAGGGTGCCAACTTGTGCCCTTGGTCTGTTGTTAATTTTGCAAGCAAAGTTCATGATGGTATGCTCCAAAATTTTATTTGTGAATTATGTCAAACGTTTATTGATACTGGTTAGGTAAGTTGGTTTTTTAATAAAAAAAAAAAAACATAAACTAATCCTTTTTTTTTATTTTATTTCTTTTCTGATCAAAAGTATAGAATTGTCATCAATCGACAACCACCTTTTACCCATGCTGATCCTCAAGACAATATTGAACGTACGCTCATGAAAGCTTGATTAAAGTTTGTAATGCTCCTAAAGCCCAACCTCAATTGATTTTCTGTATCTTACCCAACACTGGTGTTCCATTTTATGCTGAAATCAAACGTATCTCTGACACAGGTAGAAAAATACGTATATAAATGTGGAGATGATGATGATTCTTTTATGACGTATTCTCATTTCTTTTTTATATGGTTATCGGTATCCCTACTCAATGTGTTCAAAGTAAACATATTGGTGATGCCAAAAAACAATATTGTGCCAATGTCTGTTTGAAAGTCAATATGAAACTTGGTGGTACCAACTTGTTTATGGATGACTCTCAAGTTCCTTTCATCTCCAGTAAACCTATACTATCGTTTTTGGTGCTAGCGTTACTCATCCTGCTCCTAGTGACATGAACAAAACTTCCGTTGCTATTTTAACCGCAAGTATGGATTCCTATGCGTCAAGATAAGCTTCAACTGTCCGTGTTCAAGTTGTTTTTATACATATATAGATACTCTTTATTCTTTTTTTCCTTTGAATTTTTATATCTCTTTTCTCTTCAATAAACCAAAAATATGTTTGTTATATTTTGATGATGATACTTCTTTTACGATAATGGAATAATAAATGAATGATATGATGATATGCTAGGATAATCATGGATGACAGTATAATAAACAATAAGTTAAAATATGATTTTATTTAAATGATAAAAAAAAAAAAGCGAAAACCTCTATTCCACCCGCGTTCATTGTGACACTACCATTCTAACGAGATAATATCATGATCACTAATTCTATGCTTACAAAATATCATATCGTAGGAGGAATATCTTTTTTTTTTTAAAAGGAAAAAAAAAAAAAAAAGGAAAAAAAAAGTGGAGGAAAAAAGTAAATGTAATAGAAGAAAAAAAAAAAAAGATAAAAAAGCTGAAAACATCACAAGAAAACCGTGATGTCCAGTCTGGTATGCAAATTCAATTGTCTAGATAAGTACTGACTCGAATCAATAAAGGTGAAAAGAGAAAGAAGGAAATGTTAGGGTAATTATATCATATAATGTAAACTAGGTAAAAAAAAAAAAAAAAAAAAAAAAAAAAAAAAAAAAAAGGGGAAAAAACTAGAGACAAAAAAGAAATGTGTTATTGCCTGTGTGGAGATGCAGAGAAAACTGGACTCCGCGTGCACGGTAATGTTTCTGAATAGAGTTTTCTCTACAATTCGTACCAATGACAAAGGATTCACTTTCCGCTATCAAGTCGCGTAAATCAGTAGATCCAATCGCGTTTTCTAAATCACCCAACGTGGAAATTGTTACTCTATAGCTGCCATTCAACCAAAAAAAAAAAAAATTAAGAATCATCAAACTATTTATCTTTGATTCTCAAACTATGAATTATAATCAACTAGATCAATCATCTATGGAGTGAACATAACATCAAAAAAAAAAAAAAAAAAGGATTAAACTATTAAGACACGTATCAAAAGGGAAAAATGTATACATGTGACAAGAGGTACAAAAGAATGGGTAGTACAATAAATGGATATCAACTCTTCGTTATCTTGTTGGATTTATGCACGTGTGAATGTTTAATGGATACCCTTAAAACCCTTTTTCTCTTTGAAAATATTATATTATGTGGAAATAAAGGATCATTGTATAAAAAGGGTAAGGACGGAATTTTGAATTTCATCCTTTTTTTTTTTTTACTTTTCTTTTCATTATTTTTCACTTTTTCCTATTTTTGGATCTTTTTTTTTGATTTTATAAACATTTTTGGATCTTTTTTTTTTTGATTTTATAAACAAGAGGTAAGACAACTTTTATATATGATGAGTTTGATCTATGTGATTGATGAATATCTTTATTTTTTTTATTATTATTATTTTTGGATTAGATGAATGATATTAAACAAGAGGCTCAGGTGACTGAACATGAAAACATCTCTGTTTATGGTCAAAAGAAATCCATTTCTGATCGATTGTCTTTGTATTTTGCCAGTATTGCTCTATTATCTGATGGATATCAAGCCTTGATTGTTTCTTCAGTAGAAAGTTGTTTATCTCGAATCTATGGTTCTTCTGTTTTGGATTCTACTCTTACTGCTCGTGTCAGTAACGCGCTTTTAATTGGTGATATTGTTGGTATGCTTGGATTTGGTTTGATCATTGATCGTTTGGGTAGAAAGTTTGGTATTGTTTTATGTACTTTCTTTGTATGTTTGGTAAGTTCATCCAAAAAAAAAAAGAACTGCTTTTTCTTTTCTTGTCATACATCATCCAGTTTACTCACTTTTTTATTTCTCTTATTTTATATATATTGGTTCAAAAGGGTATTATTCTAGCCACTGCTTCTAGCGGTACAACTCCAACTGGTTTGATTTGGATGCTGATCATTGCTCGTGGTATTACTGGTGTTGGCGTTGGTGGTGAATATCCTTGCTCGTAAGTTGTTTTCGTTTGGTTATTCATCTAGTAATAGTGTTGATGATGGGTGACGACATTAATAATGTATATATTCTTTTTTTATACATTGATTAGATCTGTCACTGCTGGTGAAGCAGCAGAAGAATCGGGTCGTAGTCGTGGGTTTTGGTTAATTGTCAGTGGTAACTTTGTCATTGAGTAAGTAACATCTATTGATATATATATATGTAAATCCATGATGCATTTTTGTTTACTCTATTTTATATATATATTTAGTTGTGGATTTGTCATTGCCGCTATTGTTCCAGTTATTTTATTGGCGATTTGTGGTGAAGGTGGTTTAGAAGTAGTATGGCGATTATCTATTGGTCTTGGATTATTACTGCCAATCAATGTTCTCTATTTCCGGTTGAAGATGATCAATTCCGATGCCTATCAAAAAGAAGCTCTGACACAAAATGTACCTTATCTGTTGATCCTCAAGCACTATTGGCCTAAACTATTGGTAACGGGTGGGATCTGGTTCTTGTATGATTTCGTTACATATTCTTTTGGTATCTTTTCTGACACTATTTTGGCCCTTGCTGTACCTGCCAATTCTTTAATGCAAACCTTCGAATGGAATATTGTACTTAATGTCTTTTATCCTTTTGGTGCCTTGGCTGGTGCATTTTTGATTGATCGAATAGGACGCAAGTATCTGATGGCTGGTGGATTTTTGATTCAAGCTGTGCTTGGTATCATCATTGGTGCTTTGGCTAAACAGATCGTTGGTATCTTTCCCTTATTTGTTATTCTGTATGGGTTCTTCCTTTTCTTTGGTGAAATCGGTCCTGGTGATGTTACTTTAACCTTCTCGGAACAATACCCTACAGCTATTAGAGGTACATGTTTTGGCCTCTCTGCCGCATTGGGAAAGGTACATACAAAAAAAAAAAAAAAAAAAAAAAAAAAAAAAGAGAGAAAGATGATGACGATGTATAAATATGATTTGAAACTTTAATCTTCTTTTTATTATTATGAAAAACATCAATATAGGCTGGTGCTGCTATTGGTACTCAAGTATTCAAACCTATCCTTGCAGCTTTGGCAGAAAAAACAGGAGATCCTATTGTTGCACAAGGTTATGTCTTTATCATTGGTTCTGGTATTGCTCTTATTGGTGCTGCATTAACTATTCTCTTTGTAAGTGGATTTTTTTTTTGTTTACATTGATCGTATTAAACATCCTCTTCCTTCTTTTTTTGTTTTAGGTACCTGACATGAGCAAGCAAAAAATGGATACTCTTGATGAAGAATTCCGAAAGATCCTTAGTGATCATGGCTATAATGTAAATCAGCTTGGTATGATACAAGTTGAAGAACACAAAGAAGAAATTGCACAAGATAACAAGTTAGAATCATAGATACAGTTTTATTCGTAGACTAGTATCCTTTTTTATCCTCTTAATATTATTGTATCATTATTTTATCACTTATTATCAAAAAGTATTCTCCATTCTATTATTCCTTACTGTTTGATCGAAATAAATACCTTAATTCAATCCAAATGTATGAGTACCCTTAGTTACATCGATGAAAATTTTACAATAATAGTGTGCAAAGAGGTACATGGGTTTTTATTATTAATAATGATTATCGTTATAGGATTAAAAAAAAAAAAAGAAAGCTTGAGATTATCATCTTGCTCAGCGAAAGTACACTTTATTCAATAATAATTGACGGAATTCAAAGAATAAGATGTCGCAAAAATAGGAAATAAAATATCGTAAGGATAGAAAATAAATGACAGAAGAAAAAGAATATAATTGTCGCATAATCAAATAGAGAATATAAGAAAATAGATATCATGAAAAAAAGAGTAATCAAAAAAAACAAAAGCAAATCCACCAATTGAGTTCACCAAGTTAACATATAAAAAAAAAAAAAAAAAAAAAAATGAGTAATACTTATCCAGATAAAAATATTTCACTAGCTTACCATTTAAGTGTAACGTGATCGCTGCATCGCTGCAACGAAAGTAGGTACCTGGCGATAACCATCCCGGAAATTGTTAAATTGTTATATTGTTAAATTGTTAGATTGTTAAATTGATTGAACCAACGGTGATTGAACCATTAAAGAATACTTGTAAAGAAAAAGATAGGCAAAAAAAAAAGAAGAAAAGGCGAACCATAACCACGCAAATGCGCATTGGCGACCACAGTCAAGCCCAAAAAGCAAAAAAGAAGCAGGTCAATTGAGAGTTAGACAACGGTGGTTGAACCATTAAAGAATACTTGTAAAGAAAAAAGATATGCAAAAAAAAAAAAAAAAAGAAGAAGAAGGCAGACCAAAAAGCAGGCAGGTAGGCCAAAAAGGAGGAAGGTAAGCCAAAAGGCAAACCCGTAAGATGAATGTAATGTAAAGAAATAAAAAAAAAAAAAGTTAAATCAAAGAGATCCTTTTATAAGAAAATGAATCACCCTTGCAATTATGAGCTAATTTTAGTAGATAAAATGATGAGACAAGATGTAAGCGAGTTTTATCATCTTTTTTTAAATATTAGCAACATTTCTATCTTTATATCGTATCTAATTCATCATCATTTTTTTTTAGTATTAACAACATTTCTTTCTTTATATTGTATCTAATTTATCATTTGTCTTTTTTAGTATCTACTTCATCATTTTTTTTTTTTTTTAGTATTAGCAACGTTTCTCTCTTTCTATTGTATCTAATTTATCATTTGTCTTTTTTAGTATCTACTTTATTATTTTTACTATCTACTTCATCATTTTTTTTTTTTTTAGTGTTAGCAACATTTCTTTCTTTATATTGTATCTAATTTATCATTTGTCTTTTTTAGTATCTACTTTATTATTTTTAGTATCTACTTCATCATTTTTTTTAGTATTAGCAACATTTCTCTCTTTATAATAAAGTTAATTACATAGATGTTCTGCATTAAGTTCTATTATTACAGTATCCATATACTAAGTGATACATGGTACTGACTTGTTTTTGCCGTGTTTTAGTTTGATGACTAGACTTTTTTTTAGTGTTCTATTTTAAATGATAGTATGATTGTGCACAGCATATTTATTATTGCCATTTTTTAATTTCCATTGATGTGATGAATCATCATTATTATATTGATTTATCATCCATCATCCATCATCCATCATCCATCATCCATCATCCATCATCCATCATCCATCATCCAACAAACAATCATCAATCGTCAATCGTCAATCAATCGATACTTAAAAAATTATGGACAACACCCAAATCTGCTAAAAATATGAAATGCCCATGTTACTTTTCTTTTGTGTCTTTTATTATTAATAAACAAGTTATCATCAATATGTTCTGTGTCTTTAATGTACTCTACCGAAATCTCTGAAGCGATATCTGAAAAAGTGGTAATGCGACATTCATTTTGAGAAAGTACGATATTTTATTTTATAACATCATGAAAAGCATTTTCTTGTGACCCGACAAAAAACCTTGAAAACACTGTATAACCTTAACCTTCAATTTTATACTTTCTATACTCTTTGGAAAACGAATCGTTTTTATTGGCCAGAACTTGACGTTGCGCCTGCAACTCGTGAATATCTCAGGATTTTTTGCATTTTTTTTTCTTCTCTTTTCTTTCCCTCTACTTCACACTTTTTAATCTACTCAACAAGAAACAATCATGGTTTTATATAATATGTGGTAAGTTTGGTCAAGAACTACAGAAGCACAGTGTCAGCAAAAAAAAAAAAAAAAATCGCGTCATTTTCCAACTAGTTTTCTCTTTATTTCTTTTATTTAAGAACTAACCTTTATATCCATTTTATTCTCTAATTCATAGATACTTTGTGCAAGTGGAAATCAAAATTAATATCAAGATACAAAAAAGAAAAAGGTAACCAAAGTAGTAACAGTAAGGATATATGTCGTGACATCGTTTTTCTTTCTCTGAGTAGTTTGTGGATAGATTTTTCAAAGTAATGATTCCACCACTATCAACATGAAATATACTTCATCATCATCGACGATCGCAATACTTTATCTTGTATATACGGCAGAAAGAGGATGATAAGAAACAAGTTTTTGATACTACTGAAAATGATTGGGGACTGAATAGATTATGTGTTGCTAGGATGGTAGATTATCTGATGATGATTGATTGGCACAAGGAAGACAAAATAGAATACACATCATATAATAAAAATGGAATAACTGACCTTATTCTCTTTCTAGATTGTCATATACCGTAACAAGCGACATCATTACAGTATGGGTTATGAAAAAAGACATCAATGTGAATATTGGGAAAGTGAAGGACTCAAGAAATATCAGCCTTTATCTATATCATTTATCGTTAGTTGAATGATTTACCATATAGTTTATTATTAGGATAGAAAGTTACATTCATCAATAAAATATTACCTTGAAAAAGTTGATTTATGTATTACAACTGAATCAAGTTATTTCCTTTTTAAGGTTTTTCTTGTAGTAATCTGATTGGCCAATAAGTCAATGTAGATCGCATAAGACCGCGGTTAATTTACAAGTTCCTTACTTATGATTGGAATGATATTATTTCCTTTATTCACGAGTCCTTTTTTTTTTTCTGATGATGAAAATGATTTGTGTGGAAGGACATCATTCCAGATGATTGACAAATGATTTTTTTCAGTGTCAAACAAAAGAAGCAATTAAATAATCACTTCTTTCATCATCATCATCATCATCATCATCATCATCATTACCATCATCATCGTTAGAATAAAACAATATCATAGAGTGTAAAATGGATTCTTTTCTATCCTCCATCCATACCTTCATTACCATCATACCAAACATCACTGTAAGAATCAATACTACTCAGTTATATTATCAGTTAATACATTTGCTATATTACCATTCAACCATCATCACAATCATCAAGTCATTGTTATTATCATAGATAATCACCACGTAAGATTACCTCGTCCAAATTCCATTTTTTTTTCTTTTTAAACACAAATAAAAATGCACAAAAACTGGGAACCATGAATTAAAAAGAAAACAAAAACATACAAATGATTTGATCTTTATTTCATAAAAAATTGAGTGAAGAAATAAGTGAGAATGAGAATGTGTGTGAGAGAGAGAGAGAGGATACAAATAGGACAACCATCACCAAGCCAATGGGAACAGTAAGTAAATATTCTAACTCTAAGATTGAGGAGCTTCCTTGTAAGTCAAAGCATGTTCTTCGCCCATGGAAGAAACGACAGACACCAACAATTCCTTGCCGTCTTCGAATTCGGCTTCCAACTTTTCACCAAGTTCACCGTCGGGGACCTTGACATCGTCCTTGGTGGAACCATCTTGAAGCATCAAAGAAAGGAAACCGTCTTCAATGTTGATCAATACATATTCGTTACGGACAACGTTAGGAACATCCATGTTGTGGGTAGAAGGAGAAAGATCTTCGTACTTCCTATAAACGGAATAAAATCATGTGAGTCACAATATATATATATATATATATATATAATATAAAAACACTTTGATAACCCCCCATTATTATAACGTTTTACTTACTTGTTGGTGAAGATATCAATACCAACCAAATGGACCTTAGCGTGACCGTGCTTACCAGTCTTGGAGGTAGACATTTCAACGATCTTACAGGGACGACCCTTGATAACAACGTGTCCGTTCTTTCTCAAAGCGGAACATTGCATGGGGAAAGTCTTGGAAGCACCGGCATCGGTTTGTTCAAAGGTGACTTCGTGTTCTTCAGACACTAATAATAATAATAATAATAAAAAAAGATAATGAATATTTCTATTCTATAATCTAATGATTCAAACTTACTTTTTCAAAATAAAGGGCTTATAAAGGAAAGAGAAAGAGAGGAAGAAAAGAAAAGAAAAAAAAATTTTATAAAGATATTATTTCGGTGAGGAGCTCTAAAAATTTTTTTTTACTGATCGGTGTTCTTATAATATGAACGTTGATTGGTGGATGGGTAACTCAGGTCAATCATCTTACTGGTGGCTTGAGTAAAAAAAAAAAAAAAAAAAAAAAAAAAGAATGAACGTGTTTTATGCCTTATTTACTATCATAAAAACAGGACCTTATTTTTTTTTTTAGTTCTATAATGATCATCATATAAATATTTTAGATTTCTGAAGAAAAATAAAGTTGATATTCTATATATTTTTTTTTCTCTTTTATAAGGAGTAAATTGAGACATATGTCGGTATCAAAAGAAAAATTCTGTGGCTAATTGAAGTAAGCCACCAAATTGATCTTTCCTGTTTTATCTATCCTAGTGACCCTATTCTCATTTGAAATTTCTTATGATGATGATGATGATTGTTGTAGAATGATATCTTATTATTAATATGTAGAGTAACCAAAAAAAAAAAAATAAGAAAGGAAGAATGATGATATTATTTTATATTCTATTTTTTTTTTTTGATATTTTTCAATCCCCTACTTAAAAGGTTTTGCAGCATAAAGAACAATGATCCAAGTTTGACGTATTTATATCATGTGATTTCAATCATTGACATTGAATTGTAACATAACTCTTGGGAAGCAAATTATGTAATGACATTCACATATATTAAAAAAGAGTAAAAATGATAACATGAATATCTTTTCACATGGTAAAAATATTAATAAAAAAAAAAAAAAAAGAAAGTATCGCGGAGAACAGGTTACAGTAATCTTTTAGATTTCTCACGGAATTCTTCCATTACCAACCGTGATAAAAAAACCCCACATTGCTGAGATTTTTTGTTCTGACATTTGATTTATATACTTTTTCATTTTTCATTTTTTTTTAAGGAACCTTTTTTTTTTTTCTTTTTTCTTTTTCTTTCTCACCTTTTTTTTCTTTTTTCTTTTTTTTTATGACAATCTCACCATTATACCAATATCTTGATGCTCATAAACTCAATCTTATAGTTACAAAACAAAAAGGAAAATCGATAATATCAACTGATCACCGTGAAAGAGGCAGTATCCTTATCACTTCACAACCTCTAGCTATTGTCTCTGTCAGCGACGACTATTGTCATCACTGTCTTCGTCAATCACATTATACGACCTTACAACGATGTTCTCGATGTAAAGCTGCTTACTTTTGTGGAATGGATTGTTTCAAGTTGGCTTGGATTCACTATCATCGTTATGTATGTGGGGATAAAGTTGACCATCGAACAGCAGACGAAGAATTATTGGAAAGAATGGTATGTCGACTTATACATTACAAACAGCAATATGGTGAAACCTTCAACAACAACAACAATAGTAACAAAAATGATATAGAAACGATTCATACTACAATGGAAGCCTTTTCAATATTGGAAGACCATCTAAATGATCAACCAGCACATATCATTCAACAATTATCGGAACTTGCTGATAAAGTATTACAACGTCCTTATCTTCGACAACCAGCAACCCATTATGGCATTAGTCATGATGATTTGATACGACTTCAAAGCCAGTTCCAGTGCAACGCCATGTCGGTGGAAGATGAACATTTATTTGTCGTGGGTGAAGGGATCTATCCGGTGGCCTCGTTCTTCAATCATTCATGTCGACCCAATGCAGCTGCTGTCTTTGATGGCTCTTTACTTATCATCAAGGCGATTGAACCCATCCGTTCTGGCGAGGAAATTACTTTGGCATATATTGATATCGGGCGATCAAGGGGTTATCGACAACGAAATTTACGAGATCGGTATTTCTTTACTTGTGATTGTGTACGATGCAATGATCAAGGTTGGTTACGATTATTAGATAGAATGGTGGGTGAAGATGAAGAAGACGAACATGAAGACATATACACTATGAATGACGACAATCATGAACTATTATCATCATCACGCACATCGTTATCTACAACAAACAATCAGCGAAAGAGACGACGACGACGGAAAAACACGGATCAGTTGGATACCTTACGACAACACATCGATCATTGGGATTTGCTTACACTCAGCCGACAATATGATAGATTAAAAAACATTCATCCTGATCCATCACAACCTCTCACTTTGGGTACTTTTACTCATCATATGCTTCAACTATTCACTCCTTATATTTGGTCAGTCAGTAATCCTGCTCTTCAGTATACCACTACATTCACATCATCCTCAACGTCTTTATCCAATTCATCTCTATTCCCTTCAGCCACTTCTCCACCATCACCTTCTTCTTTGTCTTCATCATCCTCTCCATTCTTGCATATATCATCATCATCATCATCATCATCATCATTACCAACAACACCACCACCATCATCATCATCATCATCATCATCATCACCACCATCATTTATCATCAATGATCGTTATTTTGATGCCGAATTTGATGATCCTACTCCATCAGCAGCACAGCCACCTGTACAATCGAATTACCAAGCCATTTTGACCAAAGCTATGGAAACATGTCTATCTTTTCCTGTAGATTCTCATCATACGTCCATTATACCCTCTACATCAACAAGAGGCATGGCATCCATTCCTGTGTTTCGGATTTCAACATTGACAGGTGTGCAGCGATTATTTTATGAATCCATGAGCAATCAACATTGGCCATTTGCAGTCAAGTGTGGTCTTTATATCCTGATTCAATATTGTTTCTTATACCCTCCTTATCATCCGATGATGGCGCATCATCTGATCATGTTGGCGAAATCTGGTTGGAATTTTATTGTTCAAGATCGTATTCGGGAAAAGGTCTATGCACGAGGTGTACGTCGTTGGATTGCTTTGGCCAAGGAAACTGCAAAATATTCGTTTGGTATCCATGGTTGTCATTATAAGGAAGCCGTTAGTTTAGAAGTTTTGTTTAGAAAGGAACATCAATTGGTTTTAGGATGAATAAAACAAAATCTCTTCATGTAGTCTTCACTCCGACAAGCCCTTTTTTTTCTTTTTTTTTTTCTTTTTGTCTTTTTGTTCATCTCTTTTTTTTTTTTTTTTTTTTTTTTTTTTTTTTTTGGATCCATCATGTTCACATTCGATCAACCAATAGTACTAACTGGTTTGGTGCTATTCTTTATAGCTATACTTATCTTTGGTAAAGAAAAAAAAAAAAGACAACTCTCAATAGAACATGAATTCACCTTTTCTTTTTTATATACTTTAGCTGCTCTTTCCTTGGTGAAGAAACAACAAAACAAGAACACTGTCTTAATTCTCGGCATTAGTGATGTTGGCAAAAGTGCATTATTTTTCCTGGTAAGTCTCCTTTCAAAAAGATAAAGTGACATGACTCTTATTTTTTTTTTTTGATGTAGTTAACATTTGGTCGAGTCACATCTACCATTACTACAATGACTGAAAATGAAGGAACGCTTGTACTTGACAACAAGGTAAAAAAAAAAAAAAAGGATAGATATGTTGCCAACAAATAAAATAACTGATCTTTTTTTTTTTTTATGAAGAAGAAAATCAATTTGGTGGATATCCCTGGTCATGAACGTGTTCGACATCGATATACAGATTTTGTCCCTGTCACGAAAAGGATTGTGTTTATGGTGGATAGTACGACCATTGTAAGACAAATACGACCTACAGCCGAATATCTATATCAAGTGCTTGCTCAACCTACCGTTCAAGCTCAAGCAACACCTATTTTGATTCTTTGTAATAAGTATGATATGATCACTGCCTATCCTTTATTGAAAATCAAACCTTTATTGGAAGCTGAAATGTAAAACCAAAAAAAAAAAAAGTAGAGTCCATATCATATTCATCATTTTTTTTTGATAGTAATCGACTTCGATCTACACGTACCGCTGCAGTGGAACAACAACAAGGAGATGAACAAGAAGCGTTTTTGGGATATGAAGGTGAACCTTTCAAGTTTGAACATTTGGATAATCCGGTGGATTTTGAACAATGTACAGTGTTACAAAAGGATGTGGACCGTGTGACTGATTGGATCCTTCAGAATTAGTTTTTTTTTTTTGGGTAGTTTAATAAAATAAAATAGCAAAAACATTGTATCATAGATCAAATAAACTCAATGGGGATGATAGATAAGGTTTGAGAAAATGATGATGAAATCAATGGTAGATAATGAATGAAACGATTAGATGAAATTTGCAGAATAGATTAGATGATCTATGGCGATAAGATAGAATAGAGAAAAAAAGAAGGGGCTAATTTATATATACAGTTTGAATGTAAATAAAGTAGAAAACAAGAAATTCTTTTTATTTATTTATTTAAATTGTATATAATAAGTAATAGAGGAATATAATAGATAAAAAAATAAAATTGGGTATACTATTTCTCTAATCTTGCTTGACACGTACAATGTATCTACTAAAGACAGCAGCGATCAAAGCCATGAATCCACCAAATACAAGTACGGAAGCCACACTGGAGGTTTGATCCTGTTCGTTTCCATTACTGACGGCATCGTTGATGGCAAAGATAAAAGCAGAGATGATGGCGACGGCAAATTGAGGAAAGACAATATACATGTTATGAACACCAAGGATCATACCGGCATCGAATTCATCTTGTTGTTGTTGTTGTTGACCAGCTTCGATTTGAGATGATGATGAGGCTGAGGTGATGATGGAACCATAATCTTGATTGGAAGCAATAACGGTAGAACGTCGTTCATCTTCATAACTGACATATTCACCTACCAAGGAAAATGGAATCCAAAGTACAATGGCCCATGAAATCCCCATGACCGACAACATGATGGTAGCACCTAGCACAGATTTGATGACCCAAGCAGAAAGTAATGCGGCAGCTGACACCAAATGAGACCCCGTGTAAATGTTGTTGAGAGAAAGCCAACCTTGACGTTTTTCGAATTTCATCGATAGGGCTGGAATCACTACACCAGCAACCACAGATACAACCGAGTAACAAAGAAGAGCAAATGATCCTGCCCGGGTACCTTCAGCCCAATCACGTTCTGTACCATCTTTGATAGGATGTGTTGCAAAATAAATATCAGATACCCATTGCGTACTACAAAATAAATAATAATGAGTATGGCTTATTTACTTATATATCATTTTACCTATAGAAGAGAAAAGGAAACCATCCCATCCAAGCAAAGAATTGAGTGTTGCATAATGTTTGAATAGGTCTAGGTAAGAATCGAAAAGCTCGCCAAATATAAATAAAAGTATGATACCAAGGTCTACGTAAAAAAAAAAAAAAAAAAGTAAGTCATACTACCTTTTTTTTTTTTTTTGAATGAATACTTAACTGGTCTTCTTGATCTATTTGATCCAATGGTTTTTCTTTGACACAAAAACAAGTGATACCCAAAGTCAAACAAAATACCAACATGGCAACAATACAAAATACTTTGATTTGAGAATCACCCATCCAAGGAAAATATTTCACCAAATCAATATAACCAACGAAATATCCAATCACCATAGCCGAATTGGACATACGAGCGCTCCAAGCATTAGCACGATCTTGTTGCCATAAAGGTGGAATATCCAATATCAATGCACGACAAATGGCTTGAACAGCATTCAATGTAAAATCCAAAAAATAAAATGATCCCACTGCTACCACGATAGCATATGTATGTTCCTATTAGAAAAAAAAAAGTAAATACCATCATTTTATTCTCTCTATTTTTTTTTTTTACCATTGAAGTCTCGTTTGAAAACAAATGAGCAAGCCCAGCCCCTAGTTCTTTAGCATAAGCAACACCAATCATAGCAAGACAAGTCAAGAAGCCTGCACCTACAATAAAAGGTCTTCGTTTCCCAAAGTTAGAAGTACATTTGTCACTAAAAGCACCAATAACCTACGACCCAAATAATTAGAAGATAATTCACTATAAAAATAATAAACTTACAGGTTGTACAATCAAACCAGATAATGGACCAGCAAGCCAAACCAATGCAGTGAGTTCTTTTGAAAGATTCAAAGATAAAAGATAAGGAGTACCATATCTAATGAATGATAGAAAAGAAAAGTATAAGTATTCTAAAATAAAATATAATATATTAGTGACTTGCGAAAGTTCAACGGTCCCTATAAAACAAAAAAGGAGAAGGAATAAGTAACAATAGAAAAGAAAGAAAAGAGTATAGGTTACATGTGAATTGAACACCCGCCATGCATAGTGTTAATGCGAGTAATTGTAATAATGATAAACCAGGATCTTGAATCTCTTGTCCACCAAGGTTTTGTTGTTTGACATATCCAAGAGCAGTTGTACTATTATAAGTGGAAGCTTCAAAGGATGATCTTCTTCTTCTATTCTTAGGACGACTAACAGGAGGTTTACTCATATTATTATTATTATTTAATAATGGTACTTTGGGATCACTCATATTTCGTATGTAGGATATCAAAAAAAAAAAAAAAAAAAAAGTTAAAGAAAAAAATAGAAAGAAAAAGAACAAAAAAAAAAAAAAAAAAAAAAAGGACGCCCTTTTAAACTTAAATCACATAAATGATGAACAAGGGACTTTCAGATCATCTGACCTTGTAGACAAGAGTGAATGTCAGGCGATTTGAAGAGAGTGGATAGAACTGAACCAATCAATCCAATTCCTCCCCCTGATTTATTATTACCCTTTCACTGGCGTAACTTTTTTTTTATGGATACCCCTCATTCCCCCGATTCATAAAGAAGTTTTTTACTTTTTTATTGATCCGATGCATATTAATAAGAAGAAGAATAATGATATATAAAGGTATGATAAACTACATAAATAAATTAAAAAGGTTTTTGCACACGAAGAAAATGAAAATTAGAATAACTTTTACATTGTTCCAACTCTTTTTCCGCTGCCAGCAGTTGATTTTCAAATAAAGCTTGTTCCACCAAAGAATCCATATGTCGCGCATGAGTCAGAGCATAAATCAAATCATCCCTGAATAAAACACCCAATCGACCACCCCAGACGCCAATAGGTAAGGAGCGATAAAATTCAGTGATCAAATTGTCAGTGAGTTTAGCATCTTGAGGAAGGACATCTCGTAGGTATCTTGCCATTCTTGGTTTCAGTCCCAGAGTACGTATGGTTTCAATGACTTGATTGTTCAGCAGCTCGGTCACTGGACCTGGACTATACACCATCATATCCATTTCCATCAATTCCATATATCCTCCCGGTTTTAACACCCGCCAGCAGTGAGCTACCATCTTGCAATATTGGTCCATATTCAATGAGGCATTCATAAATCGCACATGACACAGGTCAATGGAATCATCGGCATAAGGGAATCGCTTGAGGCAGTTGTGGATCACTAATTGACAGTTTTTGGGAAGGTCCATAGCCGTCTCGGGTGGTATCATGTTCAAACAATCCATACCAATCACATTTGCATTTGGGTGTTCTTTAGCAAAATCAATAGCCCATGACAATGGTCCACATCCAATATCCAATACATTTTCAATCGTTTGTTCATCTATTGGTCGTGTAAATTCACTATTTAAAAAAAAAAAAAGGTGAGATCATTCCTTTTTCTAAGGATAGCCTTTTTTTTTTTTTTTTTTTTTTTTTTTTTTTTTTTTACCCCGCAAAAGCCAGTCGGATCAAATCATTTTTTTGTTGCATTCTATCCACATCATCTTCTCGTATCCCTAATACTGACGGCATCAATGCATCATCATCATCATCATCATTCTTGTTGTCATCCTTTTCAAGAAGATCCTCTTTTGTTTTATCGATATCTTTGGTTGACTTTTTATAATGATTTGCTGTGGTTTCAATCAAAGTGGCTGCTCGTTTCAATCGAGGATGTTTCTTGGCTTTAGAAAAAAGGGATCCTACCAAATTAGTTGATTTTTTTCGTTGAGATGGTGGTTGAGAAGGGTAAGTTTCAGGAATGGGTTTATCCAATTCTTCTTTTGTTGGGAAATAAGACTGTATTCGTTGATTGCCTTGGTCTAATGAATGGGATCTTCGTTTGCTGTTATCATTGCTGAATTGTTGTCGAAAAAGGGATGAAAGGAGGTTTGAATGAGGTACCATCCACGACTTTCGCCTTTCCTTTTTGGACGTGTCAGGTTTCATGGAATAAATAAAAGATGACTAAATAATAAGATAAATAGAAGAAAAGAATAAAAAGTATACAGGTATATATAAGAGAGAGTATGAAAGAAAGAAAGAAGAAGAAGAAAAAAAAAAGATCGTTCACTTCAAAAAAAAAAAAGGGAAGGTTGGGGGTACTAGGGGAAAGGGAAAGAGGAAAGAACAAAAAAGAAAAAAAAAAAGGACTTAAGGGGTGATGAAAAAAAAAAAAAAAAAAGGTTGAGGGCGGAGAGTCAAAGATTACATATCCTTCTTGGGAATAAATCAGGTTACGCCTAAGTTGAATAGAGAAAAAAAAAAAAAAAACAGGCTTCAACCTGAAGAAGAAGAATAAGCAAATAAAAAAACGAATGTCAATTCGAACTTATCACATGAAAACTTAGGTCCGTGCATTTGTTTTATTCAATAATTGTTATCATATAAAATAGACAAACATGTGAAGCTTCTATGTCAATCCCCAAAATGATCATTTCATTTTAAAAAAAATTGATCAATCTATCATGTGAAAATAAGAAATAACCTTTATCAACGGAGTGTGTTTTTATTTCATAAAAATGTGATAAACTATCTACAACTAAAATAAATATGTTTCTTTTTTTTTTTTGAATGTAAATAACATTATTAAAAAAAAAAAAAAAAAAGAAGAAAGAAAAAAATTCAAATGTGTATGAGTGTTGGGTGGATTGATCGAATAATAATAAAAAGAGGAATGAAATGAATCTATTGATTAATGCCTTCAGGTTGATTGGCTGCTTGTTCACGTCTCTTAATAGTACTTGCAAGAACTTGAGATCGGAAGGACAATCCCTTAGTTCGTTCAATCACTTGTTGATATACTGATGTCACGGGAGTGTTCATCACAACGGTATTCTACATTAAAAAAAAATAATAATAACCATGTTAATTCTTTTTCTTCTCTTCTTTTTTTTTTTTTTTTAAATACTTACTTCTTCAAAATCAATCTTGGCATCCACACGAGTATCACGAATCAAATTAACAATCCATTTTTCACCTTCTTCTTGATCCAAATTAAGGGTTTGACACATATCCCTAATAATAATAATATAAAATTAATTTCATCATCCTTCTGTGATTTTCCAAATTGACTTACTTGATATTGATCTTTTGATGAATTCGACAATAAGTTTCTGAGATGAATTGTCTTGCATTTTCCATAAAATCTTCTTCAGTAGCAGCAAGGAAAAAGTCATGGCTTAAAACATATTCACATTCCTTCAATTTCTTTTGAGCACCTTCAAAGTCAAAGTTGATAAAGAGAGCTTCAATGAATTCGGTCACAGGATCACGGTATTCATAAGATTCTTGTTCAATGATCTTGACTAATTCCTTCATTTGACTCTTGCGACGACGATTGATGACAACAGCAGTAGCCAAGTAACGAAGAATCCATGGGCAAGTGGTTTGAATGGTGTTAATGTATTGAGGTGCAAAGAACATATCCACAATACCGTCACGTCCCTTGGTATGATTAAAGAAAACGAACAATGACCAGTGAATAAGCCAAGTACGTTGTTGAAGTTGATGAAGAGGTGACGTAAAGTTCTATTTTTTAAAAAAAAGCAAAAGAATTAGTTTGTGAGATAAAAAAAAATAAAATAAAACATTACCTTTTGATCAATGATTTCTCGAACTTTATGAATTTCTTCCAAAGCAGGATCCCAGTTACCAGTCAAAATTTCAGCAGCCATCTTACCCCAAGAAGCAGAAAGACATCTTTCACTATCTGTTGACTACAAAATAAAAAAATAAAATAATATGTATATGTTAGTTTTTTTTTTTATTATTTTTGATTAATGGAATTCGTTAATTTCTTACCAAAATACGGAAGTGATAAAGCATATCAGCAGCACCACCATAGTCACCGCAGCTATATTGGAATTGACCAAATTCATATAGGATGTTGATCATATCTTCAGTAATCTAATGCATATTAAAAAAAAAAGAGAGAGATTAGTTGTATGATATTTTCAATTATATGATGTTTCTTTACATTGTAGTTTTGCTTCAAGTATTCCAAATTTTGAGCCTTGTCTTGACGAAGAGCAGCAACTACTTCAGGCTTTTCCAAAATAGACATGACCTTTTGTACCTTGGCTTGCATTTCTTCAAGTTTGGCCAATACCTTTTCTCTTTTTTCAGTGAATTCTATATAGAAATACATGTCAATAATGTCGAGATCTAAAAAAAAAAAAAGAATTCAAAATGTTGATGATTTTACCCTTAGGAACTTCTTCAGTCTTGTTGATCTTCTTATATCGTTCAGAAATGAAATCAACCATGTTGGAGCTGCTAAAGATTTCGAATAAAGCCTTTTCCAAGTCTTCGGTAGGATGTACCTAAATAATAAAAGATGAGCGTGTTTATCAGTCATTGAGACAACAATAAACAAAAAAAAGGGCTTACTTCATTCAAATCAGCAAATTTAATAAGAGGAAACATGAGATGACGATCCAAGAAAGGAATCATACGCATAGTCAAATCATGTTGAGCAGCCATGATGTGGAGTCGTATATAAAGAGAAGGAAGGAAGGGAAAAAGAAAAAAAAAAAAGTAAGAGAACAAAAACAACAAGAAAAGAAAAGAAAAAAAAATCGAAACACCGCAACTTGGACAAAAAGTCATTGCCCCCTTTTTTCTAGCCGTGAAATAAGACCCAAGCCACTTGTAATGAAAGATGTTGTTTGTTTTTCATTCATCCTTTTTCTTTATTGGCCATCATGTCAGATGAAACTTTCCTTGAAACTACTCCTTTGGATATCACTCTTCAAGCTTTGACTAGTCAAATTCAAGAATTAAAATCACTTCAAAAGAATGAATCATCCAGCAACAACAACAACAATAATAGTCAATATGTAAAAGACCTTGAAAAAGAAATCAATGATTTGCGTATCCTTAATGACAAAGCAGAATATAGAATCCAAATTTTATTAAATACATTAGAAACATATGATAAACTTTATAAAAAATAAAAATAAAAAAAAAGAATATATTCAAATTTGATTTTTTTTTATTACATGAACATAATATGATATATATAAAAGAGGATAATAATAAAAGGAAGAGGGTGAAAAAAGAAAAGTAAAATCTAACGATAACGACGGAGTGATAAGGTGTTGCGACGTTTCCAACTGGCATGACGACCTGATCCTCGAGTCTTGGTAAAGAGATGACCTTTTCCTTTTCCACGAGATTTCTTTCCAATGGCAGTCAAACCACGAGCTTCACGACGTTTGTGTACAGCATTGACAATCCAGTTGATACGAGGATCACGACGAATAGCTTTATGGGAGGGGTCCACTAAAATAACTTCAAAGTACTTGTAAGTAGCATCTTGATTGATCCAATAAGAGTTGAGAACACGAAGGTTAGCACATTTGCGACCAACACGTTCTTCAGCAGTAGATTGGAGAGAACGTTGATACTTGAGTTGATTGACACCTTCATTGACAGGTTTGCCATAAGTAGCACCTTTATGAACAGGTCTCTTGCGACCACCACGACGAACACGGATACGATAAATGACGAATCCTTGCTTAGCTTTGTAACCCAAACGACGAGCCTTGTCAGGACGAGAAGGACGTGAAGCACGATGAATCACATTGAGTTGTCTATAAAAAGAAAGAAAAAAAAATCATAAAGAAAAAAAAAAACAAAAACATGGAAACCACAATGGGAAACATGAATTATTATTTTTTTTTTCAAGATGTGATAGTGAAGGGATCAGTCACAAGCGTTCAAAAAAAAGAGAGTACTTTGTTCATCGGATGAATTTCAACCATAATACGAAATGCACAAAAAAAAAGAGAATAGTGAGATCACCACTGATTCTTAATTATGCCCCGTAAAATAGGTATTCAAGCCTAAATGAATCAATAAAGATTCTAGTACCTATATTCCCAACATCTTACACGAAGTAAGAAGCGTAACACATCTGATTGTTTCTTTCTTTGAAGTTCTTCAAGATATTTGTAAGCTATAAAAAAGTAAATGGATAGAATTAGTAATCAATTCCATTTTATTCTTCTATCAAATAGTTACTTACCACCCATGGTTCAAGGAGTATATATGTATATATAAAAAAATAGAAAAGGAAGAGAAAGTAAAAGAAAAGAAAAAGGAATGAAATCAGGTCCCCGTTTGTTTTTTTTTTAAAAAAAATGAATTTTTTTTTTTTCACTGTGACCTAATTTTTTTTTTGACCCACCGCTCCTAGAAATCGATCCAATAGGCAGATCGCTTGATGAACAACCTGAACTTCCCAACCATTTTTATTTTATTGTCTATAGCACTGTAAACAGATAAAATAACAATTTTTGAAGAGTATCAAGAATAAAAAGTTTATTAATAGTAGAGGACAATATACAAAGAGGAGGATAAATAGGAAGGAGGGGTAAACATGTACAAAGGATAATCAACTAGAAAGTAAAAAAAAAAAGAATTAAAAGTATTAAGGCAACCAATCAATGGAGCCAATATAAAAAAGTATAGAATACAAAGAGAGAGAATATCAAACAATAGGAGAAGAAGGAGCATCATCAAAAATCCATTGACTATCAAATCCAAGCTTTTCTAAAAATTCCACCATTTCTTCAGGATGAATAAAAAGATTCCATTGTAAAAATCGTAATAAAGCTAATTCCATTCGAGTGATTTCCTTGATAGACCATACATCACCGGTGGCTCGGACCACTTGTTTGGTGGATAAACAGTGATCTTCACTATATTTACTAGCGACCAATAAACTTGCTACAAAGATACGATGTGCTGCTTCAGGTTCTGCTTTGTATCCTAAATATAAAAAATCATTAAAACTCTCTCTTTTCAGCGTTTTATTTTCATTTCATTTTTACCTGAAGGTAGACTATTCCGAAAACGTTGAACATACATAAGTGCCATGATCAGGTGAACAGGTTGAACATTACATTTTTCTGTTATCAGTTGAATAAAAGGTAGTAGATCGGGTAAATGAGTAATACGTTGTTGTACTGTTGACGGAATCCCATGTTGTAATACTGTCTGGACTGGTAAGTGTTTTGGAAGATTTGGATATAGAATAGCGTCAAAACAGGAAGAAGTAAAGTCTAAAAAAAGAAAATGATAAGTATTTTTTTTAATTTCCTAAAATTTTATCTTATTTTATATATACCAATGAATCCTGGTGGAATAGTTTTTATACAAGTAGGAGCGAGTAACATGAGTTGAATATATTAAATGAGGAGAAGGGGCGGGGATGGGGAAGAAGAATCCCAAAAAGAAAAAGAAAAAGAAAAAAAAAGAAAAGGAAAAAAGAAGAAAAAAGAAAAAGGGACAATCCTTTTTTAATAAAAAAAAAAAAATATGGAAATTCAATTTCCTACTTTTTAGTGTAAAACCATTTTTTTTTTTTTTTTTTTTTTGAATATAATACAATACTTTCATTTGCCTAGTTTCATATGATAAGTATTCTAATCAGTTTCATTCATTGAAAGCCAGGTTCAAATCAAGTTCAGATCAAGTGATTTTTCTAACATTCTCCTTTGCATACAAATGATGAATGAATTGTCATAAGGTCCTTGCGGCATTCAAAACCCCGATTGCCTCTTCATCATTCAAGGCACCAACCATGTATCAGCAATTTTCAACGTTTGCTTAATGTAATGAAAAAATTGGAGGATAAAATGACAACTCTATTTTTTTTTAATGTTGTCATTCTTGAAAGTTTATTTCGAGTCTAATATAAACAAAATAAGGTAATAATAATAATAATAAAACAAAAGAAAAATAAAAAAGGAGGGTCTATAAAGTAGAGTGTGTGTGTGTATACATGTACATGATGATGATGATAATGATGATGATAATGAAATAAATAAAATAATAATGATGATGATAAAACAAAAAAAAAATGGGGGGGACAGTAAAAAAAAACCTAACTAATGGAAAAAGTAATCAGAATCCTTCACTTCATTGATATCAAATTCACCCTTTGCTGGTAATGGTGCAAACGTCAAATTATCCCAAGTATATCGATATTTTCGTCCAGATGCTTTCTTTTTCTCTATTTCTTGATCTTCATTCAATTCATCATCATCGTCTTCTTCTTCCTTTCCATCTTCTAAAGGTTCTTCCGCTAATCCAAAGAGTGCTTCATTTTCGGCTGAAATCGGAGAAGATGGTTCCATTGTGACAGGGGAATCTAATGATGATGATGATGATGATATGGTTGCTGCAGATCGTTTGATTTTTGTTTTTGAGGTTGTCACCGGATTACCATCCTTATCTAATTCTTGCACATTGGGTACCCGATAATCTTTATAACGTTCCTTGAATTCATTGATCAAATTCTCCATGATGGGCTGGGTATGTAGTTCAATAAATTGGTCCCGGATCACCACATTCATAGCATCCACATCGCAGGCATGAGTCCAGTAACTGTCGTGTACAGATGCAAAAGTCAATCCTTTTTCGAAACATGCTACAGCAGACATGAGCATGTGAGTAGCATCCAAAGAGTGAATAAAATTGGGTGGGAATGCCGTACTTTGTTTCAACGCATTGACAGGCCTTGAAGCATCAGGATCCTCAATAAACACTGTCTGTAATAATGTTGTTACTTGCTTTTTGCCGGTTCGTCGATAGGGTTGTACAATAGGTAAACCAAGAGGAGTTGTCCAAATCACTGATGTCATTTGATTTGCTGATGGATTACGTGCTGAAAATGTCTTGGTTGTCTTTCTTGAACTTCGTCTTGCCTTTACCTTTTCCTTTTCTAATCGTTGCTTGAATTGTTCTTCCTGTTCTTTGGAGTCAAATGGCAACACACCAGTTTCTTGTAATGTTTCTTTAGGTACACTCTTCGCAATACGTCGAGCAGAATCTGTAAGCCAGTCTTGAATATTACGTGCACCATTGAACATTTCACCCAATGAGGAAAAGACTTTCTTTGCCAAATAACCAGCCAATGAATAAACACGTTCAGGAGGTATATCATCACGTTCCTTTAGTCGATTTTCAATTTGGGCACGAGCACCAATAAATGTCACACCATATACATTGGTCATCACCGTCTGCTTCACCACTTTTCGACTAATTTTGCCTACAAGCATTTGAGCATCTTCATTTCCTTCCTTGGCTTCTTTTTCCACCAGTTTGTTCACCATTTCAGCAACGCCAGTATATACATCCGCAGGTCGGTCACCAGGAGCCAAATTCACTGCTTGTGCACCAGCTTTATCACCACCCAAAGCAGCATAATGTTGTAATCCATTACAAGTACCATCTTGATGTACAGGTAATCGAGACTTGAATTCTATAGGATTACCACTTCTAACTGCTGCTGCCACTTCAAAACAGGCTGAAAGACATTGCCATGGATTTTCAGCTTGTAACCACCATTTTTTTCCCTATTCAAGATAATTTACATCAGTGATCAAGCATATTTTTTTTTTTTTTTTTTGCATTTGAAACTTACTGTCATGGGATTATCAACCGAGTCAAAAATATTATCCAAATTTTCCATGGTAAAGTTTTCACGTTCCGTAAATGAATGCCTAAGAAGATTCAATACATTTTGTTAATAACAAGTTATATTTGTATATATATTTGTACTTACTTGTCATAACCATACAAATTCGCCATATGAATCCTCAACCATCGCCAACCACGTTCACCAAGAGGTTTTGCTTCATCAAAACAAAGGAGACCACGACATAAATCATTACCTAAATGATTCAATGTAGGAGGAATAGGATAAGCACGACCACGGAAATCCATGTTATGAGGGAAATACATAGGTAAATTCAAGAACTATAAAGTTACAAAAAAAAAAAGTAAGTAAAATGACAACTTCTATATCCCCTTTATATATATATATATATTATCTTTTTCTTTTTTTTTTTTTTTTTTTTTTTTTTACCGCACGAGCTGTTTCCACTTTGTAATTGACATCACATCGTAAACTATGATAATTCTTTTCCATGCTTTGAATTTCCTTGACACGAGTTACCCAGTTAAATTTGGCTTTTGGATCAGTGTCATAATCAATTGGCTTTTCAGGTAAAGGTAAAGGTTCAGTAATAGAGGGAGGTATATCGGCAATGGCTTCACCTGAATTCCAAGCTTCCAAAACAACATCAAATACATTCTTGTTCACACGCCATTTGGTAGAACCTAGTACATCCAATCCTTTCAATACATTGTCTATTTTTGAATTTTCTGAGGCCTTGTAAAGATAAATCATTTGTTCGGGTGAATCCTTGATACGCATGCATACAGATTTTGCTGACAAGTAACCACCATCATTGTATCGTAACCAGGGTCGAGGATGAACAAGCATGGGTAGTAAGCGAGGATGAAGAGTATCACGCAATGGTTCCTTGGAAACAAGTTTAGTAAGTTGATCGGAAAACTTTATAATTCCCACACGCTTGCCACGGACATATTGATATGTATGGAAGAAGGCTGGAATTTGTTCAATGATCTTTTCACCAGTTTCAGGATTATGACTTGGGACAGGAATACGAGCTGAATCAATCAATAAACTTGTCAACACACTACCAACTTTGGCACGAATAGAGCTTGGCCATACAGGATTCCATAAACCATCATCCGCTTCCAAAGCCTCAGGTAAAGAGGAAGAAGAACCATCAATCATGGAAATAGCTGCTTGTTGTTGTAATTGTTCTTGTTGTTGCATGTATGCTTTCTTCACTGCCAAGTTAACAGACTTTCCATTGGCTGCCATATTTGCTACATGTCCCTTGTTACTGATCCTTTTCACATGTGTCGCATTGTATTCTGTTTCTACTGCCTTGCCCACATCAATCACTGCACGAGCCGTTTTCATTCCATCTGCCACACCAGAAGAATTATGTAATCGTAAAAGTTCCAGAATGGTGATGATAGAGAGTTTTTCCGCAGGTAACAATTTCAAAAAAGGACCATATGCTCGTCGTTCGACATCACGTGCCTTGACATCTTCACACTTTTGGATTTCTTCTCGAATCAGAGGAATCACCTTTTCATGCCAATCCCACATAATCTTTTTGAGAGGAGTCAAATGAAGTGCATTTAATGTATCACCCCGTTCCTTACTAGCTTCCCGCATATACATCAAACGTTGTAAAGCTACTTCATAGCCTTGTTTCTCTAATGCTAATTGAAGTTCGAAAGGTTCCATTTTGAGTGCTTCCTTGGAGTTTTGTAGTGCTGACAATTGTTCTTGTAAGAATTTGACACCGATGGCATCCGTTGGTTTTGCTTCAGGGATATTTTCATAGATAATTTGAGAACTTGATGTTGTCGTATTACTAGGGAATGATGCTGTTTCAGGTGCCAATGTGGATGACTCTTTGCCTAAAACATCATTTGCTGCTATTTCCAATTCTTGTAATAATTCCTGGACATCGCTTTGAGTACTGCTTTGACCTTCAGAGATAACCTTTTATACAAAAAAAGAAGAAAATTAATATTATATATCAACAAGACAAAGTTTTTCATTCTATTTTTTTTTATATATTACCTTTTTGAAACTGGCCACTTCACTGGTAGATAAGAAATCAGATTCAACAACACTTTTCATTTGTATATTGGTATTTGTTCGCATATCTTGTAATAACATTCTAGCGGTATGATAACTTGATATGCTACCAAAAAAAAAAAAAAAAGGTAAGTCTATGGAACAAGTATTCATAAAAGATATACATACTTTAAGAAACCTTTGACAAGAATGGCATATGTGTTTGCGTCAGGAGTAATACCATAAGAAACCATACGATCAAACCAGGCGAGACATTCATGAGCTTGAGGTTTGGCGCCTTCAACAAAACCATTCAAAAAAGTATTATACATTCTTGTATCAACAAACACCTTCATTTCTTCAGGTCGAGTTCGATAAAGTTCTTTCATAACTCTTTCAGCACGATCCATAGATCCAGATTGAATACAAGCATTGAGAATAGCGAATTGTTCGGATATACCAGAGGGAAGTACACGAGCTGCTTTTTTGAAGGCAGGTTGTGAAGGATTTGGTAAAATGATATGTTTACCATCACTAGAGAGATCGGTTGAGGGCTGTGCTATTGCTGAAATGACTGGTGAACTAGAGATCGATCGAGTTAAAGATAGTTTAGTTCTTGACCATAGAGGGGAGACAGATCTATAATGACTTGATACAAGTATATTGGTATTGGTGGTATGACCAAAGGATAATAATAAAGCCTTTTTACCAGTCGTTACTTGTCTGACCAAAGGTAACGACATGATAGATATAAGTATATATATAAAAAAAGAAAAAAAAAGAAAAGGGAAAACAAAAAAAAAAAAAAAAAAAGCAAATAGCTGGGATACTTTTTTTTTTTTTTTCTTCTGGCCATTTTTTTTTTTTTATATATTGTGACACGCTTTTTGAGTTTCCATCGAAAAAAAAAATCCACATAAAAAATAAGGGATCGATATTCCAACCCCGTCAATTCTTTCTTTTTTCTTTTTTTTTATTCATGATGCATACACCATATAGCCTTCAATCCACTAGTATCAATCCAGCCAATCTTGTTGAACTTCAGGTATTAAGTCAAATAGTCATAGAAAAACAAAAAGAAAAAGATATCAAGGGAAGTATTCCCTATTTAGCAAAGATGGCTCAAATCATAGATAACCAACGTTTGGAGGAACCAAATACAAAACAACAAATACAAGCTCTTTTTATATTACAAGCAGATGCTCATAGACAACTAGGACAAGCATATCTGGAGACTGGACAATATATTCAAGCTGAAGCTTCTCTGAATATTACCATTCAACGACTGGAATCACTATTGAAAAACGACGATGGAACTAACGATATCTTACTACAACTGTTGCAGGATTACGATCTATTGAAACAATGCTTTGAAGTCATGAATAAACCACACATGGTTCGGGGAATGGACGATAGGAAAATGAAGATACATGATAAATTGAAATCTGATACCAGTTGATAGTTTAGATAGTGTAGTTGTATAGTTTGTATGTATGTATGATGTATTATGAATAAAGATATTTTATTGCGATTATGTTGTGATAATACAAAGATCATATCACTTATTGTTTTATATCATAAAGAGAGACCTGTCCAAACAAAGAAGCAAGGAGAAGCAGAAAAGAAAAAAAAAAGAAAGGGGGAGAGGATCGATTCTGGCGGGTTGCCTTAACAACTTGTTTTCCCGGTAAGATAAGGTTTATTGAAAAAAGGTTTCCGTTGTTCCTTTTTGATTCTTGGATTTTTTTAGCGGAACTCCTTGGTAAGAAGAAGGTTCCGTCATTTCCTAATATGGACTCTAATTTTTTGGCAAAAAAAAAAAAAAAAAAAGGGAAAGATTCATTTGAGTAGATATCAAGCCCTGCAAAGGAGATTGCCATCATCCGTACCGTATACCCTTTTTTGAAACAGGAAAAAAAAAAAAGGAGCAAGGGAGAAAAAAAAAAAAGGGGGGGGGAGAGCAAGTGCCTTGATCAATTCTTAACCACCCACACGTCCCTTGTTGATGATGAACGCACGCCCTCCATAATAAACCCGCTCTTTTTTGTTTTCTGATAAAGCAGGGACTTGGCTCCCCACTATTATCTATTGTCATTTTCCTTTTTTATGTCATCACCGTCATTTTAGCATCATTACTACATCATTATAATATCATCATGGTATAATATCACGGGCATGATCATCATGATCAAAATCATTATCATGACAACAACTATTAGGAGGGTCAATAATCAACATGTCACTTAGGAAAAACTCTTCAATTAAATTGTCATCATTAAAACATCATCATCTTCATTAGCATCATCATCATTTAATATTATCATACACGTTCCATGGAAGTAATCTGAATCATGATTTTTATAACCTTTTTTTTTTTTTTTTTTTTTTTTTGTATTCAGAACCTTTATTTTATCTTTTTGGCCATGTGTGTGTGCATTTGATGAAAGAAAGATTGACTTGTTCTCATTCCTACATATCTTAAAATTAAATAAAGCCTATCATGATCTTTCTATATTCAAGATATCTCTCTCTATATATATTGAAAATAATTGTCTATATACATCCTATGTTGAGGATTTATTCTGCCTCTTTTTGGTATTTGTTGCTCCGTCCGCGGAAATATATATATATAAGGGATTCTCCCTCCTTTTTCCTCGTCTTTTTTTTTTTTCATTTATGCCAAGTCATTTTGGAAGTATTATCCTGCATGTTTTCATTATCATTTAATATCCCACCTATCATCGATCATCCATTAATCAGCAATTAATCTTCACATATTATCCATCGTGACATATTGTATCGTTTATTCACGCTTCATCATAATAGATAGATATCATCCATTCATGCATCTATGATCATCTTCATCATCATTCACTATGAGATTGGAAAGGAAGAAAATCATCATCAAAACTTTGGTCTCCATAAAATAAAGGTGAACTTTTTTTTTTTCATCATCCCTAGATAATTAGAAGTCAAGGGTGCAAATGACTTGTATATTAAAAGAAGACTGTTTAATTGCTGCATGATTGGATATGATTTTTATAGAGATTTTTCTTTCTTATGCAAAAGAATATCTTCTTCTTTATCCAATAACAACATGTGGCATGGGAGGTGGTCAATGCGTGCAAGAGCCTTCCCCCTGTTACTCTTTCTCTCCTCATCCAATGAACATCTATTCTCAAAGTTCTTTTTTTCTTTCACTTTATATGAGATAAAAAAAAAATTAAATAGAATCATCATCCAATCAAAGTAAATTGATTGAATCATTAAATCAAAAAGTAATCATATTAATAACAATAATATTAAAAGGAGAAAGAGACAAAAAAAAAAGTGCGCTTAAATCCACAATGGCAACAAGAAGGAGCATAAATCATCCAGGGTTCAAAGACAAGAATGAATGAAGAGTGGATGAAGCCAAGTAACAATGATAATCCCAAATGTTGGGTATGTAAGGAGATCATTGAAAATAGAAATCACAGGTACGTCATTCAGTAATCAACCTATCAAATCCAGGAAAAAAAAAGGAGATTTTTGTTTTTTTTTTTTTTTTTACCCATACTGTGCTTCTCTGTATCATCATGATCGTTTTTTTTTTCATCCTTTTACTATCGTTGGAATAAATGATCATCGTTTGATTTGTGAATTGAAATAGGATTTGACTTGATATTAAAAAAAAAAAACAAGTTTTTCATTGAACAAAAGGGGAAGAAAGGATAAAGAGGGAAATTATCCAAATTCAGAAACAAGCTTACCATGCAATATCAATCTACTGAAGAAAGAGGGGGTTAATTGTTATCAAATCACTAAAATAAAACATGAGTTTTTTGGGTGGCGATTTCGTCCTACATTGATTTTTTTTACATTCTGTGCACGGTGATGTAAAGTTGGAATGATGATTTTTTTTGAATAAACACGAAAAGAGTAATCTTATTTCATTTCAATATGAAGGATGTAGTGAAACCATCATCATCGGAAACTATCCCGACAAAAAAAAAAAAAAAAAAAAAGGCTACACTTCAACCAATGAGGATGCCACTTATCACATTGTGATCGACACCAAAAGTGAACAGACTTTTTTTACACATAATGTTCGTCGGCGACTGAATGGTTAGGTATATTTAACCTGACAAGTTCATCATGATGATCCTCCTATGATAAATATTGAAATTTATCAGGGACAACGATGATTTTGTTTAATTGACTAATGATGATAATGATAATGATGATAATAATAGAAGTCTGTCATCATGATGTTTTTTTTTTTGTTATCGAGATGGAACATCTAACAGATGGTATGTGCTCAGAGGGGGGACTACCTTTTTAAGGAGGAAAGTCTATCCCCCCCCCCAAAAAAAAAAAATAAAAAGGTTTCTTTTTGGATAAAATCGTTTATAATAGTTTCAATTAATACATGTCAAAGTCTCCTAAAAACAGTAACTGTCGTTTTATCTCAAATGATGACTTTATTCACAGACAGTAGGTTTAAGTTTTTTTTTTTTCTTTCTTTTTATTAGGACTCTCCTCTCAATTAAAGTTGATTTCCCTCCTTTGTGATCATCATAGTATTTTTTTTTTTCATGATGATCAAGATATGGATATTTTCATAAAGAAGACTATCAAGATATCGGCAAAACTCCGCTTTAGGATAATGCATTATAGAAACCAACAATGACGCTCGGTTCAACATCATGACATTATCATCTTCGTTTTTTTTTCTTTTTTTTTTTTACTGTTTTAGGGGAGAAAAGGAAAAAGGAGTTTTTTTTCTTGGGGGGAGTAAAAAAAAAAAAAAAAAAAAAAAAAAAACGTCTGAGTGATTTGAAGGAGGATGTAAAAGTCATAGGATCCAAAAAAGGGGTGGAGGGAAAACGCACAAAAGAAAAAAAAAGGGGGACAAAGGGAGTGAGATAATAGGAAAAAAAAAGGGGGAGATAGGTCATATAACATGAAAGGGAGAAACCCTAGCGCACACTTCTCACACAGGATGCACGCACGCACACAACACGATATCGATGTCTCATTCATATTAAGGTGGCTAAAAAAAAAGATCATCCTAATTCATGGTTATAAAAGATAGACCTGTGTTCTAATTTTTTTTTCTTTTTTATTTCTTTACTTTTCTTTCTTCAATTTCTATCTCATTTTTTTTTATTATTATTAATATTATTCTTTTTACTATGGAAATCTTGGAACTCGTACATCAAGAACAAATGCCTACAGAGGAACGTCCTTTTGAATGTACTTTTAAGGGATGTAAAAAAACCTTTGGTAGACGATCAGATCTTGTTCGACATTCTCGCATTCATACCAACGAAAGGTAAAAAAAGGAATGATCATTTATTGATTTTGATTTAACCTTATTTTTTTGTTAGACCTTTCCAATGTAGGGAATTTGGTTGTGGGAAAAGTTTTATTCAACGATCAGCATTGACAGTTCATTTACGAACTCATTCAGGTGAACGACCGCATGTTTGTGAATTTCCAATGTGTGATAAATCCTTCAGTGATAGTTCTTCTCTTGCACGACACAGGTACTAATAATAATAAAAAAAAAAGAAAGTATATTGATGGATGATTGATTTTCTTTTTTTTTTTATATATAGACGTACTCATACAGGAAAACGTCCTTACAGATGTCCGTTTGATGATTGTTCCAAAAGTTTTGTTAGAAAAACCATGCTTACAAAACATATGAAACATGATCATTCTACCGATGGAAAACGACCTCAAATCCAATGGACGCCCTTTTTAGAGGAAAGACGTATCATGCAACAACAACAACAACAACTTTATCATCATCGTTATTCTTATCCATTCCCAGAACCATGTTGTTCATCTACACATTCTTTTATGACACATTCAGGATCACCTCCTCCTCTTTCAACAGGTTACGCTAGTCCATCTTCCTCTTCTATAAATGATGATCATTCAGTCCCTTCTTCACCTACCAATACCACCTTATGGCATCCTTGGTCTTTATCACCCATCACAACAAACAACACAATGTTTGATCAACAAAAAGATCGTATTCCTTTTATCGTGTCACCATCAACAACTACTACTATGAGTGATGTGATTCTACCCAGTCTGACCACCATCATCGACAGTCAGAAACCAGACTTTTCAAGACGTGATTCTTTATTATTACTTTGAATTCTTCTTATAAATATATATATATCTTCCTTCCTTATCTCCACTCATTCCTATTCTCTTTGATCATTATTATTATTACTATTACTATTATTATTATTATTATTATTATTATTATTATTATTATTATTATTATTATTATTATTATTTATTTGTACATTTCAAAACTATTATATATATATTTTACATTTTTATATATGTTTTTTTCCCTTTCCTTTTATGACCATTTTATTTTTATGCTATCCTTCCTCCTTTTATGATCTTCATCATTCTTATTTCATTTCTTTTTCTTCTTGAATCACTCCCTGTCTCCTACTATCATACATTATCCTCCCTCTCTTATTATATACATATTCATATACATACAACTTCTTTGATATCTCCCTCATTTCCTAATAAAATACATTAATATAATAAATTAAAAAACAAATATAATTGGTTGATTCCAAAAAAATCTAATCTAAAACTATACTATTGAGGTATGTTTTCCAACTATCTATACTATTGAGTTCATTTTCCACAATCATACTTGAAGATTTATAATGATCCAATTTTTGAATAGATTCATCCAAAAGGATCATCATGGCTTTGACTAAATAAATAAAAAAAAAAGGTCAATTTATTTGTCTACATATCCCCTTTTCATTTTTAGATTACCTCTATGTTGGTCTTGTGTCTTGGCCTCTAATTTCAAATCCATCAATTGTTGTTGTAATGAATCTAAACCAGTATCAATAGAATGAAGTTGTTGTTGATAATCCATTTGTGTTATCTTTTCCTTTTCAATCGTTATATCCAACTGTTTGATTTGCCCTTGCCATTTTGCTGCTTGTTGATATTGTCCTTGCTCAGCAGCCTTTGTCTTTTGTCTTTCCAGTCTCGTTCTTCGTAATGTCATCATGTTTAAATGAGTCTCCAATTCTTCCAATTGCTGTTGTGCTCTATTGTATTCCTTTTGTTGTTGTTGAATGGAACCCTGTAAATGATATATATTGTCACGCATCCTAAAAATAAAAAAAAAATTGAGTAACAAGCTTGTAGATATGCTTATTTATACTTTTTCTCCTTTTGAGTATGCTCCATCATCGTTTGATCACGACTAATAATACAATCATTCAGAATGGCCATGATGGTGTCTGCTTCATCAACATTGGCTTGAGATTCTTCATTGGCTTTTTGAATAGTGTCATTCATATCGTTCAATTCCTTCCAAGCATGATCTTCATCTTTTTCACGTTGTTTCATCATCTTGTGTATGAGGGTATCTTGTTCAGCCAAAGTTTCCTAAAACACAAATATATTAGTCCCATTTCTCCATCTCTAGGTTATTTCCTTTTTTTTTTTTTTTTTTTTTTTTTTTTTTTTTACCGCTTGCTGTTCCACTTTCTTCTTTCTTATATCAATCTCTATCCGTTCTTTATCCTGAGCATCCTTTTCCGGTTGATAGCGTTGTAATGCTTTCTCCATAGTATAGTCTAAACGATTGATTTCCATACTGTAATTCTGTCGTTTCTCTTTTAACAATTCAAGTTTCTTTTGCAAAACATCGATTTCTTCCTAGAAAACAAAAACCTGTGAGCATGAAAAATAGATATTAAATTACAAACTACTTACATCTATGGAATGTATCTTGGTAACAAGTTCTTCTTTTTGAAATCTTTCGTCTTGTACCAGATCCGCCATTTTCTCATCTAATTCCCTTCTAGATTGCTCCCAAAAATCCACATCAAAAGCAATTTCACTACGAACAAGTTAAAAAAAAGGTCGATGTCAAAATGGACATGCTTTGTATTATCGAATGATACTTTTTTACCTTTTCTCAGATTCAATTTTAGACCGTTCCATTTGAATTTCTTGCAATTTATGTTCTTGATTTCGCTCCATATCAAGGGTATACTGAGCTAATTGTTGTTGACGTTCATCCTAAAGATTTTTTTTTAAAAAAAAAGATGAGTATATCCTTTTTTTTTTTTTTGTAGGCATTTGTTACCCTGGTTGCTTGATAGACCTGAGCGACCCTAGAAGCACTATCACCTTGTTTTCGTATGATCTTTGCCATGTCCATCCAAGCAGTTTGTAGTTGGGAAGTGATAGTTTCCATGACATCTTGATTTAATCGGATGATTTGTTGTTCCAACATTTGATCTTGGGTTTCCAATCGATCCATCTTATCATATTCTTCTGCTTCCAAATATCTTTGTTTTTCTTCAGAGTAAGATAATCGTTCCTTTTGACTCTATGAAATGGAAAAAATGGGTTAAATGTGAATATAAAAAAAAAATGATGGTTACCTTTTGAATTTCATCCAAAGTCAACTTTCTACGTTGATACAATTGCTGTATAAAGTCTTGATGGTGTTGTTTTTCAGCTTTCAATCGTTTCCATGCCGTTTCTTCAAATAATCGTTGTACCTCGACCGGTCTTCGAGATAACGAGTTGGCGTCCATATTGAGACTACTGTCTTCTAACTGAGATAAACTCGTCGAGCTTAGTGAATGTTGCTGTTCTTGTGGAGCTGATGATGGTCGTGGTGATATATCTCTCTGTTTCTTCTTTTTTCCATTTGTTGCAAAAACTTTTTATCAAAAAAAAAAAAAAAAAAGAATGAAAAGAATGTATGAGTTTATATTGGCGAGTTGTTTGGAGTCCTATTCCCTCTCGTTTTTTACCTAATTCATCAACAAGATGAAAATCATTAGATTGACTGGTTTGGTTGATAAAGCTGAAAGCTGAAGTTTGGACGGACCTGGACTGGTCTTGATCAATAAGAGAGGGTGAAACAGAGATATCAGGACTTTGCGATTGTCGAATAAAGTCAAACACCGAAGTAGAGGTATATTGGCTATCTATTATTGTTCAGATAAAAAAAAAAAGATGAGAAAACATACAAAAAAAATACTAATTCATATTTTACTTCTTAATGAGGGTGAGTTCACAGAAGAAGATGGCATTCTTTTCTTGGTACCATGGTTGGATGGTGTTGTGCTTTGTACGAAATGAGACTCAAAAAGTTCATCTGCTATTGAAGGAGAAAGAACAGAACTTTTCAAATCATTTTGTTGTTGATTAGTGCCTTTATTTATAAAGTCATAGAAAGACATTTAAAAAAGAATGAGTAAGGGTGGGAAAAGAGGTGGAAAATAATGCAGGTGCCTTTTTTCTTTTTTTTTTTTTTTCTATAATTGATTTTCCGCTTCATTGGCAAAAGGGTTTTCAAAGTTTGGTTTATTCATCTAAAAATCATAAGATCATCTCTATTCAAAAGTCGTGATCATCACATCAAATTTGGACACATCCAGATAGTCTCATTAGTAACAATTTATATCCTCCTAATTTATAGAGAAATGTCAATATCGTCATCCCTCATCCAATAACGGTCGTCATCCAATGGCTACCATTCGACGCCTCTCCAAAAAGTAGTTTAATATCACCTCATCTCCACTTATCTTGGCATCTAATGTGTCATGAAAACAAATCCATCGGTTTTTTTTTTTTTTTTTTTTTTTTTTGAAAAATCGCCTGATGACCCCTCGATGATGGATGTTTACAGCCAACATTTGGCTGAGGAGTTCAAAATTTTTGGCTGTAAAATCCAAAAATCCATCCCATTTTTTTTTTTTGTATGCTTTGCGTCAATCACACAACATAGACCATTTTATTTCATTTTGCCTTGTTCAATTTTTTATAGATGGAGAGTAAATGAAAAGAAAAAAAAAAGATCTTCATCGACGACTACCACCAAAATCAATGATAATCTGTTATAAAATTCATGCCGAACCAATTCAACATAAATAAAGATAAAAAAATATGACCACAGTTGCTATAGCTACACAATCTTTTTTTTTTTCCTTTTTACATTTATGATAGTGACCAAGACTTTAGAAAGGTCGATTTATTTGTTACCTATACTTTGTCTGAATCATCCATCAAACATTCTCTTCATTGCACTCTATTCGATCGATCAAATATGTAATGTATGTATGTGTGTGTTTTTCATTTATTACATTCAATAAAAGCAATGTAAAAAAAAAAAAAATAAAAGATAGGAAGGGAATAATTATAAAACTACTAGATAAAAAAAAAAGTCATTTTGTTTTTCATATAAGGGAGATCATCATAAATAAATCATAAAAGCAGAATTTCATTCCAAAAGTCGTTCATCATCCACAGTAAATAATCCAGTTGCAATATCTTCTTCCACATCAACATCATCACCAACTGGAGGAGGAGGAGGAGGAGGAGGAGGTTGTTGTTGTTGTTCATTTATCCAAGTAGATCTGTGATCATCCATAGAAAGTCGTCGAATATCATTAGATGGTTCTCCTCGTGGTATAGCCATATCGAAAAGATCACGTACCATGGCGAAAGGTATAAATTCGTTATTATTGTCTTGATTGTTGTTGTTATTGTTGATTCTTCGACGACTGATAAAATCAAGTATATTATTAATGGCAGCATCGCTTTCATGTTGAGGTTCCAATGTATCGATATCGGCAATGTTGTTCAAATAGGTCCGTAGTTCCTTGACCCCTTTCCCACTAAAGACACAAAAAACGCGTTGTTGCTGTGGAGTGAAGCTCTTGGGAGGTGCACGTCGGAATTGTTGAAAATCGGGTCGTAAAAAGGCATTGACATGGGTTAAGCTAAGATGATTCAAACGTGGACAAAAGTTGAGTAATCGGCGGATGGAATGCACGGTTAACTTGACACAGTAACTAAGATGCACTCTTTCCAGTGAGTTGGCGATTCTTGGTTGTTTGGTAAGAGCATCGATGGCGTCGTCAGTGATGTTGAAACATTTGACCAATCCTATGCGTTTGAGTCTAGGTAAAGTAGCCAATCCATACACAGAAGCATCTGTCAGTAAAGAGCATTGAGCAAGATCCAGGTACCGAATTCTTGTACACGTGCGAGCCAATTGAGTGATGGAAGCGTCAGTCAAATTGTCACAATGTCCCAAATGAAGATAATGCAAATGTCGGCCTAATTGACAAATATGAGAGACTCCAGTATCAGTGATTTGATCGCATTTATTCAAAACAAGGTTGCGGATTTTAGGAGCAGCATGAACAATCAATCGTAACGATTCATCGGTGATAAAGTTGGCGTTGGTGAGATCCAGAATACGTAGTTGATCATAATAACCTCCATTTTCCAGAGTTCGATAAAGAGTGGTCATTGGTTCCTCTTCCTTGAATGTGATACCAGATAATGGAGCAAAAGCCAAATCAGTAACAGGGGAAAATTGTTGTAATCGGAATTCACGAAGTTCATGTAATCGAGTGAACACATTGATCAAAGCAGTGTCCGTGACAGGACAATCGATTTCCAATAATCGAGGACATTTTGAAGCCAAGGCTATAGCAGAAGCATCCGTCAGATTGGCACAATTATTCAATTTAATCTAATTAAAAAAAAAAAATGAGTGATTTTTTTTTATTTATTTTCAATCTCTATTATAAATAATGGATTTTACCCTTCGTAAATGTCGACAATGTTCCGCCAAAGTAGTGATACCAAGATCAGTCACACCTACACAACGATGATGATCATCTTTACACATACTAAAATTAAGACCTTGTAATTTTGGACAGGATTCAGCTATCTTGATAATAGTTTTATCTGTAATATTAGTAATATCACTAAGATCAATAGCCATGATTTGACTTCCAGCATCTTGACTAAGAAGACCCACTAAACCCACATCAGTAAGAGAGGTACAACCAACAAGAGTCACTCTTTCTAAACGTCCACATAATTTCAAAGTTTCCAATTGTTCATCTTTGACTTGAGTTGATAACGAAGATAAGTTGATACGTCGTATGAATGAAGTATAAGGAAATGTCCAAGAAGAAGATTGTTTGTTGAGAATATCGCAAAAAAGAATCCAATGAGAAGGTCTTGCAAAGTAAGGTTTGTACCAAAGTAGTTCCAAAGCATGATAACTCCAAGATTTACAAGTTAATCCACATTGAAAAAGATCAGTTGGTTGTACTATAAATCGAAGTATGTGTTGTATCAATTCGCTAGGGATATATTGAGCTGTGATTACGTTTTCATTGTTGTCTGTTGGTATATGATTGAGTTGAGACATGATTGTTATATTGTTCAGAATATATAAACCAAGATGCCAAAGTAAGTGTTATAAGGTATAATATTGGCGAGGTAAAAAAAAAAAAGGAAGGGAAAATATAGGTTCAATAAAGTAAAGAAAGTAAAAGAATTAAATAAAATAAAAAAAAAAAAAGAAGAAAAAAAGGAAAAAGAGATTACAATTTTTGTAATCTATTGTTGTTTAATTCGTTAATGGAAAAAAAAAAACAACAACAACAAGAGTTAAACCCAAAAGATTGAATCAACAAAAAAAAAAAAAAGAAAGAAAAAGAAACAAAGGAGAAGCAGAAAAAGGCAAACAAAATAATAATGAACAGAAAAGGAGACAAAAGAGTGGAGACTGAGAATGAAAATAATCCAAGCACAAACATATTACATAAATAGTTTTATTGTTATTATATACAACATCTATCTTTTCTAATGGGAAAGTGCTTCTAATATAGTATCTAATTTCATTTGATCATTCATATTTGTATCTAATAAAAGAGGTAATGAGGTAGATAGAGTCCAAGGTCCTTGTTTCGTGCGAACTAGCCGAGTCATGTGAGCACCACATCCTAAAGATTGTCCCAAATCATGAATAAGGCTTCGTACATAAAATCCGCCTGAGGTTTCCATTTTCAATACCACAGTTGTACCTTGAAAATCCAATAATTCAATTTGATGTAGTGTCACTTGTCTTGGTATTAAAGAAGTAGGTGGTTCTATACCTTGTCGTGCATAATTATATAATCGTTTCCCTTGTACCTTGAGTCCACTATATCTATTTAAATACAAATATCTCATTTATCTATCTATTAATAAATAAAAAAAAAACTTACAAAGGTGGGGTTTGTAGAATATTACCACGAAATGAATCTAATGCTGACAAGAGTAAATCTTCATTGATATGTTGAGTGGGTGCTGTATGTACAATAGTACCTTCAGCGTCATAGGTATCCGTTGTTTGTCCTAATAGAGCTGTGGCTTCATATTCTTTTGTCCCTTTCAAATATGATTGCAATTGTTTACATCCATTACCTAATCCTAAGACTAATAATAAAAAAAAAAAATATGAGACAGGATCATCAATGAATAGAATAGATGTCTTTTTTTTACCCAAAACACCTTCTGCCATTGGATCTAGAATACCACCCATGCCAACCTTGACTCGATCTTTTAATTTCACTTTCCAAGGACGATCCGTTTGTAAAACATGTTGAGTAAGAAAGAGTTGGACTTTAGTTGCTGCTTGTCGTGAAGTGATTCCTTTTGGTTTATAAATAGCAAATACACCATTCAATGCAGTTTTGAGATGATGGTTCATAAATAAATAAAAAAAGTGGAAAAAGAAGACTCGGACTTGGAAAAAAAAATTTCGATTCTTTTTATTGTACAAGTTGAAGAGTAAAAGAATAAGTGTGGGGTATTGCTTTAAAAAAAAAAAAAGGAGAAGGATCGAATAAATATAAATGGATTACATAAAAAAAAAGAGAGAAACTAAAAACTAGGATAAATAAACTATACTAAAAAAAAAAAATCATGACTTTCGTTCAATATCTTTAACTGTAGTACCATCTACTGCTAATTGTTTTTGTAAAAGTGTATTGGCGACTCGAGTTCGTTTCTGTTCGTCTGTTTCATCATCATTTTCTTGATCGGTTGTTCCAGGAGTATCTGACCAATCCGGTTTTCGCATAAATTGACGGAAAGTATCAGCGATCATCAAAGCATCCGTTGAACTCAAAATAGAGCTTGTTTGGTGAGGATTGGAAGCATCAGCATGCATATGATGTACAGCAGTCATGTTTACATTGGGAGAATTGTTGGTTGCAGAAGTGGTATTTGTCGTAATGCTAGGTGATCTTTCTATTGACGAAGGCGAAGGTACAGTAGGTGAGCCCCTGATCATGGGCGCTGATGAATGAATGGATGACGGGAGATCACGGGTTTCGATATGATTCATATTGGTGTTTTTGTTGACAATATTCTTCGGTACTGGTGTTGTTTCTGGTACAGTTGTATTGCTAGGAGCCAAGTTGTTTAATCCTTCAGAACTATCTAAATCAGATTTATTGAGTGGTTGATGTTTTCGATTCTTTCGTATGTTTCGTATTAACCAAGCGAGAGCAATTGCAGCGATAGTGATGGCGACGGCGGCAATAACAATAATGGCAATAGCCCAAGGAGGTAATGATGAGCCTTGATTGTTAGATGATGCTGATGTTGAAGATAATGAAGATGGTGATGAAGATGGTGATGTTGAATTGGATGTAGTGTTATGAGCATTTTCTATATAAAAAAGAAGAACGAAGATAAGTATATTCATTCCTATTTTTGAGGATAATAATCGTTCCCCCTTCTCTTCTAATAATCCAGTATCCCCTTATGTTATTCTCCTTTTTTTTTATTATTATTCTTACGTATAAGAGTAAATTGTGTAGGTCTTGGATATATAGATAAAGGATTAGCTAATTCTTGTTGAAGATCAACACCAGATCCAAGTAAGTACGCATAGACAATTCTAGTAACATTGGGAGAATTATCTGGAATGGGGGCAGGATACCAAGAATCGTCAATAAGAACCACTTGTACACCAACAGCATGAACGACATCAAAAGATTTGATTTGTTTATAATTGGTTGAATTGGTTTGTTGTAATAAATAGAATGTCAAGGTTTCCTAATAAATGATATACATTAGTATTGTTTATTGATCCTGCATAAAACCAAAAAAGAATCTTTTTTTGTTTATTATTATTTACAACTTACAAAACCATTGAAAACTGCATTACTAACAAAAATAAAAATAAAAATAAATAAATAAAATGTTAAGATTATATCATCATTATAGGTATATTTTACTTGTATTTCCAATATAGTTCATGATATGTATTGTTGTACCAAACATCAGTAGTGGAAGGCGAACATATTGCCACTGTTTGATCACGATCACCACATGATTGAGACGCTACAGCTAATAAATAAAATAAAAAATAAAAAAAAAAGGCGTATTAGTAAAATAAACTTTTTTTTTAAAAAAATAAAAATAAAATAAAAACAATATTTGATATATATAACCCAACCGAAGTTTTTTTCTTTTTTTTTTTTTTTTCTCGTCAAGTTTCAAATTAATATATAATATTCTTTTTTTTACCTTGTCGTTTGTCAAATAAAGTAGATTGGACAAAAGGTAAATAAAGTAAAAGAAAAGTAAAATACCACCGCATTATAAAAAGCTGATGGAGTTTCATAAAATAATCGTTTCAAGGAATGTGGTAGATGAAGTTAAATAGAAAAAAAAAAAAAAGAAAAAAGGAAAAAAAGAAAAGAGAAAAAGAGAGAGAGAGAGAGAGAGAGAAAGGAATCACTGGAAAAGAAAAAAAAAGGATTTTGCTGGATGTAAAAATTTTCCCTCAATGAACAACAGCCAAAATGTAAAAATAGCAAATTTTTTTCTGAAGAGTATAAAAAAAGGGAAAAAAAAAAAACTCATCATTTTATAAACAGATACGCACTGCACAGTAATATCAAACAATGACTTTTTTTCCCTTTCCTTTCTTCTCGTTTTATCTTTTTATATAAAAATGATTTTCCATTTTTTTTTTTGATTTAGTTTTATTTATCGATTGATTGGATGATAAATTTCCAAAGATGTGTCACACGTGGTTCTTTACTTTTTGACTCTTTTAAGAAACAAAAGAAGGTGTGTCAAAAAAAAAAGACTATCTTTTATCTGTATCACCGCTATCATCATAAGACAACAGTACTATCACCTTTATATACAAGAATTAAAAACTTAAAAAAAGGTTATCATCATCAATATAATGAAATAACAGCGCCACAATATATATAATCATCATTTATTTTAGTAATAGTACAAAATAATCTAATAAAAAACTTAACTATCACTATCATCATCATCTATTTCTGAATCACTTTCTTCTGGTGTTCCCAAAGTACGAATTCTTTCCAATACTTGTCCTACCATAGATGGTTGCCGCACCGGAAGTCCAAGTTTGTGGTCATCCTCCTTGTCTTGTCGAGTTTCAAAATCACGACGACCATAAAAGGAACCAACATTCGATGACACCAAGTCGCTTGGTTTTACTAATGTATCACTAAGATCGGGGGTGATGACAGGTAACACAGCGCTGTTATTGTTAGAACGAGTTTCTTCTTGATCCGGTGGTAAATAAATCGTTCCTTCTTCTTGTTCATTTGGATCCATTTTATATGTTTCCTTCAATGCAAAAGGTAGCGGTATTTCTTTGATGGCACGATAGTTACCACAATTGTTCAAATGCTATATATATATATAATATATTAGTCTCCTATACATAGACATAGATTAGGTTACTTACTTCATTTTCTAATCGGAAAAAATTCCACACAATTCGACGAAAGACTTCAAGTATAGCAGTACCAAATGCAAGGATTTCACTGTGGTAGGCAAGACTAGCTTTGTTGATGGCCCAAGCAAACCGAAGCATGATATTCAATGGAATCGCAGTGTAATAGGTCTAATAAAAAAAAAATAAAAAAAAAAATAAAAATGAGATGAAAAACTTGGTGAATCGTGATTCTTTTCTTTGATATACCCATTTGTAAAAGACCAAATCATCACGTAACAAGAAATGAGAACTTTTCACATCCAATAAGCCCCAATCCATTTTGATATCCCAGATGGAGGTATATGTAGAATTGATAATAGAAAGAAGAACCCAAGTGATTTCTATACCCGGAGAAGCTATTTCAATGAAAAAAAAAATATGAGTTTCCTTTAATATGTACCTTTTATCTTTTAACTTTACGAGAGATGCGTCGAATTCCAGCAAAAACAGTAGCCAGGATACTTGTAACATATTTCAATCCATTGACCAAATGATGTACTTCCTTTGAATCATGATACCGTCGTAAACACTGTAAACCACGCGATAAAGGAGGTAAACAAGCCAAAAGAGGAGTCACCCACATCTTCGGAACATTACAATGATTATCTACATATATAAACAAATGAGCCAAAATAAAATGACATTATTTTTTTTTTTTTTTACCTAAATCATTCCAATGCCAACTATAAACGCAGAAAAAGTAGGTGATCATCCAGATAGAAAAAGCCATACTATTAAGTTCATCGGCAATAAAGAAATCACGGAATTCTACAGGTAATAATCCAGAAAGTGCAATTCGTCCCTATTGATAAAAAAAAGAAAAAAGTCAGTCAATATTTTTTTTTTTAAAAAAAAAAAAACAAGAGAAAAAAAATCTATACCAAAGTAACACCAAGCCATTGTCGTGCTGAAAGATAAAACAATTTGAATGGACAGAAAAGAATCGCCAACAAGGTTGCTACCAACAATAAAGGACATAATTGGGATGGAACAGCTGGAGCCCAACATTGTGAAAGATCAATATACATCACAATAGAAGTCAATAAAAGCATAAATGAAGGCATCTACGCCAAAAATAGAAAAGAAACACGTTTTGATTCATTTGAAATTGTTTTCTTTTTTCTTCTTTTTTTTTTTTTTTTTTACCTCTGCAAATTGATGATAATCAAGACAATTTCTTGGATTGAGTTCAAAAATAAAACGATAATTGATATGACATCGATGCCAAACTGCCATATTGATTGAGAAGCCCAACGTAAATAGGATAGGTAATAAGATACAACCATAGATATTCAGATTGTAAAATAACATGGGAAGCTGTGCCTGAATTTGAGGATCAGTTGCTAATTGAATCACTCGAGCAAAGATGGCAATACAAGCCCCAAGACAGAAACCAATACGCCAAGTGGTTGTGGTATAATCCTTATTCACACAAGAAGAAGGGAAAAAAAATGGATTAGATATTGAATGATTCTTTCTTTTATTATTATTATTTTCATCGTTTATTTACCCCATCAGGTTCTGGTACACGTAATTTCTTCATTCCTCGTCGTCGATGACCATCCATAAATTCATGTACAAAAAGTCGCTAATTGTCCAAAAAGTAAAAATGATTTCGTTAATGATTTCATCAAAAAGATAGATTTTTGAATTACCTCGGTATCTTTGATAATGTCATCCAATTCATTGGACTGTACCCAGTGATAGGTTTTGAGCTTGCCATTGTATGCGGTGCTTGCTTTCCATCCAGCCGTCTAAAAAAAAAAAAAAAATCATATTGAGTAAGAGGAAAGATTTACAGCATCAATATATATATATATATACATCTTACTTTGTCAAACTTTTTCAGTATCTTTTGGAACCCCATTTCATTCAATATCTAAATATATATATATATATAAAGAAACACAATTATTCAACAAAATTGGATCATGACAATACAATAATATTCCTTTTTTTTTTTTTTTTTTTTTTTACCTTGTAGGAGCGTAAAAGTTCCAAACTTCTATAGTATTCAGTGATGGCAGTCTTCAATCGACCTCTTGCTACCTACAAAAAAATGGATGAGAACCATTATCTAGATGATAATCTTTTTTTTTTCATACCCTATAACTCATGTGATGATCACCACTAGGTATGATAGCAATAGTAGTTGGAGATGGAGTAGATGCATTGAGTGGTTTTTGCGTATGGAACCAATGCATAGGATTCAATCGTTGTTCTAAAGGTTCTTCTTCTGGTTGTTTAACTTCGGATAACTGTCGTCTATATTGTTGAATCAATTCTACTTGCATATTTAGAGCTTTGAATTTCGTTTTTGCTTCTAATTCCTTTTCTGATCATTGATAAAAAAAAAATAAGATCAGTTTATTATTCTTTTTCTTTTTTTATTTCATTTACGGTTGTAAAAACGAGATACTTTTTCCAATTCTTGATCCAACATGAAGAAAAAATAACGTTCCGGTTCACTACAATGAGTCAAGAGTTCATCGAGTATACTGCCTTCCAGGGCGACTACAAAAAAAAAAAAAAAAAAAAAAAAAAGGTCGGTATCAGTTTGCATAAAAGAGAAAGAGAGAGAAATACGTTACCACTAGGTCGAGCTGAGAGATTGCCAAGTTCAGTATCTTCACGAAAAAATGTAGCTGATATACGATCTAAAATAGATCTAGAGAAGGAATCACGTCTTTCTTGTCGATAGTCGTCCAAATCGGAAGGTGTGGTATTGTATCGTTTAGGTCGCCAGGACATGGTACTAGATCGTCCAGGATGGAAACGTGCACTTGTTGAAGTTGTCGTCATGCCAGAAGAGGTTTGGTCATTCAGAAGATTGGCGTTGGCCATTTGTGCTGTAATGGCATGGGCATTGGCTCGTCGATGCTGTGGTAAAGAAGAAAAAAAAAAAAACCGGAGTGTGAATAAGATGGGTGTTTTTAAGTAAGATGATTACCTTTTCAATCGCTTTTAATCTTTTTTTTAATCCCTTGTAATTGATATAAGCTCGTCTCCATTCAGCTACACTTTCAGCTTCTAATTGTTTGGCAAATTTCATGATATATAAAAGAAAGAAAAAAAAAATCTAATAAATTTTACTGTTATAAAAAAAAAAGTCATTTTAGAGTTCAAAAAAAGAAGTTATAGATTTGTTTTTTTTTTGACCACACGTGGGGTCCATCCGTCCTTATCATATGATTCAAATAGTAGACTTACAAAGGATGATAGTCAGGGGAGTGTCCCCACTTTGTATAGATACAGAATAGAAAAAAAAAAAAAAAAACAAGGAAGGAAAAAGAAACGAAAATGGAAACAAAAGGGGAAGAAAAAAAAGAGAAAAAAAAAATAAAATAAAAAGGAACTAATTGAATCGGCGAACCAGGATCCCAAAAATGGAACGATCCATTTCCTTTTTTTTTTTTTCTTCTTTTTTTTTCCATACTTCATTGAACCAAATATTGGGATTATTATTTGTTTATTTGATCCTCATTCAGATGATGATGGGAAAACGTACATATATATATATATATCATCATTCCATGATGAACAATTCTATTTTTCCAATTACAATATCGGATATTGAATTATTATGGACTTTTTTCTTTTTTCTTCATCCAACCAAACACCTTATAGAAAGCACGCATGCGAATTACTCTTTCCGTTGATCATTGAATGATAATAATTCTTTATGATCCCTCTATAGTAAATATAACAATAGTACAAGATGATATTTTTTTTTCTTTATTTCCAAACATATATATATAACTAAAGATGTTGAAGAATATCTATGGATAATAATCTATATACAGGACCAAAGGTTTTTAAATTCAAATCGGCCAAGAGTTTGATTTTTTCCCCAAGAGTCATAATGTTTTCTTGTAAACCCACCATACGATCCATCATCAGTGCCATTGAAGTACCTTGTTCTAAAGCAGCACCATGTTGAGAGATAAAATATAACAGATCACATAGACGTTGATACATCATGGAATACACGTGGGAGTGATTTGTCAAATGAATCAATAACCAACTTGCCCAGAATTGTGAGACTTGACAGAGTTGTTCAGGACCTAGATGGTTGATAGGATCATGTCGATAATGTGCTTGAAATGCTCGATGACAGGCCTTGTAAGCTAATCTAGAACACATACGTAGAATCGTCCGATCTTGTGTCACATCTTGCTCATCCATTGCACCAAAAAACATATCAATGGTCGATCCATGATGAAGTGATACTAAATATTCCCTATATAATTCTGCACATGTTCGTTTCAGTCGTGCCATATCAGAAGAGGTTGCAAAAGGTCCAGCAAGGTATCGATAAGGAATGAGGATGATGGACGCCAATAATAGACTTTGGAATTCTTGTCGAAACTGTTGAGTCAAACGTCGTTCATCAAACTGTAAGGTAATTGGGAACCGATGGATTGGATGGGTATCATTCATGATTAGAAAAACAAGTCCTATCAAAAAAAAAAAAAAAATTAAAAAAAAAAAGAAAAAGAGTGGTCATAAAAAATTACCTTGATGATATACTTCCAGAAAAGAAGCTTTTTTTCCTAATCGTTGCCAGGTATGTAATAGCCATTGATGTGTCGAGTCCAGTTTTATTTCACCATTATTTAGTTGTTTCTTGAAGCATTGATATTCTATTTGAGGACATGTTTCAATAAGATAGGATCGATAATCATGTAAGATTTTGTTTGCACAATTCTAATAAAAAAAAAAAAAGTAAAAGAGTTAGAAACATATGGATTTTAAAAGAACTCCTCTATTTTTTTTTTTTTGTTGATTACCAATTTGATAGATTCCAAAATAGAGAAACATTGTCGTAAAGCGGTTGAAAAATGGTTTTCAGAGAGAGAATGTTGTAATAATTGTAGACGAGGAGTGTCTGAGCACAAGGAAGACAAAAGAGGGATGACCATGGAGACCAATGAATCCAGACAAAAGATACCATGTTTGATTTGATGAATAATGTAATCAGCATCCAACGTAACACAGAGATTATCCAGAGAGATATGCGAAGGCCACATCCACATTTCCTTGCTTGCAGGAGAAGAGACATAAGGAGAATGAAGTGAGATCAATATCTTTTGCAATTCTACCAATAATACTCGTAGAAATAGATATTGTTCATCATCATCATCATCATTATCTTGAGAGATGACCTGTTGTTCCTTGGATTGAAGTTTTTGGAAAGCACGCTCCACTCGTCGCCAATATCGTAAAGCCTCTTTGCACTTTTCTCGACCAGAACTACCATCCAAATTGGGTCGGAAGCTAAGACCTGGATCAAATAAAAGGTCATGGCGTAATTGGATACCTCTGAATATGTTGGTAATCGATAACTCTTGCAGTGTTTCCGAATTGATAGGTGGGATCCATTTTTTCCTTTGTCGATATCGTTGTCGCTGATCATGTCCTTGTTGTTGCTGTGGCGATAACTCCTGCTGTCGTCGCTCCTGCCCTTGTTGCTTCTGATCATATTCGCGTTGCGGTTGTGCATGATGATAATGATGATGATTTTGTTGACTTTGTTGCTGTTGATGACACTGTCGTTGCTGTTTGTTATTTTCTTCTGGCTTTGATGATTCCTCTATGTTATCATTGCAGGTTGATGATACTGTCGATGATATTGATGATGATGAGGATGATGATGATGATGATGATGATGTGGTTTTCGTTGGTAAAATTGACAAATGGATTGTCGTACCTGCCTCTGCTGACGATGATGATGATGATGATCGTCCGTCTTTCTCCGATTGTGATAAAAGAATTTGAAGTTGATCATGTCGATAACCAGTGAAGATAGGATATGTGGTGGTTGATGTATCCCAAACAGCATTTTGTTGTTTCTTCCAAATGGCACGAGTCCGTCTTGTTGGAGGGATTGGATAGATACCATACCAAAGAAGACGAGATCTGTTGCGACATTGAAAAGTTGAATGAGATCTGATAATAGACCGTCGATTGCGTTTTCGTAACCGTAAGCGAATTAAAAGTCGTTGAGGTTGAGATAGCCAAATCCAAAATATAGGCCGAAGATCCGGTCGTAAAGTAGCATTAAACCATAAAGCGAAAAGGTGTTTGATACGAGCCAAAGAGGAGATTTGTAGAAAGGACGGTAAAGTATATTGATCTTGTAACTTGATCAATAAGGATGCAATATCAATATGTTTTATTGGTATGGATGATATTGATGAAGATGATGATGATGATTTGATGGAAGAAAATAATAAATTGGATGATAGATGATTGGATTGACATGGTCTTGTATGTTGAATTGAAGTGTCATCGGTAGATTGATTATAAGACTGGCTGTTTTCAATGATTTTCATATTTATTCCACAATTTGATCGTTGTTTTCTATGTTGATTATTGGCAAACTGAATAGGTTCTTCACGTAACATATTTAGATATATATATATGATGAAATATGATACAGAATAAAAGATATGCCGATAAGGACAATCTAAAAGTAAAATAAAAGAAAAATAAAGAATAAAATGATAGAAAAAAAGCGAGTTATATAAAGAAAGCAAATAGAATGGAAAAATAAAATAAAAAACCAGAAAACGGGGAGAAAAAGAAAGGCAGAAAAAAAAAAAGCAAATAGTTTCTTTAAAAAAAAAAAAAATAAAAATAAAATAAAGCGGGTAGGGGTTTCAATCCAAAGTTAACTGGGGCAAATTTTTTTTTTTTTTTTGGGTTCACTTACCAAAAAAATTGGTTTCTCCTACTTTTTGGTCATTATCGTAAATGCATCTTCAATACCTAGTAATGTAATTACTTTGTTTTTTCTATCTATTCTATATATTTCAATTTCGTCTTGATGAATGGATTCTGAGTAGAAATTACCCCAGCCGAGAAAAACAGAAAAACTTAAAGTAACATCTCATTAATAATAAAAAAAAAAGATGATGAAGTTACTATATAGAAAAATGAGCCGAAACTGATCGTATGTTTTTTTTTTTTTTTGATCCTTATTTGATAATATCTTGATTATTATTCATCTTCTTCCAATCATCCTTTGTTTCTCTATAAGTGCCTTTTAAAATCCCAATTATGCTATAGATTGAATCCCAGTTTTCGTGCATAATCTTGATTTGAACTGAGACATCAGATCTAAGTAACAAACTATTATAGAAGAATAATAATATACATAGTAAAAGATTCTTCCATAAAGCTAATGAAGAATAAATAAAGTAAAAGTTTTTCTTTTTTCTTTATTATTATAAATAAAAATAAAAATAAATCATCATACTATATATATCCTTGTCATATTATAACTTGCTAATTCCTTTCTTGACAATTTTGGCAGGATTTTGATACTGAGGTTTTTGTTTGTTGGCAAAAGCGCGTAATCCAATGGTCATATTTTCTCCAGCTCTCCAGGCGTCAGCTTCCTCTGATGCCAACCATTCATCTGTTGCGTCAGTAACGGATGCTCTTTCCAGTGCCAATAATAATCCTTGTTTTGTAAGCATCACTGCATCCGGTGAACTATCAAAAAAAAAAAATCATAGTGAATATTTATATCTTGATTAAATTTGTCTTACTTTTGTGTAATGATCTTCGCATAATCAAGAGCTGCTTCCACCACATCAGCATTATTGGGAATCACCTTGTTGACTAATCCATAAGAATAAGCCTCTTGAGCATCAAAGAATCGACCCGTCAATAATAATTCTGCTGCCACTTGATAAGGTAAAGATCTACAAATGCGCATTACTCCTCCAGACGCAGCTGTCAAACCTTGTTTCACTAATTAGAAAAAAAAAAGGTAGATATCAGTATATATATATCCATATCATCTATTCTTTTTTTTTTTTTAATCATCTCTATTACCTTCAGGTAAACCAAACTTGGATCGTTCGGTTGCCACCACAATATCAGAAGCCAAACAAATTTCTGTTCCTCCACCCAAACTATAACCATTGACAGCACTGATCACCGGTTTGCGTGCTTGTTTTCGTAAACTAACTCCACCAAATCCAGAGGGTACTTTTTCTCCACCCACAGTATTATTTGCCTTATTTTCTTCCCGATGTTGATGACCAGAAACAAGATCAAATCCTGCACAAAAAGCCTTGTCTCCTTTTCCAGTGATCTAAGATTAAATCAATGAAACAAAAAAAAAAGTGTGAGAAATAATAAAAAAAGAAAAAGAAATATCCATCAACTAACTATCCTTCCTAATAAGTATATATATATATATATATTTACAATAATACACCAAATAGAATCATTTTCTTCAGCCCAGTCCACTACTCGATGCATTTCCCAATTGGTTTCTGGATTCAATGAATTGAAATTCTTGGGTCGATTAATAGTGATCAAAAGCACATGAGGTATAGGAATAGTCAAAAGTAAGTTCTTTACTTGAGGTAAATTGGATATTGACATGTTTTATAAATAGAAAGAGAAAGAAAAAGAATGGTATTATAAAGAAAAGAAAAGAAAGAAAAAAGAATCACCAACTGCGTTTTTTTTTTTAAATAATTACATTTAATTCCAGCGAGCTTGGGAAAAAAACTTACACAATAGCATGATTTATTTTATTTTATTTTTTTTACTAAACATAAAAGAGAAATATGGTATTATAAAGAATGTTGTTAATATGAATCATTTTATTTCAAAATGTAATAATGCACTTAAAAGAAAAAGAAATAAAATATATATTGGTGAGGGTAAATGATGAACTAAGGTACATGAATAAATAATAATAATAAAAATAAAAAAAAAAGAACTAATCATCATCAATTCTCCAACTTTGTCTATCCTTGGCCTTGTCATTCATTTCCAAGTCTTGTAACTTGGTTTTGTTGCTACCACGTTGAACAAATGGTTTCAATCCTTTACCGAAATTTCGCATACAGATGATCCCTAATGTGATTGTGATGACATCAGAAGCAAAACTAACGAATACTAAAAAAAGAGAAAAAAAAATGAGTATTCAGAAATATCAATCACCAAAAAAAAAAAAAAGATTGTTTATCTACCTAATACAATCCATGTATACCAAAAGTTGTCAGGTTCAAACGTTTGAGTCAAAATCAGCACATAATGGACAATGGCAATACATTGAAATGTAATAAATGCAATCATACGACCAGTACTTTCAGTGCTTCCCTATATATATATTAAAAAAAAGGGAAAAGGAAAAAAGATCATCGTATTTAGTGAAAAATATATTTCAACCTATGAATAAATCAATACTTACAGCTGTACGAGCAAAATAAAGCATTGGTAACATGAGAATGGTGACTACAAGTTGAATTCCACTTTCCCACATAATCCCTTTCTTGAGAGCAAATTGAATAAGATAAAAGATGGATACAAGGAAACCAGTAAATATATCAATCTTGAGAGATAATACAAAGAATTGAAAAGTTCGATACATTCCTATAAGATGTTAAATAATAATAATAGTAAATTATAATAAAAAAAAAGAATCAGTTTATTTTACTCCTTTTTTTTATATTATTATATATATTAACTTACGTTGTACTTGAATATCAGCACCAATTTTCTTATATATATTCCAACCAAATTGTCGAGACATTTCGTAACTAAGATAAGCTAAAGCACAAGCAAAAGCCATAATGACGACAGATAAAGCGATTTCTAATTTTTCAGCCAATGCCAAAGGTTCGGTACTGTAATGAGTAGTTTTTAATCTTTCAAGCCATTTATGTCCATCCACTACTTCCAGAGCACCAAGGATAGCGCAAATCACATTTAAAATAGATAAAGCTAAGATTTCAGCAGTATTTTGATAAACAGTCTATAATAAAAAGGAATCAATCAAATATTCTTGATTTTGTTTGTTCTTTTCCGCACTTACCGCATCAAATGCCATTCCGACAAACCAAACCTATTTATAGTATAGATGATGAGTATAACAATCTTCTAAAATAATAAGAATTTTTTTTTTTTTTTTTTTTTTTTTTACTTGAAAACCAACAAAAGCAATATTTTCCCATTTGATTCTTCCAAGTCTATCAGCTGCCATTTCTGGAATATAAGAAGAGTCTGTACTAAAAGTCATCGCGCTATTAGTACTTGTATATGGTAACATATTGGCTTGTAATGTATTTTGTGAACATATAATAAGTTGAATGACCACAATAAAAATACATTGCAATACTGCTACTGAAATGTATAATTTTGACCATTTTGTTTCTGTCACTCGATCAATCTATTCATTAAATAAATAATAAAAATAAAATATTAGAATATAAAAATAAAATATTATATATTTGACAACTTTACCACTTTTTGAAGAGTAAGCATAATATATATTATAGTAAGGAAGAATATAATAAACGAGGAGGAGGGGGGAATGAAAAGAAAAAGCAAACCAGCTGCTTTTAAATGTAGATGAAGGATATAAATATATATAGAAAAGAAGAAAGAAAGAAAGAAAAAGAAAAGGAAGAAAATAAAAAAAAAAAAAGGAGACAGAAGATAAAGGAGTATGATGTTGGGTACTTTCAAACACCGGCTAATAGCTTTTTAGAGAGGGGAGTCCAGACGGTAGTAAATTGAACATTTCATTGGTGTAACAAAACTAATTACACTACTATTCTTATAAAGTAAATACAATAAGATATGGAAAAAGTGGCGTTCATTTCTTTATTCCAAAAAGAAAAAAAAATCAAATCAAATAAATATATATATATATGTAAAAAAAAAAATGGCGCGTTCTAAAGGTTTTTTTTTTTATACCCTTTGACCGAACCCAATTCTTTTATTATCACTATCAAATACTGTAACAAATTGTTGTAAAAATCCATATCCAAGAATAGCATTAAACCCAGGAGGAGAATCCATAAAATAAGTAGTGCACATATTACCAATAATGGATGCTAACTACAGTTGTCATAAATATCCCAATTTCAATGAGTTATTTTTTCATCCTTTTTTTTTTTTTTCTTATTTTTACCTTGCCACGACGAATCAAGTAATCATTCGGAGTTAAGACATGCTTATTGTTGCCAATATGGAAAGTGATAGATTGTAATTGTTTACTATCACAAGGAGTAATATATAATCCATTGGCTCTACGGAATCCTTCTACACGTCCAAATAATTGACGAATCACAGTAGGTGGTAAATAAATCAATGTTGATCCTATTAATAAGAAAAAAGTTGAATAAAACTATCTTTGTTTTTTTTTTATCCTCTCATTTACCAGTATCAACCAAAGCTGATAATTTTTTGGTCATATTCATCGTTTGATTTCCAATAGAAATATCATCAATATCAGTTGCCCAATAATTCTAATCAATAATAATAATGAATGAAATGCATCAATCTATTTTTGGTAATACTTACTTGTAAATCAGGATTCATTGTTACTGGAGCATAAACAATAGTATCCTTGACATTGGTCATATTCACTAAGAGAAAAAAAAAAAAAAAAAAAGAGGATGATTATTCATATATAACTGTTGTTCTTTTTTTTTTTTTAATTATTACCGCCTCCAAATGTAATTTCTCCATCAATAGGTGATTCCCAAGGTGCTACATTTTCTTTCAAGGGACGGAAATAGATCGAAAATACATTCTTGCTAATGATACCATAATCTACCATAGATGTCACTAATGTAGGTAATATTTTACCATCTGGATTGTTGAATTTGCTAAGTGCGTCAGGTCCTATCATCATCATCAACAACAACAACAACAACAACAACAACAACAACAACAACAACAACAACAATAATAATAATAAATAAAATCAGTTATCTATATCACAATTTATTTTCTTAAAATATTTATTACCTATACCAAGGATACCATCTTAAAAAAAAAAAAAAAAAAATGCAAGGAATATTCATTGATTAATATAGTAAAAGGAATTCTCTATTTCTTACCAGCTCCTGGTTCTGTGAGTTCACCATCATTTGCATAAGAAACACCAAAATTGACACCTGGTATTTGAACACCATTTACCGTAAAAGTATCCTAAAATAATAAAAAAAAAATTATTTTAGATATATATATAAAATAAAAACTTAACATTATTATTACCTTTGCAAAAAGACCATGAGAATAACCTTGACCGTAAGTGACTGAAAAGATCAAGTTAGATGAATTGAAGGTAGTTGAATTACTAGGTTGTAATGTATGTGTAGGGAATCCACAAAAACGTCCACAACCATAAGCAGGTACCCAAGTAGAAGAAGAGCCAGTATCAAGTAAAAGAGTGAATGGTTGAGGTGGAGTACCTTTTTAAGAAGAGAAAAGAAAAAAAAAAAGTTAGTTCTATTTTAAAGCAAAAAAGGATAGAACGGAGTTTACCGATAGACAAGTTAATCAAATACTGCGATTGTACGTGAAAAAAAAAAGTTTAGTTTAATGATTTCGTTTTATAGGAGAGTTTTTTTTTTTTCAAAGTAGTCATCTATACTACTTACGGCAATATCAATGTTTTCTAATGGAACATCTACGTTATGTAAATGTTTTCTACCATCAGATGTAGTAGAAGAAATTCTAAGGTCTGTGCTCACAAAACGAAGGGATAATAAACCATCATCACCACGAACAATGTCAGAATATATGGATCCAATCACAATGCCCACTATCCACAATAATCCACCAAAATTCTGCATTTGTTTTCTAATATCATTTTACTTTTCTACTTGAATTACCTACTTTATATAGTTTTTCCACTTTCTTATTATTTAGAATATCAGTTCTAATTCTAATATCCAAATTTCGATCCATCATCCCACACACTTTATTGAATTTGTTCATCCATGCGTTACAAAAATAAAAAAAAAAAAAAAAATAGATACAAATATAATATAGGCTAGTGATATGATACATATGATGATAAACCAAACATCATCATCCCATTCATTTCATCCTTTGGAACCAAATAAATAGACTACATTTATATAAACACACATACCATGTTCATTGAATTACGGATACAACGAAGAGAAAAAGAAAAAGATAAGGCAGGAGACATAAGATCCAGATCAATACATAATATACGGGGGTTTTTAATGAGATCAACAAAAAAAAAAAAAAAAGAATGAAAATAATATATATATATATAATAATAGTAACTATCCAGTTTATTTCTTGCCACCACTGGCAGCAGCCTTCTTGGTACCACGGAACTTTTTGGCACGGTTTTTCTTTTCCTTGCGTTGCTTGCGACCACCCTTGGGAGCTTCAGCCAAACCAATCTATAGATAATAATAGTATTAAGTCATCTACTATTTTTATTTTATTTTATTCCAAACTTACACGAACAAGACGGTACTTGGGTTCAAACTTCTTCAAAGATTCAACAGAATCGTAGATCAAACCAAAACCAGTAGTACGACCACCACCAAAATGAGTCTTGAAACCAAAGACAGAGACAACTTCCTTGTCAGTCTTGTACATCTTGGCAAGCTTTTCACGGAGTTCTTCACGAGAAACATTGGCAAGACCGGGATGGATCACATCCACCACCATTTGCTTACGTTGGAGTAAACGGTTGGTAAGGAATTTACGAGTACGAATAGTGACAGAAGCGTCGGCCTAATATATATAGAGAGAGAGAGAGAGAAAAGGATGAGTGAAAAAGTATATTTTAAAACAAAACGTTCCCTTTATATCATCATAAATGTGTATGTCTATTTTTTTTTTTTTTTGGTTGTCATGGTGTCCATTCATTCTTCGTCCCTCCAACCCATCCATCCATCCATCCATCCATCCATCCCATCATTCATTATCCATCCAGTATATCCATCGTATTCGTCTTTTTTTTTTCGTTCTTTATTATTTTCACTATATTAAGCTTTTTTTTTCATTTGTATTATCTAATGTGTCATTCATGCTTACCATGATGTGAGTATTCGAAAAGAAGGATATACCGCAGGTTCAAAGTCCATTGTCCACCCTATGCTCTCCCAAAAAAATTAATGATTCAATCTCCGTTGTCACATCCATAGGTTTTACAAAAAAAAAAAAAAAAAAAAAAAAAAAAAAAAAAAAAAAGATCATCATAAAAAGAAAAGATTATCATAAAAAGAGTTTATTATCTAATAATCATCTAAGTAATTCTAAATCAAACCCTTTGCAACAGCAATTTCAGCATTTAATACTGAACTACCAGCAGCACCAAGAAGAGTATTGTGTACAAGTAAGGTAAATTTAATATCCAACACAGGACAAGGACGAATACGACCAACAGTGACAGCTTGACCACGATATAATTCACGATCCAAACGAGGTTGAGGACGATCAGCTTCCTTAGTAATAATAATGGGAGATTCAGGAGACAAAGGACATTGAAGAGATTGAGCTTCTGAGGTATAACGTTCCAAAACATCATAAATGGCATCTACAGAAGGAGGAGGACCATTGACAAATTTGACCGAGACAGATTCCAAATGACCATCCAAAACAGGAACACGCGTACAAGTAGCTGATACCACTGTTTGTTCCATCAAATCAAAACCATCTTGACTTTGAGTCAACCCACCCAAAATCTTGCGAGCTTCAAATTCCATCTTTTCTTCTTCTCCACTGATATAAGGTACAACATTGTCCAAGATATCCAAACTAGGCACACCTGGATAACCAGCACCAGAGATGGCTTGTTGAGTGTGTACAATAATATGACTCATAGGTCCAAATGCATCTTGTAAAGCTTTAAGTGGTACAACGAGACCAGTCGTGGAACAATTGGCATTGGTGATCATAAATCCTTTTTTCAATCCATAGTGTTTTCGTTGATGAGGAATGATATCAAAATGTTGAGAATTCACAGTAGGTACCATCAAAGGAACAACAGGATCACGACGATAATTCTTGGCATTGGAGAAAACAACGAGATCAGCCTTCAAGAATTCCATTTCTATAATATAAATAAATAAGTATTTCTCTCTCTTTTTTTTTTTATTATTATTTACCAATATCACCAGCAACATCAGCATCTAAACCAGAAAAGACAACATCACATTCACTGAATTCAGAGGAGATACAAGGCTTGACAATAAGTTGTTTAATATGATCAGGAATAGGTTGACTTTGTTTCCACTTTGTAGCGTCTTTGTATTGTTTTCCAGCAGATCGAGAAGAAGCACCAAGAGCATGGATAGTGAAATAAGGATGATTGGCAAGTAATAAAATAAACCGTTGTCCAACTGTACCAGTGGCACCAAGAATACCCACTTTCTTTATCCCAACCATAATGTATTTATAAAGAAGAGAAAAAAAAAAAAAAGAAATGAAAAGAAAAGGAAGAAAAAAAAAGTGGACCTAAAATGAGTCAAAGATCGCAAAAGTTATGATTCAAAAATCTATCAGTGGCTGGGATAACGTGACACAATATTCCATAAAAGGTACCCACCTTTTTCAACCAACCCTTTTTTTTTCATCTACAAACACGTATATTAAGTCTATTATATAAAAAAGTGTGTGATCGTATCATCATTATAAGACTTTAACAAAATAAACTTTTATGGAGTTATTTTTGTTTCATTAGAATTTTCATATCCATATATCAGAACAACAAAAAAAAAAAAAAAGGCTGTTAGCGGATATTCAAAACAAGGTGGAAAAATAATGGGAATATTCATTTTTCTTTTCGTTTCCTTTCATTTTTTTTTTTTTTTAAATCTCTCAGAAAGAATTATGAATAGAATTGGAAAATATATGGATAATGATCTAAATGGACCTGTGACTTTACGGTCTCTTCTTGACTCCAGATTTGCTTTCAAACTCATTGGCAAAAAAGGAACAACTCACCAATATTTGGAAAGAACTTGCAAAGTCAAGTTAATTCTTCATGACACTCACGATTACCTTGGACGTCTTTGCAGTATCACCGGTTCTGTCATCAATCTTGCTAAAGCATGGAAGGAAGTTTTAATTATAATGTGGACGAATAATCACCAGGTAGTTTTTTTTTTTTTTAAAAAAAAAAAAAAGAAAAAGGGATCTCATTTTACATTCACTCACTTTTTTTTCTTTATCTTTTGATAATATAGAAAGTATGGCTCAAGTTTTTGATTCCAAGTGAATTAGCTTTAAAACTTCAAAGTGTGCCTGCAAAACTGACAGAAGGTTGTGTTTTGAATGATATCGCCCATACCAGCAAAACTAGAATCACCATTGAACCTGACGCTTTACGACATACTACTGAACACATTATGACGATCTCCATTCCAACCATACCTCATCATGCTGAATATTTTGAACGTGCTGTTCTTTTGATTGCAAAACAATTCCAATTATATCGTCATGAAGCCTTATCACCAAAAAACATTTATTACTCTCCTTTTTGCCACTTGCGACCTCCTATTTTAGACGACGATGATGATGATGATGAGGATGACGATGATGATGAAAATACTGGCTCTGAAGTGGATGAACAACTCAACAATAGCAATACCAATAATAATATCGCCAGTAGTAGCAGTAGCAGCAGTAGTCGTAGTATTTCCACAACCAAAGGTGATGACAACAACAAATCGGAAAATGATGATTGGTTTTTTGGAACGAAAAATGATGACTACCATTCAATGTCATGATCAACTACTTGCCTCTATCATCACCATGTATTTGCAAAAAAAAAAAAAAAAAAAAAAAAAAAAAAAAAAAAAAAAACTCATTCGTGGATCATACCCCCCCTTTTTTATGTTTTTACATTATACCATATCATCTCATTATTATCATCTCATTATTATCTTCTCATTATTATCTTCTCGAATAGAAATATTATATAGCCAAATCAATATCAATAGTTTATAGTTATACTTATTAATACTCTTTTTTTTTGAAACAATAAAGAAATTATATATATATTATCATATCATAGTTTACTTTGATGAATGGTTTCAATAAGGATACAGTAATGAACTGCTTGTTTGTTGCTGTACTCTTATGCTTACAGTATTGATTGAGACTCTAGATGATTTTTACAATGTACATATAATATCATATCTGTCATATATCCATGCATCTGGTGATTTTTTCCAAACAATTTGTAAGTACTATTATGTATTCGCAGAATTGTATTTTTTTTTTTTTTGGTTCTTTTCAAGGATGACTGTAACAAATACTTTTATCACTGAAAAAGTGCATAGTAGTAGGTGAAACCACACGCGATTGCTTAATAAGGGAATCCAGGTTCCACCTTTTTTTTTTTTTTTTTTTTTTGGGAAGCCGCCACAAACTATACATCTCTTCCTTTGACTAAAGCGTCTTTCTCTTTATAGTTCAATGATGCAAACTATATTTACATACTCAATATCCATACTTCCTTTTGTATATAGATATGTTTAAGGACCAATTGTTTGTTTTATATTTTATGTTTTACAATAATATTATAGGAAAATAAAACCCTAATGAGCTTGAATGATCAAAATGGACATGTATTGGATGAACTGAAGCAAGTGATTATACGCAAGCTCAATCCATTCTAACCAGATACTATGCATAAGAATCATATTAAGTAAGTTTATGTTTGGATGATGGGTGACGAAAAAAAAAATTGTGGCAATCGACTCAAAAGAAGCCTTTTTTTTTTTTAAGAAACGAAGCAACAGATCGACTCAACGTTGTATCACCTTTGGCAAGAGATCACAACAAACAATTGGATGACACTGAGGAAGATCATACTTGACTAACAGAGAATCATCGCGGAACAAGGTATTTTCTCGGCATTATCGGATGATCAACACAATCAACCACTTCTTCTACTATAGTTACCGTTGGTTTATATATACCTTCTTTTATTTTTATCAATAAAGAAACATATGTTTTTTTTCATGTCATAGTTAGTACAGGTGGATGTAGAAAATATCCATCATCAAATTTGATTGATGTCGCTATATTATCTTTTTTTTTCATAGATTGGGATACCATCAAGTGATATCAATATGGCCAAAAATATATGTTGATGATTGAGGAGTTGACCTTTTTTTTTTTTTTTTTTTTTTTGCAGAACAATGCAGGGAGACTGATTTCAGAAATCTCCAATGATGGATCCACCTGATATTTTGGGCATCTCTTTATATATGTATATTAACGATGATTGTAGGGACGTGTTGCGTATTAATGAAATCGTCACCTTATCACGTTATTTATCCATATCTATTCGCTTTTTTTGAATAAAGAGGACAACTTCATCTGTCATCGGAACTTTGTTCATCATCCTTTACAAGAAAAAAAAAATTTTTTTATCAGATGGGTTGACTCGGAGACTAGGCCAAAAAAAAAAAGTTCAAAAGGAGTTTTTATTGAAACAAATAATACAACAGGGATGATTTTAAAATATACAGATGAATTGGTATGATACAGAGAAACTAAATATTAACTTGAAAGAGGTTATCAAATATATATATGTATGTAAATAAAGTAGAGAGATGGGGAGAGGGATATAATATTATCATCAAAAAAAAAGAAAAATGTAAGGAAAAAGAAAAAGAAAAAAAGAAAAAATTAACGACAGGCGGCAAATTCAGCTTGTCGTTGTTGTTGATCCAAAGTCATATCAACACCTTTCCCTGTACACCAAAGTAAAGTAGAGATGGAGATGGCTACATAAAACAAGGTACCATTTTGAAGTATTTCAGGAGATGCCCAAATAGTAGGTGCTCGTTTTCTTTGAGAAGGCATGGCCATGGGTGCATTTGCTTGTTGTCGTGCCATCAATGACGGTGTCATTGCCTGGTTGTTAGTAGCAAATACTTGATGGAAAAAGAATAAGACCAAGACAATTAAGAAAGAGAATCGCATGATGATGATGGATCTTTTTAAAAAAATATATATAAAGAAAAAAAAAAAGGAAAAAAGAATAAATTATCTATATAAAAAAAAGACCCTTATTTATATGTGGATGATCGTTGATTTTTTTTTGGGACCATCAGATAATCAACGAGTGTGTTCAGGCGGCGAAAAAAAGATTTTTCGTCTTACCTAGAGAAAAAAGACCCCATGTGACTCATTAACAATAAAAAAAAAAAAGGATGATCAATGAAATAATCAAGCTGCTTAGATAATAAAGATCTGCTAAAGAAGAAGAAAATAAGGTAAAAAGACATCAATTTATAAAAAAAAAAAAAAGGTCAACGTCTATTTCAAAAACATCTGAATGATTTCTCATAATTGTTTTTGATCCCTAAAGATGTCCGAACATGACACCCGCGCCAAATAAGAAGATCTGATCAATCTGATAACAAGGATGATCAACGGAACAACGAGAAAGCGGCGGTTGAAACCTAAACGTAAATCAACCAAAGTGAAGGGAAAAATTCTATTTGTGTGTTGATTTTTTTTTTGATAAAGAAAAAAAAGAGATAAATAGATGATTTATTGAAGATAGATAAAAGGAAATAATAATAATAATAAAAATAAATAAATAAAGAAATAAAGGAAATGAAAAAAAAATAATATCATGATTTTTAATGATCATGATGCACAAAAGGATTGGCGGCTAGAACACGAATCAAAGGAGGATTCCGGATAGAGTCAGCGGTAATTACCACACGAATAAAATCAAAAGGTCGCACTACCAAACAACATTCCTGAGGAATGGTACATTGTTGTTGACTTGTTAAAGATTCACCATCCACTGCTCGTAAGGACATGGATCTAGGTCTTCGTTTTGTCGATGATTCTGATACAGATAGCCTATGTACCATTTGATCATTTCCAGTCGTATCTTGTTCATCTTCAATCACACTATAATCATCTTCATCTTCCCCACGATCATCATCTGGTTGTTCCACCATAGCATCAGAGGTGGGCACACCCGGTAACCAAAACAAATTCAACACACCTTCCAACGGACTATAATGAGAAGTACGTAATGGCAAGTTCATCACATGGATGCGGCGTTCCAATCCTAATGAGGGTACGATCACATCAAACGCTTGTTCTTGTACACCAACCACAATAGCTTCATGTGTCATCGATGTTTGTCGTGTGGATGTCAAATATTTGGATAATAACAAATGTTGTGCTTGTTCCCCAGCATTGATGATTGATTGTTCTTTGGCATTACAATGTTGTGCTATTTTTTGTATATATTCATGATCTAGATAAAACCGTTTCTCTACCAAAAGTAAAAAAAAAAAAAAAAAATGAATCTCTCGCTCTTTTTTTTTTTTTTCTTCTTTTCTTTCATTACCTCCAGCCAAAGTAGATTCCAATTGACGATGTACCATCAAACTTGCATATTTTCTTGAGGGTGAGGTAAATTCGGTATATAAAGGTAAGTTCATACTGTAATGATGATATCGACTGATATCAAAGGACCCAGTACAGAAATACTTGATAGGCCGCATGGTTTTCAATACCAACGTAGTGATCACTGATTTGGCATCTGGATTGTCAATGGCACTGACCGAGGATTGTAGTGTTTGAGCAGAAGAAGGATCAATCATATAGCCCAACCCACGCAAATAGGTCGTAAGTTCTTGAAGTTTTCGTTCATTAGCCGCAGATTGAGATAAAAGGAGAGCAGACTCAGGGAACCCACGCGTGATCTTTTGAGCGACTCCAGTATTGGCAAGTATCTTGAATTCTTGTAAAATGTCCCTGGCGCTATATTCAATTTCAGCAGAAATATGTACTGGTGTGTCGTTCACCATGTCAATGTCAAGCTTTGTTCCAGACAAAAAGAGTGCACCTTCTTTGAGTCGTTTGTTCTTGAGGAATTGTGAGAGATCGTAGAGTGATTTCAAATCTCTTGCCAATAATTGTTCCTTGTTGCTCTTGGTCAAATCATTCTCTTGTGTTGTACTACATTTATTGTCGTCATCATCACCGTCATTATCAAGTATATCTTGTATCTCTTTGGGTGTCATGATCACTTGTGATCTTATAAGCAGAACCACAGGATACAAAAAAAAAAAAAAAAAAAGATAAGGGTGAGAACCTAACAGGTTTTCCTTCTTCTTCGTACACTGTGCAACCTCAAACCTATTATTTGTTTGAATTACCTAATGATTGTCTTGCCATACCAAGTATCAATAACCTGATTGTTGCTATTGAACTTCCATACCACAGAAAAGGCAAATCTATACAAATAAGAATAATCAGTTATTATCCATCTGTTAACTCAAGTTTTTTTTTTTCTTACCTATCTTTATCTGGTACAAGATCTGTACATTGTTTCAACAAATCTTCAGGCCATAAAGGTACCGATTGATAAAGGTAAATCCCACTTGCGCGATCTCGAGCTTCCTTGTCAATAGGTGATTGAGGTTTCACGAATGCTGTAAAGTCAGCAACATGAAATCCTACTTGATATGATTCATTTCCCAATTTTTCAAATGAAATGGCTATATCATGATCTAAAGGTAAAAAAATAAAACAATGATTTTTTTTATTAGTTCTCCATAAGCTTACATAAAAATAATCTTTTTTTTTTTGTTATCTTACCATCTTTCTTCATATTGGTCAAAGTAATACTTCGATTGGATCGCAAATCACGACGTACTGCAAATTCTTCTTTAGGAGGAGACCAAGGAAGGGATGGGAGACATTGTATGACTTCATCGGTAAAACCATCATTCAAAAAGTTGTTGTCAGCCAAAATTGCACGGAATTGTACATTCAACTTGTCCACTGAACCTAATTCAGTTTCCAAAACACCAAATGGATGTAGAGATGTGATTGGCCATCGTTTGATTGAACCCTATATAATGACAAAAATAATGTTATTATAGACATATTGTCTTTTCCTCTTATATGGCGTTACCAAAAACAAGATATTTTCAAAAGCTTGACTATTTTCAATGAATCCTGCAGGTGCTTGTTCCACTGGAATGGCAATCAAAGGAACACGTTTGTCTGTAGGTTTAAACCAAACAATGCGAGGCGAAGTATCCTTTTCATCATCATTTTCCCGTTTTTGTTGTCGTTTATTACTAGGTCTCATCAATCCAAGAGTTCTATCAATAATAATAATAATAATAAAAGTTAGCGTAAAAAAAAAAAAAAAAAAAAGAAAGAAAGCTTACCCAGAAAACATTTGATTTTGTACACGTTCCAAAATGGCAGTGACAACACCACAATACCTAGGCTTAACATGTTCAACATCATCTTCACCACCAAAGATGATTTCTTTTTCATCTTCTTCATCAGGCTTGCGTATCACGGGTTGGCCATTGTTGCGAGCTAGCTTGGCTTCTTCCTTCTCCAGTTTTTCACGCAGGACGCGATCCACCTCGACCAATCGAATAGCCACATGATCACCTTCCAAAGCACGGTTCCGATCCCGAGAACCACAGATGTAGATGTCTGCATTGAATGGTTCACAAAACACATAAGCATCTGACCGGTTGCGTTTGTTGACACGAAGCATGCCACTGACAAGTTGATGAGATTTCAAATGAGGTGCCACAGCCGAGAATGGTAAGTGTGCTGTAAATAATGCTCGTCGTTGTTGTAATTGTTGTTGGATAGTATTGTCTTCGCGTGAGAAACTCATCCTTGTTGGTGTAAAAGGGACAAATCCATAGACTGATGATCGATTATTGTTTGAAGATCGAGACTCATTGTTACCATTACTATTGTTGCCAAGAGAACTTGTTGCTATAAAATAAAAAAAAATAAAAGCAAAACAAATAAACAAAAGATAAGTATGTTCTGTTTCATCTTCATGCTACAAGTCCATTCTTTTTTTTTTTTTTTTTTTTTTTTTTTTTTTTTTAGTACTTACATGATCTCCAATCGTTATTGAAATTTCTTGATCTTCTATTTTCATTGCTAACATCCACAAATAAATGAGTTGGTTTTGATCCAGCACGACGATCCCCATGATCAGCATTGTTGGTTCCAAATGAAGAAGGTGAAGATAGTTGCAAAGATGTACGTTTATTGTTATTGTAATGACTGTGACCGTTTGTATGTTGATTGGAAGACGATGATATGTTGAAAGATCGACGTTGATAATCTTGTTGATCCTGTTGATAGGGAGAGTAGTTATCAGAATGACGATGATAAGCACGAGCGTTAGGTTCAGAAAGTCGACGGTTTTGTTTTTCTGGAAAATCATCTACTACCATATTAGGCTTGCATGCAGGTTGGAAAGGACGTAGAGAAGCACGTCGTGATGATAGAGATTGATCCACAGATGTTGTTGAAGTTGATGTATACCTATAACCATTCAATTTAGCTTCTGCTTCGGCCAATGCATCAGCACGAGACATACGTCGAGGTTGTTGTTGTTGTTGTTCATCGTCACCTTTAGTATATTCATTGATAGTAGTAGTACCCGAAGAATAACGACGATAATCTTGTAACGTGCCATTGGCAGAAGTAGAACGCCTTTTCTGTTGTTGTTGCTGTTGATATTGATGATGTCCAATAGGAGATTCATTGAAATTGGCAACAGAAGATCGATGTGTATTTGATTCCAAGATATGATCTGATGAACGACTTGTTTCTTCTTCATTTACTGTATGTAAAGCACTACGATGTTGCGATAATCGATTGTTGTTGTTACTATTACTGATGATAGTTGTGTTTGATGGAGAGGATGTACTGGAGAGTGTTCCATAAACGGATTGACTTCGTGGAGCATGTGGCGTTCCTTCCAAGATCGATGACGCGTTGGATTGTTCTATAGCGGACCTTCGTTTATCCAGCTTTGATATGAAAAAAGAATTTCAATAGGTATATGAACGTGTTTTAGTCTATATTACCTTCAGTTCAGGAGGAGCACCAAACAAACCATGAGTAGATTCAGGTGCTGTTTGACCATTCAAGTCCATAGCTTTCATAAGTCACAAAGCAAACCAAGGAATATAGATAAAAAAAAGAAAAAAAAAAAAAAAGAAAAAGAATGACAATAAATAAATAGAAAACGAATGGGAAGGGAAATGAAAATAAAAATGGCAAGAAAGTCTAACTACAGAATGAGGGTAAGATTAAAAATAGTTTGAATAAGACGTGTACAGTGTAAAAAAAAAAAAAAAAAAAAAAAAAAAGAAGAAAAAAAGGGAAGGACCCAGTTAAAAAAAAAAAGAAAGGAAAAGGAAAAGAAAAAGAAAAAGAAAAAGAAAAAAAAAGGAGTCAGTAAAAGAAGATTAGAAAAGTAAAAGTTTATGTTTTATTGAGCAGGTGACTGGTGTCATATATAAAAAAAAACGATAATATACAAAATAAAAAGGGGGAGAAAGGGGAATAAAAGATGATACAACTAAACAAGAACCTAAGCAAACCAATGATCGGCCTTTGGATACTCACCCCTAACTTCATACATGCATACAACAAAGTGGCGTTTCAGGCAAAGGTTCCACAACTACCTGTCAATCATCCAATCGTTGCACTAAATTCTTGATATATTGATGGTGTTTGTACCCACGCGCCAAAGCATTGATCCAATAATAAAGACTTTGCTTTTTGATACAATATTGCTTGATCTTTACATGCACGGTAAGTACCATTGGCATATTTATGAGCTCGTTCTTTGTTTTTTGTCCTAAAACAGAATATCAGTTCTATATCTAATCATCACTGATTTTTTTTTTGTCTTACTCTATGGTAATAAAATCTTCGAATAAAACCTTGGGACAAAGCATTGACCTATGAAACAAACAAAAAAAAAAAAAAGCATGAGTTCTTGGAATCCATTTTTTTTTATCTATTTATCTATATATGCTTGCCTTGTTTTCAAATTTGCCGCTTCATATTTACGCCCACCTTGTTTCTTTCCAAATCCAAGTACTTCACATTTTTCCATTCCTAGAATCCATGAACTACCTATTCATAAGAAAAAGTAAAATCCAAGATAATGTCATCCATTATAATTTCTTACTTGTTCCTATAGAGATATAAGAAGAATATTTGCCAGTAGCCATCAAAGCAGATTTGGAAAAACAGAAATTCAATGTTGTAGATTCTATTCTTGGGTAATGTACCTTATAAGGCGTAGGTAAACCTTATTAATGCATATACAAACAGATAGATAAAGAAAGAGAAAGAAAGAGGATCAGCCAATATATATATAGAGAAGAAAAAAAAAAGAGTATATATTGAATGACTTACCATCAAGATTCGTCAAACGACCATAGAGAGCTCTTTCCAAAGATTCCTTTTCAAATAAATCGCCAATGACTATAGAATCAAGATAGATAGGATCAAAGATATGAGAAAGCATAGCCGATTGAATCCCAAGTACATTCCAACGAGCCAGTTTATCACTAAAGAAGAAGAATCATAAATAACAATATGGGAAAAATCATTCTTTCATTTTTTTTTTTTTTTTTTTTTTACCTGCATGACATACACAGACTTGGTTCAGAATCTAGTCGACCTAATCATTCAATGGATAATAAATAGAATATATAGATAAATAAATAAACAAATAAAGGGATCAAAATCAGATAATATATTCCAGCAAGAATCACATTCCTTCTCCACCCCTTAAACAACTGACCTGGTTTTGTTCGTAGGATCCCAAATTTTTGATAATCATACCGTCCTCTTTGAAGTGTTGCCGTATCATCCGTTCTTTTTTGTCGTTTATTTGCATAAGTATGTTGATGAAGTACTGAATAACTTGAATCTGAGTCAATTTTTCGTTTGCCACCTGTATGGAACGATTGTTTAGATTCTTCGGTTTGATTTTCAGCTATAGCAGACATTGATGCATCACCACCTACAATTAAGGGAGATCAGAATGAATGTGAGTAAAACTTAACCCGCCTTTATTTCTTTTTTTAGTAGTCATCTAACTTACATGGTGATTGACTGACATACATGTGGAAAGTATATCCAGGGCGAGGTACTAATTTGCCATCGTCATTGTAATGAAATAATGTATCAGGGTGTCGGAGGAGATATCTAACAAAAAACACAAGATGAGTTATCATCATTTCTACTCCTTTCACATTTTATTTTTTATTTACTTGATAAATCCTCTTCTAGCCAACACTTCTGCATGTGCATCATGAACCAATTGACCTTCTTGATCCAATCGACTAAAAGGTAAACATTTCAAACCAGTTCTATATAGAGTAATAAAAATAAAAAGAAAAAAAAATGTCAGTTACTATGTTCCCTTTATTATTTACTGAACCTGCTTGCCCTTTTTTTTTCCTTGTCCAATGATCTCCTTTCTACCTACGCACACACTCTCACACATGCGCATATATACATCCACACCCATTTATATATATATATATATATATATAGATGATATTTATATATATTTGTACACATACATATATACATATATACATACATACATACATATATGTCTATATATAAATATATCAATCACTCCTTCCTACCCTTTCTTCTAACCACGCGCATTCCATGTCATATAGATCATACTTGGCTTAAAATGCATTTACCCCATAGATAAAACAGTGATCGTATAATCTTGTTCATTCACTATTCAAAAATTTAAAATAGAAAGTTATTCCTTTTATATATAAAAAGAGTTTTTTTTTTTTTTACCACAATGAACGGCCAAGATAGTAGCTAAAATAGTCCATTCAGCTTTAGTAGCATGAAGTTGAGGTTTTCCATTCTTTCCGAGTTTATTGTATTGATTCAAACTTGCTTGAGCCAATTGATTAGGCAAGTCTGGAATAATAGAGTAAGGATCTAGCATAGATAACAATAATATTTACTAAGAATAATAAGTATAATAATAAATAATAATAAAGGGGAAAGGGGGGGGGGTTTAGAAAGAAAGAAAAGAAAATAATATAAAAAATAAAGGAAAAAAAAAAAAAGAGCGCGCGCACGGGTTACGATAAATCGTCGGTAATTTAAAACTAGTGTATATGAAGCAAAATGTTGTCTTGAATATAAATATATATATATATATATAAAAGAGACGTAGGAGGGAAGAGGAGGATTTACAGGAGAAAGAAAGAAGAAGGAGGTCTTTGTATCGGAATGTGTGTGTTTTTGGATGGACTTGTTTTGTATAAATCAAAAATAAGGGGGAACGGTATAAAAAAAAACAAGCTTAGAAAGGGACGATTTTAATGGTCGGAAACTAATCATATAAGTTTATATACCTTTCTTCCTTTTTTCTTCTTTTCTTTTTTTTTCTTTCTTTTCTCTCTCTCTCTTATAGATCATACTTTGTAGTACTATCCATATATATACATAGAAATATAATAATGATGATAGGTCCTCAAGGTCTTTTTCAATGCTCTATTTTATCATGTAAAGACGCTTGGCAATTAGCAGAACTTTGTTCATGTCTCATACCACATATTTGGACAGGGCGAATAAGTAGATCATCATCATCATCAATTATCTCTTTAAAACAACGTGGAACATCATCAAATCATTTATTCAAACAATATTGTCATAGATTATTCAAAGATACACAAATATCTTCTGGATGTATTGTATTGGCTCTTTACTATCTCCAACAACTACGATCTACATATCCCACTCTCCGAGGTACTTTGGGTTCTGAATTTAGAATCTTTACAACTGCACTTATTTTGGCAAACAAATATTTGGATGACAATACATTTACAAATAAGGTAAGACTTTTTTTTTTAAAATAGATATATAGACTCATCAATCATCGTGCATCTTTTTTTTTTTTTTTTTTTTTTTTTTTTTTTTTAGACTTGGTCAGAAGTATCAGGAATACCTCTACAAGAATTGAATATCATGGAAAGGGAATATTTGACTGCATTGAATTATACTCTTCATGTACATTATATTCGATTCTGTTCATGGGCTAATCAATGTGAACAATGGATGATAATGCCTACTGTATCACTCAAACGATCATTATCTAATAATCATTATCCATTACAACAACAACATCAATCTCATCATCATCATCATCATCACATTCGACGTCATGACCCCTTACGATCAATATCACAGACTTCTTTAGCTTCTGAACGACAAAGATACATCAATAAAAGGAAACGAAAAAGAATGATTTCACCATCAGAACGTACTGGTCTTCCTTCTTTTTTACCAGTAGTACTACCATCTTCAAGAACTGATTTGACTTTATTACCATCCCCAGCATCATCATCGTCATCATCCACCATATCACCATTATCATCTTTATCACCCTCATCATCATCATCATCATCATCATCGTCATCATCAACTTCAACCATTTTAAAAACATCAATGATGAGTTGGTCATCATCTATGCCCATTATAACCAATTCTGGAGCCACAGCAGCAGCAAATGCAGCAGCGTATGTTACATATCATCATTATCATCATTTCCAACAACAACAATGTCTTAACCCTGCATCACTTGAGAATCGTATACGATGTTTAGAAATAGAATAGTTGATTATTATATATGTACATATATGTAGAAATAAACTCACTCTCCGTTCTTCGTCTCTTTTTGGATATGTGAACAAATAAACGTTGAGAAAATGTGGTTTGATTTTTGACCTTTTTTTTTTTTTTTTTTTTTTGTGGTTAGTATATTCAAAGATAGTCATTCTTGAATCATTTGAGACTTCAATACCAGTCAATTACAAAGTGTGAATGAATGTAATAAAAAAAAATTATATAAAACGCTCGAGACGGAAGAAAAAAAAAGAAACCCATCAATCCCAAAAAGGAAAACCGACCAACTTCAAATGTTGACCCGCCAAGTTAAAAGTATTTCTATCCCCCCCTTCTCCCTATCCCTGGTATACTTTCAAAATGAATAGGATGATTTCATCTTCCCCCTTTCCTTTTTCATCATCATCATCATCCTAATAGATCGGCATATTTTCTTCTTTTTCTATTGTTTATTTTCCAATCCGTGGATGATAAGAATGGAAGAATGGAAACGATTGAATGATTTGATTCAAGTATGTTATTCCATGCCTCAAAAAACAAGTATTGTTTATATGCAGTATCAACATCCCTATCATCTGACTTTATCCATTTTGATTGATACTCAATTGTATCAATTGGTTTATTCTGATTCCTCTGTTTTATCTTTATATGTATATAGTAGATAAAAAAAAAAGCAATTTTGTAATTTTTTTTCCTCATTCATTATCCGATTCCTTTATTATTATTATCATTAGAGTCATCTTTCATGGATCACCAATACAAAGTCATTTATTGATTGGTTTTATGATCATTTTATTCATGGTGACATTTGTACCACTCTTGTTGAAGAAAATAAATGCAGGGTAAAATTTCATAATTTTTTTCTTTTCTATTCATTCTCTCCTCATTCATTTGGATAATAATCATCATCATCATCATAGTTTTCTATAGGTGAACCTCCTTCTTTACTCACATTAGTATGTCCTTTGGTTCAATCTCAACTACAAACCAATCAATTTATCCAATCTCTCATCATCAAGGTAATATCTCTCTAAAATGTTAACATTACTGAACATCTTTAAACTATATATAGCTTGCTCATCATGTACAAATACAACATGAATGCCAACTTTTTAATGCACAGCCCATGCATCATCAGCAACCACAACAAAAAATTCATGCAGAACAACATCATGCTTTAAGCCCCGCTACCATGGCAACTGCCACCCCTTCTATGCTTGGTGAACAATGGCACGACAAACCATCATCATCATTATCTCCACCACAACCAAGTTACCCATCAACACATGTTAAACATAAAGCCACTAGTTTACTAAATCCTAGTGTCAAAAGACAAAGGTAAAACTTTAACAATAACAATAAGATTTACTAAAGAATGATTACTTATTAATAGAGGTGGAAAAAAAGATATACAATTTGAAGAGCCTTAATATTTCAATATAATATAGAAAGCATGAATCACACCTATAATCATTATATAAAAGAAGTGGTCAATTGTCATTTCATCTTATCTAGACCCTTTTTTTTTTTTGTACCTGGAATAAAACCAAGAATAGTAAGAGCAATATTAATTAAAAGATCAGTAGTACAACCACGTTCAAGCAATACACCCAAAGGAGGGAAAATAATAGCTATTTCCAAATAATCATAGAGAACAAAAAAAAAAAAATGAGTGATTAAAAACAATATGATGATAGATGGATGAGACTTACCGAAAAGAAACTTGCAGATATCAGAGCAGGTCAAAGCCATAACAAAGAGAGTTGAATAAAGAAAGAAGAGAAATAAAGAACAAAGAAAAAAAAGAACAAAGAAAAAAAAAGAAGAGTCTAATATAGTCAGTTTCTCCTCCCCCCCCCCTTATCCCCTTTTTTTCGTCAAACTAAGAGAAGAAAATAAAAAAAAACCTTGTTCTGTAAGATATCTCTTTTTCTTCAAATTAGCCAATCACTTTATTAACATCAATCATACATAACGTACTATCATAACCAATAAACTAACTACGTAATTAATAGATAATGTAAGGCACTGCAGACAAAATAACGATAAGATCGTCCCATTTTTCCATCTCTATCATTATGACCACCTATTGCTTACTTTCCATGCTACGTGATATTGGTCGGTGACGATGATGGTGATCGTTCTTTCGAGAATGATATTGATGACCTTGATCGATGTTGTCCTGATGGCAAGCTTGAACGATGTCTTCTTGAGGAAGGAGATTTTGAGAGTTGATTGCCTTTGTTTTCATTTTTTTTTTCACTACTTTCGTCCCATAATGTATCATTCCATGCACTGTATTGTCCATTATCTTTTGATCGTAAATAGTGCTAATGAATATAATTTTATTAAACAAAAAGAATGTAAATAGATAAGTGATATAATAAGTATGGTACTAGTAAAAAGAATCACTAACGCTTTAATTCTGAATGAGAGAAATAGATAAAGAAGATGCTTCTAATTGATTGTAAAATCGAATAGTTGGATCCTATAATGTATCATGCTCGTCCATGTTGTCCACCTTATGATAATATTATGTATTCATTCCGTTTCATTCTATGATCTACTGGTCCTATTGTATGTCCATCCGTTTCACTGATCCAGGTGAATAGCTAGTTCTCGTAGTATCCTATTGACATGAAATTGCAATGGTCAGTCTTCGTGTATCTAGATTTCTTTCTTTCTTTCAGACGTACGTTCAGTAATAGTCATTTTCCAGGGTACCAAGCAAGAAGGATGAGAAGAAGAAAGAATGATAATCCTAGATAGACGGATGTTGTAGTAAAAAATCAAGACCGGAAGAAAGAGTATATAAAAAAAAAAGAAGAGAAGTAAAATTAGAAATAAGAAGAGGAAAAAGCACCTACTTTTGAAACTTACATCTAATAAGAGTGAATATCCATAAAACCACATAGAGAGAAGTATATAGTAAAGACGTTCGATTCGTATATAAAAAAAAAAGAAAAGGTTAGAAAACAACAGAATCATTATCTTTTTTTGGTTGACTTACTTCAGTCGTCATAGATTCGAATTGAAAAAAGATGAAATCAATGTCATACAACGTTGGTGGTATAATGAAATGGATTTACCTTATTAAACATGAGTAATAAAGCATATTACACGTTAAAGGTATTTGTCTTCACTTGTTTTAACTAAAAGGGATAAACACACACAGCAAAAAAGAATGATTCAGTCAGTTCATGAATACAATGAATATATGTATAGACAATCTTTTATTAGTATTTCCATACCTTACTTTGATTTGTCTTAAAAGGTAAACATATAACAGAAAAAAAAAAAAAGGAACAACAAGGTGATAAAAAGAAAGAAGAAGAAAAAGAGAAATAAAACAAACGCGCTTTTTATTTGGCAATGCATTCAATTTTCGCTCAGCGAGCCTCTGGGCAAAACATGCTCCTTCCAAATTAGGACTAGAAAATCCAAATTTTTTTTTTTCAACTCTACATAGAAACCCTAAATTCTACCTATTTGACCTAATAATTATGTTACAAAAAAAAAAAAAAAAAAAAAAAAGGAGTAATCTGCCTATCATATGCTTTCTAGCCATGAAATGACATGCCCGATGCTATATAATATATATGTAGAGAAAAAAAAAACGATTTTGTGATTTTTCCATCGTTCATCATCCTTTTTTTTTTTCCTATAAGCATCCATTCCTTCCTCATTCACTTGGATCATCATCATCACCATAGTTTTCTATAGGTGAACCTCCTTCTTTACACATGTTAGTATGTCCTTTGGTTCAACATCAATTACAAACCAACCAATTTATTCAATCTCTCATCATTAGTATTTAATCCTAATATGTTAATATGAATGACATGAAAATATTTAAAGTATACATCTACTTGAAGACCCTTTGAAAGAAATAAATATATAATATTTTTAAAGTTATTTATTTAATAAGATTAGTCCATTATTTCATACGAATACTCAAAATATATTATTACTTAAAACACTAGACCATTGTTTCATATCATCACTAACATGACTCCATTCTGCCCGTATCTTTATCCCTCGTTGTTAACCTTGCAGATACCCGAACTACAGATTTGATTACTTGGACATTCCCTGTTCTCTTTGCAACCGCCACCACCAGCGCATTTCCATCTACCATCTACCTTGATGCCACTGGGGTCACAAGAGGGTTTGTTTGCCTCTATTTTACCGCCACATCGAGTACAATCTTGTCCAGGAGCGACACATTTGGGATTGAAAGGATCGAGTGTTATTAAACCATCACAACAATCTCTGCCAGGACTAATACTACCACCTCTTTGGATACATGGCATTGATGGACACTTGATTTTTGAGCTTACAGGCTCTGTAATATCAGTACATGGCTTATCAATCTTCTGACACACTTTGCATTCCTTTGAGCATCCTTCATAGACTTGGTTGATATCCTTTGCATAACCACAACCATAATATCCCGCAAATGCACGTATAGTGAAGCCCGAATTGGTCGGATTGCTACAGACAGGATCACCTGTGTATAGAATTCTATTACCATCTTTTGCTTTTGGTATGTTTCTAGAGACACATTCATGACAACTAACACAATCTGCGTTAACAAGGCTAAGTGACAAGCAGAGTACCAAAAGAGAAGTTAAAATAATGTTTTTCATCACTAATTTCAACATAATATAGAAAGCATGGATCACACCTATAATCATCATATAAAAGAAGTGGTCAATTATCTTTTTGACCCTATCTCTCTAGATTTTTTTTTCTTTTTTTTTTTTTTTTACCAGGAATAAAGCCAAGAGTAGTAAGAGCAATATTGATTAGAGGAGCAGTGGTGCAATCATGTTCAAAGAATACACCCAAAAAAAGCAAAGACCATGGCCAAATCATAGAGAATAAAAATGAGTGAATAGAAAAGTGATGGCAGATGGATGATACTTATGGAAAAGAAACTTACAGATATCTGAGCAGGTCAAAGCCATAACAAAGAGATTTGAATAAAGGAATAAGAGATAGAAAGAATAAAAAGAGAAAAAGAACAAAGAAAAAAAAAGATGAGTTTAATATAGTCAGTTTCTTTTTTTCCCTGCTTGTCCCCTTTTTTTCGTCAAACTAAGAAAAAAAAGAACTTGTTCTGTGAGACACCTCTTTTGCTTCAAATTAACCAATCATTTTATTAACATCAATCCTACATAAGATACTATCATAACCAATAAACTAACTAAATACGTAACTAATAAATCATGTAAGGCACATCAGACAAGATAACGACAACATCATTCCCCCTTAGCGTCCATTTCTACCACCATGTCCACGGTAGCCTTTCTGTTTCCTTTCCATACTACGTGATCTTGATCGCTTAGATTTCAATGATGTTGATGATGATCGATGTCGTTCTTCCGAGACTGACCTTGATGACTTTGATCGATGCTGTCTTGGTGGTGAGCGTGAATGATGTCCTCTAGATACTGGTGAACGTGAGCGATGTCCTCTAGATACTGGTGATCTTGATTGATGTCTTCTTGATCTTGGTGACCTTGATCGATGTCTTCCTGATCTTGGTGACCTTGATCGATGTCTTCTTGACGCTGGTGATCGTGAGCGCTGTCTTCTTGATCTTGGTGATCGTGAGCGATGCCGTCTTGATCTTGGTGATCGTGAGCGATGTCGTCTTGATGCTGGTGACCGTGAGCGATGTCGTCTTGAGGAAGGAGATTGTGAGAGTTGATTGCTTTTATTTTCATTTTTTTCACTATCTTCGTCCGATAATATATCATTCCATGCACTGTACTTTCCATTATCTTCATCATCGTCATCCTCGTCATCATTGCTGCCATTATCATTATCCTTTACTTGTTCTATGATTTCGGTATCCTTTTGTTGATTTGTTCCCATGGATTGTCGCTTTTTGATGCGTCGGCCAAATTCATCCCATTCATCATCGTCATCTTTAGGTTGTCGTCGCCGTCGAGAAGTATCACCTTGTTCTCGTTCCATGAATCCACCACCAGCGCCTTCGCGTCGACCAATAGTATCTTTGGATCCAGGCTTGGCATTTGAGCACTGATTGCATACCTCACGTTTGGCCCAATTGATGTTGCTACATCTATAGAAAAATAAAAAAAAAAAAAGAGGTGAATCAGATAAAGATGACATATCTTAGTTTATTCCCACAACATCTTCTATCACTATACTTACATTGCACATTTCCAATCCTTTTCTGAGAACAGTCCCTATGACAAGCGAAAAAAAAAAAAAGCGAGAAAGAGAGTAGATGTATCAGCACCTCGTGTATATTTTGACAGTGAAAAGTTGACAATAATAATCATCCTATGTCTTTCTTCTTACATTATATCTGGTAGCTTGTTTCCCTAGTTCTCCTTCACGATATCTAGACATGATGACAGAATAAAAAGAAAAAGTAACAAAAAAAAAAAAAGAAGAAATATAAAAACAAAAAAATACGTTTCGAAAATAAACATAAAATGCATTTTGGATCGCCGCGACTCGCGTCTTTTCTTCCCGTTTCCTTGTTTTTTTTGAAATCTAATGTCTTCAACCGATCAAACTGTGAGTTCCTTTATATTATAAGACTTGTATTATTACTATTTCCATTCTATTGATGACTTTTTTTTTGTTATTATTTTGATGAATAGAAGGAAATACGGACGGCAGTCTGGTCAGTGGTTCACCAAATCGCTCAGGAAGAAAGTAAGATACAAACAAAATAGACTATGATCATTCATTTGCTTCCTCGTTTTGATTCTTAGGTGCACAACTAGGAAAACCTATTAGTACTGAATTCATTGCATCGCTTGCTCATGTCGTCTATAAACAAATGGGTAAAAATAAAGAAATATACTTTTTTTTTTTTAGGAATAAGCAATAATCTTATGTTCGTTTTACTTCTTTCTCTTTTAATAGAAACTTTTGGTATGGACGTCGAAGCTTTTGCCACGTAAGAAATACTCTCTACTTATAAAATACTGGAATATGACAAATTGTAGTGAAATTAAACTAATCTATTCGTCTTGGATTTACATTTTACATTTTATGCGCGTCATATCGCACATCATTCCTAAACTGCCTTTATCCACCATCATCATCACTCGACTATCAACATTATTCCACCATCATCATCATCCGATCATTATACAAACCATTCAACCATTTATTCATCATCATTAAACTACCGTTTTGATTCAACCGTCATAAATCCTTCCGCTTGACCTCTCCTCTCTCTCTCTCTCTATATATATATATGATTACGTTTGCCTGCACAGTCATGGTCGCCGATCCACAATCAATACAGATGATGTGATGGTAAGAGAATTGATGAGAGGAACAGTAAGGGTGAATTGGAGGGGTAGGAGGTAGGGGAATAAGCTGGACAAAACAGGAATGAAGGAAAAGGGGAGAAGCAGTGAAATCATGAATTGGACAGATAAAATGAAGATCTACTCACATCATCAACCATCCTTTTATTTATTATTATGTGTGATCATTTATTATCATCCTTTATTCAAGTTATGTGCACGAAGAAATGGTCATTTGGTATGTCGCTAGGGGTTGTTTAGAACAGTAGGAAACATCTTTTTTTCTTTTTTATCCCTATTAATATGTCAACACTTTATTTCCCTTTTTAGCATGAACTATTATCTCAAGCCTTGGAAGAAATCAACACAAATAAAAAGACAGCTGCTGCCGGACGATCCACTAAAAAATAGCTACCGTCCCTTTAGTCATCATCATTTGTACATAGACATACCATCACTTTCTTAGGCTAATCAGTCAATCCTTTATACTTAATTCACTTTAATAAAGAAACTATTTACTTTCGATGTCATATACTGTAAAAGATAAATACACAAAAAGAACTTTTAATACAATATAAAATGACAAATACATATAAAAGAGAATTTATTGTTGATCATCCAATAATAACACACACTATATACAATAGATAGATAAATCCAAAAACACCCTTCAAAAAAAAAAAATACTACAAGCTATACCAAAGAATGTTTTTTTTGTTTTCTATAAAAGTCGATGTTCTTTATCCGAAGAAGTATGTTGTAATTGCTCACGTAAGTCTTGTCGTAAAGCATCAGCATGAGTACAAGCAGGAGGAGGAGATGAAGCTTGTAATGGAGGTGATTGAGCAATACCTGGGAACAAACCAGTGACAACATTTGCCAGAGGTGTAGAAGTCAATTGTTGTTGTGCTGGAGGAGGTGGTGATTCTCGTTGTGATTGTTGTTGTGGTTGTTGTTGTTGTTCTATCAATCGTTTATGTTCTTCTTCGTCTTCTGATCGTCGACGTTGATGCGTTTCTCGAATATCATGCATAGTATCCTTCACAAAGCCAGCCACATCTCGTACATACCCTACCACACCAAGTTGTTCAGGAGAAAGACTATGTTGACGATGCGAGGGTCGGTCTTGTCGTGTATGGATATGATGTTGTTCATAAGGATGAGCTCGTGGTGCCATACCCATATCCACAGGAATATGTTTCGGCATGTCATCACCATTTTCATATCTACCACTATTGTTGTTGTTGTTAGAAGACGCCATGATAAGAATGACGACAAAATAAATATAAAAGATATAATATATATAAAAAAAAGAGAGAAATAGATAAAAAGAAAAACGAGAACAAAAGGGAAAACACCGTACGTTTTTTTTTTTTTTTTTTTTTTTTTTTGGTTGGTTTCACTTTGTACCCAGCATGCTCAGTGGACTTTGAAATGAAATGGCATGAACCAGAAACCATTCTTTTTTGTAGAGAAAAAGAAACCCATCCAATGATAATCTATGATATGATCTTTTTTTTTTTTTTTTTTTGTTTATTATAATCTGGCACTGACAAGAAAAAAAAAAGATGAACAGGACAAAAAGAATAAATAAATCTAGAATACAATATATTATTTGATACAGAATATAAAAAAAAGGGGGGAAAGTTTTGTTTTACGAGTATATGCGTGAGTGAAAAGGGAGTGTGTGCATGTAGAAATGATTATGTGCAGAAAAAGAAAAAAGAATCATCTAAACTACAATGGAGGGGTTTATCATCTAAATTAAGCCAACATGAAGGCAATGGAAGCACCCAAAACCAAGACAGCGGAACTGACAGCAGCACGAGAAGAACCAGAAGTAGATTGTTGAGCAGAAGAAGAGGAAGATGCACCAGCAGGAGACACAGCATCACTAGAACCAGAAGATTTGGCAGGAGAAACAGCAGAAGAAGAAGCAGAGGGAGCAACAGAAGAAGAAGCAGAAGTAGTAGAGTTTTGAGCGCCACCTTCCTTGTATGATGGTTGGTTTACGCATTGACCAACAGTGGTAACCTTATAAGCTTTCTATAAAAAAAAGAAGAAAAAATAAAGGAGATAAGTAAAAAAAAAAAAGAGTTTGAAACTAATAAAGGGGGGAAGGTAATCACGCTCTTACTTGAAGGGTAGGCAAAACACGGATAGCAGCATCAACAGTCTTTTGGTAAAGATCATGTTCAAGAGAGATACCACCAGTAGTAGCAGAAGAAGCTTCCTTAGCCCATTCTGTCACATTGCCATCAATCCAATGTTCATCGAAAGACTTATCTTCGGCAACCTTCCAATCGTCAGTATCGTGGTTCCAAATGACAGCTAAAGGGAGGATGAAGTAATAAAAAAATAAGTGATCGGTTGTGATGAAAATGTTTTTTTTGTTTTTGTTTTTGTTTTGTTGATACATACGAATGAAGCCAAGAGCATGACCAATGCTACGAACACGATCATCAATATCACCATAAGGCTAAAGAAATAAACAAAAAGGTAAGGAAAGGAATGTAATCAGGTTTCAAATAAAAAAACTTACAGGACGATAGAAACGAGGAGTAACACCAGTAACTTCCTTGATAGCAGTGGCAGTCCACATCAATTCAGCAACGATTTGTTCATTGGTTTCAGTGGTAAGGTAAGAGTGAGACCAGGTGTGCATGGCGATTTCATGACCAGTCTTGTAAGCACGAGTAACAAGATCAGGGAAAGCAACAACTTGACCACCAATCATGAAAAGAGTAGCCTTTTGTTGAGTAGTATCCAAAAAGTCATATAATTTGGAACTATATTGTGTAGGTCCATCATCATAAGTGATACCCCATTGACCCTTAGGACAAGCAACAATATCATCAGGACGAGTACAACCTGTGAAAGTCCAATCACAGTATGGATCAGCACTACCAGATTGAGTAGGACCTTAATAATAAGAATAATAAGAATAAAAAAAAAAGGTTAAATAATGGACTAAAAAAATATATATATATAAAAAAATTAATAAGGTTACCATTGGCACCACCCTTAACAACGGGTGCGTTGGTGATGTTGGCGTTTTTGATCAAATCCATCCATTCAGGTTTAGGGGCGGGCTTGGAACCTCCAGAAGGGTAAGTTTCTTTGAAAGTAAAAGCACCACCAGAAGGGGCGGCAGCAGAAGCACTGGATGATTGGGCATTAACACTCAAAAGAGCAGTGGCGGCAAGAAGGAATAACTTTGGCAACATAGTATACAAATAAATTATAAAAAGAAAAAAAAAATAAGGATACAAAAAAAAAAAAAAAAAAATAAAGAAGTGAAAGAAAGGAAAGAAAGGAAAAAAAGAGTTTTTCCCCTTCCCCTTTTTAACCATTTTTTTTTCAAATCCAGAAAAATCACTATATTTGGATGACACAGAGAAATAAAGGCGCAGGAAGAATAACGCTTAAACAGGTTGATTTTAAAAATACTTCATCCCCCCCCCCGTGATACAAACTGAATTCCAAGAAGGAAAACATATTATGTTTTTTATTTTTTTGGATGATTGATTTTCCTAAATAAAACCCTGCCTTTTTTCCATCATCCATCATCACGATAAAAAAAAAAAAAAGACAAAACAAAGACTTTTTTTTCTTTTTTCTCAATAATTAAATTGACATGCAAGGCAACTCCGATGTTTTTTTTTTCATAACATCCCTTGGATACACTTGATGCAATTGAATGCAATAAATACACTATAACGATGATGATCATAACGATGATGATCATAACGATGATTTACTTATGAACGATCCTCTGTGTTTACTTTGTGAAACACAAGTCCCAAAATATGACAGCCAAGCACAGCAGGATGTTATTACCGGGTTTATACATTGCTGAAAAGGTAAAAATAGATTAGAACTCACAAAAAAAAGCCCGCCATTATTCAGCTTGAAACCATTATCTTTGAATCCTTCCTCCCCCCAAAAAAGAATTATGATGATGTAGAAACTATTTTAGAGATTAAAAGTATATTTAGGATAATAAAAATATACTTTTGGAAATACAGAAAGAAAGAGTGATCAAGGGAGAACTAAAAAAAAAAAAAAAAAAAAAGGTGAGTACAGAAAGAGAAGAAGGAGAAATCATACAAATCTGTCCAAATTGTGTGTCTGCTTAAAAAAAATTTTTTTTCCCCGTACCTGCGTGGCACTTTTGTATTTACTTTGTTAGATGATCATCTCTTTTCTTTTTTTTCTCTTTTTTTTTTTTATTGTTGGCTTATACTCTACAAATAGATGATCATATTTTTTTTTCTTTAGTTTATACTAGATGATCAAAACATAAATCATTATTATAACAGGTTTGTTAGTTTGTTGGTAGATATCCACATTTTTTTTTTCTTTGTCTTTTTTTTTTTTCCTTTTTTTCTTTTTTTTCCTTTAGTATGACATTCCTCAATGCAAGTCTGTGCGATACTCTTTTAATTGAAGGAAACCAAAAACAGAATTGTTACTAAAAAGTATCAATTTCACGTTTTCGAATCAGATTTAGAAATCAATCATGTAGGCTTAATTAAGGTTCAGCAAAAAAACTATCCAAATAAGCAATGAAATCTTACTGATTTGTTATGAGGCTGCGCTTCTTTTGGTTCTTTTTATCTAATATATGAACATGTATATAAATCTAATATATATATAAATACCTTTTTTTTTTCTTCTCACAACGTATAGTACTTACTATATGTTTTAACCGGATGACTCGGAAAAAGGAATAGACTTTACTTCCCGCCCATCGGTTCAATGTTCCAAAGTAGAACAATATAAAGTAAAAATCTAACTATAAGAAGATAGAGGTTGTTACATAAAACCCTTCCATACTACCATTGATCAAAAAAAAAAAATGTTTCCGCATGAATTGATAAGAGAACGTAGCAATTAGGGGGGTTTGTCATTTGACTTTATTGACAGGAAGGGATTCAATCATTTCTTTTCTATCATCCATCATGATACTTTTCATTATTGAGTTTCTTGATAGACACTTTTTTACTTTAGCAACTAAAAATCAGAGTCAATAATAATAATAATAATAAAAACCTTAAACAATTGGTTTCCTTTTTTAAGTATCACGTTATAATAACTATGTATGTATACGATTATCTTTTATTTGTTATGTTTGAAAAAAGGAATCATGATTGTAAAGATGTCATTTCAAAATGATCATATAGACGAAAATGAGAGCTAACCTGAGATATAAAATCAAGAGATAAAATAAACTGTTGATGAAGATATCAACCAAGTCTTTATTCGATGATCTCCTAAACTCCCCTTAAACATTGAATGAATGATTATATCATCATCATCATCATCATCATTATCATCACATTATTATTATTATTATTATTATCTCCACATTCCTTCTCCTATCCCCTCCCCTCCTTGATTTTTTTTTTTTTCAAGAGTGATCAAATTTTTCATAAGAGTGATGATGATAAGATTTTTGAAGCTCACTCAAAAAAAAAAGGCAATAGACTCAGCCAATCACAATCGTTATAACCACAGGAAAAATTTTCACTTTCTCACCCTTACACTTTTTTTTTCTACTTTTTTTTTCTTTTTCATTTTTTTGTAAATAGACTCATCTTCTTTCTTATATACATAATACATTTAAATATATATCTTTTTTTTTTATTTATTTTCTATTCTTTTATTATTTGATGCCCATCCCTTCTTCAACTACATCTCCCATCTCTGCTCATGCAAGCAGTCCAACAACTACAACAACCTTTGATGTCTATGACAAACTATCAAAATGCACCAATAAAACAACAACTTCATCATCTCCTACCATCAACCATCATTCTGCTTGTATTACAAAAAAACGAAAACAACACCGATCCTTATTGGCTCCTCGACGGTCTCCTGAAATGTGGACTGATCTCTCTGACCATAGAATAAGAAACCATCAACTAGGGAATCTTTATGCTGGATCTCGTTTTACGGGGTCCCAAAAGTGTGGAGATAACAAATATGATGTCGTGGTGGATATTCAGGTATATACTTTTAAAGAACAAAAAAAAGAAAACTATTGATACCCTTCTTATTGATCACTCAATTATTTTTGTTTTAACCATTAGAACCTCAACTTGGAAGAGAGTACACTGAGTGGTTATCTCAATATAAAAGGTTTAACTCCAGAATTTCCTGAATTGACGGTAAAGCAATGATCATTTATTTGAATGAATATTTCTTACTCATTTGATTTTTCATTTTAGACTTATTTTGAAGGTGAAATTATCGGTCCTAAATATTCATTCTTGACGCGGAAATGGCAAGCACAACATTATATTGATGTTGCTCATTGGGTAAGCGAACATATCAAAATCATTATAAATATAATACTTACTTGTTGATCTATTAGAAACGCTTCCCTTCTTTTCAAAAGTATGTGTCAGTATTCAATCAAGACGGTTTTGTATATGATCCGGAAAATGAAGATTTTGTATATATGCGTTGGAAGGAAAAATTCTTGGTCCCTGATCACCATGTTGACAATATCGAAGGCGCTAGTTTTGCTGGTTTTTACTATGTGTGCTTCCAACGTTCAACAAATACCATCTCTGGCATGTATTTTTATCGACATTTTACTCAATGGTATCAGGAGCTCTCTTTACGTTACGAACAACAACGATCGTTTGGCTCTTATGAATTCCGTTGATTCCATTCTTACTAAATACACACCAACCATCAACAAACAAAACAACAACAAGTAATCAACCAATAATCAATCAAAACAATTTAAACAACAATAATAACAACAATAATAACAATTTATGACAACCTCTTTTTTTTTTTTTTGGAAAATGGATAATCACGGACGTAGGACGCTAATAGATGACAAAACGGACGTGTATGATTTGGATGGGATGACAATAGTGAAAAAGGATCTCATGTATGTACTGTTATATATGGCTTTTCTGATGACTGAATGATGATAAGATGTATAACTATGATGGTTATCAACAACGCTGGCGAATTTGGATGGATATATTGGATAACAGTGCACCCTCTCACTTAGTTTATATCTCTATCTATCTATTGTATACTCCTATCTTTTATTTAGTAGTTTACTTGGGAACCCTTATGATGTGTTTATGATTATATCTCTTGGTATCTTTTTGTGTATATTCTCGATAATACCTTTTTGCCTTTTTTTTTTTTGGTGAATTAATACAAATAAAAAGTGACATTTTACAGTATATAAACGAACTTTATTTGATCCTTCCTATTTCTATGATGATTGATGATTTCTTTTCAGAAAGAAGACATTGTATGTATAGTCTCATATTCAACAATTCCGTTCTCAAAGTTGCCAGTAATGTATTTTCAGAGGAGATCTTATTCATTACTCCTTTTTCCTTTTATTCTATGTAATATATGAAAAGAATATTGTATGATTTATTATTTCTCTTTGTTCATCTATCCTACAGTTTATTCACTTTAAATTGAGACAGAAAGTAGACAAAGAAAAAAAATAAAATTGGGGGTGAGGGAAAATAAACTTGGAAGTGAAAGGAAAATCGAATTAAGAGTGAGGAGAAAATAATATTGGAACACCAAGGGACACCATATTTAGAAAATAAAATAAATATATATATATCAGTTAATACATCATCATCATCAACATCATTATTAAAAAAAAAAAAGGATTACTCACAACACGTAACTAGGACCTTTTAACTATGGTCAGGACGATAAAGTAAAGAGGGAAAAGATGGCTGACAGGATGATCGGAAAATAGTATTGGTTGATGGGGAGCTTGTTAAACTAATGCCATTTTGTATGATGGTAGCTTAGACCCAACGCACATCAACACGAAGCATAATGATAATAAAAGGAGGACGGAAGAAAAGGAAAAGCAGACTGACAGACATGATCGATAAAAAAAACCTCTTGCCCTGAATAAAAAGCATAGACATATCAGACAATTACAGAAATCGGCCCAACAGGACCCTTCGAATAAACCTAATATGATGATGATTTTATATTAGATGATGAAAATAGTTATCTTATAATAGCTATTGTTACTTGTATTTTTATTTCTTCTTTGGAGTATTGATAAAAAAAAAAAATCTATAAAGTAAAAGAAAGAGGGAGGGCAATTCGCTTTGAGGTTTTAGAGGAAAAAAAAAAAAAGAGAGAGAGATGTGTTTGAAAGGAAAAAGGATAAATCACAATCATCCCTCTTTTATATTAAATCAATTGAAGTGGACAACACCTTCTTTGCTTTGATTCATTCTTTCTTAATTCCCTTTGTTTTGAAATAGTAATGAACCAACGAATAGGTGTAGAATGATTTAATGTACAGTGCTGTTAAACAATCAAAATGAAAACAAACGGTTTCTTTTCTAGTTTGACAACTCCTCTTTCCTTCTTGAATCATACTTCTCCTTTTTTTTCATATTTATTAAAAAAAAATGAATCAATGAATAGATGTATACTATTAAACAATCAAAAGGAAAAGAAATGGTCATCTTTTTTTCTTTGTTTTGTTCATTATTTTTAGCAACTTTATTTTCCTTCTCGTTGGTAGAATCAATGAATAGATGAATCAATGCAAATAGGATGGCATGTGATGGAGTAAATACGGGAGAAATGCAAATCCATGGATTAAATCATCCATCATCATCGATATGTCAATTATCAAAGTTCAAAAATCAATCATCAACGCCATTTATTTCCATAATACAAAAAAAAAAAGGATCATCCCTGATATCAGCACAGAAAAGAAGGAAAAAAAAAGAAAAATGCAATCCACAACAGGAAAAAGATCCTACTTGTGAACACAGTGTAACCAAAATAAGTAACTTTTAACCCAGTGCATGGCTCATAAAATGAAGTCCGTAGCAAAAACTTTTTGACATCACCCAACCAGATATTTTAACCGTTCGACCTTATTTTTTTTTTTGTCTCTTTCCTTTTTTTATTCTTCCCTTTCTTCCTTTTTTTTTTTTTCTTTTTCCTACTTTCCATCTCTTGCTGCCTCTACTTTTCTGTTCAACTATTTGGATGACACCCAAATTAGAACAACTACCAAGAACAAGTCATCGTGTATCTGATTTTAAACAATCTCCAACTGACGACAACAATGCCAGAAACAAAGGATATTCAACCAGTGATTTAGACGTTGACCAAGCAACATCCTTAGTAAGTCATTACAATGCAAAGACAATATATGTACACGAAATTCCCACCACACTGGATATAGTTTTTAACTTTTTTTTTTTTTTTTAATTTTTCTTCAAAATAGATATGGAAGGACATCAACTCTGGCGAAAACAATGATTTTGTTGACAATGATAATAGATCTATGACTAACACCAATGATTCCATTGCTGCTAATTCAATACAAGGCCAAGAATCAAGTCAATATCACATGGATTCTTCAGTTTCCACTGCTTATCAAACTACAACATCTTCCCACATAATATCTCAGGGTAATGGATCACCCCAAGTAGCTACAATGTCAAGCCCATCTTCAACTCCTACCCTTGGCGACAAAGATCACAACCGGCAAAGAGGATTTAGAAAACCATGGCGGGACTGCGACAGAAGGACTGATCAATCAAAAGGTACTCAAAGATACAACTCACAGCATCGACCTCAACAATACCCCAAACAAAAAGGATATCTATCATCGTCATCATCATCATCCAGCAACTCAGCTTCCTCCGTCAACAGTTCACGGCGTTGGGATATTACTGAACGACGGTCACCCACACCATCTTCCAAACGGAGACTGAAGGAACGATGTACGTTATCTGAAGAAGGAGCCGCTAGTCAATGGACCATACCAAGGATCGATCAACATTTAGTACAAACAACGAACGACGATGAAAAAATATGGCAACAGAATCTACTCGATAAAAGTCTTCATAAGTCTGAATTTAGTTCACAATCCGGTAATTCAACGACAAATGTCAATAATGATCAACAATCCGGTTCAAGACCGCCGTCTATACAACAACCAAATCAACCCGACAGAAATATTCTTCCTTCTACATCGACTGAATTGATTTCTTCGACTTCTGATTCAAATAATCCTCAAATTGCTCCTTCCTCATCTTCTACTGTTACCACATCTTCTGAAACAATGCCACAACTTTGGTCTGCGATTGTGAAAACTCGTCCATCAGTAGGAAATGATAGTGTTTCAATCAATGGCGATGTTCATGACAAAGGAAAAACGGCGGCAACAAGCAAACAAACGACGACAGCTAATTCAATGGAATTGGAACGGCAACTTGGAATGGACAAGAAAAAAGATATCAATACTAATGCAACAGATAAGGACGACAAGCATCTTCAGGTATCATCCGCATCATCCTCATCGTCATCAACTATAGAGCAACAATGGGGACAACAGCCAAAACAACAACAACAACAACAACAAGTGGATCAAGAATGGAGACAACAGGATGGAGAAAATGGATCTGTGGATTCACTGGAGAGGATGACGGAATCAGAGTTGTCATGGATATCATCAAGTAAATCAGCGACGAGTCCGGCACTACAGCAGCAACAGCGACAACCACAGCCAGTACCTGCATGGTTACAACATGAACAAGAGAAACAAAGTGTTGATGATCAACAACAAGAAGAACATACTGGTACAAATGATAGTGATAATATGGAATTTGTGACATCGCAAAATAAGGATGCATCATGGTGGCGTGGCAAATTCAACAAGACAGAAAAAGAAACTGATACCATCTATAGTGACAACATGGGATATTTCGCATCACAAGATATGAACGATATATCATGGTTACGCGGCAAACATCGAATGGAAAACGAAGATGATCAAAAGCAAGGTAACATACAACTGGCAAACACCTATTTTTATATTCGACCATCCATGATGAAGTTTGCGTCTCACGTATCAAGTGTTCAGCCGACATGGAAAGCTCGCCAGTATACCTACCAAGAAGCAAGGTTCGATCCTCATGATCAGTGGAGATAGGACAAATGATGACAATCGACATTCTCTTTTTTTTTCTCCCCTTCTGGTTACCATCTGTTCCGCTTATGGATATAGGCAAGACACATCTTTTGATTTATTAGGCTTCTAGTTCCTCCTTTGTTTACAATTAGTTTTAGTTGGTCATTAAATATATATATATCATTTATTTTGCTTCTTTTTTTTTTTTTTTTGAGACCTTATACCACTTGTATTTATGAATAAAATATTGAAACCAAAGATGTGTATGTGAGTATGTGTGTGAATATCCATTTCGATTTGATAGATGGTATTGACAATGAAGGATAAACGTGATGATAGAATGATGGACGGTCTAACATAGGATCCAGCTGATTATAAAAAAAAATATAGATGGATGTTGATGATAAAAACAATGATACCGATTTTATGAATATGATTTTTATTAAAGTTTAATTTCAAGGGAAGGATATATAAATATATATACCATACAGGGAATAAATCACTGGATAAAAACTGCTACTAAAAGCTATCATAAAGATGTCATTAAACTAAGAGCTGGATAAGACAAAGGAGTCAAGCGAAGCCAAACCAAAAAAAAAAAAAAAAAAAAAAAAAAAAAAAAAATCAGTGCAGTTTCAGGGGAAGATAGTACCGCCAAACAAGAGTATTTGTATCCTCCGTCATGTGCAGCTTACCTTGGTCCTTTTCGTCTCCTGGTTGTCTCCTGGTACTACTTTGGACTTTAGATGCTACTCGCATTTTTGTTTGTTCCCTTTCTTTTTAGATCTGCAGGAGGGGGATGCAACTTTCTTGAGAGAGAGAGAGAGAGACCTAAAACTTCCATTTTTATCATGATTACTGGGCTTACTTTTTTGACAGGAACCCAGTAGCGGATAATGATGATATTGACTTCTCATTTTTTTAATTTACTCTATAAACCGGGGGGGAGAGATATAAATTGTTATTAAGACAAATAAAATAGAATGTATCGATATATATTGGTTCCAAATTTGAAGCGATGATTATTATTTTTCTACTATGGGTGTAGATAGATATTTAAAATAAGACAGACAGTGTTTTCTTTATAGTACTATTTGAAAAGAAAAATTAGAAAGGCCTGCGCTTGAGTAGACATGGCCTTTTTAGACTTTGGCAAGGTTGGGTAGGATAAGAAAATCCGTCAAATTGTCATCTGTGGACGGGCTTCAAAAAGAAAAAAAAATACCTTTTTTAATCTTTTTTTCTTTCCTTTCTTTTCTCCATCCACTTTTTTTTTCCACATTGTGTCTCCTTTTTGTTTTTACGATCTTATCATGGTAGATTTTATTGGATTTGGAAGGTTTTGAAAAAGGGATTTACAAAATACATGGGGAAACCCTTTCATTTTGGATGTAGGATTTAGTACAGGTAAATGAAGAAAAATATTTTATACTTTTTTTTGGTATATGAGTTTGACCTGGATATATTTTTATTGATAATATGGACGAAAAACTGATTGGATGGCAACCTTCTTTTGGTTAGAAACGGTGACTTATTGTTAAGGATCTTGGTGGTGGACGACAACTTCTGGGTGGTACTATAATAGATACAGTAGAATGGATAGTAGTGATAGCTTTATTAGTTAGTACATGGATTACTTTTTTTTTTTTTTTTTTTTGAAATAAAAATTATATTGCTCTTTATGATACACAATGATACACTTCCGTGTTTTTTTCTTTCTTTCTTTTTTTTTTTTCTTTGATATCAATCATTATTATTGGATGAGGGATGACGAAATTTCAAATTTCATTTTTAATTTACTCTATAAATTGGGAGATAAGAGTTAAGTTGTTATTAAAGCCAGTGAAAGAAAATGATTTCATGTATTTTCGATTTAAATTTGATGTGATGATGATAACGTTTGAGCGAATTGCAAAAGTATAAAGAGGTACATGTCTACCACATGTGATGTTATAGTGCTAAAGGTAATGGTTTGAATTTTTTTTAATGATTTTTCTCTCCATGAGTGAAATTTGCATGTAGACTAGATTATAGAAAAATACGGGTCTGATAAGTCAGTGGGATTCCTTTTAGTTTATTTAAAGTTAAGTTGGTTATCGTATCTACACTTGACTACTGTATATATTTGTTTGAAAGCAAAAAATTTTAATCCTCGTATATTAAATATATACTTCTTGTACAACTGATTTGTATTAATGATAGATGTGATTCGTTTCGATGATGATTATTATGCGGTAAAGATATTGACATTTTAAGTTCATGTAGGGTCTTTGTTCAAAGGGAAGGTTTCCATTGGTTAGACTAGGGGCAGGATGATTTTCAAGGTCCTATTTTTGGTTCGTCCTTTTACTTCTTTTTCTTTCTTTCTTTCGTTTCCATTGATTTTTTTATAATTTTATTATATTCATTAGTATAGTTGTCATATATTTTTATTCAATAAAGCCTTCTATTTTGTTACAGCTACCTTGTAACATAAAATGTAATTGATTCCATGCATTTTTTTATGTTTGAATGCATTTTTTTTTTATTTTTCATTTCACACAGATATTATAGGTAAGAGATACGACAATTTTTCGAAAAGTTCCCGAGGGTTTATTAAAGATCATTATTTTAAACAGACTTTATATTAAAAAATGCATGATTACCGATGGTACCACTACTAGGGATGAGCTCGATATAAGGACTAATAGTGGAATTAGAATTCCAATACAAGTCAGAGTTCGCTGGGTATATAAAATAGGACCCTGCATTTGTTGGAGCTATAGTAAAATGAAAAGGTTGATTAACAGTAATTATCCTTGCACCTTGTACTGTTTGATCTAAACCAACATAAAGGTTTGTTTCAGGATCAAAAATTGTAGAAGTAGGAAGCCCCCCAGATTGAAGTGGATATTTAAATGTCCATGCAACTGCAGTGTTTCCTAATCTTAATGGATCACCAGATGCCTCAGCTGTTTGTAGAAAAGTTTGAGTATCTACGTGTGTTATATAATACTGATTCTGAGCAAAAGTAATGTTAATCATTATAGCAAAATAAATAACTAATAGCTTCATCATCGTATACGATTTTCTATATCCAGTATAATACCCAATTTATTTGTTTTTGCATAAAAAAAAAACTCTACTTTTATACCTTCCCTTTTTTTTTCCTGATAATATTTTTAAAGTATGTTTTTATTATTCTTTTTTACTATATTTAAAAGTTAAGGTCGCTTAAGAAAATTTAGATCTCAAACGGAGGTGCAAGTTATCTGGAGAGCAACAAGACTATCGGTTATTTATTTTCTGGATGGAGGATTTATTTCAAAGTGATTCTTCGTCATTCCGGTTGACGTAGGTTAACAATCCATTTTGATTTTGTCTCCTGATTGTCTCCTCGTACTACCTTGGGCTTTAGATATTTTTGTTTTGTCACTTCCTTTTTAGATCTACAAGGGTGAAGGTGCAACTTTTTCCTAGAGAGCGACCAAAATCTTTCATTTTTATCATAATTGCATGGTTTCACTTTTATGAGAGGAATCGAACGGTGATAGATTTATTGGATGATGATGATTATTGGATGAGAGACGGTAACGTTGACTTTTTTGTTCTTAATTTACTCTACAAATTGGTAGGCATGATACAAATTATCATTAAGGCAAGTAGAAGAGAATATCTCTTACATCTTGGATCCAAATTTGATGTAATGATGATTATTTTTGAGCACGTTACAAAGGTACAAAGAGGTTCGTATACCGCATGTAATGTTATCGCATAAAAGGTACTCACGGCTCGAACTTCTCATTATAGAGCAAGATAACCAATGAAAAGCCATTATCTATTGATAGGCTTTTTTTTTTTTTTTTTTTTTTTTTTTTTTTTTTTTTTTTTTTTTTTTTTAGCAATACAGTCAATGGCGAAGGGAGTTTGAGGTTTGGAGTAATGAAAAAAAAAATTTTGTTGAAAACCAGACCTTTTATATCTTACTATGGGTGTAGATAAATATTTAAAATAAAATAAGGCAGGCCGTGAGATTCCTCAATAATTTTATTTAAGAAGAAAAATTAGAAATATCTGCATTTGAGTAAACATAGACTTTTTGGACTTTTGGCAAGTTTGGAGGTTGGGATAAGAGAAAGAAAGAAATCATGTCCGTCAAATTTGTCGCCAGTGGACGGGCTTCAAAAAAAAATACACCCTTTTGGCTTTTTTTAATTTTTTTTCTTCTCTTTCTTTTCTCCATCCAATTTTTTTTTTTCCACATTGGGTGTCCTCTTTGTTTGTGCGATCTTGTCATGGTAGATTTTATTGGATTTGGAGTGTTTTGAAAAAGGGATTTACAAAATACATGGGGAAACTCTTTCATTTTGGATGTAGGATTTAGTACAGGTAATGAAGAAAAATATTTTATACTTTTTTTTTTGATATGAGTTTGACCTGGATATATTTTTTATTGGTAATATGAACAGAAAACTGACTGGATGACAACCTTCTTTTGGTTAGAAACGGTGACTTATTGTTAAGTATCTTGGTGGTGGACGACAACTTCTGGGTGGTACTATAATAGATACAGTAGAATGGATAGTAGTGATAGCTTTATTAGTTAGTACATGGATTACTTTTTTTTTTTTGTGAAATAAAAATTATATAGCTTCTTATGGTACACAACAATACATCCGTGCCTTTTTTTTCCTTTTTTTTTTTTGATATCAATCATTATTATCGGATGAGGGATGAGGATATTGACATTTCATTTTCGATTTACTTTATAAATTGGGTAATAAGGTACAAGTTATTATTAATACCAGTGAAAGAGAATGATAAAGAATGATTTCATCTATGTTTGACCAAGATTTGGTACGATCATTGATTATTTTTAAGTGAGAAATGAAAAGATCAAGATTGCTCTCCCACTTGAATGCAGAGTGAACAAATAGGATAGATTTGTCCGTTGCTACAACCAAAACTGCCCTACAAGATTTTTTTTTTTTTTTTTTTTTTTTTTGCTGTATGTTAGAAGTAAATCGAAGGAAATGAGAATAAGAATTCTCTTTTTTTTCTCTCAACATTTTCTTTGTTACGACAGTACTTTTCCTATTTATATTTTTACACTACCATGGCAAGTACTACGGTAACTACCACAGTTTTGTATAAATAGTGGATACATATTTTACGTTTTTATTTTTCTTTTATATTCTCTTCTCATCAATAAAAAAAAATATCAATCACCAATGCAAGTTCCAATTTTATCGTACAAACCTATTACCAAAACTAGCTTACTGAAATTCAAATACTCAGGTTTTATTGGCTAAAAAGAGATCATCCATTTACTTTCCGAATGTTACTTCCCTTATTCCACATTCAGCTTTTCTTTTTTTTTTATATATATATTCAACCAAGGTCGGCAAAAGTCTCAGAAGTCTCCCATACCTCCAACACATCACATACTATCTGTAATCCAAACCCTAAATCACTTGTAGACTACAATTCTAGCCCTTGCCCTCTAATCCCAAAGAGTCTCTTATCCGAATACGATGTAATAATGTCGTATCAACATATTTCATATCTATAGAATTATGTACAAAATAAAAAGAATGCTTTAAAAAAATATAATAAAGATACAGGGATACATCAGAAAAAGATGGAATCAAATGCATTATGTCACAAAGTGGTCGGACAAGGCAACCATCATGTTGAATCACTATACCCATGATGATTCATCATATCAATAGAAAATAAAGGACTAGTAATAGATTACCATATTACAAACTAAAATAAAACTTGTTCACTTACATATCGCTTACCACGTATGTATAAATATATAAAAAAAAAAACAAATTCTACTATAGATACTTTATCTCTTTTTTAATACAATTTTTCAATAAAAAGAATCTCACTGATCACTTCTTTACTTTTTTTATTTTAATAGACAACATCTACACCGATTTCACAGAATCCTTGACATTAAGTTTGTCTTTTTTTTTTTTTTTTTTTGAACTTCCAGACCAAAAACAATTAACTTTCCATACCAGCCAATAAAATCAATTTTCCACGCTATCTCATCAACCCAATTGTCTACGCTTTTTCAATAAAAATGATCATCCACACAAATAGAAGGTTTCGAAAAGCCCCAGAGCGTTTATTAAAATCATTGTCTTGTAACAACAGGTATGTAAGTAAAGCGTTCTGCATCACTGTTGTCACAAGGCTCCAAGACGATATCATCGCTCTGCCCAGAACTCCAACATAGGTCTGGATCGTTTGGTGGATGTATACCATTGTCGTCGAAAAGGAACAGATACTCTTGCGTACCAGCAATTATCATTGCACCTGGTGCTGCTTCATATACAGTAGCATAAACACCCGATGCTGAATCTGCAATTGTACTATTAATTGGACTTGACCCAGGTGCAGGGTTAATTGTCCACGTTGTTGCAGTGTTTCCTAACATTAATGGTTGACCAGCTGCAGCTGATTGTAGATACTTTTGAGTCTGTACGTTTTGTATATGGCACTGGATCGAATCCTGGGCAAAAGTAATTTTAATTAAAACAACAAAATAAATAATCAATAGTTTTATCATCGTATGCGATTTCAATATAATACCTAATTAATCGTTTTTACAAAAAGAAAAAAAAACCTACTTTTATACCTTTTTTTGTTTTCTGATGATAGTTTTAAAAAGGAGTAATAAAAGCGTGCTACTCCTTTTTTCTTCGTTAACTATAAAAGTTGAGGTCGCCCTTAAGATAGGTTGCACCCACCCTCCTGTAGATCTGCAGCAGCTTCAATCGTTTATAGATTATGCACGAATCATCCATCACCCAACTCATCCATCATCGAATTCGCCTCCCTGATCATCCATTCAAAAAAAAAAAAAATTAGTGTAATTTCAGGGGGACGATAGCACCTACAGCCGAAAATATTTGCATCCTCTCTCATGTAACTTACCTTGAGAGTAACCTTGATTTTGTCTCCTGGACGTTTCCTGGATGTCTCATATACTATGAATTTTAGATGCTACTCCAATTCCTGTTTTTTTTTTTTGTCCTTTTAGATCTGCAGGAGGAAGGATGCAACTTTTTTGAGAGATAACTTTTTCCATCTTTACCACAATCACTTGTTCTACTTTTCTGATATGAATCTAATGGCGGTAGATTCATTGGATGATGATCGTTATTCGATGGGAGACGGACATTGACTTTTTATTTTTTTAATTTACCCTATAAATGGAGAGGAAAGATAGAACTTATTATTAAGGCAACTGAAAGCGAATGTTTTCATGACTATATAGTCCAAACTTGGTACGATGATGATAATTTTTGAGTGAGTTAGCGAAGGTATACAGCAAGACATGTTTACATCTCGTGATGTTGGACTTGGCGTATTCTGTATTGCTGCAGCTCGTCTTTCTTTTTTTTTTTTTTTTGACATACCATCAATGCGCGGACATCATTGTTGTATTTGATCATCATCCATGATGATGTACTTTGTGCCTGGCGCAGGCGCAATTTTTTGAGACTGACGTGGCACTCAGGATCAAGAGAATTTCATTGATGCATGATGGTTACACCCATTTTTTTTTTTTTTGGGTCTCCAAACCATTCACAAAAAAAAAGTCCCACTGGAAGTCGATCATCATTAAGAGAAATACTTCTATAATCAATATTTATAGTCCAAAGTAGCAATAGTGATCTACAAGATTTCTTTTTGTATAATATCATATCTATTGACAGTCTCAACATCATCTCTGTTTTTTGTTATTGTTGTCCCCATCTCCAATATGTTTCGTGGTCGCTATCAATTCATATATTCATCCATCATCACATATTATACAACATACCATTATCATCCCATCAACTCATTCTCCTATTAACTCCTCATCACCTCATCACCTCATCATCCCATCATCCCATCATCCTATATCGTTCAGGAGGTCTTTTACATGTTTCAATAGTCATCAATAATAACAATAATGAAAAAACGTAGAATTTATTTTTACAATCTTATAAATGCCAATGCGATACAATATTTTTCTCATTTTCAGTCACGAGCCATCGTCAAGCTGTAGATATCCCCTTGTGGTTAATGCAAGATATTGTAGTACTTGGTAGACACTGTTCTTCAAATAACTTCAGAATAGTTTTCAGATCAGACATGTAAGATAGATATCCACGGAGATCACCAATTGATAATGGCATTGTCACAGTCCCAATTTCAGTCATTATATAAAGTCCATCGGCCTTCAATTGTAAAAGATAAAAACATGCATGAACGCCTGAATAAGAGTAAATTTGATTAGTTCACGTAGAAAATTGGATAGAAGCCCGCCAAAAAAAAAGCGCTAATTCTATATCTAACTTACCAACGATATGGATTGTAAGGACACCTGTCACAGAGTCATGGTCGATAGCAGTTTTGATTGACTAATTGATAATTCTTGGCTTCAGACCATGACTTTACCTCTCCAAAAGCGATGGCGAAAAGTGATGTAGCGCATCCTAAAAAAGAAAAAACAAGATGATCAGTAAAAGATGATATGGTATGAATTCCCCTTTTTATTATTATTACCTGTCCAATCTGTGTTGTGCTATAATTCGTAATATACGAAAAATGGTTAGTGAAGTTCTTCGCGTATAAGATGATGATCGTTTCTTTTTTTTTTTTTACCTTTCGTTTGCCTTTTCCTTTGTTATTGGTACTGAGGAACAGGTCTTGCGTCATACCACGGATATGTTAATAGATACGCGTAAAATAAAAAGAATGCATTCAAGTAAAAAGTAACGCTTAATCTGGCGGATGATGTCTTCAAAAGGGATAGGATCAATCTTGCATTTCCAGCGGGAAGATCACATGACCAGCGACTTGATTCCATGATTTGAAGTGACGGTAAGTAAGACAAGGGAGTATAATGGGAATGACGCGGCTTCTTCCTTTGGCACAAAATATCACATTATCTTTTGGCAGCTTGAAATTCCAAATGAGATACAAGTTTTCGTTTCTGGGAAAAACCACTGGATTGACAAATATCGCAAGCGAGTAGAGAGAATTGTATCTTTTCAATGAGACTCCCATGACGGTGGCGATTTGATTGGTTAACCCAAAGAATAAAGGTAATATTCATTCTTTACTCTTTCTTTGCAGATTGAATAAAAAATAATAAAATAATAAATAAATTTTTTTTTTTGTAAAGACTATTTATTTATTTTGCTGTATGTCATAGTGAGGATGAACCGCGGTTTTAAAAGATATAAGAAAATAAAACAAAGGAAAGAAAATAAAACAAAGGAATGAAATAAAAAATAAAGAAAAGAAAAAGAAGAAAAGATCTAATTGAGACACAATGAAAATAAAATCAAAAGGGAGAGAATTTTCAAACTCCTGACTGTATTGATCTAAAATGATAGCCTGGTTATTCGTTCTTCATTATTTAATCATTACAGACGTCAACGCATATCTCGATCTATCATTTTCATTTATCATCTTACAGAAAATCTAATTTGTGATGATTAGTGAAATAGATATTTCTTTTCTTGTAGAGACTATGATAAATAAAGTGAAGGTTTATTTGATAAAAGAGAATTATATAGACTAAAAAAAACATGAATCACAAACTATATAAGGTTTCTATTCCTTTCTTTTTTTGGATAGATAAATAACAACAATAATACTATACTAATACAGAATGATTCCTTTTTTTTTTTTATTGTTGATGAGTTATGGATTGTTGTCGCCATTGAATTTGTTTGGTATATTCATAGAGGAAGAGAGAACCACTGACATGAACATTGAGAGATCGGGTCACACCATATTGAGGAATTTCAATCGCTTGATCCAAAAGTTGTAGTAAATCGGCAGGTATGCCTTCTCTTTCTTTCCCTAAAAGAAGAACACATTTTTCAGGGAATTCGTATTCACCTAGTTTGGCACTCTTGGTTGTTTGTTCCAGTCCACATAACATATACCCTTCGTCCTTCTTCTTTTGTAGATATTCTCCAAGATCTGGTACTTGCACTTCAATCATTGGCATCCATTTCTATATAAAGTAAAAAAAAAAACAAAAGGTATTGTGAGTTTTATTTTGAACATAGTGGATGATTCTATTCTTTGCATCCTTTTTATTTCGCATATTTTACCTCTGATGAAACACTGATTGTAGTAAATGATGGGTCGTCCTTAATCTAACATTAAAAAAAAAAAAGTCATCCATATATGTTGTTTGTTTCACATCTATCCATTTTGTCTACCTTCAAACTATGCACAGCTAATTGGGAAGCATTAAAAATTTCACAGGTACGACATAATCCTAGAATCAAGATGAAAAATCAAAAAGGAATGAGAATAAATTATGTTTCTTTATATATCTCTATCATACCAGCAATGTTCGGTAAGCGATCGATCAAGCTTGCAACAACAATGATATCGTTTCGTCGACGCTATGAATAAAAAAGTATTAAAACTATTGTATATGCCGACAAAATAATTTGATTCAACCATCTTTTTTTTTAATACCTTCTCCTTCACTAAAGCCTTGGTTAGATCAATATCAGTTTCCAACATCATTTCCCAGGGCATAATTTTCTTTTGATACGAGTCCTGTTGTGCTGTTCCATTGTCTTGTGTGTTTGTTATCGTACCATCATCTTCAAAATGACCTACCAATTCGGATGGATCAGCAGCAGAATAAATAAAATTGCGGTCTGGATTGACAAATGGACATGTTGGCACAGGTTTCGAATTGACACGTACAAAAGATTTCTATATATAAAAAAAAAAAATACAACACTTTGCTGAGTATGATATGAAGTTTGATTATCAACATCCTTTTTTTTTTTCTTACTGATCCAATTCGCTCATTTTCGAGGATATCAAAGACATGCAGGTTTTCCCGGAAGATATATTCAATATTGTAATCTTGAACAGGGTCAAATCGAGCCAAATAATATTGAGATTTGATCTTGTCTGCCATCTTTTTGCAATCGCCATTCTGTTGAATAAACCCTGTCATTGCCGGCACATAAGGGTTCTTTTCAAGACCAAGATCCAATTCACTAGAGTGATAATATCGATTGAAAAAAAGAAAAGGTTATATCTAACCCATGATTATCCATTTTTCTTATGTAGTTACCGTTTTTTATAAGCATTCCAATTTCTTTCCCAAGAGCAAAGTGCATATAGTCGAATATTGAAATGATTGGGGATCATCCATGGAGCTAACAATGGGAAAATCTATTTTGAAAAGAAAATGTTGGTTTATTTATTATCCTTTCTTTAATGGCTTGATAACATTGTATTTCTCTTACCTTGGTAAAATAATCTGAAGCTTGTTGTGTTGGCAATTTTTCACCAAGAAAGAAGGTCACTGTCATTACTGAGATCATATATGATGCTTTTGCGTCTGGTATTTGAAGTTGCTTGTATATCAAAGGCAAATGTTCTGGGAATTGAAGAAGTAATCGGGTTACTGTCCACTAAACAAGTAAATACAAAAGTAAATGATAAAGTTAGTTGTCTTTTTATTATTAATACTATTAATACATATATATATATATATATATATATATATATATATATATATTACCTCCATGTAGGATCGAACGGATATATTAGTTTCCTTTTGCATTAGTCCAAGAATACGTTCCATGTAATATCCTGCCTTGTCACTTTGTATAAATCGACTTGTTAAAAGAATAGTGCACCATGATCGAATCTATCAAAACCAAACAAATGTGAATCAATGGAACTTAAAGTGATTAATTTTAACGATACCTTGAAACGATGTAAAGGTGTATTGTTAAACACAGCTTCATATAACTCTGGCTTGTCATTAATTTCCATCAAGTGTCCCATAAGTTGATGAGCAAATTCAATGTGCTGACTATTTGTGTCGTCAAGTCGTATAATCAAATCATTCATTAGCACCCGGACATAGTAATCATTTTGGTTGAACGTCATTTGTGCGGTCCTATGGGTAAATATAATAAATAATTTTCAAAAATAAGTGTAATATATATTAGTCATCACTAACAGTCTTGATATATAAAACAAGAAAATAAATTACCCTTCAGCTACTGCAAGATCATCAGCATATTGTAGTTTCAATGCCAGGCTAGCTTCCAATCGTTGATCATTACGATCACGTACAGGACCAAAGACCAAGAGTGAAGCAATTTCCTTGACGTAAGAAAGCATAGATTCATTGGATTCGGGAGTAAAAGTTGCCCAGAAATCATGGAGTAAAAGTGCACCCTCACCGACAATTAATGGTTTCCATTCCCCTAGTTCGATAATACTGTGAAAAGCCTAGTTTTGATGCATCATCAATCAAACAAAATAAAAATGAAGGAAGAAAAAAAAGAGTCAATGATATGTTTGGCAGCCTCCTTCTTTTCATATCTATGATACCTTTTTCAACGGTCCATCATCTTGATTCAAGTTTGGAGTAGATAATAAATTTGGTTGGAGTACCATATGCATAAGTGACCTGATCAGTACACTGAATGATTTGGAACTATTTATATATTCCTTGAGTATAGCTAAAGTAGAGTCCACACAGGTCATCACCGAATCAGGTTGCTTTTCCCAAGACGTCATACCAAGAAGAGATGTAATACAACCGATGATTGCTTCTGAACACAAATCTGATGCGCTGTCCAATTGTTCCACACCTGCTGTGTATAAAGCTTCAGGATCAAATGTTTCTATCTTTGGATTGTGTATCAAAACCTGCATAAAGAAAATATATGAGCATAAATCACATTAAAGAATAAAAAAGGACTGTTTATCTACTTCACCATTTTGCTATAGTCCACTATACTTTGAAGACATTCCCATTTGTATCGAATAAAAGTCGACATAATATCTCCCCAAGGTCTATGCCGAGAAAAATCTGGACTGCGTTTGATATTAAGATTGGATATAATGGCGATTGTTGCAGAGTCGATTTTGAAGTCAATCAAAGTATATTTATTAGCCATGTGATAGAGCGTACTCAGTAGACGCAATCGAGTAAATTTGACCAATTCACTTTTGGATGTTGATTCTAATACAATAACAACAAAAAAAAAATCAATATGCATATAAAAAATGAGAAGTAATAAGATCAATTTTTATACCTTTGTTTTTGCTGCATAATAATTCCATTGTATCGCCATAATATTTCCTGAGTATATCACACTTCATATCATTATCCTGGAAGACAGTTGTATCGCATAGAATAAGTCGCATCACAGAGAGTAATAAATCAGCTAGTGAATCATCTGGAACATAAATGTTAGTAATCCCATCCAAAATATTGTAATAAAGGTCATTCGTTTTACCTGTGACATAGTTTTCCTTGTTGGCGCTGATTAACTGACTTTCTATTCGAGAAAGTATATGAATACATAGTGATTCTGACCATGTCATCAGTGTAACTACATCTAGATCAAAAGAAACAAAAAAAAAAAAAAAAAAAAATGGATGAGCAAGAAAAAAAAAGCTTTTTCCTTTCCATTTGTTTATATACCTGGTGAAGTCTTGAAGCATGTTTCAATGTTTTTCCACAAAGAGTCTAAAAGAACCAAAAGTCGATTGAATGTTGCCATAGACCTAATTGGAAAAAAAAGAAGGAACAGTTAATAAAGTAAAACAAATAGGTAATGAGTCAGTAAACGAAGAACTTCCCAGTCTATAAATGAGACTTACGTATTTTTATCCTCGAGTTTTTCAGATAATGCAGAGAATAAAAATTGTACGGTATTCGGGTTTACTTTTCCATCATCATCACTGGACAGAAGTAGAGATGATCTGGCCAAAACGTTTGCTTGATTTCGAAGGATTTCGATAGGAATATCTACAAAAAAAAAAAAAAAAAAAAAAAAGGAAAAAGAGATAAGCTATGTAAAATTAAGTTCATAAATATAAATTCTTTCATACCTTGAGACATATCATCACAGACATAAGTATTCACCCGCTCGCGAAGATTTTCAATCATAGTCTGAAGAGACTATAAAAACAACAAAAAGAAGAAGAAGAAGAAGAAGAAGAAGAAAAAAGGAATCAATAAAGGAAGTAAAACCCCAAAAGAAAATCGATCTCATGATTACCTTGTCTCCGGATATCATTTGAGTCAACCATGACTTGAGACACAGGTATTCATCAGAAGTAGATGATAAAGGATAATCGGCAATTAGAGAAGAGGATGTCCTACAATTATAAAAAAAAAAAAGGTTGAATGTATGTTGCATTATTGATCCCTTGATTTTTTACTTTGCGATGTCGGAGAAGGAAAGAGTTGCAGGATTAGCCAAACGGATCAAAGAAGCAATACCAAGTTTTCGAATGAATTGTTTCCTGTTAGGAGTACTACCCAAGATTGTTTGTGAATAAGATGTTCATGAAGCAATAATCTTATCAGATAGTTTTGACTTACTTGAAGTGTCGATGTCTGTCCACCAGATAACGCAGAGATTTGAGTTCTTCACCACCCCAACATGCAATATATTTTGTTTCGGCCAAACTTTCCATAATATAGAGTATGAGGATATGACTGCTGATGACATGTGCTAAATGATGAATCAATTGCCGAATAAATTTTTTCTATAAAATAAAACGTGAATATATATACACATACATAATTATCATTTGTATAATGTGTATATGTTGTACCTTTGCATTGTCATCTTTAAAGTTTTGAATAATGTGACTGATAAATAGCTTCAATCGTTCCCCAAATGGACTAACTAAAGTTCCTTGACTATTGACTGAATAGATAGAAGTATTGTCGAGGGATTTCAAAAGTGATCCAAAAAAGAAATCTTGTTGTGAAACCAATTGATTCAAAGTATTCGTGTTTTGGCGAGCAAATAGATATTCCCAAATGAGTTTTTGTACATTGCTAGTTTCATTGTTGAATCCACGATAAAGTAAGAGAGTCCACCAAGAAGCATCCAAATGTAATGATGTGGAGCATAATAGTGATTCAAATCGCGGTAAAACTGGCTCCACTAAATGAACTACTGTTTCATGCATAGTATCATACAATAAAAACCAATCATCCCACAAATTGGTGTATTCATCTGATTTGTCCATCGACCACTCAAAATATTTTGTCCAACTGTGCTGATTTGTCGTGTCATTGTCAATAATTTTTGAATACCTTTTGGAAAAATCAATGACTCTTTTCAAGATAAAAGATGTATATTTGCGAGCTAAGGAGTCATCACTGCGGAGACCACTCTATGTAATAAAAAAAATGGGGAAACGCTGCATGCATTAGTGTCCATTACCCTCCTTACTTTTTTTTTCGCTTCTTTCTTTTATTTCTGTACCTGCAATATCATAAAAAAGTCATCCTTAAAACGAAGATCCAAATAGACAATAGGAGAGTCATTTTTTAACGATATCGCGTCCAATCCGAAGTAAAAATCAAAATACTTGGCGATAAGTCCATATGTTTCTGACCTTAACAAATTTGTAGCAGGGAGACCAAATATTTGAAGAGTACGATTCCAGAGCATCTAAGAAAAAAAAGAAGGAGGAGGTTAATATTAATAACTTTATATGAAATAGATGTATTACCTGACAAATGGTACTAAGACTTGCTTTATCCTTGAGAGTCCATTGTTTCCAACAAAATAGAGCAGGTAACAGATCATTCACCAATTTTGATCGAATAGCCACGTTTGTACAAGGTAACATTGCCACTGTCACGTCCAAAATGAGATCAACCCATGACTGTAATAATTCATCCTCATCACGATTTTCCTGATGCTTTTGCTGATAATAAAATAATGCTTCTTGAACAAATCGTAACATCAAATCCAAGCAACATTCTAGATCCAATAATCCCATTGTTGTAAAATCCGACAAGGTCATTTTCGTTGCCATTGACATCGTTGTATTGAAAGAAATACTGCTAATGGCACTCTCGTTATCACCACCACCGTTATAAAGACTGCTGTTGCTGATATTATCATCCGTATCATCATCGTCTTGAAGCATAGATATCCTAGATTTATGTTGACGATGGCAGGTTTGTTTCAATTTGTTAACTTTTTCTTGTATGTCGTTCCATAAATCTTTTTTTGTCTTTTGTTCTTGCACTGTATCACTGATAAATTCCAATGGCTTCAAGTCCACAAAATCAGGTTCAATATCCATGACCAATACAAGTTGACCTATAACTGTTTGTAAAAGTTGATATCCAAATCCATAGTCTAGCACCTGTTCTTCTCCTGTTGTCTGATCAAATGTGTCCTCTATATGTTCACCCATATCTTGATTGATTTGTTGTTGATAACAGGCCGTTAGTGACAGAACAGCAAAATGAGCAGCTGACTTTGCTACCAACGAAACGCTTTCTGTAGAAACCATGGAATCGTGAGCCAAAGTCGACAAAATAAGTGGGCGAAGAATTGTAGTCAAGCAACGTTCAATGTCGCGCTTGTTTGTTGCTTGGTCGAGGTGAGCACGGAGCACAGGAAGCATGATCTGTAAGGTGCCGAACCGATCTTTTTCATCCACACTATTCCCAAATTGTGTATAAAGTTGTTCCAGGTATGATTGAAGTTGTTTACTATCGGCATTCTTGAATAGTAGCGACTGTAGAGGGGCCGAAACAAAGTCCATCGTAGGTCGAACAACTGGTGAAATATAATAAAAAGGAAAAAAGGTAAAAGAAAGAGAGAAAAAGGAGAAACCGAAAGGTAAAAACTAAAAAGAAAAAAAGAAGGCGTGACGGACATTGAAATCAACGATCTTTCCTTATCCTCCCAATATCGCGCGCTTTTTTTTTTTTTTAATTTCTTTTTTCTTTCGTATGACCACAAAAGTGATAAAGGGTGATCTCTCTCAGCAAACGAGTAAACCAATGACAAGGCAAGGACTCCAATATCATTGTTATTATAAAAATTTAGTCTACTTGGTTTACTTTATACTTATTTCTTTTTCTCTGTTTAGTGGTGACGGCAGCTCATCCTCAATGAAGTTTGGTGGTGCAACTCACGAACAGTCCACGTTATTAAAGAGCACGACCACCGTTCAACGCCCTTCTCGTTCGAGAGAAACAACTACCAATCAACTTTTAAACCAGCAAACGCTAGACAGTCTTACTTCGTCCATATCTTCTATTGGAAAACCTTCTTCACCCGACAAAAATCCTATAAAAGTACATAGATAAATGTGACAAACATATGAGATGCTCAGGTACACTGGAATTAACTTTTTTTCTTTCCTTCTTTTCTTCTTCTTCCTAGGCTTATTTACGCATACGCCCGCTATCTTCGGCTACCCAGAACCAACATTTTTCTTATCTCAAAGTATTGAATGATCAGCATGTTTCCTTGATCCCGCCCGAGGTACTTTTATTACTTCGCGTGCCTGGCGTTTTCAACGTTTATTTACCCCGTTCTCTCTTTTCTTTTCTTTTTTTTTTTATTTTGTTTTATAAAGGATTCAAATGCTTATAGAAAACGACAAGGTGCCTGTGACCAATATCAATTCACAAAGGTATTCGTCGACAATGCAAGCCAACAGCAAGTCTTTGAAGAAACAACATTGCCATTGGTTCAGTCCTTCATCAATGGAAACAATGCTCTGATCTTTGCTTATGGAGTTACCAACTCAGGGAAAACATATACTATGCTAGGAAATGAAACTGATGCCGGAATTATACCAAGAACTTTACACGCTCTTTTTGATAGTCTTCAAGATCATATGAGTGATGCTGCTTTAAAACCTATGATGCATAGTGGTATTCAGATGTACGAGCGCACCAATGACCCTATCTTAGATGATGAACATGAAAATCGCTCCCTCCTACCAGACACCATGGATACAACTGATTATACAATGGTAAGATTGTCAGAATAGATAATATTACACATTTGCTAATCCCTTGCTTTTACCTAATACATATTAGAAACAGCATATGGACAGCATAAATCGTAAGTGGACAAAATATACATATTAGAAAGCCCTAAAAAAAGGTCCTCTCGTCTTATTTTTCGCCTTTTTTTTTTTAATGGGAACTGTTGCTGTTAGGTTTGGAAGTGGACTCAAGTTTTGAATATGGGATATGGGTTAGTTTTGCCGAAATTTATAACGAACAGATCTTCGATTTACTTGAAAGCTCAACTCCAAGCAGTAAAAACAACAAGTGTACCAAGCGCACTTCACTTCCTCTCAAGTACGAACATCGTACAGGATATAAATATATTGCTGGACTTAAGCACGTTCGAGTCAAAAATGCCGACGTAACTGAATGTTGATAAAAATTTTCAACCTTCTCATTTTTTTTTTTTTTTTTTTGTATTGATCGATAGGAAGCCTATACGGTAGTACAGATTGGTCAAAAGAATCGTGTGGTTTTCTCAACTCTTATGAATCAATCTAGTAGTCGAAGTCATAGCATCTTTACAATCAGCCTTGTACGGTGCCCTATTGATAAGAAGGAATACGTCATTGAGGTAAATTACTCGAGAAGAATATTGATGTAGAGTCGTACCTTATAATTCTAACCAATCTGATCTATATTATAGGATCCTACTTATGCCACTATATCCAAATTATCCGTAGTTGATCTGGCTGGATCAGAAAGGTATCGTCACACATTCAATCAAGGTAACTCATTGATATAAAGAGAAGTAATATTCAAGGTTCCCTTATTATTGATTTCCTCTTTTTTAACACTTTCCCTACAATTGCTATGATACTATTCTAGGTCTGCGTTTAAAAGAAGCCGGAAATATCAACAAATCATTAATGGTATTGGGCCAATGTATGGAAACGCTTCGAATGAATCAACTCAAAATCGAAAATGGAAAAGTAAGTGAAAAATACACCAATGCAAGGAATTTAATAATAATTTTTTTTTTTTTTTTTTACAGCGTCCTGCAATAGTTCCTTTTCGACAGAGCAAACTCACTGAACTATTCAAGAATACTTTTGAAGGACATGGAAAAGCGGTAAGTATCTATGCGCTACTTTTTTTTTACTGTCTGATGATTATTCGACTCTATTCATTATAGGCTATTATTGTTAATGTCAATCCATTCGATACTGGTTTCGATGAAAACAGTCATGTGATGAAATTTGCTGCTATTGCCAAGGAAGTTACCACATCACAACAACATCAGCCAAAGCTGCCAGTTCTGGATGATTCAGCAGGACCAGGTATGTATGAATTTTAAAATGCAAGAGAATCTATATGCTGCCGTAATCATTGATATATCCCGTGATTTTTCCATTTTTCTTTTGTAGTTCGCAAGCGATTACGTAGAAATCAACATGGTAAAGACTTACATATCTTACTTATCTCAGCAAACCCCTTAATACTTTATTTCTTTATGCGTTAGATCCGGATATGAATGGAAAAACACAAGAACAGTATCACGATGACCCTTTCGTCAACAGTATCTTGGAACAAATGGAAACTTTACGTGACAAAGTACGATGTTGTATTTATCGTTGATGCTATCATTTTTTTTTATTGAAAATTTTTTTTTCTTATTCTTGTTCTCATTCTCATTCTTATTTCCAACTATTTGTATCTATTCTTAGTGGTTAGAAGCAGAAACAAAATGTATTACTATGGAAGTCGATATTCGTCAGCAAGTGTCTATGGAAACTAAATCAGAAGTGGAAAAAATGGAAAATATGTACATGTCATTACTCAAGAGACAGGTAAGTGAATGACATATAAATCGTGGGGGGAGTACAGGGGGATGACATTTAACAGTATATGAATGTACTAAACACTTAGTTTTACCCTAATTCATTGAATAGAATGAAACAGTGGAATCCGAAATTGAAAACCGACTACAAGGACTTGGTACTGTGGAAGATGATGATACAGAGCAAATGAATAAAGGTAAAATTGTCACATGCTTAATAATCAGATTTCACATCGTTAACAATCTACTTGATCTTATTTTAGATTCTAACGAGCATGATCAAGTCTCTTTGGCCATGGTAAGAGGCCAATGAAATGGATGTTTAGTTACATTACTTACGGTTGCCTTCTTATTCTATGTTCATAGTTAAAAGCCAAGCAACAGCATCTCTCATCTGAGATTGACAAAATTTGCCTGTGGATGAAAGATCAAAATAATGAAAAGAACAAACTCTTGGAAAAAGTATGACTCGATGTTTATCTTTGCCATTTTTTCTTACATCCTTTTTTTTTTTTTTTTTTTTTTTTTTTTTTGAAAGATGACTGAATTACAAAAGGACAAGATTCAGGAACAAGCAACAATAAAGCGTCTTCACAGTAACATCACCCAGCTTAAAGCGGTCATCGACAACTATAGAAACAATTCAACCTCCTCTTCGACGGTAACAACTCATGATCACTTGAGTCAAACTACATCCATCCAGCATGAGTCTCTCGTATCGGAAGAGAATGAAACAGAATTGGCTGAGACAAGTGATCAATACTCAAATTTCCTTCAACTACGGAAACAGCTACGTCGAAGTGTGTTTAAGAGGGAAGAGGTAAGTCAGAAAGGAAAAAGAAAGTATTAGATGACGTTATTTTATTGATACGGCCTTTTTTTTCTTTTAGTTGCTTGAGGATGCAGAAGGTATCATTTACGATATTGAACAGTTCCAAAATGTTACATTTGATCTCGTTAAGGTAAAACAAAGAAAGAATATAGTCAAGAAGGAAAATAGTTGATACAATATATGTATTCTTAGCATACCAAAATGGGCAAACTTCTGAAACTGATTACTCAAGAAGAATTCCAAAGTGATCCTTATTTGATTCAATATCGTGCTATGCAGCTTCTCAAGCGTTTTGCAAGGCTTCCTCGCTCAAACAATCAGGTGTCATCGGATGCTGGCAACCAAGAAGCTCCCTATATGAATGGCCAGCACGTGGAAGGACAGCAGTCAACCGACCATGCACATGTGGATGATCCTTTAGAACAGTTTAATGACGATGATGATGACGATGATGATGATGATGAAGATGATGGTGGCAATGACGACAATAAAGAAAAAATACCCGTAGTACAGGTAAAAAAAGAAAACAGATAGTTTCTCAATTGACTTGGTGACGGGGACTCATATTCTTACTGTTTCATGTTATTAGCGACATCAAGAACAACGGAAACTAACAAATCGTGCTACCCCAAATGATGACCATTCTACAAATGAATTGATGAAGCCCTTGGTAAGTCAACAAAAAAAAAAAGAAGGGCGACGGTGTCGAATAAATGTAACTAATATTCGTATATACTCATTCTAGCAAACTTCATCTGAAAACGGTGATGACGGTCCAATGGATACACATGTTCACAATAGACCTTCGAGAAAACGAAAAAGGTATTGAATTATTAAAATGTGTGTCAAATGATGATTATTGGATCAACAAGGACAAAATAAGAATAACCGGATGATTCCTATTTTTAGATATGGATCCACTTCCTCTCAACGATGATTGGTGGTTATTGACGTCAAATTCCCTTCTCCTATTCATGCCAAGATTTTTTTTTTTAGTATGTCTTCTAGACTTTTAGATATCAATATAAATATCAAGCTATTGTCATTTTTTTTTTTTTTGTATTCTACTATTTATTACTATCGATTATATATATATTTACCTCCCATTTTTCTTAATAAATTTATTTTGAATATTATTGATACGAACAAAAATGCCTACTGAAAAACCTCGATTTTATGAAGACGCCAGCAAACATCCTCATCTTAGTCTAATCAATAGTACTCTTAGAGATGTCAAAGATAGTTTGATGGAAACTGTCAAACATGTCGGAATATCTCATGAACCGCATGAAAAACGTCCCCAAGATGGCAAGACAAATCCAATGGAATGAAATTCTTTTTGAACAAACCCTCTGATAATGATGATCTATCTAAACTATTCTAGTGTATATATATTTTTATTATTTTTCTTTTTATGTATAAATTTGTTTATCCTCTTTGTGTAAATATTATCAATAAAAAAATCACTTTTTTCTCTCCTTCAGTCGAGATTTGAAACACAGTTTAAAGAATCATCAAAAAAGAAAAAAAGTTTACTTTCCTTTTTTTTTTTTTATTTTTATTTTTATTTTTATTATTGTATTGATCAGCTTATCTTTCGTTGACATCTTAAAAGATTTCTCAATGTTGAAGTTGACTTTTTATATATCATGAGCAAACAAATGAAATCAGGTTTATCTGAATCAAAATCGGTAAGAATAAAGGCTTTTCTTTTTTTTTTTTGTTCCAATTCTTTTATTTATAACACTTAGAATTCCCATTCCTTTTTATTTATTTATTTATGTTTTAGTTCAGTCGTCATGAGAAGGAAATGGGACTTCATTTGTTATATTTACCCAAGACAACTGTCAATGTATTATCACCTTCTGTACCTCACGAAACAAGTCATCTATATCCCAAGCTTGCTGGTGCTAATTGGACTTGTTATATAACTGGTGATACCATTCGACTAGGTCGTGCTCCAGAGAACAAGGCTTCACTTCCTAGAAACAACAATAATAAACCAGTAGTAGATGTAGATTTTCGTGGTAGTAAACAAATATCACGTCGACATGCTGATATCAAGTTTAATGTTAAAAAGAATTGTTGGGAACTTCGTGTTTATGGTCGTATTGGAGTCAAAGTCAATCATGATCTTGTTACAAAAAAACAACGTCCGGTACCACTACCTAGAATGTAAATGAATACACACAATAATATACTTTTGTTTTTTAACTCACCCTTTATAATTTATTTATTCATAATTTTCTTAGGGCTCATCTTGATATTGGAGGTAATAGTTTTGTCTTTGTTTTACCTGATAATCCTGATATCAAACCTGGAAGGAACAAAAGTACTTTGGAACCAACAATAGTACCATCAACAAAAACTCAGTCAAATTCTCTACAACAAGATTTATTGGAAAGCGAACAAGATGATCAATTGGCTTCTATAATTACTGATATCTTTGAATCTCATGACAAAACTTTTGAACCGACGACTCAACAGATATATAGAGAAGTGGTACAACAATGTCGAGCAAAATCTATGGATTATGAAAAATATACAATGGTAAAATACAATCAATATAATATTACTATTTACAAATGGGCACAATCTTTTACCTTTTTTTTTTTTTTTTGGTCGCAATTTAGGATATAATACTTCGGGCGTTGGTACTTGATTCAAGATTCAAGGTCACAGAAGATAGTATGGAATTAACTATGGAACAATCAGATAAAGCACATTGGTATTGGCAACGACCTCCTTCATCAACTCCACAGTCATCCTCTCTTGATACAACGAATACTGCTGGTTCATGGTCTGATTTTGGATACGATATTATAAATGGAGGCGATAATGATACAAATGAAACTGGGGAAAGAACTACTGATACACGTTCAGTTATATCTCATGCGTCTTGGCCAACATCCTTGAATATTTCCAACGCAACTAGTAGTGAATCAACAGGTCTCTCATCCATTGCTCCCATGACTGAAATATTATCTATTGCTGAACCCAATTCAACAGCAACAATAGTCAGCAGTCCTGTTACACCATCTGCTTATTCAATAACTGACAATGAATCTACTTACGCACCGGCCATGTCATCAACGCAATCTGAACATGAAACAACAACAACTGTACGGTCTAATATATCATCATCCATACGTCCATCACCATCTACAAGAACCTTATCAGCATTATCATTTACGTCAACCAATGAAAATGAACCTACATTACAATCTCAATCAGATAAAACTGAATTCACTGGAATTCCACTATCTTCAGCAACAACAAGAACTACTCGAACAATATTAGAACCCTATTATACTCTTGTTTCCCCTGATCATTTTGTTGGTTCTATGAATTCACGTGGTATTGGCTTGATGACTGTTTATTCTGCTATTTTGGCTTCGCAGCAACAACCTGGATCGACAATGGATACATCAAATTCAGTTACTAAACCTATTTCTTTGTATTCACCTACAGCTACCTACGAAGACGAAGACGATGGCGATGATGATGATGTTTATACCTTTGTACATAATCGAAAACGAAAATGGTTCATAACAGGTAATCAGATTACACTTTAGAGTTTAGACATATTTTTTTTATTTGTAATATTGACCAAACTCATATATCTTTCACCTTTTTTTTTTTTTTTTTTTTTTTTTTTTTTTTTTTTTTTTTTTTTTTTTTTTTTTACCAGATCAAGAAGATCGTGATCTTTGGACAAGGTTCCGTACCACCATATTCAGGGCCCAACCGTGAATCCGATTATCATGATATCGATGGATAGCACTGGAATATTTTTTTTTTTTTTTTTTTTGTAAATTAGTTTTTATTTTTTTTTTTATTTTATTTTCTTATCCTTTTTTGTTTTATTATTAGTATAACTTCTGTTAGTTGGTTATTTTTTATTTTGTTTTTTTTTTCATTATTTTCTACTTGTGAATAGTTGAAACAGATGTTTATGAATTATACCTTTTTTTTTTTTTTTTTTTTTTTTTTGTTATTATTATTATTATTATTTTTGTACCTGAAAGTCCCCATGATTTTATGTGAAAATAAAAAAATAAAAAATAAAAACTTCTTTATCGGATCTTCTCCCCATCGATTAAATAAATCAATCAAATTTGGTTCGTGATGATATGAATAAATTGAAAGTTACCCAACTCTTTTTTTTTTTTTTTTTTTTTGATGATTTGTTTACGTGAATATGTATTCCTTTTTTGTTATGATTTCATATTTGAGTTCAAAGTTTTCCGAGAACAATAAAAACAATAATTTCTATATGTACAGAATTAAAAAAAAAAAAAAAAAAAAAGATGACGATGAAACATGATATATTATTCATTTAATATGGATGAGAAAAAAAAAATACATAATCTACACAAAATAAGTTTTCATCAGGTGGTTCACACAAAAAAAAAAAAAGGGTTACTACATATATAAACTAATAAGCTTTTTTATTTTTATTTTTTCGTCATATGCTCTTTATGACGAAGGATATTCAAATGTTGTACAGAACTCCCCCATTCTGGAGAGTTCCTTACACTTCTTTTCCCGGACTATCTTGTCATTGACCCGGTCAACTTTCTTCCCCCCTCTTTTTGTAAATCTCAAACCTCCCCCATTATTGTTAGTAAACTCCGCTAGGCATAATGATAAAAAAAAGGTTCCTCATTTTTCTTTTTCTTTCTTTTCTTTCTTTTCTTTTCTTTTTACTTTTTCTAGAATTGAACTTGTTTAGAAATACCTTTTCTATTGATAATTATTATATATATATAATTTTGATATATGACACAAACAACTGATGATCCCTTGACAGCTGAAAAGGTCGCTCATTACTTACCTTTCTCTGGTCATGTCCCCAACATTCCTGGTAGAATTATTAATGTCACTCACCAAATTCCATACAACATTTTGAAATCTCATGATCAGCGACCTGATATCATTCCTTTATCACCACCACAATCACCACCACAAACAACAAGTACTAGCTCTTCTGTCACCGTCACTTGTCCTTCTTATACTCATAAGGAAGAACAGAATACTGTAAGTGGTTTATCTTCAGCAGCTTTACTATTACAAAAAAAACAACAAGAAGATCCTGTTGCTGCTGCACCTGTCTCTAAATTGGCTAGACATCATCAACGAGGTCATACTCTACGTGTCAAGTTCCATGCTGCTGATTGGACTGTTGTACAGCGTCGTGGCCATGCTGCTCTTTATGCTGGTGTACAAAGCTTATCAAAGGATTATGAAACAATTCATATTGGTTGGACAGGTCCCATTCGTGTTAAGGGTACAAAGCAAGATGTACGTCACATTTACCAAGACGATAAGTTGAAATTGGAAAAGTTATTGTGGGACACCGATCGTATTATTCCTATCTTTTTGGACGAAAAATCACATGGTCACTACGAAGGGTATTGCAAGGAAGGTAAATACAAAAAAAAAAAAAGAAAAGAAAAGAGGATTTATGAAATAGTTTAAACTTTTTTTTTTCATTATAGTACTATGGCCTCTTTTTCATTATATTGTTTGGGCAAATGCTACTGACGGTCGATCTGAAAAGAAATTCTGGGCAGATTATGTTGCTGTCAATCAACAATTTGCTGATACAATTGTGGCTAATTATCGTCCTGGAGATATCAGTAAGTGAATATATCTTTTATTACTTTCTTTTTTTTTTTTACATATCTAATCCTGGAATTATTATCTTTATAGTTTGCATTCATGATTACCATCTTTTACTTGTACCAGAAATGATCCGTGCTAAACTCCCGAATGCCGTCATTGGTTTGTTTTTCCATGCCACTATGCCAAGCTCTGAAATTTTACGTTGTCTTACAACTCGAAATGATATTCTGCGGGGTATGTTAGGTAGTACTTTGGTTGGTTTCCAGGTAATATATATATCAGGTCTAGAAAAGAAGAAATAGGGCGCTCATTTTCTATTGCCTTTTTTTTTTTTTTTTTTTTTTTGTTATCGTAGACATATTCTTATGCTCGTCACTTTATTTCATCATGTACTCGTGTTCTTGGATGTGAATCAACTCAAGTCGGTGTTAATCACAATGGTCATCTCGTGGCGGTTGGTGCCTTTCCAATCGGTATTGATTCTGATCGAGTTCATTCTTATTGTCAACAACCTGGAGTTGAACCAAAAATGGCAGCTATCCGTGAAATGTATGCTGGAAAGAAAATCATCATTGGACGAGATAAGCTTGACTCAACAAAGGGTGTACTTCAAAAGTTACATGCATTTGAACAATTTTTACATCGTTATCCAGAATGGAAAAACAAGGTGGTCTTGATTCAAGTGGCAACTCCAACTTATGGTGACCATGGGAAATTGGAAACGAAAATCTCTGAAGCTGTCAGTCATATCAACAGTACTTTTGGTTCTTTGGAATTTACACCAGTTCATTATTATCATCAAGATGTGGATCGTGAAGAATATTACGCTTTATTGTCAGTAGCGGATGTGGGATTAATTACTTGTATTCGTGATGGAATGAATACAACTTCATTTGAATTTATTATTTGTCAACACAAGACTCATAGTCCCTTGATTCTCTCTGAATTTGCTGGTACCGCAGGTTCTCTCAGTGCTGCTATGTTGGTCAATCCTTGGGATTATGCTGGTGTGGCCAAAGCTATCAATGATGCATTACTTATGTCACCTGAAGATAAGTTGACTAGACATAAAGTAAGTAAAAAAAAAAAAAAAAATAGTGGAAAATTGATAGGAAATTAGCTCATCTCTTTCTTTTTTTTTTTCACTCTTAGCAACTTTATCAACATGTTACTAGCCATACTGCATCCTTCTGGGCTCACTCTTTTGTTACACAATTGGTCAGTATTAGTGAACAACAATCACTTCAATCACATGCTACGCCTGCTCTTAATGTTAACGCTTTGGTTACTGAATATACAAAAGCCAAAAAACGATTGATGTTTTTCGATTATGATGTAAGTCAATTGAAAATATTTATTATCAGGTGAACTAAACTTTTATTATTTATTTATTTATTTATTGTGTGTGGGGTTGATCACAGGGTACTTTGACTCCTATAGTTTCCACTCCAAGTGAAGCCAAACCATCACCAGATATGCTAGAATGTTTACAAACACTATGTAATGACCCTAGAAACATTGTATGGGTTGTGTCTGGACGAGATCAGAAAACATTAGAAGAATGGTTAGGTAGTGTACAAGGTCTTGGATTCTCTGCAGAGCATGGATGTTATCTCAAACCTCCCAATAGTCAAGAATGGACGAGTATTGTTGATGATATCGATATGAGTTGGAAACAAGATGTGGCTGAAATATTTGCTTATTATACTGAACGTACGCAAGGCAGTTTTGTTGAACATAAAAAATCATCCATTACCTGGCATTACAGAACTGCTGATGCTACCTTTGGGTAAGAAGAAATAAGGAAAAAAAAGGTATGAAGATGATGTTCATCTTTTTTTTTTCATAGTGAATTTCAAGCCAAAGAATGTCAAAACCATTTGGAAAATGCCATTGTCTCCAAATTACCAGTGGAAATCCTTGTTGGAAAGAAAAATTTGGAATGTATGGATCATTATTGAACCATAGGAATAGTTAACTGATTATTATTATTATTATTATTATTTTGATAGGCCGGCCATTGTCTACCAATAAAGGAAATATCGTCAAGAGGATATTATCTCAGCATATGGATGTGGATTTAGTGATCTGTGCTGGGGATGACAAGACAGACGAAGATATGTTTAGAATGTTAAGTGCTGCTTATCATGCTTCACTTTACCAACGTACAATCAAAGAAGGATCCTCTCCTACTTCACCAACAACATCATCATCCATATCACGCACTCCTCCATCACCCACTTCAAGAAAAGCATCAGGTCGACGATCTTCCTCTGTAGCCTTTTCACCAACTGTTCCATCCTGTTGGTCCGATATGCATATGTCTTTATATTCTATTACTGTTGGTCCTCCTGAAAAGAAAACTTTGGCAAATTGGCATGTCCGATCAAGTCATGATGTGGTGGATTGTTTGAAGGAATTAGCGCGAACTTAGTATTTTTATAGGATAGTATTATACTCTTTAGACATGCTAACGATAGCGATCTTATATTTTGATTCCATTTTACTACTTTTTTTTTTTATTCAATAAAATAATAAAAAATAAAAAAAGTGTTTTTTATATTGTTTCTTTTTCCCCTCCAATCACATTGAAGCCATCAAATAATGATGATTATTCTATTAAATCAAATCAATGATCTAATCATTGTATGTCATAAAATAGTATATAGAATTCATATCTCATAAAATAAAAGGTCACTTGTAAGGGATCATGTATAGTTTATTAAGACTAATAAATAGTTAAATTATTAAATTCGCTTCGGAATATGAAAATGTAGAACTGAATATGATAGAGTAAAACCTTCCAGACTCCATATTGCCTACCACATCTTTACTTTTCAATTTCCTTTTTTTTTTTTTTTTTTTTTGATCCTTTGCTTCGGTTTTATGCATGTTCTCCATGTTATTGTTGTCGTATTGACCATATGGGTGACTATAATTTCAAGTAAAGTAAACAAAGGGAAACGGAAAAAAAAGGGAGGAAAGATGGTCATTCATAGGATTAATCCATTTGTATTTATCATTATTTTTTACTTTTTAGGTCAAGATACTGATACAGCACTGTATTCACGTCTCTACACTAGTTTGGAAAACTGGCCTTGTGTTAGACTATTGAATGCTACTAGTACTATTGGATGTCAAGGTAAAAAAAAAAGGTGATTAGATAGTCCATTGGCGTGGTATGTGTAGGTTTCAACTGATTGTTTCTTTTTTATATATAGCTTTTACTACAGGCAGTGGTGTCCTCTTTGAAGTCAAAACCCAAAACGATATCAATGTCTTTATTAATACCAATTCATTCAATGATGCCTATGCCATTGTACTTCCTTACAATCTATTAACACTGTAAGGTTTTTGTCTCCTACTATTATAAGTCTTTGATATAACGTCTCCCTTTTGTATGGTTAATAGGGATAATATTCGCAACTTGAAAGCAACAGGAAGACTCACTGGAATAATAGTACTCACTGGCTCAAACCTTCTTCTAACGAATAGTTCTACATCACCTGATAGTTCTTGTCCCAATTGCGCTTTTGGTTTGTATGCCAATGATGCCGAAACATATATATGGAATCCACAGGTAACCAAATATAGGAACTAGTTTGATATGCTAACTTTTTCTCTTCTTTTTTTTTTTTTTTTTTTTTTTTTTAGGCCACCGGTCTTCTTGATGAAGCATTTGATATACCCCTTTATGGATTGAATCCTACTAGTAATGAATCTACTCAAGTATACAATACCATCCAGTCGGTAAAGATACCAAAAAAAAAAAAAAAATAGACGTGTATTTTACTTGCTGTTTTCAAGCTACTAATTATATTTCCATTTATTGGATGTGATGGCGGAAGAATAGGCTCTCAATTATAACAAAGAACGATCTTATCAACAATATCCTTTGCAAGCAGTTGATTTTGATCTGAAGATGTGGGCCGCTATCAATTCTCAAACTTGTCTAAGACGTGGATGGTGTCAACCTGTAGGTGGTCTCTCTGTATTTTCCACTCCCTCACAGTCAATCTCAGTAGATGACAATAAACCTATTATTGTTTTGACCGCTAGCATGGATAGCCGATCTCTCTTTCATGATTTGACATTGGGTGTAGATACAAGCATTTCTGGAATGGTGACCTTACTTTCCGTTGCTGATGCTCTTAGTCGTGTAAGTAATCTATTTTCACTCTCTCCTTTTTTTGATTCTTATGATTTTGTATTGTCAAATCAATCACTTATTTTGTTTTGTAGGCACCAACATCTCCGGCAAATTTTGATAAACATATTTTGTATACACTTTTTACAGCGGAATCATGGGGATTTGCAGGATCGCAACGTTTTGTTCAAGATATTTCACAACCATTTGTATGCACCAATCAATCTCGATCATCACCTTGTCCGTACGCCAACGCACCATGTACCCAACCTTGTGTTCAAGATCTCAATTTTAAGCTTATCAACGTCAATAACATTGAAACAATCGTTGAGTTTGGGTCGATCAGTAATAATGACAATACGATATGGGCTCATGTGGATGATAGTTCGTTGAGTGATCCTCTAGTACAATCCTTACAATCCCAATCTAATATCAATTCTGGTAGCTCAAACAATTCTTCATCTTTGGTTATTCAAGCAGCAAATAGTGACGGGGTTCAGCGTCGTTTACCACCAAGTAGTGTGATGTCTTTTTTAAAGCAAAAAAGATCAATAAAGGCCGCAGTATTGACTGGATATCAAAAGCAGATGAATGGGTAAGATCTTTTTTTTTTTTGAAATACGAAAATATACATTTTCATTATATATTTACTTTTTCTTTTAAATTAGTTATTATAATAGCGATATGGACGATGATTTGGATCTGAATTTAATGACTCAAAAACTGTGTACATTGGCCAATATTACAGCACAAACGGTTTATCAACAAGCATTAACATCATCCAACAACAGTAACATCATCTCTGCAAATTGTAGTCTTGTTTATGAACTATTGGATTGCCTGACTTTCAACTTTTCCTGCCCTTATATGCAAAATTATTTTAATGGTAAGATCATAATATATATTTTGTTTTTTATATATATTTCTAATATTATATATATATATAGTCTCTGGTATTGATAGAATCAGTCATTACTCATCGGTGTATTCTCAAAGTAATCCACAACCTCAATATATACCACGATTTGTATTCAGCTATCTTAGTGGTGTTACTGGCACAACTAGATTAGATCAGCAACAACAACAACAACCAGTGAAATGCAATAGAATCCAAGATTGTCAAGCTAGCGAATACTGTATACGACAAAAATGCGTTAAAACTTTAACATCATATCACCCTGCTTATGGTACTGGATTACATTACGATGAAACGACAGGAGTCTTAAGTGTTGTAGATAGTACGAAAGGAACATATACTGAAAGCACGTAAGTTTAGATGGTGATACAAAGATGAGATCAAAAAAAAAAAAGTTGACTGATTATTATTATTATTATTATTATAGATGGGATTCTCCAAGTTTAAGACTTTTCCTTGTCCCTTCTCGTGAGCAACAACATATTGAATTGGTGATTGGTATTATTTGGTTTGTAACTAATGTTATTATGGTGATATTTGCAAAACGATATGCAAGATCTCGATTCAAGTTGGACTGATGATCATGATTGTGCTTACCAATGGGAAGTTAAACGTTTTGACGACAGAACTCCGATTGTTTGCTCTTTTTCTCTACATTTGTATTATTAGTTTTTTTTTTTTTTATTGTTTTTTTTCTTTATTGTTATTATTAATTAGTTTCATCATTATGAATAAAGTTACAAAGTTATTTATTCTCCCTTATTATGTTTCGTCAATATTTTTTGATGATATTGAAATCTTTCCAATAAAGATGACTGAGCGACAATCTTTATTTGACCGCCAACAACTAAAATGCGGGGGGGAATTTGAACGTATTGGAAAGGGTCCATGTGATTTTTATCTAGTCTCATTTAAAAAAAAAAAAAAAAAATTGATATCACTATTTTTTTAATCTTTGACAGATTTTTTTTCTTTTTCTTTCTTTCTTTCTTTCTTTCTTTTTTTTTCGTGTTACCTTTTTCTTCAAACAACTCATTTTTCTTATCCATCATGTTGCGATCCGCTGTTCGAACTGTAGGTTTAGCTACTCGCTCTATGCCTAAAAGGTAAATAACAATAACAACATTGTCTATTAGAAATACACGCAGAAAAAAAGGGGATGAAACAATCTAAATGAATCAACGTGAATGAAAACGGTATAAAGATACAATATATATAAATATACTGATAAGCGAATAATATTTCTTTTATATATATATTAATAGAACTTTTACTCAATCTACCATTGCTCGTTCTGTGGTACCTTCGTCTCTCCATACCTTTACAGACGAAGAATTGATGTTGAAGGATGCTGGTAAATATAAACACAAACACAAAAAAAAGGAATTATCATAATAGATATTCAATTAAAATCAATAAACAATTTTTATTATTATTATTATTATTATATAATAGTCTCTCGATTTGCTCAAGAAGTTGTTAAGCCCAAAGTACTGGAAATGGATGAATCTGAAACGATGCACAAAACTGTTTTGGATGGGCTTTTTGAACAAGGTGTAAGTGATAAATAGTTTATATTAAAATGAAACTGACTTGAGATTTGCTGCTTTTGTAGTTGATGGGTATCGAAACAGAAGAAGAATATGATGGTGCGAACTGTTCTTTCACTTCCGCCATTATTACTATTGAAGAACTTGCCAAGGTGGATCCTTCAGTTAGTGTCTTGTGTGATGTTCAAGTAAGTCTTAAAAATGATTACAATAATGATGAATGATATTTACTGTATTTTTTTATTCTTCTTCCTCGTTAGAACACTTTGGTTGGCACTTTGGTTCGCAAATATGGTAATGCCGATGTTAAACAACGTTTCCTTCCAAGATTGGCCACCAACACTATTGGTTCCTTCTGTCTTTCTGAATCCGGTTCTGGTACTGATGCTTTTGCTCTCCAAACTCGTGCTGAAGATAAGGGTGATCATTACTTACTGAATGGTTCCAAGATGTGGATTACAAATTCCGGTGAAGCTGATATCTTTTTGGTGTTTGCTAACGTGTAATTAAAAAAAAAAAAGAATGTGGAAATGTTGATTTTATATTTATAATATATTTGTCTATCTATTTATTGTACCTTCTTCTTAGTGACTTTTCCAAGGGTTATAAAGGTATTACTTGTTTCGTGGTGGATAAATCTATGGGCGTTCAAGTAGCAAAGAAAGAAAGCAAGGTATGTAGATACATATATGAAATATTGATTTAGTAACTGATTCTATTACTTTATCTGTATGATTAGCTTGGTATTCGGGCATCATCCACTTGTGTATTGAACTTTGATGATATCAAGGTTCCCAAGGAAAATGTTCTTGGTGAAGTTGGTAAAGGTTACAAGTATGCCATTGAAATTTTGAATGAAGGTAAAATTATATAGGAATTAATTGTGAGTATGGTTAGATAATGGACTGATGGCATCTCTTAAACCAATTTCAGGTCGTATTGGTATTGCTGCACAGATGATTGGTCTTGCTCAAGGTTGTTATGATATTGCTTTACCTTATATGTTTGAACGTAAACAATTTAACACTCGTATTGGTGATTTCCAAGGAATGCAACATCAATATGCTCAAAGTAAGTAAGCGGAATTCTAATGATTATTACCAAAAAAAAAAAAAAAGTTTAACCGCATTTTTTTTCTATTGTATTAGTCGCAGTTGAAATTGAAGCTGCTAGACTTTTGACTTATAATGCTGCTCGTCTTAAGGAAGAAGGAAAGAACTTTATCAAGGAAGCTGCTATGGCCAAACTTTATTCTTCTCAAGTTGCCGAAAAGGCAGCAAGTAAAGCTATTGAATGGTGTGGTGGTGTTGGTTTTACTAAAGAATTAGGTGTTGAAAAATTCTATCGTGATGCCAAGATTGGTGCTATTTATGAAGGTAAAAAGAGAGAAAAAAAAAAAAGAAAGAAATAGGAAAAGAGGGATTAATGATTTGTTTTATATTCAGGTACAAGCAATATTCAATTACAAACCATTGCCAAGATGATCGCTCAACAATATAATTAGATATCATGATTTTCTTTATTCAATAAAAATTACTTTGTACTTTACATATTATTGAATTTCAGAACTCTTTTACTGTTATTTTTTTTAACTGACCAATAAGAATGATGTACATGACGTCGAACATTCAGGTGGGCTCAGACAAAAAAAAAAAAAGATTGCGCGGCATTTGAATGAGTATTTTTTTTGTAAGTCTTATGTGTCTACCGGACGCCTTTGGTCTTTTTTTTTTCCCTTGTTCTTTTCTTTTTTTTCTTTCTTTTCTTCTTTCACTTTCATTTTTATATTTTTGTAACCCTATTCCTTTTGTTGTGACATCAAAGGACGTAAGTATTAAAAAAAAAACTCACTTTATTTATAGAATAATATTATGTTTTTATTTTCATTTTATTTTATTGAACTTTTTGTTTTTTTTATATATATTATATTAACCATTAAACATCATCATCTTTTATATATATATTTATACTTCGTGTTTATAGGGACGAAAATATTACAATGGCAGAACAACCATTACCTATCCAATTTCATGAGCATGCTCAGGTAAGAAAAAAAAAAAAGATGGTGATAAAAAAAATATTGACAATGTTGTTATTATATTAACACGTCTCTTTCGGCTCTTTTTTATATATATATATTTACAACCTGTTATTATTAGCTGCAATCTCTTGGTGTTAATGCAGCAAGTATTGCTTTCAATACTCTCACTATGGAATCCGACCGTTTTATTTGTATTCGCGAAAATATCAATGGTGCTAATCAAGTCGTCATCATTGATTTGCACAATAACAATGAAATGATGCGTAGACCTATTTCTGCTGACTCTGTTATTATGCATCCTACTACCAAAGTGATGGCTTTGAAAGGTATCATTATTGATAAATATATATATATATATTTTACTGACGATATTTGGTGATCTTTTTTATTATTAATAGCTGGTCGAACACTTCAAGTCTTCAATTTGGAACTCAAATCAAAATTGAAATCTCATACTATGAATGAAGATGTCGTTTTTTGGAAATGGACAAATTTGAAAACGTTAGGCCTAGTCACTAATTCTGCTGTTTATCATTGGTCTATTGAAGGTGAAGCTGGTCCACAAAAGATCTTTGATCGTCATGCCAATTTGAATGGTTCTCAAATCATTAATTATCGCGTCTCTAGTGATGATAAATGGATGGTCTTGATTGGTATTGCTGGTCAAAATGGACGCGTCACTGGTGCTATGCAATTATATTCCAAGGAACGTGGTGTTAGTCAACCTATTGAAGGTCATGCTGCTTCTTTTGCTGAACTCAGATTAGATGGTGCCCAATCTCCCACAAAATTGTTTGCTTTTGCTGTGCGATCAGCTACTGGTGCTGCAAAGGTAAATTATATAGAGAATGAAAATAGTTAATTGGGTTTTTTAACTTACATATATCTATATCTAATAGTTACAAATTATTGAAGTGGATCATCAAGAAGGAAATCCTCCATTCCAAAAAAAGGCTGTTGAAGTGTTTTTCCCTCCTGAATCGCCAACTGATTTCCCTGTATCAATGCAAGTTAGTAAAAAGTATGGTATTATTTACTTGGTGACCAAGATGGGGTACATTCATTTGTACGATTTGGAATCTGGCGCTTGTATTTATATGAACCGTATTACTGCTGATACTATCTTTGTTACTGCTGAACGTGAAGAAACTGGTGGTATCATTGGTGTCAACAAGAAGGGTCAAGTATGTACTAAAAAAAAAAGAGAAAAAAAAGTGTGGAAATAATAAATAAGAAAATCTAATGATTATTACCATTATTATCATGATTTCTATAGGTTCTTTCCGTGTCTTTGGATGAAAACGTGATCATTCCCTATATTCTCAACACTTTGAACAATACTCAACTTGCACTTTCCTTAGCTTCTCGTGGTGGCCTTCCTGGTGCAGATGATTTATATGTCAGTCGATTCAATGAACTCTTCAATACTGGAAACTACAATGAAGCCGCTAAAGTTGCAGCCAATTCACCCCGTGGTATTCTTCGTACTACTCAAACAATTGATCGATTCCGTCAAATTGCTGGTACACCAAATCAATTATCCCCTATTCTTCAATATTTCGGTATCTTGTTGGAAAAGGGTAGTCTAAACAAGTATGAATCTTTGGAACTTGCCAAGCCAATTCTTTTACAAAATCGCAAACCTCTATTGGAAAAGTGGCTCAAGGAAGACAAATTGGAATGTAGTGAAGAACTCGGTGACTTTGTCAAGCAACATGATTCAGTCTTGGCTTTGTCTGTTTATTTACGTGCCAATGTACCTAACAAAGTGGTTCTCTGCTTTGCTGAAAACAAACAATACGACAAAATCCTTGCTTATGCTAAAACTGTTGGATTCACCCCTGATTATTCTTCATTATTATACAACATTGCTCGAACTGATCCCGATAAAGCTGCTGATTTTGCAACTGCTTTAGTGAATGATGAAAATGGACCTTTGATTGAACCCGAAAAGGTAAGAAAAAATAATGGAAAAGTGTGACAATGGAACTAATTTGTGATATTTCTTATATATATATTAGGTTGTCGATGTTTTCCAATCGCAAAACATGATTCAACAAGCTACTTCTTTCCTTTTGGATTACCTCAAGAATAACAGAGAAGAAGATGCTGGTTTACAAACTCGTGTACTTGAAATGAATTTGATCCATGCCCCTCAAGTTGCTGATGCTATTTTGGGTACCGGTATGTTGACTCATTATGATCGTGTTTTGGTTGGTACATTATGTGAAAAGGCTGGTCTCTATCAACGTGTAAGTTTTTTTTTCCTAAAGTTTTACGGTCCATCTAATAACAAAGGATATCTTTTTTTTTCTATTTTAGGCCTTGGAGCATTTCACTGATATTCATGATATCAAACGTATCATTCCTCAGACTCACTTGTTGGCTGCTGAATGGTTGGTCGATTACTTTGGTACTCTTTCAGTGGATCAAACCTTAGAATGTTTGAAAGAAATGCTCAACACCAATCTCCGTCAAAATCTTCAAGTGGTTGTGCAAGTGGCTATCAAATACTCGGAACAACTTCAACCTCATAATTTGATTGAAATGTTTGAATCCTACAAGAGCAACGAAGGTAAAATTTAGATAAGTGATGAATGAGAAAAAAAAAAAGGAGGGAATGAATTTAATCATATTTATATACATATATTTTTTTTTTTTAGGTTTATATTATTACTTGGGTTCGATTGTCAATGTAAGTCAAGATCCTTTGGTACACTTCAAGTATATCCAAGCTGCTTGCCGTACTGGAAATATTCGTGAAGCTGAACGTATTTGTCGTGAAAGCAGTTATTATGATGCTGAAAAAGTCAAGAATTTCTTGAAGGTAACAAAGAATAGAAAAATTCACCAAAAGAAAACCATGAAACTGATTTTAATTTGATTATAGGAAGCCAAACTTAGTGATCAATTACCTTTGATTATTGTGTGCGATCGATTCAACTTTGTTCACGATTTGGTTCTTTATCTTTATCACAATAATTTACAATCCTTTATCGAAGTCTATGTTCAAAAGGTGAACCCTGCTCGTACTCCTGAAGTGATTGGTGGATTGTTAGATGTCGGATGTGATGAAGATGTGATTAAGAACTTACTTTTATCCGTCAAAGGTGATTTGTCTGTTGGAAAACTATGTGAACAAGTGGAAGAACGCAACCGTCTGAAGCTCCTCTTGCCTTGGTTGAATTTACGTGTTACTGAAGGAAGTCAAGATCCTGATGTGTACAATTCTTTAGCTAAGATTTACATTGATACCAATAATAATCCTGAACCATTCCTCAAGGAAAACGGAGTAAGTTTTGAATTTTATAAAGGAATAATCATTGATTGACTTTTATTATTTAGTATTACAACCCTCGTATTGTTGGTAAATACTGTGAAAAGCGTGATCCTTACTTGGCCTTCATCTGTTACCAAAAAGGTCAATGTGACTATGAATTGATTCATGTTACCAATGAAAATTCCATGTTCAAACATCAAGCCCGTTACCTTGTAAAACGTCGTGATCAAGAATTATGGGCCTTTGTTTTACAAGAAAACAATGAACATCGTCGTGATGTGATTGATCAGGTATGTAGAGAAAAAACGATAGTAAGAAGAAGAATTTAGGTAACTGAAAATACATTCCCTTTTTTTTAGATTGTTGCTTCTGCTTTACCTGAATGTACTGATCCTGATGATGTATCTGCTGCTGTCAAAGCATTCATGGCCGCCAACTTACCCAATGAATTGATCGAACTTTTGGAAAAGATTGTATTGGAAAGCAGTGCATTCAATGATAACAAAACTTTACAAAATCTTCTTATCTTTACCGCTGTCAAGGTAATCTACGAAAAAAAAAAAATGATAAACATGCAGAATCTAATTCTTTTTTTTTTTTAGGCTGATTCTTCCCGCGTGATGGATTATATTTCTCGATTGGATAACTACGATGCTTCGGATGTCGCTGAAGTGTGTATTGGTGAAGAACTCTATGAAGAAGCATTTACGATCTACAAGAATAATAATGTCAATGCTAATGCTGTGGATGTGTTGATTGAAAAGATCAATGATTTGGATCGTGCCTATGAATTTGCCAATCGCTGTGATCAACCTGATGTTTGGAGTAAACTTGCCAAGGCTCAACTTTCAAATATGCATGTCAAGGAAGCCATCGGTAAGCATATATTTATTATTGTTACATTTTTTTTCCCTCTTCTTTTGTCTAACTTTTTTTTTTACGTCTTCTTTTAACATAGATTCTTATATCCGAGCCAATGATGCATCCAACTACATTGAAGTGTCTCGTAATGCTGCTATTGATGGAAAATATGAAGATTTAGTTCGATATCTCCAAATGGCTCGCAAACAATCTCGTGAACCTTTCATTGAAACAGAATTATTATACGCTTATGCCAAGACGGATCGATTGGCTGATTTGGAAGACTTTATTGCTTCCCCCAACATTGCTCAAATCCAACAAGTAGGTGATCGATGTTACCATGAACATCTTTTGGAAGCTGCCAAGATCCTTTACGGTAGTATCTCGAATCATGCATGTTTGGCCTCTACTTTGGTATTGTTGAAGGATTATCAAGCCGCTGTGGATTGTGCTCGAAAGGCCAACAGTACCAAGGTATGGAAAGAAGTCAATGCCGAATGTATCCGTCAAAATGAATTCCGTCTCGCTCAAATTTGTGGTCTTCATATCATTGTTCATGCCGAAGAACTTGATACTCTTGTCAAGACTTATGAAGCCAATGGTTATTTCGATGAATTAATTCAATTACTGGAATCTGGTCTTGGATTGGAACGTGCTCATATGGGAATGTTTACAGAGTTGGCTGTGTTGTATGCGAAATATGCTCCTGATAAGATGATGGAACATCTCCGATTATTTGTTTCTCGTGTCAATATTCCCAAGGTGATTCGTGCTTGTTCTGATGCTCATCTCTGGCGTGAATTGGTGTTCTTGTATGTCCATTATGATGAATTCGACAACGCGGTAACTGCTATGATGGAACATGCGGCTGATGCTTGGGAACATTCTGCTTTCAAGGATATCATTGTCAAGGTGTCCAATATCGAGATTTATTACAAGTCTCTCCGATTCTATTTGAATGAACACCCATTACTTCTCAATGATCTTCTTGCTGTTCTAGTACCTCGTATCAATCATACTCGTGTGGTCCAATTCTTTGAAAAATCCGATAATATCCCTTTGATCAAGCCCTATTTGTTATCTATACAAGAAGTAAGTAGTCAATAGTCTAGTTTTTTTTTTTTTTCTTTATGACTCATCATTGTTTATTTTATGAATTAGGTGAATAACAAGGCCATTAACTCTGCATTGAACGAATTATTCATTGAAGAAGAAGATTATGATGCTTTACGTGAATCTGTGGATCAATATGATCACTTTGATCCTATTGATATTGCTCAACGACTTGAAAAACATGAACTCCTGGAATTCCGACGTATTGCTGCTCATCTTTATAAACGTAACCGTCGCTGGCGCCAATCTATTGCTCTTTCCAAACAAGACCGCTTATTCAAGGATGCTATGGAAACCGCTGCTGAATCCAAGGATCGTGAAGTGGCCGAAGAATTATTACAATACTTTATCGAAATCGGAAAACGAGAATGTTTCTCAGCTATGTTATACACATGTTACGATCTTATGCGTCCTGATATCGTAATGGAATTGGCCTGGCGACATCAATTGACTGACTTTGCTATGCCATATATGCTCAATACCATGAAGGAACAATTCACAAAGGTGGAACTTTTGGATAAGGAAGTCAAAGAACTCAAGGAAAAGCAAGCTAATCAGGAAAAACAAGATGAAAATGGTAATATATATATATATCGGTGATTGAGCAATGTACTAATGAAATTCTTTTTTTTTTCCTTTTTTAATTACTCCAGTTCCAGTTATGCCTGCAATCACTGGTGGTGCTTTTGGCAATTTACGGATTGGCATGTAAGACAAGGTCATCTGTAATTGTTTAGTTTTCTTTCTTTTATATATTTTTACTGTTAGTATTTTTTTATTATCACTCTCTTTTTTTGCTTAGATGCACAAAACACAAATATTCTGTTTTTATCCCCATATGCTTATATATTTTTTTTATTCTTTTACCGTTTGTGTCCCTTTATAGTTTAGTATTTTTCTTTCTACATGAAATAAAAAAAAGAAAGCACTTTGTGTTTTGTCCAATGTTCTATGTTATTTCTGATTTGATTATATGATGATGTTACACGTAATGACGTTTTGACTCATAAAAAAACAATCATCATTTCGCAATGATACTCATTTTGATGAAAAAAAAATGAAGAAATAAGTAGCATAATGAAATGATGATTCAATTTTTGCATTTTATAAGCTATCTATGACAGGGTTTATCGAATGATGAATATTGAAACATGATCCTGAAACTACCCTACAAAGTAAATGCATCATATTTTTAAAATACAGTTTTCTTGGCTATCTATTTGTTGTTATTTTTTTTTATGATGTCCCCTGTACAAGAACAAAGAAAATAATAAAAAAAGGATACTATAAATAAGAAAGTGGATAAATATAGAATAATGAGAAATGAAGACGACACTAATGTTGAATGATGTTTGTTGATTTGTATGTGTTACACCCAATATGGAAGGCACTAAAAATGCATAAAGACTTTCATCCCCGGTGGTTTTTCTTTTTTTTTTTATAAATACTCTGGTTTTCTTTTTCGTTTTCTTTTTTCTTATTATCTTTAAAAAAAATCAATCCATTCATCTTATTACAATTCAATCCAATATGTTCCGTACTTTGTTCACTTTGATGATTCTTGTCTTTACGTTGGTGGTTGCCCAACAAACACCTATTGTCAGTATCACAGCTCCATTACAAAATGCCGCCTATTCTGCTGGTCAACGTTTAGTGATTTCATGGTAAGAAAAAAAAAACTCATTTAAATCCCTTCCAATAACCGTTTATAATGATGATTAGGATTAATCCTCAAGTGGATACTATTTCTCAAATTCAAATCTGTCATGGTAATCCTGCAGCCCTTCAACCTATTGCTGTAATTGCCACCAATGTCAATGCCAAAGGAAATGGTTCGTTTGACTGGACTATTCCTTCTAATTATACTACTGGAAGTGATTGTAAGTGATGATAAAAAAAAAAGTTGTTTGATCATATCTCATTTTTTTTTCTTCTTCTGGATTTAGATGCTTTCATTTTGGGTACATCACCAAATGTTGCTTATACTGGTCAATTCACTATCAATGCTGCCACATCATCCTCCTAAACATTGGCTATAGTTAGTTTATTATGAGCTATCTTATTATATTATTGAATAAAATCTTCCTTTTTTTTAAAAAAAAAATATGAATGAATATGATAGTTAGGCAAGAGTATATTGGATGAAAGGATCATGAATCCACGAATGGACGGATAAAAAAAAGTCGCTTTCTTTTTGGAGTATGAATGAAAAAAAAAAATAACTCGTGTCAAACCAAAAGTGTCCAATAAACGAAGAGACGATGTTTTAGGTACGAATAATCAATAGTTTTATTGTAGTCCGTTTTATCAGTGCCCTGAGCATAAAGAGAAAACTGGCGGAACTTGGAAGAGCAAAAAAAAAAAAAAAAAAAAAAAAAAAAAAAAAAAACTCGCCTCCTTTTTAGTTCTAGACAAATTTTTTTCTTTGTCTCTTCTTCTCCTACTTTTACTCCCTTCTCTTTAATATTTTATCTCATTTCTTTTGCTTCTCGTATGCATTCATCACGTCTTCATCTTTTTGAAATTACAACAAAACAAACTACCTAGCTTATCTAGTAAGAGAATACCAAAACAATGGCTCTTTATTGAACTCATACTAATATACCTCTTTTTACGTCCTTTTCTAGGAACTTGCATTGGCTTTGTTTCATGTTATCTAACTATTATCTCGTGTGTAGGCGCTTCACCGTTGTATGTCAATTTTTCCTGTCTGGATAAGTTTACAATTGAAAAAGCAATCAAACTGACTGGAACAACTCTTCAGCGTATGCATTACTGGAAAACATGTTGAAGGCAAGATAAAAAGTAACAGAAATTCCCTGGGGAAGTTGGCGAGACTTGAAAGGATATGTCGCTGGAAACTCGCCATTATGGTATACACTTCTTGGAAAAGGAATTAGAAGACGTCAAGATCGATAATTGTCACGCTTAAGGTTCTTGGATAGCAAAGCACATGATCAGGAGCAAACGGATGAACCAGATGAGGGAAGGTAACAAAAAAAAAGGCAGATTTTTGATAGTATTTTTTATATTGATTATTGATAAAAATTACTATTGTGACCTATCTCTCTTTGATAGGGTGCCATTGGCAAAACAACAGCAAACATATCAACGACTTTATTCTCACTATCGGAAGAGGGGAACGCCTTACACGCGGAAAATCAGAAATAATTTACACCAATACAAGAGGACGACTCGTTACCATCAATCATCATCATCAATCGCCTTCAGTCATCACCGCCATCAGAATCAGCAATTACTGAGCAACCTCAAGACACTTCAACATAAAGTTTTTTTCTCAGAGGATGATGGTTCATCATGCCAAGCTGTCCTTGTCAATCCGTATCAGCATCATCAAGGAAATTAACACAAACAACAAAAACGTCAAGCAATCAATTATATGAAAATTAGTTATTGTTATCATGTATTAGTTTTTTTTTTTTTTTTTTTTGTATATATCTCATTAAATAAAGGTTAACTGCCTTCATAGTATGGATCCTATAGTTGTATTCTACGTCTGATAGTTGTAATCTAGTTGAAGGAGTCTGATGCGTGGTACTGTTTCGAGCGATTTTCTTCTTTCCGGTAGGTTAGCCATCATCCATTTTTTGGTTTCGTCTGTTGATGCTACTTTCGACGTTTAAACTGCTACTTCCATTTTTGTCTTCATCTCTTTAGATTTCCAGGAGAGGAGGGTTATGATTTGTCTGATGGTGTGCTGCCAACGGCCATCTAAGGAGGGCATCAAAACCTGTAAAGATCTTCATCCCAAAATTGCATCTTTCTTTTAAATAAATACTCTGGCGTCTTTTCCTTTTTTTTTTTTTTTTTTATCTTGAAGAATAAAAAATCAACCCATCTTGCAATCCAATCCATTTTAAATATGTTTCGTGCTTTGTTCACTGTGATGACTTGTGTTATTCCCTTAGTAGTTGCCCAAACTTCCATTGTCAGTGTCACCTCTCCTTTACAAGGCGCTACCTATTTTGTTGGACAACCCTTGGTGATTTCATGGTGAGAAAAACATTTGATTTAAATCCTTCTAATATTAACCCCCCCTTTTTTTTCTTGTTATTATTAGGATCAATCCTCGAGTGGACACTATCTCTAAAATTCAAATCTCTCATGGTGATCCTGCTGCTCTACAGCCCGGTGACGTGATTGCCACCGATGTGGATGCTGGAAAAGGCTCATTTGAATGGGATATTCCTTCCGATTATCCTACTGGAAATGACTGCAAGTGATGATAAATTGCGTTTGATCATCTCTAAGTGTATCTCTTTTTTTTTTTTTTTTTTGGCTTAGATGTTTTCATTTTCGGTACGTCACCTAATATTTCGTATAGTGGTCAGTTCACTATCAATGCTGCTGCATCATCCTCTTAAGCATTTGGTATAGCTCGTAGTTTAAAAGTATCATTAGATAAAATCTTTTTTTATGTTCTTCCTATGATATTATGAACATGATAGTTGATGGAAAGTGTATGTAGGTGAAAGGACTATAATTCTATGTGCTGATGGCTGACTGAAAGTTGACGTCTTGTTCTTTAATGAATGAAAAGAAAAAAATATCACGTGTGTTAAAACAAAAGTGGCGAAGAGATGAAGTGCCGACGATGTTAGGTATGAATGATTCATAGTTTAGTCCATTTTATCCGTGCCCTGAGCGTAAAGAGAAAACTGGCGGTACTTGGAAAAAAAAATCGACTCCTTTAGTACTTCTTAGTTCTTGAAAATTTTTTCTTTCTTTGTCTCTTCTTCTCCTACTTTTACCCACTCCCTTTGATATTTCATTCAACTTTTCTTTGTTTCTTATATGCATTCATTACGTGGCAATATCTTCGTCATCTTGAAATTATAACAAAGAGAAAAACAAACGACTAAGCTTATATAGTAAGGAAATCTCAAAACATTGCCTCTCTAATGAACAGATACTAACGTACGTCTTCTTTTTTTCTTTTTCTTTTTCTTTTTTTTTTTTTTTTTTTTTTTGTTAGGAACTTGAGTTGAACTTGTTTTACGTTATCTAATTATTATATCGTGTAAAGGTAATATCTAACAAGGTGATAGCGTGCTCGCCATCATCAACCCATGAACTCATCATTGGCAAAAGGAACAACAGAAAAGACGACAATAAATGACTCTCTTTTTTGTGCACTTCAATTGTCTCCAACGGCTGCGCTGCAACTGGTGTGTACGAAGATGTCTTTGCATCAAGATACTGGATGATTTTGCAAAGGGAAAGGCAATAAAACTGGATGAAACAATTTACCCCTTAATATATTTTTATACTGATGATTGGAAAAGGTATAAAGGCTGGATACAAGATAAAAAAGATGATGATGAAATAGCAAAATATTCATTTTTGGTGATATGAATCAACCAGCTCCTGAAATGATGATTGTACATCTGAATGAAGATCACAAAGACGACAGATTGGTCAATCTAAAATATATGCGCAAGGTCGAACATACTCAAGTTCTCATGAAAAAGGAACACGACACTGGTAAATTACTTTTGTATATATATTGATGCAATCCATACTTACAATATTTTTCTTTCTCTGTCTCTTTCCATTGATAGATGATCTTCAAGTAGTATTTGTGAGAAGTCGTAGACTGAGTACAGGATCATAATCACATACTTCTTAGGTCCCTATGATCTTTGGTGGTATATATGAGTAGCTCAGTATTGGAAGACATGTGAAATTGAAACCTTTGAAGCCTACGTGGATGAATGAACTCTGGTACAAAGTGAACATCACAGCTAGCTCTTCAAGAATTTGGATACCTATATCAGAAATTATGGTGGATACCTCCCGTCAGTTCAATCATTATGATAGTTTGAAGATTCTTCTTCAATGACAAAAATGCCATGAACTGCATCAGTCGAAAACATCATCCAGGCACCATTCTCAGCTATATCAGCAGACATGTATTTTTCAGCTAGAAGAACTCCATCATCCAATAGAATTCAAGGTTGTCCTATATCCAAAAGCAACATTAGATTATTTGAAGCATAACTTGGTTTCTTCAGTTGGAACAATTTACTCCTTGGCTCATGAACGATTTCTCACCGACCTTGAACCATACGACACCAGACATGATGGGGTCAAGTACAAGACGCCTAAAAAAGTACACTTATGTAATGGATAGGGCGAATACACTGGTAAAATCGTCACACCATGACATCGAGGAAGGAAAGGTGGTACATCACATTGATCACAACGACAGAACAAACGGATAGAAAATTTGGAATGGCATCATATCTCTGGGGATGCTCTTGTGGCCATCGAATTTTATCGTGCAAATCCTGATCTACAACCACACATCTGCAAGTCTCGGCCAAACCTCACAACTTTGACCTGATGAAGGTTTTAGACATATTGGCAAAAGCGCACCTGGAAAAAAAAAAAAAAAAAAAAACTACAAGGCATATTCAACAGAAGAAATTATAAGTGAACCACATTGATGGCGTAAAAGACAACAATCATTATCTCAATCTTCGTTTTATCACCCCAAAGGAAAATGCAAGGTAAGTATATAAAAAAATATTAAGAATGTGCAGGTGGTTGATTTCATTGCTGATCTTCTCACTTCCTTTTTTTTATTTTATTCTCACAATAGAGATATACCAAAAGTTGGCTGTATCTGAAGGATTATGGGGTTGGAGCTGCTTTATGTCATCTTGAAGGTGATGATTATATTCCTATCTCTTTCGCATCAAGAAAATTACAACCTGCTGAAGTCAGACATCCAACAGTTGAAAAGGAACTCTTAGCTGTCATCTTTGCATTGAAACGTTTTCGAAAATTTTTATTGGCTGAAGGATGATTCAAGGATGGTGGAAAAATTTTCAAAACGTAAGGAGCTGTTATCAGAAGACAAAAAAAAAAAAGATCATTGAAGGAGGCATCCTAACCTTGATTTATCATTGTGTGCATTGCATAGGTTATTTGTGGAACAATATGAAGACAAGAACAGTCTATCAATTCCCAAGATCATGAACTCAATTACGATAGCTAAATTAGTCTTTTTTTTTGACTCTAATGAATAAAAAAAAGAATTCGATTGTGTAGTTTATTTTTTTTTAAATGTATTTGATTGCAGGTGATGATTGATTCATTGATACAGAAACTATTTATCAAAAGATTGATGCGTACGTAGGTTTTCAATGAGGGATGATGGAGGGGCTTTTTCATAGATGATACGATAAACGATAGTAAAGAGGGGAAATTCACGTGTCATGTTGTGAGATGATAAGAACTCGTAGATTTCTGCAGCAGTAATAGTACCTTGTAATTTTTGACCATTTAACATTTCCTTTTCCAATTCATCGATGGGCTTCCCAGTAAGGACAAAAGCTTCAGTGACACGACGATTACGACCACCAGCACATGTAGTGATCAAATCTGCCACACCACACGATTCAAAAAACGTTTCAGTATGTACGCCACCGAAAAATGTTTTCCCAAATCGTCGCATTTCTAATAATCCTTGTCTGATGACAGCTGCTTTTGTATTGTTACCTAATCTTAATCCATCCACAATACCAGATGCAACTGCCACCACATTCTAATCATCAAAAAAAAAAAAAAAAAAAAAAAAAAATGAGTGAATCATTATCTTTTTTTTTTTTTTTTTTGTTACCTTTAATGCACCACAGACTTGTAATCCACGCCAATCACCAATCACTCGGATATCAAAGTAATTTGTATTGAATAATGCAACATAGATAGGTCCTTCCTTTTCTATATCTCGACAAGCAACTGTGGCCTCTCCAAAATGTTTTTCTGCCACTTCACTAGCAATATTGGCTCCACTCAATGCCGCGCATGGAATGTCTAATATACGTTCAATTTCTTCTGAAAATAACGCCAATTCATTATCTCGAAGGTCCAATCCCTAAATTATATAAACATGTTGGTGATGATCAAACATATATATGTTATTGTTACCTTGATCAAAGAGATGGCTCGACAGTTGGTGGATAATACCCCTTTCAAGGATTCACACACTTTATATACAAACTGATGTGGTAAAACAAAGACAAGAATATTGGCATCTTTGGCTGCTTCCACAACATCAGGAATGGCAATCAGATTGGTAGGTAATTTGATATTTGGAAGATATCTATCAAAAAAAAAAAAAAAAAAAAAAGTTTATTTCAACGGTATCTTATTATTGTTTTTTTTTCACTTGCTTTATATTTTCATGCTGTTCATTGATAATCTCGGTCAATTTACGTCCATTAACCAATTCTTCAAACACCCACATCCTGATGTCTTTTTCAAACATATCACTTGATGCTGTATTTTCTGCACAAATACGAGCAATACATGATCCCCTATAGAATAATGATGATGAATGATTTTTTTTTTATTTCTTGTTGATTGAACATACCAATTTCCAGATCCTATCACTGATACTTTTAATTTCTCTACCATGTTTAATTTGGAATATAGAAAAAAAATAGAAAGTAGCATCACACGCATATAACCATGGGATTTATATATAATAGTCAAGGTGATTCATTGTATGTCCGCGAAACATGAAATTTTACCATACTTATACTGTAGGTTTCAAATGGATCGTTTCTTTTTTTTTATTGATCAGCTCATATTTTTTTTTCGAAATAACATGCTGCATTTTTTGTCGCGCGATATCAATATAGTGGAAACATAGGTCAAAATCTAAAAATGAAGCATATATACATAAGTGTCGTATCAAGGTATTTCGTACCTATAAGAATACGCGTAAAATATAAATAAAAAACGCATTCAAAACATAAAAAGAAAATAAAAAAAATATAATGATACATCAGAGTATGGAATCAATTACATTGTAACAGAACAGTTGGAATAAGAATAGAAACTTTATTGAATAAAAGTATAGATACTAAAGACTACTAATTGATACGATAGTACTAAAGTCAATATAAAGAAGAGAAAAAAAAATATAAAAGAAAAGAAAAGAAAAGTTAATCGCATATCAAAAAATATAAAAAAAGAAAAACGGACTTCGAAAAACGCTATGTTCAAAGTTCTATATTACTGCTTGGAAAGACACTGTATCAAATGACAAAAAACATTCCAGGGCAGTCATCATGATGAATCACTGCACTTATGATGATTCATCACTTCAATAGACAGCACATCAATAAAAAATGCTCCGTATAACCTTATTCCATCAACTCAATAGTCGACACTTCCTCAACGAAAATAAACATTCACATAAATGGAAGATTACGAGAGACCGTTTATTAAAAATTATTATTTTCAACAGGGGTTATATTAAAGAATCCTTCATTACCCTTGATATCACTTCCAGCGATAAGTTCGATAGCGGGGGAAATAGTGGAATTAGAAGCCCAATATAGCTCTGTGCCTACTGGGTAGATACTATAAAGCCCTTCTGGTGTTGGAGCTATTTCGAATTTATAAGGATTGGTAACAGCGATTATTTTCGTCCCTTGTACTTCGTGATCCACACCGGCATAAAGGCCTTCTAGTGCACTATAAATTGTAGAAGCAACAATCTCATTAGGGTCAGGTGGAGGGTCAATTACCCATTCACCCTTAGTTGTTCCTAATGTTAATGGATCGCCAGCTTTCACAGGCCATCGTAGAAATTCGTTAGTAGCTACGCTTTTTATATGGTAAGCACCCCCTTGCTGAGCAAAAGTAATGTTAATTATTATAGCAAAATAAAAAATAACCAATAGTTTTATTATCATATACAATTTTATATATCAAATATAACATCTATTTTATCATTTTGCGATAAAGAAACTCAACTTTTATACTTTTTTTATTTTCTGATGATAGTTTCAACTTCTGTTACTTCCTTGTATTTTTTTAACCATAAAAGCTAAGGTTGTTCTCAGGGACAAGCTGCATCCTCTCTCCTGCAGATCTGCAGTAGACTTGCGTTCATACATCCTCCAATTCATCCATTCAAAAAAAAAAAAAAAAAAAAAAAAAAAAAAGAAAAGATCAGCGTAGTTTAAGGGAGAGGTAATACCTACAAAATAGCCACAGTCTCCCTCATGCAGCTTATCTTGAGAGCAACCTTGGTTTCATATCCTGGTACTGCATTGAATTTTGGATGCTACTTCCATTCTTGTTTTTGCCACTTGCTTTTTGGACCTGTAGGAGGGAGGATGCAACTTTTCTTGAAAGCGCGCTGAAGTTTTCACTTTTATCTTAATCACCGATTTTACTTTTTTTTGAGAGGAATCCGATAGTGATAGCTTTATTGGATAGCGATCATTATTGGATGAGAGATGGTGACATTTACTTTTGTTTTTTTTAAATTTACTCTATAAATTTGGAGACAATATATAAAATGTTATTAAGAAAAGTAAAAGAGAGTACTTTCATATATATTTGTTCCGAATTTGATGTAATGATTATGATTTTTGAGTGAACCGCAAACATATAAAGGGGTGCATGTCTACCTCATGTGGCGTGATAGCATAAAGACGTTATGCGTTGAATTTCTCACTATAGAGAAAGCTAATTAACGTGAACTCATTATCTATTGTTAGGTTATTCTTTATCAATGCAGCCAGTAGAGTAATCAAAAAAAATCGGCTTGAAACTCGTGGATATTTTGTATCCTACTATGGGTGTAACCAGATATTTTAAATAAAATAAGACAGACAGTGATGTTCTTTTTTAGTTTTATTTGTGAAGAAAAATTAGAAAGATCTACATTTGGCTAGACATGGATTATTTGGATTTTGGCAAGGTTGAGGGGTTGGGACAAAAAAGCAAAAGATCATGCCAAATTGTCATCAGTGGACGGGCTTCAAAAAAAATTACACCCTTTTTGCTTTTTTTTTTTTTATTTTTTTTTTCTTCTTTTTCTTTTTTCCATCCAATTTTTTTTTTCCACATTAGGTGTCCTCTTTGTTTTTGCGATCTTGTCATGGTAGATTTTATTGGGTTTGGAACGATTTGAAAAAGGGATTTAAAAAATACATGGGGAAACCCTTTCATTTTGGATGTAGGAATTAATACAGGTAAAAATATTTTATATAGTCTTGTTTTTTTTCATATGAATTGCTTGACCTAGATTTATTTCATTGGTGATGTGAACTTACTGGATAGGAAACTTTGTTTGGTTAGGAACGGCGACTTATTGTTAAGGATCTTGATGATGGACAAAAATCAAGATGAAATGAACTCTGAACAAGCCCAAGAAGAATACAACGATAATAGGCCCTTTATAAATAATTGATTATTAATACACTCTTTATCTTTAGTAGTATATTTTGTACCAATATCATCTTTTACCAATAAACATTCTATTATCAGCATTGGTTTATACCTTTTTTTTTTTTTTTTTTTTTTTTTTATCATTTCTGTAAAAATCCAGTTGGTAGTTTCCTTTTTTGGGGAAAGTGGACTCCACTTGCAGATGGAACTTCATTGTTTTACTTGTATATTTCGTTTTTGCTCTAAGCTCTCACTCAGACAAAGGAAAAACCGTTTCATTTTACTATATACTGTACATGTATTGTATCCGTATTCAACAATGGAGATGTATGACGGGCCCAGTGAAGGGAAAAGGGTTGCGACAGTAGAATAAGGTTTTGATATAAAAATATTAACACTATGATCAGCTACAGTGGTTGATTTATGATGAGCCAAAAAAAAAAAAAAAAAAATCGGCCTTTCCTAATCGGGATACTCTAAGCCCATCTTTACTTTTTATTCAACATTTTTTTTTCTTTTCTTCCTTCTTTTTTCTACTCTTTTTTTTTTCGTGTATAATATTCTTTTTTTTTTTCTTTGTCTCATTTCACTACCTTCATGTCGAGTGGTTGTTCTGGAATAGTGAATGACTATATCTACAGTGTGAACCCTACTCTCAATGGGTCTTACAGTATCACCACCGAATCAGTTACCAATCCTGGAACCTTAGGCAATTGTCAACCAACATCACTTGGCTCTTCTTTCAAATATTCAGCTTGTACAATAACCAATTATCCTTCTTCCATTGTCTTGGTAGGAACTGATAACAATGCTCCTGGTAATATTCATTCATAGATAATATCCATTCAAACTCACCATTTTTTTTTTTATTTTCATATTTATTAGCGGCATATTATATCTCTATTGGTCAAACTGGTTGCCAATCTCCCAAAGGTTTCTCTCCTCTTAGTGGTGTGGTTCAACCTGTTTCTGTGATTCCTGCTCCATGTTCAGAACCGTCTACAACAGCACCTTGTATCGCTATTCTAGGTACAACAACATCCAATGTTACTCCTCCTCAATATATTATAGACTATCCTTTGGCTGGTGGTACAAAATCATCCAACTTTTCCGTATCCTATACAGATCTTACATCAGCTCCTCCATTGCTGGCTGTGAATCCGTACGACAACTCCACCCTCTATGTACTTGGCTATCCCTCAAGGAATGAAATGCTCGTGAAACCAAATACTTATCAATCTACTGAATCTGTTTTACCTTCCGATACCACAAACACCATTACCAGCAACACTGTTACCAGCATCAGCAATACACTGCCTACTCTTACCGGTCATGCTATAAAACGAGCTTTACCCAGTCCTGGACTTGCTAGTGATACTATTCTTACATTGAACGAAAACATTGAAGGCACTGGTCCTGCTATCTCTGCAGGCAACAACGTTGTCATCGTGTCCAAAGATAGCGTGTCGGTTCAAGTTTTGTCCATGAAATCATCATCATCCTACGTTGTTTCCAAACCTAATCCATTATTATCTTCATTAGATGCAAGCGGTATTTCAGGTATTGGTTCTATAGTACAACAAGATCAGCAACAATCTACCGTTTGGATCAGTTTTATCGACCAACAAGGAAATCCCAGACTCACCTCAAGCAGTCAACCGTCTCTCTTCGCTCCTCCTTCTGATGCCAATCCATCCACATCTAGTTCCGCTAGCAACTATCCCATATCATCAGATGCAGGTACAGAAGGATTGTCAACAGGTGCTATTGTCGGTATTGTTATTGGTTGTGTCATCGGCGGTATACTTTTTTGTGGTCTGGCCTTCTTTTTCCTTCGACGACGAAGACAACGACAGCATCAATTACGACAACATGAAGACGAAGGCGGTATTACTTTGACGGATCAACGTCTCTTATCGGAAAAACTAACGTCAGCTTCGACACCTACAACTTATCGATCTGTACCCATCAAAGATGATGCTAGTAACAACATCATCAACAACAATAACAATAATGAAAAGGTTGATGCATCCACTGCTGCTGCTGCTATTGCTGCTGATGCCATTACTCAATTGACAAGAACAATCAACAACACATCGTCATCTCAAGATATTGATCTTTATGAACCAACTGGAACTAGTGACACTTTGTATTTAGGTGAAGCGATCTATAGTTTACACAAGGAATCACCGATCTATGCAGTGTTCCCACAAGGCTACGCAACTCGTTCAGCAACAAGAACGAACAATCTACATCAACAACCGACGGAATGTACCATCCATTATTTCCCAGCGACATGTGCAACATGTTTTGGCCAACTGATACAGACAACAACGGATTTACAAAATCGAGATGGTGGATTGACAACCCTGGATGCGATTACATTATCACGACCTACAGCACATGGTGGATATCAGTACATATGGATCACATCCCCTTTCTCACTTCATCGGACCTTGTATCATCTGTTATACGAAGGTAGCTTGGGTGCTGTGGTGGATCACACTCAATTCTCATTCAAGGCATGGTCAACACTCTCAATGCTCAAAACCTTAGATCATCTACATCGTCAAGGTTGGATTCATCGAAAACTGAATTTACATAGTTTCTTTTATCATCAAGCAAGTACAGTGACGGATTGGTCCTTGACTGGGTTTTATCAATCCAAAGTGTACACTGGACAATTGGAAAATCATTTTCTTCAACAACAGCAAATGAATGAACAAGGCAATATACAATTGGATGAATTTAGTGCACCTGAATGGATACTTCATACCAACAATACTCATTTGGATGCTTCCACCATGATTGTATCTCAACCATCCATGGATATTTGGTCGCTAGGACTTATTTTGTATACAGTGGCGACAGGTAAACCGGCCTTTCTACATTTCCACGATTATCAAACGACGGTTGCCAATAGGCTTTTGCAAGCAAGATTAGATGCACTCTTGAAAGAAGTGGCTTCGGTGGATGATACTTACAAGGAATTGCTAACTCGGATGTTACAAATTGTTCCTGATGCCCGTGATACTTTGCCAAATCTGATCAACTACTGGATGCACGCTAATCAACTGGATGATGATGAATGAATGACCGTATTATCTGGACTGTTGCTCATACACATTAGATATATTTCCCCTTTCATAGTATCGCCCGTCTATCCGACAACGACTTTTTTTTTTTTTTTTTTTTTTTTTACATTTTACTACTCTTATTCTAGATTAGCATACCAATAAAGAGTACTCTCTCTTTTTTATTGATTTTTTTTTTATTCGCCACCTTCTCCATGGATTCCAGACAAAAAAAAAAAGAAAAAAAAGTATTAATAAAATGTGTCTGCATCTATTTATGAAAGTATATGGTATAGTACTGTCTATCATGATTAGTCTATAAAAAGTATAATGCATCCAGGAAAAAGAAAAAGAATATATGGTCCTCGTCACTTTGTTTCCGAGAAAGTAAAAAGACGGTATGTGATCCATAAACTGTTTTTTTTCATAAGAATTGGCGGAGAAAAATAAATGATATGCGTAATTGAATAATATGATTTGCGGGTGAAAAAAATGTGATTTGCGTTGTATTGATGATACCAAAAAGAGAATATACAAAAAAAAAAAAAAAAGAATAGAAAGAGAAATAAGGTAGGTAAGCAGTTGCTTTTTTTTTTTTTTTTTTTTGATACTTACAACCGAAGTTTAAACGTCGCAGGTTTTTGCTATCCGGATTAAGCATATAGCGCAGGCATAGAAAGAATGGAATGATGCTAAGCTTATGAATCTCCCCGCCGCAATCGTCCTCAACGTTTTAGAATTAATGGGATGACACGCAGTTTTGAATCACTCTTGATAGCCAAGCTTCCAAATCTTTCTAGCCACCGAATATGATCCAAAATCATCTTTTTATTTTTCCTGTTTGAAGCAAGAAAAATAAAAAGATGATTTTGGATCATAGGATCATTAATTTAAAAGTATATATAAAGAGTTAGTGTCATGCCTCTTGTTCACTAAATAAAAAAAAAAAAAGGAACTTACCATAATATGATTTGTACCATAGATGATCAAATAATATATCAAGGCAGTGTATGAATGTTAAATAAGAAAAGGATAAAGAAAAAGAAAAAAAATAAAATAAAAAAGATCATGAAAGAGTACAGTATTTTATAGAAAATGATAAATTTTTTGCTGAGGATGATAAAAATAAAAAGGGGTGGTTAATTCTTTCTTTCTTTCTTTCTTTTTTTTTTTTATCAGTCATCGGATAATGATGATGATTGATTTTCATTGATGATAGAAAAAAGAAACAATGAAACAAAGGAGGTTAATTTTTCTAAGATAGTTTGGTTCTTTTTCATAGGAATGCTAAGAATAGAAAGAGATCTAAATTATTATTTTTTTTTATCGGTCATTGGGTAATGATTGTTTTGCATTGATTATAGAAAAAAGAGTGATGACAAATAATGCAAGAAAAAAGAACAGGTTTTGCTGTTGAGAGTAATCAAATTATTGATCTAGCTATGATCATTAAGAAGACTATAATAAAGAAGAAGAAAGCTTCTATTGATATCATCAGTCATCAATCACCAATCATCCATAATATGAAAAAAGGATCACCGCAAATATATTCAAACTCCCAATGCAAACAAGTCTCTAATCACAACGCAGAAAAATAAAAAAATGAACGCACTTCACATGGAAAAACCAGTAAACTTAAAGCTGATGCACTTTCTCTTGTTATCTATTCCTCTTTACTCACTTCATCCGTGCTTCCTTGTTTTCTTTCTTTTTTATTTTGATTGTTGTTTGGCTGAAGAAAAGAACCTGTAGATCTTTTTTTTATTAAAATAAAGATAGCATAAACTTTTACTTAGTTTTGCGGGAATTTCAACTGGTGCAAACGTAAAAAGAAGATTGCGCAAATTCACTTTTTATGTTGTGCAAATTTTATTTGGGTCAACGCAAATTGGTAGGAAAAACCCAGTAATTGATAATTAATGCAGACAAAAAAAAAAAAAAAAAAAAAAAAAGAGGAGGAGACCTTCGTCAAGGGCGTGTCAAAAGTAATCCGAGATAGGTAAGAATAAGAATTCCCATTTTTTTTTTAAAAAAAAAAAAACGTTTTCTTTATTATACTTCTCTTTCCGTTTTATATTTTTACACTATTGCGGCAAGGACTATGGTACCTACAACAGCTTTCATAAACTTTGAAAACACATTTTATATTTTTATTTTTCTTCATTCAAGTCCTACCCCTTATTCATCAACAAAAGACAAATATCAATCATCAATACAGGTCTTTATTGTAAAACTCATCAAATTAGCTTTCTGAGATTCCGGTATGTTTTATTGATTGGAAGGAGATCATCCCATTTGCTTTTCTTGACATTCAACTTATTTTTTTTTATTGGTTTTACAAAAGTAAAACTGGTGCTCACTATTATCATTATCAATCTAGAAGCAGTTAGATTGAATCCATCAATTTAAAAAAAAAAAATACAACATCAAAGAAAACTACAACAATGGTAACGACGGAAGATTTAGGCCGCTCTCAAGAAAAGTTGCATCTCCCTCCTGCAGATCTGAAAAGAACGTAGCAGAACAAAAATAGGAGTAACATCTAAAGCCCAAGGTATACCAGAAGATCAACCAGGAGGCGAAATCAAGATTGCCCTCAAGGTAAGTTGCATGAGGGGAGCTGTGGCTATTTTTGGTTGCAGGTGTTACCTTTCCCATAAACTACACTGATCTTTTTTTTTTTTTTTTTTTGAATGGATGAATTGGATGATGAACGAACATGAGCCTACTGCACATCTGCAAGACGAAGGATGTAACTTTGTCCTTGAGAGAAACCTTAACTTTTTGGGGCTAAAAAGGAGTAATAAAAATCAAACTATCATCAGAAAATAAAAAAAGTATAAAAGTAGAGTTTCTTTATTCCAAAAAGATAAAATAGATATTGTATCTGATATATAAAATTGTATATCATGATAAAACTATTGGTTATTTATTTTACTATAATTATTAACGTTACTTTTGCTCAGAGAGGTAGCTTCCATATAATACACACAAATACTTCAACTTTTCTGCAAGCAGCTGGGGCAGCTGGCGGTCCATTGACACTAGGAAACAGTAATACTGCTGGTGTATGGACAATTGGCCCTATACATGACACCGTTAGTCTTTCTACAATTTATAATGCACAAGCACGACTTTATGCTAGTGTCGACCAACCAGTACCAGGTAAAAATGTAACTGGTGCTTCTCAACCTTATGATTTTCAAATGTATCGATTTAGTGAAGAGTCTTATGCTATTCATGTACCAGATCAAGACTTTTATTGGGATTCTAATTCCACTATTTTGCCTCATATCCAGCTCGTGCACGAATCTGAAATCATCGGTGATCATAATATTTTTCAAATAGTACCCGTTATTTAATAATGGTTTTTAATAAACCCTCTGGAATTGTTCGAAATTCTCGCATGAGCTTATTTCATACCTATAATATATGATAAAGTAAAAAGAATGCATTCAAACATAAAAAAAATACATGGTGGAATCAATTCTGTTGACATGTAACGAAGTAGTTGCAACAAAAAAAAAAACTTTATTGAATGAAAGGTGTATAACTAATGACGATACTAATGAATATAATAAGACTATAAAAAGTCAATGGAAAAGAGAAAAAAAAAATGAGAAAGGAAATAAAAGTCTAAAAAGTAGATGTATCAAAAAATGGGACTTTGAAGATCATCATGCTCCTTCTAGTCTAACCAATAGAAATCTCTTGAGCAAAGAGCCTAAATTGATATGTTGATACGTTTACCACATAATCATCATCACCGGAATGCATCACACAGGTCATTAAAACAAATCAGATGTTACCAACAAGAAGTACATGTTTAATCTACCATGATTAAAAGTTTTTTATTTTCAAACAAATATAAAATAGATACAAACTTTTCAATTGTAGATACAATAAACTTTTTTTTTTTGCTTTTTAAGTAAACTAAAAGGAATCTCACTGAATTATATAACTAATATTTTTCTATAATCTTATCTACATCCAAATTTCATACCTATACAGAGAGAAATCCGTTAGAAAATTCAAGCCATTGTCTTTTGTACTATAACATCACATTGGGTAGGCATTTATCTCTTTATACTTTTGTAATTCTCTCAACAGTCACCATCATTGCATCAAATTTGGATCGAAGATGTATGTATTCTCTCTTATTTGCCTTAATAACAATTTATACATTACCTCCTAATCTACAAAGTAAATTAAAAATAAAAGGTCATTATCATCATCTCTTATCCGGTAATGATCACTATCCAACGAAGCTACCACTATCGGATTCCTCTCAAAAAAAGTCAAACCAGTGATTAAGATAAAAATGAAAACTTCAGCGCGCTCTCAAGAGAAGTTGCATCTCCCTCCTGCAGATCTGAAAAAGACGTAGCAAAACAAAAATGCGAGTAGCATCTGAAGTCCGAGATAGCACCAGGAGACAGCCAGGAGATGAAATCAAGGTTGCTCTCAAGATAGGTTGCATGAGGAAGTATATAAACATTTTTGGTTGCAGGTGCCACCCTTCCTTAAACTACGTTGATCTTTTTCTCTTTTTTTTTTTTTTTTTTTGAATGGTTGAATTGGATGATGCATGAACATGAGTCTACCGCACATCTGCAGGACGAAGGATGTAACTTTGTCCTTGAGAGCAACCTTAACTTGTAGGGTTAAAAAGGAGTAATAAAAGTCAAACTATCATCAGAAAATAAAAAAAGTATAAAAGTAGAGTTTCTTTATTCCAAAAAGATAAAATAGGTATTGTATCTAATATAAAAAATTATCTATGATGATAAAACTATTGGCTGTTTGTTTTGCTATAATAATTAACATTGCTTTTGCTCAGAGTGGTAACTTCCATATAATGCACGTAAACACTCAAACTTTTCTACAAGAAGCTGGGGCAGCTGGCGGTCCATTAACATTAGGAAATATTAATGCTGCTGGTATATGGACAATTGACCCTGTACCTGGCCCTGATATGGTTGTTTCTTCTACAATTTATGATGCACAAACACAACGTTATGCTAGTGTGGCTCAACCAGTACCAGGTGAAAATGTAACTGCTGCCTCTCAACCTTATGATTTTCTTATAGCTCAATTAAGTGGAGGGTCTTATGCTATTTTCCTACCAGGCCAAGACTTATTTTGGGATTCTAATTCCACTATTTTGAATCATATCCAGCTCATTCCTGGGAATGATATCATCGGTAATGATAACTATTTTGATATAGTACCTGTCCTAAGTTAATGATTTTTAATAAATTCCGTGGAATTGTTCGAAATTGCCTTATGAGCTTATTTCGTGCCTATAATATATGCGTAAAATAAAAAGAATGCATTCAAACATAAAAAAAATACATGTTGATGGAATCAATTCTGTTGACATGTAACGAAGTAGTGTAACAAAAAAAAATATATATACTGTAGTCTGGACCTTCACACTGAATTCTTCACTTCACACCTTCTCAAAAAAAAAAAAAAAAAAAAAACATCCACACAAATTTGGTCCATTTCAGTAAAGATACAGTAAAGCTACATAAAATGATCATATAAAAAGGAGGTGATCATAGCCAACACGGTTTTTAATAAAAAGAAAAAGAGAAAAATTCACCTAGTAGAGAGAAAGCCAATATCAATTGTTCAACCATCAGTGTACACCGGATGATTTTGTCAAATTTCCTTCCTGGGCGCCATGCCGGCATCGCAGATCGCATTTCTCCTATCTAGGCTAGAAAGATATAATAGGTATATTTACCTTTTTTTTTTTTTTTTTTTTTTTTTTGTAATAAACATAATTATTAGGTCAAATAGGTAGAATTTAGGGTTTCTATGTAGAGCTGAATAAAAAATTGGGTTCCTAGTCCTAATTTGGAAGGACCATTTTTGCCCACAGGCTCGCTGTGCGAAAATTATGCATTGCTAAATAAAAAGGACGCTTGTTTATTTTTATTCTTCTTCTTCTTCTTATTTTTATCACATTATTGTTCCTTTTTTTTCTTTCTGTTCTATGTTCACCTTTTAAGACAAATCAAAGTAAGGTATGGAAACAATAATAAAAACATTGTCTATACATATATTCATTGTATTCATGAACTGACTGAATCATTCTTTTTTGCTGTGTGTGTTTATCCCTTTTAGTTAAAACAAGTGGACACAAGTACCTTTAACCTGCTATATGCTGTATTATTCATGTTTAATAAGGTAAATCCATTTCATTATGTCACCAACGTTATATGATATTGATCTCTCTTTTTTTTTTTTATTTGAATCTATATTCTAGATACAAGTATGACGATTAAAGACAAACAAAAAAAAAAAAAGATAATGATACCGTTTTTTTTAACCTTTTCTTCTTTTTATACATGAATCATTCCAACCTCTTTGCTATATCCTTTTCTCTATGTGGTTCTACGGATATTTACTCTTATTAGATGTAAGTCTCGAAAACAAGTGCTTTTCTTCTTTTTCTTTCTAACTTCACTTTTTCTTCCTTTTCTTTTTTTATTCACCAACTCTGTATGAAAAGTACCCTTGACTCGTCTTTTGGCTTGACTTCTATGATTGTGCATCAACACATCAACACCGATAATCGATATCGCCAAGGTAACATCGTAGGTAGAAAAAAAAGAAAGATCATGATATTCGTGGATTCTTATTCATTTTGTTGTTTTTCAATGTAGATGTCAAGATTGTCGTCTATACAACCAAACTAGTAAATTTGTGCAAAAAGAAAAAAAAAGGATCAATCGACATTACATACAATCACTTGCTTCTTTCTTTTTTTCAGATCCTCCTTTTTATTGTATTGTGATTGATACATTGACACTGGCGCATGATCCAAGGTAATATGTATATGTAAAAGAAGAAAAAAATGAATAACATCGATGGATTACTACTCATTTTGTTCATTTTATCTGTAGCTTGCTAGATTATTGTCTATACAATAATGGTGATACAAGCATCCAATGATATAGCCAAGGTAACTTGTACATAGGAGAAAAAGAAAAAGAAAAAGGAATAAACATTGATAGATTACTACCCACTCTGTTAATTTCATCTGTAGGTTGCAAACCATACAACAAAGCCAAGATCGAATGCCTTCTAGTTGGAATGACCCTGTTAGACATCCAATTGAAATATCTGTATCAAATAAAATAGTCCTACCCAAAGTGCAAGTCATGCTCGTTGTCCTGGTGATGGCATTGGTTGTGATTCCAGTTGTGATTCTGATCGTAGTTCACGGATATTATCGCTTATAGTGTAGTTACTTATTATTATAGTTATGTAGTATAGTTATGTAGTATAGAATATTTGTAGTGATGAAATAAAATCATAATTTCAATAGTATATTTGTACTGATCAAATGAAATTCCTTGTTCTGGAGGTCGACCATACCTATATTTCAACCGTAACAGTATACTACCTAGATTTAGTATATTTTTGTCATAGATTTATTGAAGTCAAATATTTTTATTATTTCTAGTCCTAGCTATGTAGGGGGGGGGGTCCTAGAGGTCCTAGAAAGCATATCTAGGCTAGAAATTGTATAGGAGTCCCCTAGACGTCATAGTAATGTTTTCCGATGTAATAGACAAGTGTAGATACAATAATCAACTTTTTATCTTTTATTTTTTATTTTTTAAAAGACTAAAAGGAATCTCACTGGCTTTAATCTAATCTACACACAGATTTCACACCCGTATAGAGAAAAGTCATTTGAAAAATGCGAACCATTGTCTTTGCGCTATAACATCAAACGCGATGGACATGTACCTCTATGCGTTTGTAATTGACCCAGGTATCATCATCACATTTAGATATAGCATAAAAGAAGCCATTTTCTTTCAATTTACCTTATTCAATTTGTAGGTTATCATTGTCTTTATAGAGTGGATTAAAAAAAAAATGAGAATCGATACTGCCTTCCCTCCTCCAATCGTCTACCCTAAACTTTAAGTTTTGCTGAAGGTAGCTAGTAGAAGAAAAAATCAATGGATGGCGATGGCGGACATGAATCCATGGAGTGTGCATCCGATATTCATACGCCTTTTTTCTCAATCATCCATCCTCTATCGTCACATATCATCCGTACATTCAATCATCAATTTTCAATTATCGATCATCAGCACTATCCATTCCGGTAATAAATAAAAAAAAAAGATAACTGCAAATATGTTAGAACCTCAGTTCAACGCAAATAAATCTCTACTCATGTCGCAGAAAAGGAAAAAAAAAATAAACGCGATTCACAACGGAAAAACCAGTAATTGTGACAAAAATGACAGATTTAAGATACCCCTTTAAGAAAAGTTGCATACCTCGTCCTGCAGATCTAAAACAAGGAACAAAACAAAAATGGGAGTAGCATCTAGAGTCCAAGGTAGCACCAGGAGACAGCCAGGAGATACAAATCAAGGTTGCTCTCAAGTAGGTTGCATGAGGAAGTATATAAACATTTTTGGTTGCAGGTGCCATCCTTCCTTGGAACTACGCTGATCTCTTTTTTTTTTTTTTTTTTTTTTGCATGGATGAATTGGATGATATATGGACATGAGTCTACTGCACATCTGCAGGACGGAGGATGTAACTTTGTCCTTGAGAGCAACCTTAACTTTTAAGGTTAAAAAGGAGTAATAAAGATCAAATTATCATCAGAAAATAAAAAAAAAAAGTATAAAAGTAGAGTTTCTTTATTCCAAAAAGATAAAATAGTATTATTTGATATATAAAATCGTATATGATGATAAAGCTATTGGTTGTTTTTTATTTCGCTATAATAATTAATATCACTTTTGCTCAGTCTAAGAAGTACAATATAATAAGCGTAGCTACTAAGGAATTTCTACAAGCACCTGGGACACCTAATGGACCATTAACATTAGGAAAAACTGCGGGTATATGGACAATTGACCTTCCACCTGACCCTAATAAGGCTGTTGAGTCTACAATTTATAGTGAACAAGGGGAAGCTTACGCGGGTGTGAATGAAGTAAAACAAGGCGAGGAAATAATGGCTCTCGCCCGTCATTATGATTTCGCTATAGCTCCAACAGCAGCAGGGTTTTACTTTATCAACCCACTGTACTCAGAGTTATATTGGGTTTCTAATGCCACTATTTCCCCCGACATCAAGCTCATCCCTAAATCTGATATCATGGGCAATGATGGATTGTTTGATATAACACCTGTTGCTTAAAGTAATTAAAAAATTAATAAACCCTCTGGAACTACTCGTAATCTTCCATTTATGTGAATGTTTATTTTGTTGAGAAAGTGTTTGGATTGATGGAATAAGATTATACAGAGCATTTTTTTTATTGGTATGCTTTCTATTGAAGTGATGAATCATCATAAGTGCAGTGATTCATCATGATGATTGCCCTGGAATGTTTTGTCATTTGATATATATTCTTCCTGACAGTAACATAGACTGTGAACATAGTGATTTTCAAAATCCGGTTTTTTTTCTTTATCTTTAAGATGTGCTGTTAATTTTTCTTTCTCCTTTCTTTTCTTTCTTTCTTTTTCTATATTGACTTTAGCTTCAGTATATCAATTACTAGTATTTAGTGGCTGTGATTTTATTTAATAAAGTTTTTTTTTTTTTTTTTTTTCAATTACCTTTTTTTTGTGTCATTCTAATTGATCCCATCTGATGTATCGTTATTACTTGTTATTTTTTCGGATTGATTTGTTTTATTTTACGCATGTTTTTATAGGCATGGAATAATTGATTATTGGATGATATTAGACTATGTTTTTGGGAGGAATATAATGGTGATAGTTTTATTGGATGAAGATAACTAGCGGGTGAGAGATGACGATATTGATTTTTATTTTTTTTTAATTGACTCTATAAATTGAGAGGTAAAATACAAATTTTATTAAAGCAAGTGAAAGAGAATATTTGCATATATGTTCGGTCCAAAATTTGGTATGATGATGATCATTTTTGGGCAAGAAATGAAAAGTCTAAGTACGTTCTCCAACTTGAATGCAGAATGAAAAATAGGATAGATTTTATAGCCAAAATTGCTCAGCCAGATCTTTGCTGTAAACATCCCACTAGCATTCAAGTGCATAAATGACACCGATTTTTGTGAATCGTAGGCCATGGATAATCCAGCCTCTCTCTCACACATATATGTACATACGCTAACACATACATATAATGTCAAAAAAAATATGCAGACGAATGATTAGCAAATAATTTTTTGCCTATTTTGGTCGTACTTGTCAACCTTCCACACCAGTCAATAAAAAATCTGTCTCTATCCTTTCCAAAAGTATATACGTATAGTATAAAAATAATCATCCACACAAATCCAAGATCTCGTTTATTATAAATAGAAGAATATGGACAAAAAAAAAAGGACAAATATGTACACAACTATGATGATGTCAAAAAAAAAAAAAAAGAAGGACTATCAACTAAAAGCAAAGTGACGACTGTATGTAATAGTAGGAAAAAGAAAAAACCAATTTGTTGAGGTGTTGTTTAATGATCATCTTGCGGTAAAGCATCCAAAGCCATCTTCAATTCCTTAAGTTTAAACCCGACCTTGCCTTGAACTTCTTGACGCATATCATTGGTAGGTAGTTCTTTTAGAAAAGTGTCGTATGCATCCAAACATTGTTGAACAGCCTTTTTTGCCGTACCATGATCTTCTTGATAATATACTGATCCTTGTGATTCTTCGGCATATTCCATCTACCAGATATATAGAATACGTTTCATTAATGGATCTCTCCTTTTTTTTTATTTACCTCGTCTTTAGCAGCAGCATAAAGGTCTTCAATATCATTCATGGCTTTTTCCATATCTGCTTTTGATTGTAGATCATGGGATGGTCGTACCCGAGTAGTGGAAATGCACCGGTCTAAGTACCACCCAAAGAAAGAAGAAAAAGAAAATAAGAAAAGGTCTCTTTTTTTTCACGTGGATGAACTTTACCTTGTAAGCATGGTACCAAAACAGGAGGACGATGGACGAGACGTGGTGGTAATTGTCTTGATATGGTTTTGAATACAAAAGACACCATCAATGTATGTAGAAAAGGTAAAGAACGAACAAAACGACTCCGTTTTTTTTTTTTTTTTTTTTTTTTTTTTTTTTTTTTTAGCCTTGGCGGCGGATGTTGAAATGCCCCGTTTCTGACCCTTCTTTTATGAAATCTTAACATATTTTTTCAGTCCTTTCTTTTCCTTTCACATATTTCGTCCGCTTTTCTTTTTTCTCCTTTTTCTCACTTCTTGTCATCTCTCTTTTTCTCTTTTTGACATGGCACGAGCAATACAAACAACCACTATCAAACCAACTGTGGTGAAAAAGGTGGACACTCGATTTGCTCATATTCAGCCTGCTGGCAGTTGGGAAATCCCTCGAAAACTATATCATTATTCCATTGGTAATGACATAATCATCATTATCAAGATCAATACTCACTTTTATTATTATTTAGGATTCCTGGTATTATGTCTTTTCATTTACGATTATGATACATTGGTGATCTATCCTCCTTTGACGGCTTTTCTTTGTTTGGTCTTGACAGGTGAAATGCTTCGATTTCAATTTGAATGGTTCAATGTTCTTTATTGCAAAGTGTTAGGTCCTTTGATGCGACAATCTGAAATTTCAACAAGGTTCAATGGTGTTGTCTATTATCTTGCTGGTAAAAAAAAAAGAATGTTTTCTGATTTGACTCAAAAAAAGAGAATGATCTGACATATACTCCTTTTTTTTATTATTATTATTAGGATGTATCATTGTTCTATATGTGTTTCCTCGCGACATTGCAGCATTATCCATTATCTATTTATCATGGACAGATCCAACGGCCAGTATCTGTGGACGGTTATGGGGCAAATATACACCACGATGCGGTAACAAATCGTTAGCAGGTAGTCTTGGTGCCTGGTTCACGGGTAGTCTGGTGACTTACTTGTTTTTTGGCACATGGCAATACGCTTCCCCTGTCGGGTCCATATTCCCGACGTCGTATGATCTTCACCTTTCTCAAGTCCCTCTTTGGCTATTCTCTCTATATGGTGGTTTTGTTTCGGCTTTCTCGGAATTCATTGGTGATTCTTTAGGTTTGGATGATAATTTGACTATTCCTGTGGTCAGTGCTGCCTTATTATGGTTCGCTTTGGTCGTCCTTGATTGGGGTCAATGAATGGATATCTTCTTTTTTTTTGTTGTATTTATAGTGATTCATTTAGAATAGTTTATTCCCTATATTTTGTACGAACAAAATCATATAGAAATAAATAAAAAACAATCAAAGTTTTTTTCTTTTTTTATTTTATTAAATGAATCAAACACTTTTTTTTTCTAAAACAAGGATGGGAATACAAACAAGACTTTTTTTTTGTGGGTGTGACAAAACAAGAAAATCATGATAGATAGATAGATAGATAGATAGATATAGAAATATATGGGAATAATAATAATAATAAAGGGGTAAAATCGAGAGATATAATAAAGTCTAAGACGTAGGACGAATCAATGAAGGACCAAGTGGATGATGATTGTCCAATGCATGTGGTTGCAAGATATCCGTATCCTCCATATAGAACGGCGGTTCATTGTCATCGTGGGTCATGGTTCGAATACCAGGTGTAGGTGTGGTGATGGATGATAAGGTAGGTGGTGTAGTATTATTATTATTATTAGTATTCACTTCATGTTGATCCATAGCACTTGGTGTAATAAAAGAGGGTTCAGGTGTGGTATGATGATCCAAATCATCCAAAGGTCGTTGTCGTCCCGATAGTAACGTCGCATTTCCAGGAATGTTGATCGCATGGGTAGACGTAGAAGATTCAGTTTGAGGTAACGAGTGAAATGGATGAACCAAGTCGGAAGAAGAAGACGAAGTAGCAAGTCGAAGTGGACCAGACCAGATATCCTCATGTTGATGATTGCCACTTTGAGCCAAAGATGTAGAGAGACTAAAATGATCAAATGAGTTATGAAGAGAGGATTGACCAGAAAACAAACTAAGGGAATCTGCACGGTCGCTTCTTGTTTGAAAATGATTGGTTTGATGATGCCCGTTGCTTGATCCACTACCACCAGAATATGAAAAGAGTCTTGAACCTAATCTATTCCGTTCGCTGTTGTTCAGATGATCATTGGATGACGAATACAAATCGCTTTCTGTCATACCTAGAGATGTTTGTCGAGTAGAGTGCATGTAACCGCTGTAGTCATTTCCGGCATAAAATGTTTCTGGAATACTATGTAGTTGACTAGTAGAAGTGCTGATCGTTCCATTTGTCATACTGTTGTCATTGTTGCCATTTTCATTGAAACCATTGTTGTTGTTCAACCTATTGTGAGAAGATGATAGTATGAAATTCTGTGAAAGGCTACTACGTGGTTGGAAAGGCGATGATCCTTGATCGTATGCAGCATGGGTGTCGCGTGGTGAAGATGACGTTCGCAAGTTTCCAAAACCAAGGGATTTTGTTGGCATGTTCTGTTGAAAATGTTGTTGATATAATCCTGGCGTACGCAAATCTTGAGGATGATAATCATTGTTTTGCTGCATAGCTGCAGTGAGTTGGCTGAATTCACTGTGTCTTGCTGTAGTGTTGTCTGAAGGCCGGAAAAATCTTGAATAGTCCAGATTATTGCCATCCATTGAGTGTGAAGATTCATTTGTCCAGTGGGAAGAATTCATAGATCTTGATAGAAATTCTGAATGTTGATTGTTGTTATGATGTTGTTGTTGTTTTTGTAATAAAGATAGGCTATCATTGGTAATATTTCGATTCAATAGGAACTTGCGACCTTCACTGTAAGGGGACATCGTATGTAGTAAAGCACATTTTGTACCAAATTTGCAGTTGCCCTTTAAAAAGTACTTGCATACAGACGCTTCCGAAGTAGGAGTAGGATTATGAGAGAAGATACAATTGGCGCCAGCAGTACAGGTACCCTGTTTGAAAAACTTGCAAGGGACATGTGCCAAATTGGAAGCTATCAAAAATTATATATATAAAAGGGTCAATACTCTACCTCCCTTTTTTTTTATTATTATTATTATTTTAAATAGAATATACCTTTGTTTGTTGGAACACTACTTTTGGAAGGAAGAGGAGGAGAAGGAATATCTTGTTGATAAGATCCAAGTTGACTACGCGACCTATTAAGTTGAAAGGTAGATACTCTTGAAGGAGAACTTTTGGATAACAAGTTCAAATTGAGTCGATCAAGATCATAGATTAGATCGGAAGGCATGGTTGATTCAGTCATTGTTGATATAGATGACAGAAGAAAAAAAGAGAGAGAGAGAGAGAGAAAGAGACAAAGGAAGAAAAGACGTGTAAAAAAAAAAAAAAGAGAGATGGAGGATGACGTAGGTGAAAATCAAACAAACAATGAGAGATGAGTAAATATATAAATAAATAAAACCAATAGTAAATAGTAAGATATCAAGTAGAGCGTGGGTATATGTTACTGCATGGAAATAGAAAAAAAAAGGGGGAATGAATATGAAATAAAAAAAAAATATATACAATATAAAAAGACAAAAAGAAAAAGAGAAAAAGAAAAAAAAAAAAGGAAGCATAAGGAGAATCCTATTTCAACCACCGATGACCATCATGAGCATCACCATTGAAGACATATCTTTTTAAACATTGAGCACCATCTTGCATAAACCCCGAAGCTTTTATTTCAACAAACAAAAGGAAAAAAAAAAAGAATCAAACTAAACTACTAAATATTTAACGAGAGAAAGAGCGGCTTCTGCTTCTTCTGCGGCGACGAGGAGGAGAACGAGAACGACTGTATCGACGACGACGATCATATCCACCACGATTATAATCGGGACGCTTTTCACCCATGTATTCACCTGGAGTAGGACTATGAGCACGATGAGTCACGGCATAATCCACGCGCACCTTACGACCATCAATTTCCTATAAAATAAACAAATAAATAAATAAAAAAAGTAATAATCAGTATATATATTATATATATATATATATATATATATTTAAAAAAAAAGACTTACTATTCCATTCAATTCATCACGAGCACGAGTGGCATCATCTTGATTGACAAAGTTCACAAATCCAAAACCACGGGAGCGTTTAGCCTAACATGGATAAATTTTAGTATAAATTATAAATAAATAAATCATAGTCACTTACGCGATGGTCATACACAACAGTGACTTTATCCAAAGGTCCAAATTTGCCAAACACGTCTTCCAAATCTCTTTCACGTGTATGCATATTCAATCCAAATACACCAATAAATCTAGATGGTTCAGGTGCGTCCTATTTATAATACATTCAAAAAAAAAAAATTAGTTTTCTGTCTTTATTCAAAAAAGAAAAAAAAAATCTTACTCGAGTGCCATGAAGTTCCTTTTTTTCTGCTGATCGTCTACTACTATAATAAAAAATATAAAAAATCAGTCATCATACACTTACTTTCGAATATAAATCATATACCTTCTACGATCACGAGGAGATCTGGAACGAGAATAACGACGGCGACGAGGAGAAACACGTCTTCGGCGAGAAGAACGACGAGGTGAGATACTATAAAAAAAAAAAAGAGAGAGGGTGACAAGGAGGGGAGAGAGAGATAGACATAGAAAAGAGAGAGAGAGAGAGGATACCATAGGATGAGCCTTTTTGAATATTTCTATTTGGACAACACTTGATAATTTTGTGATATTCTTTCTTCCATGGTTGCTTCCATTTGATTTCTTTGTTCCCTTGAATAATCAGTTCAGTTGTACTTGATATTCTTGTTTTCTTTTCCATTCTTCACCCTTCCTTTTTTCCATAAAAGAAACAGGATAAATATAAAGTACCACACGCACACACACACACACACACACACACACACACCCGCACACACATATCATCATCTTTTTTTTTTATTTCTTCCTTCCCTTTTTTGTCCAAACAAATAAATAAAAGCAACCATAGAGAAACAATCCAAATCGTGTAGTTTTCATTTTTTTTTTATTTTCTTTCTTACCTTCGACTTCTTGAACGTGACATGGAGGGAGATCGACGTCTACGACGACGAGGAGGGGAACGAGACCGGATAGGTGAGCGAGACCGAATAGGAGAACGACTAGGACTACGACTCATGCTTCTTCCACGACGACGAGGACTAGGACTTCTTGACACAGAACGCGACCTCATGGGAGAACGAGATGGTGAACGAGATCCTTCATCTTTACGATTCAAAGAGGGACTACGAGATGATTGATCCTATAAAAAACAAAAAAAAAAAAATATATAAAGATCAAATAAACAATGTAGTTCTGTGGATATGTTTGTTGTGTCTCCTTTTTTAAACCACCCCTTAAATGCACAAGTACACTTTTTCTTCTTCTTCAAAACAATCAAAAAAAGATTCATTATGTATTTTATTCTTACTCTGTCATTTTCACGAATGTCTTCCATTCTAGATGGATAATAAAAATAAAATAAAAGACGTAGGAGAAAAAAAAAAAAAAAAAAGGAAGGAAAAAAAAAACGACACCCAAGTCTTTTCGTTTTCTAGTCAAAAAATTTTATTCCATTTCCAACTCCGTAAGCCAATATGACAACAACGAAAAAAGTCCAAAAAAAAAAAATAAATGAAAGGACTATATACATAAGATGATTTTATTTATTTATTATAACCAAAAGAAAAGAAAAGGAATTGATCACTAAGCTACAACTAAACTATTGACGAGCAGCGACTTCACGAGCAGCAACAGCAGCACGCTTAGCCAAACGAGCATTGGACTTGGGACCATTGATACCACCACCCCATTGACGACGATGTTCTTCCCATTTTTCAGTATAAGTAGATTTGACAGCAGACACCAAGTTAGCCAATTCAGATTTATCAGCATCCTTAACGTCAGTAAAGGCCAAAGCAGTAGCATTCTTCTTGTGGATAACAGCACCAAGTCTGGATTTACCCTTGACAACACAGTAAGGAATACCCATCTTACGGCAAAGAGCAGGCAACCAGATAACCAATTCAATAGGATCAACATCATCAGCAATCACAACCAATTGAGCCTTCTTATTTTCAATCAAAGCAGTGATATGATTGATACCATACTTGATCACAGTAGGCTTTTCGGTCTTGGGCAATTCCTTCTTTTCAGCCTTAGCAGCAGCAGCAGCACGGAGACGATCACGCTTTTCAGCCTTGGTTTCGGGACGGTACTTGTTGGCCAATTTGAACAATTGAGTAGCAGTGTTCTTGTCCAAAACATGAGTGAATTGATTGATGGCAGGAGGCACCTTAAGACGTTGGTAAATGATCTTCTTTTGACGTTGAAGACGAATGTACTTGGGCCACTTGACGAAACGAGACAAATCACGCTTGGGTTGAATATCTTGACCAATACCAAAGTTCTTGGGAGACTTTTCGAAAAGAGGATTGGTCACACCGGCCTTTTGTTGGGTCTTCTTGATAGGATAAGGAGCAGGGGCAACACGCTTGGAAGAACTAGATTTTTTAGAAGGAGGCTGTCATGGAGTTGACATAATGATTGATCAGATTCAAATATAATTTTTCAATATTCACAACTCTGATGCATCGTCACTCTAACAGTTGAATAACAAACATCGCTTTCCTTTTCCATTCCTTTCTTCCCTTTTTTTTTCCTGCAAATTTGAGCTCACCAAGTAAGTCAAATAAGAGTAAAAAAAAAAAAAAAAAAAAGATAAAGAATAGAAACAGAAAACAAAGTTGTAAACAACTCAGCCGAGATGGAGTCTAGCTTCTTCTCACTCTAAAGAAGAGTATCATCATCTTTTTCCAACAAAGATATGAGAAGATATGCATCATCAACAACCATCTACAATACATGCCACAGATCTCGAATCATTCTCTTATTTTTTTCTTTCAACTTACCATGATAAACCGATGGATGGATGGATGGATGGATCAATTGAATGGATAAAGAGAAAGGAAAAAAAGAAAAATAGTGTATTAAAAAAAAAAATTGAAATAAACTCATTAGCTATTCAATGTCCGTCACTTTTCTGGTGGAAAAGCGTGGTGGCGCACTAATCTTTTTTCAATGCACTTCTTCCTCTCCCCCTTTTTTTTTCATATATATATATTTTTTCTTCTCTATTAAAATATTATGAAAATCTTATCGAGAAGTACTTGGTTATGCCTTGCGCTTATCTTTCTTTCTATTTTACGATCTATACATCTCAACTATATATCTCGACAGCCTTTAAAGACTTCTTCATCACAATATCAACATACCAGTCAACCATCTTTAAATACTGCCAGTCTCCATGCTGTACCTGATAAACCAAACTCTATAGTAGATGATACCTTACTGTCTGATGATCCTTCCAATTTGTTTTATTTCATTCAGGTAAAAAAAAAAAAAAAAAAAAAAAAAAAGATGTCAGAAGATTGACTAATTCTATCTTATTTTATTCAGGTGTCAGATTTGCATATCTCAAAATTCCGGACACAAACACAACATTTTCTTCACTTTATTCAATCTGTACTTCCTATTGTTAGGTAATCTTTTTATTTCATGACTTTAACATTCATGTTAAAACTCATTCTTTTGAATAATAGACCTTCTTTTGTAGTAGTAACGGGTGATTTGACAGATGCAAAGGGTATTGACGGAGTGAAAACACAACAATACAAAGAAGAATGGCAATTGTATCAAAACGCAATAGATCAAGGAATAGAAGATGATTTACCATGGTATGATATGCGTGGGAATCATGATTGTTTTGATTTACCTTCATGGCAATCCAATATCAATTTATATCGTACTTTTGGTAAGAGTTCTCAACTACTTGAAGAAGGAAAAGGTGTCTACTCCTGGCAAATGAATCAATCTTATGGTCAATATCAATTCATCGCTATGGATGCATGGTAATATTAAATATATATATATATATATATATATATATATATATATATTGAATAATCACTAATATCCTTTTTCCTTTATATATATATAGTCCCAAAAAAGGTCCAGCTCGGCCTCTTAACTTTTATGGATATATGCCAACCAATTCTATGGATCGACTTGAATCAACACTTCTTGATGAATCAACTTATAATCATACATTTTTGGTAAAGAAGAAATCAATGGACTTTATGATAAAATGTTTCTCATATTGTTTGTTTAAAATAGTTTACACATTATCCTACAACAACAATGATATTTGGACAATCAAGTCAAGGTCATACTTTCAAGGAACTAATGCAACATGCCAGCGTATATCTTTGTGGTCATTTACATCGACTTGCTTTCGGTAATAAAAATAAAATAAAATAAAAAAAATGAAAAGCAAGCTATAGAACTAACGATATCTTTTGTGTAGGACTTGGAGATATTTTGAAATCATATGATACAACCACAAAATCATTGGAATTGGAACTAGGCGATATGAAGGATCATGGAGTGTATCGTATCATGGCTGTAGATGATGATCTTGTATCATTTGTGGATGTGGAACTTCCAGCAAAACTTTTGACTTCTTCGACAACACACGGAGATGGCATTCCATTGACTGAGAACAACACCGTCATTTGGCCTGAAAAGACTCGTCTTGCACCCATTATATTGATCACCAACCCAAAAGATGCCCGTTTTCTTTTACCTGGCAAGGAACCTATTTATCGTATAAGGAATAGTACTCATATTCGATTCCTAGTGTTTTCTGATCATGATCCACATTCACTCAAGGTCCGTATCTTTGTCGACAATAAACATCATCCATTTCCAGCAACTTACAACAAACATACCAATTCCTCTCTTCCCTTATGGACATCTTCATGGTCTCCTGAAGATTTTGATGATCAAATTACTCATTCATTAGGTATACAAGTCACAACTCCTGATGGTTTGGTAGGCGAATCTCAAGTTTATTTCCGCGTGGATGGTGTTCAACTGAAGATTGGTGGAGGTTTTGGTGAATGGCTTATTGGTACAAGTGTTGCCACCTTAGTAAGTAGGGGGGAAAAAAAAAGTGGCGAGGGTGGAAGGAGAATGGAAGGAGTATGTAAATATATATATATATATATATATATATATATATTTTGGGGGGGGGATAATTTGAAAGGAGATGTTTGACATTCATTTATTCTAGTTTAAACGATTGGCTCTTTTTGGATTGGCATTGATAGTATTATTACTCATGGGACCTAAAACATATACCGACTTTATAGTGATACGACAACAACAACAACAAAACTCAAACCATCAAATTGTGACACCTTCAACACAAATCTTACTCTGGCTTCATGCATTGGATGTTGACCCATATGCAGGCCCTTATCAATGTATTCATCAACAATCCCTTGCTTGGCTTCTCCGATTTTTCCAATTTCCTCTGGTGATGCCGTATGTATTTTATACCACCCTCTTGTTTGTATTATCCTTCTTGTGTTTTCCTTGGTTCCAGGCCGACTTTATTCCTAGTAGCAATGGATATGGTACTTTTTATCTATGGGGTATTGTGTTTGATGGTGAATGGTTACCTCTTGGTGATACATGGATGTTTGCAACATTTCATCTATGTTTTGATGTAGGTGTGTTCCTTATTCTATTTGCATGGAGGGTCACTGATGTGGAAGATCTGCATTGCTCAAGTACATCTGAAAAACATCGACAACAATGGAATCAAACATTATGGTTCAAGGTAATGGAAGTTCTATATTGGTTATGGCGCATGCGCTCAGTGATGGCATTGGGTTCCTTTTATGGTGGACTCTGGCCAACTTTGATGATGAATCTTTTGGTACTATGGATGTTATTTGTGGCTGGTGTCTTGATCTGGGGAAAAGATGGATGGATACATAAGAAAAACAAAACGAGAATTCAAATGGTATTGGATGGATGTGATTCATGTCTTGATCGATCTGGTCCAACTAGATTAGATGTCAACTATGAACAACAACAACAACAAGAACAACAACAAGTAGACTCCTTTAACGTGTCAATAACATCAACATCTACAATGAAAAATAACCCTGATGACGACTGGTTGGAAGAACAGACATCCTCAGAATCATCCTCATCTAGTGCTACAACAATGGATAGAAATCGGATCAAGGTTCGACGAAAAGGCAATGGTGAAAACAACAAGCGTTAATTAAATAGATAGATATAATAATAATAGTAGTAGTGATAGTAGCCATCATCCTTTTTATCCATTATTATTATTATTCAACTCCCTAAACATCCTTTTGAAATAAAATGATATATATGTTGTCCTAATTTCCCTTCCTTCTTTCTCTCCTCTTTATTCTTTTTTTTTTCTCTTTGTTATCCATTTATTAATTATTATTATTTTAATCACATCAGCTTTAATGATTTATCAAGACGAAGTGATCTTATCTTCAACGACATCAGGGTTTATACAGTGGTTTGGATTTGATCAATTTCAACCAGAACGAGCAGTGACATCACATTTCATCAGTAGTAAAACATTTTTATTTATTCGATCGATTCAAGTATTATATTCTGGTGCAGTACAATGGGCCTCAGTTTATTGGATGGCCACTGAATATGAATTCAAGCATTATTTTGCTTATTTTACCTATCTTACTTTTCTTGGACTTCATGCTTATTTCTTGGTAAACCCCTTTTTTTTTCAATATATTTATTTATATAAGCGCTCCTTGATGATTATTCTTCTTCTCCTTTAACCATTTTTTTTTTTTTTGAATAGACTACTTTTTATCATCATTTAAAATATTTATTTAACAAACGACCTACTTCCTTTTTATATCAATCATCCATATTGAATCATCTTTATGTATATTTATATCATACTGTCATTACTTTCAAGTAAGATCATATGAATTTTTTTTTTTTATATATATCAAACTGATCCCTCTTTCCCGCCCTTCATTGATCCCCTTTAGTCTGGTGACTCCTATTGTCTATTGGGTTTTATTATCCTCTGATTTTGTGGCAAAGGGTAAGTGATGAAGGAGTGTTTAGAACATGTTTTAATCCAGTTTATCTCCCAAAAAATAGCTGGTACAAATCCACCTATGGAATGGTGGCTGACACCTTCAGTACATGGTGCTTCTTTGATTATGGTGTTGATTGATATAATATTCAATCGAATGATCATCCAAAAACGAATGTGTATTCTTGTTCTATCTACAGTAGCTCTTTATATCTGTTGGGCCATGATTTATTATGCTGTGTAAGTATATATATACATCTATAAAAGGCAGAAATTAATTCTATCATTTTTTTTTTTTTTTTTTTTTGGTAGAGAACATTGGTGGGTATATTCTTTTATGGATTGGACTCATCCAATGACAGCCGCCATGTATTATGTCGCACTTGGCGTGTTTATGGTAATGTGTTTCTTTTTACAAGTAGGCATCCATGCTTTACGTGACAAGGTAGCAAGAAGAAAAAAAGACTCACTTGAAAATGCAACTGCCGCTTCTACTTTGGACATGGAGGAAAATGGAAAATCAAACTTTACTCCTTTTGAAAGTAGTATTGCTTCTTCTCAAATCACTTTTGCCGCTTCTACTACGGATCATTTAGCCAAATAATTCTTTTTTTTTTTTCGTGTTTGTTTTAATAGTATGAATGTTGTTTTTTTTTATTTTATATATATGTAAATAAAAAAAGAGGGGTATTATCCATTACATAGATGTCGTCATTCTATTGCTATCATGTCATTTCATACACTCCTTTTCTCCGTATATCTATCTATATGACAATCAATTCATGTTAGACGGATGCTATATAATAATACCTATAAAGCATGACTGAAAAGTTGATTATAATCATAGATGATGGATTTCTATAAAGACTCGGGTAGTGAATGACTTTTACATCACGATAGTATATTCCTATTATGATCTTGAAGAGAATGATCATGATGTACTAAATAAGAATAAAAAAAAGCAATATATTATCACTATTTAAAACGAACACTAACTAGGGAAAATGATGATCATCACAGGAAGTGGGATGAAAAAGCATAATGAACATCTCATTTCACTTACAGCTAAACACCGCTAGCATAATCATCGAAAGAGAAAAAGCATGTTAAAATTTTGTAATACAAAGTCAATCCATAAATAATTTATTTCACAAAAGTCAATCATTCGTACTTCAGAGGAAGGGGGGAATATCCAAATTAAAATGTAAAAGACATTTCGGTAAAATAATCATACTAAAAAAGTTCCAGGGGAAAGAGGGTAAAAAAAAAAAAAAACATATGCAGTTATAAAAATTTGGATAAATGAGAGATCTTTGTGTTCATGCACGACAGGAACCGAATGCTTATAAAAATAAAAATAAAAAAAAAATCAGCCAATCTGTCAAAAAAAAAAGAAGTATATTATATATTTTACCTGGGAAACCACAAACAGATGCAGCAACAAAGTAGGTAATAAGCTATCAAACAAAATAAACAAAGAATGAATATAAACATCATGTACGCGTTTTTTATTTCAAAGCTTACGAAACAAGCCAAGACGATCATGCACATAAGTTTAGTATTTTTCCACCACATGGCTCTCTAAAGATTAGCAAAAAAAAAAAAATGAATATTATTTGTTTTTTGATTTGTTTGTTTACCTTGAGTTGAGTACTACGCTTTTTGAAAGCAAAAGCTTGTTGATTCAAGTTATCTGTTTTATCCACCAGTAATTCAATACGTTCACCTCGTTCTAATACACGTTCTGAATAGAAAAAAAAAAAATAGAAAAAAGGAAAGGAAAGGTTACATGGATATTTTTTTTCAATTTCTTTTTTTTTATTGTTACTCTACCGATATTGTGTACCATGACATCCTTAACTTGCTCAATTTCCCCATGAACTTGTTTCAATCGATCGGAACCAGGATGAGTGGAGAAATACTCCTATTAAAACAATAATAATAATAAAAAAAAAAGGTCAATATAATAAATATGATATATAAATATGAAAGTTACCATTTGCTTGGCAATAACTCTTGAAAATTCATTCAAACCATAAGGTGGAGAATGTAAAGCTCGGTCTTTCCCATAAGTGGATAAGAATTTGTCCTTCAAGTCTTGTAAAAAGGCAAAAGGTACACGTCGACCAAAGGAATCGTCAGCCATACACATATAAGTAATACCATCTTCACAAATATAATGGAAAAGATATCTATCATTGAATAAATTAAAAAAAGAAGAAATTAATTCCATAGTTTCTATTTTTTTTTTTCTATTTCATACCTATCATAAACATAAGTTAGTTTTGAATTATTGGGTGGAATCTTTTCCAAAATAGCTTGAGTGACTATATATATAAAAAAAAAAAAAAGAATTAAGTAACATAATATATATATATATATATATTTCTTTACCTGTAGCAAAGTTGCCTGAACTATTGGTATGTTCAGCCAAGATGGTAGATCCATGAGCTACCAAACCATAAATAAGTGACATGTTTATTTAGCTTAATTTTATATATATATATATATATATATATAAAGGAAAGGGAATAATGAAAAAAAAGAGAGAGAGAAAGCAAACAATTGAGGAGAAGAAAGTGAGAAAAAAGAAAAGGGAAAAAAAAATATTTCACCATGTTCACATTTTTTCATACCCAGTCCAGCCTTTTTTGGACATGTAAAAAGTCATCCATAAGAGCATAAAGATCAGTCAAATCATGTTTTGATTTTATTATCATTGATTCATACATATTTCAATATATCCAATATTATTTCAGATAGAGTAGAATATTGTGTAGTTCCATATAAAAAGTCATATCCCTCTTGATTTTCTTTTTTCTTTTTTCTCGTCCTTTTCCTTCTCTTTTTCTTTTATTCATCATGACTCTATTGTTTTATTTTAATGATATTCCTGCTACTTGTGAGTTGTGTGGTCATTGGATGCCACATCATGAGGTAAGGCAAAACAAACAAAAAAAAAAAAAGGAACAATTTTTCATCTTAACCTTTCTTTTACTTTTCTTTTGATGATAGAGTAATTGTCCTCGTAACGGAGTTCATCCATCTCAATGGGGACCTTCATCCTACTTGCTGATGAAAACCGATGATTATCATCTAGATTGTACTACATGTTTTGATCAATAAAATCGATTTCTCTTCTATTTTTGATCATCTCATTTCCGTCAATGATTACCATCTTTTAGATACACTATCTCTTTATAATATGGAAATAAACATAATGAATTGAATGACATTTTTGTAAAGACAAGAAGAGATGGAAGAATACATTTATTAACAAAAATAAAAAAAAAATCATGAAGTGATAGAAAGGTGATGGAAATCATGAAAGAGACAACATCAATAAATAAATAAAATATTTTATTTTGATAAAAAAAAAATTCCCACTATCTACAAATTTTACGTGGTTTTTTCTTCTAATTGAATCATAAACGACTATGAATCATTGCTGGTATGCATCTTTTGTTCTGCCAAGGATCGAGGAGGATGAGTGATGATAGCTGAGCCAAGCAATCCAGCTTCTGCCAATGCTGTGGGCATCCATTGAATAGCAGTAATGGTGGTCATTTGATGGTGATCAGCCGTTCCAAAGATAATAGCATGAAAAGAGGAGAAGCGAGATCTGATTTTTCTTCCATTATTGAGTTTTGATATCATTCCACCTTTAGGAGGTTCCAATAGTTGTGTAAAGCGAGTGGTTGGTTGATCGGGTATAACAGTGATGGGCGATGGAGGTGTCAATGATGTCCATACATGAGGATTGCTTTTATTGTTGTCGTTTGACGTCGAGGGGAATAAATAATGATATCGTTGTTTTTCCATAGGTCCAGCCACCACAGCCATGATACTCTCCAATCTATCAAATGCACTTTGAGTCATAAACAATTGTTTACCATGGAGAATGCGTTCTAGTTGAGGAATAATAGGTTCGGTCATTTCTTGAGCTGCTTGCAATTGTAAAGCTTCGCCTTCCACTTGATCCACGCCACATACATGATGAGAGAGTTCTGATACCATAGCCAATACTGTACTAACATCTAGATTGAGTTTGGGTGTCGTCAAAGCATACATGGCATCTAATTTCGGTAATTGACCCACTCCAAACACTTGTTTCATCACAGGCATATAAGTTGACCGTATATCTTGTTGATCTTGAAGATAAATACAAATTCCCATGTGCTCCAGTTGATCCATGATCCGTTGTACAAAAGGGTCTTGATCGCGATGAATCCTCATAAAAGCAAACACAACAATGGGAGTCTTGAAATGTACAGAATGAGCCTGAGCACATGTCAAGTAAGCACGAGCCTTCTTGAAAATGGGAAGTTCATCAAACGATGGAGCCTCTACATTCACAATGCCTGCCTTGCTACTTTCATCAATGTCACTAATATCACTATTGTCATCGTCAAAGTCATTCAAGTCGTCATCGTCGTCAATAATATTGTTCTCCATACCAGCCATGTCAAGTCTAAAAGCCTTTGTGTTCCGAGCAATAACTTTGATCCAAACACGTTCTTGTTCTGCTACCAAATCCACTTTGAGAGAATGTCGTCGTAACATAGTTGCTAATGGCATCCATTGACCATTCTTTGGAGGAACTGCTACAGACCGCATAATATCATCCAGAGGACCAGTTTGATTCATAGCATCATGAACAGCTTCAAGATAACTTAGATTGGTACTTTGAATATACTTTTGTTTGATGGCTGTAGGATTCTTCAGTAACTAATCAAATAAAAAAAAAAAAAAAAGGTGACGTTCAGTAACCAACAGATATGTTATACGTATTTCTCTTCTTTTTTTTTTTTTTTTTTTCTTGTTACCTTGTCCAAAAACACTGATTCCGCAGTCAAAGGTTGTGTAAAGCGATAAAGACCTTCCAATTGTCGATTAGCACAATCACGTAAGATATATTGACATCGTTCTTGTAAGGCAACCACAGCAGGAACTAGATTTTCATCATTGGATGATTCAATATTATTCATTGGAAAGAAAAGAAAAAAAAAGAAAAAAAAAAAAAAAAGAAAAAAGCATTGTAAAAAAAAAAAAACTGATTCTTTTTATTTTGGGTTTCAAAGTCAACACTAAACACTAAGCCATCTAATACTAAAGCCTAAAGTCATTCAAACAAGGAGAACCTATAAAGAATAATAATAAAAAAAATCAGTATATTGATATTTCAACAGGATGATCTTTTCTTTTTTTCTTTTTTGAATATATGTGTGTGATATCAGGGATGACGGGTTGTTGCGTATAATGTCATCCGGGAGTTTATGCTGTCCATCATGTCTTTTGTCGGACTGGTGCCAGCTGCAATTCATCATTTACACACACACATACGCATATAAAGAATGATATATATAAAAGAATAACATACCTTATTGAATAGACGTTGAGTAAAAGAAGAAAAGATGAAGGAAAAAGGGAAAAAAATCTTTTATATTTTTGTAAAAAAAAAAAAATTTCTTTTCCCTTTTGACTGTTTAGTTCTGTGTTTGAAAGAAAGCTAAGTGACTATTCGAAAAGATAGAGTTTCCTTATATAGATAGGTGTCGAGGAGAGGGGTGGGGATAAAGGGGTTCGGAAGAAATGATGTTAAGTTTGCCTTTATTTTTTTTTTTTTTTTTGCCATGACAATAACAATAAGCAGTAGAACAAGGGAGTTTTATACCAAGCACTACCAATGATGATGATGATACTATGAACAACTTTTATATATGATAAAATTTTCCGATCAAGGAGAAAAAAAAAAAAAGGAAAAAGAAAAGGTGATTCATTAAAATTGATAAAGTAGTTTTTCTACAAGTGATGAAGAGTTTGTTCCTGAACTCTTTTTTTTTACAAGTGGCTCTTCCCAAACAGTTACACAAATAACACTGCAACACAAGACCTCTTTTTTTTTTTTTTTATTTCTTGTTTTATGAATTTATTTTTTCCTTTCTTTTTCTTTTCTTACTTTCTCCTTTTATAAATAATGACATTGACTAGTACTTCTTCTACTTTCAAATTTTTTAATTATTTTCCTTTTCCTTCGAAAAACAATAATACAACTCGACAAAGAAGAAATACAACAACGATAAAATCATCTACTCAACAGCCATCCAGTAAACCAGCTTGTATTGCTATTGTTGTTGGTAAAGATGGTACTCCTGTCACTAAATGCATTGCCCCTGCTGTTCGACGGACTACTAGCAGACATTGTTTATCCATGTCACCAACAGATAATCATAGAAATCAACGTCGATTATCTTCCTTTCTTTTACCAAAATTCCGATCTTGTCGTCATACTTCATATTCATCTAAAGTGGTTCCTTTCCATAGTAATAATAATAATAAAAAAAAAAAAAAAAAGAGAAAGCCACGTGGGAAAAAAAAATAAATAAATTCCCTGTTACTTATTATTATTATTTTTTTTTTGTTATTATTGTTATAGATCGATTTCATCAGTTACCATCCGAATTAATGATTCATATTGTTACATATTTAGATTTACCTAGTATCATCACTTTATCTCATACTTCCAAATTTTGTTTACGATTATGTGGAAAAACCAATAATTATTTATGGCGTAAATTATATCAAACACATTATCATCCATTACACAAACTTCCTCTTTCATATTATGATGCTTTCCGTGATCAATATGAACTTGGTAAACGATGGCAACAAGGAAATGCTCGTAGTCATTATCTTACTGGTCATGATGATAGTGTTTATTGTTTGGTATGGGTCAATCAACATCAAGTACTCAGTGGTAGTCGTGATCGGTCTATCAAACTGTGGGACGTAGATCAACATGAATGCTTAATGACACGACAACATCATCAAGGCAGTGTATTATGTTTAGCCATCTCTTTAGATCAATCCTTTTTTGTTTCTGGATCTTCTGATGCTACTTTGGTTTGTTGGTCTTTACCTGATATGACACCAAGAAAACGATTAGAAGGACATTTGAATGGGGTATTGGATGTATGTTTAGTGGATAGATGGATTGTCAGTTCATCTCGTGATACTACTGTACGTGTATGGAATATAGATGATGGTCAAGCTGTTCATCGTTTAACAGGTCATAGTGGTCCTGTGAATGCCTTGGAACATGTTAAACATACTCATCAAGTGATTTCTGCTTCTGGTGATGCTACTTTAAAATTATGGGATGTGTCTACTGCTCAATGTCTACGTACTTTTGTTGGTCATCAACGTGGTTTGGCTTGTGTACGTTATGACCCTTTTATTCAATGTATCATCAGTGGGGGGCAGGATGGTAAAATCAAGATTTGGGATATCAAGTCCGCGGATTGTTTACAAACCATGGCTGGCCATGCTGATTTGATTCGTACTGTGGATTGTTTTCAGGTAACAAAAAAAAAAAAAAAAAAAAAAACGTGGCACATATAAATGGTTTTAAGGGGGTTGTTGTTGATCATCATGACCTTTATTTATTTATTTTATTTATTATTCAAATTATTTTAGGGCAACGTGGTGAGTGGTAGTTATGATCGTACTTTAAGAGTTTGGAATGCTTCTACTGGTGCTTGTTTACTTAGTTTTCATAGTGGTCATTCAAGTTGGATTTTTAATGTTTTAATTAACAGTACAAAGATCATTAGGTAAAAGAAACTACCTTATTTGTAATATGTTTTTTACGCCTCATTTTTTTATTATTATTATTTTAGTGCTGGGCAAGATAAAAAAATCATGATATTGGATTTTGGTTATGATTTGAAAAGCTTATAATATTTAATGTTAATCCCTTATTACATATACCGACATTATACATATTTATTACATATATAAACTTTATATTATACCGTTTTATCAACAAAAAAACAGTGAACCAAAAATGGTTGAAATTTTCATGCATTTTCAAACTCATTAATATTTTCACCGCCGATTCATTTTTAACCAATAAGAAATGTTCATATGACGTACTTTTTTTTCTTATGAGATAAAAATAAAATTATAATTTTTTTTGGCTTGGCCTTTCTTTTTTTTTTTTTTTTTTTTTCTCTCTTTCTCTCTCTTTTTCCTTTTCCCTCCTTATTTTTTCCTTTGTATATATCTTTTTTTTTTCTCCCTTTTTTTTCATATTTCCTTTTTTTTTCCCTTTTCCTTTTTTTTTTCTTTTCTCTTTTTCTTTTTCTTTTATTTACTTTTATAAACTGCTTATCTAGTTTACATTATGAATTTGAAATCATTTCTTTTTATCAGTTTATTATTTACATTAGGTAATGTAGTGAAAAAAAAAAGAAAAGAAAAAAAAATATATATCAACGGTTTATGTGTTTCATCTTTTTTTTTGAAATGACGATTCATATGTTTTTTGTGTTACTTATCTATTTTTATATATATATTGAATAGTTCTCAATGTATCGGCAGTTCCATTACAAGATGTTTCAGTGACTTCGGTGGATTTGGCAGAAGAAAATATTAATAACAAAGGTGATGAACATTTATTTGTTACAGTGACCCGAGTTGATGATCTTGTGGATGACGATGGTTCTGTCTTGGCTGAACGTGTGATGGCTGTTCGTGTTACTTTTGATGTTGTTGAAAATCAGGTAAAATAAAAAATCTATTTTTTTTTTTTTTTACTTAGCTTTTTTTTTTTTTTTTTTTTTTTTTTTTTAATAATAAGCTTCGTTGTAATGGTGTACCTATTGCTATTGGTGTATCCAATATTCAAGTGGAAGCTCAAATGGTATCAGATCCTAATAAATTGACCATTGATTCAGCAGAAGAATTAGCTTTATTAGAAGATAGCTTTGATATTGGTTTGGCCACTGTGGAAGTCACTGCTACCTTGATGGATGAATTGAAAACAGAAGAAGGTTTAACATTCCGTCGTATTGCTGTACAAGAAATGATTACTGAAATCAATAATGAAAAGGTTGTTCAAACTCAAGCTGGTCAACAACTCTTGGATATTTTCGATAATGGACGTTTGGATAAATGGACTGTGGATCCTGTCACTGGTTTCTTATTACCTGAAGAACATCAACAACAATCAGAAGAACAACAAGAACAACAACAACCAGTACCTTGGATGATGAATAATGGTGGTTGTACTGATTTATTCGATCCTATTGTACAGTGGTGGAATGCTCAATCTAATATGGTTCGTGGTACTATCACTGGCGCTATTTGTGCCTTCCTTTTTGCCGTCGCTTTGTTTGTTCGTCATTTGATCATTTCTGCCAATGCCGCCTATGCTGCCTTACCTTTATACACTCATGAAGATGATGATGATCAAGAAGAAGTCATTTGGAAACAACAACAACAACAAAAATCTGATCCTCCTGCTTATCAACATGCTGTCGACAAGCAAGATGATGAAAAACAACCCTTCTTGGCGTAAATCCCCTTTCCCCCTTTTTTCTTGTGTCTTTATATTCATCTAGTTTACATACATCATTCGTCTTTTTTTTTTTTTGAAATAAAACCCTACTTTTCCCATGTATGTACCCAATTGTCTATCAACAAAAAAAAAAAAAAAAGACTTTATTTCTTAAGGAATATATAATATGTACATAATCTACACAAATAATCATTTCTATCTAACTATCTAAACTATCCGTGTCAGTTTGATTCAGTTTGGAGGAAAAATGGGTCATAGCTTGATTGAATACTTTCACCAATTGTTCCAATTCTTCCATCATTTTGGTTTCATGTTCTGATATTTTTGATTTCATCTTTTCCATTCTAAAAAAAAAAAAAAAAAAAAGGTGAGCTCCTTTTTTTTTTTCTTTCTTAACAAAAAGGGGGTATACTTACTGTAACTGCATGATTTGTTCTTGATGTTTTGTTCGAATCAATTGAGTGGTTGCTTCACGTCGCATTTCCTGCAGGATTCTCTTGGACTCTTCACGATTCTTTTGATATTGCATATTTTCTTGTCTTGCATTTTCTTCCGCTTCTTCATATACTCGTTGTTTACGTGAGAGCTTGACTTCCAAATCTTGGTTTTCTTGTCGTTGTTTTCGTAATTGTGCTTGTAACCTTTGCCATTCTTGTTGTAATTCCATATCCTGTTTTTCAAGTCGTGGAATGATTTCCTTGAGTTTACTTTGTAATTGCTCTAGGTCAGGCTAACATTTATGATAAATCAGAAACTTTTTCCTTTGTTTTTTCCTTTGGATAAATTCATGAAAAAAAAAAAAAACTTACAATCACATGTTGTTCTAAATGATTAGATATCATGTCATCCAAATCATTGGGGTTAAAATCCAATGGTGTTGTCAGGTTAGAGATGGTTGATAAACCAGTGCCATCAAGAGAAATACGATCCATCTTGGTTACCATATTATTGTATTTGGCCATTGCTTGTTCAATCTATAAGCGATACAATACAAAAACATAAGTTCACTGATAACCTTCTTTTTTTTCTCTATATTAACACATACTTCACTACGCTGTTTTTCAACTTGCATTTCATTTTGCCAAGTAAGTTGTTGAATTTCTTGTAATTTGGTTGATGAAGTTTCTACCTCTTGATCCCATTTTGCTTGCTGGCTTGATAGTTCATCAATCTCAGTATCAGTTAAATGTGGGTCCTTGATAGATGCTCGGATCACTTCCATTTCATCCTTGAGTGAAGTCATGGCAGTTGCTATTGAATCATAATATCAAAAAAAAAAAGATGAATAAGATTCTAAACAACAAATGGATGATCATTACATAGTTTAGCTGTTTGTCTTTCAAGTTCAGAATTGGCATTATTGTATTTGGTCTCTCGTCTTTTTTGATATTCGATATCATCATTGAGTTGAGCAATTCTTTGTTCAGTTGCCATCTTCTTTTGTCGTATACCATTGAATAGTTTCTACATAAAAAAAAATTAGATCAGTCACCCTTTTTCCTCAATCTCTCTCTCTCTCTCTCTCTCTTTTTTATAGACTCTATTTACCATATGTTCATCCAATCTTTTTCTGTCATCTTGTAGCTTTTCCTTTTGAACCAATACTTGTTTTATCCGTTCAATACCACCTTCATTGATGGCTTCAAAAACACTATTGAGTTCATCGTCCAGGAATTTGGAATGATCATCTCCTTGCATGAACGCATTGTACTTTGATACTGAATAGTCAAAAAACAACATACTCATTTCATCCGGTCCCATTTCCTCGTTGATGTGAATATCTGCTTCTTGGTCCATATGTCTTTCAATTTCACCTTGCAACACATCATTGACCTATTTGGACAAAATGCGTCAGTAATTTCATTCACTATCTTTTTTTTTTTTTTTTGGACTTGCCTTGCAAACATCCACCATCCATGATAAAAGAGCCAAGAAAGTAGGTAAGGAATGAGGAGCAGCAATAGAATATAAAGATTTCGGACTAATACTATCGACAAATGGATAACTAAAATATTTTTATAAAATAAGAAAGGAGTGAGTGAAGAAAACGATATATATATATATATATTTGGCTTTACCTCAAGATCCTCAAGACATCCAAGATTTCATCTTCAAATTTGAGTTTAGTATAAGTATAGCTAGGATCCAAGCGGTTGTGTAAAAACTTGAAGATAGCTTGAAAATCTCTTGAAGCCAAACTTCGTAATGTCCTTCGTGTCACGACTCCTCCATAGTGATGTATTGTCAAGTAGGCAATAATGTTGTGGATAGCATTGCGTTGGAATTCAGGACTTTTGATATCGCGAGGATCAGTATGGAATTTTGGTATATCGACCCCATTGCCTTTGTTGAAGAGTTCGAGGTCTGGACTGGTAAATGTAGCAGGATGCAAAGTACTAATCCTCCTATAAAAAAAAAAAGGAAAAGGAAACGATGAGAAACGAGTAGATAATTGATCTTTTTTTTTCTCTCTTTCTTTTTTCTTCCTTACCTATTCTGTGAGTCTTGTGAAGAATGCTGCTGCTGCTGCTGTTGTTGTTGTTGTTGTTGTGATGGTGGTTGAGCTGATTGTTGAGATGGTTGTTGAAATGATTGTGACGGTTGGTCTTCTTGATCTTGTCGTTGTTGTAATAAAGATCCATAGGCTTCATTTACATTAGTGGTGAATCTTCGAGATGTGAATGTTGATCCATAGTTTACTTCTTGTTGTTTCCTTTTTGGAGTATCAATAGACGTTCTTTGTAATTTTGGTGTTTGTGATAAAGAGGGTTCAGGTAATGATCGTTTATCTGTATGGGATACGGTAAATCTTCTTTGTTGTACTTGTCTTGCTGGTAAATATGATGCCATGGAGAATTTAATATAATATATTTATTATAATCACAAGTCAAAAGTAAAAAAAAAAAAAAAAAAAAAAAAAAAAAAAGAAAAAGGAAGGAAGAAAAAAAAAAAAGGAAATCAAAAAAAAAAGATGTGAAAATTTCGCGACTACGGAGCGTGAAATAATCTGTAGAATCTTTCATGTATGAATGGTAGTTCCAAGTTGCATATATATAAGAAAAATGAATGTACAAAAAGAGGAAATCCATTGTTTATTGTGATCAAAAATATATAAAACAAATAATAAAATAGGTATATAAGTGACAATATAAGAGAAAATACAGATAAAGAATCAAACAAGAGGGGTAAGAGTTCTAGATACAGTAAAGTAATATAAGTTATAGTAATAAAGTAAAAAAAAAAAAAAAAAAAAAAAAAAAAACAAAGGACGATAACTAGGTGGATGGTAAAAGTTTACTGAACAGTTCCACATTACTATTCAAAACACTTTCAGTAAATCGAAAGTTACCGCGAAAGGGCCGATCCCAAGCAATCAATGCACGCCGTGGAGTGTCCAAGATAGATCGAAATTGTTGTTGTTGTAATACATCCAAGTTGGATCCTCTGAAAAATCTAGCTGACATTTTCCATAACCATACAGAAGCATCATGATGTAACGCATACCATTGTACATGTCGTATAAATGTCGATAAAGGAAAAAGGGCCACCACTTTATTCCATTCATTCTTTTGAGAGTCATTATCAGTATCACCCATGATATCACCAAGATCATCATCTGTTTTCTTGATTTTCTTATCCTTGTTTTTCCCTTTCAAAAACCCACCACTACATCCACTTGTTGTCGTTGTTTCTATTATTGGTTTCCTTTGAGAACCCCATCCATAAGAACCAGATGAACTTTTTGTATAAATAAGTAGATCATTGTGAGCACGATAAGAGCGAATACTTGAAGTGGATTCTTGTAATACTAAAAATGTTTCTGTCACATTGGGATCATTGTCAATATCAAGAGCAGTTGAATAAGGAATGTTGGTGATCTTTTCCGTGGACATATCAATAGAAAGAACCGTAAAACAATCCATGGTACCTACAGCCACTTGAACAGGTTCAAATTGTCGAGGAATACGATTCAATAGTCGCCAGAGTCGAAGTTGTTGGAAACGGTCTTGTTGTTGTAAATAGTCGCGGAAACTAGAATGAGTGATAATCAATTGATATACTGTAGAAGGTGTCGAAGGAGCAAAAACATGTTGAAAATGTTGAAGTTCTGATTCCAATATATGGTCAATAATCAAGTATATGACTTCCAATGCCAAGATAGTCATACGTAAAAAAAATAAAAGTAAGAGGAAGAAATAAAGAAAAAAAATAAAGGAAAAAAAAGAGAAAGAGATATATAGAAGCAGAGAACGTGTGAAAGCGGAGCAAAGGGAGAAGGAAGGAAATGAAAAAAAAAAAAAAAAAGGGAGAGAGGTTTCAATTTCTATCACCTGTGATGATAAGAAAAAAAAAAAAGGTATCAGCAGACTTTTTAATGTCATCCCAAGGTGCATCGAGCCATCCCATAGAAACTATCACAACATCGATTAAAATCAGCCATAAAAGCATAATCATCAAAATGACAATGAAGATCCCCATTGGTTCTTAGTTCACCATGACAACCTTGACAGCAATCTGCTGTAAAAAGTTTAGGAATCTTTTTACAAAAACAATTGGCTCCATTCGTTATTGTCACACATACAAATAAGTAGATGCATAAAACAATGGTCAGGCGTTGAATCACTATCATTTTAGCAATACAGTTTGGAAATAAATAACCAAATAAAAATAAACAAAAAAAAAAAGAAAACTGAAATAAAATCTATCTCTTTATATATTTCAAAAGAGTTCTTTCCCCTGAATCCGTGTATAATTAACAAAATAGTCATTCCCCCAATAAAATAAAAAAAATATATAAAAAAGAAGGAGAAATAGATAAATAAATCAATAACCTTTATTGGTAATAACATAAAAAAAAAAAAAAAACTAAACTAGTCCTTCCAAATAATGACTTTTCTCTTCGCTGAGAAGTTTGTATTTTTGTTGTAAATCCTTCTCTCTTTGTGCTAATCGTTGTACTTCTTCTTCCAATCCTTGAATACGACGAGGAATTGCTACCTTTTCCGCCATTTGTAAATTCAAGAAGCTACTATGTTCAATCTTGGCAGCTTCTAGTGCTTCAAATGCTTCAATAATTTGTTGTGATAATGTATTGGATCTTGCCATATATCCACCTAGTCGAACTTCCAATTTCTTTTCCAATTTACCAGCTTTAGTAGCATCACGAATCATAGCTTGACGGTTAGACTATAAATATTATAAAAATAAATAAAATGAATTTCCTTTCTAATATATTTTCATTTTCATTTTTTTTTTTTTTTTACCTCGATGATCTTTTCTAATCCTTGAATCTTATCCTTATCATCAGGCATTTCATCCAGAGTCATGAATTGTTTGAACTTTGCAGAGAATAATAAATCATCATGTTCTTGATCCCATTTTTCTTGATATCCGGGTTGATTTGATACATGATTCCAAACGGCTTGTTGTACATCAGTTTCATCCAAATCAAGCATTTCCTTCAATTCCAAATCCATTTCTTTGCGAGCATCCTCCAAAGTTGCCGTATCGAATTCTTCTTCTACAAGAGTTAAATCACCTTCAAGAGGAGTAGCTCCAGGAGCGATAGATCCACCAACCACAGGGTATTTGATAGCATCATGTTGTAATAAGCGTATAAATTCTTGTTGAATCATGGCCTGAATATCGTCCAAATGTTGATTGACTTGTTGAATAGATGCTGGAATACTCGTTGGGCGTGGTAAACCGCGTTGTACTACAAGTGATCGTCGTCCTAATTGTTCTTGTTCGTTTTTGATGGCCATTTCTTTGTTGCGTTTTTCTACTTCACTCATATCCTCCACTTGGCTTGATTGATCTGTTTTGATCTCATCTTTTTCTTCCTCATCCCCAACATCAGGTAATCGAATTTCCCATTCATTTCGTGGCTTGGGTAATGATGAAAGACCTTGTAAGAGAGCTCGTTTGCGTTGTATTTGTGCCATTTTTTCGTCACGAGGTGTAGCTGCAATTGATTCTTGTTGATCGTTAATGTTGAAATGGTCACGAAGTGGTGTTTTGAATGGTGTTTGATTTCCATAAGTTGAAGGTGTTGATGTTGTTCCACGAAGAGGTGTTGCTAAAGGATTTGGTGTTTGTACACTGCTGTTACGAGGTGTAATTCCTTCAAATCCAGTACCTTGAGATCCCAGTAATTCCACATTTTCACCACCTAGTAATGGAGTTTGAGATGCTGTCAAGGCTATCAAATTACGGGCTTCGTTCATCAAGGTATCAGCTAAAGTAGTAGTAATAATAATGATAATAATAATAATAGTTAACCTTTTCCATTCCTCTTTGGGTAAATCCGTTTCTTTTTTTTATTTTTTTTTATTAGTTGGTCACTTACTTTGAGCAGCGACTCTAGGAGTTCTTGCTGATACAGTGTTTGGAGTAATTGCATAGTCACCAAGAAGTCCACTAGTAGCATGATCAGTATCTTCAGCTTGAACCAAGGATTTAGCTGATTCACCAGCAAAACCAGTCTTAACGATTTCATCTAATTCTTCTTCACCGACTTGAGGAGCAGGAAGGACTAGCTTTCGTCGTTTAGCAATTTGTTCTTGTTCTTGCATCTTGATAATTTTAGCATCCTTTGCAGGAACAAACCGACCTTGATTTCCTTCAGATTTATTTCCAGTAGCACCAGCTTCACGTTGTTTTCGTTTTCGTTCACGTTCCTTTTCTTCTTCAATATCAGCACGTCGTCGATTGAGTTTGGAAAGTCGTACGTTAGTCAATAATTCTGCATTTGGTTTTTGTGCTTTTTCTTCTGTCACATCGAAAAATCCTAATGGTGCTCGTTTTTCAAAAGGAATATCTGTATTATAATCCATAGTGTTTTTCATTTTCTTCACTCGAACACTATAATAATAATAATAATAATAATAAAATATTGATGAATATATTAAAAACAAAAATTTATCTACTTTCATCATCACTTACTTGATACCGGCCGCCTTTAATTCTCTTCGTTTTTGTAAAGTAGTCAAACGTCTAGCTTCTTCCAATTGTCGTTCACGAGCCTTGCGTTTTGCCTTTTTACCTTGAGTATTTGCTAAACGAGCACGAGCTTCAGATAACATTTCTTTTTCATCTTCATCCATATCAACAGGATCAGGTCTTGCAGGTTTACTTTCAGGTTCAGGATCCACTTCTCCAGGTCTTAACTTTCGTACATCATCAGCATTTGGTCCAGTTTCATGACCTCCAGCACCAGTAAGTCCCAAATCTTCTTTACCAGCAACAGATTGTTCAGCTTCATCCAATAATCGTTGATATCTTTCAAGACATTGTGCAGGAGTACGTCCAACAATAGGAGCAATAGTACGCCATTGTGTAGGCATCAACTTTGCAAGATGAAGTAATTTTTCATCTTCTTCCTTTGACCATTCCGTCTAAAAATACAAAAAAAAAAAGTTAAATCAATATCCTATTTATATATTATTCTATTTTTTTTTTGTTTTACCTTTTTAATACTAGGATCCAACCATTCAAACCATCTTGCTTTACATTGTTTTGGAGATTTGCGAACAAGTAAAGAAGAGATACGTGCCCATTGATTCTTTCCGTATTTACTGACAGCCGCTTTTAAAATTTCGTCTTCAGTGTTTTTCCAAACACCACCTTTGATCATAGGTCCAAAACCCATTGTATATATTGAATAAAAATATATATATATAACGAATATATATAGATGTTATGTTATAAAAATGAGTTGCAAAAAAAAAAAAAAATAAGAGAGGTAATAGAAATTGAAAGTTCTCGACACACTTTTACCGTTTTGTTGCTCTCTCTCCCCACTCCCCAGTCACGAATTTTTTTTTTGGAAAGTTTTTCCACCTTGAATTCAGACAATCAGGAAACAAGGTTTTGAATTCCAGCCATTTTTCTACTTTCCCTCAGCCACTACATTTTTTTTTTTTTTTTTGATCTTCTTTTTCTTTTCTTTTTCTTTATTCGTTTCTGGTAACTGACATTTATTCTTTTATAATGTCATTATCACTTCAACAACAGTTGAGTAAGATCGGTACTGCTGATCTGAAAAATGTTACTGAAACATCTAGAAAGTATAAAGCATCTTTTCTCTTCACTGAAAAAGAAGCTGCTGATCAAGATTTGGAAACGATCTATTCACTTGCTCACAATGGTTTCTTGGAACTTGTCAATTTAAATTCTTCTTTTACTCCTTATGAAACTACTCTTTTCTCGGACAAAAGCAAATCTGTCAACCGTATTTTATTGGTAAATAGTCATAACTAATATGATACGTTCGTTATTTCTTACAAGCTTTTTACTTTTTTTTTTTTTGAAATAGACTCAAAAAGAAAATGATCAATTGAATACCAGTATCTCGTCCTTCTTACAACAGTTGTCCCCTTACTTTTTATTAAACCCTGCTGGAAAGGTATTGGAATGGCTGATTCGTCGTTTTGATATTCAAAAGAACAATATTGAAGCCGTTTTGGTTTGTATTCTTCCTTATCATGAAACAAAGTCTTTTGTAAAAATGGTATCTCTTTTGGAAATCCCGTGAGTCTTTTTTTTTTTTTGTAAATTAATTCATGATTTTTATACTAACTCTATTTCTTTGTTGTTATTTTTCTAATAGTGACAATTCTCCTTGGCTTTTTTTGAAGGTTATTCGTACTAGTCGTGTCCCTCTTGAACGAGATCTTCTTGTAGGAAAACTTAGTAAAAGTCGATTTATGGTGGATTTCGTTTGCAAAATGGCGACTTCTTCCACTGTACATTTTTCAGCACTCTACACTTTTTATGCAGCAACTATCATCGATTATATTAAATCTTCTCGTAGGGTATCTGAAGATATGGCGACATCATTGACGAAATATCTTGTTGATGGTCTTCGAGCAAAACGTGTTCCTGAATTACAATTGGCAACTTATATGATTCTATCTCAACTCTCTTCCAAAACTACGTTCAACGAGGAAGCAGCAGCCGCTCTTACTACAACTATGATCAAACGATGCAATCACGACTTGTTCCGACACTGTTTACTCACCATTATCCATCTCGCTCAAACTCAACCTAACTTTACATTAGATAATGATACTTGTCTTGCTTTGATGAATCATTCTTCATTCAGTACATGTTTCTCTGACATCTCTGGTATGTTTGCGACGGACAAGTTTATGACATTTATGATTCCTCACTTTATCACCAATCAAAAAACCGAATTATTGGAACACACATTAACTCAAGGTTATCTTTCTCGTGAAAATGTGCGTTTGGTTTGTGAAAAGGTAATGGAAGGCTATATCAAACTACGATCTGACAAGAAGAAGTCTGATGCATATATTCAACAAATCAAACCTTTACTCTCTATTATCTCTCAACGTTATGTGGAAGAATTGGATTATGTATTGGAAACCAAGTTGGAACAAGCAAAAGAAGATAAATATCTTGCCGAATCTTTATATCAACTCTCTGCTAGTGCTTTCCAAGGTACTCGACATCAGCTCGTTGAAGAAGCCAACAGTACTTTATATCTCTGTCTCAATAATCCGTCTGCTGCTATTCGTTTATTGGGTATCAAGAAATTGGTGGATGTGTTGAAAACTGGGGATCAATCTTTATTACAGGTAACAACTATTATTATAACATAAATATTTTGTATTACATAAAGCTGACCATCAATTTTTCCCTTCTTCTTTAGTCTTCTGATGTGATCACATCTGCTTTTACTAATTGCCTCGAAGAATACGGTGATCTTCTTGGCTATGCTCTCAATGAAGTACCTGATATACTATTACAATATGTTCCTGCAGATACTATTCTTTCCCGCTTACATACGGTTTTACAAGGTCATGGTGCTTATGCTCACAAACAAGCTGTGTCTGTTCTCAATTTTCTTCTAGTTGCTTACATTCACAAACATCCTTCTGAAAAATCTAATGTCGCTCGTATTTTCGCATCCTTTATATTTGCTGCTTCTGGTGACAATCTTTCTCAGCTTTCAACAATGGTGAAGAAGGTTAAATTTGGAAAGGACATCTTGGGTGGTATGGTGGACTGTTTTTTGAAGGTTGTGAACAAGGCTGATACTTCTTTTGAATTTGTGAAACAACAAGCAAGTAAAGTTGACGATTTGAACTTTTGGTTGGTGATGATGAAAAGTACTTCACGTATGGAACGAATGTTGGCACTTTGGATTGTTGGGTATTCTGTATCTATCACCAAGGGACAACAACAAATTGTGATGGCTTCAAAACTATTCAACACAATCATTACATCTTATGATGATATACAAGCACTGTACAGTACCAAACTCGACAAGAAACTGGTTGATGCCGAGCACCCTTGGAATTTATCATTATTCAAGCAAATGCAAGATGTGGACAACCTTACTGACAAATTAGAAACAAATCTGGTCCAACTTCTTTTCCTCAACATGACAGATACACTTGATAACAGTGTCATTGACTCCAAAAATTGGTTTAACAAATCACAAGATGAAGGTCGTGATGTTTTGACTGGATTATTCAAGGTTTTCGTTGGTGGACATAATCTTGGTTGTTTTGAAAGCATGTTGACAAAATTGATCTCCATTCATCTCAAGGACAATTTACTCTCTTTTTTGGTTAGTCAATGGACAAACAAAAGTAAGATAAGAAAAAAAAAAGTGAATAGATTTGAATAATATAATGTAAACATATATCTCATTTTTATTTTTATTTTTTATTTAATTTTGTTTCAACCTTTGTATAGACAACAGCAGTATCGTCAGAGCTCGATCACTCCAAATTGCTGCCTCGTATATGCAATCTTATGCTACCAATCACACTGTGTCTGATTTCCAACATTTAGTCCCTCTTCTCTTACCATCTCTCAAGGATGAAGAACAATTGGTACGTGCGGCCTCCCTTTCTTGTTTGAAGAATGTTGATCTAGCTTATCAATCGATTGGACTCCCTACATCACCTGCCTTCTACAATGGTTCATCCTCAAAAAAGAAAGCTACATCTCAAACCAAGAAGGCTGTTGCTCTCAAGTCAGATACCGTCTATGGTCCCTCCATCTCTATTCTTGTTGCTCGAGCTGATGATATCGCTCATTTTGTTGACCATATTATTCATTTCCGTCGTGAAATTGCTCAAGATGATTCGTATATCAACAGAATTGTGCTTGAATACATGCAAACATCTCTTGATTCCAAGAACAAGACTGCCAGAGAATCAGTGAATCGCATTTTAGATCTTTTGTTACATCATGTGATCAAGGCTCCCGTCATTCAAATTCAAATTGATATTATGGCATTTTTGGATGGCGTGAACACTGGACGCAAGTTGGAAAAGGTGATACATTTACTGGAAAAAGCTCTGGATAGTGAGCGTACACAAGCTAATACTGCGCTGATTACTCTCTTGATTCGATGCTTTATACCTACTGGCAAACATTTGAATGGCAAGGATTTGGAAGTCTTTATGCGACTATTATCCAATCAAGATAACTTGCTGGGTGAAGATGATGAAGGATGGCAAATTTCTACTCGACGAAGCACACTTCGACAAATCACTGAAGAATTCTATGCTGGTGCAGGTACAACTGCTCAACAACAAATCCTTACTCTACTTATCGACATTGCAACGAATGAACAACAACATGATGTTCGCTTGGCCAAGAATGTACTTATGACCATTTCTATTCCTGGTTCTATGCTGGAAAAATACTTGATGTCTGCTGCTAAATCACTTCTTGCACCAGAACCAGAAGCCAATTCGTCCAAACGCTCTCGATCAGAAAAGTAAGATAAAAAAAATAAAAAAAAAATAATAACAGGATATTAATTATTATCATTTTTTCTTTTTTGTTTGTATAGATCACCTTCTGCTGAAAAACCTGTTGATCTATATGAATTGGTGACTGTACTTGAACTTGTGGAATCAAAATCAACCATGGATGATATTCTTCTCATCAAGCCCTTGTTTGAAGTATTGACTGCGTTGGTGAATGCTGACTTGCGTAACTCTCCTGTGTCTCTTGAATACATCAATCAATTAATCATGTCTGCCTTGACTCGCATTATCCAGACCGCTGAAGATGAACAAACAACTGTGGATGAATCAACGCTTCGTGTCGATGTGGTGGTACAATGTATTCGTATCACTGGTAATCCTCAAACCCACAACCAAGCTTTATTATTGATGGCGACCATTGCATCTATGTATCCTGAAAGTGTATTGCATAATATCATGCCAGTCTTCACATTTATGGGCGCAAACGTTCTTCGACAAGATGACAATTATAGTTTCCAAGTCATCCAACAAACTTTAGAAAAGGTTATTCCTCCTCTTGTGGCCTCTCGACGTCTAGCAAGTGACAACAATGCTATGGCTTTAGCTATTCAAGTGAAACCAATTATCAAGGTCTTTGTTGATGCCCTGTTCCATATTCCCAAGCATAGACGTTTACGATTGTTCACGGTATTGATTCAAACTCTTGGTCAAGATGAATTCTTAGCTACCATCATTTCATTATTATTGGAAAAATTCACGGAAAAGCTTGCCAAGGGATCTCGTACTGAGGCTGATTCATTGTTGGAATTCAGTCTTATGGTTAGTGAACAATTCAGCCCTCAAACACAAATGAAGTCCATCCTGGCATTACTTAATGGTCTCTTACAACTACCCAACGAAAAACTTGATGACGATACTATGATGGAAATTGACTCTTTATTCAACATCAACGAACATACAGCAAAGCAGCTTCGTCAATACAAGCTCGTTACCGTCAAATTGATCGATCAAATTTTAGCGTCCCAAGTATTTTTGAACAAGGTGATGATGGTATCACAATCACTGGATACTGTGGAAGATCAAATGCAACCTTTCTTTTTGGAAGCTGTTGAAGTTGTTCTCAAAGTGGTGACTTACTTTACGGATTTCCGAGACCAATACTCTGTATCTGAAAATGCTCATCCTACCGTCACCAAGTTCTGGCGTGCTATACTCAAGGTGGTCTATGATGTATTAAACAAGTTGAATGCCCTATTACCTTTACATGCATTTATCAATGTGGTATCTCATTTGGTCAAACATCCTCAAGTCCCTATTCGACGCAAGGCAATGACAATCTTCAATGAAAAAATGGTTAGTTATCGTCATGCTCCTGAAGATGAAGAATTGGCATTGGCTGATATGGTTAAGACTTTCACTACTACCATTCAAAATGAAGCCAACACTGCCAATGAAGAAGATGCTGCTATCAACAAGCAAGCTGCTTTACTTTGTATTGGGTCACTTGCCAACCTTTTGGGTCATATTCATCCTGCCAATTTTGTCGATGCTATTCCTATCATTGGAGGACCTGATTGTTTACAAAATACCAATACTCAACTTCAAGTATCTAGTCTTGTGTGCCTTTCCATGATTTGGTAAAAAGAGAAGAAAGAAAGATGTCATAGGAAAAGAAAGAAGGATGATCATACTGATGATTTTTTTTATTTTTATTTTTTATTTATTTCTTTATATAGTCAACAAGTTGGACCACGTGCTGTCCCTCATCTTCCCAAGTTTATGCCAGTTCTTCTAAATATGCTTATGTCTACGGTGAATGACCCTACTCCCAACACTACACTTCAATTAGGTGTGATTTCTACTGTGGAAACTATTGTTACTGTCTTGCCTCACTTTTTGAGTCCTTACTTGTCCAAGTTACTTGCTGGATTATTACATACTTCGATTTATGATTATGATTCTGAAGATACACAACGATCTCTCTCTCATAGTAAGGCCAAAAATGTTCTCACTGAAATGGCAACCAATGTTCCTCCTCGTGTTTTGCTTGCACCTGTATTTGGATTTTATGAAAAAGCTGTGGAAAATGGAACCAAGGTATGATAAATGAATCGATCTTTTTTTTTTTAAAAAAAAAAAGAAGGGAGATGTATCTCATTATTTCTTTTTTTTATTATTATATAGTCGACTCTTGCTCTGTATTCACTTGTAGCTCAAGCCATTCAATCTATGCCTCGCGATGTGATCACCACCCACTACAAACAAATTTTCAAATTCTTCTTATTGGCGTTTGATATGCGACGTCTTCATCCAGACATGGACTCGACTGACATCGATGAACTGGAATCATCTATCATCGACTCGTTCCTAGGTTTAGTGATGAAGTTGAACGAAACCTTATTCAAACCTCTGTTCCTCAAGATTGTGGACTGGGCAACTGTGGAACAACCCGACGAGAATCGATCACTTTTCTTCTACAAATTATTGGACTCGTTACTCGAAAAACTCAAATCTATTTTTACTCCTTATATCGGATATGTTGTGGAAGACATGATGACAAGATTGACTGCCTACGGAAATGGTACGTTATTACCCGACACTCTTTGGAACTATCTTTTCACCACACTTCGAAAATCCTTCTTGTATGATAACGACAATCTTTGGAACGCCGATCGGTTCGACAAGATGGTGGACCCTGTCCTTGAACAATTATTGGTGACTGAAAGTGGAGATTGTGAAAATTACCTAAGTCGTATGATCACCTATGTTGTGCCTTGTATTGCTCAAATGGCTGTGACAGTATCGAACGACACTTTATGGAAACCCTTGAATCACAAGGTATTGATGAAGACAAGAGAAGATGATCCTGAGATCCGATTGGCGGCTCTACGTGTGATTGAAGAATTCTACAATAGGCTTGGTGATGAATGGCTTCTTTTCTTGGCTGAAAGTATTTCATTCCTTGCTGAACTTATGGAAGGTATTAAAAAAAAAAGAAAAGAATGTTTATATGTTACTGATTTCTTTTTTTATTATTATTATTATTAGATGATGATATTCGTGTGGAAAAATTGGTTCAACAAGTCAATGCACAAATTGAAACTCATTTGGGTGAAAGTTTAGATAAATTTTTTAACTAGATATTACAAATAAATAGCATTGTATTATTTTTTTTTATATATTTAAAAAAGAAAACAAGAATAAATATTGTATTCTCCGCTCAGGGCCATGTTATCTATCGGAGAGAACAACTAGTTTTTTCCATTTTTGAAAAGAAGAAAGCCGAAAATGGATGAGGGTATGACGATATGAACGGGCAAATCAGGTAAAAATTCTACAGGAAAGGAAGAAAAAGATAAAACAAGTTGGGTAATTTGGAACCATAAAGTGGCTGAGCTGAAAAAAGTAAGTATAATTTTAATGCCGTAGAGAGAGTTCTCATGATTAGACGGGAAAGTAAAAAAAATAAAAAATAAAAAAAAGTTACTTTTATCTTTTTTTTTTTCCCTTTTTTTTTTTTTTCTTTCTTTCATAAGCAAATATTACCCTTACTTTATTCCCCTCCCTCTTTTTCATTTTTTTTTTTTTTGTATGCTACCAGTATACTCTCATTGCAACGAGTCTTGTATAGATCCCATGTTGCTTTCTTTATCTCCAGGGTCGGACATAGTTCCCACTACACCAACAACTACTACTACTACTAATACCACACCTACTACTAGTAATACTACAACAAGTCGGACAATGGCCAAATCATCATTAGGAACAACAACAGAAACTATTCGACATTCTATTGTATCTCATTATTCAACCACTACAGCAAGCGGTTCTACTCGACGAGATAGTTTTGGAAGTAGCGATGGTGATAAAGAAGATCTTCAAACGCGGCGGTGGTCAGCAGAGTCAGGTTCCTTAGAACACGTGCTTTCACGTAAGCTATATTTTATTTTAAAAACGATGATTGGATTTGTGTGTAGTCGGGAAATATTTTTAACCTCCCCTTTTCCCCTCTTTTTTTCTTTTTTTCCAAACTGTTTTTTCTTTTTTATATATATATATATATATATAGCTTCTTCTCCCACTAGTTGTTCTTCTTCAACATTACAACCTTCTTCTCGGTTTCTTTTATCTGGAGCAACAAGTTCAGAAACGTTTCGACAACAGGAACTACTCCGGTTTTATCCGTCTTCAACAACACCCTCAAGACGAATAAAGACATTGTCCAACCCTTTTGTCACCATGCCATCTCTTTCCATACAACCACCTTTTGAAGATTCAGCAACCACTCTTTCTGGAGATGATGCTTGGTGCATGTCAGTAAAAGTAGCTTTGGAAAATGCGAGTTGCAAGGACTGGCTTTACAAGTACGAATTCCCTACATTTGCATTTGCTCGATCTTGGAAACGACGGTACATCATTCTAAGTGGACAGACAGTTTATGTCTTCAAATCCAACAAGGCTACCAATCCTACTCGTGAACATTTTTTATTGACAGACGATACTTTGATTTTTGTCACCGAAGATTTCAAGAAGAAAGAATGCGTGATTGAAATGCGAAAACCTTTGTACAAATGGTATCTGCGATGCGAATCTGTTACACAAATGAAGTATTGGTTAGAAGCCATGAAGAAGGTCGTGGCCTGTTTGAAGCTTGGTTATCGTGGTCCTCTTACCTCATCTGTTTTATCTTCTTTGGTCTTGACGGATGATGCTCGTTTACTGACAACCCGACATACTTCACAACAACCATCTTTTTTCGACAACAAGAAAACAAAACGATCTAGTACACCAGTCACTTTTCCTTTCAACTCATCATCATCATCAAAACGACAGTCTTTAGCACAAATCCCTCATTGGGAAAAGACTTTACCACCACAGATGCCTCCTCCAACCTCTTTACCACCACCACCGCCATCATCACCCTCCCGATCTTCATCTCCTACTTTTTCTCGCTCTACTACTCGTCCATCTTCTGCCATCTTCAGGTCTTTTGCCTCGGCTGGAACTCCTCCAACTCTATCCACTGTATCTGAATCTTTATTGGATCTTCCTTCCTCATCCTAAAGTTGTTATTTTTTTTTTTTTTGTATATCTCCTTTTTTTTTCTTTTTTGATCTCCCTGTTTATAGTCTCTCCCATATTTACACTTATTTAGTTATTATATATTCTTTTTTTTTTCTTTATCATATTTAGTTTTTGTATTATTTAGTATTTTTTTTTTATTATTATTATTATCTCACTTGTTCATCTTCTGTTTTTTCCATATATATATAGTACTGTACATCCATTTCTCATTTTCTGAAATAAAGTCTTACTTTATTTCTTCTTTTCTAATTTTCTCTCTTTATTTATCATGTAATACATAGAAAATAGTCCCGTTGTAGAAAAAAAAATCTCTTTTGTACCAATTGGATTCTATGAGTCATCCAACCAAATCCATGTGATTTAAAGACGTCAAGTCTACGGTTCCACATACAATTTCTTTATTGAACACAATAATAATAAGTAATAATAATAATAATAATAATAAGTAATAAATAAAATACAATTACATAAATTTCATGATAAAATGGAATCCATTCTTCTTGCTTGTTCAGCATACTTAGCATCACCCACAATGAATCGAACCAAATCCGTCAAATGTTCCAATTGGCCAATGATTTCCTCGGTACAGCAGGCAACAGCAAACCAGGTCAAGTTACGGAAATTGACAAATCGTTCACCATCATTCGTCTTTTGTTGATTGGCTAATAATCGCATTCTTGCTGAACGAGCTGATGGCATATAGATTGGTAAAGGTGTCTTGGAGCGTAATGCAGATGATAAGGTAAAGAAATGTAACAAAACAGAAGCAATCTAAATATATAAAAAATCAGTCATTTTTTTTTCATTTTTTCATTTTTTTTTTTCATGTTTACCATATCACGTCGAAAAACATAATATTCATGTTGACAAATATTTTTTTTGACCACAGGAGACATTTTAAATAAAGCAACACGAATACTAGCCATTCGATCCAATAATTCTTGCATAGTATTAGTCATTGCCTTGTAAAATGATTTTGGGAAGGGTCCACGCATACGAGGTTCATTGTCTGTCAGATCCAAAAGTCTATTACAAGCATCAATGGATTCTTGAATTTTATTTTCCATCTTGATACTACGTTTGATGTCATCCAATGAAGGTGGTGTTTCTGGTAAATGATATAGAAATGTCCCCATCAAAAAAGTAAAGTAGTCCGCCAATTCATTAAGCACACCAGGAATGGATTTTCTTACTGCTTGTCTTGCTACAAATGGCCAAACAACACTACAAAAAAAAAAGTTAGGTATAGAAAAATAAAATAAAATAAAAGTATGACTTACGAATTCAATAGAAGAGCAACCACAATACCAACAATCATTGTCAACACTCGTTTCCTATCCAATAAAAATGATAAACATTCATCTTTTTTTTTTTTTTAAATCAATAACTTACCAAACTGTGGAAGCAATACTTTCTCCAGGTACAGGATAAGCATATCGACTGAGTGCAACCACCATATAGGCAATCAAAACCACAGTACCGACCTTATTATAAGTACTTCCCAAATGAAGATAGTAGAAAGGAATAGCTATATATGGAGAATATGAGTATTCAAATGAATGTTCTCTTTTTTTTTTCATTTACCTAATAATACAGCAAATACAGCCAGAACATAAGGAGATCCACCACCGGCTTCTAAAGCAGCCCATCCCATCAATGCACCTACAAGAGTTCCAACAATTCGCCAAAAACTAGCTTGTAAAGTACCACCACTAAAATAAGGATGATGATAATAATAAATAAGATGTTTCTACTTTTTTATTTATTTATTTATTTACCTTGTTGGATTCATAATAGCAATCACTGTCATTCCAGACCATTGACCACGTACACTTTGATACCATGCCGATGAAGAAGGAAAGAAGGCTGGCATACATAGTACCAAGACAGCCACGGCCATTTTCAAACTAAACTTGAATTCGTATCGTTTTGTATATTGAAGAGCCTTCCATAATGAATAGCGTAGTCGTAAAGATAAAGGAGGTTTTTCTTTCTTTGTATCTTCTTGCTTTTTGCCTTCTTCTGCCATATTGAAGATATCATATTCCAATGTTTTCTGTCGACTGATTTCTGACATAAAATGTTGTTGTTGTTGTTGTTCACTTTTGGATGGCTGCCTTCGATGAGAGGATCTATTGGTGGGTGTTCTTGTCAAGGATATAATACTACCATTAGGTGATGAAGAGAGAGGTACATGACTGGGTCTTCTCGAAAGTTCACGTTTAATAGAAGCTGTCGTGGATAATCTGGTCAATCGATATTCTTCTTCCATCTCTGCTGGTTGATGTTCATCAGGCATATGTTGTGTCAAGGACGCTAACAAAAAAAAAAAAGGTAAATATCTATATATTATCATCCATCTTTATGCTAACTTACCAAAAGATTGACCACCTTTGTCTTTTGTACTTTGATGATTATTCCAATGAGCCCATTTCTTCCACCATTTTTGAGTCATTTGAGGCATGTACAGATGTTTCCTTCGTTTTCCATTGACCATACGTTTCTTTGAATATTGTCGTAATGTATCCAGTTCTTTCGATAAGGTTTCCAGTTCATTTGCAGCTTCACGTAAGGTAAACATAAAAAAAAAGACCAAAAAGAGTTCCTCCCTCATCCCCAGATCCAGAGTACCACCGCCAGCTTTCAACTGTTCTTCTTTGTAACGATAAAGATTGTCCATACATTTACGTTCCGAGATGTCAAATTCCTTGACCGCACTCTGCATCGTGCTTGCGCAATGACATTGATGTGTTTCCGGTTGACATTTTCCGTGATCATTGTCTTCCGTCGAGGATGCCGATACCTTGTTACCTTCACCACCCGTTGTTTTTTTCTTAAGCTTAAAAAGATGTCGAAGATAAGTCAGCCAAGTTTTCCGTATAGATGTATCGTCTTCATCATCCAGATCCAATTCAGTAGTTACACTTGTACCAGCGCAGGCCAAGACTTGCGTACATTTCATTGCCAAAATCATCAAAGGATCCCGAAGACTTTCCAAGTAAATCATCAATAGATGTCGATCACTAAAATTGACTTTCTTTTTGCATTTCCGTGGTAACTTATTGTTTGTAGAGACTTTCTTCTTGGGTAGACTGAGAAAAGATTTGATGGATGCAATAGATTTTTGATTTTCTTCTGTATAATCTTCATCCATAGAGTTTCTCCGAGATGTTGTTCTTGATGTTGCACGAGAAGTAGCACGAGATGGACCACGTGAAGATCGAGGACTGGTGTTGGCAGATGCAGAATATCTTGCACCTGGTTGAGTAAAATCATTGGTAGCTCGTAAAGCTGCACGAAGCAAATCAGCATCAAGACCGGAGTATGTATGTCTACTAGATGGAAGAGAGCGTTGTTTTTGTGAGCCATGATTCACCTCGTGTTCATCATCAGTTGCAGAATCATTGTTGTCATCATCAGCATCATCATCAGAATCTTCATCATCACTATATTCTCTTTCCAAAGCTTCTAAAGCACCTTCAAACAATTCACGTTCCGTTTTAAGACAACCACCCAAGATACCAAGATGTTTTGTTAATCGATCCAATGTTTTTCGAATATCACCCATTTCTTGAGGTCGAACATAAGCATAGGACACTTCATATTTTGCTTCCCGATAAGCACCTTTGACTTTGGTCATCCCGAGACGCATGCTAGCCGCCAGTGCATTTACATCATCTTCCGGAAGCATTTCCGATTGGGGGTCCAGAAAGAACTGTTGTGTAATCATTTGAAGCATGTTTTGACTAGCCTTGATAGTTTCTTGTAAAGCTCGACCTAACCAGATCAAGAACATTCCGAAGAATAAATAAATAATAAACAGGTTAGAAAAAAAAAAGGTAATTTTCACTAATTGATTTTTTTTTTCAATATATTTTATTTACCTAGACCATCCACAGCAGTTTCAGGCCAGACCACTAAATTAACCACCAAAGAAATAGTAGCACCAATCAAAAGAGGTAGACCAAAGGTAAGGGGTAATTGCCAATTCATGGATGTTTCAAATACTCCGCGAGTCATGGAAAAGATTTGAACAATCATAAATTGAAGAGAAAAAAAGTAGAATTTTGGTAAAACTTGTCGTAACATTTGAGCCAAGAAGACACCGATAAAAAGAAAAAGACCAGGAATCACTTTGCCTACAGGATCTTCATAATGAGTTTCTAGATGGGTTTGATTGTATGATGATCCAGCACCAAGAGCTGCAAATGCCCATAATACTGCCAAAATGATTCCTAATACTGAAGTAACTGTTGCATCAATTTGAGCTCCCATACTATGATCATATACAAAAAAAAATGTTAAAAAAAAAAGAAAAGAAAATGGATGATTTACCTTCGCCCAGGATGATTAAATACACTACCAGAAGTAGTTAAAAAAGCGGCAGTTCCAATAGCAATGGTGAGAGGATGAATCAAACTGAAAAGAGTGGTTAAAAAGTAAGCGAGAGTACATTTGAGTACACGACGAACAATGCGACTTGGGAATTTTTTGTGAAGATAGTCCAATAAACGTTGTTGATAAGAAGGAGAAGCTGGTATCGTTAAAGTGGGTGAATCTTCTTGTCGTTTCATTGATGCTTGATCTTCATTGACTCGAAAAGTGACATGACCTTTGGGTTGTTCTATTTGTATTTGAGGAATGTCATTTTGGGTATCGTTTTCTTTATCTAGAGGTGATGGTTCTTCAAAGAGTTGTGATAAAGGTAATGGAGGAGGAGCATGGTCGGATTCTTGAGTTACGGATAGATCAAAGAACCTAAATAAAAAAAAAAATAAGTGATCTAGACTTTATTTTATACATATCCTTTTTCCTTTTTTTTTTTTCTTACCCATTCCTTTCTTCCAATGGCAATTTGTCCATATGTCTCTTCAGAAAAAGAGATTTGTTTTTTTTAAAGAAAAAAGAAAAAAGTTACTTGTCAAAAAAAAAAAGGAAGAAAAAAAAAGACAGAAAAAAAAAAGTGATTGGGGAAACAGAACTCTCACACACATGGAGAGAGAGAAAAAAAAATCAATTCAACTCCGTCTACAATAATCAATCAAATCGGGCATATAGCATATGCTTTCCTCGCGGAAAAGCCAAGTTGAAAACTATAAAAGGAACTATAGATTATAGATACTCTCGGAGTAAACAAAAGAAAAGAAAAGAAAGAAAAAAAAAAAGGAGTATATTAGGTAAGAGATTGACATTTGATGAACTTATTACAAAATAACTTGGTACAACTGTAGTTTTTTTTTTATTTATTTTGGTTGATCGTTATTGTAATTTCCCTGAACTGTAATTGAATGAAATTTAAGGGGAAACAAGAGGAAGTTTTTTTTTTTTTTCAGGGGAGGAATGATCCGAGTGATGTCCATCCATTACTGTTTATTACATAGAAACAAGAATGCAAGTTGCTACTGTTTTTATGTAACCTTTAATCCATTATCTTTTATAAACGGGGATTTATTTATTTTCTCTATCATCATTATTTTCCCTCACTTTTTTTTTCTTTTTCTTTCTTTCTTTCTCTTTTTTTTTCTTGTTCTTCTTTAGTTGATTTATTTTAATTAAAAAGAAAGTATTATGCTTGCTACTAGTAGTAGTACTACTCATCTTGATCCAACTAATAATCATCAACGATACCAACAACGACATCCATTTTATTATCAACAACAAAAGAAAATAGCTTCATCATCAAGTATTTCAACACCTTCAACTTATAACCTATTCAATTCATTACCATTATTTACAACAAAAAATATTACATCAGATTGGGATATTCATCATCATCATAATAAAGATGATCTTGTTGTTCCTACTAATCAGGGTTTAATCACTGATTTTGGTTCATCAAGTACTCATTCACCTAAAGAAGAATTTTATGATGATTATTATTTAAAACCCAGAGTAAGTAAAATAACAAATTATACAAATTGATTACTTATATTTAAATTAGGATATATTAGATACTGATACTATGAAATATCAATTAAAAGATGCTATGGAAATTATTCAATCTTTAAATCAAAAAGTACATTTACTTACTGAAGATTTACAACAGGTAAATAAGTATATAATATCCATATATTATACTAATAAGATGATATATAGAAACAACATACCATTAATAGTTTACAATCTACTATTACTATCAAAGATTTGGAAATTCAGGAGCAATCTAGACGACTTGCAAAGGTAACTCAACTACCAAGGGGTCATATGTATGGTAATAACACTGCTGATCGTTTTTCAAAGTTAATCAATGACAATGCGGAGCTCAAATATAAACAGAAAATGTAAGCTCAAAATGATTACTTTCTCCCTTTATGCATTTTCTTTCCTTTTTCTCATTTTTTTTTTTTATAATGTAGTTTAACCCAAGAATTTGATACTATTCCAAATCGTATAACAAACACTGTCTTGGTAGAAAAAGGTGTTTCTGAACAAACAAACAAATGGCAACGTTGGAATGATGATGTAAGAAAAAAGAAAAAGTCATTATAAAAAAAGAGAAACTCATTATCTTTTCTTTTCAAAAAAATAATAATAATCAGAAACCTGAATATAAGCGTCATATGGAAAAGAATAGTAATACTGACTGGGATGTAAGTTTCCTTTTTATCTATTTACATTTTTATTAATCATTTCTTATTTATTTTATATAAAGACATTGGTGAATAGGATTCTAAAATCCACTGATCAACAAGCATCTATCTATTTACAGCAAAGACTCAAAACATGTACTTTGGATCAAAAACAAGATATTTTTAAAGCAGTGCATCGTGAAGCTTACGCCTTGATGACCAACCGGTTTGGGAATTTTTTGGTGCAACGTCTTTTCGAATTAGGAACTCCTGAACAAATTCATGCACTAGCTCAATCCATGGTAGGACATGTTATCACTTTGACTTGTGAACCCTTTGGTTGTCATGTCGTTCAAAAGGTATTTTTTTTTTTTTAAAAAAAAAAAAAAAGGAGAATGAAATATGATATTCATCTTATTTTTTTTTTTTTTTAATTTAGGCTTTGGATTCTGTGGATGAAAATATGAAGGCTAAACTTGTGACTGAATTATTTGAACGTATTCCTGATACCATTGTTCACAAATCAGCATGTCATGTTTGGCAAAAAGTATTTGAAATTCGATGGACTCATCATCATATGCCTGTGATGAATGTGGTTTACCAAGCTTTGAAAAATAAATGGCATCAAGTGGCTATGGATGAAACTGGTAGTCTTGTTATACAAAATATATTTGAAAATTTGCCTGAATCTGACAAGGTAAAAGTATATCAATAAAAAACAAGAAGATTTTCTAATATATATTTTTTTTTATATATAGAGACCGGTGTTGGATGAAATCTTAGCAAATATGTTCACTATTGCCCGTGGCCAATGGGGAAATTGGGTGATACAGCATATATTGGAACAAGCCGAAGACTCTGAAGATCGAGAAAAAGCATTCAATATGGTGCTAGAACGTGGTATACAACTTTCAATGGATCAATTCGCTTCAAAAGTAGTGGAAAAGGCTCTTAGTATTGGTGGTCCTGATTATATGGCAAAATTTATTCATCATATATCAACCGAAAGTCGTTCTCACCGACCAAGGATTGCTCTCATAGATATCGCATCCGATCAATATGGAAACTACGTTGTACAATGGATCATCAATAATGCCAAAGAAAATCATAAATTGGATGTATGTCGTTTGATCAAGCGTCACATGGTGTCATTACGTGGATCGAAATATGGCCAACGTGTAGCTTTTCTTGTAGACAAGGCTTTGAAACATTATGAAATAACAACGTATCCTATACGTGAATGATCGTTTTTTTTTTTTTATATACATATATATTTTTTTTTATTATCTTCCTCTCTCTTTCTGTCATTACACGTAGTTTAGTACCTTATTTTTTTATCTTTTTATCTATACTTTTTTTGTTTATTATCACATTCTGCATCATCCATTTTAGTTACTATTTTTTTTTCTATACATATAATCACGTATACTTTATATAGTTGTCAGTTGTTTTATTTTTTTTTTATTTTTTTAGTTCTTAGTATTGTATCCTTGTATTGGAAAATTGAAATAAAAAAAAAGTTATTTTTTTTCTCTTTATCATGTATTGGCTTGGAAGGTGTGATTGTGAGTAATAGGTTACCAGCTACAGCGTCTTCCCATCATTTAGTCATCATTTATTCATTCCATCATGTCCTCATATCAATCATATCATCCACCGTATATAACGATGTTACTTGCTCTATCATCTCATTATTCACCTACTCAAAAAAAGAGAAGTAATACAACAAAACAAGCACGCGTTTAAAAAAATGAATGAGGATAAGGTATCATTATAAAATTGGTTTTTTCTTTTCCCATGAATTCCACATAAAAAATATTTAGTCAATTTACATGAAACAACAGAATCACTTTATTCATATACATATATAAAAATACATTGCGAGAAATAATAATAATAATAAAAGGAAGAGCAAACTATTTGATACAATATCTATAATGAAGGGAGAGGGGTAAACTTGATGCCCTTTCGAATCAATCCATACTTGTCATCTTTCATTGTCAAAGTCAAATCAATTTCCAGTTCAGCCCTAATATTATTGAATCGACGTCGTAGAGGTGCAAATACCTTGTATCAAAAAAAAAAAAAAAAATTAAGTAAAAATAATAAAATGCATTCATTGCTTTTTTTTTTTTTTTTTTTTGTAATTTTACCTTTTCTGTAACGGTATGGACACCAGATGTCTTTCTCATTTGTGACAACTCTTCCAGGGTATAGCCTTCATACAGTGAATCGATTCCCTACAGAAAAAAAAAATATTAAAAAATTGCTTTCTTCTTTGACATATCCATAATTTACTTACGTTGTACATAAAGGTAGCAATAATTTTCTTGTCATGACTATGTTCCAAAAGCTCCACTGTCAGATAAATTCCTTTGTTTGGTATAACTTTCATTGTTCTAATCACACATCCTTGTATCTATTAAAAAAAAACGTATATCAGCGTCTCTCCTTGTTCTTCAGAATGCTATCGTACACTTCCTTTTTTTTTATACCTGTACAGTCACCTTGTCATAATCCTCTGTAAGCTTGTTTTCATCGATGTTTTGTAACAGCATTCGTAATTCGGGTACGGTAATCGGTTTATTTGTACTTAATCCATCATCTATACGGTCTATTTTTGAATTCTTTCCAATTAGATCTTCCGCTCCAGGATAATCCACTACGTCATGTACTGATTGTGTACTAGTCTGTACAGTTGTTATTGGTTGGTGATTGGTTATAGTAGTAGTAGTAGTAGTATTGCTATTTTTCGTTGTAGAATTACCACGTTTCGCTGTTCGAAGAGATAGTTTTGATGGTGATCGAGATGTAGATGTTGGAGAGTTGATTTTTTCAGGAGATTGAAAAGATGATGATGAGCGCATTATTGACTGTGAAGAGCTTGAAGAAGACGATGATGGAAGAGGTGATAGTATTGATGTTGATGCTGCTGAACGTGTAAATTGCTGGTCTGTTGTTGTTCTTTTCGTGGGTGGCGGTGTAAACCATAAATCATCAGTACCGACAAAATCATCATCATCATCATCGTTATCCAATTCTATAGATTCTAAACTCTTTGTTACTGGCTGTACTGAGGAGCTGGTTGATTGATTGTGGGCACCTTTATTTGATGTTGATGATGCCAGTGTTGATGTTGCTTGTTGCTCCAATTCATCCAAATCTAGTAGTTGCTCCATAGGCCACTCATCGAATTCATCAGAGTCGTCGTCCACTGGTATCGCATTGGTAGATGTTGTGTTTCGTTGTATATTGCTGTTGTTCGTTGTTGTTCTGGAAATAGACAATGATTTGGGTGGATTTGCTCTATTTTGTGCAGTCGATATGGAGTTTGATGTAGTCCTACGTTGAGTGGTTTGTCTAAAAGGAAAGATATGAAGAAAAGGGCATGAGCTATCATACATAAATTTTTGGTATAAATATGCTATTTACTCATCTAATTTCTTGTTGAAGCGTCGCTGTAGTTCCTTTTCCATAGTGTCACCATAAAGTGCGCGAACTTGACCACCTAAGAGAGTCATGTTTTCCGGTTTGACCAGCAAGAGTCCGTTCATGTACTGCGCTGAGGTAATCAAGACCTAGATACAAATAATAGTTTAGTTTGGGTTGTTGGCCGCCCCACATACATAAAAAAAATAAAAAAAAAAAACTGATTCTATTTTACCTTGGAGCCAAAGGGTGTTAATAGTTGCATTGAGCCAACCTGTTCTAATTCGTACACCATGATATCCCGAGTCCCGTCTGTCATGATCCATTTCAAATGCCCTCTCTTGATCTTCCCGTTTTTGTCTAGATCATCCACCAGTGAAAATAAGGAGTGAGAAGTATCTGTAGTATCTTGTAGCTGTAGTACCATTTTTGGTGGAATCCTAGTGTTTTGCAAGACAGGTTGACTTGATACAGTGATATCCGAGTTGAGAAAATGACGATAGAGTGCCTGACAATGCTGTTCTAGATTGTTGGATGCCAAAGTAGGTTGTGATTTCAACCAATCATCGTAAAAAATTGGTTTCAAGAATACACAATGACGTTGTTGTAATAGCTTCAGTACAGCTTCACGATCAACCATGGACGTATACCACTATGTATATTTGAAGAAAAGAGAGAAAAGGAAAAAAAGAAAGAAAGAAAGAAAGAAAGAAAGGAAAGACGCGGATGCACGAGTTATCTAAAAGCGGAGTCTAATGACTGATTTCCCTTTTGAAAAAGCTGGAAGTTGAACCATACCCTACATATGACACGATGGTGATCCTATGTTTACAAAAATATGTATTGTATTACCCTATCAACAATATCAAGAAACATTTTGGCAATCGATATATGAACAACCCTTCCGTCTACACCTATACCTATATATAACCAATTTTTTTATTTTGTGATGTAAAATGATAATGATAATAATAATAATCTAAGATATGTAATAAACAGGAGGGGGAAATCTTCTAGTTGGCAAGTCGAGCAGTACGTCTAGCTTGAACACCAGCACGTAAAATATCCAAAGTTTTCACAGTATCTTCCCAATTGATACAAGCATCAGTAATAGATTGACCATAAGTTAAACGGTGAGCACCTTCACTTGGAATGTCTTGTCGTCCTTCAACCAAATGTGATTCAATCATAACACCAGTAATATTGTCCCCTGTGATTTTTGGTTCAGCTAATTGATCCGCCTGAAAAAAAAAAAAAAAAATTAAAAAGAATGGTTAGAAAAAAAAAATAATAGAATGTCGTTTCCACTCCAGTCTTAATTTTTTTTTTTTAATCACTTACGATGCTTTGAGCAACAATAGGTTGACGCTTGTGATTTTTGCTACTGTTTCCATGACTGCAATCAATCATGATATGACTTGACAATTTGTTCTTTTCCAAAGCTTCGGCAGTAGCCTTAACATCTTGAGGTTCATAATTGGGTCCACTCTTTCCACCACGTAAAATTACATGACAAGCATCATTACCATCAGTTTGGACAATGGCAGATAATCCTTGTTTTGTGACAGATAAAAAGTGATGACCATTGCTAGCAGCCTTGATGGCATCCATGGCGACAGTGATACCACCATCAGTACCTAGAAAGAAGAAAAAGCTTACGTATTAATTAAATAGAATTTGATGAATTTGAATATCATCATTTACCATTCTTGAAACCAACAGGACAAGATAAACCAGAAGCTAATTCACGGTGTACTTGAGATTCGGTAGTTCTAGCACCAATAGCACCCCATGAAACTAAATCACCAGTGTATTGAGGAGAGATCTATTAAAAAAAAAAGTTGCAATTGATCAATTATCCAATTTGTTTCAACTGATATCACTGTTGTTGACTACTTACAGTATCCAAAAATTCACAACCAGTAGGAATACCCATTTCGTTCTATCATAGATTCAATAATCAAAAATTAGCATTTATATTCGTCGTTTTTGTTGCACTCTGCTCCTATTTTGCCTAGTTTACCAAATCCAACAACAATTGACGAGCAATACGAAGACCCTTGTTGATTTCATAACTAACAGGAAATAAGAATAAATATTAGTCATCGAATTAGTTTATATATTTTATATAATGCTTCTTTTTTTTTTTCTTTTTACCTATTGTTGAGATGGGGATCATTGATTAAACCCTTCCAGCCTACAGTAGTTCTTGGTTTTTCAAAGTAAACACGCATGATAATTAACAAATCATCCTTAGCCTTTTCTGCATAGTCGATCAATAAAGTAGCTATCATATATAAAAAATATTGTCATCAGTTTCTATATCATTCAATTATTTTCATTTGATTTCTTTTTACCATATTCCTTGGCAGCCTTGATATCATGAATGGAACAAGGACCGACCACGACTAGTAAACGATCATCGGCACCCTTGATGACATTTTCAGCAGCTTTGCGTCCTTCAACAATGGTTTGAGCAGCCTTAAGAGTCAATGGAATATCTTCCATAAGGATTTGAGGAGGAATCAAGGGTTTGATACACTTGATACGCTTATCGTCAAGTTCATTGAGAGCTGTAACGGATTTTGACATTATATATGAAAAATAAAAGTATAAGGTAAATACGATTAAAAGAAGTAAAAAGAGAAAGAAGAAAGGAAAAAAAAAAATACGCGCTTTAAAAAAATTTTCAAACTTACCCTCGGTATAAATAGTACGTTGAGCCATTGTGACAAAAAAGAATCAGGGATAATAATAATATGGAAGAGGAGAAACAAAGCAAGTCAAAAAGATTTTTGATTCGATTTGAAAGGAAATGACTACGGAGTTTGGAAATGGAATGAGTCATGATACGCCATTGGCGATCCTTTGCTGATTTTTTTTTTTTTTTGCTTCTTTGCTTTCCTTTTTTTTTTTTTTTTTACTTATTATTCAAACAACCGGTCCCTTATTCTTTTATCCATGCCGTATTCATATCATAGTCATTCTGGTCAATTTTGTCATCATGGTTATGGTGAATTGGAACAAGTAGTTCAACAAGCTATTGAAAAGAAATTCAAGATTTATGGTTTGACAGAACACATGCCGCGTTTTGATCAAACTGAATTGTACCCTGAAGAACTGGAGGTAAAAAAAAAGACTAAACTCCTTAATACCGTGTTCTCGTTTAGAATGAAACTCAGCATTGATTCATCTTTACTAACTTTCTTAGGCTTCTTGTACACCAGAAACATTATTCACCACGTTTGATGCCTTTGTGACTGAAGCAAAACGATTAAGGACAAAATATAAACATCAAATCGAATTATTGATTGGCAGTGAAATCGAATATATCCATCCTAACTATACAACTCATGTCAATTCACTCCAACAGCAATGGACCTTGGATTATATCGTAGGCTCTTTACATCATATTGGTAGTATCCCTATTGATTACTCTCCTGAGCTTTATCAGCAAGCTCTTCTATCATTGGCTCAAAATGACATTGTGATCTTATTTGAGAAATATTTTGATGAACAATGGGAAATGTTAAGTACCGTACAACCTCAAGTGGTGGGTCACTTTGATTTAGTGCGTATCTTTGCTACTCAGGAACAAAGTCTAACTGCCTTCAATGCAACTTCAGTATGGCGCCGGATAGAAAGAAATATCGATTATGTGATTTCTTATGGTGGTTTATTTGAAATCAACTCAAGGGCATGGAAGAAAGGTTTACAAGATGCTTATCCACAACGTGATATTATCAAGGTGAAAAAAAAAAAGATCAGTCATTTGAAGCAAAAGGATGAGACTTACTCCTTGTTTTTTTTTTCATATATATGCGGATAATAGATGATTCAGAGCAAAGGTGGAAAGTTTACTTTATCAGACGATTGTCATGGACCAAATGATGTTGGCATGTATTACGACAAACTATATGATTATTTGACACAATTGGATATCAAAACCATTCATTACCTTTCTTTGGACGACAATCGACAATTGATTACCAAGGAACACTCTCAAATCTTGGATGATCCTTTTTGGCAACTTTATAGAAAATAGAAATAAGATAATTAGATTTCGTATAATAAAACCATAGTGTAATATTTGAACCTTTTTTTTTTTTTGTCAAAAACAATCAATTACAATCTATATATGTCTTTTTTATACATCAACTATTTCTAGACTTGAATAGTACAAAACATTTGTCCTTCCCTTGATTTTGGTACGAAGTGTAGGCATCATCATCATCCAATCCATGTCGTCCTCAATCTTAATACATTGCAGCACAACAAAAAGTCGATCATAATATATATTAAAAAAAAACAAGACCAAACCAAATTTTATTAGAAATTCAACATAAAAGATAATATAAAGGGATACAACTATTGGATATTTATGAAATCATAACTAGAACTATACAGATAGACGCTCACCTTATTACTATAGTTATATTATAAAATCATCACCTCTTTGCATTTATATTATTCATCTTATTATTATTTAATATCTATTTGTGCAGAACATAAGGTACTTCCATAAATGGTATAAATTCAAAATCCGGTCTTGAATGTGGGCATTGGCAGGTTCCTAGAAAAAAAAAAGCCTGCTCGTCAAAGATCAAAAAAAAAAAAAAAAAAAAAAAAAAAAAAAAGATCTGGTCGTCAAAAAAAAAAAAAAAAGTCTGAGAGATTGAAAAAATTGTGGGATGGAGCTCTGACAAATTAACATTGGGCGCGCTCTCACTTTTTTTTCCTTTTACTTTCTTTTACTTTTCTTTTTCTTTTTCTTTTTTAACCAATGAGTCTTTGAACAATGTAAGTTACCATTATACATTACTTTACTAATCTACTTTATATACTTAAAGTCCCTCTTTACATACTATATCTCTAAATTTACCCTACCTTTTATTGTCTCTCATACTAATTAATCTATTTTTCCTTTTTTTTTCTTTCTCTCTCTTTATATGAAAATAAAGTAGATAGATAAATACGACAAGGATATACCATAGGATCAACCGGATATTGATATATTCTATTGGACAAGGAATACCAAGTCAGGAAAAAGTGTCTCATATCTCTCTTATTCTTCTCTCATTCTCTTGCCATGGAAATCAGTTTTAGTTAGTAGTTTAGTCTTTCAATTTTTATATTATCTTTTATTTTACATTCTCATTTAAATAAAATCATATTTTCAGCATTGAAGACGAAAAAAAAAATAAGATATAAAAGGGTTTTTATTCATAAAAAACAAAAGATAATATCTATACTAACACAACATTTGAACCAAACAATTATAAAAGACAAAAAAAAGGGGGCCTTCTTTTATTTCCCAATGATCCCTCTCTCATTTTGACAAAGACCTTGATCCTGTTTTCTCTCTCCCATCCTTCCAGATATAAGATACTGTTGTTTCGGACACGACATTGAGCAACATTCTTGAAGATTATCTAAGGATATGAGAGACAAAAAAAAAAAGAAAGAAAGAAAGAAAAGACAAAGCATACGCATATATATATACGCTATATATACGCACGCACACACACACATACAACATACACACACTATACATACACACACACACACACACAAAATCAAGGTCTCATTTTATTGTCAAAGGGTATCATCAACGTCGCAAGCATTACCTTGACCGTTTTTAAGGGTATAATCTCAGCCGGTCATGCAACAAGAAATGAATCTTGAAGCAATCGAAGCACCCCTTGAATACCAATAGACAATATCAACCTTGATACATCCCAAAAGTACAAATTTATTTTTTTTCTATTTCTTTTTACCTAATAAAATGATCCATCCATTTTGTCAAACCTTGTTGTAATAATAAAATGATGATGATATGCTGATATTGTTGATAATTTTCAAGGTGATTCCTTTGGCAATGGTGACGATGTTGTTTCCATATCTACTTTTGGATTGAACATACGATCGATTTCTTCCAAAGTATAACCTTTTGTTTCCGGCATCAAAAATACACCAAAAAAGAGAACAGAACAAGTAGCGCCAAAAAAGTAGTATCCACCATAGACCGTATTGGACATGAAGATAGGCATCACAAACGTCATAAAAATCGAAATAGCCCAATTCAAACCATAAGCCAAGGCCAATCCTTTTGCACGAGTACGTTGATTCAAAATTTCAGCAGGATAGATATAGCCGACTGGACCCCAACTATAAGCATAAGCAGCTTGGAAGATAAAGATGAAGGCAATCACACAGTTTCTAGCATGTAAATTCCCTAATCCGATATCGCCAGCATCGTCCATTGTAATATAGTATGCCTGAAAGAGAGCACCGACAATATACATTGTTGCACCCATGATAAATGCCCCTGAAGCGAAAATAAACTTGCGTCCCACTCGGTCAATGTAAGCCAAGGCTACCATAGTAAAAATCAGTCCAACAATATTAGATGCGCCACTTGCCACTAAAGAAAGTCCAGTTCCATTTAATCCAGCTTGTTCCATAATCTGAGGTGAGTAATATGAGATACCACTGGTGCCAGTAAATGCTGCTCCATTGCCAGCAAAAAGAGCAAACAGAGTTCGTCGAAGATTGGTACCACGGAAAAGTTCTGCATAAGTTCGATTACCAAAAGCTCGTTCATGCTGAATTTCTGAAAGTACAACATTGAATTCTTCAGTAACCGCTTCATCCGTTAGTTCACATTGATAGAGAGAAGCAATCACTTGTCGTGCTTCATCATAACGACCTTTATCGATCAACCATCTTGGACTAAAAGGTAATATATAAGCAAACGAGATCACAACACAAAGGACCAAATGGATAAGAAAAGGGGCACGCCAACACCAATCGTTGTCAAGATAATTCGTTCCAAAACTAATAAAGTAACCAACAACAATGCCAATACTACATGTTGCACTGAAGAGAGTAATCAATCGTCCACGGATAGCTGGAGGAGCAATTTCTGAATGCTAGATGATAAGAAGAAAAAAAAGAAAAAAAAGTCAGTAACTAGGGGACAATTCATATTTTTTTATATATATTAAACTTACATAAAGAGGAATAGCATTTGTCAAAAAACCTTGTCCAAAGCCAACAAATAAACGACCAACAAGCATAAGGGCAAAATTGTATCCAATCGTTTCAAATAGACATCCCAAGGCAAATGTCAAGGTTCCAAGTAAAATAGTATATTTTCGACTAATAGCATCTATTGTATAATAATAATATGATAAGTATATCCAAAACAATAATAAAAAAAATAAAAGCAAAAAAGAGAAAGTGATTTTTTTTACCACATAGATTTCCAGATAATAAACCACCAAGAGTAGCTGTCAATAACATAAGAGCCACCAAAAGACCAGAACGATAAGGTTGTTGAGAAGCATCACCCATAAAGCGATCAATAAAAGGACCCATAGTCATGATAGAGGATACTGCTCCAGTATCATAACCAACACTACAACCACCCAAAGCTGCAAGAATACCAAAAGTATAAACACCTTTGTGAGTTTTCAGTATACTACCATGAGACAAGGTGTCATCAGGAACGTAACACTTTTCGTCTACCTTTGATATATCCATTAGCAAACAAAAAAAAAAAAAGGTTGGAGAGGAATGGAAGAAAGAGAGAAGACAATCTTTTTATCAAAAGACGTAAAATCTTTTTATATAGCTTTTTGTATTTCAATTTCAGTTCCGCGCGCGCCCGATGGATCGTGCAACCCCCCAACATCTCTTTCCACTCATCCGGGTTTCTTAATTGTATTGAATTCTACATGTCAAAGATAAACCATTGAAATAAAATCAAAATCATCAGTTTTGAAAATGAATCATATAGAAGGAAAAAAAGATATTTTGAGTTTACTTGTTTTCTGATACGGTACCTACTATTTGAAATCGAAAGGGAGAATGATTTTCAAACACCGTGGTTTACAAGGTTGAAAAGAAAGAGAGAAAAAAAAAGCCGTCATTCGGTCCCAAAAAAAAACAGACTAAGTGAATTTCCTTTATTTTTCTTTTTTCTCTTTTTCCTTTATTATACAACTTTTATACATATATCATGGTCAAACTTGAAGAAGTCCCTATCGATCAATTCGAAGACAACACTGAAGAAGTTATTAGTGACGACGATTCCGATTATAGTGATGATGAAGATTTTGATGACGACGAAGATGAATCTATTTTGGACCGACTAGCTGCTTTGAAAGATATTATTCCTTTGAAGCACCGTAATCGTTTATCTTCCGGTATGCAATCTATCACTTCTTGGGGTAAAACAGGTGCTACTTTTGTTGGAAAGAGTGCTTGGGTATTGACTACTTCCATGTTATTGTTGGTATTACCTCTTGCTTTGGAAATCGAAAAAGAACAAGCTTTGGTGGCTTATGAACAAGAAGCTATGCAACAACAAGGTGCTCAACAGGTAAAAGTTAAAATATAAATGTATTTATTATGTAAATTTGTCAATCGTGAAACTTAATTTTTTTTTTTTGTTATTTCTTAGATGTTAAACCCTGGTATGTACCAACCTGGACAATTGCCTCAACAACCTGGACAACCTCAACAAAAGCAATAGATGAATACCACAACCGTATTCATTTGAACAACTTTCTTTGAACACATACACAAACAATATACGTTTATATTACTTCCCCTTTATTATTACATTTCCTTTTATCTCATTGTATATGGTCAATATCCTTTCGCCAATATCATCACACACACACCCTGACACACACACACACACACACACTGTATAGTTTGATTTGTTTACTATTATTTGAAATAAATAAATGATAGATTGAATACTGTTTCATGTCTTCTTTTTTTATTTTTATTAGTATTAGGCTTATATGTACATGATAAAATAAGGGGACAGTGCTATAGACAACATTTTAAAGGACTTGGTTGACATGGTATAAAAGGATCTGATCGTTCTAATAAGATGGCTCTTGGTCGTAAAGGAGACACGAGTTTATTGACACGCATCATATTGATTTCGGCCACCACCATCCGAAGATGATCAGGATTTTCACGTAGGGATCGAATGGCATAGTAACGACGACCTTGATGATATTGAAAGAGACTAGTAGTCGAACCAAAATCATTTTTATCCATGCATAATACATCATCATGGGGTATGAAGGAAGCTTCTTCCTTCTCCGGTTGCTTGGTCTCGGAAAACTCCGTTGGATCTTCCACCCTACTGGAACTATTTTTGGATGTGGTGATGATGGCTTCTACTGGAGTTGCGCTTATGATTGGTGCTGCTTTTTTTATGACAAGAGCATGATGATGATTGGTTCTTCTTTTCTCGCAAGGCATGATAAATTCGTCTTCGTTTCCTTCTGACAAAATGGACCATAAGGATGATGAAACATGTGGATGTTGTGAAGGTGGGGTTGGGGGACCAAGGGAACTGTCGGTGCTATCAAGTGATGAGCCATTGGCGCTATCTTGGCTATTTTGATAAGAGAGGGGTACACTGATAGGATCAGTGATGGTCAAAGGAGACAGTGGTTGTATATCATTATTGGTTGGAAAAAAACTATTAGGTAATGATGGTTGACGTTTTTTTCTATGATGTTGAGCTGTTGAAGGCGAATTGAAAAATCCAAAGATCAAATTAAACATCAAAAGAATCAACTAAAGAAAGAAAAAAAAAAAAAAAAGAAAAAAAAAAGAAAAAGAAAAAGAAAAAGAAAAAAAAATAGAACAATGGAGATAGATAATGAGGGGAAAAGATAAAAAAAAAGACCCTAGGAAATATCAAGCAATAACTTAAAAAGGAATAAAGAGTCTAAGAAAGGAAATCCTTGCACTCTATTGGCGAATGTTCAGAAAAAAAAAGTTTGCGTAACGCTCGAGTAACAGTTTATTCATTTGGGATTGACAAAAAAAAAGTATAATATCATATGTATGAGAAGAATCAAAAAAAATCATATTAGACCAAAAAAAAAAAAAAAAAAAAAAAAAAAAAAAAAAAAAAAGAAAGAACATCGGTTAACAAAAAAAAAAAAAAAAGCTCACACCGTAACAGTAACACTTTGGCAAGCTCTATCAAGCTTTAAGCTTTAGTGGTTTTCCTGGTACGATTCTAGCTTTAAGCTTCAAAATGGATTTGAAAATGTTCTTTTTAGCGTGAGATGACGACAGATGATCTTTTTCTGCAAATATGCATTATCCACAAGTTATCGATTTGATCCAATAACAAAAAAACGTAGCAATAGATAATATACACATGTTTTTATCAGTGGTGTTCACACGGTATGATGATATCTTTAAACTCAAAAATGGAATCTGAAGGGTGATTTAAGCTACTTTTTTTTTTTTTTTTTTTTTTTTTTTTTTTGAAAATGTTGGATTTTACAGTCAGAAGTTTCGAAATCCCCAGCCAAAATTTAGCTGTAAAAATCAATCGTCAGGGGGTTGCCAGACGATTTTTCAAAAAAATCGATGAATTCTTTTGGTGATTAATTGCACATCAGATGGTAAGGTAAGTGATGAAATGGTATTAGATGATATTAAACTGCTTTTTAGAGAGGAATCTCATGGTGGTGATTTTATTGGATGATGATCATTATTGGATGAGGTATGACTGAATTGACTCTTATTGTTTCATTTAATCTAAGGTAAGATATAAATTGCTATTAAGGCAAGTGAAATAAAATTTTCCTGGTATTATGATGAGATGTATAGAACTAATGTTTATGCCTGTCATGACCACCGCGGAACATTGATTGGATGAAGCGCGTTTTGAAATAAAAAATGGAGAAGGAAATTTTCTGGTCATGTGGTCGGCTTCGAACGTCATAATCGTTTGATATTTACTTTTTTGTTTTTTTCTCATTTTTTTTTTTTCTTTCTTTCCTCCATCTTTTTTCAAAAGTAGTGAAATCACTTTATCATTACTACGTGTAGTGTACTTGATCTCTTTTACAACCTTTTTTTTTTTTGTTTTATTTTACAACTTTTCGGAAACCCAACTTTTTATTCTTCAACCTTTTTTCTAGTAGTTTAGGGCGTTTTTAATGTAAGTTTCTACTTTTTAATGTTTATTAATAACTAACAATATTATTATATTCTTTATAGAGAAAACGCTCGCCTGGAAAAATATAGTAGCACTGGACAACACACTTATTATCTTCCTTTTTTCCTCAAACAGCATCCTTTCGAAGGCTACCAAGGAAAAAAATATTAATAGTAGTAGTAGTAGTAGTAATAGTAGTAGTATTCATTATAGTATTAGTGTCTTCCCATGATTATTGCAAAACCTATCAAAAAGTCGATATCCATACCTCTTCAAACTTTTCCGACGGTGAATGGAACAAAACCTTGTCTTGAAACACTTCCAACTGATGTCATTCACTTTTACAAACGCAAAGGTAAGAAATAATGATAATAATAATAATATACTAACATATTTATATTATATAGAGGGTGACTTTATAGACAAGGTGTTTGGAAAAGACAATGTTATCAACAACAAGGTGGATCAAGTACTCTCAATCATTACTACAAGGCCTTTAGGACATATTTATCAACGTCGAACTCTTGAATGTCAAGCTTGTATTTACAATAATACTGTATTCCTTTCTTCTCCCTTTGTAGGTACCAATGCTGGTTTATTAAATTGGGCTCCTGGCGATTTTCAATCATGGTAAGAGTGATTTATTGATGGAAAGAGTGATTTTATCAAATTCACTCATTCCTTTTTTTTTTTTTAGTGTTACCCATCTGATTGAATTAGCTGAAGAAAAGACTGGTTGTAGTGCTTTGGTGGTGGCTATTGACAAACAGGATAAAGCTGAAGGTAAAATAGAATAAGTTGAAACTTATTTACTTAAAAAGAAATATTTTTTTTTTATGCAACTAGTGAATGTAGTACTTCGTGCTTTTATGTATCTTGGATTTGAAATGATGAATCCATTGATTTATCGTCAAGATGCTCGTTTTATCTTTGTTGGATATGAAATCTAGTCTTAGTTTGATATATTATTATTATTATTTTCATTCATCCATTCAATAAAAATTATCATTCAATTCATCACTTATTCTTATTCCGATTTTGTTTGTCATGTTCATTGTAAGGTAACACCACCTTGAATGTATGGAACAGTTGTTGGGTTGTATGATACTTCCAAGAGGCTTACACAACGGGGGGTGATAAAAATCATTATCGATTCAACTGCCGCTCCCCAATTTTTTTAATTTTTTTTAAATCTTCACGTTTCTTTGACTCTTTTCTTTCCCTTGTTTGTCTTTTTTTTTCTTTCTTGAAAAGCAAAACATGAAACTCACCATTGTATCGCGTAACCCTAAATCTAAAAGTTTTCCTTTAACTTTAGATTTAGCTGGTGATGCCTCGTCTTTGACTTTAACCGATGTATCTAAAGCTCTTCATAGCAAACTTCCTAAATACACGCCCGACCGTCAACGTATCACCACTCAAGATAAGAAACCACTAGGTCAAGATAAAACATTAGCTGAATTGGGTCTCAAGGATGGTGATACTCTTCAATTCAAAGATTTGGGTAAAAAAAAAAAAAAAAGTAATGAAACTATAGAATAAAAGAGAATTGACCTGTTTTTTATTTTGTTTCTTTTTTTTTTAGGTCCACAAATTGGTTGGCGTACCGTGTTTTTGATCGAATATGCTGGACCTATGCTTCTTCATCCTATCTTTTACTATCTTCCCAAACTTGTGTATGGTAATAACTTCGAACATTCTTCCTTACAAAAATGGACTTTTGCGCTAGTCATGCTTCACTTTTTGAAACGCGAACTGGAAACCATTTTTGTTCATCGATTCTCTCATGGTACTATGCCTTTCTTTAATGTATTCAAGAATTCAGCTCATTATTGGTTCTTATCGGGTATCAATTTGGCTTACTGGGTATATGGTCCTTGGTTTAGCCAAGGGGAAAAGTTGGCTGTTCGAAGTGATGTTTGGCTTTATGGTTGTATTGCTGTTTGGACTGTAAATATACATAAATACATATATTCTAAATATTTTATATTTATTTTATTTTATTTTTTTCCTTTTATTAGTGGGCTGAAATCTCAAACTTGATCACTCATATTACTTTACGTAACTTGCGACCTCCTGGTACTCGTGTTCGTGCTATTCCTTATGGTTATGGATTTGATTTGGTGTCTTGTCCCAACTATTTTTTTGAAACTATTGCTTGGACCTCAGTATGCTTTTTGACAACTAGTTGGAGTGGTAAGAAAAGAAAAGAAAAAGGATATAGATATATTACAACAACTATTCATATTTTTATTATTTAGCTTTCCTCTTCAATGTTGTCGCTACTGGTCAGATGTACATTTGGGCTGTCAAGAAACATAAAAATTACAAGAAAGAATTCGAAAATTATCCTCGTAACAGAAAATCCATGATTCCATTCATTGCCTAGTTAATAGTTATCCATTTAGTTTATTCATTCTTTTTTTTAAAAAAATAAAAAAACATTATCCCCTTTTTCTGCATTGAGCAGCTTTTCCCTTTTTCACTTGTCATCACTTCATAGTCCGACATTACTTCTTCTAAAAATCGTCCTCTTTTCTATTCTCCCTCTCTCTCTCTGCCTTTCATTATTCAATCTGATATTACTGTAGATGGTGAGGTCGATATCTGTTGCCCTTACTATATGCTATGTAGCTGCATTAGTATCATGTAGTAAACAAGCTTCACCACCTGTTCAACTGAATCTTATTACTCCTTGGAATGCTCCTGATCCTTTTCTTGAAATCGCGTAAGTCACCTATTCTTTTTTTTTTTTTTAAGTGAAAGTCTTAATCCAACTCTAACCAAAACGAATATTAATGTAGGGAAACTGTGGCCAAGGCAAACTCTTCTAGTTATATGTCTTATATGGGAGAACTTGCTGATATCAAGAGTAGTACATTGACACCACGTCAGCAATATGAACAAGCTCTTGCTCATGCCGCCAACTATCTGGATGGACCTGAAGAACTGGATATTATCAAGTTTAGTCTTTCACTTCATACTACTGCTCCTATCATTGAAGCTCATCATCAGTACTACAACCAAACGATCCTATCGACTGTCAAGACTTATAATCCTTCATGTGACGTATGGGCTCAAGTAGGTGCACATCAAGCTTGTACAATCGAGGAATTAGAAAGGCTTTTAAAAGATGGAAACGTTGATATGGTTGGCAATCAAATTGAACAAGAAACATTCGAATTGAATCAACCATCTGAACTAGAACACTGGTATTGTCATCCATGTGAAAATGTCACTCGAGTCACTCTCTATACTTCTTCAGTGAATGAAGAATTCGCAGTGTTCCACAACTACCTCGTTCGTTTGGTCAACACAGCTGGATCTATTCGTTATTCGATTCGATACAAACCTTCTTCCTCACATCAATACCCTCTTTATCTTTCTGGTTATGGTGTTGAACTTGCTCTCAAGAATACGGATTATCTTGTCATCGATGATCGAAAAAATGCAGCAACAAAGGAACATCAATCACAATCACAAGATGGATCGACTTCTTTTATCAAACAGCAACTCGATAACTTGGGGAAAAAGGTGAATCAAGTACTCTTTGACACGGAGGAGACATCAACCATTGTACCTTTGACGCCTGATGAAATTAAATGTAAGTCAAGTGAATATCATCGAGATGAATAGGAGTAATTCATTTTTTTTCTTTTTCATGGTTCCATCCGCTCTTTAATAGCTCTTGGTTTAAAGGCAACTCAATTTGTTATCGCATCCAAAGATCCTCTCATCACTCTCTCCCAATTGACTCAAGATTTCCCAAAATATGCTCACAAAATCAGCTTGATGACTTTGAACGAAAAACTTGTCAATCAAGTCATTACAAATCAACAACGGTTTGTCAAACCTGGTGCAAACGCTTTATGGATTAATGGACGAAAATTGGAAGATGATGAAACCAATCCATATTTGTAAGTTGAACAAAACAAAGATAAACAATGGTCCTCAGTTTATTTTTATATATGTATATATTCTTGAATATTCAGTATTGCTCGTGCCTTACAAAGGGAAAGAAAATTGATCAACACGTTGACTAAATTAGGAGGCTCACAACGACAAGTAATCGATGTAATAACCAGTAATTTCATTACCAGTGGTCAGTCAAGCTCAATGATGGATGGATTGGAAGGAGTGTACGATGTACGTGACTCAAAGGATGAACCTGCTGTTATTTGGTGGAATGATCTTGAAAAGGATTCTCGCTATAAAGGTTGGCGTCCTGAATTAGGTGCAGTAAGTAGATCATCTTATATATATATATATATATATATATATTGGTGTACTTGACCTTTTGTATCGTCTTTTATAGCTATTGCGACCTACGTATCCTGGTCAAATGCGCGCTATCGGTCGAAATATTTACAACGTTATCATGGTGGAAGATTTGGCTTCAAGAAAACATTTACAACGCCTTACAAATGAAATACAAAACATGGTTCATCATGGTACTCCTATTCGTTTTGGTCTTGTCCCATATCTAGGTGGTTCAAATAGTCCATGTAAGAGAATTTTCTATATCGACATAGTAGAAAGAAATTGATTTTTTTTTGTCTATCTAACACAATCTACATGTCCTTCATATAGCTTCCCTCGCAGCAAAAGCATTACATTACTTGGTTCAGAAATATGGAAAGCGCAGAGGGATGGAGTTCTTGCAACAGGTAACAATTCAGATAATCTGATAGATCTTTCTTTTTTTTTTTACTTGAATCGAATATCTTGATATATCTTAATGAATATTATTATAGATTGAGTCTGAACTTGCCAACGCCAATTTGGAATATGCGACTGAAGACATTCTTTCCTTGGCAATGAAATCGGTTGAATATTCAGTAGATAAACCAATATCTGATATGCAACTACAATCGTTCAAGGAACAACAGGATACACATGGAGTAAAGCAATTTTTGAAACGTATGGGGATTGGACGTCTTGGAAAGGATGAAGGGATTTTATTTTTAAACGGACAATACCTGGAGCACAATGATGAAAAGGTAATATGATTTTTTTTTTATCGCTTGATTTCCAATTAACACTAACATTCCACTTTTCGTCTCTCTTTTTTTTTTTTTTTTTTTTTTTTTTTAATGTTTAGCCTTGGACTCGTGTATTGATGAGTGCATTGAATACCCAAACACAATTGTTAGCAAGAAGTGTAAGTGAGCTTGGGGAAAAAAAAGAAGTTGTTCTTCAGAGATTGAACACTCATTCTTCATTTTACTTGTTCAATATTTTTTATAGGTATATATGGGTGAAATCACTGATGATGATAATGTGTATGACTTTTTCTTGAATCAACCTTATGTCTCTCCAACTCGAAATGCTTATGTGGCTGTCACTGAAAACAATCCGTTATTGACCCTCAACTTTGAACAAACAGACCAAGTGGCAACCGATATCTTATATTTGCGCAAAGGTATTGAAAAATGAAGAAGAATGAATATATATTGATTTATTTTACAGATAATAATCTCCCTCTCTCTTTTTCTTTCTTTCTTTCTTTTTTCTTTCTGAATGTTCTAAATAGATATGGATGAACCTGTTACAACAAATATATGGGCTATTGGTAACTTGAATTCACCTGCTGGAATCAAATTGATACTGAATGCTCTTCAATTTGCAGTAAGTGATAAAACAATTGAATGCGAATTGATTTGAGTATGATATTAAACTATCTGTTTCCTTTTTGCAATCTAGGAAACTAACAACCAAACACGGTTGGCGATTATTCATGTTCCATCTCAATTACCACCAACAGAAAACAAGGATGTAGAATTTTCTGATATTGTATATTATGAAATGTATATCAATAACATTGATATGACAGCATTGAAATCCCTGTTTGAATTACGATGGCAGCAATTACAACAGCATACCGATCAATCTCAACACATTATCAAGTCCATGCTGCCACTAGCTGGTTCCCCTATTATCGAAATGGACATTCTTGAGCAAGCACGCAACAAATGGAAGTCTCTTGTGAACGCATTGGGATCAGATGATAACAGTAAATATAGACCATACTTCTCGGATGAAATGAATCGACATTCTGGAATTATTATCAATGGAAGGGTAAGAACTTATTAAAATGTAAATAATAATATTCTCTTCCATTATCATCTAATTTTTTTTTCTTTTCTCTGTTATTAGATACTTGGACCTTTCGCTGATGACGATGATTTCACGGTGGATGACTTTAACAATCTCTGGCAATTGGAAAATACTCAACGCATTGCACCGATGTTGAATGCCCTGAAACACGTTAATTGGCCGATGAATTCTACGAATATGACTCCTGCTGGCTTGATTATGGACTTTACAGTATTATTGGAAGATGACAAGAAATCAGCTTCTCGCAATACTCTTCTCGGTCAAGAAGACGTCACTATTCGTGAAAGATTCTATGCTCAAATGGATAGTGATCTCACAAGCACTCAGGTCAACAAATATGGCGTCAACAAGAATGAAGCGTACGTTGAAATTGGTGTTCTGCTGGATCCTCTCTCTGAAGATGCTCAAAAATGGTCCACTATATTGAATGTTTTATCAGAACTTGAAGGCGTCACTATTGATATCCATTGGAATCCCATCCCACAACTTGAAGAACTTCCTCTCAAACGGTTCTATCGATACGTCTTGGACTCTGAATGGCAATTTAGTAAAGATGATCAACAACAAAGAAATATACCAACTGCTTACTTTGATGATCTACCGACGGAAGCTCTCTATACACTCGGTGTCGAGACAATTGATCCATGGCATGTAACGGTGAAAGAAGCTAATGTTGATTTGGACAATATACAACTTCAAACATTAGCAACAAGCGATTCTCATTCATCATCAAAAGGACAGGGAGTTTCTGCAGTGTATGAATTGGAACGAATTTTAGTGGAAGGACATTGTATAGACGCGACCGATCAACATCCTCCTCGGGGGCTTCAATTTACCCTTGGTACAGATTCTCATCCAGCTATGACAGATACAATTGTGATGGCGAATTTGGGATACTTCCAGCTCAAGGCACAGCCTGGCATCTATCAACTTGGTATTCGGCCTGGTCGTTCTAGTCAAGTATATAGCATAGAAAGCATTGGTACCAAAGGAAAATGGATCAAGTCTTCACGTCAACATAACTCAACATCTACATCTCGATTACTCTTGACCAGTTTTGAAGGCTTACGTTTGTTCCCTACTGTCAAGAAGAATCCTGGTATGGAAACACAAGATGTCCTAGAAGATGATACTACTGGAAAGCAACATCAAGAAAAGGAAGGAATTCTGTCATCTTTATCGAGCAAGTAAGTATAGAACAATAAGTTATAATGAATAGACATCATTAATTATTCTTTTTTTTTTGGGGGGGGGTGGAAGACTCTTTGGCAAGAAAGGAAAACAAGTTGAAGACGAATTGATTCCAATGAAAAAACAGGCGGAAATCAACATTTTCTCTGTAGCCTCTGGTCATCTATATGAACGCTTTTTGGCCATCATGATGGCATCTGTCATGGAACATACTAATAGTACGGTCAAGTTTTGGTTTATTGAAAACTTTTTGTCACCTTCCTTCAAGGTAAATAACAAAAAAAAAAAAAAAAAAAAAAAAAAAAAAAAAACCAAAAGCTAATTTACTTTCTACCGACCATCTTTTCATTCATCAAATTAGGATTTTGTTCCGGAATTGTCCAAAAGATATGGATTCGATTATGAAATGGTGACTTACAAATGGCCCTCTTGGCTTAATGCTCAAAGCGAAAAGCAACGTACGATTTGGGGTTACAAGATTCTCTTCCTTGACGTTCTATTCCCATTGGATTTGGAAAAAGTCATCTTTGTGGATGCTGATCAGGTATTATCAAGGAAACAAATAATAGAGATTACTCCTCATTTACTGATTTATTTGACTAGATTGTTCGCACGGATCTTAAGGAGCTTGTCGATTTGGATTTACATGGAGCACCCTATGGCTATACCCCATTCTGTAGCGATCGACATGAAATGGATGGATTCCGATTTTGGTCTCAAGGTTATTGGAAAGAACATTTACGCGGTCGACCCTATCACATCAGGTAAAAAGAAAAGAAAGGAAAAAAAATAGGACCGAAAAAATATATTTAATATTGATTTAACCCATTTATTGTTTGGTGCCATTGTTTCAAGTGCATTATATGTGGTAGATTTAGTAAGGTTCCGACAAATGGCAGCGGGTGATCGACTTCGTGCACAATATCAGCAATTAAGTGTAGATCCGAATTCGTTAGCTAATCTGGATCAAGATCTTCCAAACAATATGATTCACATTGTCCCCATCTTCTCTTTACCTCAGGAATGGTTATGGTGTGAAACTTGGTGTAGTGATGAAAGTCTGGCAACCGCAAAAACAATTGATTTGGTAAAAATAGAAGAAAAAAAAAAAGAAATAAAATTGCTGAGGAATTCATTCATTCTTTTGATCCATCTATAGTGTAACAATCCATTGACCAAGGAACCAAAGCTGGATCGAGCTCGCCGTCAAGTTCCGGAATGGGAAACATACGACTCACAAATTGAAGAAATTCGACAATCCTTTTTACAACAACAACAACAAAAGGATACAACTGAATACCAACATGTGAATAACGAAAATGAAAAGTTGGATCAGACAAAATCCCATCATATCAAGGACGAACTGTAGTTAGATGTTTAGTTATGTTTTAGTTTAGATTTTGTTGTTGTTATCTAAATGAATAAAAATGAACACTCCTTTTTTTTTGGAACTCTGTATAGATCATTATCAACCTTTGGATTGACAATCATTTGACAACATTTTCATTTCCTTTTCTTTAAGTGACAACTTTTTTTTCTCTATAAAAAGACATGTTCATTTTCCTGGTTTTATCATCAATGACAAACAATCATCATGCATCTTTCTTTTATATTGTCCTCATTGGCGGTCATCAGTCTCTTGCTCCATCCTGCTGCCACTAAAGCCCATGTTCTTCCTCAAGGTCCCTTTAGCGCACCGCTGGATCCTATCCATCTTCTCCAAAGAGATGAGTTTTGTTTCGAATTTGTCGATGGCGGCAACTGTATAGAAACAGCCTAAAGCTAAAAGTAGTAAATAGATGACCGATTTTATGATAACGAATCATTCTTGAAACAAATAAAAATAATAAAAAAAAAAAAAGATGCCTGCTATATTTGGAAATAATAAAAAGAACCAAGCTATAATCTGGAAACTTTTTTTTTTTTTTACATTTGTGTGTTCTTTAATACAATGGATTTATATTAACGATAAACTAGAGAGCCAACAGTGTCATTGTTTTCTAAAAAAAGAATGAAAGGCGTATATAAAGGGAGATATATGGGGGAAGTTTCATTCGACCTTGATTCTCCCATCATGTCTTTTTTCATGTGTGTTTCCTTTCAAATTGGTTTGGCTTATCTTTTTTTATGCCCCATCATCTATGTCGTGGACGGTCAACAGACTTCTGTCAAAGAAAGCATCAAAACAAGTTATGTGCCTGGCAAGTTTTGTTTCACCATTTTCAATGAATCTAAATGTCTTTAAATAAACATCATCTTTTTTCCATGCTTTACGAATAAACGCCCTGTGACACTGAAGATATGTGTCTTTTCAATTTTTTTTTCTTATGGAAGATGGATGTTGTTGATTAATATTAGCTCTTTCTCTCCATTTTTTTTTTTTTTTGAAATATGGAAACATAACGAACTTCTTCCGCTATTATCCTTGGCGATTACGTAGAAAATAGCATAACTTGATAATGGAGGAGATATCGTAATGTAGGATGGATGACGATTAAAAAAAAGTAGTGTCGATGATGGTAATCATGGTGATAATTTTAATGAAAATTATTTTATTTCATAAGAATGTAAAAAAACTACATACAATATAACTAATAAGGCTGACATTAACTGTCAGTAAAAAGATAATCATGATAATCAGAGAGAGTCCAATCAAAAAAAAAAAAGTCCAAGAAATCGATCACGAAGAAGGGAAATCTTCGTGTAAATAAGTCGAGAGAAGGTAAAAGACTAAGATCATCTATCGAATCAACGTATTTCGTACCTATAAAACTATGCGTAAAATAAAAAGGATGCATTCAAAAAAATAAAAATAACAAAATATAATGATGGAATCAATTACAATGACGTAAACGAAGTAATTGGAATAAAAATGAAAACCTTATTGAATAAAAGTATAAACACTAAAGACTACTAATTGGTATATACTAGAACTAAAATAAAATGAACAAAAGAAAAGAAAAGAAAAAAAAAGAAAAGAAAAGAAAAGAAAAGAAAAGAAAAGAAAAGAAAAGAAAAGAAAAGACAAGACAAGGAAAATTACCTCCATAATCCATAATCCATAATCCATAATCCATAATCCATAATCCATAATCCATAATCCATAATCCATAATCCATAATCCATAGTCCATAGTCCATAGTTCCTTTTATCTCTTCTTCCCTTCTTCCCTTCTTCCCTTCTTCCCTTCTTCCCTTCTTCCCTTCTTCCCTTCTTCCCTTCTTCCCTTCTTCCCTTCTTCCCTTCATCCCTTCATCCCTTCACCCCGTTATCCCTTTATCCCTTTAAACCTTTATCCCTTTATCCCTTTATCCCTTTATCCCTTTATCCCTTTATTCATATTCCTATCATATCAACGTATCAACATATTCCGCATCCATAAAAACATGCGTAAAATAAAAAAAAATACATCCAAAAAAATGATATATCAAATGAGGATGGAATCTATTACAATGACGTGCACAAAGTAAAAACTTTATTGAATAAAAATTATAACTACTAAAGACTACTAATTAATATACTGAAACTACGCTCAATAAGAAGGAGAGAAAGAAAGAAAAGAAAAGTAAAGTACAATTAATCATATCAAAAATATAAAAAAAGAAAACCGGACTTCGAAAAACACTATGCCCAAAGGCTATACTACTGCTTGGAAAGACACCATATCAAATGACAAAACATTCCAGGGCAATCATCATGATGAATTACTGCACTTATGACGATTCATAACTTCAATAGAAAGCACATCAATAAAAAATGCTCCGTATAATCTTATTCCATCAATCAATAGTCGACACTTCCTCAACAAAAATAAACATTCACATAAATGGAAGATTACGAAAGATTCCACAGCGTTTATTAAAAGTCATTAATAGTAAACAAGTGTTATATTAAAGAATGCTTCATTACCTCTGATTTCATATCCAGAGATGAGCTCGATATCAGGGTTAATAGTGGAGTTAGAAGCCCAAAATAAGTCTGGGCCTATTGGGAAGATAACATAAGACCCTGCTGGTGTTGGAGCTATATTGAATTGATAAGGATCAGCAACAGCAATTATTTTCTCGCCTGGAACTGCTTGATCCACACCCGCGTAAAGATTTGCTTGTTCATCATGAATTGTAGAAATAACAACCCTATAAGGGTCAGGTGGAGGGTCAATTGTCCATATACCCGCAGTTCCTCCTAATGTTAATGGTTCTCCAGGTGCCACAGGTGCTTGTAGAATTTCGTTAGTAGCTACGCTTGTTATATGGAACACATCATTCTGAGCAAAAGTAATGTTAATTATTATAACAAAATAAAAAATAACCAGTAGTTTTATCATCATATACAATTTTATGTATCAAATAGTACTATTTTATCATTTTGCAATAAAGAAACTCTGCTTTTATACTTTTTCTATTTTCTGATGATAGTCTCAGCTTTTGTTACTCCTTTTTACTCCTTTAACCATAAAACTTAAGTGTCCTCTCAAGACAAGCTGCATCCTCTCTCCTGCAGATCTGCAGTAGACTCGCGTTCATACATCCTCCAATTCATCCATTCAAAAAAAAAAAAAAAAAAAAAAAGATCAGCGTAGTTTAAGGGAAAGGTAACACCTACAAAATAGCCACAGTCTCCCTTATGCGGCTTATCTTGAGAGCAACCTTGGTTTCATATCCTGGTACTGCATTGAATTTTAGATGCTACTCCCATTTTTGTTTTGCCACTTGCTTTTTGGATCTGCAGGAGAGAGGATGCAACTTTTCTTGAGAGCGCGCTGAAGTTTTCACTTTTATCTTAATCACTGATTTTACTTTTTTTGGGAGGAATCCGATAGTGGTAGCTTTATTGGATAGTGATCATTATTGGATGAGAGATGGTGACATTGACTTCTATTTTTTTAAATTTACTCTATAAATTTGGAGACAATATATAAAATGTTATTAAGAAAAGTAAAAGAGAATACTTTCATATATATTTATTCCGAATTTGATGCAATGATTATGATTTTCGAGTGAATTGCAAACGTATAAAGGGGTACATGTCTACCTCATGTGGCGTAATAGTATAATGCAAAGACGTTATGCGTCGAATTTCTCACTATAGAGCAAGCTAACCAACGTGAACCCATTATCTATTATTAGGTTATTCTTTATTAGTGCAGCCAGTAGAGTAATAAAAAAAACGGCTTGAAACTCGTGGATATTTTGTATCCTACTATGGGTGTAACCAGATATTTTAAATAAAATAAGACAGACAGTGATATTCTTTTATAGTTTTATTTGGGAAGAAAAATTAGAAAGATCTACAGTTGGCTAGACATGGACTATTTGGATTTTGGCAAGGTTGAGGGGTTGGGACAAAAAAAAGCAAAAGATCATGCCAAATTGTCATCAGTGGACGGGCTTCAAAAACATCACCCCTTTTTGAGCGATTTGCTTTTTTTAATTTTTTTTTCTTTCTTTTTCTTTTCTCCATCCAACTTTTTTTTAGGCATTCAGTGCCCTCTTTGTTTTTGCGATCTTGTCATGGTAGATTTTATTGGGTTCGGAACGATTTGAAAAAGGGATTTACAAAATACATGGGGAAACCTTTTCATTTTGGATGTAGGATCTAATACAGGTAATAACAAAAAATACTTTTTAATGGGATATAAAATTTACTTGGCAGGGCTTTATTTTATTGGTGAAGCGAACGGAGAGTTAACTGGATGGCAAACTTCTTTTGGCTAGGAATGGCAACTTGTTGTTAAGGACCTTGGTGGTGGACGAACTCTTCCGGTTAGCACTATAATAGATACAACAGAATGGGTAGCAGTGATAACTTTATTAGTTAGTACATGGATTACTTTTTTTTTAGAAATAAATATATACTGCTTTTTATGATACACAAAATATATTAGTTCGTGGCTTTTTTTTTCTTTTTTTTTTTTTATGATAATCATTATTATTGGATGAGTGATGACTGAATTGATCCCTGTTTTTTAAATTACTCTATAAATTGGGAGATAAGGCATCAGCTGTTACTAAGACAAGTGAAAGAGAATGATTTCGTCTATGTTTGACCCGGATTTGATAAGATGATGGTCATTTTTAAGTGAGAAATGAAAAGACCAAGTTTGCTCTCCCACTTGAATGCAGGCTGAACAAATAGGATAGATTTCTCCATTTTTATAGCACACAACTGCCCAATCAGATTTTTGATGCAAAAAATCCATCATTGGAAGGTGTCAAAAGTAAATCGAGGGAGGTGAGAATAAAAATTCCCATTTCTTTTTTCTCAACGCTTTCTTGGTTACGACGATACTTGTTTTTCTTTATATATATATATATATATCTTTACATTATTACAACAAAGGTTACGGTATCTACAAAAGTTTTGTATAAATAGTAGATACATATTTTACATTTTTATTTTTCTTTTATATTCTCTCCTTATGAATAAAAAAGAAATATCAATTATCAATACGTCTTTATTTCATAGTAAAAATCTATTACCAAATCAAGCGTACTGAAATTCAAATACTCACGCTTTATTGGCGGAAAAGAGATCGTCCCATTTACATTTCGGTAGTTACTTTTCTTATTCTACATTTCATAATATTCACCCAAAAATCCTCAAAAGTCTCCAGAAGTCTCCCAGTAGTTCCATCATATTGCATCACATAGATCCATAATCCTATCTCATCACTTCCAGCATGTAATCCTATCCGTTACACCCATAGCGGCCATCACATCAAAACATTGTCTCTAATCCAAATCCTAAATAGACTTTTCCCATTCATAATCCCAAAGAGTTTTTGTCCGAATATGATGTAATAATATTCGTATCAATATATGCTGTATCTATAAAAATATGCATAAAATAAAAAGAACACATTCAAAGAATAAAAAGTAATAATGATACATCAGAAGATGGGAACCAATTACATTGACATATAACAAAGCAGTTGGAGTAAAACTAAAAACTTCATTGAATGAAAAAGTATAACCACTAAAGGCTACTAATTTATATACTAAAACTAAAAATTCAAAATAAAATATAGAAAGAAAAAGAAAAGAAAAATTACTCACAAAAAGACTTCGAAAATCAGTAAGTTCATAGGTATTCCTATAGGAAAGACATACACCAAATGACAAAATATTCCAGGGCAACCATCATGATGAATTACTATATCCATAATGATTCATCACATCAATAGAAAAGAAAAGTAACATAAGAAATATGCTTTGCATAATCGTGCTACAAACTAAAATAAGATCCAACAAAGTAAAATAAAAATTTAACAATGAAATAAGTGTCAAGTATCACTTACTATGTTTATACAATATAAAAAAAAACAAAATTCTAGTTTGTAGGCACTTTGTCTCTTTTTTAACACACTTTTTCAATAAAAAGAATCTCACTGAGTCTCTCGTCTCTACTTTTTTTTATTTTAGTACGCAGCATCTACACTTATTTCCTAGAAGGCCTGATTTTAGATTCGTATTCCTTTTTTTTTTTAATTTGCAACCCATCCCATCAAACCAGTAGTCGACCCCTTTTCAATGAAGGTTTCAAAAAGATTCAAGAACGTTTATTAAAAACATTATTTTAAGAAGTAGACTCAAAAGCAAAAAAGAGATCACCACCTTTAATGTCTTCTGCATGCTCAACTTCGACGTTAGAGCCAATAGACGCATTAGCAAACCAGTAATAGTTTTGGCCTGGTGGGTAGAGAATAAAAGAATCAGGCGATGAGGTTAGATTAGTTATCAGAAAATAATAAGGTTCAATAACGGCAGTTAACTTTGCACCTGGTACTATTGGGGATTCTAAACCAGCATAAAGACCTGTTTCTTCATCATAAATTGTAGAATTCGTAATCGAAGAGGATCCAGGTGGAGGTACAATTGTCCATGGAACAGCACTCACAGCGTCTCCTAATTGCAATGGTTGATCAGCTGTCATCGAATCATTTACTAGAAAAGTTCCAGTCTTTACGCTTTTTATATGGTACTGAGGCTCAATCTGAGCAAAAGTAGTGTTAATTATTATAGCAAGACAAATAGCCAATAGTTTTATCATCATACACAATTTTTCTATATCAAATATAATATATAATTTATCATTTTGGAATAAAGAGGTCCTACTTTTATACCTTTTCTTATTTTATTTTCTGACGACATTTTTAAAGTACGCTTTTATTACTCCTTTGTACTTCAACTATACAAGTTAAGGATACTCTCATGACAAGTTGTACCCTCCTTCCTGCAGATCTGCAGTTGATTGAATCGTTCAAGTAGCATGCACAAATCATCCGTCATCCAGTTCATCGATTCAAAAAAAAAAGTCAGTGTAGTTTCAGGGAAACTTATCATCAGCAGTCAAAAGGTATTTGCATCTTTCCTAATACCTTGAGAACAAAATTGATTTCGTCTCCTGATTGTCCCCTGGTACTGTCTTGGACTTTGGATGCTACTCGTTTTTTTTTTTTATTTTTTCAACTCCTTCTTAGGTCTGCAGGAGGAGGACGCAGCTTATTTTACGGCCAAAGTCATCCATTTATCATAGGGGCCGTTTTACTTTTTTGAGAGGAAGCTAGCGATGGTAAATTTACTGGATTATTGATATGAAACATGATGACATGGATTTTTATTTTTTTAATTTACTCTATAAATTGATAGGCGAGATATAAATCATTATTAATACAACTGAAAGAGAATATTTTAATATATGTTCAGTCCTAATTTGATGTGATGATGCTGGCTTTTGAGCGAATTACAAAAGTATAAAGAGATACCAACCTACCTCATGAGATGTTCCAGCATAAAAGAAATTTACTTGACGACACTTTCTCAACAAAAAAAAAAAATATCCACGCAAATCCAAGATTTCGAAAAACTCCAAAGCGTTTATTAAAAATCATTATTTTAAGCAAGCTCTATTTTAAAAGATGCATCATTACCAATGATATCACTTTCAGAAACGAGTTCGATAAATGGGCTAATAGTGGCATTAGTATCCCAATATAAGTCTGATGTCATTGGGTAGATAATATAAGACCCTGTACTTGATAGAGCTATATTGAAAGGATAAGGATCAGTAACAGCAATTATTTTTGCGTCTTGTACTGCTTGATCCACACCCGCGTAAAGGCCAGTTTGTACATCTCGAATTGTAGAGACTGTAACTCCATCTCCAAGTGGAGGGTCAATTGTCCATGAATCCTCAATGATTCCTAATGTTAATGGTTCACCAGGTGCCACAGCTGTTTGCAGAAAAGTTTGAGTATTTATATTTGATATACGGTATTGCCTCTGAGCAAAAGCAACGTTAACTATTATAGCAAAATAAGCAACCAACACTTTTATCATTATATACGGTTCCTTGTATCGAATATAATATCTATTTTCTCTTTTTTGCGTATTCTACTTTTATACCTTTTTTATTTTCTGATGGATTTTTAAAATACGATTTTATTACGCCTTTGTACTTCTTTAATTTTGAAGGTCACTCAAGGACAATTTAGATCTGCAGGAGTATGCATAAAAGTTGCACCCCGCCTTCATCTAAGAAGGAAGTGGCAAAACAAAAAGATAGCAGTAGCACCTTCCTTCCTCCAGATCTGACCTTGAGAATAACCTTGATTTCGCCATCTGGTACCACCTTGAACTTTAGATGTTACTTCTTTTTTTTTTTTTTTTTTTTTTGTTTTGACACTTCCTTTTTGGATGAAGACGGGGTGCCATCATGATTACTGGTTTTTTCATTGTAACTAGAGACTTATTTACATTGGGTTCGAACAAACTTGTGGAACCCTTTTTTTATATCTTATGGAAATGAATGTGCAGCCGATAGATGATGGATGATGGAAAAGTCAATGAAATATTTTGGCATCTATTGCGCAGTAGGTGGCGAGATAAGTAATAAAATGATGTTAGATGATGTTAGACTACTTTTTTTGTAGAAGAATTTAAGGGTGGCGGTTCTATCGGATGATGATCATTATTAGGTGAGTGATGATGATATTGACCCTTTTTAATTTACTATATTAATTGTAAAGTAAGATACAGTATAAATTGTTATTAAGATAAGTGAACGAGAATGATGTCATCTAAGCTCGATGACTATTGAGAGTGTTACAAAAATATAAAGAAGTATACTTCTCACTATGGAGCAAACTAACCAATGAAAAGTTATTATCCGCTATTAGGCTATTTTTTAGTCGTGCAGCGAAACAGAGTTTAATGTTTGGAGGAATGAGAAAGAAAACCGGATTGAAGCTCATGGACATTTTGTATCCTACTACGGGCGTAGATAGATATTTTAAATAAAAGAAAACACACAGTGTTTTCTTTATAGTTCTATTTGAGAAGAAAAATTAGAAAAATTTAGATTTGACTAGACATGGACAAGAAAAAAGCAAAAAAATCATGTTCAAATTGTTATCAGTGGACGGGCTTCAAAAAAAAAGTACACCCTTTTTGCTTTTTTTATTTTTTTTTTCTTTCTTTTTCTTTTCTCCATCCAATTTTTTTTTCACATTGCGTGTCCTCTTTGTTTATGCGATCTTATCATGGTAGCTTTTATTGGATTTGGAGGGTTTTGAAAAAGGGATTTACAAAATACATGGGGAAACCCTTTCATTTATGGATGTAGGAATTAATACAGGTAAAGGACAAAAGTATTTTATGTGTGAACAAAAACTGACAGGTTGGCAAACTTCTTTTGGATAGGAATGGCAACTTATTGTTAAGGATCTTGATGGTGGACGAACTCTTCTGGTTGGCACTATAATAGATACAACAGAATGGGTAGCAGTGATAGTTTTAGTTGGTTAGTACACTATGTGGATTTTTTTTTTTGAAATAAAAATTATATTGCCTTTTATACACACTTCTACACTTTCCGTACAAAGTCAATCTCCCTAAACGATAGCCAAGAAACTCTTCAGGACTGCCCAATTCTGTAAGCTGAAAATGGAAGCCCTATGTAAAATACCAACACACTTTTTATTTCTTCCCAAATAGTATTTCATCTTCCACCTGTCCATCGATATACAATCATCAGTCTCAAGGTCCATGGGTGAAAGCAACCATGAACTTGTCTCCTCTGAACTTCTCCATATTATCAACAACGAAACCATCACCTCATCGGATAATGTACTTTCGTGGGCAAATTGAACAAGGTGTTTAAACCGGACTGGGTTGTGTATGTTAAGCCTTGGTGGCAACGGTGTGATCTAGCTGCTTGTGAAGTGAAACCTTTCAACAAAATGTCTCCTCCTGTGAAATGGGTGTAAATATGTGTTAAAAATTATAAAAAAAAAAAAAAAAGACGAGGAAGTCAGTGAGATTTCCTTTTTATTTAAAAAATAGTTGAAAAAAGAGACGAATTTCTACACAAAACGTTTTGTTGTTCTTATATATAAGTACTGGTGAGTGACAGGTAATATTAGTGTCATCATACTATATTTAAGATTGGTGATCAAATTTTATCTTTGTCTTTGTTTATTCTTGATTTGGTTGATAATACTGTTATACAGAGCATATAATATTATTAGTATTTTATTTATCATTGATGTGATTTTATCATCATATGTGTAATAATGATTTATCATAATAGCTGCCCTGGAGTATTTATACAGAGGTAGTGATTATGGACCATCTGCATAATGATTTTCAAAGTCCGTATTTTATTATTTTTTGTTATTAGATATTTCTATTTTCTTTTATTTCTTTCTTTTCTTTATAACAACTTTAAACATAATATATCAATTAGTGATATATAGTAGTTATACTTTTATTTAATAAAGCTCTTATTTTTATTCCTACTACTTTATTACACGCCAATATAATTGATACCGTCAAATGAAAACATCACATTCACCGTATGCTCTCAGTTGAAAATCGACAGTATCACATTTCGTTCTCGATATAGTGGCAAGAAACGGAAAGCCAGTCTACTTGTTTTTGGTCTTCTCATTCCTAAGTATACAACCAAGGACTATTTATTTTTTTCATTCATTTTTATTCTATTATATTTTTATAGTGATGAAGGGGACGACACTGAACAGTTCTTTGTTGATGATGTTATATTCTATTTCCAAAATCAAGGTGATTATCTGGCACTGACGTGGTTGCATGACATCCACTACTACAATGGCAACAAAAGCTTCTACTTTTTAGACAGTGGTATGGATAAGAAGCTCGTTCTGATGCAGTCATTGGTAGTACACGCGACAGCTGGTACGGTCACCAACAGCACGAACAATCGGTCCTATTTTTTTTTTTTTTTTTTTTTGGGAAGGAATGGTGATTGGGGAAGACACAAGACGCGAAAAATGTAATGATCTTCGATCTATTACGTAGTATATTTGTATTAATATGGTTTGTAGTAATGTAGTTGATCGCGGTGTATATTTTAAAACAATAAAGTTATATATATTCAATTCATAGGGTACGCATATTGATTTGAATCATCACGTATGGATATAAAGTATTACAGTGCCACATATTGATTTTTCGTTTTTTTTTTTTTTTTTTTTTTTTTTTTTTTTTTTTTTTTTTTACTGTGTATCGATCATCAGTCATCTGTACATCCACTTTCGTGATATATATATATAAAATGGGAATATCATGAATATGTTTGAACCCAATGTAAACAAATCTGTAGTTACAACGAAAAAACCAGTAATCATGATAAAAGTAAAAGATCTAGGTTGCTCTCAAGAAGAGCTGCATCCCGACTTCATCTAGAAAGGAAGTGCCAAAAAAGAAAAAAATAGGAGTAACATCTAAAGTTCAAAGTAGTACCAAAAAGCAAAATCAAGATTGATCTCATGACCTGATCTGTATCAGGGGGATTCCTATTCCTTTTTTTTTTTTTTTTTTTTTTGTTTCACCACTTCTTTTTTTTTTTTTTAATGAAGGCGGGGCGCAAGTTGTATGCACACCCCTGCAGATCTAAACTGTATTGAGTGACCTTCATATTTAAAGTTAAAAGAGGTACAAAGGCGTAATAAAAGCTTGTTCTAAGAAGTCGATCAGAAATTAAAAAAGATATAAAAGCAGAATAGAAAATAGACATTATAATTGATATAAAAAATATTATATATGATGATAAAACTATTGGTTATTTATTTTGCTATAGCAATTAACATCACTTTTGCTCAACATCTGGATCAGTACCGTATAAAAAGCGTAAATACTGGAACTTTTCTACAAGCACCTGGCGCGCGTGGTGAATCATTAACATTGGGAGACGCTTGGGGTAAATGGACAATTGATCCTGCACCTCAACCTGGCATTGCTACAGTTTCTACAATTTATGATTCAGCAGCAGACCTTTATGCTGGTTTAGAAGATCCAATAACACCCGGTTCAAAGATAACTGCTGTTTCAGAATCTTATAATTTCCAGATAGCTGAACTAAGTCCAGGGAATTATGTTATATACCCACCAGATCAAGACTTTTATTGGTTTTCTAATGCCTCTATTAAACCTTCTATCGAAGTCGAACATGCAAGTGGCGTCAGCGGTAACGCTATCTATTTTAATTTTGAGCCTGCTTTAGAATAATGGTTTTTAATAAACGCTTTGGAACTCTTCTAGATTTTCGATCTGTATTTTTTTTTTTTTTTTTTTTTTAAAAAAAAAAAAAAGTGTTGACTGTTGGGTTGATGAGATGGAATTATACAGGACCATATTTCTTATTGGAACTTTGCTTTTCTATTGATATTATGAGTCATCATGGATGCAGTAATTCATCATGATAGTTGCCCTGGAGTGTTTTGTCATTTGGTATATGTTTTCTTAGCAGTAGCTTGGAGTATGAGGATAGTGATTTTCAAGGTCCGTTTCTTCATCTTTTTGAAATGTTGGTAATTTTTCTTTTCTTTCTGCATCTCTCTTTCTCTTTCTTTTTCTTTTTTCTTTTTTTTTCTTTTTTTTTTTTTGAATGGACTTGATTCATTTAGAAGCTCATCCAGAATATTACGATTACTACCATGCCATTACTTTTTTGGACAAGGAGAAAGTAGAATTGGTTTATGGAGAATGCCAAGGGATAAGGTACGAAGCCATTGGATCATATACCTGGACTGATACTGAACTGACTATTTACAACTTGAAAGAAGTGAACCCTCCTGACGACAATACTACCAATGATACAGAAACAATTATTTACAAGTACAAAAAAGAACAAGGCCAATTCGAATGGGTAGAGGAAGTCAACGGTACACGACATACTGCAACCGAACGATTCGTATTTGATAAGGATCCTTGTGGAGTAGACCCTGGAGAAACGATTTTTTACAAACGATGATCAAGCAGTTCTCTCTCTCTTTCTCTCTTTTTTTTTTTGTTGGTGACTCTTGGTGATAACAATATACAGCAGATGCGACCTGGTATTTAGATTAGTATCTAGAGGATTAGACTGTTTTTATAGAATCATACTGGCGTGTATATTAGAATAGATCAAAAATAATTACAATAAAAAATAGTTGTTGTTTTATCATGATAGGCAACATAGATATGGTTTGGACAAAGGATGGCAAAACTCAAATGCAATTTTCAACGACCGATTGAGTAGTTGATTTTTATTTTTATTTATCCCTTTTTTTTTCCATTCTCTCACATTACTTTTTTTTTCCATCTAATTCATCCATCAGCTTGTTACAACATGTCAGCAAAAGAAGATCAGCATACCAGCAATAGTCTTTCTGAAGCAGAAAAATTCTTAGAATCGTTGAACTTACCAGATTCATCATCTGACCCGTCTTCAGCTGCCCAACCTTCAGCAACAACAGCATCAACAACAACAACAACAGCGGACCGTAGTGATATCATGAACTTTTTAGATGAAATATCAAATTATCCTACTGAACAACAACAACAACAACAACAACAACAGCAACAAGAAAAGCAAAAACAGCAGGAAGAACAGGCAACTGGAAACTCCTACGCCACAAAGGATCAGACTCTAAAGACCCAGGCCAGTACTTCTACTACTCAAGCTGAGAATACCAGCGGCAGCTGGATGTCGTGGGGGAATTCTTTACTTGCACAAGCCAGTGCAGCTGTGAAAACAACCACGGATCAAATCAATCGTACCGTACAGTCCACTGAATCAAAGCATCTCTTGGAAGATCGAGTTAAACACTTGCAGACTCTTGTGAACAAAGATACCATTGAAAAGTTGGGAAGTAATTTGCGACAATTGACGACACAGATTTTGGAAACGGTAGCACCTCCTATCTCTGAACACGAACTGGTGGAAATCTGGCTTTCACATGATATGGTGGGTTACAGCGGTGTGGAAGCATTGGTGTATCGTGCCTTTGCAAGAGTGATGGAACAAACAGAATCGGGTCAAGTCATTGTACGAAAAGGTATGGATAATAGTCATGATAATGATGATGAAGCTCCTAGGGATTTGAATATGTGTGAAGGCGTAGTAGAAGGTACCAAATTGGCAAAGGTAAAGAACAAAAAAAAAAAAAAAAAAAAAAAAAGAAAGGGAAGGAATTTGATGGCTCATCTTTTTTTTTTTTTAATATATATATATATATGTATACTTAGGCAAGTGTGGATCATCTTATCAAGTTACATTATACCCGACCAGAGCCTACAACCACATATACACCAAAGGAAGGTGCAGTGCCTGTGATCAATTGTCCTGTTTTCATGGTCATTCAACCTGTCAAATCCTCATTTTCAAACGATAAGAGTATTCCTTCTCAATTGGTCTATGCTGTTGTATTGGAAGATCCTACTAATCAACTCTCGTTTCAAACATATTCTCAATCTATTCCTCTGGCATGGTTAGATATTCCTTATGAAGAAAATGAATGGGTGGAGGACAAAATGGTGGATGTTTTACGTATGGCAGTGACTACAGTGGCGCAAGATTATGTATGGACTAGAATGACAGGTGGTAAAAAACTTGCTCAAGTTGTCAAGGAGACTTCTGAATTACAAGATCAACAAGGTCAAATGGAACAACAATCTCCTGCTACAGAGACCAAGACGGACTGATATATCTGGATCCCTTTTTTTAGTTATCTTTTTTTTTTTTGTTGATATTTGTTGTACTCTTAGCTCTTACTTCCTCTTTTATAAATTTATTTTTGTTTGCTGATATCAATCAATAAAATATATTTTGTCATATATCATTGATGGTGATGTTTTTGTTTGAAATGAAATAGATAAGCAATATGATTACTGCTATATCAACTTTGTAATAGAATTGGGCAACATAAACGTGATGAAAAGGGCCAGTCTTATGGGCACATTTTATGTTTTCAATGACAGACGCGATACTTTTATATCTAATTCTGATGATAAATCAGAGCATGTATAGTATTGATTATTACGTGAATGAATCTTCACGCAAAAGGATTGGTTGTTTTGAAAATTTATAAAGCTGATTGTAGGAGCTTAGATACATCATTTTGATTCCGTTTGGTATCTATGAAGATAAAGCTCGATTCCTTTTTGCTTTCTTTTTCTTATATAAATGAAGGACATATTCATATCGTACTTATTTTTCTCCTTTTTTTTTTTCTTTTCTTTCTCTTTTTTTTTTTTCTTTGTAACTTTATTTCTTTTTTGGACTCGAAAGCTTATTTGTTAGCAGCACAATGCTGTGATCACCCTCTTTTATTATTATTATGATTATTATTTTCACTTAGGAAGAATCAATATCCTTAAACGCGTTTTTTTTTTTGAAGGACCTTTAACATTGGCTCTTCTTTTAGGGTAGTTGATCATCATTACTGCTTAGGCTTCAGTCTTTTGTTGATCTTGAGTATTACCCTTATCTTCTGTCATCATTAATAGAGTAATTAGGTTTACATATAATTTACCATTGGTTTTATTATTGGTTAGCGGAATAGGTCTAAATGTCCATTTCACGTGGAGATCGAATCATTTTTTACCATTTTCATATTTTGTAAATATATTCATCTTGTTTGGATGATTTTTTTTTTTTTTGACATCATATGATTTTGTAGGCCATGCATAGAAAAGAGAGAGGGAGAAAAAAAAAAGTGGAGGGAGGAAGAGGCAGTGATGCCTTATTTTCTACTCAATTCCCTTCTTTATCGTTTAACATAAAAAAAAAAAAAACTTTTTTTTTTTCATTTCATATTAAAAGTAGCGCTTGACACAGCCTTTGTACTGTCGTACAAACAACTCGTTGTCGAACAACAATCAAGATTTTATCTATATTATGTACCATGTTGCAGATGGAAAAAGATAATGATGATGATGATGATGGTGATAAAGAGTGATGAGGATTGGTAGACATGATGATTTATAGCACTAGTCACGTAAAACGCTTGAAATATTAATATATGTACAAATCAATAGTAAAGTTTACAGAATAAACAGATCGACCTATGATCGTAGGTGGATGTTCGGTGAAAAGTTAAGATGATATCCGCTTGTACCACTCGCTTTAACTCCGTTATGCTTTTTTTTTTTATTAAGCATATCAAACTCATTTTCTTTTTTTTTTTGTGGGGTTGTTTCATCCAACTGGATCGGTGTATTAAAAGGACGGTAAAAAATCAGTTACAAATAAAAAAAGATGAGAAAGAAAAAAAAAACAAAGGATAGCAATGATGCATTATTATATAATTTACCTGTCAAATATAAACTCTATTTTTCTTTTAGGATTTAATACAGAAAATTAATGTTGAATAGAATGATTATATTAAGAGGTGAGAAACTCACATGAGAAGTGACAAAAATAGTAGAACAGTATGATTTGTTCAAGTAGTACAAAAGGGTAGCGTTTTTCAGTAAAAAAGCATTGAGAACCATACAAAATGTCAATAATCAAACCTTACCATTATGCGGTGTCCTAATTGACGTGTTGAATATGAAAAAAAAAACATGTTCTATTTCTACCATCACTAGTATAAAAGCGGGGATACTAACATTTAACTGTAATATTACTTTCTTATTTCTTTTTTTTTCCCTTTTCTTTTCTTTTCTTTTTGTTTTTCTTTTTTAAAAGTAAAAACATCCTTTTTAGTATTTTATTACTCCCATTACACTCTTTCTATTCTTATTATTATATATATTACAATCTCCATTCTTTTTTAATTCTTATTTTTATCTTCGATCCTTTTTTTTTTTTTGATCGATCATGACGACAAATCATCAAGATCAACAAGATCAACAACATTCTTCTAATGTACAGGACGAATACTATAATCAACAACATATTGTACAAGAAGGTGTCATTGATGACGGTTATATGGAAGAATATAGTGAAAAACCACCTCCACCACCAAAGCGCAAATTCTATAAGAATAAGAAATATTGGATCATCTGTAGTATAATCAGTGCTATTGCCATTGTTGTAGTAGTATGTTTAATTGTATTTGTCTTCTTCCCTATGATTGCTCAAAGTTTGATGAATCAAGCTGGTATTGATGTCAATTCTGCTGATATCACCTTCTCTCCTCCTGCTAATACACCTCAAAAACGTGATGAAACTACCAATCCTAATTCTGTATTTTATATGAAAATGTCAAGTACTATGAAAAATACTGGTCCTTTTTCTGCTAGTATCAAATTTCATAATCCTATTTTGGTTTATTATAATGAAACTTTATTGGGAAATATTACTTTACCTGATTCTTCTATTAGTGGTGGTAAAGGTGATTTAGAAGCTCAAACTCCTTTCTTAATTCAAGATTCAAGTTTCTTTGCTCATTTCTCTCAAGATATGTTGGCTTTGGAAACTTTTTACTGGAAATTGAAAGGTTCTTTGGACATTACTGCCTTGTCAAGGTAAAAATTCTCTCTTTCTCTCTGCGGGAAATGAATTCACATATTTATTTGATCTATTCTCTAAACTTTTTTTTTTTTTCTTCTTGTCTCCCTCTTTCTTCCTTTTTTTTTTTTTTTTTTTTTTTTTTTATTTTCAATGCAGAACTGCTACTGTCACTTTGGATAAAAATGTCGCTATTCCTGGTAAGAAACAAAACGAACAAAAAAAAAAAAAAGATAATAGAAAATAAATAATCTAATTTATTTCTTTGTTTAACTTATTTTATACATTATATAGGTATGAACGGTTTCAAGGATGTTTCCATCAAAACTTTTGAATTACCTTCTGATAATCCCAATGGAGGTATCGATGTCAAACTTGGCACTGTATTGGTTAGTCCTTCTCCTGTAGGTGTTCAAATGGGAACTATTGAAATGGATATGGCCTATCAAGGTGTTAATCTTGGTCGTGTACGCGCTGAAAACGTTACTTTGAAACAAGGTCCAAACGAAATTCCTCTTACTGGTGTTTTAATTCCTCAAACAGATCCTGCTGCTTTGGAAAAAGTTGGAAATATGTTTACTACTTATGTTAGCGGTGCTGTTGCTCAAACTTCTGCTACTGGTGTATCTGCTGCTCCTAATGGTAAAGACTCGGTTGACTGGCTTACCAATGCTTTCAAAACTGTTCAACTCAATGTCGGCTTGTCTAATGCTGGTGGTCCTCTCAAGATGATTAATGCTGTCAATATGGGTTATCTTGATCTTGCTTTCAATGCTAATGCTCCCTATGCTCCTGTCTTATCTGCTCCTTCTATTGTTGCTGATTTCCACATTCCTTTTGGTTTCTCTTTGGATATTTACGAAGTCACTCAAAATATCACCATGAACTCTACATCCGGTGGCAACTTTTCTGAATTGATTGTTCCTTGGGTTCCTTCTCAAAGTAATCAAGCTACTGGAAAACTTCAATTTGCCGTCTCAAATTCACCAATTACTGCTTTGCCTGGAAAGGATAGTGCCTTTGATGACTACACTTTTGATTTGACTGCTTCCGATAGTTATACTTTTGGCGTCACTGGTCTTGCGACAACAAAGACAAAAACTCCTATTGGTAATATTACTCTTGGTGGTGTCACTTTCTCTGTACCTACTTCTCTTCATGGTTTACAATTCTTGAACAGTACTCCTACTGTCATCAACAGTGTCGATATGACTGGTGGTACTCAACAAGCTCTTCAATTGGATATTGGTGTGACAATGGGTAATCCTTCTGATTTCAGCATGTCAGTGGGTGATGTTACTTTTGCCATGTTTGCTGGTTCTACTCAAGTCGGTACTGTTACTTTAGCCAATTTGACTCTTCAACGTGGTGACAATACTGTGGTGGCCAAGGCTAACTTTGATCCTAAATCTTCTCAAGATGGTCAAGGTATGCTTACTGCTTTTGTTATGGGCAAGAATAGCTCTGCTTCTATTGGTGGTTTCCAACAATCTACTGCTATCCAATCTTTGGTCAAGGCTCTTTCTGCTATTAAGATCGATACTACTCTTCCTGGTCTCAAATCTCCTTTGATTCAAAGTGCTGCTTTGACTGTCTTACCAGATACTATTCAAACAAGTATTGTGAATGTTGCTGTATCTATTGCCAATCCTTTTACTGCTGGTTTAGCTATTACTAAGGTCAGGTCTGCTGCTACTTACAAAGGTATGCCTGTTGGAAACATTGATCAAGATATCAGTAATAATCCTTTCGTTATTGGTGGTCATGCTACTGCTTCTTCCCCTCAATTGAACATGCAAATGAACTTGGAACCTGCCGCTGTTGCTCTATTGATGCGTGATCTTGCTGTTGATGCTCATTTGGATACCAAACCTTTGGATGGTTTACTTGGTATGGGTGGTTTCCATATTCAAGGTCAAGAAAATGTTGATCCTACTGCTGCTCTCTTCAAGGGTTTCAATATCTCCAGCTTTGTAATGCAAGCCATGACTGCTCTCAAGACCGATCTGAATTTGGAATCTACTCTTCAAGTAGGTGAATATACTGATGACTTGTCCTTCTCTCAAAATGGTGTTCAAATTACTTCTGATGGTACTGTGACCCGATTGATTCCTGTGGTTGGTCAACCTATTGTACAACAAATTGTGAATGGTGCTATTCTCGGTTTTGATAACCTTATCTTATCTGATCCTACCAACAACAATGCCAAGGTTCAAATGAAGGGTTCTATCACCAAAACAGGTCCTATGGATGCTACTATTTCTTTCCCTACTCCTTTGACTATTCGCTGGCAAGGAAAGACTCTTGGTACTGCTACTATGCCTCCTGTTCAAGCCATTGCTGATCAAGGTGCTCAATTTGATGTTCCTTCTAACTTTGTGATTACTGATCAAGATGCTATGCAAGCCTTTGCCGCCTACATGATCAACAATGAGGAATTTGTCTGGGATATTGTCTCTAACGATGTCTCTGTCACTGCTCTTGGTTTTACTTTTACTGGTATCAAGATGGAAAAATTCGTGACTCTCAAGGGTGCCAATGGATTCAAGGGTGCTGTCACTATCAACTCTTTCGACTTACCATCCAACGATCCTGCTGGCGGTATTACTCTCACTTGTAACACCACTATTGTCAATCCTTCTCAAGTCGGTTTCTCTCTCAACTCTGTGTCATTCAACAGTTTCTTCGATGATGTATTAATTGGTCCTCTTGCTGCTGCTCCTGGTAATTTTGCTCCTAGTGGTTCTTCCTCTATTCAAATGAAGGGTCGCATGGTTCCTCAAAATAGTCAACAGGGTTTGGATGCTGTTACTACTGTGTTTGAAAACTATCTCAATGCCAATGATTCGCTCTTGGTGGTACAAGGTGATGCTGCAAGTGGTCCTGCTGGTCAAGTTGGTTGGCTCACTAGTGCTTTCAAGACTCTCAAGATCGAAAATGTAGTTTTGCCTGGACCCAAGGTCAAACCTAATTTGATTCCTTCCATTACTATGATGAACATGCAACTGGATTTCACTAAGGATCCTTATTCTCCTAGTACAAGCTCTACCAATGTCCAAGCTCAACTCAAGAATCCTTTCGGTTTCCCTCTAGGTGTTTCTCAATTGAACATGGAAGCAGATGCTAGCTTCTCCAATCAAAAGATGGCCCATCTTTCTGTTCCTGATGAAAAAGCGACTACCAATAGTGGTGAAGTGGTTCAAACTCAATTCTCTGACCTTCCCTTCAAGATCGAAAGTGGTGCTCATGAATTATATAGTACCTTCCTTACTGGTCTCACCAAGTCTGCCAATGCTTCCTTTGGTCTTAGTGGTACTACCAATGCTATCTCAACTACCGCTGTGGGTAATCTCAATCTCAAAGGTATTGGTTTTGATGTTGTTACTAGTTTGGCCGGTAAGTCCCTTTTTTTTTTTAAAAAAAAAATATATATTATCAGAATAACGAATTGATACTCATATGATATTGTTACATTTTAGGTTTCGCAAACTTTGATGGAAAGACAGATATTCTCTCACTCGCTGTCAGTGGTGGTACCAAGGATTATACTATTGTCAGTACTGTTATTGGTTTCAACAATCCTTCTCAAATTACAATCACTGTTGGTGATATCAACTTTTCTTCCAAGATGTCGGATGGATCCGTAGTTGGCCAAGTATTTGTCAAATCTGCTGTGATCAAACCTGGTGCAAATCAATTTGATGCAGAATTCCATCTTGCTGGTGACACCAAGGCTATTGGACAATTATTCTCTGATTATTTGACCAAGGCTGTGGTTCCTTTGACTATTTTTGGTACATCTACCTCTACCACGATTGAACCTTTGAAGGAAGCTTTCCAAACAGTGAATCTTGCTACTACTATGACTGGTATTCAATCCAACTTGGTTGCTGGTGTCAAGGTTAGTGTTACTATTGGTGATCTTGTTACCAAAAAGGCTCAAACAGTGGTGACTCTCCAAAATCCTCTCAAAACATCATATACTTTGACTGCTCTAAAAGCTGATGTGTTCTTCCCTGGTAAGAGTGGTAATTTCAAGGTGGGTCACATTGATTCTATTCCTGGTCCTTGTGCCGTTCCTGCTGGTGGCTCTACTACTTGTGATCAATGGGAAGTTTCAATGGATGCGAATATTGCTCAATTATTGGAAGTTGTAACTGCTTCTGACAAGAGTATGGATTTACAACAAAATCTTACTACTACTATTGGTGGCTCGGATGGTTATGTATCAAGCTTCTATTATTATCAAGACAAGGTACCGACTGAAATGGATGTTGATCTTGGTATCTTTAATTTGCCTTTGGGACCAAAGGTTAACACAAGTGAGTGATTGAAAAAAAAGAAAAACAAATGTCAATGTCAAAATAATAATAATAACAATAATTCTAATCCATGATTTTTTTTAATATCTTTTTTAGCTGCAAATCCTCTTGAATCTATGCCTGGTGGATCAGTATTAAGCTCTGCAACTTCATCTCTTTTACCTTCTGTATCTGACATTTTGAATCTTCCTACTGGTTCATCTGGAAGTGACAAATCCAAACCTTCAGCGACTCCAACTGATACTGGAAATGACAAATCCAATCCTACAACAACAAGTGATGATAAATCCAAGGCCACTCCTACTAGCAATGATTCCAAGCCATCTAGCGATTCATCTAAAAATGATGGATCTTCGTCCTCCTCTTCTGCCTCCCATCACTTTATCTTTCCCTTTTAGACTCATTTGATTGATTTCAATTTAGATGTAGACTATTTTATACAGTAATTTATATTTTGTTTATCTCAATAAAACATGATTTAATCATTATTACTTTACATGAAATGACCTGTTTTAAATTTCAATGCGCATGTGGGCGGACTTGATAGTGGATGCAAGTGAAACAAAGGCTCTTTTTTTTTATTTTCCTTTTTTTTTTTTTTTTTTTTTTTCCTTTTTCTTTCATCTCTTTACATTCCCTACTTATCTCTCTCTTTCCAGATTTAGTCAACATGTCTTCTTTTACTACTTTATCAGTCAGTAAGTCTTTATTCCATATACTTGGTTATACCTCCTAAGTCATCTTCTTGTAATAAATTTAACACATAAAATTTCTTCTTTCCTTTCTTTTAGATAAGAATACGGCAAGATTCACACCAAAGGTTAAACAACGGGGAAGACGACGACCATCACTTCAATCTATTCATGATGATGTACCATCAATAACACCGTCTACTACTCAAACTACAGTGTCATCGCCCCCTTCTACTTCATCGCTACCAACACATTCGGTCAATGCGCAGCCAGCCTTGACAAAGAAACCAATAAAAGCAGCAGCAACCCAAGCGAAGGAAATATCAAAAGCAACGACATCACGATCGAGTAATACTAGTATAAAAACAGCCCCATTCCAAAGGATACAAGCTCCCTCTAAAGGTGATCATGCGACAGTCTCCATACCTCTTGATAGACAACAAACCAATTTGAAAAGTACTACTTCTATGCCGACCATCAACACCTCGATGGCTTCACCACCAACGAGTCCAGTGACAGCCAATCCTTTGAAAAAACGCAGACGAACCAACAAACATGACTTACCGTCGCCTTCTCTTATGACATTGGATGATATTACACATGATCCTGCCGATCCATCCTTTATGCAAAAACCACTGTCTTACTTTACAGAGGATCTACCGACAGGCATTGTATCCAGACAATACAAGGAATCACAACTCAAAGAACAATCATCACGACAGTCAACATCAGTAACCAAGAAAAAAATTCAACCATCACAACCTCCACCCTCCTCTTCTTCTTCTTCCTCTAGAACTTCTGAAACGGAACGACCAAGATTAATGGAATCGTAATTTAAAAAAAAAAAAAGGAAAGAAAGAAAGGAAAAACTCATTTTTATATTATTATTATATGATAGTGCCAATGCTCCTCAAGTCCAATTGGTGAATGGTGAAATAGTACTGGATACATCATCATTATATATCGATCGACCACTGGGACGACGAGAAGAAATGGATTATGAAGTGGTAGAAGAAGACAGCATGACGACTCAGGTCAATAGCCATTCGTATGGGAAACAACATGAACGACATGGACGCAAATGGAGTAATCAAGAAAAGGATCAGTTTTATCAAGGACTTGCTCGGTATGGAACAGATTTCGACCTCATTGCCACCCTTATCCCTACTCGCTCTCGTAAAGAAATCAAGCTCATGTTCAATCGGCAAGAAAAAAAATGTCCTTGGCGGATCTCTCATTGTATCATGCAAAAATCATCATCGGAAGCTCAGTCAACAATGTAAGGTTTTTTTTTTTCTGTATGTAATTTATTTGTTGACTCTTTTTTTTTTTTTTTTTTGGAATGTAGGCAAAACAATACAGTGGATGCGTAGTCTAATTTTTTTTTATCATCCCCTATATTTCATCACCTCACAATGTCTATCTTTTTTTATGCATTCAATAAAAAAAAATCAAAGCGTCTTTTTATTATTATTATTTTCTTTCAAAAAAAAAAAAATGTATCTACACATATAAAAGTCTATATTCTAAAAACCATCATGTCTGTACCACCATATTTTGTAGATAACTGGACCATAAGGATTGAGCGGCGGGAGACTTCTTGACCAACAGAGAAGCGAAATGTAACCAGCTTTGGGGAGACAAGTCTTGCATATCATAATCATCATCAGTAGCGTATTCGATTTCAAAGGAAGGACGAGTGGTATTATCCAAATTGTATTGATGATTCCAATAAGCGAGATCTGAGTACCATTGAGTGTATTTTGTCCACATGCCAAAGGTAGGTGATTGATGATCGGCGTTGTATTCATTGACACGGAATGTCGGATTGTAGACCGGTAACAAAGGAGGCGCCACATGAATCACGACCAAATCTTCAGGGTTGTATTTTTTCAGACTACGTTTGTATTGTTTTCGAAGTTTTCTTGCCATGTTATTACCACGAATCACAATATCATCATCACCATCATCATCATTATTGGATGAATGAAGAAGTTGGAAATGATCCATATTGGCATGACCATAAAAATGAGCTTGAATGATATCTTGATAATTCAAAGAAACACGGGTATATGCTTCAAGACAATCATGTTTAAAGGATTTGGTAGTGGGTGGGACATGACCCATGATGTAGATCTTCTCACCTTGTTGTCGTGCATCGTTTAATTGTTGTTCCATCCATTGAATATGATCCCTTCCAGGTCCATCAACATCACATCCACCTACTACATCGTTGGAATCAAAAAAGTAAAGTGTGTTCAAGGATAATACACGGATGCCGGGTGCCACTGATACACTAAAGTAACCTCCATGTCGAAACGTACTGATTTGATCGGATGGAATCAAATCTCGCCAGATATGACTATAGATGATCAATTGTTTATTTTCCTGTGGATCGTCGTTTGTTGGTCCAGATAATTTGTTGTGGGGATGAACATCATTGTTGCCAAGACATGGTACAATCGGGATGGTATAATTTTGACGTTGAAATGCTCGTTGTAATGCTTCGGTAATGCGGATATTGTAGTGAAGGATTTCTTCACCCGATCGTCGAATCTTACCAGGTTCAGTATCATGTCTACAAATAAAAAAAAAATATTATTATGATTATTGTTTCCTTTTTTTTTTTTTGTTTTTTTTTTTTTTTTTTATCTATTACCTTGCATTATCTCCCGTCCAAATAACAAAATCAATTTTATCTTTCCATTCTTGAGCAATCCAATCAATACTATGATAAACCATGTGAGGAGCAGAGTCACAATCAGTAGCAGGTGCGCCCCAATAACCAGCCAATTTTCCCTTGCGTGCTTTTTTCTTGCTATGTTTCTTTGGATCACGATGACAGAATGATGTGATGGTTGCACCAACATGATAATGATCATCCATCTATAAATAAAATAAAATAAAAAAAAATACAATAAATATATATATATATAAAAACAATGCATACTATTATTATTATTATTAAAAAACTTACATGGATATCAGTCAAATGTAAAAATCGACCATGTTGAGGAACTTTGTCTAGAGAGGAAAAAGCTACTTGTTGTGGATTAGCTTGAATTAAACCACTAATACAAAGAACAATAATAGATAAATATTGAAACATGATTTTTTAATAAAAAGAAAGAAAGAAAGAAAGAAAAGAAAGGATGTTTCAAGAAATTTCCAAACCATGAAGGGTTATTTGGGATAATTTCATATACCGACAATGCAATCTTTTCATACCCAGTAACCCATCCTATTTGCTTTCTTGGTGAACGTGCTACTTCTTTGACTTTGGGGTCATCGTTTGTCGTACAAGAATGGAGTAAAATTTTTCAAAAAAAAATTTTTTTTATTTTTATTTTTCTTTCTTTATTGATCAACATTAAAAAAAAAAATTATACTATTAAAATACACAAAAAAAAAAAAAAAAAATAATAATAATAAATAATAAAAGAGAGGAGAGCATGACACCACGTGTTTCATGGGTTGACTTCATTCAAGGGGTTCATAGTCCGAACGAGATGTCAAAGATGAACCAAGCCATTTCTTAATCTTTGAAGAGAATATGATACATTCTAAAACAATCAAGAAATCAATTGTCAATTGGATACCACCACATAAAATGAATTGATATGGAGCTTGATTAGAAATATAATAGAAAACCTTGAAACTATCCCCAAAAAACTTAATAAATCATATCATTAATCATTTTGTTCATATATTATTTATTCATTTTTTTTTACCCAAGACATTAAAACCAATAGACTGAAACCAGCAGTGGATCGATTTTTATAATTGGAAATACATTGAGGTAATGGTAAGGTACTTTCAATTCCAAGACTAATAAGACCCAATAATTCTATCAATGAAGGCACATGACGGAAAAACACATATAACAAGGAGATACAAGTAGTAAATGCCAATAAAAAATTGAGATAATCAAGAAAGGTAGGCCAATTCCAAAAAGAATGTCGTTGTTGCCAAGCACGTTGCCAAGGATGGTCTGCTTCAATCGATAAACTCTCATCATCATCATCATCATCTGACATCAATGTGGGCGTAGGTCGATATCGTATCACTAATTCAAGTAAAATGAGTTGTGAAACGATCATCACAATCGATTGTATCAATAAAGTGGTATCAAATCGTTTTCCAAACCTAAGTAAGAACAAATGGTTAAGCTTTTTTTTTTTTTTTTAGATATGATGATATCTTACCAAAAGAAGATTCGGAGGATACTATCATCCCAAGATTGGGTAAAGAAAAATTAGAAAAAAAAAAGTAAATATAAAATTAAAACTTACTTTGCAAATAACAAAATGGCACATGTTTTAGGATGGAATCCAGTACTTGTTTTCGTCTGGTTGATTAATCGGTACTAAAGAGGATAAAAAGACAAGATGAGATGAGATATAAACAAATCACTCTTTTTTATTATTATTATTATTACTTGATCAATATAGCCAATGACTGGACCAAAGATCATCCCAGTAGATAATAAAAAGTGACCCAGGTCAATCATAATAAAAATAAAAACGAATGAGATCTATAAAATAATAATAATAATAATAATAAAGAATGGCGAGGGAACGGTCAATGGTTCATATACAAAACGATAAGGAGAGGTACTAGATAAATGACAAAGGAAGGAGAACAAGAAGGGAGGATGAATGGAAAAAGAAGAAAAAAGAAAATGAGAAAAAAAGAAAAAGTATCCCTTTTCTCCCCTTAAAAAAAAGGGTCCGCTGGCTTGAAAAAAAAAAAGGTACAATTTAATATAATCACAAATGCTTGTATGTTTATTAAAAGTAAGGATGAATAAGTAGTAGTAGTGACAAAAAGAAATACAAAAATCTATATATAAGAATATATAAAGAAGAATAAGAAGAAGGAAGAGAGCATACGTTATCATACACAAAAAGAATTGTGTAAATAGACAACAAAAATACAAACAATCATAAAAGCATATTGATCATCAAAATAAAACTAGTAAATAAAAAGAAAAAAAATAATAGTATAAAAGTAGTAGTAATAGTAAATAGTAAAGAGTAATAGATAATAGTAGATAATAATAATATTAAATAGTAGATAATAGTAATAATATTAAATAGTGGATAATAGTAGAAGTAATAGTAGTAAATATTAGTCATCCAGGATTAGTATAATCAAGCAACCAATGAACTTCCTTCTATATTTGTTGTTGTTGTTGGAGTGGTTGTAGATAATTTTTCCTTTCCTTTCTTTGCTGTTTTGTTTGTATGACACCCGAGCCACTGAGAGAACCGACGAGTCCATGATGATGATGTTGTTTCTAAATGATGCTGTATATCGGATTCACTTGACCGACGACTGACTTGACGATGAGATGAGGTATCCTGAAGTATTCTAAATAAAGGTAAAGAAATTCGATGGTGTGTAGAAGATGATAAGAATTGTTTATTGTTGTTGTTATTGGTCGAGATGGCGTGATCATCAGAAAAAGGTTCCACTGGTGCATATTTTAAAGGTCGAGGAGGATATTGAGTAATTACAGGTGGATGAACAGCAGCTGTATAATGATATAATGAAGCATGACGCTGTTGTTGTTGTTGTTGTTGTTGTTGAGGAGGAGGAAGAGGAGGATGAACTGGTGGAGGTAATGATATAGTAGTATTAATGGCTATTTTTGTTGGTTGTTGTGATGACGATGTTAAAGAAGAAGATGAACCTAATGATGATGATAAATGCTGATGAGAAGGAGGATTGAAAATAGTATCCACATGTGGTTGCTTTTGTTGTTGATTCTTTTTGGAAAGAGACCATGATTGAAATACAGATCTTCGTTGTTCTTCAGGCGGTGGTAAGATTGTCAAATCCTCCTGTTGTTGTGATGTTGATTTGAATTGTTCGAATTTGGCGCGTAAATAAGCTGATGATCGTCGTAATAAGTCTCCTGCCGATCTTCTTCGAAGATGTTTATCTTCTTCATTCTGATTCATGATAGTTAGGTTGGGTATAGGAGGTCGTGCTTCCGATTCTATATTTGTTTCCGGTGTCCTAGCGCGAGAATGAATGGAATCAGTTGATAAAGATATACTCTAATAATAATAAAAAAAAAAAAAAAGAAATATTAGTTCTTGTTTTCAATATTTTCTTTCATATACTTACATCCCCACCCATTTCAGCATGAAGTCGAGATCGTTTTTTATCAAACTGACGAATGAGATCTTTAGAGAAAGAGTCCGAATCAACTATAATACTACTAAGTGTAGGTAACCATTGTTCTTGTAATTGTAAAGTCGTTGTCATGAATCAATAATAGATCGTATTAAAAAAAAAAAAAAAAAGGAAAGAGAAGGAGAAAAAAGAGGGGAAATTTTTGTTATGTTCAAATCGCGATATTTTATAAATTGTATTAAAAGTGAAACTTCCCCTTTTTTTTCTCTTGATTATTGAAAGAAATAAATAAGAAAGAATAGAGAGTGGCAACACAAAAAAAGAAAAATAATAAACGGAAAAAATTTGACTAGCTAGGTTGACACTATTTTTGTTCAGGTTGCACGTGTGCGTCAAAAAAAGAAATAAGGTACGAAGAATGAAAAAAAAAGATCTTCCATAGTTAATTCTTTTTCTTAGTGTTGATGGATGATCATCTGCAATAACATGCATTTTTTCCCTATTATATAGATATGTATTTAAACATTTCATTGGATGCATTCTATTGTTGTCAATTCGCATTTACTTTATTGAACCAATGCTTCGAAAATGTGCTACGTGTCACTTGATACTCCGATCTTCTTCTTTTTTCAATACACTTTTTATTATTTCAAGAAATAATAGAATGTTTGGTCTGTGCACATGATTCTTCATAATAATAATAATAATAGTAATAAAAGTATAATTCTATTCAAAAAAAAAAGGGTATGAAGTCAAAAAAAAATTAAATATAAAATAGAATAAACTAAATAAAAATAATAAAATAAAATAAATAAATCTAACTTCTTAATCAAAACCCAAACGATGAATAGTATTTTCATCTTTTTCTTCTTGAATGGAATCAATATTGGCCCACCATTTGAATAAGAAAGTATTGCAGATCAATTTAAACCAAGGAGTCATAGGTACATTAGTATCAGCAAACATAGCACGAAGTTCATCAGGCGTAACATATTTGACATCACGAACTTCATTGGGACTAGGTTCCAAATCTACATCAGCCTTGATGAAAAAGATATAATCAACTATATATATATAAAAGCATTTGATCAGTCATCAATCTATATATATATATATATTGTTTGTTCACTTACTTTCATGTTCACCCCACAAACCATCACTAGGAGCAAGATAATGAATACGAGTTAAATAATGGAATTGATCCAAAGGAACTTGTTCAGGTTTGATACCAAGTTCATGTTCCAATTTTCGTTGAGCAGCAGTACGAGCACCTATAAACAAAAAAAAAAAAAATGAATTACTTTATTCCTATTATTATTATTATTTATTTATTTATTTACCTAATTGGTCTTTTTCAACTAATTCATCAGGAGTGTTCAAAGGATGAGAACAACAGGTGTTTGTCCACATGTCAGGAAAAGTGATTTTTTCAGAAGCACGTTGTTGAAGTAAAAGTCTGTTTTGAGAATCAAAAAGAAATACACTAAAAGCACGATGTAAAAGTCCCTTGTTGATATTATCCATAAGATGACCTAAAATAAATCATCATTTAGTTCCAAAGTTTCTTTTTTTTTTTATTATTTTGATCTTACAAGTCTTTTTTGAGTCAGCACCAATACGTTTATCATTTTCATCAATAACAATACACATTTCAGCCATAAGACGAACTTGTTCTTCGTCGTATTCTTTCAAATCAGGAGCCATAGTAAATGAAGAGTAGGGAGTATACAAGAAAAAGAAAAGAGAAAAAGAAAAGAAAAAAAAAAGAATTGGGAAAAAATAAAAATAAAAAATAAACATTGGTCAATCGGTCAGTGAATTTTTCTATAGTCCCGATATATTTTTCATTTTTGATACTTACAAAAAAAAAAAAGGGTGGCTAGAAACAGGTAGAAACAGGTAATCTTAAGGGGGGAGTGTAGTCAAAAAGGGAAAATGATCAGGGTAGTATGATTTTTCCGAATGGACCAAGCACAAATTGAACAAAAAAAAAAAAAATAAAATAAACAGGTTCAATAGTAAAAATGAACAAAAAAAAAAAAAAAGGTTCAATAGCGGTAACTCAAACCTTTTTTTTTTCCTTCCTTCTCTTTCTCTTACTGTTTTTTTTTTATTGCTAGGCATATGGTTTCACCTCAAAAAGCACTCATTTTATATAATTATTATCAAAACGACAACCAACAAACCATTCCAAATGTTGATAATATAGTTCGTTTAGGTTGTTCTGGTCGTATCTATTTGGAAAACAATGTGGGCAAGTCATTCAACTCTTTTTTTCATACTTTTCTATCGACAACTAAGTCCATTTCTTCTCTCTTGATATACTTCCAGACTCTTCTAGGAGTCAAGATATTATTCAATTATTAGGATTATCCGGATGCTCTACTACTATAGAGGTATATTAGAAAAAAGAAAAAATAATTCTTGGAAGATACTAATTCAACTACTATTCTTCTTAACAAATAGATGGAACAAACCTTGAATCATAGGTTAGAAATATATAATTAAAAACACTCACCAAAACTTGAAACTCATAATATATCTCTCACTTTGGATGTTTATTAGATTTGGGAAAATGAAATTGGGTATCATATCTAACTCTTCACAACTCATTGACATGACAAGATCAGCTGGACTTGCATATTCACAGTGGTTACCAACTACTACTACACTAGATCAACTTGAAGCATATATTCATGATGGACTCGATACAGCCGGCGAGTATGATTTAGATTTTTTACTGGTGGATATGACTGACCAATCATGGCAATGGACAGATGCGATCATGGGGAAATGGCTAGAACAATCTACTATCTTGAAATGCATAGTGACAAGATACCATTGTGAACAAATTGAAACTGGGAACGAACTTGTACCTCAAAGTCATGAATATAAAAACGGTGTACGAATCAAAGTGAAACAGGATATCAGATACCTATGTGCTTATTTTCATGATGGTTCAACACGTGTTGATACAGTCAACAAGTTTGATATGGAGCAAATGGATCGATTGGGTTGTAACGGATCAATTTTGGCATGGCATTATTTGGCGGAAATTGGACACAAGCTTGGATATGTACCAAAGTATGGTGCTTAGATATAGATTTAGAATAGATACATTTATATATGTTTAGTTTATTTTTATAGAATTTTCTTTTTTTTTTTTTGGATCATCCTAATCTTTTTAATATATCAAATAAAGAACAATGATACATTTCATAGCATGTTATTGACAATAGAAAGAAAGGATGATTTATCTATATACAATTCAAATTTGTTACATTCTTCAATAAAGTCACTTATTGATATCACAGTTTTAATAACCGTTGTCATCATCAAGTCAAGACATCATCTATTTTGAGTCTTAAGGATCAATTGTTTAGAAAGATATGCATTTTGTTTTATAATGTTCCTGATATATATATAGATATATAGATAGATAGATCCAATTCTTTTGGTTACACCCATCACTCAAGTTTGATAATAGATAGTGACATATTTGTTATTATGTCATAAAGATAAATCACTCATTTCGGCACCTTTTTTTTTATTACTCACATACAGTTTGATTCAAAAAGGAAAGTAAGAATGAAAATCTTTTATTATTGTCAGTACACAAAATGGATTCTCACGAATAGAATCAAAGACTCCGTCATATAAACTTTTATTACGTTAGCTTTTTTTTTTTTAGGATCGATGAAAAAAGATCAGTACATTAACTACGTCAACTATATATTATCTTCTGATAATTAACTAAATGAGATATGCTTTTGATATATATATATATATATGTAAAGCATCATCAAATCATCTCGATTATAGTTTATTCCTGTTTGATGAATGGTAGTGTACATATCGTTGAACTCTTTTTTTTTTTTTTTTTTTTGCCATTGACCCTGGATAGACTGAATCTAAAATCAACAGGGTCCCCACATTCTCCTTTTAACCTATCAGGATCAACTTCCCCACAGAGCTTTTTGTTTCTCCATTCTATTATGATTATTAATGAATCATTTGATTTCTTCATAAACAAACATAATAGGAATAAATAATAACAACATAGTAAAAGATGATCTAAAGTGTTCATTATGATCAATAGGGGTTAGAACAGGGTCCCTTCACACTCTAAAATCACTAGGATTTGGTGTACCTGCGGAGATCCAACCGAGAATGACCTTTTCATCGTACATAAAAAACCTCCCTTTATCTTTTTTTTTTCCTTTTTCTTTTTTTAATTCTTTTTTTTTTTTTTTTAGTTACAAACGATACCCAAGAGTTATACAAATGGATGCTTTACGACAAGACATTGGTCAGTTACTTATGTGTGGGTTTCATGGTCTTGAGCCAACAGATGGTATACTTGATTTAATTAGGAATCACAACTTGGGCTCCATTATTTTATTCTCACGCAATATTGGCACCGCAGCTCAAGTACAGAAACTCAACCATACTTTACAACAAGCAGCCAAGGATGCAGGACACAAAAGACCTTTGTTTATTGCTGTTGATCAAGAAAACGGAGTGGTACGTCGCTTAGGAAAAAGTGGTACTTATTTACCTGGTAATATGGCGTTAGGTGCAATGAATTCAACTACCAAGGCGCGACAAGTGGCACAAGTGACTAGCAAGGAATTACTTACTCTTGGTATGAATTGGAATTTAGCTCCTGATATGGATGTCAACAACAATGCTTTGAATCCAGTGATTGGTGTACGTTCTTATGGTGAAGAACCTACTTTGGTTGGACGACTTGGTTTGGCGCAAGTGGAAGGATATCAAAAAGGTGGTGTGGCTACTAGTATCAAGCATTTTCCTGGTCATGGTGATACTGCAACAGATTCTCATTTAGGTGTTCCCGTGATTGACAAATCTTTACAAGAACTTCAACAAGTGGAATTGGTACCTTTCAAGCAAGCTATCGATGCAAAAGGATTAGCTCAACCTGCCTCCGTGATGATTGGTCACATGTCTTTACCTCAGCTTATCAAGAAGACACCCGGCATTTCGGCAAGTCTAGCACCTGAAATTGCAACAGATCTTCTTCGTCAACGTCTTCATTATCGTGGTATCATCATCACTGATTGTTTGGAAATGGATGCTGTCAAGGACACAGTGGGTTGTGGTCGCGGTGCAGTACTCGCTCTAGACGCTGGCAATGATATGGTCATGATCTCTCATACTTATGAATTCCAAAAGGACGCCTTTTCTCAAATCTATCAATCTCTCGAAAGTAATGGCTTGGACCAAGATGCTCTTCGGCAATCTGTGCAACGTGTGAATGATCTCAAAGACAAGTATCTCAGTTGGGATGATGTATTGACTCTCAAGCCCTTGGATACTGTTGGTTGTGTGGCTCATCAAGATCTTAGTCGCCGGTTATATGATGGTGTACCTACTGTGATTTCCAACAAATCTCAAGTTATTCCTATTCATCCTGCCTCTGATCAAGCAAAGATATTATTCTTAGCCGCCCATGTTCCAATGACCCTTGCTATTGATTCTGAAGCTGAACCTTTTCAATCCTTTTATGAATCAATCATGCGACGTCATGCCAATACCGAATATATTATTTACAGCCAAGACAACATGAATCAACTTTTCGCCGATGACAAAAAAATTCAACAAGCCGATTATGTGATTGTAGGAACAGCCAATGCCAATCTTCATCCTTTCCAAGTGGAATTGGTCAAGCGTGTACAAAAAGTAGCAAATCACAAACTGGTAGTGGCTGCCGTGATCAATCCTTATGATTTGATGGAATTTCCTGGTGTGGATACCTATATGGTGACATACGAATACACTCCTCCTGCACATGAAGCCGCTGTGCGTATCATCTTTGGTGAAATTCAATCTCAAAGTCAACTTCCGGTCACTATTCCTGGCATTACAACAACAACAACAACAACAACAACAATAGAAACTGTGGACAACAAACATGTCATGATACAACAATATGATGAAACAGATGACTTGGATCAAGTATTTGGTATATGGACAAACACATTTGCAAAGAAAGGCTGGCCTTTGGACAAGACAAAGATGCGACGAGTATTGACGAATCCAACTACACAACCTGTTCATTTTGTAGCTCGAACAACACATAGCAATCAAGTGGTAGGATTTGCAGCAACCATGATTGGTGGTGATGAAGGCAAGGACGGACAGTTGGCACTTTTGATGGTGGATCCTGCATATCAAGGACATGGTATTGGGAGCAAATTACATGATACGGCACTGGAACATCTTCGATCACATGGAGCCACGGCTACTCTTCGATTGGGATCCAATTATCCTCGTTTCTTCTGTGGATTGCCAAGCACACACGACGAATATGCAGATTTTTTTATACATCGAGGATGGCAAATAGCGACGACACAAGTACATGATCTGATGGGTGATTTGACCGGATACAAGACAGCTGATCGATTGGTACAACGCATGCAACGAGAAAAGATCTGGTTTGGACGCATTACTCCCAAGGATTTATGGCAACTCTTCGCCTTCCAACAAAAATACTTCCCTTATTGGTTATCAACATACAAGCATCATGCTGATGTAGGCGATTTCCAAGACTTGTTGGTGGCTCGACAAGGAAATGCTGATGGACGGATCCTGGCTAGCACGATTATCTATACAACGAATGGATCTCATGAACAACGTGCAGATTTGATTTGGACTGATCCTGATTTGTTTGGACAACAGAGTGGAGGTATGGCTTGTGTTGGTGTGGCAAGTGAGGAACGTGGACGAGGGATCGGATTAGGGATGGTTGCTTATGCCAATCAAGTGTTAGCTCAACGTGGAGTGGTCAAGTCATATGTCGATTGGGTTGAACTCTTGGATTTTTATGCTCTTTTGGATTATACCACCTGGCGTAGTTATCGTACTGTTACATGTTAGATTTATCATATTATAAAATAAAATTTGGGTATTATTTATAATTCTCCGTATTGAATTTGTCTTTTTTTTTTTTTTTTTTTTTTATTCTTTTGAAGTATATCTTTTTCTTTCTCATACGTTCTAGATCTCTTTATTTATTTACTATTATTTTTTTGTAATACCAAATTATCCATCCACATATAGATATAAATGAAAGAATGCAATGTTCTCCTTTATTAGAACAACAAGATCAGGGTATTAAATTAAAACAACATAAGATGGAATATGCTACGATAGAAGATCCATATATCTCAGAAGTGATTCATCCTCTTTCTGACCCAAACAACAACAACAACAACAGCAACAACCATAACAATGCATGTGTTAATCCTTCCCAGCATACGCTTCAAACAAATGAACAACGACAGTATTCCATTGAACCCCATCCTACTATGTCTGGTACCAAGATTTCAAAAGGTCATCGTGATTATATGTTGATGTATCATATGTTGACTGGTATACGCATGGCCGTCGATCAAGTTTCTAGTCTGCCTGATCGTGCATTGCAACCTAGTGATTTTTCCTCGATTCATCATTTGACATTGACCATGTATGTAAAAAAAAAAAAAAAAAAAAAAAAGGAATGGATGGGTGAAGCAATGATGGTAGGTGAATAGTTGATTCAATGATGGATAATGATGATTTGATATAGAATGATTGAATCCGTTCATTAATAGATGTTGCGTTTTTTGTTATTATTTATTCTGTAGTCAAAAAGATCATCCTCTCGACAAAGGTGATCGATGGACTCCAGGTAGGAAACACGAATTTAAAGATTATGCACCTTGGGTATTTCGATCTATTCGTCAAAAAAGTCTTATAAAAACTTCAGATTACTTGGTAAAAAAAAAGTGTTTCTTATATATAAAGATCATTCATTGCTCCCTTTTTATTTAGTTTTCATTAACAAGTAAATACATCCTCAGTGAATTGCATACTCCAGGGAAAAGTCATCAATTTCTATACTATTCACGAGATTATCGATATATCATCAAAACCATTCAACGATCAGAATATCAATATATGAGAACAATGTTACAACGATATTATGAAGTAAAATATAGAAAAAGGACACTTTTCTTTTATACTTATTATCTTTATTTTCCAGTATATATCAAGTCATCCAAATAGTTTATTATGCAGATATTATGGTTTACATCGCATCAAATCTGCTTTCACAGGACAGAAATTATATTTTGTAGTTATGGAAAATGTATTACCTCCAAATAAGGATATGCATGAGATTTATGATCTAAAGGTAAATAGATAAGATAACAACTGATGATGATGATGATGATGATTTTTTTTTGAATTCATTATAAAGGGATCAACACAAGGCAGATATTTATCAGAAAAGGAAAGAAAATCAAAAAAACATACTGTGTTAAAAGATTTGAATTGGTTACAGCAACCTGAACGTCTATGTCTAGGTCCTACCAAATGGGCAGCATTCAAATCACAATTAGAAAAAGATGTTCAAGTAAGTCATTCAACTTTTCCATTCATGATGATGAACCTTTTTTTTTTTTTTCCTTTAGTTTTTGATTTCGATTCAGGTCATGGATTATAGTTTAATGATTGGTATTCATCATTTAGAACGTGGTAATAGGGATAACATTCGAAATTCTGTATTACATCAATACCAGGCAAGACAAAAGATGAAAGGTTGAACGAAATAAGGTTTTGATTAACCTTTTTTTATTTATTTATTTATTCTTTAGGCTACTTGTACCGATGCAGGAAAAGATGAGCAATGTATCATGACAGTACCTCTTCTTCAAACATTAGATACTTCCCAATTAAATAAAACAAGGTAAATCATATATATAAAGAAAAGGTGAAATGATTTCTTGATTTTTTTTTTTTTTTTTTTTTTTTTTTAGTCGATGTCGAATGGTGACCAGTAATGTGTTTTATGGAGATAAAGGAGGATTTCGAGCTACAGATGATCAAGATCAACCAATGAATCGTATCTATTATTTTGGTATCATTGATATCTTAACACAATATAATTTAACAAAGAAAGCAGAACATGTATTCAAATCATTGATGTTAATGACAACAGGTCATCAACATATCTCCGCCATTGCACCATCGAAATATGGTCAAAGGTTTTTAAACTTTATCATCAATCCAAAGAATAATTCAAGTATACAAAATACGAAAAATGATGATGGATAGATAGATTTTATATGCAAATCATAAACAAAATAAAATTAAAAAAAAAAAGATCAGAAAAAAAAAAGACGTTTCCTAAAATGGCATATTGATAGACCGGAGATGGAATGAAATTTTACATATGAGTGGTGAAAGATATTCTTATCGTTATCTTTGTGCCCTCCCTTTCTCTTATCTCCTCCGCTCTCCATTTTTTTAAAAAAAAATCAGACTGTCAATTTTTTTTTTCTTTTTCTTTCTCTTTTATTATCATTTTTTATACCTAAATATATAATACTGTCATTTTACGACGATCTTCTCTGTATTACTTACTCATTTTATTATAAAACCAAGTCATGGCAGAATCTGTGATAGATAAAGGGGATACAGCTTGGGTAATGGTGTGTGCCTGTTTCGTGTTCTTGATGGTAATACATTCAAGATTATCTTATCAAAATGATTTTATATCAATAAAAGATCTAATCATTAGGTGATTTTTTTTATAGTGTCCTGCTTTAGGTTTCTTTTATGCTGGTCTTGCTCGAGCCAAAAATGCACTTTCCTTGATGTATCTATGTTTAATATCAGTTGGTGTTGTATCTATACAGGTAAATTCATTATAATCAAAATAATTTATTTTACTTCATCATACTAATTCTTGTATTTGTAGTGGTATCTTATCGGTTACTCTTTAACGTTTTCGGCAACTGGTGGTCCCTTTATTGGAGATTCATGTAAAGTACATCATCTATCATTTTTTTTTATGTCAATGCGATGATAATCACATGGAAACAAAAAAAAATCTAAATCACTATTGTTTTCTTTTTATAGCTTTATTTTTATTTCGTAATGTTGGTGCTGCTCCATTACTTCCATCTCATACCATTCCTTCCTCTGCCTTTTTCTGTTTTCAAGCTATGTTTGCTTGCATCACTCCAGGTAAAAAATAAAAAAATAAAAAAAAAAAAAAAAACTACTCATCTAGTCTTCGGGTTTCACGGGATGGTTATATCTTATCCTCGGAACCGATTGATCACGACATTCAAATACCGATAGATAAAGACATGACCAATTAACTCTTTCTATTCTTTTTTTTTTTTTTTTTTATTTCTTTATAGCTTTAGCTTTTGGATCTGCAGCTGAACGTATGTCGGTAAGTGACTAAAAAAAAAAAAGAAACATATATTATATAGAAAAATAAGAGATAGTAGTTACTTATTATTGGTTTACTTTTAGCTTGGACCGGCTATTATTTTCATTTTCGTTTGGACTACACTTGTTTATGGTAAGATCCTCTTGCGGTGTTTAATCTTTTTTTTTTTTTTTTCATTTCATTGACTGATCTTCATTCTTTTTAGATGTTGTCACGTGTTGGACTTGGGGTCCTAATGGTTGGCTTGCATTGATGGGTGTCATGGATTTCGCTGGGTAAGAAAAAGATTCTTTGAATCATGATGATGATGATCTCATACCTACATTTTTTTTTTTAGTGGCATCACTGTTCATTGTTCAAGTGGATTAGCAGCTGTAGCTTATGCAATGGTATTGGGCAAACGTCGTGATTATGATGAAAATGTTAATACACCTCATAACGTTTCATTTGTATTTCTTGGATTGGCTCTCATGTGGTTTGGTAAGTATTTAAAATATATATATATATATATATATACAGCAAGATATATTCATCATTCTTTTTTTTTTTTGATAGGTTGGTTTGCTTTCAACGCTGGTAGTGCTTTTGCTGCCAATGCAAGAAGTGTGAATTCCTTAGTCTGTACTCATTTGGCTGGTTGTGTTGGTGGTGTAGTTTGGGTATTGATGGATTATCGTCATGCACGCAAATGGAGTATCATTGGACTATGTACTGGTGCTGTGGCTGGCCTTGCAACAGTGACTCCTGGTTCTGGTTTTGTATCTCCCAGTAGTGCCTTGGCATTTGGCTTTTTTGGATCATCTATTTGTAACATCGCTTTGAACTACAAACACAAGTATCGATTTGATGATGCATTGGACGTATTTGCTGTTCATTATATTGGTGGTCTTGTTGGATTAGTCCTAACTGGAGTGTTTGCTCAACAATCTGTGATTGCCCTTGGTTACCCTGAAGGAACTCCTGTTGAAAACATGCAAAAAGGTGGATGGTTAGATGGAAACTGGATGCAAGTTCCTATTCAGCTCCTTGGTATTGTGGCTGTATCGGCTTGGTCTTTTGTGATTACTTATATTATTCTTTTGGTGATTAACATGATCCCTAAAATGAAACTACGATTGGATGATGAAGCAGAATTGATGGGAACAGATTGGGCTGAAATGGGTGAACGTGCTTATGCTTATTTACCATTTGAAGAACAACAAACGCCAACTCGACAATCAAGAAGTAGTGATGATACCAACGAAAACAACAACGATCAATCCAACGATACTTCTTCCTCCATCATCAAACACGATCCTTATATCCAACATCATGAAAATATTAAAAAACATAATCCGTTCAAAGGCATCAAAAAGCTGATGATGACGAACGATCGAACTGTGATCAAGGGTGTACCTGACTTGATTGAAGAACCTGTCATGCTGGATTACCATCAACAAAAAGATCTAGGTGCTATTCGAATGCATGAAATCGTGGAACCCACAGGTGGTGATTTGTATCAAAAGACCCAAGCCAAACTACGTGATGAACGACAAGCAGAAGAAGATGTGATAGAAGTCATTGGTCATTCCATGTTACGAACATCTACCACTGCCACTTCATCTTGTACAAATGTATCCTCAACCCAACAAACAACAACAAAATCATCATCATCATCATCATCATCATCATCTACAGCAGCATCACCTTCACCTGCTGAAGCACCAATAGAAATGAAACAAAAATCCAAAGTATAAATCCTCATTCTTTATTATCCCCCTTTAGTATAGTTCCCTTTTATGGTGTCTCCTTTATTTGATTTTATTTTTTTCTCTTCATTCTTTTTGTTCATATTAGCATTTGTATTTTTTTTTTTTTTTTTTTACTTTTATATAGATTACTTATTTTTATTCAATAAAGATCATTATTTCTTAACATCAGACTAATTCTCAACGGTATGTGTTTATCCGTCCACATAAAATCTTATCATAGTCTATATGATGATAGTATTTTTTTTTTCACCTTTGAAACTCTTAAATTGATCATCCTATTTAAAAGGGAAACAACATATTTATATTATACTATTTTTTTTTTCTTTTCCTTTTTTTTTTTTTTCTATCTTTTCCTTTTATTTATTTTATTTTATTTTATTTATCAATGATACCACCTATGCAAACACCAACTTTATCATCAGATTCGATGATTTTACCTCAAAAAGAAGAGAAGGATGTACCATCTGAGAATGATATGATTCAACAACCATTGCGTCCAACAATGCATGAAAAAAAAAATGTTGTGGTAACGGTGACAATGACCCACTTCATCACTTCAACCGCCGATCATCATCTTTTTCCTCCTACCACTGGCACTTTTCCTTTACCTTCTTTTTCTTCCATTCCTTATTATACAACCACCACTACTACTTTGACCACCCATCCTCCTACCACTGCTCCTGAAGCATTCTCTCCTTTTAGTATCGATGGACCATGGCGTGACAATTTCCCTGCTTTATGTGCGTTTGCCATCATTGGTCTTATCACGACGCTTCTGATTCTTCCTGTTTTTATCTATTGTCTTTGTCGTCGTTGTCGTCGTCAACCGTCTTATTTTGATCAACCATTAGATGAAGAAAATGTGGGCATTCATAATGAAAAAAGACAAAGTCCAACAGCATCACTGACAACTATGCGACAATTAGCCATTCCAGGACCTGCTACAACACAACCATTAGCACCCATTTATACAACTTCAAGTGCTCTTGGTGATAGATATATGGCATCTTCCATGGTATCTCCTACGTTTGTACCGATCCAAGCTTCTCCTTTAACTTTGGTGCCTCGTGATGCTATTTGGAAAGATCCTCAACGACGTCGTGGCGTGAATGAATTGGAATTATGGGAACAAAAACAACAACAACAACAATCAAGGTTTTATGATGATGGTTTACCTCTTTTTATTCCTCCTTTACAAAGGTATTCCTCAACTAGTTCATATTTACCCAATGATACCGATTGGCAACGATGTGTTCCATCCCCTTATTTGGCTCATGCCATTACTTTGACGGCTCTAGATGATGATGATGATGATCAACAAAGATCAGAACATGACCAGATACCACAGGTAAATCTTTTCTTTTTTTTTATTTTTATATTTCTTTTAACTCAATAGAACTCTTGGATAGGATGATCCAACATCCAGTATATCGTCATCACCCACATGGTCAACTAGTAAGACAAGACAAGAAAGAACTTCAAACATCAGTGATGCCACAATTGGAAGAAGACAGGCTGTGGTTTCTTTGGAACATAGTGGAAGTAGTCAATGGTTATGTCCTCCTCCTCTTCATTTTAGTCGTAGTTTATGATATCCCATAATGATTTGTATTTTTATACTTTCTTGTTTGATTGTATTTTGACTTTATTTATTATAATAAAAAAGGATCAGAAAATAAAAATGCTAATATATATATATTCTAAAAAAAAAAAAAAAAGGAGTAGTCTAACAAAAATCTTGATAACTATCCATAAGATCATTCATGATGGTTTGATCAGGTTGATAAAGACAAGTATATTCTGGTTGATGACCAGGTTGGACCATATCAGGATTGTAAGTATAATTATAAGTTTGTTCATGAAGTTCCCATACACCACGACGGACCAAAGGATCATGTTTGAATTCTTTAATGAATGTGTACTCATCTGTATTGCTGGTATCTAAAGTAGCAGGATCAGTAAGTTTTGACTTGTCCAAAGCAACTTCTACAAAGATGGTGTAACTACGCATATCATTGACAATACATCGCATCCAACCACTGATCTTTTGAGTAGCATTGACAGCAAGAGGTTCCTTGAATAAAAACCGGACTTGTTGCCAGTGAGTGCGTTCGGCAGCAGGACCCGTAGACATATCGATGGTGGTACCAGCCATTTCATTGCGTTGTTCAGGTGTCAAGTTGGCAGTATCGTGATATGGAGGAGGACCAAAGGTCAAATCAAACCATCCAGCAATCCCATGCATCAATCCAGTGTAGCCAGAAACCCAATCAAATGGTATTGTCATATCCTTGAGTTGATCTAATGTCACAGTGGCAAAGTCCACATCATAACTATCCATCACCGTAGGTGTCGTAATCAATTGTCGAGGATCAAAATGTCCAACCACAGGCATACCAAACATTTCAGTCTTGGCTTCTTGATATAAAGAACTAAGATCAATACCATAAAACTCGGATTGTTCCCTATTATCAAAAAAGTTAATTTTTTTTTTTAAAAAAAAAAAGACCAGTTATTTATTTACTTACCAGAATCGAGCTTTGGCCATAGTTTCAGTCCATAATGTAGCATCAGTGAATGGTGCTAAATAAATACCACCTTTGGAAGGGAATAATGCACCACCAGGTTTCAAATAATGATCACGAGCATGAATATAACTTTCCAACTAGAAATAATAACAATAAGTCATTACGAAAAAAAAAAAAAAAAACTTACCATGCGTTCATGAAAAAGAAGGACACCAATGGGTTCAGAAACAATAGTATCCACTTGAGGAATAGGTAAATCAGCATCTTCGATTTTAGCTAAATAAATAAAAGAAAAATAAGTCATATTATATATATATATATATATATATATAGACTTACCATTGATGACCGTGATTTTATCTTTCAAAAACGCGTTTTTGCCGTTTTGTCCAGCAGTCTTGACTAATCGATCCATCTTTTTTGCCATTGCTGAGGCTTCGACAGCGTATACATGTTTAGCACCTGACTGAACAGAAAAGTAGGATAAAATACCAGATCCTGCTCCAACATCCATCACCAGTTTGTCTTGAAAACAACGAGGTCCATTCAATAAAATAGCTGATCTATATGTAGAAGTTCGGACATTATCTTGAAGCATGTTTTGCTACATAAAAAAAAAAAATAAGTATTCGCGAATAGTACAATACACAACTTGTAGTTGACAAGATATACATTTCATCTCTTTTTTTTAACCTTACTTGATGTTGTAACATGGCATAGTAACCAAAATATTGAGGATCGCGATGTTCTACACCGGGTGATTTGTCTTCAGAAGCCATCACAATTAAACTAAAGACAGGAGTTTGTGAAAGAAAGAGGAAGAAGAATAAAAAAAAGAAGACAGGTGAAAAAAGAAAAAGAAAAAAAAAACTTTCAGCGGAAACTGAAAATGTCAAAGAGAAAGACCTACCAAACCCTCATATATCGTTTTGAAAAAAAAAAAAAGAAAAAGAAAAAAAAAGTTGCGATTAACCACAGTCAAATTAATTATGTGATGATTTATCATATCTTATGGTAACCAAAAAGTATTCATCAATGTAGTCGAAAAACAAAACTTTTACACGTAAAAAAAGGTGAAGCATGATCAGTCAAATTGGTTCTTTGCTAGGCCTAAGGGAAGAAGTACAATCAAAACTGGTTTTCATATTCCGCTTTATGCTCGTTGTATTCCTACCGTTATTTATCGTTGACGTCCAGAAAGAACAATGAAAATCCATCCCAAGAGGGTCATCAGAACAGGAGAGAAATCAGTTATTATCATCAGTCTACTTGTATTCATGTGACTTAAGGGGGGGGATAGTAAAGATGAAGAACTTGAAACAGGAAATGAACCGTTTAAGCTTCCGCCTTCTTTTTCTTTTTTTTTTTTTTTTTTTCTCTTTTTTATACATTTAATGTGGTCTTATTTTCCCGTCTTATTATATGTCCTATTATCGATTTCCACCATCTTAGCTAGTTATGAACAACAAAAGCCCTTTTTATCGCCACGATTAGTACCATTTACCCCAGTTTGGATTCAACAATTACAACAGTTTTATAACACCTTTGGACATACTATCAGTGTCATGAACCAACAGTGTGCATATTCTTTACCTGACTTTGACTGTAAACCTTTTGACTTGGACGATGGTATCACCATTCGAGATGCATATCATTTACGACCTCAAGTAAAAAAGTTTAAGTTCTATATCATTTATACTAACGAACGTTTTTTATACAGGATATTTCAATGGTGATAGCATTGGGAGATAGTATTACAGCAGGTTTTGGCATGTTGTCTGGTCGACCTCCAGTAGCTTCTGTATGGGAATATCGTGGGAAAGTCTTTTCTATAGGAGGTGATCTAGATGAAGCTTATACTCTTCCTTCCTTTTTATCGGTTTATTCATCAAAACTTACTGGTGCTTCTTATGGTGTTTCTGTTCCATTGGCAAGAGGAAAACAATTGAATAATGCTGTCAGTCCATTTTTTTTTCTTTTTTGATGATGAACTGATATGTCATTTTTTTTTTTTTAGGTCAGTGGGGCAAAGGCGCAGGATTTGGATCAACAAGTGACAAGATTAGTACGACAGTTACAAAAACCTGAATATCATTCTCACAAAAATGATTGGAAATTGATCACACTTTTTATTGGTGCCAATAATGTCTGTATGCTTTGTACTCCACCCATCACAGGATTACCTAATATTGCAGATGTGGATGTATTTGATCAACATGTTCGATTGACTTTGGAACGATTAAGATGGGAAGTTGGTCATGCATTTGTGAACTTGGTGGCGTTATTTAATGCAAGTGGAAACCAGTTTAGATCTATAGGTACACTTACCTTATATATATTTAAATAATTAGGTATCAAGTGTTTATGAAGCTTCAAGAGGAAATCCTTATTGTGAAATGGTATTGGATCCTTCTCATATGGTGATTTGTTCTTGTCTTCAAGCAGATGATGATCAACGTTTAGGTAGATAAAAAAAAAAAATAGAAAGCATGCGGGCAATGAATTCAAAAAAGTCTTTTCTTCTTAATGTAGCTGCTGACCTCGTGGTGCAAGGATATAATGAAAGACTGGCCTTAATAGCTCAAGAATATCAAACATTACATGACCCTTACTTTGCTGTATCCTATCAACCTGGATTCAAGTCATTTCCTGTTGGTAAATATAAACAACGATATCTAAGTGGCTTTGATTGGTAAGTCAAAAAAACAAGGGTGAAGGGGAAGGATATCTTAAAATGACATATTGACATATGATATATTTACATATATATAGTTTCCATCCTAATCGATGTGCAAACCAGGTGATGGCTACGGTATTATGGAATGTAAGTCAGTTCAATACATACGTTATATATATATATATAGATTTAACCCTTTATTTTTAAAAAAAAAATAGAACATGTTTTCTAATCAAGTGGAAAAATTACAACCTTATCATCTTAGTAACCTTACTTTTATATGTCCTAATGCCCAGAGACCTTATTTTCAATGAACATACCCATGATACCATATAATAAAAAATCATATAAAATGAAAAAGAAATAGTGCCTTTTTTATATTTGAAATCTCATTGTTGTCTGGTTATCAAACTTGATAAATTTCGTGTCACTTGGAAAATAATTCCCCTGGTGACACATAACCATGTCTATTTTTCCCTCTTTTTTTTTTTTTTTTTTTTTTCTTTTTTTCTTTCTTTCTTTTTTTTTTTTTTTTCTCAATAATATATCATGTTTCGTCATCGTATCAAGTCACCCATTACTGAAGATTCCTCTTTTCAGTCCGGCAAAGCATCTATTATTGGGATGCGAGAAAGTTCATCCTTAGAACAACAACATGACATTGATTATACCAACAAACCACCTGCACCTGATTATACCAACAAACCAGCTGCACCTCCTCCTCCTCCTTTAAAACGCGTACCTACTTCTACATCATCGACTGAGCCATTGACGATAGAATCCATGTCAGCTGTGATTGCTGCTGCTGTACAAATGTCGGCCAACCAAGGTGTCAAGTCATCCTTATCCATGGGTCATGCTTCCATCAAGCCCATCGACAAGAAGAAAAAAGAAGACGAGCAATCAAAGCGACGGTTTTCATTATTTACTTGGAAAAAACAACAGGAAGAAGAATCTCAAGAGGAAGCATCCGTCTCTTCATCCTCCTCCCTTTCCTCTCCTCGATCATCGTCTTCTCAAGTGGATGATGGTTTGGATGAATTATCCTATCGTGGAATTCAAATCAAGGAAATCAAAACTACCTTGAAACCTATGGTCATCCCTGCCAATGTCACTAATCCTATGCCTACCGTCAAATTGGAACGTCCTGGTTTTGCTAGAATCAATTATTGATTAACATTTATTTATTTATTTATTTATACCTTTCTCTTTTTATTTCCCTTTTTTTGTCATTTTATATATCATCCCACCCCTTTTGTATACAATTCCCTTGTACCATATCTATAAATGTCTCCTATGATTAATAAACACTTTGATGCTCTTTTTTTTTTAAAAAGCTTTTCAATATCAAAAGATATACATGTGGACTATTTTTTTTTTTAATCTGTCTTATGTGGACGATGGTTTCTTAAGAATTCATTTTATTTTCCACTAATAAACTCAATTTCTTGTGCTAGCCATGTTGTACATATTATAAAATAAAATGGCGTTATGGGGCAGAAACAATAAGGACAGACGCATTTCCATAAAAGGCAAACACCATATTGCATAACACAGTTGCTATTGTACAAAAGAATAGAAAAAAAAAAAAAAGGATTTATTGACATAAAAACAAATGATACAATGACTACCAAAAAAAAAAAAATATAACTAGTATGAATATTTTTCTAAGAGTTCATGGACGCTCGCATATTGGCATATTGACTTGCAGGATAATCCAGATGATTTGGCATGGAATCCAAGTGACCGAGGTTTTGATAGACGGTTTGAACCAAACTTCGAGGATGATCTCTTGGATGATCAGCAGAAAGTTCCCAGAACATAGCACCACCTAGTTGAGCCTGCTTGATGTAATCACATTTGGCTTGGACAATGACAGGTGAGTCATATGTCACAAATTCACGTTGTTGAGGATCGTAAGACCAAGACATGCATCGGTTTGGATCATTGAATTCTTGAGCACCAGGTCGAGGAAGTGCTTTGTAATCATATTGTCCCTTTTCCCAAGAACCTTCAGGTACGCCTTGAAATGCTATCAAATAATAATAAAAAAAAAAGAGATTAGAAAGAATAATAGGAAACGACATCAAATCATCATCATACCTGCTCCTGGTCCCGATGTATTGGAAAACGCTCGTCCATAAGCTGGCATCCCCATCACTAATTTCTGTGGTGGTACTCCGGCTGCAATATAATCTGATATGGCTTGGTGACAATTTAATCCTTCTCCATACAAAGCTGATTGATGTCCAGTCTGAGCATCCCATGAACCGGCAAAATCGTACGCCATCAGATAAAAAAGATCAACATAAGGTGCCATATCACGTAATCGTAAGATTCGGTATTGTGATGGTCCACAAGGCACAGCTACTGATAAAGTGAGTCTTGGTTGATTGGTTTGTTGTACTTGTTGCTGATATGCATCTAATGCCAAACGAACTTCATAGAGAAGGTGGACATAAGATAATGCTTCTTGTTCATTCTTTGGATATTCCCAATCGATATCTAATCAAAAAAATAAAAAAAAAAAATAAAAAATAAAAGATATATTCCCTTTCTGTTTTTTTTTTGGGGGATTACCTATGCCATCCAAACCAAGATCAGCAAGATGTTTGATGGCTGATTGAACAAACAAAGCTCGTTTTTGAGGATCATTTGCTACTGCTGCAAAATTCGTAGACCATGTCCAGCCTCCAATTGACAAACTGACTTTTAAGTGTCGATATTTGCGCTTCAGTAGATAGAGTTGTTTAAAATTCCCAAATAGGTTTTCCGTGTCATTTTCGGACCAAGGATCCCCCTTCCCATCTACACTTTGTTCTGAATAAAATGTTGTCAATGAGTAACTATTTTTTTGACTGACTAGTTTTGAATAAGTTATTACCTGGAGAAAAATGCTTATCGGTATCTGCCCATTTATCTATTTGTATCAAAAGATTTAGTAGTTTGCCAAGACCTTTTTTTTTTTTTTTTTAAACTTACCACCAAGAACAACTTGTCCTGACGGTTCTATGTTGGCAAAAGCATATAAAATATGAGTCAGTCTATCAGCATTGTGAGCAAGATCTATCACATTGTAATTTCTTGCATAAATTCCCCTATAATAAAAGAAGAGTCATATATAGTTGTGGTCAATAACCTTTTTTTTTTTTTTTAAGTGATAGTCTTCTTACTTGACTCTTCTTACCAATTTGCAAAATAACCAGCAATAACAGGTCCATTAACAACAGGTGGAGGAGGTGCTGCCATGTAAGAATAAAGAAGGAAGAAAGAAAAAAAATAAATAAATGTAATATTACAGGGAAGAGAAAACAAAAAAAAAGAATGCAAACCTTTCATATTTTTTTTTCTATATTGCTTGAATTTCACGCACCGCATTTCCATCAAAAGCACACATTAAAAAGAGACAAAGAGAATTGGATTTGTAAATAAAAAAAAATATACATTTGGACAAACTTTTATAAAAAAAGGTTTCAAACATGATGATACTATAAAAAATCAGTTCTTTTTCTTTTGTAAATGATAAAAAAATATACTATACTATACTATAAAAAAAATGATAAAATGGGGGTAATTCAAACTATGTAAATAATAAAAAAAAAATTCCTCTTTTTTAATCCACTTCTTCCATCTTGGAGGTTTCAGCAGATTCGGCAGCAGGAGCATCTTCAATGATTTCATCAGCAACTTCTTCTTCATCAATAGAAAGACCGAGGGCAATCATACGGTTGATACGCTTGGCGAAATCGGAAGGATCATCAAGAGAGAAACCAGAGGTCAACAAAGAGGTTTCATACAACAAAGTAGTAAGATCCTTAACGGTACGGTCACCAGAATCGGCAGTAACCTTAGCTTCAAGAGCCTTGACAATAGGATGGCTAGGGTTCAATTCCAAAGTCTTCTTGGAAGCCATGTAAGCAGACATAGAGTTGTCACGGAGAGCTTGAGCCTTCATGATACGTTCCATATTGGCGGACCAGCCGAATTGACCAGTCGTGAGAACACATGGAGAGTCAGTAAGCTTGTTGGACACAACCACCTTTTCAACCTTATCACCAAGGATTTCCTTGACAGTCTTGCAAAGGTTTTCATATTTCTTTTCTTCTTCTTCACGAGCCTTCTTTTCTTCTTCATCTTCTTCGATTTCCACACCTTCCTTAGTAATGCAGACCAACTTCTTATCATCGTATTCCTTGAGTTGAGTGGTGGCGTATTCATCAATAGGATCAGTCATCAACAAGACTTCAATGCCCTTCTTCTTGAAACCTTCCAAGAAGGGAGAGTTTTCGACAGCGGCACGAGATTCACCAGTGATGTAGTAAATGTTCTTTTGCTTTTCGGGCATACGGGTAACGTAATCCTTGAGAGAAGTCATTTCATCACCAGACTTGGTAGAATGGTAACGTAACAAATCAGCGAGCTTAGCACGGTTTTGAGCATCTTCGTGAATACCGAGCTTGATGTTCTTGGAGAAGGCTTCGTAGAACTTTTCAAAGTTTTCCTTGTCTTCAGCGATTTCAGCAAACATTTCCATACACTTCTTGACCAAGTTCTTGCGGATAACCTTAAGGATCTTGTTTTGTTGGAGCATTTCACGAGAAATGTTGAGGGGCAAATCTTCAGAGTCAACAACACCCTTGATGAAGCCAAGATATTCAGGGATCAATTCATCACAGTCATCCATAATGAACACACGACGGACGTAGAGCTTGATGTTGTTACGCTTCTTCTTGCCTTCGAACAAATCAAATGGAGCACGCTTGGGCACAAAGAGGATGGCACGGAATTCCAATTGACCTTCAACAGAGAAGTGCTTAACAGACAAATGATCTTCCCAGTCGTTGGTGAGGGTCTTGTAAAAGTTGGCATATTCATCTTCCTTGATATCTTCAGGATTACGAGTCCAAAGGGGCTTGGTCTTGTTAAGTTCTTCAATATCAGTGACCTTTTCCTTGATGGTCTTCTTTTCCTTCTTTTCCTTCTTGTCTTCTTCATCATCCACTTCTTCAATCTTGGGCTTTTCTTCACCTTCCTTGACTTCTTCGGCTTCGTCATCGGAGACTTCGACGTCGACTTCCTTTTCAACGGTCAATTCAATAGGATAAGAGATGAATTCAGAGTGCTTCTTGACAATATCCTTGATACGCTTTTCATCGAGATATTCAACCTAATATAAATTTAAAATAAATAAGATGTCTATTTCTTTCTATATCACTTTTTTTTTATTATACTTACTTGATCTTCCTTCAAGTAGAGACGCATTTCAGTACCACGACCAAGAGAGGGGTTCACTTCATCACGGGTAATAGTGAAAGAACCACCAGCAGCAGATTCCCAAATGTATTGTTCGTCATCATTGTGCTTGGTGATGACTTGAACCTTATCAGCAACAAGGTAAGCAGAGTAGAAACCAACACCGAATTGACCAATCATGGAGATATCAGCACCAGAAGACAAAGCTTCCATAAAGGCCTTGGTACCAGACTTGGCAATAGTACCCAAATTGTTAACCAAATCAGCCTTGGTCATACCAATACCAGAATCACGGATGCTAAGAATATTGTTTTCACGGTCAGCAGTGATACGGATGAACAATTTCTTTTCAGAGTCCAAAACAGAGGGATCAGTCAAGGATTGGTAACGGATCTTGTCCAAAGCATCAGAAGAGTTGGAGATCAATTCACGCAAGAAAATTTCCTGTTAAAAAATAAAATAAAAAAGATGATATGAGTATAACCAATATAATATATATATATTTTAGTCCATAATACACAACACATAACTCCCTCTCTCTCTCTCTCTCTCTCTCTCTCTCTCTCTCTCACATATACACAAAACAAAAAAACACGTCAACCTGTTCCCTTTCTCTTTTCTTCTCTTTTTTTTTTTTTTTTTAAAAAAAAACTTACCTTGTTAGAATAGAAGGTGTTGATGATCAAACTCATCAACTGAGAGATTTCAGCTTGGAAAGAAAAGGTTTCAGTTTCAGCAGACATGGTTGTATGAAGAAAAAGGGATGTGTAAATAAAAAGAAAAAGAAAAAAAAAAAGAAAAACAACTACAAAGAAGGGGGGAAGAAATTGACTGGGACTATTTAAAAGTAAAAAAAAAAAAATTAAACTGCGCTACTCAGAAAGCGTCACAGGTTGCTTCCAGCACCTTCTTTGGAATCAGCATGAAAATGCCAGAAATCATTATTTTTGGAACTGACAGACAAACAATAACAAAAAAAGATGAAGGGGATCGACAATTACAATCATATTATTTACAATAAGGAGAATAATGAATCAATAATAATAATGATGATAATGAGAAATAATCTAATAATAAATAAAAAAAAATACAATAAAATAATCTTATAATAAATCTATATCGTAGTATCTAAAGGTTGATTGAACCAAATAGTGCCTTTTCCATCTTCTTGTTGAGTATCTGTCATTGTATGAAAAAGTCCTTGAACAAAAGTTTCTCTGATAAAACAATCCACCAGACCAGGAATCCGTAAACTATAATCACGCCAAAAACTAGATCCAGGCTTGGTACCATGACGACCAACAGCTAATAATTTAAAATCCGGTGTTCTTTGAGCATATCTAAAAAAAAAAATGGAAAAAATAAACATCAATCATCTAGACTCATTCCCTTATTTTGATACGAACCGAAAGATTTGTCCCAAACCATACTTGTGTACTTCAATCAATTCTAATATTTTTTGATCTCTTGCAATAACAATTGAATCTGCTTCATAAGCCATGATATCACCAAAATGAATCTTTGTTTGTCGATCATATACTTGATGAATAGGATCTCCACTATTTGTTGTTGTTGTTGTTGTTGCCGGCATGGCACCATTTTTGATAATTTCCACGTGACTTGGGACATTGAAATATGCCGATATAATCCTTTGGAGATTACCTGATGCTTGCAAAACCATACGTTCTACAGGCGTAAATGAATCTGGTAACCTGATAAACACATTCCGAGACGATACTATACCATTGTAATATATGTGTATGTGGATAGACAATGATAAGGAGAATGGGTGACATAGAATAATAATAAATAAAAAAAAAAAGGTTTAATTACATATCCTATCTTATCATAATGATTGAACTTACCTTTATCAGTAAATTGAAAGGGTATTCTATGGTAATCTTCAGTACCTTCAGGAGGAGGAAGGGTATGCATTATTATTGGAATGTAAGTTATATTAAATAAATAAATAAAGAAAAAAAAAGGATAATGTAGATCTATATAAAAGTCAAATGATAATGAACGGACAAAGGTGCTTTGACACTTCGGTTTGATTCTGAAAAAAGTTTAAAAAAGAAAAGAGAAGGAATTTTTTATTTTTTTGGGCAAAATAGGCAAGGGGTGAAAGATTCAATCCCAGTCCATGTACCTGGCCTGGGCCTGGACTTTCTCACGATATTTTTAGCATATAAAAAGACAAGAATTAACTTTAAACAAAAAGATCAATGTATTTTTTATTCATAAACAAAATCATTTAAAATAAAATAAAATAAAATAATAATAATAATACTAATAATAATAAAAAATTATTAGACTAGACTAAACTAATATCACCATAGCGTCTGTCCTATAATTGAGTGATGGTGAGAGGATGATTGGCCTCTTGTCGTAATGCTTCTTGTTGTTTTTCCAAATCTGATAATGTGATACATTCAGGTTTAATGATGTGGGAATCACCATATACTTGACAAGACCAATCAGAGAGGGGAGATTCATTATCAGACAAATTTGGTGTCTCCATATAAGGTGGTAACATTGGTGTATCATTGTTGTAACCACAGAGTTGCATCATCATAGGCATTTCCGTCGAGTAATGACCTTCCATTAAAATATTACTTGGTGGTTGATTCTTATAGCCATGGAGGATATCATCATAGTCACTATTGCTGATATTATTAGGATGATAGGTTGAACGATAATAGTCATTATTGCCAATAGTAGTAAAGGAATCCAATAAAGGTTTTCCAGGTGTAATCAAATGATTTTCCATATGTTGTTGTTGTTGTTGTATGAATTGAATAAGGCTTTCATCGTACATAGGATATTGAAGAAAAGATAAATCATTTTCCACCGGTGTGTTTGATACCACTTGATTAGCAAAATCCTTCCATAAGTTCAATCCATCATTAACACCATAGTTTGGAACCATTGGAATAATAGAATCCTTTGAAGGAGTAGAAAGTGAATCCATAAAGACTTGATTCTGTACTGTGGAATCAGATGACCGAGGTAACTTGATAGATGAAGTAGAATGATATTGTTTTTTTGACTTTATAGATTCTTCTTTTCTTTTAGTGGAAACATGTTTTCTTCTAGGGGCATATTTATAACCAGGGAATCTAATTAAAAAAAAAAAAAAAAAGAAAAGAGAAAAAAATAAATAGTAGTTTACTCTCAAAAAAAAAAAAGGATGTTGTACGAATCCATGGATGGATTCAACAACCGACAATAATGCATATATACATACTTACTTTGCAGAATGATCATCCTTGGCCTTTTTGGCGACATCCATATATAATTGTTTTGATTTCGGATCAATTTGTTTCCACCATTTGGCTACGATTTTAGATATCAATCGATGATTGGCACCTTTACATAATTCAGCTATTTGTTGTTGTTTTTCTTTACGATACACCAAAAAACAATTCAATGGTCGAGGTGCAATATTGGGATCTCTTTTACGAGTACGTGGTTTTCTTAAAGGTTTACGATTAGCTTCAGTATATTTGATAAGTTCAAGGACATCTTGATATTGCTCTGGTGTTAAAGGAGTGAGATATTCTGTTTTAGGCATAATGAACCATATAAGATGAAAGGAAAGTAAGGGGCGGAATAGTAAAGATAAAAAGGAAAGGAATGGGGAATAAAGAAGATGAAAAAAAATAAAAGAAACAAAGAATAATAAAAAAAAAAGTAAGAAAGATTTCTCATTTTTATATAAAATCATATTAGAAAAAAAAAAACAACTTTCCACAAACAGTAGCATAATACTATAACAATAAAATGGGATTTCTTCATTGTACCATTATAATCATCCCTTTTTTTCCCCCAAAAAGAGAAGACAATAACACAAAATAGAACAAATCATTTTATCCAAAAATATAGGTAGCATGACTTTCTTTTTATTGTTAATAAAAAAGAAGGAAGATGGAAAATATAAACTATATAAACTACATTTAAGCCTTGACAGCATACTTGCGAGGAGGGAAAGCAAGAGCCTTCTTTTGTTCCTTGACAGTCTTCAAGCTACGTTCATAAGGAGTCAAAGCACGACGCATGGCACGGGTCTTCTTGACACGGAGATCCAAGGGAGTGAACTTCTTCTTTTGGTAGAACAAACGGAGTTGTTCACGTTGAGTTTGGTTGATGACAGTCAAGATGGTGGCAACGGTACGACGAGCACGACCACTACATATAAATAATAATAATAATAATAATGGTCAGTATGAAATCATTCTATACATATGATGGACTTACATTTCTTGAAGCTTGGAGGAAGAACCACCAGCAACCTTTTGGACACGGAGAGAAGCGAGTTCTTGCTTGGCTTCATCAAGGAGCTTGACAAGTTCAGCCTTGTTCTTGTTGCGAAGTTCTTGAGCTTTGACGGGAGCCTATCAATATACATATATATAATGATGGTAAGTTTTTTTTTTTTTTTTCCTTATGAAACAAAGTAATGCATTCGTTTAAATATATAAAGTCGATTCATTATAAATTCATTCGTCATTGACTTTTTTTTGTTGTTGTTGTTTCCTTTTATCCATCCATCCATCCATCCATCCATTTTATCATGTTGTTTCGTATTCCTTCGTTATATTTGTAAATGAATCGACTTTATATTATAAAACGGATGCGTCGTCTATTGTTATGTTGCACCTTACCATTGTTTCAAGCAAAAAGTTAAAAGAGGAAGAATCTGTACAAGTTTGCTTTGTGAAGGGTTAATTTTTTTTCAGTCATCGGAGCCAGAAATCAAGCATACGGTCCGGGGAAGCATAGAACACTAATGACAAAAAAAAAAAAAAAAAAAAAAAAACTGGGATTTAAAAAAAAAATCATCACTTTTTTTATTTTATAGTTGGGGGGGGGAATATATTGCATAAAAACTACTACTATCCTTCCATTGGACTAACAGAACGTCTAGTTAAAATGTCACGAGATGTAGGATCGTTGATAGAAGGATGATTGAGAGAAGAAGATAAACTAGTAGAAGAAGGAGAGGGTGCTACTACTACAGAAGAGAAGAAGGGAATTTGATCCAAAAGACGTGACATGATAAAAGGAGACAACATTCGGAAACCACTAGTACGAGTCACCAAACCAAAATGTCGAAAGATAAACATCACTGCTGTTTGTTGCAAACCTTCCTGTCCAGCATCCACAGCCGCTTGATATATTTTACTGACATATTCCACCATGATACATCCATAAAGTCGTCTTACACACAAAGCCAAGAGTCGAGGCAATAAATAAAGATTAGCCATCACCATCAAATCTGCCACCAGTACAGGAGATAAAGTTTCATTCAGAGCATCTGTATAAAGAAATTGGACAAACGCCTTGAGGACATCAAATGGTTCAGGTAGTGTCATGCGATCACATAAAGATTCCACCATACCAGAGTTCATCAAATGTGAAAAGTGAGGCCATCTTGCTAGGAGAACAAGTCGATGCACATGTAAATCACCTGCTTCAGGATTAATACTTGATCGAATCATAAAATCAGCACTTGATGATTGACCCATTGTTAATAATCCAGCTAGATCCGTTCCTAATTGTGATGGTGGTACAGGTACAATTCCATGGTCCTTGAGTTGAATTCGAAGCATCATTGTATAATATTCATCCACTTCTTCATCAGTCGCACCAAATAAAATAAATGAACTAGCATGTTCCGCCATTGCAAAGTACTGCCAGTGAATACATCCCATTGACAATTGTGGTGAAACATCATGATATTGCCATTGCATAGAGCTAAGATCCAAATTCCAAAGTCCAATACTACCACCACCAGTTCCTCCAGCATGATCGTTGTTCCTCCTTCTTCTCCTCCTACTACTACTATGTTGTGCTATATTGATATCATTGTTGTGATTGTTATTATCAGATACTTCATCATCATCATCATCATCGTCGTCGTCGTCGTTTTGTTGTGTTGTCAAAGTACAAGTTGAAGGAGTCGTCGCTACTACCACTACCATCTGATCACCACAAATTTGAGCAAATTGTTCGCCCACTAAAGGAGGTGCTGAAGGAGAATCGATTTCCAATTGAGTAACGGTATGTGTATCCAGATCCAAAAAGGATAATATATTGGAACGGCTCATGTCTTGATGATAACCACCAAATAAATAAAGTCGTTTGTTGTAAAAGAAGGTCATATGTTGAGTACGTTGAACAAAGTGTAGAGGAGGTTGCCATTCATATGTATTCAAGTCCAAAATAAGTACTGTATCCGCCACATGGTCCTCTCGATCCAATCCACCTGCAATATAAAGTCTACCTTGATCATCAATGTTTGCTGAGTGTTTAATACGTCCTTCTGTAGGTATCATGCCCGTCGTTTCTGGATGTTCCCATGTCATTGTATCTAAATGCAAAATGGCCACTGTGTTGAAAAAATGATGGTCATCGTCATCACCCGTACCACCGAAGACGACTAGTTTGTTCGTACCCCATAAAGTAGCTGTATGATCATTGCGTTTGGCCATAACAGGTGCAGTATGATTGTAAGCCATTCGTGTCCAGCAATAAGATGTTTGTTGTTGTCCTTCATCCACGGTCAATTGGTATAATGTGTTGAAGACTTCATCGCTATATCGATCAAACCCGCCAAGAACGTACACTGTGTTGCCAACAGTCGTCAAGGAAGCACCTACCAAGCAAGAAAGTGATTCTCCCGTTGTTCGATGCACTTGACTACTACCATATATAGTTGAAGGAGTTAAATCGCCATGATAACTATGTAAAGAATGTGGAGTACCTGGAGGTGAAGTACCAATATACATATCGTACATGAATTATTATTTATAAGAATAAAGGGTATGAAAAAAGAAATAGAAATAAAAAAAAAAAGTAAAAAAAGAGAGAAAGAAAGAAAAAAAAAATGCCGCACACACATAGATTACAAAAAAAAAAAAAAAAAAAAAAGATGGCGGGGAGTGAAATTTGCTAATAATGTGGCCGGACAAGTTGAAAGAAACAAAAGGGTCAAGAGAATTGAATTTTTCATACAGTTCCTCCCTTTTTCAAATCAATCGAAATGGTACGAAGTTAGACAAAAAACAAGAAAGAATGATACAACCATCCAACATCACTTTATATGTAGATGCATTTATAAAAGCAATGTAGAGATGGATGTATAAAGATGAATATGAATTTTTAATACTAATGATATCATTTTTATTTTTATTTCTTTATTTATATATGATCCATCCATCCATCCATCCATTCAATCAACCCATTCATCCAACCTAAACCATCATCAACAACTTTTTATTATTATTCCTATCCATCCATTATCATTTATACAACTTTAAATCCATTCATCCATCCATTATGTGACGTTACGATATATATATATATTTGGGTTTTTAGGCTAAGCGCACCAAGAAGGTTGGAATCACTGGTAAATATGGTACTCGTTATGGTGCCTCTTTGAGAAAGCAAGTCAAGAAGATGGAAATCACTCAACATTCCAAGTACACCTGTACCTTCTGTGGTAAGGATGCCGTCAAGCGTACTGCTGTTGGTATCTGGAAATGCAAGGGTTGCAGCAAGACCATGGCTGGTGGTGCTTACACCGTTTCGTAAGTAGTGAAAAATGATAATTAGATATTACAGGAACTAAATGTACATGTTATTTAGTACCACTGCCGCTGCTACCGTCCGTTCCACTGTCCGTCGTCTTCGCGAAATGGCTGAAATCTAAAATGTCATCTTTTTTTTTTATATTTCAGTTAATAAATAAAAACATGATTACTTGTACACTTTACAATATTTATTCGTCTCGACATTTGGATCCAAATATATCTATATAATTTGAACGATAAGCTTTTTTTTTTTTTTTTTTTATTGATTGAATAGAGGGTATAATCTAAATAGAATTCTATAATAATGATGAGGTAGAAAGAAATAAAAACTATAGGATTGAAAATCATGATTGATCAGGAGATGTTGATGATTGAATTGGATTGTTGGTTGTCATATATTCTTCGTCATCACTAAAGGAATTGATCAATGCACTAAAATCTGTGTCGAGTATATCTGTGGGTGACTGGATGGTTTCTTCATTCAATGGTGCTGCGGTTGGTGGAGTAGGTGATGATAAAGATGATGATGATAATAATGGATGTGTAGTTCCTGATGCTGATGCTGCTGTTTCAGTAGTTTCACTAGTTGATTGGATAGCCAGTCTTTCATTGATTTTGCTTTGAATATAATTTGCTGTTGCAGTAAATGAGGCACGTTCACTCATGTCAGCAGCGATTTGCATAAAGTAGGTTGATGTTTCAGGAGTGACGAGTAAAGTACATAATTCAGTGCATCCATGATTAGCGGCATAAAGTAAAGGTGTATTGGTGGACGTATTGTTGTTGCCATTGTTGTATCCAGGATCTGCACCATGTTCCATCAGATATCGTACCATATCAATCTTTCTTTGTTGTACAGCTACCAAGAGAGGTGTTTCTTCCATTGTATTTGTCACATTGATTTCAGCTCCACCATTGATCAAAGCTTCCAAAGCATCCATTCTATTCCAAGTCACTGCATGATGTAATACTGTTGCAAACCGAGTCTTTCCATTCACATCTGCTCCACCTTCTAATAAACGTGTCATAATAGATCCATATCCTAATCCAATAGCTATGGCCAAAGGTGATAGTCCACGATGATTGTTTTGGTCCACAGGTACACCTCGTTCCATAAATATAGGAATCACTTCACTAAATTGATTAGAAACTGCCAAATGAAGAAGAGTATTTCCTTGAGCATCTATCGTGTCCAATGCCGCGCCTGCATCAATAAGAAGTTGAGTACAAGGTAATGACTTGGCAAACAAAGAGTTGGAGAGTGGAGTATGGCCAAGAGTATCTTTCAAATTCACATCAGATCCATGTTCAAGTAAGAGTTCTACTGCATCGAAACTTCCCGCACTAGCTGCTGCATGTAATGCCAATTCTTTATGAGGACCATGTATCGTATTCACATCGAGTTCCGAAGTAAGAAGTAGTAGTCGTAGAGCCTCCATACTATTGTTTCGAGCTGCCAAGTAAACTAATCCATAACCGTCTTCATTTGTTTCACTGAGATCTCCTTTTGTTTTGATATATTGATATAATGCTTTCATATCCAAAGATGTCAGAGTAATGGCTTTCCATAACGCACTAGTTGTAGCAGGAGAGTCTGACTCGTCATCATTTTCATTCGTTATTGTTTGTCGTTTCTTGTTATTTTCAGTACCATTTTCACTATTGCTTCTCACTCGTTTATTATCATTGGTTTGTATCATCTCGAGAGAACAAAAATATAAAAATAAAAAAAAAAAAGTAAAAATAAGGCGGGAAAAGGAAAAAGTGTAAAAAGGGAACTTCTCTCTTTTTTGGGTTAAAAAAAAAAAAAAAGATCTGCCCCACACTAAGAGCGACTTTGATTGGCTGACTTATTCTGTAAGGGCCACGGTAGTTGAAACCTGAAGGCACCGAGAAAAAAAAGTCCAATCATAACAAAAAAAAAAAAAAAAAAAAAACATGAATGTGAATTCCCCCTTTCCTCTTTTCTTTTTTTAATTCCAATTTTTTTTTTTCTATAACCATGCAACGATTCGTACATCAAGCCCGTCGCTTGACTCCTGCTCTTCAATCTAGCCGAGGATATGCTTCTCAAGCCACCAAGTCTGCTGGTGAACAAGTCCCTGGTGAAAGTAATGCGCTCATTTGAATACTATTATTACGAATAATATATAGTTGAATTGTCATTATACTTACTCGTGGCATTTCTTTTTTAATTATTATTATTACTTTTAGCTTTTGCTACCTCTGCTTGGAAAAAGACTGCTATTGTTGTAGCCATTGGTGCTGTATGGTACAATGTGGATCAATCCATTTCTAATGCTGGTGTAAGTATCCATATTAAAAAATGTCAATACAGGTTACTCATAAGTTTTATTATTGATAGAACAAAAATATCATCACCAAATGGGTTGAAACTGCCATGACCTCTAGCGAAGAAAACGACAAAATCAATGCCTCATTTTACAACCACTCTCAAACTCTTGCTGACTACAGGTAAGAATAATGATATACACGGTCAAATAATGAGAAAATTCAATTTTTTTTTTTTTTTTTTTTTTTAGATTGATTTACCAAGATGCTCAACGAGCCCCTGTCTATCGTATGAGATACCCAGAGTAAGAAGACTAAAAAAGAAAAAACTATAAATCATTCATGATAATTTAATGACAACCTTTTTTTTTTTTTGTATCTTAGATCATTTGAACGTTGCAGTCCTCGTGCTTTGACTGCTGGTGCTCAAGCAGACTTATCAGATGTCAAAATCCGATCCGATTAGAGGAACAATAGGATTGAAACAAACTAGAAATGAAATAGATTTTTCCAATTTTTTTTCTTATCAATAGATTAGTTTTGTATTTTATTTTTATTTTTATTTATTTGTTTTCTGTTTGTTTGTACAATTTTAATAATAAAAAAAAAAAAATAAAGAAAAAGAAACCTGCCAATTATTATTAATATCATTTTTTTATGTACCTGCATGATCAATTACATCTGAAACTCCTGTTTGAAATTATTTAATCTTAAAAACTTTTTAATTGAAACATGCTTAAAAAAAGCTTTCTATATATAAATCATTATGATGATGAAATGATGGGATGATGCGTTGGTGGATGAATGATCTGATGACGAATGAATGGTGAGTGTATAGTTTAACAGAGGATTTAATGACAATGATTGATAATCATGTAGTTATCCTTTTGGTTGATCATCAAATGAACAAATTTACAGGTTTCCATTTTAACATCAAAGTTTTTTCAGTCGTTTGTGACATTCAAACTATGATTGGTCGACAAATAATTTAACTTTTGCATACAAAGGACACACAGACCACATCACGTATTAGAACTATATTGTAAATTTACTAATATAAATTTATAGAAACAAGGGAAAATAGGATGATGAACTGAAGATTTTTTCTTTCATAAGAATAAATTGATGAATAGAAAAGTCATCATTAGCGATAGAGAGACATCAGGGTGATCGGGATTTGAACCACGTCGTATCTTACGTCAGATTTCCAACAATTTTTTTTTTCTGAAGGAAAAAAAAAAAACTGGATCTCCTTTTCTCTTCTTTTTTTTTGATTTGGTGATCTTTTTCTAGTTTCAAACGCGTCTTGTTACTTGATCTATTCTTCATCTATTATAGTTGATTCTCACCTTATATTTCTTTTTTTATACATCAATTTGGTAAGGGAGTGGAAAATAAAATTATATCACTAGACTGATTGACTGACTGACTGACTGACTTTTTTTTTCTCGAAACTTATCGAATCTTCTTTCTATAGACCTTTTTTCTTGGTTCTTTTTTTTTTTTTTTTTGTTTTATTCCTCTCATTCCAATCATAGCAATATCAATTTTTAATATACATCATGACTGCGGCTGTATCTCATACCAACCATACCAAGACTGTAGTTGACGCAGCAAACAACAACAAATTGGATAGCACAGCAGCTAACATTGCATCTCAAGATGTCGGACTTCTCTTTGTTAGGGAATACTATACCTTTTTGAACAAGAAACCTCTCCGTTTGCATGCTTTTTACAACAAGGATTCCTTTTTTGTACGAGGTGATGAAGGTGAAACTGTCCAAACTTATCAAGGACAAGATGTAAGTCAGAAAAAAAAAAAAAGAATCAGCTAATGATATTGTTTATATACTTTAGGAAATTCGCAAAAAGATTGAAGAATTGAACTTTGAAGATTGTAAGGTATTGGTGACTCAAGTAGATAGTCAAGCCTCAGCCAACAATGGGATTATTATTCAAGTATTGGGTGAAATGTGTGTAATGGATGGTCCTTCTCAAAAGTTCAGTCAAACTTTCTTTTTGGCTCCTCAACCTAATGGTTACTATGTGTTGAACGACATTTTCCGATTTTTGAAGGACGAAGTGGATATTGATTATTATACTTGTGAAGATGATCAACAACAACAGACCAAGAAGGATGAAGTCATTGTTGAACAACAAGCTGTGGCTGAAGATGGAAAGCAACAACCCTCTGAACCTGTGAAGGAACCTGTACGACAAGTAGAACAAACTACGGTGCCTGTGGTGGAAGAATCCGTCAAAGCTACTTCTCCTGTTGAATCCAAGCCTGAAGAAAAGAAGAAAAAGCAAACCAAGGAAGATGCCAAGACAATGACAAATGGTGTTACTGATGTTAAGAAGACTGAAAAGCCAAAGCAATCTCAACCCAGCAAGACAACTGAAAAGCCTGCTACTCCTACCTCTACTGCTGCTTCTCCTGCTCCTCCTGCTCCTGCTGCTCCTAGATCCTGGGCCAACCTTGCTGCTAATGATCCTTCAAAATGGGGTGCTCAAGTCTCAGAAGCCAAAGGTTCTGTAGCTGCTAATGCTCCTGCTGCTACTCAACAAACTACCAAAGAGACATCTCAACAAACTACTAAAGAATCAACTGGATCTCAGCAACAAACCGCTCAAAGCAACAAAGATCGCAAAGGTAATTGGGTAAAAATAAAATAATATTGAATATATGTGAATGAGGATGATGGTAACTGACGATATATAATTAATATAGAGGAAGCAACTAGTATCTTTGTCAAGAATGTGACCCATGGGTTGACTGAAGCTCAATTATCTGAAGCATTTTCTAAATTTGGTACGGTGAAAAGCTTGAATATTGTGGCTAGTCGTCAATGCGCGTTTTTGGACTTTACTACACCTGAAGCCTGTCAAAAAGCACTTGGTCAACACAAGGTGAATGTTGGTACATCGATAGTACTTGCAGAGGAACGACGACGTTATGGAAGTGGTGGTATGAATCGTCAACAACAACAAAATGGAACAGGTGGCAATTATGAACGGCGTCATCAAAGCAATTATCGAAGATCTGGTAATACCAATACTAATAGCAACACCAATACTGGTCGCACGACTGGCAATACAGGCAATACCAATAAATCTCGGCCTACTGGAAATCCTCAAAAGTAAATCAATTTCTTGGATCTTTTTATCTAGTGGATAGTTTTTTTTTTCTATTCCTTTTAGTATATACATCATCATGATCTCCCCCCCATCCCAATCCTTTTTTTTTTTTTTATTATCTTATCCCATCTTTTGTCCCTTCTTTGTATCCAATTCATTTATTCCAATACATATTACAAAATGTTATTGTACACACATCATTTTTTATACTTTGTTTTTTTTTTTGTTTGTTTTTTTTTCTGATTTTGCATCAAAATAATACTTTTTTTTTTTTTTTTTTTACAAAAATAAAACACTCATCTTTTTTTTTTTTTTTTTGTATCTATCAACTTTTTAAAAAAAAAGAAAAAGAAGTTTAAATTTTATTATATGAATGTTTTATTTGTTCAATTATGTAAAAGTCAACAGAAGGGTAAAAAAAAAAAAAAAAAAGAAGAGGACGATTCCATAATTGAATGAGACTATCCGGTCATTTCTACATCTTCTTGTTCCATTTTTTCTGCCATCATGGCTACAATAGCAGCACCTACGATTCTTGAATGCTTGACAATACCCACTGATAATTTAGCCGCCATTTCATCTGGAATCAAAGTCTTCAATGCTTCACATACACGAGGATGGAAGGATGGATAATCCTTATAAATATCACCACTAATGGCTAATAAATAAAAATAAAAATAAATAAATAATAAATAATAAAAATATGATACTTACAAATAGCAAAACCTTGTGATCGATCAACATGATCATTATATTCAAACATATATTTCACCACACTAGCAATACTGGCACCAAGTAATGTGGCCGCACGATTCCCAACCCATTCACAAGCCTATATAAAAAAAAAAAAAAAAGATGAGATGTATTCATTCATCCCTTCTTTCATCTATATTTACTTTTTTAACAATTTCTCGATCATTTAAAGTCGTTGGCCCCACTTTGCACATTTCCTCCAGCACGACCCGCGTGTCCTCGAGGGTATCCAAATCTTCATCGGCTTCACACACATACATGTAGCTTGTATCAAAATGGTAAGGCACACGCACCAAACAATCATCATCGTCGGTTGTAAATGTCAACACTCCTTGATCCAATAGGTATACCAAGATCTGTCGTACTAATTCCCCCAAATACATGCCTGCTGTCATTTTTTCAAAGATATGAATCCCTTGATTATTAGACTCGGTATCCAGTTGATGATCAAACCTTGTCATTGGCAAGTATTGTTTGCTACCAAAATTACACCATTCCGTGTTGATGATCATCTCTGTATCTCCAGATAATTCTTGTAAATGTTGAGCCAATAAACCAGTCATGTTAGATACCACATCATAATAAGCACAATTGGTTCCTAACCATATATTCATCATTAGTAAACGTCTTTCTTTTTTTTTTTTTTGTCTTATTTACCAGCAGCATGAACAATACCAATTCGAGTGGATGGATGTTGATATGCATGAGCCAATAATGTACATACAGCATCTAGATTCAAATAAAAAAAAAAAAAAGTTAAATGATTCATTCCATGTATTAAAAAAAAAAAATTACCATTGGCAATAGCGACAATCTTGATAGCTAGACCTTTTGCAATGAATTTCTGATGAAACAAATCAACAATATCACAACCAATAGCATTAGGGAATTCAAAACCATGTTCAAGAGCAATGATGGTACCACGATCCAAACCTGTCTGTCGTACTGCAAAACCAATACTGATGGCCATAGAATAAGACCTTTGAGGTGATCCGACGCGTCGTTGGAAATCGGCCACACAATCTGCTACATAATCGATCAAGATACCAATGTCATCACCAGCTGTCAGATGATCCGGGATTTTATATTGATATTGATTAATAGCCAACTTGCCACCTTCTCCTTTCAATTTCACTTGACATACATAAATATCCACACCACTGATTTCAAGTGCCAAATAGGTTCCCTTTTCATTCCCATTTGGATGACCTATTAAAAAGAATAAAATAATAATAAAAAATCTGAAAATACAATAAAATATATTACCTGTCACAAAAGAAGGAATCATTTTTAAAACACTAGAAGTATGATGTTGTTCATTCTGACGAGAAAGTCCAGTTTTCATTTCATCTCCAAACCCTCGAATTAAAATATCAAGTTTGTCATCGGATACTTGAAACATGGTTTCAATATCATCTATCATAGTCTTTTCATGTTGTTGTGATGAACGTTGTGTTGCATTGTCTTTGGTTACATTCGATGATGTTGACATGTTGTTAATGAAGTATGGCAAATGTCGGTGAGTTCTGACTCTTTATGGGACGAATAAGTTCACAAAATGATATTTAGTAATGGAATCAAAGTATAGATTAAGAGTGATGAAGACAAGAAAGAAAGAAAGAAAAAAAAAAGAAGAAGAATGATAAAATGATTATGAAAGGAAGAAAGCAAAAAAAAAAAAAAAAAAAAAAAATTTAAAAAAAAATTAGTGGGAAATAAAAAAAAAAAAAAAAAGTACCCCAATATTTTCCATCCCAAGTTGAAACCACACTTTTGACTAAAAAAAAAAAAAAAAACACTATCAAAAAAAAAAAAAGAATTATTTTCTTTATTAAATATTTTATTCTAATCAACTTTTTATTCACTATAATAATCCAGAAAAAGGATCTTTGGTATCTTGATCTATTTTATCTGAAGAAGACCCCACCTTGGCCAAAAAGTCACCAGGTATTTGCTGTTGTTGCTCTCCACCCATCGCATGGATGCCGGAATTCGAACTCAACCATTCATCGAAAAGGCCGCCTTTTTGCTGTGTATTTCCTGAAGGTGATGTCATTGCCATTGAATCAATACTGAGTACATCATCCATATTGTTCACCTGCGTTGGTGATTCGTTCCAATCCAAATCCAATAAATCCCCAATAGTATCTTTGTCTTGAATGTTATGTGGAGTCTCTTCTTCGTATCTAAAATTAAATTTAAATTTAAATGCAAAGGTTCCTTCTCACTTTCTTCTTTTTTTTTGATCTTACCTCGCTTGTATCTTGTTCACATGATCAGCACTATATTTTCGACCATAAATAAATGATTCAGGAGGTTTGTGGTATACTGATGCCAATGTACCAATATGATAAATCAATTCATCCAATAATCCTGCTGACACAACTTGGTTTTTTTCACTAATAGGCGGTTTTTCAGATAAGAGAATGACTTTGGCTGCTTGTGGATCAGTGGATAAAAGTCGCCAATAGATATATCCTCGATCTCGAATATCTGCATTGTTGACACATTGAGTGGACGCGTGTAATACCTTTTGTACAAATACTTGCGTTTCATCAGGCTTTTTCAAAAAAAGTTTGATCGTCGCAGTAAGCAGTTGTAATTGTACCTAAAAAAAAGTCAATCTATAATCGATGTTTTTCTTTTTTTTTTTTTTTTCTCTTTTACCGTGCTATTTTCATCATGGAAGAAATCAAAAAAGTAGGTCATCAAATCTATCACATTGTCAATCCGATCTGCATATTCACCGAGCATCCAAATCATTGCGGCCTTGGCTTCTGGTTCATCCAATGTATCGAGATTTTCACATAGTGTTGGTAGAATACCTTCGTATTGATGGGGGTATTTTCGAAAAATGTTCTTGATTACCACTATCGCCTCTTGTACTACATAGCTGACTTCAGTGTTGATAAGTTCTAATAAAATATCTATACAACTTTCAGAAGCCTCTTCAACCTTGATTGCGCATTGGCCAATAGCTTGAATTGATTTCCGCACAAAATCAACATCCACTTCTTTGGCATATCTAAAGAATATATTATATTAGTTCACTTATTTCGAATCAATAACACTTACTCTTTCAATTCTATCAATAACTGATCCACATTCCTATCATTACACAATTGGACCAAAATCACCAGTTTTTCCAATTTGACATAGAGAGGATCATTATACTTGCAAAAAAATACTCGCATTTCACGATCTAAAATATCACCATGTTTTTGTAAAATCAGTCCAATATTACGTAATGCAATATATTGTACTTCAGGAGGATTGGCCAATAATGTCGCTAACAATAAAAAAAGAAAAAAATTAAGTAATTAAAATTGTCATATTCGTTTATTAATTTTACTTACCTAAAGAGGGAGTCATTTTCCTACGAAAACTAGCAATCACATCTTGATCACCCATATAGTTCATATACACCAAAATCACCTTGATAGCAGACAAGACAACTGCTCCATTGACATGTTGAAGACGAGGAAGGATACGATCACAAATACCTTGAGCTTCTTTAGGGTAAGTTGGATGATAATCTGTGAGGGCAGCCAAAATGGCCACTTGACCCCATCTACACAATATAAAAAAAAAATGATTAGTTCCATAGTAGCCTCCATTCTTTTTTTTTTTTTTTTTTTGAAAAAAAAAGTATTTTACTCGGTACATTCATTCAAAGCGTATAATAACTTGTTGAGAGAACCAGAAGTGACTTGGAACACTGGAGATTTGCCATCTAGATCGTTGATGTCATTGATATCCAATAATGCAATAATAGCATTGGCTACCACCATAGGATTGATATCTGAAATCATATCGCGTAAATACGGTAATAAATCCATTGTCAATTCAGGAGATTGACTATCATAGAGTTTGGCCACACATAAAGCTGCTGTTTTCCGAACATAAGGGCTTTCATCTTGTAAACAACGACGTAAAGGCTCCATCAAGTAATCCATTATTTTATTCACTCGAATACAACCCATGGTACGAATCGATAGAGCTCGAATCAAAGGATTAGGGTCTTTTGTATCCTACATCCAATTTAACAAAAAAAAAAATGTATACGTGAGAATCAACTTCCATTTTCATATTATCATTTTATACCTTAACAAATGTATTGACGGCCAAAATCACCAATTCTGGTTGTGTTTTCGCATAATTCATCAGGTACAAATATACTAGTTTCTTGAGTTCGATATTTTCAGTTTGCATGTTTTTGAGTACATCAGGAAATAAGGTACTAACATCTACGTCACATAAAATAGTTGAGATTCTTCATGGTGTGTCTAATTTGCAAATTGGAAAAAAAAAATAAGTTTTTACCTTTTCCTACTGTCATGTTGGCAATCACTTTCTTCACTGCATCACTCCGGACGTAATGTTGATCACTGTTCAACTCTGCTTTCAATTCATAATTTTCGCCTAAATCAATGAATTAAAAAAGAAAAGATACGGTAAATAAAAACAAAAAGTATTGTTTACGCGATAGAGAATGAATAATATATTCTACCTCGTTTATTGGTTGTGAAAAAACGATGTCGATACATAAAGTGTGTCAATGATAGATAGAAATTAGTTTATTCAAAAAAAAAAGAGAAGAATAATAAAAAAAGAAGGAAAGTGATACAAAGAAAAAAAAAGGGCGCGCATAAGAATAATTTAGTCGAGCTTGAGACTCAGAGGAATTCATCTTTTTTTTTGATCAGACCCAAAAACAAAGGATTCACTGTTTAGATTCTTTTTTTTTTTTTTTTGTAGCATTAAGATGATGATCATGTTTTGTAATAAGTACTTGATGTTACGATAATAATAATAATAATAATAATAATAATAAAATAAAGATAAAATTTTGGGCGATTGTTTATTCGAGTTAATATAAAGTCATATTTGAATAAAATAAAATACACTATATGTATCTATATTCTACTATTTTCTAAACTAAAGAGGAAATGATGATGGTAGTTCATTTAGCGTTACCCAGGAGCCACCACAAGGAGGTAGAACTACATTGACTCCCAATATTTTTTTTTTTTGTTTACTCACCTTTTATATTCCTTGCCAACCATACGACTTGATATCACCAAGCATAGAGAATTACTATAGAATAGAAAAAAAAAAAAGAGAATGATTTTTAGTAATAACTATGTTATACTGTATTCATTGTATAATATTCTTTATATATTACCTTCCACCACTCGCCCCGCGAATAGATAATTCACAGACTACTTGAATCCATTTGATATCTTGATTGGACTTACATTTGAGAGCTGACTTGATCTTGCATCAATTTGATATCTTATGATTTGCAGTTGAAAGCAGGTTTGATCAAGACCTAACTCCAACAGAAGATCGTAAGATATCAAATTGATGCAAGATCAAGTCAGTTCAAAAGTAAAGTTCAAGCAAGATATATCAAATAGATTCAAGTATCTATTAAACCATTTAGAACTAAAGAAAAAATAAAAAAGAATGGAAATGAGAGGATGAATAGATTATTCATATAAAATATGATAATAAAAATGAGATAAAGTACTTACATAATTCTTTGCTTTCTTTGCTTGCAGCAACTACAAAAGAAGAGTAAAAGAGAAAAAAAAAGCAGCACATAAAGTAGTTTACCACACCCATATTACTTTTGTTTTACCTTTACTTGTTCCTTGTATATGCCTTGTTTATCCCCATCAACCAACCATAAAACATTGACAAGACAAAGAGGTGCTATAATCAGAGCTTCGTATGGTATCGATCATATCTATTATAAAAAGAGAAAGAATGGACGTATTAAAAAAAGGTAGTAGTTTATGGTAAATTTCATTGATAATACTACCTTTCCTTTGGACCCACCGTCATCACCATCATCCTTCATACACAGAGTTTCTTATTTTGCCAGCAAAAGAAGAAGTCCTCTATCATATCACCATTTTTGGAAAAGTCTCTTGTCGACCCAGGGTGCTAATATAATAAACAAAACACAATGATTTTAGTAACTATTCATTCTTGTTGTGAACAGTTAATATTTATACAATATAAATTTACCGGTGATAGATTGTCGTTGGGGGGCCACACAGAAGTTGCTTCCAAGCAACAGATAAGAAAAAAAAAAAAAAAAGAAAATGTGAGTATACAATGACTTGGTATATTCATTTAAGTACTTACAAAACCTTCCAACAAGAGATGATTGTGCATGAGCTGGTCCCCAAAGGAAAAACATAATAAAGTAACGACCTAAATAATCAAAAGAGTAATATGTATTAGTAAACTTAGTTTAAAGGTTGAAAGAAAAGAGAAGAAGAAGAAAGAAAAAAAAAGTAAAAATTCTTTGCTCTTAAGACTTTAAATTTTACGCGTTTCAAACTCCACGTGTCACGCTCTATCTAATCGTCTTCGTTTTTTTTTTTTTTTTGGTAGTGAGTGGTAGATGTATCAATGGTATGGATACTCATCGTTTCTTTGTTATTATTATTATTATTGATACACTTGTCATGATGATAGCTCCACTGTTTTCATGCAGTAGGACATGTACTACACCAAATCGATCTACGTTCTAATATGCTAGGTTTGATAGGAGTAGAAATTCAAACAAGCCCCGCCAAAAAGGGACAATATTGCATAGTAGTTTAGTTTAATATTCAGGGACAATAAAAGTAGATGGATGATGATGATGATGATTAACTCTTACTATCGTAAAGATTCAAAGTAATGGCTCCATGATGATAACGCTAATCACGTAAAAAGTAAAAAAGTTCACATCTTGCGGTTTTTATTTGATTTAATCGCCTATTCATCCAATGCATATCTGTTACGGATTGTTGATCATGACAACGGTTTACTTGCACGTAGGCGTTATGGCAAAAAAAAAAAAAAGTGGTAGATGATGATTGACACGAAAACACGCTTTGATTGGCACGAAAACACGCTTTGGTTGGCACGAAAGTAGTAAAAAAAAAGACGCGCTATGATTGGCTCCTTGACTTCTTTTTTTGAAACTATTTAAACTCGCGGTATTTTTTGATCTTTTTCTGCTTTTTTCCCTTTTCTTTTTTTCTTTGTCTTTCCCCCTTTTTTTTTTCTTTCTTTTGTCCCCTCATCTTCATTGCCTTTGTTTCGAGTGTTGGACTATTATCCTTCATTCTTAACACCTTCATTACAAGAACCATTGCTTAGCACAATGTAATGTAGGCATAAAGGTATCGCCCTCGTTTTTTTCTTGTAATTGTAAATAACCATTGCTTAGCACAATTTACAATGTTACTTGAAAAAATGACTTTTTCCATAGCGTAAGTAAGGAGATCCCGCTAACTCATTAGACGGATTTGCTGAAGAAAACCTAGGTTAAAGTCATGTTGTGGAGTAGGAACTTGGACAGCACTGACTAGTGTCTCCCTGTGATCTCTGTCAACCCACTATCCTTTTTTTTTTTTCTATGTATCCCCTTCGTTATCCATTTACTCCCCGCCGCAATCATCCTCCCCACTACGACTTCCTACGACTTCCTACGACTTCCTACGACTTCCTACGACTTCCTACGACTTCTTACGATTTGGTGGTTGTTATAAGTATAAAATATGATATTGATTATGATACTAACACATTATTATTGTAGCGCCAAAAAGAAAGTGTGTGATGCACTTCTTATTCATCATGATGATTCCCATCCTTGTACAGATGCAAATGGCGTTCCATGATTTATTTGATGGAATGGGTTTTTGTAAAGCTGATACCTTTGGAGCTGGCCAAGACACCTTCTTTGACTTGGAGCATATATCTGAATGAATGTTTTTTCTATAGATCTCTTTATGATACTGTTTATATATATTTCACTAGTTTAGTCTCTATTATCTTTTTTTTTTTGAATAAAAATCATTCTATTTATATCATTATCGTCTTCCATTTTTTATTGTTTCTCATCTGATTCTAGTTGTTTGTGATGACGGGTAGTGTTAGTATAGATCATATATTTATTGTTGTGAAAACAAATTGATACTGACTTAGGCATCCAGCATCATATATCATCCATCACATATTATCCATCACTTATCTTCCATCACTTATCATCCAATTTATGACCCCCAAAAAAAAAAAAGAATCGCGCATTTGACAGTGATTTATTTTGTTCAAAAGTAATAAAAAAAAAAGTGAATATAAAAATATAAAACTAATGTAGCCATAACTATATAGTAGAGTCTTGCCATGACGGTAAAACGCAAATTGTGGTTTGTCCCAGGTAGGCACATTTCTCTTTCCACCAGAGTGTTTCGTTTCCGTTCATGCATGATTGTAGTCCTTAAATAATTGGAAGAGTAATATGTGTTTAGTAAACTTAGTTTAAAAAGTTGGAAAAAAAAAATAGAAAAAAAGAAGTAAAAATTCTTTGCTCTTGACACCGTGATTTTTACGCGTTTCAAACTCCACGTGTCATTCTCTGTCCTTTTTTTTTATTTTTATAATAATAGCAGTAATAGTGATATACATATATCATATCTTTAAAAGAGAAAAAAAAAATACATTGGTACTTAATGTCATGATGAGAAAAGAACGTTGATATTTTTTTATGCAGTAGGACATGTACTACACTAAATCGATCTACACATTTTAATAGGTTTGACTGATTTAGAAATCCAAGCAAGCTCTACAAGGGACATTTTAAATAATTCAGGGACAATAAAAAAGTAAATGGATGATGGTGATGATGATGGTGATGATTGTATTCTTATAATAACTCGATATGATGAATCATGAATATTAGGCTCTTTTCATCATATAACAAATATAAGTTATCGTATAATGCGGATTTTTAAACAAATAGCCTATTTTGGTTTAATCAGCTATTCATTACCATGCATATATGTAATACGAATGATAGTCTCGATAAAGATAAATGTTATGGTGAAGGAAAAGTAATAGATGGATGGATGGCAAAAATGTAGTTTGTTTTTCATATGAAAGCGTGAATAAGGAAATACGCGCTATGATTGGCTCTACCAATTTTGTAAGCGTGATTTTTTTTTCTTTCCCTTTCCTTTGTCCTTTTTTTCTTATTTTGTTCTCTCTCGCTTACTTTTGTCAGGGTGTTGGGCTAGTATCCTTCACTCGGAACGCTCTCTTCATAATAGGAATACAGCAACATGGATCATCATTTTATCTATTTTTTATAAGGCTGAAGAATCAATCATTTATCATCAACGCCAATATCTTTGAAAATCATCATATATACATCTTTATAAAGTTGATCAACAAGTATATTTAGACTTTTTTTTTTTGTTTAAAATCAATTGAATAAAATAAAAGACGAACAGCATACTACATTAGTTTTCCCATTATTGTCTATACTACTGTAAAAAGGGTGAGGGATAATGATAGTTATTCTTTTCGCATGACTATAGATAGTGTCCAAACAAGAAGAAAGTGAGATGATGAAGGAATCAATACAATAGAAGAAACCAGACATAGAAAAAAAAACGTCCTTCAAAAAGCACTTGCACATAATTGACTTGCATTTACAGTTCGGTCAGGTTCAATTGTATATTGTTCCATCCATTCGTGTTAGAGTAATTTTCGATGTGTAGAATTAATTTTACATTGTTTTTCCTATCTGAGTGATATGTTATCAAATATAAAAAATAAGAATACATTATTATATTGAAAGTTAGGATGCCTCGACAATCCGCTCACCAATCTTTACTTTTTCATCGTTATAAATAACCTCCAGTTTAGTTCAGCCTTATATTCTTTAAACAAACAATACGGTATTGTAGAAAAGATTGTATAATCCAACCATCCTAAGTGAACTATAAACTTACGATACAATTGTTCAAAAAAAGGGATGATTTTATTGGGTAATATAATTGTGTCGTTCTAAACTATGTGGATAGTGACCATGGTCGACCATTGACTGCCAAGGAAGGAGCTATTGAAGTGGGAGATGGATATATTTTTGATGATGTTGATGTTGGAGAAGATGGCGGCGATGGCGATGTTGGTGATGATGACGATGATACTGGCGATGGTGACGATGATGCTGGTGATAATGACGGTGATGCCGGTGATGCCGGTGATGATGATGATAATGATGATGATGATGAAGATGATGATGAAGATGATGATGATGATGATGATAGCGAGGAGGGTACTGATTGTGTGCTGGTTTCCTTGTTCGATTCTTCTTTTTCTTGATCACTTACTTGTTCACTTTCCAGAGCGAATGATCGAGAATGGATGGTTGCCCGCCAGAGAAGGTCCACTAGATGAGCATGGCGTTCACGTAGTTTGGACTCGTCGTCTTCGTTTTTCAATGAGATGTCTTGTAAAAGATCTGCCAGGTCTGCATAAGGAGAAGAATAAGTATCATCATCATCAGGATTATCCTCATTGTCGTTTTCTTCACTGCTTGATAACAATAAGAGAGATGTCGCACTAGCCTTTGATGGTAAGGATGTTGTTGTTGTTGTTGATTTGACTGCACTATCCGTATGTGAGTTTTTGGCTTCGCTATCTTGCGTATCGTCATTATCGTTATTGTCATCTTGATTGTTCTCGTCTTCTGTCACAGTATCTGATGACGTCTTCTGATGATGGTGATCGTTATACGGTGAGCTGAATACATTCATCATATGAAGCATTTCCTTTTTAATTTCATGAGTGCCGTTGTTGTGTGTTACAGAAAGTGGAGTTACATCCGTCCTACTTGTTTCGAACTTGTTGTTTGGCTGTGGTGGAAGTTGTGGATAACAAAGTGTAAAGTCAATTTCTTCACAAGGTGCTGGGCCGTCGATGGATGGTAATTGAACAGCTGGATTGGTTACAGGAGTAGCGCCAGGTTTCCAAAACGAAGGTACAATGCTGTTGGTGTTCAATTTCATTTGATCATCATAAACTGGTGGAGAAGCGCCAGAGAATGAGGAAGAGGGCGAAGAAGAGGAGGAAGACGGAAATAATGACTGGTCATTGCTGCTTTGAGTATTATCGAGTGCTGAATTTTGATATAGTTGTTTTGACGACATTGACGGTGTTAAACATTGGTTAGACCACGACAATATGGAGGATGGGATAGCAGGATTAAAAAGTTCGTAGCTTGGATACAAAGGTTGATCATGATTGTCATTTTTGTTATTGTTTAAATTAGATTCAGAAGTAGTAGACATCAAAGTAGCCAAACTTGAATAATCTATGGGAGAATTGATTTGCTGATCCTGTGAAAATGGTGGTGAAATAGTAGCGTCAGGGTAAATACAACTGTTAGTTTGAATATTTGCTGAGAGTTGTTCAAGCCAATGCTGTAATGCACTGATTTCATTCGGTTCAGTTACTGGTAATGCAAAATCATCTTGCTTTTGTAACATAAGATAAGAGATCGAATTGAGTCGTTGCATCATATCTATAAAGAAAGAAATAATAATAAAACGGATTAATGATCATGTGCATTTTTTTTTTTTATACGTCTTTACCTATATCATATTCAGGAGATAAATTATTATTTTTCAATACATCTTGTACCAACTGACGCAAAGGATCTTGAATTTTATTTCCAAAATAGCCATATTTTGATTCATCCGACTCCATACGGTTGCTACTACTATCCGTTCGAGTACTTCCCATACTAGGACTACTACCAGACAGTAAGTCAGAAAAGTCAGTGATATCTAAGAACAAAGTATAAAAGTGAGTACAAATTAGATATGTTTTATCAACTAATTTTTATTAATATATAATTATTATTACCTTTGTCATTGGTAGAAACTTGTTGGGGTCCATGTGTCGTTGTTATATTTAAAGGGGAAGACGGTTGTAAGGTGGGCTTCGAAGGTTGTTTCTGAATAACTTGTTGTTTCATTGTGATACGGCGACGTCGAACAGGTTTGTATCCAGGTTGGTTACTGATCAACGAAGCTAGATAAGGATAAATAATGTTTAGTGCCAAGAGATTTCCAATAAAATAAAAATAGGAGGATACCTTGATGCTCAATAGTATGAGTTTTTTCATGTTTTTTTAGATCTTGAGGTCGTTTAAAAGGTTTTCTACATTGCTATTAACAAAAAAAAAAAAAAAAAGATAATATGAGTTATCATTAAGAGTATCTTGGAAGAAGTGGTTTCTTGGCGGAGAATGTCTTAAAAAGGAAGTATATCGACTTACCACACAGATATGAGCTATAAAAGGATTATGAAAAAAAAAGTAAGTATATCACCAATATAACGAATATCAAATATAAACTTACGTTTGAAAGGAAGATGTACTTTGAGATGACTTGTAAGATGGTCTCGTTTAGCAGCAGTGGCACCACATTCGTTCCAGTAACAAGTCAAACATAAATTATTAGTAGATCGACGTCCTACATGGTCATCAGATAAATGTTCAAATAAAGATTCGACATTATCAAATAATTGTCGACAGGTTTTCCAACGACATATATATCTGTTCCTTGGCATAGTTAATAAAAGAAAAAAAAAAAAAAGATAGAGAAAGTGAAAAGAAAAGAAAAGGAAGGAAAAGAAAGGGGACAAGAGAGAGAGAGAAGAGAAAAAGACCCTAAATTGGAATCTCCGAAGACATTTTTTTTATTTCTTCATATGATGAGAAAAACAAAGCACAATCAATTGGAAATCATGTATTCAGGAACTAGATCATTATAATATGCAACATAGGATAAATATGAATAATAATAAATTGTATATACAAATAAAAGAATATTATCTACACTAACTATTTTTACTTTGAATGATGTTTTCTAATTTTCGAACTAGAAAAGTTTTTCAAACACAAGACATAACGATCAATATCGGTTGGTGATCCCTAATAATATATATAAAAATTAGTTTCTTTTTTCTTTTTAATAATTATTATCTTACCTTCTTAGCACGTGGTATAAAATCATCATGTCCTTTCAATGGAACATAATCATAGTAACGCTGGATTCTGTCTTGCCTATTCAGTTGATCTTGTAATTTTTTCCTTTTGTTCTGCATTTCTTCAAGTCTTTCCAAAGCACCTAATAGTTGCCATACAATCGTCCTAAATTCTTGGAATCTTTTAGGTAATGTCTTACATCCACGGTGAAGAAATTGAATAAATCGTGAGGATTCCAATACTGGTAGATAAGAGTCAAAGCGTTCCCGAAGTTCTATTATACAATCATGTTGCAATGTAATAAGTTCCATATTCTGTTCTGTATTGCGTTGTTGGCTGGTATCGAGAGAAGTATCAGGTAATAAAGATGATCTAAGTTTAGGTTGAGAAATTAGTTTATTTAGTATCATTCTTAAGAAAGAAATAAATAAAATATTAAACTTACAGACAAACATTATCAAACATCTTGTGAAGAGCCATTCTCTTGTCATGAGATAACCTTTGTTGCACAGCTAAGGATGTGTTGTTTTTCTTCGGTATAGGACTGTAATATGTAGTTCTCTCGTAATCGTCAAGCTGCTGTTTTCTTCTTTTTACAGTTTTTCGATCGGTTGATTCTACTGTCCATTCGTCATTTTCATTTGCTGATTGATCTTGATGATCATTATCTTGCTGAACTTTCATATCTTCTGGTGTGTAAATATTGAACGTGACTACATCGGAGCTTTGCGTCTCCAAAGGAACTTGTTCTTCCTTCTTTTTTGATCTTCGTTTTCGTCGCTGTGGTCGTTGTGTAGCTGAAGATGGATGGTTCTGATTTAATGGGATACGATAGCGAAAGTAACTGTATGAAGATGTACCATTGTTTCGTTTTTGTTGATTGATAGACCGGCTGCCAAATTGAGACTCTGTTTCTTCTTCTTCAATTTCTTCTTCTTGTTGTTGTTCTTGCCGTTTTCCATGTTCAATAGATAAAGTAGGTACTGGAGGTACAATGGGTCGACCTGTCATTTTAAATCCGTAAGAGCTAGTTGTGAATCTATCTGAAGGCATTGTACGTCCTGATGTAAAAGGTTGTTCCGTAAATGCTGCATCACTAAAGATAAAACTATTTTCTGTATCATCATCATGTTTGAATCTGTAATGTTTTTGCTGTTGGTATCGATTGGTCAGTTTAAATGCTACATCGTTATCAGTAGAGTCAGTATTGGTGCTGATAGGTGATAGCTGGCGAATCGTATGTCGTTGATGTAAACTAGATGATGAGTTTGAGATAGCAGGTAGATCTTGAGAAGGTGGTATAGAGATCGGAGCACCTGTCAGTCGGAATAGGCCAAGACTAGAACCAGTTAGTGAAGTAGAAAGTGATGTATTATCATCGAATCTTGGTGGAATTGGGATTCTATTGGATTGTCTTTGTTTGCGTTTAGTAGGTATATTGTTGTTGACTGATTGCTGTTGAGTTTCTTGAACAAATTGGTTATCGTTCATAATATTCTGATGTAATTCATTCAATTCTTTGAGTTGGTACTCTGGCAAATCAGGTTCAGGCGATGGACTCCATTCTGAATAATTATCATCGTCATCGTCGTAATCGTCGCCGTTGTTGTCGTAGAATTGAGTATAAGAAACAGTATGTTGCTTAGCTATTATAGTTTAATAAATATAATTAGTCAAAAAAAGGGGGGAGTTCGTTTTAATGAATGATATATTTATGATAAAAGTTCTTACGTTGTGATGAGGAAGGATGTTCAGAGAGTAAATGCTTAGAATAATCAGACCAAGAATGAAAGTTATCTCCACAGTGCTAAGAAGAATAATGTATCAGTTTAATAATTAAATTTCCTTAAAGAGAAAAATAATACTTACAACACAAACAGTTGATTTTGTCCTACTTCGTGTTTCTACCATTGAAGAAAGCAATGTAAAAAAAAAAAAAATCGATGAGAAAAAGAATAAGAAAGAGAAAAAAGTGCACTTGAACTTTTGGTACCCCGCTGGAATTTTTTTCGCGGTCACCGCTTTGGCCTCGTCTTGGAGAAGTACTTCTTTGGTCCTCTTTTTCTCTCTCTTTTTTTTTAAATCAATTCTCTTTACTTTTAAAACACTAATGTCTCTTGAACAGAAAAAACGCGTTTGTTATTTTTATGATGGTAAATAACAACAAGTATAATTACAAAACATTCTTTTTCTTAAATGATAAAAAAAAAATGTTGCTAATGAATCACCTTTTTCTTTTTTTTTTTTTTTTTTTTTTGTCTTATAGCCAATGTTGGAAATTATCATTATGGACCAGGACATCCCATGAGACCTCATAGGATTCGAATGACACATGGACTTGTGATGAATTATAAATTATATAAAAAATTAGAAGTATTTGTAAGTGTATTATAATAAAAAAAAGATTGAGTGACTGATGATTATTATCCTTTAAAATATGTATATAGCGAGCTAAACCTGCAAACAATTGGGAAATGACTCAATTCCATACTGATGACTATATAGAATTTCTTTCAAAAGTGACACCTGAAAACATGGATCAATATCAAAAAGAACAAGCAAAATGCAAGTAGGAAAATGATATAAATAGAAATCAAATTGAAATAATCTTTTATTATTACAATAGTTAATGTAGGAGACGATTCACCTGTATTTGAAGGATTATTCGAGTATTGTGGACTTAGTGCTGGTGGATCTATGGGTAATAATAAGAGAATTGATTTATCAAATATTAGATAGATAGATACTAATATGATAAATATTCTTTTTTTTTATAATAGAGGGGGCTGCTCGATTAAATCGTGGACTTTGTGATATTGCTATCAATTGGGCTGGTGGATTACATCATGCAAAGAAATCAGAAGCATCTGGATTTTGTTATGTCAACGATATTGTTTTAGGGATTTTGGAATTATTACGATATTATCCTCGTGTGTTATACATTGATATTGATGTTCATCATGGTGATGGTGTTGAAGAAGCTTTTTATACAACGGATCGAGTCATGACTGTCAGTTTCCATAAATATGGTGAATTCTTTCCAGGTACAGGTGAATTGAAGGTAATAATAGAACAATAAATAAACAAAAAAAAAAAAGGAAAAAAAAACAAGTTACTGATCCTGATTGTTTTATATATATATGTACATATAATCGGGTATCATTCTAGGATGTTGGCGTTGGCAAAGGAAAATACTATAGTGTCAATTTCCCTCTTCGAGATGGTATAGATGATGAAAGTTACAAATCCGTTTTTGAACCCGTAAGAAAATCATAAGGGAGAGAGATAAGAAAAAAAAAGGGGGGAATGGGTGGTAAATAAAGATAGATAGAAAAAAAAGGGGGTAACAAAAGTAACTAATTAATGTATTGTCATTAAATAGGTGATTGACAAGGTGATTGAATGGTATCGACCATCTGCTATTGTACTTCAATGTGGTGGTGATTCTCTTAGTGGAGATAAGTTGGGCTGTTTCAATTTATCTATGAAGGGTCATGCAAACTGTGTACGATATGTTAAGAAATTCAATCTTCCAACCTTAGTGCTTGGTGGCGGTGGCTATACTATGCGTAACGTTGCACGTGCATGGGCTTATGAGACTGGTGTAGTTGTGGGTGAAGATATTGGTCCAGGTAAAGCAAAAGAAAAAAAAAAAAAGAGGATGACGACTGTTATTAATGGTTTACTCAAATAATTTTTTACTTTTTTTTTTTTACTTATCTAGAAATGCCATATAATGATTATTACGAATATTTTGGGCCCGACCATCAATTAGATGTGAGACCAAGTAATATGGAAAACATGAACACTCCTGATTACCTTGAAAAGATAAAGTACGGATAGTTATTTATGCACAAGTTAGATCTGGAAATATCTTGTTATTAATTTGAATTCATTTATCTATAGAACTCAAGTATTTGAAAATTTGTCAAGAACACTATTCGCCCCTAGTGTACAAATGCAGGGTAATAGAAAAGAATAATAAGAAATCAAAACAAGAAGAATAGTTTGTCTAAAAACAATGAACTTTTTTTTTATTATTATTATTGTTCTATCTTTTTATAGAGGTACCTAGGGACCATGAAATATCTGACAATGAAGATGATGTAGACCCTGATGATCGAACTCCTCGTAAGTTACAATTAAAAAAAAAAGACTGTATGTGCTTATAATTAATAATGTCGATCATTGATGATTGTTTTGTTTTTGTTTTTTTTTTTTCTTCATATAGAACACTTACGGGATAAACGAGTGGTACCGGATAATGAATTTTACGATGAAGATGAAGGTGAAGCACAGGGCACTCTTTCCAATGCAAAAAGTCGGCATCATCATAATCACAAAATGGATAAAATCCACAATCGAAAAATCTCACCGGTATCATCACCAACAGTAGAAGCAACTTCAGCTATGAACGATGAAAATATAGAACCAATGACAATAGATATTCCTCAATCAGTCTCTGTGACAGAAGATGAAGAAATGCAAATTGCCGAAGCTTTACAAGAAGAAAATAGAAGAGAAACCGAAGAAAACATCAAGGCAGATCTTATGGATGTCGATACCAACTCAGTTGCAGAATCTGAACAAGGTAATGATGTGAACAAAACAAAGAGGGGGGGGGGATAAACGAGGAGATAACTGCATCAATTAACCATACATTTTTTTTAATTAGTGTCGGTAGAAAATAACATCAAGATTGAACCCAAGAATGAAGATGACGATAATGACAATAATAAGAATACCATTGAAACAACCACAGAATCTTTACAAGAACCGTCGTCACTGAAATCCAATATCAAATCGGCTACTGATAGTGAAGAAGAAGGGGAAGTGATTTCACCTATGCCAGCAACAGCAAAATCATCATCATCATCACCAACTACTTCATCTGCTATTGCGGAAGAAACATTGGAAGATGGTGAAATTGCGGATAGTCCACAAAAATCTTAGGATGATTATATTGATTTGATTTTATTAGTTAGTTATTTAGTTAGTTAGTTATTTTGCCTTGTTTATCAACATTATTCAAAATAAAAAAGTATGAACCTCTGTATTTGGTGTTGATTTGATTTTATCTGATTTTAGGAAGGTTTCCTTTTTTTTTTTTTTTTTTTTGTCATATTCATCATTCAATGTATGCATAAATAGATTGATCTAGCAGCAAATTAACTAGTACAAGTTCTACTTTTATAAAGTTCTTTGTTCAATCATACCCCGCTTTCAAATCAAACTTTTTTTTTTGGTATTGGCATAAAAGGTTCAGGAGAAAAGCAATGTCAGGTTTTTTCTTGTAGGCTATAAATCAAGGGGTGGAAAGAAGGGGGGAGCATTGATGAAAGACTAATAGTTTATTAGGGAGTTTATCTCACTTTTTTTTTTTTTTATCTTATTAGCCATATAAAAAAAGACTTTACTGGTCCTCTGCCCCTGATTTTCTTTTTTTGTAACCACAACAAGGGGGAGTAATGAGTAGAACAAAGCTGTACTGGGTTTAAACATAAAATTCACATTGTTAAAAAAAGGAAATCTCAATTTTCTTTCTTTCTTTTTCATTTTCTTTCTTTTTTTTTTTCTTTTTTCTTTTTTTTTCATCAATACTTATTATCATATGCCATCAAAAACTACACCTACGACTATTGAACCATCTTCATTATTAAATCAATGTATAGATGATCAATCCATACAATTAGTTTCAATCCTTGGCATTGGAGCTTATGGTATCGTTTATCTTGGACAACATATTCGAACACAACGAAAATATGCAGTGAAATTATTGACCAACACCAAAGTCAGTTGTGGCGAAATTGCAATTCATTCACATTTATCGAATCATCCGAACATTCTGACGTTTGAAAAAGTGATTCATGAACGCGATTTAACATTTATCTTATTGGAATATGCTCCTGATGGAGATTTATTTGCTTCTATCACTCATCCTACTCATGGTTTGGTTGGTAATAATAATGCTATTCGATATATCTTTTTACAAATCTTGGATGCTGTTGAATATTGTCATCAACGAGGTGTAGCTCATCGTGATCTCAAACCTGAAAACATTCTTATGTTTCCTCATTGGAAGGTGAAATTAGCTGATTTTGGTTTGGCCACTTGTCAATCAGTTTCCGCAGAATTTGGATGTGGTTCTACTTTTTATTTCTCTCCAGGTAAAAAAAAAAAAAATCGTCAATCGAAAAAAAAAGAAATAAAATTAGACTTATCCTTTTTTTTTTCTTCTCCTTATTAGAATGTCAAAGTGGGATGATTCGTAATAATCAACGCATCAAGGGTTACAGTACTCAACAAAACGATATTTGGAGTCTGGGGGTCATTTTAATCAACTTTGCCGCTGGTCGGAACCCTTGGAAACAAGCTAATATGCAAGATGCTACCTTTGCCGCATATGTTCAAAAACCAAGACATTTTTTCCGACGCATCTTACCTGATATCTCTGATGAATTGGATAGAATCTTGGGTCGTATCTTTTGTCTGGATCCAGCTTTACGTATCTCTTTACCTGAACTTCGTTTACGGATCTTGAAATGTCAATCATTCACTCGACAAGGTCATGTCTTATCATCATCATCTATCATTCATAACAAAATCAACACAAGCAATAAAAAACATCGACATCATCATCATCAACAAGAGCAAGAGCATCGTCATCAATTGGAACATCAACAACAGGAACAACAACATCAAAAAATGACTAAACCTTCATCGACAGCATTGAAATGGTCAGGATCAACAACAGAAACAATGTTGGCTTATATTCAAGGTTATACTGATGAAAACACTCATTTGACGGGTACTCCTAAATCACGGCCAACTCCACCATCAACACCACAGACTACTCCTTCTCACCCTTCACCTATCATCACTACTATTCCAAGTAATGCAAAACATTATTCATCCCCCTTGAAGCCACAACAAAAGCATCCTAAACAGCAAAAACAACGACTTGATCAACAAAGTGTGAACTCATTAATACAATCTCTCAACCATTCAGAGAATACTTTGGTGCCTTGTGATTCCTTATCATCTACCTCATCTCTCTCATTATCTTCTGAATGTTCTTCCATGTTGGCTACACCTGATGGATCAAAACCACCCAATTCTCTCTTATCTTCGGCTCCACCACCTCATCATCATCAACAACAAAAATATCCTCGACATCAACATGATTCCGCTATTGATTTACAATTTGATACCTGTTATACCTGATTATTTTTATCTCTTTTTTCTTTGTATTCATATATTTATTTATTTTATTTTAGTTTGTTTTCTATTTTTGAAAAAAAAAGAGGGGGGAAATTTCACTCCTTCTTTCCTCCCACTATTCTTTCTTTTCCCCTTGTACTTGATCTTTTAAGTGATATTATTATCACTTTTTTTCTTCTTTTATAATACAACACGCGCACTCCTACCTCTTCCTTTTGTTTGTTTTGCCTCAATCTTTTTTTTTCTTTTATTGAAAATATATATATTTATATATATATTTCCCCTTGATACCTCCTCCCCTTCCTTAATTAGCAATCTCGCTTTATTATAAGTCAACCTTCATCTCCTTTTCCATTCTCATCCTTACTTTCTCTTCAAAAAATAAAATAAAATAAAATACAAAATCAACTCTCTGCTTTTTTTTTTTTTTAATCAATCGATTAACAAGCTCCATTGTATTTCCAGTTTTTATATGGCCGACTTTTATATGTAATTATCAGGACTAGAATGAATAGCCTTATGGACCCCATTTCTCCAAAAAAAAAAAAAAAAAAAAAAAAAAAAAAAAAAAAAGGTCTCCCTTCCTTTTCTTTATATGTCATCTGTCTTTCTTTTTTTTTTTTTTTCTTCTTTCTTTCTTTTGTCTAAACGGACACCTTATTAAGAATACAAACTAATTGGCAACATGAGTATTGACGAGGAGAAGTGGCAAACTTGGTCAAAGTCCATCAAGGGCTATTCCTTTTTTTTTTTTTTCTTACTCCTTTCAATTACCAAAAAAAAAAAAAAATCCTTTTATACCCATCATAGGAATAATCGTCCAATGTTCATAAGTGGACATCCTAGCATACCAAGTTTTTCTATTGAATGATGTTTAAGAAATACATAAATTGAGTATGGATTCATGCGAAAAATGGAAACGTCTGTGTACAACATAGTTTCTGATATAGATAAATAATCCTGTTCCCTTGACAACTTTCCTCCTATTTACAAAAGTATCATTTAAAAGTATCAATATCACGTTCCAAATAAGCATAGATCAAAAAAAAAAAAGGAAGCATGTTTTTATCAGAAAAAGAAGAAAAAAAGGATATGTCAACAAATGTAAAATCTTTTTATTTTTACAGATACAAAAAAAAAAAAAAAGGAGAGGGGAATATAATCTATGATAAAACTATCGTAAAGGACTATAAGTCAATGGTTTCAAAATAAAAGAATGCATGCTATCTACCAATCGTACTATCATTATAATAAATAAATAAAAAAGAGTCAATACCTTTTTATAACCCATCAGTCTCTATTTTACCTGTTTTATATACTGTTTCAGGCCAACCATCTACCCTCCAAGCTTCTTCCCGTGTAATCTTACGTGTTTGTAAATCACTATTGTCATTTATATAATAAGAATTTAGCAAAAGAAAATAAGATTTCATTCACATATTGACAACTTACGGATAAGTCCACATATGATGAACAGTATTTAAATCATTGAGTTGACTAAACCAAGCTCCAACTGGTTCACAAAATTGACGTCTACATTCCAAGCCTTTACGCCTAACGAAAAAAAAAAAAAAAAAAGATTAAATATCACGATCATCATCCTTTTTTTTTTTCTTTACCAATTCATTTCCCATTCCAATAGGTTCCCAGGCTGCATATCAAAGAACAAATTTGATGAGTGACATTTACCTTTTTTTTTTTTGGTGTTACCTTCAAATTATACTTGCGTAATTCATAAATACCATTGGTGACTTGAGGAGGAGATGTTTTCCAGAAAGAGAATTCTAACATCATATTGTTTTCTCTAGAGATCAATAAGGGTCGTAACTTCTTTAAGAATTCACTATGAGCCTATCCAATAATAAAGTTGAGTATATGTATCATGTTGATTTGAGATAAAACTTACAGAATCTTGACTCAATCTTTCCATTGTATGTTGATGACCAGGATATCCTTTGTATTCCCAAATATGAACTACAAAAGGAAAAAAAAAAATGAATGGATTCAACTTATCTTTATATCTTCTTCACTTACCAAAAGTATCCAATTCTCCTATTATAATTTCCCAACTACCACAAAGATGAAGATCATTTAAAGGATCATTTGCAATACGAGGATAATGCTCTGTACTATTCGTTTGATAACGTGTATTATTAGTATAGATTACCCTTTCTTTTTTTTTCTTTAATCCTTGACTTACATGAGAGCAATATATTCATCTACCTTATCAGGTCGAACCTTATGTTCTATTTAAAAAAAAAAAAAAAAGTTAGGTTATCAAAAGTAATCAATAATAATAAAACATACTTGAAAGTTCATGGACATATTTGCCTCTTGCCAACATCTTGGAATGAGTTTGAGCTTCTTCTTCTTTGATTTTCTTGGATCCATATAAAACTGCTTCTAGAATTTCGTTTGCTTTTCCAGGAATAGTAACTTCAGGCTTCTTCTTTTCTTCTTGTTCGTTGGATTGTAAAAGACCATGGTTAGGAGTGAATAGACCAGGTGACGATCGTTGAATACCATTGACTGTAGTGGTAGTAAACAATCGACGAGTAACTATACTACGTGGTGTTAATTTAGTAAAAGTAAACATTGTAATGAAAAAAAAAGAAAAGAAGTGGGACCATGAGAAAAAATAAAAAATGAAATCCTGCGTGCGTGTTTTATACCCCCCCCCTCTCCAAATAAGGTTCATCACCTGATCCAATCAGATATCATGAAAATTTATCCTAAATGCGTATTAACCCTGTACAAAAATAAAAAAGTAATCGTATTGGATACACACACACTCTTCTCTCACGCACAACAATCCCATCTTGTCCGCATAACATTACATCGTTCATTCTCCGTATCAATAACTACGACAATATCAATTGTTGCCCATATTTTCAAATCATACTTTTTATTAAACTACAAATAATCTATTCATCCTCTTCTTCTTCTTCGTCCGCATCTTCTTCTTCAATTTCCTGTTCGTCTTCTTCTTCTTCTTCCTCTTCGTCTTCTGCTTCATCCTCTTCGTCCTCCTCGTCTTCATTTTCTTCTTGGTCTTCTTCTTGTGGTTGTTTTGATTCCATAGATTTTTCTATTCCCTTTTGTTTCTTATCTGATACTGGTTTCATCTTTGTTGTTTCTGAATCCTCTGTATTCCCAGATACTTTTCGTCGTTTGTATGCTTCTTCCAAGGTCATCGTCTGTGGTATGACATCTTCTAAGAATTCAAATTGATCTGTCTGACTAACAGCAGTAGCTAATTTATATATAAAACGGGAGATAATAAATAGGATAGATCAATACATATATCATGATATGGTTTTTTTTTCTGATCTTACCAAGATCTTTATAGAATATAGTTTTTCGTTTGTTCTTTTGAGCTCTTGAAAATCCTTCCTTGACAAGATACTCCATAAAGAGTTCCTATAATATATGTTGATTAGTTAAACAAAGATTAAACAAATGAAACTTACAGTAGCAGCAGCCACGCAGTGAGTAGCTTCCCCATTAATAAGTGTCACTTCTGGATCTTCTTTGATGATCCTTTTGACTCGTGCTAACGGTAAAAAGCATTGACCAGGTATTCTTTCAGTTTTGGCGTTTGTTTCAGATACCATGATTTCAGAATATATATATATTATAGAAGAAAAAGAAAAAAGAAAAAAAGTTGAAAAAGCGCGACGCCAAATGAGTGATTGTGACTTTTTGGGACACAATTCAAAAATTCCGGTGAATCAAAACTGCGGCATTATATATATAAAAATCGTATCCTCTTTTTTTTTTTTTTTTTTCCTCTTTTTACTTTCTTTGAACTCCCTTTCCACTCTTTTTACGCGTCATGGTTCTTCCTAAGTCTGATTTTGTCCAAGCTGTTCGAACAACTTGTAAACAACTGGTTGAAAACAGTCCTGTTAAGGTAAAATAAAAAAAAATAAAAAAAAAAATAAAAAAAAGAACACTTCTTTTTTTCACAAGGTGACTAACTTAATTACATTTATTATTAAATAGATTTCTGAACAAGGTGTGAAGAACTTTTTGACCAAGTTGGAAAAACCTCAATATGAAGAACTGGCTATTGATACTCCTATTCGAATGCCATTAAAATTTTCAAGTGTTGCTGAAGAAATCAACTTTATTGCTGTCATTGATTTGTTAAACTTTGGTAGTGGTTATCGAGTTCCTCTGCACGAATTGGCTGGGCGTGGGTAAGTTTAATAATAATAAGAATAATAAGAATGTTACTGACTCCTTTTCTTTCTTTACAGTGCTTTTGATGTGATTCGTTTTGGCGTCATGTCATTCCACGTAGGTGGCACACCCATGACCACAGAAAAATTCAAGACAATTGACATCCATGAAGTCTCCTCCATCTTTCAGATCCCGATTGAAAAGGAAGTGCCTGTGAAGGAAGACATGCCATTTATGACGACAGTACAACCAACACCTATCAAACCATTTGCACAAGGTATTGTGGATGTGCTTAACAGTACAGGTGCATTTTTAGATCAACATGGTTACAAGGATCTAGCGGCATTCATCTTGGACGTGACAAAACCAGACAACAACAAAAAACCCTCGGCCGTGAAATTGGTGGAACAGTTGGTACGAGCTTTACCTGGATTACAAGACTGGACCGTGACTCCTCAAGGTGATACTGTGTACCTTTTCAAAAAAGCACAAATCTTGGTCTATCATCTCTGGTTGATTTTCCATGATCAAGACCCTGATCGCTTTGGTTTTGACGACATTGATGATTTAACCATCTTTGCCGACAATGTGATTCCTACCATGCTTATACATCTTGGAGTGATCGACATCCCTGAAGCTTGGCAACAAGAACTGGACAATCACAAAGATGTGGGTGAATACAAGGCCTATGTTCTTCGTGCTGCTTCTGTCGTGGCATGTGAAGAAATTGTCAAGATATCTCGCTCTGATGCTCCTGTGGGCCAGGTGCACCATATGACTGAAGGTGCTTTGGATGTGTATTTATGGCGTTTAGGCAAGGTTGGTGATTATCGCAAGGTTCCCCGGATGGAATGGAGAAATACTGTCATGTTTTAGTGTTATTAATTACCCTAGATCAATTTGTTGTTAAATTAATAGTGTAATATTTGTTTGTTTATCTTTAATAAAGAATGTTTATATGCTATTCTGATTTTATGCAAAGTGAATGTTGGAAAAAAAAATACAGGCCGAGTGAATGGAAACAGTTTATTACCAATAAAAATGTCATCCTATTTAAAATAGACTGATATGATGATATTTGACTTTAAACAAAATCGTTCATCATCAAGATTGAATGATATAGTAAATAATATGAGCTTACATTTAATGATAATAATGAAGAGAAAGATTCCTCATAGAAAAAGAAAAAAAAAAAAGGTCAAGCATGATATTGAACTAGTAGTATGGATCAGAGTTGGAATTTTTATCTTCATAATGATCGAATGATAAAATTAGTTACATTATTACAAAATCAATGTAAAGGAACGTTGAAAGTAGATATATCATATAAGGAACATTCATCCATTCATGTAAATAAAACAAATCAAGAAACAACATTGTTCTATGCTTCCAAATATAATACCTTTTTTTTTTGACACGATTTTTATATAAATAAGCTTGTATTTTTTTTTATTTCTATTTTGTTCCATACACTATAAACTATAATACTATATTCTTCTTTTGCCAAGAGACTTATTGGTATCTATAATAAATATAAATAGTTAGTTTCAAATTCCAAAAAAAAAAAAAAAAAAGAATAATAGTAAAAGAAAGATACAAGGCTCAGAGAGAAGATTATAACATCAACAAACACCCAAATGGTATTTTCCGGTATATAAAAAAGTTTGATACAAAAAAGTGTTTTCATCAAGGCCATCCTTGTTTCTTTTCTTTTATTATAATTAATCTATTCCTTACCTAACTATTGGATCTTGAGACCATTTACTAGTTGAGAAAAAAAAAAAATTTAAAAGAAAAAAAAAATAAATAAAAAAAAAATTCACAGTCGCTTTCCCCTTCAAAAAAATTAAAGGAGAATGAATTTAAGCTGCACTGACTTTTTTTTTGTCATAGCCAAAGAAGGAGAGTCCGGGATACGGGAAGAGTTTTTTTGGTTCACATGAACAAATTCAGTAACACAACCTTATTGGGGTTTCCGAGTTTATCAAATACCGGTTTGTCCGTTTGATCCGGTACCTTATTATCATCATTGATTAAATTTCTCTTTTATTATTATTTTAAAATAATATTGACTACAAAATAATAAAATGAATAAAATAAGAGAAAATAAAAAAAAAAATAAAAGAAGAAAAAAAAAGAAAAACTGATGTGTAAAATCAGCAGATTCGGCTTACTTTTGGGTTCCTTACACGAGTGAACTATTCACGATGATTATTTTAATGAGCGCGTCTTATTTTTTTTCTTTTTTTTTTTTTCTTCTTCTTTTCTTCTTCTTTTATTTTCCTTGTCCTACTTTTTTTTTTTTTTATGATATCCAACTTTGATACACCCGAAGATACCTTTAGACGAAAACGACTCAAAGTAGTGATTGCATGTACAGAATGTCGACGACGAAAAACGAAATGTGATGGTAATGAACCTTGTGCAAGTTGTACTAAAGCCAAAGTAGAATGTACCTATGTTCCTTCGAAAACTAATATGAATTCGCTTACCGATACTTTTCAAAAAAAACGACTTTCAAAGCAAGACCGTCGTCCTTCACTTAATACTACTACTACAACAACAACAACACCATTTAAACCACCTATACGACATTCATTCTCTCATTTTCGTTCACAACCTGTATTATCAAAACCTTCTACTACTACTTCTGATCGTCATACTACTAATGCTATTGCATCGATTGAACAACGACTAGCGGCTATTGAAAGAATTCTTCGATTACTTTTAGAAGCAACCACGGATCCTATTAGAAATGAAGATGATACGATACGATTACCACCATTAAATAAACCTCAACAAAAGATCTACGAAAATCAAATGGAATCTTCACATTCAGTTCATCGATTGCTCAATGCTGAAACATCAAATGAATGTGCTCAAGTCACTGGTTTCAAGCCCCATGATGCTACAAGTCACCCTTCTGTCATGACCTCTTTGGATGTTGTGCAACCAACAGATGCACCCCTGACTTCCCATCCTCCATTACCCAGTCCTACTAATGATTATTATCAACTACCATCAACGCATTATCCTGTCCTTACTACCACTCCCTTCTAGTTTATATATTTAAAAAAAATTGTTTTTTATCTCCCCATTTTTTTTTTTGTATCAGCATTTTTTTTTTACCCATCTTCTTTGTATCCAATTCAAATAAAAAAGAAATGAAACAACAATAAAAAGTAAATAGGAATGATTGATTTTTATATTTATGAGGATTTTTCTATTTGAATCAATATATATATATGTGAATATGTATGCGACAAAAAAAAAAAAAAGAAAAGAAAAATATGTCAGTGTGACAGAGAGAGAGAAAAACTAAACTATAGTGTATTATATAAGTAAACTAAGGAGAGGGGTATCATACAAAAAAAAAAAAAAAAGAGATTATATTCCCACCATACCAAGGACACAAATAGCAGCGATATAAGGTACCAACACGGCCTTGGCAACAAAATAAAACAAAATACCAAAAGCAATGGAGATAGGAAGCGCAGGCAATGCTTTCTTGTAAATGGCAAGTAAAAAGATTGTGGCAGTCAATCCTGTCAAGACAGCAATGGTACAACATACTGTGGTGATCCAATCGTACATGGCTGCTCGTGCAATCAATACACTATAGAATACAAAATCACCTAGTCCAAGCTTGAGACCACTACGTTCCACATCTTCTTCATCCGTATCATTTTCTTGTTGTCGCTGTGGTTGATCCGTCGTTCTTGATGACTCATTCAGAGTTGTTTGGCTATTGTCTTGCAATCGATGAAATCCGTCACGATGAGATGGATGATCCTCATGGATAACTGTAGATGAAGTATCCAAATTTGCTTGAGTTGACTGAAGATTTGCTTGATGGTGCAAGGGATCGATGGAGGAGGTGGTCGATGCTTGATAGTTGTCTAAACTACCCAGACTGCGGAGTGATGCGGTTGCACGAGATTGTTGATGATAATGTGACACCTTGGTATCACTGACTGTTGGATGATCAACGGATGTATCTGTTGAGCTAAAACTATGTGAAATGTGGAAATGGTTTGGTGATGCCAGCATGAACCAAACAGCATTGACAGAATAAAGTAGAGCAGGCACTTCACGTTGTTGACTTCTGGAGCTTTCAATCAATAGTCGAAGGGGTCCAAATGGGCAAAGAACAGCAATAAGATCTACCGAAAGAGAGAGATAAAAAAAAAAAAAAAGATATTGATGTTGAATTTAAATCTATTACTACCCACAGATATATACAGAATTTTCTTTTTATGCTTACCCCAAACAGCAAGTAGTCCTAATAATATCCATGTTGTCCATTGTTCCAATCCTGTCAAGGAAAAAGCCTAATCAAAAAGGAAACAAATAGAACAATTTGCACTCGTCAGTTTTTCGTATCCATTTCCCTTTGTATTTTATTTACCATTAAAGAGCTTAGAACTGTCAGATAAGCTTGCTGAAGCCATAATGGTCCTTTCCAAAAAATAGATACCAATCCAACAACAACAAAATTCCAAAGAGCCATACTTAGAGTGATATAATCCAAAGGTATATAGAAAATTTGAATCAAATTGCTAAAGAAAAAAAAAAAGTACATATACAAAAAAAGAGAGAGAGAGAGATGGTCAGAATGGATCTTTTTGTTTCCTTTTTTTCTCTCCTTACAGTATCAATAAATAAGTCATAAATCCCAATAAGAGCATCACGACAAGCATAAAGAATACAACAAGTGGCTATCAAGAAACAAGAAAAATAATTTGTCAGAAAAAAAAAGGATGTTTAGTATTTAATTCCTTACCTTGATCCAACCTTTTCGAAAGAAAAATACAATGATGATTGTGACCAGGATGATTTGACCAATGATAATGGCTGCATTTGCTAAAGATGATAATCCTACCGAACCACTATTACTACTTCCACCACCACTATTGGACGATGCCGCATTGTTTGAAGAGAGTACATTGTAAGTCGGTCGTGTTGGACTATTACACATAAAAAAAAAAAATCAATATAATACCCACTTCATATTTATCTATTACCTATAGTCACTTTGATCATTAAATCCAACCTTGACCCAAAAAATACTAAGGACAATACATACAACTACAGGTTTGATAATCAAATAGATTTGTTGCATATAAAACTTGAGATTGTCAGCAAATTCTTCCGTATCGTTCGTAATATTTTCGCCTTGCTGTTGTTGTTGTGGATTCATATCTTGCATGGGAATATCTGAATCTATCATGGTTCCTGAAACAAACTATAAGTATCAAATATGGTTTTTTTTTCTTTAATTGATGGTACCTTGATCTTGAAAGGGATTGGTTGTTGCTGTTGAATGCTGATCCATCATAGTAGTGGTAGTGGTAGTAATTAGTTCTGTGTTTGATGGTATAGATTGGGATAATCGTGCCGAGATGCTTTTGCAAGTCTTATAATGAGTAGTTTTCCAATCTTGTTTTTGACATTGTGGTGAGCAGTAACGGGGACCTATTAATCCACAGGACGAACACATGAAAGTGGCTGGTTTATGACATTGGACACAAGATAATATCGTTTCATCGTTGTACTGTTGATCATCACCTTCATCACTGCCATCTACCATGGTCTGACAAGGTGGAGAAGATTGTGTCATGAGTGAATCGGATGATATAGTTTCTTCAGGAGATTAATAACAATAAGAAGAAGAATAAGAAGAATAATAATACTGATATTATACCACAATAACAATTAAATAAATAGATAAATTAAAAAAAAGGAAGGGACTGGGTAATATAATAATAAAAGAAGAGAATAAAAGACAAAAAAAAAAAAAAAAAAAAAGGAAAAAAAGAATATATAAAATGGCCGACAAAGTAGCCCGTGCGCCATGATCGGTTGACCTTATGAGTGACTCGAAAGAAATTCCCTGCAGCATATCAACATCACATAGCACTTTTTTTTTTTTTTTTTTTTTTTGCTGCTTCATATATCAACCAACCAAAAATCTTGAAAAATACTTAACAAAATATTTTGGTACATCTGTGGTCTCATCTTTATCTCGTAGGTATTCATACAAAAAAAAAAAATACCTAACTATTTGTACCTATAAAGATATGCGTAAAATAAAAAATAACAGACTATAACGATACACCAGAAGATGAAATTAATTGCATTGTAGTTGAAATAGAAACAAAAGCTTTATTGAATAAAAAGTATAATCACTAAAGACCACTAAATTGATACACTAAAACTAAATAAAGAAGAAAAGAAAAGAAAAGAAAAGAAAAGGAAAGGAAATTACTTAGCAAAAATAAAGAGGAAAAACTGACTTTGAAAATGGCTGTTCGTAATCTATGCTAGAGAATATGCGTTGAAAAAACGTTCCAGGAAAATCATCATGTTGAATTAATACACATATGATGGTTCATCACATTAATAGAAAAGAAAAGTACCAACAAGAAATATACTGTTCATAATACGATCTCATCAACTCCAATAGCCGATGCGTTTTCAGCAAAAATAAATATCCACACAAATCGAAGATTTCGAAAAGTTCCAGAGTGTTTATTAAAAGTCATTATTTTTGAGCAGGCACTATGTTAAAATATCCATCATTTCCCCTGACCTCAGATCCAGAGATGAGTTGGATAAATGGGCTAATAGTGGAATTAGAAGTCCAAAATACGCCGAACCTCGGTATACTTATAGAATAATACCCTGTGCTTGCTCTAGTTATGGTAAAATAATAGGGATCAGGAACAGTAATGACATATTCATCAAATGGACTTGCTTTCTTTAAACCAGCATAATATCCAAATACTGGATGAGAAATTGTATAATTAGTGGTCTCCGGTCCAAGTGGAGGACTAATTTTCCATATACCACCAGCGCTTCCTAATGTTAAAGGTCCTCCAACTGGCGGGGCCGTTTGTAGAAATGTTTGAGTACCTAGGCTTTCTATAGTGTACTCACCCGACTGACTCTGAGCAAAGATAACGTTAGTTATTATAGCAAAATAAACGATCAATGGTTTTATCATCATAAACAATTGTCTATATCTAATTTATGATAAATGCCCTTTCTTTTATAGCTTTTTTATTTTTGACGGAATTTTAAAGTACGCTTTTGTTACTCCCTGTACTTCTTTGACCATGAGTTTATCGTGCTCTCAAGATAGGTTGCATCTTTCCTCCTGCAGATCTGCAAAAGGTTCATCCAATTCATCCATATCATCCAAATCATCCATATCACTCATCACCCATTTGTCCATTCACCCGTTCATCCATTCATTCATTTAAAAAAAAAAAAAAGGCCAAAAAAAGATTAGAGAAAGGTAGAGTCGACAGCCACCAATATTTGCATTCTCCCTCATGCAACTTTTCATGGGAGTAGCCTTGATTTCGTCTCCTGATACTACCTCAGATTTTAGATGTTACTCGCATTTTTATTTTGTTATTTTTTTTTTTTTTTTAGATCTGCAGGGAGTTACAACTTCTCTTGAGAGATCTTTCATTTTTATCATATATTGGTGGTAATTTTATTGGATAATAATCATTCTTGAAAAGAGGGATGGCTGGATTGGCCTTTTTTTTGAATGCTCTATAAAGTGGGAGGTAATTTATAAATTAATATTAATACAAATGAAAGAGAATATCTTGACGTAAGTTGAATTCAAATTTGGTGCAGTGATGATCATTTTTGAGTGAAGTACAAAAGAATAAAGGGGTACATGTATATCTCAGGTAATGGTTGCATCATATTGAGTTGAATTTCACGATAACGAATGAAAAGCGATCATTAAGGTTTGAACAACAGGGTTTCTTTGTAGACGGACGTGGGAGTCGCGTCAATCATCTATCAACAAACATATATCAAATAGAGTCATAAAATGACCAAGAATAACAATAGTTTATTTCAGACAAAAAAATAAAAATAAAAAAAAAAAAAAATAACTATATCTAGGTAAACTATAATAAAAATATTGGATATACTAGATACGGGTCAACCAAGTACGTCGTAACCATTTCCAACCTTCGGCAAAGGCAATATAAACCAAAGTAGAGGCAGCCACCATTCCCCATTCCCAATCAATAGGAGCATGTCGGAAGACTTCAGTATTCAGAACTGGCACATAAAGAGCGACAAACATGATCGAAAACCCAAAGATTGTACTTCCATGTAAATAATAATTCTGTTTGGTTGTTAGCGCTTTCCAACTCCAGGCAGGATGCTTGAGATCACGACAAGTATAACCATGAAGTAACAGGAGAACTGTCATTGTAGCAAAGAGAGCTCCACGTGCACGATATACCAAGAAACAAGAGGAATCATAATGCAAATTGCAATTGGATCCCAAGTTGCCATCACCCCATCCGAAGATCACAATAGCGAAATTGGCTAAACAAATCAAACCCATCATCACACCATAATAAAGAATATCCACCACATTGCTTCGAGAAAATAAGCCTTCAGATGTAGATCGAGGAGGTACAAGCATTTGTTGAGGATGGACAGGTTCAAGACCAAGAGCCATGGCAGGAGGAGAACTGGTTACCACGTTGTTGAATAAGATTTGAATAGGTGATAAGGGGAACACGGAACGACCAGTATTATCCAAAAATATAAGGCCCAAGAGTAAAGGTGTGACTTCAGCAACATTTACAGAAACCATGTGTACACAAAAACGAGAGATATTGGCAAATACTCGACGTCCTTCTTCAACAGCACTAACAATCGTAGCAAAATTGTCATCCACAAGAACAATATCGGCAGCTTGTTTCGCCACATCAGAACCATTTTGTCCCATAGCAATCCCAATATCCGATTCCTTCAAACTTGGACTATCATTCACGCCATCACCTAAGAAATGAAAAAAAAAAATATATGAGTGAAAAGTAAATAAATATATAGTTCTCTATTTTACCAGTCATGCCACTAATGCGTTTGCGTCGATGAAGAGCTTCAATCATCTTGACCTTTGTATCAGGACTACAACGAGCCACTACAAGAGGGAGTTCAGGTAGTGCATCCACCTGTTCTTCGCTTAATCGGTCAAATTCTGTAGCAGGCATCACTAAACTAGAGCGTCCAACCACCATTTCAGGTTTTGTCGTTTGTTCCAAACCATAATCTTCAGGTAAAATACCAACTTCACGAGCAATTGCTGTAGCCGTTGCCACATGATCACCAGTAAGCATATGGACAGTGATTCCAGCAAGATGACATTTTTCTACTGCACCCTTAGATTCCACACGAGGAGGATCATAAATACCAACCAAACCACAAAAGATCATATCTTGTTCAATATCTTCACGCTTAAACGTATCATAACTAATCAATCCATCCGTTTTCAATTGACGAGTAGCCAAAGATAATACTCGCAATCCACCACGTGCAAGTTCTTCAACTTGAGGTAAAATCAAAGCTTCCAACTGATCTTGATTCATCGATTCTACACCATGAGACATTTGTACACCAACACAGCTTTCCAATACACGTTCAGTTGCCCCCTTGAGATAAGCAACACGATTTCCTTGAGGAGTTTCACAGATTACACTCATACGCTTGATAGTAGAATCAAACGGATATTCGACTAATACCTTCCAATTTTCCTTGTTGTTATCTTCGACTTTATTATTTGTCAATTGAGGTTTTCCCATTTGGAGCTTGTGCGCATAAACTTGAAGAGCAATTTCAGTGGGATCACCGATACCATGGTAGCCGTCACCTTCCTTATCCTTGCGTACTTCACTCATATTGCATAGAGCAGCATTGAGGACCATTTGTCGAAATCCAGTAGACATATTTTCAGAGGTCACCACATTCGTATTACCTTCTTGTTCGGGCGTCACCTGGCCGTCAATCGAGAATCCAAGACCGGAAACACGGTAAAATCCTTCTTCTGGACGCCATAATCTTGTCAACACCATTTTAGATTGTGTCAAGGTACCTGTCTTATCAGAACATACGTTGGTCACCGCACCAAGCATTTCAAGAGCTGCCATACGTCGTACTAGAGCATTTGCTTGTGCCATAGAATGTACCCCAAAGGCTTGAGTGAGAGTCACAACGGCAATCAAACCTTCAGGAATCACGGCAATGGCTGTAGAGATAGCATAGAGAATGACTTGATCATCAATTCCGGAAAACTTGTTGGCACCAAATACAATAATGATGGAAAGGACAGCAACCACCAAGAGTACCACGGCCATGCGATCTAAAGAGCGTTGTAATGGAGTCCGAGAACTATCACTTCCTTCCAAAAGACGTTTGGCGATTTTTCCAATCTCGGTATCCATTCCAATAGCAGTAACAATGGCTATAAAAAAAAAATATATTAATCCATCATGATATTTCATATATATAAAAAAAAAATAAGGTTACCTCGACCACGACCCTTTGTAAGAGTAGTACTAGAATAACACATATTAATGCGATCACCTAAAGGAACCAATTCTCCTTCAATGACTTGAGGTTGTTTATTGACAGGAACAGATTCACCAGTAAGAAGAGCTTCATCAATATCCATATTGAAAGATCTATAAAGTTAAATAACATTAGCAAAAGATATTTCCTTGTTTTAATCTACTTACTCAATGACACGACAATCAGCACCAATAACATCACCACTTTTCATCACAATGACATCACCAGGAACAAGATCACGAGTGGCAATTGTTTTTTGTTGTCCTTGACGAATGACATTGACAGTAGGAGAAGCCATTTGACGAAGAGATTCCATTGTTTTTTCAGCCTTGTATTCTTGAGCAAAGCCCACCCCAGCATTTAGAAACATGATGGCACAAATCACACCACCTTCTACATAATCTTTAAAGACAAAAGATACAACCTATTCATAATATATATATAGAAAAAAAAAAGAAAAGAAAAGAAGAAGAAAAAAAAATTAGAAATATATGCTAAAGATAAATACCGGAGTATGAATTACCATTGCAATCAAAAGAATCAAGACCAAGATATTGATAAATTGTTTGATTAATAATTTAATAGGATTAACACCACCTTCACCTTCCATTTCATTATAACCATATTCTTTTTGTCTTGATATGATTTCATCATCAGAGAGCCCGTCTTCCAAATCAGATTTCATCAATTGAGCCACAGTATCCAAAGTCATGGTATGATAAGGAGGACCTTCCACTCGAACAATTTTATCTTTTTGTCGTCGTTTAACAAACTTCATTTTTTCCATCATCGCACTGCGAATGGATTTAGTATCTCCTTTTGAGCTTTGACCAGTGGATGTACGAGATAAACTGATCGATCCTTTTTTATTGTTGTATTTTTCATGATTGTCTGTATTCTTCAAATCGTTACCAAAACTAACGCCTGTTGGATTACTATTTTCCATATACACTTATAAGTATGATTTTAAGAATTACAGAAAAAAGAAAAAAAGAAAGAAAATTTATTCTTACACAAACGAATTCTTACCCTTTTTATTTTTTTATAGTGGATCGATTCAAGTTGAGATGAAATAAAAAAAAAAAAGAAACTAGAGAAATTTGGATTATGATCGTGTTCTTTGGGTACGCTTTATCATTGGTCAGATTTCAATCCATCAGGAACATGAATAAGCCTATTGAAACTTTTGAGTTATGTTTCCTTTTTTGAAGCGCAGACTGACCATTTTTTTTTCCATTGTTTCCATTCCCGATTTTCCTATAGAATATAGAATAAGTGGAGTAGGATGATCATCTTATTGACTTTTTTTAATTTACTGATATAATATTTATCTTATAATTATTTCATCAACAAATGCCTAAAAAAAAAAATTATAAAATAAACTTTGACATGTTTGGATCATATATACATATTACATATATGTCACTTGTCATTTTTTTTCCATATAGTGAATTCTGGCATATACATCCGTGCTTTCCGTTACCCGATAAAAAAATGCGCCATTTCTGCGAGTCGTTGAGATTGACCTCCGGTCCCAAATAAGGTAGTAGACATTTTTCTCGACAATCCTTTTGTATTCCATCAAAAAAAAAAAAAAAAAGTTGAGACAAAGCTAGCAAAGTATCATTCCATGTGAATTCCATTATAAAAAAATATTGATTTTCAAAAATTTAAAATAGTTTAAATACAATGACAAAAATACAGTAAAAATATAGATTTATTGAATTGTATACATAAAATAAAAAAGGTTGCTAGCAGGCTAAACCAATCCAGACCAATGAAGGAAGTGCTTTCTTGCCCATTATTTGTGAATAGCATCGAAGTGCAATGCGTGTAGCAGAGAATATCATCGTCTTCCGTTACCTATATAAGTTGAAGATGGATGCGAAATAATGCGATGGCAAAATTCGTTAGATATAATTTCTTTTTCTTTTTTTTTTTTTTTTTTTTTTTGTAAACTCACAACTATGCGTGCCCGTTTTACTGCTCTTGTTTCTTTACTAGTTCTATCGGTTGCCTGTTTGCTTGATTCGGGCTTATACGTTGCTGAGAAGCTATTCCTGAATTCATATGTTGTCCAATAACGGTTGCAGAAGTGCGTCAGTGAACTCGAACTTGACGTCATTGACCAGTAATTTTAACGAATTCAATATTAGATCTTTACTTAAATGACGAGCTTTGTTGGTGTTTTTGATCAGTGGGTCGTTTGATGATCTATGCTATTGGGTATCGATTTATAGTGGCTACTGGTTGAGATGTCGTTTGCCGCCGTCGTATCAACGTATTCCGTAATTACTGTATATGCGTAAAAATAAAATCAACCATTTCCCAAGTATTTGCTAACATATATTTTATCTTGACTAAAAAAAAGGAAAAATCCGCGTATTTCTTGCCAAAGGTGTATATGATACCTTCAACAATTTTGCCTGTGGTGACGAGCTTCCATTTGTATTGATCATCCATCGTATCGTACTTTTCTTGGCAGTTGTAGTCACTGGCTTGATTGTTGTCACTACCCCCACTTTTGCAATATGATGTTTCGACACGCACGCAACGATCTGCAGTTTCTACTGGATTTGAACTTTTGAGTTGAATTGTCAGCAATGTTTATCCAGAGTTGTCGTCATTCTTGATCCCGTTGCTTGTAGTTGGTCAGTTAATATTTGGTAATTCCTGTAGCTGTAGTGTACGTTTTTCCGGTTTGTTATAATCAAGAGTAGTAAAAAAAAAAAACGCTCTATTAGATATAATCAAATAAAGTTAGCGTTTATCATATAAGAGAATCCATAGACTTACAGAGTAATTGTTTTTTTTTTTTTTTTGATATCTCTTGTCCATCTTGTCACAGCAGTTAAGATTTTGCTTTGTGCAAGCCAATCGGTTGTTAGTTGATAATAAGTCTTGGAAGAATCTAACCCATCAAGTCCAACGTCTGTAAAAATAGTAGTAGTATGTCTAAGCTATGGAAATTATTTTGAATATATGATTCACACGGCATGATAAAACAGACAAAGATAAAATAGAGAAAAAGGGAAAGGGGAAGCGAGAAAACCCCATTTTTAGATGCTCCGCGGAGTTGATTTTAATTATCGAGATCGATTTTTGATGCATACATTCTTTTTTTTTTTTTTTTTTGTGATAAATTGGAGATTCCTCAAATAAAAATCTTTCGTAAATTAAAAAAGATAGTAATGTTATTTGTAATGGAGATGTTGATAATAAAGCTTTTTTTTTTATTTATCTATTTCAAAATAGAAAGATGTGAGAGAAATTAACTAACGAACTAACTAACTAAATCTACGCCTATTATTATTATTATTATTGGTCCATTGGTAAACGATCCCAAAAACGTTGTTGTTGAATAGCAGCCTTCAAATCTTCAAAGTAATGATTATCCACATTTCTACCAAGAACCATGCCTGGCGCTTTGGTATCCAATCCTGCCTTTTCCAAAAGTTTCACACCTTCGTTGGTAGCTGCTATGGGTTTACCATGTCGGAAAGAGTCCACCACAAACATCAAAGGTTCTTCAGCAGGGAAAAAGCTTGTATTGGCATTAGAGAGATAATCGATGCCTTTCTCGCCTCCAGGTACATAGACAGCATCCCATAAAACAGAAGCAGTTGTCAAATAAGTCTGTGTAATATTCAATCCATCTTGATCACCCAAATGTACGCCAACGTATTCCACATAAGCTCCTTCACTCTTCAAAAAATCATAGGTTGCTTTGGCTTCGTTTGTGTTTGTTCCAGGAGCGGTAAGGATAGCAACTGTTCTGGTGCGAATATTATCAGGTTTCTTGTATTGTTCAATGGAGAGACCTTTAGAAGTCTTGCCAAGGTTATCAACGACCTTATCAGGAGGTGTAATACCAATGGCTACAGCCACACGACGAGCCAAGGAGTTATCCACATGATTCAAGATATTCACCATACGATCACGCACTTCATATTGACACTTGCCAATTTCAAAGCGAGCACCATCCACCAGTTGTTGCTTTTCATGATCAGTTAAACTGTTCCAAAATAATTGAGGATGAGAATAAGCATCTTCCACACTAGGTACTTGATCACGCACTTTTTGACCGTTTACTTGTTCAGGATACTCGATGTATGGTTTGACTGGTAGAGCTGGAGCATTTCCTTGTAACGTGTTGGGATAATAAGAGACTTCACCTTTGTGGATATGGAATTGCATGGAACCATCACGTTGATTGTTATGGACTTGATTCAAAGGTTGGTTGATAGGTAGTTGCATATAATTGGCGGATCCCATTCGATTGATCTGAGTGTCGAAGTAACTCATCAATCGACCTTGAAGTAAACTATCATCTGTAAAACCAATGCCTCGTACGATATGGCCCACACAAAAAGTGATTTGTTCTGTTTCAGCAAAGAAATTGGTCACGTTGCGGTTCAAAGTCATTTTTCCAAGAGGTGTAAAAGGGACAAGGGATTCCGGAACGATCTTGGTAGGATCCAGTAGGTCAAAGTCAAAAGCATGTTCATCCTTTTCTTCAATGATTTGAACACCAAATTCCCATTGTGGATAGTCACCTCGGTCAATGGCATTATAAAGATCATTGCGATGAAAATCAATATCCTTTCCAGCGATCTTTTGAGCTTCATCCCAAACTAGATTGCATAAGCCTTGTAAGGGTTTCCATATAAATTTGACGAATACTGCCTTGCCCTGTTCATTGATCAATCGATAAGTATGAACTCCAAAACCTTCGACTTGACGAAAATTAGTAGGAATACCACGGCCAGATAATGCCCATAATACAGTATGAAGGGTTTCAGGAAATTGAGAGAAAAAGTCGTAAGCTGTGTCATGAGCTGTGCCTGCTTGAGGGATTTCACGGTCAGGTTGCTAGAAAAAAAAAAAAAGAATGAATAAAACAAGCAAACAAATAAAAAGACAAATAAACTGTATTTTATAATGAAACTTACTGGTTTGCCAGCATGAATGATATCTGGAAACTTGATTGCATCATGAACAAAGAAAGGAGCAATGATGTTGCCAACTATAGAATAGAAAAGAAAGAGAAAGAGAAAGAGAGAGAGAGAGAGAGAGAAAGAAAAGTGGTCAATTTTTTTTTAAAAAAAAAAAAATATATATATATAAAAATTAAAGATCGTAATTTCAAATCTGCATTATACCTAAATCAAAATTGCCTTCATCAGTATAGAAACGAGTAGCGAATCCACGAACATCACGTACAGTATCAGGAGAACCACGAAAACCAAGAACAGTAGAGAAACGAACAAATACAGGTGTCTTTTGATTAGGTGTACGTAAAAAACTAGCTGCTGTCAAATCTGACCAATCTTTATAGGTTTCAAAATAACCATGAGCACCTACACCTCTAGCATGAACCACTCTTTCTGGAATACGTTCATGATCTATTTTAAAAGTAAATATTATTTTTTTTAATCAAATCGAATTCATTTTTTTTTTTTTTACCAAAATGAAGCATTTTTTCACGAAATGCAATGTCTTCCATTAATGTAGGACCACGTTTCCCAGCTTTTAAACTTTGAGTATTGTTGATCTTTTGACCAAAATTAGTTGTTTCTTCGCTACCAGTTTCATCAATCACATACTTGTTAAGTTGATTCATTTTACTATCTTCATTAGCCACTGATTTTGCAGTGGCAGGAGAGGATGCTCTGAAAGCAGATGTAAAAGGACAAAACATATCAACCAATGTAAGAAGAAAAAGTAAAAAATAAGGAAGAAGAAAAAGAAAAAAAAAAAAAGAAGATACCCTTTCTTATAAATGAGAATGTTACATAACTAATAAATAAAAGATCGATTTTTCCTATGTAGAATAATATAGATTACCCATGTTCAATGTGATATGACATCAAGTTTTTTTTTTCTTTTTTCCAAACTAATTCATAACAGGGTTTATGTCGGAAATATAAAACGAAAACAGTAACAGTAATGATGATATCTTCACTGTAGCAAACACAATTTACAGTAGGAATATCTTTTTTTTCGTTCTTGATTTGTTTTATTTCCCAATTTGTAAATTAGCACTTGGTACAGTAGTATAAATTACAAAAAGATACAGTAGTAAATCACTTGATTCAAACTTGTTTCGATAATAACGTACATCTCTTTTTTTTTAAAGAAAAAAAGTACGTCAATACGCCACTAGTCTTTTACTTGTTATCAGATAAAAAGGTCTTTGCTATTCTACCATACCAAGTCAAATCTTCCCATTTCCTTATTTGGAAACCGTTAAAAAAAAACCTGTAGCCAATGGTAAAGTACTTTTTCAAGTGGTCTATTTTCCCAGTCACTGGTTAAGTTTTTTTTTTTTTTTTTTTTTTTTTTTTTTTTTTCTTTTCTTTTCTTTTCTTTTTTTTTTTTTCTTCTTCTTCACTTTGCTTCTTTTTCTTTCTATTTTTATAATATTTACTTTTTCGTTATCAAAAAGATATGTGGAGACCTACAGGTAAGTTAAAACAACTCGAAAGTCGGCGTAAAGGAAAAAATATCAACTAATTTATTCTTTTTAGGCACCAATGTTATTCCATTGGGTACAAAACGACGCCATAATGATTTTAAACAACAAGAACCTGACACTTTGGCAACTACAAACTCATCTCATTCCATACCAGAAAATTCAGTATCTCCATCTCCTTCAAGTAAGTAAAGAATGATAATTTCAAAGATTGAATCTAATGTTTCATACTTTTTTTTTATTATTATTATTAGAGTTAGACCATACAACGACATCCACTCATGAATCCGCAGCTTCTAACAATGAATCAAGTGAACGAAAACGAAAACGAAGGAGCAGATGGGGAGCAGAAGAAAAAGTAACCTCTGGAATACCAACAACATTACCAAAAGTCGATGAAAAAGAAAAGGACAATTATGTTTGTAAGTTATTAATAAATATATATATATAATGTATATGTAATAATCTAACTTTTTATTTTTATTCTTTTTAGTGAAGATTCGACTGGAAGAAATCAATAGAAAGTTACGAACAAATGATGTTGTACCACCAGAAAGAGAAAGGTATATATATATATATATATATATATATATATATATATATATATTGAAAAAAAAATAGAATATAGATTACTGAATATTTTGTTATTTATATAGATCACCATCACCTGAACCAGTTTATAATGCAGATGGTAAACGTGTCAATACACGCGAATTTCGATATCGTAAAAAATTGGAAGATGAACGACACAAGCTTGTGGAAATTGCTACAAAGAATATTCCTAATTTTGTGCCACCTGTCGATTACAAGAAACCAACAAGATTACAAGAAAAAGTATACATTCCCGCCAAAGAATTCCCTGAGATCAACTTTATTGGATTGCTTATTGGACCTCGTGGCAAGACTTTGAAGGCAATGGAATCAGATTCTGGAGCCAAGATTAGTATTCGTGGTCGTGGATCAGTCAAGGAAGGAAAATCAAGAACTGATGCAGCTGCTAATTCTGCTCAAGAAGAAGATTTACATTGTTTAGTGATGGGTGATTCAGAAGCCAAGATTCAAAAAGCTGTCAAGATGATTGAAAAAATAATAGAAACGGTAAGAGAAAAAAAAATAATAAAATATACAAGTTGAACTCACTTTTTTTTGTCGATATATATATATATATATATATATTTTTAAATTTTAAATTTAGTCTGCATCAACACCAGAAGGACAAAATGAATTGAAAAGAACTCAACTTCGTGAATTGGCAGCATTAAATGGTACATTACGGGATGATGAAAATCAAACTTGTTTGAATTGTGGTGCTACTGGTCATCGACGATTTGAATGTCCTGAACGACAAAATTTCTCTGCCAATCTTACTTGTCGTATTTGTGGTGGTCATGGTCATATTGCTCGGGATTGTAATCAACGGGATAATCCAGAAGTATTGGAAGCTGCAAGAGCTCGAGATCAACAATTGGATCATGAATACCTCAATTTAATGGCTGAATTAGGAGAAAAACCCGATGAAGCTGCTGCTCAGGTAAGTGAATTGTTGTACAATCAGAGTGGATGAATAAACTAACATTTCTTTTTTTTTTTTTTTTTAAAAAAAAAAATAGTATACAAATGGTTCAATGCCACCCAATACAGCAGCAGCAGCAGCAGCAGCAGCAGCACCTTGGCAACAACCACCACCATCACAAGCATCACATTATCAATCTCAACAATACCAGCAACAGTATCATCAACAAAATTACTATCAATCTCCTGTAGCAGATGGAGAAGCACCACCATGGCAAAGATCTCGACATCAAGGATCATATTCGGACGCACCTTGGCACAATTCAAACTATTCTTACGACACAACTTACACTACTGGATCTTATGGTCATTATGAAGGGTATGGAGGTTATGATCAATATGCACATCAACCTTGGGCTCAACAACCTCCACCTCCACCATCTTCCAACGAAAATGAATACCATCCTCCTCCACCACCACCTAATGATGAATCTTGGGAAGGTCAACCTCCACCACCTCCACCACCATCATGTGAGTATATAATAGGATAATGAATCAAATTCAATATTGACAATTATTTTTATTTATTTTTTTGGATTTTATTTAGCCGGTATGCCACAACCACCACCTCCACCTCGTAAGTAACTGATATTTGTAAAGAAAATAAATAAATGAGGCCATTCAAATTAACCTTTTTTTTTTTCTCTCTCTCTTATGTTATTTAGCCCCTGAATCCATGGAAGCACCTCCTCCTCCCCCTCCTCAATAGTTAATTATTTTATCAATGTTTAATAAAGTTTTCTTTTTCTTTTTTTTTGGATGTATAAAAAGTGATGATTATTTATGATGAAACTGAATGATTTTGTGAAATAACTATTATGTGAGGAGTTTGAATGCGATAAAGTAAAATAAAAAAAAAACAATAGGTTCAACATAATACAAAGCAGTTTCCTATTTTTCTTTCTCTTCTTTTTTTTTTTTTTTTAACCATACATGCCCGATTTAGTATATTCTTCCAACTTTTGCAAGGATAGTTTCAAATTGATCGAACTTGGTGATGAACAGCTTATCCAGGCGTTTGAGTCGGGAACAAAGTAAAACAAAAAAAAACCTTCATTTGAAAAAAATCTCAGTATTGTTTATATGATATGTTTTATAGGGTGACGATCAAAGGTTTACCTGATGACGAAGCAGTCCTATGCACAGAGACAGCAACTTATAGTGTTCGACAAGTCAACACATCGAATTCCATGATACTTTGCACTCCAAATGATAATGAAACAGTACAATGGCAAGTATGCGATGATCTGTCCAATACCATTGAATTATTACCTTGTCAAGCACGTACAGGACGCCTGACAGAGTTATTATCAACATCACTTTATACAGGACCAGACAATGAAGATGGACAGTCAGGACATACATTTGAATATCTGTTATCGACGGTACAAGCCAGCCCTGCCGAACTCAAGCGAGCTCTGGAGGAACGACATGCGTTTATGACGGAAGATGGATGTTATCGGTGTATTGACAACGCGTTTCTACATCAAATGTTGGATGGGTTAGCGACGAGTGCCACGATCTTGGGATACAATGTGTGTGATATGACTTTGGAGGAAGCCAATCAATGCCTGGATCAAGATTTCTCAGCCGTGCCTTTACCGGTGAGGATGGCATTTTTACATTGTTTTGTCAAGGATGTACATGCTTCTCAACTTTGTTTGGATGAATATAGGGTGTGTCGTTTTTTAGGCTCGATTGTACTAGAAATGGAAAAGGTATATCCAAGTTTTTTTTTTTTATTTATTTATTTTATTTTATTTTAATAATGTAGGGTCGAGAATGGAAAATGGAGGATTTTATGGAAACTTGGGGAAATTTGACACGATTGGTTTTGGAACATCATCAGCCGACATTGACAACATTGGCAGGATTATATTATACCACAGAACGACAAGTGCTTCAACAACCACAGATATATATCACATTTTTCCCCTCATCTGATCTACCCACAGATCCGGCTGAACGCTTCACTCGTCTTTTCAGAGAAAAACAACAATGGTCACCGGAAGATATTTACCCTTATGTGGATGACTTGGCACGGGATGACAAACATCGTGACGCTCTACTACTGAAATTCACTCGTATACAAAAACTTGGAAACAAAACGGTCTATGGTAGCCGCATCAAATAGAATTTATTTAGTATTATATAATTTTTGTACATTACATTTTCATTTTATTCCTTTTTTTTTTTTTTTGTTCTCAATAAAAAAACAACAACAGCAATTATATTTATGATAGATAATAGGATTTAATTCTAATATTTATTAAGCTAAAAATATCAATTATAATATAAATGACAGGTCACTACACGAAGAAGATCTACAAATATTCTTCAGCCATGTGAATCACATCTTGGTATTCTTGTCTATATTTCCAATGAGGATCATACCGAGCCATACTTGTACAGATAAGTTGCAACCAATCCAACATCCAACCTTGTTCATTTGTCATAGTAGGTGGATTCAAAGAGGCAATCATATACTGAGTCCATTTCCGTATCCGAACCCTTTCTTCTCGTTTTTTGATACTATGTAAAGATGATAAGGATGACGATGTTGAGGATGATAAAATATTAAAATGAGTCGGAGAGGAAAATGTTTTCAAGATGGAAGCCATTTCAAGAATAACCGTACGACCCCATTTTGATCGATAAAAAACATGACGACGTACTTCGGCTGGAGAACTATCTAATAACTCTTGTACCATGGTCATAATAGCTAAGAGTGCCAAGATGGAATGAGATCGGAGAGTATCGGTAGAGAGACGAACCAGTTGATGAAGAGAATGAGCGGTCAGGTTGGCTTTGGCGAATTGTTCACTAGGACGTAAATGATCCAACTGATGGATGATATCTCGAGCATGTTGTTGAATCATCAGGACTTGTTTCATCAATGTCAGTGGTTGATAAGCCAATGATACCGTGGATAATCTATTCTTAGTATCATCATCATCATCATATTGAGTTGTTGATAAGGTTGATGGCGTAGTATAAACCCCGGGTAGCATATCCACAACTAATTGATAAAGAATTCGTTTCGATAAACCTTTCAACCAGGAATGAATGGCCCAAGGATCACTTTGTTGTCCTAATTTGCTAGATACCAGTACAATAGAATCATTCAAGTAGTAACTAGATGATGATAGATATATTGATGGTGTTGCTGATTCATATTGTTGTGCTTGTTCTTGTCGATATGGTTGTAAGTTAAACAATGATAAAATATAAGTGACTATACGTTGAGAAGTAATGTAAGAATGGTGGAGCATAGAAATGAAAAAAGAAGAAGTGGAAAAAGAAAAAAAAAAGAGAAAGGTATTAAGGATATTGCTTAATGAAAAACCTTTTCATAATAGATAGCAAAGTTTTTTTTTTTTTTAAAAAAAAAAAAAAAAAAAAAAAAAAAAAGAGAGAGAGAAAAAAGGAAGAGGGCAAAAAAAAAAAGTCGAAAAGCGATAAAAATATCTTATTTTTCAAGCTAACATGTGATCAATAAACTGTAACTTATGATGTAATCACATATCTTTTCTACTACAATTATTCCGATACTATTAATAACAATAAGATAATTTCTACTAATATCCAATTGTGATGATCATGATGTGTTGGTAGTGCCGAGTTACTTCTCCACGTTATGAGTAATAGTGGTGCCTGACTTCCAGATACATACAAAAATCGCGCGGTGTTTGAAACGAAAAGGAAAAAAAAAAGTGGTGTTTCCAAGGGCGGGACGCGTCTGTTTGAATTCCTTTTTTTTATTGCTGACATACTTTCTCACTAGTTTTCTTTTTTTTTATCTTTTTCTTTATTATTGAAGAAAACCTTTCTACCGCCATTTCATCAATGAGCTGTAAAAAGGACTTTTTATTGGGCCCATCATGTCCAGAATTACTATGTGGATTATGTAACGGTAAGTAATTATGAAGATAGTTTATGCTCTTCTTACCCTCTTTTATATACATAACAATCGGTAGATATATTGGATGAGCCTATGCAAGTTCATTGTTCTGAAGGTAATATAGTGTGAAGAAAACGACATTTTTTTTAATGGTTATTTACTCATGTTGACTGTCTATTAGATCACATGTTCTGTCGTTCCTGCTTGGCTACTTATGAAAAAGCATCTTGTCCATCCTGTTTGGAACCTCTTGACAAGGCCTCGTTTCAACTCTCCAAATTTGTTAAGCGGCAAATTAGTCGATTACGTATACGGTGTATATATCATTCATTGGGTTGTACTTGGGAAGGCCTCTTGGAAGATAATCATCCACAATTGGTATTGTTAAGGACTCTAAAATGATCATATGCTGACAGTCTTTTTTTTTTTTTTTTTTTTTTTTGATAGTGTGAATATCAAACAGTTCGTTGTCCAAATGCTCATCTCGGATGCTCAGATTTCATTGGAATAGCCAACGTTGACCAACATAAAGAACAATGTTTATATGAATTAATATCATGTCCCAACTCATCACCACAATGTCAACCATTCCTTCGGAAAGACGCACCTATTCATGCTTCAAATTGTTCCTCCTATCAATGTCCTTATTCTCATGAAGGCTGTACTTTCATTGGCACTCTTCCAGAAGTCAACAAACACTGCGAACTCTACTGTGGCAAACTACACGAACGTATACAGCAATTAGAATTACAATGTAGTCAGATGAAACAACAATTAACATCAAATATCGTAGATGGACTTACCAACAACAACAACAATAACAATATGAACAAAACAGCATTGACTACCTCTGTTCAGCCTGATTCTTCAATGGACGAAATGACTCTGATCCACCAAATGTTCAACAATAGTTTCATGAACAATACCACCACCACCGCTACTACTACTACTACTCCTATCACACAATGTCCTCCAACAACAAATAACAATGTAGACATGATGGATTTATCATCTTTATCAGGGATTCCACTGAACACTCTTTCATCCAATCCACAAGCTAACACCAACAGTATATCATCCACAGCCGAAACGTCATCATCATCATCATCATCAGCGACAGCAGCAGCATCTTCTTTAGCGTCATCATCATTGCCTTCAACCACGCCTTTGACCACAATAACATCTGGTACAGCTCCGAAAAGGTCCACGAACGGTAAGATCATTCGATACAGCAAAAACAAACAATTAGCTCATGGAGCACTGCGGATGGCACGACAACGTACACCTAGTAGTTCAAATCTTACAACAGAAGCGATCCTTCAAGCTCTTCATATAGCCAACAAATCCATGGATGAAGATATTAACATGACCTCATCCGTATCATCACCACCGCCAACTAACAATAAAGATACATATCAATCACCTTCATTAACGACTGGAAACCAACCAACTAATCCACAATATTCATTCAAGAATCTAGATGATGTCACCAAATTCCTGGAAGAATTACCCCCAGTGGTTGAAGCATCACCCTTCCTATCTTCACAACATTCACGCAAATCCATCACTAAAAATAAAAATGATCGATCAGGGAAATCAAAATCAAATGGTGACAATACGACAAAACGACAAGGGAAAATGACCAATAATGTGACGTCTCCTGAAGCAACATCTACACTCACTACCTCCACAAGACCGATGTTTATCTTGGCTTCCACGCTTTTATCAAAACGAACTCAAGAAAACTAAAAAAAAAAAGGATACCATATTATGCCCTGTGGATTCAAAAAAAAAAAGGAATACCTTATTGCTTGTATATAATTCTCTCTCTCTCTCTCTCTCTCTCTCTCTTTCCTTTCCCTCCTTTTTTTTCATGATTAATATAGTTTTTTTATATTATTATTGTACAATAGACATCCCATTTTTATTATTCCAATACTGTATTAAAAAAAGAAAAAAAAGTACAATAAGAAACTTTGTTTATTTGATTTCATTTGTTGTGTGTGGGACAGAGAACCGTAAATATTTACTTTTATGAATCTTTTTAAAAGTCTGTCAAAAAATCAAATCATTTAATATCAAAAACGGATTCTTTTTTGAATTCATATTTCTATATTATATACAAATGATCTGAAATGAACTCCTTTCTTATTTGTCACATATTCTTCCATCCACCTTTCTTTTCTAATGAACAACACCAGTTTAGGAAATATATAAAAAAAAAAGTTAAAAAAAAAGAACCGCGGAGATGAAAGTTACAAAAAGATTTGCTCTCTATTTTTATTTATATATTCATCAAGAAAAACCTATTCATTCTTATTTGAAAAATAGATAAAAAAGAAGAACAAAAGAAAAAAAAAGTAGCATCATTTTTTAAACATTTTATATCAAAAGAATAAAAGAGTTCACTATTAATCGAGAGATCAAATCTACTGTTGAGAAAAAAAGGTTGGGTCAGCATACATCTACAAAATAGAAATGGGACGGTTAGTATGAAAGTGTGTCACACAAGTGAAAATGGATTCATCTTGCCAAATTGGGTCAATCATGCACTTACCAGATATTTCCAAATAAGAGAGCCTTCAAATCCTACTTTTTTTTTTTTTTTACTTACAACGCAGGCGTTTAACCGTCGCGGATGTTTGTTATCCGGATTATTGTTGCAACCGAGAGAACACCGAAGGTCGAGATCCACTTTTGATAAAATTCATCGCCAGAGAATGTATGTTGCGAGCAGCGTTATGATCACGTTGCCATATACGTCCACAACTTGTGCATGATTGGACGGCATGCAACTTAGATTCACCAACTTTTACGTTTTCCAAGGACTTGGTACCACAATTGCTGCAAACTTGACTAGTAAGATATTCGTCGATGTTAGCCACTATCAATCTTCCTTGTTGTTCTGCCTTGTGAAGTAGCTTCCGAAAAATATTTGCTAGACCATGTATTTTCCCTCTGAACATGCGTCTTCCAAATGATCCATCCCCTACACATACGACAGTGGTTATATTGCTTGGTGTTTGACTAAAAGGAAGCTTTTTCCACTTGTTCCTAAAAAAAAAAAAAAAAAAAAAAGGTGTTTGTCTATCTGTCCTCGATCCTACCAAAAAAAAAAAAAAAAAGACTACTTACAATTTTGATTCCTTTGCTGTAGATGGAGGCTGTTCATCAGATGAGGATGGTGGTAGTTGATCGTCAAAAGAGGATGGCGGTGGTGGACGTCTTCTTTTTCTTCGTGTCGTTCCATCTGTTCTAGTTCGAGCCATGACAACTGCTTCACTTGGATGATGATCAGGATCCGGATTGTATTTCTTGCCGCCATTAACGAAGATATTTATCCTTTCGTCTTGTACCTTTTGTTTCCCGATGTAATTGAGGAATCGCAGCCGTTGTATTTCAGTGCCATAGAATTGGACCAATAGGGGTAAAACATCAAGTAATCGTTCAATATACAATTGTATACCATCCATACTGCTTGTTTTGGGCGACGGTATTGAAGATTCAAGTCGATCGATATTTTGAGATTGTTTCGTTTCACAAATAGTGTTGTTCGTTTTTTTATATCCAGCTTTCACGTAATACTCTGCTGAGGAAAACTTTCGTACCTGGTGTCGTTCGGAAGGATCGCTATTGTCGACAGCCACAAAGACTTCAGTAACCCCAGGGTCTACCCCCCATACCTTGCATTCTTGCATATCTTCACTGGTAATATCGTCAATCGAAAGAGAAGGCAATCGGTCTTGATTCACTATTTTTTTGAAGGGAAAGGAGGTTGCATAGCCATCTGTCGTAAAACTGTTTTCGAAAATTCCATGTCTTGTTCAATGAAACAAAACCAGATTAGTACTAGATCATTCTTCTCCTTTTTCTTACCTTTTAAGCTTCCGCAAGTCAAACATATTAAAATTCGGGTGAGGCTGGTTTGGTGGGATCGGTGTAGAAGATGGACTAGCCAAACGTCCTAGACCAAAATGTTTTAGTATTGTTCCAAGAGATTGATGATCGATGTGTATATATTTGCGTGTGAGTCTTGGAATGGGTATGATAGTGAATAGTCTTGCTTGCTGCTTTGTCAGATATACTGGTGGTGCAAATCTTCCTTCGCGAATCTCTGTTTGTGCTGTAGTAATGGCGTTTTGTATATGCATAATAGATTCAGCGCTGAAGCCAGCAGGTAATTTCTCTGGAATAAATCGTACACCTTCATTGATAATATTTGTAATAGCGCGAGTCAACGATGATCGGCGGCGATGGTCTAATCGTGTCCATTCAGGCAATCCAGATAAAAGATGATATGTCCATGTGCGTTTTGCTTCATTCTGAGGTATGGCCGGTAGTTGAGAGTCTATTTGATTCCATTGTTCCATCTTGCGTAAGATATCAAACATGACAGGTAAGAAAAATTCTGGGTAGGAAGAGATTGTTGCAGTCGTAATAGATTTCGCTGAATGTACAGGATTTGGTGTTTCAAGGTCCAGTTGTGTCATACCTATACTTCCTACACTTGAGGCTGGAGACGGGATGTCCATTGACTCCGGGAGTGGGTCTGTCGATGAGCTAGCTATAGACGAGCCACGAGATGCTTGTACACTTCGACGTCGAGCTTCTTCCGTAGTAATCAATTCATGTATATTGTTCCATTCGGTACTTGCTTCATCCATGATGGTCAACAGTGATTCATTGAGCTTGTCGTCAATAGCTGGATCGTATTCAATTTCTGGCCAAACTGGAGGGAACTTGTCATCATTGACGGTGGATTGGTAAACAAAGTGAGCAAAATGCATAGCATGATTTTGTGCCAGTTCCTACACACGAGGAAAAAAAAAAAAAAAAAAGAGAGATGAGAAGGAGAAGATTTGTACTGATTTGCCTTTACTGTTCTTGTAGATATACTTACAGGAATCATGCGTCGAAGGCGGCCTTGTAAATATGCTATATAGAATCCATCAAAATTTTCGACAACATGAGAAAGGAGATGAGTTGAATAGGTTTGCGCTGTTGAGGATAGAATACCACTGAAAGCAATTGGAGATCGACCAATAGGGGAAGACACCTTTTCACATCGTGCCAGAGGAAATTGCTGGATAAATCGACGAAACACAAAATTGATATTATCACGTGTTGCAGCATCGAAAGTCGACTGATTGGTGAATTTGCCACCTAGTAGTAACTGGAAGATACCATAGAAGAAAGCTTGTTGAAAGAAACATGAGAGCAAAGGTAACCCGGCATCAAGACGATATGTGAAGAAATATAATAAAAAGAGATGACCCTTGATCACAAGTTGGCGATTGAAGTCCACAACAGTTTCCACACCTTGAACAAACTGAGTCTTTTCGTCATCGGTCATATCTAGGAGTAAACCATACAGGCCATGTTTGATCGTGTGAGTTCGGAGAGGAGCACCAGAAAGTTCTTCGTTCTTGACCTTTTGTCGTTTTTTCTGATCAGGACATAAATTACTTGAAGAGCGTGAATGAGTTTTTGCCAATTCATGACGCCCAGCAGCGATACATGTGGGACACGGTTTGCGATTTGGGTTTTCTAGTTGAAGAGCTTCTTGTCGACCTTTGTTGGCAGTTTGCTTTTCTTTCTTTTCGTCCTTAGACTGGCGTCGTTTGGTAGTCTGTTTAGAAATAGCTTTTTTCTGTCGCTTGTTCGCTACCAAATAATGGGAAAAAAAGGGCAAATGATATTAGCTAATTCGGAAAGAGAATTATAAAAAGTAACATACCTGGTTGTTCATCGTCTGTATCAGCATCCTGCTCTTGTTGCAGTAATTTTTGTTGCTTTTGTAGTTTTTTATTTCTGATGAAATTTTGTACGGTACGTGCCATGATAGATATAAAGATAAGAGGAAAAAAAAAAAGACTGATGTTAAGAAGAAGAAGAAGAAAAAAAAAAAAAAAAAGACTGAAATACAGCATGACCTGATCTTGGACTCACTTTTCGTGCTAATCCAAAAAAGGAAATCAAAAATAAAAGGATGGCTCAATTTCACTGACCTGACCCACTTCTGCCAGCTTGACTCATTTTCGCGGAGTTGGCCCACATTGAAAAACTTTGACCCAATTAAAATTCATTTGACCCATTTCCATTTTGGTGACCTATGTTTAACTAACCTAACCCGATCTATAATTTTTTTCTTTGACTCATAAAAAGGACCGGATTCATATTTTTTTTTCTTCTTTTTCTTTTTCTTTTTCTTTTTTTCTCTACACTTCTTTCAATAAAAAACTATATCATGTCTGACTTTGCTATTCCCACCAATCTCCATGCTAATGGTGAACAAGCTACTGATAACTCTAACAACAAGTTCATGATCAAGGCTGGTTTGGCTCAAATGTTGAAGGTAATTCAAAAAGAAAAAAAAAAAAGAATGTTTTTGATAAGTCAATTTATTGATTTATTTTTATCTTTATTTTTTTATTTTTAAGGGTGGTGTCATTATGGATGTCATTGATGCTGAACAAGCTCGTATTGCTGAAGAAGCTGGTGCCTGTGCTGTTATGGCTTTGGAACGTGTACCTGCTGATATCCGTAAGAATGGTAAGTAAAAAAAAAAAAAAATAGAAGAGATAGAATGACTCATAACCTATCTGATGATTATTAGGTGGCGTTGCTCGTATGTCAGACCCCAAGATGATCAAAGAAATCATTGAAGCTGTGACCATCCCGGTGATGGCCAAGGTACGTATTGGTCACTTTGTGGAAGCCCAAATCATCCAATCCATTGGTGTTGATTATATTGATGAATCTGAAGTGTTGACACCTGCTGATGAATCCAACCATATCTTGAAACACAACTTTGATGTACCTTATGTCTGTGGTGCCAAGAATCTTGGTGAAGCTTTACGTCGTATTAGTGAAGGTGCTGCCATGATCCGTACCAAAGGTGAAGCTGGTACTGGTAATGTGGTTGAAGCTGTACGTCATATTCGTACTGTGAATGCTGAAATCCGTCGTGCTGCCTCCATGTCCGATGAAGAACTCTATGCCTATGCCAAGGATCTCCAAGCTCCTTTCCATTTACTCAAGGAAACCGCTCGTTTGGGTCGTTTGCCCGTCGTCAACTTTGCTGCTGGTGGTGTGGCTACGCCTGCTGATGCTGCTTTGATGATGCAATTGGGTTGTGATGGTGTCTTTGTTGGTTCTGGTATTTTCAAATCTGGCGATCCTGCTAAACGTGCCAAGGCCATTGTTCAAGCCGTCACTCATTACAAGGATCCCAAGGTATTGGCCGAAGTTTCTGAAGATCTTGGTGAAGCTATGGTTGGTATCAATTTGGATGAACTTTCTGAAGATCAAAAGTTGTCTAAGCGTGGTTGGTAAAGGATTAAGTTATATAGTATCAAGGAAGTCTTCTTTTTTTTATTAGTGTGTTTCTTGGATCATATTTTTCTTTTAGTATATAGTATTTTTTTTATTATTATTATTTATCATTAGTTGTATTTATCATTTTCTTTTTATTTTGACAATATCAGGGATTTTGATGGATTTTTTTTTTCATCATTATTATATTAGAACAGAAAAAAAAAACTCAATAAACATTATCATACATATATATATTTCTCAATAACTAGTTGAATGGTTTGATTATCAAATCAACATATGTTTTCTTTTTTTTTCTTGATGAGATCCGGGGTAACGGGAACAGACCAATAGGATTAAGGTTTGATGCAGGTAAACACGGAGCGGATGATGAAAGACTTCATCGGAATCCCAAGGGGAGAAGAAGATGAGTGACGACTCCCTCTTAACAGACGGAAGCGTGAGAAAGTTAGGTAGACATAGGTTAGTTTACAATGGTTGATGACATGAATCTTTTTTAAATTCGAAGACAATGAAAGAAAGAGAGAAAGTAGATAAAACTCGATCTTTATCTCGAGACATTATCATCCTGTCTCTTCCAAGAAGAAAAAGAAAAGAAGAAAGAGCAACTCCAGTTACTGATGGAAGGTGGTTGTGTTCAGACTATAGCTAGAATATTTAATCTTTATTGGTTGTGAAGTTTGCATATGTCTCTACATAATTGATATTAAAACAAAGATCAGGCACTTTCTCTCTCTTTTTGTTGCAGTCATCGAGCAGCCAATCAAGTGCCCGCGGAAATTGAAAAAACTGTATCCAAGATATATACTTTTTGAGTTTCCAAAAATTTGCTTTGTTCTTTTTTTTCTTCGTCTTTTGTACTTAATCTCTTCTTCAAACATACATATTTTGCATACATATAGACCACATGTCCCATCAACACCATGATCATTTCGCTGCACATGGCATTGAAGATGAAGATCCTGCAGTAGCTGAAAAACGCCATTTTCAAAAAGTATTACTAGCATTTGTGTATTATCGATCGCATGGTCTGAATCATAATCATCGACGTCGTCGTGACTTTTTAGCTTTACCAGAACATCACAAACGTATGATCCCTGATACTTTACAGAAAATTGATACTGTTGATACCAAGATTGAAATGAATGCTCGCTTCTTTCGTGATCTTGTCAAAAGTGCCAACCTTTTCTCCAACAATGACATGACTCAATTATTAGAAGAAGCAAGGAAAAAGGTAATTAAATGACAATACTTCTTTTTTTTTTTTTATCATGAATCATTGACTTTTCGCGTCTCTCTCTCTCTCTCTCTCTCTCTCTTTCTCGTTGTCTATTTTATGTGGATAGGGTGAACAACCTCCAGTCAAACCATCAGATATGGATAAAGTGAGAAGTACTTTAAAACAATGTTTCCGGGATTGGTCAGTAGAGGTAAGTTTTTTTTTTTAAAAAAAAAAAAAGAAAGAAAAATGGATGACATTCTTAAATTGATTCTTCAATATAGGGAAAAGTGGAAAGAGATGCTATTTATGTACCTATTATAGAAGAATTGGAATCTATTTACAAGTCATTATCTGTTCCAGAAAGGTATAACAGAAAAAAGGAAAAAAGAAAATGAGATGAATAATGTTGATTTTGATTTTAGAGGTGATATCCGTGTTCTTGTGCCTGGTGCAGGACTTGGTCGTTTGGCATATGATATTGCAACTCACGGATTCAGCTGTCAAGGTAATTCCAACTGAATGATGATACAAGAAATGAAGGTCTAACACATTTTTTTTTTAAAAAAAAAAAACAAATAGGCAACGAATTTACATTTTATATGGTAATCAATGCTTAAGTTTTTTTTTTTTTTTTTGATATTAACATCTTCTTTACATCTATTTCAGCTATTAGCATCCAACTTTTTGCTCAACAACATTGAAAAAGAACGACAATATGAAATTTATCCATTTGTACATTCATTTAGTAACCTTCCGACAGCAGCAAGTCAATTACAACCTATTCGAATTCCTGATGTTGTGCCTGGGAATTTACCTTCAACTGTAGATTTTTCCATGGTGGCTGGTGACTTTTTAGAAGTTTATGGTGAAGAAAGTGATAATCAAGGTAAAATAAATAATATTTATTTGATGATGATGATGATGATGGAAATTCAATGATTCTGTATGATAGGTGCTTGGGATGTGGTGGTGACTTGTTTCTTTATTGATACTGCTCGCAATATCATAAAATATCTCGAAGTCATTCATAGTATTTTGAAACAAGGCGGTACTTGGATCAACATTGGTCCTTTATTATATCATTTTGAAGATACACCTGGTGAATCCTCAGTGGAACTCTCTTTGGATCAAATCAAACGTGTGGCTCAGGAAATGGGTTTTGAATTCAAGGTAAAATTACGATGATTGTGTAAATGAATCATTACTCATTTTTTTTTTTTTTTTTACTTCTCTTTCCCTTCTTTTGATTGGATTGATGTTATAGAAAGAATCCATGATTGATACAACATATACTTCCAATCCTGATAGTATGTTGACTTATTTATATCATTCTGCTTTTTGGACTGCTACAAAGAAATAAATGAAATGTATGGTTTTATTTGGTGATAGGGGTCCCATTCATGTTTATCATCTTTTTGTTTACGTGTGTCAATAAAGTTTTTACTCGATAATAATCACCTGAAAGTTGTACACTATAAATAATATCATGTGAATCTAAGTGACCAGAAGAAACAAAACCCTAGTTTTTGGTCTCCGCCTTTGCGCGTGAAAAATAAAGCATGGTTGATTTTTTTTTTTTTTTTGTCCGTGTGTTTTTTTTTTTTTCTTCTTTCCTTTTCTTTTCATTCTTTTTTTTTTTTTTTTCTGATAAATATTTTTTATTCCATGGATTCATTACCTTCACCACCAGCATCTTCAGTTTCATCCGGAAAAAACAAATGGGCTATCAAAAAATATCCAACAACCACTACAACACCCAACAAATTAGAACGATTTCTTGCATTTTTACTTGCCTCCTGGGCCACTATCTCGACCAATGCTATTACCCATAATCAAGGTGAAATCGTGACTCGATCATTACTACCCAACATGATACGACAATGTTTAGATTTACTTATGTTTACTTCCGCCATGGTGATTACCTTGTTCAATTACTTTTCCGGTGATTTGGATAAACAACCCAGTATAAAATCATCATCTTCTTCTACATTGATACCTCCTCCTTCTCAACATACTATTATGGATATTAAACAATTACGACAATGGCAACAACAATCTCACCATACATATGATCGATTAGAATATATTACTGCCACTTGTCCTATGGATGATCTTAAACAACATCGAATTATGGCATGGGCTTCCTCACAAGGTTATCAGGATGGCGATGTAACACAGGTGAGTTTTTTTTTTTTTTTGTTTTCACACTTCTCCTAAAACGGAAATTGAATTTTGATCTTATATTTCTTATCTCTTTCTTTTTTTTTTTTTTAGGGACATCAAAGTATGCCATTGACCAGTACTTCATTACGACTACATTCTAATACCATGATGGAAGAAGTAGATGATGATGAAAAATATACGTTTGATGAACGTTGGTCTGTGGATGGTGATGGTATCAAAATGCAACAACACACCTCAGCATTGGGGAAACTCTCGATATCCTCCTCTACCTCTACTGTCAAAAGTACTCAACATGAAGAAAATAAACGATTGGCTTTGATGGAGGTCCAAGTAGCATCATTGATTCAACAAGGTCAAGCTGCTTTGTCCAAGAAAATCAAAGTATATGAATTGGATCGCAATGAAATCGCTTTACGCCGTGCTTTGAAACAACGTGATCATGCTATGATTGGATAAATCTCCTTTTATATATATATATATATATCATTTTTATACCCTTCTCATTTTTATATATTTTTATCCATCTTCTTATATGTATAGTTATCATCATTTTTTTATTATTTATATGTATTGAAAAATAAACAAAAAAGCATCTATCGTAATCTCTTTCTCTTTGGATTTATGTGTCCTTTTCTTTTTTTGATGTCGGCACCACGCATATATGATGATTGAATTGATAGCGATGATGATGATTGGATGATGATTATTGCATGATGATGACTGACCGATGATGGTTGATGTGCTGATGGATTGAATGATGATTGAACAATCATTGTAATACCAATCATTAGATCGGTTTTATAGTCCAGTAAGAAAAAAAAAGAAGTTTCATTGACTACTTTATTGATTGATTATTATTTTATTTTATTTTATTTTATTTTTTTTAAAAAAAAGAGCACTACTGATAAATGAACACTAAGAGGATGAAGATGGTTCATCTTTTGCAAAACCATTTTTGTTGAGCCATGTTTCCCAAGTTTGTAATTCAGGGAATTCTTGTCGAAGTTTGGGAATATCAGCTTTGTAACCAACTTTGACAAAAAAGTCAGCCATGGCACCCATACCACGTACAAAATGACGAAGTACTATATAAAAAAAAAAAGATAAAGAGAATATATTTAATTACATTTATCTTTTTTTTTTTTTTTTTTTTTTTGGTTTACCATATCTGAAAAGCCACCAGTGTGAGTATGTATAGGGTTCGCCAGAAACCTTTGACAATACATCTGCCATTTCATTACCGGTCAATTCATCACCACTGAGTTCAATCACTTGGTTGAGATACTTATCACGATGATCGATGGCAGTGGCAGCGACCTTACCAATATCTTCCACAGCTATCATTTGTAATTTGACATTACCGGGGATCATTCCTTTGATGGTACCATTGGCAGGTGCCATTTGACCATGACGTTGATAGTTCTCCATAAAAAAGGAAGGTCGGATGATAGTGTAAGGCAATTGAAGTTGATCTCGTATATAACGTTCGATTTCCCATTTGGAGGCAAAATGAGGTACATTAGGAGCATTTTCTGAATTTCCAACTGAAGTAAAGACAAAATGATTCACTCCAGTGGACTTAGCAGCATCTGCTGCAATTTTCCCTTGTTTTACTTCAGTCTAACAATAATAATAATGAAGAATGATGAGTTATATTTAAAAAAAAAAAAAGAGAGAGATAATACCTTATGATTAAACATACTCATTTGAGTAACAACAAAGACAGAATCAACTCCAGTAAAGGCAGTTTTCATACTTTCAAGGTCTCCCATATCTGCATTCACCATTTCAACACCTTTTTCAGCCATCTTGACAGCACTTGGTGAAGCCGTGTTTCTTGTAATACCTCTTACTTTATGACCCAATTCCAATAGTTTGCGAGCAACAGCTCCTCCTTGTTTTCCAGTAACACCTGTAACAGCAACAATTTTAGAAGTAGACATTTTCAAAGAAAATAATATATAAAAAGAAGAAAAAAATAATCGATCGTTTCCAACACATTATTTATGCAATGTTGAGGATCACATAAACTGATGACCAAGATTGGCCAGAATTTATCCAATATTTTGCCACTGCGGACTTTTGAGATACATGTGGATTTTAACTGTCAAAAAAAAAAAAAAAAAAAAAAAAGATCCATGACGAGTTTTTTTTTTTTTTTTTTTTTTTATTTATTTATTTTCTTTCCAGTGTAGAATTAAACTTTTTTATTAGTCAAAAATGAATTAATCTTTTTTTTCTGTGACAAAAATTTCTGCCAAAACTATAGAATATTCATGGGCGGATTTCCAAACCCTTAGAACAAAAAAATTCAACTTTTTCATCCAACTATGTGACTTGAAAATTGGTCAACCGGATTTTATTTTAGGCAAATCCCAAAAAAAAAAGTATTCTTTTCTTCCCCCCCCTTTTTTTTTCTTATTATAATATCTATTATTTGTGATATGAGTCGTTTGGTAAAATCTCGTGCTTCTTTACTTTTACAACAACGTTTGTCTACTATAACACAACGATCTCTTGTTCTTAACTCTTCATTCTCTCGACATATGACTTCTTCCAATAAGACTCTTACCAATGCCAATCGTCGTTTGAACACTACTGCTCAATGGCTTCAACCTAAACGCCAAGTAAGTTATACTGGGTTTCTTTTATCAACATACCTTTTTCTTTTTTTCTATTTATTCTTTTCTCTCTCTTTTTTTTTTTATTTATTCTTCTTATCTTTTTTTTTTTAATTATTATACTTTTTTTGGGTAGATGTCAACAAGTCATGAATCCATTGCAGCTGCTGAACAAGCTCAAGTAAGTATTGTTATAATAAAAAAAAAAAAGTTCAATTTGAATATTTTTTTATTTTGTATTTGACCTTTTAATATTTTTTTTTTTATATAGGCTGAAGTCCTTCATCGAAAGAATCTCAGTGTACGCGAAATCATTTTGAATCGACCTTCTAAATTGAATGCTTTAAATTTGAACATGGTACGCGGTATTATTCCAGAACTCAAGGTAAATTAAAAAAAAAAAAAAAAAAAAAACTATACCGTGACGATACCGTGGGATGGGATTCTATTTTATTAGTATCAATTTTTGCTAAATTTTTTTTTTAATCGGCAGGCGTGGGAAAAATCCGATTTGGCAAAGATCATTGTCATCAAAAGTGAACCAGGAACAGCTTTCTGTGCTGGTGGTGATGTCAAAGGTAAGATAAAATAGGATGTATCTTTCTTTTTTTTATACTAACTTTTTCATCATAATAGCTGTGGTTGATTTAGCTGCTGAAGGTAAACAAACGGATGCCGCCAAGTTTTTTGAAGAAGAATATCAAATGGATCATTTGATTGCTACTTTGGAAACTCCTTATATTTCTGTGATGGATGGTGTTACTAGTAAGTGTGTTATAAAATGAAAAGGCGAATTTTTATTAATTTTTTGATTATTATAGTGGGTGGCGGTGTTGGTCTTAGTGTTCATGCTCCTTTCCGTATTGCTACTGAAAATACTTTATTTGCCATGCCTGAAACCAAGATTGGATTTTTCCCTGATGTGGGTGGAAGTTTCTTCTTACCTCGTTTGGATGGACAATTGGGGATTTATTTGGGTTTGACTGGTAAACGTTTAAAGGCTGTGGATGTGTTATATGCTGGTGTGGCTACTCATTATATCCCTAGCTCTCGTCTTCCTGCTTTGGAAGCCCGTTTGGCTGAATTGGATGCACCTACTCATGATATTATCAATGGTGTATTGGATGAATTCTCAGGTGAATTGGATCAAGAACCTTCTTTCTCTTTAGGTGGTGATATTCGTGCTGCTATTGATCGGTAAAAAATTAAAAAATCATTATTTATTTATTTATTTATTTATTTAATTATTATTGTTAGTTGTTTCAAATATGATACCATGAAGGAAATTGTTGAAGCTGTTCAAAAGGAAGAAGAAGCCAACCCTGCCTGGGCAAAGGAAACTCTCAAGTATCTTAATAGTATGTCTCCTACCTCACTGAAGGTGACCTTACAACAACTTCGTAGTGGTGCTACATTGTCCATTGCTCAATGTTTCAAGATGGAATATCATTTGTTACAAAAGTTTGTATCTGGTCATGATATGAAGGAAGGTGTGTATAAGACTTTAGTACATCGTGGACAACCATCTGAATGGGAACCTGCTTCATTAGATCAAGTGGATGATAAGAAGATCAAGTCTGACTACTTCAATGCCCCTTCTCCTTTGACTTTACAATTGCTTTCGACCAAGGACTTTAAGCAATATCCTCATCGCAAGTACATGCTTCCTACCGAAGAAGATATCAAACAAGTCGTTACTGGTGAAGCCGCTGATGTTGGTAACTATGCTTTAACTCGTGAAGAAATCGTGAATTATTTGGTTCGTGAACGTAAAGGTAAACAAGGTGTCAAACAAAAGGTCACTGAAGTTCTCGCTCGCAAGACAAAGGTGTTACAAAATCAAGATGGACAAACTTTGAAATGGGTCTATTAGACATGTGATTAGATGGAAATAGTATATACTTTTTTTTTTTTCTCTCCTTTCTATTTATTTTTATGTCTTTATATACATTCAATAAAAAAAATAAATAAATATAAAAATAAAAATAGATTCAATGGAATGATTAGACAGATACTTTTTTTTTATTCATCATATGAATGAAATGTCAAATGATTAAATGAATCAAAAAACAGGGCAAATAAAATACAAATATACATCAGATTGGACTTCTCCATCAATTCTTTTCAGTTTCTTGAAGTATATCCTTGACCATATCACCAATATCCCCCGAAGTCAATCCTAACAATTTGGCAGCACCTATCAAGGCCGACATACTTTTACGAAGTAATAATTTCCCAGCATGTCGTTTTTGTTCATCCCAAGTTGTTGTTGTTGTTGTTGTATCGATTTTAGATGATGATGGAGCCATCATGGGTGGTGAGGGTGATTCACGAGATATAGGATAAGCACCAGGGACATAATGATCCTTTTCTTTTGGATATTGTTCTTCTTGTTCTTGTTCTTCTTCTTGATTCCATTCTACACGATGTTGCATGGCTTTTGGCAAAGGATCGATACATGACATGGTAAATGGAGGATGAGTAAAATGTTGAGATCGATTGGCTGGTAAAGAGGTTTGTAGCATACTAGTAAGTTCTTGTAAAGCGGCTGTATGTGTGTCTACAAGATTAGGGACACTGGGAACGGTAAATAATGGATTATAAGATTGATCATATTCTTCTTCCCATTCTTCTTGTGCTTTTTGATAATGATTTTGTTGTTCTTGAAAAGTCATGGAAAGTCGTCGAGTGGGTGCAATATCATCATCGTCATCATCATCATCATCATATACTTGATCATCATCATCAATACCTGGTGTCAATGTACCTGGATGTTTACTCCATCTTGTATAATAATCATCTTCTGAATCCATTGATTCTTTTTCATCATTATGTCGATCACCATTCATCATTGTTGTTTGTTTGTCATCTTCATCAGAGGACCAATCACCCCAATAATCATCAGGTGCATCCTTGTTAGTTTCATTGGTTTTGTTCTACATAAAAATAAAAAATAAAAATAAAAATTACAAAAATGATTTTTTTTATTTATTTATACTTACTTCTTTTCGAGGATGTTTTGCAGCATTCTTTGTGACCTTGACTAAGAATAAACGTTCCGCTTCTTCCAAAGAGATAGACCACGTGTTTTCAATATCTTGCCATTCCTGGAGAGAAATTTGTTTGGTATTTTGATATTTGAGTTCTGGTTCTTCTGATGTTTCACCATCCTTTTCATCCGATGATTCTTGTTCTAATACCAAAATCACTAGAAAGATTTGATCATCTTGTTGAGTAAAAGGAATCACCACATGTAAAGTATCAGCATCGAACCGTTTGTAATACACTGGATTTTGATATATATCGTCATGTAAGATTTTCTGTTGTTGTTTATGTTCATGTTCCCATAAGTGTTCTATTTGTTCAGGACAGCTATCAGTTTGCCATTGTATGATCTTGTTCCATTCTTCAGCATCAGATTGACTTTTGGGTTGAAGATACCGAATACGTTGCTTCAATGCTTGTGAAGCCATTGGAATCAATGCCATAAAATGATGTTGTTGTCGTAATTCCAAGATAGTATAAGCAAGTGACCTTGCAAGATGCTCATTCGCATAATCGTCAATGGCTTCCATGATAGCAGAATACTACCATATTTAGAGAAAAAAATGAATAAGAAATATAAAATTACTATTATTTCGACTTACAATAAAAAGAAGACGATGGTTGTTAATAAGTAGATAAATCTATATATAAAAAAGGTATCAACAAATTGAGAAGAGAGAAGAGAAAAGAAAAAGAAAAAAGGAAAACGAAAAAGAAAAAGGAAATTGTGAAGTTCGGGGAGTAAACCCTCTTTTTGGATGGTTCCAAAAAAAAAAAATCACCTTATTACACTCTCCAGGCATTCCACCACTGACTGTGCGCACTGACTGAGTTTGGTTTTGACCGACTGAACTGACAATCTCAAAACTTGATTGATCTACTTTCATGATGAAAGAATATAATAATATTCCTTTATTTGTTATTACACTTTCATTTACAATTAAAGTAAAGGGAATTACGGAACTAAGCTCTATTGAAAAATATTTCATAATAGTGATAATGCTTTTTTATTTATTTATTATGTAAAAAAAGAGAGTTAAAAATTAAGTAAACAAGAGAAATAGAAATGTGCAAAAAACAAAAAGGGATCAATCGCATGTGATAATAAAAAGAAAAAAAATCCTAACTAGATTTTGCCTTGAAGTAATTCACCTACAATAGCAACACCATACAAACGAAGAGTATGATATAAAGTGACAACATCCACAGTAGAAATAAGTGTATCCAATAAACCAAAAGGAAGCATCAAAGGAATCCATCCACGAGCATATTCCAAAGCAAAACCATGTTCAGGAATCTTATATTGTTGAGCTTGACCACGAGCTAAATGATGCATTTCACCCACCTTGAATACCTATAAATATATATAAATATTAATATTTTTCTTTTTTTTCTCCTTTATTTACTTACTTCACGAGTCAATTCACCAGCATTATAAGCCCATTGTTCACCTTCCAACATGATAAAGTAATCATCAGCAAAATAACGACCAGTATGACCTTCAGTACCAACAGGAGTACCAAAGATAATGACATATTCAGTCAAAGAACCGTGTAAAATCCACATAGAGCCCATAGCACCACCAGCATTATTGAATACCCATTCTTCTTTAAGTTGAATATGACCAGGGTAAGCTTGATCCAAGTCAGCAGCAATCTTGTGCATCATTAAACGGGTATCGTTGCTGTAAAGTGCAATGTTCTTTTGAGCCACTTGTTGCAACACGTTTTGATCAAATAGATAACATTTGTCTTTGACTTGATCTAATCCCAAAAACACGGCCACAGCCAACGTAGCATAAAAGAAAAACTTTAATAGCCAATTCGTTGTTAAACACTTGGAACCCATACTGCTGTGATAGAGATGATGGAACTAGAGAACAAGAGAAAAAAAAAAAGGAACAGAAGGAAAAAAAGGGAAATTTAAAATATTTTTGAACCGCTGGGGTACAAAAAAAAAAAAAAAAAAACCTTCGGACAACTTGACCGCCGCCAGCATTTCATTGGCTAAAAGACATAGCAATTTCCTTATTTCGTAGAAAACTTCTAGATTGATCATTTTGTGTGATTTAAGAACTTCATTTCTATTATATTGTTTTTTTTTTTCTTTACAAATCAAAAATTGAATATTAATATATAAAAATCTTTTTTAACAAGAGAGTGGAGTATCATTAAAAAAAAAAAAAAGAAAAGGAACGACGGCGCACTTTACCGGTCGGTAAAAAGAAATTGAGTAAAGTGTAGAAGATCCAATGGAATTGGTTCCACAATCATACATTGAATATTTTTTTTTAAAAAAAAAAAATGGATTCTGACATGTTAGTAAAAGGATTATCTATTTTAGACTGATTCACATTGCCAATGATGCTTTCATTTCCTTTTTTGGATGCCTCTTTTCTTTCGGTATCATCATCCGTCCCTTTAATAAAATGACAAAGATAAATGATATACGTACAAGTGTTTTGAGTATATATATATATGTGTGTGTGTGTTTTTTTTATTGTGCATAGTGCTATGATATAAATAATTGGTATGTGTTAAAAAAAAAAAGGATATCTATATAAATAAAATATAAGCAGAAATATATATATTTTTTTTCTTCATAAATCATCATCATCATCACCATCATCATCATCATCACTATCTAGATCATCCTCATGTTCGGTATCACTAACATCACTATTATGGGAAGTAGTCAAACTACGGATACGCGTCAACACTTGATCCAAAGGCGAGGATTGAGCCGAAATATGACGACTTTGATGGGAATTTGGTGTGGAGAGGAAATCATTTTCTTCTCTATCATGCTTATTTTCGAAATCTCGTTTGCCATAAAAGGAACCTCCTTGATAAGAATGTCGCATGGATGATGCTCTTGATGTATTCACAGGAATAGGTGATGGAGGTGGTTGAATATCATGGAATTGGTCTGTTGGTGATGGTGGTGAATAGTTTTGTCCATGTTCAATAATATCTTGATCAAATACATTTGGTTGATGAAACTTGATATGATCATGATCTTCCATCATAGCAAAAGGTAATGGGATTTCTTTAATGGCACGATATTGTCCACAATTATTTAAATGCTATGATCAAAAAAAAAAAAAAAAATTAGTCTCATCAAAAAAAAAAAAAAAAAAAAAAAACTTGCCTCATTTTCAAGTCGAAAAATATTCCATTGAATTCTTCGTATCCCTTCTAATAATGCAATAAGAAAGCCCAAGATATCACCATGAATATGGAAATGGAAAAAGGTAAGTGTCCAAGAGAATCGAAGGGCAATATTGATAGGCATCGCCATGTAATAAGCCTATTGATTGAAAATAAGGTAAGTATCATAAATAATTAATATTGAAGTCCCTTACCCATCGATGAAAGACAAGTTCATCTCTTAAAAGCCAGTATTGACTATTTGATTGCATTAATCCCCAATCCATTTTAATGTCCCAAGTAGAAGTATAACAAGAATTGATGAGAGAAATAATGATCCATAAACACAGAGTCCATTGATTACCTAGGCATACACAACAACAACAACAAAAAAAAAAGGTAAGCAGTAAGTTTTTTTTTTTAAAAAAAAAAGAATCATCAAGTTTACCATGAATACGACGCAAACCACTCATCAAAGTTGCTAATATACTACTCATATATTTAGCGCCATTGATTAAATGGACTTTTTCATTCGAATCCTTGTACCTACGAAAACATTGAAGTAAACGCCACCAAGGTGGTAAGGAGGCCAAGAGTGGAGTTAACCAAGAAGTAGACATGGGACAATGATCAGGGATACCAATCCAATGCCAACCATAAGCACAAAAGAAGTAGGAACAAGTCCAAAAGGAGTACGACAGACTATTGAGTTCATCGGCAATAAAGAAGTCTCGAAATTCCACAGGGAAACAGTAACTAAGAAGGATCCGTCCTAGAGCCACCCCAAGCCATTTTCTTGCCGAGAAATACATCAGATTAAATGGACAAAAGAGAATCCCCATCATCGTCACAAATAAAACAAGTGGACATAATTCTGATGGAAGCATATCACCAAACCATTGTGAAAAATCTATGTACATGATGATGGAACTGATAAATAATAAAAACGCCGGTAACTAGTCAAAAAAAAAGTCAATATCTTTGAAGATACCAACCACTTTTTTTTTTTTTTTTTTTTTTTTTTTTTACTTCTGCAAACTGTTGATAATTTAGGTTATGTCTAGGATTTAATTCAAAGATGAATTTATAGTTGATTCTTGCCCTATGCCAAATAAGTAGATCCACTGAGAAACCGAGACAAAATAATACAGGTAATAGAAAAGAAGCATATATTTGAATATTGGTATAGACATTGGGGAGTTGATGTAGTGTTTTAGGGTCAAAAGCTATGATGAAATGATTATTAATTATTATTATTATTATTATTAAAGGTTTGATGTTTACCTAAATAACAAGCCTGGAATAAAAAAGACATGGCAATACCAAGAAATAATCCAATGCGACAAGTGGTAGCATCATAAGATTGTTTTTTTTCAGGCACCCTTAATTTTTTCATACCACGTCGACGATGACCATCAGCAAACTCGTTGATATATAAAGTTTCAGTTTCTTCAATCATTTCATCTATACTAGTGGATTGTACCCAGTAATATTTTTTAATACGTTGATCATAAAGTCCACTAGCTTTCCATCCTGCCGTTTTGTCAAATTTCTTCAAAATTTTCTGGAATCCCGTTTTATTGAGTGTCTAAAATATTTTTTTGGGTTAATTTAATCATCCCTGATTTGTTTCAATGTACCTGAAAAGATTTTAGAAATTCCAAACTACGGTAAAATTCTGTTAAAGCTTTTTTTAATCGATTCCTTGCTACCTAAAAATAAAAAAATGGATGAGAAAATAAGTTACATTTTTCACATCTATTGAATTACACTATAACTAATATGAGGATCTGTTGCACGACCAACAAAAGATGGTACATTGGATAATCGATAATGACGCGATTGAAATAGCGATGTATACGGTGTCATGGTAGACTAAATAAATAGTAGGAAAAAAAAAGATGAATACCCAATATGATAGGATAGATATACATTTTACCCCTATTTCCAATAGGTAACGACCATAATCGGCTATAAGTTTGATTTGCATTTTCACGGATTCAAATTTTGCCCTTGATTCATTTTCCTTGTCTATAAAACAAAGCCACTCAATTGAATGAGGATAAAAGAATATAAAAAAAAAAAGTTTTATGTTTACCATTAAAAAAAAGGGACACTTTGTCTAGTTCTTGATTTAACATATTAAAAAATACCCGTTCTGATTCATTTGCATGAAGTAAAACTTCATCCCATACTGATAAAGTCGCAGTACTCTGAAATGAACCTAGCAACGATTTTTTTTTTTTTAAAAAAAAAAAATAGTAATAATAAGATGATGATGAATGACATTTTTTTTTTTTTTACCAGGTCGATCTTGAGTCAATTGTTTTCTTGTATTAGTCCATTGTTGTAAAAGAGGAAGTGAAGAAGGTCGATACATATTCCAAGTAGTACGTTGATACCATGAATGATCATCATCATCATCATCATCTTGATTGCTGTCTATATCATTGGTATTATTTTGGTACATGTGATTGATATGTGATGTATCGTGACCATCACTGTCGTGAAACATCTTTGCCAACTCTAAAGCAGCTTTGTGTTCATTGGATTTTCTAAACTAGTAAAATATGTCAAAAGATTAATATAAGTCTGAAACACACACTGCCGGAGTGATAATGTCATGATCCTTTTTTATTTGACGTTTTACCTTGTCTACAAACTTTAATCTTTTCTTCAAGCCTTTATAATTGATATATGCTTTTCTCCATTCAGGTATACTTTCTGATTCCAAATGTTTGGCAAATTTCATCACCTTGAATATTTTTTTTTCTTTCTTTCTTTCTTTTTTTTTTCGTCTTTTAAGGTAACTTTTTTTTTTCTCTTATAAAGTTATTAAAATGATGATAATAAGAAAAAAAAAAAAGAATAAAGAGAAAGAGGACGAAAAAAAAAAATTGTGGAGAAAAAAGAAAAGAAATGGAAAAAAAAAAGATGAAAAAGATCTCCTAAAAATATAGAGATTTATTTTTCTCACCCAACCAAATAAAGACGGCTGCATACACGGCAAGAGACAAACATTCATTTTAGTTCCTGGAGAATTAGAATCAGAACCTATAGTTTTCTACACGTGCATTATAAAAAGTTTTTTTTTTCTTTCTTTCTTTTCTTTTTCTTTCCTCTTTTGATGTTATTTGATGTTTATTATCAACTGATAATCGAGAACAATTTTTTTTTTTTTTTTATTGATCATGCTGGTGGCTCAAAAAAAAAAGGCACCATATTCACGATTGTACTCTTCACTCTTTTCATTCAATCTCCGCATGCGTTTACTTTTTTTTTCACTTTTTTTTTCTTCTTCTTCTTTGACCAGTTGTTTCTTCTTTATACAATAATGGCAACCAAAGTAGATCGATCGTTTTATAAAAAATCAAGAGGCAATGGTATTGTCAAACTTGTTCGTGAACGTTAGTATTTCCTTGAAGAAAAAAAAAAACTTCTCACTCATCCCATTTTTATATAAATAGAATATCTTCGTTCCGATATACCTTGCCTTATAGGCACCTGTAAAGTCTGTCATAACAACCAAATTCAATTATTAGATCCTTCGGCTTCTCATTATATCATTCCTGACATATCGGTGAGTGACATGCTTTCCTTTTCTTCCTTTTCTTTTCTTTCCTTAATAGTTTTTTGTTTAAATCAATAGGTGATTATACGATATCAAGAAATCCTTGAACAAGACGAAATCACTGGTATCATTCTTGGTCAAACTATAGTGACAGCAGTAAGTAGTAATAAAATGAATCTAAGATGGGTTATTCATTGAATTTTTTTTTAATTTATATATATCTAGTTAGAACAACATGACAAAACAAAAATATATCGAAAATTACGACAAATCATCAATGATCGACGAAGAAAAAGTGTTTTATTTTATAATGAAATCTTTACTTGTACTAAGGTGACCCGATTACCAGGTGAAGCATCAGCACATCATGATTGGCGCAGTTTGTGTACCATGGCGCAATGGTATCAAAAACATCTACAACAAAATGACATGACCAATAAGAAGATTATTCTATTATCTGAAGTATTTAATCAACAGGATATTTGGATGAACGATATTCAAGTGTACACTATTCAGCAATACTTGGCTACCTATTTCCCAGATCATTGTTTACTACAATCTTTGTCTCGTGTTCTATCAGAAGTGATATTGGAAGAAGAGATGAATCGGATTCATATGACAACAACCATTGCTGGAAAGACTTCATCTTCTTCAGTTTCTGTTGCCGGATATTCTGAGGTAAATTAAAAAAAAAAATAGATTTCTGTTTACTCACGTTTTATTTACATTTTATGCATATTAGTACAAATCTATGGACGAATTAGAAGTCGGCATCAAATCAGGCCGCTATTTTACTGGCGTGATCCATTGTCAATCTGAAAGTAGTCGATATCAAGCTTCTATACGAATCGGTGATGGCAAGATCATTTTAGTGATTGGAAATGATCATAGGAATCGTGCAGGTAAACAAAAAAAAAAAAAGAAAATTAATTTCATATTCATTTGTTTATTATATATATATTTGTTATTTAGTACATGGTGATGTGGTGGTAGTGGAACTATTATCGGAAACAAATTGGGCTACTCCATCCAATGAAATTACCTTTGGCAATGATGATGATAATAGTAAGCAAATAATAATAATAATGACAAATCTGTGCTATGATATAATGATTGCATAATGATCTTTTTCTTTCATGTAGACAATGAACCAGGCTTTTCTTTTTCCAATGTAGAAAACAGTAATAATATTATATCAACGAATTCCTCTACGCAACCTACCGGCCGAGTTGTAGGCATTTTAAACCGAAATTGGCGATCTTATGTTGCTACCATTCAACAGGAAGATAATGCGACTGGTGGCTCTTTTCATTTGGCTATTCCTTTGGATTCATCTATTCCCAAAATTCGTATTCGTTATCAAGATGTCAAAATGATTGAAAACCAGCGTATTGTTGTTAGGATTGATAACTGGTAACAACTTTCTTTTTTTTTTTTTTTTTTCCTTCTTCTTCCTTTTGTTCATAAATAATATGCTCACTTTTTTTTTTGCAAACCTTTGTAGGCCCGTCTCATCACAATATCCTAATGGTCATTACGTTCGATCTTTAGGTAATAATAATATGAAATGAAATTAGGTCTAATATGATTTATTTATTTTTTTTTTCTTTTTTTGCTACCAGGTCCGATTCATCAATTAGATTCTGAAATATCGGCTATTCTTGTAGAACATGGTATTTCAGTCTCACAAGCCAGCCAAGATTTTAGTGAAGCTTCTTTGAAAGAAATGCCTTTGGATACAGTAGTTCAGCCATGGAAACCATCATCAGATCAATTGAAACAACGGAAAGATTTACGATCATTGACTTTATTCAGGTAATAATGAGTAAGGATAAAACAAATACGATGATCTCATTTCCATTTTCCTTTTTTTTTATTATTAGTATTGATCCACCCAATTGTCAAGATATCGATGGTAATGACTCTTAAACAAATATTCAAATGATATTGTTCTCATTTTCTTTTTTTTTTATCGACATAGATGCATTGTCTATCCGTGAATTGAGCAATGGTCAAGTAGAATTAGGTGTACATATTGCTGATGTCAGTTATTTTGTCAAGGAAAACTCTCTGACTGATCTTGAAGCAAGAGCAAGGTAACACTATTTCTTTTTTAAATCTGATATTGAGAGATTTATTTCTAGAGCAACCACGGTATATCTTGCTGATCGTCGATTTGATATGCTACCTTCAGTTCTAAGCGAACGAGTATGTTCTCTTCGACATAACGTTGATCGTTATGCTGGTAAGAATTCTATTTTTATATTGACATTCATTTTAATGAACATCTTATACATATCAACATAGTATCTGTCTTGTGGACCTTGGATAGCTCATATAATGTAAAAAGTACATGGTTTGGTAGAACTGTCATTCGATCAAGTTGTGAAATGGAATACGAACAAGCTCAACAATTTTTGGATGGTGAATCAATAGCTACTGGTATAGGTTAGTTCCCTGTTTCTTTATTTGAAAGATTTTGTCTAATATCACTCTTTTTTTTTTTTTTTTTTTTTTTTTTTATGATAGATCCTTCTCTTTGTCACAAACTGCGTCCTTGTGTGATCAAACTTGCAGAGGTTTTACGAGTGATCAAGGTAATGATAGATAACATAAATATATATATATATATTTAATAATATTCAATCTAATTGAATTTATATTAGGAACGACGATTACAAAAAGGTGCTTTGGAATTGGAAAGTACAGAAGTCAAATTCAAAATGGCCGACAATGAACAAATCACGGATGTTATACCCAAGGACACAATGGAAATCCATGGCTTAGTAGCTGAAGCTATGATTTTTGCCAATGCTGCTGTAGGTCAACGCATTTATGAAGGATTCAAGCATACTGCTTTACTACGTCGTCATCCTGCACCCACAAAGCATCAATTCCGGTCTTTGATTCAAGCTGCTGAAAGTCGAGTAAATAAAACAAAAGGAAAATGATGGTATTAGTCTCTTATATTTTTGTCGATTGTAGGGATTTTCTATTGATTTCACCTCAAATAGAGCTTTAGCACTTTCCTTGGATCATATTGTCAAGAACAGTCCGAATGATCCTGAAATGGTTCGCTTGATGAAGACAATGGCTACTTATGCAATGAATGAAGCTGGGTAAGGTTATTGAGAAAAAAAAATACATGAATGCAAAATAGAATGACTCACTTTTTTTGATCAAATAGATATATTTCATCTGGACATTATTCTGTAGATCAATATTTCCATTATGGTCTTGCCTTGGACTTTTATACACATTTTACGGTAACCACAAAAAAAAAATGGGTTGATTGATGATATTAATAATTCTCTCTAGTCACCTATTCGACGATATGCAGATGTGGTAGCCCATCGACAGTTATTGACATGTGTCGAAGATCCAACCGCTATGGAACAGAATGATGAATTGACCGGAGGTCCTTCATATATCTTTCAAGACAGCAAAGTGGCCGAAATTTGTGACAATTTGAACTTGAAATCCAGAGAATCAAAACTAGCTCAAAGGGTAAGTTGTTGATTCATCAATAGAACAGTAGTATTGCTTTTGAAAAGAAAATCATCTAACAAAAAGAATGTTGTATATTATTTTACTATTAATAGGATTCGACTGAACTATTCCAATCACTCTATGTTCTCCAAAAGGTAACAAAAAAAAAAATAAAATAAAATAAAATAAAATAAAGTAGAAGGAAAAAAAAAAGGTCAATCACTAACAATTATATTTTACACTTATTATTTATAGTCTGCCAACGAACCATTGATTGAAGATGGAATTATATCTGAAGTTCGATCGAACGGTTTTTATGTCTTTGTGCCAAGGTAAATATATATATATATTAAAGAATAGTTGGATTCATGTGTTTGATTTTGTATATAGCCTAGGACTGAAAGGCCCTGTGTTCTTAATGGATAAGGATGGACAAACTACGGTGCCATTATCACTTTTATCAGGAAAGAAGGAACAAGGTAAAATGATATTTATATCAAGATAGGTTTTATTGATTCTTTTTATACATATATATACATATATATATATATAAACATAGAAAACGAGTACATCCCTCAGTGTACACTTGAAGCGCAACCACCAACAGAAATTACAGTACGTTCACCCGATATGGCCCAACCTATTTGCTTCCGTCTTTTTGATCGAGTCCGTGTGATGTTAAAATTACGTCAATCGCATGCTCATCGACATATGATTTATATGACCCTGGTGGATCTTCAACGACATGGCAACAACAAAGTATTGAGTAAGAATGATATGATGGCCCATATTCAACAAGCTGAACAAGAATTTGACAAGAAGGAGATTGCCACCAAGGCTGAAACTGAAACAAGACGTCTGATGAAGAAGAGCAAACAAAACAAGAAATCTGTTTATGCAGTATTAGAACCTTTTAGAAAATTAGCCATTATTGAACAACGTTCTTCTGAATAAAAAAAAAAGATATAGTTTTTTTTCTTTATTACAAATAATATATATATAAAAAAAAATGGTGTATTGTGTTGTGTACAGAGAGATAAATAAATATATAATATATAACAATATATAGACTAATGGAAAGGATCACCTAATAAATCTTGTACAATCTTTTTTCGCCAAGAGGTCCATTGTTCTTGAATTGTTTCCTTTTCTTTTGTCAAGCTGTTTACTTGTTGTTCCAATAGACGACATTGTTCTTCCATGGCAGGTTTCCAACTCGATATCATATCCATTTGTTGAGATATTTGCTTTAATTGAGCTCGTAATTCTTCTACAGTGGATGACAGTTGATTACAAGAATCGCATATTGGTTTGTGAGAAGTTAAATGATGTGTAGACGGACCAGCCGTTTTTGTTAGAGAGGATGAATGATGAATGAGTGATGATGTTGAGATAATGGGTGAGCCAGAGGTGGAGGAGGTAGAAGCCAATTCATCTTCTTCATCATCATCTAATTCCTTTTCTTGATGTACCTTTCGATGTTGTTGTGGAGTTGTATCGTCCTCTTCTTCTTCTTCCTCCTCTTCTTGTTCTTCTTCTTCTTCTTCCTCTTCATTATTATTGTTGTACATATTATTATCATCATCATCATCATCTTCTTCTTCATCGTCAGTATCATTGACGTGTCGTTGCATACCGTTGACCAAAAGAGTTGAACCTTGCATTCTTTTCCTTGAACCAGCCATAAGAATAGGTCGTTTATCATCTTCACCAATGGACAGGTCATCATCATCATATTCCATTTTCACATGATTAGTAGAAGAAGGTAAGAGTCGTTGTTTCTTCTTGCGTTTTTGTTGAGGCTGTGAAGAAGATTCATCTCCAGAATCCCCAGGTTCCTTTCGTTTTTGATAATTGCCCATCAATAAACAACCCGAATATTTTTCATCCACAGAATGAAAATTAAAAGGAGTGCCCATTAAGTAATCAAAATAATAATCAATCTTGTATTTATGCATCCATCGTTTCACCCTTTGAGCAAATTGAGGTCTTCCTAACATATCTGATAATCCAAGTTGTCCAACCAATTGTGACCAATTTTTGATCTAAAAAAAAAAAATAAATTTAATGTCATGCTTTTTAATATATATATATAATATATTGATGACTTACTTCACCATTGTGTAACTTGTTTACCAAAACAAAAATATCCCAAGTAGTATAAGACAGATCACCAGTACGTGGTACAGAAGAGAACTTTCTACGAGCATACATCAACCCATCAATGCCATCACCAATAGTATCAGTATCATGATGTAAGATAAATTGAACATAACCATCTTCTATATTATCAGCTGTCACATTGTCACCATTGATCATCAATGGTTGACGTCGAAAGTATCGTTTGTGTCTTAATAATTCTTCATCATTCAAAGGCATCACAGGTACATTTGTTGATTCATCCATAGGTGAAGTTGAAGTGGACGATTTTTCATTGGATTCATGAGTAGGAGACGTATGAACTGCTGTTGTTGGTGTTGTTGAGGAAGAGGAAGAAGAAGGTCGTGATGAGGTTAATGGAGTAGGTTGAAAAAATGTTTTAGAAATATAAAATTGGTCTAAATTAGAAACATGTCGCTGAGGTGGTGAAGAAGTTTGATCATCCATACTAGTTGTGAGGTTTAAAGGTGAAGAAGACGATCGGTCAATAGAAAGTCGCTCATGATGGTTTGAAAGTGAAGTTCCCCAATGTCCTTCGTCTAAATTCTTTATATTCAAACCAATAAATTAAATGATAACATTAATATTATAAAATGTATTATACAATATATAAAATAAGTAATAAGTTACCTGTGAAGATGGATATATGGTAGTGTCGTACAGATAAGGCGCAGGTCGGTCTTGAAAAGGATGAAGGGTTATAGAAGTGGAAGTAGTATCAGTAGTAACAGCCGTAGTAGGAATAGTCATAGTAGCAGTAGTAGTAGTAGTAGTAGTAGTAGCAGTAGTAGGAGTACTAATAGAAGTAGACGTACTAGTAGAAGTACTAGTAGGAGCAGTACTAGTAGTAGAAGACGTAGTACTATCAGTAATAAAAGTAGTAATGTTGGTACTACTAGCGGAAGATGGTTTTTGATGTATATTATTAGATATAAAAAAAGGTTCTACAGCATGATGACCATTTGTAGACCGATGAACAAGATCGGACAGGTTCATACGTGTGTGTATATGTGAGAGATAAGAAAGAACTATTAGAAGGGGGGAAAATAGATAGATAGAGAGAGAGAAAGAGAAAATAACAATAATAAAAATAATAATAGAGAATGAGAAAAAGGGAAATAAAAAGGTAAAAAAGAAAAAAAAAATGAGTGGGGTGAATAGATAGAGAGAAAAAAAAGGGAGAAAGGGAAAAAAAAAAAAAAAAGCGGCAATACAAAAAAGAAAAAAAAATATATCCAATCCAAACCTTAGTGATAGCAAATTCCTTATTTGGAAGAAAAAAACTATATATTGTAAGTATAAAAATATACATATTTTTTTTTTATATAATCACCACTGAGTTTAAATTTAATCTATTTTCCTCCCCTTCTTCCTCCTCCTCCTTTTTTGAAAACATTGTATAGAAAACAAATGAATGAATTTGATGTAACTTATTATTATTATTTTTACAAATATTAAAAAATATATTTATATATGATCTACCAATGAAATTTGATTACGGAGTCTGAATTCAAAAGGTATATATATATTATTGTTGTTTGGGCAAAAATTTGTTGTTGTTATTTTTTTTTTTTGAATTTTTTCCTTTTTCCTTAATTCTTTTAACTTCCCTTTTCGACTGAAATGCAAAACAATAACTTCTTTCTTTCTTCTTCTTTATTCTTTCTTTTATATTATAATAAATCAAACTTATGCATTTTTCAGCTTGTTCCATTTCCTTGTTAGCTGAAGATGAACACTGTCAATTGGATGAAACTCAGCTTCAACATGTCAAGAATACACTCATAGTTCATCAACATCCTCAAGTGAAACAAGTTCAATTATCCTCTTATTCATTATTACTTGATGATAAAAAAACTACTTCTTTTTATATTAATGCTATTATGATGGGTCCTACTAATGCTACTATGCTTGCTCGTGGTGATCTTTTACGAAGAAATCCTTTATTGGTAAAATATATATAATATCGGGAAGTTTTTTTTTTGTATTATTTATTGACTATGTTTGTTATTTTTTTTTTTTTTTTTTGTTAGTCCAAATGTATGATTCATTCCTTCCATTCTGATCTACTTTTTAAACAATCTGAATTACATGATACATTGAATGATATTGCTACGGAACAAGGAACAAACATTCATGTTTTATGTCAATCTAAGCCAACTATGGTTCTTTATGGTGATTTAGACGCGGTTCAAACTACTCGAACTCAAATACTTATCACATTAGATCAATTGGTAAGAAAATATGATATCATTTAATAATAATAATAATAATAAATGACTCAATCTTTTTTTCTTCTTTTTATATAAGTTGGGATCAAGTATTGGAACAATAGATTTACCTTGTTATTTACAACATTTAATAGCTGGAAAACGACATCAACATTTACAAACTATTATGGAAGAAACTGGTACTACATTATATTTACAATCTCCCTTTTTCAAATTATCAGATACTCGTCACATGTCCCTGTCATTGGACCAACGTCCTGGTATTATATATCTTACTGGTTCTCCTCAAGGTATTGAACGTACTAAAGAATTGATTAAGAAATTGGTGATTCAAAAGGTATTATTATTATTATTATTATTATTATTATTATTATTATTATGTCTTTATTTATTTATTTTTTTATTTATGCGTTTTAATAGAAAAAATCAATGTATCATAAAGATTCAATTATTAAACCTGCTAAACTTGATTGGATGTTACGATATCAACAAGATGCTTTATCCAAGATCATGAAAGATAATGGTAAAAGATTTTATATACATTCATGCATTTGATTTAATATTATTATTATTATTATTATTATTATAGGTTCTGTTATTCTTTTCCCTGCTTTGGGTTCTGGTTGTAACACAATTACCGTATATGCGGAAAATCGTATTCTTGGTGAACGTACTTTTCGGCTTTTGAACTATTTGGTACAACTTTTTTTTTTTTTTGTCAAGCCAATCTCATATCTCTCTCTTTTTTTTCTTTTTCTATTTTTATTAGGAATACAGCGTATATGAAGTTTCATTTATATTCAAATCTGATGATTCTCTTAGTGAAGAAGCCAATGCTCAACGTATTTTTGGTTCTTTGGAAAAATTGGCATTTATATTAACTGAACTCACTCAAGCTTCGGGTGCTGAAATGGTATATCGTGGTGATACAAATCGTTTAGATGTTATTGGTTCTGATCAAGCTATCCAACAACTTTGTTCTATTATTCGAAATATGCAATTTTTCAAGGTAAAGCAAGCATAACGAAAAAAAAAAGTTGTGAATAATGTATTGACTGATATTTTCTTCTTTCTTTTTTTTTTTTAGGTTCATCAACCATCGATTATTTTCTCTATTGAAATGGCATCAGAACAACGTGAATTTATTAGTGGCAAGAAAAATGGCAAGATTAACAAGATCATGAAGTCATGCGATGTCCAACTACAGTTTACAGCAACAAATGAATATAACGTGGCAGTCTCAGTGGAAAGCAAAGATATCAATAAGGCACTGGTTGGATTGGCTATGCTCAAAGATGAACTTCCAGCTGAAACTTCCTTTTATGTACCTGAAGTTTATCATCGAAGGATCATCGGTGTTGGTGGCAAGAATATTCAACGTGTGATGAAAAAATATGGTGTATATGTGAAATTCTCTGGTGCGGAAGAGTTTGCTGCAATGGGTGGTTATTTTGAAAATGAACATAACGTTGTGGCCAGGACTCCAATGAAGAACAAAGAAAACCTTTACCAACTACAAGAAGCTGTTATGGAATTCATTGGATCAGATAAAGACAAAGGCTTTACCGTGGCATCAATATCAATACCTCTTCATCTCCACAGTCAACTTCTTCATCAACATGGATTTAGCTCAACCTTGACAGAATTCGAACGAGTGTATCATACACGTGTGGTTTGGCCTGATAAGATTGGTTTGGATCAAGTAACTGTTTATGGTCCTCAATCTCAATTACCCCGTTTACTGGATTTTTTACGATCAAAGGTACCGCAAGATATATGCTTTGCAGTGGAATTGACTCCATCCAAGAAAGAAGAAGAAAGGGATATAGCAACAACTCAATGGCAACAACGTTTACTTCAACGATTGAAGAAATCTTTCTCCAGTATTGATTTCGTCTTACGACAACAACACATGATATCAATCAAAAACAACACTGTTGATAATGTACGCGTTCGATGGAAATGGTTATTGAATCGACCTGGATCTATTCATTTTCGGTTACGATATACAACATCCTCTTCTTCAAATGTAGTACAGCAGCTCAAAACATTGATTCTTCAACATTGTCAACATGAAAACACACCCATCGAGTTTGAATCAGATGTGAATAATATCCAACTTTCTAGTGGTGGACAACAAAAGCAACAACGACAACAGGAACGACAGCTGTTATTATTACAACATCATCATCAAGGTGGCAACTTACCTCCTTCTCCAACTGGTACCTTCAAAGGTAAAATGACAAATCAACATGATTTTTATAACTATATATTAACATTATTTTATTAGAAGATTTGCCTCCATCTGTTCCATTATTTGATCCAACAAAGTCAATGTATGATACCACTTGGTCCATGTTTTCATCACCAACATCATCATCACCCCAATCATCAACATCAATGACCACCCGACATTATTATACTTCACATCACTCACAACAACAGCAACAACAACAACAACAACAACAGCAGCAGCAGCAGCAGCAGATTCCCATGCGCTCACTATTTGAGAGTATACCGACAACAGTAGTACCATCACTTCCACCACCTTTGATGAGGACTCATGAACCTTTTTTTATGGGAAAGCCTTTACCATCTGTTTCAGCTCCTACACCAATATCCAAACATCCTCATGATCATCATCATTACCTTCAACTTCAACAACAGCAACAACAGCAATTACAACAACATCAACAACAACAACTTCTTCAACAAAGTCTATCATCCCCAACTTATAACAAGAATATCAATCATGTCAATCATAACAACAATAGTTGGGCTACTCCTGGACCTCCTGTCAATCAAACAAGATCAAGTTGTCCAAATATATTCCTTGCTCCTGATCTATTTGCCTCGACTTCGTTACGTCGCTCATCTATTCCGGTCATGGGTGGTCCTCCTAGCAATATATGATTGAATTGAAACTATTTAGATTTAGAAATTTGTGTTAGAATAGCATCAATAAAAAATAAATAAATAATAAAAAAATGAATGGATTATGAACAAACAAATGTTGAAATTTATTATTAGGTATGGAAGAAATAGAACAACAATGTGAAATGCTAAAAAAAAAAAAAAAATATAGATATATGTTTGTGTATATGTATCAAGTTCGAAATAGCAAAAAAAAAAAAAAAAAAGGAATAGTTTGTAATATTCATAGAAATGATGTATAAAAGAAACAAAAAGAGAGAAAGAGAGGGAAAAAAATAGAAGATTATCATTGAGCTGGCCATTGACGATGCATGGGCTTGACAAAAGGATCGATCAACTGCCTTTGATCAGAGTCTCCACCATAATGAATAGCTTCCAAGGGAGTAAGGTCATGCATACTACTCGATCCATCACCAGTGACGGTTGTAGCACCGGTGATGACGGAATCATTGAGTTTATGACGAGGAGGAGCATCATACTCTTCATCATCCAAGTCGTCGGTATTATAAAGCTTGACAGCTGGGCCAGTGGCTGCATGTAAACGAAACACTTGTTGATACTGTGCTTGTTGTTCATGGATATCATTCATCATCATCATATCACCTTTTTCTTTTTCTCCAAATGACACCTGTGTACCATGATCAATACTATAGCCTCCTTGAGATTGTGTTGCATACCGTGAGCTGCCATTATTTGTATGACTGAGATGATTACTGCTGTGATGATGAGTGGATGGCTCATCTTTTCCGGTAGATGATGATTTCATATCCAAAGCAGCATTCTTTTCCATCTTGGGACTATTTAAAAAAAAAAAAAAAGATAAATCATTCCTATCGTACAATACAATCATAATACTTACTTGATCAAAATGACAAGTTCAACAAAAAGAGTGGTGATCACTCCAAGAAAAGCCCACACAATACCAAGAAAGATACTTCCAGGAGTATTCACCATAATGAGATCACGAAGAATACCATATAAAAGTAAAAAGCTTGCAAATCCTAATAGACATACGGAGCAAATAACAATGATCAATTTAATCTATATATACAAAAAAAAAAAAAAGGAATGAATATTTAAAAAAAAAATAAATCCATTTTAAGCTTACACGAAAAATGCCTACACGGACAGCAGCATAACGGTCACCAGTTGGTTTGAATTTTCGTAAATGATGATTTAAAAGCTTGATCAAACGATAACCAGCATAGGCCACAGCTGATGTCAAGGTGACGTTGTGTAAGAACCACATCACGTACAATAATCGAGTACAAATCTCGGCCACATATACATCTCGAGTAGCATATATACCGGCCAAAATGGAGAAGATGTTATTAATGACAAATGGCCAAAAGAAAAACCAACAACCAAGAAAATCAACCACTTTAGGTCCTGGCAACCATCCATCTGATAATTTCTTATGACTCTAATAATCAATGGGAAAAAAAAAAGAATTTAATGTTGGACAAAAAAGACATTTCATTATGAAAAATATAAAATAAAAGAGGACGGATCTTGCCCTTTTTGGATGGATCTTTTTTTTTTTTTGATTAACTTACATCAGCTAATGTTTGTGCTATCCCCACTAGATATAAAGCAACTAGAGAAGAGAATGAGGATGGTTAATGAAGGATGACTTGATGACTTGATGATGAAATATATGATGACTAATGGATCATAACTATGCTCGACGTTCATTTATTGTATAAAGGGAAAAAAGAGAAAGACTTACATCCTCCATAACCAAACTGCCAAGGAATTTCAAATACCCCTATTAAGAAAAATATATATATATATATATGATCATCAGGGACCAAAAAAAAAAAAAAAAAAAAAAAAAAAGAAAAAGCATTCATTTCCTTACAAGATCGAAATATCAGATTGGTTGGTGCAACATTTAAGATAAGTATTAAACTACTGAGCAGTCGGACTAAAATTAGAAAGATATGAATATATAATGTGAATAAGCGGAAAAAAAAAACCTGGTTTCTGGGTTCAGAGAAATGAATTTATAAAACTTACGCATATTGAATATATTGAGAAAAAATAATAAACAATCCACAGGTCGAGGTCTTAAACAACCTTTTTGTGAACCAAAATCAAACAATAGATTGCCTTTGACTTTTATACGATGAAAACTGATGGCAGCACCTATGATGAAGGCAAGTGCTGAAAGAACTGCGTGGATGATATTCACATAATACATGACACCCGCTTCAGAACAGTTTTCTAATGTCAATCTCCAATCACAGTGGCAAGACCCATCTCCTGGACAATGTATCGGTAATGTACGTATTACTTGATATGCTGACGTCGTTTCCATCACTTTACTATATAAATCAACACAAAAAAAAAAAAAAAAGAGAGAGAGAGAGAGGGAGAAAAAAGGTTATATTTTCATTTTTATATACTTCAATCAATTTTTGATGAGTTACTTTTTTGTCTCCGCATGTAATGCAAATTCAACAGAGTGCTCCAGGCTTAATGATTCTGTTACACAGATAACTATTTTTATTCATTTTATATGCCTCAACAAGAGAAGAGATGCTTCTTTTTTCTTTTATTATTATTATTTATTATTATTTTGTTTTCTTTTTGATGATGAAAGAGTTTTATAAAGATGAAAGTCTTGTCAAATTAATTAACGTTGATTCACATGATTTGCCGTTTGCAATAAAAAAAATGTCAATCATTTTTTATTGGTGAACTTTCACTTGTTTTAGACTCAAATCCAAAAAAAGACAAAATCAAACCTTTTTTTTTTTTTCCTTCACTCGGCTATTAAACTCTTTTTTTTTTTTTTTAGGAACCAAGTCTTCTCTTTTGTTTTTTTTGTTTTTTCCGCGCAAACTTTTTTAATCACGAGCTATTTTAATAAAACAAATTAAAATGATGTATGAATAGTAAAGAAAATCCACAATTTCTAGACTATTGAATACCAAAAATATATATAAATTGATTTCCTCATGATGTTACACTGAAGTTGAACTGAGCGTATATGATATGATGACTTTATCATGACATGGCGGGATAGAATGAAAAAAAAACCTTAATCAATCAAACACACGTTTTTTTTTTCTTTTCTTTTTTTTTTTTTTTTTTTTTTTTTGAATAAATTCAATGATTGATATTGTATGGTGGAACTGATGAACTGTAACCTATCAACTCAAAAGGGGGGATTAAGAAATTGGAGGCGGCGAATGAAAATAATCGCATGAGAGAGTGGCTTATTTGTGAGCGAAAGATTGCTAAGAAAAAAATATATATCCTTTTTTTTCACTTTCCCTTTTTTTTCACTTTTTTGACAAACTTTAATGGATCTTTTTCATTTACTTGGTAGTGGGGCAAACTTCAACAAACAACGATTTCATAACGATGTTGAAATATTTGAAGTAAGTTATTATTATTTTAAAAGGGGAAAAATAACTAATATATATTATAAATAGTCAACTCCAGATAAAGATACAGATGTGACTAAAGATACGGAAGCTAGAGATCAACTTTTAGAAGAACTTGATTTCTTCAAGACAACTCATACTATAGTGGATGGGAAAAAATCAAAGAAAAATAAAATAAAAAATAATGAAGAAACAACATGTAAAGTTTGATAATATATATATATATAATAAATAATACATATAACTTAATCAATTCTTTTATAGATACACCTTCACCATTAACGAAATATGACTTTACAAACAACAAAGAAGTAGAAGAATATCGCAAACATCATCGTATTCGAGTATATGGTACTGATGTACCTGAACCTTTTCAACATTTTGCCGATCTATCCAGTGGTATATACAATATGAATCCTAAATTATTAAAGAACTTGTATGATAGTAAATATACTAGTCCTACTCCTATTCAAATGCAAGCTATTCCTATCATGGTGAAAGAACGAGATCTTATGGCCTGTGCTCCTACTGGTTCTGGTAAAACTATGGCTTATTTGTTACCTATTTTACATGATTTGAAAAAACATGAAAAAGTTGGTTATCGTGCTTTGATCATAGCTCCTACTCGTGAATTAGCTCAACAGGTATATAAAATAATAATAATAATAATAATTATATAGACTTTATTTTTATATTTTTTTTTTTATCAATAGATTGATCGTGAATTATCAAGATTATCAACTGGAACCAAACTCAAAACTCATTTATTGACCAAAGCAGCAACAGCAGGAGATAAAACTCAATTACCTGAACAAAGACAAAAATTTGGTAAAGAATCATATATAAATATATGTAATTTTCTAACGAATTTATAATAGATATCTTGATTAGTACACCAATGCGTTTGATTTATGCTGTTAAAGAAAAGGAAGTGGATTTGGCTCAAGTACGACATTTGATATTGGATGAAGCTGATAAATTATTGGAACTTGGATTTTTGGAACAAACTGATGAAATCTTTGCTGCCTTTAGTGGATCTCCTGTACGCAAAGCTTTATTCAGTGCTACTTTTTCACCTACTGTGGAAGAATTAGCTCAATCTGTCATGAAAAATCCAACTCGTGTAGTCATTGGATCAAGGTAACAAAAAAAAAAAAAAAAAGATGAATCCTGTTAACTTTTTTTTTAAATAGAAATGCGGCGACAGAAACTATTAAACAACAATTATTATTTACTGGGAATGAAGCTGGAAAAATGGTAGCATTACGTCAATATGTCAGTAAAGGACTCAAACCACCAGTTTTAATCTTTGTTCAATCCATTGATCGTGCAAAAGAATTATTCAAGGAATTGGTATTTGATGGTATCAATGTAGAAGTCATTCATTCAGATCGTACAAAGGCTCAGGTATATATATAAAATAAGAAAGAATTTAAAGAAAAACGTTGACCTCTTTTTTTTTTTTTCTATTTGTAGCGTGAAAATATCATTGATCAATTCCGTTTAGGAAGAATTTGGGTATTAATTGCTACTGAATTAATGGCTCGTGGGTTGGATTTTAAAGGTGTGAATTTGGTGATCAATTATGACTTTCCACAAAGTATTGAAAGTTACATTCATCGAATCGGTCGTACAGGTCGTGCTGGACGTCAAGGTGAAGCCATTACGTATTATACAAAGGATGATTTTGATTATTTGAAAACCATTGTCAATGTGATGCGAGAATCTGGATGTGAAGTGCCTGATTGGATGTTATCAATGAAGAAAGCAAAGTAAGTGATGGAAAAATGGAGAATAAATACAATTTTGTATTGATATACTTTTTTATAGTAAACAACAAAGGAAAAAATTAAGACAAGGTCGTGTTGAACGAGAAGCCATTGATACCACTCCAAAATATGATTTGAAAAAGGCAGCCAAGTTAAAGTAAGTTGATATAAATGGAATGAAATGGATGATCTTACATATATATATTTTGTAGGGCCATGATTGAAGGATCTAAACGAAGAAAAAGAAAGGCTCAATTAGCGGAAAAGGAAAAAGCGAAAAAATCCAAACAAGAACAAACCAACGAATGATTCAACAAAATTCCCTTTTTATTAGCATATAATTATAGATTGGTTTTTAGAATTGTATATTTGTACCATCATCTCCCTTCATTTTACAACATTTTCATCTTTAATAAACATCATTTTGATTATATATATCTTATTTACATTATTTCTCAAAAGTTTATACTTCTTTTTTCGTTGTTGATCATTATGATAGTCTTTTTTTTTTTTTTTTTGTAAATTCATTACTATGATCTCTCGTCTATATATATGTTAAAAAGAAGGTTGATGACCAGAGACAGAATACACAAAGAATAAGATCCAGGCAACCAAGATTGAAATGAAGAAGAGAGAAAGATAAATGTAGTGTAGTTTAGCCACTGGAGTACCATCATAAGGAAGAATGCCTTGACGCACCAATGCTTGTTCTGTAGCACTGGCTTCCTTCATCTTGAGCATACGAATGGATTTTTTACACTCGAGGAGATGATGATAATTCCAACGTTGCAGTGCCCATAACAGGATGATCAAAGCAAAGCCAAAGGCAGCCAGGAGGATGAATAGTAGCATGACTTGTGCATAGGTATGACCAGGGGTATGATCCTGCACGACACCGACCAAGATATCCAAGATGGAAGTGCCGGTGCTATTGATTGATTTGTATATGCCCAAGCCGGTGCCAATGTAGGCAGCAGGAAGAAGCATGGCGATGGATGTGATCATGGTCAATGGACCACATGCCAAAGACAGGGAGAAAAAAACCAAGCCGACTGTAGGATGGACATCCGTCCTCCAACCAAGAAGGTAACAGGAAAGGAGATAACAGATACCCGATAGACCTAGGATCGAGATCCGTACACCCCATATGTCGATGATCAGGCCCAAGATCGGTGAAAGGACAAAGGGGATGACTTGGCTCAAACTGGCTTGATAGCCGGCCAAGGTCTGGGAGGTTGCCAATCGCATCATGACCAATTCGGTGGTTACGGTTTGGAAAGCGGACCATAAGCCTGCATAGATGAATTCAATACTGATGATCAACCAAAAGATGAAAGGGAAATGAAGAATACCATTTATAGATCTCTTTTTTTTTTCTTTTTCTTTTTTTGTTTTTGGTTGAAGATGAAGTAAGGTACCAGCATAGATGATGTTCGTCACAATGGAAAATACACAAAGTCCAAAGGATAACCAAAAGGGAGATACCCAACTTCCTGTAGCATCAGCTAAGGGATTAGATACCACTTGACCAAGAAAACTAGCCATATGGCTCATGGATAACTGCCATCCAATAGCTACAGATAAATGATGCGTGCGAAACCATTTCGATAGGATGGATTGTTGCATGATGACAATCAAACCTGAGCCTATACCGAAAACAAGACGTCCCACCACCATCAGAGCATAAGTATCTGATTGAGCCGCTAATGTCGTCAACAGACTACCCATCACTGTCATCATACTCACTCCTAACGTGCCCCATATGCCATCAAAATGATCTGCCATCATCCCGCCCAACATAGGTAGTACCGTACTGGCAATCGTCACTGATGATGATACCACTCCATATCTTGTATTATCAATATTTAAATGCTAATAATAATAATAATAATAATAATAATAAAAAGGAGGGGGACAAACATTAAGCTGCCGTGCTTATTTTTTTTTTTGGCTTCTGTTCCTTTATTATTATTATTATTATTTTAAAGAAAAAAAAAGACACTTGCCGTTTTCATGGTTGACTTCATTGCACTCATTGACATACTGGAAAAATGAGCTCCAATAGATAACATCAGGGTAGTAAAAAGAGCAATACCTTTATATTGCCATGAAGCATTTGCCAAGAGGGCTTCAGTACTATGTGGATGATCATCACCATTATCATCATCATGATGAGGTTCTAATGTTGGTTCTTCTTGTCTCACTGATTCTTCTGATTTCTTCAGTATATCATCATCCTTTACTTCCAAAGACATATCGATAGAGAAAAAGGGAAAAAAAAAAAAAAGGAAAAAAAAGGATAAATAGAAACTGAATTGGGGGTGATGCATGACAAAAAACAAATAAAATGCAGTAAACATCGGTGTTTGTTGGCCGAAAGTGAATCATCCTTTCTTATACAACACATTCAATCACTTTTTCATCAGCAGACTACATCTTTCTTTTCAGTTTCAAGTTCTTTCATTATCGTTCAATCTCGCATTTTCAAGCAACCGGACATTCAAAAATCCAAAGGTGATATGCATATACAACATTATCTTTTTATCTATTTTTTTCTTCTTTGCCCCTTCTTCCTCTTGCTTTGTTTATTTATTTTCTTTGTTTCGAAACAATGGATTTTCAAGGTTATATTATCACAATAAAAAAAAACATGGCAAGGTAACTATCACATTGACTAATCTGATCATGTTTTTTTTTTTAAAAGAAAAAGGGAATGGAACGACAACCGTAGGAATGAAAAGTCAAACGACCTTACTAACCACACCACCTACAACAGAAACACCAGCAGAAACACGTTCTACTGCACCAGCCGCAACAGTAACCACTGCAGATGACCACAGTTTATCCAAAAACAAACATAGTGATGCTGTCTCTTTCTTGCCTCTACGTGAACTAGATCCTCAGTTAACAGAAGATCGTTTTGATCAATATTTCAAGAAAGGTCACAATGATATACAAGGTAAATATTCTTTTATTATTTTCATTCTCTTTCAAAATTTTGACACACACACACACATATATATATATGTATATATATATATATAAGCATATCTTTGTTTACTCTTTTTTTTTTTTTGTTGGGTGGAGAGGTTAGATCTATCTGTGACATTACATGCCATGGTGGATAAACTAGTAGAGTCTATGGAACAGTTTCGTGTTGCAAGTCATCATAATTTCCTTTTGACATGTCGGGAACGTATCAAGACCATTCAAACCATGGAAACAGAACAAAGTAAGAAATGCTTTATATTGTTTAGTGATATAAATTTATGTTGATTAGATAGGATGACATCGCAAATCAAACAGTATATTTCTATGGTTCGCCAAGCTCATCAAGAAGTCTTCAAGCAGCAACCTTCATCCATGGATCGAAACTCATCGTAGCAACACAATACGTAGTCAATGCATTTAGTATGGCCTCATTCTTTTTTTTAGTGTAGCATCATAGTCAATCATTTTTTTTTTTTTAGTGTAGCATCAAAATTAAATATGTAGTAGTAGTAATAGTTGGTCATTAGATCAGTTTTATTCCAAATATAATAAATAATATAATATCAATGATTATCTAAAAAGAAAAAAAAAAAGAAAGAATCTATGCTAATAAATCCGAATGTTCGTCCCAAAAGGCTTGACCAATAATATCTTCATATACGGCAGTAGGCACCTTTTTCAACCTTTGCACTTGTTCGCCATTTCTAGGTGAAATGCTAGTAACCATTTTCTTCAAGCGTAATATGGTAGATCCTTTTCGATAAATAGGTTCAATGTTGTTGTAGTTGATGTTATAATCAGTGAAGAGGATTTCATTCTTATCCTTTGAAAATGTACCCTATTATATGATGATCAGTGAGTTTATATATATATATATATATATATATATATATTATATGTTTTACCTTTAATTTCTCTTCAGCTTCAATTTCAGTCTTGCCATCATGAACCAGACTCCAAAAGGTAGTATTATATAAATTGTTGATATGACAATCCGCCTGACGCCATGATAGATAATCTCGTAAATTTTGATCCGAAGGGTAACATACTGTACGAGAATCAAAACAGGGAGGGTATTGTAAAGGTTCATCGCCAAAGAATCGAGACCAAGCCATGACATAATTGGATGCAAATAAACTGACCACCGTGGATGATAATTTGCTATTCAATAAAAAGAATAAGTTCTATCTTGTATCCTATATTATTATTATTATTATTACCTTGCCCGTCTTGAATATAAATTACATGCTTTTGGGAGGACAAAACTAAAGTAAAAAAAAATAAGAGGTGGAAGCATAAGAAATAAAGACAATTTACCTATATTCATCACTTTGACCATAAGCAAGTATAATATCATGAAGATCTATCATAACCTGGATCGCACAATGATTCATAAGATCAATAGCTCGTCGGTCATTTGGTTTGGCAAAATGGTGTGTTTGTGAGAATCTATAGAATAAGATGATCAGTCATGAAAAAAAAAAAATAGAACAAAAAGTTACCTATGGAAACCTCGACCATCGATACGAATGACAATGTAAGTGTTAGGTAATAAAGTATCGTTTTGTTCAAAGTGACGAACATATTCATATTTTGAATTTGCCATGGTAAGTGAAAAGAAAACCGATTCCTTTTCAAATCCAAAGTGGAAGGCGTTTTATAGCTATTGCAACTCCGATGCGACCTCTAATCTCATAACTATATAGTAGTAGTTATTCAAAGAAAATGATAAAAAAAAGTAAAACAATAATGTCTTGATTGTGATTTTTATTAAACTAATAAAAAAAAGAAACAAAGATATATATATATGTGGAAACAATGTATAGTGACAAGAGATCAGAAAGATCTACTAATGTAAAAATATGGGAAAAAAATATAACTACTGAAAAGGGAAGGAAGTTTTGTATTCCAGAGTCAAAAAGAGGAAGAAAAAAATGAAATATAACATGTAAGATGTATGAAGAAGAAGAAGAGAGAGTGTGTATATGTTATGTAGCAAAATGAGGTTAATAGAAGAAAGATTCAAAAAAAATAGAGAGAGAGACTATATAGTTTACAAAGGACGAGCAGGAAGTTGAGGAAGTAAGATCTTGTATCTCTTCTTAATGGTAACACGTTGACGAGAGAACTTGTCATCAGGTGAGAAACGAGCTGGATGAGCAGATTTAGTGGCGTTACCGAAAGGATCTACTTTCTATTTATTATATAAAAATATTATGTGTTAGTCTTTTCATCATTTATTATTTTTTTTTTTTTGGTTCATACCTTGAGAGTGTACACACGTTCACCTTTCTTATCCAAATAATACATCAAATACATGTTGATATCGTTTGTTTGCTTTGAAGAAGAAAAGAGAAAAAAAAGAAGTGGAGAATAAAAAAAAAATTCCAAAATGGTAAAAATAAAAAAAAAATAGTTGTGACAGGATTACATATAAGCCACATAGTCAGCGTGTACCTTTCTTTTTTGCATGAATTTTGTTTATTGATACAATCTAACATGGTTTGCTAAGAATTTCATAATCAAATCTTCTTGCTTTACTTCTTGGTAAACATGCTCCAGGAGAGATTTCATCCAACGAGAATCTATAACAAGAATCAATTTAACATATAATTCATCAACATTATTATTTTATTCACTTACCCCATCCTTTCAGTATAAAATCGCATTGCACCTTTGTTCTCTATTATAATACAAGTTCTTATTCATTTTCTTTATATATACAATATATACTTACTTTTGAAGACTGTTAACATGACTTTTTCCATTTTCCAATGATGACCAATTTGAAAAAGAAGATCCATCAAATATTCACCTAAACCTTGATTCCTTGCATCTTCCGATAATTGAAGTTCATAACTAGTATATAAAAGAATCTTTTTATCATACTTTGTTACATATTATTATTATTATTATTTTACCAATAAGCGACTTCAGCCATCACATCATCATCCATTGTTTCTTCTTCTACCATTTGAAACATCAAAAAGCCTTTCAAATCAGTTGGATCATTGGTGGACCTGGCGATCAAATACCTAGCTTCTGGAGCCTGTAATTCTGCCTTTTTTCCAGATTCACTCCAACCGTCATTTGATGTCACATAGAGATGGTATAGATTGGTTTTTGTCAATTCAAATGTCCAGTCGACCAAGTTTGGTGGTAATGTAGAAGAATGATAATAATCTATGGTGAGATCTAGTTGAGCTCTAGAAAAAAAAAAAAGAAAGAAAGAAAATAAGTACTATATTGTGATAGAATGAATATTCTTAACCTTTGATATATTAAGGGAGTATCTATAAACGAAATGAGAGAGGTTTCCTATAAAATAAGAGTCAAGGTCAGATCACCCACTAATGGTACTGTTTTCTTTAAAGGAGAATTGGTAAAAAAACATCCTTACATTGTTGACCGCATTCAATTTTTCCTAAAAGTAAATATAACAAGTCTGCTCTTAAGCATATTCCTACTTCTTTTTTTTTAATAAGTATTCCATTACTTTATTACTTACACTTGGCATAGGCATCTGCAGACAAATCACCAATAAAACGAAGACAGAGGTGGAAGAGAGTTGGAGGTAATCAAAAAAATGAATTAGGATTGCTGACTTTTTATTGGCTGAGCTTTCAGACAAGTTGATTGGCTGATTCCGTTCAAGGCACAAAACTTGATGATTGTGTCAAGCCAACATAATGTCGCCTTTTTTTTTTACAAGTAACAATATTAATTTTTTATGATCCATCCATTATAACAAGTGTACATTCTTTGAGTATGTCTAAAAAAAGTGCCAATTTCCTTTTTCGTTCCATTACCAAAATTCATAAAACAGGTGAAGGAACATTCCCATTTTTTTTTTTTGCTTACCTTCTGCGATATGACTGGCTGCGGTGAACCAAATTCTCCACTCTTTTTTATATAGAAATATTCTTATGTATTTTTTTTTTACGTTTCTTTTTCTTTATAATCTACTATATATCATCCATTTTTTTTTTTTTTGGTCTTTATTATTACATCACAACTATACAATGATAGAACCAGCCTCAGCATGGGAAGTGACGGTATCAAGTGATGGAGAACGTATTCTTTGCAAGGCACATAATAAGGAACAGTGTGAACACTGCCAAGTGGACTGGACACAACACAATCAGTTAGCGACGACGTTAAAACAAGTCAAAGAACTTCCTTCACCCAATACACCCAATCCTGTCCGTAATGCACAAGTGAATCGACTCAAGGAAGAAGGCAACAAGTATTTCAAGCAAGCTAACTATACAGAAGCGATTCGTTTCTATGGGATGGCGGTGGATCTTTCTTGGTCTCGCCCTCTATGGGAACCCTTGGCCTTCCAGTACGTACGTGAAGAACTATCTCCCATCTTATCCAATCGATCCGCTGCACACCTTGCCCTCAAGAATAATGTCGATGCCTTGGTGGATGCTGAGATGGTCACTCGTCTCAAACGTGAATGGAGCAAAGGTTGGTTCCGCAAAGGTAAAGCACTCTTGGCCATGACAAGGTTTGAAGATGCTTCTGAGGCCTTCCAAACTGGTTTACGCTTTGATCATGAAAGTGAAGAATTACAAAAGGCTCTGGCTGAAGTCGATCAATTACAGAAATCAAATCAACAATAATAATATATATATATGGTTTTGAAAATGGGAGGGGTTTTGTTTTTTCTTTAAGTCAATGCATGGATGTTAATTGTTGAATTTTATATATCAATAAAACAGATTATTTAACCATCAGTATATATATTTTGATCTTTGATGAATGTTTGAATTATTTTTTTTTTTTGTCTTTATTAGTGTACATGAGAGATCTATTCCAGATAGATAAAAATAAAATAAAAAACATGATCATAAAACTTTGATATAAAATACAAGATATTCATAGAAAAAAAATAATAAAAAAAAAGTATAGGGCAACATCACCACTATTACGATTGTGATCCAGGACATATACCATCAGATTGACCAGTGACAGGACATACAAGAGTTTTCAAATTGGATGCATCTTCGTTTTTCTTGTTTACTAATTCAGTCGAAAAAGGACATCCACCATCATCATCATTGTTGTTGTTATCATTACTATTGTTACGTTGACCTGTAACTGGACACACATCATCATCATCTGGGTTTTGTTGTTGGCCAGCCAAGACAGGACATCCATTATTGCTACGTTGACCAGTAACAGGGCATACATTCATCCTCATCAAATCTATTTGATCTATCATATCTTTTTCAGATACTTTATAAACAAATGGTACCACCCTTGAGTCGTTATCATCAATATCATCAAAGTAAGAGGATACAATATCTTGATCATCATCATCATCGTTCAAAGATCCTTGCCAAGAAGTTTCACCACGAAGAAATTGTTGATAATCAGAAGATTGACGCCATTTTTTGTTAAGATTTTCTTCCATATTGATCACATTCAAAGGTGACATATTACGTGCTTTTTGAACTGCTTTGAATATAACCTAATAATGAAAATGGATATAAAAAAAAGAAGTCAATGAAAATAATAAAAAAGGAAATCATCTTTTTTTTTTTTTGGTCTTATTACCTTGAGAAGAATAGGAGGTAAAGTATACCAATGAGTCAATATCTTTTGACTCCAAACAGTATCTAAAAGTTTCAATCGTGAGATGATGTGACCAAGACTTGATGCATCAAAACAATCACTTATTTCCTTTTGCCAGGTAGAAATACGTTCTGGTCCAGGGTAAGAATGATCAAGAGCCAAAGCTAATTGGACAGCTGTCGAAGTAGAAGGAGAAGGACAAAGCGCCATACGTTTTGCATTTGAAAAAGCATCCGACAATTTCGTTTCAGGGACAAAGATATCAAGAAGCCCTAAACGTAACAATTCAGGAGCACGAAGGCGACCGAAATCAGGAGGTGCCAAAGCAAGGTAAAAATCCCATCCAATAGGTAGTGGTAACTTGTTGCTTGATTTATTGCGCATGTCACAAAGTTGGAAGAGAAGTAAGGGCGGGATAGGTGCATGCGAAAGTGTCAGATGGCAGTCCAAAAGACAGTGTTCGGTACCAATACGCAAATAACCATGCCATAAAGTGAGATATGCTGCATTCAAGGGGATCTGACCGTTCATAAAAGTAAATGTAGGTTTGGTGATGATCGACATCGGTTGTTGTTGTTGTTGGTCAATATGCAGGTGCTGGTGTCTTACATAGTTGTAATAAGTTGTGCCGAGATAATCCAATGCAGGGGCCAGTTGATCGATAATGTTATCATTATTATTATTATTGTTTTTTAAAGCTTGATAGGTTGCTTCGTAAGCCAATCCACTACTGATCACCTTGGTATCATTTGTTTCTATACGATCATTTGTTGTCATGATAGAATCATTACTTTTTTCCGCCACCGTTGCTGTTAATAAAATGCTAGTGGTTTTGTTGTTTGATAAAGCTGATGTCAATTCTTCATTCAATTCGTTTAATCTTGCTTCTGTTAACATATTTCGACTACGAGGTGAGGCAAAAGTGACAATGGTTGGACCAGTAAATTTAGGAGGTTCCACAGATAAAAATTCATCCGAAATGATTTGAGGTCCAAGATCAGCTAAAAAAGGAGGTGAAAATCAAAAGTTAGTTCATAAAAAAAAAAATAATAATAGTATTATTATTAATACCTTTTCCTTTATTTTGCCATAGATTCGCAAATGGACAAGTAGGCTCATTCTTTTGTTCTTTGTTGTATTTCCAAGTGAGATAGTCTTTCACATCAATAGATTCAACACAGCTACATATAGATTCAAAAGACAAAAAAAAATTGTTAGGTCATATTGAAAAATATTCATATATATATATATATATATATATATATATAGTTTGTATTATGTACTTACGCTGAATAATAGAATGCTTTCACCTTGATAAATTCAGTATCAAAATGTGTCTTATCCCATAATTTCTTAGGTTTACTACCACTCACTTGTTCTTGTACCCAGCCTTCAATAATCTTTGGTAAACCTTTGATATACTTTTCATCCTGGTCAAAGTTGTATTCTTCTAAACGTTGATATTTTGCTCCATTCTCTAGTTTAACTTGCTCCAATTCATATTCAAGGTACTTTTCCAAATCAAAGGAATGTTTAAATCTATTTTGTTTTTTTAAAAAAAAAAAAAGAGTTAATTTATTATTCTTTTGATATATAAACTTAATAATATTTTATTACTTTGAATAATAAAAATGTTTTGCTCGAAGAAGTTGTAATGTATTTTGGTTATCTTGTTGGTGTTGTTGATATGCTTCATCAAGTGGTGTTATAATGGATTGTTTATTTGTAGTTGTTTCCATGGAACGTAAAAGATTATTCAAACCAGATTGGAATACTGTATCCTCTAACCAATTGTATGTTTTAAAGTCTTCAAATACTTTTTTTTCTTCGACAGCCATGGTTCAAGCAAGAAATATAAAATATATAAAAAAAAAAAAGAAATGGGAGAAAATATACCCCAGATTTTTTTATAAGCTTACCAAGGAAACGGTATTTCAAATATTTGGTTCTGACTGGAAAATAAAAGTCTTGATATTTTTAATATAGTTTTTTTCAATGATTTTAATAGATGATCATTTATTTGTATAATCTAACACAATCACTAAATAATAATAAAAGTAACTAAACTATAAACCTTCAGATGGCCACATCCAAGCAAAAGTATCAGGAAGATCACCAGATTGAATACCACGATATTCCTTATAGAGGTGTGCAAAGCCTTCACCAATTTCAGTCTGCACACCAGAACCAATCCTGATCACCTTGTCGCCACGAACAATTTTACGAATAGGAGTTAAAATAGCAGCAGTACCCACAGCAGCCACTTCATCAAACTTGCCTTGTTCTAATTCTTCAAACTTGACTGGTCTTTCTTCCACATTCCAACCTAAATTTTTTTCAGCAATATCTTCCAAGGATAACCGAGTAACGGATTGTAAAACAGTACTAGAGTTGGGTGTTACAAATGTTCGTTTCTTGGTCACAGGATCAGGATGAGTCAATGCCACAAAGTTTGATGTAGAGAATTCGTCAATGTATGAATTTGTTTTACTATCCAAATGTAATGTGATGGGATATCCTTGTTCCTTGGCACGATGCATAGGTCCGAAGGTCGGTGCATAGTTTCCTCCTACTTTGGTAGCACCAGTACCCTTTGGCGCAGCTTTTTTTGATAAATATAGTTAGTAAAAAAAAAAAAAATACATCATCATAAATCTGGAGAACTTACTTCGATCAAAATCTTCGATCACAAGAGCATCTACAGGAACAACACCACTCTTATAATAATTTCCAACAGGCATACCAAAGACAATAAAGTTGAATTCAGGAGCAGCACCCATACCAATGAAAGCACCACTACCAAATAGAACAGGACGAATATAAAAGGAACCACCAGATTCTTTGGGAGGAACATATTCCAAATTGGCTTCTACCGTTCGACGTACAGCTTGTTCAAAGATTTCTACAGGAACACGAGGCATATAGGCCATATCCGCACTACGTTGCATACGTTCTGCATTCAAACGAGGTCGAAAAATACGAACACGATTATCCTTGTCACGGAAAGCTTTTAAACCTTCAAAACACTAAAAACAATGTATATCAGTCATAATTGGTTTTATACCATTTAGAATATTACCTGTTGACCATAGTGTAAACCAGTAGCACAAACATGAACATTCAACATGGGGTCTGTCAAAAACACGCCTTCATCCCAACCAGTAGTAGGAGTCCAAGTATATTTAACAAAACCATTAGTATCACGATATTGAAATCCAATGTTTTCCCAGTCAAGTTTGTTAGTAGGAGTTCGTGAAGACATCATTCTAATTTGTAATAAAAAAAAAAAAGAAAAAGAAAAAGAAGAAAAAATGCTTTTTTTTTTTTTCTGGGTTGTAGGTTTAAATCCACCAAGTGAGTCATTCTCAAAAAGGCGTAAAAAAGTTATAGTGTACCGCGCTTTGCTTTTAAAAGCCCGAATGACACTTTTTAAGCTGATCGACAGTCTAAACTCACTTTTTTTTTTCAATAAAGGGGTATATAAAGTTTTGTTAACTTGCCACATTATCTTTTATAAAAAAAAAAAATTACAAAGTTACATGACGCTCAGACTACTCATTTTGGTTAAACACTCACCCCTGAGTTGTTCCCCTTTTCGACCCTCCTCTTACTCTCATCATTACTCCCATAACAAAATAATAATAATAATTCATTTCTCTTTCACTTTGTTTTTCTTTTTTTTAATATTCATTCTACTTTTTTTTATTATTATTATTGATAATGCAATATCATCCACATTCATCTTCTTGTTCTAATTGTTATCCTTCTTGTACACCCATATATGTACCTTCACCAATGATTTGCTCTTCTTGTCATCGGAAATCAAACTCCACCATTCATCATCATCATCATTTTCATTATTTACCACCATCATTATCTTCCTATTGTTGTCAATTTCAATATTGTTATTCGTCTTGTACTCATCCTAAAAAAAAGAAGGATCAATGTCATTGTTGTGATAACACATCTCCAACAAATCATACCAATACCCCTATTACCAACAAAAATAATCCTAACGTTGATCATAATATAAATGATAGTAATATTAACATCCGTCAACATCATTATTATCCTAAACAATACAAATTACTACATCATGCCATTCAAGAATTGATTCAATCAGAACGAGATTATGTAGCCGATCTTTCTATTATGGTAGAGGTAAACACTTTTCTTTTTTTTTTTTTTTATTTACATATAATGATTACCCCATATTCTAAATTTAGTCCTTTTTTAATCTACATATTTTTTGTTTATTGTCATTCGTTGTTGTTGTTGTTGTTGTCGTTTTTTGAGAATAGATTTGCCTTGCAGAACTACATCAACAAAAATGGATATCTGCCGAACACGTGGCCATCATGAGTTGTAATAAACCCGATATTTTAGCATTTCATCGAAAATTGCTTCATACTCTTGAAACTTTGATATATGATCAACATCAAAAGCAACGGTTAGATCAAACGAATCATCCTATCATTACTATGGAAACGAAATGTCAGACGATTGCACAAGTTTTTCTACAATATGTAATGATGATATGGAATCACTTTTTTTTTCTTATGATTTTTTTTTCTTTTTTTAATATTAGGAATCCCAATTTATGGACCTTTATACTACTTATTGTGATAGTCATTCAAATCGATGGAAACTTTGTACTGAATATCGTGGACGATCTGAATGGTCTGATTTTATTTTACATTGTCAAGCTTTGATTCAAGTACGATATGAAGCTTCATCCTCATCGTCATCATCATCATCAAGTACTCCTATAAAACATATTCGATTTGAAGACTTTTTGATCAAGGTATATATATATATATATATATATATATAGAAGAAAAAAAAAGATAATCATGCCACTATCGATTACTATTTATTTATTTATTTATTTCTTCACTTATTTAGCCTATCCAAAGAATATGTCGTTATCAGTTGTTATTAAAGGAAATCATTCGACATGCCAATCAATATGCAGCCAGTTCAGGTTTTGGATATCCTACTTTATTGATCCAAGCTTTTGATAGTATGTATGATATCGCAACGGAAATTGACCGACAGAATGAAAAAAGAGAGGATGTGGAACGGACCAACCGCTTTATTGAAAGATTGGAGAGTGATTGGAGATTATCAAGACATCGTGTGGCCCAACTTGGATGCCTTGTGATTTCAGGGGCATTGGATATTAAGTATTACAGTGAAAATAACCACATGCATCATCATCACGAGTCATCTCCCTCTTTCCCTTCATCAGCCACCCACGTTGTGAACCCTGTAAATGCAATGAAATCTAGTTACCTTGGATGTTTTGTATTTTCTTCCTATATCATCATGGTTCAAGTGAAGAAACATACTCTTTATGATGCTAAACATTGGTTTCCATTAAGTATTGTGAATCTATTGGATAGTGATAATGGTAAAAAAAAAAAAAAAAAAAAAAAAAGTCAATTTAATTTATTTATTTATTTCGTTTCAAATTATTCAATTACTTATCCCTTGTCTCACCCCTTTTTTTCTCTTTATGTATATTTTGCAGATACTGATTTCATTCTACAATGTCAACAACATGTGTTTATTTGTAGTACAACATGTAACAAAGAAAGACAAACTTGGATGGAGAAAATCAGATCAGCACAACGTACTAGTGTCAATACTTTACAATCATCTTTTGGTTTGGTGTCATCTTTTAATGATCCTTCGCAAACTCTTGAACGTGATCAAATACTATTTCCTCACTCCCCTACAATCTATTTTGACCCAGATCATTCTTATTATCATCCTCATCGATGTCCCCTTTCCTCATCATCATCATCACCCAATTTATGGTTGGCAAAACAAGGCAAACAAAAAGACAAAAGGTCCTCTTCTCCTCGTCCCTCATCGAATATCTGGTCATTGCCATCATCACCACTTTCTACCATCAATAAACGTCATAGTTCGTTGGATTTATTTAATCTGACCACACGAGTATCACTTCACTTCAAAACACATCATCGGAATGCTCATCGAGAGGCTGTAGATCAACGGCTTCGGGATGTCTGTACACGAGATTATTTATCATCACGACGTACGCTGGATCGTAAATCAAGTGTGGATCCACAACAAACATCACCTCGTGTTTCGTCTTCTGTCGCTTCTTCTCCAACTTATGCTTTGATTCATAGCCGAACACCATCACCTCGTCCATCTCCCATCACCACAAACCATGATACACTCATTGCCCAACAATCTTCAAATGAAGCATCCATGAGAAAAAAGAAAGATCAAGATCCTTCTTCTACCAATATGCAATCAAAACATATGACTATCCGATGGGTCCATTCTTTCTGGCATCGATTAAAGAAATCCAAGAAAAACAAAAAGCGTCCTCCGCAACCAATTCAAGAGGAAGAAGATGAAAAAAAAGAAAAACATAATGAAAAAAAGGAGAAAAACGTAGCAATAGAAGAAGAAGTAATCAAACAAGAACAAGATAAACTCCAAGATAATTCGTCATCCCCAAGTACTTTATATTCTGATTTTTTATTATATCGCCGATCCTTTCAACTTGATTAAGAAATTCATAATAATCATAATAGATAGATATATATACAAAAAAGTTCTTTATTTTTAAATAAATAATCATCATCACAATTAAACTAAAATAAAAAAATCTATTCTTGAACAGTAACAGGTTCAGATGTTTTGTCCATTTGTTGACCTTGTGATATGTTGTCTTGATCGTCTCCTTGTCGTATTCCACTTGTTGCATAGCGTCGTACATACTGATCGATCCATTGTCGCACTTCGGTATTAGCCACCAATCCATCTAATCCATGTTGAATTGATTGATGACAATCTGGGCAAGTAAAGTCGTGTTCTAAAAGATGACCTCGAATACATTCATCACAAAAACTAGCCCCACAGCATGGTGTCATCGTTGCTTCCCGCATCAGTAAAAGACAGACTGGACATTGTACATACTCTGGCACCACAGGAATAGCATCATACCAATCTAGAATATCACCAGTGGCACCAAGACTGGTGGCTGCTTTCGCCATATGTTGATCCCATGTGGATGAATCCGCTTGTGCAACTACAATATCACCCTTGGGTGTTACCATCAATCCTCCTGTACCTGACTTGACTGCATCCTTAGGCTCTTCTATCACCTTGAGAAAACTACGAGGAATTCCGGTTGTTCGTTTGATCCTTGGGTGTTTATCATAATCCTTGTCTCCATTCGTAGGGCACTGATTGATATAATGTCCTAATATCAGAAAAGAATAATAAATATGTTAAAGTTATTTTATATTTTTTTTTTTTACTATTTTTTCTCACATATATAGATGTAATTACCTTTTTGCCCACATCGATAACATACATAAGTAGGAGGAGGAACACGTTGTGGAGGTTGATAAGAATCTTTCATATCCGTTGTTGAAGATGGTACTGGTTGATCTGATGTCCTTGGTGATCCACTATGTTGATGTCCACCACGACCTCTTCTAGCATCTCCACCTCGTGCTATATATGGAATATATTGTTGTCTATCAAGAAGAAAAGAAAAAAAAAAGTGTGTATGAATAATTACAAGTTTTAAAAAGTTATATATATTAAAATTACTTACTCTGCTAAACGTTCTTGCATAGCACCCCATTGATCTGTTGTTTGTTGGAACATGGCTTGAATTCTAGCTTCTTCAGAATCTTCAGTTTCTGTTGGATTAGTTGTATCTACTGTTTCACTTGTCTGTTGTTGGAATGGATTTGTATTCAATGCAGAGTTGTCTATAGGTTGTTGTTGTTGTTGTTGTTGTTGTTGTTGTTGTTGTGGTAAAGCATTCAAAACAAGGTTTCTTCGTCCAGTCGTAGATTGAGTTGTAGATTGATTTGGACCTTTCATGATTCCTATTCCACTTGCACCCATACCTTTACCGTCTATAGGTCCTGCTCCTTGCGCATATCGTTGTGCTGTGCCTTTTCCAGGTCTAGAAGGAGGTAATCGACGAACTATGACTGATGTATTACGTGGTACCAAAAATGTATCGTCATTGTATTCTAAAATATAGAAAAAGAATAAAATGAGTTTAACTAATTCTTTTTATTATTCATTTAAGTTCTTTTACCTTCATCAGTTTGAGCATTATAAATGGCAAGATCAAAATCGGCAGCTTTCCCAAACTTTTTAGCTCGTATGATTTCTTTTTTCACATCAAACACAGTAGCACTTTGTCCATCAAATGTAAAGACATCATAATCAGAATCTTTGGCAGCTTTGAATTTATAATAGATCACCGACATGAATATATCAGTGGAAGAATAAAGAAAAAAGAAAAAAAAAAGAAAGAAAGAAAGAAAGAAAAGAAAGGAAAAAAAAAAAGAAAGAAAAACATAGAAGACGTTTCAATCGGACAATCAAATCATCTGTTTTTTTAATTGGTAGAATCTACATGAACGAAATAATAATAATAATAAAATAATTATAAATGATAAATAATAATAACAGTAATATAATACAACTTAAAATAATAATAAAAGAGAGAGATAATTAGCAACAAAGATTACCACCTGAACGTAAAGAAGATCGACGACGAGGACTATCCAATTCTAAATTATTATTATCACCATTATTCATATCCAATTCTAATTGAGGGATCTTAACCATATGAGCCAAATGACGAAAAGCTTTTTCCACATTAGTACCATCCTTTGCACTGGCTTCAAAACAAGCAATTTGCATATGATCTGAAGAATGTTCCTCTGCCCATGCCTTGGCTTGTCGACGAGATACCACCCGATCATCCAAATCAATTTTATTCCCAATCATCATCATCGGAAAATGAGCTGCTTCTTCTTGTGGTAAAGACGATTGTTTCAAGAATTCATCACGCCAATGTCCTATTATGAATTTTAAAGAAAAATAAATATTTTATTATCATTATTATTATTATTATTTACCAATATGTTGAAAAGATAAAAAGTTGTTGACATCATAAACAAGTACACAAGCATCAGCTCCTCGGTAATACGCAACCCCTAATGAAGCAAATCTTTCTTGACCTGCTGTATCCCAGATTTGCATCATGACTTTCTTGCCATCTTGACGAACTACTTCTTTTGTGATAAAGTCGGCTCCTAAAATAATATATGGAATAGTTTGCTGAGTCCTTGGCAATTGAGTTTATTTGATAAAACTTACCAATAGTTGCCTTGTATGCATTGGTAAATCGCTTATGAATATACTATATAAAAAAAATGTTAATAATGTTTTACATCTTTTTATTTTATTTTCTTTACCTGATTTCGTAAACTTGTCTATAAGAAAAAGAAAAAGAAAAAAAAAAGAAGAAAGGAGTTTCTTTTTTGTATCTTTTTTATATGCACTTTGACTTCCTTGTTTGTAGGTTAATGTCCTTTTTTTTTTCTTTTTTAGTTTATATATTTTTTTCTTGTTACCTTACCAGTCCCTCCATCACCTATAAGAACTATTTTCAATATATCTTTGTGCATATCACCAAAAGTAAATGACTATATACTAATAATAATAAATATAAAAAATGAGAGATAGAAAGAAAAAAGAAAAGAAAAAAATAGTAAAGTGAAAACGACCTATTCCGTCCGATTTGAACGGGATTTCAAACAACGACTGGTTTCCATTGTGGGTAATCATGCTATGTACAAGCAATTTAGTGAAAATAATGATACTCTTATTAATACTTGACATATATTCTAAAGTGTAAAACTATCAACAAAAATTCAATCACTAAACAAGCGATGTTCGGATGGATAAAATTGTTATGTTTGAAACTAGAAACTCATCAAGTCAATTGTTTGTTTCCCCCTTTCTTCCCTGTCGACCCTTATGTCAAAAGTGTAGGTTGAAAAATAGTATGTGGAGTCGGTTGATGATGATCAAGATGATGATGTTTTTTATAAATCTATGATATGAGGATGATAGTTATGATTCTATGTTGGTGGATGATGAAAATATGACTCAACTGTTCACCTTGTATGACATGTCATAGAATAGCGATGGTCAATCATCGTCGCCGTCATTTCCCATATCTTCCTTCTCATTCTCGATGTCATTATAAGACAATCATCATGATGAATACTATCATCCTTAGCATCACTATACAAAACCCATAACGCTATTATCAACCTAAACATGAAAACATCACAAGACAAGGGATAATAAAAAAAAACAAATAGATAATTATTATTAACATTTTCTTTCGTTTCCCCTATGTAGACACAAGGATACATGCACATACTCATATGCACGGGGAAAATTTATAATGATGGAAGGGTGTTTTCAGTCGTGTAAAGAAAAATGGAAAAACTAGTTCTATAAGCAAACATTCTTTTTTCTTTAAAAAAAGAAAGAGCTCGTTATATTATTCGCCAAATAATAAATAGGAATTGATATATATGTATATATATATTTCCAATTATGTATATGATTTCTTCATTGGTCTTTTCTTTTCTTTTTTTTTTTTTTTGTTTTTGTTTTTTACGATGATTTCAATCCAATCCACCAAAGGCTTTTTTTTTTGACAACACTTGATATTTGACATGATATAAAATCAATGGGATTTTATTTCATATTTTTCTTTTTCTCTTTCATTTCCTTTTCTTTTTTTTATCATTCAAGTTTGAATAAGCAACATTTTTTTTTTATGATGACAAGATTTAGTATTACTACTGCCATTTTGATGCTAGCAGCTGGTGCGATGGCCCAAAGTAAGAAATAATATAGTATGTTATATTTTTTTTTCTCTAATCTATTTTATGATTAGTATCAGCTGATGATGTATGCAATAGAGATTTCAAGGCAATGACACAAGATGATTTGGATACGTTGAAAGGATGTGCAACATTCACAGGCACCATTACAATTGACGGATCAGCCTCCGAAGAATTAGCTTTGGTCGGCATTCAAGAGCTTAAAGGCAATTTAATCCTTGCTGGTAATCCAGCTCTACGTACATTCCAAGCTCCACAACTCACCAAAGTGAAAGGTGAATTACGCATCACTAATCAAACTGTACTTGGCAAATTACAATTACCTTCTCTGATTGAGACTAAATCCTTGACACTTTCTGTACTGCCTGCTTTGGAGCATATGGATTTCCCTGCTGGATTAGTATCTGTCGATGATGCTCATCTTCAAGATACTCGTGTGCCTACCGTCACTGGTTTCAAGCCCGAAAAAATGCATTCTTTTGCCTTATTGTCTAATAATTACTTGAAGACTTTTGATTTCTCTTCTGTTAAGGAACTGACCGGTTCGATGAATGTTGCTTCCAATGGTAATTCTTTGGATTTCCAGGTAAAGTATATTATTTTATATATATATATATATATATATATATATATAAGGATATTTTCCGAAAGATTGTCTAATCCTCTATCTTTCTTTTCTTTTTTTTTTTTTTTTTTGTATTTGTTTATTTGTGTGATGATGATTATATATAGGCCAATCAATTGACATCGATCGAAGCAGGCGATTTCCGTAATTTGGCACAATTAAGCATGCCAAAATTAACGCGAGTAGCAGGAGATATCACCTTCCATGACAATGAATTCACTAGTCTTCAATTAGATCAAATCGATATGGTGAAGGGTACCTTGACGATTGCAAACAATAACAAATTGACACAAACATCCTTCCAACATCTGATCAGGGTAGGAGGTGCGTTCTCGATCGGCAACAATACACAATTAAGTAGTGTTGAAGGTTTCCCTTCCTTGAATGAGGTGGATGGCACGATTGATATCGCGGGTAACATTGATACTTATGCACTGCCAGTGTTACAAGATGTACGTGGAGGTATGCGACTACAAACAACCAGTGGTAAACTCCAATGTCAGGAATTGGAAAGAAAGATGAAAGGTGAAAACGTTGTTAAAGGTAATACTTGGAGCTGTGGTTCCGGTATGCAAGAATCTCAGATGCAACCTACCTTGGGTCAAGATCCAAATGCTGGTATGTCTGGTGGTCTGTCAAACAAAGGATTGGCCAGTGATAATGGCAAGAAAGGTACTCTTAGCACTACAAATCAAGCATCTGCTTTTAATCCTGCCATTGGATGGGCTTTATTGGCTTCTGGTCTTGCTGCTATGTTTGGTTTTTAAAAAAAAAATCAGGTCTACTACGAAAGCAATAGATATCTAAGTACATTAATCATAATCTAAGTAAGCTATCATTTTGATCTCTCTTTATTTTTTTTAATAATAATTGTGTGCGTTAGTTTTCTTTTTTCTTTTTTTTTTTTTTTTTTTTTTTTTGTTTAGTTAATATGCAATAATAATAATAAAGTTGAACAATTTTTATGTAATGATATTAAGATATTTTAAAAGGATTGTCTTTACATCTATAAAATAGAATGTTCTTATTCCTTATTGCATGAAAACTTAAATATAAATGTTGTGCAACAAATGACGAATGATTCCTCTGAGAAATGATTCACGTTACTGTGGATGATGATTTACTATTGAATACAGTGAAGACAATAATAACAAATGATTTTATGAATGTGAATTTATTGAACGATTCAAAAGGATGGTAAGACTAAAGGTAAACCATCCTTTAAAAGAACAATCATAACACAATAAGATAGATAATAAGGAGAAGCCAATAAAATCAAAAGACATTTATACTGTAGATATATATTATCATCATCTTCAGTCGTCATTGCTTAGATCTTTCTTTTTTTTTTTTTTTTTTTTTTTTTTTTTACTTCAACATATGATGCTGTGCGAAAAAAGAAGTCTTTCCTTTTTCTTTTTTTCTTCTTTTAGCCTACTGGTATACTCTTGATGAGTAGCTGGAATGTCATCTCGTATACCAGGAAAATCATCAAGATAGCTTAACATGACATTGTACTCTCGTATATCATTTCTTTGTATTCTTTTTTTATAAAATAATATTCTTGTTATACTATTATGATCACAATATTATCAGTATTCAAATCATCATCACTTCGGTCGATTCTTCATCATGATCAAGGCGCTTTATAGCATGATCCCAAGGGATCAATATAGCACCAAAAGAAGAAGAAACATTCGTGACCAATCATATCGATTTTCAGTCTTAACCAATGAAATTAAATCTCCATCGCATCTCATCTTTCCACATATAGCAAATAAAAAAGAAAAAATTATCCACGCAAAAACTTTATATGGTTTTGGAAAAAAAAAATGTTCCAACGGAATAGCAAAATGTTTTTGTCTTTTTTTTTTTTGTTTTTTTTTTTTTTTTTACCTTTGAATGTGATGACGATGAATGACTAAGACAATGTAAGGTGACGGGCTGGTGCGGGAGGGGTCTTTCTTTTTGGTATTAGTTTTACACGGGGGAGCATATCTCAATTTTGATGACCGAAGCTCGCTGTTTAATGATGATTTGTGGCAAAGTTCTATTATTTGATATTTTTTTTTTATGATTTATTCCCCTTTTTTTTCTTTCTTTTTCCTTTTTCTTTTTTTATTTCTATATTTATCTCCTTTTTTTTTTTTTCTAAAAAAAAAAGAGAAAAAAAAGGATGAATGTTCAACAAAATGAAATATCAAAAAGTTATACGGATAGTTTAAATAGTTATTTGAATGATGATGATATAGATGAATTTAATCCACATCAACGACGATTATCTCATCAAACTTACCAATCATTGCGCAGTACCGATGGATCATCATTTTTACCAACAACAACAACAACAACAAACACTCCTTATTATCAAGATAATAATAATAATAATGATGATGATGAAATGGATGATGAAGAAAGTCTTCTTACCACATCCTCTCCTACACCTTTACCAAAAATGCAAATGTTCATTATTAGTATTATGTTATTTAGTGATCCATTGACTTCTACTATTCTTCTTCCTTTTATTTATTTTATGGTAACACATAATTCATCTATATATATATATAAAATAAGATTATTGACGAACCTTTTTTTTATTTTTTTTTTATTTTTTTTTTTATTTGTAGTTAAAAGATTTTCATTTATCGGACGATGAAAAGGAAATTGGTACTTATGCTGGTTGGATAAGTAAAGTGAACAAATGATGAATAATATATATATATATATATATATATTCTAATTATTATTATTATTTAATAGCTTCTGTTTTCTTCCTTGCTCAATTCTGTACTGCTATTTTATGGGGTAGAATTTCAGATCGATATGGTCGTCGACCTGTTTTGTTAACGGGTTTGATCGGAAATTCAATTTCATCATGTCTATTTGGTCTTTCTAGAAATCTTTGGTGGGCAGTCTGTGCAAGAGCCTTTTGTGGTATTGTAAATGGAAATGGTGGTGTGGCTAGAAGTATGATTAGTGAAATCACAGATGCTACCAATCGTGCAAAAGCATTTTCAATTTTTGGTTTTTGTTGGGGAATTGGGATGATTGGTAAGCTAATAAGATCATCATCCTTTTTTTTTTTTTTTTTTTTTTTTTTTTTACTCATCATCCTTTTTTTTTATTTGATATATGCATGCATGATTTATACATAAATAGCTGGTATGTTTATAGCCGAACCCTCGGTATATCATGATCAACATCAATGTCACTCACTTTTTTTTATTTTATTTTATTTTTTATTTTATTTTATTTTTTTAATTTTATTAAATAGGACCTGCATTAGGTAAATCAAAAAAAAAGACATATATTTTAGGTTAACGATGATCTTTTTTTTTAAATAATAATAATAATAATAATAATAATAATTAGGTGGTTTTCTTTGCAAACCAGCTGAACATTTTCCAAGCTTGTTTGGTAACAGTGCTTTTTTCATAAAGTATCCTTACTTTTTACCTTGCTTTGTCTCTTCTTTGGGTTCTTTTGTTGGTTACCTTATTGGATTCTTTTATTTGAAGGAATCAAATCCAACTGTGATTGCTCGACAACAACAACAACAGCAACAAGATCTATATTCTTATCCTAAAAATGATGGTATAACAGCACATCAAGAAGATAATGAAACCACAGCTTTATTATCAACAAATTCATCTCCTGTGAAAAAATCAGTCACCCATCCTATGCTTGCTATCATGGCTATTGGCAAAACTTCTGTTATTACCATTGCTACCTATTCGTAAGTAAAACTTTTTTTTTTACATATCATCATACCATTATCTCACGATGATTATATATATATATATATATATAGATTATTCGCATTTCATGCCATGGTATTTGATGAAGTGTTACCATTATACTTTGCTGCACCAACACATGTAGGTGGATTGGGATCTACAGCTCAAGAATTAGCCAAAATGTTATCTATATGTGGACTTTGGCAATTGCTTAGTCAATTTTATATTTTTCCATGGATAAACAAACGATATGATACCCTAGATTTGACACGATGTGCCTTATTACTCTTTACCGTGTCTTATTTCTTTCTTCCAGAACTATCCACTTACCGAGAATGGTTAATCAGTCATGTGGGATCAGAAACGAGTGGCAAAGGCTTATATCTTCTCCGTGCAGGTTATTTGACTCTCTTGTTAACTCGAATATTTGGTAACTGTTTGGCTTTTACAGGATTGATGGTAATGGTGAGTAACTCGGCTGCAGAAGGTATGTTAGGTACTGTCAATGGAGTATTGCAATCATGTTTATCCTTTGTCAGAGCATTTGGTCCTACTGTTGGTGGTACACTTTGGTCATTATCCTTGAAAAATTCAACCTATCCCTTTGATCGTCACTTGGTATATTATTTGATCGCTCTTTTGTCTTTCATCAACTGGATACAAAGTTATTGGATACCTCGATCTCTAGCATTAGGAGGAAAACGTCATTAAGATATAATATATATATATATTGTTGATAGTATCAAAATAGTTAATAAATGATGATCATGATTAAAAAAAAAAAAAGAAATCTAGATCTAATGATTGTTAATATTATTGGATAATAGTTCACTATTGGATGAAGGATACCTGAATTGAATCTTATCACAAGACACTGATTATTCACCATGATTTTCTTTTTTTTTTATCAATAAAAAAAGATGTGAAACTCTCAGATGGTTTTTACTTTATTTTATTCTCTTTTTGTCTCACAATTCAAAGGAAAATAAACTTATATTTTATCATTTTTACTGGACTCATTTTTTTTTTTTTTTATGTCGCGTGGTTTGTGAAATCTACAAATTATGCAGATGGTATTTTTTTTTTTTAAATACTGTTTTCAAGCTCTACTATCTGGAATTGATATCATGATGTGATTTATATATATATATATATATATATATATATTACTATCATTTTTATCTTTTAGTTGTCACTTTTTCAAATCATCAATATAAAAAAAAAGTCCATTTAATTATCGTCACCCTATTTATTCCTTCGTCCTCAATAATACTAACGATGTTCCTATCAAGCCACAATGATACATAATTATCAATACTATTAACAAATAGATCTACTTTATTCATGTACATATGAAAGTGAAATAAATTTCTATTAAAGGTGTGTGTTGAGATATTCTAAAATCTTGAAGTGATTTTTTATAGAATGATTTTTATGTTGAGGAGGTCCGGAATTTTGCAATTTTTTTATTATTTCTGAGTCGGGCTTTGTAAATTTTCTCTTTCCCTCAACATCATACTTCTTTCTTTTCTTCCTATTTTTTTTTTTTTTCTCACCTTCTTTATTTTTAGAATCTGGTGCTTTCTCTATATTGTGGCATTCTAAAAAGGTACAGTTGATCTTTATTTCTTTTTATTATAAACATAAAGAATACTTTTATACGTCAGAATCCATAGAAAAAGCAAAAGGAAATCGTATATAATGTGATATTTGAACATGATTCTACTTTTTCTTCAAAATGTCTTTCTTTTTGACATAGAAAAGGGTGTTTGAATATATGTATTATATACTTTTTTTTTTACATGCTTTTTCAACAGCCTTTATATTCTACGCGTTTGATGTTCTTTTTTTTTTTTTATAATAGATTAAGTATACTAACAAAAAGTTTCTCTTACTTTTTTTTATAGACTTAACCATTATTTCTTGATCACAATAATACATGTCAGCTGATTCAAATTCTGGACGATTTCCAAAGAAATACTCAACTTCCACAAACAAATCAAATCCTCTAGCGAATACAAGTAATAATAATAATAATAAAAAAGGAATAGATAACCATTTAACTATATTATATTTGATTGACAACAATCTTTTTTACATTTATTCTCTAGATTCTCCAAGGACGAAAAACGCAAGGTCATTGACTACAGGAAGTAAAGTCTCAGCACCTAAACCAATCAACTTACCAAGCTTACGCCATGAACATGCCAGTACATTCGGTAGTCCGGACTCAACATCTTCTCTTGGTTCTTTGAATTCTTCTTCTTCCAATATACATGGTTCTTCACCTCATAATATATCTAGTAGTCATCCAATAAGCAATATTACTGGAACTACAACCACAACAACAACAACAGCAACAACTTCAACTTCAACGATACCTACCACTCGATGGGGCTCTCCAGGTTCATTATTCCCTTCACAAACTAGTCAACAAAAATCCTCAATGATCAATCATCATGACTCAGGAAGAAAGGAATCAGATGTAATTCCATCCAACTCTTCGCCTTCTACCTCATCCTCTTCATCATTACCAGCCTCCCATTCAACTGAAACCAATGCTTTGGATACCTCACCTACTGATCATGATCGACATAATACAACAACTTTATCTTCTCCTCCACCTCCATCCTCCGCGTGGTCTGTACCGTCTTCTGTATCATCTTCTAAGAATGCAAGTGAATCTTCGGATTTCCATACTACTATTGAAATTGTTACTCCCAAACGTAAGAAAGATAACTTACAAGAAAAAAAGAAAAAAAAAAAACTTACTTGATAGATGATGAATAATAACAAGTTATTTTTTTTTATCATCACAGCATTATCTTCTCCACGGAATGAACGAGCGAAGGCAAGAAAAGAAAGAAAGGAAGTATGGAAGAAAAGAGCAATACTAATTTCATTTTTTATAGGTGATCGTATCCCATCATGCGAAACCAACTGAAATACCTATGCCATTTACTGAAGCTAGTGAACCGTCCTCCATGTCATGGGATGAAGTAAGTATAAATAGTAATAGGAAAAAAAAAAAAAAAAGACAAATAGAAATAGATAAAACTTATATTTTCTTTTCGTTAACCAGATGGTATCAGAAGAAATGGATTTCTCAATATCTGTGGTGGAATTTGCTGATGGTACCAAAATGCCTGTAGATGATCAAAATGATACAGAGGTTCTCGATAATGACAATCAAGGTAATGAGAATGAAGATCATCAGACTTTACAACAACAACCAGTGTTACCGTCCGACCGATTTACTGAAGATTACGATCGAAGTTATCCACCCAAACGAAGACCAAGTGAACATCAAACAACACAACAATTTAAAAGTTCCAGTTATCGTCACCAGGATCGATATCATCATCATGAACAATATAGTACTGATAGATATACATCAACAACACGCACCACTCATGGGAAATGGAATACTGAACGACGTGAATCTGTACACAGCACTCACTCTAGTGGAAGTGGACATTATCCTCTACGCGAGCGACGACCAAGCAGTTCGAGTAGTACCAATGGTAATGTAGCATGGAACAATGGACCCCCTTTTGAACAACGAAGACTTAGTCAAGATCGACCATATCATCTTGGATCTCCACCTCCTACAAGATTATTAGTCAGACGACGTGGTGATTCAACAACGACATCAGATCACGATCATTATCATCATCATTCTTCTGTCACCACCACTACCTCATCCTCTTCATTATATACTGCCAGTGATGATCGACCTCCTGAAATGGCTGCTGCCCAACGTGAAGCCATGTTAACAGCAGCGGAACAAGCTAAAAAGCGACGTGAGGCAGACGAAGCCGAACGACAAGCAGCAGCAGAACGTGCAAGACAAAAGGCTTTGGCATTGGCTCCTCCACTTCCTCAGTTACCAAAGACCGAAGAAGTATCATCACATGTACCATCCAGCACTAAGACAGCGAGTACCTTACCACCATCAGAAAAAGAAAACAAAGTTGGCAACGAACATGAGCTTGTTAATAACACCAAGACCATCACTATTCTCAGCAAGAAGGACACTCTGCAGGATTTGGAAAAGGGGGCAGACAAGGATAAGAAAGATCAACTTGAAAATCAGCAGCTTGATATCTCGGACACAAAAACTATATCAGCAGTATCGGACAACGCGCCAGTAGCGATTGAAGAAACCAAGGAATACGCTCAAATCACTCAAAGCAAGGAATATCAAAATTGGCATTCCCAAGTCAAAGATGTGACTCCTATGATCCCGACTATACTCAAAAAACAACAACCACTTCAACAACAACAACAGCGACAACTGGACAAGCAGCAAGAAGAACAACAACCAATCAGCTCACCTCAGCAACAACAAGACAAGGAGCAAGAGGAACAGCCTTCACAACCTGAACCAGCCGCGGTATCATCTCCATCTTCGGCTCGCATTACAACCACTATGACAGCGACTGGTTACTCTGTTGACACTGCCAAACAACCTCCTAGAGAATTGACGGAAGATGAAAAAAGCTGGGAACAATATGTGAATAAAATGAAGACGCCCTCAACATCTGATCATCATGATAAGGAAAGTACGACTGTAATGGATTGGTCTTCTTACGCTGTACGACTACAAAAGAAATCGAAACCGAAGCAAGATAGTACATTATCCACAGCAACGGAATCAGTAGAAAAATCAGTACAAAACAACGAGACATCCCCACGCCGGCGTGGAGATCGTAACGAGGATGAACCAATAGTCACCAATAACAAGGAATCATCACCAGTCTTGACTACTTTATCTTGGCCTGAACGAACGGATCACCCACCAGCGGCAGTTGATGAAACAAGTCCTCCTGAAAAAGATCTGAAAGATGCCAACAATGTACCTTCTACAACATCCCCACCTGTGGTGAAAAATCGACGATTCACCAATCCTAATTCAAGACTTCGACAAGCACATTCACCCATTTTCCCTGATGTCATTGAACGACTTGCTGCAACCAAACCTGCGTCTTTACAATTTATGGTCAATCCAGACGAATCTGATGATGATCTGATATTAGACAGGAAGAAAGGTCTTATGGAAAAAGTAGTACAAGAGGAAGAAATAAAACCGACAACAACAAAAGCAAGCCAACAACTGCTCCAAAAACAAGTATTACCTGGCAAAGACGGAATAGTAGAATCAGTGATATCATCTCCTCCTCCATCTTTGTATCCACATGGTTTTCCTGTACCCGACATGTCATTACCTTCTGTATCTTCTCCTCCGTCCTATTATGATCTTCAACATCATCCCTCAATTCCCAACAATATTCATTACCCTGTATTGATGTACCCTATGCGACTTCCTTCTACTCATGTGATTTCCAATTCATCACCAACAAATTCAACTGGTAATACTAAAAAAATAAATCCTTTTTTTTCTAGTACTGAACGTTTCTTTTTTTTTTTTTTTATTAGGATCTCAAGCTGTAGGAGTGTACTTGCTGCCACCTGGACAAAATCCACTAATAACAAGAACTCCAACTACAACTTCAACTACATCCAATGGTATTATGGTTTCAGAAAAGGAACGACCACGTCACCATCATCATCATCGTCAACATGTTGGAAGTGAAGGATCATGGCGAGATCGAGGACATTCGACATCATTTCATCAAGGTTCTTGGCGTCAACGTCGTCATCAAGGTTCCTTTCATGGACGACGAAGAGGTGGATCTTATCATCAACAACAACAAAATGGACCTCAACTTGAACCATCTTCGGCGCCGCTCTAGTTACTTGTTTGATTTTGCTCTTCCATATAAAAACAAAACATCTTTTTTTCTTTTTTTTTTATGGATCACTTTGTAGTATTTTTTTTTTCAGTGTTGATAGCAAAAGTCTTAGTTAGCTTGGTTATTATTCCATCTACCCCAATAAACAAATGTGTTTTCTCCTCTTCTTCTTCTTCTTGATCGTATTTTGAGACGTAGTTATTAGTTAGTTAGTTGGAAATTATCTTCATGGATAGATGTCAAATAAATTCTCAAACTGACATACAGACTCCGTCTTCTGCATGTACCTGCATTATTTTACTGCGTATTCCTTTTTGTAATGTTACATTTATTGAGTCATAAGAGTATAAACATGACAGGTAACTGAATTCTTTCTAATATATAGATGATTGATTATAAATTCTAATTCTAATGAGAGACTAATAGATAGGGAATTCAGAATCTACATCAACAGCCCATTGATAATATCCACCAGTGATGTCACGAGCACCTTGAATGTCATGTTTTTCTAACATCTTGACGGCCAATTGAGAATCATTTCCAAGACGACAAACAACAAATACTATAACAAAAAAAAAAAAAAGAATCAGGGAAAAAGAACGCTATCAAAACAACATTTTTTTTACCATCTTTTCCTTCAAGTGATTGTTGTTTCATAACATTGACCAATTCATCCATCCTTTTGTCCAGTTCATCAATAGGGATATTCAAACTATGAGGTAATTGACAGATGTCTAATTGAAGAGTAGGTCGTACATCCAAAAGTACATGAGATTGATCTTGTTCCAATATCTTTTGATACTCCTGATATAAAAGAATAATAAAGTTAATATATAATATGAAAAAGAAAAATCGATTTAAATATTACCGTAGCAGTGATTCTTTGATCTGGACCCAATATAGATTGTGAAATGTTCTATCATGTAAAAAAAAAAAAAAAATAAGTAAGAATATTAAGAAATATCACTTATTTTGACAAACCTTATCATCAGCTCCAGTACCACAGAAAGCCACATAATCGATCAATTGAGTAATAGTAGGATGTTCACCACAAATTTGACAATCCTTCTTTTTGTTTCGTAATTTCATTGTTCTAAACATTGGATTGGATAATGCACTAAATATCAAAAAGCTAGATTCACCCGCTGAAATAGACATGTAAGTGATAAAAAGAAGATACATCGAAAAATACTATGTACTTACGATGTAATCCAGTCACCACTTTCATGGCTTCCAAAGCTTGTAAAATACCAATCACACCAGGAACTAATACATAAAAAAAAAGGGGGACGTATGAGTGTTATATATATATTACGATTATAGATTTTTGATTAGTTTGAATTACCAACGCCAAGAACACCATTATCAGAACATCTACCAACAGTTTCGGGAGGAGGAGGTACCGGATGAAGACATCGATAACAAGGTCCATTTTGATAATTATATACTGTTAATTGTCCATCATATCGTAAAGCACTTCCAGATACTAATGGTTTCTTTAATAAAACACATGCATCATTTAACAAATATCGAGTTGCCACATTATCAGTTGCATCCACCACTAGATCATATTGTTGAATCACATCCAAAGCATTACTACTATCGATTGACATTGTATAGGGTACCACGTGACAACTAGAATTGATACTATGATAGATCATTGTCAGATCATAATAATAATAATAATAAATAAACGAAAACTTACGCATGAATGGCTTTCATAGCCGATATTGCCTTTTTCATTCCTTGTTTTGCTTCTGTATGAATCACTTGTCGATGTAAGTTGCTAATATCCACATCGTCATGATCCACAATTCCCAAACGACCTACACCTCCTGCACCAAGATATAAAGCTGCAGGTGCTCCAAGTCCACCAGCACCAACAATGAGTATTGAACTATTACGTAGTTTCAGTTGACCTTGATCAAGAATAGTTTTAGTTTCCCTTTATTTCATTTTATTTTATTTTTTTTTTTTTTTTGGTTCACTTACTATCTTTTCCCCATTTTGGTAATATAAGTTGACGTCCAAATCTACGAATGTCAGGATTGGTTAAACTGGCAACAGTTTCAAAAGGTTGAATAGTTTTTTCTGTCAGTTCTGATTCTAAAGAAGCAATGCGTTGTTGTAAAGCTTCATTTTCTTTTTGTAATTCTAACTGTTTGATCTTTTCTCTTAATAGTTCATTTTCTTTCTGTAATTCAAGTATACGAGATTCGGGATCCATGGCTGCTAACAAAAAAAAAATGTCAAAGGGTAACTGGGGAAAAGAGAGAGAGAGAAAAAAAAATTAAGTTCCAACAATGGTTGGACCCGGAGATTGAAAACCAAAGCCCAAAAGTGAAGGGAAAAAAAAGCACTTTCCCATTTCTTTTTGACTGTTTCACGGCGCGTTCGCAACCTTTTTATATAAAATACTTCTTTCTCATGCTAAGGCATCCACTTACAGAAAGTGAATTTTCCTTTTCAAGGTGGCAACAACAACAACAAGATAAACATGAAAAAATAAGTCTCCAAGGTAACAAAATGGAGAAAGATAACAAAACAATAACAATTGAATTCTCCTTTTCTTTTTATAATTGATATTAAATATTTTTAATAGCAACTCATATAGGTTCCTTGAAACAATTGAGTTTAGACAAACTTGGTGATCAACCTTTTGATCTTAGTCGACCTACTTTAACAACTAATTCCGAAACAACACGAGAACCATGCAATAGATCCACGACGACATTCCCTATATTGCAACGACAACTAGGACATATCGATGATAAGATACCCGCAACGGAGAATACAAATTCAGCAACACCATTCTCACTATCAGAAATCAACCATATAGATAACAAGAATACTATTGAATTGAATCACCAACCTGAAAAGATTAATGACGATATTTGGATAGAAGAAGCAGCAAAGCCAAAATCACTATGGACTCGCATGGTTTCTTGGGACGACGACGAAAATGATGAACAAAAGTTGATAACTACAGACGATGAGACTAACTGCTGGACAGAACCTTCACCTTTTTTGACGGAATCTCCTGACTGTATTCATGCTTTATACCATACACACTTTCCTGATACGGTGATTGTAGACAATGATCGATTAATCAAGGTAAAAAAAAAAAAAAAAAAAAAGTCTACTGACCTTCCATGAATATCTAACTTCTTTTCAATATAGGATGTTATTTACTTACTTACAGGAATACCATCATTTTGTTTTGAATGGAGGACGGAAATACAACAACAACGAATAAGTGGTGGAATGTTTACTTTACGACAAAATAATATTCGGTTTGTGGATGTGAGTGCAACGACGATTCAATTGATTTTACAACCCATGATGGAATTTGGAACAAGGATCAGGTTATTGGATGAATTTGCTTCCTATATTCGATCACTTCCATCTACATTTGGCTCCATAGGTGTCTCTTTTGGTTGTTGTCTTGGGGATTTGATTTCATATCTTCAGCATACTATATCAATACTCTTTACATCATCATCATCAGATGGTATTCAAAATGATAATATCAATCAACCTATCCCTCAACTCTTGGATATTCAACATCGTATGGAAGGATTTTTTCTACTTTTGCATCATATGACTGATCTGTGCTCAACAGTACCACCAAAGGTAATATAAAAAAAATTTATAGAATTGAATTGTTCTCATTTCCATTCTTTATTATTGTCTGTATCTATAGTCTAAAGATCAAGTATATCATATTCCTTATGGCGTGGATTTATTGACATTGCTTTACAAGAAAACTCAGAATTATGACGATTTACAATTTGGATATGCAGGATTATTCAGGGCAATCTATATGACACTTTTAGTTAGTGCAAGTAGTCCTTGGTTAGAAATGATAACTCAATGGCTTCAGTATGGAAGAATAAAACAAGATACTTATCAAGAATTCTTTATCATTAAAGATGGGATCAACTACTCGGAAAACAATATATATAAAGACAGACAAGATCAATATAGATCGATTCAAATCAATACATCAGCTTTACCTTGCTTTTTACCATACGATTGTGCAAACTTAGTATTACGTGCTGGCATGTCAATACGAAAACAACATGGAGGAAAAAATTCACTGAGATGGATGCAGGATGGATTTCATCTTTCTTGGTTTGATTCTTCTTTGGCTACCACGATGACTCAAATAAGGTAAAAAAAAAAAAAAAGAGAAATAAAAAAAGATAGAAAGAATGTTTACTAATTTATTTATTTATTTATTTATTTATATTGTCAGATCGAAACAACAAGTAAAAAATGATATGACTGTTCCTATATTATCATTATTACCAGACCCTGATGAATACCTTCAACAAGAATCAATAGCTACTTTGAACCAATGGATGAATCAACAAAATAATCAACATACTCCACCTCTTTCTGTTATTGTTTATCAACAACTTCTTGATCCTTTACAACAACAATGTCATCACATACTTAATCAACTATCAACTTCTTCTACAACCACAACTACTATACCTGGAAGATGTGATTTATTATTTACTTTTTGGGATGGACATGATGAAGAATATCCAGCCAAGTTTTATACAGATACAGTTAATTTTCCTATCACTTTGTCACAATATTTAAAACAACAAAGATCATTACTATCTTGATTTTACTTATCATTCATAGAAATATTATAGTTTGTTTATAGAATATTATTATTATTTTGTTTTTTAATAAATATTACAATCTATGTATTTTTGTCTCTTTCATATATATATATATTATTTATTATTATTTATTTATTTATTTTTTTACTGTAGATAATTAAATATTATTATCTTGGCATGAAAAAGGGAAGATCATAGCTCTACTTTTGATGCACCTGGAAGAACGAAAAAAAAAAAAAAAACGCGGTACGAGATTCTTTTTTTTTTTTTGCTTTTTTAAAATTCAGAACAAAAAAAAAAGATTTATATTCTTTGTTTCTATCCTTTGAATCTCTATTTATTTATACTCCCTCTCCCTCTCTCTTTTTCATTGACCAAAGGTGATGAGTCTTTCAACTGTACCTGATGAATCACAGTTGCAAAGAGCTCTATCACTTTTAGATAAACGACAAGCGCAGCATCCTTCCACAAACGATCCTGATCTAGAAACTCAATTTTATAATGCCGTTTTAGAATGTTTGTTACTGGATACTGCTGATCATTGGTGGTGTTCTCATGATATATTACCTTTGGCAAGGGAATCCTTATGGCTTTTTTCTTTACCTGATCATGATCATATTATTCAATATAAACACAAACTGAATGATTTACTCCAACGTTGTCCAAAATGTATTCAATCATATTATGTTTCTAAACAAGAAATGCGAAAGACGTAAGCGAAATCAAATATTTATACTATTTATATATTCATTCTGTTTTTTTTATATATTATTCCACTAGTTATCTGAAAACCTTTTCGCTGGAAAATGTTAATCATTTCTTCAATATTTTGGATTCTTTCGACAAGTCACGACTCTTTACAAGTTTGGAATCATCACAAACCACACCATTGAACGAAAAACTTGTATGTGCCATTACAGAACTAGTATGCTGTCCTTCTTTGATTACTCATGTCGACTCTCAACTTTGTGCTTCATTTGATCGAATTCAAGCTGCTGGTCGGTTCCCTACTTTACAATCGGATATGGCTCAAGGTGTTTCTCTATTGGTATTTCATCACCATCGTGTTATTCGATTATGGGCAAGAAAACTATTGGAACGATTCGCAACCGAGGATACTTCTACATTTGATGGTGATAATCAGATCACAAAGGATTTGACAACAGTGGCATCCAAAGTTTTTGAACAGTTTTGTAAAGGTCCCCAAGATGATGGAAGCAATAGGATCTTTCAATTGATATTATCCAAAACAAACAGCAATAATAATAATAATAATAATAATGACGAGGAGGATCAGCAGTATTCAATTCAAACAACACAGGAATTGGTAGATATTTGGAAAGGACTACGACTGATCTTGAATCTACTTCCAACTTCGCCTGCTTTGACATCATTGACAAAAAACATACCCATGCTGACTGTCCTACAACACCAATTAATCAACACAACTTACACTAGTATTGCTCTACCTGAAATGCTCAAGACAATGAATCTACTATGGACAAGATTAGAATATAGGTTTTGGACAAATTTGGTGGAGAATGGTCCAGCAGCACGGGCATCAACGACTGGTACAACATTTTACAATCTCCTCAAACGAGTTTGCGATCATCCTGGATTTCGAAATGCGACCAAGATTGCTCAAGAAGATACGGACAATATTTTGACACGAGACGGTACGGCATATCCTCAAGACAAACTTATACAACGAATGCAGATCATGGTAGATTGGATTTTTCCTTTTTGGTGTTCTCTGCGACCATTTGAACAAGAAATGGGATTGGATATGGATTTTATTACGGGACGAATACTTGATACTTTACTGGGTTACTTTCAACTCAAATCATGGTCTCTTTTGTTCAAGACTTGTACCGCTCATTTAGCCTTCCAGATCGTTCAACTTTGTATTACAGACAATAATGGGATCCCTACTGCAAAACTCAATGAATATGCTCCTCAGTGGATTTCTTTTGCCCTCATGGTGCCTACATCTACTCAAGAAAGCAAGACTACTACTAATGCTAATGTACCTCCTTTGCTTGAACACGTTCCGATGATGGCTAGATCTATTTTGACTGATCTTCTTTGTCAAGACTCAAGGATATTACGTGATACTTTCATTACTTTGGCAAGACAATCCTCCTCCTCCTCCTCCGTTTCCTCAGATTCTTCTCTACCCTCCACCATATCTGAAGGATATCAACAATGTATGATCGCCTCCTCATGTCAAAGTATCTGGGATACTCTTGCACTGAAACCAACCAAATGTCTTGTCACTATCATGCCGACTCTACTAGCTTCAATGGCTCCTCTTGTTTCTTTCATAAATATACAACGACCAGCTGGTATGACGACAACATCATCAGAACCACTCTTGGATCATATACAAGCATTACGAAAAATGATTACTTTGTGTCTTGATCATTTGGCTAGTGATACTTTGTCTAGAAATATCTATGGTAAAACTATAGTGCTTGATGCTGGTTTGGTGGAATCATTATTATCATTATTGACTTGTTCTGACGCAATGATACGACATTCAACCAACAAATTTATGCTCACAATGGGAACAACGGCAAATACACAACAACAGACAAACTTGATATTACCTTCACTTCAACCTTTATTTGTTCATCATAGTCCTCCGGTAATCATTGAAGCTATGACAGCCATTTTGAAAGACTTTATGGATCTGAACAATGCGCGAATCGATCGATACAATGCGGTAGTACCTCTTGTTGACGTATTGGCATATATGACTCAGTTTTTGGTGGAAGATGAAGATGGATATTTGTTACAACTGGTGATGATGATGGCAACTACGACCAATACATTAGGTGATGACCATGAAAAAGAACAACAAGTGGTGAAGGATTTTTGGAATGCGGCATGGCAAGTGAGTAGTACTGTCTTCAACAGCAGTCTTGAATGGGCAAGCAAGCACAAACCCAAGGAAATCCTCGATAGGGTGATGCCATGGATGGATATAGCAACTCAATTGGCAGGTAGTCGACCCATGTTCCAAAAGGTAGTGTGTAATGACTCTTTGGATGTGGATACTTTGATTTCTTCGGTGGATGGACTATCAGCTTGGATTTATGTGACACGAACTTCTGTTTTGGCGAAATTGGTACCTTTACTTGATATCATCTTACGACAATTACAACAACTTCAAATCAAAATCTCCATAGATGCTTATGATAGGCTCATGTCAGCTGCTACTGGTGTCAATGCTACTCGATTAGAACCTCATGAAAAGGAAAATATTTTCTTTGCTCTCAGTGCTCATGAACCCAACAATGTGATCTTTTTGGATGACAGTGATGATGATACTCAATTGGAATGGCAAACTCTCCCTGGTGTTACAAACAATGAAACTGCTGCTACCACCACTTTTACTTCTTTATCACCTCCATCAACAACAACAACAACAACAACAGCAGGAACGACAGTACGATCAGCAACGTCTTCACCTTCTCCTTCTCGTTCTTCTGTACCGTCACCACCGCCACCATCATCATCATCATCATCATCATCAATACGCCAGTCTTTCAATACTACAACAAAATCATCATTATCTACGTCACGTCCTCGGCAGGCTACTCTCAGTGAAACGTTCAAGAATACTACTGCACCATCACCAGAATCAAATACCTCACGTACTCGTCATGGTTATCGGCCCAATACCAAGATCACTACCTTTTTTGGCAATGATACCAACAACAAGATTAATAGCAATGACAACAAATCATTTTCGTCAGATGAAGAAGATTTTGGAGAAGATATCGACATGTCAAATTTACCAGACGATATATTGGATGGGACAAACTCTTCAAAAGTATCATCATCTGTTTCATTCGGTTCCAACAAAGTTCAAAGCAAAAGCAATGATCGCCACATTATACCTCATGGTGCCACCAGTACAGCTGCCGCAGCGCCTACACCCGCTTTATCAACATTAGCATCTAAACCAGCCTCACGTGTTTTCCCAAATGCGGTACCCAAGTCTGAAACATATGCAGTGACTTCAACAGGAAGAAAACTCAAAGCACCAACTATGGGTTACTCCAGAATGCAACAATTACGTGACGGATCAAGGAATGATCAACGACTAGGATCCACTACTAAATCACCTTCTGCTATTGCCATGGAAAGACATCGCCGTGGTCTAGCTCCTGATAATGATGACGATAGCTCTGACGATGAAAATGAAGATGATGATGGGGATGAAGCCGGATTACTTGGACTAGTTCATGATATAGATGAAAAACGCGAAGGTACTCCTCAACGCATTGGTAATATGGTGATCACACAACAAGAACAGGAAGTACCATCTTCTAGTTTGCAAGCTTTATTTGATACTGATCAACCTCGAAGAAGTGTTAAACTAATTGACATTCCAGGTAGTTCTCGTCATTTTATCCAACAACGATCCCAAGCCAAACAAGTTGAACAAGAAAGAAAACGCAAAATGATGCCGGATATTGATTGTTTATATAAATCCATTTTGTCGTGGTCCCTAGAAAACATATCTTCGTCAACAGAAACCCCACCCAACACATCACTGGAAACATTCAATCATGTGCAAGATACCTATGCTACATACAAGGATTATTTTGAAATATTTGAACCTTTATTGTTGCTGGAAGTATGGTCTCAAATGCTCCGTGCCAAGGAAATGCTCAGTGTAAATGACGTGATGGATCGGTTTGTCATGTCTACTCGGTGTCATGTCGATGATTTCGTTGATGTGATCTTCCAAGTACCTTTGTCAGTCAATACGTCCTCGTTAGGTGCTGATGATTTGGTCTGTATGGCGAATCATTTTGGTTCTGATTTCTTCAACAAGACAACAACTGAAAAACACCAACAATGGCATGGAAAGGCTTTCTTAGGTAAAGTCATGGCGGTATCTCAAAGAAAAAACTTGGGTGATATTACTATTCGATGCTTCTTTACTCCTGATCGTATTGGTATTTTAAATTCTTTATCTCCCAAATCTTCATGGCGATGTTTAAAAATTACAAGGTAAGGAAGGGAAGAATACTTCAAAAAAAAAAAATACTAATATTTCTGATGAATCATAGTTTGACTACGGTGCAACGAGAATATGCTGCATTACAAGGTTTACAATATTATGAATTGGTCAAAGATATTTTACATCCTCATCCTACACCTATGCCTAGTCTTCCTCCTCAAGCAGTTAAGGATTGTATTGCAAAATATGGTGTTAATCAACCTCAAGCTGAAGCTATTATTGGAGCCTTAAGAAAGAAGAAAGGGTTTACTTTGATCCAAGGGTAAAAAAAAAAAAAAAAATGAAACTAATAAAAAAACGATCAATCCGTTCATTTTTTTTTATTATTTATTTTAAAAATAGACCTCCAGGTACAGGGAAAACAAAGACAATTCTAGGTCTTGTGGTGACATTATTAGATCAACAACAAAAACAGAAGAAACATTCTCCTGGTACGACTTCAGGCAAGATACTTGTATGTGCTCCAAGTAACGCGGCTGTGGATGAAATCGCGAAAAGATTGAAAGATGGTATTGTGACGGCAGATGGATTAGTCAAACCAAATGTGATACGTATTGGTGTAGCAGATGCTGTGAATGCAAGTGTGAAAGATTTGGTTTTGGATCGATTGATTGAAAAGGAACTTGCTCCCACTATGGCCGAAGAAAATGGGATCGATTATAGTGGTGGTGTCAACAATATGCGAATGTATCAAGCTAGACGGGAAAAGGCCCAAGAAATCATGAAAACATTGCAATTGGATATTGAACAAGTGGATCGTGACTTGGCAAGTACAACAGATTTACGATTGACAGCGGACTTACGGGCCAAAAGGAAACAACTCTTTCAACAAAAGGATCGTCAACGCGTGATTTTCAAAGATATCTTGGAAGATCAACGTGATCATGTCCGAAACTTGGATGCTTCTCGACTTCGTGCTCGACAAAAAGTATTTGCAGAGTGTGACATTGTTTGTGCTACTTTGAGTGGTAGTGGACATACGATATTATCTGAAATGGGCTTGACATTTAGTACAGTGATTGTGGATGAAGCGGCTCAGGCAGTAGAATCTAGTGCATTGATTCCTTTGAAATATGATTGTCAGCGTTGTATTCTTGTGGGTGGTAAGTCTTAGAAAAAAAATCGTTGATGAATTGATTTTTAATATATATATATATAACTAGATCCCAATCAATTACCTCCTACCGTTATTTCGTTATTGGCAAGCAAATTTAGTTATCAACAGAGTTTATTTGTGCGTTTGGAAAAGAACGCTCCTGACAATGTCTATTTACTTAGGTAAAGAAAGAAGAAGAAGAAGAAAAAAAAAAAGGGAAGAAAAACACTTACTTATATGAATTCTATAGTATCCAATATCGTATGCATCCAAATATTAGTGCCTTCCCAAGTGCATTGTTTTATCAATCAAGATTATTGGATGGACCCAAAATGGCGGAAAATACGGCAGCAGTTTGGCATACTAATCCATCTTTTCCTCCCTATCTATTTTTGAATGTCAAGGAAGGTCAAGAAATGCAAGGTTATGGATCTTCTTTTTATAACTTATTGGAAGCCGATGCTGCAGTGGCTTTGGTAGACAAATTGGCCAATTCCTTCCCTACACTAAAGGTAAAAGAACAAAAAAAAAAAAAAAAAAAAAAAAAAAAAAAAAAAGAGTAGAGGTTCAATAATGAATGTATATATTTCATTTGACTTAACTCTTTTATGTTTTTGTAGCTTGCTTATAAGATTGGCGTCATTACACCCTACAAACAACAAGTCAGTCAATTGAAATCTAGATTTGAACGTCGGTTTGGAAGCAAAATTCTAGAAGTGATTGATTTCAACACAGTGGACGGGTTCCAAGGTCAAGAAAAGGAAATCATCATTTTTTCCTGTGTCCGTGCAAATGCTGGTGGTGCTCATGGTGGTTACGGTGGTGCTATAGGATTTTTATCAGATATTCGACGTATGAATGTAGGATTGACACGTGCCAAACGATCATTATTTATCTTGGGTCATGCTCAATCTTTGAAAGGCGATCAATATTGGGGAAATCTAGTGGAGGATGCCAAAGAACGAAAACTATTCCAAGATGTAACTTGAAATATATTTGTTTTGATGATGAATTTTATTCAATTTTTTTTTTTTTTTTGTATAGTGTGTATTCCCATATCTTGATCATCGGTTACTTCCTAATCAACGACCAAGCAATTTGTATGAATCGGAACCTATTGTGGTGAAAAAGAAAATTCAGGTACGAAAAACGGTTCATCATATCTCAATTCCAACCAATGATGATGATGACGACAATAATGACAGCAATCCATCCAAAGTAAAAGCTGGAATGAAGCATAGAAGAGATTCAATGGATAGCAAAATGTCAGTAAGCAATAGCAGACAAAAACTGAATAACAACCATAACGATAAGAAAGCCACACCCATCGACATTCCATCACGGTATCCACAAAAATTAAATAAGACCAAAAATTCAATGCTAGAACGACAAATACCTCATTATAAATCATCACCACCAACAGTTTCTTCTGTTAAATCACCACATCCTCCTGCTTCTGGTCGTTCTGCTTCCTCCTTGGCTGAATACCGAGCTGCCGTAGGGGTTGGAAATAGTACGAAAGCGGCCAACTTGTTTATTCCAAAGAATAAGATCAAACCTTTCAAGGTAAGTAGAATGATAGAATGAAGAGAGGGGGAGGACACTGATGTTTGATTCTATTCTATTTAGAGCGATACAACAAAATTTTCTTCTGGTATGAATGCGCGCGATAGATTGACTTTGGAAGTAAGTGATGAAGGATATCTGTCTTTTTTTTTTTACTCATTTTTTTTCTTAATTAATTAATTTAGCATCAAGGACAAAAAGAACAATTACGCCAAATTCGTCAACAAGAAGCTAGACAGTTAGAAAAACAACAACTTGAAGGCCAATCTACATCATCAACATCATTGGGTGACTTATTAGATACGATGAAATCTTCCCGTCATTCATAGATTATTCAAAACTTCTGTGCATCTATATTTTTTTTTTATTATTATTATTTAGACTCATTGTTCATTTATCTCATTTTGTATATAGTTTTTATCTACTTTTATATATATCATGATTTTCAATAAACTCTCTAGGATTATGGAAACTTGTTTGAAATCCATGTTGTCCTTTTTGCTTGTTTTATGCGGAAAATGATTTGATCAATAGATGTATAAGGAAGTATATATGAAGGATTATAATTGGCTTTATTGATTAGTGCAAGACAATGACTGAATTGTAATGATTATCAAGCGATAATAACGAGTAATTATGATGCATGAAAATGATTTTATTAAAGAGGAAGATAATAATAACAGTAATAAAAGTCTGAGTGCACCGATTATTGATAAAAGAATTACCACGATAATAGTCAGTGAATTGCTTCCACTGTCATATTCATCTATTTCACTGTAAGATCCATCTCATAGATTCAGTAGATTCAACCGAGTCGTATTATAGAAATGTGTCTAATGGAGAAAAGAGATTGAACGGTCATCGATGTATGACAGATAGAGAGAGAGAAAAAAAAAAAGAAAAGAAAAGAAAAGAAGAAGAATTGCTACAATCTAGAAAGGGTTAAATACCTATTTTCTATTTTTCATTTTTTTTCTAGTTTGATATTGTCTGGCTTTATACGGATGACGATGAAAGAAAGCATGAGTAACACACGGGTAAACCAAGGAAGAAAAAAAATCATTTCCACGCCTCCGCTTAAATGGCTCAGGGGGGAAACAAAAAAAAAAAAAAAATTTCCCTGTGTCTATATAAAGGCGTGCATTGACTAGGAGGATCATGTTGTGAATTTTTTTTTTTTTTTTTTTGGGGTCAATCTTGTGAAGCCTGTTTTTTTTATGGTGAAAAAAAGGGGGAGTCATCGACAATTAAAAGTAAAACATTTTTATAGAATACAAAAATGATGAAATAAAGGATTGATTTATTTTAAAATGATCAATTTTTGAATGAAATCAAATATTCTTTAGATGAAAGGAATAAAATCCGACAGCATGATCCAACGCGAAAACTAAAGTATGACACCAGCAAAAAAAAAAAAAAAAAAAAAAAAAAAAAAAAAAGATGAAATCATCAAAATCCGATGATGTTTTAATCATCCTTCATATTCATACATAGAATCGAATCTTTCTTTAATTTTCTGTTTGAAAAACTTAAAAGAAGGTTAACTTTTTCGTTTTCGTTTATTAACAAAGAAAAAGGAAAAAAAAAAAAGTGAGGGGGGATTCAGGGATGTTGTTGACCCAAATCATTACCCAAAAAAAAAGAGGGTAATCTTTGATTTCTTTTTCGGTTCATCAAATTTTATACCAAATCTTTCTTTCCTCCTTTTTTTCTAAACTCTTTTCTTTTTTCCCGTTTCTTCACTTTTTACCTTTTTGACTCCTTTTTTTTGTCATTGTTGATCTTTCTTTTTTATTAATTCTATTATACAAATAGACAACAGTAATAATATATCATGGATACTAGAACCTTAATTAAACACTGTACAAATGGTGTTTGTCATTGTGATTGGCGTTTGACAATATATGGATGTGAAGAAGAAAAAGGCGCTTATATGATTAATATGGTCAATATTGGTATTTCTGCTTTTGTATCTATCATTGGTAAATAAAAAAAATAAAAATAAAAAAAAAAAATAAAAAAAAAGAAAACTTTTTCTAATGTCTTTCCACATTAGGTATTATCATCTTATTTCATCGACTTGCTATCAAAGGTCATCATTTATTTGATATTTCATTAAGTAAAGGTTGTCTTCGTCCTATGCCTGTTGATTGTATGTTATTCTTTTTAACCATTTACAATATTCGTAAGTTCAAAATAAATCATATATTAAATACATGTGGTATTCATCTTTAGGTTTGCATTTTTTTTTTTTTTTTTTGGAAAATGATAGTCCGTCTACTGGCAAGTGTTTTATTGGTAACTGATATTGAACCGGATAATTGGGTAGCTCGTTCATTTGTGTAAACAAAGTTATTTTTTTTTTTATTATTATTATTATTTTCATTAATATTTTCTTTTATAATAGATTTGAAATAAGTTGGCAATTTGGTTACGGTAGTTTTGCTTTATATTTGATTGGTATTGCTCAAACCTTGGCTGATGTAAGTTATGACAGATAACAAAAAAAAAAAAAAAAAAAAAAAACTGATCGGAGTACGGTTATTAAACATTTTAAATTATTTAGAGTCATAAAGTAATTTCAAGCGACTGGTTACCATCTCCACAAACCGTAGATTTGGTTGGATTAACCTTTTTCTTTGCTCCTTTTATCTTGAATAATATATGCTCTTTGGCCACAGGGATTCTTGCCACTCGAAATCTCTATGTAGCTGAAATATTTATTCATTTACTCTATGTACTTTGGTTCGTCCATTGTGTCTCTTTATCATGTGCTGTCGTATTATCTGGTTGGCGACTTGTTCGTATTTTGAATCGTCATTTGGCAAAATTCCAAACATCCCGTCCTCGTGCTGCTAGTATTCAAGCTGGGATTTTCAAGGTAAGAAAACGAAAAAGTAAAAAAAAAAAAATTGCCCTTGGATGACCAATCATAACATTTTTTTTCCATTGACTAGATCCGTGCTGTAGTGATTATTATCGCTGTCTGTCTCTTTTCATTTGCCTCCTTTTTATTGCTATATGGTATTCTACGTGATGAAATCATGACAAGTACTATGGGAAATCTTGTTCTTAGTGGCATTTGGAATTGGTTAGGTCCTTTGACTACATTGGCTGTTGAAGCAGCTATTTTATTCAAGTAATTAAAAACTAAACAAAAAAAAAAAAAGATCATCTCATATTATTATTTTTTTTATTAGTCCACATACGGATAGCGAAGGTAACATGTTTGGTCTAAAGACATCATCAGCAGATAAACCCAATCCAAACACCAGCTATACTGGCATGTTTGATACCCATTTTTCGATATTTGCAAGCGGTCAAGAGGCTAGTTTCCAAGGCACTCTAAGTCGAAATGCCTTTGATGAACTCAAACAACAACATCTTGAATATCAACGGCAATTCCAACAACAGCAAGCAAAATACCATCAATCTGACAAAGAAGATGATTCGGGACGGACCGATATCTTACCAACAACGGACGATTATCAACTAGACAATAGACAATATGGTCATCATCCTAATGCTTCTACCGCCTCGTCACCCTGTTCCTCCTCATTTGCTCCAAATAATATCATCTTGACATCACAAACGGGTATTCCATTGGAAGATGTTGGTTATATGGCAAGCAAATCCGAAGTCGCGCTCATTCAATAAGTTACAATATCTATTGTTAGTTTCTTCAATTTTTCATTCTTTAATTCATCCTTCATATATATATTCATCATGTATTATTAACTCCCAATTTTAATAATAAAAATAAAAACAAATCACTACAACCTTACTTTTATATATATTCTTTTGATTTTACTCTTGATCTCCAACCATTTTATTTATTCTCTTCCTATCTGGGAAATTTCATCATTCTCTTTTTTTTTTTCCCCAATACTTGGACTTTTGTGTTGCCATGCTTGTCATCATCGGAGTCCATCTATTTTTTGACATTTTCAAGAGATTGTCTTTAGATGATTATCATGTTATTCTAAAATCAAGGGTATCAGAGAGACATTCCATAGTCTTTTCACCAATCCATCTTCTAATATAAATTTAAAAAAAAAATCATCATAGGAACCATGCATTACGGAATTAGGATTACCGTTGCCGTACCATGACTATTTTTGTCCTCTTTGTTACTTGGTGTTATCCTTACGACTATTTTTTTTTTTTCATTGGAAGATCATGTCAAGGCGGGGAATGAACGTTCGCCAAAAAAGGATTAAACTCGAAAGAAACAAAGTTTATTCTGTCTGTGACACATTGAACCTGGAAAATGATGTCCCATTTTTGGACCCGCCACCTTTTAAGCGTGAACACTATTTTCAGCTCAAATACCCTGATCATCATTCTAACTCTTTGCATTTTGAAAATAAATGATTTATATGACGAAAGACATAAATAATGTAATAACTTACAGATTTCTCTCTCTTTTTTTTTTTAATGAGTACTACTTCATCATATATGTTTACTAGGAAAATACGTTTGCCTAATGATCACATCTTTCCTCTTGTCATATTTTGACATGTAGCGTAATCGCAGGATTATTGTAAAAAAAAAAAAAAGATGACCATGACGTACACCATACATGACATGAACCCGAGAATTACCATATTGCCGTCGTTGTCATTGCCTTTCTCCTTCATTGTCTTCTTCCTCTTCGTTTTTCTTCAGGAAGCACTGGAAACTATAAGCATAAACCAAAATAGATAAATTATTTTATGCTTTTTTTCCGGTTGAAGGTGAAAGACAATGATGACATGTTATTCTTTATTGGTGTAATAGTGTATTTATAGATTAACTATCGTATCAAGGTTATAATGAAGCATGATCTTTACTTTTCTTTTTTTTTTATTAAATCGTTGACAGAATTTCTGTTTCTTATAAAGGCATTTGGTGCGATATCTCATTTGTTCAAAGTCATTTTTTTATTTTCGTTCGTTACGTTATCTTGGTCAAAATAACGAGAGTAACACGAAAAGTGACAAAAATGAATAACAGTATTGTGCATTTTTTTTTTTTTTATCATTGATCATTTTTTGATCTCCACCGTTCAACCTCTTGAAATTATCATAAAATTTCTTTAGGGTAAATGGCTATTGATTATAAGACGGAGTTGAAAATGAACTTGACATTATTCATCCTTCTTTCCCTTTATAATAAGTTTTCCTATCAAAAATAAGAGAAAACATATCTATATATATTATTAGTGATCCTTGGGAAGTGTGCGTGAATATTTTCTTTATATTTATAATTATGATATTCAATTCTTGTGCAACATCCCAAAAGTTGTTTTTTTAATTTCAAGAGGGAAAATATTCACCACTTCGCCCCCTTTTTTTCATTTTTCCCTTTTTTTTTTTCTTTTTTTTTTTTTTTGATAAAGTTTTTGGGAAGAAATGGAAGATGTGCGTACATTGACACGACATTGTATTGATGGAACATGTTATTGCGACTGGAGACTATCCATTGACGGTTGTGTCAATTCATCCGGATTACGGATCATCTATCTGATTATGATCATATTCTCTGCTGTTGTAGCTTTGTTATGTAAGTTAACATGTTGATGATCCTACTCTTCTTATCAAGTGATAATGAATCTCTTTCTTTTTTTCTTTTTTTGATGATAGCCTTTAGTATTTTTCTTCATCGATTTATATTCAAAGGACATCGATTGTTCGATTTTAATTCTGCATCTGTCCTTAAACCTAAACCACTTGATTGTTTGATGTTCTTTTTGACCATATTCAACTTGCGTATGTTTTTCTCTACCTACACTCGATCATCATCTTTTTTTTTTTTTATTTTTCTCTATTTATATACTCATCGCAATTTTTTCCTTCTTCTTCATAGTACGAATGTTGACTGGTATCATTTTAGTCACCAATATCTCACAAACTAATCTATTGGCACGCTCTTGTAAGTAGAAATCTCTTTCTTTTTTTTTTTGACTTTAGACAGGATAAGATCAAGGTTTGCATGATTTTAACTCCGCATGCTTTTATTATTTGATCATCATCAAAATAGTCCTGTTTGAGTTTGCGTGGCAATGGGTATTAAAGATTTCTTAAAAAAAAAAAAAAAAAAGGATATAAATATTTGTAAATAACCATTCAACTTTTTATTTATTGATGATAGGGATATGGAGCATGTGCTCTTTATTTACTTGGAATTGCACAAACATTAGCTGATGTAAGCATCCCTTCTTTCACAGTTTTCATCTGATAAAGAAATACCTTTTTTTTTTGTTTTTTATTTATTTATTTATTTATTTTTCATTTGATGATGATTGAATGAATAGAGTCATAAATCTACAGCGAGACAATGGTTACCATCAACAAGGACGGTAGATATTATAGGCTTGACACTTCTTTTTGCGCCGGTTATCACCAACAATATATGCTCCATTGCAGCAGGAGTCATAGGCTCAAAAGGTACAGAAACAACTACCAGCTTGGACCCCATGACACCATCTTCATTATCAGCTGTTCACACTGCCGAGATCTTTGTACGACTTCTTTATTTATTTTGGTTCATTCATTGTGGCTCATTGGCTATTGCTGTACTCTACACTGGCATTCGATTATTAAGAGTATTGAACGATCATCTAAAAAAATTCAAGCCAGGTGTACTTCAACGACAAAAAATTCAAGCTGGTGCGCTCAAAATCCAAATCCTTGTGGCCTTGATCTTTCTCGCAGTAGGAGGATTTGCCATCTTTTTACTTCTTTATGGTATTTTGCGTGACCAAATCATGCAGAGTGTACCTGGAAGTTATGCTCTCTGTGTTTTATGGAATTTTTTGGCTCCTTTAGCTTCTGTCTTGATATGTCTAGCTATTATATCAAAGTAAGTGATGATCTTTTTTTTTTCATTTCACCGTTGACGTCTTTCTGAGCTAAACTTTTTTTTTTCAATATCTATTATTGATTTTTTTTTTCTTTTGGTTGGGGACATATTTATATTTAAAACGTGGGTTGTACTTTGTGTTTCTACCACTAGTCCTCGTATAGATGAAAAGCCAGCACTTGGTTTACCTAATTCAAGCACCGGAGGTAATGCATCATCATCCAATCAAAACTCTGCCAATATTTACTCCACCACCTCCAACACTGAGGCATCTGAGTTTCCAGTCAATTTGAGTGCTACTGCCTTTGAAACTTTACAACAAATCAAGGATGAAATGGTCGTCAGTGGAAATGGTACTTATCCTTTTGCTTCCTTCGATTGTCAACAAAACCATTCTTATTACACAACTAATGATGATGATGATGATGATATCTATGATGACGATGATGATCATCATCATAATGGTGTTCGTCTTCAATTATCAAAAAGTAACCTAATCACTCCTCCTCCACCAACTGCCACGTCCTCTTACTGAAAATATGAATATATAGATATACTTATATACATGACTTTTTTTTTCCTTTTAATGACTATTTACAACTTAGATTTTATGATACCTTGTTTTTGATATATGGATAATAAATAGTATGAAATTTAATATTAAAAAAAAAAAAGAAGCTTTGGGGAAGGATCTGCAAATGTGTTCTATATTAATTTTTACTGGTTTGACTAGGAATATGATCCGGAGTATGAAAGTGCAAAGTGATTCCGACCAAGTGTATAATATAAAGTTACCCCACTTTTTTTTTTCATCATCATCATCATCCACCATCATCCATCATTGAATCATTGAATTCATTATTACTATTATTATTTTCATTATGATTATTGTTATTATTATTATTATTATTACTATAATTGACTAAAAAGATCTTGGTAATAAGGGTGAGAAACTAAATATAGAGAAGAAGCAAGATTATTTCACACGGATATTGATTTGAAATGAAGCGTTTTCTAACACTATCGGGATTCTTAAGCAGTGACACTGTTCAAAATTGAAGGTGGCACAATACAGAAAGAGTTGAATCACTGGTAAGAAATAAAAAGTTTAAATTTTGCTTTAAAAAGTAGAATTCTATTTCATTTCCTGAATGTATATTGTGTTTTGTTACCATTCTCAATATACAAATCCGATGAAAAAGACATGAACATGTGGATGTCATTGATCTTCCTAGAAAGTGATTTAAGAAAGACTAAATATTACCAAGTCTGTTAAAAAAAAAATGAGGGTAACACATAAATAGTTAATAACCACAAAGCAAACCTTATACCATCTGTAAATATAATAAGGTAGGAGAGTAGTTTTCAATTGTTCCTTTTTTTTTTTTTTTCTCTGTCATTCATTCATTTAATATTATCAACATCGTCGGCCCAACATAGCTTTTTAATTTTTTTTTTTTTTACTCGACTTTATTATTCGACTGATGGATGATCCGAACGAACGAACGTTGATGAGACAATGTGTCAATGGCATATGTCACTGTGATTTCCGACTCACAGTTACTAATTGTGTAGAATCATTTGCTTTACGTACCATGTATTTATCTTTTATTGCTTTGTCTGCACTAGTCATCATCATAGGTAGATTTTATCCAAAAAAAAAAATTCAAAAAAAGTGGGGGATGTCCCTGTTAGAAAGAAAGATCCTTTCCATGAAATTCAGGGGAACAGTTTGATCTATTTTTCTTTTGGTGTGGCTTAAGATTTATTTTTTTTTTTTTTTTTTTTTTTTTTTAGGAATTGGTTTATCTTCAGATAGATACTTTCGAAAAGGACATCGTTTATTTGAAACAGGTTCCGATCGTGGTTTATTACGACCTAAACCTATTGATTGTCTTGTCTTTTTCATTACTGTTTTTAATTCGAGTAAGGCATCCTATAAATATATATTTTTTACAGAATTTCATCGTCGGCACGTGCTAGTCTCACACTTATTATTAACCTTCTTCCTTCATTACCCTCTTTTGGTAGTGCGAATGATTTGTGCTATTCTAATAGTCATTGATCATGATCCCACTAATGTTTTGGCAAGATCTTTTATGTTTGAATTCTCATGGCATTTTGGTTATGCAGCTTGTGCTCTTTATTTACTAGGTATTGCTCAGACTCTATCAGAGGTAAAAAAAAAAAAAAAAAAAAAAAAAAAAAAGGAAAAGATGATGCTTCATTGAAAACGAATGAAATCTAATTATTTTTACTCTTACCAATCATCATCATGATTCATTAGAGTCATAAAAACCTGACGCGTGGATGGTTACCTTCACCTACTACAGTAGATATCATTGGTATATGCTTTATGTTGGGTCCAGTAGTTCTTCATAACATTTGTTCCATTGCTGCTGGTGCTCTAGCATATTCACAATTAGGTACAGCAGAAGTGTTTACAAACCTGTTATATGGATTTTGGTTCATGCATTGCATCACTCTCTCTCTTACTGTCCTTTTTGCTGGAGTACGGTTGATTCGCATTTTAAATTGTCATTTGATCAAATTCCCTCCTACTGGTGATCGATACAAGTCCATCCGTCTTGGTGTATTCAAGGTAAGACATCTTTTTTTTTTTTTTTTTTTTTTTTTTTTTTTTTTTTTTTACATCTACTTATATCATTTCTTTATATCCTATAGATTCAAGCATTGATGACGATTATAGTCCTATGTTTAGCAGGATATGCAGTGTTTTTATTAGTCTATGCAATTGTTCGTGATCAAGTCACACAAAACAGTGCAGGTAGCATTGCCATGGCGACAATTTGGAATTTTTGGGCACCAGTGGCTACGTTATTGGGAGAAATTGCTTTGATTGTGGATCCCAAGTTGGGAGAAAATACAAATTTTGGTATCAAGACATCATCGACAGGCAAGACAACTACCAATAATACTAGTAGTAATGCTCTCCATTCCATGACCATGAGTATGTCTCAACAACAATCAAAACAACAAGATCAGGATGGGATGATGTTTGTGTCTGCTACGGCTGCACCTACTCTTAGTTTGGGTGCATTTGATCCATTTACAAAGGATCCAAATGGTCCATTGACAAAGCCTATGTTTGCTGCTGAAGTGGATCATACGGGTATTCCTTTGGAAGATAGTGTTTATATCCAACATCATCATGTAAATAACAACAACAATAATAATAATTATAGTCAGAATCATACTAGTATCGGTACTGGAGCTGATAGTGATAGTGATACCTTTGTGATGTATCCCCAAAGACAAGATAGTGATATTCCATCAAGATCTTCAAAAAGTCATCTTGTCCATCATGATTCATGATCACTTTTTTTTTCCCCTCTGTACTTTTCCCCTACCTTTTATTATTATTATTAGTATGATTAGTTTTCCTAATATTTATTTATTCCTTTTTTTTTATGACTCTGGATAGTTATTTTATATCTTTTAGTATAGATCTTTTCTTTTCTATTATTATTATTATTATTATTTGCTTGATGCCTCTTCTTATACACGTTAGTATTATTATACTTTATTATTCTTTTTTTTTTATTAAAATGATCAACATGCTATATAATCGGGTATATCGTATAGTATCAAATAGAACTGTTTTTATTTTTTGATATCAATGATGAAGAAAATGACTAAAAGTATTATACGTAATAAACAATGTTGTTCACAGATTTTCCATGTTCCCATACTGCTGATCCTCCAGAGGATATCGTTGGTGTAAAAGATATTCAGCTTTCTTGCCGAGGTTTGGATTAAAGGGCTTGATTGGAGATCCATTGTATATTGCAGAGATACCAGCCAAGGAGATAGAAACGGCAGCCATTTTTACTCCGCCTTGACTAGCACAATCATACTTGACTGAGAAGCAGTTGGGATTGATACAGAGGGAAGCACCAAGGACATTGTGTATCACTTTTGTCTATCAAGAAAGTGACAGGAGAAATGGTATAATATCAGTAAACAGACAGACAGACAAGACAGAAGTAGCTATGTATGTTCTGGTCTACCATGTCCTTGTCTGTGATGCAGAAGGATTTTTCTCATGTTTAGGCATGCCATAACATCCTGGTTCCACTGGCGATGTCTTCCTTGATAGCCTAACAACGCCATTTGGTTCATACAGTGTTGGGAGGTGCACCTAAAATTACGAGAATATATTTGTTGTTTGATGAGAATATTGAGAACAATGTAAAAGTAATTGTTGACCAAAGGATTGCAGAAATAAATAAATATATCATTCTTGTAATGAAGGAGAACAAAAGGGATAAGAAAAAAAAACAAGAAGGAAAAAGGAGAAGAGAAAGAAAAAGAGAAGGTGATAAAAAAAACAAAGAGAAAGAAAAAGAGAAGGTGATAAAAAAACAAAGAGAAAGAAAAAGAGAAGGTGATAAAAAACAAAGAATAATAATGTAACTCAGACATACGCATGATTTTTTATTTTTCATTGTCCTTGGTAATAATATCCTTGACATTGTCACACCTTGGTTGATTATTCTTTTGGTTCTAACTACCTTTTAGAAGCAAAAAAATACAGGTTTGACTGGAGCGATGTTCGTAATTCCCACTGTTCCACAGTCTTGATAGTAATCTTGAATGCCATCAACACCCAAAAACTGACGAAGCCATTCTCTAGCTTCACGAAGAGCGTATAAAATAAATAGGCTAACTTTTTCATGGATTGATCACACGGGTTTTTCTGTATACCATTGATGGTCCTCTTAGATAATACAACTTTATTGGTCTCAATTGAAAGTCAGTTCGTTTTTTCTATCACTTGAACGCGTCAAGAGGGAAACAGGTTTTTCTTTTTCTTTTTAATTTTTTTTTTCTTTCCTTTTGTATAAACCAACCATGTGTATTTTATTTTGGACAGTTGATAATCATCATGACTATAAATTGTAAGTATATATATATAATAATGGATATTCCTTTGATAATATATAATGCTTATATATATATTTTATTTACTCCATAACTCTTTTCTTAATAATAATGTTAGTATTTTTGCAGGCAACAGAGATGAGTTCCTAAGTCGACCCACTAAACCAGCACATGTATGGTTTAAAAACAATAAAGAGGATAAGTTTAATATTATTGGTGGCACAGATATGGAACCTACAGCATCATGTGAAAATGGAACTTGGTTAGGAATGACGACAGATGGGCGATTGGCAGCTTTGACTAACTTTCGAGAAGTTAAATATGAAGGACGACGATCACGTGGAGAACTCGTTAGAGACTTTTTATTAATGGATAACAATCAACAATCAACTGTGGAAAATTATATGAGTCACTTGCAACAAACGACAAGTGAATATGGTGGTTATAGTTTGGTATGTTTTGACCTACTAAAGAATGAAATGGCTTATTTTAGCAATCGAGATGTGGAACCACATATTCAATACTTGTCACCAAAACATATTTATGGTAATGAACGAAATAAAAAAAAAAAGGAAAGCTTCAGGATGATAATGATTCTTATTTTCTTTTTTTCATTATTTTTATTAATCTAGGTCTCTCTAATTCAGTATTATCGAATCCTTGGGAGAAAGTCAAACAAGGACAAGAAGCTATGAAAATATTATTAAAAGATGAATCTTTAACAGAAAAACAAATGATTGAAAATTTGTTTAACATATTACGGTAATGAAAAGAAGAAGAAAAAAAGAAAAGAAAGTTGATTTTTTATTATTATTATGATGTAGATCAAGTGAACCATTCAATGATCCCACTAATATTGGACAAGTAATGACTGATTTCAAAGAAAGGATTTTTATACCCAAGTTGAATAACAAAGAATTAGGTAATAATGCAAGTTATGCAACAAGAACAAGTACTGTGATTCTAGTGGATCGACAAGACAATGTGATTTTTGTAGAAAGAGATTGGTTTGAATGTATAGAAGATAATTATCAAGAATGTAAAGTCCCAGAAACTCGGCGGTTTATATTTAGATTAAAAGAATCTCATATTGTTAACAATGTATAGTTTATTTTTGGTTATTCAATAAAGATTGTATTTTATTTTTTTATGAAGGGTCTTTTTATTATTATTATTTATCCACGTTCTTTTGTGTCACATCAACAACGTGGGAGAAAGGATGGACCAAGAACGAAAAAAGGCAATAGAGTTTTAGGGTGAACAAATGTCATAAAAAAAAGAAAAAGAAAAAAAAATATTGATAGATCCCTCTTTCTTTCTCCCTTTTCTACCCTTCACTCATTACTTTTATTTTTTTTTTAATTATTCAACACTTATATACCCTTCTTTATGGCAACGAATGAGTCTCCTTCTTCCTTTGTACTAAGTAAGTTTTACAACTTGTAATTCCTTGATATTTTTATTAACCTAACTCTACATTTTATAGTTGGTGGCAATGAACGTAAAATCCCTTTAGAACAACAATATCATCCTTGTCCAAAATGTCATCATACAGCCTCTGTACAATTAACAAGAAGTGAAACTCAATTAGTGATACTCAACAAAACCATTAGAAAACCCAACAATATGCGTGTTCGATATGAATGTCGCGAATGTCATTGGAAAGATCAAAATTTGCCTGATGAATAACATTTTACTATTCCTTTACTAGTTTAAATATATCATACATTCCTTTTTCTATTATACCTTTATGATTCTACATTCGTTCGATTTATGTTTCTTATTATATTGTATTTCACGTTTTTTTTTTCTTCTTCTTTCTATTTATCATATATACACTACTTTGTTTCATTAAAATAAAAGTTATTATGGTAAGCAGTTACACATTTGATGATAAAATTCATTCCTTTTGAGGAGAATACTGTAGTTTTTTTCATTAATTTAGAAAGCGTTTCGATACCAAATATGGTAAGATTCATTCACTATGATAGATCTTCCTTAATTCAATGGATGATCCAGCAACCTAGAGGAGTTCAATTATTTTGATATGGATTAGTTTGATGATTTAGAACGAACAGTGCAATCAGTACTACCATTGACGTCAGTCAGATCATGGAAGATGATACAAATGTTTGGTCAGTCAGCTGTTGATGAGCTCCGATAAGAAAAAAAAAACCTTCTTCCCCTTTTCTTCCTCTTCTTCTCTCCCAGCCCCTTCCCAACACACACACATACGCATTCATACACACATATATATATAAACTTGGTTTTTTTTCTCTTTTCTTTTTTTTTTTTTCTCGGTGTTTTTCTTTCTTAGTAAAAACCAAAGATTGAATGGGTAAGAAGTCATATAAATATTTTTTATATTGAATGAAACTAAAACTTGATTTTTGATAGGCCCACTAATCTATATTCTTTCTTTTTTTGTCCCTTGATATGTTTAGCCGAAAGTGTAAATGACTTTATTGCAGGTAACTCCTCTAAATAGAGAAAGTGGGGGGTAATCAAGATAAATGATTAACTATAATATATTTATTTTTCTTCTTCTTACTACTAGGTTGGATTGGTGGAGCTGCAGGCATCTTAGTAGGTAGTCCTTTAGATGTATTGAAGGTAAGAAAAAAAATAGGAAAAGAAAGAACATTTTACTGATTCAATCTTATAAAAAAAAATCATCAGGCAAGATTACAAGCACCTAGTGGCAAATATGGAGAAGGACATACTGGCTCCTGGAAAACTCTGACAAACATGATTCAAATGGAAGGGGTAAGGAGGTGGCAAGTGGACCAAAAAAAAAAAAAAAAAAAAAAATGATGAAAAATTTTTTTTTACTACAATACGAATGGAGATGATGATGATTTTTTTTTTTTTTTGATAGACAGGCTCGTTATTCAAAGGGGTATTGGCGCCAGTGATGGGTTTGGCGGGTTTGAATGCAATCCTGTTTGTATCTTATGGCGGGATCTTAAGATACCTTCAACAATATCCTGGAAACTTGATCAACCATGAACAATATCAACCAAGTTTGGGACAAGTCTATTTGGCAGGTTGTGGAGCTGGTATGGCATGTTTTCTATTCTCAACACCAACTGATTTAATCAAGATTCAGGCACAGGTTAGTCAATTGAATAAAACAACATGGCAAGTGATGAAAGAAATCTTTTACAGGAATGGTTTAACTGGATTCTACCAAGGTGGGTGGATCACTTTGATTCGAGATTGTCCTAGCTATGGTATCTATTTTTGGGTATATGAAGGGATGAAACGATCGTTAATGGATCAAAGTGGCAATAATGAAGATTGGAAGTTGTTACTTGCAGGAGGGATGGCTGGTACAATCTCTTGGGCTTCCATTTATCCTATAGATGTCATCAAATCACGACTTCAGATGCAAGTGATTACTGCTAATACGGTGGAATCTTTGGCAGTAGTGAATGAAACAACAGCTCTCTCTTCTTTATCTGGTGGTGCTATGATTCAACAACAACCTTATTATACCTCTATTCGTGATTGTATCGTTCGATCTTATCAAGCTGAAGGTGTTGGTGTCTTTTTTCGTGGTTTGACACCTACACTTCTTCGTGGTTTTCCTGTGAATGCTGTTACTTTTTGGGTTTATGAGATTGTTATGAATTGGTTATCATAGAGATCCCATTTTAGATCCATTCATTTTATTTATTTATTTATTTATTATGTTTTAATAAAAACGTCATCTTGGATTTTATTTTATTTTGGTTTTGTGCGGATGAATAAAAGTAAGGAGTTCTTTTTTTTTTTCTTGAAAACGTTGTTTGTTTTGTATTCGATCATTTCGGTTTTTTTTTTTTTGGAAAAATAGGAGAATCGATGTATCCATCGAGAGGAGGGGTAAAGGGGAAACTTAGTAGAAACAATGATAAAAGGTAAAGGGGATATAAATCATCTTATCCTGTTTTCCATTCATCCCCCTCCCTCTTTTTCTTCCTTTTCTTCTTCCTATCACCTTCCAGTTTTGTTCTTTGTATATAAACGTTATGGTATTAAGACCTACAGTGGTTCCAGTATTACCTCAAAATGCTCAACAACCAAAGAAAAAACCAATTTCTAAACCATATTTATTAAATTTACGATCTTCTAAACAATTTATCTTTTGGACAGCAGCTGTAGGTCTATTCACAAGTGTAAGTTTCTTTTATTATTATTTATTTTTTTTCTATAGAATGATCATGTTAATGATTTTAAATATATAGACATTTGTCCATTCTATTCTATTTCCATTATCACCATTTATTGTCAATCGAATCAAACATAACAATGTGGATGATGATTCCTATCATAGCGCTAGTGCTTTAGCATCTGACAGCGAAGTTACGTCAAGAGAAACAGGGATCTTGGTGGCATTATATGCTGTGGGTTTATTATGTACGTATCTTTTTCTCTCTCTCTCTCTTTTTTTTTCATATATATATTCAACCCACACACAAGGGGGAAGGAAGGAAGGATAAGGAGGAAAGAAAAGGGGATAAAAAAAAGAGAAAAGGTTCATGCAAGCGGAGACTTAATCAGTTTCCTTTTTTGATTTGTTCTTCCCTATTGGGGATGATTTTTTAGGTGGATCACCATTGTTTGGTTGGTTAGGTGATAAAATCAAGCAAAGACGATTACCTATGTTATTAGGTATTGCAGCATCTATGGCTGCCAATTATGTTTTTATGTTCAGTATTGCTTATTGGATGTTACTTTTGGCTCGATTTCTTCAAGGTGTGGCAAATGCTTGTGTTTGGACCATGTCACTTTGTTTGATTGCTGATAATTGGCCTATAGAGCAATATGGTTTACAAATGGGGAAATTGGTTGGTTTTTATCCTTTAGGACTTTTGGTGGGATTACCTCTTGGAGGTAACTGATTACCAAAAAAAAAAAAAAAAAAAAAAAAAAAGACTCATCCTTTTCTTTTTTTTTTTATTAGGTATACTTTATAGTAATTTGGGTTATCAATCACCTTTCATTGCGTCTTCTATCTTAACTGGCCTTGATTTTTTGATGCGACTTGTGATTATTGAACCCTGTCATTCTCCACCTGAATGGTTTGATTCACAGATATGTCAAGATATGGAAAAACAATTACAACAACAAGAATTGCAAAAATCACAGCCTATCAAACAACAACTTACTGCTGATGATACATCAAGTACTCACTATAGTGGAAATAATAATAAAAATAATAATGATGATGATGATGACAAACAATCAGAAGCAACTGTGGTGATCAATTTATCTCCTGCAACATCACCATCCACCATGCGAGTGACTACATGGCAATTATTAAAACATCCTCGTCTCATTGTCTCTCTATTCCTTACTATCATCACTGCCACAGTGATGAGTGCCTTTGAACCGACCTTATCCATGCGATTTGCCTCTGAGTGGAATTTTGATGCAGCGGATTGTGGCCTGATTTTGATTGCATTCATGGTACCCTCGGTCATCTCCAGTGCGGTATGTGGATGGTTATGTGATAAGTATGGCTGTAAAATTGTTGCCTTTGTGTCATTAATACTGACGATTCCAGCCGGTGTACTGATGGGTATTCCAGAACATCATACCACCTTTTGGGTGTTTGTTCCTATTTTGGCATTTTGCGGTATCACCATGGCTGGCTGTCAGGCTCCTGTGTTCCCTGAAATCGCTCGTGTTGTGGAATTGGAGAATCATCATAAAAAGAATGACAAGGATGGTTTGGCCAAAAGTTATGCACTCTTCAATGCCGCCTATGGTACTGGCATGTGTGTTGGCCCTATCGTCGCTGGGTTTTTGTATAGTAGTGTAGGATTCTTTTGGCTTTGTTGTATCCTCAGTACCATCTTTCTTGTATGTATTCCTGTTGTATATCTTTATACTGGTGGAAGTCGTCAGTGGATTGTCCGTCAACCTCCAAAAGTAGAAGAGTCATGATCTATTCCACTTCTTTCATCATTTTTTTTCTCTTTATTATTATTATTATTATTATTATTATTTTTAATATTATGCAAGTACTAAATAAATCGAACCAATAAATCTGTGTTGTCTACCAGAATCAACTACTATAACCTTTGGCTTTTTTTTTTTTTTCCTTCCCTTTCTTTCTTTTTTTCCCTTTTTTTTTCTTCCCTTTCTTTCTTTCGTTTTTTTCCCTTTTTTCTTTTGGGGTGGGTGTGGGCGGTAGGGCAGAGGGTGTGGTGGTGGTGTGGGGGTGGACACCATTTTGTTTCCATTATCATCTACCGACATGAATATTCTGTTTCCCATAGATTACAAAGCTTGATGTAAAGCTCAAGTTGCTCTCCCTCTCTTTTTTTTTTTTTTACTTGACATCTCACTTGAAACATATCCAACTCCTTTAAGAAATCAACATTTAGCAGCAACAACGAACACTTCGCCATTCAATTCATTACAGCAGCAGACCAACATGATGAATTAGAAGGTTATATAAACATTAGGTTGGAATTTCAGAGGAAGGGCTATCGGTTCCGATAGCTACTTGGATGAATAGCATTAGTGTAAGTAAGTAAATATAATATTGGGAAGCGTAATTATGTGAACAATAAAAGAAATTCACTTTGTCTCTATATATTTTCGAATAGGTACGATCAAACAACAACTTCACAAAGGGCAGGCAAGATGGTCGTTAGTTGGATGGTATTGGATTAGCTTATACTTCTGAAAATAAAAATCATCACTTCTACTTCTACTGTTTTGTGTTGTGTATGGATATATATTTGAAGGAGAAGTATTTACTTTTGGGTAGTTCAAGACTGGCTGGATTCCTTTTTTGGTTTTTCAAAACATATGGGGAACATTGATGCTTATGACTTTTTACTATAATACAATGTCAACAAAATATTTTTCTTTTGTTTCTTTTCTTCTTCTCGACTTTGTTTCTTATATACATTACAATAGTATCATCAACATCAATGAGTAACGAATCGCATCGAAAGTGCATCTGCGGAGCAACTACCCATTTCAGGTCTACCCATCACTCTTGCCCACTAAACAGACGAATTAATGATGATGATGATGACGCTCGAAACGTTCGACAGAGGACAAATGGATCATCTAGCGTAATGTCAAGGAGAAGAGATTTCAAGAAACACGCTGAAGGGGCTGATTCTTTCTTTTTTTTTTTTTCTCTCTAGATAGATTTACTTTCATGATCCATCAAATCTTCGAGTGGCAGCCCCACAACCAGTTCGCAATTCTCAACCGCAAACTGCCAATATTGTATATCGCGATGTCTTTCTATAGTTATTTCTTTTTATAATATATATATTCAATATCCAATAAAACAAAGAAATTATTTTCTCCTCCTCTTAACGAAGTTAGTGATGATGATTGATGATTAATGAAAGCATCCTCTAAAAAGATAATCTGTAGTCCACATCTTTCCATCAAATCAATAGTTCACACCTTCCCAAAAAAAAAAAAAAAAAAATCCACACCTTTCCATCGAACCAATAATCAACATCTTCCAATAAAATGTATAATCCACATCCTTTCGTCAAATTAATAGTCCAAAAAAAAAAAAAAAAAAAACTATAATCCACACCTTCCAATCAAATCAATAATCCACACTTTCCAAACAAATCTATAGTCCACACCTTCCAAAGAAAATCTAGAGTCCACACAAATCTTTGATTTCGAAAAGCTCCAGCGAATCGCCAGAGCGTTTATTAAATATAAAAAAAAAATATTACATACAGTAATCTCTTACTCCTTTTCCATGGTACCGTCATAAAAATCATCATCCATCATCCATAACTGCTGCAGTAAGCACTAATTGACACGTAGCATTATAATGTAAATATTTGTAAATCTCATAACCAATTTACTCATAACTCATCCATGAGGACAAACCTGCCAGAGGCCCCCTGAGAATCATTTCCCCCCTCCTCCGGTCCAAAGATATCATTACATGATACTATACTAAAGTGACATGTACTATACTAAAGTGATATTGTCATCCGTCTTATCGTCCGTCTTATTTTTTTTGTCATCCGTCTTATCATCCGTCTTATTTTTATGGTCATCCGTCTTATCATCCGTCTTATCATCCGTCTTATTTTTATGGTCATCCGTCTTATCATCCGTCTTATTTTTATGGTCATCCGTCTTATCATCCGTCTTATTTTTATGGTCATCCGTCTTATCGTCCGTCTTATTTTTATTGCCCGCCGTCTTATCATCCGTCTTATCATCCGTCTTATTTTTTTTTGTCATCCGTCTTATCATCCGTCTTATTTTTTTTGTCATCCGTCTTATCATCCGTCTTGTTTATTATATATCATCTTTCTTATTGTTAAAATGAACATTACAAGGGATCAAGCCCTCTGTATGTTTTTTTATGAAGAATGTACTGACGACAACATCAAAAAATGCAAAGAACGGTTTGAAAAGTGGGGGGATGTCGAAATATGTTACAATACATCTCCAAAGGAACCAGTTGTTGTTTCAAACACGCGAATAGTTGGTGATCCTTTTACATACAGAAAATATCGAGAATCTCAAGATCCAAGCTTAGTGGGTGAAGTCAGAAAAAGAAAAATATATGAATTGAGTAAGTTCAAAGGAATAGTTTGTTATTGAATTCTAACTATGATTGTTGTTTTAGAAACAACTGCACAAGTAAAGATTTTTTTAAATGAAGCATTTTGCTGTGCAGATCCTAATAATGCCAAGGCCTATAAACCTAAATTGCTGTCAACAATGGAAATCTATGAAACCATCCAACAATACACATCACTATTCAGCAAACGAAGTGGGCAATCTTTTGCAAGATGGTGCTCAGTCAATAATGTATCATTTTTAATTGCAAAAGAAGACAGAAATACGAAAATTAGAAAAAGAAAGCTTTATGTACTAGATGATATGTATTATGGTAAGCCCGAACACAGTATAGTCAAAAATGTATAACTGATATTTTTTTTAGACGATTTATTGGTGGCTATTTGCAATTATTTGCCCAAGTACAAGGAGTCCATCTTGCATCTGAAAAAAAATGGTTATGAAGTCATCGGCTACGCGCGCAAATCCCCAGATGGCAGTGATCCAGCAACAAGATTGCAACACCTACAGCAAATGGTCAATAATCTCCGTGAACGCTCCCTTGTTGATAAAACTTACGTTTCAATATCTAGTCTTGCATCCTCGCCGTTTAACGAAAGGGATTTGAATGTAGTTGACGATATGGAAAAACTTGAACATGTAACAGGAAATACTCAAGGTAAATTAAAACTATATAGCTGCAAAACCCATCACTGACATTCTAGTTGATTCACAATAGATATGCTTGAGTATATTCAAGCCGTCGATCATAATGTTTGTTTGGTTTCCATTGATTTTGCTGGTCTTTCGTCACGTTCACATATTGTGAAAGATTTCTTGGTTTTTTTTTATTGAAAGTATATATCTTAGTTTTTTTTTTTTTTTTTATTGAAAGTATATAGCTTAGTTTTTTTTTTTTTTTTTTCTTGAAAGTATATATCACAAAATAAATTCTTTCTATTGAAATTTCATATTACAAAAGAAACAGGATTTTTTATACAAGCTTCATATTGCACATGATTTTTCAAGACTCAGTGATCGGTAAGGAGTCTATTAATCAAATTTTTTATTTACATTCACGGTTGATTTTCCAACAAACTGGAGGTGCTCGCTGGATACAAACGATATAATTGAGGGCATTCATGAATCCTCCTTTCTGTCACCAATATCGGTTGTTTTGGATCGGCGTTATAGCAGATCTCTACATCACCATAATCTTCGACTACTTTTTTGTACTTCATGACATTTTCTTCAGTATATTCGACATAAAAAAACATACAAATTGCTTGGTCTTTCGATATTTCCATTTCAGCAAAACAAAGTAGGGATTGTAAATCAAATAATGGAGACAATAAAAATAAGATAGGGATAGCAAAAAAAAAAAAAAAAAAAAAAAAAGAAAAATAGGACGGATGGGCTAAAAAATAGGGAATTCTTATTTTCACCCCCCTCAGTTTTGTTATTCTCACACCCCCAAGCTAAAAAATAGCCAATAAAAAAAATTTTTTTTTTCATATAGTCAATAAATTTAAGATAAATTTAAGCAAAACTTTTATATTCAGTCCACCATGGGAAAAAAATTCCGTATATCTGACATATAGTCCACGATTTCCGCTATTTTTTTAATAAATTCCGTATATATGAAATATAAAGCAAATATCTGATATATATGTCAGATATATGGCATACATACCTTACCATCATGTCGGATACCCGACATACAAGACGTATATCAGGAATCCGGAGGTCTGTCCGTAATCTGTGACGGCTATACGACATGCGTGTCAGATATACTGAATATATGGCGGATATAATACCGTACATCGCAGATCTCTTTTCGCCTATCTAGGCTAGAAAGCATATAATAGGTAGATTTACCTTTTTTTTTTGTAATAAACATAATTATTAGGTCAAATAGGTAGAATTTAGGACTTCTATATAGAGTTGAATAAAAATTGGGTTTTCTAGGTAGAATTTAGGGTTTCTATGTAGAGTTGAATAAAATATTGGGTCTTCTATGTAGAATTCCTAATTTGGAAGGAGGTGTTTTGCCCACAGGCTCGCTGAGAGAAAATTATGCATTGCCAAATAAAAAAAGGACGTTTGTTTATTTTTACTCTTCTTCTTCTTCTTCTTCTTCTTATTTTTATTTTTATCACATTATTGTTCTTTTTTTCTTCTTCTTTTTGTTATACGTTTACCTTTTAAGACAAATCAAAGTAAGGTATGGAAATAATAATAATAAAAGATTGTTTATACATATATTCATTGTATTCATGAACTGACTGAATCATTCTTTTTTACTGTGTGTGTTTATACCTTTTAGTTAAAACAAGTGAACACAAGTATCTTTAACCTGTTATATGCTATATTACTTATGTTTAATAGGGTAAATCCATTTCATTATGCCACCAACGTTATATGATATTGATCTCTCTCTTTTTTTATTATTTGAATCTATATTCTAGATATAAATATGACGATTGAAGTAAGTTAAACAAAAAAAAAAAAGATAATTGACGATTGAAGTAAGTTAAACAAAAAAAAAAAAAAGATAAAGATACAGTTGTTCTCTAACCTTTTCTTCTTTTTATACACGAATCATTCCAACCTCTTTGCTATATCCTTTTCTCAATGTGCTTTTATAGACACTCACTCTTATTAATTGTAAGTTTCAAAAACAAGTTCTTTTCCTCTTCTTATTTCTAACTTTACTTTTCTTCTTTTTTCTTTTATACACGTTCTTTCGACCTTGATGTTTTTACTACAACATCTGTCCTTTTCGGATTATCGTTCTTTCTTCTTCTCATCCTTCTTACTTGGTATCCTGGATAATGATTATTACTGAATATACGTCTGACAGAAAGAAAGAGGTCTAGATACACGAAGTTTGATCATTATAGTTTCATGTCAATAGGATACTACGAGAAGTGGCTATCTGTCTGGATCAGCGAAATGGATGAACAGGATGTATTATAGGATTCAATTGGATTCGACTTACAATCAATTAGAGATATCTTCCTGGTCTTTTTATCTTATTCAGGCTTAAAGCGTTAGTGATTCTTTTTATTATCATAATTAGTATACAATTATACACATTTACATTCTTTTTGTTTAATAAAATTATATTCATTGTCACTATTTACAATCATCACTTTATATCATTTCCTTTCAGACAATTGTTCCTTAAATAAATTAAATGATAGCTGAATCTAAGCTTAAGAGAATCAAGTTAGATGAAAAAAGGAAATATATTATGTAAGTCACTCTCTTTTTCATATATTTTTATCACTTTTTCTTTAATATTAAAAGCTAACCTTACTTCTTTGTAAATACTTTATTCTCATTAGTACATTACAACATATTCTTTCTCTAATTATATTACTTTGACACGTCGCTTTTACCTAGTCGGACTTTTCGTTACATTTTTATTTATTTCGTTTCCTAACAATTTTCTTTTTCTGCCTTCTCTTTCCTTTTCTCCACACTTTTTTTTTTTTTTTTACTCCTCCGCACTTTGTTCGTGTCTCCATATTGGAATAAATGACAGGTAACATATAAAATACAATGACAGTAATGGATTCTTATTCTATTATTGTCAATTTAAAAAAAAAATAAATAAAATAAAATAATAATAAATAAAAAATAGTGTAAAATACAATTAGTTACTTGTTTTATAGTTAATACATGACTCTTCTAGTGTCTACAATTTCAAGACCTCTTCTTGGTTGGACTCTCTCTTTCTTCGGATTCCATTGCGCAGCCAATGCGATTTAATTATGCACAAGTACTTTTGAAGGTCCTTTTTACTGCTTGGTTAGTCTTCCTTATGATATTTTCAAAATTTCTTTTCTACTTGTTTGGACTCTCTCTCTCCCATCTGTCGCTCATTGTGGTGATGTTCTCTTCAATATCTCTTTGCTATCTGGTTGGACTCTTTCTCTTTGTTGTTTTTTGTATCTGTAGATATTAAGATTGTCGTCTGTAGAGCCGAACTAGTAAGTTGTACAAAAAAAAAAAAGAGGATCAACCGATATTACATACAATCACTTGCTTCTTTCTTTTTTTTAGATCCTTCTTTTTATAGTATTGTGATTGATACATTGACACTGGCGCATGATCCAAGGTAATGTGTATATGTAAAAGAAGAAAAAAATGAATAAAATCGACGGATTACTACTCATTTTGTTGATTCTTTGTTGTCTGTTAGGTATCAGAATAGTGGTCTATACAGTCAAATGTCGGATGGTCATCATTACTTTGTACTTAGCTTTTGGTCAGACGAAGATCATGGTGTATTGATCTTTGTTTGTTTACGGGCAATGGACTTGGTCGAGGATGATCAGTTTCTAGAGTCGTTTATGAATCTAGTGACTGAATTTTGTGCTCAAGTAGGTGGAGGGCAAAATGCAACACGTAGGAAATTCAGTCATTGTCTGTTGATCGTGTTGTTTCTTCCTGGAGTCCTTGTTAAGTCCTGACATTTGCGGTATTTGGTTTGGAAAGATATTTATTGAGGATCATATCAATGACTGATAGTGGAGCGCTATACGTAAGACGATACAACTATCTTTCTTGATGATCTGAAATTGTCTGATATCTACATTTGGCAATCCTTTATATCTCTCCGAGCCAACTGTTATGATGACATTGGGTTTACTGGTGGTACAAAACGTTCGATGGTGCAGCCAAGGTAACTTGTACGTAGAAAAAGAAACATTGATGGATTACTACTCACTTTATTGATTTTATTTGTAGCTTGCTAGATTCTCGTCTATACAATAAAGGTGATGCAAACATTCAATGATATAGCCAAGGTAACTTGTACATAGAAAAAGAAACATTGATGGATTACTACTCATTTTGTTGATTTTATCTATAGCTTACAAGGTTGTCATCTATACAATAACGGTGATGCAAATATCCAATGGAGTAGCCAAAGTAAAATGTATCCTACAGAAAAAGAAAAAAGAGGAAAACATTGATGGATTACTACTTATTTTATTGATTTTATTTGTAGCTTGCTAGATTCTCGTCTATACAATAAAGGTGTTGCAAACATTCAATGATAGAGCCAAGGTGACATTTATATAGAAAAAGAAAAAAAAAAAAAGAAAGAAAAAGAAAAGAAAGCATTGATAGATTACTATGCAGTTTGTTAATTTCATCTGTAGATTGCAAACCATTCAACAAAACCAAGATCGAATGCCTTCTACGTTGGAATGGCTCTGTTATCCAATTGAAGTGTCTGTATCAAATAAAATAGTCCTACCCAAAGTGCAAGTCATGATCGTTGTCCTGGTGATGACATCAGTTGTGATTCTGGTCGTATTTCATGGATATTATCGATTACAGTGTGGTTACTTATTATTATAGTTATGTAGTATAGTTATGTAGTATAGAATATTTGTAGTGATGAAATAAAATTATGATTTCAATAGTATATTTGTACTGATCAAATGAAATTCCTTGTTCTGGAGGTCGACCATACCTGTATTTCAACCGTAATAGTATCCTACCTAGATTTAGTATATTTTTGTCATAGATTTATTGAAGTCAAAATATTTTTATTATTTCTATCCTATCTAATTAGGGGGGGGGGGGTTCCTAGAGGTCCTAGAATGCATATCTAGGCTAGAAATTGTATAGGAGTCCCCTAGACGTCATAGTAAAGTTTTCCGATAGCCTTCTTTATTTTTTTTTTTTTTTCAACACTTCTTCTTCCTTATCACTATTGTTATCGACATCTTTTTTATTTTGTATAGAAAGTAAGCGAAGATAGAGTAAAAAAGAACTTTATATATTTATTGTATGTTAACTGACCTCTCTTGTTCTAGAAATATCATCTCATTACTCTTTCACAAACTGGATCCTTAACGATACATATTCAATGGACTATAAAACTATAGCAATGGGACTATTATCATCAAAGGTACTATTTCCAAAAAAAAAAAGGAAAGAAATAAGTGATTTAAATATGGTTGTGATTTTGATTCTTGTTTTTTTTTTCTACTAGTAAAATACCAAGGGAAAGATTATTGAACATATGTATCAATTATCGTTATCAGTACAAATAGAGCGTGATTAAGGATATCATCTTTAAAGATGAGACCTAACGTAGGATAATAATGGATTTGTCAACTAATGTATCTCGTTTTTTTCTGTCCTCCCCCCTTCTCTCTTGATGGGTTGCTTATATAGGGTACTCTATTCATTATAAAGTTTATTCTTTTTACCAATATGGTTTGAATCATCATCATGGTCGTCATAAGCGTGGAATTGATATCTACATCATTATGATATTATGCCTCATCATCATTCACCAAATATTAGTTAATATGTATACAGACTATATATCTATTTTATGTAGCATCATTCAATCGTCACGGTCATTTTCAAGTATGGTCAATTATTCAAAGTAAGATACAAAAACATGAAAACATTTTTTTTTTCCTTTTCTTTGTTTTTCTTTTTTTTTTTCTTTCTTTTTTTACGATATAATTCTCATCCTCTTTCTCTTGTTATTTTGGCCTGTATCTGTCACGATCATTAATCCTATATGGATTACAAAACCAAATGAAAATAGATAAAACAAAAAAAGAGATGGTGAACAACCGATGACGAATAAATTATATTATATTATTACAAGAGCTGAAAGGAATCTATTACAAGTATCTACTAAAAAGGGGAAATCAATTTAAATTCTTTTCCTTGATAGTTTTAATCTTCTTTTTCAATAAAGTTTATTTTCATATGATCATCATCATTTATTAATAGTTCAATCCAATCATTATCATCATTCAACTATTCTTTCATGCAATCCTAAGGTTCTTCCATAAATGGTATACATTCAGATCCCGATATCTCATTATAGGCTGTTGGATAATGAAAAAAAAAAAAAAATGGGTGCTGACTTATTTTCTTTTTCTTTTTGTTTTTACCTTTTCTTTTCTTTTTGACTAATGACTCTTTGAACATGTAAGTTACGAATTGCACATAAATACAAGGATATCCATTATAATCTTAAATGTAAGTCACCCTTTACATACATACATACTTTGTTCTTCTTCTTTTTTCTTCTATACTTACTCTTTTTTTTTTTTATTCTTCCTTACTTTTTTTTTTTTAGAGTCTCATTCTCATACTATGCTCTACTCTGTTTTTGATTGTTGTGTGGCTGGTATTTTATCATGTTTATTCTTTCTGTGAAAATACTAAATTGGATAATACGACAAGAATATACAATAGGATCAACTGGATAGAACAGGTTTTTTATTCGACAAAGAATAGGCAAAAGAAGAGAAGCTACAGAAATCGACATTTAGTAATCTATTTATTGACCTTTTTTTGTTTTTTCATTCTTCCATTCCCGCTCCACCTCTTAGAAGCATAGTTTTAATATTTATACTTATTCTCTCTATTATTTTTACCTTCTCTTCTTCATTTATTCTTTTCATTTCTACAGGAATGGGCAAGACGAATGGTGACAAAGATATCTCCCTTCCCCAACACTTTATCCTGAAATTTAATCTTATTCAGCAGTTTGTTCTTTTAGTTAGTGTTTTATTTAATATTATCATTTTTTTTTCTCATTTAAATAAAATCATCTTTTTATTGACCATTTATTGTTATATGGTCACCCAATATTATCCTAATCATATTATATCATCATCATCATCATCATCATCATCATCATCATCATCATCATCATCATCATCATCATCATCATCATCATCATCATCATCATCATCATCATCATCATCATCATCATCATCATCATCATCATCATCATCATCATCATCATGTCGTTCTTGTATATTATTTTATTATTCGTCTTCTCAATCAATTTGGGAAAATAACTATGGCGCTGGTGACAATAGATTTACTTGCCAACGTAGGAAGGTCATGCATTTTATTACGCAAATATATGAACACAAACATTTTTATCAAATCATCATAACAATAGATAGTACTAATAACTATACTATGGGAAAAGCAATATCAGATTTCCGAAATAAATATCAGATTTCCGACATTTTACGAAATCCTTTTCGTATTTCCTGAATTAATTTAGTATTCTTCTTAAATGAATTTCATTTAATTTCGTTTTCCAATTTTTTTTCTAAACTGATTCCGGAAACATTTCATTTCAAAATGAAATCAATGTCGTAAATCCGAAATGAGTTTCGTGTCGTAAAATCAATTCCGGAAATATGAATTTCATTTTATTTTACAAGAATCAATGTCGGATTTCCTAAATTGATTTCATTTTGAAATGAAATGGATCTCGTTATAATGAAATGAATTTCGTCCAAAGTCAACCTTTTTTTTTTTTAAAAAAAAAGAAACAAGTTTATTGTAATAAAAAAATAAAAATAAAAAATCCTAAACCAAACCTATGTTTTTGGGACTCGTATCCTTTTCGCAGATCCCTTCACTATGGGAAAACGATCTAAAATAAATTTGAATTAGATTCCGTAAAAATGAAATGCATTTCAGGTACAAAATCAAAGAGAAAAAAAAAAATGGTAAAGTCGATTCAAAGTCAGTCATTAGCATAAAGGGAAAATCCACCGTATTTCCTTTTTCTTCGCTTTTCTTTCTTGTTTAATTCACTTTTTTTTTAACATGACAAACTGTAGCTCATTCTGTGCCCTCCATATTCCCACAAGCATTATCAAGCCAAATATTGGTTGAAGAACACTTTGGATACCATTACCGTTTAGTAATGAATTAAATGAATTGGTGCGATTCCTGATAGAAGAAGTGGTAGAAATCACAAATACATCTTGAAACAACAAGTACAAGAGGTGGCTCATCTTATTTCTTTTTTCTATTTAGTTAGACTCTCTTTTTCTCTCCCTTTCTCTCATTTGTCTCTCATTGTAATGGTATTTTTCATCAAATCTCTTATCTACGTAATTGGCCTTTCTCTCTACTTTATCTGTCTTCCAACATGGTACTTTCTTCTCTATCCTTTTTTTTTTTCTCTTGGTTGGACTCTCTTGCACTGATCTCTCTCATTCTGGTGGTGTCTTCCTCAATATCTGTTTTCATACTTGGTTAGCCTTTTTTTCCTTTCTCTCATCTGCCTCTTATTGTAATGATGTTTTCATCAATATTTCTTTCACAGGTGGTTGAACCCTCTATTCCTCTTATCTGTCTCTACTGTGGTTGGTGATTTCTTCAAGATCTTTTTCCTGCATTGTTGGTCTTTGCCCTTTGTTTTTTCCCGCTTGATATGGTGTCTCCCTATTATCATTCTCTCTCGTGGTCTTAGGCTACTACTCCTGTTCCTTTGGTTATCTCCATTCTCTTTGACAAAAAGTCAACAAATTATACTATATGTAAAATGCTTTTGGTTATCTCTTTGGTGCTGGTTTTTATGATTGTTACATCAATATTGGAACCTGATGTAGCCAAGGTAATATGTATATATAAAAGAAAAAAAAAGTGAATAAGATCGATGGATTTCTACTCATTTTGTTGATTCTTTGTTGTCTGTTAGGTATCAGAATAGTGGTCTATACAGTCAAATGTCGGATGGTCATCATTACTTTGTACTTAGCTTTTGGTCAGACGAAGATCATGGTGTATTGATCTTTGTTTGTTTACGGGCAATGGACTTGGTCGAGGATGATCAGTTTCTAGAGTCGTTTATGAATCTAGTGACTGAATTTTGTGCTCAAGTAGGTGGAGGGCAAAATGCAACACGTAGGAAATTCAGTCATTGTCTGTTGATCGTGTTGTTTCTTCCTGGAGTCCTTGTTAAGTCCTGACATTTGCGGTATTTGGTTTGGAAAGATATTTATTGAGGATCATATCAATGACTGATAGTGGAGCGCTATACGTAAGACGATACAACTATCTTTCTTGATGATCTGAAATTGTCTGATATCTGCATTTGGCAAGCCTTTATTTCTCTCCGAGCCAACTGTTATGATGACATTGGGTTTACTGGTGGTACAAAACATTCGATGGTGCAGCCAAGGTAACTTGTACATAGAAAAAGAAAAAAAAAAAAGAAATAAACATTGATGGATTACTACTCATTTTGTTGATTTTATTTGTAGCTTGCTAGATTATCGTCTATATAATAATGGTGATACAAGCATCCAATGATATAGCCAAGGTAACATTTATATAGAAAAAGAAAAAGAAAAAGAAATAAACATTGATAGATTACTACTCATGTTGTTGATTTTATTTGTAGCTTGCTAGATTATCTTCTATACAATAAAGGTGATACAAACATTCAATGATAAAGCCAAGGTAACATTTATATAGAAAAAAAAAAAGAAAAGAAAAGAGAGTGATGTTGATGGATTATGATGGATTACTGTTTGTTAATTTTATCTGTAGGTTGCAAACTATACAATCAAGCCAAGATCGACTCCCTTCTTCGCCGGAATGACTCTGTTAGACTGCCAATTGAAGTATCCATATCAAATAAAATAGTTATATCCAAAGTGGAAGTCATGATCATTATCTTGGAGGTGTTAGTCCTGGTCGTACTGGTGAACGTTATCCTTGTAGTATAGTTATGTAGTATAGTTATGTAGTATAGTTATGTAGTATAGTTATGTATTATATTTATATCAATGAAATAAAGTCTCTTTCGTGTCTATAATGACCGATGACTGTATATTGTATTCAGAAATGAAGTTCGGTTTTCTGGAATCAATGATGAAAATACTAAATGAATTTCGGAAATCCGACATTCATTTCGTTTTTTTCCGAAATTCGCATTTAATTTACTTTGAAAGCGACGTAATGTATTTCAGAAAAATCAGAAATCAAGAACGTCTGTACTAAATCGAGTCAGGAAAAAAAATAAACGTATTCAGGAAAAATAAAATTATTTCAGATCTTTTCCCATAGTGAAAGATTTTATTTAAACAAAATGTATTTTTCTAGGAAAAAAAAAAAAAAAGAGAAAAGAAAAGGAATAAATACAACTAAATAAAAAAAAATAAAACAATATAAAGAATATACACAATGATAATAAATACAGATATATATATATAAACAGACAGAGAAGTACAAAGAGACAGAGATAGAGATAGAGACAGAGACAGAGAAGAAGAAGAGCTAGCGGAGGAAGACTACGAGGAGGCGTTCCAGATCCAGCTGGTAGTTTCTTCTTGCATCAAACCCGACCATATGGATTGCTTTGGCTGTAACAAATAATAAAATAAAATTTAAAAAGGTTAGTAAATCATCCACAATATATTATTTTTTTTTTATTAGTACCTGATAGATATGGCTCCAAGTTGCAGCAGCAAGGGCTTCATTATCCACCACCTATAAACAGAGAGATCAGTACATTTGCTACTGTACTGCCATTCCCATTCATCGCCATGAATAGAACACGCTTGGTCTGGCCAGTCAGATTTGCGACACGATTCATTGTTTTGATATTCGATATCATCACTTGATTGGATGATTGGACGTGGTGGTTGGCAAATCCATGGGTGGAAACAAGCTCCTTTGATCTTTTGGACCACGCTATCTTACAGACTTGAGATCCAGTATCGTAGGAATCAAGCATCACACCACGATAAACATTCCAAAATTTAATGGTGGAAGCCATAGCGGAAGAGGAGCACGAGAAACAATTGTTGTAAAGAAACAAAATTTCATCCATGGACATATGCACAATCAATCGTTTCAATATATCTTGTTTTTTTTTGTATCTCCAAGTCGTCGATTGCATTGCTGACCATTGGTACTGTGACGAGAAAGCTACAACCACGTTGGTGAAGAGTGTGAACAATGCTAAATATGCATAATAATGTTACAGAAAAGAAGAAAAAGAAAGATTAATCATTTACGTTACTAATCAATAAGATATACGATAGAAGATCTGTTAATATTTGTTACTTACGAGACAAGGAAGAAGGAGCCACAACCACGTTGGTGGAGAGAGAGAGAGAGAGAGAAGCTAAATATATAATAATAATGATAATAATAATGATGATAATAATAATAATGATAATAATAATAATATAAATAATAATATAAATAAATAAATAATAAATAGTAAATAATAATACAGAAAAAAAAAGTTAATCATCAAACTTTTTCTATCAATAAAATGCACTTGTTAATATCGTTACTTACAATAAGAGATAGTTGATTCCTTGCGTATTTTTTTTATTGCCGCGGAAAGGAACGATAGTGCCAACGACCAAGGGAGGAAGACCGACATCATCACAGTCATCGGATGCGGGTGTAGGAGAAGCAGAAGGATGATCCAAAATATCATATATGATTGCGATAATGGTCATGGTGACAGGTAAATAAATGAAGAATTAGAGAATAATAAAGTAAAGAATGAAAAAAAAAGGAATAGAAAGCGAAAGAAAGAGAGAAAAAAAAAAAGACAGTCAGCGTTTTTTTAATAAATTTTTCTTTCCCGGTTCATCCTTTTGGAACTCCATGCTCCATTATGGGCTTCATTGATTTATTTTTCTTTATTTTTATCATTTGTAGTTTTGATGGATGTTATGATATTGATGATCTCTTTACTAATAATGAAATAGCACCCTGACATCGGAACTTCATATATATGTTTATTATGTGGTAGGACATGCACAACACCACACCGAGAATTTGAAGCGCACTAAAATGGGTTAAGTATGACTGGGATAGAAATTTATTGCGATTCTTTTTTTTTTTTTTTTTTTTTTTTTTTTTTTTTTTTTTTTTTGCTATCCCTATCTTATTTTTATTGTCTCCATTATTTGATTTACAATCCCTACTTTGTTTTGCTGAAATGGAAATATCGAAAGACCAAGCAATTTGTATGCTTTTTTTATGTCGAATATACTGAAGAAAATGTCATGAAGTACAAAAAAGTAGTCGAAGATTATGGTGATGTAGAGATCTGCTATAACGCCGATCCAAAACAACCGATATTGGTGACAGAAAGGAGGATTCATGAATGCCCTCAATTATATCGTTTGTATCCAGCGAGCACCTCCAGTTTGTTGGAAAATCAACCGTGAATGTAAATAAAAAATTTGATTAATAGACTCCTTACCGATCACTGAGTCTTGAAAAATCATGTGCAATATGAAGCTTGTATAAAAAATCCTGTTTCTTTTGTAATATGAAATTTCAATAGAAAGAATTTATTTTGTAATATATACTTTCAAGAAAAAAAAAAAAACTAAGATATATACTTTCAATAAAAAAAAAAAAAACAAACTAAGTCTAGATTATTTTGATCTTTGAATTAACTTTTTTCTACAATCAAATTTTTGAAGCAATTGATTGTCTGACTTGAGTTGCTGCGAGTCCAAAAGAAGAACTTCGTTATCAAAAGAAAATGTTTCAATGGCTATTTTTTTGATTGCATGGAACTCTTCCAAGAAATCTTTCACAATATGTGAACGTGACGAAAGACCAGCAAAATCAATGGAAACCAAACAAACATTATGATCGACGGCTTGAATATACTCAAGCATATCTATTGTGAATCAACTAGAATGTCAGTGATGGGTTTTGCAGCTATATAGTTTTAATTTACCTTGAGTATTTCCTGTTACATGTTCAAGTTTTTCCATATCGTCAACTACATTCAAATCCCTTTCGTTAAACGGCGAGGATGCAAGACTAGATATTGAAACGTAAGTTTTATCAACAAGGGAGCGTTCACGGAGATTATTGACCATTTGCTGTAGGTGTTGCAATCTTGTTGCTGGATCACTGCCATCTGGGGATTTGCGCGCGTAGCCGATGACTTCATAACCATTTTTTTTCAGATGCAAGATGGACTCCTTGTACTTGGGCAAATAATTGCAAATAGCCACCAATAAATCGTCTAAAAAAAATATCAGTTATACATTTTTGACTATACTGTGTTCGGGCTTACCATAATACATATCATCTAGTACATAAAGCTTTCTTTTTCTAATTTTCGTATTTCTGTCTTCTTTTGCAATTAAAAATGATACATTATTGACTGAGCACCATCTTGCAAAAGATTGCCCACTTCGTTTGCTGAATAGTGATGTGTATTGTTGGATGGTTTCATAGATTTCCATTGTTGACAGCAATTTAGGTTTATAGGCCTTGGCATTATTAGGATCTGCACAGCAAAATGCTTCATTTAAAAAAATCTTTACTTGTGCAGTTGTTTCTAAAACAACAATCATAGTTAGAATTCAATAACAAACTATTCCTTTGAACTTACTCAATTCATATATTTTTCTTTTTCTGACTTCACCCACTAAGCTTGGATCTTGAGATTCTCGATATTTTCTGTATGTAAAAGGATCACCAACTATTCGCGTGTTTGAAACAACAACTGGTTCCTTTGGAGATGTATTGTAACATATTTCGACATCCCCCCACTTTTCAAACCGTTCTTTGCATTTTTTGATGTTGTCGTCAGTACATTCTTCATAAAAAAACATACAGAGGGCTTGATCCCTTGTAATGTTCATTTTAACAATAAGAAAGATGATATATAATAAACAAGACGGATGATAAGACGGATGACAAAAAAAATAAGACGGATGATAAGACGGATGACAAAAAAAAATAAGACGGATGATAAGACGGATGATAAGACGGCGGGCAATAAAAATAAGACGGACGATAAGACGGATGACCATAAAAATAAGACGGATGATAAGACGGATGACCATAAAAATAAGACGGATGATAAGACGGATGACCATAAAAATAAGACGGATGATAAGACGGATGATAAGACGGATGACCATAAAAATAAGACGGATGACCATAAAAATAAGACGGATGATAAGACGGATGACCATAAAAATAAGACGGATGATAAGACGGATGACCATAAAAATAAGACGGATGACCATAAAAATAAGACGGATGACAAAAAAAATAAGACGGATGATAAGACGGATGACAAAAAAAATAAGACGGATGGCTTTCATTAGACCCGTGGCTATTTCGACAACTGCGACTTTTTATTTTTCTTGAAGAACGACACCCTACTTCGGGAAAAACGACTATTAGTTTTTCAAACCATGACATTCTCTTTTCTTGCAGTGTGACATGATTTTCGAAAAGTGCGACATCTAACTCGGGAATGACTGTATCATCTATGTACTTGAAACAAATAAACAAATACAAAAAAAAAAAGTGATGATGATTGCTTGATTTTTGATTGGTGAAGACTGTAGGAACAGAATACTTTTCATTCCTATCCGAATTCCGAATACGTTTTATTTATAAAGAAAAAAAAATTCATCTACGATTTGATAAGTTTTCATCATCATTATTATATTTATGACTATAGAGACAAGGATCATGAGTAGAGGTGATACTAGAAAAGGTTCCTTGAGATTCATCCTCCTCCTGAGAATCGTCATCGTTATCAGCAGTCAATTTGAGAAACGTGGTAGGTGGACGTGCAAGTAACAAAGAATGATCTTCCCCGTATAAAAACCATTCTACACAATCATGAGTAGATTGTCGATGATGATCAGAAAAATCATGATGATGATAAGCATCCTCAGGTTCTGTTGGATGTGTTGTCAGTGATAGAAAGGAAAATGCGGTATCTGCCATAATGAATGAATCTCAATAAATAAATAAAAAAAAAAGAAAAAGAAAAAGAAAGAGAAAAAGTGGGATGAAATTGAGAAAAAAAAAAGAAGATCGAATCTTTCTATTTATATTCTTTTTACCCATAAAGATTCCGTAACCTTGTACCTTTTTTTCTAAAAAAAAAAAAAAAAAAAAAAAAAAAAAAAAGAGAGATCTTCTCTTAGTTAGATTATTCATCACATGCATGCACATGGTTTCATAGGAAGATAGAGAAAAAGTGGTTTTCAAACACAGAGGACTTCCTTTACTAAAGCATAAACAGCATAACGAAAAAAAAATAATTATCCATTCAAGCATTCACACACTTTACTGAATTTTTCCATTCGCCTAGCGGGTGCCAGGATTTTTTTAACCTTCAAATAAAAAAAAAAAGTATACGTGCAAATGAATTGTGTCACACGCGAATCATTTTTCTGGCTCACGCCAAACGTTTTGTTGATGTACGCGCTAAAATTGGTTTGTGGATGATTTTTGGATGCTGGTGAAAAAAAAAAAAAAAGAGAGAGAGATCATTGCGTCAAAAGTGGGGCTCTTAATTTGGTACCGTCCCGATTGAAGTATTGAGAAAAAGTCTTCAATACCTGGTATTGATCAATACCAACACCAGTGAGCGGTACCGTCCCGTTAAGGTATTGGTATTGATAAGGTATTGACAGACTGGTATTGATAAGGTATTGAGTAGCGGTATTTAAAGTTGCGCCAAATGCGTGTTTCACCTCTTTCAGTAACTCTTTTTTTTTTTTTTTTTTTTTTTTTTTTTTTTTTTTTTTGATATAACGACCCTTTTTTTTTTTTTTTCCTCTCTCTTTCTCTCATATTATATCTATTTCTGACTTAATTTTTTTTTTCACTACCACTGTTTTTATTATGAACTCTTTAACGAACAACATCAATGATCCTACTACGTTTCTTGGTATGCTCACTCATGACCATTTTGACTTGTATGAAGGTGACATCTCGAGTCTTGACATGGATCCCTTGGCTAGTCCATCGGCAACAGAGAGTCAATCAGCAACAAACACCACCCAATTAGCAATCGCAGAACGTCCCTTTACTTCTGTGGAATCTCCTTTTTTCAAGAAGCTGATTTCCTATCTCAATGCTTCTGCGTCCATACCATCTGCGGTCACTATTCGTAATCAGATTGTCAGCAGCTATAACAACAACCGTTCCAGTTTGGTTTCTCAATTATCGGTACGTTCCTTTCTTTCTTTTTTTTTTTTTTTTTAATTGCGATCTCAGCTTTTTTTATATTTATTTAGTCTTCTTTCAGCCATTCCATTGGTTTCCGGATGGTATACCGAAGTAAACTTGTGATGCACCTTTAATATGTCCAAAAATTGATTGATAACATTATTGATAAAATGCGATCCATTTTCCGATAAGAGATGTGTTGGTGGTCCAAAGTAAGGTCTCTCAATCGTATTTGTGTATTGGTGTATACCTTCAAGTCTTTCTACGTATTTTGCCTCACCTCCTCGTCAAAATCGATTTATTATTTTGTGCGTGGAAAACTTCTCTAGATGGCCCATTTCCACGGCAACAAAGGACAACGACGGATGGACAGCTGCTAATTTTTTGTACTACTAGATAACTTGTAGTCGTTTTTTCCAATAGCTGTTGACCAACCTGGAAAAAACTATACGACAATTATTGGTGGCCCTCTGCATACTCTGAACTGAAGGAATATCTCAAAAATTGCAACACATGTCAACTCTTTTCACCTCCAGAACGTCCTCAGTATCATCATCATGTGGTTGGTAGTTCTTTATTCGAACAATTCTCTATTGACTTCATTGGACCCTTCCCGACAACTGGACTCCAAAATATCTATTACACTTGACATGTGGACTTCTCCTAACCAGCTCTCGTTTATGGGGGGTGAAACTGGTCATTTTGTAGACAAGCAGTTTAGATTGAACCATCTTCTTTTGGGTTTTATTCATGTTGAAACAAGACACTCGGGTGAAGAGCTAGCTAATCATTTGGACAAGTGTTTAACTGAACTTGATATAAAGAACAAGGTAACTAAGTGATTCTATTTTTATTTACTTTATTTTAATTTTACTGATACCTTGATCTATTTTGTATTGCTGCTCTTCTTTAGATTCTGGCTGTATGACTGATAATGTAACGAACAACGGGATTATGATGAAGGAACTGGAAAAATTGTGGACGATGGAAGGGCTCGATTTTGATCACAAACAAAACCATGTTCGATGTCTGGCTCACATTATGAATATCGCTATCCAATCCGCTCTTGCTGCTCTCTGTTGTCAACCCACCAATGACGGTACCGATAATGAAAGTGCTTCAGCTTTTTAGTGTTATTATATTATGTTGTCTTTTATCTTCTTTTATGTAAAAAATAGTATACCTTTTATACCCTTTATGACTTGAATTGCATGCACTATCTTTTGTATGTAGTATAGGCAATAAAAACTTTTTAACCATTGTAAAATCCAGTAACATCACGAAATACCTTTTTCTTGTGACCCGACAAAAAACCTTGAAAACACTGTATAACCCAGTAACAAAAAAAAAAGGGTGTTCTTTTTTTATTTATGCATTTGTATAAAAAACGTATGTATGTAAGTATCAAAATGGAGGTAAAAAAAAAAAAAAACTAAACAAAAATCATTCTTCATAGTCTAATATCTTCTTGACATAAAAACACATATAACTACCAAAAATAACAAAAAAAGTAAGTATCCACATAACAACCTCTTTTGTATATATTATGTACTTACGCTTTGCTTTCCAAAACATCTCGTTGATATGCCACGGTAACATGATGATCATCGAATTTGAACCACTATAGTCATTGATAAGATGAGGTTATAAACAGCAATCTAATTCTTCTTCTTTTTTTTTTCAGTCAGCAACTTACTTCTTCCCTATGGCGAGCAAACATGGTATAATGTCCAGTATCCATACGGCCTTGATGATTGACAACAGCGAATAGAGTATATAGATTTGATGGACTATGTAAGATATATATATATATATTGAGTATACCTATTATTTGATACAATATTCGCTCTTACTTTGATGTATAATTCTGATCCTTGAATTTCTTTTTTCCTTTGGTTGTATAAGGAGTCATATCTAATTCTACAGGAAATTTGATCTTTGTTTCAATCTTGGTTGCAGAAACTCCATGTTCAAAACGCTTTGAATACATAAAAAGAAAGAATGAGAACCTATTACAATATTATTTATCATTCCAAACCCTTTACCTTCAATTGAAAACTAAGAACAGAAGGTAATCGTTCAATAGAAAGTTGCTTGGTAGCTTCTTGAAAGGTACCACAATTGCTGCATATATAATCATTCCTTCCTAACTTTTCCGGTTGAGTATATCGATCCAAACAATCTACTAAGGTATTCCCTTGACGTGATCGACGTAATGTTGTTAAAGTAGTATTATTATCATTGGATACCACCGTAGTTGAATTCGTAGGGTTGGAGTTGAAACCTGTAGAACCATTCATATGATGACTTGATGATACTTGAGACATTGAATTGGCAAAAAGATCATGCACAACAGAATCATTACCACCTATGGTTGTTCCATTTTGATGCTGTTGTTGTTTAGGTGATGATATTGATGCTGATTTTTTCTTTTTTTCCATGGGGCGTAGTCCTAAACTGATATCTAACATTGGATCATGAGTTGTAGTGACATTCCCACATCGTGAGCAGGTGACATTAGATTGTAAAGCACCAGCAAATGTTTTGTGTACAATACATTTACAATCTACCATGGAATTATCTAATATTATCAATAATAAGAAATAGTTAGTAAGAATATCAAGTTTATTTCTCTTTTTTTTTTTTTTTTTTTTTTTTAATACCTTTACAACCAGCATGAATATGATTGAGTGCACTAATAAAGAATTCATGAGCATCTTGTTGAGCATAACCAGCCAATTCACGAAGTGACATCCACATGGCTTGAAGGAAATGACATGGTCCATAAGGTTCTTTTCTTGGAGAATATACCTAAATGAAAAATGGATAAATAAATATATAAATAAAAAAAAAATATCTCCCTCTCCCCTTACCTCGGCAAAAAGTCGGTCCATTTCACAGCATAGACAATATTTTGTTGTACATTGTTTCGGATTATGTTGATCGCTAAGGAAATAGGCTTTCAATAGAGGATTATGGATGAAACTCTGAAGAATGACGTTCATAAAACAAGTATTTCCCATATTGCATAATCCACGAATACCTTGACAGGATACTAAAGTAGAATGACGTACAATTGTATCTACTTCTTCTTGATAAGGCATCCATCGTCTTCCTTGTTTCCATCGTATTCGAAATCGTCGAGTTCCTAATCATCAAAAGAACAATAAATGAATTCAGTTTGAATAGAAATAATAATAATAATAAATTTTTTTTTTTTTTTACCAAGATCACTTTTCAAGGTTTCTAATCGAACAACTCGATCCATAAGTTCAGCATCATAAATATAATCTTGACATTCTCCACAATAAAGCATACATCTTGAAAAATCCATAGCTAAATGAAATGATTTGTCAATATAAATTAAAAAAAATATATATAATTCTGATTTATATATTACCAAAATTATGTTTCTTTGTTTTCAAATGATGTCGCATATGACCTTTTTTCCAACATCCCATATAAACACAATGAAGACATACATGAAGTCTTGCTAAAGAATCAGAACATACAGTACATTGAGGTAATGGTAACTAAACAAATAATAATTAAAGATCAAGTCATGTGTATATATCCAATGATGATTTACCTCGTTCCTGTGTCGTTTCTTTTTATCATTTGCCAATTTATTTGATGATTTTGTCCAATTCAAAGCATATTTGACCAAAGCATGATAATTGGATAATAATGAACCATCTTCTGCAGAATTGGATTTGATGATTTGTACATGAGGACATCCACCCGTTCGTAAAGTCAGTGAAGAAGAAGAAGAAGAAGAAGAAGAAGAAGAAGAAGAGGAAGAGGAAGAGGAAGAAGAAGAAGTAGTAGTAGGATAAAATGAGGCTGGATTTGTCGGGGATTGAAGGAATTGGTAGGGTGTCATTGGTGATGAAGACATTGTATTGTTAGATTGTATTTGGTGAAGAAAGTTAATGTTGTATCAATAGGTGATGTCACTTTTAGCATATGCTTTTGAAAAGAGGCTGTGACAATGGCCAGAAACTAATAGAAGAGAGAGTGTGTGAAGGAGAAAAAAAAACAAGTGGTATCACAAGAACTATGGAAAAGGAGAAGAAAGAGAAGGAGACTAAGGATGTCAATATATACAAAGTGTATATATATATATATATATATATACTGAGTGTGTATAAGAGTAATAAAGAAATAGAAATAGAAAAAAAAAAGGAATCGAAAACAACAAATAATAAAAGAAAGTGTATATAAAATATAAAAGATGACTTTCTAGTTGTAACAAGTCAAATCTAATTTGTTTTACTTTAGTTTGTACTTGATCAACAAGAACAATAAAACAAATATAGGAAGGAAGGAAGGAAAAAAAAAAAAGGTAGAAAATAAGAAAAGAGGGAGAAAAAAAAAAGAAAAGCACTGAAAAAGAAAAAAATGTTTCGATACATATAACAACACTTTTTTTTTTTTTATTTTTCTGGCACAGCAGACAAAGTCATTGGGCCAACAAAAAAAAAAGTCCGGCCAGTGCTCCTCGATTTTAGCATTTTTCTCTTTGTTTGATCTATAAAGTGGACTCTTACCAAGAAGTTCACTACCTCTTAACTCTTACGAAGACTGAAAATAAACAACCAAATTAGCGGATTTGGCTAGCAGTATCATTAACAAGCATGAAAAACAATAATAATAATAAAAAAAAAAAGATAAATTTTATTGATGTTCTTCTATATATGATTGAATATATGTTGTACTTCTCTCTCTTTTTTTTTTTTCTTTTTTGGGTCATATTATAAATGTTTGTCTTGCTTGAATCGTGTGAAACATTATTGGCTTCTTGTTTAACTCCTGCACCTTTTATTTCGTCTGCTGATTTTAATCTTACATATTCTTTTTTTTTTTTTTTTTTTGAACTTAGTTCTTAATTAATATTCAGGGTTCCCCTGAAACAATAGATAGACTGATATTCTTTATATAGATTTTTCTATATTTCATTTATTTATTTTGCGTCATATCACCATCAAATATAATCCATCATTCATCATACTTTAAGCAATACATTATCATTGATGGTAAATCTTAAGGAAATAATCATCCTAAATATTTATCTTATGTTTTTTTTTCTTCATATTGAAACTATTTTATTGATTTCCAACAAAAGTGATCATACTTTTTTATATTAAAATGTCAAATGTATTTCTATTCTTTTTAGTATTTGAGGATGACATGTACGTTTTAAGATGCATCCACAAATATGGTTGAGATAAGATGATGAATAATATCCACTCGCTTAATTCTTTAAGGGACCTTTTTTTTTTTTTTTTTTTTTTATTCGGATGAAAAAACTGCAATATAGTTTTCATAGACAATTGAGAGGCAAAAATAATTTCAACTCCGATATTCTTCCTTTTTTTTTTTTTTTGAAGTGGATCTTCCCATTTTCTCTTTTTCTTTTCTATATTTACGTGTTCTTGGAAAAAAAAAAAGAAAAAAAAAAGAAACCCTTTTTCCATGTCTTATTATAAATATGTTGTCACTGCACAAAAACCAACTGCTACTCATTTCGCTGTTAAAGGTGCTTTTACCGGTCCTAATGATATCAATCTTGTCTTAGGGTAAATACAATACATAATAAAAAGGCGCGAACGTTTAACCTTTTTTTTTTTCTTAATAAACGATTATAGAAAAGGCAATCGGATCGAAATCTATACAATTACTCCTGATGGGTTAAAACCAACACTTGAATGTAATATTTATGGGACGATCATGTCTCTTCATTTGTATTTACCAAAAGTATGTAAAAAAAATAAAAAAATAAAAAAATAACTATATAGTTCCTGACCTACTCTTTTTCAACTTATAGGGACGATCACAAGCTTCTCTCTTTATATTAACTACACGACACAAATATTGCGTTTTGACTTATTCTGCACAACAACAACAAATCGTTACTGAAGCAACTAGTGAAATTGGATGGACAAATCAACCTTGTTATTATAGTGGTGCTCCATCAACACCAAGTGTAATGGATCCTTCTCAGACAATGATAGCCACTCTTTTATATCCTTGCACTATTACATTAATCATTCCTTCTCTATCACCGCCTTTTATTGATAATGAAAATACCACCATCATTCACTCTACGCACTCTCGGAATGGACGAAAACGACAAGCTCTCTCTCCTCTGCCGCAACATTACATACATCTATGGTAAGTCCGTAAGAGAAAAAGAGAAAAAAAAAAAGATCATTGACCAAAACAATATATATGATTAGTTTTCCTGACAAGAGAATCATCGCCATGACTTTTCTCGATACTACAGAACCTGATCAGCCAACAACCATGATGGTACTTTACGACAACTCATTGAATCAACGATATTTACAAGTGTTTACATACGATAAGAAAAATACAGATCTAAAACAGCAACCGGCAATGGTTCCTGGAGATATAGTATTGGATCATATTGAACAAGATGCCATATTATTGATAGCTGTTCCTGCTCCTGTGGGTGGTGTTTTATTGGTCTCAGGTCAGTGTATCCGTTATTTGAAACCAAATCATCCACCGATTGCAATTGGAATTTCCTCTTCTATGATTCAGTGTCATGCCATGATTACAAATGACGGTTCAAGGTACTTTTTGGGAGATACTGAAGGTCATTTATACCTACTGGTATTGAACATCGATCCATCCTCTTCGACTGTGCGATCATTAGGATTCATGGAACTTGGCGATGTAAGTAAAAAAAAAAAAAAAAAAAAAAAAAAAAAAAGATTGGTGAGAAACAGGGAATATGTATATATAGTATTAACCCTCTCTTTCTCTCTCTCTTTCTCTCTTTTTCTCTTTTAAATTTATAATTAGATTTCAATTCCTTCTTGTTTGGTCTATCTTGATAATGATGTCCTTTATGTTGGCTCATCCAAAGGTGATTCTCAATTGGTTCATGTCTTACGTCGCGATTCCATCGAAAACAGAGATATTTTACAAGTCATCGAGAATTTTCCTAGTCTTGGACCTGTCATTGATTTTTGTGTAGCTGATTTGGATAAACAGGTAATAAACTATAAAAGGTAAAAAAAAAAAAAAAGGGTTGATTTTTATCTTATTTGGCTTGATGATATAGGGACAACCTCAATTGATCACATGCTCTGGTGCTGGCAAAGATAGTTCATTACGAATTATACGAAGTGGAGTAGGATTGAATCAATTGGCAGCTATCGAAATGAATGGTGTAAAAGCGACTTGGGCTCTAAGACCTAATTTTGCTCAAAAGTAAGTTGAAAAAAAAATGAAGAATTCATTTCTTGTATTCATCTTTTTTTTTATATATACATAGGTATACTGAGACGTTGATTATTTCTTTTGCCAATGAAACACGAATTCTTCAGCTACAAGACAATGCAATCACACCTTTATCAAACTATTCATCATTGGCTTTGAATGAACGAACTCTTGTAGCAGGCAATGTAATGGGGGATATGATGATTCAAGTGACTGAGAAAAGTGTCCGATTGATGGGATCCGGAAAGAATGGAAGTTTATTGGATGAATGGCGACCTTCTCAATGTTCTTTACTCCCGTCAGAGTCATCAACAAGTGGAATTACTGTGGCAAGTCTGAATCCAACACAGTGTGTGATTTCCATAGGCTTTGGTTATTTAATTGCATTCTTCATTCAAAACAACAAGCTCGTAGTGGTGGGTGAAACAAGACTGGAACAAGAAATCTCATGTATCGATATTACTCCTACAGAAATGGATGATCAAACTACTGGTACTTTCGCTTCTTCCGTTATCGCTGTTGGATTATGGCAACAGGTCAGTGTGCTCCTCCTACGTTTTGATCCATCCTTGGCAATCATTGCTCATGAACCTTTAACTGGATTGCTAATGCCTCGTTCTATTCTAATGGCAAGACTGGAAAATATTTGTTATTTATTGGTGGCACTTGGTGATGGTCAGGTTTACAACTTTAGATTGGATAACCAGCATGGCCGACTTTGGGACAAGAAACGATCTTTTTTGGGCAAATTACCTATTGTACTAGGTAGCTTTACATCCAATGGTACGACTCATGTCTTTGCTGCTTCAGATAAACCAAGTGTTATTCATAGTCGAAATCAAAAACTCGTATATTCCAATGTCAATCTCAAGGTAATATATATATATTTATATATCAGATTTTAATGAAATTTTCTTTCATAGGACGTACGAAGTGTCACCTCATTCAGTAGTCCTTCGTTTCCTGATGCTGTTGCCTTGACGACTCGTGATGGTGTGGTTATTGGTCAAATGGAAGAAATACAAAAGTTGCATATCACGAAGATTCCTACTCTTGATACACCAAGGCGCATCGTTTACCAAGAAACTTCTCGTACTTTTGGCGTAATCACTGAAAAGATGTCATCTGATCCTTATACATTACATTCAACCACTGGCGGGTTTGAAGTACTAGATGATCAAAATTTCACTGGTAAAATGAAAAAAAAAATCATGAAATGCAGTACTAAAATATTCTTAATCTTTCTTTTCTCTATGAACAATAGTATTGGACCGAATTTATTTTAAGCAATATGAAAGACCATTATCAGCATTATCAACAAGCTTCGAACAAGATGTCAATGATTATTACGTGATTGCAACAGGAAAGGACAGTGATGCTTTTGAAACAACGAGTTCAGGACGAATCCTTGTTTTACAATTATGTCAACGACAAACAGCAACAATGGCATCAGAGAAACAACTGGTCTTGATTTCTCAAATTCGAACAATGGGTATGGTAGAACAATTGGTTTCATTCAAAGGCAAACTGATTGCTAGTGTACGAGGAAAGGTAACGTAGTAAGACAAATATAGTTAAAAAAAAAACAAGTATTAACTGTTTTATTAATAATCAAATCCACAAATTAGCTTGAAATATATGAATGGAAAATTCAAAATGGTCAACGCTATCTTGAAATGACATGTTCTCATCAACTGGCGTCAATTACAGAATCACTGACAACACATGGTGATTATATTTTTGCCGGAGACATTACAGCATCAGTGACAGCTTTAAAATATGATGGAACCAAACAACCTCCTTTATTAGAAGAAGTGGGTGCAGATGAAGCGGTGCGGGAAGTTACCTCTCTAGAAGCTCTTAGTGATACTTTAGCTATTGGTGCTGAACGGGATGGTCATTTATTTGTAGTGGAACGTTCCCTTGGATCTACATTATCAACGGAACATGGTTCAACAGGAAATACAGGACCGGTAGAAGATCCTTTACTAGAGACCGTCAGTGAATGGCATTTGGGTGAATTGGTCCAGCGATTCCGATTTGGGACTCTTGGGAATATTGATCCAGATATCAAACCTTCAACAGCATCACCCACAAACTCACATCAGCAGCAGCAGCAGCAACAACCCTTTTATTTACAACACCATCAACAAACACCGACATTATCATCATCAACAAACAAATCTATCGGAACCAATACCAGTAATGCATCAATAACGTCTTCACCATCATCAATGTCAACTGTTTACAATACTTCCACTTTGATTTTTGCCACTGCTAATGGGGCTATTGGTATTATTGCAGATCTATCTGAAAGTCGATTCAAATTATTATGGCATATGCAGAACAACATGACCAGAGTAGTGAAAAGTATAGGTCATTTGTCTCATTCTGAGTAAGTTGCAAAAAAAAAAAAAAAAAAAAAAAAAAAAAAAAAAAAAAAGAATGTTTAGAAGCTCACCATCTTTTTATAGTTGGCGATCTGTAGTCACCATGGGTAGAAAGGAACAAAGTAGTAATTTCATTGACGGTGATTTGATTGAAAGTTTCTTGGATTTGACCCCTCAACAAATGCAGCAAGTGGTGGATGGGCATCATGGCGGTAAGAAATTGGATCGTAGTGTAGAAGATTTATGTAAAGTAGTGGAAGAGCTTATGAGCCTTCATTCTTAATAAACATACTTTATTACTATTATTGTTATTATTATTATACTTTTTTCTTTTTCTTTTTTTTTTTTATCTATTGTCCCTGTCTTTCTTCGTTATATATATTATAAAAATACACATGTTGTTTCTATAAATATTTCAATTACGTCCTTTGTTTTGATGAATAAAAAAAAAAAAAAAGGTCGGATAACTCTTGTCGAGTCATTCCATTTAACGATTTTTATTATATATATGTATAAATTGAAAGCAAATAAATAAATACAGATCTAGTTATTTCGATTTTCTTTTCGATGATCTTGCTGACTTGAATGTCGATGAGAAGAGGACTTATGAGACCGGTTCGTTTTTGGATCACCTGCTGAAGAAGTGTTATCGGTTGTATTGTTGTCCATGGTATCTGAATGATGTGATGAAGTATGTCGATTTTTATTGCCTTGCTGATTATCACGTTGATGATGATGATGATGATGATGACGATCTGAAGTTGATCGATGAGGTGAGCTTGTAGAAGATGATCTTCGACGATGATGATGACGATGATGATGATAACGAGTGGGTGATGCATCATGTCGATGATGATGGGTACTATGATGACGATGACTACTACCACTACTATTATTTGAATGAGATGATGAGGATGAGGATTTTTTGGGTCGTTTGATATTGTCTTGTTTAGATTTTTCCGATTCTTGATGTTGCGATTGAGCTTGAAGAACTTTTTCATAGACATTGATTAAATCGGTGTAAGTGACTTTAGAACCAGGCCAGAATTTCTTGGTATATAACCACATATGTCGTTGTGTTCGATCTCGTCGTTGAGAGGATCCTTCCTTGGCTTGATCTTCAATAAAAGTCCCAATCTTGACAATACATCTCTTGAGCAAAGCAGCTTTGGCTTGTCCTTCCAACTTGCTTGAATCGTCACGTAATCTAACAAGGTATTGTTTGACAGGTCGTAAAGCTGATCGAGTATCATCTTCATCATAACTGCTATAACCTTCATTCTCTGCTGCTGTTGTATCATGATTTCCTTTTTCTATCTTTCTTGATGATGATAATGACGAGGATGGTGATTGTGTTGTGTTTGATTTGTTGTTGTCAATGGGTGATGAACTACGATGATGATGATGATGATGATGTTTTGAAGGTGATGATCCATGATTGGATGATGAAGTAGTAGTGGTGATACCATAATCATTTTCTTCCCCATTATTGTTAATACCATTTGAAACTAAAGCGCGTTTATTCCTTGGTAATGATCCTTTTTGAATCTTCTTCTTTTTATCTACTGAAGCAGAACTGAATGGTGACAGGAAGCGGGCAGTTTTCTTTGGTGGCAGGGCTATAGATTCTTCTTCTGCACAGATTTTGAGTAATTGTTCAGCACGTCTAACCAGATGAACAGCTTTTGGTGTACGTTTATCATTTTCATTATCCATGTCATTGTTGTCCCTGCTGGTACTAGGATTGGATGAGCCTAAAAAGAACTTGCCAGTCAAACCTAAGGATTCATCGGCTTGGATGGCCGACCACATACCAAAACCATATCGATGAATACCCACCAATAACATCGCATCTTCCTTTTGACCCCATGAGCATGACCAACCTTGTACACGTTTAGCATCCAAAGATAAACGAAATCTGAGCATATCTGGCATCACATTTAAACGTCGAGCTAAAATCTTCATATCGTGATGTCTTTGTAATAATTGTCCAGCATTGATGTTGGCGATATTATTCCAAGTAAAAAGAATAGCTTTTTGTTTTGTCAATCTAATTTCACGCACCAATCGATCATCTGTATCACTTTCGAAATCATCATCACCAGACTTTTTTGTTTGTTGTTGGATTTGTTCTTTGACTTTGGATTTACATGCATTTACAAGATCAGTATAAAATCCCATCACTGTTGCTTTTTCCTTGTGTTCTAAATCGGTATCCTTGACAGCTTCATCATATCGAGCTTCCAAATCTGCATAACGTAATACACCTCGATGAAGGGCACGTAAATCCTTTTCTGATAATTCATTTCGCTGGTCTGAATCGGCTGAAATGGCTGGACTATTACGATGACTGTTCCCGTTACTGTTTTTATTAGTACGTCGACGTCTTTTTTTCTGTTTTGTACCGTCAGGAAGATTTCTAATCCCATCATCCTCGCCATCATCATCATCATCATTACCGTTGTCGTCGTTGTTGTCATCATCATCATCTCCATGTTCCTGATATGTTCGACCACGTTTTCTTGCAGCACGTTCGTATAAGGCCAATTCATCCTCCAATTGTTGTTGTTCAGCCACTTGTTGTCTTTCATTTTCAGGAATGATTTCATCCCACGATAAATCATTGGCGCTGCCACCGTAATCTGAAATCTTGAATTGAGCAAGGAAATCTGCACTTCCAAGAGCACTTTCATCAATACCTTCCATGGTTTCAGTGTGCTCAGCACGAGCAAGGATATCATCTAGATCCAGATCATTCAAAGGTTGTGTTTGTTCATTGGTCTGGAACATATTTTGTGCACCAAATTTCAAGATGGCTGACATTTCATCCTTGTTGAACGGTAATTCACGTATTTTGCCAGTGGAAGTAGTAAGTGTGGTGGCATTTTCAGGTAAAAGGGTTAAACCAGAGGTATCCATTTGTTTTATAATACAATATTCAAGCACCATTTTACGTTTAGCGCGTTCGATAATATCTTCTTCCATGGTGCCTTTAGTGACAAATCGATAGACATTGACTGATTTTGTCTGACCAATCCGATGTGCTCGAGACATGGCTTGTAAATCGTTTTGAGGATTCCAATCTGAATCAAAGATAATCACTGTATCGGCCGTCACCAAGTTAATACCCATGCCGCCAGCGCGCGTGGATAATAAAAAGACAAAATCAGGACTTTCAGGAGCATTGAAATGTTCGATAGCCTTATTCCGATCTTCAGGTTTCATGCTACCATCCAAACGTTGGAAAGGATGGCCACGGAGTGTCAAATAATCTGACAAGATATCCAACATCATCACTAATTGAGAAAAGATCAATACACGATGACCATCAGCCTTGAGTCGAGCCAGTAATTTGTCCAAAAGAATCATCTTGCCACTGTTTTCCACCAATCCTTTGAGTTGTTCGATACGACTAGATGTTTGTGTTTCAGCATCAGGGAATAAGAAAGGATGATTGCTTGCTTTCTTCAATTCGATGGCAATATTCAACCATTGTTTCTTATTTTTATCTGAACCTTTACTAAGCACAGCAAAATTCTTGGCTAGGATGTTTTTATAAAACATTTTTTGTAGATCACTCATTTCCACGCGTAAAATTCGTTCTGTCTTGTTGGGAAGTGATTTCTCCACATCCTTTTTGAGTCTTCGTAACATGATATTCTTGATACTTTCATGCAAAGCCTTGATTTTTTTTTCTTGTTCGCCATCACCATCCACCTTATCAAGATCCACATTCAATTCGCTAAGATCCATAGCAGGCATCAAGAAGCGTACCAAAGCCAATAATTCCTTGACACTATTTTGAAGTGGTGTACCTGTAATCAATAGTCGATTGGCAGTACGAAAACCTTGTAATGCTTCATACAACTGAGATTCTGAATTTTTCAATCGATGTGCTTCATCCACAGCCAAGTATTGCCAATGAATACCACCTAAAGCATCACGATCCTTGAGTACAATTTCATAAGTAGTTACTAAGACATTGAATTTGAGACGTTTTGATGATGATGATGGTGATGATGGTAAATAGAATTCTTGATCACGAATCATTTGACGAGAAGCACGATTACCAACATAACATAAAACATTCATATCCGGTGCCCATTGTTTGAATTCCATCATCCAGTTTTCTGATGTTGACAGTGGTACCACAATTAAAAAAGGACCATATTGAGCATGTTTATGAAACAATGTACTCAAGAAGCCAATGGTTTGTACAGTTTTACCAAGACCCATTTCATCCGCTAACATACCATTCTTGTTTGTACACCATAACCAATACATCCAACTGATACCATGAAGCTGATAATCACGTAATTGACCGCCTTGGATATAAGAAGGTTGTTCACGTAGCACGGAAAATGTAGGACGTCTTTTGTGTTGATGAGTTGTGCTGTAATGTTCGGAAAGATGAGGTATCCGTCTACTTTGTTGTCGATCTAGAAATGTATCGATTTGAAGTTGATTACCATCACCATGTTTAGAAAGTTGATCGGCCGATTCATAAGTACATTCATCATAATGTAATCGTTTCCATTTCACCAGATATTCTGTATTGGACGAAACACCCCGTTTCCCTATGATACGTTCAACAGTACACCAATCCTTGATTTCCTCTCGTCGTCTTTCAGTATTGATGTCTTGTTGTTCAATTTCTTCTTTTGTGGTTTCTGGATGATGTCGGAAATATAACTCTTCTTCTACAAATGTTTTGATGTAGTTTTCCACTTTGCGATAACCTTTAAATGATCGTAAGTAACTTGGTGTATCCCATGTATCATGTATATGTGACCAATTTTTCCATTTGATGCGGAATTCCATGTTCATTTCTGGTTTGTCATCCTCTTTATCGCTTTCTATAAGAATCATCAAGATGATATATTCATCAGTTTTTACTTTCTTTCTTTCTTTATATATATATATATATATATATCGATATGCTTACCGTGGCCTTCACGCCTTCTATGATCATGGACACTTTCAATCACATCACCTTCATCCTCTTCAATCTGAGTATAAGACGTAAATCCACCTCCACCGTTCGTATATACATTGTTGTTGTGATCATCTTGGTCATCAGATAATCCCCATAAATCAGAACTGTTTTCATTGTAGTTCGCTACATTACGTTTTCTAGTAGAGTATCGTAAAGAATCGCTTGGTGATAATGAATTACCTATATAGTTAAAGATGGAGGACGAGTAAAATAAATTAAAAAAAAAATTGTTTATAATGCCTTTTTTTTTTTTTTTTTTTTTTTTTTTTTTTTTTTTTTTTTTTTTACCTTGAGCTAATCTTTTTAATTTTTTCATAGGGCGTCTTCGTGTTGATCTTGGTTTTCCCCAAACACCATCATCATCATCGTCATCATCAACATCACCATCATCATCACTAATGCTTGATTCTGATTTCATTCCATATTGTTTTGATGATGATTCTGTAATGAAAACAAAATAAAAAATCAATTGAAGCGTATGTATAAAAAAGGATATGTAGTATGAAAAAAAAAATACCAAATCAAATTAACTTACTTGACCATATAGATTGTTTTTGTTGTCTGGTATTAGTTGATCGTCTAGATGTAGTTTTATTCTTTTGTTTTTTTGTTGATGGAGAAACACCATAATCTTCATCATCATCGTCATCATCATCGATATCGTTGTTACTATTATCTACATCATCCGAGAATTCTTCTGGTGTTTCCGATATATATGAATCTACTTCATCCTCCTCTTGACTAGTGGTTATCTAAAAAGAAAAAAGAAAAAAAAAAAGAAATAAGGGATCAATAAAATGAAAGACAGATAACTTTTTTTTTAAAAAAAAAAAAAAAAAAAAAAAAAAAAAAAAGAGGGGGAGGGACTTTACGGTATACTTAGTTTTTTGACGTTTGTTGCGATTAGATCGTCGTAAACAATAGAGATCTGGATCAAGATAATCAGTATCAACATTGGGCGTTTCTGTCAATGGGGTGTCATCATTTATTTCAATAAATGCTTCCTGTTCATCATCATTGTTGGAAATATTAATATCACTTTCATCATGACTGCTATTGTTAAGAATATCATCAATGGCATCTGATAATCCATCATTGTCTGAAAGTGGTGATAAACTGTCCTGATCATCTTGATTATTATCATCGGATGAGAAAACATGTATCCGTTGTTTTCGTTTCCTAGGTCTCGTATAATTCTCATCCATGCTACTATTGCTGTCCGATATACCGTGATTGCTATGATGATTTATCGTGTCATGACCCTCTAATTCAAACAAAAAAAAAATATATATATATATAAGTATGACCATTCTTGTAAAAAAAATAAATAATAAATAAAAAACGATATAAACTGAAATTTAAAAAAAAGGGGGGAAAGGGAAATAAAAGAAACAAGGGGAAACAAGAGTAGTATAAAATAAACTGAAAAAGTGATAGTGTTTTGAGCGTTCCTTTTGTAGATATCGAAAACGGAAAAGAAACTACTTTCTACTTTATCGAGGATGAAGGAGGATATTTTCCATCTACCCCAGAGTCCATTAGTCAGCTGTCGTTTCAAAACCGAGTTCGTTCAAGGAGACCACAAAAAAAAAGGGTAATAGTATATGTATGCGTAAGTATGAATATATAAAAATTATGTGTATGTGTATGTAGGTTGGTGTATACGAAGAAGGGTAGTTAAGAGTATCTTACTATTTGAAAAACTATCAAAGAAAGAAAAAGAAAAAAAGAAAAAAGGAGGTATCGCTTTATGTTTTAAAATCAAGTAAATCACACGTACCAACCATGGCTTTTAGTATTCAAAACAATAAGTGGAAAAGGAGAGAAGGAGTATAGATATATATATTTATATATTGTATATATGTATATATTAGATAATATTGTATAAGAAAAAAAAAAAAAACAAAAAGAGTAAAATGTTTTCGAAGGTAAACAAGAAATTTTTTTTTTCAATTTCAGAGTTTGATTCGGATTTGGTAAATCCGCAATAACCAAGGGATGATGCTAGTCACCATCATATAAATACAAAGGATCATCATACTTGTCAATGAGGAGGCATATAATGTCTTCATCATCAAATTCACTGCACCTGTCATCAGATTTGCCTACATTAAAAAAAAAAAAAAAAAAAAGAAATGAAAAAAAAAGGTAAAAGAAAATCATTCCAAGGTTAGTGTCATTTTTTTGATACTCAACAGATACACACTCTCTCTCTCTCTCATTTTCTTTTCATCTGAGAATGATAGATAGGGGGGTTATCCATGATGGATCTCTCTCAGACACAGGAAAAACAATTTAAACCCAGAAAGATGGTCTCTTTTTTAACAAAACTTACAAGCAAAAAAGTAGCAAGACCATTTAGATTGATATCATTCAATAATTGTGGTCCCTTATTTTTAACATTCATCCATTGTTCCACCCAAATTAATAATGTCAATAAAGTCAAATTAAAAGAGATTACCCAAATGACGTAAGGTAAATTGGCCTACAAAAAAAAAAAATATGTATAAGCATTTATGGATTGCTCTTTTTTTTTTTTTTTTTTTTGTTATTACCAATCGTCTAGACACTTGACTAGAAGAATCATTTTGAGTGAAAAATAGCCAAGTACCAAAAATGATCCAATAAAGAATACTTTTTACAGTTAACTGAATAGCAACGGATGATGATGATGATGATGATATAATTGGAAGTTGTTTAGACGGCGATAAATCAAACACAGCACAACCAACATCAAGACCAAAAAGAAAGATGGCTAAATATCCCATGAAACTGCAGATGCCTTCCTTATTAGCACTTAAGAGATCAACACGAGGTGCTTCTAAAACCCATGTTTGCAATCCTTGCTGATGTAGAAGGTATTGATATCCAATCACAATTCCCCATCCTAGATATGAAAATGGTACCTTATTTTTCAATGACGTGATGAGTGTAACAAATGGAGGCAATAAACCAAGAGTCATAAAAAAGTTCCAATGAAGTCCATATTCCGAGTTATGCAACTAATCCCAAAAAAAAAAAAAAAATCAACACCACCTTTTATTTTTTTTTCCTTCCTTTACTTGATAATCCACACTTCTGGTTAATAAAAGACGTATGCCACCTAAAAGAAGTAAAGGCAAGCAGGATCGACATGCATTCGTCATTCGATGAAGCAACGTTTGCTGGGCATTTTGTTGTGAATAAGCTCTTGACGCCACAACTCCGGATGAAAATACAAATGATCCAACGCCTACATCCATCTATTATGTAGAGAAATCATAAACATATTGATTGTCATCATTACATACATGATCTTTATAAGCCATCTTTTTTTTTCCACTTACTAATGACGTGCCAAAAGTCTCTACTTTGGCAAATCGTCGAGGAAACACAGGGAAATCAACTGCTAAAATAGCAATGCATGTTAAAATCATAGTGGCAGCTCGATATACAGTCAGATATGTCTTGTAGGATGATAACGACGACGATGATGATGATGATGATGATTTTTTATCTTCCTTCTTCTTTTCTTTAGCTACCATACTATGATCAAGTCTTTGTTGTAGAGAAGTAATTTCACGGTAATTTTCTGACCGATAAATAACGTTCAACGCTAAGCATAACATTCCGAGTAATACTTGAATGACTTGGTCCGCCAAAATAGTTTGAATCAAGATCGCTGGAATAACATAGATAAGAAACTGAGCAGTAAATGTATCAACATTTATCATTTTTGATTTAACTAATGCTAGCCATAAAACATGAGAAACCTTTTTGTAATAAAAAAAAAAAATGAAACGGCTTGTTACAAAATAGTTCATCTTATTATTGTTGACTTACCACACATGAAGACGCAATGAAATTCACTTCAAATAAGGAACCTCCTGTGCAGTTGGAGACCCAGGCTTCTTTTTCCTCTTTATATGTCAAAGTCGTACTCATATAGAATATTCTAAGAGGAGACAAACAACAACTATTTGGGATCCACCTGGGAACGCTCATCCCAGACATCGTTGAGTCGGAGATTGTAGACAACATAACAACACTATATGAATCCAATTGATTTTTATTTGCTGGTATTTGAATTAAAAAAAAAAAGAAAAAATAACAATGATAATAAAGAAGGGGGGTAACTATAAAAGACAAAGATAACTTAACTAATAGGGTAACGATATTTTTCATTCTACAATATTGTCCTTGAGTTTTTCCTTGTTTATTTCCATTTCTTGTAAAACTCTTAGCCAGCCAGTACCAGCTTCTTGTCGCATGATTTCGATTTTTCGACGAAAGGCTTCTTCTGCAGAGAGACGTTTTGATGTGGATGATGATTCAATTTCCCCAATAGTATCTTCGTTAACCAAAATAGATGAAGGAGGAGGTGGTGGTGGTGGTGATCGAGACCGACGATGCGAAGTAGTGGAAGAGGACGACCTTTTGGTACGATGTGCAGTTGAAGTAGATTTGCTAGATCGTTTAGAGGTACTGGATCGTCGACGTGTCAATGTAGGTTGGATAGATTGCTGTAGTTCTGCATATCGGAGTACATGTGAAGATTTCTCGGTATCTGTCTTCAACATATCATTGGATTCCATAGAAGGTTCAACAGCCCCATGTGGTAATTGGATGACACGTTTGGTTTTCCTTGGTTTTGCCTTTTTGATCGATTTACCTTCGTCAAGACTGGTATTTGCTGATGATGATGATACTGGAGGAATTGCTATGTTGTGGTCGTCGACAGTTCCACTTGCTGTCGTGTTGTCCAATTCATTTGATGTTGGTATGGCTGTTGTAGCTGGTGGAGTCGGTGAAGAAGTGACAGATGGTGTTGTCATTGCTGCTGGAGTATTGTCATGATGTTGACGTTGTGTATTGTTCAAAGATGCCTGGAACCTCAGTTTTTCAGCAAAGGAAGGACCCATTCCATCGAGTTTAAATGACGAACCATGTTGTTGAAATTCAGTAAAAAGATCCACTCGATATGATGACTATATATATATATAAAAGTTAGATAATCAAATCAAAAAGACAATTTTTTTTTCTATTCAAAATTTCCTTACGTTTGTCAAAGTAAATGGATTTCCCATCACCCAAACATCATCCAAATTTGGTAAGCTAATAAGACGATGAATTTCTGTCATATCTTCGATCCGATTGTCCCGCAGATCCAAACGTTCCAAAGCCCAAAGTCGATCTAATCCCACCACATTTGTCAATCGATTTCCACGTAAATTGAGTTCCTGAATATTGCCTAGTACAGCATTGATACCCATAGTAAATGAAATCATATTGTATGCCAAATCAAGAGAATGTAGATTGTAAAGAATAGATAAAGATTGAGGAATATCGATTAAAAGGTTGCTAGATAAATTGAGATGAGTAATAGATTGAATTTGTCGTAGTGGTTCAATATCCAAAGTAGTCAAATTGTTGTCTTGTAATGAAAGCATTCGCAATTGATGTAATTCAATAGTGTTGGTATTGCTGGTGGTATCGGAAGTTCTATTTATTGAGCTCTTTCCATCCTCATCGTCATTATTATCAAGATGACTGTTTTGTAAAATGTTGAATAGATCTGCTACATTTTCAATACCGGCTCGTTTGATAACCAGACTAATCAAACGTGGAGTAAAGGAAGACCAATCACTGATCATGCTAGGATGAATTTGATCCAATTCCAAAAATGATAGGTGCTTGAATGGTGATAGAGAAAGAAGGATTGTCCCATGTGGCTGTTGTGTAAGAGGTTGTTCATAACCAAGAATCGCTCTTTGACCACTTCGTGGTATACCAGTTTCTGGATGTACAAACACATGCATATGGAGCTTAAGTGCCTTGATGTTTGAAAGACATTGATGAATATGAATAATATCCTGTTGTAAATTATGTCCGCTATTGTTTGTTATATGCTGTTCTTGAGTATCTTGTCGATTTTTCCAAAACTGCCAACCAGTTCCAAGAGATAGAGTAGACATGGCAGATGATACTGATCCAATGGAAAGTATAGAAGGAGCTTTACCTGAATCATCGTCTACATGGTCAGTCACATAACCTTCTGTAGGTACATTACCCAATAAAGAAGTACCAATATCTAGTCCAAGATGATCGAATTGAACGTATAAAAAATAAAGATAATGAATATCGAGAGAGAAACAACCTGTAGTAGGCATATAAGGTGTTTTGTCCAAAGTAGTAGTAGAAGAAGAAGAACTAGTAATGGCTAATAAAGACATGTAAGGAAATCCAAGAGATTTGTTGTTGTTGTTGTTGGAAAGAGCTGTTGGAAGATTGGATATACCACGTACTGAAGAAGTTCCTTTTGTATCATTTTTTGTCATAAGTTTGGATTCGTTAGCATCTAAATAATGTCGTAATGTCTTTATAAAAGATTGTCCTGAAACTGTTGTCGTCGTCATTTGTCAAAGTCATTCAATATTTTCCTTCACGTTTTGAAATAAAATAAAAATATTTGAAAAAACGGAAAGGAAAAAAAAAACGTAAACGTTTCATTTTTGTAAGGAAAAAAAAAGATATTTCAATATCCGATGGTTGCCTTTTTTGTCACTACCTGACATTGTATATTATATACAATCGTTTATTCTTATTGAATAATGATAATAATAATGAATATATATAAATAAAAGTTTGGATGTTTTCCTTATGATTATATTTCCAGTCATTCAACTTCTTCAATCTACCATATACCCAACAATCGAAAATAAAATGAGACACCAACTTTTTGCGTAAACTAGAAGCATAATGTACCCTTGACAGTCTCTACAATCCTATTCCAAAAAAATGGTACTTTGAAAGTTTCGATTTTTAGCAAGACTTATGTCGGTTATATTGTAGAGTAAGTTTCGTAGAGACAAAACGATATCGAAAAGGAAAAAAGTCTGTTTTTCTTTTTTTATGCGCGCCAAGTTCCAAACAAGCTGGTGACAGGCTAAAAGAAGAAAGGGAAAATGGTTAGTGTGATGATCATTTAGATGTTATTTGTATATGTGCACTTACCAAAAAAAAAAAAAAAAAAAGATCCTCTAACACAAGGGCTAGCGGTATCTACATCAACCAATCCAGGATGTACATGACAGAATAGGGATAGTTATAATATCATAAAGGTAAAAAAAAAAAAAAATGGATTCAAGAAGCAAAAAAGATAGACAAGCAAGGCAAAAGACATACAACCAGAGGGACAACAAGAAGAAGAACAGCAAGGAGAAACGGGGGAAACAAGAAACCTCCAGAGAAGGAGGGTGTTCTGTCGCGTATGACCAAGTGAACGGAAAAAAAAGGGAACACCAATAAGGAAGCAGTCAAAAAACCCAAATGATCTTTTCGTTTTTCTTTTGCTTTTTGGGTTTTTGACTATTTTTTTTTTTTTTGGTCTTTGTAGAAGAAAGAAAACCAAAAGAAAGAGAAAATAAGAGTCTTTTATATTGTTGTTTTTTTCCTCCAATTAGATTGAGTCTGTCAAATCTCATGGTTATTCTATTTAATCAAATATTTCAAGCTTATTGATCAAATCAATCATTCATCATCCGATCATTATATGTCATAAAATAGTAGGTAAAATTAAACATCTCATAAACTAAAATAAGAGGCTACCTTGAATGGATCATTATAGTTTTTAGTAAGAGCATAGTAATGCTTTAAGAAGGAGTGATTTATGGGGATGCGCTGATGACCTGAGTCAGGCTTAATAAAGTTTTCTATATTCGGAAACCAACAATGCAAAAATCATGAACTTGAAAAGAATAATACAAAAAGAAGGACAACAGGTACAATAATATTGCATTATTTAACATATTTATGATGGATCAATATCCAGAATTCAAAGATTATTTATTTTTCGTTATGGAAAATTGCACCTATTCATCATTCAAAGTGTGATTTGACACTTTTGATGATGATGATGATGATTTAAATCGCCGATGATCTTTTTGCTTTCACGCAAAATCTTCATCTATTGACCAAAAAAGGAAAATGATCTATGATTGTGACTACAAGATTGACATATTAAAAAAAAAAGTAAGAAATCTCTTCTTCCCCCTTCTTTTTTTTTCTTCTTTTCTTTTTAATTATTCCTCATGGCTTATAACGTTCTTCGTCGTACTTTTGCTACTGCTTCTTCTTCTCCTTTGAAAATTGGTCTTATTCCTGCTGATGGTATTGGTAGAGAAGGTATGTTATTTCCTTTACTTAATATCATTAATACTCATCACGACTTCTTTTTTTCCTCTCTTCTCCGTCTTTAACTTGGCTTTTTTTTTCTTTATTTAGTGATTCCTGTATGTGTTATTTTTATAGCAAATATATACGTATACGTGTTTTAACCCCTTCTTGTTATTTCTATAGGCTGCTCAACGTGTATTAGAATCTCTGTCTAATGGTCCCAAGTTTGATTTTGTTCATTTGGATGCTGGTTTTGAACATTTTCAAAAAACTGGAACAGCTTTACCTCAATCTACTATTGACATACTCAAGAATGAATGTCAAGGAGCTCTTTTCGGCGCCGTCAGTTCACCTTCTCATAAAGTAGCCGGTTACTCTTCACCCATTGTCGCTCTTCGTAAACATCTGGATTTGTATGCCAATGTACGTCCTGTAGCGTCTGTAGCTTCTCCTGCTTTTCCTAATCAAAAGGTGTTAGATATGTTGATTATTCGTGAGAATACTGAATGTTTGGTAAGTATAAAAAGATATCATATAGGTATATAAAGCTCATATATCGTTTTTTTTATTTATTTATTTTGATAGTATATTAAATCTGAACGCTTGGAAACTGATCCTGCCACTGGTCTCAAGGTAGCTTATGCTGATCGTAAAATCTCTGAATATGCTTCAAAGCGCGCTGGTACTATGGCTTTCAATATGGCCCTGACTCGTCAACAATTACGTGAACAAAAATCACTGGAAAATCGTATATGGAAGGTAATTGAAAGAAGAAAAGAAAAAGACTATTCATGATGATGATGATGATTTACTGATGATGTTTTTTTTTTTCATTTAATAGCACAAACCACGTGTGACGATTGTGCATAAATCTAATGTGTTGAGTGTGACCGATGGTTTATGGCGTGAAACTGTTCGTGGTGTCAAAGAAAGCAACCCTGAAAAATATGGTCAAGTTGATATGGAAGAACAATTAGTGGATTCAATGGTATATCGTATGTTCCGTGAACCTGAAGCATTTGATGTTGTGGTAGCACCTAATCTTTATGGTGATATTATTAGGTATATTTTACATAGAATAGATATATGAAAAAGTGAACGATATAACTGATCATATATTTTTAAATCAAGTGATGGTGCTGCTGCTCTTGTAGGTTCCCTTGGTGTAGTGCCATCTGCTAATGTAGGTGATAGCTTTGTGATGGGTGAACCTGTACATGGTTCTGCTCCTGATATTGCTGGTAAAGGTATTGCCAATCCTATTGCTGCTATTCGTTCTGCTGGTTTATTGTTAGAACATTTGGGTCATACTGAACATGCTCTCAAGTTGTATGATGCTGTGGATGCTGTGTTGGCGGATGGATCAATTTTGACTCCTGATCTCGGTGGCAAAAACACTACCAATGATGTTGTTGAAGCTGTCTTGAAAAATCTGTAGTTCTATTTAATTTAATCAATAAAATTAAAAAAAAACCTGTGTATACTGGATTTTGCAGCGCATTTCGCGTCGGTACTCAGAAACATTTACGTTACCATGTCTACTATTCATTTACTGTCCTGGGAGTCATTTCATAAAAAGGTATTATCTACCTTACAATGTGAAAACCACAAGCAACATCCGTTTCAAAAAAAAAAAAAAAAGAAAAAGAAAAAGAAAAAGAAAAAAAGTGGACGGTAAAGTTGAAAAAATAAACGGTGGCGTTGGAACAAGAACAGAGCATTATCCACAATATCTTTCAAATACGATGAATACATTAGACAACAACAGTATGAAAGGTCAATATATTGTAATGAACGATGCTCCAATACATACTTCTTCAGTGGCCCGAAATTTTGGTTGAAGAAAGAGGCTATCAATGTTTCTATTTGCCTCCCTATTCACCATTTTTAAAATCCCATCGAAGAATTCTGGTCAAAGGTCAAAACTGGGGTTTGAAAAAGGCCTTTGAGAGCAGATGATAACCTGATAGATCGAATTCATGAATCTGTAATACGAGTAAAGACATCAGATTGGATAAAACGATCGTTGACTTTCTTCGAACGATGTCTAAATGAACAGAAAAATCTCTAAACCATCTTGCTTAAAGCAAAAAAAAAAAAAAAAGTCAACTAAAGTCAACAAAGGTCAACTAAAGTCAACTAAAGCTTTTATTTTTTATTCCTACTATTTTATTACACGCCAATGTATTGATTCCATCTTACGATGTATTTGTCGTATCAGCGCATTCCGTAACCATATCCATAAAATAAAAATAATGCATAAACTAAAGTCAACTAAAGTCAACTAAAGTCAACTAAAGTCAACTAAAGTCAACTAAAGTCAACAAAGGTCAACAAAAGTCAACAAAAGTCAACTAAAGTCAACAAAGGTCAACTAAAGTCAACAAAGGTCAACTAAAGTCAACTAAAGTCAACTAAAATCAACCAAGGCTTTTATTTTTTATTCCTACTATTTTATTACACGCCAGTGTATTGATTCCATCGTACGATGTATTTGTCGTATCAGCGCATTCCGTAACCATATCCATAAAATAAAAATAAAGAATGCATTTCACAATTTTTTTTTATTAAATATTTTTTTTTTTTTGTAAGAATAAATTTTATTAAATTTATTTTGTTTTTAAAGAACCACACGTCCAAGAGCGGTGGAGTTCGAAATCAAAGGATAATGATCTATGTATAAGGGGGATTCTAAATAGCATTTCAGTAATCTAGACGACGCTATGAATGATGAGGATGGATGGAGGCAATGCGTTTATTGATCAATCGTAAAATGGGATGTTCGTGGAAAGGCTTGTTTTCGAGCTTGAAAAAAAAAAAAGAAAAAAAAAAATTACCCTTAAGATACCAAAATAAAACGGACTTTGAAAACCATTATGCTCATGGTCCATAATAAACGCTCCAGGGCAGCTATTATGATGAATCATTACACATATGGTGATAACATCACATCAATGAGAAATAAAATACTAGTAAGACTATGTTCCCTGTATGGCAGTATTACAAACCAAAACAAGAACAAATAAAAGTAGAAGTAAAATTTGGTCACCAATCTAATATAGTATGATGATATGAGTATTACGTATCACTCACCACATACTTATATATAACACCAACAAACTTTTTGTGTAGATACTTCGTCTCTCTTTCAACACACTTTTTAACGATAAAAAAGAAATCTCACAGACTTGTTCTCATTTTATTTTTTCTAATTATATTTCTTCATTGCTTCAATCTACACCAATTCTCCACAATTCCACAGGCGTGTATCTCCGTGACTATTAAAGATATGGATATAAAACAAAAATCAAAATATTCATCATCAATAGAGATTTCAAATGATATAAAAAATATGGGTTTTATTAGTACTGTTTTTGAGAAAAAATAAAAAAAGGTAAATGGATTAATTATGACGATATTTCAAATGGCATGATCGCTTGCGGTTCTGGGACGATGAAAAGACACGATTGAAGATAGAAGTGATGATTGTTGGACGGTGTCGAGAGGGCGCTGATGGTAAGACCGATGAATTGCAGATCCGATTGAAGACGTCAAGTATACGCAAAACCCGGGGCATATCCATAACGAGTTTTGCTAAATCATCCAAGCAACTTGGTATTTTTATTTTTTCCAGTTCGTACATCACGTAAAGACCGGTCGATGGTAAAACCAATACATAGAACGTAATCATTCTTCCAATAATCTGCAGTCCCAGGACACCTTCCATATTTTGTGTATCTAGAGCATTTTTGCAAAATATCGCAGTTCGGAGTAGATCCTGGCAAATCAGAAAATGGTTGTCACCGTGAGAAGCTGATTTCGCTTCCCCAAAACCATGATTTGATGTCCATTTCACCCCATGTAATCTGGTTATGCATATATCAGGGCGATTCATTGATAAATTTTCATGCTTTCGAGCTTCTAAAGTAATTTCGTTGGTCCACCGTAGATACATGCCTTCATCAGGATCATCAAATAAACCGCATAAAAAAGGATCAATATATCGAGTGCCGAGTTCGTATTCGTTGGTATCTTCTGCAATAGACATGGGAGGCAGCTTCCGGATCAATTCAATAATGCTTTTTTTGAACTTGTTTTCATTTGTAGGAAGATTTAAATCCAAAAGACGTGCAAACGCTTTATCTCGATTGATTTTCCTCATGGTAAGATCCTGAATGATACTGATTATGTTGGTAGATGTCTCCATTGACATCGGATGTCTCCTAATGTTATACTTTGTCTCAATACTATCGATGGTTGCATCAAGGTCGTGCTTGCTGAAAAAGGATGACAAATCATCGGGGTACTGATTTCGTGACAAGAGTAGAATAGAGGTGGCTGCCATGGCGCAATGGATATGATTTTCAAGAGATAGTTTCCACTTGTGTTGGGTTAATGATAGTTGTAGCTTATGAAACGCCATTGTCGCGTCGAAATTTTGTACCACGAGATGATCATCGTGATCAGGAGGGGGAAATGAAAGGCACAATGGATCCAACAGTTCATTTTCAAGGGCATTGCTTGAACGCCGTTTACTAGACTTCTCCGGCTTGCCACCGCTCTGCTGTCCCGTTGAGTCGCTTTCTTGTTGTGTTTGGGTTAAGAGAGGTTGCTGTTCTGATAAAGATTCTGAATGGTTGGCATAAAAATGGGCCTTCAACTCATTTACTTCTACACAATGTACAATACATGCTGGGCAGCCAAAGTGATTCTCAATGGAAGCGTGCGCGCTTTGTGACTTGACGTACGTATAATCTTGGTTATTGTACCGTCTGATTCCAGCTGCTGTTTGCGGTATTTGTATGTTGTGTTTCTGCAAATGATGTCGAAGTTTTCGAGGTGTTGAGAACGTCATTGGACATTCGAAACAACGGTGTATAATAACAACAATTTTTGTTTCATTTGTCATAGCAACTACAAAGCAATGTGAAAATGTTGGTCTGTTTATCAGTTCAAAGACAAGAAAAAATTGACTTTTGTTACTCAGCAATTTTTTTTTTTTTTTGTTTTCTTGTGCATGACAAATGTACTGCAAAAATACCTCTCAGCCAGACGCAAAAAATTATAAACACGGTGACGCAAACATTTACTAAGTATCGACGTGAAATGCACTGCAAATTCCAGTAGAATCAATGACTTCCCTTATACCAACACATAATGTTGTGCCAGTCAATGGATGATCACTTTTGTGAAGACATGAGTATAGATAATAATAATAGTAGAAAGAGTATATATATATATTTTTATTGAAAAATAAAAGAGATAAAGACTAATTTATGTATATACAGATTATTTTTTTTTTTTAAAAAAAAAAAGGAAACTGAAGATATCAGTAACAATTTTTTTTGGCATTTTTGTACATTTCACCCAATGGTGGATTTTTTCGTTTGAGATTTGCCAAAGCTTCTTTCTTGCTGTTTGCCCGGTCGGTTTCGAGACATGCATATTGCATCAATGGTTGACGAGGGTATAGGACGAGGTAATTTTTCAATGACAAGGGAGAGATGCGGTATTCTTTGATAAGGTATCGGGTAAAAGAGCAGAGTGATATGATGTCGTTAGGTAACTGAGGTTGGGTATGTTGATTTTCCTGTTCTTGTTGATAATCACGTTTGGTGGTAGTAGAGGAGTTATAAGTTCCCATTTTAAAGGCTGCTAAGGATAAGAAGGCATCAAGGGCTATTTTACTGGATGGATGGAGATATTGCTTGGCAAGTAATACTTGGTTGATATGATTATCGAGGAGGTGAATATTGCTAAGAACACTGTAAGCAAAATCGACAGGATGACTATGTAAAATAGGTAACAATTCATTCGAACGTTTTTTGGTTCTATCCTCCAAAATTTCTTTGATACGAAGGATGACAACTTGTCGGCGTTGTGTGATTGCTGAAGGTTGAGTGTGCTGGGTATCATGAAGCCACAAAGTATAACAATCTGATCGTTCACGATAACTAAGTTGACTCATCATATCAACCAGAGCCAAAGAACAGTCGTATACCAAAGAAGGAAAGATAACAAGCGGGATGATATCCAAGAAGACTTGTCGTTCGAATTGATTTTCAAGAGTGAGGTTGTAATGTAGAATGGAGATAATTTTGTTCACGGTGATTTTAGAAATCTTGGGTTTTTCCTTGGTCGAATCGATGATAGAATTCAAAAAATTGATGAGAGGCTTGAGCACATTTTTCAGATTAGAAGCTGTTGATTGTTGAGAAAGTGAATCTTTCCATGTATTGCAGAAAAAAGCCTTGTTGAAAAAGTCGTAGATATAATCACTATTTTGAAGGTCATCCAAAGTTTCATCGTAATGATTGGTATTGATGGTACTGAAACTGTCGCAACTGATAAGACTACTATTGTTATTATCCAATCCTAATTCATCATCATCATCAGAGTCATCTAAATAATAACCTGTTCTTGGAGGATATTTTATTGTCAATGCTGGTGGATGATCTTTTGTTGGTGGCTGTGCTGTCGTTTTTATATTTGCAAGCTGAGTATGTTCATATAAAGAATCCACAGTATAGTCCACCATTCGAAGAATCCAATCATGAAGGCTTCTCATTGTATCTTCATTATTACTATCCAAATATTGTTTCACGCAAGTAGCATGTTTGATGTTGCCCAGAGAGAGTAAAGCTTTGATTAACTCCATCAGATAACCATATTGTTGTTGTTGTCGTCGTTGTTGTTGATGACTATGTTCAGTAATCACCTTGTTGTCGTCTTCCGTAGAACATCCAGCTTCGACAATATAAGGGAGTAAATGATCAAAGAATATCATATTTTCATCGGCAAGAAGGGCGACGACGTAAATTAATGAAGGAGGAGGAGAAGTAGATTCGTCTGACTTGAGAGTATGTTCAAACTTGAGACCCAATAAATGTGCTAAAGTACATCCATCGGTTTGTTGTTGTGATTTTGCTTGACTATTTGAAGTACTATCATCATCGTCATTAGAATCCAAAGGTAATGGGTTGATAAGAGTCATATCCCTGCATCTTTTGATCAGTTGTACCCAAAAAATGTGATTGTATTCGATTTCATCCATAAAAAGATCAAGCATAATATCCAAAATCAAATTCGAGTCTACTGGATCATCTCCATCTGTATTAAAAAAAAAAAAAAAAAAAAAAAAAAAAAAAAAAAAAAAAAGGAAGATAAATGAACCTGAAATGTGTAAATAATAATGTAATATTATCACTTACTTAAATAAGAGCGGAATATAGCTTCGAATTCAGATAATCTAGATAATGGAATAACAGCATAACCATATTTGATATTTTCTAAATCCATAGTTGCCAAAATATAATGACGAACAATAGTATAAGCTTTTGTTGACGGTGGTTTTCCAGAGAGATATGTTTTGATTTGTTTTGACCTGTTCAATATAAGAAAACTATGTTTAATATATATATATATATATATATATATTTCGATCTTTTCTTCGAAGAGAATTCTTACATAAAAGATTTGGGTAATCTTCTCATTCTACGTTCAAATCGCTCCTTGCTGGGAATAATACCAATGACTTCCAAAGTTTCGCCACAGAATAATTCCATACAGTCCATAGTGGTGAGCAATTCACGTTCCTTTATGAATGAAATAGAAAAAGAAAAACAAATAAATATGGATAAATATTAATATAGTAATATGATAACTTACGATGCACTTATTGATCAAAGTCACCAATCGGTTCAGGTTTGACTTTTGCAATACTGATGAAGATACAGGTGGTAATAATTTTGTCTTTTTATTTGTTGCTGCTGTTGTTATTGTAGAATAATGTCTGTTTTCTTGTAATTTTAAAGCGTCTGTAAGCCAAGACTTGAGACATGCTTTTCCAGAAGTTGTTTGAAAGTCACCATAAAGACTAAAGAAAAAGTCAATCAAAGAGTTGGCAGATCGATAGCCCATATAAACAAAGAAAACTGCGTGTACAATCATATAATAAACGGTATCCATCATTCCATGTGTGAGATAGTTTTTTGCTGCGTTTGCTTCTTGATCTGTTGTCAAGATTTTAGTTTGTTGATAGAAATAATCGATATGACATTCATCATTTCTAATAGCTTTAAGTCGAGGATGTAAAGGGACTAAAATACCAATATGAGGATATTTTTTACAACAGTTTACTTCTTTTTGAGGATCAGTCATTTTGTATGCAGAGAAAAAAGTAGTGTTGTGGGGAGAGGAAGAAGGAGAAAAAAAAAAAAAAAAAAAAAAAAAGGACAATAAATCAACAACCCCGCAACCTTGCTTGTAACCTGCGGCGACCAAAAACGCGTCAAACAAACGCGTAGAGTGAAAAAAAAAATCCATTAAACAGTGGTGATTTAGTTGAACTTTTTAAAATCTATCGAATAGACCAAAGACGATGGCAATGAAAAAGGGATAAAAGAGAAAATGGATTTGTACAATAAGTAACATATCGTTTCAATAAATTTTCATTTTATATATATACGTAAAAAAAAAAAAAAAGAATAGGTACAGTTTATTTTGTTCATGATATCAGAGTGTAAATATGTAAACTACCAAGGCAAATGGAAGAGAAGACAATCATGACGGAAAGAAAAAATCATTGATGAACACCAATCATCCTCCAATACATTCAGAAAACTACTACCACTAAAAGCCATGCCGTTTTTTGGTAATCAAAGGCGTTATATCCCCCAGCGAGCTTCTTATTCTTTTTCATAAGTAGAGAACCAATATATCGCTTGATCACGCAGACGAAGGGTGGTCGCTATATTCACAATGGTTATTTCATTCCAACCAAAGGTTATTGTATATCGTTTTAATCAGGTCCAACCAAATAGTGATGGTAGTAGCATTACGTTCCCCGTGATACTTGAGTAGGTCATTTTCTCTTGCCATTTGTACCGGTATACGGAAATAAGTGAGTGCTGGTTGTACATCATAGTCCCAGTGTTGTTTGTTGATAAAATTTGATTGTCGATGGCTTTGAAGAATTCAGAGTATGCTGTAGAAATGAGGATTTGCTTGTTCATAGGCTGTGTACATGTTGAAAATACTGACGGTATGGTTGTGTAAGGTAGATATTTTCCACTATTTTGTATGCTGCAGATGTCATGAACGTGACAGGAGAAATGGTATAATATCAGTAACAGATAGTCCTTCAATCAGAAATTACTAAAGAAAACGTAACTATTGTATTAAGGTTGTAATGAGGAGGACAAAAAGGGACAAACGAAGAAGAGGAGGAGAGAAGAGAAGGAAAAAGAGAAGATGAGAAAAAAAAAAAAAAAAAAAACGGAAGAAAACAAAAAAGGAAACGATTTTTTTTATTTCGGAGTTTGTGTGTATGGTACCCATCGTTCAGGGACGAGGATAGGACTGAAATCATAGTGAAAAATTAATGCATAGAGAATTGTATCTTATAAAGGAAAGAAATACATGAAGGACTTAGTTATTCTGATTATAGGTGGTCATAGAGAAAGAGAGGGAATTGTGTGGATAGAGGATATGATAGATCACTGTCTGGATTGAAAGGGAGGGAATGGAAATGATTATTCCAATGACCTTTCCAGATGAGGAGTATCGTGAATCCGCAGATCGAGAAAAAAAAAAAGGACATATTGCGACATGGATATTCCATATTGTTTTCTTATAAGAACATGTATATACGAAGCGGATAAGATCTTCTTCGTTATTACTTGATATACATTGTTTAGAGAAAGGAGGATGGATCATAGCGATGGTCTTTCGTAGAGGGACTCTTCTTTATTAAGATTTTATACCATATCGATCGAGCATGTGGTGGCATATTGGCGTTCCAAAATTGTTGGATGGATCGATGATGAAATCGATAGGGAGGGAGACTGCCCGGGATGATCCGAACCCTAAAGGTTCTATTTGGTTGCTTCTTCCAAATAATATTCGTTGTCCATTGAGATATTAAAGGGGTATAATCAATTTGACCGAAAGGTATAGAGGAATCACCATTTAAAGGGTATGCAAATGATAGGAGCTTAACTCTTCTTGAAAAAATATCTCTATCGGAGACAAAGACGGGAAAAGGGAGGAAGAAGTAAATATTTTTGGTAACTATCCTTGACGATCTTCCTCCTTGGATCCACATCCCTTATTTACTCCACCAACAACGCCACATGCCATCTTTTTTGCATTATTATCTATTCAGCAATACCACCAATAATCGTATTTAACAAAAGAAGGTTGGTATCCACATACGCCTATTCATTGATTCTGTCAAGGAGCATGAAAAAAAGGGTGCTAAAAATCAAGAGCACAAATGGAAAAATAAAAAAGTGAAGCTATTTATTTTGGCTAACGCTATATCTATTCATTGATGCAATTATTATTTGATAAATATGGAAGAAAAGGGAGAAGACTAACTAAGAATTTGAGAAGAAAAGAGAAGTTGTCAAAAAGAAAAGGGGATGGGTACATACTTTATTTCCTTTCTGATTGGTTAACAGTATACATCTATTCTTTGATCCGTTACTATTACCTTCAAAAAAAAAGGAGGGAAGTTAAAAAAGAGTCAATCAAAACAAAATAAAGAAAATGGCGTCCATTTCAATTGATTTGGTATAAAAGAAGTATGATTCTGATTTATTTCTTTTCCTTTGAAACACATCTCTCTCTCTTTTTTTTTTTCTAAACCCTTAAAAGCGAATTTATTTCTCTCTTTCTTTTTTATTATATAGCAATGAGGATTTCTATATTGGTTTTTCTTGGGTGGATATCGTTTTGTTTTGCGTGCGATGCTCCCAAAGTAGATGAACCATCAGACATGAAAGGAGGACTGATGTCGGGGTTCACCATAGCGACAGCGTATTTAGCCGGCACAGGCCCTGTCGCCGCGTTAGGAGTTGCTGTGGTAGGCCTTATTATCGATAGTTTCCTTTCATCTGCCAAGTCGAATGACCAATCTCTCGCACGACTAGCCAACCAACTTCGTGAAGAAATGGACAATAAGATAGATAGCGCAATTGTGGGCACCTTTCAAGGCCAATTAACAGCGGTTAAAGGTATGCTGGATGAATACAAGCAAGATTATGGTTTGTGGATAGAAAATAAGATGCCGGTGGGAGCCAACGATAAATGGTTGACACCGTACTACCAAAATAAGGTCAATAATATCGAACAACATATTAATGTTATTATGGGCAACATGGATCGAAACTATTTGGGGCTACCTATGTTTGCAATCATGGCTACCTCTCATTTAAGTATTCTACGCGATGCTGCCGTCATAGGGAATGATCATCTCGGGATTACGAAATACAATTATCGACAGATGTTTACATCATATCTTAACAAATATGTGGCGCTGTTGACCACGGTGTATGATACTAAACGTAACTCACTGATGCAGCAAAATATGGTGGAAAAACAACTTACCTTTGAAACAGCCATTATCACCAATGCCTGGGATGTCGCCGCCAAATGGAGCATGTTGATTCCAGACAATGGTATCTCTCTGGACATCTTTTACACGAGACCCGTTTATTCGAAAAACACAAAATGTGGATTGGGACGATGTAAACTAAGTTCGGCGATAGTGGAAACGAGCAAAAACAAAGACCCTCAGTACAGAGGGGTGATGAAGAATTTGCAATATACGACAACGACGTACCGTAAATATGATCCTAAATTTGAAAGTGATAATCCAGCACCGCCGGTATTGAACTCATTTACCTCAGAGTATACGGGACCCGCAATAATCGATGCCACCAAAAACATCACCGTATCCTATGTGAGTGTTCATGATAATTTTTTGGATAGCTATTATCAATACAACGGTGCAGCTGGGATCCTTACATGTGCCAACGCCTGTCCGGGGATCATGTCGACACTAACGATTGGGGGAAAGACACTGGGTAGTAAAGTCACGAATAAATGTGGTCCTGCATATACGGATGATATCATGGCCCCGCCCGCACAACATGGTCTATCTCGTATTCTTGCCGCCGGTCAGGAAGCTTCGTGGTTTTTCGAATATCGTAAGAACGATAACAAAGCCGCGTTTCCAACGGATCGGGAACAAGCGATCCGATTCCCTGGAGAATACATCTTTGATCCGAAAACTACAACGATTGGTGAACTCAATTATTTACTCGGAGGACGAACTCTTCATATTAGTACAACTGCTACATTTCAAATGCCTCCTCGTAATCAAGGATTCATCTACCGAGTACGTTTCTATGTAAAAAGTCCTATCAATGTTCAAAACTGTGATCTGAAAAAACAAACGTTTCAATTTGCCGGATTTGATCTTTACGAATGCGACTATTCAGGTGTGTCTGTTACGATAAATGGTCCAGCGGATCTCGGAGCAATTGAAGTGATTCAAAAGAAAGAACAATGGTTTGGCGAAAGTTGCGATACTGATAAAGATTGTTATCACGATCTTCGGTGCTTGAATTACAAAGATCCCAACGGAAACGCAGGTAAAATGTGTGCTAAATTTTGGACATACACACGGCTATGCGCGCCTACACAAACGGGTAGAGGTATGAGAGATGTACGCAATTTTATCTTTGGGAACGGAGAAAAGAAAACGACTAATTGCAAGAAATCTAACGAATTAATCACGGTACCTGGAGCTTATCCCGCGCAATGTTGTTCAGGTACTGCACGTGTATTAGTTGAGTCGAATCCGAATATTGCCCAAAAATGGTGTGAACTTAGATGCATATGAAATAATAATGTTGAATATTCGTATGAAATAAAGCCTAATAATTTTAAAATATATGTCTTCAGAAATAATATTGATCTTATGGTGACCTGATATAATTTTCTGGAGGTGAGCTGATAGGATAAACTTTGATCAAACTTTATTTTTGGTTTTAGATCTGTTGATTTAAGCAGAGAGGATATGCAAAGATGATGATAATGAAAATGAAAAGGATTGAATAATAACAATAATAATAATAATAGTAATAATGATAATAATAAAAGCAATGATGATGAAAATGAATAATAGTATGAGAGATGAAAATGAGAACCAGATAACAACGAAACAACGATATCTAATCTTTAATAGAATCAGACGTAGTGTTAGCAGGAGAGGATGATACACTGGTCAAATCTGTATTTTTTGGTAAACTTCTATTGATAGAAGACCTATCGAAAGATTTTATAGATCTTGATCCATTTTCGGTCCCAATACTCTGCCAAGGCGTATGATGTTGATCCGCAGAATTTGTTGTGGTTGTAATAGAACTGGATCCACCATTGTCTTGATTATATGCAAGTACTGATTCATCATTGTAACTTTCCAAATATTTCTCAATCCATGGATGAAATAGTAATTCCGAAGCACTTGGACGATGAACTGGATTCCGAGTAAAGCATTTTTTCAAAAAGTCAATACCAAGTTCGGATAATTGAGATGCATCAGGTAATGGTGGATGACCTGTGACAACGTGATACATCACAGACCATTCATTTTCTAAAGTACTCCAAGGTCTTCGTCCAGTTGCCATTTGCACGATACAACAACCTAAAGACCAAATATCCATTGATCCTTTACGTCCAGTGTCCCCACCTGTGATTACCTCGGGTGCCTAGTAAATAGTAGAAATAGAGAGTTAAGTTTTCCTTTTTTTATTTTTGTTTTGGTTTTTAAAGAAAAAAAATCATATATGACTCAATTTTTTTTTTTTTTTTTACCATATACATAGGTGTACCCGCCAAACTATTCACATTCATATGTATACTTGTTCTACCCATAGTCTTTTGTCCTTTGGCTAAAATCTTGGCTGCACCAAAATCGGACAATTTCAATTGACCTTGATAATCAATCAAGATATCTGTATATAAAGAAAACAAATGATTAATATGAATTCAATTTCGATGATTATATATATATGTAAAACTTACTGTCAGGTTTGATATCACGATGAACAATATTATTTCCATGTAAATAGACCAATCCACTCAATAGCTGGTACGTATAATCCACAATATAAATTTCATCTTCAATTCTTCCACCATGTTCCAAATAAGTCCCCAAACTACCATTTTCACAGTATTCCATAAAAATGAAGACTTTATCTCGATGCACTTCCTATAATCCAAAAAAAAAAGATCAATATGAGCAAATGATCCTTATATCATTTTTTTTCTTTCTTTACCATGCCATAGTATTGCACAATGTTACGATGATGTAGCATTTCCATGACTTGCATTTCTTCCTTGATAGCTTTATGAAGAGCTGATAATGAACTAGAGTCAGGAAATCGAATTTCTTTGACTGCCATTACTGATGAAGTATCCAAATTGATCGCCAAATAAACAGAACCATAAGTTCCTGCACCAATAAATCGACCTTGTTGCCAGCGAAAAGAAATATTGGAAGAAGAAGGTGCAAGAAAAACTAAAGATTGATCTTCAGGTTTTTGATCATCCAGTCTTTTTCCCACCACTCGTCTCGCTTGTTCATCTTCGTTTCGTTGTTTTTCCAATTCATTGATTTTTCGCATCCATTCATCACGTATATAAGTAACACCTAAAGAAGTACCAGAAGAGACAGCATCATTGGTCACACCAAAAGTGGAGCTTGTAGTAATGTTGTCCTGCTTTTCATCTGCTTTTGAAGTTATATAAGAGTTGCGTTTTGCAGTGATTCCTCGTTTACGTTGTTGTTCTTCCTTGAGTTGTAATTCGTGCGACCATTGTGTACCCAAAACGTCAAAATGGGAGATCAATAATGCTATACAACGTGCCACCTTGCCTTGGAGTGTACTAAATTCAGTTTCATTGAGAGCTAGAATATTCATCCCTCGAGTCATCAAATGTCCAAATTCCAAAGCTGCTACTGCCCAACGAAATGTTTTACGATCCGTAGGATTACAATCATCCGTAATAAAACAGATCCAATCGATTGCAAGTCGTACTAATTTCAGATCCAATTGCAAGCGCACAGCCAATTCTAAAAATCGTGCCGCACGTATGCCAAAATCGCTAGCAAAACTGAAACATTCTTCTACTAATTCTTGACAACCCAAATTTAAAGTTTGTTCGTGAATAGTACTGACGCTACTGATGGTTGAATCTGCAAGTTTGAATACTGTCATCTTGATCTTGTATAATTCCTTGTTAATCTTGGGAATATGAGCGCGATGTTCTTGAATCAGTTCGATACCAGCTGATGATGTTATTGCTCCTGATGGGGTAACAGGCATTGACGATCCTGTCGCATGATTGCTTCCAATAGTACCACTAATCCCTCCTCCACTGACTGTATTTCCAGCTTGTACCATTGTATTCCAAAAAGTTGTTCTTGCTGCTGCCAAATGTCTAGCATCTCCAGTAACGAGTCTCATACGCTTTGGTTTCAATCCTAAATGAATAAATGGAATTTTGATCTCCACCATTTCTCCAGTCCACATCACGTTCTGCCAAGGAGAAAGAATTAAGATATAATCTTCTTCAGGCTGCCCATTCATTGATCCAGGGGTACTTGGTGTACTTGGTGCATTTTTGTCATCAGCAAAGCAAGCACGAACAAGACTTCGGATTTTTTCCTCCCTTCCATATAAGGTACGTGATGCTACTATATACAATCGTTCTTCTTCAAAACTGTTCGTATAAACCAAAAAATGACCAGATAATACCAATTGATTGATCACTGTTTCCACATGATCAGTATCTAATACATATTCTGCTGCATTTTCAAATTGACCCATAAAAAATCTATTCAAGAGGGAAAAGATGAGATTTACCATCCTTTTTTTTTTTTTTTTTTTTTTTTTTTTTACCTTGCAAATTGTAATAATTTACGAGCTCGCATACGCATGGTATGAAGAAGTTTTGTATATTTCACTTCTATTCCTCCAACGACTGCTTCAGAAGGTACCTTCAAACTAGCAATATAATCACGCATCACATCACCCAGCAATCGATTTGTCAATGAGCTAAATACAAATAAATAAATATCTGTTAGTTAGTTTTTTTTTTTTTTTTTGTTCTTTTTTTTTTCTTGAAAAAAAAAAAATGAAGAAAAGATGATCACTTACCAAAATTGTTCAGCACATTCCCAATCAGCTTTATCGACGGCTTTACATACAGTGTTTTTCAAAAAGTCCCATTCTCTTTCCATGACTTCACATTCTCGTAGGTTGTTCTCTTGCTCCAAACTTAATTTCCATGAGATCAATTTAAAGTAAAAGCGGACACTTTCCATAAGTACAGTATCGTAATCACGTTCCATAAACATGTGATGTTTCGGTTGCCAGCCTAACATGGGTTGAGTCAGTTCTTCATATTGATGTTTGACACGGCAAGCCAGGGACAGTAATCCACGGTAATCTTCCATCATGGCATCCACCATTTGTTTTGGGGGTTCATTCATTCGATCCTTGTATTCTAAACGTAATTTAAGTGCTTCAACTACAAGAGAAGTAGGGAAGTTGGCTAATCGACGCAACTGTTGGGTGAAAGGAGGCAAGTTCATTTCCTTAAAGATACGACTGTTTGCTACCATGGTTTGTTTAGCTTTCATCAATAAAGAATTAAGTGCTGATAGTGTTCGTTTGTCAAATGTATCTTGAAGTGCTTGTTCTTTGAGTAATCGTTCAACAAAAGATGGATTGGTACGTTGTACATGTAACAGGCCACTTGTGCTACCTTCATCCAGCTTGTCATCCAATGTGTCAGTACTAGCATCACCAGTTTGATCTGTAGTAGAGGTAGTTGTGGTCGTGCGAGCAATCTGTAAATCATCCGAACCCGTCCAATCACGTAAAATTTTATATTGCATTTGTAAACTTCGTGTGATGGTGCACCAAGAATTCAATGCATCTAATCGAGTTTGGAAGGCAAGTGACCCATATTGAGGATTAGCTGCTGTCATTTCAGCACGTGTCGTATAGAGTGATTCAATCCGATCAACATTCTTTAGTACGTTTGCTACTTGATCAAGTGCGCTGAGTTTTCTATTCTTGTTTATACTGTTGACGCTATCCATTGAGTCATTACCAACATCGTCAAATTCTTGTACTTTAAAGTCCATGACCATATTTAAAACGTTATCAATATCTTTTCTTCCTTCTTCAAGATAACGTTGCTCCTGAACAATCGTACGCCCTCGTAATAAAGCACGTAAGGAAAGCCATATTTCTTGTGTTAAGTTTTGAGGATGGAAGCGATCATTGTTGGAAAGTCTCTTCTTCTCAGATTTGATGACTTCACCCATTAGGACAGATTGAAGCATTTGCTGCCATTCGAGTCGTTCATGTGTAATTTCTGGAGCTGAGAGTGATTGATGCCGAGAATACAATAGGTTGAAAGCAGTTTCATCTTCTTCTATACCACGTTCTTCATCTTCGTCTTCTTCGTCATCGTAATAGTCACTATAACCGTCTTCATCATATTCATCCTCTTCATATGGATGTTGTCCAGGTTGTTGTCCAGGAAGAGGTACTGTATGTTGTGGAGGAAAAGTCCAATGACCATTCATATTACTTTGCTTGTCAAATCCTAATGCTGCTGGATGAGGTTTATTTTTCAACATTGGGTCCTCAGGACTGTCGGAAGTCCAGTGTACTTGTCTCTCTGTCATAAGGGTGATATTTATATATATATATAAATATATATAAATAATATAATATAAAAATCAGCCCAAAAAAAGGGGGTGTTTAAGAAGAATAGAAGCAGGGAACGAAGAACCAAATATATAAAAAATAAGTGAAAACAAATCGCAAAGGAGTTTGATTTTTTTTTTTTTGGGTTTCTGAGGAAGTTTTGGTGAAAAACAAATATGACTAGAAAAGGAAACCAAAGAAGAAGAAGAAAGTATTGAAAGGACTAGGATCACCTCTCAAATGTTGCGTGATCATGCCAAGTAAGATAACCAGAAGACTTAACAAGGTAGTACAAAGAAATTGGATCTTACATGCGTAGCTTATATGTTAAGAAAAGAGAAGGGGGGAGAAAGAATCCCATTTCCCAGCTGTACAACTCGATGCTGACGGAGATCCATTTGATTGATCCACACATTCACTATTATCCATCATTTTCCATTCTCTATTTTTTCTGACAATAAAAGAGGTTTTACTTTAAAAATCTATTAAATATTCTTGCTAAAAAAGATATGGCTTTATTGATAATAGATGTAAAAATATATAATATAGATATAATTAAGATATAAAACGAGCTAGATCAAGAACACTTGAGTGAGATATCAAATCATCCCCGCTTTCTTTTACGTTTAGTGATATTGGATGGTGCAATAGGTTTAGCAAAGCGAGCCAACTCTTCATCTTCCTTGAGTATAAGATCCCATTGTTCCAAGAATTCCATGAGATCTTTCTTCCAAAAGGTAGTTGGTGCAGTATTTTTGACGATTTTCAATTCTTCCAATTTTTTATCGCGTTGCTTTCGAAGTTCTACTAGTTTTTCCTCTGTGAAACCACGGATATTGATACTAAAGAGATAGTCATAACCTGCATCATTACCACCTTGATCCTTTGGCTTTCCAGATTCACCTTGTTCCCCATTGTCATCATCATCCGTCGCCAGAATGTTGCGTTGTTTTCGAGAAAAAATCTTTTGAAGACCTAATTTTTCCATATCAGCCACAATGTCCTTTTCTTTTCGATTGTAATAAGCTAATTTGTTGTCTAAAATAAGTTCAATAAAGTTGGCTTTATTGTGAAGGCGATCATAATCATCTTGGAGAACATATAACAGATGATCTTTTCGTTTTTCATAATAAGTCATACGTAGCGGGTAGAACTCTTGCAATATTTGTTCAGGTGTATCATATTTCTGAATCCTTCCATCTTGATTGAAACATACAATATTGTTGGTCGAAAGTGATGATTGCAGTTTCAATGATTTCAAAATTCCATTGTCTTCCACAATTTTCATGTTGTCTTCATCCAGTTCGATTGTAAAGTCCACTGTACTATCCGTTGAGTTGTCACTAAATTCCTTTAAGGTGAAAATAGAACAAGTATAAGTTCCAATATTATTTTTGATATCGTTTCATATTTCATTTACTTACTTCAATTTTGAATTCCATTTTCTTGTCTTTGGGTTCACGTAATAAGGATAGATGCTTTTTGAAGTTTTCTGTCCAATACCGCACAGGTAATTCGGTGACTTTAATCTTGCCCTGATCTGTTACATGAGCAATTCCATCAACTGTGTATTTGACAGGTCCTGCAGCTTCAATGACACCCTATATAGTAAAGAGAATAATTAAGTTATGATAGACCATATAGTTGTACCAAATAATGCTTTTTTTTCCCTCCTTCCTTTACCTTGAATCCACGGTACCAAGGTTTCATTTTCACTATTTCTTCACCATCCATCATGCGTATAAGATTATCAACAATATCTCTTGGATTGTAATTGGGAATGGTAGTACTCCACCCTGTCAAAAAAAAAAAAGAAGAAGAATATAGTAATGAATTTTTCGCCCTTTACTTTTATGCTGAAATATGAAATTTAATTGAATTACCTGTTCCAATACCATCAGCACCATTAATTAAAACCATAGGGAGGATTGGCATGTACCTAGATGGAAAGGATTAAATACAAGAACAAATATGCTTGTTAAGTTTATGATTAATATATATATTTAAATATTAGTTTTTTACCAGAGAGGTTCAATGGATGTATTTTCCTCCACCAAGTAGTCAAGAATTTCATCATCATCAGGATGATAGACGTAGCGCGCTATCTTGGCCAAACGAGTAAAGAGATAACGAGGACTAGCAGCAGCTTTACCACCCTAGTTAAAAAAAAAGTCAGATTGAATAAATATTATCTCGAGCATATAAGAAAGGATACAACTTACTTCATGTCGAGTACCAAATTGCCCAGAGGGAACAAGTAAGTTGACATTATTACTACCCACATAATCCTGAGCCATATTGATAATAGTGGAAGCTACACTGGCTTCACCATGATGATATTGAGTCACACCAGCAACATAATTTGCAAGTTGAGCCACCTTTGTAAAAAAAAAAAAAAAAAAAAGTAAGACAGAAATGATGAGATTGTTTTTTCTTCTTCTGGTCTAATTCGTTATTACTTTGACTTCAGTATTTCTACCACGCTTGATACACCCGAAAAAGACTTTGCGTTGTCCTGGCTTGAATCCATCCACCATCGAAGGGATAGACCGCATGTTGTCATTTATACTAAAGAGTAACAATTCCTGATTGACAAAATTGGAAATCTTGATTTTGTTTACACTATGATCAATATACATGCCATTCTATAGATAAAGAAGATAAGATTATCATTATTACATTCATCATCATCATTTTCTTATTGTAAATCTTTGGAAATATTACCCGATAAGTCGTCAACCATTCTTTACGATCATTCACTTTTGATTTGCTAAAAGCCATGTCAATCAAACCACGATCTTCAGTATCAGCAATCTGAAATTCTTTTTGATGTGTTTCCAGATCACTAAAATAAGTACGTGCATCCTTCTTATCTGAGGTACCCAGACCCTAATACAAATGATTTTCTAATTAGATTCGCTCGCTTCTTTTTTTTTTTTTTTCTCTTGAGGCATCAGTATATATTACCTTATAGTATTTGGTAGACCATTCTTTTCTTTGATTGTTTTCTAAAGCCCATGTTTCAAATTCTGGAATAGTGAAGAACGAGATTTGTTGTTTTGTCCTTTTATGAGTACACTAAAAAGAGACAGGATAAACCTTAAATACATGATATTAGATAAATGACAATAGATTACCTTGATAATAGGAGTGATGAACTCTAACAAGAAACCAGGAATATCCAAAAGACTAGGGAACATTTTATCGATGAAATTGATAACAAGACCTTTGATGTGACTACCATCATAATCCTATAATAGGGCAAAAAGAATATTTAGTAACAAATATCATTACTTTTGAAAAGAGTTAATAGTTTACCTGATCTGTCATGATCATTAACTTGCCATATCGAAGTTGATCTACTGAAGTATAAGTAGCACCATGTTGAAGACCAAGAATAGCCTTTATATGCGTAATTTCGGTATTATCAAAGATCGACTTGTTGGAGGCATCACGTACATTAAGTAACTTTCCTCGTAATGGAAATACGCCATATTTGTCACGTCCCACCACTGATAAACCACTCAATACGAGAGCCTTGGCGGAATCACCTTCTGTCAAGATCAAAGTACAATGCTTATTGTGTGGTCGAACTCCAGCAAGATTAGCATCATCCAATTTTTCAATATCCAAGCGTCTAGACATGGAAGAATATAATAATATAAGTATACTATATATATATATCCGTTTTTTCTTTATTATTATTATTCCGTTCTGTTATTTATTACCTTGCCATCTTGCCTTTATCAGCCTTTGTCATTTGTTGCTGTTCTTTAAATTTGACAAATTTAACAATGTTATCAATGATACCGGATGATTCAACTATGATGAGAAGAAAGAATAGGTTGAAAAATTAATATCTGGATGAACAATAATATTACCCATCCTTACCATCTTTAATAAATTTGGGACTAGGTTTGTAAGTGGAACCAAAAGCACTTGCACGAAGAGTCATTGTTTCTTTAGTTTGTGAATCAAAAGTTGGGTTTTCGATCAAACAATTGACAAAGATACACATATGAGATTTGATTTGATGTTTCTTGATTGTTTTAGTGCCACTATTCTTGAGAACTTTTGGAGTGATAGCTTTGATCAGTTGGTCAGCAATGTATTCCACATGAGTACCACCTTTTGAAGTTGAGATACTATTTACAAAACTAACCTATATAAAATAGAATAAAAAGAAATTTAAATATTCTTATCGTTATAGATTTCAGTTTACTTACTTGATTGAATTGTCCATCACTAACAGCGAAACCAACTTGCCAACGTTCATTTTGTCCATCCTTATCAAAAATAATAGGTTTTTTTCCTTCTGCATTTCGAATCTCCATTGATTTGGTATATAACTCGATGTACTTTTGGAAACCTTTGACAGGAATTTTAGTACCATTCAAAGAGACAGAGACACCAGACACGCAACCAGCCATATCATACACACGTTTCTTGATTAGGGATTCAAAATCTTGATCCATTTGGGAAAGTTCAAATTTGGCTAGATCAGGTTTGAATGAGATACGAGTGAATTCCTTATTTTTAAAAGACGTGATTTTGGGTGCCTTCTTGACTGACATGTTGTTTTGAAACACTTGCGAATATTGAACACCACGTTCAGCATCCCCAGTTTCTACTCGAAATTCTGTACTGAATATATTGCATAATTTGGCACCATAACCATTTCGTCCACCAGTTACTTTCTTTTCGTTGTCATCATAATTGGAAGAAGTCAATAAATGACCAAAAATCAATTCTGGTACATAAACTTTTTCTTTGCTATGCATCGTCACTGGAATGCCTTTGCCATCGTTATGAATCGAAATCAAGTTTTGTGTACTGTCAATAATCACTTTGATAGTTGTCATAGCTGGATCACGAATCTAATCACATATATAGACACGTATCCATCACCAAAAAAAAAAAAAAAAAGATAAATTCAATTATTATTATTATTATTTCTTCATTTTCTTTTTTTCTTTCTCTTTTAATTGATTTACCTTGTTATCAGCAGCATTGACTAAAATTTCATCTACAATCTTATATAAACCAGGGACATATTTGATTTTCTTCTTTACAATCATATCGCTCTCTGTATCGTATACCCACATCTCTTGTTCTTCCGCTTCTGTTGAACCAATATATGTATCTGGTCGTAGAAGGATATGTTCAAGTTGTGTCTTTTTTTGATAGATTTCTTCAATTGTTCGTTTTTCATCGTATACGCCAGTTTTCTTTGTAGGAGTCGGAGAGGGAGAAGCTTCAGTATTATTGCTCTCTTCCATTACTGTATCAACTTCTTCTTCCTTCTTTATATTTGCACTTGTAGGAGAAGGAGTTGGTGTTAAAAAGTCATTCAGAGTACCCGTTTTTTTCTTGTTTTCATTGGTGGCTTTCTTGGTAGTAACAGCTTTTTTCTTCGTTGTAGCAGCTGGTTTCTTTTCTGTATTCGTTTTCGATCCCGAACTAGTTGTTTTCTTTTTAACATGGGTTAACTTTGTCTAGTTGTTATTATTAAAAAGAGATGAATGAAAGTTTGAGTTTGTTTTGTTTTGTTTTTTTTTTTTTTTTTCTAAAATAAAGGCATTTTTATTCAAAATACCTTTTTAGCACTGTGATCTTCGTCATAATCCGAACCTGAATCTAGTTCATATGGAGAATCTTCGTCTTGTTGGAAGTCTTCGTCATCAGAGGACATTTTAAACGTTACAAAGAAAATACAGGGTAAAAGGGGGAAGGGGAAAAAAGGACAGAGTAATTAAGAAAAAAAAACGCGAGCTTTTTATTGCCTAAGAAAAAAAATCTGTGTCACACGTGATTGAAGGTCAGCGCGGGTTGCAGCAAGTAGGGAAATGTACGCGACATTTTATTCTTCATTAAGAAAAAAAGTTAATACTATACGCTATATAATGAAGTGATTAAAAAAAAAAAAGAAGAAGAAGAAACTCTAATAAACAATTGTTGTAAATGGAAAAAGAGTTTTTCTTCGGAAAAAAAGGAAGGAAACGCTAATACTGGTTTGCCCATGCCTGAATGGCAGTCACCATGACACGTACTTTAACCACATCACCATCAAATATATCTTTGATCGTGTAATTTTCAATAGCAATGCCTTCGCGTCCCATGAATTTAAAAGCTGCCACAATATTCTCCAACCTTTTCATACTAATAGAATTGGAGGCTTTAATATGAGTACGGCGTACATGTTTCTGACTGATTTGTTCCAATAATACGATCAATGATTCTCCGTCACAGAAAGCAGATGCTAAAGAAACAATCTTTTTTCCAGATGGAAGATATGAATTAATCCACGAAACATATTTATCATCGGTCGATTTATGATCTTGTAATTCAGGACAAGATGTTAATGTTGAAGATAGCTTTGCATTGTTATTGTGGCAGATGGTTGAAGATCTTTGATGCCGATAATGATAATGATGATGATGATCGTCGTTAGCTGAGGTTGTTAAAGCTGATTTGACAACCGTTGATGATGATTGCGATGAACGATGGAATATACTTTGATCAGGATCGATTAGATCTTCATCGTCATCACTCAAAACATCAAATGTATCAGAAGAAGAATGAAGTGATGTTTTGTTAGGTAGGCAATGCATCGTAGATTCATTAGCTTGGAATTGTTGAGACTTTAACATTAATATAGAAGGTGGTCGAGGTCGCATTTGACGAGCGAGAGCAAGGGAAACAGTGTTTACAGGATTGGACGACATGACAGGCGCGTGATAGTCTCGTGTAATGGTAGCCTTCATGAGTACGTTTACCCACTGTTTCATGCTACTTTCTTTTTCAGTATAAAAATAAAAAGTACGCTCTCGATCATGATGAGCTTTGAAACAATATTTGCCAGAGTACATAGCGGGATCTGATTGGATACGATAACCTTGAAGTTTAATGACGCCTCGGACATGACTATCTTTGGGATGGCTATAATAATATAAATGATCATCTTTTAGCTCAAACCATCTTTTATTCCACTTTTTGTATTTGTCGCCTCGTTTGTAAAGCCATCCTTCATGAATCGGTGCAACCATAGTGACAGGTGATGATGATCTAGCGCTAGAATAAAATTGTCAATCATTTCCTTTTTCGGTCATTTTTTCTTTTTTCTAACATACATGCTTTCCTTTGTATTGGCTAAATGCAGTTTAGTAGAGTCATCCACTTTGTGATGTTTTCTTTGGAAAGAATGGCGAATAGAAGCAAACGTAGTATGTTGTGAATCGGGACTCCTTTCACCACTATGAATACTTGTCCCATACGAGGAAGAAGTATTTGATCGACTGATATTGGTAGAAATTGTACTTGGTGGGGACAAAGGACGTGAAATGTTCATTGTATGTTTTATTGTTGTGGTCGATGTAGCTGAATTCAGGTTGTTATCATGGGATTGATAACATTGAGTAGGAGGAGGAGGAGCTTTGCGTGGATATTCAAACATTGCATTTTCAATTGGTGAAGATGTCTTAGACTGAGAAGGTGTCAAGTTAAAATTTGTTAGTGGAGGTGATGGAAGTGATGTAGACTCTGATTGACTGGAAATGCTGATATTATTAGATGCACTTTTATTATTCGATGATATCTATTCATGGAAAATAATGTATATGCTATTAGTTTTTTTTTTTTTTCTTCTCTCACCATCATTTCTTCATTTTCTTTATCTGTTTATTTACCGTTGTATCAATATTCTCTGGCATAATAACTGATCGTAATCTTTGGATTTCCTGTATAATCCTGTATCTTTTACCAAAGGTTCTCACTCCGAGTTCCTTCAAAGAATCCATAGTAAGATCCAGTAAAATATCACCTGTGATTTCTTGCTCTGAGAGATTTTAGTTTGCAGAATCATTTTTTTTAGTTACACGACACATTCCATGAATACGCATCGGTTCTCTTTTTTTTTTTTTTTTTTTTTTTTTTTTTTTTTTTTTTTGCTTACTTACCAATGAAAAGAGAGGATAAAGATTCCATACCAATTGAACTTAACCAAGCAGTTACTTGATACAAATTCCATTGTTCAGGATCTTTATGTGACTCCTTCCTTTTGTTATTTCTTGTTTGAGCTGACATGGATAAAGTAGTTGCTGAAGATTTTTTGCGGCTGGTCAATGGCATTATCGTAGTATAATTTCTTGGAAACAGTCCTTCTTGACCTTGACTATTTCGTCCCTGAGAACGTCGTTTTATGTACTGTGTTTAGTCAAAGAGAAAAAAATAATAATAATGAACTTTTTATACCTTCCACCAACCGTCCATGTAAGCATCATCTGTTTCAGTCACAGTGATAGGTTCGCAAACTTTAAAACTGATTTCATCATGGCGTTCAGATACAAAATCATGTAGTCCATATACCAAAATAGGCGTACCCATAGAGTAGTAATTATTAATGAGTGTAAAGGAATAAAAGTAAGAATAATACAAAAGATAAAAGAGAAAGAAAAATGATGGATACGATGACAAAGAAATGATTAAAGCAAAATGTTTAAAAGGGTATTTTTGTAACACAAAACTTTAAAATTGTAACGATTCATCCTTTTTTCAATGAAAAAAAAAAAAAAAAGGTTTGAGCCATATCCGGAATTCTGTTCCCTATTCTGTAAGACGAACATCACATGTCTATGGGTTCATCGTTTAAGAGTCCCATAGAATAAATAGTTAATGCTATGGAAAGCAAAAGGAATGGTCACAGTATATGAGTACCTTTTGTAAAAGTAACTCAGTCCATTGAAATAGTATTCAGCAAGTTTTTTTTTTTTTTTTTTTCCTTTGTCGATATATTATTTAGCTATACTCTCTGACTTTACTCATACGTTTGACATGATGTTAGTTATTCCATAGATAGTAGAAGAGTGATATTTACAAAGAGAGTTGAATATTTTATTTTATCATTAATTTTTTATATATGGAATCAACGAAGGGTACACTAAAGGAAGTTTGTCTTGATGATGATTGGAGTCACCGTCTTGCGCGTTTCAAACTACGAGTACATTTTAGAGTGATATGCCGCTGAAGCCCAGAGATGGAAATATGTGTAAGGGAAGGAAATGCAAGTAATAATTCAGTTTTGATGGTCTCAAGTGTAGCATCTTCTTGCCTCTGTAAAAAGTTATCGATCCACGAGGTATGTTCGGGTAACAATTTGGGAGGAGCAGTTCGACCGCGCCTTCGTCGAGGAAGAAAGCCTTGGTTTGCCTTGTATTTTCTCATTAAAGCTGCTGCAGTTGATCGAGGAATGCCAGCACGTCGCGCAGCAGCCGAGATGGATAGTTCTTCAGTAAGATGACCTTTCACTAGCAGTTCTAATTGTACTGGAGTAGCTGTTTGATACGACTTTCTTGATCCTCGTCCTCCTTTTTGGACTGGTGTTTCCGCTGATTGGGTCAATTCGCCTGCTTCCTTTTTTGATTCTGAAATTTGCGTAGTATCGTCCTCTGTTGGTTGCTGTTGTTTGATTGGTTCAACAATTGTCGTTGTACTAACAGAATCTGTTTCGACTGAACTAAATGTGTTTTGTGACATGCTGGATAGGGTATTTGTCAATACAGACGCCACAGCTGGTAACGAGTTATTTGATATTAAATTTGTTGTATTTGACGGAGTCACTTCAAACTCAATGGATTCAAGCTTGTTAACTGCGATTGTCGAAATGTCTAGGTTGTTATTACTTTGTGAATTTATTGAATCGCTCATAGTTGTTAAAAGAAGTCGATGGAATGTCGGAGTATTTGAAATTAGAGTTTTTTCAGCCCAAATCCCAGGCAGGATTCTGGATGGTAAGTCATTGTCTTCTTCCAACTTGGTATATTTTTTTTTATTTGTTTGAAAAACGTGTATTATATTATGCCACCAAAATCTATCATTGAAACGAATGCTTCTTCTGTAAGTTAAATATAACTTCCACCTTTCTATTGGAGATGAAAAAGATTACTAACAAAAGGATCGAATATGATAAAATATATTTTGTCTTTGTATAGATCATTGATCTCAAAGCTCTTTTATCACAACAAAAAGAACAATTTGATAGAGAACGTTCTGGAGCACAACTGAAAACTCCTTCGAAGACAGAGAGTAATAAGGTAAGTAATACAATCTATCAAATTTATTGAACCCAACATTTGTCCCTTTTTTTTTTTGGCTAGAAATCAAGCCGGACAATACAACAAAATCGAGGTGTTGAAGAACGGGCACGGCGAGATAAAGCTACGTACGCTGGCAACGAAGAAGAAGTGGATATTTTGGAGAAAAGCAGAATAGCCTTAGAACGAAAGGCCAAAATATATGATACCCTACAACGACAACATCAACAGCTGAACAATTTGGATGATGTAGAAAACTCTGACTTACTGATCGACTTTGACCAAAAATATTTCCAGCAGGTAACTTGTTTGAACAAAATGTTTGAAGTCATTACTTATTCTTGAACATTTTCTTTTCCATGAAAAATAGCGAGACTATGACACAAGTAGAAAAAAGAAAGTTATTGACAAAGAAGAAGAGCGGCATAGCTCAGACCCTTGGGTAGAATATGAAGATGAATTCGGTAGGACACGTGTTGTACGTCAAAGTCAACTTCCTCGACCACGATCTAGATCACCTTCTCCAGATCCTACTACTTCTCGGTCCTTTGATATAATTGAACCTGCAGATCGGTCTCATATTCGTCATTATGTCGCTTCACAAGAGAATAGAACAAGGGGTGTTGGACATTATAGTTTTGCTGTTGATGATGAAGAACGACAAATACAGATAGCAAATCTCAATAAACTTCGACAGGAGACAGAAGCAGCGCGAAGGAAGTCAAGAACTGCCAGTGAAAGACGTAGAGCAATCATAGCCAAAAGAGCAGAACATATTCATCATCGAAGGGCGATATTACGTGGAAAAAACAAATCAACATCACAAACATCTACCACCATCAACGAAGATAATGTCACTCAATTATTACAAACAATGAGAAAATTGGTTGAAAAATAATAATAAAAAAAAAAAAAACACAAATATACTTTTATTACTTCAAATATCGATTATAAGATTTGATTAATGCCCGATTACCACTTTCGCAACCGCTATCTAATTCCCATTCAAGAACATACATTGCATCAATCACAGTGACCTTTCGAGTGGGTTGTTCACCGAGTCTATTTTGATGTTTTCCAATCATAGAAGGCGGTAGGAATAAATCCTGAGATCGATCTCTTTTCAAAGAGCCTTGATTTCGACTTCGTTTAGTTCCATCTGATTTCCGTCCGCGAGGTCTTCCTCGTCCACCGCGTGTAGCCATGTCATCAATTGATAAATGTTCACTTTTCACGGAAGATGATATAATAGTAGTGTTCTCAATGGAGCGATTTACAGAGGATATTGTTGATAATGGTTTTGGAGATGATGATGTTGTTGTTAAAGGTGCCACCGTTGATGATGATAATGGTGTGGATGCTGGTGATGTTGATAATGAACTTGCTAAAGGAAAGGATGATATATCTTTGTTGGGAGCAGGAGCGTTATTCATACCCGTTAACATCCAACTCTTACGTATGCCACCTGCACTCATAAGTGCTGTTTCATTAGTTGATTTCTTGCTAATATCTTCACTCATGTTGCGTGCTGTTACTCCGGGACCCATATCCTTCTTCTTCTTTTTCTTCTTTTTTGTCGAACCACCGACGTTATCATCATCACCATCACCTCCTTCTCCACCACCATCTGATATGTTGGCATTACGTTCACGCTCAGCGATTGCATCTCTTCGTTTTCGTTCTTCTTCACGTTCTACCCGTTCGATCGCTAAGAGTTGTTTTCGAATATCTTGTACATCTACAACTTTATACACAGGTTGATCCATAGAATTCAATGGTGGGGTATCCACTGTTTGCGAAAAAACACGATGGCGCGAAGCTTCGACCATACGTGATACAAATTCCTGTAATCTTTTCTGTGTTGCAAGAGCGAGATAGAGTACCGCATTTTTATCAATATTTGAAACGTCCATGGACTTGGCTAAAGAAGACAAGAGTAGGTCAAATTTTAGATTAATAGTTTAAGCTCAAATATATTTTAAATTACCTAATTTATGCACTGTAAAAGCTAATAGATCTGTGTTCATATATGTCTCTGGTTGTTCAGTTTCGATCATGATCTATATAAAAGTATTATTTTTTTTTAGTAAGAATAGCCAGAGATTTTATACTGATAGAGAATAATCAGACTTTAGAGATTACTTTTTGAGGTGTTTCATTATTGGAAGACGATTCCAAGGAACTGTCTATGAATTCTACTTTATCCGATTGACTATTGAAATCTTTATAGGCATTCATAAGACTATTATGAAGGATGTGGAAGTGGGAGAGGAGAGTGGTAACAGCAAAAATAATAGGAGAGATACAGTGGTAGCTACCTTTTCCCACCCAAAAAAAAAAAAAAAATCTGCACCCAGTAATTCACCATCCGACGTTGCTGCTTCCAATCACATTGATTCAATTTTCCAGGAAATAGGAAACGATACTTTTTATCTTAATTATTAGTTTTTTCCATGTGAAGCGCCTTTATTTTTTCTTTTTCTGCGTTTGATTAGAGATTTGTTTGCCCTGGGGTTCGAATATATTTGCGGTGATTCTTTTTATTATTACAGAAATGTATGATGGATGATGGATGATATCAATAAAAGCTTTCTTATTCTTTATTATAGTCTCCTTCATGATTATAGCTAAATCAATAATTTGATCGTTTTGGAAGCTTGGCTATCAAAAGTGATTCAAAACTGCATGTCATCCTAATGAATAAAAAGGTTAAGGACAATTATGGCGATTCATAAGCCTAGTATCCTTCCATTCTTTCTATGCCTGAGCTATAAGCTTAAACTTCGGTTGTAAGTATCAAAAAAAAATAAGACTTTACTCATCATATTTCTCTTTCTATTCATTTTTGTATATTCTTTTTTTTTGGTATAATCAATACAACGCAAATCACATTTTTTATCATCTGCAAGCCATATTATTCAATTACGCAAATTATCTATTCCTCTCCGCCAATTGTTACGAAAAAAAAAACAATACAATAGGAGCCAATGATATTGTGTGTCGATAAAAAAAAAGGAATATTTGCAATGCCGACAACATTACATTATTTCTTTTTTTCTCTTTTCGCTTTTCTTCTTTTTTTTTTTCACACACATAAAATTCTATTCGAATATCTTCTCTGTCTATTGTTTATACCTCTTTCAAATGACTTCTCCCTCTCTTGATCGTTTTGTTGGTTTATCAAACAAGCAAATCATTACTCGTTTGAAACAAGAAAAGAAGGACAAACTTGACGCAGTAAACCAAGGTAAATAGGCGAAGATAAAAAAAAACGCGTTTTCTTATTTATATTTATATTATTATTTCTCTAGTTACATGTGGTCGTTGTGGTCAACAAGGTCACAAAGATGCTCGATCTTCTCTATGCCCAGTGAATACTTGAAACAGATCTGGTATGTAATCTTTACTTCTTTATTTTATTCAATTATTTCACTCACGTATTTATGATTCAAACACATAGATGCTGAGAGTTCAATAAGCCCTCGACGGTACAAGCAACCTCAAACTGAATCGTTAAATCAAGCAGCAAAACACCAAAAATTGACTGGAAAAGCTCTCCTGGATGTACGTCAAGCAGACAAGAATGTGCCGAAAAGCAAGAAATGCTCTAATGCTGGTGTCCTACACGGCAATTCCCGTGTCAAGACAGTGTCAATTCTATCAAGCCACTATGAAAGACGTGATCAAGACTATTTTTGGAGATTCCTGGACCACAGCTAACGTGTTATCAAATCTACAAGCAATCCTCGATTTCTACGGAGAAAGGGTACACAAGTGATCGATTTTTAAACTATGTGGGTGGAAAACAAATGGACGCGGAGGTAGTTAATATATTTCTCAATGGCGGCACCAGGTACAATTCCTCTCCTGCACGACAGCACGGTACAAGAACCAGTATGACGTAAGTTACAAAGAATAAGAAGGGAGGTTCAATAACTGACTGAACACCTTTTTTTTTTCGCTAGTAAATATCCAAGGGCGTATTTTGCTCCAACAAGCAATATTCCTGTTTTGGCTATTGGAGATGGATCTTTTGGAATGACAATGAGAGGAAAGCGATCTGGAATGGTGAAACGAGTTTACAAATCCCTGAAGCATGGTGAACATGATGGAAAGTTGGTTGTGGTATCAGTGAACGAGGCATATACATCGAAGGTATTCAAAAAGAACAAAAAAAAAAAAATCAGTCTCATGGTACTTTTCAATTATCACTATAGGTATATTCAAAATGCCTCACAAATAATATGCACAACAAGGAACTGGATGCTGGTGGTCATCTACCTGTTGTAGTGATTTGCAACGTTTGTAACGTAGTTTGGAACAGAGATACCAACGCATTTCGTAATATCTTTTATCTTGTCATGTTACAAGTATCAAATAAAGAACGGCCTCAAGTCTTTAAACGCCCTCTTCCCGAACAAGTACAGGATGAACCTTCTTCTACTGATGGCACGGGTACTGCAGGACTATAGACACAACTCTGTTATTCTGATTTTCAATCTGGTTTGCTTTGGTTCTATCAAGCTTATTGGTGTAGTCTCGGTGTCTGTCTTTTCCTCATGGTCTCTCTCTTTCTTTCCTCACTCACTCTTTGACACGCTCTATCTTTGTTCGTCCTCTTTTTTTTTTTCGACATCCTTATCCTTCACCTTGCTTGTGGTGTGATCGATCGGTTAGTACTCAATCAAGCAAACAACTGTATCATGATAGCATCCGATGCTTTGTCCTCGTTCTCCCCTTACGACTTGATAGAACTTGCCAGTGTTTCGTTGTAAGTATCTTTTTTTTTTCTTAATGATGATGATAATATACTAAAGTCTGTCCCAAATTTGTTTTGTATTCGTCTTTATTATTTTATTTTATTTTTTGTCCCAATTCGAAGTGAAAAAACTGTACTTATCAATAGTAATACTGTTCCTTTTTTGGAATATTGCATTTTTGTTTGGATCGAAAAAGTTTTTTCTTTTTTCTTTTCTTCCTCCTCTCTTGTGCAATTATTTACATTCGAATAAACTCGAAGCTTATGATTCCGATATTATTATTATTATTATTATTTTCGTTATAACAATGTGCCTGTGAATATCTAAAAAATCCTCCCGCTCTTTCTTTTTCGCCATGGGAACCTGCATTTTGATATTTTTCAGGAGTGATGCACATCAGACGAAAAAAAAAAAGTCAAATATTACTTTTTCGAGATAACGAGACAAATGTGAATTGTTTATATGATTTTTTGACTGGCCCCGGGAAGATCGAAAAAAGTGACAAACATGCAATAGAAAGAAGGGGTAAAAACAAGAGGGAAAGAAGGGGGTTAAAAAAAAGAAAGGGGGTTATAGTGGACAAACAATAACCCTGCTTTCTTTTGACTGTCATACTAATTTGTAAAAAAAAAGGAGATAGAAGGTAGTTTAGGGTAAAACGGGAACAGGGAGACGAGGGAAATGTTTAGACAGACGACTTTTCAACCTTGCTGCATTCTTCTCATACCATCAGTATTAGTAAAAAAAAAAAAAAAAAAAAAAAAAAAAAAAGTGAGGCACTGCCTTCTTGTTTTAGTTAATTATTGACTGGCTTTGTATTATCGAAAAATGGGATTCCTTTTCATTTCAACATGTATTCGGGGTATTGAAACTATTTTACGAAATAATGATAATGATAATGATAATGATGATAATAATAACAGTATTCTCTTCGTTTTCTCGAGATATAATGAGGAACAATGATGCCATGTGGGTCCTTTAGCCATCAAGGCGTTTATTCAGAAAAAAAAAAAAAAGCAAGACATGGATGATCGACATCGTACGGCTAAAATGTGTCGCATTCTCCAAAAGAGCATAAATTAAACATATCTCGGTTACTCCACTACTTTTTTTTTATGCTATCGTCCCTAGTTCCCCTTCGCTCCTTCACACCAACCAAGTGGTTTGTTATTTCCTCTTCTCCCCTAGTCACGAAACTCTACTTTTTAAACTCGAAATTTTGACCTTTCTTTTTTTTTTTTTGCTTTTCCTTTTCATTTTTTTTCTTTATTTTTTTTCAAAATTTACATATCATAAAAAACAATTCTTTTCTTCATAATCACAATATCAACGATTATTTTTGATTTATTTCATCTAAGAAAATTTATCTTTTTAATATGATGATGGAAAAGCTTGTATCAGGGCACGAAAGCAAAGTCACCAACACTGATAATGATTGTCCGAGATTTCGTCCATTTGCGTCCTTACCCAACTTGAGATTAAAGGTTAGGAAGGCCAAATATTCAACTTCATTAGACCCGCGGGGCTACATTCCAGGTATGAAGGCCAAGGAAAAGCCTAAAAAAAAAAATCCTATTTGACATGTAGTCCGAGTTTAAATTTTTCTTATTCATTTAGTCTATGAATATATTATCAATAGTCAACCTATCATGTGGGATAGAGAAACGGGTAGGAATGCTAGATGATATGAAAATACTTTTGTCTAATCAACTCATTATTATTGTAAATAGGATATGTTCATTTTACTGGTATTTGGAAAGCCTTGGGGAATTCGAAATCAGATATCGTGAAAATGGTGGATTCGAATCCAGAACTTAAAGTCAAAAAAATCCGTGGTGGATTTCTCAAGATTCAGGGTACATGGTATGAATTAACAATCAAATGATGATATAGCCTATATTACTTATTTAAAACTAATATATAAATATATATCTATATATGTAATCAAAAGGATTCCTTATGATTTTGCAGCCATTCTATGCCGAAGGACAGCTTGGAACATTCGCAAAGAACTTACTGCCATTTTTGGACCGCGTTTTACAAATGAGGCCTTGAATCCTTGTCACGCAGAATATGGGTGCCTCCTTTTAGACCCCAAGAACGCCCATGTGTCACGCGGAGCAAATAGTAGACGAGGTAGTAATTACACAACAATGCGTCAAGTACGACATCAACCTTATCCATTGAATGAAAGATCAAGTAATAAAACCACCATTCCAACAAGCAAACGGTCACTAAAGCCTGGACATAGTGATGCAGTAGATAATGTTATCTCCAGTATGTCACTTTCAAGATTATTAAATACTGACCAAATACAACATGACACTCCTATTTCGTCTTCTTTTCCATTGTTGGATGATACATTTATTTCCGATCATGATGATATGCAAGATGATGAAGACAGCAGCAGCACAAATAATGGTATATTTACTGAATCACCACATACCACCCCTTCTCCAACTTTCAGGGGAGTCCCTAGTTTTTCTGATGACAAATGGAGTAATAGGAAATTGATGCATTCTGATACTTTATTACCACCTATCACACAACACAATTCAAAACAATCATCTTCATTCAATTCGCCTTGTGAAAAAGACATGTTAGTTCGAAATAATGATCAGCATCATTCTATATCTGTTTACTCTACAACTCCTCATCCATGTCCTGTACCTCGTATAACTCCTATAACGCCATCATCATCGCATTGGTCACAATCGTCTATCAATATGCCATCTACTCCTGTAGGTACTGAATCCCCTTGTCCAGATAACACAACAGAATTGAATCAAGATATTATTGATACAATCAATGCTACGATCTTATTACAAAGACTGTCACAAGATGATGGAGCTCGACCTTTTCGACCAATGTCTTCAAATACAATACCTAGCAGAGTAGTGGTCGGAGATCAAGAGTATCGGATATGCTGGGATAATTAAACTTTCCAACAATAAACAATGGAGATGAATATTTAGCTATACTTTTTTTTTTTGAAGCTTTTTTTTTGTTTGTTTATTCCCCCCAAAAAAATTGTCGTAATCTAGATTATTTAAATCAAAATATAAATAATAATAAAATGTATGTTTACGTCTTTTCTTTGTCAAATGACTTTTCATCGAAACTCATAAAAAAAAAAGCCACTTTAAAAACTTTAATCAAGACTCCTGACGGAAAAAACAACCAACAATCAAAAGTTCAAACGGAGTCAAAAACCATAAAATAAAAAAAAAAAAAAGGCAGGTTTTCCAATCCCATTACGTTTTGCATAGAAGACAAACAAAAGTCAATATGACACTATTCAAAACAAAAGGAACATATAATGAATATCAAAACTTATTAGAAAGGTGTAACGCACAACGTCTTGAAAGAGTTAATCATAACGAGAAAGGTTCTACTATGATCAGGAATGAACAAATGTCGTCAGTAAAGCATAAGAATACCCTACATTCAACCTCTAGGAAAGCACCTGTTCACCTGTTCAATATTGAAGATATTCCATGCGATTATACGGTAGACTCCTATGCTTGGGACAATGAGCAATCAGAAGATATTTCCAACCCTCCAAAGCACACGCTCCAAAGGTAATGCATACATATAGACATATATATATATATATGTCGTATTCTGAATCCTTGATAAAAAAAACACTCATTAACCTTAAACTTTTCATGTATGTCATATTGAAATAGTGCTAGTGATAACAATATCCAAAGTCAGACAAATGCGATATATGAAAATATAATCGAGTCAGAAAGTCAACCAGATCAAAACTCTACAGAACTTGAAGAATACAAGGTTAAACTCGTGAAGCCTGAACGCTTTGAAGACTTAAGATCGGAAGCTATGCAATTATGGACAAGTGGGATAGATCTTAGTTTGGAGAACAGTCCGAAACGAAGGAAAAACAAAAAGGCTTCTTGGTTAACAATGGAAGAATTCGCGTCTCTCGGTAGTGCAACACAGGAAGAAACCACTTCACCAGCTTTTTCCCCTAAATTGGCAAAAGCAGAGACTCCCTCCTCTTTCTCTTGGCTTCCTTCAGGTCTAGATCAAGGAAAAATTAACGACAATTCTTGTCAAGTTTCATCAGGTGGCGAGATCATTTCTGAATTACCACCACTTCATTCTTCTAGTTTCACTCCTCACTCAAGCAACCATTCGACTGGTAGTGTTGACGAAGAATTTTGCGTAAAGAAGGTGCAAGCGGAGTTGATTGGCAATATCTCAAAAGGGGATCTACATCTTTATCAATATCTCGATGCATTAGAAAACAACGTCTTTGGAGAAAATACTCGACAGTCACTGAAACAAACTTTACCTGTCATATTGAAAGAAATTCACCAGAAAAGTCATAGAACATTTGTCAAGTTCATTGCTATCTTGTTATTGAGTTTTCATTCTGGAATGACAGAGAATGTATTCTCTCCTAAGCGTACTTTCTCTCAAGGTCAAGGTCCACACAATATTTGGGTCGAATCGATTATGAATATTCTTATTAGATTTACTTCAAATCTTATGACAGCTTCACGAAATTATATTCAAGAATATGCAGTCACTCCATATGATATGAAGTTGATATTGGTGTTTCTCGTTCGTTTCATTCAGGCGTATCCTAATGCTGCTTCAACAGTTCCCTTGGAAACCCTTGTTCATAGATTTCAGTATCTTCAGCCAACGTTTCTTCCAAGGATTTGCAAAGATATACAACAACATATGGATAGTTTGGCGAGGTACGTCAATAATGAAAAAATGATCAGCCCTTCCCCATCGAATGTCAATACCTGGACGAATTCAAAGCATAAATCGACTATCCAACGTTATAGCTCACTATCTTCAGAATCATCTGACAATACTTCAAAACAGATCCGTATGGAGGGTAGTTGGTCACATTTGGATTTAGAACAAGTCAGACCATTCCTGAAGAAGCAATTATCTTCCCATCAAGATCATTTGTTATTTGTAGTAGAACGTGCTATCGGATGTGTTCCAACAAAAGAGTGCTTGACGGGCAACATTAAAGATTGGATTGTACTTCGAAAGGTGCGACGTTATCCTACTGCTGTTTTATCACCTGTGACACCAGATATTGTATTTGTTTACGAATGTGATGATCAAGAGACACATATCATGAGAGATGGCTTGATTGGATGTGTGGCTATCGTTATTCCTGACGTTGATCATGAAGTATCACCATCTCCACTAGTTGGTACAACAATTCAATATGCTAGCAAGTCGGATCGCAATGCAAGTCAACATTTGATTGCAATCAAACATGAAGATTACACATGCTATGGCCATTTCACGCTCATTCTAACGTCAATCAATGCATCTCCTCTACTTCCTCTTATTGATTGGTTGAAGTATGCCCAGGTCCATCTAGAATTCAATCACTTTTCCTATCAACTTGTTTCATATATCCTACCACCAGATAGTAAAGGGCAAAGAGCGAAAAAGGTAGAAGATGAATCTACTTTGGATGTACCTGATTATTTTGGGAATCTTAGTTTGGATGTATCAACTATTATGTTACCTGCCTACAGTGATTGTAAAGCAAATATTTCACAGAATAGCTGGCCTCAATTACAATCGAAACATTTGAAGTTACCAGTGGATCAACGACCCCCTTTGTATTCTCTATCCAATAGCCAAGTATCTGCTATTCAGTATGCTCTTTCTCATCGACTAGCTCTGATTTCTGGTGGACCTGGTACTGGCAAGACTTACTTGGCAGGGAAGTTACTCGGACTTGTGTACCAAGCGATAAAACGGGGACACATTGGTCGGCCAATACTTGTGATGACATCTTCGGAATCTACGCTAGATACTATATTATCCATGGTACAATCTCATGTACAAGATATTATTCGATTTGGAAAAGAGTCAAACAAAGGTTTTCTAGCTGAAAGAGATGGATTGAAACAAGTATTACGTCGGAAGGGTGAGAGCTCTTGGAAACAGTATCGACAACTATTACGCGAACTAGGAAATTGTCAAGGTAAAATTAAAGCACTGGAAAATCATAGACAATTGGCAGTGATGGAGAAATGTCCAACGTATGTTCTGGATCTTATGCCACCAACATATCGAGAAGCTTTTATTACTCAATACCACTCGAAAAGCAAGAACACCTCATGGAATGATATTTGTACAAACTGGTTACTGGATACTGGTGATGAAGGCTGCTCTCTCGATACACAAGACGTTCAACCATTACCACCATCACAACAACAAAGTGAAAATGAGAACCAGAATCCTATTGATACAGCATCAAACGATATCCTTGCACAATTGTATTTTGCGTTATTGGACCGTATTGCTCTTCAATCTTCACAAATGCAACGAAACGAGGATTGCGACATATTCTTTCAGCAACAACAATGGATTGATCGTCATCCTTTCAAAATTATTCCGTTATCTGAAGGACAACAATGGCCATTTTCCTCTGATAGTATAGAGACAGGAGATCAAGCTAGGAGGTCTTTAATGGATATTTGGTCTCGGGTCAACAAATCCGACTTGTGGCAACTTACGCTTACTGAACGTAAGAGGATTTATGATAAGATATTGGAGGAATACGTGAAACATCTGGACAAAGCCATTAGTGATATTCTTCAAACACAAAATGAAATACTGGCCGCATTGAACGATATCCGTATAGAGCAATGGCAATCGACATGTCAATTCAATCGTATCATTGGTATGACCACTAGTTTCGCTATGTCCAATCCAGTATTTGTTAATAAATTATCACCACATGTTGTCATCGTTGATGAGGCAAATGGAATATCTGGCGCTTTTTTGGCTGCAGTAGGTTTATCGACATCTACGGAACATGTTATATTATTTGGAGATGTGACTAGTCATACTCAAGATATTCCATCGCCATCGTTCTTTGATGAATGGAAACAAGCTGATCGTCCCATCTGTGAACTTCATGAACAATGGCGTATGCAAGAAGAAATTTTACAAGTTTGGCAAGCAGCAAGCAACAACTCTGACAATACCTATCATCTCGTCAAGACGAAAGATGTTCCTGAACGCGTGCGTGGAATGAAGTACAACACATATCTTATAGAATACAAAACAGATACCAAAGTTGATAACACATTGGATCAAGAGCGTTTCGTGACGAATTTGGCTCTTTACATATATCAACAAAATTACCTTTCTACTGATATTATGATTCTGGTGACAAACTCTTTTGATTTATCTCGTATTCGAAGCTTGGTGTCCAATTTATCCAAAAGTACATCGTTTGCTACAGGATTTGAAAATATCCAAGTGGAAGATATGTCCACATTAAAAGGAAAAGAAGCTGCTATTGTTTTACTTCTTATCGATTCACCAACAACTGATTGTATTTCTACAGTATTATCTCGAGCAAAAATAGGATTGTACATAGTCAGCAATAATCAGTGTCTTCACTCTGATACATCTTGGCAGCTGTTGGCAAATTATATGAATCAAAAAGGTAAACAGGTTAATATATATATATATATATATAACATCTTCTGTGTATATACATATTTACTTAATTATATATGAATAGATCTGCGCTCTAGTAAAATACCAGTAATATGTGAAAATCATCCACAAACTCAAAATTCAATTGGCCACTGGAATGAGTTTACAGAAATTCGTAATGGTGGTTGTTCGGTAAGTAATAAATCAGTTTCAAACAATCTAGGGATTCTTAATAACCTATTTTTAATATAGTTACCCTGCACTACTCTTTTGGATTGTGGTCATATTTGTCAGGAGGTTAGAAGAAAAAAAAAAAAAGAAAAAGAAAAAGAAGAAGCAGAGCTTTCTTACTTCGATAAGGTTTTACTAATTATATGCATGATTCTAGAGCTGTCATTATAAATCACACTCAATTTTAAAATGTAACCTGCCATGTGAACGCCCACGCGCCAATAACTGTCAACATCCATGTACCAATCCATGTCACGTCTGTCAAAAGTTGAATTCTTGCCCGCCATGTGAACAACCATTGCAACTTCGCTTACCTTGCGATCATCAAGTTGAAATCCAATGTCACGAAAAAGCTGATTATGAAAAGTCTGGTTGCCAAGAAATGGTGATGACTGAATTAGCTTGTGGTCATTATGTTCCTATTGTTTGCAACAAAAAATTAATTGGTGATTACTACAATGTAGAATGCAATGAAACGGTCGAACAAGTTTTGGAATGTGGTCACACAGTCAAAGGTCAATGTAGTACTCAATTAAGCTGCACAGCAACATGTAGTAAAGTCTTAGAGTGTGGTCATCCTTGTATACGAATGGTAAAGCAATTAAGATTATTATATAAATCAACTAGTACTAATATTTCTATCCCAACCATCATATAACAATAAGTGTTCTGAGGAGCATGATCATGAACGAAAATCATGTACATTCAGCTGTCCAAAACGATTAATATGTGGCCATCCTTGTACTAGAGGTATGATAAATAATGTCGATTTTGTCTTCTAATATTTTACTAATTTCGATGCGTTTAACAAGGCTGTGCAAACCCAGATTATCACACCATTCGATGTTTGGAAAACTGCGAACGACTTTGCTCTCATGGATATAAGTGTGGTCGAAAATGTTGGGAAACCTGTCCAGGTTGTCTTGGCGCTTGCCCCAATAAGGTATAAAAAAGTAATAGGATTTGACAAAACAACTCATTCTTTTCTTTTTTTATTATTATTAGTGTCCCCATAGTCAATGTACCAAAAAATGCTTCGAACTTTGTGACAGATCTCCATGTGATGAACCTTGTCCCAAAATCCTGGCCTGCAAGTATGATTATCTTTACATCAATACATGACACGATAACTAATAAGAAAAATTTTCTGTTTTAGACATCCATGTCGTGGTATATGTGGCGAGCCATGTACCATTTGTCCAGTATGCTTTCCTGATATAGAATGCCATATCACACTTAGAAAATTATCTGAGTTTGATGATGATGAAAAAATTTATACCTTACCTGATTGTGGTTGTTGTAAGTGATGAAAATAGCAAGAGGGCTAAGTATATTAATCATCTTTATTATTATTATTATTATTATCGTTATTATTATCTCTCGGTTGTTTGATTTGATGGGGGAAAAATAAAGCTTTTGCTGCCAGTGGTTTGGATCAATATTTCAAAAGTAGAACAGAATCTAGTAAGTTGATTTTTCACTGACATCTAAAAAAAAAGTAACTACCACTTAAAAAAAAAAAATTCTATTTATTATAACAGGTGAAGACATAGCAATCAAACTATGGACATGTCCTACGTGTCAGATACCCATCAATATTGCACCTCGTTATAGCAATATTATCAAAGCAGAAGTCAATCTTGTTAACGATATCAAAGAACAACAAGAAAAGATTCGACAACAACTAACATTGGAAGAAAAATTAAGTATCATTAATGCCATGAATGAAGAAACAGGTTATCATGGTATTCTTGGAGGGAGATGGTTTGTATGCAAATATCGTCATCCTTACTATATTGGTAAGTACTAAGATTACAAATATTTTTTCTTTTTTTTTTTTTTTTTTTTTTTTAAAAAAAAGAACGAAACTGACAAAATAATTGTTATAGGTGATTGTGGCGGTGCAACTGAAATTTCAAAATGTCCACAATGTAATGAAGAGATAGGAGGTTTGCAACATCAAGTCGTTGAAACAAATCGATTTTATGGAGAATTTGATGGATCACTAAAACCGGCATGGCCTGGTCAGCCTCTACAGGAACAAGAGAACGATTAGTTACTTGATAGTATTTCATTTCTCTGAAAACGTTTTTACCAATAAAAAAAATCTAAATTTTCAAATGTCTAATCACGTAAATACACACACATACATATACATTTTATTGTCATCAAGTTATTTTTATTATTGATTGTAATTCATCTATCACAAATTGTCATGTAACAATGATGTAGGAACGGATGGTAGTTGATAACAGATCCAACTAACCTAAACTCCATTGATGACTTAACCAGTCATAATCATAAATGTCCAAGAGTTTGGGATCAGCACAGTTGAGTGATTTTGCTCTATGAGACGACTATGAAATAAAGAAGAATAATCATTTGAAACAAATAATAATAATAATAATAATAATAATAATAATAATAATAATAATAATAATAATAATCAAATTATAACAGTAGATTAGTTTATCAAGTTCTTTTATACAATGTATTTTCACCCCCTTTTTTTCAACTTACTCTAGGTAAACTAACAGTGGCTCGATCGTTTCTGGAGTGGAATGCAGCCAGTTTCCCATATCCTTGGGGACTGATGACTCGATAATCAGTATAACTTAAAAGCCAATTTTCAATGAGAGCGCTATTTACACCAGGTGTCATACGTTCTCTACTAACTTCTACTGGTATTTCCACATTAATATACTTTGCTACTTGATCGGGCTCAATATGTTCCAAGGGTAAATTAGTAACGACCAAAGATGTCGCATCGCTAGCTTGGCCAAGGTATTTCGATCGTAAAGCATGATCGTCGTTCATGGCTTCAAATTCTTCACGTAATTTATGTGAATCGGTGACAAGGAAATAAACAATTCGCTTATGATGTGGTTCTCTTTTTGCCATAGCAAGTTCATTGGCACATTTGAAGTAATAAAACCATTTTTCCAACGTATTATCATCATGTTGTGGATTGGCCAATGCTTTATCGTCTGTTCGAATCTATATATAATCACCATTCATCAGCAAAGCATTGCAACTTTATATCCTTTTATTATCCCCAATAAAAATCATCTTACCTGAATACCAATGCTGAGAACACTCTTTAGGGAAAATAATTCTCGATATGTGTTGAGATATCTTCTAGCTCCAATGGTAGGACGAAACAAGAAATCAGCAAGACATCCAAAAGCGTTCTCTTTGGTTAATCCAATTTTCTTCATTTCTTGAGGATACCGTGAAGAAAAGTCAAATGTGCGAATAATATATGCTCTATTAGAACGAATTTCTACATACTAAAATTAGATGTGATTAGCTTAAGAGAATTTAGTTATTGTTTTAAAATGTTACCGAAGCATTCCATAAATCATTAAAATCTTGAGAAGGACCATCAGGGAACATAATCGTTCCAAGTCCATCATATTTTTGATTAAGAGTATCAACTTGCTGATAACCAAGTAGTTCATTATCTTCAGTATTGAATAAGCTTCTCATCTCGTTAGGATCATACGTCCAATTGACGTGAGGCTGTTCAAATAAGATTTCCAAAGGAATAGGGTTTTCATCTGCCCAGTGAGCGAAATAAGCACGTCTGGTAATCAATGCATAAAAAAACGTAGAGATCATACCTATTCATCCCAAAGAAAAAAAAAAGAAAGAAAAGAAAAAAAAAATAGGTACGCTTGCAATCGAGAGATGATTCATCAAGTATTACCACTCATTCGATCGGCTAATCCACCACAGCCACGATTTGAATTTGTTGGTACCTCTTTACAAAGATACGATACATATAAAGGTTTATCGTCGTGCGAAAAGCTTTCGAAATCTCCTGCCTTGAGTCGCTCAAGTTGTTCTAGTCGTTGTTCGTGTAATTCCTGATACTTTTTCTGCCAATTGCCACATTCTTCTCGAGTATTATATGGTATGACATCAGTAAACCCTTTCAATGGGTCCCAATTCTGACAGTAGGCGTTATAATCCTCTTCTGTAACAAATTGAAGAGCTTTAAGTACAGAAGGATGAGGGTCAGGGGGCGAGTATAGCCCTTTTTCGCTTTTGATGAAGAGCTTTGAAGGTAATCGACACTCTGTATCAGTCTTGACACCATCAGTTTCCACAGCAACCTTATTATCTTCTTCTGTTGATGAACTTGTTGAATGATCAATGACAGCATTTCGATTGTCACCAAAAAATTTCTGAAGTTTGTCTTAAAAGAAATGAATTCTTTGGTTAGATGATCTTATCACCTTGTTACTATATTATCTTACCTGGAAACACTATAGAGGCCAAAGCCATCACAATAACTGCCATCAAACTCAATAAAGTTAATGCTTTCGCCAACTTATACTTGAAAAGCAATCCATTCAATTCATTGTTGGTTCCTACTCGCTGATAGGTACCACTAACCATATTGGAAGTTGAAAAAGATTGAACAATTCTTTACTGTTGATCCTCCGCATTCTTAATTATTTTTCTCTCGAATGATAATAAAGAAAATATCGCCCAACTTTCTCCTGATTGGCCCAACGTTGCGGCGTTTGTACTATCAAAATATCTTTTTATATGGGAGCTCTTATCAAACCCCCCTTGGCAAAAATTAACCAATAAAATTGATTTTTTTTTTTTACATCATTGGCAAACATCGACGGTAGAATTTCCATGGCGAATCGACCATGCTCTGAAAAGACTAGCATCTTCGCTTCACATATGGAGGGATCACAACAAAAATTAATGAAAAAAACAGTACTATGAAAACAAACCAAATCCATGGCTCCGTATTTTCCAGGAGTTTCAGACCGTCAATTTCGCGTCCCGACGTTTTTTTGTAGTTTTTTCTCCCCTGAATAATTTTATGCAAATTCTACTCTTTCAATAAACTCTGACTTTTCATACAAAAAAGAAATGAATAAAATTGATTTTTCCTGTGGTCGTTAAGATTCCAGCAGAAAGTTTTTATATTCACAATACATCACATTTCTTTATGCATGGTCGCAAAACTGTCCAAATGATATGTATGACTTAACCACAACTGTATGAATGTGTCGTATCAGCGTATTTCGTAACTACATGCGTAAAATAAAACTAAAGAATGCATTCACAAATAAAGAATAAAAAATACATTGTAAGATGGAATCAATTACATTGACATGTAACAAAGGAGTTGGAATAAAAATAAAAAGTTTTATTAAATAAAAATATAACTACTAAAGACTACTAATTGGTATACTATAACTAAAGTTATTATAAAGAAAAGAAAGAAATAAAAAGAAAATAAAAATCGATTCAAAAGATAAAAAAATAAAACTATGGACTTTGAAAGTCATTATGCTCATGATTTTTTGATACTATCAAGAAAGATACATATCAATGTATAAACATTCCAGGGCAACTAACATAATGAATCACTACACATATAATGATTCATCACATCAATGAAAAATAAAATATTAATAAAATTATACTCTCTGTATAACAGTATTACAAACTAAAATAAAAAAGAAAAGAAAACAAAATTTGCTCACCAATCTTAAATATGGTGTAAATTACACCACCGTGTAATGATACCTGAGCATACTAAGATAGTTGATCGGATTAAGAGAATAAAATAGAAAATAAAGACAAATCGAAAATACGATGAGATTGTTGGTTATGTTTATTTCAATAAGAATTGAATGAGAGAGAGAAAAAAGAAAAAACTATTCTAATCCAATCTTAAATGACAAAAAGCTGAGATATTAAAGTTACACAATAATATCAAGCTGGCTACGACACGGCTCAAGTATGTGATATTAGTTGATTTTTTGTTATAAAACTAAAGACAATAATAAAATAAGTGAGATTCTTTCTAATTGTTTTATTATCAGAAAATAACTTAATTGATTATTTTTTAAAATAAAAACTAAGGTATATTTATATGTGTAATCTGGAGATGAAATAAAATAAAAATAGATTGATTATTGAAGAATAATAGACTTTGTGTGGTAGATGTGTCAGATTTACAGCATATATCAATGACCTGAATCATAACGGAATCAATAGAATCATTGACAAAATCTGATTTCAATTTTGTTAATCGCTTGATACAGGACAGGATGCCATCTTCCATTAATGTCTACACGTATTTTCGGGAAAAGAAAAAAAAAGTTTTTGACTGATTGTTGGGTATGCGAGCATTTTTTTTTTCTTACGTTTTCGATGTCCATCACAAGCTCTTCGACCACTTTTGGTAGCGCATCAATACCATCAATGTCACCAACATTGCTAAAAATGTTCCATGTTCCAGGATCGAAGAGAGGTTTCATTGGATTCCCAACCATCATTGTGTTGACGATCAAAGAAAGGGAGACCCTCCATATGGAACAAAATAATTTTCACGAGTCTCCCACGAACGAAGCCACAGCTACTACAATTTGCTTCTGAAATGGAAGACATGGGAAGAATACTGTATATCATATGGCAACAGCATTGGTCGGTGACGATTGATAACGGCCAATGGAATTCTGAAATGGCCTTTAAGGCTTATCAAACCCACTTGTGGCGGCAAGGAATAGACAAAAAGGAGTGAGAATTATTTTCTTTTCTTTATTACTTCCCACTCCCCTTTTTGAAAATTTTGTAGATAGTCACACACACAGATGATAGCCCTACTGTTTCACCTGATTTATGCAAATAAAAACCGTCTATAAAACAAAAAAAAAAGAAAAGATCAAAGAAAGGGAATGTGGACCGCTGACATTGATTTTGATTGGCTGTGAACATTACTTGTTGGAAGCGCCGTATGTGCACGGCAATATATTATCCAATCACAATTGACCGGTAATATACTGACCAATCATATGGGAGCGGCAATTCTGACCAATCAGATCGCTTGACCCTCTTCTTAGTAAAATTTGGCTGGTGCAACGGTTTCGGTTGAATTCATTTCTGAGTTTGTTTTTTGCCTATCCAAAGCATTTCTTTTTTTTTTCGTTTTATCCAAAGCATTTCTGATATTAGTGAACTTTGAAGTCAGAGGTACGGTTACTGCTAATTTTAGAAACTTGGAAATAGTACTTCTCTATTTTCATATCATCAGGACAAATTTCCTTCATAATTGTGCTGTCCGAGGAGTATCGATCAGCTCCGAACCCATATATGGTAATTATAATTGATTATTCCATATTTGGCATTTCCTGAATATAAACCTCCAAATATGGGAACTTGATTGAGTGTGAATGTGGAATTACTATATATAGTATTTTATTATTGTAAAATTCCAAATATGGATTGAACAAATTTAATTTCCATATATAGGTTTAAATTTTGCTTAGACCCCGTGGATATGTGGAATATCATAGCGGTATCTCAATAATCTGTAAATGATAGAAGTGTGTCTATCTGGAAGGACTACAATAAAAGAATATCATCCCTAGCTACTACACGGACGCTAATATAAGAAATGCTTTGGATAGGCAAAAATCAAACTCGGAAATGAATTCAACCGAAACCGTTGCACCAGCCAAATTTTACTAAGAAGAGGGTCAAGCGATCTGATTGGTCAGAATTGCCGCTCCCATATGATTGGTCAGTATATTACCGGTCAATTGTGATTGGATAATATATTGCCGTCCCCATGTGATTGGATAATATTGCCGTCCGCATTTGATTGGACGAACTGCTCTTTACATATGATTGGACAGTGCTACCAGGGTACGTGTGAGTAAAAATTCTTATGTAGCTTTTTTTTTTTGCACCCCTTTTTTTTCTCCCTCTCCCTTTTATCAGTGTTGTGTGAATGGTGTTGTTTAGCATTGAAACAGTAACCAAGTCTTTTCTTATTACTTGGTAAAATATCATTTATCATTTTTTCCTTGGGTGCTAAATCAAAAAAAAAAAAAATTTTTTTCCTTGGGTGCACCGCAAAAGATCACATCTGGAACGATACATGGTCAGGTCCATCATTTCCTCCAAGCCAAGGTCAAATTTGGAATCTCATCACAGAACCTTCATTCTCCAACATGGATACTCTAACTTGGATAGGACGGGTACTCGTTACTATATGGGCCTATCACTGGCTTTGCACATTCGAAAAACAAACATGGGACAAACACTTGGCTCGTACAATATTTCTAAAGACTGTCTGATGTCTCGTCGTTCGGTGGCAGGATGTTTCGTTCATTGACATTCCTTCTCCCCGCATTCAAAACCAAATATCAACTAACTAGTCAACCTAGTTAGAATTTATAAAACAAAAAGAAAAAAAGTAGAGCGCCCCCCCTAGACTATTTGTTTTAATTTGTAAAATCAGGAGAGAAACTCCCACACGGTCTTTAAATAAAACAAGTCTTTTCCCTACAAAAAAAGAAAAAAAATATCATTTATCGAACCAACAGAAATCGCGCGTGTTCCCCTTTTTCTTTTCTCTCTTTTTCTCTCTTTTCTCTCATTCTTTAACAAAGCTACAAATATATCAATTACCCCTAAAGCTATATCTTTTATTTATAACTATTATCAGCAATAGCTAATCTACCGAATTATGTCAACTATATACTTGGTGCGAGAATTATAGCTCCCCAGGCTGGTAGGAATCAAGGTCGCTTTATGGTTGAAGCCAAATTCATCAGAGAAGAATTCATGGACATGGCAATTAACAAAGGAATGAACATAGGTGACTCACAATATAGAGCTGTGTGCATGGGAGCAAATAAAGGAGATCTTCCCAAACTGGTTAAGGTGCATGTGTCAGGTTTACCCTTTGAACAAGAGGAGGTACTGAAAGACAAGATGCTCATATCAATGGCACATTATAGAAAAGTATGTCATTGGAGGTAGATCAATCAGCCTGGACACAGTGCGTAGGGCATTGAAAAAAAAAGAAGCCTATGCTGTCAAAGGCCAATATCAAGAAGAGGCTTCAATGGGCAAAAGCACATCAGCATTGGACTGCTGATGATTGGAAACGTGTTGTTTGGTCTGATGAGACTAAAATTAATCGTTTTCAATCTGGTGGTCGTGTTTGGGCCTGGATTAGGGATGGGGAATCCTTGAAACAAAAGTATGTGAAGATGACTGTCAAGCATGGTGGTGGCAGTATCATGCTTTGGAGCGCCATTTCTGTTGCTGGAACTGGTTGGAAGTGTAAAATTGAAGGTAGCATGGATAAGACGTTATACAAGGAGATCATTGATGGCAAATTATCACAGACAATAAACCTGTTGTGCGCAGAATTGGACATGCCAAGGGAAAAAATCATCTTCCAGTATGATAATGGCCCAAAGTACACCTCCAATATGATCAAGAAACACTTGGCAGAACAAGAATACCAGGTGATGGAATGGCCTCCTCAGTCGCCGGATCTCAATCCTATTTGCCATATCAGCGTATTCCGTAACTATATGCATAATGTGATATTGGTTGATTTTTGTTATATAAATAAAAACGATAGTAAATAAGTGAGATTCTTTCTAATTTTTTATTATTTAAAAAGAGTGACTTAATTGATTATTTTATAAAATAAAAACTAAGGTACATTTATATAAGTAATCTGGAAATAAAATAAAATAAAAATAGATTGATTATTGAAGAACAATAGACTTTGTGTGGTAGATGTCTCAGATCTATATTCATCCAACGACTTTTTATTTCATGATACGAAAATAAAACTAAAGGATGTTACAAATAAAGGAAAAAAATACATCGTAAGATGGAATCAATTGAATTGACATGTAACAAAGTAGTAGAAATAAAAATAAAGGTATGGCTACTATAGAACACTAATTGATGTACTAAAATTAAAGTCGTTATAAAGAAAAGAAAGAATAAAAGAAAATAGTTATCTACTGACATCACATTGAATAAAGAAGCAGCAGAAACAATAGTCGAGAAATATTTTTTAAAAAAAACCCATTTCATTTCATTAATATTCAGTTCATCATAAAAAAAAATCCATTAACTATATACATATATACATAAGCCAGCCAACCTAATCACCGGGAGTTTGATCATCGTCATCGTCAACCAGTTCAATCGTTTGTTTCCTAGTTCTTTCGGATTTTGGCGTAAAATAAATCAGTTGTTTATGGGTCATTTGGTATCTGTCAAATAAACCGGGCCACGTGGCAATAGTAAAGTAGTGATTGGATTAAAAAATATAAAAATAATAATAAAAGACAAATCGAAAATACGATGAGACTGTTGGTAGATTTTATTTCAATAAGAATTGAATGAGAGAGAAAAAAAGAGAAAAAACTATTCTAATCCAATCTTAAATGACAAGAAGCTGAGATCTTAAAGTTACACAATAATATCAGTCTAGATACGACACCGTTAGGTTGTTCACTATTTGGCTCTGCAATGGATGCGAACTGTTGAGTTGTCATTCTTGATTTGAAGGCTTCCACTGTTCTAGGATCAATAAGGTTGATGACATTTGATAATAATTCCCTATATGAATACAAAGAGGATGATAGATGGTTAACGTCATGACTTGTGCCTTTTTTCCGCGCAAAAAAACGACCTACTTCAACATCGTCTGATCGCGAATAGACAGACAATCTTTCTTGAGTAAATCAATCACCATACGTTGTACGACCCCTTTCATCGATTCGTTGCTTGGCGATTCATAGTTGTTGATGATTCCGATATCTTCTTCCGTCAGTAAGCCTTTTTGTTTGATCTATTAAATAGTAATCAGAGCAATATGTTTAGTACGGCAACGAGAACTTCATTGTACAGATTTTTGGAGCATATGCAGTACCTTTTTACTTCCTAATCTAAATAGGACCTCATCCAAAGGCTTTTCATCGTCAATTCGTAAGGCATCATCATGAACCAAATCATCATTTTCATCACCATCATCGTGCCCAGCATCATTATCAGTTTCAAAGTCAGCAGAAAGACCATGATCGCGTTGACTTGTTTGAATTGTCGCCACCAGATGTCCAGCAGAAGAAGAAGCGCACGCCTCCAAGGCAACTAACCCTTCAGTTACATATGTCCTTTTTGCCCGTTTCTATATATATATATATATATATTAAAAAAAAGAATTAACGTCAATCTGATTATTATTATCACCAAAATCATTACTTACCAGTTTGTCGACTCTTTCGGAAAGAGCGACCCATGTAGCACTACTGTATTTCAACTGTGTAGCTGAACTACATTTGAAAAAAAAGAGGAGTCAATGCTATCCTTTCCTCTTCTTGCAGTAACGTCCTAAGTATTTCCTTACTTTTCTTTCATATTTGGCGGTTTTTGATTAATTTCATTCTGGAATCTTGTTTTCCACAAATTGTATACGGCTTTGGGGACCTGGCGGTTGTTTCCGCAGACCAAATACTGATACAAATGTGGAGAAAATTGTTGAAGCGGGGACGACCGGATACTGCGATATAATCTTGAAGTTCTATTGTATATGAAACAATATCAGCTCCATAGTGTGATAAGCTTTCTTTTGTTCGTCTGTACATAACGGATTACCTTTTTGTCCAAGGAACGGCTGCATTGTATCAAATGAAAGGATGTGAAGGGCAGTTCTTATTCTTCTGTCGCTCGATTGGCAATTCACCAATTAACGCCAAGCAAATAATTTTCATATGTCAGGCCTCAGCCAATCATATCGAAGAAAAATATGACGTGCCATATCTTTCCGACATTTCCCTTTAAATTTTGCCCACATAAAAAAAATGTATTTTTTCTTTTTTTTTGAATAGTTCTCTTCTGAAATCACAGCAAAGGAGTCTACTAGGATCAAGGACCCCTAACTAGTAGTAGTCAATTAGTTAATTGACGCCCTAAGTGAAGGCGAGGTAGTTCCGTATACTAGCTGTATTGCACTATACGTGCCCTCGTTAGTAGCGTAGTCTGTTGCCTAATATCATTTGGCTTCCATTTTGTCCAATTGTTGTATTTGACAACTCATAGGAAAACTCTATTTTAAATATTCATACTCAATCTCCTCTTTCTTTACTAACTATAGATTATATAAGTCACTCAATACATTGTTAATTAACAATTACAATCACAGCTTAATGACCGCTCGTCCAACAGTTCTTATAAATACACAACCTATTTTTGATATCTAATAAAAGACCCATTCAAAAAATTTCACTTTATTTCTACTACTGTCTTTTTTGTCTTATTTTATATATTTTTTGTCACCAAAACATAACATATACGGTTTAAAAAGTCGAGTAGCAAGAATTAAAGCTTTACCCCTTTAGTCATCCATTGGGAAAGTTTTTCAAGAAGTGTTGGCAAGGAGTTCTTTCTTGCTAGCATGGTTTTCAATGAGGAATGTGCACTCTCTACTTGCTGGGTAGTTCTTGTTCCATATGTTCTTCAGGTTTCACACAAAGGTCCACCCCGCTCATGTCTAATGGCTAAAAGCCTAAAAAAAAAGGGTCAATTCAGCTGCAACTACAGTTTGAAATTCCACAATGACTTCCTGTTATGTGATAATATAAGAAACAGAGAATTTATAGCATAAAGAACCTATAATTTATTATTAGCATAAAGTCATAAATATATAAAACATAAAAAAAATAAATGAATGTACTTACCGTGACAATTCACGGTTCGAATAAAAAGATAAAAATAATAAAAAAAAAATAAAGAAAAAAATGAAAGGAGAGAAGATAAGAAGGAGAAAAGGGAACAAAACATTTAAATAATTGGGTAACCCATAAAATATCAGTTAAAATGGTGAAATTATTATGATCCATTCCTTTACCTGTTTCCCATTCTCAGTTCTGAAGGATCTTTCAAAATTCTTGCTAACGTTTTTGAGAATATGCCAGATACAAAGCATATGTTGGGATTCGTAAAAGACGGTTTCCATTGCTTTTTCAAGAGCTGGGTCCTGGTCAGTTACTATAATCTAAAATATACAAGTTAATTTCTGATTTTTTTATATTCTGATAACAAGTATACCTTCGTTGTCATCGGTTTTCCATTCCAAACTGCTTCCTTGAACGTACTTAAAACCCATGTGTAATTGGTGTTCACCTCGCTGATCATCAGTACGGTAGCTGCTATAAATGTGGTAAGGCGGTTTGATCCAAAGTTCGTGAAGCCGACGATATTCACCAGGGGGAGATTGAGACTATTGGTTTTGTAGGTCGCGTCGATGGAAAGCACTTCGCCGAAACGTCGTACTAAATTTGATGATTCTTGATGCATGATAAAGATCATGCGGGTGACACCATCCTCGGTTTTCTTGATCTTGACAATAAATCCATCATCTTGGAGAGCCACTAGTTGTTCATAGAATCGTTCATCGTCGCTTTTGCCGGTCAAGTAGGCTTTCACAATACGCTGGTTGATGTTGTATATATCCTTGCGCTTAACGTCAACACCATGACTATCATACACTGCGGCGGCAATCTTAGAAGGTTCAATACCACTTCGGTTCATGGTTGCGATTGCTGTCTTGATATTGTCGTCCAACGGCGCATAGAGGTTCACCATTGTATGGCTATGTTCTTGCACAGATCGCAAATCAATAAGATCCATGGTGTTTGCATCCAACGTTATACCTGCGTACGTAGATACTTTTACCAATTGCTACTGGTCGTTTAATAGCTTTCCATAAATCCTCTACTTGCATCATCTTTATTGTTGTACCGAAACTAATGCGCTTTTCAGGGTCCACTTTGTCTTCATATTTACTTCTGCAATTGAAATAAACTATGTCCTTTTGATAATTGAAGGACTTGTTCACTCCAAAACCATTGTTCGTTGCAAATAGAGTAACGTCATTGACCATACTTTCTTTCTCCGAGTACTTTCTTCCAATAAGCATTTGACTAATCATGAGTAAAACGATAAAGAATAGTAATAAAAAAAAAGTAAAAGTAGAAGATAGAGAATAGAGATAGGGGTTCTAGGTTGAATAAAATATAGCTTTATTGACAAAAAATAATTCGCTATTTATACTAATGTTTCGGTATAATGACAAGAAAGGATAATTCTATAAGCAGTGGAAATAACGTTCGATAAGGATAAGCGCATAGTGGAAATCAACAGTTTAGGAATGAAGGAATAAGAAGAAAAAAAAAGGAAAGAAAAAAAGTGAAGGAAAAAGAAGTACAAAAGTTGGTAAAAATTTGCAAGTGGCCGAAAAAAAAAAAAAAAAAAAAAAAAAAAAAAAAAAAAACTGTCACCGGTGTCAAGAGAAACAACTGCAGTAGTTTTTTTTTTGTCTTTTTTTTTCTCAGTTTTGTCACCGCTGTGCAGTTGTTTCTCGTGACACCGGTGACAGTTTTTCTTTTTTTTCTCAGTTTTGTCACCGCTGTGCAGTTGTTTCTCTTGACACCGGTGACGGTTTTTCTTTTTTTTCTCAGTTTTGTCACCGCTGCGCCGTTGTTTCTCTTGACACCGGTGACAATTTTTCTTTTTTTTTCTCAGTTTTGTCACCGCTGTGCAGTTGTTTCTCTTGACACCGGTGACAGTTTGTTTCTTATAAATATGGCGGACATTGTTCTTCCATGGCGACACCGCCCTGGAACTGATATGATCTCCAAACTTGTTCTACAAGAAAACTCAATCATTAATGTGGTCGTGGAATATCTAGTTGGTATGTATGAACAAGATTGATTCGTCAGGCGCTTACTTTTTTTTTTTTTTGGGTAGGAACCAGAGCCAAAGACAAGTACAGGACCAATCCAACGGAATGGATTAACGGCACAAGATCTGATGTTCTCTTGACATGTGATGATGATCCTTCCTTGCCCCCTGTGCTCATTGAAGTACAACATGTGGTAGATGATGCTTTATGCGACGTCTTATTGGTTATTGTGTCTCCTTGGAGAAACAATATGGCGTGCTCCCAATCGTTTTGATATTTCCTATCACCTCAATCAGATTTGATGTGCTAAACAGAACCAGAAAACGCAAGTCCCATCCATTACTTATTCATTACCCCTGCCTTCCATGGGCCCAGTCTTGCTTCTTGGTTGATCAAAAGGCAACAAATTTGCAACAACCTTTGGTTCCATTTGCGAGCCTGTGTATATTCTTGATGCGACAAGATTCATCTCTTCTCAGCTCGCCATACCACGCTGATCGTACCATGCAACTTTTGTACTGCCTGGCTCAACGTCATGTAGGAACTACCATTTTGGATCATGATCATGACATTGCCGATTTTTTGCACTTTTGTAATGAAATGAAGACTCGACTCGCGCAACTATTACACCTTTTTCAGGATAACGACCATGATGACAAGGTATCGGTTTTGAATGATACAATCATGTTGGTAGACTCGTACCAAGAAAAATATAAACAGAAATTATCCACTGTCGCTGATACCGATCCTGAACCATCCACTCTTGTTGATACCAATCCTGAACCATCCAATATTGCTGATACCGGTCCTGAACCATCCACTCTTGTTGATACCAATCCTGAACCATCCACTCTTGCTGTTACCAATCCTGAACCATCCACTCTTGCTGCTACCAACCCTGAACCATCCACTGTTGCAGACCATCATCTTCGTTTGCAGAATACCAACTGGGGATTCGTGGAGAATTGTATTGCAAACCTTAACCAGGGAGAATCCATTTCTTGGAATGTTGTGTATCAACAAGGAAAAACTCAGGGATTGTTCACCACCTATTCCAATGCTGCATCCATGAAACGAGCTTATTACCGATTTAAAGCTGTAAAAAAATAAAGATTACTGTGATGTTTGATTAAATAAAAATAAACGCTCTGGCGCTCCACTGGAGCTTTTCGAAATCGAAGATTTGTGTGGACTCTAGATTTTCTTTGGAAGGTGTGGACTATAGATTTGTTTGGAAAGTGTGGACTATAGAAAGTGTGGATTATAGTTTGTTTTTTTTTTTTTTGAAAAAGTATGGACTGTTGATTTGAAAAATAGATATGGATTATACATTTGATTGGAAGATGTGGACTATTGGTTTGATGGAAAGGCGTGGATTATAGTTTTTTTTTTTTTTTTTTGAAAAAGTATGGACTATTGGTTTGAGAATAGATGTGGATTATACATTTCATTGGAAGATGTTGACTACTGGTTTGATGGAATGGTGTGGATTTTTTTTTTTGGGAAGGTGTGCATTATTGATTTGATGGAAAGATATGGACTACAGATTATCTTTTTAGAGGATGTTTTCATTAATCATCCATCATCATCACTAACATCGTCAAGAGGAGGAGAAAATAATTTATTGTTTTATTGGATATTGAATATATATATTATAAAAAAAAAGAAAAAAACTATAGAAGGACGTCGCGATATACAATTGTCGTATCAGCGTATTTCGTACTTGTAATATAAGCGTATATTAAAAATAAAAGAATACATTCATATCCATAATACATCTTGAAGATGGAAATGACCACGTTGACATGTAATAAAAACAGTTGTAATAAAATAAAAACTTTATTGAATAAAAAAAATGTGTAAAGTAACGACTATACTAATATATATAATAAAACCATAAAAAGGTCAATGGAAAAATAAGAAAGAAAAATGAAAAATAAAAAATGAAAACTGAAAATTAAAAAAGTACGCGTATCAAAGAGGACTTTGAAAATTTTAACCTAAATTTACCCCTGAGTAAAGAACTCTAATTTAATGAATGAAGAATGTCGATATGTTTACCATACAATAATCATCAAAGGGAATTAATTATAAATATCGTTCCAAACTAATCAGTTATACCAACAAAGAGTATACATGGTATTTAATACATATGATGATATGATGATTATTATTTTATCTTCAAAGCAGGTATAAAAGAGATATAAATTTTTCAAGTGTAGATACAACAATCAACTTTTTACCTTTTTATTTTAATAAAAAACTAAGAAGAATCTCACTGACTTATTATTAGTCCCACATCATTTTATTTTATTTTTTTTAATCTACACACAATATAACAACAATGTTGGCAGTTTGTGGTTGAGAATTGCGAACTGGTTGTGGGGCTGCCACTCGAAGAGTTGACGGATCACTTGATCGTGAGAGAGCTACATACAGTTGTCCATGGGCAAACACTTGATCTTTCAGATACACACCTACATAGCCCAGTGATTTTCCTTGACTCTTGTGGATGATCATTGCAAATGCTGGTCGTACAGGGAATTGCCTAGACGCTCGTCGATGATGTTTAATTTGTTGAAAGGATATGACATGTTATGTGCACTTGATTGTAAAGTAGTGATTGGATTAAAAAATATAAAAATAATAATAAAAGACAAATCGAAAATACGATGAGACTGTTGGTAGATTTTATTTCAATAAGAATTGAATGAGAGAGAAAAAAAGAGAAAAAACTATTCTAATCCAATCTTAAATGACAAGAAGCTGAGATCTTAAAGTTACACAATAATATCAGTCTAGATACGACAGATTGACCTCTACGACCACAGCGAGAGCAAATGAGAGAAGGGTTGACGCGCTGGTTGGAATCTCCAAGTCGCTGATGAGAATCTTGACGTTGATGAGAACCTTGATGTACTTGATAATCTTCATACCTTCGCCGAGTATTTCTGTTTAAAGGACAGTCGTAATGGGTTGTTCGAGAATGAGTGTCAGTGTGGTAATTCAACACTTAAAGATTTAAATTAGAGTTTAGAATACTGATAATCCGATAGTGGAGATCAGATTACAGAGTAATCTGATAGTTTATTTATAAAAAGGGTTTTTTATAGGACTTTGTTCCTTTTTCTCTTAAACTAAGTTTTATTAATAAAATTCTTACGTTTTGTCTCGTTCTTATTTAAGACTCACACAAATACAACAGTCAGATCCGCACCTGCATAAATTGACGCTACTGTTATGCGCAGTTGGCTGTTTGTTATGATTGAGTGGACATTCATAATGGCTTGTTCGAAGATGAGTGGTAGATCCGCACCTACAATGACGAATTGATCTGTTCATTCAAGGATTATGAAAGGATATACGAAAAAGGGAAAAGCTAAAAAAAAAAAAAAGCTCAGGCGAATGATCTCAGACGACTATAGATTTTTTTTTGGTGTGGAAATAAGCACTCTTTTCGTGTGGATGATTGTTTTTGTTGAAAAGATGTGGACAATAGACTTGACATTAAGGTGTGGACTACAGATTTTTTTTCTTTGGATGGATGATTATTTTTGTTGAAAAGATGTGGACAATAGATTTGACATGAAGGTGTAGACTATAGATTTTTTTTTTTTTTGGAAGGAGTAAAAAGGCAGATTTTTTATTGAGTGGAATGGAAGGTTGATAGGTAGGACAGAAGACCAAAAATAGTCAAAAAGTTACTTGCTAATCTTTAGTTTTTCATATTTTTTTTCATATATCAACAATAAATAAGGAGAGAGAGAGAAAATACAATGAAACTGATTAATAGTTTATTGATGAGAGAAAAAGAGTATCTTAATAAAAATAAAATAATACTAATTGATGTACTAATCTGTCATTCTAATCTGATATTAAGTAAAAGAGTCTGTGTTACTGAATCTATGATATCAATTGTAACTCCATAAACCTTGGATACAACACATCGAATAAAGAAGCAGCAGAAACAATAGTCGAGAAATATTTTTTTTAAAAAAAACCCATTTCATTTCATTAATATTCAGTTCATCATAAAAAAAAATCTATTAACTATATACATATATACATAAGCCAGCCAACCTAATCACCGGGAGTTTGATCATCGTCATCGTCAACCAGTTCAATCGTTCGTTTCCTAGTTCTTTCGGATTTTGGTGTAAAATAAATCAGTTGTTTATGGGTCATTTGGTATCTGTCAAATAAACCGGGCCACGTGGCAATAGGTTGACTGGCTTCCAGTTCATGAGGTAGAGAAGCTGCTCCCAAGAAAAACGCTAGGTCAATGATTTGCTCCTAGAAGAAAATGTCAAAATTAGCCATATGTGGTCCTTACATTGTTATATATACCTTCCACCAGAATAGGACGCCTAGAACTGAATTGAAGTTTGACAATTGTGACAGGTTTTTTGGAAGGAAAAGGATCGAAACAGGTTTGGCCACAAATACATTGTTCACAAGCATTAAAGAATAAAGGTAGCCAGTAGTGCCTATTAAAAAAAAGACCGTCAATTAACGAGTCCAAATGATGAGAACAGTGCTAAACTATGCGCCTAAGGTTAGATGTGTACATTATGCGTTGTGATTACTTGAATGGTCAAAAAGGAAAAGGGCCTGACATCCTGCATGCATTTTTTTTCAAATAACGGAATAACGATGCCTTGAAGCTGTGTCGTATCTAGACTGATATTATTGTGTAACTTTAAGATCTCAGCTTCTTGTCATTTAAGATTGGATTAGAATAGTTTTTTCTTTTTTTTTTCTCTCTCATTCAATTCTTATTGAAATAAACTATATCAACAGTCTCATCGTATTTTCGATTTGTCTTTTATTATTATTTTTATATTTGTTAATCCAATCAACTATCTTATTTTTTACGATGAATTCTAACAACAACAACAACAACAATAACAACAACATCAACATCAACAACGACAATATGTCGGATACCTCTGCTCCTTTCTCCATTAATGGCACCGATTTTGTCAACAACATTATCAACAACCATTTGGAACGTGATGTCATTATGACAGAACAAAACCATCAACCCTCTTCCACTTTTCAAAGTGGTTTGGGGGCCTCAACCTATGCTTCTCCTGAAGCTAGGGCCGAGTGGGCTGTCGCTGTGCTTACGCACAAGGCAGAAGAGTCTGAAGTGCTCTACACTCAAGCACTTGCTCAATTGGATAATTCTGATGAAGCTCGTGCCCATGTTCAAAAACTTTTTGAACAAGCACAAAAGGATCAACAAGCCGTCGATGATGGTCGGGCTATGTATGAACGTAAGTTCCCACATAACCCAAAGTTCTTTTCTTTCGAACGCCGTAGAGCTGAAGAAGAAAGAACAAAGGCTCAGATGATGAATCGAAGCCTCGTTGTTCCCAAATACCTTCCTCAATTAAAGCTGGTCAACAGTTATGAGGTTGGTAAAGAAATAAATGACAAGTCGTTTACTTCGACCAAACATTTTTTCAGTACGCTGGAAAAAATTTTCATTTCTCATGGTTTACAACCTGAAAATGAATTTCGTCGTTTGTTTCCAAGATGTCTTGACGGCGCTCAAACTTTCTTTTTTGAAGGTTTATTAAAGAAAATAAATGAAAAGTCAGATGGTGAAACAGAATGGGCTTTCATAAAACGTCAATTTATTGACAAATATGATACTCCAGCTCAAAAGTTTAATGCTTGGCATAAACTTGTGTCGATCAGACAAAATTCTAAAACCATCGACGAACATAATAAGATGTTCGGTAATTTGTTAACCATGACTGAATGGGAAACAATGCCTGTCTCTCTTCTTTCCAATGTAGTTTATTTAGCTACATTAAACCCAGAAATTAGAAGACAAGCAACGGAGTGGTTGATCACCCGATCTGCCCCGAATTTTGACGTTGATATTCATCAACTGATGCAAACCGTTGCTGGTATGGACATCCAAAGAACAGAAAACCCTAGAGGTTTTGCTCAAAAGCGAAACATTCAAAATGATGTTTCGTTTGTAAAGAAAATAAAAAAGGCTAATACAGTCTCTGATGGTAAAAGAACAGGTGTTCTTTGTTACAATGGTTGCGGGCAGATATACCTTCCTGGACATGTCTGTCCTAAAAAGAAACTCAACGGCCGAGATGGCAAAAACAATTTGTTCTCTCGTGCTGCTATACGAACCAAAACGGTTGTTCAAAAACAAGAAGATGCTGATGATAAGTTGAATCTTATGTCAGAATGTAAGGCTAAGAATAAGAAACAAAATTCAGTTCAAAATAATCAAAACATTAATCAATGTCTTATTCCAATTTATTTAGAACAAAAACCTATCATGGCTTTGTTAGATGGTGGTGCAACTTTTTCTGCCATCGATGAAAATTTTTGTTTAAAAAATAATTTTAAAATAATTGTTCTAAATAATAAAAATAAAAATCCAAATGATTGTATCCATTTAGCTCATTCTGATCATGTAATTCAGCGTCTAGGTTATACAGAACCTTTAGATCTTTGTTATAACGGGAAAACTTTAAAATATTCTTTTGAAGTAATGAAATTAACCGGTGATCAACAAGTTAGTATTGGAGCTGACTTAATGCCTTCACTTGGTATTGGTTATTACGGTTTAGTACAAACATGGGATCCACTTCCTCAAAAGATGGAAGAAGACCCTGATAAAGATAAAGAAATCCCAAATGAAGCACCAGCAGGTACAAAAGAAGAACAGGAAACATTCCATCATTTTATTAAAAACAGTTTAAAACAAAATCAAGCTATCCCTACAAATGCTTTTTGTACACTCCCTGAATCTGTGATATACTTACCTATGCCTAAAGGTGTATCATGTTACAGAAGACAATACCCCATCTCTCATACATTGAAAGAAATGGTACATCAAACTGTACAAAATTGGCTGGCTGATGGCATCATTGAACCTGTTCCTGCTAACATCGATAACAAATGGAATTCACCATTAACATTAGCACCTAAAAAAGATATAAACGGTAACTTAACTGGTAAGCGACCATGTTTGGATCCTCGTCATATTAATAAATATTTACCTGATGATCGTTATCCTTTACCATTAATAAGTGATATCTTCACAAAATTGAGTGGTGCCAAAGTATTTAGTACCCTTGATTTAAAAAGTGCCTTCCATAGGTTCAAAATTCATGAGGATGATCGTCATAAAACTACCTTCACATCAGTAGACGGTAAACAATATATGTTCAGAGGTTGCCCATTTGGTTTAAAACCTATATCATCAAAATTCCAAAGGGTGATGAGTATTTTATTCACTGATCTACCATTTGTCACCACATTTGTGGATGATATCGTAGTTTATAGTGATAACATGCAAAATCATCAATTACATGTTAAAACTATAATTGATAAGTTAACTGCCGTTAACCTACTACTCAATCCAGACAAATGTCATTTTGCACAAAAATCCGTATACTTACTTGGATTCTCTATTTCAGAAAATGGACGATCACTTGATGAACGTAAACTGCAAAATATTGACATGTGGCCAACACCGCAAACAGGCAAAGACCTTCAAAGATTTCTTGGTGTAGTCAACTATTTCCGAGATCATATTCCAATGATGTCAACTGTTACCGATCCATTGAATCAACTGCGTAACCAGGATAATCTAAAAAAGAAGTGGACACCTAAGCATGAGCAAGCCTTTACAATTCTGAAAAAGCTTTTGCAAAAACATATTACCTTATCACACCCCAACTTTCAAGAGCCATTCCACGTAGCGACGGATGCATCGAATGTTGGTATTGGTGCTGTCCTCTTCCAAAAAATCCAGGGTAAAACAAACTATATTGGGTTCATGGCAAGATCATTGTCCAAATCAGAGCGTAACTACTCTACAACCAAAAGGGAATTGTTAGCAATCATCTTCGCTTTCAATAAATTCCACCAATTCCTGTGGGGTAATCCATTCACACTTTACACGGACCATAAAGCTCTGATCTATATACATTCACAGGAACATATGAACCCTATGATGACAAATTGGTTAGACACATTGCTCGACTATACCTTCACAGTCATCCATCTACCTGGTACCCATAATATTTTACCTGATTATCTTTCACGCCTTTTCCCTGGCATGTCAAGGCTGGAAGGGGGTAATAACGATAACACGTTAATAAACAGATCTGTTGAAATAAATAGCGCAGATAAAATGGAACCACCAGAAGAAGAACGTCAGGAATTATTAAATAAAGCACATCTCTTTGGCCATTTTGGTGCTGAAGCAATCGTCAAAGCTATTCATAGTAACGGTATACATTGGCCTAAATTAAAAGAACAAGCAGTTGCTCTAGTTAGTAAATGCCCTTCATGCCAAAAATATAACATAGCGAAACATGGATATCATCCTTTACGCCCAATATCCTCAAACTTACCAGGTGACCACTGGGCAATTGACCTTGCTGGACCTTTACCTACAACAAATCAAAATAATAATTATATTTTGATTATGAGAGATATCTTCTCACGCTTTGTAATAATACGGGCAATACCTGACAAAAGAGCTGACACTATAGTCAATCAACTGATTAATGTATTCTGCGATTTTGGTATACCTAAGATTGTACAATCGGATAACGGAACAGAATTCGTTAACGATATGATGAAACGATTCAAGAAAGCAGCTGGTTTTGATCACAGATTAATAACCCCATATCATCCAAGGGCAAACGGTGCAGCAGAAAACACTGTAAAAACAACTATGAATGTCCTAGAAAAAGTAATAGAAGGAAATGTGAATGAATGGGATAAATATCTTCCGTCAGTACAATTATCTATAAACAACAAAATAAGTCAAAGAACAAATACACCTCCCTTTACTATAATGTTCGGTCGTAAGCTTAATGACTTCGTCGACTTTAGGGATGAAAGTATTAAAGAAGAAATGACAGAAGAAGAAATACAACAACGTATAAAACAAATGAATGAAGTGATATTTCCAGCTATACAAAAAAGAACGCAAGAAGTAACAAAGAAACAAAAAATGAACTTTGATAACAAACATAAAACTTTTACTTTTCCACAAGGAAGCCATGTGATGATAAAAAATTCACAACGTACAAAATTGGAGCCCAGATACACTGGCCCTTTTGAAGTGATCAAACAAAATCAAGGAGGTGCATATATCCTTAAAGATCTAACAGGTGATATCCTACCAAGAAATTATACACCTTCAGAACTAAAACTCATTTCAATGGATGAAATCATACCAGAAGATGAAGTGTATGAAGTACAAGCAATCGTACAACATCGCTTAAATGAAAAAACTAATAAATACGAATATAAAGTACGTTGGAAAGGTTATACACCAGAAGACGACACCTGGGAACCACATCACAATTTCCAGGATCCAAGAATCATCACTGATTATTATAAAAGAATCGGTTTAAAGGAACCTGTTCGACCTCAAAGAAAAAATAATAAACGGAAAAGAAATTGAACAGTTCTACAACCATCACTCCTATGAATAAAAAAACCATATCCGGAATAATCATGCAGCATGATGTATAATTCATGTTTTGTTATAACATTAAAAGATACAGACAAATATATAAGAGACGTCTAACAGACTGGAAGGGGGTGATGTCGTATCTAGACTGATATTATTGTGTAACTTTAAGATCTCAGCTTCTTGTCATTTAAGATTGGATTAGAATAGTTTTTTCTTTTTTTTTTCTCTCTCATTCAATTCTTATTGAAATAAACTATATCAACAGTCTCATCGTATTTTCGATTTGTCTTTTATTATTATTTTTATATTTGTTAATCCAATCAACTATCTTAAGCTGCTTTACCATGTGTTCACTTGTCCAATAACTATCGTGATTGACATCAGCATAAAACCCTTGAGATATTGTCAGCATCATGCATAGTACCATAACACTTTTGATTTATTTGTTCTTTTTTGCGTAAAATGGTTTCATATTCCTTATTACCATGACAGGCACATTGAAATTCATTGACCAACATTGATCAGCCAGAAAAGAGACGTGTGTTGTATCAAATTGGCGAATATTCCCATTGTCGAATAGCATTTTCAGGCAAGAGTCTTCTATGGTCACGTACTTCCATTTGGTTGAAAGATTGAATTTCAATGCACAGGATACGATATTTTTTTTTGGTCTTGAATAACCCAGGAATATTGGTGAGTCAAGGTTCTAATTTATACAATAGCTTCTACTTGTTGGAAACAAACCACGTTAACAATATTCACAAGACTTTGCGTTTCTTCAGTTTCGAGTCCAATGCATTGCTTGGCAAGTGCGATAAAGCAAACAGAAATCATGACATACAATAGATAATTCAACTCAGTAAGGACATAATTCAGAGTTTAGAATATTTGATGGTCCGGTAGTGGAGTTCAGATTGCATAAAAGAATGAATCCTATAAAAACCCTTTTCTACAAGTTCATGTAGAAAAGGGTTTTTATAGGATTCATTCCTTTCTCTTAGAAAAAAGTTGAAGGAAACCTCTGTTGAAATAGATTTTTTCCCACCGCTTGGTCTATTTATAGCTTGTTTGTTTTTTATTTTGCTGTTTTTTTTGTTAGCTTAACATCTCCGTCGGTGGGAATTTCCCATATTCTTCACATACAAAAAAAAGTCCGCTTTTAGCCAGGAATACACAAACGTGCTGCAAAATAGAAATAAAAAATAGAAAGACATATTCTGATGACTAAACAAAAAAAAATACAGGATCAAATCCAGTCAGTAGAAAAGAATAAAATATAAACAAAGATCATACCGAAGGACGTACACGGAACATCTAATTACTTTGTTAGATTTAAAGAGAAGACACATCCAAATGACTTAAATTTATTGATGATCAAGGGTAATCAAAAGACATTTGCAATGGCATAAAAATCAATTCAGAATTCAGACGTGTACTCTCCGTTTTTGCTGCAAATAACGGCTGAATTGGCATCATTATTTTTGTAGACAACTGACACGATCACATCGGTATCCATTTTGGAAACAAAACATGCCACATACCTGCTGGACTTGAGGGGCACATTGATGCCCATTTGGATCCTCGCACGTCCAATTTTGATTCATATCACATTGACAAATGTATTCAGAATAAGCCAAGAGAATACTAGTACAAAGCCGTGACTGGTCTTCATTACATGGTAAAATAAGAGCAACAACAAAATAATCAATATTTTCATAATTATTATTTTTGCTAGATATAAAATTTATTACGAAGCTTATACACACAGAAGACAAAGGGTACTTTTCGATACTTTTCTATACAACAGTTTATGCATTATAACAAATAATCCAAAGTGTTGTCCGTTCACTTACTATACTGAAATCGCTGATCAATAGTCTAGTAAATAAAAGAGTTTTTTTATATTCTTGAAAAAAAGTCTCTAGAAATCGGGACCGCCCAAAACATCAAGATCCAATTACATCTCCCTCTTGAATCTGGTCATATGGTCCTAATTATCGGGTAAACTAATACCGAAGAAATCAATTTCTATTGGCAGCCAAATCTGAATGTTCCTTTTTTGTTAGCTTGTTTTTGTTCGTTAATTTTACTTTTTGTACTATACAAATGTTCAGCAGAACTCACATGTCTTCCGATGACTTTGACTTATTGGATGTGATTGATCTAGATCTTGTCTCAAATAGCGGGTCTGCCGTATGGCATACAGAGAGAAAGACACTACCTCTGGATCAATCGGCGACTAGATACAATATAACACTGGATAGTGTTACTGATGAGGAATTACAACGTTTAACTCGATCTCTTATCACTCCAGTCCCTTTTCAAAAAAATCAAGATTGTGAAAAAGAGACTCAAGTTCCTTCTGGCTCTTCGGGTCGGCAAACTACTTCGTCAAAAAGTAACTCTTTACATCAAATTCCTTCCTTGCGAAGTGAAAGTGTTACTCTTTTCAAACGTTTGAACAATGGTATTACTATTATCACTAGTACTTGACGTTGTTTTTCTTTTTTTTTTTTTTTTTTTTGTTATTAAAAGAGATTTGTTCCTGATTTATAGATGATGCGGTATCCGTTGATTTTGCCAATGACTTGAACGAATTTATTGATCCCATCTTACTAGAAGGAGTAATCTCGCGGCCTGTAAGCAGAGTTCCAACAAAAAGGTAAACTTCTAAAATTTTTAATAAATAAATGTATATAAAGTGTAGAAATATAAAGTTCACCGGTTAGTATTATGCAAAGTGTATCAGGAGACCGCCCAAAGGCAACGGCTAACGATCATCACGATCTCAGCAGCAGCGGTGTACAAAGCAGTAGGCGGAAATACTCTCTGGATTCAATTCCAACCTCGTCTTCTGGTATCAAAAATGAGATGTGGATAAATCAAGAAACATTATTAGATGATATCAAGCAGCGAAACGATCTTGATATAGGAATACGCCAAATTGATCAACAAAATAATCATCATTCAGTTTCGAACAACAACTTAAAAACTGAAAAGTATTTGCCCTTAAAAGAGAGAGAGGTAAATTCACGGATTATGGACCATCAACGATTATTAGAACCCAAACGACATAGCGTGGATGCTGAAATGTTACTAGCTCTTCGACGAGACAGTGACGCTTTACTGAACCGACGACGATCCTTATTAAAGCTTCAAACCATAACAAACTCAGATTATAATAATGGATCTCGCGATATAACAGAAATACCGACGTCTATGTTCAACACTGTCGATCGTAATAAACCTTTATCTCTACATACCATTCCATCGTCCCCAACTAGAGGTGATATGTTGTCAGCGAAAACAATGACTGGTGCACGCGAATATCATCCTCAGTATGAGGACAAGGACAAGACTGAATTTATAAGCAATAATGATAAATCACCGTCTGGATTTGTTCATAGTTATCCCCGACTGTATATGAATACAAGTGATAACAGCAGCAAGAGAACACGGTCTATTTCATATCCTTATCAAGGCAAAAAAAGTGAAAGCAGTGTTCATGTTATCCGCGATAAGAACTGGAGTACAGGCAAGTATATTTATAAATAAATACAGCACAAGTCTTCGAACATTGCAAAATTAAGATCAAGTATACTTCATTTTGAGCCAGGCACCTCAACGCATAAAACAAACATCCTGGGATCACCTGTGGTCTTTTCTTCTTGTAAAGATCAAGTAGATATATCTTCCATCCAGGAAGATTTAGCATTACGACAGCCGAAATCTTTGGAAAAATTACATTTGCCATCATCAACAGAACCGTATTATGACGATGAAACATTTCGAAAGGACTGGCATGCTTTTCATATGGACAAAGGTAAAAAAATAATTTACGGTAAAAAGAATATGAGTAATTATTTTTGTTTTCACCTTGGATTGCCTTTTTTTTTCCTTCATGCAGAAAAAGATGTTAGACGTCATACGAAATTGCAAAGCCGTTTATTGGACTCGTCGAAATATGGGAAAATCAATGATCAATCCTTTGAAAAATCGGAACACGATAACCAAAAGCAAATACAAGGGATACCTTACAAAAACGAACATGTATCACTCGCAGGCAAAAGGAGAGCAATTGCCCAGGTAAATGTAAAGACTTTTCATGAATATTACATCTCCTTAAGTGATATTTAATCCTTTTATTTTTGAACATTATGTTATTTTATAGATTTCAACTATTGATGGAGAAATGAAGAAAAACAATGGAAAGCAATCACTTCGTTCGGTGACGGATTCAGCAAAAGATGTTCTTGCCAGTATTCGCCAGCGACGCAAAGTAAACAAAATGGAAGACTACTCTTATCGTCACGTTACATCTAGTACGACTGACGATCGATCTGGTGGATCAACGATAGATAATGAATTTCAAAGGTTACAAATATCTACCCAGAAACAATCTAGGGAACCCAAGACTGAGTCATCAAAAGCAACTGACAGTACTCGACTTGTAGATAAAAAGGTACGGAATAGCGACGTTTTTGTCCCAGCAAGGCATCAGTATCAATCGGCCCACCAAGCAAATTCAAGCAAGCTCCATAAATTTAGCCAGAGTAGGCGATGGAGCAGTACACTTCCATTAGCAAGCGGTTCGTATCGTGCAGCATCTATGAAAAGTCCTCATGAAACTCAAAATAGAACGAGAAGTACCACCAACTATGATCAGGAAAGGCATATCTATACAGCCAGAAAATCTGCATTAGATAGAGGCAAAGGTAAACAAGCCAAAATGTTCTGTTATATATATATATATATATATATATATATATATTCACACCTTCTGTTTTATATCTACTGTAGATCGATATGTGGCCATGCTTGGTAAACCTCCTTCCATAAAATGATGATATATGTATTTAAATACTTCTACAATAAAACATTTTTTTGGATAATGTAAAACTATATATAGTTTTTAAAAAGAAATATCTTTATTTTATGTCGGTTATAATTATTTTTATGATGCCATTCCCACCATTTTTCGCCAATTCAAAGGCATTCACACTATTTTCTAGTTTAAATCGATGAGATACCAGAGATGATAAATTGATACGACCTTGCTCTACAAGAGTAATGGCTTTTTTATGAACATTAGCATAACGGAAGTTTCCCCGTATATCAACCTCCCTTGTTGTTATGATATCGGTCGGCATTAATGTTTTGTCTCGACCAAGTCCAATAAGCATGACTGTACCGCCTCGTTGTACTACATACATTGAAAGCATGATACATTCTGCAACACCAGTGCATTCAAAAACCACATCTGCAAAATTATCAGAGTCATCATTACTAAGATCGCGGAGAAAATGGATGGCATTGTCTTGTGCCCAAGTGATAGTATCCTCTGCATTTTGGAATTTGATCTTGGGAAGTAAAACAACTCTGACACCATTAGGTAAATATTTTTTTGCAAAATCAAGACGATCTTGGTTAATATCGAAAATGGTGCAATTGACTGCTCCTTTGACAAATGCAACCGCTGCTGTCAACAACCCTACAGGCCCTGCGCCAAATACATGCACAGTAGATCCGACTTTGATTGGAGTTCTTTCGACTGAGTGAAGAGCGACAGCTAAAGGTTCAATAAGTGCACCATCATCAAACGACATATTATCAGGTAGGCTTTAAACAAAAATGAGAAGAACAAAGTAAAAAAAAAAAATGGAGTTGAATGATTTTTTTTTTCTTTTTACCGATGACATAAATTCTCAGGGAAGCAGGCGTATCTACAAAGTGATCCATCATTGGGACCTTGTAGTAGAGATGATGAAAACTTCATTTTTGGACAAAGATTATAGCGACCTTGGCAACAATAAGAGCAAACACCGCATGACCTTCCTGGTTCTATTACCACTCGATCTCCAACCTTAAGTTTAGTCGTATCATCACCAATAGATACAACAATACCAGCAGATTCATGTCCTAAAATCATTGGCTTCGAGCTGTCAATACGTCGAGGCCCTAACCCACCATCTAAATAGTAATGCAAGTCGCTCCCACATATTCCAGTTGCTTTTATACGGAGCAATACCTCTATGAAAATGACAATGATAGAACAATGAACTATAAATTTACCTTGTGCGCTGAATCTTACCTCCCGCCTGAGGTTGAGGGATAGGTCGTTTCTCCTAGAAAGTACAAACTCATGTATGTAAGTAGGCATAAACAGACCTGAGCCCAAATAGATAAATAATTTACCACACGTAAGTCATGAGCACCATAGAGAACAGCTGCAATATTTTCGTCTTTGGTTTTGAAGGTCATTGTCGAAAGTGTTAGGAAAAAAGGGTCTCAGTCATGGTTCCTTTTTTTTTTGTTTTATTTTATAGGTGCAAATAGAGCAACTAATGCGTCGTACGAAGTAACTACAAAAACTTTAAAAAACTTCCCACACCAATAGGGGATTTAAGTAAAGTCGCGGAATTTTGGTTGGGTCAAGTTAAAGCTTAATGTCAATGAATCAAAAAAGATGGCTAGATCAATACTTTTGTTTTCCCTTAAAAAATATATTGTGGCATGAAATAAGCATGCTATTTTCTTTGAGGATGATGAGTCAGAGAACACGGATAGAGAGAATAAAATCATTTATCACTTGTACTCAAATTGATTTGTTGATAATTGTGAAAAGCTGCACAATGCGCTATTGCCCTGCTACGGTTTATTGTCTTTTGAGTTGAGAGGAGTACACCTCTACTTTTTGTCAGAAGCCTTCAAGTGGACAAGTCGATAATCCTTCAAACTCAGCATATGTTCATGTTCATGCGAAATGTAAGCATGAGTCATGAATCGATTTGACATAATCAACTATAAATCATTCCATCATCATTCATCATTTGCAGTTCATCTGTCATTATCCAACATAAATGAGACAAAACAAGACGAGAGAAAAGTGAAGGAAAGAATTATTTATGGAGTTGTAAATGATGAAACGTCAGATTATAGTTTATTATTGAATAAAAACAATACAGATAGAATAAAAGATTAGAATAATTTCGAATAAATAATAAAAACAATCAATACTACGAGAATAAGAATGATTGCACCCGTGATCACTTTGTTTGTGGCCATACTATAAATTGAATTGTAGTATAATAGACGAGATGCGTTAGTGAATATCTATTTCATTACTTGCGATTGATGATTTTTAACGTTCTTTACCGACGAGCCATTGTCTTGAGGGTCCGAGTTGCTTTATCAATATGAGTATCGGCCTCTGCAAGCTAAAATTCGAATATTTGGGTTTGTATGGATTAGTTATTTATGGCCTTGTTGTAATATAATATAATATATATACTTACTGTATCTCTTGCCCGTGTCATAGTTTCTCTTTGACCTTTCAAAGTAGATAATATACTGGCACCAATGCCTTCAGTTTCCAATGCCATACGATGACTTTGTTCTAACCGTCGACTTGATTCACCTAAACGGTCCGTTCCACTGAGTAAGCGTTGCCGTTGATCCATAGATGCTGCATCATAGTCTTCTGCTTGATGTTGACTTTCCAAATCGCCGAGCAATTCTTGTCGTTGATAATTGGTCTTACTAGCAGTTAACCGTCTCTATACAAATATGATATTGATAAGAAGAAATGTTTAATATTCTGCTCACTTACCAAATCTCGCTTTAATTTTTCATGGTCTGCTTTTCCAAGTCGTAATTGAGCTTGAAGACGAGTACGTGAAGGTGTAGGTATATTTAATAATTCCATATCTAGTTGTCCTAACTTCATTTGTTCATAAAAAAAAAAGGAAAAATAGTGAGGATACAGTTGTTTTAACAAAAGAGAAAAAAAATTCCATATCCATTTACAATTTCATCCGCTTCATCTAGTTCTCGTTCAGCAGCACTAATTGTATTTTTCCGTTCATCTAAAGACAGAAAAAAAAAAGTTGGAGACAAGACCTCAGGTAGGTAAGAAGACAAAAAAGAAAAACTTTCTTTTCTCATTTTTGTACTTTTTTATACGTACCTCCTGTTTGATTAGGTATTTGTTGATCAAGTTTATTTTGTATTGATTGATGAAGTGTTTGAAACTCCTGTTGATAGTTGATAAAAAGTTGAGATTCACCTGTGTTGGACGTCATGCTGGAAAAAAAAAAAAGAAAAAAGTACAAAGAAATGGGAAGAAGCAGGATGTATTTTTTTGTAAATTGTTCTGAATTTGAAATCATATTGTACCTTGAGGATCACGTGTGCAGATATATTTTTCGTCAACTTGGATTGTATCTTGGGACCTCGTGCTATATGTAAACATAGCTGGTTTTTTTTTTCTTCTTCTTTCTACTTGTCCCCTTTTTCGTTTTCCTCTCGGGAAGACTTTCTTTTTTTTTTTTTTTTTTTTTTTTTTTACCAATAAACCTTATCACTTTTACGACCTATATCCTTAACTCATATCTTAAGCAATAATACACCATGCAGAACGCTGATATTGAAATAATCACCGTAAGTTTCATAAATAAAAAACAGAAAAAAAAAAAAAAAAAAAAAAAAAGAGAAAAAAAAAAACTCGAAAATAGAAAATAATCGCAAGAGAACGGACGACTTTTCTTTGGATGATAGGTCACCAATGCAAAAGAGCTGGATACCATGTTCACAAAGATGATCACACTTTTCAAAGACAAAGAAACAGAACATAACTGGGAAACACGACATAAAGATATTATTCGACTTCGTGGATTAATACGTGGGAATGGACCTGAAAAATTTCTTGATATTATTGTAAACGGAATAAGACTGATGGTAGATGGTATCACTAAATCTGTAAGCTTTATTTTTTTAAAAAAAGAAAAAGTGATCATAGGGGTAAAAGAATAAGAGACTCAAAATACGAAAAACTTTTCTTTTTATTCTATTTTCAAGACAGAAAGTCTTCGTACAACACTTGTATTGGATGCGTTACATTTAGTGGCAGATATAGGAACGTATTTACCGCGATCATTGGATGCATATATGTATGATCAATTCCTAAATAGTCTGATCCGAGCCACAAGTGTCGCCAAGAGGATCGTCGCATTTCAAGCTAAAGATTCTATGATTGAGTTTTTACTTCATGCCAATTATTATCCTAAAACACCACATCTGTTCTGGTTAGCTATGAATGAAAAAAATAATCAAGTACGCCACTTTGTTGTATTGTATGTCAAGGCTATGTTACAAGCACATGCTTCAAAAGAACAGGTACGCCATAGTATGGATCGTTCGGGAGGTACAGATCTCATTGGTAAAATCATGGAAAAAGGTTTGGTTGATGCTGCACCCATCGTACGAGAAACCTGTCGTGAACCATTTTGGTTCTTTTGGCATTTTTGGCAAGATCGTGGTGACGCCTTACTCCGTCAATTATCTCCGTCTATTCGAAAACCATTGGAAAAATCAAAATCATCTGCTTTGGCTGCGCTTACTGCTCCTTCTTCCACAATTCACAGTCCATCTCAATCCATAAATTCTATGAACCATCAACACCATTCTGTTTCTCCATCTTCATCTAATACGTCTACAGGCTCATTGGAGTCATCTTTACCAGCAAAATCAAGACATATCAGTTCCAATTATCAGATCAATAACAGTAATGTAACATCAGGTTTACAAAAACGATCCATGTCTCCTTCATTAAGAAGCACATCACCACTCGTATTCCGTCATCCTACCACCACTACACCGATTTCTAGTACCGCGTTGCCTCATCCTTCTTCAAATCATCTTGGTCATTCTCCAGCAACCACAACGACGACAACGACAACAACGCAATTACGGAAGTCCCGTGTCCCAGGGTTATCACGGAAAAAGTCTATGCTCAGTGTGAAAAGAAATCAAAGTATTTTGACCTTGCTTCAACAGGATGATCTGGCGTTACGTGTAGAAGGATTACAGGCTTTGGCTCGGAAATTGACACCGTATACAGATTATCCAGTTGAGTTGGCTACAATTCAAGTGGATGTAGGTGGAGGTGCTAATGCATATATGGTCGATGGAGCCACATTTCAGTCTGTTATATTGACTTTACTTGCATCTTCTTCGACAAATGTCAAATTATATGAAGCATTATCAACCTGGGATAGTGTATTGGGAATCATGTTGAAATTAGTTCCTTTTGATGATTATCTTCCAAAAATCATGTTAGATTGTGCTGTCGAACAACAACAACAGCCACAACAAAGTGTACTATTGGCTCAGAAAAAGGATGATGATTGGATTAGATATACAAGTGCATCAAGGGCATGGGCTAGGAGTAAATGGTATCTAAAACGTCATGATCCTGATTTGGCCGACAAAATCTATAACGGACTGGCAGCTCTTGATGGATCTCAGCATTATTCTCATCATAGCACTACGATGATCAGAAAAAAACAAACCCTACGACCTTTAGAAAGAAGAAAACTAACAAGACAATGGTTGGTATGGATGGATGAACTTGTCTTGAGCGTGATTGGATTGGACAATGAAGACGAAGATGGAAATAGTGGCGATAATCCATGGTTATCCGAAGAGAATGAAGATCCTGTTCTCATTCGACATGGTCTTGGCAAAGCTTATTGGCAACGTCAACGTGATCAGGAACAACAAAGTAACGAAAATAATACGAATATTGGTGATACGAATGAAATCAACCATCATCATCATCTCAACAGTAATAACGATAGTAAAAACGTAGCCTCTTCTTGGTTTGAATCAGATGCCAATGTTCGACAATGTTTACATTTATTATTACCTCTATTATCAACCTCAGCACCTGGCTCTCTTTGGCATGATCCTTTGGTGACTTTGGTAGGGCATTTGAGACTTGTCAATCAAAAATTATTTGATATGTTGGTTGGGACATTGGATGAAGCTGCCGCCTCCAAAATTAGTCGAGTACTTGGTATTCATCTACGTGTTGTCTTTACACCACCTACAGCAACCGTTCTATCACCTCCACGCACTAGCGACATCAATGATGATGGTGTTATGAATGTTGATGAAATGGAAGGTCCTACGTTGGATAATAAAGACGTTGATGACGATAAAGATTCCAACGAACAATCATTTTTATCACAGGTAGAAAAGTCAACACTTGAAAGAGAAGAAGTTAGTCTGATAAACCAACCAGCACCTAAGGAATTGGAACACAAGACTGAAGAACAAAACGGAAACAATGAGATCATTGATGACGGTACCGTATTACCCACTGTTTCTTCTTCTTCTTCTTCCTCCTTATTACAGCAAGATGTCCCTAAAGCTGAACATATGAATGAAGAACCAATATCAAATAGACAAGAGTCTACCGCATGTACTACGCTATTGGCAACTTCACTCATAGGAGAGGCAGACGGGACTTTGACTCCTTCAACATCTCCTCCGCCACCCGCAACGACAAATACGATATCCACATCTACAGTTACTGAGTTCAATGATAATAATGATAATGATAATGATTCTTTGACTGCTCTTCGTATTCCATCACCAGTAAGTATCTTTTTTTTTCTTCTTTTTTGATACTTTGAACAAAAGCAAAATAATGATGCTGATTCCTTTGATAGATACCCACTTCAATTCCGCTAGCATCTACCCAAGCTAAAGAGGCTGAAGCCAAACAAGAAGCATCTGCTTCTGATGATTATGATCATGTTCCTTCATTTGACACTCCTGTAACACCAGATCCGGTAATTAAAAAAAAAAGAAAGAAAGAAAGAAAGAAAGAAAGAAAAAAAAAAAGACTCAATGTTGAAAGGAAATTAATATATATATATTCATTTTTTAAACATTAGACCACAACATCCTTACCAAACGAAGGACAGGAAGATCAAAGTAAGAAAGGTGGAGAAAATGATAGCAATGACAGCATGCCTACACATGTCCCATACTTTGCTCCCAGTGTAATCAGTAATGATGTGTTACCAGTGTTTGACAACAATCATCGCAGTGAAGGAAATGCCAAAGATAAATCAGCATTACTGTATCAATTGATTGATAAATTGAAACAGCATCTTGAGTCGACCGGGAATGACACAGCGCAGTCGCAACATCATCAACACATTGCTATATTTCGAAAACTCATGCGACTATCCAAGGAATCACCAATTCAAAAGAAATGGGATCAAGGTGGCAACAGTGAACAAGGTGCCGACGTATGGGCATCAGCTCAAAAGGATGGTGGCAATTTTGTCGAATTGATGCAGGTTGTACTTCGCATTCTGACTTCTCCTTCCTTTCAATGTTGTACTTTATTCGTTTTAGATCTCATTCGTCAATTGGCCATGGCACAGACTGGCTTGATGCGCTTTTATGAAATGAAATTCGATCGTCATGGCATGACCTTGGAAGCTCGTTTGGTTGAGCAACTGTTAGAAAAACGTGCTGACCCTGATCCAACGGTAAAGAAAAAAAAGAAAAAGTAAAAGTAAAAGAAAACATCGATATATCTGTATATAACCATATATAGTAATGCATAAAGGGAGGGAGGCAAAAAAAAAAAAAAAAAAAGGGATATTGAATTGAAACCATGTTTCCCTTTCTCTTTTCTTTTTCGTTTTATTATTATTATTATTATTATTACTTTATTATTATTATTTTATTATTTCCTTCTCCTGCTCAATTTCTTTATTCTATATATTAAAAAAAATACTCATGTTTTTTTTTTATACATATATTGTTCTATTAGATTTGTACAGCGGCAGAAGATTCAATCGAAGCGGTGCTAGTTGACTTGGAACCTCAAACAGTATTTGATATATTTTTGGCATATCTGACACACCGACTAATGATCCTAAAACCACCTATCGAGGAAGAGAAGGATGATAATGAGAAGAAGAAAGAAAGATATGATCCTATTGGCTCTGCTTATACGTTTTTGGGTCAAAGTGTATCACAAGTAAACAACACAATGTTTGTTGAAGAATGGTTAACTCGTGGAGGAGTTGCAGTATTTATCAAGGGATTAAACGACTCTCAGATTCAAGTTAGGAAATCATGCGTTTATGCCATAGTTGAATTTCAAGAAATTCTCGGTGATGATTTGTATTTATTTTTGGGAGATCTTCGTGAAGATCAATTGAATCTAGTAAAGCATTATGTTAACAAATCTTTGAAGAAAAAAGCAAGTCTTCGTCAACTTTGTGCAAATGGCCAACTAAGATAATACCCATACAAAAAAAAAAAAAAAAAAGAAAATAAGTCTAACCCCTTCTTCTATAATATACATATTAGTTTTTTCTGTTTTTAATAAAAATATCGTATAAATATAAATATATCTTATTATTTAGCTTTGACCACAGACATAAATATAGAAGCACGCTTCTGCATCCATTCATGTTTCTTTCATTCTTCCCCTTTTTTTTTTTTTTTTTTTTTTTTGTTTCTTAGTACCCTCCCCCCGCCGACTTTTTTTTTTCACTTTCTTTACTTTGACAGTTGTGTTTAATTCCGTCCATTTTTCCCCTTTTGTACCTTCCCCTTCACTTTTTTGATATAAGGATCCTCCGTTTTCACTTTTTCCCAAATAGAGAACTATCACCATTACTCTTTTTCCAATGAAATCGATCGTTTTTTCATTTACCGATTGATTTTATTATTTCATTAAACAAAAAATCAATCTGAAGCCCTATTTTTCCCTTTTTGTTTTCATGTATTTAAAAAAATCTCTTCTTTATATATATATACATATATATATATTTCCCTTCTTTCTCTTCTTTTTCTTTCATTCCTTCTCTCTCTTTTTTTTTATTTTTATTTTTTTTTTCTCAGTATTCCTTCGTTCTTACCTTCCTTTACAAATTGCCACTTCTCTCTTTTTTTTTCCCCTGGTCTTTTAATTACTATGCTTGCTTGTACACATGATCTTTTCTTCAATCAAGAATATAATTCAAACAATGGCTATCCCGCACGTTTACCGCTTCCTTCCAAAGAAAAAGATGAGGTATATACAAATAAAACTGATATATAGGTTGTAACACTTTTTATTTATTTATTTATTTGTTATGCTGGATGTACTTCCCTTTTGTAGCAAGTCTGGCCACCTGATGTAGAAACTGCCTTTATTCAAGGTAAGCGAATACAATACAACAGCAATATCTACTACACACATGTTCTATTAAATATCTATTAACTTAAATTATTAATATTATCCCATTTTTTTTTCTCTACTTGTAGCCTTGGAAACCATTCCAAAATTAGGCCGAAGAAAAATTCTGGTGAATGGGAAACCTTGTGGTCGAAATGAATTGATTTCTGATTTTATTTTTCGGAAAACTGGCAAACTGAGGACAAGAAAACAAGTCTCCTCTCATATACAGGTGTTGAAAAATACTCGAAAAAATGATCCTCATTGTAAAGTCTTATTAAATTTTTTCGTTATCAATAACATTTCATACTTACTTTTCTTTTCCGGATTATAGTTATGCGGCTTTTAACTGATGCTAGCCAAGAAAATGATATGATGATGGATCCTGTTTTAGATCATACCAGTAACAACGCATTGATGTTTTATCATCCACCACCATCTGCCCATTCTTCTTCTTTCCATCGACCGTCATCTACTTCTGGAGGAATGGTCATGACAGCACCCCTTTCCTCATCATCATCATCATCTACTTCTTCATCTGATTGGATGATATACTATGATGGTTCTATGATGCCCCTTGCTCTTAATTCACCGACTTCAATGTACCCTTCCTACTATCCATCGGGACACAATAACACCAATAATAATAATAATAATAGTAATAATAATAATAATAATAATAATAACGGAAATATGATGATGTCCCCAGTCACATCTGTCCCTTCTTATTATTTTAACAATGCAAACAACGCCTGTAATGATCAACAACAACAACAACTACTACAACAGCGTACACCATCTCCATCGATCATACCGTTTTTCCCTTCATCCACAACACCTTATTTTCAACTCTGGCCAACATATACCAGTTTCTATATGGAATACTCTACTCCCCATGCTAATAACAATAACAATACGATCAAGACAGAACCTCAAAACTATGACACAACACCGTTCCGTACAGGTGATGAGTCTGCAACGGTCAATCATACTACTAGTAGCCGATATATCCTATTACAGAGTCATCATTCGTCTCCTAACACATGGATGGTCAAGGATCCTGGCACCTTACGGTTGAAATGTCCTTGGCAAGATCTTCAACATTTATTAGTCCGACTTCCACCCAGTTGTCCTTTCCTATACCATTGCATTACATTAGACATTCAATTAGATATGATTTTGGATAAATCAGTCTTCCAAAATACGAGTGTTTATCAAGCACGCGAGCGAGGCCGGGCTTTGGAATGTATTACGACAGTTTATTCATTTGGCATGCGTGTGCTTGAAACTAAGGAAACACCTTCGCCGTCGTCGACATTGTCATCATCCCTCGAGTCGCTGGACGACATGTATCAATTTTCATTCATCAATCCGTTCTTCGATGCATTTTTGAAAGGTATTCGCTCGTTGCCTTCTTGGGATGAAATCCACATTGCCTTGGATCATCTATGTGTAATACAGGTGTTTGAAGATCTACATACAAAAGAGCCTTTGCTGGCGGTATTGATTGATTTTCGACATCGTTCACGTACTAATTGTGATATTGCTAGTCAGAATGATCCTTTAGATCTCATGCTTTTAGCACGCCCTCCGTCTTCAATGGTCAACAATTAAAATGAAAATTTCAATTTTTATGCTCCTTCCCCCCTCTTTCTCTCTTTTTAATTTTTCTATTCCTTTTTTTATATATGTAGATTTTGATATCTTCGTTTTTTTTTTCTCAATTCAGATCTTCCTTTTGTTTATACTTTATATTGCGATCCTTTACACTCTCCTATTTCACATTTCTCTTTGAAAGAGAAATAAAAGGCACCCTCACAAACACACATACATATATATACAATCATCATTCATGAAACACTTTTTTCTTTCTTTCTTATTTCACTATTAAGGAGAGACAGAAAAAAAAAGATCATAGCATTTTTCAATCAAATATATAAAGTGAAATAATTATGCTATTAAATTTAACAATAAATATGACTTAAAATATATAAATATGTCAGGATAAGAAAATCAAGGAGATGGTAGAATTGTTTCTTTTGTACAAAAGGAATGGTTCATGACTTCCAAAAAGCATTGGTCACATACTCTATTCCAAGTACAAGTCCATGAAGTCTTCTCTTCATTTTTATCATGAGAAGAGTTTAATTTGCAGCTTTGATGATAAAGAGGCAACTGATGTCTACTATGCTGATGACAAAGGAGTTTTCCACATCTGATGAATGAAATTTAGAGGGCTGAGTATTTTTCTATTTTCTGATTCCAAGTATTTTTTTTTTTTCTTAAAGTTACCTTCGACAATGATGTCGTCGAACAATAAAAGAGAATAAAACTCCACAGAGTTGGCAATGTTGGCGAGCATGATCAGGTATCCAATGATGCCTTGGTAGATACATTATATGCCGTCTTTGAATACACCTGATATTGTCGTTATCAATACTAACATCAATCATATTATTATCATTGATATCACTAATACAAGAAGACGTCGAAAACAATGGAGCGACTTTTGTTTTTTTCTTCTTACTGTTATCATTGTTGTTGTTGTTGTTGTTGTTGTTGCCTTTGTTACGTTTGGGTGGATGAATGACATGACCTGTTCCGATACCATCACCCACACACATGCCAACTTTGTACTTCATCGATTGTACACAATCCTCCATTTCTTCTAGTCCAAGTAGATCCGCAATTGAACGTGTGAAGTCCCATCGATTAGGTGCTGTCAGTTCTGGTTCCAAGGATAGGGAATGATCGTCAAAAGCAGATGATGATATCGATGATGATGACGATGATGATGATGATGATGATGATGAAGAAGAAGATAAAGTACACTGTCGGTCTGCATCCTCTTCAACATCTTTGTACTGCTGTTCAAGTTCTGTTAACATATCTTGCAAGGTATCAGTCATAAACACTTGTTGTTCATATAATTGTACGCATTGATGGATCTGGTCATGATACCATGATATCATTCCTTTATCCTCTTGTTCTTGTTCTTCTTGTCCTGAAAATTCAGACTTTGGAGATGGATGATTCAACAAAACAGCTCGGAATTGTCTTTCGGAGGCTAAATGGGATGCTGATAACTGTTCCATGGTTTCCGCAAGTGTAATACATGAAGTGATCAATTCCACTGTTTTTATAGCTGTCTTATCCTCTTCATCTCCCTGCAGAGAATGTTGATTGTGATGTTTTCGTATCATGATTTCTGAAATTGTATCTAAACGTGCCTGGATAAGCTGATTGGTGATGGTGAATAGCAGCACGGGTAAATGATGATGGGTGTTGATTGGCATATCAGTAATCAGATTTGATGTAGATCCTGTCTCTGCTGTCAATGCCAGTACAGACGATGATGGTGATTCTTGTTGTGATGATGATACAGTTGTTTGACGATATTCCTGATCTTTATCGAGATGCCTGGAGACGGAAGATGAAGAGTGTCGGATGCCCAATTTTACATTTGAATGAGTGGTAGGAGAAGCTGATGATGAACTTAGAGAGGCAAATGGAGTTATGTTCGTCAAGCCGTTGACTTTGGCATAGAGTATTTCCAGATCATCAATATGTGGATCCCACGATAATGAAGATGAAATAGGATAGTTTATGGATTTTGTCTGCCGCGGAGATGGCATTATTGTTTGTTGAGGAAGACGATAGTTATCATGATCTTCTTCTTTGCTATTGTGAGCAAATGTGGAGCCCAAGTTTGTGGAGTGTCGACGTGATTTTGCGTAGACTTTACTTTTAGATGAATGTGCTTTTTCATATAAACGACTGGAGAACATGGTAGGACAATCGAAAAGAGTGTATGAACAATGTCTGAGAAAGGTGGGAAAAAGAAGTTGAGATATGCCGTGAAACTAAACTTGGTACTGTAGAGGTTACACAGAAACATCCTCATCCCATGATGATGTACGTGACTAGAATGTAGGAAGAGATGACTCTCTCTTTCTTTTGATTTTCGATAAAGGATAAAATATCATTTTACAAGATGACTGATGAACGCTATGAAAATAGATCTATTTTTTTTTTTTTTTTTTGGAGTTTGAGCTTCATGATCAATCTTTGTCGATCTATATATTATTGATCAGGAGAGATTTTTTCATTGGTCAATCTCTAAACTATCAATTTCAAATGAATTTCCATCTTTAGCTTACTTTGATAGGTCAAAATCATGGCACAATCAAATCGATAAAATATCAATACCGTTGATTTTCTTTATTATATGATATTTTTTGAATATATAAAAAAAAAGAGAGAATCAGAGAGAGTGTGTGTGTGTTTGAGTGAAAGAGAGAGAAAGAGAGAGAGAGAAAAAAAAGGGAAAACAATAAAACTAGATTATAAGTGATATGATATAATATATAGGGAGATAAAGAAAAGGTGCAGAAAAAAAAAAGAAAGAAAAAAAGTTATGTTTTGCATGTGTGTGCCTGGGGAGAGGAAGTAATAAAGACGTAAGTAATAAGAAAGAAAAAAAGAATAAATAACTAAATGAAGACATAAGGAATCTTGTCATACCATCAAGTTGCCAACTAATTCATCATTCATCGGCCAATTGAGCTTGAGCCAATCTTGCTTCCAAGTTTCGTAGTGCTTCTTCCTTGCTTAATAGTTCAGCTCTCTTTTCTTGGATTTCGCGTTGTACCTTCAATTCAATTTCACGGAGCTATATGAATCCAAAAATTAAAAATAAAAGAAAAGAAAGAGAGTTAAATCCATCATTTTCCAGTTGATCATAAGAAAATAGAATACATTACCTTTTCTTCCTCCTTTCGTAGTTGTTCTTCCTTAAGTCGAACACTTTGACTAGCCATATCTTCAGCATTCAAAGAAGCATCTCTATAAAATTTACCAAAGAAAAAAGAAGAAGAAAAAGTGAGTTGAATTAAATGATCTTCAATAAAATCAATAAAAATATTCATGTTTGAGATAACTTTACTCTTGATCTCCACCATTCACAGTACGAGATAACTTTTCAGTACGATAGTTTTCATACAAAAAGTCATGAGTAATTTCCTTGAGATCTTGTAAATGAGAACTAAGTAAGGCAGATCGCAAACGACCAAAATCGGAATGTTGAGGGTTATCGACTTCAACAGCACCCCAAGGATATTGACGGCCTCGTACAGTACGACCATTGACCACGATTTCTTCATCACTACCAATGATGGCGAAAGGCAAAAGAGCCTATAGAATTAAATATCAATAGATTAGTATCATTATGTAAGCATGGAAAATGATTCTTCCTTACTCTGAGTTCACTGTTTTCTTCGATGGTATCTTCATCATCTTCTTCAACGTCATAAGGGAAATTGTAAATAGGAATATTGTAATGTTCGATATCTTCCATGATCTATTAAAAAAAATTAGATTTGTTTTTTCTTTATTTATTTATTAAATACAAAACTTACTCTTTTCTTGAATTCCTTGAGTTCTTGAGGAGTTAAAGAATCAGCACGACCAACAACAGGAATCACATTAACACGAGGACTTAATCGACGCATCAATTCAATATCAATTTCACGTAACGCATGACCAGTAGGAGAGATAAAGTAAAGAAGAGAATGAACACGATTATCACGGAAACGAGGATTACGTTTAATACGAGATTCTTCAGCAAGAATATCATCATATTGTCTTTCCAAATAACCAACAATTTCTTGAAAACTAATAAAAAAAAAAAAAAAAATACCAAAAAAGGAAGATGAGCATTCAAAAAAAAAAAAAAAAAAAGATAAATAAATAAATAAAAAGTTACCATCTTTCATTGTCAATATTATCACCGAAACCAGGAGTATCCACAATAGTCAAAGAGATACTATATGATAACATTTAAAAAAAAAAAGAGTTGATTTTTCATTCTCCTTATCTAGAATATAAAAGTTATTACCGAACACCATCTTCATCCAATTCTAATCAATAAAATAAAAAATAAATATAAATATTATTATATATTATTATATATTATTATGATATATTATTATTATTATTATTACCAACTGATACAGGTTTGATATTAATACCAGGTTCATTATGAGCTTCTTCAGGATTATCACATATTTGTTGTTCAAGAACACCCGAATTACAAAGAGTATTCACAAAGGTAGTACGACCAGTACCAGACGCGCCTAATATAATATAAATATATTAATGATGATGATGATGATAATAATAATAATAAATATTTCCTTACCGACAACCATAAGGGTAAATTGAAACCCTTTCTTCACATTTTTTCTACGACCACCTAGTCTCTAAATAATAAATAAATAAATAAAGAAAATAAAATAAATAAAAAAAGATAAAAACTTTTATCATCATCTATATATTATAACTAATAAAGATGATGATGAAAATTATAATAAGTGACTTACATGAGCCATATTTTCAATAAAATAATATCAAAAAGGAAAGGTTGGTTTTGTTAAAATGGAATGTAAAAAAAAAAAGAAATCAAATAAGAAAGAAAACAAAAGAAAAAAAAAGAAGGAAAGAAAATATATATATGTTTATATATATATATAAAAAGGAGGAAAAAAAAAAAAGAAGTTGAGAACGAGAAGGGGAAGAAAGAGGAGAGGGAAAGGGGGGAGAAAGACAGAGAGAGAGAGAGAAAGAGAGAAAAATGTGCAATACAGAAAAGGATCTAAGGCTTTTGATTGGCTAATTAACAAATTCATTTTTATACTCCGTTATTGTCTTTTTCTTTTTTTTTTTTTTTTTTTTTGAATGATTGTGGATCTTTTGCTTTGAACTGGCACTTAAGCAAAGTAAATAAATTTCCACCTGAATTTCAATTCTGACCTTTTTCTTTTCACGTGATAACTTTTTTTTAACTTTTTTTTTTTGAATTTCTTTTTTTTTTTCTTTCTGTTTTTATTCTTTTTTTTTTTTGTTTATAAAATATGGATTTCCATCAACGTAAGTTGGAGGAAGTAAATCAACTTTATAAAGAACACGAATTAACAATAGAAAAACTCCATGCTGCTGTACGTCGAGAAATCCCTTTACTTGTTCAAGAATATCAACTTGATTTACCCCACATTAAAGCATTAGAAGACTTTGTGAATGACAAATGTAATAAAAAGTTTATTTATTTGATATTTTTCTTTTTCTTTCTTTTTTTTTTTTTTTACTTAATTTCTTCTTCTTTATTATTATTATAGTGACATTATTTCGATATTTACGAAAAAACAACTATTCATTACCAGTGGCATTATCTTTATTATTGGATACTATAAGGTGGCGATTAGAAGAACAAGTGGATAAGTTGACAATATATCATGTACAAGAACTTTTGTCTATGCCATTATGTTTTTTTCACCATCAAGATCGTTGGGGAAGACCAGTATTAGTCATTCAACTATCTCATTTTCCAAGGTTCAAAGACAATACCGATTTATTAGCCAGTGTCGTACCATTGGTCATTTTTTTGTTGGAAATTGGGCGGAAACGATTATTAGACTTGACTCGACAAAGAAAAGAACAAAATATACCGAATCCCGTCATTGCTGATCTCATTGTTTTGGTAGATTTCAAAGATGCCAATTCTCTTCCAAAGGTATTATAAGGTTATCATGATCTTTTATTATACTGAATATATTTTGTATGATTAGGATTTTACATTAGTTCAAACATTTATCAAATTATTAAAGCGATATCCAGGCACAGCTGGTATGGTCTGTTTATTGAATTTTGGATGGATGTATCAAGGTATGTGGCAAATGATCAAGGTCATTCTTTCTCAAGAAGCAAAAAATCGTGTGGCTTTCCCAAAATTAAAAGAATTGAAAAGTCTCATTGATGAAGATCATCTTATCACAGGTAAAGAAAGAAAAAAAGAAGAAGAATTATGTACAAAAACATCAATTAATTTATTATATAAACAGCATTAGGCGGAAAGGATGAATTTGAATGGAATTTGGAACAAGATACCCTTTTAATTCAATATCAAAACAAATACAATTTAGATGAAAAGGAAGAAATACCCATCTCTATGCAATCAAGTCGACGGAATTCGTCAAGCTCATTGTATTTCGATTCTATGGATATTTTCTCTACCACAACTACAGGACTATCAACTCCAACTTCATCACGACGATATCATCATCATTCTCTTGCTCCTTTGACTAAATTACATCATGAATCTAATTTACGTCCTATTTATTCAAGACGTACTTCCACCAACAGCTCTTATAGTCTCTATGCTACACCCACTGGTACGTTGACTCCTATACCTACCAACACTATTTCTGCTTCAGCATCATTAATATCTAATTCGCAACAACAACAACAACAACAATACAGTGATATTTCAAAAAAGAGTGGATTTGTGAAATCAGGTATTAACAAGTTATTTGGACAATATCATCAGCAAGGTGGTATTTCCTCTTGGGCTTTATCTCAGCGATTGATGACCTTACAACAACAACAACAGCAACAAGAACAGCAGGAAGATCGACAAACTGAAATCTCCATTGGCAAAGGACAACAGCGAAAATCATGGCTCAGGACACTTCTCAATTGGATATTATCTTTGGAAAATAAGATGGCTTTTTCGTTACTAGATCATCGATACTGGATTTACGGTCTTGTTCTTCTTTGGTTTTTGCGCAAACTTTTCGTTACTCGATTTTTATCACATCATCGTCCGTTGTATTCATCTACTTTCAAGTCTTTGATGTTACCAAAACAACAGCATCCCGTGATTAAGCTTTTACTGGCTCCTTTTCTCATGAACGACCGTGATTCCCATTGATTTTTTTTTATTTGACCTAGAAGACTATGATGTATACTTTTATTATAATATATTATGATATAAAAAAAAATATGAAATAAAATTTTATTTTCCCCTGAAATATTGATCGTTATCACTGCTTTAATCCTGTCAGGCATGAAATCAATGAGCTTATTCCAATCATCAGGTTGTAGTCAATTCCATGCTTCTATCACTATTGGCCTAAAGCTTTTCAACGTCGTTCCTGGCTCGAATTTGGCATTAACTTCATCGTTCATTTTTTTTTCCACAGATTTTCTATAGGATTGAGATCTGGTAGCTGTGCTGGCCAATCCAATTGTTATACTCCCCCGCTCTGAATCTATCTTTTTAACACAAGACTACAGTGGATAGGCGCACCATCTTCCATCAGAAAAAGATTCATCGCCAGTTTCACCAAGAACCGGTTGAGGGACTTCCTTAGACGGTGCTGACAAAATCTGATTAAAGATTAGTATGCCGTTATTGTAATCTGGGCTCATTTTCATCTCTCATACTATTATTCATTATCATCGTCATTGCTTTTATTATTATCATTATTATTACTATTATTATTCTTGTTATTATTCAATACTTATCATTTTCATTATCATCATCTTTGCATATCCTCTCTGCTTAAATCAACAGATCTGAAAACAAAATAAAGTTCGACCGAAGTTTATCCTAGTACCTCACTCCAGAAAATTATATCAGGTCACCATAAGATCAATATTATTTCTGAAGACATATATTTTAAAATTATTAGACTTTATTTCATACGAATATTCAACATTATTATTTCATATGCATCTAAGTTCGCACCATTTTTGGGTAATATTCTGGTGCGACTCAACTAATACACGTGCAGTGCCTGAACAACATTGCGCGGGATAAGCTCCAGGTACTGTGATTAATTCGTTAGATTTCTTGCAATTAGTCGTTTTCTTTTCTCCGTTCCCAAAGATAAAATTGCGTACATCTCTCATACCTCTACCCGTTTGTGTGGGCGCGCATAACCGTGTGTACGTCCAAAATTTAGCACACATTTTACCTGCATTTCCATTGGGATCTTTGTAATTCAAGCACCGAAGATCGTGATAACAATCTTTATCAGTATCGCAACTTTCGCCAAACCATTGTTCTTTCTTTTGAATCACTTCAATTGCTCCGAGATCCGCTGGACCATTTATCGTAACAGACACACCTGAATAGTCACATTCGTAAAGATCAAATCCGGCAAATTGAAACGTTTGTTTTTTCAGATCACAGTTTTGAACATTGATAGGGCTTTTTACATAGAAACGTACTCGGTAGATGAATCCTCGATTACGGGGAGGCATTTGAAATGTAGCAGTTGTACTAATATGAAGAGTTCGTCCTCCGAGTAAATAATTGAGTTCACCAATCGTTGTAGTTTTCGGATCAAAGATGTATTCTCCAGGGAATCGGATCGCATGTTCTTGATCTGTTGGAAACGCGGCTTTGTTATCGTTCTTACGATATTCGAAAAACCACGAATGTTCCTTACCAGCAGCAAGGACACGAGACAGACCATGTTGCGCAGGCGGGGCCATGGTATCATTCGTATATGCAGGACCACAGCTATTCTTGACTTTACTACCCAGGGTCTTTTCCCCAATCGTTAGTGTTGCCAAAATTCCCGGACAGGCCTTGGGACATACGAGCACACCAAAGCCTTGATAATAGAGATCCACAAAGCCCTCATGCACACTCAGATACGATACGATGATGTCTTTGGTGGCATCGATTACTGCGGGTCCCGTATACACTGAAGTAAATGAGACCAATACCGGCGGTACTGCATCACGATCTCCACCATCTTTACGATGCGTCCATGTCGTATACTGCAAATCCTTCACCAAACCTCTATACTGAGGGTCTTTGTTTTTGCTCGTTTCTACTATCGTTGAACTTACTGCACATCGCTCGTATCCACATTTTGTGTTTTTCGAATAAACGGGTCTCGTGTAAAAGATGTCCAGAGGGACACCATTGTCTGGAATCAACATGCTCCATTTGGCGGCAACATCCCAGGCATTTGTGATGATGGCTGTTTCAAACGCAAGTTGCTTTTCCACCATATTTTGCTGAATCAATGAGTTACGTTTAGTCTCATACACTCTGGTCAACTGCGTCACATATTTGTTAAGATATGATGCAAACATCTCTCGATAATTGTATTTCTTGATCCCGAGACGATCATTTCCTATGATGGCAGCATCGCGTAGAATACTTAAATGAGAGGTAGCCATGATTGCAAACATAGGTAACCCCAAATAATTTCGATCCATGTTGCCCATAATGACATTGATATGCGGTACGATGTTATTCACCTTATTTTGGTAGTACGGTGTCAACCATACGTCATTGGCTCCCGTCGGCATACTATGGTTTATCCAAAAATTATAATCATCCTTGTATGCATCTAATAAGCCTTTAACCGCTATCAATTGGCCTTGAAAGGTGCCCACAATTGCATTATCTATCTTATTGTCCATTTCTTCACGAAGTTGGTTGGCTAATCGCGCGAGACGTTGATCTTTCGAGTCGTCAGGTGAAAAGAAACTATCGATAAGGAAGCTTACCATAGCAAATCCTAATGCATATGCAGGACCTATACCGGCAAAATACGCTGTCGTTAAGCCGAACCCTGTCATGAATCCTCCTTTCATGTCCGATGGTTCATCTACTTTTGGAGCATCGCACGCAAAACAACATGATATCCACCCAAGAAAAACCAATATAGAAATCTTCATTGCTACCTAATAAAAAAGAAAGAGAGAGATAAATTCGCTTTTGAGGGTTTAGAGAAAAAAAAGAGAGAGAGATGTGCTTCAAAGGAAAAGAAATAAATCAGAATCACCCTCTTTTATACTAAATCAACTGAAATGGACGCCATTTTCTTTGCTTTATTTTGATCCTTCTTTAACTTCTCCCTTTTTTTGAAGGTAATAGTGATGAATCAATGAATAGATGTACAATGATGTAACGTACAGAGCTATTAAGCAATCAAAATGAAAATAGCCATGCTTTCTTTCCTTTTGACAACTTGTCTTTTCTTCTCAAATTCTTAGTTAACGTTCTCCCTTTTTTCAATGTTTACCAAAAAACAAATGAATCAATGAATAGATGCATAATGTTAGCCAACCAAAAGGGAAACAAATGCGGAACCATCTCCTTTTCCTCTTTATTTGTCACGTATGTCAAGTGTAATTATATGAATGAAATATGCAGCAAGTCTGAGTTTTATCTCCTATTTTTCCTCTGTGTTTTTTTTTTTTTTTTACTTTTCCTTTCTCCTCTTTTCTTCTTCTTCTTTTATCCCTTTTTTGTCCTCCTCAAAAAACATCATCCTTTGACAAAAAAATAAAAAAATAAAAACGTCGTGACATTGCGCTAACTAAAAAAATAGATTGTATTACTTCTCTAAAATAGGAAGACCAATAATCCAAAAGAAATTGTTGTATTTGTACAAGTCTTAAATAAGAACGAGACAAAACGTAGGAATTTTTATTAATAAAAACTTAGTTAAAGAGAAAAAGGAACAAGTCCTATAAAAAACTCCTTTATAAATAAACTATCAGATTACTCTGTAATCTGATCTCCACTATCGGATTATCAATATTCTAAACTCTAATTTAAATCTTTAAGTGTTGAATTACCACAGAAATAAAAAAAATTCAAGCACAACGGTGTTCTTTTCTTTTTTTTTTTTTTTCTTCTTCTGAAGATATCTTGACATTGGAACTCATTTCATAGATTTTTCGTAAAGTTAAAATCATGAAACCAAACCGATCAGATGCTTTTTCTTTTTTAATAAGGATGATGATCTAATTGTATTTTTTTGATATTCAGCATAATATTGTCGATTGAAATATAGTCTACGTAAATGATAATTGGGTTTATCATAGTGAGCTCTTTTCTTTTAATTCTCTTTTTTATAATAAATTGACTTCCAAGGTGGATCGATCTGGGGATGACAAGTGAAAGATTTTTTGTGTATGCGCGAATAGAATTTGTTAAGACAGAGAGCTATTATAAGGATGATGAATGTGATAATTCTTCAAAAAATATATTTTAGACATATACCTGCTTTATCTTTAAATTGCTTGCAAGCATAGCAGATCTGTATGAAAGAATGTATTAGAGCTATGATCTATGACAATAGAAAAAAAGAATGGCCCCTTTTTACATGTGCTAAATTTCATTGCCGTCCTCGGACATTTAAATCATTCACTACTCTTGCAAATATGGTAATAGATGTGCCTGGGGATTGAGGAAGGATGATTGTGACATGGGTGGCAAGATCACAAAAAAGATTTTTTTTTTTTATTTTCCCACTTTTCTTTCTTCCTTTCTTTTTTTCTTTAAATAATTAACCTAATTTATCTGTATTGGTAAGTAAAAGTAATTGTCTATGTTTAAAACTGTGAAGATTTTCTTTACATATATGTAAAAAGCTAGTTTTTATTCTAAATTTCATTATAGTTGCAGTATACCAATATGCCTTGTGTTGATCATGTTGAAGGATTAATGGAAAAGTTTAGTTTTATGTGGAAAGAATCAAAAAAGATTGATGAAGATATGGCACTTTCATTTGCGATTGTGGGCTCACTCTGTAAAGAAGATGGTAGCATGAAAAATAAAAAGGAATTTATTGAAGCAGTCGATACATTATACGACATGTATTTGGATTCAATCAAACTAGGACCTGAAAAAGCTGAAAAAAAATATGAGGCAATGAATAACTAACCTTTTTAACTTCGATTTACTCATATAATTGAATAAAAAGGAAACACTTTTTGAAATAAACAATCCAGTTTTCTTATGTGTTATTAATAAGTATCATAATGATGTCAACTTTATGATTTCTGTACTGTTTTTTTTTATAGAATTTTCTTTAAATTGAAGGAAAAAAATAAAGACATACCAGGGATTGAGGAAATTCTAAATCTGGCACTAAATTTATACAGTGTTTTCAAAGTTTTTTGTCGGGTCACAAGAAAATGCTTTTCGTGATGTTATCAAATAAAATATCGTACTTTCCCAAAATGAATGGCGCATTACCACTTTTTCAGATATCGCTCCAGAGATGGCGGTAGAGTACATTAAAAACACACAACACATTGATGATAACTTGTTTATTAATAATAAAAGACACAAAAGAAAAGTAACATAAGCTTTTCATATTTTTAGCAGCTTTGGGTGTTGACCATTCTTTTTTAGGTATCAATTGATTGATGATTCATGATCGATGATTCATGATTGATGATATGTGATAACGGATGATTGTATATTGGATGATTACAGGATGGATGATGGATGACTGTATGATGGATGATATGTGATAATGGATGATTATATGTTGGATGATTGTACGATTGTATGATGGATGATGAAACATTGTCGTCAATCACTGTACAAATTTCTGATAAAATACAAAATACTTCATTCTAGTTACCTTCTGACAGAACAGCATTTTCTTTTTCTTTTCTTTTTTTCTTTGAAAAATGTCAAAACACTCTTTTATCAGCCAACATGATAAATCAATATAATAATAATGATTCATCACATCAATGGAAATTAAAATGTGCTGTACACAATCATACTACCATTTAAAATAGAACAACTAAAAAAAAAAAAAGGAATCTAGTCATTAAACTAAAACACGACAAAAACAAGTCAGTACCATGTATCACTTAGTACATAAATATTGTAATAATAGAATTTAATGTAGAACATCTATGTAATTAACTTTATTATTAAGAGAGAAATGTTGTTAACACTAAAAAAAAGAAAAAAAATGATGAAGTAGATACTAAAAATAATAAAATAGATACTAAAAAAGACAAATGATAAATTAAATACAATAGAAAGAGAGAAATGTTGTTAATACTAAAAAAAAATGATGATGAATTAGATACAATATAAAGATAGAAATGTTGCTAATATTTAAAAAAGATGATAAAACTTGCTTACATCTTGTCTCATCATTTTATCTACTAAAATTAGCTCATAATTGCAGGGGTGATTCATTTTCTTATAAAAGGATCTCTTTGATTTAACTTTTTTTTATTTCTTTACATTACATTCATCTTACGGGTCTGCCTTTTGGCTTACCTGCCTGCTTTTTGGTCTGTCTTCTTTTTTTTTTTTTTTTTGCCTATCTTTTTCTTCACAAGTATTCTTTAATGGTTCAATAGCCGTTGTCTATAATTTTCTTTACAAGTATTCTTTAATGGTTTAAGCACCGTTGGTTCAATTAATATAACAACTTAACAATTCAACAATTTCCGGGATGGTTATCGCCAGGTACCTACTTTCATCGTAGCGATACGGTGATCACGTTACACTTAAATGGTAAGCTAGTGAAATATTTTTATCTGGATAAGTATTACTCATTTTTTATTTTTTATTTTTTTTTTTTTATATGTTAACTTGGTGAACTCAATTGGTGGATTTCCTTTTTTTTGATTACTCTTTTTTTCATGATATCTATTTTCTTATATTCTCTATTTGATTATGCGACAATTATATTTTTTTTCTTCTGTCATTTATTTTCTATCCTTACGATATTTTATTTCCTATTTTTGCGCCATCTTATTCTTTGAATTCCGTCAATTATTATTGAATAAAGTGTATACATTGGAATCTAAACATAGGTTGTGTAACCATGAATGCTATTCAATACAGAACAAGATTCTGGTGTCTATATATGTCGTCGCACGTTGCAAGCTTTCGCGAAGAAAACATCTTTTTCACAATATGGGCATAATTGCTTATAATATAACAGAAATAAAGTTTAAAAAATAAAAATATACTAGTATTTTTTTTTATCATGGTTTCTATTCTGGCTTGTTTGTTTTAGATCTGTTTTTTTTTCGCGATTGCTCCACTTACAACTGTTGGGACTGGTTTTTTTTCTTCTTCCTTCACTTTAGATCTCCACTATACCCTTATCCTTATGGAACTTTTCCACTACTTATCCTTTCTTATAATTGTATCGAAACATTAGTATAAATAGCGAATTATTTTTTATCAATAAAGCTATATTTTATTCAACTTAGAACCTCTATCTCCATTCTCTATCTTCTACTTGTACGTTTTTATTATTACGATTCTTCATTGTTTTACTCACGATTTGCTTATTGGAAGAAGTACTCGGACAAAGAAAGGATGGTCAATGATGTTACTCTATTTGCAACAAACAATGGTTTTGGAGTGAACAAGTCCTTCAGTTATCAAAAAAGGCATAGTTTATTTCAATTGCAGAAGTAAATATCTCTATGAAGACAAAGTAGGCCCTGAAAAACGCATTCGTTTCGATACAACAATAAAGATCATTCAAGTAGAGGGTTTATGGAAAGCTATTGAACGACCAGTGGCAATTGGTAAAAGTATCTACGCACGCAGGTATAACGTTGGATGCAAACACCATGGATCTTATCGATTTGCGATCTGTGCAAGAACATAGCCATACAATGGTGAACTCCTCCTATACGCCGTTGGACGACAACATCAAGACAGCAATCGCAACCATGAGCCGAAGTGGTATTGAACCTTCTAAGATTGCCGCCCGCAGTGTATGATAGTCATAGTGTTGACGTTAAGCGCAAGGATATATATATAACATCAACCAGCGTGTTGTGAAAGCCCACTTGACTGGGAAAAGCGATGATGAACGATCCTGTAAACAACTGGTGGCTCTCCAAGGTGATGGATTTATTGTCAAGGTCAAGAAAACCGAGGATGGTGTCACCCGCATTATCTTTATTATGCATCAAGAATCATCAAATTTAGTACGAGGTTTGGGCGAAGTGCTTTCCATCGACGCGACCTACAAGACCAATAGCCTCAATTTTCCCCTGGTGAATATCGTCGGCTTCACGAATGTTGGATCAAACCGCCTTACCACATTTATAGTAGCTACCGTACTGATGATCAGCGAAGTAAACACCAACTACACATGGGCTCTAAGTACTTTCAAGGAAGCAGTATGGAATGGAAAACCGACAACAACGAAGGTAAGCTTGTTATCAGAATATATATATATATATATATATATAAAATCAGAAATTAACTTGCGTGTTTTAGATTGTAGTAACTGACCAGGACCCAGCTCTCGAAAAAGCAGTGGAAACCGTCTTCTATGAATGTCAACATATGCTTTGCATTTGGCATATTCTCAAAAATGTTAGCAAGAATTTTGAAAGATCATTCAAAACTGAGAATGGGAAGTAGGTAAAGGAATGGATCATAATAATGTCATTATGTTAACTGATATTTTATGGGTTACCAAATTAGGACAAAGGCAAAGAATCCAAGTGCACAGCAATCATGAACAAGCTTTTCTACAACAAACGAGAAAGCGAATTTTCGACAAATGTGGAAGCCTTGCGAACACTTTTTGCCGCCTCTAGAAACAAAGAAATGTTGGAAAAACAACTTGATCAGTAAGTCATTATGGAATTTCAAACTGTAGTGGCAGCTGAATTGACTTTTTTTTTTTTTTTTTTTTTTTTTTTTAGACTTTTAGCCATTAGACATAAGTGGGGTGGACCTTGGTGTGAAACCTCTAGAACATATGGAACAAGAACTACCCAGCAGGTAGAGAGTGCACATTCCTCATTGAAAACCATGCTAGCAAGAAAAAACTCCTTGCCAACACTTCTTGAAAAAATTTTCCCAATGGATGACGAAAGGGGTAAAGCTTTAATCCTTGCTACTCAACTTTTTAAACTGTATACCCACTAATGTGCTCCTATTTTTTTTTATATATATTAGTATGAAATGTACATAATACGATGCGAAAATGAAACGAATTCTAGCTCTATCAAGGTGGTTAATCTAGAGGACAAGCGTGTCTTTAATGATTTATTGCGCAAGTGCTCTCATGTTGCTTTGAATGTTTTGGTCAATGAATATGGCATGAAGGAAAAAACGCTCACTGAACAATCTGATTGTAGTTGTGTCGCTCGTGTGCAATATGGTTTGTTCTGCAAGCATGATTTTCCAGATATACTCTACATGGACAAAATCGATCAATTTTGGCATCGGGAACATCAAGGTAATTTTTTTTTTTTTTTTTTTTTTTTGCGTTACGTGGAGACTCCAAGGAAAGAGAGTATACCTTTCTTATTCTTAGTGTGTCACTCATGTACCCGAACTGTGAATGTTTACTGACTTCATAATCACCATTATATTTGAAATAGAATCTGTGCTTGATTATAATACTGCAGTTGACAAGATCGCAAAATGTTTGAAAAGTGTTCCAATCGCCACGCTGAACAAAGTCGTCAATAAAGTGATGGAGGACAATGTTGAGCAAGATAACGATGAGAACGATGATTCTACTGATGATTGGTCTATCGACATTCCTGTACTGAAGTTGCCAACAAAAGTGAAAACAAAAGATCGTCCTTCCAAAAAAGGATACAAACCAAAGTTGGAACACAAGGTAAATCAGATACCATAAACAAAAAAAAACAGTGTTAATCGATAAAAGTTTTTTTAATAGGAGGCCTGCTGGAATGTTTAAAAAAATCTGTTGACCAATATTGAAGACATCAAGAAACTTATTGGGTAATAAATAATAATAACGATTTTGTAAGGTAACGACTAACTTTTCCCTGAAGACGATCGTCATTGATCACTATTGCCAACTAGATTGCTTTCATGTGCTAGAAAGGAAAAAGATTTTGAACGATACCTCATTGTTACAAGCTTTCCAATGTAGAAACAAGTGTATTCAAAGATCGAAAGAATATTGAAAAGCGTTCCAATCCTTCATCCATTTCTTTATTGATTATCAATATTTATATATATTCACAAATAAACTTACAATTTATTGCAAACGATCGAAATAGTCTTCATTTCACTTCGGAAAAAGATGGCTTTCAGAGCCGACTAAAGCCAATTGCCAAGGCAGACATACATTCTGGTGTAGTAAGACCAAAAAATATGTTGAAATTTTACTAATAGCAAACGTTTAAAAATAGAAAAAAAAAACTGTAGAGTACTCATCCTTTTCTCTCTTTTTCTTTCTTTGATTTAATGAATGACATAATGCTGTTATTTTATAAACTCTATCGTTTTTCTGTCCACGGTGGCTCATGCTGACATCTGAGTTTGAATATCAAAAAAGAAAGCCAAAAACAGAAAAAACCTTTTTTTGCTTCTTTTTCTCTTCACTTACATTTTCTACTCTCTCCCCACTCTTATATACAATACCATGTTATTCCTGAGAAGGATACCGAGGCAGTTGAATGGACGATCGTCTTTATCTATCAGTAAATCGTTAAGATCCAATTTTTATGTTACATTGTTTCGTAGTTATGCCACCACTGCAACTATAACGTCAGAACAAAACATCGATGATAAAGAAACCTCAGGAAAAGTACCGCATAAAAAGAACAACACCAACAAAAGAAGACTTGTTTTTGATAATCGATCTCCCTCATTTCAATATTTTTTGGCTCAACAATCAGCGACAGTGAATACAGCTGACGTTCATCCTGATCAGGTACCTTATATATCTACCAACTCAACTTGGGGTGAAGGGGCAAAATATTTCATAGAGGTCTATGGATGTCAAAGTAAGTTTTTTTTTTATTATTTTCATTATATATTCCCTAATGATCCATTTCTTTTTTTTTTTTTTTTTTGTTTTACTGACTTTATGTTACTTTCCGTAGTGAATGTGAATGATACCGAAATCTTGAACTCGATCATGCTGAAATCTGGATATGAACGAACATTGAATATGGAAGAAGCTAATGTTGTATTTTTAGTCACAGTAAGTTACAGTTAGGAAACGAAATAATATTGTCTCATTCCATCTTTTCGATTAGTGTGCTATTAGAGAAAGTGCTGAAACAAGAATTTGGGAAAGATTGAAGTATCTGCGTCATTATCGAACAAAGTTGAATGCAGACACACCTCCATTGATTGGTGTATTAGGGGTAATGTAAAAAAAAAAAAAAAAAAGGAAAGGAGAAGAGAGGAATAGATTAGGAAAGTTATGATAGATGTTCATGAAATATATATCTCTTTATTATTAGTGTATGGCAGAACGATTGAAAACCAAGATCCTGGATGGTAGATTGGCTGATATAGTTTGCGGTCCAGATGGTTACCGATCGATTCCTCATTTGATTTCACTCGCTACCACAGAATATCAGAATGGTGTTGCCAATGTTATGTTGTCAGCGGATGAAACTTATACTGATATTATGCCTGTACGTTTGGATCAAAACAATGTGTCAGCTTGGATCTCTATCATGCGAGGATGTAACAATATGTGTAGTTTTTGTATTGTTCCTTTCACTAGAGGTATTGAACGAAGTAGGCCGATTGATTCTATTGTGGATGAAATGCGCTATCTCAGTGAACAAGGTGTTAAAGAAGGTAAAGAAGAAAAGAAAATAAGGAGGATTATAGATCATGATCCTTTTGATATACTCAAATCGATCTTTTTCTTTCTTTTTTTTTTTTATCATAGTTACCTTACTAGGCCAAAATGTCAACTGTAAGTACAATCTTTCTTTTTTTTTTTTTTGATGCAAGATATATAGAAACTAACTATATGATATGTTTATGTATATATAGCTTATCGTGATACCTCGGAATCCACCTACTATTTGAACTCGGAGAACAAGAACAATGGTAGTGGACTTAGTAATGATGGATTCAAGACAATTTACAAGGCAAAAGATGGCGGTCGTCGATTCACCGAACTTTTAGACAAGATCAGTCTAGTGGATCCCAAGGTAATGATGACATATTATAAAATATGATTGATATATTTAAAAACGTTTTCTTCTATTTTTTTTTTTCCTTGACGACATATAGATGCGTATTCGATTTACATCACCTCATCCAAAGAATTTTCCTACGGAATTACTTCATCTAATCGCAGAACGACCTAATTTATGCAAATCGATTCATTTACCCATTCAATCTGGAAGTAACACAGTGTTGGAACGTATGCGACGTGGATACACTCGAGAAGCTTATTTACAATTAGTTGAAGAAATGCGTCGGATCATCCCTGATGTTTGGATTAGTAGTGATTTCATCACTGGCTTTTGTGATGAAACTGAACAGGAACATCAAGATACCGTATCTCTTATGAAACAAGTGAAATATGATATGGCCTTTATGTTTGCTTATAGGTAATGAAGAAGAGAGAAGAAAAAAAAAAAGGATCAAACATACTCACTGAATACGATGATGATGATTTCTTTTTAGTATGCGAGAAAAAACCCATGCTCATCGACGATATCAAGATAATGTGGAAGATGCAGTCAAGAGTCGACGATTATCAGAAATCATCGCTACTTTCCATGAAACGGCGGCAGCAAAGAACCAAGCATTATTAGGGAGTCAACAAATGGTGTTAATTGATTCTGATACTTCAAAATCAAAGCGTGGTATGGTAACTCGACTTAGTGGAAGAACTGATGGAGGTCATAAAATGTTTATTTTGGATCAACAAGAAGATGGTAATTCTATCTCGGTTGGAAAAGGTGATACGGTGTTGGCCCAAGTTGAAAAAACGACTAGTGCAAGCTTGACTGGACGTTTATTACGAAAAATAGAATGATATGTCGTTTGATTTACTATTATCATAAAAAATAGATGAAATAAATTATTATTATTATTATTATTATCAATAATCATATCTTCCATAAAAGAATTATACATCATAAAACGTAAAGACAATGTCAAATCTAAAAATGGGACCAATCAATCAATAATAACAATAATAATAAAAAGAAAAAGACACAATTTTTTTTATTATATACAAAAGTGGAAGGGGGAGAGCTAAAGAACAGAATAAAGATCAAACATAGATGAGGAAGGAGAAAGAGGTGTCCTTTTTGATATTTGATAAGATCGCATGACGCCATCATGGTATAATAGCAAGAGTTGGTAGATAGGAGAAGTAAGGTGATCTTCAGATGGTAAGCGATGAACTGTCATTCCATAGAGCTCCGAATTGGGTAATCCATTCAAAGGGACATATTTTTCATAATTCATCAAGCACGTCTGTTGTTGTTGTTGACCAAGTTGAACTTGCACAAGTCGCATCAAAGTGACACATCCTTTTTGAGACCCAATAATACAAAGCTCCAAATCAGGAATCCATTCTACAAAACAAAGTCGATCGATTAAATCTGAATGTGTCCCAGTACGAATATCCACTCTGTCCACCACACGTCTTTCTTTTTGAATCGTTCTCAATTGAGGTGATGTCGATGCTGTTGTTGCTGATGATGTACTTAGAAGATAAGCGTCCATTTTAGTTGTCACCATTAAATAATCATTCAATGATTTGGTTTGGATGTCATCATCTTTGGCATGTTTAATGGTTTCAGTGGCTTCTCCAGTAAACATATATGGTATTGCTCCAGTGTTGAGATGGGTACGATGTGATTCAATAAGAGTTGGTTGCTGGTTCATATTATCATTGTTATTGTGTTTGATGGGTTTTGTGGATGGTGAGACGTTCAAGGAAGGTGATGATGCTGATGATGATGCTGATGGTATAGATGAAGAGGATAAAGTCATAGAAGGAGGTGAGGCCAAATTGGAAATGCCAGAAGTGGTACTTTGTAATGCGTTATGTTGTACTGTGAAACTCCATCGACCATTATCTTGATGTTGATCAGTGTGATCATCCCAGCCTGAAACAGAATCTAAATAAAATGAGAGGAAATGTAAAAATAAAGAAAAAGAAAAATAGATATAATCGTATCGTGTTTCTTTTTTTTTTCATGACAGTGAAATACTTACTATCCTCAATGGAATGAACACCATTGGAGTTTACTAAAATCCCTTCTTCATAAAGCCAGTCAAGATAATCTTCTTGTTGTTGATTCCAAGTTTCTAATGAAAAGAAAAAGAGGTGAGAACATTGAATACATATATAATTATTTACCATCCAATGACTCTTACCTCGGCCTTCATCTTGACTCTGTTCCCGTTCTACCACAGCTTGTTGTAAATGTCGCGGCATTGCACTTCGTTGCACCAAATCTTCATATCGAAGTTCCTCGTCAGTTAATGATTCACCATTCGCACTATCATCATCAACGCTATAAATTATGCTGCCATCGTCGTTCATGAATCGTCTTTCCCAATTCTCCTGCTGTTCAAACAGAAGTTGATCGGCTACATCTACGTCGGATATCTCGGTGAGGTCCCGGTCCCAGTCGTTATCGTCGTCATCCTCATCGCTGGATGTATGTGTTGTACGTCTTGGATTACGCACAGGTATCATCACTTCCATCGTCTGCCGTTCTGGTGAAGTTGTCAGCCATCGATTTTCGTGTCTGCCATTATCATCTGTTGCAGTCTCTTCTTGTGGAGGTGGGGACCATCCACCCCAACGTCCAGTATGTGGAGGTGTGGGCCATCCACGCCAACGTTCATTACTGTCATTTGTTGCAGTCACTTGTTGCTCTCCTTCTGGTGCTAGTAGTTCATCCAAATCATTATCTACATCATTGTCATCATTATTACTGTCATCACGTGTGGTGTTTTCTGAAGGATCTACATTTGTTCTGTGTGGATGATGGACGAGATGATTCAAAAAGTTGATGATATGGACATCGCCACGAGCATGATCATCGTTGTTGTTGTTGTTGTCTTCAGTCCTTGCTCTTGTAAAGAATACCTGACCATCGATACCACCGTCATCACTGAGTTCATCATTCATTGCACCATCACCATAAATGATCTCCATTTGTCGCCAATAGTTTGCATTCATGTTGAATGTTTGACGGTTTGCAGAATATGCCATATGTAAATGAGCCACGCTAGTCAGTTTACCTCGATGAAGCTTTTGAAGGATTTTTTCTGTCAGTGCAGGTTGATCGCAAATTACTGATTTGAAGTGACCAGGTTCAATGAATTTCACACCCCAACACCTTTTAAAGGAAGAAAAAAAAAAGAATAGAAAAATGGTTAATACGTCAATAAATAATAATAATAATAATAATAATAATAATAATAAAATCCATCATCTTCCATCTTCTTCTCTTTTTTTTTATTTTCTTTTAATTCTTACCAAGCATCATCATCATGGGAGTTATATGGTACCATGGTACGTTTCCCGATTTCTTTCAATGTAGAAAGACTCCAAATTCGACAAGTCTTATCCACTGATCCTGTAGCCAAATACTGACCAGTCGTATCGAAATCCAAGCAAGGAATATTATGTGTATGTCCATTCAATACAACTGCTGTCTTGTCACCTAGAATATGTTGATGTTTTCCCTTTAACCATTTTTCGTTGTCGAAATCGTAGTAACCATGATTTTCCGTTCCCTCTTGTTGTTGTTGTTGTTGTTGTTGTTGTTGTTGTTGTTGTTGTTGTTGTTGTTGTTGTTGTTGTTGTTGTTGTTGAAGTAATATTTCTTTCCATAGGTTGTAAATCGTGATACGATGATTGTTAGCTGAGACAGCTATGAGTCCATTGGCATGGATTGCAATTCCCCAAGTCGACGCTCCATCATTTGGATTCCAGTATGCTCTTTGCCTATTGATGTTAACTTGTTCCAGTGGACCATTGAGATTCAATTTCCGCAAAATAGGTAATGGTGGTGATAATGATGGTTGTTGTCTGTGTAAGCCAATCTCTCTCGTATTCCAAATAAACACTTCTCCATTATCGCCAACTGCCACCAAGACTTCTTCTTTTTCTTCCTGTTGTTGTCGTTGTGATGGTTTCAAGTCATTTTTATCGTGAGTATTGGTGGTATTAATAGGTGGAAGTTGCATTGGTCCCACTTTGATAGCATTAATCGAAAACTGAGGCTAATAAAATAAAAGAAGAATAAACTATAAAAAAAAAGAAGAAGAAAAAAGGTTTATTTTTTAAAACTTACATCGGTGGAAGGATTCAAGATCATGACAGGTTCTGTTGTAAAAAGATATCCTTTGTTTAAACCATAGACGTGGATCTTTTGTCTAACCGCTAACATATATAAAATATAATATTTTCAACATGGATTTAATCTTTTATAATTTATTCGAGTTTACCAACAAAGTATAAAGAGGGATCAAGTTGACTTGCAGCACATAGATTCAGTTTCTAAAGAATAGAAGAAGAAAGATTAAATAAACAAATATATATATATATATATATTATATTACCCAAAATGAAGCACCTGCTAAAGAGACTTGAGTATCTTCACAAGTTTGTATCTAAATATAAAAATAGGATATATTAATTTTTTAAAATAGAGAGAAAAAGAAAAATATATATATATATTTACGTCTAATAAGGTATAATTAGATAAAACTTGATGAATAGGTTTATTCAACCATTCTTCTTCTTCCATATTGTATAGCAGTAAAGAGATAAAAAAAAAAAAAAAGAAATGAGAAAAAAAAAATGAGACATTTACGCATATCTCAAAGCGGAATGTGAAATATCTCATTGTTCTACTCTTTGGGTGTATTGTAGGAAAGAGAAAAAAAGACAGAGAACAATTAAACTAGACAAAAAATTGGACTTGTTTTATTTAAAGATATTCTAAGAGTGGGGACATCATTCAGCAACTTAAAAAAAAAATAATAATAATAAAAGAGTTCGGCCACATAACATCATCCCCACACATAAAACAAAGAAAATTATGAGAATCATTCGACTATGTATAGGAACTTCAGTGAGTCTCAGCAACATTTGTAATTTTGTGTGGATCAAGTGTCAAACCTTTATCAGATGCACAGAAACCGAGTAAAGTATACTGAGCGTTGGGCACAATGGCACTGTTCTGGGTTTAGATTACACTTTATTTTAATTTTAACAAAGTGGTCACTCACTCTAGGTCGACTTGATTACAAATCTGGTTACAAATATCCCAAATCGGAGTGATTACAAATTTCTGGAAAAAGTCACCATATAAGGAGTACAAAAAGGGAGCAAAAAAAAAAAAAAGAAAAAGAAAAAAAAAGGATCATTCTTTCAGACTATACATTTTTTGATAATATGGCAGGAAAAAATATTTTAATCAAGGTTACTAGTGACACTCATTGCCCATGGTAAATAATAAATAAAAAAAAAAAAAGGAATATCATTAGGAATGACTTATTGAAGGTAATATAATATTATTACAGGTGTTTTATTGGTAAACGACGATTGGAAAAAGCGATAGAGATATTCAAGACAACTCATCCAGGAACTACATTTGAAGTGACATGGTTCCCTTTTCAACTTGAACCCCAGTTATCACGAGAACCTATTCGCAAGCAAGAATTTTTCCCTCGTAAATTTGGAGCTGTTCGATTTCAACAAATGACAACTATGACCAAGGCTGTAGGCCAACCCTTAGGCATTCAATTTAGCTATGAAGGAGTTGTGAGCAACTCGTTAGATTCTCATCGTTTGATTCATTGGTCTAAACAATTCAACAACAACAAGCAAAATCAAGTGGTAGAAGAACTATTCAAACTCTACTTTGAACAAGATCAAGATTTGTGTGACTTTAATGCTTTGGCAGACGCCGCTGAACGTGCTGGTTTGGATCGCAGCAAAACCCTTGCTTTCTTATCTTCAGGCGATGATACGAATGTAGTCAAACAACTTATATTGGATGGTCAACGACATGGTGTCAATAGTGTCCCTCATATTGAAATCAATGACAAGTAAGTCCTGATCATGTTACAATCATGTATATTAGAGATTTTCTTATGTTAACACTTTTTTTTCTTTTTTGCGGATATCATCATTGCTAGGTATACACTTTCTGGTGCTCAAGACCCTGAAACATTTATCCAAGTATTTGAAAAAGTAGTCTTAGAATCACAGTAATTACATAATTTAGAGATATAAATAAAAATTTACTATTGTTTATGATATTTTATTTCTGTACTGCCTGCCTGTTCATCCGCATTGCAAAACGATAAGAGTTGTCAGATTCGTTAACAAATGTCGATTCTAAATTTTGTGATAAATTACTGCAGGTAAAGGGTCGTGGTATCACAAGAAATACAAGCTTGACTGATACTGGATCATGATCAACGTTTCTTCCAACTATCACTGTTGTTTTCTAATTCTTTGGGCCTAATGAAGTCTTGGATTAAGTCTAGGAAGTACCCCGAAGTGGTCTTGAGGATAGCAGCTTAAGCCAACAGGAAAGAAGAAGAAAAGAAAGAGCAAAAAAAAAAAGAAAGAAAAACAAAAAAACAACAAAAAGAAAGCCGATGATGCATCATTGTGTTACAACAAGGGTTTTTCAATATTTAATTGTTATTTTTTTTAGTCGAAAGAATATCAGGTTGATAATCATCACATATATGTGGACTTACAGTGTAGGATGAATGACACCGAAATATTAATAAGGGATCAACCTTCATGAGCAAAGAGAAAATAGATGAATGAATAAAGTAAAATAAAAATGTACAATCAATATAAAGAAGACTATTAAAGTTGTCATGATAAAATTGACGTATTGATTGATCGATAAGTCTAAACCCAACTTTTTTTTTCTCACCTATCGTTTCATTCTTGAAAATGATAAAAACAAACAAAATAGTAGGTATCACATCTCATCCAATCATATTCATGGATTCCGCTCCCTTATTTTTTTTCTTTTTTCTTTTTCTTTTTCTTTCTTGTTTGTTTGTTTTTTCTTCTGTATACCTCCAACTTTGCTTTGTATGGATTCAACTGAAGAAGATCCCTTCTTGACGGAAGAAGATCGTTATGCTCTTTTGTAATAGATAAGTCTTACTATTTTACTCATCTCAAACTAACAAATTAATTGATTATTTTCTTTATGAATAGAGATGGTATCTTCGCCCGAAATGCAGAATTAGTCAGAGATGTTCAAGCTGAATATGAAGAAGTACAAGAATTTTATTCGGAACACGGGAAACAACAAAAGAAAGACGTGATTTTACCACAAGATATCTCTACACCCATTAATGTGATCAGGCAAGATCAACAACAAAAAAGATCGTCATCGAGTCATGTCACCAACAACAAGGACGATGCAGCTATTAAATCAACTCTTCAAGACGAAGATGGCGAAGAGAGTGATGACAACAATAGCAATGATAAAGATAGTCAAGACGGTGTGGTTCCAAACAACTTGATGATACCATTTTCTGGTTCTGGTGAAAAGAAGAAGAAAAAGAAAAAGAAGAAGAAATCCAAGACTGCCAACTTACCTGAAGCCGGTACTGATTTGCCAGATGATTATCAAGAAAAGTACACTGAAGATATCGTTGAAAATCCTTATGACCCGTAAGTTTTTTTTTTTTTTTATTATTCATCCAAAGAAACCATCACTGACTTTTTTTCTTTTCCTTTTTTTTTTCCTTTAATAATACTAATAATAATAATAATACAAGCTCACAACCTGTGGCACGTCGTGTGGAACATGCACTTTGGAAATATCGCAAGAATCACAAATTCAGTGAAGAAAACCGAACGATCTTTGACAGTTATCTGAGATTTGGTGGTGTGAATACAAGTCCCAATGCTTTCCTTGGTCGAGCGACTAGTGCTGATACTCCTGCTGATCCTGATGCTGAAATTGATTATGAAGCAGCTCAAGCGGCTATCGATGCTATTGATCTGGATGATGATGATGATGACAACAATGGTTATGTCAGCTTTAGCGAAGTGGTGCAAGTCTATTTAGGCAATTACTTTTGTGTTTCTGGCCTCTGCCTCACCATGCAAGGTTTTATCTCAGCACCTATATTGATTGATGCCTTCCTGCGATACCTTCAAATCCGATCTGTATGTCCTGAGTATACCGATGATCTTATAAAGGCACGTGAATGGACGGCTCTGGCCAAGGATCAATTACCTAGGTGCAAACGTATCTCCAATGATCTTCCTGGAAAATTCAATACTGCCTGTCGTCTTCTTTTTGATCCTAAAAGCAAAGACAGTGAAAGTAACGAATTGAGTGGCGTTCCTGCTTGGGCTATGGGGGATCCTACTTTGACAGCTGTCGTACAATCTTATGTTGATTTTACCGTGGGCATGACGCGTGGTGAAGCTCGGCTCATTATAGGCTCAATCATACCCAATGCTGACAGTGAACATGTGATTGATCGTCGTGATTGTATCTGTGTCAAGATTACTCAAATTGGTGATGACGATCGTACGGTAAACGACAAGAAGGATGAAGATGCGTTGGTTATGGTGAACTTGGCGGAATATGACGAGGATGCCGATCAAGTTATACAAGAGAAGTCGTATACTCTCTACTTTGAAAATAGTATTGCAGATCAGATGCTGGTTGGTATGGTATTGAAAGTGACACTACAACAATTATCGGGTGGTCAATGGTTCTTGGATCATTCTATTCATGTGTGCCCTGCCTTTTACAAGAAAGATGAATTTGCTGAAGATGACGAATAGGATAACAAATAGTTGATAAGGAATTAGTTTTTAGGGGGTAGCAGTACTTTATGATTATAATAAATAAACAACCATACCTTTCTTTTTTTACATCATAGTGAAAGCACGTTTCGTTTTGTTTTTTTTTTTTTTTTGTATTATTATTATTCTTACTATAGTTATTACTACTATTATTATTATTATTATTCATAGCGTATATGCATTAGAAATTAGATAATGAAAACATATGTAGAATATACGAATCATACAAGTTACTCATGTATCACCGAACTAATGTAAGTGTGCAAATTACATGGTATGGGAACCCGCAATGTTATATATTTATTGGTAGTGATGATGAAAGGTCATGAAAGATAGTTGTTCTTTTATAGCTATTGTGTTTACCATGGTTCGGACAATAAATGCGATGATGATGATCACTATAATAAATATCTTTGATACCAACACCACATGTCTAAAAAAAAAAAAAAAAAAAGGATAAATGAGTGAACCTGTTTTTGGAAACCATCAATGTTATTGCTAACTATTATAAATGAATAATATTATCGTAATCGACTATAAATTTACACAGCAGCAATAACAACCCATCACTATGAATTAATTAGATCTAATACAAATTTGGTGTTTTTTCCCATTCTCCTCTTTAAAATTTATCAACACACTATCGTGATCAAAATATATAACTTACATGACAAGTAAAGCAATGAGGATGATATCTATCTCCCACCTTCTTCTTGATAATGTCCTTACTATTAGTATGATCATTATCATCAGAAGAAGGAGTAGAAGGAAGAGAAGTTTGAGCACAGCGTCCTTCGATGGGTGTATCACATTTAGCACATAAGGACTGATTTAGCCGATGATAGTCACGTTGACAATAAGGTTTATCCTTGAAGACATAAAATGTATTATCCTTGAATGGTTGATGGCATGCTTGGCATCGGAAACAGTGTATATGCCATTTACCTCCCATTTTTCCATCTGATGATGATACTGATTCACGTTCTACAGCACGACCACAACCACGACATGATGGAAGGAATAAGTGATTGAAATCTGGACGACAATAGATCTTGCGTTTGTGTCGTACCATGCCTGTAGTATGTTCATCCACTGGTTTATGACAATGATGACATAAAAGGTGTTCAGGGTGATAATAAGCACCAAATGCTTTTGTTGGTCGTACAGGTGGATTTATAGTATGATGACTTTTTTTGGAAACGTAAATAAATAAAAAAAAAAACAAAATAAATAAAAGAAAAATAAAAAAAGAAAACAAATTACCATGTAGCACAAGTGGGTCGAGATTGGATCAATTGATAATCCTTGGGACAATATACAATCCCATTGTACTCCTGGATCTCCTTTTGTGGTGATAAAGGGTCTCGACACAGAAAACAAGTTAGGCAATGAGAATGATAAGCCTATTAATCAAAGTACATCCATTCATCAATAAAAAATAAATAAATAAAATATTATTCTTACATAATTGGAACCTATACGGATAAGATTAGATTGAATACTTCTTTTACATCGAAAACAAGTAGGATTTCCTTGTCGATGTAGATGATGATAATGAGATGCTAATTTGGAGGATGAAGGCATTGTTGGTAATTTGAAAAAAGAAATAGTTGTTTCTTCTTGAACAGATTGATCTAATTTTTGATGATTGGATTGAACACGAAATGACATATAAGGTCGTTGTTCTATATGAGGAGTTAAGGGAGAAGAAGTGGATTCAATGGAAAATGATCTTGATAATGCTGATAATGGAGATGCAAGTGATGAAGAAGTGGTAGATGAGCCTGTAGGTCGACGTGCGATTTTCCACGTTTCTCCATTCTGATGATGTTTACTTTCTGATGATAATGTTCTATGTAAAGATTTTGTTTCTTTTGATGTAGTCAAAATAGTAGGTTTGCGTGCCATTGGTGAACTTTTACTATATCTAAAGAAAGAAAAAAAAAGGAGATAATTAACATGATGAGATAAAAACAAAAGTATTTCTTACTGAGGACAAGAGGGATGAGATGATTCAATGAGTCCAGGTGTTGTAGAAGGAGGAGAATATGGAGGACTCTTTTTTTGAATGGTTGAAACGATTTCTAATATAGAAAATTAGGAATTGATATGAACAAAAAGGATTTATAATAATATAAGATGACTTACTTGTATCTAATGTAAGAGGTAATTTAGGTTTGGTAGGTAAAGATTCACATAGATGACTAGTTAAATCTCTAATAGGTAAAATCATTTGACAATTGGAACATGTAATAGTAGGTATAATATGTGAAATCCTAGTATCCATTTCTTCTTCTTTTTTTTTTTTAAGAAAACAAAATAAAAGAAAAGAAAAAGGAAAAAAAAAGAGTAAAAAAAAAAGTTTATTTAAACATGATCATATAATTATCGTGTCATTAATAGATGAGAGAAAGAGCGTACCTTTTGCGGGATAAGAAATATAAAATATAAAAAAAAATCATTCCATTTGTACGACATCCATATACAGTCGAGAAAGTTAGGTTGGGTCAGGTTAGTTGAAAATGGGTCACCATTCTCAATATGGGCTCAAACTCCGCGAAAATGGGTCAAGATTGTCAAAGTGGGTCAGGTTGGTGAAAGTGGGTCAGGTTGGTGAAAGTGGGTCAGGTTGTTGAAAGTAGGTCAGGGCGGCGAACAAAAAAAAAAAAAAGATATCAAGGCAGAGTAGCATAACATAAATAATGGAATAGTTTATTGGGTGTATGTAACAGATAAACCTAAAAAGAATGAAGACAGATATCAAGGGTAAAGAAAATAATGTTTACTCGATAAAAAGAAGAGGGATATGTATACTAATAATTGAAGGAGATTAAACGTGAATAATAACAAGTCGAAAAGGAGAGTGATAACGGTATATAATTTTATTTGAATAAAAGTGTACTAAACTATGTGTACTAAACTAATGGACCTAGCTACACTAAGGTATCATATGAGGGGCGAGTGTGGTAAACTATTTGAATGCATCCTGAACACTAACATCCACCTCCAGAAGGCCCACCCGTTGCTTTTCAAGCAATGATGTGATCCGTTCCTGTTCGATGAGGTCGGCCTATAGGTTTAAATACAAAACAAAAATAAATAACATATCTTTGGTACCATAGCAAAAAAAAAAAAGATAGCTTACCTTTAACTTCAGGAGAAGTTCGAACACCTTTATCCAGTCCCACCGTTCATCGAAGGTCGTTGGGATCTTGGCAGAGCGAACCTGAATGAAAGAGTATCGGTCCGGATTGACCATACGAGTGGCAGAGAGTGTCATGGTATCATCGATGAAGTGGATTCCAAAGATTTGCCGTTGAAGAAACGTATTGTAAGAAGACCGCGCGTACTTTTGCAGATTTATCTTGAGACAATTGATTTTCTTTTTTTTTTTTCTTTTTTCTTTTTTTTTTCTTCTTAACATCCCACGCCCTAAGAAAAGATGGTCCCCATCTTCACCAGTCATCCAATCTACAGACTTTCTTTGCAAGGGTACGGAAGGTATATCTTGTCATATTGTTACGAAACAAACGCCTCATTAAACCAGAGCGACTTTCTATATAGGTTTCTTTCGCCATTCTTCCCTTAGGCTTTGAATGATATGCATGTAGAACCTGTATGACCAAAGGTATAATATCTCTAACCTCCTCTCGTTGAACTTCTTCTTGTAGGTCTTTTATTTGTTTCAGCTTTTGCAGATACGGGGGGTATAACCAGGTGTAGGAGCTGTTCGTCATCGTCCTTACCGATTGGCACCTATTGAACAAGAATATTTGAAAAAAGAACTTGATCGCCTATGTGAACTTTGAATCATCAAACCTGCCAATACACCGTATACTGCTCCTCTAATACTTGTGTTAAAGAAAAAAAAAGTTCTGAGTACGCTTGCTGCATTGTTCGCCGCGTCACACTTTAAATCTCCGCTGGATTTCTTTTTTTTTTTTTTCTGTAGGGTTGAAATCGGAAAGAATCGCTACTTTCTATTATTTATTCATTTTTATAGTGTTGAAGAAGAAACATGGTCTTATTCTTGGTAAGTGAAATTAAAAGTATATTATAAATGATGGACACAGCTTAATATCATTTATTTTTTGTGGATTGTGGTGATGTTATCTCTGTTCCTCAAGTCTGATTGATGTCTTGCGTTTTGCGTTTTACTGGGTGTACCGACGTCATGGTACGGCCCTATGTTCCTTGGTGATTGTACTATAGACTCGGAGGGAGGATAGCGGATTGAGGTCGTGCTATTCGTCTGATTGAGGTCAGCTTCATTGATTGTGGTTATCCGGATCAAGAAGAGTCTACTGGAAACTGGTGCCTTTGGTACTTGTGGAAAGGTGTAGCCCTCACTTTATATACATATTGAACCGACCATGACGTTATTTTGGATAGGTTGCGGGGTCGGATGGAGTCGATTGAGGTTTACACCATCACTGATTGAGGTCAGCTGCAGCCGGTACATTTTGTTTGGAAAACGCTTGATATCAATTACTTTATGGAACGGGTGATATCGCCACTGCTTTTTATTTAGTAAGTTCCTATCTAGCTTTTTGTTTTTTACTCATTCTGCTCGATACTCTGCTGCTCGTTTTGCCGGTCGTCTCAAGAAATCCCCTGTTTAGTTTAGAAATGGTAGTCTAGTGGTTCCTTTATTATTATTGTTATTATTATATTGAACCTCCAATAAAAACTGAATTGTCTTTATACTCAAATTGACTCTTGATATGTTGAATGGCGTGTGGGGAATCCATCAGTGTGGCCGGTAGTTTAAGAAAGCTGATATCTCGTGACACTGACTTTGTGGAGACACACCATTTTTAAAAAAAGGCAATACAGCCAAAGCAAAGAAATGATGACAAAGAGTCTGGCAATGTACACGGGGTGGCAGTGGAGTTTTTGCTTGTTTATGGTATACATACTTTGCCTTAATATCTTTTTTTTTTTGTTCGCCGCCCTGAGCCACTTTCACCAACCTGACAGGCATAACCCATTTTCGCGAAGTTTGACCCATATTGAGAGTGGTGACCCATTTTCGACTAACCTGACCCAACCTAACTTTCTCGACTGAAAGGTAGATATTTTAGTTACTTATTTTTTTTTGTTTTTTTTTTTTTGAAGAACCACCTGTTTTCAAAACAAAAAGAAAATGATGATCCTTTTTTTTTATATAATCCTCCTTGTTTCTTTTTTTTTTTATGTTGTTTCATCATTGTAAATCATAATACAAAATAATAATAAAAATAATAATAATAATAAAAGAAAAGTTATTATATATAATAATATAGAATAAAGATAAAGAAGGAGGTTAATCACTTAATACTATCTATTTTATCATCATATATATAATAAAATGATAAAGGAGAGTACATATAAAAGAGTGAAAGAAAGGGGGGAGGAAGGAAATTTAAAACAGGGGAAAGCGGGAAAGAGTCGGTCAAGTCCGCAAAAACTGTACCGAGCAACCAGATTTTTTTTTTTTTTTTTTGACTGGGACCCCCCCAAAAAAAAGTATGTATATATTTCCTTTCCCTCCCCCCTTAATTTTCATAATTTTGTATATTGATAAAACCCATGATGTGTGATCTTTTCTTTTCTTTTTTTTTTCCCTTGAATTTTATATATATTTCTTTCTTTCATTTTCTTTTTTGATTTCTCTACCCTTTTTGTAAAAAATTCATTGCCACCTTTCCCCCCTTTTTTTTTGTCTATCATTTGGTGCCTAGGTGTCACGTTCTCTTTTTTTCTTTTTTTACATCCCACGCCCCACACACTCTTTTTTTTTTTTTTTTTTTGGTTTCCTTTTCTTCTCTTTTTTTTTTTTCGGTTCAGTTGTTGTTGGCCTTTTTGCTTCAATTCACAAAATCTTTTTTTTTTTATATAAAAACCTCTTCTTCTTTTTTTTCGAAAGATTGAACATAACAACAATAATACAATAACCACCAATCCCACTATTGAGGTAATTTATAACATAAAAAAGAAAAAAAAAAGATGATGAAACTAGAAAGATGAAAAAAAAAAAAAATAGAAAGTTCTGTGCGTTATCTAAATAGTGAAATTTGTTATGCTTATATCCAAAATAGTGTTTTGTATGTCCATATCGTCGACTGTTAGCAATAGTTACGCGAATAATAACTCTTGGCTTCAACCAAAAGAAGGATATGGGTTATCGTCATCACCCTATTCTTTACAGGAACAACAACAACAGCAACAACAACCACAAAAATTAACTTTACATACAAAGAAAGAAAAACCAATAATTGCGAACAAGACAATGATGGCAACACATAATGCTAATAGACGACCTAGTAAACAACAACAGAATCAAGAAGGATTTGCTCGTTCCACTGCAAGTAGTCGTTCACGCGCTGGTATGAAAACAGATGAAGACATTGGAATGAGTCAACGTGTTATTTATGAAGCCTTTGCTCAAGCTGAAAAAAAATTGGATACAAGTAATAGTAACACAACTAATAAAACTCAACAAGTACGCCGACCTTCTATTCAAACTGACCTTCGAAGAAAAAGTATGGCTGAAACAAGTTCCAAGCGACGTCCATCACGTGTAGGAGGAGGAATTGATTCAACTACAGCAACAACAACAACAACAACCAATACTATCCCAACGACTCAATCAAATGGTATGATGACACCTCCTCAACGTACTCGAGCTCATTCTTTAGCAGTTATATCTTCCACCAATACACGTCGCTCTTCTGTTGCTACTACAAATCACAACAATAAAAAAGTATCAGCAGAAGTTCGACATTCTCGAGTCTCTTCAAGACAATCTACAACAACAACAGCAACAACAACAAGAACAACAAAAAGGCAAACACCATCATCAGATGCTAGAATCAAGTCACCCAATATGAATATGAACAACAAACAAAATTCTCCTCTTTCTCTAGAACCCGAAAAGTCACATCATTCATCCACATGTTCCAATCTACCCGATCAACAAGCATCGTCTACATTACAATCTTCAGCAGGATGTCGATCACAACAATCTCATGGACCCATGTACTCAGCAGCACCAACGACAGATTCTACCATTTCATCCTCTTCTTTTAGTAATCAATCATCGGAACGACAAGAACCTGGATTGATTCGATTGGCAGATGCCTTACGTGATTCATTAATAGTAGAACGACAAAAAGCAAAACGAGAATTGGCTTTACATATGGATCCATCATTACCAGCATCGTTTGAAGGAGGACGAAATGAAAATGATGACATTGAAGGTCATCAACGCAACAATAATGAATTACGAACAAGAACCCAATTGGATCAACCTATAGGAGATAGTGCTCGTAGTGACAATAATGACGATGACGATACTCGACTTGTTACAAAAAAGACATTTCCCTTCTCTCGACAAAAACAACAAAATAACAATAGCACTGCAGGAACTTTATCATCTGCCGATATCATTTATCATGCCAAACGCCGTCTTAGTAATAATATCAATAGTGGCACAACTCATCAAGACCACAGTCACGATCAAGAAAAGAAAAAGAACAAGGAGAAAACAAATGCTATGACCGGAGTCGACCTCCCTTTGCGTCACCATGATCCGATGACATCCACAGCATCACCAGAAACGCGCATGGCTACACAAACCCAATTGGAAAGACGTGCCTCCTTACTAGCGTATGTGCGTCAACGTACTGGCACAACTAACAACAACAACAACAATGATCATCGATCCTCACCTTCTTCCAATAAACCATCGTCATCCCCTTCTCCTGGTTCATCTCCAGATACACCCACAACATCCACTTCTTTTGCAAGACATCATCAAAAACGACCCACTTCATTGTCAACTTCAAGAAGACCTTCCTCTACTGTGAGTACGAAATCATCGCATCTGACTCAACCATCACCTCATCAAAGTCCCGTACCACAAAGGAAAAAAAGTATTCAGCAACAGAAGCAACAAAACAATGTCATCACTCCTTCTTCCTGTACGCCTACCGGTAATGCAACATCTACAGTGCGATTACGGAAAAAGTCAATGGTTGGTACAAATACCGCAACTACAACGTCCACTACTACTACTACTGCTACTACTGCTACTACTGCTACAACTCCTACAGCTCTAACTCGTCGTCGCAGATCAAGAACTGAAAGCTTGAAAGAAGGTATACCTACATCACCATCCATTCATGCAACTACCACCACCAATCCGACGAATGGGAATAATACATCAACAAGGACGAGGAAAAAAAGTATGGGGCTTTCTACTCAAGATATCCCTCAGAAAACAACAACAGCAACAACAACAACATCAACAACGAAAAAGCTCACGGCACCTCCTACTTATACTAGAAAACGTGGAAAGGTAAATAACGATAGATATTTTGGGTAATCGTTTTTTAATTCTTTTTTTTTTTTTTGTTGGAAATATTAGACACTTCCTGGAAGCTTGGCCAAACCACCTGTATTACAAACTGTGACTTTACCACCAATGAAAGTGGAACCGATTCAATTAGAATTACCGAAAAAGAAATCTAATGGTCGCACCAGCCATCGAAGCAATGAAGCAACAAACGATAGTGGAAGTAGTGTAGAAGGTGAAGATGAAACACATAGTGAAAGTGGTGAAGAGATCAAATTACGAAGACGGATTGGTCGAAAGGAACACCAAAGACGATCAAGTACAGTGACAACACCTCATAAAAAGAAGCCAACAACAGCCATTACACCCGAAAACAATACCAATCATCCCATGATTTCTAATCGACGACCTAGTATGCCTCAATTGACGACAACCAAACCATCCAGTCGCAAATTATCTATTTCAGTGGCAAGTAAAGGTGGGTTGTTTTCTTATGCAGACACAACGAATCAAGGTCCTTCCTCTCCAGGCTTATCAACACGTTCTTCAAGAAAGCAAACAAACAATACTCAGACTTCTCATCATGCCATTCTTTCGCATCGTAAAAATTCTTTGGGAAATAACTTACCATCTACAACCAATATCATCCTTCCTCAACAAGATCATCAGGATACCATCTCATCTACAGAAAAAGGTAAAAACGGAAGAAAGGAATATGTATATATCATTTATGACTTATTATTATTATTATTATTATTATTATTATTATTTAAAGGTGTAGACCGTACAAGAGCCATGAGTTTACATGAAAAACTTCAAGCCATGGTGGCACAACATACATTACAAAGTAACCATGGTGGTATGACAACAACACCAGATGAAGCCAGTTTGAAACGTGGGACAAGGAAAAGTCAAAATTATGATACAATGGATGAAAAATACCAAGATCATCGATTTCGGACCAATCGATTATCTGAACCATTTTTATTTTCATCTTCTCAACATCAAGGTGGGTTTGGTGTATCGAAAAGTCCTCATACTGCCCTTCAACTATATGGTCCTTGTTTATCTCCTTTTGAAAAACAAGAAATTCAAGATTATGAAGATATTTATTTCGTGGGTCCTTATGCTAGCAAGATCCAAGCGCCACCACCACCACCACCACCACAATCAGGACAAAAGAATAATAACAATAATAATAATTACGGTTATGATGATGAACGTGGAGATTATTTGATTGTTAGACGTGATCATCTGGCTTATCGATATGAAGTTTTGGAAGAATTGGGTCGTGGTTCTTTTGGACAGGTGGTGAAATGTTTTGATCATAAAACAAATACATCTGTGGCCATCAAATTGATTCGAAACAAGCGTCGATTCCATGAACAAGCATTGATGGAGGTTAAAATCTTGAAAGATCTGGTTACTTGGGTAACGTTTTCATTTAGTTGAAAAAAAAAAAAAAAAAAAAAAAAAAAAACTCATCCGTGTTCTTTTCATTTTATTATAGGATCCTGAAGATGCACATCACAATGTACGCATGACTGATTACTTTTACTTTAGAAATCATCTCTGTATTGTATGTGAATGTCTCAGTATCAATTTGTATGAATTTATCAAGAAATATGAATACAAAGGTTTTACTGTCAGTCTGATTAAAAGGTAATGAAAAAAAAAAGTTATGACATGATCCTATAATATTAAATTTATTCTATTCTAGGTTTGCCCTCCAATTATTACGTTCACTATGTTTGTTGTATGATCATGGCGTTATTCACTGTGATTTGAAACCAGAGGTAAACTACTCAACTTTTAAAAAACCAAGGGAACAAAAAAAAATTCCGTTTATTCATTCATATAATACTTTTTGCAGAATATCCTATTGAAACATCCTGCAAAGAGTACCATCAAAGTGATTGATTTCGGTAGTAGTTGTTTTGCCAATGAAAAAAGTAAGTAAAAGAAATATATATTAAGAAAGCCTCATTCAAACTCTCTCTCTTTTTTTTTTTCTAGTGTATACATATATTCAAAGTCGATTTTATCGTGCACCTGAAATCATTCTGGGAACGACATACGACACAGCTATTGACATGTGGAGTTTTGGTTGTATTCTTGCAGAACTGTACACTGGTATTCCCATCTTCCCAGGTGAGACGGAACAGGAACAATTAGCATGTATTATGGAAATTCTTGGGGTACCTGACCCGTCTTTGATTCATCGTTGTTCGCGTCGTAAATTATTCTTTGATGCCCACAATCGCCCCCGTCCAGTCATCAACTCTCGAGGTAAACAACGCCTTCCCAACGCCAAGTCTTTGGCCAGTGTACTCAGGTGTCATCATCAAGAGCCCTTGTTTTTGGATTTCATTGAACAATGTCTACAATGGGACCCCGATCATCGTTTGACTCCTTATGATGCCTTGCAACATCCTTGGTTCACCTCAAGTTCCAAACCCTCTGTCACCGCCACTCCTACTATGATGCCCACCGCAACTGCAAATACCTCGAATACCACTGCAATGACTTGAAACACATCTACAATGGATTCCAACTTTTTTTTCTTACCTACTGAAACTATACCCCCCTTTATTTGTTTGCTTTTTTTTTCTTTTTTTCTTTTTATCACTTCTTTTTGTCTTAATAAACATGGGTTTCTGTAATGTCCCTCTCTAGGTTGATTTATTTACAATATACCTTTTCGGATTATCATTCTACCTTTGATAGAGAGTGGTTGATGATGCATTACGTTGAATTAGGAAAGACATAAATTTTATCATCAGCTTAAATTAGATCCAATTTTCTTGAAAGTAAAAGTGATATTTGTTAAGCACAACTTGGCTATAGCCTTGTGAAGTCTGGAAAACACTTTGACCTTTTTTTTTTTTAGCTTCATCAGGCTTGCAGGTAGAGACTGTATGATAATGGTTTCTTTTTTTATACTATCAAGAGTAGAATAAAAATATAATATATTGTTGATAATTATAAGTATAAAATTTTGATTATGGAGTAAGGTGGTAATGGTAAAAAGAATAATTGAATTCTATAACGGAAGAAAAGAGGTGGTAAAAAGGGACTAAGCGAAATTTTGGCCTTCCTCCGCTTTTAATGATAACTTTAGTTTACATGATTTTGATTTATTATTACACCCAATAAACATCTCTTTTGTATACTACTGTCATCATCTACGAACCAATTTTGTCGCATAACCTATTACAGTTGTCGCAAAGCAGTTACATATGTATGCATGTACCAAAACCATTTTGGCATGTGCCAGAAAAAAAAAGATTCACTACAATTCATTTGCACATAAACTTTTTTTTAATTCACATGTTACAAAAAATCCGGCCAAACGAACAGAAAACCCCAGCAGATGTATTCATCAACCGCATTTGCCATGCATGATCTGATTGGCCATTTTCTCTTTTTGTACGCCCTTCTCGGTCCTTTTCCTTACATGAACATGTACTCGTTGTTCAGAACAACATGGTTGTACAAGGTAAAAGTTTTTTTTTTGTATACTCTGATGTCATACTTGGTCCCCCCTTCTTCTATCCTCCTAAGCCTTACTTTCTTCTACAATTCTTTTTTTTTTTTTTCTCTATTTCTCCCTTTTTCTTAGTGTATCTCCTTGTACTGATTTTACTCATCATCAAACTTTGACGAGAGGAAATAAAAAAAAATGTTGAATTATGTGCTTGAATGTGATGCGGCACCAAAGGAGCATAGATCCAGATGGCTACGAGATTTAGCAGCCTACCCTGATCATTTACGGTAAGTAACAAACAATAAGACAACAAAAAAAAAAAAATTATGTTGATATAAAAAGTGTGAATCAATTTCAATCGTTTCTTGGAGTGCTAAACTTTACTTTTATCTATATCAACATTCATGTATGATTATTTTATTTTGGGTCACCGAAAAAAAAAAAGGTTACGAGGATCGGTAAAGCATTTTTTTTTTTTTAAAAAAAAAGAAAGAAGTAACTGAGTAAATTATAATTTTTCTGACATTATTTGTTTGTTTCACTATGAATATGTAGGTCGTCCCTGACATTTTCCCATTGATTGTCTTGACAATGACTTACGGGTATGTTATTGCTCATGCTTATAAGTGGGGACTTGAATATATCGCAATCAGCAATTCTGTTGGTAATGATATTTGAAAAAAGAACACAACAACAATGATTCTTATTTTTTATTTTTTTATTTATTTATTTATTTTAATGATTAGTACCGGCACTTAGTGTAGTATTAGGATTGTTACTTGCATTCCGAGCTAATACGTCCTATGCAAGATACTATGAAGGACGTCAATTATGGGAAACATTGACAAGTCATGCACGTAATTTATCCCGTTTAGTCTGGTTATCTATTCCTGAACGTAATCAAAATGATCATTTGGAAAAAATGCGATGTATGAAATTGATTCTTGCCTTTGCTGTGGCAACGAAACATCATTTACGACATGAATATGGAGTGGATTATTACGATTTGGATTATCTTTTGCCTCCCCATTGGATCCCCGCGGCCACAGCCGATGATAATGATGATAATAATCCAAACAAAATGGTTTTATTACCAAGAGGTTACTTCCCTCAAACAACAAACGAGAGAGGTATGAATCATCATCAACAACAACCATCAGAGTATGAATGGAAACCACAATATGGTGGTGATGATCCTTTTGATAAAGTCAATCGTCCTATTCATTCAAGTGAATCCTCCACCATTGATTCGTCGGCATCCTCCGTCAAGTCCTCCTCTTCCAAAAAACATCATCATCATCATCATCATCACCATGTCTTCTCAAGTGATGAAGATTTACCTGATGATGTGATGCTAGCCAACATGTCATTACCTTTAGAAATCATTTACCGAGTTAGTTTGTATTTCGAACAGGCTAAAACCAGTGGCAAAGTCGATGCTATCTTCTCTAGTGTAATGATTTCTCATATGAATTCTTTAAATGATTGTTTGGCTGGTCTAGAACGATTGATCGATACTCCCATTCCTAAAGCTTATAATATTCATTTGAAACAATCTCTTTGGTTATACTTGTTGGTCATGCCCTTCACCATTGTGGCCGATCTTGGTTGGTGGCTCATACCTACAGTGGTGATGAATTCCTTTATCTTGTATGGTATTGATGCCATTGGTGCTCAAATAGGTAAAAAAAAAAAAAAAAAAAAAAGGAATGACATTTGAGATCATTTTCTCAATTGAATATCTTTGTTTCAAATAGAAAATCCATTTGGATATAATGGAAATGATCTCCCATTGAATGAATTCTGTGATCAAATTCGTAAAGAAATTGAATTCATTGTCCATCATATACCTTGTGAAGTTCTTTAATTAGTTTTCTGAATTGCAAATATGAATTCAGCAAAAATCAAATGCGTAAAATGAACTAATCACTTGTTTCCCTCCTTCTCAATAAATAAATAACCCTTTTTTTTTTTGGTTCTCCCACTTTCGCGTGATATTTCTTTTTTTTTTTTTTGGCGATTGTCAATTATTTACCTTCTGGATAAGGTTGATGGAGTCTTTCCCCACAGAGAGCCGAATATATATAAGTAATATAGAGACTCCTGTTTTCCCGCTATTAATTACGTCATCCCTCATCATAGATTTATCATCATTAAAAATTATCGTAAATATTACCCATTATCAGTTATCACCAATCATCTGTTATTATTATTATTATTATTATTATTATTATCATAGTATAAAATGTATAGATTCTATCTGTCTCCTTCATTAGAAAAAGCAGATCTACCTTTTTATCCTACTTCCCGTGTACTCCGCGTTTCCCCTTTTTTAGAACATTCCGAGCCAATCAAACATCACTGTTACTACATACACAAAAAAAAAAAAGCAAGTTTTCCGCCTTTTTAACTAACCCTGCTTTCTGGGAACTTTTTTTTTATTTTCATTCCATCCAAAAGAATTCTTACTCCTAAAACAAGACAAACTATCAAAAAGAAAGAGGAGTAAAATAATATATATATATCATAACTATTCTTCATTCAAATACAAAATAATACCAAAAAAAACAGGTTGATCACAGAGAAAAAGAAGGTTTTCCTTTCAATATAAATGAGCTTGTAGTACAAGAGCGTAGTTAAAAAGTCCAAATAATAAAAAAAAAAAAACGGACTTTTTTTGTTTATTGAAATAGATGACGAATGGATGAATTCAAGGGAAAAAAAATCTAAAGAAAGTAATAAATAGATCGACAAGAAGAAGAATAAGAAGAAGAAGAATATAATCTATTTCACCAAAGAAAGAAGGTTACCGATCAATCATACTCCTGATAGTAGATTTTGATCGGAAAACCCGTCTTTCTCCCCTCTCTTTTTTTTTTCTCGCTCGCTAGCTTACCATATCAGGTACGCGACCAAAAAAAAAAAAAAAAAAAAAAAAAGCAGTGTAAATGGTTGGTTCGGTTCCAAAGGTAATACCATTTTTTTTTAAGGTTTTTGTCCGAAACGTCATTCATCCACTAGTATAGCTTATTTGGTGCCGCCCTGAGTTTCGGCGGGTACTCAAATCCCATGGGTTAAGGTTTGTTTTTTTCGTTTTTCGTTTTTCCTTTTTTTGGTCGGAAGATGCCCCGGGTTGGTTTGGTCAGGTCAATCTTTTTTTTTTTTCACTATTCAATAAATATATTTTCTTTTCTCTCTTCCCCCTTTTTTTTTTCTTTTCCTTTTGTTCTTTTCTCCCATTTTCTTCTTTTCCTTTTACTTTTTTTTTTCCTCCTATTTCCTTTTTTTTTCTTCCTTTCCCCACCCTCCTTTTTCTTTTTTTTTCTTTATTTTTATTTTTACGTTCTGCGTGTGAGCACTTCGTGTAGTGTGTGAGCGTGTGTGTGTTGTCTCTCTCTCTCTCTCTCTCTGTGTGTGTGTTTTCCATTTGTATTTTCATTTGTTTACAGTGGACATTTTTATTTCTTTCCGTCTCCACTCCTTGATTCAAGTAAGTGTAATAAACAAATCCCAAGGGAAAAATTTACATTTTCCTTTTTTTATTTATTTTCTAGACCATCAGCCCAAGTTATATTATTTGGCTCAGTATTTCCATCAAATGACGTCCGAAATGACCAATCGCAAAGTGTCCTTTTCAAGTTCAACTACAGAACTCTCCAATCAACAACAACAACAACAACAACAACAACAACAACAACATAATCATCATCGGAATGTTCTAGTCCAAAGATGTTCCACACCAAGATCATGTGATCCATGCAAACGGAAAAGAAAAGTATGTAATGGGCAAAGACCGTGTGGTCACTGCACGGACAATGATAAAAAGGAAGGTTGCGTTTACAGCGTGGTGTCTGATCATGCGCGCAGTGTCTTCACCACCTCCACTGCACGTCGTCTTAGTTCCGGATCTGCTTGTGAAACATGTCGTCGACGTAAAACCAAATGTGATGGAGGATCACCTTGTGGATATTGTGCTGCCAATCAACTTGAATGTTTAAATAATTCAGAACGTCGGAAAAGATCCTTGGCAAATATACATCATCAAAATTCGACAACTTTAAATCTAAACAACAATAATCAATCTACAACAAATAATAATAATAACAATAATAATAATACTATCATCAATAATAATAATAATAATAATCAACCTTTATTTTCTTCACCTTTATCTAATTCGACATCGAATCATACCACACATTCATTTCCTGCTGTTGCCACTACTACCTCTGTTTCAAGTGGTACAACACCTTCATCAACAGTAGCCACTGGTGGCGATGGAAATGAAGCAATGGATCGTATTGAAGATCGATTAAGAAGAATTGAAAAATTGATGACAGCATTTACTCCAAGTCCATTATCACAAACGCAATCTTTTGATGATAGGCCACAACAACAGAAAACAAGACCTAATAGTGGAGGAGGGAGTGCTTTCCGTAAACTTTCAACACCTTTATCTTCCTCTCCTCAATTTGTTCGTCCTCACCGTCACTCTGTACAAGGTATTTCAGTAGCCAAGGAACAAGTTGAATTAAGAACAGCTTTAGCTATGTCAAGAAAAAATGGTAAATAATAAAAAAAAAAAAAAAAAGGGCATTAAATATCATTCGCCAATGACTTACCCTGATTTATTTAGGATCTGATCGGTATCCAAGCCCTCCAAGTAGTCGACCTAAACATCATCATCATCATCATCAACAACAACAGTCACCTCCACAACCAACTTTATCACCTAAAGCTAGGCAACCTTCAACACAACTTGCATCGTCCATGTTAAATTTAACTTTATCACCATCATCGTCCACTTCTTCCACTACATCACAATTACAACAACAACAACAACAACAACAACAACAACAACAATATCATTCATTTACTTCTTTATCTACATCACCTTCTCAACCGTTTGGATTCCATCCTCCATCATCACCACCCTCAACATCGGTTTTATTCCAACAACAACAACAACATGATCAACATCAAGATTTTATTCATCGATCACCTAGTCCTGAAGGAGGTGATTGGAAATCACCAATTCCAAGCTTAATGGATCAATTATCTACTCGTACATTTACAACTCAAGCCATGGATTATAGTCTTCATTATCCTATTTACCCTTTAACCCCTCCTCCTTCTGTTTCTCCATCTCAACAGCAACATCAACAACAACAGCAATATGACCAACAACATTATCAATAGATATATTCACAAAAAAAAAAAAAAAAAGTAGGGAAAGTGTTTGATTTGTTTTAGTTGATCTTTTAAAATCATCTTTTTCTTTCTATAATCTATTCTTATATTATTATTTCTTATTGTTCTTATTTCCCTAGTTATTCATTTGTTATTCTTTTTATTTCATATTTTTCTCAAATACTCCTTCTCTTACTAATGACTTTTTTTTTTTTCATTGTATGAATTAGACTAAATCAGTGAATCAATAAAAAGACATTCATTTCATACCCTCTGATATAATAATTATTCAACAACAAAAAAAAAAAGATATCTTTTCTTTTTCTAATGATTTATTGAGTCAAAAGTAGATTAGATTATTGATGAATTGAAAATAAATCATTATCATTCATCATAAGCATTGTTCCTTTTTTTTTTTTTGGACAGCGGTATTTCAACATATAGTCTCAAGCCACGGGCTGGTGGTGATTGAAGTAAAAAAAGAAAAGGGAAACTTTTTTTTTATTTAAGCAGCTTCTTTTTTTTTTTTTTCTTTTCTCCTCATTGAATATATAATCAATTCAACGATAATAATATAACATGGTAAAATGAATAGAATATGAATATAAAAATTTATTTTTTAACATTTCATTTCTTTATTTTAGTCACGCTTAGAATTACTGACACCTGAAGGTAAAAGTGTAATATAATTAATTTCATTCCTAACTCTTTCTCATTATATATATATATATATATATATATGATAAATATAGGTCTTCGTATCGATGGTCGACGGGCAAATGAATTACGTAAAATCACAGCAAAAACATCAGTATTTAGTCAGGCAGATGGATCAGCGTATATCGAACAAGGCAACACCAAATGTCTTGTAGCCGTGTATGGACCTCGTGAAGCTCGTCGTCGTCAACAAACTTTGGCTGATCGTGCTATCATCAATGTAGAATTCAATGTTGCTCCATTCAGTACAAGTGAACGCAAAAAACGATCGAAATCTGACAAGTAAAAAAAAAAAAGTTGAAATAATACAATAGATATAATGACTTATTTTTTATTATTTGTTATTAGACGATCTCTTGAATTAGCTACATGTATTCGCCAAACTTTTGAACCCGTGATTCAAACCAATCAATTCCCTCGATCACAAATTGATGTTTATATTCAACTATTCCAACACGATGGTGGTGTTCTTCAGTCTTGTATTAATGCTACCACTATGGCTTTAATTGATGCTGGGATTCCCATGCTTGATTTTGTCTGTGCTTGCTCTGCTGGATGTATTGAAAAGGTGCCTGTTTTAGGTAATTGAAAAAAAAAATACATTTGAATAATCTCTTTCACTCATCAACAGAATCCTATTTTTTTTTTTTTTTTTTAGATTTGAATAATCTTGAAGAATCAGCTGATACACCAGAATTGACATTAGCAATGTTACCAAGAACAGGCAAAGTGAATTTAGTCGAGGTAAAAAGAAATAAAGAATGAAAGAATAACAAATCATCTGATATGGACACTTTTGGATGTACTAGTTGGAATCTCGTTTGCATATTGAACAATTGGAAAGTGTGATGGATCTAGCCAAGGATGGATGTATACAAATCAATGAAATGTTAGACAAGGTTATTCGACAGAACATGGATCATTTGATGGGCAGAATGAAGGCATAGTTATGTATAGATTTCATAGTTATGTATAGATTTAGCCTATCTTTTTCCCACCTTTTTTTTTCAATAAAAAAGAAATTGAATCATCATCATTTTTATTTCAAGCAAATTATTATATAAATAAAATAAGATACAGATGATCATACGGTGTTTATGATGAAGAAAACGTTCAATAATGACAATCGTAAAAAAAAAAAAAAAAAAAAAAAAAAAAAAAAAAAAAAAAAAAAAAAGAATGGATATAATATGACCTTATTTCCGTCGACATTTTATCAGGATTTATTTTCATATAGTTGAATATTACAAAACGAGCGAAACATGTATTTCAGATTTGTTCAAAGAAGTTAATGTCACTGTTGGTTCTCATTCATGTAGCCAAAGAATAAGAAAAATGATTGGGTCACCTTGTTTTCAATCTCAAGTCAACATTTGAAAAAAGTGTACAGTGTTTCCAGCATTAGTTGTCGCCCAAGGAGATGTCAGGGTATCCTAATGTTCAAATGTAAAGTATAAAGACAATGTAAAAAGACAGGAAGAGACGTAAAAATAGTTTATTGAATGTAATGATAAAAGAATCAAATCATATAAAAAAAAATAGAAGAGAGGGTAAAGATAAAGTAAAAAGGGAGATGAATAAAATAGGTATATACACTAAAGATTGTTTTCGGTTCTGGTTTTCTTGACACGGTGTGTAGTTGGCGTAAAAAAGATTTCATGGTGGAGGGTGGGCGGAGGAGTGACAGCAGAGACATCGATGACCTCACGAAGTCGATCTACCTTTCGTCGTTCTTCCAGGGAGTATTCGGCCTTCATACCTAGTTGCAATGTAAAATGCTTTGATATTTTCAGTCAGTCAATGATTCCTTTTTTGGAGGGAGGGGGGAAGGGGATACCTTATAAGCAAAGAGAAGCCGCAGCGTATTCTTGAATTCAAGTAAGCCATTTCCAGAGGTAGGGATCGTCAGAATATCAATGATCTTTGCAACATACACACCATGATGAGCAACTAAACAATAGAGATAACCGGAGCTGTCTATGCCACGTATAAAAAAGCGATTAATTCATTAATCAATCATTCAAATCGTTGATGCGTCGTGATAAATATACCTATCCAGTCCATTGCGAGGAGGGAATCGATCTTCTTGTTGAGTCCTTGGAGGTGGTTGAGGATGGCACTGTTGACACGCAGATTTTTGCACTGTTGGGTGATGGCATTGGAGGTAGTGACAGAGGGTTTCTTAAACTCGTTGCTCGATAGTTTCAAGTCCTTGGTATCCTTGCCATAGCGTATCAATAGGTCTATCTTCCGCCCACAAAGTTCACGATCCGTAGACGATGCGCCAAAAACAATGTCATTGTATTGTCGTTCGTGTTTAGAGCGATCACAGGCTGTTCCTCCACTACCACAACATCAAGAGTAAAATCGTGAGTCCCAGTTGCAATTAGTTCCCCTCCTTCCATTTCTTTTTTTCATTGCCACTTACTCCGCCAACTTGACATGCATGTCACGGAACATGAAGTCCAAAATAGTAGCAACGCGTCTGTAGATGGTGGTTTCGGAATCATCTTGCTTCCTGTCATTCAACGTTTCAAGTCTACAGTCAAAAAAAAAAAAAAAAAAAAAAAAAAAAAAAAAACTACAATACCTGATTGCCCAACATTTACATACGTAAAGCGCTGTTCGTGATCACACACTGCCATCAAGCTCATCGAGAAATTGTTTTTTCTGTCACGATAACTTTCACCACTACGAGCAGGTTTGTTAATCTTGACTAACTTGCCATCCATAGCTCCAATGACACCAGGAATACGTTGTCCAGCACTGATACGTGGATTATCGACGCCTAGGAAACCACTTACCACTTCATTCACTGATTCCCCTTGTGGCCACTTGATCTTGTCAGAATGAACATCTATCATCGCTGTCAGGAACCGCATAGTAAAATTATTATACGATCCTTGAGAGTATCCCATCTGATTTCTGAACATTCGATAACCATAGTGGGTGTTTGCAAATCGCCAAAGAACACAAGCAATCTGTACCTCAGGATCGGTCGAATTTTCCGTTTCATAGACAGGATGATCACGTAAGGAGTTGACCAGTCAAACAAAAGACGGTTTTCGGAGACAGTAGTTCCTATAATAACTCAAGTCACTAGTATCATAGCGTAAAAAAGGATGGACATCATGCCAATAGCCGAACGTACGTGGAATTACACCGTTACTTGCGCCATTGTTTTCAAACAATCACTGAGAAGTGAAAAAAAAGAACGGAGACGTTCTCAAGACAACCTCTAATTCGAAATCGTTTGACAAGATGCCGTTACTATGTAGACAACTGGCCATGAGAACCGACAACAGTATCTCAAAGTAACTTTCCATTCTTTTGCGCATAGAATCTGGAACAAGAGCTACATTCGTTTGTGTGTTGTTGGTATTGTCGTTATTTTCGTTATTGTTGTTATTGATGGTGGGATTCATGTTGGTTGATAAAGGTAAAAAGAAAGCGAAGAGAAAAAAGAAATAAAGGGAGACAGAAAAAAAAAAGGAAGACGAAAAAAAAAAAGACTTTATTCACCATATTTCTCTTTCTATTCATTTTTGTATATTCTCTTTTTGGTATAATCAATACAACGCAAATCACCCTTTTATCTCGGCCAAGTCAAAACCGAAAAGGCAACAAAAATCCAGGCATCGTTTTTTTAGAAATCCGACATCATCGGTATAGACCTTTCATTTACCAATTTTTTTTTATTTCTTCCCCTCCTTTTATATATCACTTACAACAAAAGGTAACATAATCATCCATTTATCCATCCATCCATCCATCCATAGAATATAATTAATCATAACTTTATCATTTTCTAGTCGCCATGGGTAAAGAAAAGACTCACGTTAACGTCGTTGTCATCGGTCACGTCGATTCCGTAAGTGATTGTTCATTATTTTATGATGAATTACTAAATTCAAACATATTTGATATAGGGTAAATCCACTACTACTGGTCACTTGATCTACAAGTGTGGTGGTATTGACAAGCGTACCATTGAAAAGTTCGAAAAGGAAGCTGCTGAACTCGGTAAGGGTTCCTTCAAGTACGCCTGGGTTTTGGACAAGCTTAAGGCTGAACGTGAACGTGGTATCACCATTGATATTGCTCTCTGGAAGTTCGAAACTCCCAAGTACCACGTTACTGTCATTGATGCTCCTGGCCATCGTGATTTCATCAAGAACATGATTACTGGTACTTCTCAAGCTGATTGTGGTATTCTTATCATTGCTGCTGGTACTGGTGAATTCGAAGTAAGTAAAAAAAAAAAAATAATAATAATAAAATAAAAAAGAGAATGAATGTATTTATTTATTTTTATTTTATTTTATTTTATTTATTCATAGGCTGGTATCTCCAAGGATGGTCAAACCCGTGAACACGCTTTGTTGGCTTTCACTCTCGGTGTCCGTCAATTGATTGTTGCTATCAACAAGATGGATTCTACCAAGTGGTCTGAAGCTCGTTTCAACGAAATCATCAAGGAAGTTTCTGGTTTCATCAAGAAGATCGGTTTCAACCCCAAGTCTGTCCCCTTCGTCCCCATTTCTGGCTGGCACGGTGACAACATGTTGGACGAATCTACCAACATGCCCTGGTACAAGGGATGGAAGAAGGAAACCAAGGCTGGTGAAAAGTCTGGTAAGACTCTTTTGGATGCTATTGATGCCATTGATCCCCCTACTCGTCCTTCCGACAAGCCTCTCCGTCTTCCTCTTCAAGATGTGTACAAGATTGGTGGTATTGGTACTGTCCCCGTTGGTCGTGTCGAAACTGGTATCATCAAGGCTGGTATGGTCGTCACCTTCGCTCCTGCTAACGTGACCACTGAAGTCAAGTCTGTTGAAATGCATCACGAACAATTGGCTGAAGGTCTTCCCGGTGACAACGTTGGTTTCAACGTCAAGAACGTTTCTGTCAAGGATATCCGTCGTGGTAACGTCTGTTCCGACTCCAAGAACGATCCTGCCAAGGAATCTGCCTCTTTCACTGCTCAAGTCATTGTCCTTAACCATCCTGGTCAAATCGGTGCTGGTTACGCTCCTGTCTTGGATTGTCACACTGCTCACATTGCTTGTAAGTTCGCTGAATTGTTGGAAAAGATTGATCGTCGTTCCGGTAAGAAGCTCGAAGATGCTCCCAAGTTCGTCAAGTCTGGTGACTCTGCTATCGTCAAGATGATTCCTTCCAAGCCCATGTGTGTTGAAGCTTACACTGATTATCCTCCTCTTGGTCGTTTCGCTGTCCGTGATATGCGTCAAACTGTTGCTGTTGGTGTTATCAAGGCTGTTGAAAAGGTTGACAAGGCTGGTAAGGTTACCAAGGCTGCTACCAAGGCTGGTAAGAAATAAATCTTTTGATTTATTTTTCTTCCACTTTTATTAGTTTATATTAGTTTTATTCATTTGTACTTAGTTTTTCTCATTTTTCTTCTCCATAATAAAGAAAAAAAAAAAAGAGGAAGGATTTTTCTTCTTTTGTTACAATAATTATCTTTTTTTGTATTTCTGTAATTCGACTTTTTCTTTTCTGTTTGAAAGTTGGCCATAGCAAACCGTATTTCCCTTTTTTCGAGAGTGGTTTTTTTGAGACACCGTTTTTTTTTTCTTTACAAAAGTAAACAGGATTGCTCCGCTCACGACTTTTCTGACTGGTTTTTCACAACTTTTTGCGCCACACAACTTTTTGCGCACGACTTTTTGCGCACGACTTTTTGCGTACAACTTTTTGTGCACAACTTTTTGTATCTTCCCGTTTAAAGACACTCGTACAAAAGACATCTTTATTATTATATTCCAATACAAAGGAAATAATTTTTACTATCTTTCGTGTATAATAAAACCTCTTCTCTGTGTGTTAAAGCATCGAATTATTGTATTCAAATTTATTACACTAAATGAAATGTTTTAAGAAAGTAAACGCATTATACTTACTTTCGCTTCTTTCTAAATTCCTCTTTTTTGTTCTCTCTTTTTCTTTTAGGCGCTCTCAGGATTAAACGTATCTTCTTTGCTGTTGCTGTTCGAGGTGTGACTGGAGAGGACGGTGAAGAAGATAGTGGCGATACATATGAAAATGGAGATTCCGATAACATGGGAGATGATGGAGAAGGGGACGATAAGTGTGGAGAAGGGGACGATAAGTGTGGAGAAGGGGACGATAAGTGTGGAGAAGGGCACGATAAGTGTGGAGAAGAGGACGATAAGTGTGGAGACACGGATAGATGTGTGGATCGTGGTGGTGGAGAAGGTACCCGTTTGAAGGAAGATAGAGATCGTATTAGTGGTGAAAACGATAGTTGTGGAGATGGTACTGTAGAGGATGGGGAAGAACGTAGCGGCGAAACATAAGAAAAGGAAGATTCCTGAATTGACGTGGGAGATGATGGAGGAGGAGGTGATAAGTGTGGAGACGTGGACAAACGTGTGGATCGTGGCGGTGGTGATGCTGATTTGCTTGGATATGATGACAGCGATCGAGATGATGGCGATGATTTCGTATAATTCGGAGCAGGATATTCTACAAGTTTATAGAATACATAGATTGTGTTTACCACTTTACCATGTATTTTTTTACCATTTATGTTTTTCATTCTTCCTGCCATGTTGTCCGCTATATATTTCTTTCCGTCTACGTTCATGTAAGAGTAAAAATGGCCACCAATAGCCGATTGTGCTAAAATTCTGCCGCAGATTTCATAGTAGTTGTAATCTATAACGACGCTTTCAGGATAGTCATACTGATCTTCATTTGATTGTGATATTATTGCATCATTGATGGTAAGGAAGCTTGCCGGAAACAGTACTTCACCCTGTCGATATTTGTCCTTATTGAATAGTATTCCAACTGGTTCGTCATCCTTTTTCCGTATGACTTCGAATGCTTTGATTGACCGATGATCATTGAAAATGACAGAGAAATATTCTTGCAAAGGGCCATCATCTGTTATTGCATGATATACAAGTTGGCAGTCTGAAAGGTTGTGCTTTTCGAACCCATTTTCCCATAAGTACTCCCTTGCAAATTTTGTTCCTAGGACAAATTGCTCTTTCTCGGAATACTTTTTAAGTATGCTGATGAAATAAGAGATTCCTTTTTCATCTGCGTCATAAGGCAATACGTTTGGTAGGATAATCCTAAGTACGATCTCAATGACACAATCAATGTAACAGGAGTTGCTTTCCCACCGAGCCAAAGAAAGCTTGTCGTCATTTTTGTTTTCGCTGTCATTTATCCTGTCAACTACCGACTTTCGTATTTGCTTTTGTTTCTTCGTTGGCCGACCTTTGGGTTTGATATTTTGGGGCAGAATGAGTTGACGACTAACTGATGGCATTACTTCCTTGGGACCACTGTCATCGATGATGTTTTGAACTATCACAGACACCTTGCTAACTACCTCATTTAGCGCAGAAGTTGGGAGCTTTTCCAATAAGCTACGAATATTGTCCATGGCAGCTTCGTGATCAACGATCAAACCGGTTTCCAGTGTTATGTGGGAGCTTCCTATTTCTAATAAGCAGAAACGGTAGGGTCAGAATACATTATCGTAATTATACTGTAATATAAAACAATATATGCTGTAATTGCAAAAGAATGACTGTGAAGCTATACCTTCTTTCTTCAAATGCCAGAACATGTCTATATCGTCAGCTATCAGTACGCCGGGAAGAGTATGTTTGCATAAAAGTCCATAGCTGCTACGAGCAGCACAATTACATTCAGATTCTTCACCAACAGTATCTCTCTTTCGATATTCATTGTAAAGTAAATTCAGCGCGAAATGAGATATTTTCCCTACTATGTCCTTGAAATATTTTTCTTCATAGAGATTCACTGGACTGGACTCCATTTCAAATTCAAACCTAATCCTCTGTTCCCGAAACTAACATAAGAAGAAATGGGATTTATATTCACTTTACTACAAAAAATTTTGATGATATGGAGTTGGTACTGTAGTTTACCTGATCAGTGAGCCACTGCCCCACCTTTCCTGCCAAACTGCCTACACTCATCTTCCTTGCAAGCATTGTCTTTAAAGACGAATGAGCACTTTCTGCCCTTTGGGTTGTCCTTGTTCCGTAGTGCCTTACGGTTTCACACCACGGTCCTCCCCACTTGTGCTTGATAGATAAAAGCCTTTTTTACAAAATAAAGTAAAGCAACGTTAAATATATCACTATGATAAAGCAAGAACCATAACGGTACTTACTGATCGAGTTGCTTTCGCAGTTTTATGTTATTTAGTGATAAATCGAAAGTTGATAGGAGCACCTTTGTGTTGTTGACAAAGTTGTCCTTGTCCTTGTCGTAAAAGAGCATGTTTATCACCGATCTACATTTTACTTCCTTCCCTTTGTCCTAATTTGGTAATGAACAAGACTATAGTTACCGCACAATTGGAGTAATCAGTACTGTACTTACGTGTTGGCCATTTTCATTTCTAAACGATCCTTCATAATTTTTTCGGAAGTTGTTCGAAATGTGCCAAACACACAGCATGTGATGGCATTCAGGGAAGGTCGTTTCGATTGCTTTTTCGAGTGCCACATCCTGATCGGTGACAATGATCTGCAATAAATAAAAAGAAATTAGTCTTTACTCTCCTTATCGTCTCATACATAAGTTACCTTCGTGTTGATGTCGTTCTTTCCCCATACTGCATTTTTAAAAGTTTCGAGCGCCCAGGCGTAGTTGCTTTTCACTTCACTGACCATCAGGATGGTCGCAGCAACGAAGGTTGTCAAACGATCCTTCCCCAGGTTGGTGAAGCCAACGATGTTGACGAGTGGCAACTTCAGATCGTTGGTATTGTATGTGGCGTCAACCAGCAAAACCTCCCCAAAGCGTCTCGTAAAGTCGACCGCCTGATGATGCATTATTAAGATGGCACGAAAGGCACCAGACTTGCCCACCTTCACATCGATAAAGAAGCCATCTTCCTCCATTCTATTCAACTTCTTTACCAACTTTTCATCCTGGCTGCTATTGTCGTTTTCCTCCTTTCCCATGCGTTGCTTGATGTTATAAACATCTTTAGCAGTGGTAATAATTTCCTTGTCTTTACGCATGGTGGCAACGATCTTTGATGGCTCAACCCCTGAATCCAGCATGCTGACAATAGTCTTCTTCGATTCATCGCCTAATCTTCTTGCTGAGGGAATTATTGAAGCTGTAATAAACGCATTGGTAATCGTGGGATGGCCATGTTCCTCGATAGATTCCATGTTAAATTGGTTGACGTTACTGGCGTCAATGACCAATCCCCCATGAAGATTGATCTTCGAGATGCGCCATTCTTCTTCTACCTTTTTTGCATACACTTTCCAGGAACAAGTTTCAGTAAGTTTGCTTGTTCTTCCCACACGAATTCTTTTCTCAGGGTCCACATTATTCTTATATCCATATCTATGTCGGCAGTAAAAGTACACGGTTCCATTGGTATTGTTAAATGACCTGGTGACTCCGAAGCCATTTTTTTGGGCGAAACGCCTAATGTCGGTATCAATGCTTTCCTTATCAGAGTATTGTCTACCAATGAGTGCCTGACTGATCATTTTAACGAAATTGAGGTGAATAGTATAATAAAATGTAAAAACTATGAAGAAGAGATGATATAACGATTCTCACGCAGGATATAGAGTATGACGAAAATTTGAACCTAAAAAGTTGTAAACAAAGGCTTGTACACAATACTCTTCTTTATTCATACCAAAAAGGTTGCTCTCTTCTCTACTTATCATTGTAATGAAAAAAATGATACAATAAATTTCATGTACTGTAGCATCAAACTTTTTGCATAAAACGTTTTGCATAAAATGTTGTGCGCAAAAAGTTGTGCGCAAAAAGTTGTACGCAAAAAGTTGTACGCAAAAAGTCGTGCGCAAAAAGTCGTGCGCAAAAAGTTGTGTGGCGCAAAAAGTTGTGAAAAACCAGTCAGAAAAGTCGTGAGCGGAGCAATCCTGAAAGTAAAAACGACTCCTATTTTTTTTTTTTTCGTTTTTTTTTTTTTTATATTTCTTTTTTCTTCTTCTTCTTCTTGTTGTTGTTGTTGTCGTTATTACAACCATCATCTACTGAAAAATATACTGAACTATACCTATAGACGATACCACTCAGTATTCCTTTCTTGATGACTCAACCAACAGAAAGTAAGAAAAGACGACGACGATGGGGCGATGACGAAACAGATGCTCTTATAATAGGATGTATGAAGGTATCAAGTTTCTTTTCTTTCTCTCCTTTTTTTTTTTTCTTATTAAAACATACTAACCTCTTTTCTTATATAAAAACTCTCTCTCTTCTAGCATGGTGTTGGAAATTGGCAAGCTATTATCAAAGACCCTACACTTACTTTTGATCGACGGTCTGCAGTAGACTTAAAAGACAGGTAAATAATACTTTTATAAAGAAAGATGAATTTAAATACTTTTGTGGAAATAGATTTCGAACGATATGCCCTAAACGTGAATACCAACACCTTTATACCCAGCAGAATATCTCTACGTATTATCTTGCTTTTAACACTACTGAACAAATACCTGTTCACCGAAAAAAACGACGTATGCGACGACCATTTAATGAAGAAGAAGATCAAGCCTTATTGAAAGGTGTTGAAAAGGTAAAAAAAAAAAAAAAAAAAAAATCTTTCATGATTTTGTCTTTTTATTTTGTTTTTTTTTTTTTTTTTTGTTTTTTTTTTTTTTTTGTTTTTTTTTTTTTTTTGTTAGTACGGTGTATCATGGGCATGTATTGCAAAAGATCCTGATTTAAATCTTTCCCATAGAAAAGGAGGGGATATTCGGGATAGATTCCGCAACAAATACCCTGATCGATATGAAGCACTTGGTCTTAGTTTGAAATCAAGCAAAGTCAAAAAGGATTCAAGTCAACAAGAAGAAGAATAACAACAGTGGCAGTTGTCTATGGTAGGACACGTGCAACCTATCATGATTCCCTTTAGATTAGAATCTCCTTAAATTTTTAGCAGTAATAGTATCAATCATTTAAATAAAGGTGTATCTTGACAAAAAAAAAAAAATGGTTATATGAAAATTACAGTGATATAATGGATAGAGATTTTATTTTTATTTTCGTATATATATATATATATATATATATATATATATACGTATGTGTGATAATAGAATGCGAGTAAAAAATAAAATAAAATAATGACTGTACATAAAAAAAAAAAAAAGAAAAAAAGAGGAACTCCATAGATGATGTTCCTAAAAAAAAAAAAAAAAAAGACAGGGGGGTATCAAATAATATCAATGAAGCCGTTTTTGGTAATAACAATAAGTAAAATGAAAGGTTAATATATATATATAAAAAAACTAATTACAAAAATAATAATAAATAAATAAATAAATGAAGATCATTGCGTCTTTGTAGAAGACACAGTACGAGACCAAGTAGCTTTGAGAGAACGAAGCAAGGAAAGCTTGAAACCATAAATACAACGGAAAGCAATCCATTGTTTTCTCCACGTGGGAACTTTGGCACGAAGGGGGAAGACCAGATCTTGACGTATGATGGGACCAATGGCCATATAGATTTCAAAAGCAGCACGAATGCCATCTTGGACTTCTTCAGGAAGACCATCAATACCTAGTTGGGCCTTGTCAGACACACGATCTGCTAAATCCAAGATGCGTACGGCATATGATTTGACAATATCATTACCCACACGATCTGCCTTTCTCATCTTGAGTAGATCATAGGTAGTCTTGTTTGGCATAAAACTCAAAGGTACATAACAACGATTATCCAATGAATCTCTTAAAATATCACGAGCGATATTGACTAATTGAAGACACTAAGTAATACAAAAAAAAAAGTGAGTTGATGGCTTGCTTTTTTTTTTTTTTTTTTTTTTTTTTTTTTTTTTTTTTTTTTTTTTTTTTTTTTTTTTTACCTGACCGGTAGCAGTTGCACGTGCTAAGACTTGATTATTTCTTGCTATCAGATCTTTGCCATTCCAATTCCCACGACCAGTTTTATACATAATGACACAAGTACATAGTTCACCAAATTTGCCCGAGATCAAAGCAGCATAATGAAGTAATTCTTGTTGAGTCTTGATAGGTTTCCCGACCAAATCCATTTTCCAAGCAACGCATAAATCGTCAGCAGCCTTGGGACAAAGATAAGAGGCAATGCGACCCAAACTACGAAAAGAGGCAAAAGCCATGATATTCTGATCCAAACGATGCCAAAGAGAATTCCAATCGATTTGATGATGTTGTAATAGAGTGATGTCAATGGATTTGTTGATATCGAGCATTTGAGCAGGCGTCATCATGTCATTTTCCATTTTTTGGTTTTGAGGAGGATTTAATAACAGACGAAGGAAGGCCCTGATCAATTGCAAGTTATGATGTCGTTGTTCTAACGTAGGAGGATCATCCACTAGGTCATCACAAGCACGGAAGAAACCATAAAGGATACACAGATCTTGACGTAGATTAGTCGGGAACAAGGCGGCCATTGTTTTCCAGGACCGAGAGGCAGGGCCCAACCCTTTAATCACCTGCATCAAGTCCATGACAGGATCGGGGCAAAGCTCATGTTGATTAGAGAGAATGTCATTGATAATATGAAACATGGATTTCCAATAAACAAATGTGGTAGGTGATTGTAGAGACGACATCTTGACAGGATCATTGTTAGGTACAGCCAATTGAGGATAGGTATTGAGAATGGCATCTGCATTATCCAAGAAACAAGAACTTGTCACTACTGTCAACATCATGAAGAACCAATCCATTATTTGCCAATGGTAGATAAAAGAGGATGAAGGACTTGCTAATTGATACATTGATCCAAGTATGGTAGGTACTAATGCACTAGATAATAAAGCATATCGTCGTCGAACGAAATAAGCTCCAGAATATTGCCAAAGTAATCCAAGTATAAAACAAAAGATGGAAAAGATGGAACAAGAAGATGGTTGTTGTTGTTGTTGTTGTTGTAATGTGGAGGATGGATTCATACTGAAAAATAATAATATAATAATGAATATTCAATTTTGTTTTTTATTTTTATGACTTACCATAGATAACCCATAAGAATGAAGAAAATAGAACCAGAATATCTTAAGAATTGATTTTTCTTGGGAGTATCAAGAACACCAATATATAAAATAGGAAATTGCCATCTAGTAATAAATGCCCATAAATAGAGAGCAACATTTGTAATCATGACAAGAGCAAGCACGTCCATCCATAAAGAAGTATCTTGGAAAGAACGAAAGGACATGAGCATATTCAGAGTATCATGATTACTATTATTTCTATTATTAGAATGATGATATTGATGATGATGATGATGTTGATATAATTGTGTATAAGATAAAAAATGGGTAGTTGTATTATTATTTAATGATGATATAAAATGATAGATGTAAGGTACAATGACCATAATTGAAGTAAATAACAAAGTTTTGACATTGTCCAGTTTTGTAATAAAAGGACGATATAACAAAAAAATAAATAGAAAGGATACAGAAGGGTATAATAGTGTTTGTATCATTTTGATATAATTATAAAATTATGGAAAAGAAAGACAAAAGAAGAAAAAATCATTTCTTTTTATAGCTTCTAGGTGGGTCGTCAGTTTCAATCTCAGTTGCTCCTATTTTTTCAGTTCACTCTTTAGTTACGCCTCAGTGGTCTCTTTTAAATCAAATCGTTTGTTCCACGAATACGTACCAGTAAGAAAAAAAAAAGTGAGAATATGTGAGAAAATCTGAATATCTGATGATGCTGTTTATAATTCAAGCAATCAGAACTAGATTTATGTTGCTTTTGCATACGTTTGATCTATCCATGTACGATAGAATTCCAGATTGGCTAAGACCAAGCAATAAAAATAAAAGCGTAACCTCCTGACGATGATGATGTCTGTCCCTTACCTTTAAAACAAGATAAAAACCCAAAGTAAGAAGAAAGTTTATACCGATGTTGAACAAAAAACCGGTTTTTACATATTTATGGTTTGGAATATTATTATCTTTTGTTTTCCTATCTTTTAACAACACCAATAAAACAAAAACAATGGTTTAGTTAATCTATCGCTCAGCGACGAAAAAAAAAAGTGGCAAAAAGAATAAAGTGTGAAAATTCTCATGATTTTTTTTTTTTTTTGGTTGGTTCAATAATTTTTATCTATCCCTTTGGGCTTTTTCTTTTATTCGTACCTTAACCCCTTATTTTGATTGGCTGTCTTCTACTCCCCTTTTTTTTTATTTGCGTACCAGTTCACTTTTTTTTGAACCCCCCTTTCTCTCTATGTTTGACCCCCCTTTCAAATCCCCTTCGCCACCATCAAATGTCAATAGGCTAAATGGTAACATACATATCTCCTCACGATTAAACTACGAATTAAATGAGATAAAGGGAAATAATAAGGTTTTCTTTTAAACCTAATAGATTAAAACTCTATTCTCTTTTCATTCTAACAGTTCATGATTTCTAATAATTTGAGTCGCAATGGAAACATTTTGATAGGAAGATCGCCAGAGGTCAAAACGTGACACTGAGCGCGGTGATACGAAGCACAAAGTAATTTTTTTTTCTTTTGTGGTTTGACTGTTTTTAGTACCTGATCAATGGAGGTAAAACTTTTCATTGGATCCCCTTTTCAGTTATCATCATAGACTTATAAAGTCATAAGATTCCTAGTAACCATCAGTTTTAGTATTTTTTTTTTTTGACTACTCATGTGGTGTTCGATCAAAAAAAAAAGGAGATCTTTTAACTTTTACTGGCAACAGTGAAAAAAAAAGAAAAAAAACTACTATATGAACAACTAAGCTTAATCTCCTCTTTCTCGACGGAGATCAAATTAGAATTCATGCAACCACTGACCATCGTCATCTGCCATCAATGGGGGAAGACGGGTAAACTACCTATTGCATACTTCAACCAGATCCGTGGAAAAGAAATGTAAAAAAAAAAAATTCCGGTTACCTCCTATTTCATTAATGTTTCTCCTTTCAAAATATAGCCAACCTTTCAAAAGAAAAAAAACAAAACAAAACAAACAAAAGATGGTTATGTAGCAAGACGATCGATATAACGTCTAATAGAAAAACATCAATCGAATTTTACGCCACTCAAGATCTGAATGACATCTTTTGATGTATTCGTCACTTGTTTTTATTTTTTGCAGTATAGTAAAAAATAATAATAATAAGTGAACTCTTTTATATATATAGATATATATATATATATATAGGTGGCGTTAAATAGGACCAATGGTAATATAGGCGCCTACCGGATACTAAAAAAACCACATATAAAGACACAATGGCTTTTTATTTTTGTACACAAAAAAAAAAAATGGCGGGGAATAGTGAAATATAAAGTTTGTGCCATTCTTATCCTCTGATTCTTTTAACGTTGTTGTACATACAATATTAACGTAATCATAATTGAAATGAAAAGTTTGTACACACACACAAAAACCCATCAGATGACGAGAACGAAACAAAAGAGGGATTACGAATGGGATCACTTTAAGAGGCCATAGTCCGTTCACCCCTTTATTTGGTTAGTCTGATCGATCAGGCTTTTTTCTTTTGTCTTTTTTGTCCTTTTTTGGTTTTCCATAGTATATATTTTGTTGTCGTCAAAATAATAACAATACCAACTTTTTTTTTTTTGGTTCTTTCCAAAGAGGAATGACTCATCGCACAAAAATATCCATTTAAAATAGTCGAGTAATGAGATGAAAAAACTGATAGAAAAACGTCATCATATAGAGTACAATAGTCATATGCTTTTTCTTTTTTTAAAAAAAAAGGTGTGAGATCTAGCCAAATGGTCAGCTGGAATAAAAGATACCTTGTCTTTTTTTTTTTTCCACTTGTAGTTGGATCGGGACCCCTCTTTGGATTACCCTGCAAGGCAATTCCTTACATATTAATAGACTATGAGGAAAAAGTATTAAAAATTAGAATGACATTTAATCATAAGAAAGAAAGAAAGAGAGATCAACGATCATCCTTTCCTTTTTTTTATTGTTTCTTTTCATTTTAGAAATAAAATTTTCTTCTTTGTTAGTCATTAATGGCAATTAAGATTAGAATAATAAGAGTTGTCCAACTGGCTTGAATAAAAGTCCAATGACAAACAAAAAAAAAAAGGTTGTTTTTAGACTCCGTCGTTTCTTCTCATTCACTTTCGTTATATGCGAAGTGGCAAAAAAGAAACTGGTTTTCTATTATATCCGGAAATATAATTCCGGAAACGCCGTTCGATGGTAGTGCATGTATCTCCTCGTCCAATACTGACTAGATACAGAAAAAAAAAAAAAGCTCCTTGAACAGATCGAGTGGCAAAATAACCGCAAAATGCAAAGGAGAGCATATTACAAGCAGAGTTATCTTCTTGATAGAATAAGGAGTGAACAAGGAGTTACAACAAAAGATAATCCGCATTTTCTACAATGTAGATTGTTTACAAAAGTTTAAAAAAAAAGAATATACGAGGAGGTCATCCAAAAAAAAAACTTGTCATGATGCAATATATCCCTTTTATTTATTCAGAACACTTTCTGCACGATGGATGAAGAGATGTTCAGATGATGAGATGGTGAATGAATGTTTATTAATCGATACAGTATTTACTTTTCGCGCGTCTGCAGTAATGAGACTCAGCAATGATGATGAAAATCATAAAGAGAGCATCATGTTGATAATGTTACGATTATGAATGATTGCATTATAATGCTTCCACGTTAATGATGATAATGTATAGAGTGGCAAACGGGATGACAGGAGATTAGTGCAAAAAGAAAGTGAGGAGTGATATCCTGCCTTTTTTTAATCAGACTTAAATAGGGTTAGCAGGCATTGCAGTGATTCTTACGCGCGATAAGCATCAAGAAGGTGAAATCCAGATTTAAAGACCTAAGATGGTTTGCTATTGATCCTATTCTTTCATCCGGTTTCTTCATGTGGTCTTGACAGAGGAGAAAATAAATAAATAAAAACATATGCCAAAATAAAAAGTCTCCTTTTAACTTTTCAAGGTTGTTTAGGCTTTGCATTAAGGAAGACTTTGTAATAAGAAAATAATGGTCATTTATGAAAGATAAATAAATAAAGAGAAAGGAGGAAGATACATAAAATCATTGGAAATAAATGAACATGTATTGCCTCCTTGCCAAGTTGTCAACTTGAAAGAGGTAAGAACAAGTCTGACTTGTATCAATTTATTTCAAGACAGATAGAAAACATTATGAAGAAGGTTCATATACCAATGACGTTCCTTTTTTTTTTTTTAGATAGAAATCCCTTTTTTTGAAGATGATGACATGATGTCATGACAGATGTTACATTTCTATAAAATATTCAGATAATGCTTCATGTTACTTTCCATGATGATGGTCACTGATGATTAACGAGAATATTGGAAACCATGAAAATAGCAATGATGATGATAATTGTGGCAAAATATATATATATATATAAATAGAACTTTATTAGGGAGAAATACTACTAAGCCTAATACTTGCTATCAATAAGGAATCATCACAGGAAAATCCAAATGAGGATGAGGAGCCAATGAAAACAGGAAGAGGGATTTCAAAGAAAGAAAAAAAAAACAAGTAATGAGATATAGATTATGTACTATTAGCCAAAGCTTTCAAAAGTCTCAACCCCAAGTGCCAGCTTTGTCCCTGAAAAGTTCTCTTCGTAAGGACAGGCAACATTTCAAAAGATTCGACCAAAAAGTCCTTTCGACCTGATATTGTCTGAGGATCAGCTGAAAAAACTTCTTACAGCTTTATGATGATGAATTTCTTTCTTTTTTTTTTTTTCTTTTTGTTTCAATCAAAGACTAACATTTATAAAAAAAAAAACTAAGAGGTAAACGTTTCTTTTTATTTATTCAAAAATAAACATGTATATATATAAATAGATCTAAATCAAAAGAATGAAGCTAGATAGCATATGCAAAAAAATGAATCTAAAAGTTCCTAACTAATTGCTATGGTGTTTGCTAGGTAAAGTCGAGATGGATGAAGGAGTATCTTGGATTTTCCATACACGGTTCCTGTTGAGATTAAATTTCACATTTTTCTTTGATTTTTCTGCCATGACATCTACAGCATTTCCCTGTTGTTTTTTTCCACTTTCTTGTTGACTACCCATCCTTGATGATGATCCAATGATTTTCTTACGAGCTGCCAGTCTTATTTCACGTTCCTCTCTTGCTTCACGTACCCGATATAACTTGATTTGTTCTGCTCGTTTCAATTGTCGTGCCATTTTTTCCTTTCGCGAGATTGGTTTAGGGCGTTCCTCTTCGTCTTCTTGATCATTTTCACCGACGGTTGGTGCTACCATGATATGATCCATAGTTGTCAATAACTTGCTATTTGTTTTTTTGGTACTAGCGTATGATGAGGTTTGACGACTCGGTTTGCTGGAGGACAACGTTCCTCGTTGGGCTGATGTTGCTGATCTTCGTGGTATTGAAGATTGTGATACAATATTATCCAAAATAAAGTCGTTGTCTTTTGCATTGTTGTCATTTTCAGACTGGATTGAGTTCGCTGAAGAACTTGTAGGACTAGACGAGAAAAGAGAAGGAATTGCCCGTCGTTTGTCGCTCGTTCTTGATGTTGTAGATGATCGCTTTGATGATAATAAACCTGATGGAGTGGATGACGATGTACGTATTGGTAACTTGGAATTTCGCTTTGGTAGTATGGGTGAATTACTACTTCTAATCCGTGGTGGGCTAGTATTATTGGCTTGAATTGATGAAGATGGTCGTGGTAATGGCTTATTGCTATGGACAGGGGATGAACGGCCTCCTGGTAAGGGTGAATATGAATTGAGCTTGTTAGAAGATGTAGTACTTTTGCTGGATGATAAACTATTGTTGGGTCGAGGCAAGGATGCAGTACTATCGACAGGAGAGCTAGGCCTGGGTTGTAAGTTGTATGATGATGATATTTCGTTATTGAGTGTGGGAGTTGGTAATAACGAGGTTGGATCTGTCGTTGTTGGTGATGATGAGATGCATGCTTCTAGTAAAGGTAGACTATCGGCTGGTTCATCCATTTCCATATCCATCACATATTGATGCTGCTTTCTAATGTGTGACTTGGGAGATGTAGGAGTCGAATCTGTTGATGTAGATTCCACTAATGTTGTATTTGAATTTACTGCTTCTTCCGTTGTTGTTGTATATGCTGACAGAGTATCTAAGCTTTGATCATTATTCCATGATGAGGAATCCACTGACATTGGCAACGTGTCTAATGTTGCTATTCCTGTTGGAGTATCCATTGTTTCTGGGTCCTCTATTGATGTTTCAATGTCTTTCCCTGGTGTCTGTGACTCTACTGATGGTTGTGGAGTAACTGCTTGTAATGTTGTTGGTGAATCTTGTGTTGACATGAAGGATGATACTGAAGATGAATCTGTTTCCGTTGGAGATGGTAAAAGAGTTGTGGTAGTATCTTTCGCTTTGAATTCAGTTGGTGTTGGGGTACAAGTACTGACTTTAGTTGGCAGTATGGGTACTTCTGCTGTTGAAGTTGTTGCTACTGTCGTTCCCACTTGTTCTTTTGCCAAAGTGAGATCCATTGGTGACATTGAGGGTTCCATGGATGTCATTGTCTGTATAACGGGAGTCATTGTTGAAATGGGTATTGATGGAGTTTCTATTAAGTTTGTTTTATCAATAACTGAATTGAGTTGTGTTGCTGCTGGTGGATCGACAGTTGTTGGTTTAGCAGTATAGGCTACAATCAAGAAAAATAGAAAATGTCAGTTTAAACTTTTATTTATAAATAAACGTGTAAACCAGTTTACTTGATAATAATGGTGGTAAAGAAGTAGCGCCAGGAGCAGTCAAGAAAGAAGATGAGGGATAGATTCCACGAATGATCACTAACCGAAGACTTGACCAAGAAAGAATAAGCCTTTGTTTTCTTAAAAGTTCGTTGACTAGAAATGGAAATGAGAAAGCTTCTTTTGTTGTTGATGCTTTTGCTGGTGTTGGTGGTGTAAGAATAGCAGTTGCTGTTACTGTAGAAGGGACCGGTGATGTTGTTGTGGGCGGTGGAGGTTTGTAGGTGAGATCCTTAGAGGACGACTTGATTTCACCAGTCACTTGTAAAGGCAGGGTCATGAAAGAATGGCACCAATATGACTATTGTACCCAAAAAAAAAAAAAAAAAAAAAAAAAAAAGAGAGAGAGAGAAAGAAGAAAGAAAAATGAACGAGCAAAGGATCTTTTTCACTCTCCTCGTTTTCTTGTCACCAAAAGGGGAAATAAGACAGACCACAGGCTGAATATGATTATGAGCTCTTTTATTATTATTATTATTATTATTCATAAGCAATATTTCTTGATTATTTTTAATAAGATCGAAATAAAAAAAAAGACTTTTTTTCAATGAAATAAAGGTAACTATTTTTATTCAAATAAACGTATATACAAATGCTAGAGAATACTAAATGGATAACAGATCATTGATAATTTGATTTGTGATAAAAAAAAAATATATATATAAAATGTATCCAGTAAATAAGCTAAATAAGAGAACTAAAGTATGAGGAAGTGTTGATATTGTAAAGTATGATGAAAGGGAAATAAGGAGTATAATGAGGTAAAGAAAAGAAAAAAAAGGAGGGGGGCATAAAAGACGAATAGCAATAAGTTTAACCTCCAAAACCGTAAAGAGTACGACCTTGACGTTTCAAAGCATAGACAACATCCAAAGAGGTAACAGTCTTTCTCTTGGCGTGTTCAGTGTAGGTAACAGCATCACGGATGACATTTTCCAAGAAAACCTTGAGAACACCACGGGTTTCTTCATAGATAAGACCAGAGATACGCTTAACACCACCACGACGAGCAAGACGACGAATAGCAGGCTTAGTAATACCTTGAATATTGTCACGAAGAATCTTACGATGACGCTAATATAGAAAAGAAGAAGAAAAAAAAAAGATGAGTTAACATTATATATAAAAAGTAAGAATATTCTATTTAATTTCTTACCTTGGCACCTCCTTTACCCAAACCTTTACCACCTTTACCGCGACCAGCCATTATATAAGTATTTTTTTGAAAATAAGAAAGATAAGAAAAAAAAAAAGTATATAAAAGAAAAAAAAAAGTAGGAAAAGTTGAAAAAAAAGAAGAAGGGTTTATATAGAAAAAAAAAAACAAGAATTAAAATTCCGCTGTTTTTCTTTGTAGTTTTTTTTTTTTTTTTGTTAAGTGCGCGCGTCTATTGAAAAGTACGTGATTTTTTTTTACGGAGTATTGTTCATTATCGCGCAGCAAAGAGAAAGAAGAATTTAAAAATAATAATAAAATAATATAATCATTCATATTATCATTATTTATTTATTTATTTATTTATAAAGTAATAAAAATGGAATACAAAAGAGAAAGGAAAAAAAAAAGAAAAAAAAAGGAAATAATAGGAAAAGTAGTAAAAGAAAAAGATGAAGTATATGTTACCAAAAAAAAAAAAAAAAAAAAAAAAAGTACACGACTGCGTTCTTTTTTAGCGCGACAAGAGTTGTAAAAAAAAAAAAAAAATTTTGTAGTTGATATGATACCAAAATGGGAAATCATCTCGCGGAGTTATTAATGAATTGTATATAAATACAGTCCCCCAAAGTTTTAGTTTGACCTTTTTCCTTTTTCTTTTTTTTTTTTTTCTTCTTTATTTTTATTCACAATATATATAAATAAATAAATAATGGCTCGTACTAAGCAAACTGCTCGTAAATCTACTGGTGGCAAGGCCCCTCGTAAACAATTGGCTACTAAGGCTGCTCGTAAGTCTGCTCCTACTACTGGTGGTGTCAAGAAGCCTCATCGTTATAGACCTGGTACTGTTGCTCTCCGTGAAATTCGTCGTTATCAAAAATCCACTGAATTGTTGATTCGCAAGTTACCTTTCCAACGTTTGGTTCGTGAAATTGCTCAAGATTTCAAGACTGATTTGCGTTTCCAATCTTCTGCTATTGGTGCCTTACAAGAAGCCTCTGAAGCTTATCTTGTCTCTCTCTTTGAAGATACCAATTTGGCTGCTATTCACGCCAAGCGTGTCACTATTCAACCCAAGGATATCCAATTGGCTCGTCGTCTCCGTGGTGAACGTTCTTAAACAAAATCATCTCATTCCTTTTTTTCAATCATCATCATCATCATATCATCATCATCCACGTGGAAAAAAAAAGACTAGTATATTTAGTATAAATATTATGAAATAATGATTCAACTTTGTACAGTTTTCTCTCTCCCCCTTTTTTTTTTATTTGTTTGCTTCATTATCATTTCATCCTTTTTTTTTTCCTTAATCCATTTTTATTCCTATAAATATTATTAAATAAAAAACGCAATTGGCAAAAAATAATATTACTATTTTTTTTTATTTTATTTTATTTTTTTTGAATGATTATATGTGTGATTTTATTTTTATGTTTTAAAAAATAATGTAGATTGGTTTTGAAACGCGAAAGATGAAAACGCGGTGATGTTCTTGAAGAAAAGATAGAAAAAAAAAAGAACTTGTAAAAAAAAGAAAAAAATTTTTTTGTCGCAAATAATTTTAATCACGTTCTTTGTCACGGTCGCGGTAAGGTTTGTCGCGGTAAGCGTGAATAGATTTGTAAAAAAAAAAAAAAAAAAATTTAAAACTCAAATATGTCAAGTGAGAAAAGGGAGATGAAAAAAAAAATTTAGTTAGGGTTAGGAGAAAAAAAAAAAGGTAGAGAAGAGTAAGGAGTCAGACTGTACAAAAACATATATCTCGCCTTCCTTATCAGGAAGCTATTTACTACAAAATCAAATGTTTAGGTTCAATCTCCGGTTGGATTTCTTTTCCGATGTTGTACAACGAACGAATGCCGATCTCCTTTATTGTTCTTATTGTTTGCATCATAATACAAGATCTATTATATTATAAGAAATTACCAATAGAAATCGTTTATCATATATAAAAAATATTATATTAAATTGCCTATCATAGAAATAATCTTTTCATCAAAAAAAAATTTATGCAAAATAAAAAAAATTGTAAATGATATCATTTACTGTAATGTTCATCTGTTGAAATCAAATCAAATGTACTAGTAATAAATTTGGGATAATTGTTTTTGATGATAATGATGATAATGAACATTCAATTATATATTTTGTATGTAATGAACTTCAATTCTAATTGAATAGAAGAGCAAAAAAAAAAAAAGAAAGAAAGAAAATATGAAGGTTTTTTTGTTGATTGATAGATATTGTCCAAAAATGGAAATTTTTTGTTGTTTGCTACTAAAAAAAAAAAAAGTATCCCCGACAATGCACTGATGACAAAGGATCAAAAGAGACATGATAATTCTTGGTATGCTTTTATTGCTATAATATACACACATAATATATAAAAGGACTAAACTACGGTATTTTTTTAATATAATAATTAGGGGATAAAAAGATGAATGTGTGTTGTAAGACAAAAAGTAGATACAATGTCCAACAAAAGAGAAAAAAAAAAGAATGAAAAAAGTACCCACGATTTACAGGTGATACGGAGTTTCAGAAAAATTTCTGGATGTATGCCAGGATATGGACCCGAGACCAAAAATGCTCGCAACCTTCATTCAATCGCATTACGTACGTTTTCTTTACCTTTTTTTTTTTTTTTTTTTTTTTTTAACTTTTCGTCATATATTCGTGTCTGCCAGAATATGACAACAAAAAACAATATATCAATCGTTTAAAAGAGAAAAGCTTCAACGTCTCTCCCAGGAACAAGGACAAATCACCGGTTCCTTGGATATAATGCAAAACATGGAAAATGAAGTTGTAAATATTTTTATGGATGGGGGGGGGGGTAGAAAATACGACAACAACAACAATGGAAGGTAAGAATGAAAGTGACAAATACCTAGTAATAGTTGTTACTTAGACTTTTTTTTTAGTGAAAGACGAATTCCACTTCTCGCATATGGGGCAGGAACTTTTTGGTACATCAAAGAAAGGCAAAAAGTCTAGTCAACACACCAAGGTGTACAAATCAAACGAGCGGAAAGAGAAGGTGCGCTGCTTGTTTGTTTAATAGATGAAAGTTACACATCTCAGGTAGGCATAATAAATTTTTGATTCTTTGTCCTTGTTACTGACATTATATATCCCAACAGGTCTGTGCCAAGAACGAAGCCTGGAAAACATCCAAGTAACTGATAATTTTTCTGGTCACATAATCTGTGCAAAAGAATGTACAATTTGTTCGCATCATTGGAAGCGTGATTATGTGGTTGCACTGAACACTTGGCTTTATTGGAACAACAACAACGAGAACGACCTGCAATCTTTTTTGCCCTTGGGAAGAGTAAACTTCCTTTTTTTATACCGTTCAAAGTTAGACATTTAGGCTAATTATTTTGGGCCTAGCAATTATTCCTCTTTGGTCATCTGGGTAAGGAAAAAGAAAACAAAATCAAGGGACTTATTGAAGATACAGTTGAGAGGAGCGTGCTCACCTTTTTTTTTTGTTCATAGTGGTAAACCGACGCACAAAAAAAAAAAAAGGATATCATCAAGGGCATTTCTGGAATCACTTGGTAAGTCAAAAAAAAAAAAAAAAGGTAATCTGATCCACTTTGGTAAAGCTGAATCATTTTGATAATGGTGACCCAATTTAGAAAAACTGATCCACTTTTATTTTTATAGGCTCATTTTCATTATACTGACCCAAGCTTTTTTTCCTCAACAGTATATAGTAATTTATGATAAAACGTTGAATAGACAAATTCAAAAACATAATATATATTCATGAGGATCATTTTTTTAATAAAAAAAATATTTTATATACAGAGATTGAATAAGAATTTGTAATAAATGAAAAAATGAGGAATAATAATAAAGTAAACTAATGAAGAACTAAGTGAAATGTAGTTTGTGGGGGGTAAAATGGAAGAAACATATAAGTAATACATTCAAAAAAAAAAGAAAAATTATTGAGCAGCAACATCCTTCTTGGTCTTAGCAGGTAAGAGAGTAGCATGAATATTAGGAAGAACACCACCTTGAGCAATCGTGACTTGACCAAGTAATTTGTTAAGTTCTTCATCGTTACGGATAGCCAATTGTAAGTGACGAGGAATAATACGAGACTTCTTATTATCACGAGCAGCATTACCAGCCAATTCGAGAATTTCAGCGGTCAAGTATTCAAGAACAGCAGCCAAATAAACGGGAGCACCAGCACCAACACGTTGAGCATAATTACCACGACGCAAGTGACGATGAATACGACCAACAGGGAATTGAAGACCGGCCTTGGAAGAACGAGTTTGAGACTTGGCACCAGAAGCAGATTTACCACCAGATTTACCACCAGACATGTTGATTATATATGTATAAAGATATGAGAGAAGGGAAAAAAAAAGTTGAAGGAGAAAGGAAAAAAAAAAAAAATTCCCAAAGCAACCTGGTTTATATATATATAGAATCTTTTTAAAACCCAGCTTTTTTTTTTTTCTTTGATCATAATAAACGTGATTACGAGTAAATAGATATGAATTTTTTTTTTATTGAGGGAATAGATTTTAAATGATATAATTCGACGTGATTTCGTGTTAATTTCGCGATATCATTATAAGAAAGTAGAGTAAACAAATTTTCAAAACTATGGTTGTACGTAAACTTATATAAAAAAAAAAAAGCAAGAGTGAGCGCGCGCCGCGACGATTTTTTTTTTTCGCTTTTTTGATCCAAATTTTTTTTAAATTCCACTGGGCCTCACCACGTGTCTCACGGTCACAAGGTATATAAAAACCCATTGCGTCTCATTCTTTTTTTTCCTTTTTTTTTTTCTCTTTTTTTCCTCAATTTTTTTTTTTTTCACATATAATCTATTACAAAAAAAAAAAATGGCTCCCGCTGGTAAGGCTCCTGCTAAAACTACTGAAAAGAAATCCAAGGCTGATATTAAGAAGAGAAAGTCTAGCCGTAAGGAAAGTTACTCTTCTTATATTTACAAGGTTTTGAAACAAGTCCATCCTGATACTGGTATTTCCAACAAGGCCATGTCCATTTTGAATTCTTTTGTCAACGATATCTTTGAACGTATTGCTTCTGAAGCTTCCAAGTTGGCTGCTTATAATAAGCGTTCCACTATTTCTTCTCGTGAAATTCAAACTGCTGTTCGTCTTATTCTTCCTGGTGAATTGGCCAAACATGCTGTCTCTGAAGGTACCAAGGCTGTCACCAAATACACCTCTTCCAAATAATTGAATTACATTCTTTTCTCCTATCAATTCTTTTATATATATATATTTTATTATTATTATTATTATTTTTGCCATATCATCTTTTTTCATTTCTTGTCAATTAGTCTATCTCCCTTTTCACATTTTAGTTTATATCATTTCATTCTCTCCGTTAGTATTCTCTCTTAAATCATGTACAGATCCAATATTTATATAAATAAATAAAAAAAAAATATATAAAAATAAAACAATCAAAAAAGAATTTTGTGTAATTAAAAGTTATATGTTTTGAATGGTAAGTTTGCCAAAAGGATGATTGTCAGATTGAGCGCTTCAGTGTGTAGAACACCGATCAAGAGTTTGACCAATCATTACCGGGATCACCCCAAAAGCTTGTGTATTTTTTTTTTTTTTATTTATTTATTTCTATTTTATTTTTATTTTTATTTTTTTTTTCTTTTCTTTCTTCATTGTCTTCTTGACATTCAAAAACCAATTGTTGGTATGGCCGTTGTCAGTAGTCTTAAGGGGATATGGTGGAATCCTTTTGTAAATCGACTTGAAAAGTGGCTCCGTGGTTTTGCTGTGGATGTTCCTGAAGAACCCGACTGGAAGCAATCGACCATTGGTTCCTGGTAAAGTTCATATGTTATTCTTTTTTTTTTCTTAACTAATAATTTTTTTCTTTCATAGGTATATTCATCCTAGACAACATGCCATTGAGTTAGTATTCTTATCAAGCTCATTTGCATTTGCATCCTATTACTTTTATGGACGTGCGTTAGGACCTGGGACTTTGAACCGTTATTTACTGACACATTTTGTTCCTCCTGGTCAAGCAAGTTGGATGGAAAAAGGATTATTAGCTTCCTTAGTGGCATCGCTTGGTGTGACTCTGACCCATAAGATGATCCGCAAGAACGTATTATTCATGCTTCAACCTTGTCATGTCAACTGTCTTTTATTGATCTTTACTATGATGGCCCGAAAGACTTCTGCCTTACCACATATTTTATTCAATATTTATTTACATACTCAATGGGGAGCTATTGCTGCATTGGTGTTCCCTGATTTACGTGATCATCAATATTTGGGTGAAACATTCAATTTTTTTGCCGGTAATCTAAAAAAAAAAAAAAAGATAGAATCATTGAATTTAATGTATTCCCATTATTATTATTATTATTATTATTATTATGTTTAGAACATATTTTGATCTTATTGGCTCCTGTATATATGATTTATAGTCGTCGATACCTGGTTCTACCTACTTCTCCTGATATGGCCTTCCTTTCCTTTTCCTTGTACAGTCTCTTCCATTCACCTTTGCTTCATATTTGCGCTCTTAAATCAGGTTTAAATTTGAATTATCTTTTTACTCCTCCACCAAGTAAGTCAATGCCAAAAGGAAGTATCATCACTAATTTTTTTTCTTTTTAGTCAAATTCTTGCTTAGACTTGGTCCTAAATATCGATTGGCACTCTATGGAACTGCATTAGTGGCTATGTTTACAACAAGATATGGTCTCGTCAATGGCATCATGTCTTTCTTACCCCGAAAAACCTTTGGTCTTCTTCAAAAAACTTTATTATAGATTCCTCCTCCATTTTTATTTAGACTTTTTTTATTTTATTTTATTTTACATCATTAGACATTCAAACTCTTTCCTTTTTGATCATTATTCCTGAATTGTTTTTTTGTATGATACTTTTTATTTTCAAAATAAAAATAATAAAATTGTAATATAAGGGTATAGATCTATGACATATATATATATATATGAAGATGGTAAAAGTTAAAAAAAATGAACTAAAATACTATACTGGAGGATACATGAGTAGGTGTCAACGTAGTCAATTCAGTAGTAGGGGCAGCCTTCTTGGTAGTTGTAGAAATATCCAAACCTATCATTCGTTTCGGCCGACCACGATTTTCCTTGACTTCACGATCTGCTAATTTCTTCTTTTTAACTTGTTTGATTTTCTTTGCCACTTGACCCATATCTTCTACATCCACCATGCCATTGGTACATCCAGCCGAAGCGATCACAGATGGTGTATATTCAATAGTAGAGATTGATTTCTTTTGCTCATGTTGTTGGTATTGTCGTAATCCTTCTATAAAACCAATCGCCCATTGTTCGATTTGATCATCCTTCATATTGTTTTTTTCATGTCCAAGAGTCAAATCATATATAGTTTGTATTCCTGTCGCACCCAATTGATCTAATTTTTGTTGAAAGATTTCAGCTAGTTCCTGTTGTGAGTCTTGTCCAAAAAGTATAATAGCATAGAGCAAATGTCGTAATGGTTTCTGATTTGTCAGTAAGATTTGTTCATTCATCCATCCCATCAACCTAGTATTCAGGGAAATAAAGAAGAAATGAATCAGTTTTTTTTTTCCTTTTCCTTATATATATATATATATATATATATATTTACCTATCTAACATAGTATTATCTTTTCTTGTATCAGATAAAATAAAAACACATATAGGTAAAGTGAACAGAAGATCTTGACATTGTTGATCCAAAGTGACCGTACATACATTGTATTCAATTGATTTTAAATGGTTTTCTAATAGAGCTAATTGGGAATAAGATGTTGATATGGAAGGTAATTGTTGACCACATATTACAATTTTGATAGTTGGTTTATCTTCTTGATCTGAACATTGACATGCATAAAGTTCTTGTTTCTGTTGACAGGAGAGTACAGTTGATGAAGAAGTACCGATATCAGTAGACAAGGGTTTGATATTTTTACAACAAGTTCCACCAGGTCCTGCGCCACCACAACAATCATCATCATACATATCAGGTCCAATGGAGAAGATGTTGGAAAAACTATACAGTAAACTATCGAGAAAAGTCATTTGTAAATAAAAAAAAAAAGGTAGTAGAGAGTAAAAAAAAAAAAAAAAAAAAAAAAAAGGACATACTTGTTTTTTTATCGGGTGTTGAAATTTGATCCATGTTTAGTCCAAACAACAAAAAAAACAACAATAAAATGATAGATTATATATATATATATATATATATTAAAACAGTAATGTACTCTATACAATCTAACAAAAATGATATAACCAACCATGAACGACAAATAATAAAAAGACCAAAAAAGGAAATCTCGTGAAAGCAGTCAATGCAAAAAAAAAAAAAATCTTTATGGATTCGGCATATATATATATGACAAGATCAATAAAAAGAAAATGGATGAATGTATAAGTAGAATATGGTAATGCACAATATATATGATAAGAGCCACTTATCTATTTCACATGATCATGTAATATGAAATTACAACACGGTGACTGTCAGAAATTCACTTATCCTGCAACATTGTTTGCGGAGTTTCTGTTCCAAGACAAGTTAGGCAAAAAGATTTTCTTCTTTCATTCATAACTTCACTTTTTTTTTTTTTTTTTTTCTCAAAAATCTGGTTACAATAAATAGCAAAACAAACAATAGATATTTATTAAGGAGTAATGGGAAACTCTCAAAGTAAATCAAGTCAAAGGCAGCGGAAAAGTAAGTCTTCATTCAAGTCTCAAACAAGAGAGTCTTCTATAGACGATACGACAAGGGTATTACATGATCAAATGGATAAATCACAACCTTCCAGAAGTCTCAGCATTAATTCAACAACAACTCCATTCACAGGTCTTCAACAAAAGTTTCATGAATGTCGGGACCTTTTACAACCACCTTCAGCACGTTCTGTTGATCGGCAAGTGTTGAATGAAGAAGACTCTCCACGAAAAGGCAGTCGTACTCTTATCAGTTTTGGTGGAAAAAACAACAACAACAACAACAAAAATAACAAAAGTAATACAAGTACTATTCATAGCAATAATAATAATAATAATAATAGAAAAGGAAGTATAGCCACTTTTACTACGGGGACTTCAGCAGCTCAAAGTCGACATACAACTGGATCTAATTTTGATGTTTCCAATGTATCTTCTCCTGCCTCTTCCTATAATCACAGTTTCTTTTATCATCCCTATCGAAAACATTCACTTGTCACTACCGCCTCATCATCACGTTCTCTTAGTAAACGTAACAGTATACAATCGGAACATTCAACTCCTGATGATCATGATCAAGCCAAACAAAGGAAAGAAGAAGACGGAGTGGAGGATGGTGCTAAGGATTTTTGGGATTTACGATCTTTGAATCATATTCGTGAATCTGTCAATGATAAGCAACGTCGAACGGTAAAAAATGAATGATTTTCAAAAAAAGAAAAAAATGGATCTTCTAACTCTTTCTTTTTTTTTAATAGCATTATTTTTTGAAACGAGTTTGGAATGGAAATTATTTAGTACCTTTACAAGATCCAAGTTTATTTATTCAATGGTCTAGTTCAACAGGTAATATATATAAAGAAGATGAAAATGATTTAATTTTTTAATTTTCTTTCTAGGGATATGGTGTTTTGAAATGGCTTTGGAATTTCCTAACACAAAGGTGATTGGTGTAGATGAACTTCGTCCTGAAAGAATGGCCTCTTCATTACCGAATTTAAATATTCGACAATCTCATTTATATGAACCAGGGGGTGGCATGAGACAATTTGAAAATAATTCAACTGATTTGATTGCTATTCGTGATGAATTCATGTATATGGTGCCTGATGATCAATGGGAAATCCTTTTGACTGAATTCTACCGTGTTTTGAAACCTGGTGGTTATTTGGAAATCTTTGGTCAAAGTAAGTTCATCTTTCTTTCTTTTATCATTTTTAATCTTTCTTTTTTTTTTTTTCTATTAGATTTTGCTTTTCTATCTACTGGATCAGCAGGCAATAAATTGAATGGTTGGATTAATCATTTAGCAACTAGTACAGGTGTGGCCACTGATTTTCCAAAAAGTTTAAAAGGACATTGTGATAAAATAGGTTTCCAGAATGCGGAACTACGAGAAGTAGAATTACCTATTGGTGAATGGTCACGTACTGAAAGTAAGCGATATACTAATTTACTCTATTCTATTATAGTATTAAACCTTTTTTTTTTTTTTTTTTTTTTTTTTTTTTTGGTAGCACTGAAAGAAATGGGTTATTTGGCAAAGATTATGATCTCCAAACGGTACAAGATATTGAAACATTGGATATTGGGTCTGGAACACGATGTCTCTGAAGAAGAATTCTTGGATGCACTCAATCAAAGTATGGATGAATGTGAATCTTATAATAGCCGTTGTCGATGTTACTATGTTGGTGCTCAAAAACCTCTTGAATGATGCGATGTATATTCCCCACCTCTCTGTCTTTTTTTTAGTATAGTTTTTTATTTATGTGTATATAATAGCCTTTTTTTTTTCTCTATAGTTATTTCTTTGTAGATAGATGATTCAAAAAAAAAAAAGGTGTAACTGCTCTTCAATAAAGAGAATTTGAGTTGAACTTTTTTTTCTTAAAAAAAAACGAAAATCAAAGTGTAGACATATCTAGATGATCAAAAAGTTCCATTTATTATAAAAACAAATAGATCAAAACAAATGAATATAATGCAAAGAGGGAATATTTCTATATTACTACTACTATGATCTAAGTTCTAAAATCAAATTGATCATCATGGTTATTAAATAGATGCCAATCCAGGTATAGCCAAACCACTTAGACATCCGATATCCATTCAAAGGAACAAATACAAGAGAGGAGATCAATACTATCAAAAGTCCAATAGAAGAAACTATGATGGTACTTGATACATCAATAGCATAAGGTTCTTGACGTTGACATGTCACATAAGTAGCACCTATACCTATACCAAGCATGATATCTATACAAAAAAAAAAAAAAAAAAAAATGAAGATCCATTTCAGTATTTTTTTTTTTTTTTTTTTTTTTTTTTTTTTTTTTTTTTTGCCTTGGCACTTACTCAACATAGGCCCTCCAAAGCAAGCACTCATGGCCATTAGTGGATATCCCATTCTTGCCATGGTCACATTAGCAACAAAGTCACCTAAACTATTCCCCTAAAAATAAAAATGAGTATGCATCCATGTAGATAAAAGAAAGAAAAAACTTTACCACTGCAAAAACAGTTAAGCCAAGAATAGCTTCACTAACACCTAGAGCCATACCAATTGCTTGTAATACACTGACAACTTCATTTGCAATGATATAGATCCAAAGTACAGCCATAGCAAAACCTACAAAACACATCATCCAGTACAATCGAGGTCGATGTTGTTGTGAAGTAGTCGATAAAAATAAGCCAGACAGTAAGAGACCAGAACCCATCATCACTGGTAAAATGATGACCGCCGGTATCGTCTTATTAATAGCCAGCACCAGTCCAAATAAAACCGAAGATCCAACCAATTGAAGAGCTGTCAACCATCGACTCCATGCTGCTGTACTTGTTGCAACCGAATCCATTTCTGTCAGATCGATGTTGTCAGTATCTGAATAATAATCTTCCAGCATCGTCAATGTATCATCGTTCAATGCCACATCGCCACCCTCATCTTTCATTGTTCCTTTCACCACTGGTAAAGTGATCACAAGAAGAAAAATCATAGGTGCCGAGATCACGGAGCTGATTTTGTTGAAGATCGATTTGTCGTCAAAATTGCCTAACGAAGGAAATAGATGGTAATTGAGATCATCTAGATTGTCCCAGACGAAAACAGGTAGCGCTAATCGAATGCGATTCCATGGTTGTGATATAGATTGATGATCAAATCCTAATGTCTCGACAGATGCTGATTGTTGATAGTTAGGTGGTTGTCCCTGTGGTGTTAGTGGTACATTTGTATTCCCTTCTGTTCCATTTCCAAATCGAGTTTGTTGATGATGTCGACGACGGATGGATGTATACCGATGACTCATATTTGTTCGTTGTAATGATTTCACTACATCTTGAAACTAAAAAAAAAAAAAAGTAATGTAAGTTTGAATCCATTACTATTCCCTCTATATTACTTCGATGGCAGAAAACAATGATGTTCGAATACGTAATTTCATATGACCTGGTAGAGCATTGTCATGTCTTGTATAGTCTTGATAACCTTCTGTTTCAAATCCTTCGTCATATAATTCCATTTCATCACTCTGTTGATCTGAGCCTATACTTGACAAAACAAAACAAAAAAAAGAATTGAGTTATATACTTTGTAGATAGATCTCTTTTAGCTTACCATCCCATATATTGCCCAAGAGTAAACTATCCACTTCCGGTCCATTTTCTTCATATTCCGATCGAGCACGTTGAATCAAATTCATATAATTTGACCTTCTTTTCATAAAGTAATTTCCACCCACCACTAAAGCGACATATAAAATATAAAAGACAATCAAGAGAATAGCCTCATATAAATAAATCAAGCCATCCGCAACAATGATAAGAACCATAATGATCGATAGAGTAAAGAAAGATACATCACGTAAAAAACTATGTTTCTTGGCTCTGAATGGTTTAATGGCACACATGGATCTATAATATATCAAAAGATAAAAAGTAGAAGAAGAAGAATGAATATGTATTGATAGTTTTATTTGTTATTTTCCCACTTTACCCAGCCACCACACTCACTATAAAAGAAGCAGCACCAATAAGTTCCCCTAGAGCAAGTGATCCCATATTAGAATTCATGGCAGTAAACGTTGAAAATAAGTCAGGACTTCCATTGCCAAATGCCAAAAAAGTAACACCTGTCTAAATAAATAAATAAATAAATAAAATAAAATAAAATGAATACACGAGAACTTACTAGACTTTCAGATAAATGAAGTGCTGAGGCGATGGTTTGTAGATTGGGACCTTAATAAAGTGAAATACTAAATATTTAATCTATTGATTAAATAAAATAAATACTTACAAAAGAAATCAGATGCAGCTATACCAACAAATCCAAAAAGAAATAATAACCAAGTACACTGGAAAGGAAAAAAAATGTTTTTTAGTTCATAAAAAAAAAGAATCCTTTACTTACTAAGAATAGAAAAATGATGGGTTTTCCTACAGTAGAAGAGCAGTAATAGAGTTGGATATAATTGATAAGACCAGGAGTAGTATCTTGACAATGTTCTAATACATAGGTACACTGATCATCATATTGATATATATTGTCACACTAAAAAAAAAAAAAAAAAAAAAAAAAAAAAGAATAAGTATGACGTGCTTTTGTTATGTTACTCCACCTTATTTTCAATAATAGCATCTCGTTTATATAAAGTATGTTTTTGTTGCCATGAAGAAGTAAAAAAATATGTAAAAAGATAAAGAGAGATGAGGAGAACAGTAGTTCGTCCAACTACAGCCATACCCAAAATAAGACACTAAAAAAAAGAAGTAACAAAAAAAAGGTTGGCTGCATTTTTTTTTTTTTCATTTTTCTTACAATTCAACGCATCGTCAATCATTCAATCTCCGGTCATAGTTCACATGAACTTGATTTAAACCAATAAACGATGTCCGGTAAACATATTTGTTATCAAGTCATGGGATTAAAAAAAAATTTTAGTCAAAGATCTGGAGAGAGGATGATGAATAAAAATAACAACTTGACATCTATGAATGATAAGAAGAACAAAAGCCCGTAGTCTCGGAAAGGAGGGTATTGACTCAGATTATGTATTTGAAATGACTCTTATGTGGAGAAGATAATCCGCTTTGGCGGTTTTAAAAAAAAAGGGAAAATGGAAAGATCTTCCATCTTTGGTTTTTTTCTTGTCGCTGATTGAGCGATGTATAGTTGTTACTCAGTGAATCATGTCATTTGATTGGCTGTTGAAATGCTTTATCTTTTTTTTCTTCACAGGATCTTTTCCCTCTCTTTAAAAACCTTTCTTTTTTATATCTTTACTTTTTTTTTTCCTTACCTATTTTTTTTTTATTATATATGATTGCTAGTATTAAAGGACTCAAACATGCTCCAAGTAACTTTTCTATTGAAATATTACCTCAATATCTAAATACAAACCGACAACTTGTATGCTATCCTGGTTCAGTCTTTGAAGGTTTAGTGAAGCTTACTTTATCAGAACCTATGAGTTTTCAACGTCTTAAAATAATTTTCAAAGCTACTGGTAAGTCAATATATAATATATAAAAACAAATAATTCATTAAAGAACTCTTTTTTTTTTGTATATATATATATATATTTGGGTCATGTAGAAAGAGTGAATTACGATGCTATGGGTTGGGAAAAAATCAAAAATGATGATGGACGATTATTTGCTGTACGCACCACATTACTCGGTCAACCTGTATCATCTAATATAGAAAACAATCAGACAACTTTGGAAGCTGGTGAACATGTCTATCCGTTTGCTGTCGAATTACCACTTGTAAATTATCCTCCATCAATTGATCATCATTTAATTGCTACTACTTTTGTATTGCTTGGTTCTCTTGAACGTGACACAGGAGCCAATGGTCATTCCTTTCGTTCATTGCCTTATTCAGTCTATTTTCGTCCTGCACTCCAAACTCGTGTCAACAAAACATTATTATCCCATCCATCCGATTACTCTGAACATACAGCATCACTGACTCATCGTATTTCAGCACACTTATCATTACCAAGTCTTGAGTATAACCTATTTGATACAACCCATATTCCTATCCAATTCACCTTATATGCAGCTAACGAACAATATTTTGCTGATATTTCTTTACAACAACTTCATATTGCGTTAAAACAAACCATCACCATTTATCATAAGAGTTTTTCACGTACAGAAACCACGATGATTCATCATGTTGATTCTCGAATGACAAATACATCATCCTCATCTTCATCTATGGTATTTGATTGTTTATTGAAAATTGATCAGCAACTTTTACCAAGTGTGAATTATTCTACTCGATTCAAAGTTGATTATTGTTTGATAGTTTCAGTCAAAACACGTCATGGTCCACTTAGTACCAAGAAGAAATTATTCAACCTACCGATTCATTTTGGAACATTACCACCAGGCACATTACCACACGAAACCATTCAATTATATACCGAAGAAGAAGTGATTCAAAGTACAAATTTATCCTTCAAACCCAAATTCCTTAGACCATTGAATAATCCTGTAGAATTTTTACCTGCTTATGATGAACTCTATCGACCACCTTCCTATCATTCTCATTTAGTTACCAATTCTATGTAATATTTCTTTTTTTATCCAATCATTTGTATATAATTTTTTTTTTATGAATAAAAAAATGCTTCAATGAAGCAGTCATCTCCGACTCTTGTTTTTCCTTTTTTTTTTTTTTTTTTTTGCGTGAAAGAAGTCCAAAATAAAAAGGCGCGCCAATCCTTTTTTTTTGTTTTCTTTACCTCTTTTTATTTTTTTTTTTTCTTATCAAAATCATGTCTCAGGTAATGAAAAGTGAAGTATAATAAACTAGATTAGATAGTCATTTTTTTTACTTATTTATTTATATCTGTGTGATAATGACCTTTCTTTCTCCTTTAATAATAGACACCAGAAGAAATGATAGTGGATCGCGAAGTTAATACTATGGTAAAGGAATGGAAAATAAATAAATAATGAAAAAGAAAAAAATCTTATTTTTTTTATATATCATTATTTTAGCTTTCACCAATGAATACTTTACCTACAGACGATACAGCTTCACCTTCAAATACTGATTCTGTAAAAGAAAGATGACTTTTTTTTTATTAGATCTTTCAAACTCACATATAAATATATTTTATAGGATGCTGATTCTATTGCAAAATGGGGTTCGTCTGGTCAAGTCACTCCTAGAATTCAATATAAAGAACCTTCACTTGTAAGTTTAACAATTAAAAAAAAAATAGATCCATGAACTCTTATTTATTTATTATTATTTAGCATGAAAGACGTTTAAAACGATATCGATATTTACTTGGACAAACCGATCTCTTTGCTCATTTTTTGGATCTCAAGTCAGAAAAAGACGAAGCTATGCAAACTGTTTTAGAAGAAAAGAAACTTGCCAAATCTGAAGAAGGGTATAAAAAAAAAAGATATATTTGATATAATAGAATTATATATTCACCTTATTTATTTATTAGATCTAAACGTCGTCGGAAAACGGAAAAGGAAGAAGATGAAGAATTACTTAAGGATGAAATTAGTACTGAACCATTGACTGTCTTTACTGAATCACCTGCTTGTAAGTAATATAATTCACAAGGAAAGAATTATACCTAATTATTATTATATTAGATGTTACTGGTGGCAAATTACGAGAGTATCAAGTACAAGGATTGAATTGGATGATCTCTTTATTTGAAAATGGTATTAATGGCATTCTCGCAGATGAAATGGGACTTGGAAAAACGTTACAAACTATCTCATTCTTGGGTTATTTAAAGCATGTTCGTGGTATTCCTGGTCCTCATCTTGTAGTAGTGCCAAAATCTACATTACATAATTGGAAAAATGAATTTACAAAATGGATTCCTGATTTTGATGCTTTTATTTTCCATGGTGATAAAGCAGAAAGGGTAAATAATAATATAATAGATAATAATATAAAACTAAATATTTATCTTTATATTAGGCTGTTTTATTAAAAGATAGAGTACAACCTTTGAATTTTCAAGTTTGTATTACATCGTATGAAATGTGTTTAACAGAAAAATCAGCCTTCAAGAAGATCCAATGGCAATATATTATTATTGATGAAGCTCATCGTATCAAGAATGAAAACTCCATGTTATCTCAAATTGTTCGTGTATTTGAATCAAAAGGTCGTATGTTAATCACTGGCACTCCTCTTCAAAACAATCTACATGAACTCTGGGTAATTTTCTTTTACATATATATATATACTTATATGACATCATTACTTATTATCTTCTTATCCATCAGGCTTTATTGAACTTTTTATTACCTGATGTATTTAGTTCATCAGAAGTGTTTGATGAATGGTTTGAAACTCAAGGTGGCGATCAGAAAAAAGTCATGGATCAACTTCACAAGGTAAAAAATTTCATTCGAAAAAAAAAAGAAAGGTGATGATGACCTTTTTTTTTTCTTTTTCTTGAATAGGTATTAAGACCTTTCTTATTACGTCGTATCAAGTCTGATGTGGAAAAATCGTTATTACCCAAGAAAGAAACCAATGTTTACGTTCGTATGACACCAATGCAACGTCAATGGTATCAAAAGATTCTTGAAAAGGATATTGATGCGATTAATGGTAAGAAAAAAAGTGAATACATTTGAAAGAATGGATTTGATTCACTCTTTTCATTATATAGGTGCTCCTGGTAGTGGCAAACGTGAAGGCAAAACAAGATTATTGAATATTGTCATGCAATTACGAAAATGTTGTAATCATCCTTATCTCTTTGATGGAGCTGAACCTGGACCTCCTTATACTACCGATCAACACATTGTAGATAATGCTGGCAAAATGGCTGTACTCGACAGATTGTTGACCCGACTCAAATCTCAAGGATCTCGTGTTCTTTTATTCAGTCAAATGAGTCGTGTTTTGGATATCTTGGAAGATTATTGTTGGTGGAAGAATTATCAATATTGTCGTATCGATGGTCAAACAACTCAAGAAGATCGTGTGAATGCCATTGATGAATATAACAAACCTGATAGTGAAAAGTTTTTATTCTTGTTAACAACTCGTGCTGGTGGTCTTGGTATCAATTTAACAACCGCTGATATTGTTATACTTTTTGATAGTGATTGGTAAAAAAAAAAGGATAATATGAAAGAAAATGGAATATTTATCATTTTTTTTTCTTTCTTCTTTTTCAGGAATCCTCAAGTGGATTTGCAAGCTATGGATCGTGCTCATCGTATTGGTCAAACAAAACAAGTCAAGGTGTTCCGATTTGTCACTGAAGTAAATCATAGAAATATGAATATTGGAATATATATATATAAAAAAAAGAAGAAGAATAATATTGACCTATGTGTATATTTTACTTATTATTTATTATAGAATGCCATTGAAGAAAAAGTACTTGAAAGAGCAGCTCAAAAGCTTCGATTGGATCAACTTGTCATTCAACAGGGTCGTATGCCTCAAGCCAAAGGTAAAAAAAAAAAAAAAGAAAAAAAAAGAAAAAAAAAGAAAAAGAATATTCATATTGATTTGTTTTTTTTTGTGTAATGATTAGGTCATTCAAAGGATGAATTATTGGACATGATTCAACATGGAGCTGAAACTATCTTCAATAATACGGATGAAAATGAAAATGAGGCTGATACCGATATTGATGCTATTCTACGCAAAGGTGAAGAAAGAACAGCAGAACTTAACAAGAAGTACTCCAACCTCAATATAGACGATTTGAAGAACTTTTCATCTGAAAGTGCATATCAATGGGATGGTGAAGATTGGAGCAACAAGGTAATAAATAAATAATTTTGTATGTATGCATAACTCATTTTTATCTTTAATAGCGCAAAGCCGATGGCATTGGACTTTCATGGTTAGGACCTACTAAACGGGAACGAAAAGTAAACTATGCCGTAGATGACTATTACAAAGAAGCTTTGAATACTCGACACAAGGCAGCTACTTCAAATAAACCTCCACGATCAAAACGATATCATACGTAAGCGTTTTTTTAAAGAAAAAGAAATATGAAGAATCAAATGAAATGACACCTTTTTTTTTTTTTCTAGTGAAGAGTTCCAATTCTTCCCTCCTCGAATTCATGAACTCAACAAAAAGGATACTCTCTATTATCAGGTAATATGCTATACATAAATTGACTTGCACATTCATACTCACATTCTTCAATTTTTTTTTTATAGAAACAACTTGGTTATAAGGTACCACCTGTTCCTGAAACTGATGATCCTAAAGAAAAGGCCGCTTTGGAAAAGAAACGTGAAAAAGAACAACGCAGTATCGATGAAGGTAAATATAAGTAGGTTGATGGAAATTGATCACATACTAAATACTTTTTTTTTTTTTTTTAGCACAACCTTTGACTGAAAGGGAAATGGAAGAACGAAAACGATTGTATGAAAAGGTAAAAAAAAAATGACAGAAAGTATACCCAAAAAGAAAATAGGCTCATGAGTATGTTTAGGGTTTTTCCAATTGGGGCAAGAAAGAATTCTTCAATTTCATCAATGCTTGCACGAAATATGGAAGGTAAGTCCAAAAAAAAAAAAGAAATCATAACAGGAATACTGAACTATTTTTTTTTACATAGACATGATTTAGAAAATATTGCAGCGGAAATGGAAGGCAAGACATTGGATGAAGTCAAAAGGTACAGTAAAGTATTCTGGTCACGCTACAAGGAAATTCCAGATTACGAGCGACAATTGGCCAAGATTGAAAAGGGAGAAAGTGATTTGGAAAAGCAAGCTGAAATCCAACAACAATTGACAGAAAAGGTATCACGACATCGTGTGCCTTTAGCACAAATGAAGATCAACTATACACAACCCACCAAGGGCAAGCATTATACAGAAGATGAAGATAGGTTCTTGGTGATTATGCTGGAAAAATATGGTTATGGTACAGAAAACGTGTATGATTTGATCAGACATGAAATTAGAAAGGCGCCCATGTTTCGGTTTGATTGGTTCCTCAAATCTCGTACCTCTGAAGAAATTAAACGACGTTGTGCCACCTTGATTGGTTTGATTCAAAAAGAAAACTCGGAACAAGATGATGATGATGATGAAGAAGAAAATGAACAGGTAAAAAAAAAAAAAAAGGAATCATCATCAAGGTATTCATTCTTTTTTTTTTTTTTTTTTTTTTTGTAGCCAACCAAGAAAACAAAAGTCAAGACAAATGCCCGAACAAGACGCCGTTAGATTCGTTTATAGTAATTTAATTTTTTTTTTATATGCATTTTAACTAGTTTATCAATAAAGAAAAATTCATGATTATTTATACAAAAAAAAAAAAAAAAAAAAGAAAAAAAAATAGAGCTTTATTGGAAAAACAAATAAGTGTATCTACACACACACATATACATATATGTATAAATAAAAAAAAAAAAGGAAGATAATAAAAAGATCAAATAAAATGGGTCAAAAAAGAAAAAAAAATAGGTGGAAATGGATATAATTGTATGTATATTGTGTGCATGTGTGTGTTGACGAAGTAAAAAAAAAAAAAAAAAAGAAAAGAGGGGAATAAAAAAAAAGAAATAAAGATGACAAAAACTTTCAACCTAGGTGCCAAGAGAGAGAGAAAAAAAGAGGTTAGAAGAAAAAAGAAGAGAAAGAATAATAGGTTTGAAACTTACAGGCACAACCATCAGATGTATTGTTCGCACGATCCAAATCCACTTCACCACGAGTATTCAATCCTCTTCTTCCAGCGCGACCGTTATTATTGGCAAGTTGTTCAAGAGGCATACGTTTTGCTAATGATAAATAAATAAGTTATGCGTTTTTCTTTTTTACTTTTGTTTTTATATTACCAATAGCTGTAAAGAGTTCGGTGACATTATGAGCCGTTTTGGCAGATGTTTCAAAGAATAACAAACCAGCTTCATCAGCGTATTCTTGAGCAGTCTAATATAAATAAAAAAGGAGTCAATAATAATAATAAGATAGATAAATAATTCTTTTTTTTTTTTTTTACCTTTGTATCAATGGCTCGTCGAGCTTCGAGATCAGTTTTATTACCAGCAAGAGCAATAACAATATCAGGATCAGCTTGACGCTGTAATTCATCTACCCAAGACTTGGCTTTATCCAAAGAAGACTAAAGAAAAAAGAAAAAATGATATAGGTATTTTTTTCTCTTTTTTTACTTTTTTATTTTTTTCTTACAGCTTGAGTGATATCATAAACAACTACAGCACAATTGGCTCCTCTATAATACATGGGTGCGAGACTCTATTAAATAATAATGATAAGTTGTTGTTATTCATACAATTGATTTCACTTACTTTATATCTCTCTTGACCAGCAGTATCCCTAAATATCAAAAAAACGAAACAAAGTTATAATTAATAATAATTCTCCCAAGTTTTTTTTTTTTTTTTTTTGTGAATACCAAATTTCAAATTTGACTGTAGTATTATCATCCAAAGCAATTGTTTGTGCAAGGAAAGCAGCTAATATAAAAGAAAAAAAAAAAGAGATGAAAATAAGTTAATGAAATAAAATGATAAATAAAATTAGTTTTTACCTCCAATAGTACTTTCCCTATATTCATCAAAATGGTCTTTTACAAAACGAGTTACTAAACTATTATAATAATAATAATAATAATAATAGTTAATATTATATTATAATTCAACGAGGATACTTTTATTTTACCTAGATTTACCAACGGCTGATTCACCTTTTTTATTGAATATATATATATATAAATCGTTAATAAAAAGATGAAATAGGTTTCCAATATTATTACCTAATAATACTAGTTTGAATTGATATGTTTTGCCTTGTGTCGTCATTATTATTTCTGTAAATAGTTTTGTTATAGATGAAATGTATAAAGAAAAAAAAAAAGGGAAAAAAAAAATTAGAACCAATTTCCACTCCTTCCGTCATCCGCAAAAAGAAAATGGAAAGTATTATTTCATTCACCGCTTGGTTTCTGATTGGTTAGTTTTTTTTCTTTTTATTCATTCTGTCAATGGGCTTGACATATAATAAATTTTGTAGATCTTTTTTTTTTTTATAAAATGACACATGGTGAATGTCTTGATATGTTAACATCAACCTTTTTTTTTTTTTCTATGTTATATACCTTTTTCTTTTACTTTTTTTTGAAGCTTGTCTAAATATGGGAATCGTACCATCTTATGGATGGATGAATGAGAGAAACACCTTTTTTGGTGCACAGACATACGGTTATCCCTTTTTTGATCTCAGATCTATAGTAGTATTATTTTTTTTTTTTCTATCAATTAAAAAAAAATGTTAAGGTAAAAAATATTGAATTTCTATTTTAAAGTTTTTAACCAGCACGTTTTTTTTTATAGTAAATGATAGGTTTTGTGGGGAAAAGAGATAATCATTTTTTTTTATTATTTTTTTTTTTTTTAAAAAAAAAAAGCGTAGTGACTCAAAACAAGGCTACACAAGAAAATCAGGTTTAGACCCAATTTTTTTTTTTCACATATAAACAGTGCATTACAAGTCCGCCATTTCTGTTGCCTCTCTTTCGTTTTTTATTCTACTCTTTTTTTTTTTTTTTATATAAAAGTTTCTTTTATTATGCCAAGTGAACCAGGCCTTTCTATTAAAGATGCTAGTGGTAGACAAATTAGTTTATTAAATGATTCTCCTCCTCCTTCTTCTTCTTCTTTTACTACTCGACGTCGTTATCATTGTACTGAACCTGGTTGTAATAAAAGTTTCACAACAAGGTAAAAATCTTTTTATTTATTATATATATAGATTATCTCATATATATTTATTAGTGGTCATCTTGCTCGTCATAATCGAATTCATACTGGTGAAAAGAATTTTCACTGCTTATACCCTGGTTGTCCATCACGTTTTTCTCGTCAAGATAATATGATGCAACATTATCGAACTCATATGTCACCTAAATCAAGACGTCATCCATATCATCATCGTTCTTATCCCTTTCATGAAAAGAAAATACCTCAATTACATCGTCATACTCATATTCAATCAGAAACAAATGATTTACAACCTTTGAATCAATCTTGTTTCCCTACACATACTTATTTACCGCCACCAGCAAAACATCACCCTTTACCTCCAATGAATTATCAACATCGTCATGAAATTAATTCTACTCAACTTAACAATGATTCTCATAAAGACAATGAAAGAAAAGATGAATCTTCGGATTTATTACAATTGGCTTATATTGTTAGTACTTTTGGATGATTGATTTTGTATATATATATCTTTTTTTTATATATTTATTTATTAGTTTGTACATGATCTTTTTTAACTGTTTGATATACGCCACTACATGAATCCAATAAAGAATTTTTTTTTTTTTAAAAAAACTTCTTCTATTTGACTAGCGGAGATTCGCAAAAAAGGGTGATCGCCTTGTACAAAAAGGAACCCAAAACAATAGTGTTTTTTTTTTTTCTGTTGAAAAGATGGGCCCCTATTTTCCTTTGTATTACCATTTCTATTCCGCTGGACCCCTGATCTTTTTTTTTTTTTTTTGTTGTCCCTTCATTACATCATCCCTCTTTTTTTTTTTATGATTTTTATTTTCTTTTTTTTTTTTTTTATGAAAAACATTTATTTATTTATTTATTTATTTTTTTTTTTGATCTATAGGAAGGATGAATGGTTAAAAAAGGAAATCGACCATCGTCGGAATCTTGTTCTTTAAACCCGTTTTCTTTACCTGAAGACAGAAATGACCAACCCAATGGGAACCAATCATCAATCAAATGTCTCTTGATTGGATTTCTCATACCCTGGAAGGCAAAGTTACACAAATCCTTTTTCACTCCTTCAATATGCCAATCATTTTTTTTTGGTGATCGTGTTGTCTCCCGAGTCATCCCCCCCAAAAAAAAACTACTAATCATCATGGATTCATTAAAAAAGTACCAATGTTAATAATAGAAACAATGCTTATGTATTGATGATGTCTATAAAAAATTGATACTAACTAAATAAAATAAAAATGAAAAAATGGTATGAATATTTTGGTCAAAAAAAGTCTATGCAGTTTGAATGGCAGGTGCAGTCAATTTTGATCGTTTTTCATCGCCTTGTCTATCTTCATTATTGCTACGTTTTCCTCCACGACCTCTTCCACCACGGTGTCGTTTATCAAAAGCCTTGGTTACTTTGTCCACAAATTTAGCACGAGCCTCATCTATATTTATTTATTGTCATTAATAACAAATTCATAATCATTCATTTTTTTTTTTTTTTTTTTTTTTTTTTTTTTACCTGAAGCCAAACGGAATGTCAGAGGTCCAAGTTTGTTACCATCTTCAAGTGTAGCAAGGAATTGATCTGGTGTCATATCATCACAAAGTCGTACTATACCACTGGACTTATTCAAAAATTCAAATCGATTTGTTTTGGAACTATGATTGACTAATATTTCCTGCAAAACGAGTTAGTTTTCATTTTCATTTTTTTTTTTTTTTTATTTTTATTACTTTGACATCTTTGGTTCCTAATCCATCAGCACCTGTAAATTCAACATAATGTTTTCGATGTTTGCCATTGTTTTGATATATAAAATCTTCCCCATCGAATTTTTCTTGACGTTTCATATCAACATAATCTTGTCTATATTATTACAAAAAGAAACGATTTAGTAAGTATAGCATGATAAAAATGAATCTTACTTATTCATGATCATTAAAGGTTCCTCCTTGTAAACAAGTTCTTTATCCAAGATATCATGAGCCATTTCATTGGTTTCAAATTCAACAAAAATACTACCCTAAAAAAAGAAGTAATCAATATAAATCATACATTTCTTCATTATTTTTACCTTGAAAGATTTGTCATCTTCACGTCGAAGTTTGATATGGATCACACGACCAAAAGGTTCAAAAAATGTCACCAAGTCTTTTTTGACAGGTTCAGGTACCAAAGGAAACCCTTTCTAATAAATAAATAAATAAACAAATAAATAAATCAATAAATTTTTTTTTCTATTTCATACCACATAAATAGATCGTTTGTTTTGTTGATGCATATGGTCAAGTAGATGTGTTTTTCGTTTTTCATCCATGGTATCTTTTTCTTGTTCTTCTTCTTTTTCTTCTTCTTCTTTAGCTATGGGTCGAAGACTGGTTTGTTCAGAATTCAATTCAAACCGACTAGGAGCCAAATCTACTGCTTCCTTGAATAAAGTCACATCTCCATTCAAAAGAACCTTGAATCTTTTGATCATGGATAACTTTTTCAACGTGATCCCTATAGACAATAATAATCAATGAACTAAATTCATAAAAATATTTTTTTACTTACATCCTTCAGGATGCTGCATTGTCATTTCCCGGAAAAAGTTATCCTTGGCCAGGTTTTCTTTACTAAAGATCAATTCAAGTTGTTCCAAGATTTGGGATGCAATAGTGTCTTCTGTCATGCCTTTTCAATAATAATAAGAAGAAAAAAGATAGAAAAAAAAAGTTATGCAGTTTATTTTTTTGACTGTCACTGTCACGTTTTCGGGGTGTAAAATCAACTAATGTAAAATGTGTTATGTCAAAAACTATGATTGTCTTGAAGATCAAAAAAAAAAAGGGACTAGTTCTATTGGACCACAGTATCTTGAATATACATAATAACAGTAATGTTTCAAAAAAAAAAAAAAAAACTCGCCACCTTTTTTTATTTCTTGACCTAGTAAAAGAAGCGTCTCCAAGCAAAAAGATTGGCCCTTGATTACTTTGATGAAACTAAGCCATTCAGTAATTCTTCATTATTCAAAAGCTTGTCGCCAGTCTTGATTAGCTCCACCAGTTGAATTGGATCCCCTATATTTATACCAATTAAAAGTAATGAATATCAAATAACCTTTCTACTTTTTTTTTATTACCTTGAACTTGTATATTGTTGTCCAGCTCCACCACCCATATGTAATATTCTTTTTCCCTTCAATTGACGTTGTCTTTGTTTTTCATCCAGGGCCTCTATTAAAAGGATATAAACAAAAAAAAATTGAGTTCCTCTTTTTTTTTTTTTTTTTTTTTTTTTTGGATGGTTTACCTTGACGAGCAGCCGTGATTTCTCGTTCTTCATAACTAAGTACCAATCGTTTCAATTGCTGATGTTCTTCACGTTCAGCTTCTTGTTTGGATCGAGTGGTCACTGCCAATGCAGAATCAGCAGGTACTTGCATGATTTTGGTTTGTTGTCGATTGCCTTTCTTAGTCAAAAGAGTAAATGCCATACTACCATTAGGTTGTTCTCTTTTCTCTGCCAAACTACGACGATCTTGAGTACCACGAAGATTCATTGGAATAGGAACATCAAGCATGGTTGCCTTCTTTTCAAATTTGCGTGATTCGATACTGTCGCTAACCATTTTGCTAAATTCCTTTTCAAATTCATCGTCTTCTTCCTTTTGTTGTTGTTCTTGTCGTTTCAATACAACCACTTCATCTTCTTCGTCATCACGATTCACCTCGATCTCCTAGAATTAAAAATATTTTAATACATAATCATCATCATCGTACATCTACTTACTTCATCAACACTTTCATTATCTTCATCTTCTTTGTCCAATACGTCCACAAGCTCATCATCATTGTCTTCATCACTGGAACTGTCAGAGCCTTCACTTTCTTCAAAACCATCTTCTTGTATCTTATCTTCATTGCCTAAATAAATAAAACATTAAAAAAATCATTTTTTTTTATCCATTCTATCTTACCTTGTACAGTTTTTAATTGATCTAATAGCATAAGATCTACTTCAGCATTTGCTTCTTCATAGCTTGAAAAGATATGCATTTTGGGTCGAAGCATTTCAAAGGTATCACTAATCATAAAATCCACATCCATAGGCGGTTTGGCTTTGCTAAGAATATACATCTTTATATATATAGATTAGTAATGGGTGAGGACGCAGTTGTTATATTAAACTTACTTGGAAGAATGTCAAGAAATGATCCAACTTTTTCTTGGAGCTGCCCCTATCAAAGCACATGCCACATGTATCCAATAAAGTACAACAAAGTCGAATTCGGAAAAAGTCATTGGGTGCATCCATTGGACAGAATCGCTCACGAGAAGGTCTTCCAAATTCTAGTATATATATAAAAAAATGTAAACAAAAAAAAAATCAAAAGTTGTCTTTTTTTTTTTTTTTTTTTTTTTTTTTACCATGACCAAGAGTAACAATACTATATAATGTGTCGAATACTAATGGAGAATCAATCATTCGATAATTATAGAGTTCACCTAAATATTTCACTGTTGCAATTCTTCGTTGATTGTGCTTGAAAATATTGTGCTAAAGAAGAAGAAGAAAAAAAAAATAATGAGAGATCTATTTCATGAAATAAATAATTATATCATACTTCTAATCCCACCCGGATTTCTTCTACAACAGCATCTACCACTTGCATGCCAAAGAAAGAATGATGTCGATTCAAGCCACTGGCAAGGATGGCCATCAAATGAATGTTACTGTATTTGATTTTCCACACCTTTTGAAACACTTTGTTCAATAAATGTTGAATGGCCGGATCTTCCCAATCAAGTTTGCGTAGCAATTTCAGTGTCTTGTCCAGAGATTTCTTGTTCAGATCACTATAGATCAATCGACGTACAAAAAGTTCAATAGGTGATCTTTCCTTTTCAACAATAGCTGTTCGATCAGGTGGATTGGCTTGATAATATGCATTTTCAACCATTAATGCTTGTCGATTATCCAAATGTTGTACATTCTTTTTTCGCATTACAATTTCCAACTATTCAAAATAAATAAATAATGATAATTGCTATTACTACTGATGCATATATTCTTGAGCTCTATTTTTTTTTCTTTTTACCATAGTACTCATACGAGCACTTGTTTCAGGAGTACGTAAAAGATATCGACCACAGGTTTCCAATAAATTGCATACAATATCAATGTTTTGATTTGTAAAATCATCTAGTGCTACTTTGAAGGCATGGAAGATGGTATGATAAGGTGCTACCTTGAACTTGGTCAATTCAGACAAGAAACGAATATTCTATATCAAAAGAAAATAGAATTAATCATAAAAAAAAAAGAATGTCATCATTTTCTGTCTCTGTCTCTCTCTTTCTTTACCTTGATCCTTGATTCCACTAGATCTTGTGTTTTTTTCTTTTGTAGACCACGGAATTCATGATTTAGCTGTTTAAATAAAAATAAAAATAAAATGATATGAGCGTTGATATTATGATATATTTTTTTCTTTCTTTCTTACCGCAACCAGAATGGCATCACCAATATCAGTATAATATTGATTTAAAATGGCAATCAGCCTTGCATAATAAGGAAGAAGATCCACACGTTGTCGAGGAATATTCAAAAGAGCCTAACGGAGAAAAAAAAAATAACAAAGTATATAAGTAAATGGATAGAAATCATATCATGTGTTACCTTGATCAATCGTTTACGAGCCCCTTTGGAATTCAAATAACAGAACTCAATAGCTGCACTATCAATCATATCTCGATTTCCAAGTGTTGTCAAACGTCCAAGTAAAGCATCTAATTGGGCAAGTTGAGTAGGTTTCACAGTCTCTGTACCATCATCCTTTTCGCTATTCCCAAAAATAAAAAAAAATAAAAATAAAAAGGAGTAAGAATCATCATATCTTCAGGTTATAAAAGAACATACTCCAAAGTTTCATCCACAAGATCTGTTGCTTCTAGTTCCGTATCATCGTCTAAATCATTATCATCCTCTCCAATGGCAGAAGGTGTAGTGGTTGTTTCTGATTCAACTAAACCATCCTGTCCAATAGTTGTGTCATTTCCTTCCGTTTCTGATGTCACTCCTTCTTCAGATTCCTTCTTTGTTGATGTTTGAGAATCCAAGAATACTCCCGGTACAAGTACACGTAGATCGGGCAAATCTTCATAAAACTTGCGAGCATCATCATCTTCCCAGACACTATTGCCAAGGCCAGTTTCCTAGACACAAATTAGATAAGTTATTCGATTATATACAATTTTTTTTTCTTTTTTACTTTTCCATCAGCAAAAGAGCTTCCTGATGTAGTACTGACTATAGATACTTTAGTAACACCTTCATCTTCTGGTAGATCAGGCATTTCTTCGTCAAGACCATCGGCCAATCTATATATATTAAAAGAAAAGTATGAACTTTCAAACATCTAAATAATGAATGAACTTACGTTTCAGTATTTGCCAATAATTTTTCATACAATTTGGTAGCTTTTTCATGTCGTTGTTTTGTTTCTTCAGAAAGATCACCACGAGCAAAAAGAGTTTCATTATTTCGACGGTCCATTTTCTTGATATAACTATGTTCTTTTTTCAAATGTTTGACCACAGTACGATAGTAAGAGATCAATAATTCCTTGATGGCTTGTCGTTGTTCAGGAGTAACCGTTGCAATATCATCCGATTCCATTCCACTGACCACTGCTCCATCTTCTTGTTCTTGTTGTTGTTGATGTTGTTGTTCGGCTGCAGCACGTTGTTTTCTAGGAATAATCCCCAAGATTTCCGGTCCAAAGTTTTTCAAAAAAGACGCAGCTAAAGGTAAGTTCACGTGTTGTTCCAAATCTGAAGCAAACTAAAAAAAAATATATAGGTAAACTCTTTTGAATTATCGTAGTTTAGACTTACCAATTCTCTCAACACACGATAAACAAAACCAGTAGGATTATTGCTTTCCTTTTCATCCTTCTTCAATTTCTTCTTATCAAGTGAGGTAGAAGAAGAACTCATCAAACCAGCCACACCATCCCGTTGCGTATCCACATCATCCAAACCAGAAGTACCAAGAGAAGAGATACCATCTTCTACGTTACGTAAGACACCCATTAACCAGAGTTCTGTTGCTATTCTTAAATAGGTTCTTTGTCTTGCTATCCTACTGGCATCTTCCTTTTCCCGTTGTTCTTGACTAAGACTGGCTAAATATTGTTTGCTGAAAGGTTGAAGAGCTTTGGCGAGACTTGACGTGAGAAGTAAGGTAAACGTATTTGGAAATCGTTGATGTAAAGCAGATATCACCTATATATAATAATAATAATAATAAAATATGAATAAAAAAAAATATTTACTTTATATATATATTACCTCAACAGCTGCAGCAATGTCAACACTTGTCTTGCATTTGAGCATACCCTCCATCACACTAACAACTATTTCTGAGATATATTTTTCCAAAGAGAGTTTTTTGATATCATTGAGTAGTTGTGGACGATAATCGGCAGCTAATGATGTTTTGCACTTTTTAATAAATGTGGTATTTTTCTTAATGTTGCTATCCAAGTTTTTTGCTTGTATGACATCTATCATCATTCACAAACAAAAAGGTAATCTTTAGTTTTTTTTTTTTTTTCCATCTTTTGTTTTTAATTTTAGTCAATTCCTAATTTTACCTTTTCCAGTTTGCCAAGCTTGTCTATTGGCTAATCGTAGTTCTAGTTTTGAACTCATACTATCAAACTGGAGACAAGTGAGTAAAAGAAAAGAGAAAACTAAAATAAACTGCGTCTTTATTTTTTTTTTTTTGTTTTCTATTCGGACTTGAAATCAATCAGGCCCAAAAGAAAAAAGCCCGTGTCACTCTCTTCATTTTTTTCTTTTTTGTCTTTTTATATTTTATTTTTTTATTTTAAAGTACACATCTTATGATTAGTGCTTTTTTTATATATAATCAAAAAGGAGAAGTACTTATTTCTCGGTTATATCGACATGACTTGAGGTAATTCTTCTTTTCTCTTCATACTGATAAATTACTTCTTTATGAACCTTATTAACTTTTTTTTTTTTTTTTTAATATCATCATCTCCCAGACGTTCAGTGGCCGATATATTCCGTATTCAAGTCATCTCCAATACAGATGTACGATCACCTATTGTTACTCTTGGTTCAACTTCTTTTTTCCATGTACGTCATGAAAATCTATATATTGTTGCTGTTACAAAATGGAATGCCAATGCTGCTTTAGTATTTGAATTTTGTTACCGTGTGTTAAATATTGGACGAAGTTATTTTGGCAAATTTGATGAAGAAGCAGTCAAGAATAACTTTGTATTAATCTATGAACTTTTGGATGGTAAAATAGAACAAGAATTTTATTTTTTTTTTTTTTTTTTTTTTGTATTAGACTGACAACAAACATTATTTGGATAGAAATTCTTGATTTTGGATATCCTCAAAATAGTGAAACAGATACTCTCAAGATGTATATTACCACCGAAGGTGTTAAATCTGAACGAGCCGAGGATTCTAGTCGAATCACTATTCAAGCTACGGGTGCGATATCTTGGAGACGAAATGATATCAAGTACAGGAAAAATGAAGCCTTTATTGATGTGATTGAAAGTGTGAATTTATTGATGAGCAATACTGGTAAGGGTCAAACTAGGAGAAGAGGAAAGAAATTGACTGTATTTTTTTTTTTTTTTTTTATTTAGGAACTCTACTTCGAGCTGATGTTGCTGGTCAAATCTTGATGCGTGCCTATTTATCTGGTACACCTGAATGTAAATTTGGATTGAATGACAAATTATTATTGGATAAGGATGCCGTGAATAGGACACCGTAAGGAAAAAAATGTTTTGTCTCTCTTTCTTATTATATAAATAACTTGTTTTTTTTTATTGTTAGTGCTCGTAAGACACATGCTGTTGAAATCGATGATTGTCAATTCCATCAATGTGTTAAACTTGGTCGTTTCGATACCGATCGAACCATTAGTTTTATCCCTCCTGATGGTGAATTTGAATTAATGCGTTATCGTACTACTGAAAATGTCAATCTGCCTTTCCGGGTCCATCCTGTTGTCAATGAGATTGGTAAAACCCGTGTGGAATATAAAATCAATGTCAGAGCCAATTTCTCTCCCAAATTGTATGCTAATAACGTGGTTTTACGAATTCCTACTCCACTCAATGCTGCCAAGGTTGAAGTCAAGGTTGGATCTGGTGGCAAAGCTAAATATGTTCCATCTGAAAATTGTATTATTTGGAAGTAAGTTTTATTTTTTATTATTATTTTTATGTGGACATTCATGATTTATATTTGTTATAGAATTCCTCGTTTTCAAGGTCAAGCTGAATATTCTCTCAGTGGTGAAGCTCAATTAAGTTCTACTACTCACAAAAAAGTATGGTCAAGGCCTCCCATTTCTATGGATTTCCAGGTAATAATAAAAAAAAAAATAAATCAATAGAGTAAATATTAAATTACCACATCTTATTATTATAGGTATTGATGTTTACTTCTTCTGGTTTACTGGTACGATTCCTAAAAGTGTTTGAAAAGAGTGGTTATCAATCTGTTAAATGGGTACGATACATGACCAAGGCTGGATCTTATCAAATTAGGGTAATAATACAAACTAACACTAAATATTATACTAATGGTTCCTTTATTTTTTTTTTTTTTGTGTATAGTTCTAAACAAAACAAACAAATATTTCCCCTCCCTTCCCTATTCTTTCCTTATTGTCATACCCCCCTTTCCTTCACTTATTGATTTTAAACGATAGACACTCTTTATTTGATTCTTTCATACAAAATAATAAAGATATACGATTTTTTTTTTTATTTGGTAAACGATAATAAACGATGATCTACTATGCAAGTTTTCTATTTCAAGTAAAAAATGATGATGATGATAACTAATGCTTAAATCATGATGATGAGGGTTGATCGGATGATTCTATATCTGCAAAACCTAAATTCTTCATATCATCTTTATCCATGAGTCCTCTAATAAATAATAAAATGGGTCATTACTACAGTCAATTTTTTTAATATAAAAATAGGTCACTTACTTATCCATGCGACATTGTAAATAGGCTTTTGACAGTGGACGACAAGCACCATTGTTGTTCTTGTTGGCTCGAAGACATTTAATATATTCTTGCATGTATTGCTTGCATTCCCCTTTATAAATCAATGTCAGTTTCCTAGAATTTTTGTTCTATGCGAATTGTATGAGAAAGTGAGAGAGAGAGAGCTTACCTTCATGATCTAATGGAAAACTTCCTAAAAGAGGTGGTGCTCCTGATGTTGATTCTGTATTTGATGGTCGTCCAAAACCCATAGTTAATCAAGAAGAAGAAGAAGAAGAAGAAGAAAAAAAAAAAAAAAAGACAAAAAAAAATAATAATAAAAATACAGTATTTATTATTTTTGATATATTCACCGGGGATTCAAATGTTGACATGTATATATTATGTACCAAACAACTATAAAAACTATATGATCTATCCTTCATTAAAGACTCTTCTTAGCACCAAGCACGGCCAATTGATCCGCCATTTCATTTCCATAGATGCCAGTATGACCAGGGACGTAAGAAAAATAAGTGTTGCCTTTCCGAGTTTGCATGAGTCTGATCATGGGTTGTAAGAGATCACGGTTCTGAACAGGTTTGCCATTGGAAGCGATCCAGTCTCGTTTGATCCAGTTCTTGTACCATTCAGTCATGGACTTGATACAATATGTCGAGTCGGTACGGATTTCCAAGGATTGATCCATGTCCTGCGTTTGTTCCAATACCTTGAGAATCGCCATGAGTTCTGCCCTTTGGTTCGTTTGTCGTTCACCTTCCAAAGGTCCAGACAGATTGCGTGCATCGTCCTTGCCCCAAAATACACCATACCCGGCCTTGGCCCCATGTTGTCCATTCCCAGCCGCTGCTCCATCCGTATAAACCACTAGATCTGCCTTGGGATGTCTTGATCTAGGTCGATCGTCATCATTATCATCATCATTATTCATTCGTTTCCGTTTTTTTCGATCATATTGTTTTTCATCATGTCCTGCCACAAAAGATTCAGCTTCTTCCAACGTAGCGAATTTACGATACTTGGCACCAGCAAATTGAATAACTTGTTTCTTACATTCTTCCCATGTTTTATACACTCCTTGCTTGCGCCCTTTTTGAACTGCGTAGTAAAATCGTGATCCCATGATCAATCGTGATGGTATCACTCTTGCAATGGACCAAGATCGAAAAAGGAATGGATTCAATATGGTGAGTTATATGAATAGAAAAATGAAAAAAGAAAAAGAAAAAAAAAATAGAAAGTGAACGATCAAAGTGGGTATTATCCTGAGTTTGAAAACAACATATCAGATAGGGGAAGATGGATTCCTTGTTGTAATAAGCAAGGTAATTAGCCAAAATTTATTTCATTGATTATAAGAAAAAAAAAAAAAAGAATACTTTATATATATATATGTAAAAGGATGTACGAATAAAAAAAGGAAAAAAAAATATAAAAAAAAAAATAGAAGGATAACAATAGTAAAAAAAGAAAACATAAAAAAAAGCACATACAACATATATAAAAAAAAAACAATACAATAAATAAATAAATAAATAAAACTACTTTTGATTGGATGAAGTTGGGGTGACAGGAGTTGGAGGAGGAGGATGAAAATAAGATGGTTGGTCATAGCCTGATGAAGGAGTGGAAGGAGCAGTATTGTTGTTGGATTTTGAATGATTAGGTGTAGAAAGTGGAGGCAAAGGACCTGAAAGCATACTACCATTGGAAGGAGTTGTGACATGACCGGATGAGCTTGTGGTGCTTGTGGAAGAAGTAGGTGTATGCGGAACGCCACTAGGATATCTACGCCAATCACCAGTGTCCTGTGCTGGGGGATGAGGAGGACCCATGTTGGATGGAGAAGATATATCTCCTCGATAGAAATCGGAAGATGATGTAGTAGATGCAGCGTTGGTATGTTGATCATGTTGCTGTTGTTGTTGTTGATGATGCTGTTGTTGTTGTTGATGTTGTGGTTGCTGTTGTTGATCCTGCATATCAGCTACCATGTAAGGATGCTGTTGAGATGGATGAGATTGTTGCTGCTGCTGTTGTTGATGATGATGATGATGATGTTGCTGATGATGATGTGATGATGGTTGAGAAGATGGATCATAAGTCACAGATGAATGTGAAGGTGGAGGATGTAAACCCATTGGAGAGGAAGGACTATTATTCATCATGATAGAAGAAGGGTTGCCAGGATGTCCATTTTGAATAAAAGGAGGATAACCACCATTTGGATACGCGGGATAACTAGGATATGAATAATCTCCAGGTGTCATTGATCCGTTGTTAGTGTTGACCATCAAACCATTATTTCGACCATAAGGAGAAGGAGATGTTGGTGAGAAACGATGATCATCCAAATGAGAAGAGAGAGAAGGTTGTTGAGACATGTTCATTGAATGAGGATGATGAGATGAATCAAAACGAGCAAGATCTGAAGGAGAAGTCATCATAGATGGTTGTGATTGTTGTAATTGATTATTATCCGAATAATGACCAGGACTACGACCACGTACAACTAGAGGAGCAGATTGACAAGAAGCTACTTTGATTTGACGGTGCATACCATCCACAATTGTATCACAATAAAGATCCACTACACATACATAGTATTGTTGAGCCGCTCTACGTTTTCCATTGTTTGCTGTAGCAGTTTTGAATTGAATACGTTCGAATGTTGCGATATTTTGACTGGCACCGACAGCACTAAGACTAAGATTTCCACCAGGTAAAACGGGTTTGGCGAGAGGTGTATTTTGAGGTCCTTTATCACGTTTGGGAGTGTGTTGTACTAATTCAATTTTCTTATCACTGTTGGAGACCCTTGCTGAGATGTTGAGACTGAATTGTCGTATGGGTAAAAACATACCATCGGTTTGTACATAGCAAAGAGGATCTTGTTGCATATGGTAATGATGATGAGGATGATGAGGATGTTGCTGGTGAGGATCGGCACCGAAATAAGGAGGAGGAGTTGGTATATTTGTTAATCCAGGAATAGTAAAAGCACAACTGACTTGAAAGTAATTGCGTCGATAACAAGTCCAATCATTATCTGCCAAAAAAAAGCCACGATCCATCTTTGCTTGTATTCTAGCAGTCAATCTAAAAAAAAAGATAATAATAATAAAAGTTTAATCAAAAAATAAAAAAAAAAATAAAAATAAAAAAAAAAGAAACTTACAAAGTTGACCGATCCAAAGCATAGATATTTTCCAAAGATTTTGTGGAACTAAAAATTGGACCCATTTCTGCAGCAAAGATAGGTTCACTTTTACTACCACGTTGTTTACGTATCAAAGAAGGATGAGGATAAGGACCAGTAGTACTAAAGGCAGCATTTGCATAGTTGATGGTTGTACGTTGTCTCTTGGGATTAGGAGATAAAGCAGTATCGTGATGATCATCCAAAGAAGAAGGTTGAGGAGTACTAGGTTGAGATGACATACCCATCATACTATATAGAAAGACATTAGTATAAAATTTTATAATGAATAAATAAGAATTATTATTACCCAGGTAATCTTGGATCAGATGGTTCATGTTTTGGAGTGAAATAAGATGGACCATGTTGAGGAAATGTTTGATGTCTAAAAAATATATATATATTTATATAAAAAAGGTATGTTCTGACAAAAGCAGTAAACTTTAAATTTTTTTTTTTCATATGATGAACTTACATAGGAGAATCAAGAGGACCTGAAGAAAAATTAGTAGTATAACCACTATGATCCATAGGTGTAGAAGGGAATAATGATTGAGAAGGTGTAGTAGGAGCTTCAGTCAAAGAAGGACTTTGAACTGGTGGTGGTAACCATTTCTTATTATTGTCGTGTACTGAATTCATCTTTTCCCGAGTAAACAAAAAAAAAAAAAAAAAAAAAAAAAAACTTGAAACTGAACTAAAATAAAGAAAGAAAAAAAAAAAAATAAAAAATCAAATCAAATCAAATTGGAATAGAAGGGAGTATATATATATATTAAATAAAAAGAGGGTATCGTATAGGTAATAATAATAATAATAATAAAATAGAAAAAAAAAGGTGTATAAGTAATCAATAAAAATGAGTGAAAAATAGAGAAAAGAAAGAGAAAAGAAAAAAAAAAAAAAGAAATGGGGGACTTTTTTTTTTTTTTATGTTCAAAATTATCATCCAAGAGATCTACCAATGAAATCACAATTCTCTCATCTTTTTTTTTTTTTTTTTTTTTTTTTTTAATAGCACGCGGTTCATGAAATCCTCCATTTCCCTTGACTTCCTTTTTTTTTTTTTCTTTCTTAATTTTTTTTTTTATTTTTTTGTTTGCCAATGACAATGAATTCTATTACGTGATCAAGTTGATGATTGTTCATTATTTATTTGTTTTAAATCCACATTATATAAAACCATAAGAATCACTTTTTTTTTACTCTCTTTATACGGAGATTGAACTCTTTATACGAAGAGCATGAAGATTTTTGAACGCAATACATTCTTGTACTACTATTTAAAATAAATATTATGTCAAGAGTAATAGATCATATATATACATATAAATATATAATTATTATCATCTTATGAAATCAAGTAACAAATAAACTTACCTTCTTATTACAATGGATATTTATATTGTCATTTATTTTTTATCTATCGTCTTCATCTTCGGAACGCGAAACATGAACCAAAAAGCTTAAAACTTTTTTTTTTTTTTTTTTTCGTTAGCCGTGGTTACCCAGAAACTTTAAAATAACTGAATGGGTCAGTTTCCTTTTTTTTTTTTTTATCGATTACACGCACCGAAAAAAAGTGAGTTTTTTTTTTTATGAGTGAACCTGGTCTTTTTCTTTTTTAAAAAAAGAATGAGTTTTTCTTTATGAGTGAACTCTTTGATTTTTCTATTCCCCAACAAAATAAAATGAAATAAGAAAATACACAACAAAAAAAAAAAAAAAAGAGGAGAGGAAAAGAAAAGGATCGTAATACCGAAAAAGAAAATAAATAATGACCAGGAGGCCCGTGTCATCTTTTTTTTTTTTTTTAAAATTCTCATTGATCATCCCCACCTCGGTTAGATTGATTACAAAGAAAAAAAAAAAAGGGCGTCAGTGCGTTTCCTAGTGAAATCCAACTTACTGCCTTTTTAATTGATATAAATACAACATAAAAACATCTTTTATATCACCTTCCTTTGAACAACATCATCATTATTTATAATAGATAGAAAAAAAAAAGGAAAGTATGTATTCTACGCCAAATAAGTGGTAATTAAACTTACGACATTGATGTTGATTACCCCATCATTTGTCTTAATTAAAAAAAAAAGTCATTATCATCTTCAACAAAAAAAAAGAAACTTCTTTATTTCAATCCAATTCATAATAATAACAAACAAAATATACAACAAGTAAAAAAAAAAAAAAAAAAGAACTGTATAAACTAATAAAACATCAAAAAAAAATATATCATCGCCAAGGAGTTCTAAAATTCGATGATGTTCGTTTGCTTTTGGCTTTGGTCATTGTCACTTGAACTTGTTTGCCATCATCATCCGTCACTAAAAATTTATTACCTTCCTTGATACCAGGTGAGATAGGTGACTGACCACGAATGGAATAACAATAATAGGAAGATGGTTGGAAAGGAGTTGATTTTGAATGTCGTAAAGTTCTCTTGTCATCATTAGTCACCTTTTCAGTCGTATTGAAATCTGTTGCCAGTGGTTGTGAGTATCGTTTCTTTTTTTTGTCAATCATCGTATCAGTATCGTTGTTGGCCATACGTTCCATTGTCGACATAAATTTGCCTTCTTCTAATAAAGCATGATCTCTTAAAAATTGTGATAATTCTACCCAACCTATATAAAAAAAAAAAAGAAAATCAATATCATTTTCTTTAAAACAAAAAAGAAAAAAAAATAATTTTTTTTTGATTTTTTTTTTCATGAAAATTTACCTCCTCCAACACGAACCATAACCATTCTACTACGTAGAATACGACAATAAGCTAATTTTGGATTCTTCTTTCCAAACCAATAACGACCTATCAAAAGAAAAAAAGGTTGAATTTCTTTTTTTTTTTTTGTTTTTTTTTTTTTATGATAATAAACATACCCACTTCCCCAGGTACCATTTTTACTTTGACAGCAAAAGGAGAATCATTGACAATATTTCCTACAGCTACATCTAAATCATTCTTGGGATCTGGTACATAGGCATCCAATGGTGACATGGATCTTCTTGCCATAGAGGATGAACCAATATCTACAGCTCGTTGTTGTTGTTGTTCACGCCATGAGGATCTTTTCTTTGCTCTTTCTGCTGTCATTAAACGAGGTGGGATAACAGCGGTGGCAGTCAAAGAGGATGGAGTAGTAGCACGCATAGAAGGTTTTCGAGTCACTAGTTTTTGATAAGATGATTTTCGAGTTATACCATTCGTAGATCGATCCGTTGCCACTGATAAAGGTCTTGTTGTAGTGATGGAAGACATAGTGGTCATAGGTCGTCTTTGATGTCCACCAGGAAGAGCATCATGTAATGAAGATAATACCAAAGGATCTGCCAAAGGACCAATGTTCGCCAATAATGCTTGTCGTTTTGCTTCCGCTAATTGTTGTAATTGTCGCCATTGTTCTGTTAATTGATCATGATAAGCCAATAATCTTGCATCTTGCTTTTGTTCACCTTGCATCATCACAAGTTGAGCTTCCTTCACCAAAGCCTGAATATTCGGTTCATAATATCGATATCGTGTATCCAAATCAATCAACATGGCCTGTAAATCCGCACGTCGTTTTTGTTGTTGTTGTTGTCGTTGTTGCGTATTTCTACTAGTAGTCGTAGTAGTAGTAGTAGTAGTAGTAGAAATTTCCATTGGAAGAGATGCACGATCCACTACTTCGGCTAAAGCAGATAATAAAACTTCCCATTCATCCAATACCGTCAAAATAGTTTCCAGTTTTCTCGCCTCGGCCAACCAATAATGCTTGTTTTGTATCCCTTGCGTCAGTCCAGCTATCGCCTGGGTAATTTCATTTCTTTGATCAGTAAACATATCATCAGCGTGTTCCAATAATAGTTCATCCAAGTCACCCAAAGCGCTCGGTAAATGAAGTTGAATTTCTTGTTCCAGTCGATCCAGTTCAGTATTCGTAGCTTCAATCGCTTGTTCTGTAGGAATCATGGTCAGTGGACATTCTAATAACCAAGAAGATAATATATCATCTCCATCATCCCCTCCATCATCATTGTGCTGAGTTGCATCAGATTGAATACGGATACGTTCCACCCTAACACGATAACCACCAATCATATATAAAAGATCCTTCATTTTCCTTGCAATATTCACATGTTGTCGGTGTCGATCCGTCGCCAAGGAGATATCCTCAAGTTGTTTTCCCAATTGGTGATAATCATCTTGTAATTTGTCGTAAATAATTTGCACTTTGCTTTTTCGATCATCGTCGTTGTCGTTGTTTTCAAACATCATCATCATCACCTTGTCATGTATACGTCCAAACTCAGTCATGGTGGATTGCATGCCGTCCAATTTTGCCTCGAAACGTCCAATGGAAGCTCTCATGTCAGATTCATCTGCCACCCCGATATCCAAAGTTAATTGCCCAAGTGCCGTACTGCATTGAGAAAGCCAATTTTGTAGATCTTGTGCCGCCTTTGCATGTATATGAAGATGTCGTTGTAAGACTAGTTGACGTTTTTCCGTTCCAATAGCTTGATCCAGTTGTTGTAGTGCTTTTTCAACCGAAGAAGAAGAAAAAAATGGATGTTCGTTGCTATCATCTGATAACTTTGTTGGAGTCAGGTGTTGCAAATGTTCCCACCGCCGATGAAAATGATCTTTTTGTGTTTGTACATCCATGATGTTTTGATTGGTAGTACACACCAGGGTCGCCAATGCATCCACTTGTTGATTGATCACAAGATCCCATCCCTGACACCAATATTGTGCTACGCGTTCCTTGATATTTTTCTCGCTTGTCATGATTGTTGCCACCAATTCATCCAGTTTCTGTTGATGCTGTTGACATGCCAAGAGATGCCGTTTTTGTTGTTGCTTGATTTGTGCATCCATCATCAGTTGTTGAGCACGAGCTACCAAACTTTGATGTCGATCCCTTGCACATGAATAGTTGGCGGTTTGGAGAGGATCCCTAGTATCAGCTGCTTGTATAATATCTTGTCCAATCACCTTGAGTACTTCTTGTTGTTCCTGTACTGATTGAATCATCCGTTCAAGACCATCATCATCATCTTCTTTTTCTTCATTGTTTGTTGCATGAGCCAAAGCTTGTTCCACTAAACTAAGTCTTCGTTGCCGATCAAACCATTGTTGTACAGTATCGTTGAAATCAGCTAATTGGTCCATGTCTTTCATCAGTGAGTTCCATTCAAGTATCAATTCATCTTTTTTCAAACTATCATCCAACTGAAGTCGATCAAATAAAGATTGTCTGTCCTCTACGTCTTGCTTCATCTTGATCCATGTCTTTGTCAGAGTATCAAACCTTTCTTGATCTTGTTGCTGTGATTGACCGGTCATGAAACCACATTGATGTTTAATCCCTGGTAGTGACACACGTAAATTACGAATAAACTGGACGAGTTCATTCAACATATCTACAACGTTGTGACCTTGTTCTAATTTGGTGCGCCATTGTTGTAATGATTGTTCATGATTGTTCATATTTTGTCGCAACGTTTCATAAGCCGAGTTCATTTCTTGTATAGCCCCATTCAATGTCTTGATTTCTTCAGATTCAGTGATAATCGTATCTGGAATCAATTCCTGTAGAGTACCAGTCACTTGTTTGGCCTTGAGTAAAACCTCATTGGCTTGTATTTCCTTGCCCTCCAATTTCGTCTTTGTTGTAGCCAACATTCGTTCCCAATGAGCAACTTGATCTAGACCCAATGATTGACCTTGGAGAAGTAGCTGTTGCTGGTTTTGTTGGATCAAACTTGATCGTTCATCTGCCCATAATGTCCACTGTTCTGCTTCAGCTGCTAATGTTTTTGTTCGTCGTTGTAATTGCCAACGTTGTTTCATGGCTTGATAATGTCCATCCACTACAAAAAAAAAAAAAAGATATAATGTCAGTCATTTTTTTTTTTTTTTTTACTATTATTATTATTATATTCCTATTTGAAAAAAGTTTACCTGCTTCACCAAGTAACACTAATTGGGTTCGATAATGACTCACATGTTGTCGAATCACTTGATTAGCATGTTCATTGTCTTGTTGATCTACAGTCAATGTTGCCGCAGGATAAGGAATTCGTTGAGAAGAGGCCAGAGGAATGATTCTTTCTTGCATTGCTTGGACACGATCAGCCCACATAACTTCATCAAGATCATTATCGTCAGTGGTCATAACATGTTCACTGAAAGAACAAGTTTGCTGTAAATCCAATTGTAATTGATGTGCATCGGCATGAACATGCTGTACCATATCCATAAAATCCATCAATGCGAGACGTTGTTCCACCACCGAGCGTACAAAAACCATCCGTTTGTAAAGGTCTTCAAAAAATTGTTCACAATTTGATTGCCGTTGTTCCAAATGAGCAGGTAAATCTTCTTCAGCAGCATCATCAAAATCTTGAAATAAGTTGATTGTAGTAGTGAAACCACCTTTATCAAAATCTGACATTTTGTGTTCCAACGCCAATAAACCGTCAATCAAAACACTTTTATCCATATCAGATTGATCTGTCCATCTTGCTTGACCCAAAAAGGTATCGACTTGATTTTCAGTATCATGAAGCCATTCCATAGTTTTTGCAAATTCAGCTTCCCAAAGAGCACGCTGGGTAAGAAGATGTAATCTATGACTTTTTTCACGTAGAGTATGCATGATCTTGTCCAATGTGGTCAATGTTGTCAGAGTGATTTCAATGGTAGTAGTATCAGCTGGACTTAAATCTTTGCCTCCAGTCAATGCTTTCACGTGAGATCGCAATCGAGCCATATCTTGTTTGTCAAAAGTTTCCATGTCATTTTCCAATAATTGATGTTGTTCTTGCCATTGTTTGACTTTTTCCAAACCAGAAATATCATCATCATTATCATATTGTGATAAATGAGGCGCCAAAGGATCAGGTAGAGTTGTTTCTTCAAGTTGATCACGTCGTTCATCAATCCATTGTCGTATACGTTCGGCTTCCGCAAACCACACTCGTACTTCTTCTACCCAAGTTCGTACTAATTCATTCTTTTCATTCATCTTTTCCCATCGTTGTTGATATAATCGACGTTGTTGCTGTTGTTGTTGTTGTAATTGTTGACCATCTTTGAGTTCTTCATGATTATCTTCCAATCCAGTATCTTCTTCTTGTTGTTGTTGTTGTAATAGTAGAGGAGATGATGATGTTGAGGATGACATAAAATAATCTTGATAATCTTGTCGTAAGGATGCCAATTGCTTCGTGGTGTTAGTAATGCTTTCTTCCCATGCTTGTACAAGCTCTTGATGGTGATTGGCTGTCATCATTGTTCGTTGCTGCATCATGTTGGCTTGTACAGAGTCCAGGGCAATACGGACAGCATGACATGCTTGACTGAAATCAAAACCTTGACGAAATGCTTTGTATTGATCTTCTGCTTGAGCCATTCGAAACTGTAAAGTGCCATAAGCTTGATCCATTTGTGATAATCGTGCCAATTGTCGTTGTTGTGAAACATTGAGTACACCATTACCACCAATAGTAGAAGAAAGAGTCAAATCATTAGTAGTAGTAGTAGTAGCAGTAGTAGTATCTGTACAATCATCAGAAGAGGGAATAGAGCAGTAATTGGTATAATTTTCTTGAATCCATTGCATACCATCCTTGATGAGATTCATTTGTGTTCGCATAGTAGCTAAATTGGATTCATATAAAGCCATATCTTCTTGAGCAGCTTGTAAAGGATGTAATAAAATAATGTCACTTTGAGAAGCAGAAGATGAACAACCATCTTCCCATTCGCCACCTGTCAAACTAGAAGGAGTAGTAGTATTGGTAGTTGTTGTTGTTGTGGTTGTAGTATGTTGCTGATGTTGAAGAGAACAAGAAGACAAGGATGAAGAACAAGACGATGATACCACGGAAGGATGACTGCCGACGTCCGAAAGTGTGGATGGAGGTACAGCAGAACCACTGTAATAAGATCGAGTCGGTAACATATGTCCCAGCTGACCATGTAACGACGCCATTTGTTCCATTAATAAAGTTGATTTTGTTTCAAAAATGTCATCAATAGCATCATCTTGTTGCTGTTGTTGTTGATCAAATGATTTTGTCAAGGTTAAATGATAATTTTGTAAAGTGGCGGTTGTAGTCATTGTAGTAGTCGTAGTAATAGGTGTTGTTGTTGTAGTTGGTAAAGGAGAAGGAGGAGTAAAGGTATCATCTTGAGTCGGGGTATCAGTCATAGTTTCTTCTCTAGTAATATAGTCGAAAGTATGAGTTTGAGTATCTTGTTTCCGTCTATCAGTTTCCATTGTATATAATATATATAAAAAAAGAAAGGAAAGGAATAAGAAAGAAAAAAAAAAAAGAGAATGATAGACTGGAAACAATTGGGGGTGGGTATATTTTTATTTTTGTCAAGTAAAAGAAGAAAAAAAAAAACAAAAAAAAAAAAAAAAAAAAAAAAAAAACAAAAAGAATCAAAAAGGAGAAAAAAAAAAAAAGAGGCCCAAATTCCCCAAAATGCAAAAACAATATTCTATTTCCATCAAAAATACCAATCCAGACAACAATCCACGTTTGATCAAGCAACTTTAAGTCTCTGAACCCGATCCTCCGACTAGTACCCGAACAAAACTGAATACATGTGATATCAATCCATTTTGGTCATAAAACAAGACAGGACAAATGATCTTCTTTTATTATTATTATAACAACATATAAAAAAAAAGATGGGAGAATCCAATAAATAAATAAAAAAAAAAAGGAGTCAAAAAGAGGCAAAAAAAAAAGGTACTATTGACTGACTACCATGACTAGCTACCATAACTAAAACTATACTGTACATCAATAAAATGAGAAGAATGAAGGAAAAAGGTAAAAAAATAAAATAAAATAAATCTATCTATCTATGCTCTTGTACGACTTTCGCGTGGTAGAAACTAGGAAACCATTCAGTACAACATCATTTCCATGTCCCTTTTTTTTTTTTTATGCACTTACTCTAGAAATCATTGGTTGACAAAGAATGGGACCAATCACAGGTAATCGTTTTAAGAAGCCAAATACAACAGGGAAGAAGTCACTATCAATAAAAAAAAAAAAAGAAAAGGAAAAATAATTCAATCTAGTCATTCTTATAAAAAAAAAAAAAAGAATAAACTTACCCAAAAAGATTCAAAAATCCAAATACTTCTACCAAAAATCCAAGAAAAGGGTATTTGCTTAATACTAGGAAAATACCGCCTAGGAAACATATTGTGCCACGTAGTTTTTCTCTCCTTGTAAAAAACGTCACCGTACTTCTAGGTCCAATGATTGCTGCTATTCCAGATAAAAAGAGTATCTTTTTTTTGGTTATAAATAAATAAAAGAAAAAGGAAGAAGAAGAAGAAGAAGAAGAAGAAAAAGTCAATGGAATTTGTCATAATATTAAAAAATAAAAATACAAATTACATTGCCAATAGCTAATAAGCCCGAGTCAAAGAACATCATCACACCCATGAGCATAAAAAAAAGTCCAAACGCAGTCAAACCAACTCCAATTTCTAATTAGAAAAATATAATAAGTTAACTTTATTACTCTTTTCTTTTTTTTATGATGATTTTTACTTTGTCCATCACTTAACCACATTTTGTATGAGCATAGAATAAAAAGAAAAAAAGAGGAGGGGAACAAGAAAAAAAAAAAAAAAAAAAGGATATGCGCTTGGCGACACTCAATGTTCGGTGTTTCAAAAAAAAGCCCCAAGTCAAAATGGAACACTTGCCTACACTTTTTCTTGCTTTCTTTTCTTCCACTTTTTTTATTTCTTTCCTTTTATACATACAGGTACAAATATGGGTGATGCTGGTTATTTCAAGGTAAATAGATTATACTTGATTAGTTGTTATTTACTTAATACTAATATTACTATTTGTTACATCTATTTTACTTCTTTTTTTTTGAATGTTAGGGTGCCAGTGCAGATCAGGATAGTCGTTTCAGCAATAAAGAAAAAAAGTTGCTAAAATCTACAAACTTCCCTACAGAATTCGATCAAAAGGTGAATATCAAGAAAATCAATTTGGATGTTATCAAACCTTGGATTGCTAATCGAATTACTCAACTTCTTGGTGTGGACGATGAACTTATTGTTGATTTTGCCTTTGGTTTATTGGAAGAAGAGGTAATCTATCTGTTTTTTTCTTTTTTTTTTTTTCTTTGAAAATATATTAACGATAAGTCTTTAATATATATAGAAACCAGACCCAAAACGAATGCAAATTAACTTGACAGGCTTTTTAGAAAATAATGCGCCCATCTTCATGTTGGAATTATGGAAACTATTACTTAGTGCTCAAGATTCAGTTGGTGGTATTCCAAAAGAATTTATAGAACAAAAGAAAGAAGAACTTCGATTGAAAAAGGTAAAGAATCTATTTTACTGAAAAAAAAAAAAAGATGATCTCATTCTATATCATTTAGGAACAAGAAGAAAAACGTCGTGCTGAAGAAGAAGCTACTCTGGATACCATTCGACAAAAAAAAGCACAGGAACAAGAAAATTATCCAAGAAGAGAACGAAGATCTAGATTTGTAAGAATATTTGTCTATATATTTACCAAAGATATCTTAACTTATATATATATATATATATTTGCTTATAGGATACACCTTCTTCTCGACGACATCGCTCAAGAGAATCTAGTCCTTATCGCCATCATAGACGTAGCAGAAGTCCTTCTCCATATCATCAAAGACGTTATCATTATCATCGATCAAGATCGCCACCATCATCATCAAGGGAACAAGATCGTTATCGTTATGAAAGACGACACGATAGTAGGGAACGCCGGTATCGATATGACGAAGAATATAGTCGTAGTTATAGATCATAATGAAGTAAAATTATATTTTGGAAAGAATAAAAGAACCATTTTTAAATATATATATATATTTGATGCTTTTCAGATGTTTTTTATTGAATATATGACTGGATGAAAGAAAAAAGAATGAATATGATAGTTGAACAAAATGTATATAAAACTAAAAAAAAAAAAAAATAAATGATATAAATAAAAAAGAGGGAATATGGGCTAAAAATTTATTCGTCATCGATATGCCATGACATGGTAGAATTTTGCTTGTTCATTTGGAATTGATCTTGACTTGATTGACGTTGATCTCTTTTGCTACTTCCACGTTGAACATAAGGATGTAAGCCTCGATCGAAGTTATGCATACAAATAGCTCCGAATATACTTGTCACCACTGCAAATAAAATCCCCAGAATCACTATAAAATAGAAAGTTCTATCAGCTTTCATCCACCTTTTTTTTTTTTCTTTTCTTTTGTATTTACCAAAACAGGTCCATATATACCAAGAATCAGAAAGTGTTTGAGACAACACTAGAGCAAATTCAAATACAACAATAGCTTGGAAAACAATAAAGAGAATCATTAGACTTAAACTTTCCCTTGCCACCTAAAATAATAATAATAATAAAAATAATAATAAGAAATCAATATATTTGTTGATAACGTTATATATATATATACATATATATATATATGATTTACAGCCGTTCTTCCAAGCCAAAGCATAGGTAACATGAATAAAGTGACAAATAAAAATATCCAAGAATGCCAATCCATTTCTCCAGATTTAATCACAAATTGAATCAAATAAAAAACTGAGACCAAAAATTCCACAAAGATATCGATTTTCATACATAAAACAAAGTATTGAAAAATGGTATACATATCTATCATAATAATAATAATAATATAGGATGAATACCTAAGCCCATACTTTTTTTTTTTGTCTTACGTTTGACAGCTTGATCAGCACCAATTTTTTTATAAATCATCCAACCAAATTCAGAAGTGACCTTATAAGACATCAAACCAAAAGAAATAGCAAATAAGCCTAAACATACAGCCAATACGATTTCTACAGTCAATGCTATTTGTAAAGGTGATGTAGACACAATAGGTTTAGAATTTAAGATTTCAAGCCAACGTTGATTATCTAAGATTTGAAGACCACCAAGAATAGCACATGCCACATAAAGTATAGCTAAAACACATACTTCAGCCGCATTTTGTTGAACTGTCTAAAAAAAAAAAAAAAAAAATTAAAAAAAAAAATCAAATAAAATAGGATATAACTTACTGCATCTAATACCATACAAATAGCCCATATTTGAAACCCAATAAAAGCTACATTTTCATATTTGATTCTTGTCAATCTTTCAAAAGCACTGGCCAAACTACTATATGGAAAAGTTGCTTTGGCTTGTGTACTATTTTGAACAGCAATAATAGTTTCTAATACAATAATAATCACACCTTGTACTATTGCTAGACTAACATATCCTATTGTGAGTTTGGACTGACCGATCCGTTGTAACTATTTAAAAAAAAAAAAAAAAGAGAGTTAAAAGTTTATTTTTTTTTTTTATTAATATTTATACTAGCTATAAATATATTATCTTTACCACTTTTTCTGTGTTCACCATTTATATATATATCAAGTATTGTCCAACTTTTTTTTTTTTTTTCAAATAAACTTTGGTGGGATGGGCAAAAGACAAAAAAAAAAAAAAAAAAAAAAAAGATGAAGAAAGTGAAGAAAAGGAAGAAAAGAAAAGGGAAAAAAAAGGGAACCAGTTTTTCCCCTTTGTCGCAGGAAACTCAACTCAGCACACAAACACAATGGGACTGGGCCTCCTTTTTTCCAAACCTAAAAAAGGAAAATCAATACAAATGATGACTACTTTATGTGATGATATTCTTTTGATATCTCATTGTAAATGATATGCAAATAATACTTTATATAAAAAAATGCCATCATGTCAACATCATACTTCTCTTGAAATCAATTACATAATCAAATCATTTCTTTCATTTAAGATAATGTAATCTTAAAATTCTGATTATTATCTTATAGTATCGTCAAAGGATAAATTATTATTATTATTATTATTATTATATTATGTATCCATTCAAAAAAAAAAAAGAAAATTATTTACTATCTTCTTAATCCTTTTGAATCGATTTTTTTTTTTTTTTTTTTTTGCAGGGGCGACGCCAAATCATGCGTTGTACCCCACGCTCACTATACAGTATAACAAACTAGGCGGGGTACGATAAAAAGAGAAATATTGTTACACTCAAAGAAAGTTGAACGATAATGATTTATACTTGTTATCATGGAATAATAGGAAGATAAAGTAGATAAAAGTTAATATTATTTTGTTATTATTTAAACTATTGAATATTTTTAATTTTTCAAAGTATGAAAAAGATGGAGAAAAAGCATGTGACTGCCGAACCTAAATCTCTTGTTGAACCCACAATAAGCGGAATATTAATTCATTGAATTTCAGCATTCTCTTGTTGGGACCTTTTTTTTTCACTTTTTCTTTTTCTTCTTTCTCCTTCTTCGTTCTTCTTTTTTTACTTCTTGATACCATATATTCTCTTTTTGTATTTTTCATTTTTTTTTTTTGTGTGCGTGTGGCGTTGTGAATGAACTATTTTTTTTCTTCTCTTTGTTAACTTCTTGACTGACATTTTATAAAAATTACAAACGCTCTGTTATTTGAATTACAAGTTCAACGACAACATTATTATTGTTTTGCATATATCTCTTGTTTATTCTTATGATCAACTTGAGTTGTGCCTGACTTGACCTAGAAACGATAACAGAAAAATACAAAATTATCTACTATGAAGAAAAAAGGATCCAAGATGAACAATAACGAGTCTCCAGTTGTCACTTCAACCAACACAACCAATAAACCACCACCGCTACCACCTTCTACTTCTGTTGATATTCTTCCTAGACCTTCAAACAAAAAGAAGAAAAAGAAGAAAAACAAACAAAAGTCTCGTCAACTCAATAATAGTCCCTTGGCCGTTTTAGAAAATGCTCAACAACAAATGGGTGCTGCTGTAGCTGCCGCTGCTGTGGCCGATTTTCACCATAATGGAGCTGAATGGTTTTCTTCCTCTCAAACTTTACAACAACAACAACATTATCAACATCAACCACCACCACCACCTCCTCCTCCTCCATCTTTACCTCCACCACCTCGACAATTACCTTCATCTGGTTTAAATTCTCATCATCAACACTCATCTCATGTACTCAATAACAAACAGCGCAACAAATCAATCAACAAGAAAAAAGATAACGATAAGGATGAATTTTGGTCTAGTATGAGCAATACTGAAGAACGACAAAAGATTCGCGAATTTTGGCTACAACTAGGTGAAGATGAACGAAGATCATTGGTTAAAGTCGAAAAAGAGGCTGTCCTACGGAAAATGAAGGAACAACAGAAACATAGTTGTAATTGCTCCGTTTGTGGGAAAAAAAGGTAAAACTTATGAACAATCTAAAAAAGAATAAGAGTAATAATCCAATATCATCTTTTTTTTTTTGTAGAACTGCTATTGAAGATGAACTAGAAGTACTCTATGATGCTTATTATGAAGAACTCGAACAATATGCCAATCATCAACAACATACTCAACTCTATGGTCGTCGTTCTTTACATACATATCCAACACCTGAAGCATTACAAGAAGGTCATTTTGAAGGTTATCTGGATGAAAATATTGATGAAGAGGAAGACGATAACAATCATATCAGAAATGGTGATCAAAACGATAATGATCATGAAGACGATGATGATGAGGATGAGGATGACGACGACGACGATGATGAAGAAGAAGATGATGATGATGACATTTTGGAAGAAGATGAAGACACTTTTGATATCCATTACGAAGATGATCATAGATCAGATATATCGGATGATGATTTTTCAGATGCATACGATGATGATTTGGAAACTTTTACTTCGAATGGTTTGACAAGATCTTCCCATGGGACTGGTGATCATTTCAATTTTGGCAATAGTTTAACAGTCAAAGGTAATACAAAGGAATGGATATATATTTGAGATGGAACTATTAATCACTCATTGTTTTTTTCTTCAATCAATCAAGGTGGCATACTGACGGTGGCTGACGATCTTTTGAAAAATGATGGCAAGAAATTTTTGGATATGATGGAACGTTTGGCTGAAAGGCGAATGCAACGTGATATTGAAGCTGAACTTGATCAAGATGAAGATTACTATGATGAAGATGAAGATGAAGAAGATATGTATGACGATGAAAATGAAGAGGTAAAAAGAAATAAATTTATTATAATCTCCATCTCAATTTTTTTTTTTTTTTGTTTAATAGGATACTCGTACCGAAGAGCAACGAATGGAAGAAGGTCGACGTATGTTTCAAATATTTGCGGCTAGAATGTTTGAACAACGGGTACTTGCTGCTTATCGAGAAAAGGTCGCAAAAGAACGTCAACAACGTCTGATTCAAGAATTAGAAGAAGAGGATCGCCAACGTCAAGAACGGGAACTCAAAAAGCAACGTGATAAGGAACGGAAAAAGGACAAGAAACGGTAAGAAATAAATAAAAAAAAATAGGACACTTATTATTATATATGCTTATTTTTCTGTTTTTATATAGATTACTGAAACAACAACAAGAACGTGAACGTCGTGCCAAGGAAGAACAACGGCTCGCGGAAGAAGCCAAGAAACGGGCGGAATTGGAACAAAAACAAGAAGCAGAGCGACAAAAGAAAGAACAAGAACGACAAAGGAAGGAACAAGAGCGACAAAAGAAGGAAGAAGAGCGACGCATCAAAGAAGAAGAAAAACGAAGACGACTCAAGGAAGAAAAAGAACGTGTTGCCGAAAAGGAACGCCAACGCAAGGAAAAGGAAGAACGTGAACATCGGGAAAAAGAATTCTTGAAGGAAAAGGAACGCAAGGAAAAAGAACTCAAGGATGAATTGGCTCGTCGGGATCGTGAACTCAAGGAACAAATAGAACGTCATGAACGACAAAAGGGACGTATTAAATCAGATGCTATAACAAAACCTACAAAGTCAACGTCAACATCAACCTCATCAATTATTCAACCTTCGTTACCAAATTCTCTTTCTTCCAAAATCAATTCACCAAAGGATACGAATAATACCGGATCAAGGGAACAATTACTGATGGATGCTCTAAATCCTCCTACATCTGAACAACAACAACAACATACTATACCACCAACAGCTGTACGAACAAACAACGTTTTTAAATCACCTACACAACATCTTTTTAGTAATGGATTTCCTCCTTTGGACGTGATTCAACCTTCTCATCCTCTTCTTGGATCTTCATTAGACAACAGCACTCCTCCACTTGCACCACCATCAACACAACAACAGCAACATTTATTGAAAACGCCCATTGGTATTTTTCCTTCACCTATGCTTAACGTCAATGGAATACATGACGGAAATATCAACCATGTGCCCTTCCAACTCCCTATGGAATCAAGCTTATCAACTTCCAATCATGGACGATCTTCTATTAACGCCATAAGTCAGCTTACTATTTCCAATTCATCATCATCATCATCCACTCCAGTAGTATCTACACCACCACCATCAACCACATCAACCACACCTGGTATCAGTATTCCTTTACAACATGGTCGAAGATCATCAGCAATGGCAGGACCTGTAGGTAGTCCAGTGACGCATCGATTTGGTGCGGAACAAGGTCATCAAGAATCAACTATTGGACCTCATCGGGCTTCAACAGCAGATCATGGAGCCGATCATTCTTTCTTCTCCAATTTTCTTTTTGGTGAACCTAATCGTGGTAAATAACATTATGAAAGAAAAAATACATTTTGATCTTTCATCACTGATTTCTTTTTTTTTTTTTTTTCTGTAGGATCAAACTTAACAACACCAATGAATGAAGTTGACGCATTGGGATACCAAACAAGACTTGATATGCCTTTGGATCGTCGATTTTCTACCGAATCACCTGTTTTTGGATGGCGAAATGGTAAAAAATAAAAAAAAAAAAAAAAAAAAAAAAAAAAAGGCAAAAGTATCAATGATTGATTTTATTTATGATAGGTTGGAGTGCTACTTCATTATTGTCGGAAAATGTACATGGTAACCTATTTGGTGACTCCTTGGTAAGTTGAAGAAATTATTGAATATCAGGAGACCGACTCACTTTTTTCTTTTCTTTTTTTTTTTTGTAATGAATGATGTATAGACGGATCGTCATACGATTTTATTAGATAGGGCGAAATCAGCATATCAGAAATTGGATGAAATCACACAAACCAAGTTCTTCCTTGGCGGTACAACCCCTTATCATACAATGACCCAGCTACACCGAATGATGAATGATTTGTATTGTGATATGACTGTGGATACTAGGGAATTATATGATGTTTTGGTCCAATCTCCTCAAAGTGGATTTCAATGTATTCAACATCCTCAACATGGTATGGTGGTGAAGTACCATCCATCAACAACATCTACTAATGCTGATGACCCATTACTGTTACGACGATCTAGTACGTTATTACATAATACATTATCACCTTCAACTTCTTCTTTCTCGTCATCACACAACAAATCTACAACAACAACAACAACTACTACTACTACTTCTTCTACTACTACTGCATCTTCTACATCATCTAATGTCAACATTTCTACAAATAGTGCCTTTCCTCCCTCTTTACTTACGATACCATTATCTTCTTCGTCAACACAGCATGTATTACTTCCCTCTCCATTTGCATTCACTCCATCTTCTTTTCCTTCTACCCTTCATCATACAAATGAAAAGGAAGTTGGATGATGTGTTTTTTTTTTATTATTATTCAAATAAAAAAAAAAAAAGTCAAATAATATTTTGTTTTATTTGTCTCATTCCAAATAAATAAATAAAATAAAATCAAAAAAGATGTATTTTATTAAATTGTATATATTTTTGTAAAAAAAAAAAAAATAAATAAACTATATATAAAGAGTTCATGTCACCCATTCCCATTTTCCAAAAGAAGACCGTACAAACATACTGTCACCATCATAAAGAGGATCTTTGGCATGATACCATTCATGTTGTTCGGTTGTTGTAGTGATCATATCGGCGACAGTTGTCCAGGCAAATGAGACCAAATCCATCCTCAACAAGGTCAATCGTGGCAGTTCCAATAACCATCGTCGTAAGAAAAACGGATACAGTTTACCCAATTGTTTTGCGTCATGTACAGTCAAGGATTGTAATTGTCCAAGGGCTAAGATGGATTCAGCGGATCGTTGGGTCAATGGTACAGAATAGAGTAACAATGTATGAAGATGAATCAAATGATGTAATCCGTCCAAATAATCCACTTCTTCCAATGATGATGATGATGATGATGATGGACGTAACCGGAGTTCCAGGATTTGTAAAGGACATGTTGCCGTTTTCAAAAACTGAGAAAGCGTAGATGCCTGAATGGTTGGAAAACAAAGTCGAAGTTCCACCAAGTGGGAGAAGGAGGCGAGTCGTAGCATGGAAGTGTCTGTCATACAAAGATCGCGTTCTGAGCGTGTGAATTGAACATGATACGGGCCGTACACAAAGGAGGTAGATGAGAATAAATGAGATCGTTTACTGCTACTTGATACATGAGGTGGTAATTTACCAGCTTTTTGTTCCAATTCATATCGTTTGTCTGATGGTTGAAGACAATGTTGTTGAGATCTACTACTTGATGATGGTATATTGCCTGATTGTTGAGAATAGGTATTGGATCGAGATAAGGATGAAGATGCTGTTGTTGGTATCATGTTGTTGTTGTTGTTGTTGAAGAGATGAAGAGGAGAACAAGTTGGATGTTTCTTTGATGATGGAGTTGAAATAGGAATGAATTTTGGGTATATTTCCAATTTGGGTGATAAATCCAAACATCGAAGAAGAAGAGGAGGAGGATGAGAAGCCAATGCAGATATCAAATCATCCACATTTCCAGATCGTAATCTTGTAAGTCTAAAATCCGTCAAGTTTTCAAACCATTTGATGATCCGTGCTATGCCAGGTAATGATTGTGGATCAAGACAGGAAAGATGAAGGCATTCCAATGAAGAACCATACAGTTGAAGACACAACAGAGTTAAATTCGAGAGTTCCAAATTGAGCATTTTCAATGAAGACAACTTGCCGGCCAAGTTTCTTATTAAGAGTTGCAGACCAGGTATGGAGATATCGCATGATGAAATATCCAAGTGACGAAGTTGAGGTAATAAGGTGTGCATTGATTTACATATCGTCATACTAAGAGGTTGGTGTTGTAAAGATAAGTCGGTCAAGAAAGGAGTCCACTGGAGAAGTTTTTGTAAGGTAGAATCTGAGAGAGCAAGACTGGCAAGAGGTTGTTTCGAGAGATCCATGGTAGAGGAGGATAAACCATGGCGTGGTCGACATTGATAAAGGTCATCGCGTAACATATCAATCATTTTGGAACGTGTACGTCGATAGTGTCGCGGGTGTCGTGCTAGTGGTTCAGGTACCGATGTAGCTGCATATTTGTTCAGGTGTAACGTGGTGAGATATTGTAGACTTCGAACTAACATCAATACGGCATCGGCATTCAAGAGATGGCATCCACTAATATTGATATTATGTAATTGATATGTTTTAGGTCGAACATTGCTAACTGTTGGTTGATATAAAGGTGTGATAATAGGTAAAGAACGAGAACGGAGAATACTAAGAAGTACAGTGTTGGTAATTCTATCTCCATAAAGTGACAAATCCAAAGGAGCCCAGCATATTGGATTGGTTGATAATAATGAATGAATATATCGGTTAGTTTGTAAAAGTTCAACCTTATCCTTTATATCGTATAGAAAAGATATCACCCGTAGTATGATTTCCGTTGGCAGCCTTTCCATTAACACGTAAAATAAAAATAAAAAAAAGGAAGGGTGTTTTCTATAAGATAGTAAATAAAATAAAATAATATAAAAAAAAGGAGAGTAATAGTGATGTTTAAAGAAAAAGGAAAGAAAAAGAAATAATTCAGAAGAGAAAAAAAAAAAAGAAAAGGAAATATATTTTCACACTCAGTTCACCATTATGTGATAAGCTTGCGACTTACACATTTTAATAATATGAGAATATCTTTTTTTTTTTTTTTTTGATTCATTACACTATGATTATCTTATTGTATAAACAAGATGACATCATGTTTTATATATATATATATATAAAATGGAATATAGAATTCATATCTTATCAAATAAAAGGCCACTTGTATATAGTTAAAAGGTCGTTGTCGGTTTCTGAAAAAACGAGGATTGTCCCTTCCCAATTGGAAAAAAAAATTTTGCCAATTGTGGTTTTCTTCTTTTCTTTCTTTCTTTTTCTATTCATCTTTTTTTTTTTTTTATTTTTATTTCTATTTTTTTTTTTTTTTTTTTTTTATTATTTTGAACTCATTACTTAGTAGGTATGAACAAGTATTAATCATCTCAAAATAAAAAGATAATGAATGATACTAATACTTCTTGTTTATAGTTCGTATACATCACTTTTTTAATTATCAGTCACAACAAAAAAAAACATATTATATAATATACAAGTAAGTTTTTAAAGAAAGAATTTAATTAGATAATTTTTTTTTCTTTTTATTGATTTATTTTTCTTTTTGATCATTGATAAGTGGATGACATGAGTAGTGGATCTGATAGCGATTACGCCAAATACTGGATTGATTGGTTTTTGAACACCAAAGGCAACGAATATTTTTGTGAAGTGGATGAAGAATATATATTGGATCGATTCAATTTGACTGGACTCAACACAGAAGTACAACATTATTATTTGGAGGCTTTGGATATGATTACAGATAATTTGGGTAATAATCATAATAATAATAATCATATGAAATAAACAAAAAAAAAAAAAAAGAGTTAATATATATATTATGAATAGATGAAGATAGTTTGGATGAAAAAGTAAGAGAACAAGTAGAAAAAGCAGCACGTCATTTATATGGATTGATTCATGCACGATTCGTTATCACTACAAGAGGTTTAGCTAAGATGGTAAAATATATAGATAGATAGATAGATGAATGATATTCATTTTTATTCTTTTTTTTTTTTTCTAGTTGGATAAATACAAGAAAGCTGAATTTGGTCGTTGTCCTAGAGTACTTTGTAATTTACAACCTTTATTACCAGTTGGATTATCAGATGTTCCTATGACGAAAACTGTTAAGCTCTATTGTCCTCGTTGTGAAGATATCTATAATCCTAAATCATCAAGACATGCTTCCATTGATGGTGCTTACTTCGGTACTTCTGTTCCTCATATGTTATTCCAAGTGCATCCTTCATATTTACCAACCAAATCTTATGAACGATATGTCCCTCGTATCTTTGGTTTCAAGGTTCATGAAATTGCTGAACAACATAGGTGGCAAGATCAAGCTCGTGAACAATTCGAATCAAAACTCAAGGAAGATCAACAAAATGAAAAAAAATGAAATAGTAGAATAAAAAATATTTATTGTTTTATATATTATATATTATAAATGTATGTGTTGTCAGAGATTTGTTTGAATTTGTTTTTCTTTTCCTTGTGTATAAAATGGGCGTGTGTGGGTTTACGCAAGAGGTCCTTTTTTTTTTCGTTTTGGCAGGTCCATTTTGGACTCAGCGACTTTTTCGAATTTGCTTTGTTTCTTCCATTTTTTTTTCTTTTTTTCAATACTTATTTTTCCTTCCATATCACCTTTTTTTTTTTTTTTAATTTACCTATCTTTATATATATTTACCGTATTTTGCTGCACCATTTCCTCATTCTTTTGTCACTATTGTAAATTTGTTGTTATTTTTAGTTCTTGTACACTTTATTCATTTTTTATAAAAAAAGACTTGCCATGGGAAACTCGGCATCTACCGAGCAGCAACAGCAAACAAAACCAACATCAACTACTTCAACTGATCGACCATATAACTCTCCTTCTTACTCTTCTTCTTCTACAGATCATCAATCTCGATCTTCGGATAGTAAACAACAACAGCAAAAACCAACTACTCAAACTCCTTTTCAATTCTCCATAACTGAACCTACTACCACAACAACAGCAGCTCCAACTACTTTTCAACCAATGACAAATCCAAATACAACTACAACTGGTTGGACAACTTCTTCTTCTTCTTCTACTCCTATTGATACAACTTCTGCACCAAAACCAGTACCAGGTAGATCAGGTTGGGTTTCAAGTACAGGTGCATCTAGTCCTTGGTATGGTGGAGGTTCCTTATCTTCTTCTGCATCTTCATCTCATTATCAACAACAACAACAGCAACTGCAACAACAACAACAACGATCTCATCGACAATCCATAAGCGGTCCGTATTATCGTGCTCGTGGTATGAGTATTAATCAACAACAAGAACCTAATGAAGAAGATTTATTATCTTCCTCTTATTCCTCTCAACAACCCACTCCCAAACAAACAAATCTTCAGCAACCATCACCATCCGTTTCTACTTCACAACAACCACCAAGATTACAAATGCAACAATTACAATTGAATTCTACATCTCCTTCTTCACCTATATCTTCCAATAAATTGGGCACCTCTCCAAAAGAAAAACAAGACACTACAACAGGTAAAGATATATATAAATAATAGTGAAATAACATTACTAAATGTGTAATTTTTTTTTTCTTAATAGGCGTACCAACAATCATTACTTGGTCTCAAGGTGGAAACAATGTATATGTAACAGGAACATTCAATGGTTGGAAACATAAAATCAAATTGATTCAAAGGTAAAGAAAGAAAAAAGAAAAAGAGAAAGGATGGTTTTAAAAAAGTCATATTTTTTTTTATTCTTTTGGATAATAGTACGCATGATTTCAGTACAGTGTTAGATCTACCTCTTGGGACCCATCGATTAAAATTCATAGTGGATGATGAATGGAAATGTTCAAATGATATGGAAACAGCGACAGATCCTGATGGCAATCTTGTCAACTATTTACAAGTGATAGATGAAAATGATATGGAAGAAGATATGATGGATGGTGGATTAGCAACGCCTACGGAAGAATATACATCCATGATTCCCAAAGAACTTTTATTATTATCGGAAGCAATGCAAGAAGACAATGACGTGATGGATTCTCAACAAAAACGAGCCATCTTGGAATGGGAACGAAAATTACCTCAACCCCCCACTTTACCTCCTCATCTGGAAAAAGTCATGTTGAATGCTCAAGCTGTTAGTGATGAAGATAATTCTGTATTACCGGTACCCAATCATGTCACCCTCAACCATTTATATGCTTGCTCTATTAAGGATCATGTCATGGCTTTAGCTACCACTACTCGCTACAGGAAAAAGGTATCTTCAAAAAAAAAAAAAAATGGGGTGTCATGGATTTGAGTTTCTGATTTTTTTTTTTTTTTTTTTTTAGTATGTGACCACAATGTATTATAGACCCGTACAATGAAACCATTCATAGTTTAGTATTGATCAAAAATGATGGTGATGTAGATTCTTTTTTTTTTTTTGGTTTGTTTTTTTGGAAATAAAGATTTGATCTTCATGATGTCATTTTTTTTAAAAAAAAATCTTTATTATATTAACCTATACAAACAATGATATCATAAAGTATGAATTCGAAGTCGTAGTTTCTATCAACTGTCATGATAGGTGATGATGGTATAGATGGATGATAATAGGAGATGATGAATGATAGATGATGTTGGGATGATAGGATGATAACATGATAGTATGATAGGATAGAAGTGAGGTGACAATAATAAACGATAGTAAAACCTGGGTTTTATTAAATAATAAATAAGAATGTAAAGTAAATAATATAGATACTAACTAAAGGACTAATTATCGGTAAAATGATTTCCATGATATACATATATATATATATATATATATATAGAGAGAGAGAGAGAGAGAAGCCACCCAAAGCAGAGTAAGAGAGTTATCAATGATATTACTTTTCCTAACTTGCCATTCTTCTACAATAGAAACCTGTTGTAGATCCATCCATTGTATCCCTATCCAATTGTTCCTATTATATTCCTGTCGTAATGTTAGATAATATTATATTACTTTGCGAAGGAATCCAATGATGGTAATTTTATTGGATGATGATCATTATTGGACGAGAGATGGTGACATTGACACTTCATTTTGATCTAGTCTATGAATTGATGTAAATTAAGCCAAATGAAAGAGAATGATCACATCCATGATCAGTATGGTGCGGTAATGATTAGTTTTCAGCGACGTACAAATGTATAACGAGCTACATGTCATGTTACAGTACAATACAAAGACATTGAGTCGAATTTTTGATGAATATGGTAAACCAAAAAGAGAAATCAGTGAAATTACCGAAAGGAAAAAAAAAATTAAAAGGGGCAAAAGTGATAGAATTGAAAAACTACAGCACCACAGTTGCGTATCTTTTTTTTTTTTTTTTGAGATAATCTCTGACAAGGTTATCAACGTCAATATCATTAAGCCACCACACATACATCACAAATCCAACGATCATGGAAATAGTATCTCTCGTTTTATCTCTACGACTTCTCTATTTTTTTTTTTTTCACTTGTTCAATCTCCTTTCTCTTTTTTTCTTTTTTTCTTTTTTTCTTTTTTTTTTACCTGAGCTTAAAAGGAAGGAGCTCGAGCCAAGACGGATAAATAAAAAGGATCGCCCGTTCAATGAAATAACAATGAGGCTAGTAGACAATAGATTACCTTTTGATTTTTCTAAGGTCTGTATTGAATTTGATTCGTCATCATTTTGTTTCTTTTTTTTTTTTTTTAGTAGTGGATCTAAAAAAAAAATGCAACAATAAGAACAACAAATGTTGGATTTGTGTTGCGTGGTCTAAAGAACAATCATAGAATAGAAAGAGTGGATGAGTTGGTTTCTGTAAAAAAAAAAAAAAAAAAAGATCAAACATTGTCTGTCCAATCATACGATAGACGGATATAGAAGATAAACAGAGCAAATGATAGATGAGTCCTTAGCAATCATCAAGTCAACGCTGACTGGATAGGTATGACATTAGAGCTTTTATTTGTTATGATGTTATGATCAAGTAGATCCGCTGCAAATTAGATTGACACTTATCGAATCAATCTAATGCCTTAAAAGGTACAGTGACTATTTTAAAAGACCGCTTTGATGAAGGGTACCTGTTTTTTTTTTTTTTTTTGATGCCTAAAAAATTTCTCACACAACAATATAAAAGAGAAAGAGTTTTTTTTTTTACATTTTTGTTTTTCTTCTTTAACTTTATTTCCTTTATTATTATTGTTATTTTTTGCTGCAGGTTCAGCCCATTATATTCTTTTATATATTCATCTATTCATTAATATGCATTTCTCAACTTTGATTACCACTGCCGTTGTTACTATGGCTTGTACTACAGGTTTAGTCCAAGCTGCTCCTATTCAAGCTAGAGGGCAAAATGCTTTATATGGTATTACGTACGTATCAAAAGAAACAATAACATGATTTTCACAGATGATTCAAAAAACAAACTAACTAACAAACCATTTCCTTATATATATAAATTATACTCATTTAAAAAAAATCAATAGTTACACAGCCAAGAACTCAGATGGATCATGTCAAACCACTGATGAAGTGTTGCAATATGTCAAAGACTTTAGTAATAATGGTATCAAGCATATCCGTACCTATTCTCAAGAATGTGACCAACTTGGCAATATTTTGAATGCTATTTCTTCTGTGGACAGTTCAATGAAGGTGACTGCAGCCGTATGGCTTGATGGATCATCTGGTGATGATGAAGAAATCAACAACTTGTTATCTGCTTTGAAAGCCAATAGCAAGAATATCAAGTTGATCGATGGTATTACTGTAGGTAATGAAGTGATTTTCTCTGGTTCACTATCAAGCAGTGCTTTGGTATCCAAGATCAAGCAAGTCAAAAGCGCTACTTCATCCTACAATATCCCTGTGGGTACCGTGGATACACCTAACACTTTCCCTAGTGATGTGATTGCTGCAAGCGATGTGATTGGTGTTAATATTCATCCTTACTTTGGTGGAGTGGATATCTCTCAAGCTGGTTCCAATATGAAACAACAATTGAATACTTTCAAATCCAAGGCTCAAGGTAAATCTGTCTTTGTTGCTGAAACTGGTTGGCCTTCTGCTGGTAATACAAATGGAGCTTCTGTACCTAGTGTTAGTAATGTCCAAAGTTATGTCAATCAATTACGATCCATGTCAGATATCGAATATTATTACTTTGAAGCTTTAGATTCTAACTGGAAACCTGCTGGTAACGATGGAGTCGAGACCCACTTTGGTTTGTACAACAGTAACGGAAAATCAAAGGTTTCTTTTTAAATAAAGTTCTGCTTTTCAAATTTTCATGATGATTTTTGTTGCAAGTGTAACATCAATGTCTTCTAAAAATAATCTTTCAAGATGTATTTTTTTTTTTAATGTGGAGAAATCTATTTCATCTTTTTTTTTTTGATTTATTCATTCTCTTCTTTATTCTTTCCTTTTTTTTATTTTTATTTTTATACCATTCATCCATCCATTCATTCATTTTATTTCATTCCTTTTTATATCAAATAAAAATGTTGACTCGACTCACTACGTTCATCTTCTTGATGATGATCTGTTTTTTACAAGTCATCCAATGTCAAGTAGGACCCACCATTTATACTCCAGCTAATAATGATACTGTTAATCCAGGTTCAACAATACCCATCACATTTGGTTATCAAAACCTTGGTACAGGTGCAGTAGCTGTTAATATTTCTTTATGGCAAGATTCTGCTGCCACTCAAAAGATTCAAGACGTCACAACCAATTATCAACTTCCTCCCAATAACTCATCTGGTACTCATGTTGATTTTACAACTAATGCTACATACAACTGGAACGTCCCTCATGGTATGAACTTTTCTTTTTATCTCACTGTGACTGAAATTACTGAAGCTGAACTGGGTAACTATACTTTACAATCTTTCCCCATAATGTTACATCCTTCTGCTGCTTGGGCTGTTCTGCCTAATTTGATTCTTGTTTTATCCTTGGCCTTGGCTGTTCTAACTTATCAAGTATAGATCAACATCATCAACACACACAAAGTTTTATAATGTATCTTATAATAAAATAAAGTAGCTCTTCTGATCTATTGTGCTAATCCCCCCCACAATCGGAAATTGAATCCATACTTTCTTTTCTTCTTTTTTTTTTTTTTTAAGTGAACATTCAATACCTCTTTTCTCTTTCTTTTTTTTTTTTTTTTTTTTTTTTTTTTACTTTTTTTTATTATTTTTTATTTAATTCTCTTTATTTCATATGAATACTGCCAATTCAAATAACTATCCGCAATTAACATCAGCGACATTCACTTCTCAACCAAGTACTGGTGATTCTGACGATGAAGACTATGCAAACAACACAGACGCAACCGTGGTGCCACAAGACTCTACTATTCGAGTGTCCCGTCCTGTTGTTCCTATTGATTTTGTTCTCCCTCGTCCCATTTTATCACAAAAAGAATTAAATGATCTTGCTTTTAGGTAAGAATAATATGTATTCATCAATTATCATACTAACCCACTCTTTATGATCCTTTTGGGAAAAAAAAATAGACCAGCTGCACTGAATACAAGGGTGACTTGTCGTATATGTCGATTTCGTGATGGCCTTGATAAGCTATACCCTCAATACAAATTATATATTGAACATCTTGCCACCGGGGAAATTCATCATGTCATGACCGCCAAGAAACAAAGGAAAAGTCAAACAAGTTATTACACCATTGTCGGTACCCTTCACCTAGTTGATCCAAACCAACCAGGAGCGTTTTTGACAGAAGAGATTGTTTTGGGAAAGGTGCGATCCAACTTTTTGGGGACTTCATTTGTATTGTATTCTCATGGTATTCATCCTGATAAGAAGAAAGATCAAACTGGCAAAATGGGTGAATTACCTATACGGGAAGAACTAGGCGCCGTATTATATGTAAGTAAATTTTTATCATCATGAATAGAAAGATGATACATGGTTTTTGCTTTTATCCATTCATCTTTTTTTTTTTATAGGATCCAAACATTCTTGGATTCAAAGGACCTCGGAAAATGACAATTTTGATGCATACTTTGACTAGAGATGGAAAACGACCAGAGTTCCGACCGGAATCCGTAAGTTCATCTATAAAAAAAAAAGGATATTACTTGTGTTTATTGACTCTACTTGTTTTTTTAGGAATCAGATACTTTATTGGCCAAATATCGTGATGGTCATGCAAAAGATTTATTAGTTTTACATAACAAAAGTCCTCAATGGAATGAAGGTGAATAGCTGTTGATTTCATAGATATTTTGTTATTGATATCTATCTTTCTCTCTTTATTGATTGATAGAAACACAATCTTTTGTTTTGAACTTTAGTGGACGGGTGACCCAAGCATCAGTGAAAAACTTTCAAGTTGTACATGACAATGATTGTAAGTTTTTGATAATATTATTTATATGTATGCGGAAAATATATATAAAAAAGAAAAGGGAAATCTGATATCTTTCTCTTACGTTTTAGTGGACTACATTGTTATGCAATTTGGTCGCGTGGAACGGGATTATTTTACATTGGATTACAAGTATCCTATTTGTCTATTACAGGCCTTTGCCATTGCCCTTACTTCTTTTGATGCCAAGTTAGCGTGCGAATAGTAAGAGTAGGTTTAGTTTAGATATATTCCAAGGAAGGAGAAGGTGATCGGTGCTTTGTTTGTTCTTATCAATGTCCCTCTTTTTCTTTTACGACTCCTTCTTGCCACTCCTCTCTCTCTACCCCTCTTACTTTCTTTTTCCCCCCTTTAGTTTATATCTGATATATTTTTTTGATAATGATTCAATAAAGAAAAAAAATAGAAGTATTTGGAACATTTTTGGTGATGCGGAAGATACACAAGTTTTGATAGTGAAACATTGATGCTGAGGGTCCTCTTCTCGGGTTTACTGTTTTTGTCTTTTGGATTGTTATTTTTTTTTTTAAAAAAAAAAAAAAGTTTAGAGCTCAGTACTTTAGGGGTAACCATGAAAACCAAGGAGAAAAACTAAAGGACACGATGCATATCTTTTTTTTTTTTTTTGATGACAAAGTGATGATGACAATTTAAAGAGAAAAGCGTGAACTATGATTATCTCTTCATGATAATTCCATGCGTTTTAACTTCTGGACAGGAGAAAGATGAGAGAGGAGACATGATGGATTGAGAAGAAAAGAGGATAACGTTGGAATAGACAAAAGTAAAACAACAAAACCAACAAAGCAAAAGAAAAAGGAGGGAAAAGAGGGGTTTTAGCATTAACGTTTCAAGAAAAAAAAAAAACAATCATCCATCATTCTATAAAATATATAGACCATGAATTATCTTGTCTCTCTTTTTTTTCCCTCTTTTTTTCCCTTTTCTTTTTTCTTTTTCTTTATCTCTTTTTTTTTGCATCTTTGTTTATTATTTCAATATAAAGATGGAAAATACTAACAATGCATTGACACCAGCATTACAAGGAAATCGAGCTCAACGAAGAGCAATTCAACGTGAACAAAAAAAATCAGCCAAAAAAGCAGCCAAGCGAGCAATGAAATTAGGTTTACCTGTCAATGAAGTTCCTACCACCACTGCCACAATAACTAAATCAAGATCAACAAAACCAACTAATACGCCCACTATTTTAATAAAGGAGGTCACTGTCAATGATGCAGTCCAACAACAACAACAACAACAACAACAACAACAACAACAACAACAACAACAACAACAACAACAACAACAAGGCTCAATTGAATCATCATCATCATCATCATCATCATTGGATGTGGAAACGCCAATCAAAGTACCAATAGTGACACCAGTGAAAATACAGCCATCTCTCCATGATGCCATGCATGAAGATCTTACTATTGTTGCTATGGACAGGACAATAGATATAGAGTTAAAGGAAGAAGTGTATTCTATTGAAGATGAAAATACTACTCAACATGTGAATATTGAAACTGATGATACCATTGACAATTCTAGTTGTTCTATTCTATCAAATAAAGTGGTAGTAAAGGATGATGAAAAGATGAATGAAACAGCAAACGTGACTCTGGGTAGTACAGAAACTCTAGCGCCATTGTTGTGTCCAGAAATGGTGACACCAACTTCATTGCAACTAGGCGGTGATCTAAATCATGGAATATCATCTGAAAAGAAGGAGGAAGAAACAGTAGAAACCAAGAGTGTCTCCACTACTACCACCACATTGAGACGATCTTCCTTCTTTTTATCATCTAATCATAGTTCTATTGATATTGACAAAATGGTGAATAGTAATAATGAAAATAGTACTTCTACTTTACATTCTTTATCTGATACAGTCTTGGCAAAAAAGAAAAAAACCTCTCAAAAATTACAAAAATTATTTACAAGTTTAAAGAAGATCAAGGTAAAAAAAAAATTTTTTTTTTATGACCACATGGATAATTAAATATTTCTTTTTTTACCCGTTTTAGCCTACAAGAAAAGAAATACCCATAAAGAACAAAAAATCATGGCAATTCTGGAAAAAAGAGAATAATGTGATGATGGTTAATTCTTAATAACTAATGATGATAATAAAAAATAAGAAAATATCTTTACTATTGATCAAGACCTTTCTTTTTTTCTTTTTTTCTTATTTTTTTTCTTTTTTCTTTTTTCTTTTTTCTTTTTTTTTTTTTTTTTTGCCTGTGCCCCAAAGTTTTAGTGATACACAATCTCTGCGGGAAATATCATTGGTCAATCATTAATAGGCTTATTTGATTTTGTGTCTATCAGAATATTCATCATCTTCATTAAAGATAGTAAAATACATTAATCATTCTTTTTTTTGTCTTTCTTCTTTCTTTTATTTTATTATACACATCTATATAGGTAAGTTATTATTGTTATTTGTTTATAACATTATGCAGAAAACAGAAACTTGACTAATGAAAAGAAAGTAACCCCTCTGACTAAATATACTATTTTTTTTTTATTAAGCCTTCATCCTACTTTTTTTTTTCTCTCTCTTGCCTGACGACTGGTATAGACTCTACATTCATTTATATATTTACACTCACTTTATTTTTACTATAACCTCCTTGATTTTCCCTTTACAAGCTTACCATCTCACTTCTCCCCCTTGATTTCCTTCTTTTCCATCCTTGGCAAATTCATATTCCGCCTGACTCCTTTTTCCTTTTTCTTCAACGCGCACAATTTTTCCTTTCTCTTTCTTTTTTTCTTTTTTTTTTTCTTTTCTTCTTTAATATTATTCTATTTTTTTTTTCTTTCTCTTTTTGAATAATTTAATGACTATTCCTTTATTATTATGACCAATACAATTAACTTACCATCACCAACTATATCTATAAAGGAATCACAAACAACTGCAGTACAAGTCGGTAATAACCCAAAAAAAAACCTACATAATAATATAGTTTATCTCTAGATATATCTAAAAAAACTAGAAAATAACTTGTTTTTTTTTTTTTTTTTTTGTAAATCAGCCATACGAGTACGACCATTAACAAAACAAGATCGTTCACAACCAAGGTTCTCTCATTCTTCGGATTCTGATGTTATCAAAACCTTTGGCAATACAGTTACAGTCGTCCCTCACCAAAAATCATTCAATTTTGATTATGTATTTGATACAGAAAGTACACAAGATCAAGTATTTAATGGAGTAGCATCAAATTTAGTAGATAGATTTTTAGATGGTAAACATATATTATCAAAAAAAAAATATAAGAATGAAACTAATCTTTTTTATATTATTTTAATTAGGGTACAACGCTACTATTCTTGCCTATGTAAGTTTTTTTTTTTTTTCTGGGATTATTTTTGACATGAGGTTGAAACCAAAATATGAACTCATTTTTAAATTATCATTGTTACACAGGGTCAAACTTCATCAGGCAAAACACACACTATCATGGGCTCAACAGATCCTGATCAAGAAGGTAACATCATGTTCTTTATTACTATTTTTATCATTTTCCTTTTTATTGATATTCATTTATTGTTATTGTTATTATTATTATTAAAAATAGGTATCATTCCTAGAGCTATGTTTGCTTTTTTTCAACGTTTATATCCAAATTCACCTTCTTCATCTCCATCATCATCTTCATCATCAACAAAACGATCTACATCAAATGCTACTTTTCCACCATCAAATTCAGGTTTAAGATTACCTCGTCGTGCTATATCTTCAACAAAATTACGCCCTGTTTCCATGATTACTACAAACAACAATGCCAATTCAAGTCCTTTACGTCGTGGTTCTGCTCCTATTATTCAAGATGATGTATGCGATAAATCACCTCGTTATACTGTTCATGTCAGTTTTGTAGAAATTTACAATGAAGAATTGATTGATCTATTAAATCCTGCTCCTCCAAATGAACGTCCTCCTGCTACCATTCGTGAAGATACAAAAGGTCATATTCATTGGACTGGTGTGAAAGAAGTTGTGGTCAATAATGCTGATGATGTACTACGGTAAGTGTTTTGTTTGATTGAACTCTATCTAGTGTATTTATTATTATTATTATCATTATTATTATTATTAAATTTAGATACCTACAAATTGGAACTGATAATCGTGCTACTGGATCCACTGATATGAATGCTAAATCATCAAGATCTCATGCTATCTTCTCTGTCACTTTGAAACAAGAAAAATGGGTTCCTTCAACATCACCAACAAAATCAAATAGTACTCTACGGAAAAGAGAACCTGCTCCATCGCCTGTCAACACACGATCTTCTATGATTGGAATGAATAGACGAGCTAGTTGTCTTAATGTCAAAGCTATGGTGGGTCAAATGGAACAACGTACCAAGGATGATGATGATGATGGTGAATGGATGATCATGCTTTCCAAGTTCCACTTTGTCGATTTGGCTGGTTCTGAACGATTGAAACGTACTGCTGCAGAAGGTGATCGTCGAAAAGAAGGTATTAGTATTAACGCTGGTCTATTAGCTCTTGGCAACGTTATCTCAGCTTTGGCTGCTGATCCCTCCAATCATCAGAAAAAAGCAGCTCATATACCATATCGGGATTCCAAATTGACTCGATTACTACAAGATTCTTTGGGTGGAAATGCAACAACTCTCATGATTGCCTGTATTAGTCCTGCTGAACTCAATTTGACCGAAACTGCCAATACAATCAAATACGCTCATCGTGCACGAAGTATAAAAAATAAATCTGAACGCAACGAAACCGAAGATTGGATGACCAACGATAGTCCCGACTTTTTACGATCTCTTATCACCAAACTGAAAACCGAAATTAGAACTCTAAAATCACAAGGATCAGTATTACCCAACAGAAAGAACTCTTCTCCTACCAATTCACATTCAACATCCACTGAAGAAGATCAGCCATTACCACCTAGTCCATCACCATCAGCAGTACTCAACATTTCCCAACCTGATGCCGTAGAATTCGATCATAGTCAGCTTTTGGTTGTTTCAGATCTTCGTCGACAAATCGAAGAATTACACAATGAACTCACAGTAACTCGCGAACGCAATCAATGGGTAGAATCTCAACTTGGACAACGATCTTTGAAGATAACATGTTCAACATCATCTGATTCCTCTTTACTTCCAACGGACGATGTCTATATCAATGCCAAACAACATCAACCACCTAACGATAGTCGTGTGTCACATAGCTCTCAAGATTCAGCATTAGGTAGTCTCGATTTTCAACATTTAGTAGAACCTGTTATTGAAGAATATGAAAAATCAATCTCTGGTTTGGAATCACAATTGGCACTAGCACGCGCAGCATTGACTCACTCTGATGAAGCATTGGCTCAACAAGAGTCAAAGATGGCCGAATACCAGCAACTCCGAGATCAAGAACATGAAACATTGGCTACATTACAAGATAAGCTTGCCAAAGCCATCGAACGTGAACAATCTACCGAACGTTATATTCAAGAACTGGAAACCAAGTTGACCGTTTCTGCTGAAGAAGCTTCCCGTGATCAAGATATTCTGATCGCTCTGAAGAATAAAGTTATTCATTTCCAAGATATGGATGCTACTACAGAAAAATATATTCAAGAATTAGAACTCAAATTGACCCAAGCACAAGAAGATCAAGAACGTTGGAATGTATTAGCAGAAGCTGCAGAAAAACGACTCGTACTTCAAGAACAACATATGGCCACCTTGCAACAAAAATTGGATCTTTGGACAAATCAGGAACAAGTAACTACCAATGAAGAAATTACCCATCAAGATGATGATGAACACCAACAACTACTGGAAGAAATGGTTGTATCTCGATCTCAATGTTTAGAATGGAAACAGACCTTGGCCTCCATTAAAAGGCATTCTATCATGTCTGAATCTGCTGTTGCTGATTTGGAAATTGGAGCCCTTACTTCTGGTAACGACGAAGGATCCCCGAGTTCATCCACACCATCTGCACTTGAATTGCGAAGACAATTAGAAGAAAAGGAATCTCGTATTGCAACTCTGGAAAGACGATTGGAAGAAATGGACACTTTACATCAAGAATTGGTTAGCTTACAAACAACACATACACAAGCAATGACAGATCTGGAATCGCAATTGTCAACCATGAAAGAAAATCATGCAAAAGTGGAATTGGATCTACAAACACGATACGATGAAGCTCAAGCAACCATTACTGCTCTTACTTCTCAGGTAGCCAAGGAACAAGAAGGACACCAAGCCGCCTTGTCTAAACGAACAGAGCTTCAACAACAGTTTTGGGAACACGAACAGGGCACACAAATTACATTACGACTCCGATTGGCAGAACTGGAGAAACTCAACTTGGATATTCAGGCACTCCATCAAGTTGAAAGCAAACAAGAACAAATCATCATCTTATTTGAACAGAAATTGGTCGACATGGAACATGCAATGGGTCAATTACAGCAACAACTGGATGTGAAGGATGCTCATCTTCAGCAATTGGAACAGGAAAACCAACAAAAAACACAATGTGTACAGGCTCTTCAAAAGGATTTACAAAGCGTTCTACGTGATATGGCTGCTCTTGGAATGGAAAGGAAACAACTAGATCTGATTGTGGAATGGATGGACAAATCACTACGCCGTCATGATGATCAGACCACGGCTTCATTGATATCTCTTGCTGAACTACAACAATTACACAAGCTGCGCGATGCTGATTATGAAGCTCGTTTACAATTGGTGGAAAAGTTGGAAGCTCGGGTGAAGGAATTATCTACATCGGTAGAAGAGGGTAATGTTTCGACACGACGTTTGACTCTAGAACTGACGGATGCAAAGGCTGCACTCGCTGACGAACAACAAAAACAAATTGAAATCAACGATCCTTTGACTGCAGATATTGATGCTCAACGCCTGGTGGCTTTAGAAAGTCGAGTGGTCGAATTGGATGAAGCTGTGGAAAAAGCAACCAAGGAACGTGAAGAGATGGACCGTGACCTGGAAACCAAGCAAAATGAATTATTAATGGCGCAAATGACAATTGAAAAACAAGCTACCAGATTGGCTCTTGTGGAACAGCAGCTCAAGGATACCATGGCTTCAATGGAAAAGGAACGTAGTCTTTTGGCAGCCAACGACACATCAGGTATGATAGCCGAATTGGAAGACAAGTTGCAAGTACTTCAACGTGCACGACAATTGGATCAAGATGAATATGAAGGACGATTTGACCGAGCCATGGATGATCTGGATAAAACTAAGAAGGCATACAAAGAACAATCTCATGTAGTGGCATCTTTGGAACAATCCTTACAGACCATGCAAGACCGTTTAGAAGAAGCTGTGACCAGTCATGCTAAGAAATCAACACAGTTACAACAACTTCAAGACCAACTCTTACGTCGTCGTCAGCGATCGGATTCAACTGCTAGTAATAGTCGAATGTTACAGGATGTGGAAGAAGAAAAGGATGGAGAAGAAGAAGCGTTATTATCTACATCACCACCAACAACCACTGTACAGTTACCAGAACAACAAACATATGATGTCACAAGTCTATTACGACAACTCTCAGATCAAGAAGTTTTATTACGGGAAAAGGATACAGCATTGATGAAACTTCAACAAGAACTTTCAGTGTCAACATCATCATCGCGTTCACCCTCACCGTTAACATCACGAAGTACATCGACAGCCAATCGACAGGAACAAGAACGTCGAATCGCTGAACAAAACCGTATCGATATCAAGGACACAACCACTCGTGAAGAAATCATTGATCAATTGCACCATCTTGCCAACGATAAGACACAGCTGATGATACAAGTAGATGATTTGGAAGCTCAACTTGTTTTACAGCGAACTCAGTTTGGTTTGGAAACAAAGAATTTGGAATTAGAACTTATGAAACTCAGTGCTGCAAACGACCGTATGGAAAAAGAAATGGAACAAGTGATGCCTCGACATTCTTTACCACAACCAATTTCAGCATCTGTTTCCTCTGGTCCCATCTTCTCTAGCAATAACAACAACAACAACAGCAACAACAACAATAACAATGGTAATGGATTACCTTTTACTTCTCCTCCCCAAACACCTCGTGTTGCATCTCCTCCTCCCGGTGGCCAACATCATGGATACAAATTACATCGTGATCTTTCTTCAAACAGTATGGCCAAGATACAAAAATCCAATTCCTTCCGTGCACTATCAGCCATGGATTATCACCATCCTACCGGTTTTTACGATGATGTGAGTTCGTCTCAACGACCTCTCAGTCAATCAATTCGCAATTCAATGGATCGACCTGGTTCTATATCTTCTACAAGTTCATTCCTCACTCGGTCTGCTTCCATTCCACCACCATCAGCACCACCTTCCAACCCATTGCCACCTATCCCAACTACACCTTTACCCGCTGTTCCCAACAACAATTCTTCGTCATCTGGTTCGTCATCCATGGTAACTTCACCTATCAATACAACTCATCCTGTTTTTCCACCTACTGTTCTTCAGCGTAACAACTCGACACATACAACCAACAGTCTTGTCAGTGATATGAGTGTTTCAACCAGTCAACAATCAACCCAAACAACTGCCGAACAGTACGATAAGATGTTACGATCCTTACAACGCAAGGCACAGGTAGCTGAATCGGATGTGCGTGCACATCAAGACGTGATCAGTAAACTAGAACATCAATTATCAAGATCCGAAACATCAGTACGAGATGCCAAGAAACAATTGGAAGTATTGAACAAAGAAAAACAAGCCTATAGTTTAGAAATCAAGAATCTGCGATCTCAAGTGACACAAATCATGAGTCAACAAAAATCGTCTGTAGATGAAGCTGGTGAAAGACGCAAGCAATTGGAACAATCTTTGGAACAAGAACGCCGACTCAAGGAAAAGGCTGAAAAGGCTCGTTTGATTTTGGAAAACAGGATGGAGGAATTGATGACCAAGAAAAACAAGTTTATGTGCTTCTAGATCCCCTTTCCCCCCCTTTTTTTTTATACTTTTTTTTTTTTTTATCTATCTCCATTCATTTCTTTCTTATATTTTTTTGTGATTTATTCTTGGACCCATTTATTTATTTTTGTATAGTCTTTTGTTTTGTTATTGAATCATTCCCTCCCCCTTTCTTTTATTTTCTTCTCCTCCTTTTTTTTTTATATGTAGAATACCGTTTAATAAACAAGAAAAATTAATACCATCTATTTTTTTGTTTTTTTGTTTTGTCCAAAAAGTTGATCATTCATGTTGTGTCAATATTTCCAAATGGGGTTCGATCCTGTTTTGTACACTCTTTTTTTGTGATTTAACTATAAAAAGTTCCCAATCTTTTCAGCTAAAAAAAAAAATGATGATGCATGATAGCATTGATGATGAATAATACAATGGTCATGAAGGGTATGATGGGTTGTATTACTCTTATGTGGATGAAATGTGAATATAATAACAACCTTTTCAGTGGTTAAAAGTTGAAATTTGTTTGTTATATTAGAAATTTAAAAGCTTCAAAAGGACAAAAAAAAAAAAAAGAGTTTGTCAATTTGAATAAAGTCAAATAACAAATTCAAATTATGTATATAAGTACTTACAATCATCTTATTTATTAACTTCATGCTAATGAACATTCTGTGTTGATGGGTTTTTCTTTTGAAGCACCGCAAGTCAATATTTTTTTTTTTTTTTTTTTTTTGTTTTCGATTACTTTTTTTTTTTTTATACTTCATTATTTTTTTATATCTTAACAAAGCATGGGCAAGTGGACGGACAAACTCTATATTACACATTCAGAATGGAGTGGAGAAGTAGGCCAACATTCAGCATCTTCTGGTACGATGGGACGAAAAGGAACAGCAGGATTTAAACGACTTCCTTTTTATTGTTGCTCTTTATCACTACAACCTTTTGATCATCCTGTGTGTACATCTGAAGGCATCGTATTTGATCTTGTACATATCATACCTTATATCAAGAAATATGGAACAAATCCTGTCACTGGGGCTAAACTTCATACCAAAGATTTGATCAAGTTACATTTCCACAAGAACGAAAAAGGTGAATTCTATTGTCCTGTGACCTTCAAAACATTTTCTGATCATACCGCCATTGCTGCTATAAAGACCACTGGCAACGTGTACGCTTATGATACCATTGAACGACTGAATATCAAAGCTAAACATTGGAAAGATTTAATGACTGACGAACCTTTTACTCGAAAGGATATCATTATGATTCAGGTAAATAAAAATAATAATAATAATAATAATAAATAATTTTATTTACCTTATTTTATTAATAGGATCCACACAATTTAGAAAACAGAGATATGTCCAACTTTCATTATCTCAATAATAATCTAAAGGTGGTGAATAAGGCAGAAGAAGCAGAAAAACGTAAACCAATCAACAATATCAATGTGGCAGGCATGGGTGGTACAGCTGGACGGATCTATGCCGAATTGGAAAAGAAGAAAGAAAAGGAAGCTATCAAGGATGCACCCAATGTCTCATATCATCAACCTATCAAGAAAAATACTCCCTACAACGCAGCTCACTTTTCTACTGGAGCTGCCGCACAGTCTTTTACCTCCACCGCAGTCGAACGAGTTACTGTCAATGAAAAAGCTTTGATCAATGAAGATGAATATATGTACAAAAAAATTAAAACCAAGGCTTATGTACGGATCATTACCAATCTTGGTAACTTGAATATTGAATTGTATAGCGATAAAGTAAAATACAAAAAAAAAAAAAAAAAAAAATGGATGGAAGAAAAAGTGAAGAAAATAATTAACCTTTTTTTTTTTTTTTTTTTTTTTGATAGGTACCTCGAACATGTTATAATTTTATCATGCTTGCGAAAACAGGTTATTATGAAAATGTCATCTTTCATCGAAGTATCAAGAATTTTATGGTAAGATGAAAAAAAAAAAAAAGATATTCATCATCTTTACACTCATGTTTATTATGATAATAGATTCAAGGTGGTGATCCAACTGGTACAGGAAAAGGAGGTGAATCATATTTTAAACAAGAATTTCCGGATGAAATCAAATCAACATTATCACATGACGATCGAGGCATTCTCAGTATGGCTAATCATGGGAAAGACACCAACGGATCACAATTGTAAGTATCGATATGACTTTTTTTTTTATATTTTATATGACTAATATGGGGGTTTATTTCAAGTTTCATCACCTATCGACCTTGTACACATTTAGATCGGCAACATACCATATTTGGACGAGTGGTTGGTGGAATGGAAGTACTGAACAAGATGGAATCTATCAGTGTGGATGATAATGATCGACCAGAACGGGATATTCGAATCAAGCAAGTGGATGTTTTAGTAGATCCTTATCAAGTATATAAAGAACGATTGGCAAGCAAACTGGAAAAGGAAGCCAATGCGGCTGCAATCTTGGCTGAAAAAGAACGAAAAGAAGCCAAGGTGAACAGTATGGGATGGTTTGGACCCAATGTGACTAAAGGACAACAAAGTAAAACAACTTCTGGTGGTGGTGTAGGCAAATACCTTCAAAATGTAACAAGGAAAAGGGAAACTACTTTGGATGATAGCTTGGGTAGTGACAGTAAAAAGATCAAGACAACTTCGAAAGGTTATGGAAATTTTGACAATTTTTAGACATAGATTATTCTTTGTTTATTGATCATAAATAATAAAAATGATGTGTGTGATAGATGTATGTAATAAATATGTATGTATGTGTGTGTTCATGGTTTATTATTTAGGTTGTGTATAAGGTTGTTGAACAAAAGGAGAAGTCCAATCGGCAGAAGTGGTGGAAGAAAGGGAAGAAGGAGCAAGATGATGATGTTGTTGAGCTGGTTTTGGTGGACTGGGTGGTCGTTCTGTTTTTTCTTCTTGACGAGAGCCTGATGGATTATCATCACTTGATTCTTCATGTTCTGGTAATTTTCCTTGACTTTCCAATTCTGCAATTTCTTGAGCAGCTATTAAAAAACAAAAAAAAAAACTGAGTTCGAATAATAACCATGTGCTTTTTTTTTTTTTTCTGTGGAAGAACTTACTTAAAAATCGACCGCCCTATATTCGAAGGAAAAAAAAAAGAAAAAAAAAGAACAAAAAAAAAAAAAGGTGAATACAAAGAATCCTCTTTTTTTTGGAGGAAGGGAACCTATTGTTGTTTTCATCATATATATATATATAAAAGAACTTACGGGGCCTCTAGGTCGACGCATGGCATGACGATGACGACTTTCATGTAAATAGGGTTTCCTTGCTTTAGCTACTCGATGCATTTCTTCTAATCGAGACCTTGCAGCTCTTCGTTTCAAAATACGATGATATTGTTTTGCATTTACATATAATGGTTCATCTGCTCCTGTAGTAGGATGATCTAAATGTTGATGATGATGTTGTACAGCAGCCATAGCAGCTTGTTGTTGTGGTGTAGTTCGATACATAGTTTGACTGGTCATCATTGAAGAAGGAGTTTGCTAATGAGAAAATAAAAATATTTAGTTTATCAAAAAAAAACAAAAAAAAACAAAAAGATTACCATAGAATAACCTTCAGAATAAGGTAATGTTGAAGGATGATCGGATGCATGACCGCTGGCTTGGAAAGTATTAGTACCAGTCAATGTATTATAATTTGATAATAAAGGAGAATGATGTGAATCTGTCATAAGCCAATAAAGTTTGAAGGAAAAAGAAAAAAAAAAGGAAAAGAGAAAAAGATTGGATATTCATAGAAGGAGGGGTTATGGTTTATTAATTTCATGCCAACTGAGTCTCATTTTTTTCTGAGACTTGGCAGCTAAAATTTCTCTTGGGTGATAGAGCTAAATCAGTGAAACATATCACATTGTTGATCCCAGTGACAATTTTCAAAGTCAGTGAAACTAACTTTTCGCGCAAGTCCATAATTTCTTTTTTTTCTTTGTTCTTTCTCCTTTATCATGCCAGTAAAAGCATATCTTGATAGATTAAATTCCAAACAAAAGGAAGCCGTAACATCAAAAGCACAACATTTACAAATATTGGCTGGTCCTGGTTCAGGGAAAACAAGAGGTAAAAAAAAGATATATAAATGTAATACAATCTCACTTTTGTTTTATTTATTATAGTATTGACAACTCGTGTCGCTCATTTAGTACTCAGTGAAAATGTGGATCCTAAAAGATTGATTGTAGCTACATTTACTAGAAAAGCAGCACGTGAAATGAAAGAAAGATTAGAAGCAAATAATATGCTTGGACCTATGACTTCTGCTCAACTGAACATGGGTACTTTTCATTCTTTATGCGCTACTTATTTGCGACAATATGGGACAGGGGTTGATCTACCACCCGACTTTCGTATTATTGAACCTGTAGAAACGTAAGTAAAGATGATAATAATAAATAAAACTCTTTTTTTTTTTAATTATTTTGAAATATATAGTGGTAAAATACTCAAAGAACTTGTCGAACTTCTTGGTTCTCAATTAAAGGGGTTTCGCGACGTTCCAAAGGCAAATCGAAGTGGTAAGATGGATACTTAAAAAAAAAAAAAGTAATCTCATTCTTTCTTTTATTATTCTAGAGGTATTCCGGCAATTCATTACCAAGGCCAAAAACACTGGATCAACGGCTGAAGACTATGCAACTATGCATCATGACGATGAAAATCTTGATGTTCAAGATATGATATTGGTGTTTAAGTAAGATTTATTATTGATCAATGGGTAAGGTTTAACCTCTATTTGTTTTTTTTTTCCTATTAGCGCTTATGATCATCGTATGCGTATGGAACATTTAGTGGTATAGATGCGTGAATATGTTACTTTTTTGTGTTCTCTTACATTCTTATTCTTCTAAATAGGATTTTGATGATTTATTACTTTATGGAAGAGCATTGTTTAGGACATTTCCTTCAGTGATGGACAATATTAAGCATATTCTGGTGGATGAAGTAAAATTATTATTATTTTTTTTCATTTTTGAATATCTCTTTTATACTAATTTAAATTTATATATGTAATAGTTCCAAGATACAAACAAGGTACAATATGATATATTGTATTATATTGCTGGTAAAACAAAGGGAATTACGATCGTAGGTGGTAAGTCTCTTCCTTCCTTCCAAACCATCTCCTCATAAATAATATCATCTTTCAATAGATCCTGATCAAAGTATATATGGTTTTCGTTCAGCCAACATTCGAAATTTTACAGTCATGATGACCGATTTTCCTGATACTGTTATAGTGAACTTGGAGGAAAATTATCGAAGCACTGAATTTATTCTTAACTCTGCATCACATGTGATTTCTCAAGGTAATATATATATATATATATATATATATATAGTCATATTAAAACATATATTTTATTTCTTTTTTGTAGATACTGACCGTATTCCAAAAGGATTATATACAAACAATGGTCAAGGTGAACCAGTATCTCTGTTACATTGCCAAGATGAAATCTCTGAAGCTCATGCCATATCTGAAGAAATATTACGAATCATCCACTTTTCTGGCGGTTTGATCAATTTTCAAGATATTGCTATCCTGGTGCGTGCCCATTACCTTACTCGAAATCTGGAAAATGCTTTAAAAGGATCCGGTATCCCATACAAAATTGTAAATATAAAAAAAAAATAGATTCGATATTTTTTTTTCTCTTTCATATATTTATTCTCTCTCCATATATATATATATTAGGTTGCTGCCGTAGGGTTTTTTGAACGTATGGAAGTTCAAGATCTTGTGGCCTATATTCGCTTTATCTATAATCCAAATGATACTCTTTCTTTTGATCGTATCATTAACACTCCTCGTCGCGGTGTAGGCAATGTTACAAAAGACAAGATTTGTACACTATCAAGACTCAAGGAAAAAACTGTATTGGACGTGGTTAAGGAATTATGCTCGGTCACGAAAAAGAAGAAGAATAATCATTTATGGGATTATGCTTTACCTCCAACTGTCAAATCCAATGTCAAGAAATTTGTTCGATTATGTGATGATGTACGAGCAATGATCGATTCCAAGGTAAGAAAGATATATATATATAAAACGATACATTTTATGCTTAACTCTTCTTTTTTTTTTTTTTTTTTTTTTTTTTATTTATTCGACGATTGATAGGAATCCGTTAAAAAGATTTTAGACTATATTGTCAAATACATTGACTATGAAAATTACCTGAAAAAGAACTACAATGATTATATGATGCGATGGGATAATGTGGGTGAACTGATGACCGTGGCTGCTGCTTATGATGTAAAAAAACATACTTCTGGTGATGACTCTTCTTCTCAACATGTGATGGGTAATATTGACAAATTTGTGGAGAATACAGCACTAGATATGGATATGGATGAAGATGATGATGACATTGATTCTCAACAATCCTCTCAAGTATCTTTTCAAAAGAAGAACAAAGTGCAACTCATGACAATACATGCTGCAAAAGGTAACTAGGAATGAAAAGATCCTCATTTTATTCTAAATGACTTATATTTTCTTTTCTTTAGGTCTTGAATGGCCCTGTGTCTTTATCGCTGCTTGCGAATCCGGTATTATACCTCATCCGAGAGCCGAAGATGCCAATGAAGAAGGGTAAAAAAAAAAAAAAAAGATAGAATAAGGTGATGATAATACTCGAATGAATTCTTATGTGTTTATACATAATAGACGACTCCTCTATGTAGCAATGACTCGTGCGAAATGTAAGTTTTTTTTTTTTTCTATTATATACTGAGGTTCAAGCAATTGATGGATTGGGATTTTAATGTCAACTAAAATCCTTTACTGACGTCTTTGATTATTTTCTCTATATAGGCTTTCTTTATTGTACCTACGCCAAAGCACGCACTTATTGGGGCAAAAGAAAACGTACATCCTTAACATTTTTTTTGGATGGCATTGATTCAACTATATGTCATCGAAGAACGCCGCCATGGAATACAAATACAAGACAATCAGTTGCTAAAGTATTACATCGAGTGTTACCATCAATGATATCAGACAAGACAGTCAAATTAGAAGAAGACGATGATAGTGATACCACCACCGACGACAGTGATGACAATACCTCAACGAATGAAATGGGTGATCTTGATTCTCAAAGAAATATCAAACGGGAGGATGAAACGGATGAAGGAAAAACTGTAAACTCAAAGATCAAGGAGGAACAACAACATGATCCAACAAAAGATCATCCTGGTGACGCATTTCCTGATTTGGATGCAGTGGAAGCGGAGGAACTTGCACAACGAACAAGGTAAACAAAAAGAAAAGCAAAAAGAAAAAACCATGATGAAATACTCATATACATCTTATCTGTTTAGGCGGTTCAGTTACGACTATGATTATGATTCCGAGTTCGGTATTTCCTCTGAAGATGACTTAATGGTAGGCATAGAAAGAAATACTTTATCGGCTGTATGTATTCACTTTTTTTCTATATTTCTCTTTACATTATTAGTGAATATCTGATGGGACCCTCCTCCAGTTATCATATGTTTATCAGTACCGCATTTTAGTAATTGTTTATTTACTGTAATCTAGTTAGTTATATCTCAATAAATTACATTCCATACCATATGATATGATGATGATGATGATATGATGGTGATAATTGTTATGGAAGTGATGATTGTAGGATGATGATGACACAATACAAAAAATATAGTTCTTTTTTTTTCCAAATATGGCCTGTTGAAAAGAATCAACACACCTACTGAGGCAATCACCATCAATCATTATTTTTATGAAATTATATTTTAGGACCCTGAATCAATCCAGAAATCGTCCAGAAATCAAATTTGTCGCACAATTTATTTACCCATAATGCGTATTAAAAATCATCTGCGTTGCACCATGAAAACGATTGGCGTGTACCAGAAAGCTATTTGGCGTGAGCCAGAAAAATGATTGGCGTGTGCCACAATTCACTTGCACGTAAGCTCTTGCACATTAAAAAATCCGGTCACCTGCTAAGCGAATGGAAAAATCCAGTAATAGTGAAAACAGTATATGTCTTGGCAAACCAAATCCAGGGAAATAATACATATACCTTTGGAAGAGGGTTCTATCTGTTACATGTAGATTGATGATAACTATTGATAAATAAAAGTGTCTGATAATATTCGATTTTATTCTTGTTTTTTGAAGAATGCTCCAATACCGATTTACTGCATTTGATCCCACTGCAAAAGAAAAAAGAGAATCCTGGCGGAAATTCAAAATAAAGCTAATTTTTGTTTGTTGTGGTATATCCTACTTCGCTGTCTATTTCTTTATCTTTTCTCTCACTCTCTCTCTCTCTTTTTCACTTTTTCTTTCATCCTATTTCCATGGAAACAGACGATCGTCTACACGTATACCAAAAAAGACGATCTGTAAGACCAACAAGTATTATACCAGATCCTGATGTTCCTCCACTTACTGCTCATTGGTAAAATAAAAATAAAAATAAAATAAAAGCACGACAAAGCAAAAAGGAAAAAAAAAGTGTATTTATCTCTTATTTGTCACTTTTTTTTTTCTTTTGAATCATATATTATTGTGTGTTTAGGTTTCATGCACTAGACTGCCCTTTGACAGATCCTTTAGCTATACGACGAGCTAAAAGCGCATCGAACTTGAAAAAACCACCCAAAAGTCCTTCCTCTCCCAAAGTGAAAACTCCTTCAAATTGGATAGCGTTTTCTAAACGGGATTCCGCTGCATTAGAAAAAGCATATCAGGTAATATAGATAACAAATATATATATATTTCCTTCTTCTTCTCACCATGTATATTGTTAATGTTTCAATTAGGGCAATGACGTACGAGCCAAAGTATTAGTGAACGAAGACCAATTATTTGAAGTAGATGTCTATGAACGAACCATTAGTCCAGTCTATTGGGAAGGTGCTACTTATGAAGTACGAAGAGCTACTTGGTTTATGCAAGGTGATGGATCAAAGTGGCTACCTTGTGAAGAAAATTTGGCTGAACAAATCGAAATTGGTTACTAGTAAGAGAATATCAAAAGGTACAAAGAAAAAAAGATAACAATCGTTAAATTTCATTCTTTTACATATATAGTAAACATAAACCATATAGAAATGAAAATCAACAAACCGTGGATGACAACTCCTCTACTACTAGTACCACTACAACTGCCAATACTACAGCAGCACCAGCAACAGCGACATTATCACCTGCATCAGCAATATCAGCCACTGCTGCTTCTTCTAAACGATATTCTTTTCCTCAAGCAAAAGTGGATGAAACATCATCATCAACAGCAACTGTGGAAGAAAAAAAATTGGAAATGACTTTGGCAAAACAACCTGTAGAAAGACAATGGAATCTATTGGGACGTTATCTAGGACAATATATAGTATACACTGGTGCTGATACTGCTTGGTTATTATCGTAAGTACCTTGAATCTATATTTTATTATGTTTTAATTAACTTTGTTATTTAGTAATAGTGCTAGTAGCAAGATTGCAAAAAGTATCATTACTAGATTGACCAACAAACAAAATATGGGTGGAACTCGACTGATACGTGGCTATTCTGAAGTGGAAAGACAACGACAATCTACTAAAGCAACTAAAACTGCCACCTCTTCACCTAAACCTTCAGCAGCATCATTGGATGAAAAGACAATAATTGCATCAGTGGAGGCAGATTTATCAAGTAACACCCCTATCTCAACACCATCAGCAGCAGAGGTAGAAGAGGAAATTACTGAACAGGATGAAGATGATGAAATTAGAAAGATTGATCACCTTATTTTTGCTGTCCATGGGTAAGAAGAAAGGTGAAAATTTGAATGAAAAGGTTAATAATTGTTTATATTTAGGATTGGACAAAAGATGACTGAAAAAACGGGACAGAACTTTGTAGATGGTAAAGTATTAGTGGAAAATGCTATATATTGAAATTGACTTTTTTTTTTTTCCTTTTCATTTTATATATAGACATTATTTCATTTCGAAAAACCATCAAGGCGGCATATTCTACCGGGATAGCGGCAACATCTACACCTCAACAACCTAATGGTATTCTGGTATTACCTATTTTATGGCGACAAGATATCAAATTTGGGATTGCCTCTGATGATGATGAAAGTATTGAAGCTGATCTTGGGATGTTGGGTATTGATGATGGTTGCCCCACTTTGGAAGAACTTACACTGGATGGTATTCCAAACATTCGTACTGTTGTATCTGATGTTCTTATGGACAGTAAGTGTATACATAAAAAAGGGGGGAATAAACCGATTGAATTTTTTTTTTTTTTTTTAATTTCTATATTTTTAGTTCCTTTATATATGACCCCCAAATATCGTGACCAAATGATTAACATTATATCCAAAGAAATGAACCGTGTTTATGGTTTGTATATTCAAAGAAATCCTACTTTTTCCGGCAAGGTTACCATCATTGGACATTCACTTGGGGTAAAAAAAAAAAAAAAAAAAAAAAAAAAAAAAAAAAAAAAATTGAAAGAAAAAAGGAGAGATACAAATTAATCTTTTTTTTTTCAGTCGATGCTCGCATTTGATATGCTGACTTCTCAACCATTCCAAATACAACAAGGCTCTATACCGCAACCTCTTAGCAATACATCTTCCGAAAAAAAGGCACCTCCATTGAATTTCAAGGTTCAAAATTTCTTCGCTGTTGGTTCTCCTTTGGGTATTATTTTATTATTAAAGGGATTCAAAATCGGATCACGGAAATCTTTAGCTTCATCTTCCAATAGATCATTTGAAGATTCTTCTACCTCAGCTACACCTATTCCTATTTGTTATCCTGCTGTTGAAAATTTATACAATATATTCCATAAGGTAATAATAATAATAATAATAATAATAATAACAATGATAGTATTGAAATTCACTTATATCATCTTTTGTAGGCAGATCCTGTTGCTTATCGATTAGAACCATTGATTAGTCGCCATTACAGTGCAAAATTGAAACCTGAACCTATTCCATATGTTAAGGGTGGATTGAAAGGTGTATTTGATGCTGGGTACAATGTAGGATCAGGTATTGCCAATCGTGCAGGGGCCATGTATGAATCATTGAAAGTGGGTCTGACTACCAATCTTTTGATGCGTGGACTTGGATTATCTCGACAACAAATGTACAAAGACACAACGACTGATGAAGATGATGAAGAAGAAGACAACAATACCAACGATAGTGATGATAATGATTTGAATACGTCGACGACACGTATCGTGGAAGATAATAATGCATCTTTATCTTCCTCATCCGCATCTTATTCACCACCTTTAGATCAACAACCATCACATTTAAGCAGTGCACATAACAAACACATCCAACAATACCAAATCGATACCAATGACTCGTCGTCATCAACAACAAGTAATAGCAATAGCAACAATCGGATACGATCTAACAGTGATCCAGCGTATGTATTCTCATCTTCAGCCATTGGAATGCATCGACAATCATCCAGTCTTAAAACGACATTGACCAGGCAATCTCCTCCAGCACCACTACCAACCCATATTCATACTCATGGTGCACGCAAACTGAAGTTAATGAATTTGAATGGCCGTGTGGACTATGCTTTACAAGAAGGTTTATTGGAGAATCCATACTTGAATGCGTTCAATGCTCATATGCAATATTGGCAAGATATTGATGTAGCTGCTTTTATAGTTAGAGAAACATATCGATAGAATTCCAGTCTTAGTTATTTTTTTTATTTTTTTTTTTTTTTGTCTTAAAAAGGGGCGTCCAATAAAAAAAAAAACTCTTTTTTTTTCCTTTTTTTCTCTCTTCTTTTTGTATCTTCTTCTTTAGGTATTTTTTTTATACTATTTCTAATAATATATATTGTACTACTATGTTGATATCCAGCCTTCTTTTTTTTATGAAACTGCCAGAATAATGCCTAAACAACAAGACAATCACATTTATGCAAGCAGTGAAAGGTATTGAATGAACATTAGTGAATTAGTTCTGTTTATTAATAAAAAAAAAAAAAAAAAAAAAAAACTCTTATGATTTACTACAAAATAGTGTTCCAGAATGGGCCAAAAAACCAATTCTTGGATTCTCTACTTGGTCAACTCAACTTTTGGACAATGTAGCAGGGTATGGTGGCAAGAACATTTCTCCGTGGTAAGTTCAAAAAAAAAAAAAAAAAAAGCCTTTTCTTGTTATATATATTCTTATTCTTTTTTTCTTTTCTTTTTTTTTTTTTTTAAAAAAAAAAAAAAGGTTTAATGAAAAGAATATTCTTGACATTTCCAATACTATGCGACAAAAACTACCACGATACGAATACATCAATTTGGATTCAGGGTGGAGCAATACGTGTGATGCTTATGGACGGTGGATGTATCGAACGGATCTATTTCCTAATGGACTAGCCAAGCTTTCCAGTCAACTTGCAGAGAATGGCCACCGATTGGGGATCTACATCTTGCCAGGGATTCCAGCATGGGCAGTGGATCACGATACACTGATCAAGGGAACAACACATCGTATTGGTGAATATACACGACAACGGAAACAAGGCAATGTATTCAAGGGAATGACGTATATGCCGGATGTACACGACGAGGTGATCCAAGCTTATTATGACTCGATGGGTGATCTGTTTGCTTCTTGGGGAGTACGCTATGTCAAGATTGATGGCTGTGGGCCTGGTAGTGGCGATCCTATCTATCCGGATTTGGCGCCTGATTGTCGGGAGACACTACGCATGATGGGTCAAAGTTTCAAGCGGCATGACATTTGGGTGGAACTGTCCTGGTATTTGGATCCAAGGTATGCAGATGAATGGGCGACCATGGCCAACGGTGCGCGAATCTACATTGACATTGAATCTTATTCGACACGCACCATGACTTCTGCTTCTAGAGTATTGGAAAGGTTTCAGTATGTGGCACGCTGGCCTCGCGCCGTTCTGGGTCCTCATTCTGGGTTTTACATCGATTTGGACGCTGTCCTGGTTGGCATGACGACACCTTGGAATGCGCGATGTATCGATGGTCTAGACAGTGATTTGCTACGTCAATCTTATATCGCCTTTTGGGCTTTGGTCAGCTCAGTCTTTTGTATTGGTGCCGATCCTCGATTGCTTCCTGACAAATACATCGACATGCTGCATCATCCTATTATATTGGACATTCAACAATCTGGCATCGTGGCTGTTCCTTTGCCTTTTACCGATTATTGGCATTATCGTCAAGTCTGGTGGAAACGTTTACCTTTATCAGCATTATCATCAACATCATCATCATCAGTGGATCATTATGTGGTATGTGTTGGGCTTTTCAACACATGTTACTATCCCATCACAATGAACAATCATTCTTCTCTGGCATCCTGGCTCAAAATGGAAATTGATTTCAAATTATCAGATGTGCTGCAAGGAACGACAATGGCAAGAATCACAAATGTGTGGACTGGAGAAGACATAGGTGTGACGATCGACAAGTACACTACTTGGCTGGAACCTGGTGAATGTCAACTTTTATTATTATATCCCATCCTAGATTAGTCCTCCATTATACTTAGTTATTCTTATTATTTTGTTTAGTCTCTTTGTTGCTACTGATGATGTAGTATCTTTTTTTTTTTTTTTTTGTTATATAAAGTGGTATCATCATGCAATTAGTTTCCTTGATTTTTTTTTTTGATCTTTTCTGACTTTTTTTTTTTCCTGATCTGTAGATGATATTCTCAAAAAAGGTGCCAAATTTGGAAACTGACAGCATCATCGCCACAAAGAATAAACCATTCATCAGCAAGAAGAAAAAGTCGAGTAAAAAAAAAAAAAAACAACGTGGTCGCAAAAGAAAATTTTAAAAGTTGATGTTATTCTCAGTTGTTTGAAAATAAACTCTAGTATTCCGCCTTGTGATAGTTAATATGATGCGATAGGTTAAAGAACACAGATATTATATTTTTTTTTTATTGTAATTAAGAAAAAAAAATGTAGAAGAGATATTATGTGAAAGGGCATAAGTTTAATAAAGATAAAAATCACTAAACTAACCACGATGAGCGACGGTGACCTTGAGACCATTCTTCATAGGAAGGGTAAGAGAGTTTTGATAAGTGATATCTTGGTTGGGAATCATAGAAAATTTGTATCTTCTCAAGAGAACGGTACAGGCGACCAATGTTTCGAGTGTAGCTAGATTTTGTCCTGTCATAGTTAAAAAAAAAAAAGATAAATATTAAAATCAACTTGATCATTTTTTTTAATACCTAAACAAACACGAGGACCGGCATGGAAAGCGGGCCATTTGCCTTGAGATTCACGACGGATATCACCAGATTCAGTGAACCATCGTTCAGGTCTGAATTGTTTAGCATCGGCACCCCAAATATCAGTATTTCTTCCAAGTGCATAACTTGACCACATCACTACTTCACCAGCACGAATAGGAGTATCATCGGGTAAAACGTCATCTTTCAATGCTTGTTTTTGATTGATGGGAACCGAAGGATATAAACGTAATGTTTCGTAGAGTCTAATAAGATCAAATGATCAGTTTTTTTTTTTTTTTTTTTTTTGTTTTTTTTTTAAATGATGACTTACACAGCATAAGCATATTTCATATCCTTAATGGCTTCATAAAGAGCAGGAGAATCTTCTTCTAATTCAACAGGAACATGAGAAACAATTTCTTGTACCAATTTTTCTTCAACATCAGGATGCAACATCAAGTTATACAACAACCAAGATAAAGTTTGACCAGTGGTGTCACGACCGGCCTATAAAAAATAAGATGATCAATCATAAAATATTGAGAAGAAATAGGTAAACTTACGATAATAAAGTTCATGATGGTATCACGAAGTTCTTTATCATTCAAAGGTTCACCATTTTCATTATCTGTTTCCATAAATCGAGAAAGTAAATCCTTATGTTGTTCACCAGCAGCCAATTGAGTTCGACGTTTTGCAATGACGCTAGCAGCAAATCCATCAATCACCTTTTGATGTTGAGCAACAGTAGTTCTCCAAGGTCTAAAGATTTCATTGAATTTACGTTCCACAGGTTCCATGGCGTTCATAAAGCGATCAAATGAATTCTTTTGAAGCTCATCAAAAGAATGGGCAAATGGTACCTAGTGAGTTTAGATTGAAATGATGAGTATCATGCATTGTTTTAACTCTTTTTTTTTTTTTTTCTACCTTTCCTTCCGTGGTCAAAGCGTTCACCTGAGTACCAAAACCAAGACTATACATGTGTTATTTTCAAGTATAAAATTCATATGAAACAACTTACAGAACAAAAGAATCCAAAGTGAACTTGTACATAATATCATGAAAGTCCACTACAGTCTTGTTTTCAATAGCTCTATCAAAAATATCGCGAACAAGAACAAGTTCCTTGACAAATACACTATTAAAGAAAAGCTTAGTAATGAGAAATAAAAAAAATAATAATGTACTTACTCTGTAAAGTGATCACGGAAATTCTTAACATTGAAGATCATAGAAGCAGCTTTACGTTGGTAACGCCATTGAGCACCATTAGCATTGAAAATACCATGACCAAGTAAATCAACAGTAGAAGCATGGAATAAACTACCTTTCACATAGTTTTCGAAATTATCTAAAAAAAAAAAAGAAAAAGAAAAAAGAAAAATGATATTCGATCAAGAAAAGGTAAAAAAAAAAGATTAGGTATTGATCATTGATACTCCGAGGCACACTCATCAGTACTTACGTTTTAATACATGTTCAATATTTTCAGGATGGATAGTTTGAACACCTCGAGGAAGACCCAAGGAAGAAATAGTACTGTATAAAAAATTAGTTTATCTATAATATCATCACTTTGTTTTTTTTAAAAAAAAAGGAGGATGATCTCATATCAAAATAGGAGAAATACTTACATGGTTTTTGCTCCAGTTTGTTCAAAACAAGCAAGAAGATAATGATTAAATTGTTCAAGACCATTTAAAACTTCAATAGTACATCCTACTAACGGTAAACCCTTTTTACGTACAATATTAGAACGAGCAGGTTCAAATAAAAGACGATCATTATATTTGGTAGCCAAATAGGTTAAAGTTACGGCTGCAAGACTACTAGCCAACCCAATAGATTTTAAATATTTGTTATCAGAATCAAACATAATGAGTGAAGATATATATAAAGGAAAGGAGGATGAATAAAATAAAAAAATAAAAAAAAAAAATAAAAAGATAAAAAGAGAGAAGAGAGAAGAGAAAAAAAGAGAGAGAGAGAGAAAGAGAGAAATCAAACTTTTTTTTATTATTATTTTACCCCGCCTGTTCATCCACATTCATCATCATCATTGCACTACCTTACTTCCCTTTTCAGACTAAGAGAAGTAACAACATACCAGGGACCGAAAAAGAAAAAAAGGTACCATATCGATTCGTTCTCCGATGGATAACATCGAAATGCCCACATGAACTCTTTTTTTTTTTTTTTTTTTTGAATTCATTTCAAATGACTTAAAAAAAAAAAACAATGGAAAAATGTCAGTGTAAGAGGATCATGCATTTTTTTTTTTATGAAACAATCATTTAAAGTGGGCGTATTTAAATAGAAATCACCGAAATTTTATTTATAAAAAAAGAAGACTGCATTTGTTGTGTAATGTAAAACTCAAAATATTTGAATGTACCTCATAAGCCTTCCAAAATTCCTTAATGATTGAATCTAAATAAGGAAATGACTTTATTTTTTCTATATGAATCATTTTACTTCATTTTATATTTTTCATCTTTAATGATTCTTGTATTTATTTTTATATATTGTAATACAAAATAGACAAACCAGGTTTCCATAGAAAAGCGAGTTGATTAGGCGGACTATGGAATGAAATTACGCGTGTAACCCAAACACTGAACAGTTGAAATCGCCATCAACGCTTTTTTCTACTCCTCTGATACCCTTTTTTTTCTTTTTCTTTTCCTTTTTTTTTTAATAACCTTTCCTTTCCTTTCTATATTATCATGTTTTCCAAATCCATTCTTACCATTACCTTGGTAGTGTTGGCTCTTTTCCAACTTGTCCATGGTAGCGTATTTTCTCAATTGCAATTCATTAAGATCAAGTCTCCCAAGAACAATGACGTTTTTGAAGCTGGTGAAAAAGTCCATGTTGAATATATCATGCAACCTCTTATCTACAGTAAGTGAATTCAAAAAAAATAAAAATAAAAGATATTAAACTATTATTTTAAATAGAGTCCACTTCTATGGGTAGAGCTTTGAGTTTGGGTATTCACTTCCATTCTCGTACTGGTAACCAAAAACAACAAAAATTGGCCACTGTTTCCAACTCTTGGTAAAAAAAAAAAAAAAAATCTCTTTATTCAACAAAATCAATTGATTTTTATTTTTTATTTATTAGTCCTGTCACTGCTTCTGAAAACAAATTTGTTACTCATAAGACTACTTGGACCATTCCTAAGAACACTAAACCTGGTTCTTATGCTTTTGATTTTGATGAAAATGTAAGTTCAATAATCAATCAATATATATAATTAGAACTATATAAGCTCTATATAAAGAAAAAGGGATAGTGTAACACAATTAGATTCACTCAAATTTCCAATGCATTCAATAGGTTCAAGTACGCAGCGGTCGTCTTCAAGTCAAGGAAACCATCAAGGTGTCTGTGGTTGAAAAATAAAGTTGTAGAATATAACCCCCCTTTTATCTTTTGTATACTTTGTATGTCTTTCTACTACAAACAATAAAAAAAAACCTATTTCTTACTCATATGTTATATTCTTATGATAATGGATGTTATTATTCATCTTATTGATATGTTTTAGAAAATGTATACGTCAAAGATGTATTTCCTGACACCTGTCATATTGATAAATCATGTTGAGTATATCAAAAAGAGAGAGAGAGAGAGAGAGAGAAAATCCATAGCTTTTTTTTTTTTTAATTGATATAAATAAGATCAAAATAAAGGAAAAAAATATGATACATAAAACTAAAGAAAATAAAAACGAGAAGGGGTCAACTAAGCTATAGTTCATCATCTTCTTCTGAGCTTGATGATGGTAACGACGATGATTTTTGCTGAGGTAGATATTGTTGTTGCTGATAAGATGAAGATGGTTTACCAAGTGGATGATGTTGTCCATTATTATTATTATTATCTTCTTGAATTGTATGTTTCCAATCCTTCAAATACTTTGGTCCTGGTTTTCTTGGTTGTGCTTTCAAAGGTTTGGTTAAAGTTCGACTACCTTGAGCAATGGTTGATTTTTTTCTACTGTTGTTTCCACCATATCGATGTTTCATTCGTTTAGTTGCTTCTTGTAAAATATCATCCGTATCCTCGCCACTATCATAATCGTCCCCGCCATTACCAGAAGTTGTTTGAGATATCACATTTGCCCGATCATTTCCATCCATAGTCTCATCCTCGCTGCTACTGCTGGGATCAAAATGGCCATATCGTGGTAATGTTGAGGAGCTCATGCTATCTAGAACCATTGTTGATGATCTTGGTCCATTCATAGTCAATTTGATGTTACGTGATAATTTCTGTGCTGAATCCAATTTGCGTCGTGGACCGGATCCATCATGGGGTCGTTTTCGACTAGCAGCAGGTCGTTTTGGTGGTGTAGGTTTAGGTTTGAGAATCAATTCACAAAGAGATTCGATACGTCGAGCAATCACAATGTCCTTGGGCCATGCTAATTTTTCATTCACTATCGCCATGCCTTCTTCACTAGTAGGATCCTTAATATCTTCACTATCGATGATATGTTGTTTGATGTGATAGAATGGTAGTTCAGAATCCGCCAATAACAAATCACTACGACTATATCCATGTTTACAAATTCCATGTAAGAGAGCTCGATCATGATCAGGTACTTTCCACCAACTGAATAATAATAATAATAATAAAAAATAATAAAATGTCAATTAGATCATCTTCTTTTTCTTCTCTTTTTTTTTTTTTTTTTTCCTTACCTAGGTAATCCAGATGTTTTACGAGCAGCCATCAAGTTCACATCGAAATCAGGATGGACTATGATTTCTTCACGTAACCTTTTCATTTGTGCAATTCTTTTCAATGAACGTCGGGCTTTGTCATAAGGTACCAAATCTAAATCAACATCATCTTGTTCCGCTGATGCCACCGACTCTTCACGTGCTTCTTGAGCCATTGTTGCTGTAGTTGTTGCTACTGTTGTTGAATTGGGTTCCACACTGGATTCACGACTTGTCATCAAAGTATCTTGTTGTTGTTCACCATCACCAGGAACTTGAAGTGTTGAAGAAGGAGAATCTACATTATCTTGATTGGGTACTATTGCTATTGTAGTTGCTGCTGTTTGAGGTTTTTGTCGTTTCATGATTTCTTCACAAGCAGACACAAACCGATGATAATAAGCATCCAATACATCATCTGGTCGATTTTCCAATCCTGAAATTTCTCTGAATCGATCCCATCGAATATTAGGATCACCAGGCACAGTTTCAACGCCAAATGAGAGCACCGTTCGTAAAAAGTCAGCCTTGTTACGTTTGTGCCATCGGTAAATAGAGCCAGTGCGTCGTGATCTTTGTCTTTCTGCTTGTCGAGATTCTCGTTGTCTTTGTCGCTCTAGTCGATTTCCTTCTTTGACTTGTTCCTTTTCTAATACCTTTTGTCGTCGGAGATCATTGGCTTCTTCACGTAAAAATGCGGCAATGATGCGTCGTAGTCTCATACCAATATCAGCTTTAGATGGCCAAACATAGACCTAATACCAAAAAAAAAAAAAAAAAGAAAAAAGATTAGATATATAAAGATATAGCCTTTAACATCAAGATATACATACTTGATCATCGGCGTTATCCATGTTTTCTTCTTTCTTGGTTGAAACATCATTTTCATTTGTTGAAACATTAGGTACAGTATCATCATCCTCAAGAGCACCTGCCTTGCTATCATCAAACTTCTTGCCATAAAAACTGAATTCAGGATCATTTCGCATTGTAAGATATCTATACAAAGAAAGAAGAAGAAGAAAAAAAAAGACAAATCAATAATGAGGGTTGACTACTTCTTTTTTATTCCAGTTTTTTATTTTTTTTTCCTTTTCCTTTTCTTTCTTTTACTTACTGTTGATAACCATGTTTACAAATACCAAGTAACAGATCACGATCTTCATTATCACCCCACCAATCAGAAGGAGGAGTACCTAAGCAAAAATAGACAAATTGAAATGATGAATATAAATCCATCCCTCTATCCAATTTCCTTTTTCTTTTTCTTTTTCTTCTTCTTTTTTTTCTTTTTTACCTGTCACTTTGGGAATAGGAAGAACCTTGGCTTCTTCCCAATCCTTTGGTACAATTCGATCACGGACCAAGTAAAGCATCTGAATACGTAATAACAAGTTTCGACCTAACGATTATACAAGATAAGAAAGAAAAAAAAAAGGATTAAAAAGATGTCGATGATATAGAACACGTTATACCTTTTCTTTCAATATGTTCAATGTAATCGGCAGGAGCATCGATAAGGAATGATTTGAATTCAGCGATTTGTTTCTTGCTAGCACCACGGTATGGAATAGACATGTTGTCCACTTCATCATCATTACCAGAATCCAAAATATCTTCAATATCTTCAATAAGCTTACGATCTTCTTCGTTGTTTTGAGAGATTTGGGGAAGTACTTGTCGCATCAATGAGCGAGTCACGGCTTTGAGATCCTTTCCTGATCGTCTTGAGAAGTGAGTGGCCATTTGTTCCCATGCCCCATAACCAAAAATCATCAACTTGCGTTCATATTTTGTTTTTTCAGAGAGAGTCCATGGTCTAGGTTGATCGCGTTTACGGTTACGTTCGCCTTCATCTTCATAAGCAGCATCAGAATCCACACCATCATTGTCATTGGATGAAAAATTGTCTTCATCTAATGCGCCAAATCGTTGCACCTGTCGACGCCGTCTTGGTTCAAATACTATCAGATCGTTTTCATCAGGTACTTCAGTAGTGTCAATATTGGCTTGGGTAGCCCATTTTTCCCAAAAGTCAGGATCATCCAGTTCCACTGCGTTGGATTCAGTTGATGCCGAGAATGTTGCTTTGGAGAAGACTGAACCTTTTTCATTCCCTTCATGTCGAATCACTGTAGTACGTCGTTCAAGGATTTGATCAATATCTTCCTCACAGAATTTGGTACTATCAAATTTAAAAATTAGATGAATGAATACAATATCTATTTTATATATATATATATATATTACCTTGCTTCATCATCTAGCATTGCACCATATGCACCTTTTTTCAAAAGATCTTCAATTTCTTTCTTATTGAGTTCATTCTTGCTTGGTCCATTTCCAGTACTACCATCTGATTCCAAATTTGATCTTTGCATCACCGCCTTATCCAATCCAAGTTTCATACCAGCACGATCAAACATATCTTTTTCATAAGTATTTCGACAAATCAAACGATAAATCTAAAAATGGGATAATATATAAAATGTTATTTCATTTTTTAAATTTTTATTTTATTTTTTTATTACCTGGACAGGTTTTGTTTGCCCAATACGATGACAACGAGCTTGAGCTTGCAAGTCATTTTGAGGATTCCAGTCACTATCAAATATGATACAAGTATCGGCAGCCTAAAAATAACCAGCAAAAAAAAAAAAAGTGAGACTATATGTATATAGAAAGAAAAATACTTACAGTCAAATTGATTCCAACACCACCAGCACGAGTACAAAGTAAAAACACAAAAGATTCTTCAATAGGTAATGTGGAGAACCGATCAATGGACGCTTGACGTTGTTCACCAGGAATACTACCGTCGATACGCTCATGAGCATAGTTTCGTCCTCGAAGATAATCTGATAAAATATCCAGACAACTATAAAATATCCTATTTTAGTCTATTTTTTTCTTATTTTTATACCTTTTATATTACCTTGTGAATTGTGAAAAAATGAGTACTTTGTGATTCCCTTTGATCAATTTCTTGAGTAACTTGTCAATAAGTACCTGATAAAAAAAAAAAAGATGATTCATTCAAGTTCTTTGAAAAAATAATAATTCTATTATATTACCAATTTGCCAGAAGATTGTACCAGACAGTTGAATTGTTCCATATGAGTAGTTGCATGAGAATCAGATACGATCACTTCTTCAGCACCTTCCAATAAATAAGGATGAATACAACATTTTCGTAATTGCATCATAATATTTCGAAGATGAGGCATTTCTTTATTTGCTACAATAATAATTATAAAAGGTTAATCATTGAAAAATAAAAAAAATAAAATTATCATTCACTTACTTTTTGATCCTTTTCTTAAGAAACTAAAATTCTTTTCCAAAATAGCACGATACCATTTCTTTTGAGGATTAGTCAATTCAACTTCAATCACAGTTTCTTCCTTGACTGGAATACTTTTTTCCACATCTTCCTTGAATCGACGCAACATAATGGGTTTGAGTAGAGCTTGTAATTTTTCTACTTGAGCAGCTGTTTGTAAAGATCCATATTCAGCAAAGAAATATCTTTCATCATTAAAAACATCAGGTTGCATAAAGCTAAGTAAACTATATAATTCATCCAGATTATTTTGTAAAGGTGTGCCTATAAATGATTGAAAAAGTTAACTAATATACAAATCATGATTAATTTCTTTTGTTACATACCAGTCAATAATAATTTTTGATCCATATGGAACATCTTTAGGATTTCACCCACTTTGGATTGCTATTAAAAAAAATTTTCATTAGTAAATGTAAAACAAAATCAAATTTAAACTTACTTTGTTTTTTAATCGATGGGCTTCATCAAAGACAGCACATTTCCAAGGAACATTGCGTAACTGAGAAGCACTGGCAATTGCCTAAGAAGAAAAAAAAAAGTCAACATTATGAAGTTTCTCTTTGTTATATTCTTTCAACTTTACCATTTCATAAGTAGTGATCAAGACATCAAATTTGAAACGATTGGGAATACTTTTGCCTTGCATATCCTTGTAATAAAATTCAGTTTCAATCAATAAATTTCTAGATAAAGCATTGCCACGGAAATCCACCACATTCAGATCAGTCCAAGCACGAAAAGCACGTTCCCAATGAGGAATAGCTATAAGAAGAAGAACAAAAAAAAAATAAGTACATATCATCTTACTTTTCCATCTCACTTACTTGATAAAGGAGCAACAACAAGAAATGGACCACGAATACCAATACTGTGATAAATATCATTCAGAAAAGCAACTGATTGTACAGTTTTACCTATTTAAAAATATTAGTAAAATATAATTCATATTGATTTTAATTTATTATTTACCAAGTCCCATTTCATCAGCTAAAATACAAGAGCGACTGTTATAATAACAAAATCGAAGCCAATTCAATCCTTCCAATTGATAAGGACGAAGTTCATTTCCATATCGATATCTAATTTATTCGAATTGATCATAAATAAATAAATGAAAAATTTTGTCATCATTTATTCAAATAATTTAACTTACTTTGGTGAAGAATCATATTTCATAAATTGAGAGACCGGAGGTCGTTTGGGAGAATTATCAAGTTTTTCTTGAGGAATTTGTCTTCGAGCATGAAATTCTTGAATCTTGATAGGATCAATCTATATAAATACAATTAAAGTTTGTTTATTCTCTTTTTATTTATTTATATATATCACTTACATTTTGCATATCAGCTTCAGATTCCCAAGTACTTGCATCATATAATAATCCATTCCATTTAACGAGATAATAAATCTTGTTTTCACCAGTAATAGGATCCATTAGTTCGCCTTCATCAATAATACGATCCACCTATTTATTTAGATAATAATAATCAATATTCTCATTCTTTTTTTAAATATTTATCTTTACCTTGAGATATTCTGTAAAATCTTCTCCTACTTGTCCATCTTGATGCCATTTTTGTAAAAACTTTTTGACTCGATGTTTTCCTAGATGTTCACCTTCTACTTGATCTACCGTCACCCATTCAGTACGATGATAACTTGTATGCTATATTTCAATTAAAGATGATCAGGCTCAAATCAATCGCAAATAATGAAGAATTCCATCTTCTTACCTTGTATTTAATCAATAGTTCATTTTTGCCAGTTTCTTCATTGTGTCGAAATCTAAGTATCTTTTCAAACACCTATTTATCCATAAATATAGTTTTAATTACAAAATATATGTATATTATTTTCGTGATTTTACCTTTGTACCCATAGGAATAAATACTGGTTGTTGTAATTCATTTGATTTTTTCTGTGATATGCCTGAACTTGTTTGTTTGCGAGATTTCTTGGTTGGTATATCATCAAAATCGCTGTCAGATCCATTGCCATATACTTCATCCTATTATTATTAAAAAAAAATAATAATAAAGGAGTGGTGGTCAGTATCGTCTCTTACACCACATATACATATATATATAATCATCATCATCGTCATCATTACTTTTTTTTTTTTACCTGTTCATCCATCATATCATCAGAAGAGTCATCTTGATCATCGCTATCTTCTTCTTCATCATCATCTTCTTCTTCATCTTCTTCTAGATCTTGATCATCATCCACATAATCAGAATAGACAATATTTTTCTTTTCACGACTGATCCGTTTAGGTCGATCACGCTGTTCCACATTATTATTACCATTGTTGCTTCTAATGGAGAGATGTCTCATTGATATAGGCGAAGTATGTTCAGGTGAGGAGGCAGCAGAGGAAGATGTTGATGATGCATTCGGTGAAGAGGAAGTAGATGAAGTAGGTGTGGCATCAGAAGAATATCCTATTTCCTCTGATTCATACTGTGGATACCGTTGTTGTTGTTGTTGTTGTTGTTGTTGATAGACTGGCATAGAGGCTTATTTATTATTATGTTGAGAACTTGATGGTTTGGTAATCGCGCTTTATTGTTGTTGTTACTATCTATGAGTATATGGCCGTTGTCAGACTGCTTTTGAAGTCCAGGATGATATCACAAAAGTTATTGTCTTCAATCACTATCGAGATAAAAAGAAAAGAAATCAAAAAATATGAGATAAGTAAACTTGTTCATTTTCCTTTATGACGTTGTCATAAGCTCCTATTTTTTTTTTTTTTCCTTTCTACCCAAATGAGTAAGCATCTATACTTTCCCATAACACATGCTTGCCACACTTTAAAAAGTAGAATGAAAATAATTCTCCAGGTACTTCTTTTTTTTTTTTCTTTTCCATTCACCCACTCTTCCATCTATACAAAAAGGATCCATCCTATAAACTGTATTGCTTACTTACCTTGTTCAATATGACGATTTAAAAAGGCAGAATCCAAATAACTTGTTGCTTTGTCGAATATATAGATACTGGTGAAACCAAAAAGACAAATACCAACAAAATAATAACAATAATAAAAAAAGATAGACTTATGAGAAGAGGAGTGCTATTCAAATGGTCACTATTTCTTGATATTGTGTTGAAAAGGAATCCTACAAGCTCGAAAGTAGGTAATGAGGTGTAATGTAAGAATATATATATATAAAAAAATGAGAGTTGAATAAGGAAAAGAGTGATTATATGATGACAAAGGTGTAAAGAAAGGAGATCAATACATACAACCACTACAAGCGAATGAATAATAATAATAAAAAAAAAAGGAACGATAGCAACTAAGTCTCTTTTTTTTTTTATTATTATTATTATTGTTGTTGTTTTTTGAACAACAGACCAACGCTTTTTTTTTTTTTTTTTTTAGTTGTTGCCGACTGGCGTATTATTATTATTATTATTATTTTGAGTCCCAGATAAACAATGATAATAATTTGAAATCATGAGATGGAAAGATAGATTTTTTCTTGTAAGAGTATGACAAGAGGAAGTCTAGTTATTAGCAGAAGTAAATAGGTCAAAGATCTTGATCTGATTTTATCTTGATCTATTTAAAGTGAAATCATAATATATAAAGAATCATCCTACAGTAATACATATGAAATATCTACCCTTTATAACAATATATGTGCTTGTAAACGTAGATCATCATTCCACATAAAATAGATAAAATAAAATATGAAAAAGGTAATAATTTTTTGATTTATTGGAGACAACACAAAAAAAAGATGACAAGGTAATATAATCATAAAAGAATAAAAGAAAACTAACAACATATAAAAACACATAAAAAGTACCCTTTTTTTTTTCTTTGGTAAATTAAACTACACTTCAATATCACGGAACTTGGCTTCGATTTCCTTGTGTAAAGCAGCATACTTTTCAACCAAAACAGATTCACCATCAGCAGGATCCTAAAAAAAAAAAAAAAAAAAATTCAATATATGTTAAGTGAAACAACCCATTTTCCTAAATATATCTCTATAATACTTACTTCAAATTTCATGGATGACAACTTGTAGATAATATCACCAAAGGATTCTCGAATCTTGGCCCAAGTAATTTGATTGTTGGAAGCTTCAACAGCATGAGTAGCATGAGTGTAGAAACCAATCATGTTACGTAACATCCAGGTGGTCTTATAGAAAGGACAATAACGATCATAGTTACTATAACCATTTTGTTGTAAGAAATCATCCTTGATGATTTGAGCTACTTCCAAAGTAATCTTATCAGTTTCATTCAAACCAGACTAGAAAAAAAAAAAAAGAAAAAAGAAAAGAAAATAAGTATATTATAATAATAATGATAATAGTAATAATGTCACTTACTTTGCCAACCAATTGAACAATTTCAGACAAGTTTTCTTCCATTTGTAAGATTTCCTTGCACTTATCACGAAGAGATATATATTCAGGATCAGATTGTTCATAGAAAGGTTCCAATACTTTCATGTATTTGGAATAAGATAAATTCCAATTGACAGATGGGAAATGTTTGCGTTGAGCCAATTTCTTGTCCAAACCCCAGAACACTTGTACAATACTAAGTGTAGATGCTGTAACAGGATCAGAGAAATCACCACCAGGAGGGGAAACACTATAAAAATAATATCATAAGTAAACTTATATAAAGATATAAAATTATTTCTACTTACGCTCCAACCACAGTAACACTACCATCACGAGAAGGATTACCAAGACAAGTGGCCTTACCAGCACGTTCGTAGAAAGAAGCAAGACGAGCACCAAGATAAGCAGGATAACCGGAATCAGCAGGCATTTCAGCAAGACGACCAGAAATTTCACGAAGAGCTTCGGCCCAACGAGATGTGGAATCAGCCATCATAGCTACATTCTTACCTTGATCACGGAAGTATTCAGATAAAGTAATACCAGTGTAAATAGAAGCTTCACGAGCAGCCACAGGCATGTTGGAAGTATTAGCCACAAGAGTGGTACGCTTCATAATAGATTCCTTACGACCATCAACGTCAATAGATAACTACAAAAAAAAAAAAAAAAGATTGGTTAAACAATCATATCATCATCAACTTTGAATTATTACTTACTTCAGGGAAATCCATCAATACTTCAGCCATTTCGTTACCACGTTCACCACCTAAAGATATAAATAAAAAGCAACATTAGATGAAGAAATAAACATATTGATTATTTATCACTTACATCCGACATAAATAATAACATCAGAATTAGAGTACTTGGATAATGATTGAGAAATCACAGTCTTGCCACAACCGAAAGCACCAGGAATAGCAGTAGTACCACCTTGAACACAACTATATAGATAAATTAAAAGTGTGAATATTTATAATGAAATAACAAAGATATTTTAACTTACGGGAAAAGGGAATCCAAAACACGTTGTCCAGTGAGTAAAGGATAATTAGCATTCAACTTTTCAGCGACAGGACGAGGTGAACGTACAGGCCAGAGTTGTTTCATCGTGTACTTGGTAGTTTCACCTTCAAATTCAGCTTCCAATACAACATCATCAATAGTATATTGACCCTTGGGAGCAATATAGGTGATGGTACCACGAGCTTTAGGAGGAAGCATAATGTTATGAGTAGACACCAAAGAGTTTTCAAATACATGACCATAAATATCACCACCAGTAATATGATCACCAACCTAAAAAAAAAAAAAAAAAAAAAAAAAAAGAAACAATTAAAGTTAATGGATAAATATATATAATTATTATTATTATTGGTGTTATTGTTATTATTTTTACTTGGAAGTTAATAGGATTGAAATCCCAAGCAATAGAGGTGTCCAAAGCAGGAGTGGCAATACCACGGGGAATATAGATACTTTGAGATATTTCTTGAATAGCTTGCAAAGGACGTTGAATACCATCATAGATATTTGACATCAAACCAGGTCCAAGTTCAACGGATAAAGGTGTACCAGATCGTAAGACAGGATCACCCACAGTCAAACCGCCTTGAATCATCAAAATAAAAATAAAATATCATGATGAGACTAAAATATTATCTATCAAACTTTTACTTTTACTTACCAGTTTCTTCATAAACTTGGATAGTAGTTTTATCACCATCAATACGAATGACTTCACCAACAAGTTCACTATGACCAACACGAACCTAAATATATATATATATATATATATTGAATTAGTAAAATGAATAAAAAGAAGAAAAAAAAAACAAATTCAATTATAGGAAACAAACTTTACCAATTCGTGCATGGCAGAACCACGCATGTTTTCAGCAACCACAACTAAAAAAAAAAAAAAATAAGTTAGTTATGAAACTCTTTAATGAATATTCATCTGGACTGATGATAGTCTTTATTTTTTTTTTTCTTCTTCTTCTTCTTCTTGTTCTTTCTATTTTACCTGGACCAGAGACAGAGAAGATGGAACCAAATTCAGACTCCCGTTCATGGTCTCTGATTCTAGGCAATTCCTTTTGTGCGTTTTCGAGAGCTCCAGCCTATTAGAAAAAAAAAAAAGAAAAAAAAAAAAAGAAAAAGAAAAAAGTAAGTTAATTATCTTTACAAATATCAAAGTTGTTCATTATTATATCATCTTATTTCTAAAGTTATTTATAAACTAAAGGTTTATTTTACCATTTTGATTCTATCGTTCTTTCAATAAAATAGAGTGTAATTTACAAGAGGTATATAAAACAAGAAAAAAAAAAAAAGAGAAAAAAGAAAAGAAGACCTGTGACAAAGGAGGGGAGGAAAGAAAAAAAGGGCGTTTTTTTTTTTTTCCTCGATATGTTTCGAGTTGCCGCTCTCTCTCTCTCTCTCTCTCTGTCATTCACAGTAATTTTCACTCTCTCGTCACATAATCCGAATACATCTCCGACTTCAACCATTATTATTTGATTGATGAAAACGATCGATACGATTGGCATCAAATTACATTTAATTAACATCCAAATCTAACTCTTCAAAACTAAATCAAATTTGTCTTTTCAAAGTCATCATTTTATTGGATTCAAAAAAGAAGGAAATGAAAGATATATATTCTAAATTTGTAACAGGTAAAAAAAAAAGATAGATAAATAAATAGTGAAAGAGGGAAGAGATGAATTGATAAATATATAACAAAATACAAACAGGAGAAAATAAAATACTCCAGTAAAAAAAAAACGATCAAAGGAATTAAACATCAAATAGTCTAATGCATGAAGAGCATACCAGAGCCTTCATAGACAGCAGCAATCTTTTGAATAGCATTAAGATAAGCAGCAGTTCTGAAATCAACCTTCTTGAGAGCAGCAGTTTGACGAGTTTCTTCACAAGCTTGAATCATAGTATCTTCAAGACCAGAGTATACTAAATCAGCTTCTTCAGCACCGTGGACAATAGCCTTACGTTCAGCTTCAGTCAAAGTACGACCAGCATTTTCTTCCACAAGAGTGAATAACTTGAGACGCTATATTCCACAAAAAAAAAAAAAAAAAATGTTAAGTATTTATAAAACTTCTTTTTTTTTTTTTGTTTTCTTTTCAATATCTTACCATAGCTTCATCCCATTTCTTGTTCATACGACCAAAACGAACATGAGACAAGTTCTTGAGCCATTCAAAGTAAGAGACAGTGACACCACCAGCGTTCAACAACAAATCAGGAAGAACAACAATACCACGCTTTTCTAAAGCTTCATGAGCAGCAGGAGTCACAGGACCGTTAGCACCTTCACCAATGACCTTAGCCTTAATCTTATCACAGTTCACCAAACCAATTTGTCGTTCCAAAGCAGCAGGAATCAAAATATCACATTCAGTTTCAAGAATCTTGACAGAATCTTCAATAATTTGTGCAGTTTGAGAATAACCACGGAAAGTACCATGTTCAGTATAATGTTTGTGGAGTTCTTCAATGTTCAAACCATTAGGATCATAAATAGCACAATCGCGTTCACCAATACCAATGACCTTGGCACTATATTGTGTAAAAAAAAAAAATTTATTAGTACCTGATTCTTTCTTTTTTCTTTTTTCATTGATTCTTTCATTTATTAATATTTACCCGTTGTTTTCAAAGAATTTGGAGACATAGTAACCAACATTACCAAAACCTTGAACCACAACACTAGAATCCTTCACTCTACCAGACAAACCTGTCTTTTGTTGAACTTCAGGGTAAGATAAAAATTCACGAATACTAAAAGAACAGAATATAAATTCATTTTTGTTAATAAACACAAAGGAATTATTATTATTATTATTACCTGTAGTAAATACCCAAACCGGTAGATTCAGTGCGACCTCGGACACCACCTTGAGATAAAGGTTTACCAGTGACACAACCAGCAGCATTGACATCATTGGGGTTAAATTGACGATAAGTATCCATAATCCAAGACATCTCACGAGGACCAGTTCCAACATCAGGAGCAGGAACATCAGTACCAGCACCTAAGAAGTTCTTTTGACATAATTCCATGGTGAAACGACGAGTAATACGTTCCAATTGTTCAGGAGTGTACTTTCTAGGATCAATCTTGACACCACCTTTGGCACCGCCGACTGAGAAAAAAAAGTTTGAAAGTCAAAAAATGGTCGTGAGAATTTTCGTCCTAATATGGTCATCGTAGTGGGAAATTTTTTGTCTTTTTTTTTTTCTCTTTTTTGAGGAGAGTCACTTACAAGGAACATCAACAACAGCACACTTGTAGGTCATCAAGGAAGCCAATGCTATTAAAAGAAAGAAAAAAAAAGAAAAAGAGAACCATGATTAATCATATACTTAATAGTAAAAAAAGAATAAATATTTGCATCAATTATTCTTATCTTAGTTCCTTTCCAAAAGGCAAACCAGTAAACCCCAATTCATCATCTTTTTTTTTATTATTATTATCATTATTTTTTAAAAATAATACCTTCCACTTCTTGTAAATCCACTTCCTCAGAGTAACGGATACCACCCTTAACAGGTAAACGATGACGAGAATGTTGAGCACGATAACCTATAATAAACAATAAAATGAGTAAAAATTTATTCATTTTGATAATATTCTATTGTTTCATATGAAACAACCGTCAAAAAGAAGTCATTTTCTCCCCTAAGTTTTTACCTTCAATCACTTCATGTTTGCCATCACCCAATTCAATAGGAAAGGTAACACGAAGAAGAGAGTCTACAGCACGAAGATGGCTCAAAGTAGCAGGATTGACATTACTGATCTTGGCAGCTTCATCATAATAAGTTTCAACAGATTCCAAGAAACTAGGTTCATGAGGTTCACAAGCAACTTGAGTAGCGGCTATAATTATATATAAAAGAAAGTATAAATAATGATAATAATAATAATAAAAGAAATATATATCTATATATATATATTATTTTTACCAGTAGTGAGAGAACGAAGAAGAGTAGGGACAGCAACACGACGAGTAGCAGCAGCAACAAACATTGGTCGCGTCCTATATATATAATATTAGGAAAAGTTGAATAGACATTGAGTAACTTACGTTTGAGGTAATTGCTTGAGAAGGAAGGCCATTGGTAAAGACAATAAGAAGAGAGGGGTTGTTAAAATAAAAAGGAGAAAGAAGAAAAGAAAGAATGTGGCCTTGCGCTCAGGTCTTTTTATAACCTTTGCGGTCTGTCGTTCTTTCTGACTCCGCTGCATCCATTTTTTCTTTTTTTGGTCGTAGACCTTTTTATATACAAACGCTTTACTATAGTTAACACTACATCAATTTATCAATAGTTCTTATATGTTAATCTTTATTTTTATATGTATTTATAACATGTATATAAAAATCACATTAAAGAAATGACAATAGTAATCTCTCTTTATTGATTGACTCTGTTGTTTCTCTCAATTAGGTCGTGGGAATTAATTTTAAACGGTTAGGTTTCACCATTTTTTTTTTTTCTACGTTACTGAAGGCAACATAATTCAGAAAAATCCAGCCCTATTTTGGTTATTTTATTAGCCTTGTTTCAACCCTATTACTAGGCAACAGTAATCATATCAAAAATATATACCAAATACCCTTTTTGTTCTTCAACCATCTTCTTTTTTTTTTAATCATTGTTATTATTCAATTGTATATCATCTTCATAAGGGCATCTTAATATGAGTATTCATCAAATTACACTTAAAATTTCCCTTTAAGGCAACATGATAGATAAAAGCAAAGTTACCTTTTAATACTTTAAGACATCATCGAGAGGAAATATAGATGCTAATCATTTTCCAGGAAATAAAAAAAAAAAAAGCGATCCCATAAAATAAATTAAGTTGTCCTCTTTTGGAGAATAATAAGTGACTGAATGATTACCGTATGAAAAAAAAAAGAAAAGATACTGGACGTTCTTCCATCTGAACGATAACGGAGCCTCACGGCTACGCTCGTATAATGCCCATATTCTATCTATCCTATGTATCATCATCATAAGTAACATAGAATATAATAATAACCTAATATTGCTGGAAATCGTTCGAAATATTTATTGCAATGATCCATTACGTATAATCCAACAATACATATCAACCATCATTACATATAACCATATCATTCGTCATCCTATCATATTCACAATCTTCAAATATTCCATGCCAAAACTCATCAGCAGCCATTTACCATTAAAATTTCAGGGCGAAATATGGTTATCCTCTTGGTTTATTCGAGAAGAAAAAAAGAAGGATGGATATTTTATTTTTTTTTAAAAAAAAGCAATACAATCATCTTCTCTGGATATAGGTAGTTATGAGTTGGAAACATGATGTCTTCATTAGAAAGAAAAGAGCAAGCGGCAATTTAAACATCCACCAATAAAAACACTCCATCATGCTAAGTCCAGTCGCTTTGTACAATCATGCGTATATGACGAAATGGATTAGTACGTTAAGAAGATATTTCTTTCTTTTTTCTTCTTTTTTCTATATGTATATAAGCTGAATGAGTATGATGCATTGAATTCACTTTTCTTTTTTTGTTTTTGTAATCCTGATCCTCTGCGGGCATAAAAAAGGGAGGGAGAGAAAAGAAAAAAATAACCATACGGAAAAATCAGGTACCGGAAAAAAGAAATACCTTGGAAAACATATTCACATTTTCAATGGGCTGAACAAAATTTAAAAAAAAAATCATATGCATTTACTATGATAAGCATCCTTTATGGAATAATGAGGATGATTTACTTAGCCAATAAAATCATAGTCTATTATCACTGTTTATTTTTTTATAAAATGGGATAGAGACGGATTCCAAGTCCGGATAAGGAACACGGGACTTTACGGGTTTTCTCAGAATAAAAAAAGAAAAAAAAATATATATGTTTATTATACCCCGCATTTTCTATCAAAACGTACATAAGGTTACATCAAGACAGAAAAAGTAAATAGTTAAGAATCAAATTGATATAAACGTTTATTGTATAATAAAGAAAGGTCTATATTGACAAGATAAGATATATGTTTGTCATTCTGGATGTTATCGAGATGACAATTGGAGGAAAAAAAAGAGAATAAGCTATTATAGTGAGAATAAATAAATAAAAAAAAAAGATGCCATAATGATATTGAATGAATGTGTGTGTGTGTGATTGAAATGATATGTAAAAAAAAAAAATGTAATAAGATGAATAAAACTAATCTAGATCTTGGCCACTAATAATCGACTTTCATGCCATGCTGCATGCCATTTCTTGAATTGTTCTAACACGACAAAGGTGATGATAGTTTGAGGAGCCAATCGGATAAATGCTGGAGTCCAACCTTTAAAGAAGGAAGCCATACCTTCATTTTTATACATAGTCGACATGATGTTGAAAGAGGACATTTTTCGATCAGATGAACTAGCTGTCATGATACGAGTTTTGATCACATCCACAGGAGAACATACTGTTGTTGCCACCAAACCCTATAAATATATAATGAGTCATCATGTCATTCAATAAAAAAAAATTTCTGATCCACTGATATATCATTCCTTTTGCTGATTACTTACAGCCAATGTACTTGAAGTGAAATGAAGAATCAAACCATCTTGTAAAGGACTATAACGAAGAAGTAGATCCTTAAAGGTATCATAAGAAACACATTGCGAGGAAGTCATCAGGATAGCACGATTCATATTTGGACCCAACCCACGGAACAAGGAAGTAATACCTTCTTCTCTAGCAATACGTACAACACCATCCAAAGCATGTTTGTAGTTTCGTCGTTGTTGAGGAGGAAGTTGACCATCATTTTGCATACGTACATTTACCACATCACCAGGATTACCACAAGCTCCTCCAAGAGCACCAGCAGTACTTGAAGCAATCAATAGTTGCCATACACTAGGATCTATATATATATAGATAGAAAGATTAATTAAATGACAATATTTTAATGTTAAAATAATATTACCTTGACCATTGGAAACAATATGTTTCATTTTTTCATAACCACCAAAACGTACAGTGGAATAAGTTGCTTGTCGAAGAATACTGGCTGATAGACCTGCATACAGTTGTAAGGCACCTTCTGTTCTGGCAATCTTGATCATGGTAGCAAACATACCTTGGTTACCAGCACCCTTGGTATTTTGTAACCGTACTTTGGTTAAATCAAAAGGATGCACCACCATGGCTGCAATACAAGAGGCTGCACCACCGAAATAGAAAGGAGTAGGACGTTTATTTGACATGATAGATCACTTAGAAAAAAAAGAGAGAGTAATAGTAGAAAAGAAGGAAAGAAAGGGAAGGAGGAAGTAAGAGAGAGAGAGGGAGAGTGTGAGTGAGTGAGTGAAAGAGTAGGGTTAAAATAGAAGAAGGAGAATTAGATTAAAGGTCAAAAAAAAAATAAAATAAAAAAAAAATAAAAAAGATAAAAGAATTGGAAGTTGGCCGTCTTTTAACGAAAAAAAGGTCCCCCTTTTTTTTTTGCTGTGTATAAAAATTTTTTTTATGTGTGTGTGCGGCTCTTGCTCCCAATGAGTCCCGTCCAATCGATGTTGAGATAGAGTCATATACGGTTCCGATATTCTCCCTTCCGCTGGGAGAAATACATCATTTTGTAGAACATTTTTATATAAATAGCTGAATTTTTCTTCCCTCATATTGGTATTTTTTTTTTTTAAAAAAAAGAAAGAAGTCATTGGACCCTCTTCTGTGTTCTCCCCTCTTTTTTTTTTATATACAGAAAAAACAATAAAAACTAAGAAGATGAATGGATCAAAAAAAAATTCATCCCGGGATTTTAATTATCCGTCAACAATGGACGTGGTGTGGTAGAGAGTCATCATTCTCCTTAGTATCATGCGTTGTCAATCCATTTTTCTATTCACAGGAAAATATCCAATTTTGAAGACCTATTCATTTATAGCATCATATATGACAAACTAAAAAAAAAAAAGAAAGAAATATCCCAATAGAAACAATTGATATGTGGTATTTTTTGTTTTTGTTTTTTTTTTGAGGAATAATTATCAAATGGTTTTGCTGCCAGAAAAAGAAAAAAAGGCAATGCAAAAAGGAAAATTATTTTTCCTTTTTTGGAGTCGATGCATCATCAGGATCCATTAGTTCAACATTTGTTTTTATCTACTGGTTTGTGCACATGTCATTTTGCGTGATTGCTTGATATGGTAAACCAAATATTGATATGATATTATCATATTTAGATAATGATTATTTATTTTCACTATTTTGTGTACAATGATAAAGAGTCAATAAGAACAATAAAAATAAAAACTATCAAACTAAAAAAAAAAAAAAAAAAGAAGGGGTATCTACAATAATAACGATCTAATCCTGCTGTTTATGTAATTGATTTTGGTAGAATTCCCAGATAGCATGAACCACTTGATCCAGATGTAATGTCACATTTTCATGAATCAGACCAGGTAAACGTTCACGATTGAAGCCCAGAAGCCATTCCACAGATGGTGTGGCATCACCCATTTGTCGAAGTTGAGGATCAAAATGTACAGCACTGTCTGTGATATATGTCAATCGATTTGTCTTGTCATCTTGTTTGGTAATATCCTTTTGTTCAATGGATTCATTCGTCTCTTGTATTCCTACATCGCTACCACCAACACCTATACCACTGTCCAAACTAGTCGAGTCCATATCATGTTGTTGCATTATTTCACTATCTGTTGTTGCCGAGATGGATAATGTCGTTGGTATCATTCTTGTCGAATCCACTGTCTTTTTTGCCCGTGCCATTTGATCATTAAACATATTGATCAATTCTTGTAGATATTTCATTTGTCCAATATTCAATGACACTTGCACCCGATCCTTGAAATCCACAGTGAATGTATGTTGCACAATCTGTAGCACTTGAGTTGAATCCATGTGAAGTTTCGTCAAAGGTAATGTAAATATAAATGTCCCTTTTTCCTTGACAACAACTGATTTGTTTGCTTGCTGCTGTTGATGTTCTTGTTGTGATATGTCCGATGGCTGCTGCTGATGCTGTTGTTGTTGTTGTTTTTGTATTTCAGATGGTTGCTTATTGTTTCCACCACTTGAACCATGAATATCCGTTTCAGCATGAACAGTACTTTGAAAGAGAGCCATATCATCCCTATTGTTCTGTTGTTCCTTTTGTTCTTGTTTCATCATAATATCATCCAGCTGTAATCGTCGTTTTTCCATGATTTTTTGACCAGGCACATTTTTCAAGAGAGCTGCCTTACCGATACTGAGAAGTAAATGTCGCGTTATACCTTCCTGATCCTCATCCTTGATTATTGGTGTTTGTTCCAATGATCCTTCCACTTGTTTCGCTTGAATCTCCACGTTGTCACCATCTTGAAATTGACTAGGATATACAATCACTTGAATGCCTTCCACATTGAGCTTGACTATACTTTGTGGCCAATAATGCTGTTTAGGTCTCATTGATGATGATGATGATGATATTGGTATAGGAGAGAACATCTCAGGATCTTGTGAGGATTGTCGTTCCATTTTGTTTGTCATATTATCACCAGTAGAAGAGGAATGTTGAGTATGCCAAGGGAAGTCAATGGAACTAGCTTCATTTCGTTTCTTTTCTAGCAACTCCATAAATCGTTGATGCATCACAATAATGACAGGTACAGTTTTGATTGAGACACTAGCTATAAATCGTCCAGCCTGAATCGCCACTTTAAGTTGTTGTCGCTGTTGTTGTTGATCATGATTCACTGTCGCATTGAGTTGAATAGGTTCTTGCACCAAGTCCAAGATGTTTTGATATTCATAAGTGAATTTACCTCGGATACCATACATTGATATATAAAGTTGGCAGGAAGGCATTTTTTTCATCACCACCATTGATGATGTTGTTGATCCTTGCTGTGGCTGTTGTTGTGTTGATCTGAAATCGACATGACCTTGAAGCATACATCGATGAATTTCAAGTTCACCAGTGAGTCGACCTTCCGAAGTAAGATCTACGCCGCCTAGAGATAATCCAATACCTTGAGAAATACCAGGAATCATATGTGTTTGCATTGATAATTGTTTTGGTACCAATTTCACTTTGCCAATAGCTTGTCCCATATCGATAGATAATGTCACCTGATCAAGTTGAAGTATAACGTACCGTGCAAATGGAGCAAGTCCTTGATCTTTTGATTGATGTCGTGATTGTTGTGGTTGAGGAATCGGTTGAGTAAACCAACAAGTGTTGAGAATCAATAAATCTTGGAGATGACGCATGTTGATATCGCCTTCAATAGAGGGAATGGTGACCATAATGGAGATATCATCGTTGATAGTGGAGTCCTGTCGCTTGGAGGTCAATGAGGCATTGAATAGGATGCGTTCGATATTGGCAGTCAGACATGATTGTGGAGAAAAATGATGCTTGACAACCGCCGAGATACTACGTAGGGAACCAAAGCAACTCATAGTATGACCTGATTCATGAGCAAAAGAGTTCATCATAAATTCACTTTCACTCCATCCCAGCGAACAAACCACTTTGGAAGCAGGTTGACAACTAAGATCCAGTTTTGTTTTCGACAATCGTAAAAGTAGTGAAGCATTGATATTATTATTGTTGTTGTTCTTGCCATTGACTGATGATGTTGATGATTCCTTTCGAGTAGTGGCCTTTCTTTCACTTGATTGTTGCATGCCAAGTTTGAGTTCTGATGTGACTTCATGAAGGAATTGAACCAGAGAAGGATGTAACACATTGTTGCTTTCGAGAATGAGAATATCACCATGGAGACGTCGAGGAGAATTTGACAAAGAAGATGATACACCGAGTGGTGTTTGATATTTGAATGATGCATTGACTCCAGGTAGTTTGATAGTGGCTGTATTGCTGCTTTCAGTGATATCCCTAGTATCATTTCCGCTGCCTTTCATTGATCGCTGCAATTGTTTTCCACGTCGTCCTTGATCACTAGTGCGCCGTTTGGGGAAGAGTCGAACAATACTAGCATCATATTCGAAAACACCTGTCACATCCAAATAGATCAATTCAGATATTGCTTCTGCTGTAGAGGATTTCTTCGTAGTGTTACTGTTGACAGGAGTTTCAGAAGTTTCCAATGTAAAGGCATTGACACGATCCATACTTTTAACATAGATAACACCGAGTCGATTGATATATTCCGTAATAGTTCCATCCAAGTCCACTTCAAAGCCACGTACATTCGCATTGATCTGTACCCCGAGTTTCCTTGTTGATTTCTCAAATGTGGTGTCGACAATACAGTTGATGGAAGGAAGACGCATTTGATTCATACGAGGATGATTGGCGGCCAAAAAGTGTTGTTCATTGCTTTGATCAAATCGTTTGACGAATTGCAAAGATATGTCCTGTATAGTTGCCGTGGTCGTTTTGATGTTTTCAGTGCTAAATTGAAGAGATGTGAGTGAGAAGAGTAATGCTGCATGGTGATGATGATGATGATGGTAATGATGATGATGATGATGTTGTTGTTGTCCACTAGATTTCTCCATAGATATTGACACAGGAGTCGTTGGTGATGTTGCTGCTTGTGATGCTGCTGTTGTTGATGTCGTTGTTGATAATGATATACCTTCAGCCATATCCGATAAGGGTATCGCAACACCAAATTTTTCAATGATCAAAGTCAAATTTTTTCCTTGCCACATAGTATGCATATCTTGCGCTTCAAGTGGGACATCCGTTTGGAAAGATTCAACTATACGTTTGGTGTTCGCTGCTAATTGTTCGATTTCGGCCTGTTTGATCTCCTTCTTCTTCTTGAGTTCCGAGTCATAGTAGATATACATTTCTGCCAATTTTCCTAACGCAATAGGTTGCATCACAGTTTGGACTTTACTAATCTTGATATAATATGACATTGTAACATGTTGTTGTTCGTTGTTGTTGTCGTTTGTCGTACTAGATGGTACATTGGCATCTAATGAAGAAGTCGAATTGGGTCCAGGTTCATTGATAGGTTGATTTTGCAATCCAAAGTCGACCACAATGTAAGCAAGACGATTTCTACGCTTGGTATCATGTCGATCATCTCCTTGTTGTTGTTGTGTCGCAGACATATCATCAACACTTCCATGATCAAGAGATAATGCAAAATTGCTTCCAGATATTTTCCATATAAGAGCTTGGCTTGTTGTTTGTTGTGCGTAATTTGAGATGGATGCTTCCAATACATTTGACTCAAACAATCCAGTAGCCGACGGACTTGCTGCTTTGATGCTCAAACCATCAAGGGAAATACCAATGGCGTATTTGAATGGTACCGACACATCTGTTGATGATGATATTGTTGTAGATTGAAGGCGACCTTTTTTCGAGTAAGAAAATACTTCCACTAGTTCATTGACTTCATTGCCTAACAGATTGTGCGCCGTAAGTATAGAATCGATCATACTGACATCCAAAGACATGGCGATAAAGTCGATTGATATAGATGATTGAAGTTGAAATCCTAATTTACCCACTGATGAATTCATGACCTTCATCAAAATCCCAGAACTGCGTATACCAGGTAAATTGAAAGCATTTGCATTGTTCGACTCCAATAACGTGATGTCTTGTTGCTGTCGTTGTTGTTCTTGAATATCGTTGTCAACCATATTATTGCCACTGTGAGTGATGAGTTCCACTACTTGTTTGGATAGCTGGAATGCATAGTTGATAACTGGAGTTGCTGATGACTTTTGAGTTTCATTGACCAGTACCAAAAGATCGTCAATAGAATATTTGATGCTGAGAGATCGAAGTAAATCTGCTTTGGCCACAAATTTCGTAAGTAAGAATTGGAGTTTAATATCGTACCAACGTTCAGGATGATCATCAACCACATCTTCATTTTCAACAATAGGACTTGCCACCAATACATTGGTTTGATCAGTCAGACGTCTTTGTTCTTCCCATTCAGTTAATAGATTTTGAAACATAAAATGATATCGCTTCCCTTGTTCGCTGCGCCATTCTTCTACAAAGCTGTAAAGACGAAGTAAACTTTGAGGAGCATCCACATCAAAACTGCCTACGCTAGAGAAGATCTTGAGAATTTTCCTGGTATTGCTATCCATGGTTGTTTTTTGTTTTTTGTTGATTTTGCCGGGCTGGCTGATATTCGCATTGAGTTTGGCATCGTGAACCGTCATGGCAAGAAGTTTGGTGTGTATACGTTTCGATGATGTATGTCTAATCGACGACGATCCAGTCTTGCTGTTTGACCAATGAGATCCCCGAGGCAGTAGTTCATAGAAGCCAATGTCGAATACATCTATTCCTCCAGATGCATCCATGATAATCCGGTTGGAGTTTGTATTGCCTTGTTTCCTAGAGGTCTTGTTGGAACTTGGTTTTCCAGAGCCAGTGTCTGAATCTTTTTCTGATGATGGTTGGAACATCGCCACAGGTGATAATCTTGGATTGGAGAACACTAAAGAGCCTTGTATACCACAAATGTTATTTTTCATTGTAAGTTTCTGCGCCCATGCCCCTAACTTGATTTCTTGAATCCGGACCAAAGCATGTGCCATCACATCAATACGAGATAACAAAAGTTGAAAATCCAGAGGCGTAGGTTGTTGTTGTTGTCGTTGTTGTTTTGGAGATACTTGAGTCAGATTGGTAACAGTATTACTTGGACCATAGGCAGTCGGCTTACCTCTTCCGAAAAAGGAGGATGATCTGGTAGCATGAGATAAACTTTTCAATTTGGCAGTGAATACACGTTGTACTGTCAGCATATGTCGAGCAAAGGCCATCACCGTAGGATTGACAGAAACTTCCACTAATCCAATATCCAGTTTACCAATAATATCCAAGTAACCTTCAAAAGTAGTAATAGTAGGAGGAGGAGAGCCCTTGGCTGTATTTTCAAGCATAGAGGTCTTGTATGTTGTATCAATGGCAAATTCCAAAGGTTCGATAAGAATATGATTGTCATAAACATCAGGCTCTTCTTCATAGATACAAAAGTCAAATCGATTGATTTTGAATTTGGCGTAATTCATAGAGGTCATCAAAAAATTGACAATTTCATCCACACGGTTATTAACTGTTTCATCAAGATGATTGTCATTCATAATACTAGTGCCGCGGCTGTTGACTACTTCATCATCATCTGAAGGAACATCATCACTACCATTGTTGCTATTGTTCTTGCTGTTGTTGTTATTGAATGACTGTATTGAGGCTTGTTGATTAAATATCTTGATGAAGAGTCGACAACTTCGAATATCCCGTGAATCAATTTCCCAACTTCGCCAACCAGAAAATGCTTGTATAACTTGTCCATACATCAAAGAAGAATCTACATGTTCAGTAGCACCGCCAGAGGTCAATCGATATTGTAATTTTTCACGCATTGTCGATGGCATTAAACGGAGACATTGACGCATTCGAGCCAGAAGTTTCCACCCCACATCATTTCGAAAGTTTTTTGATCCAATTCGAAGTCCCATACTGGTTGGAATAGTCAAAAATTGAGGATCGCTTGTGACAGCCGTACCTACATTGGAGAATTGAGCTAGTTCATGCGTAAAAACTTGGTTTTGACGAGTTCTTCTGTCTTGAAAACATTCCAAAATACGTTGAAGATCATCCACAAATACCAACCAAGAATAAACAGCACCAACAAGAATTTCTGCAGATTCTGTAATGATAATAGATGATAGTTTGTCCACACTAAAATCGAGATAATTTGGTTTCCTTGAGCCAACCCATTTGCAACAAAATTGTTCCAATCCCAAGTCAATCACCACTAGTTCGTTTGCATGTTGATTTTCAGATGCATCGGATTCAGAGTCAGAATTGAATACATTATCATTGCTGGTGAAGTTTCGTCCAGGTATATGTTGTCGAGAGAGTGGAATACCAAACATGACTTGTCGTCGATTTTCATAATGATCACTGACATATTGTACCTTGCAGCCCATATTACCCACATTTACATGTACGCGAGATTCTTCTAGTACCAGTTTCGATTCAGCCACAGATTTTTGCTTTTGATCAAATGCATAATCTTGGAAAGTCACCCCACCAATCATTCGAAAGTCATCCAAAAAGATATCAGCAGCACATAACAATTCATCTTCATTGTCATAAAGTGTTTGAAGATGAGATTGCGCGTTCTTGTACGATGGAAGATCAGCAGGAATCATTACATTCTGAATGAAGTGTAAATGTGTGCTTGGAAGCCAAACAGCAAATCGAGTGCAGATGAATTTGTCAGTCAGATATCGAGTGAGTTGGCCAACATATTCAATTTGAGATGTGTCTAACATTGTTTCCAAATCCCAGTCCTAGCATAATCAAAAAAAAAAAAAAAAAAGGATGATGAATTACTTGTGTTTGGTTCAAAAAAAAAAAAAAAAATAGAGTATGTATATATAGAGAAACTTACGTCCTTATTGATGATTTCAGTTACTTCTTGAACCACCTTTACGAGTATTGGTGTTACCAGGATCTTGACAGGATGTGTTGCTTCCAGTACTGTTGTTGCTACAACATCATTTCTTCTATCATCTTCACCATCTTTGTGTTCCTTCTCTGGGGAGGATGGAGTATCGGTGTCTTCTTGAGCGTTCGCAAAGAAGTCTTGTTCATGACTAGCGAATTCTTCTTCATATTGCTTGCCAGCTTTCGGCTATAAAAAAGAGAGGGTATAAATATATCACATAAATCATTCTCTACATTTCCTATCACTTACTTTCAAAGGTGTAAAAATCGTTTTTGGAGGAGGTACATATGGATGAAAAAAAGCTTGAGCTCGACCAATTTGATTTGTTGCACGTTTGACCGCATATCTACTGAGATAGCCACTGTAAGAAATAGAAGGAGGTATGGCGGTAATAGTATATCCAAAATTTTCAAAGTTGTTTTCACCATCCATTTCATCGTAAGCACCATTTCCTGTGATTTAAACAATACGTTAGTATGATGATTTATACCTAATATGACTTTTTTTTTTTTTTTTTTTTTTTTGCTTACCTTGACTTTCATCTTCACTTATAGATTCAATGCTACCTTCATCAAAACTTCTTGGGTAATCCACAGTAATGGCATTGGACGACATACTTGTCACTGGATAAAGTTCATCTTCAGATTGGGCAGTATGAAAAGAATCATTGTTGGAAACCATGCTTTTCATAGAAGTTGTATCATCATGCAAACTAAATAATAAATCAATGAGAAGTTAGCATGTAGCTCTCTCAAATTCATCATAGATTATCTTACCTAATACTGTCTTCTTCAGATTCTAATGCATCTAGAGTAATAGGCCATTGATCATTGAATGATATCATACTATGATCATCATCACCCGACAAGGAATATCTTCTATCCATTGGAGTTTCAGTAGACATGGAGGAATCTTCACTTTCCAAACCAGAATCTTCATGAAGATAAAAAGATCGATAATGAGGAGCATATAGTACGCCAACATGATGTTCATGAGTTGTCCTTGTTGATGAATGTGTGCCTAAGAAAGTGGCAAAAAAAAAAAGAGGGAGCCGTTAAATTTTTTTTTTCCTCATTATCATCCATTCTTTTTTTTTCTTCTTTGCTTACGTCGAGAGGAAGAATCACTATCATACAAATGAGTACATCGTCCTGTGAGATAATCTTGAGTTTGAATATAGTTCTGTTGTGCCGTTCGAAACTTTTTCCATTCTTTGGTATGTCGAAAAATAGTGACATTAAGTCCAACCTCTATCCTTGCCACTTCCACCCAAGAGAATTCAGTATCCTATAAAATTATTAAAAAATAATAAAAAGTGTAAATTTCAAATATAAAAAAAAAAAAACTTGATAGGATAATCATTACCTGTTGTTGACTCGCTTGATCTTGATTCGCCAAACACGTAAGAGATATACCTGGAAGCTGAACGCCAATACGTTGATTGTATTTTTCATTAGTGAGATTGTCGAATTCCGCCTTAATACCATTTTCAAGTTGTAGTAATGTTGCACTATTTTGAGTCATCAAATAGATATCCACTTGTCTTATCCTTGCTTTGACAAAAGTAACATCAGGAACATCTTCTGATGCCATATCAGGTGACACCGCGTTGTCTTCGTCGATCAGGTTGTACACAAAAGTTTGAGAGAAACTGGCAGCTCCCATCAAGAATGAAGGTTTCAATTCACCTTTAATGCTTCCAATATCGAATTCCCAATGACATAAATAGGTAGATGTTTCCGGAAGAGGACCAAAAAGTCGATGTGCATGAATGTTTGTTTCTATTTTTTTTTTTTAATGTAGCGTGAGTTTTTTTTTTTCTCTTTTAACTTTGTATTTTTGTATATATGTATATTTAACATTTACCATCAATATAAAGATAGTTACGAGGATCACGAGCATTTTTCATTTTGAAATGACCACGCCGAGTAGTGGGGTTTGGGTTACTATCTCTTGTCCAAGTAATAGGGCTAATCGTTACATACATATCTTTTGAAATATTCCAAAAACAGAAAAAGAAAAAGAAAAAGAGTGAGTTGTAGGATTACAAGATGGCTGGATCAGGATAATTTTTTTTCTTTTACCCATATAAATATCCAAATTTCGGAGTTCCACCTGTAGTTCTTGAAATTCCAATTGAGAGTAATGTGAACATTCATAGAGATTTTCAGGAAGGATAAGTGCACCATCTTCAATTTCACATAATAAGTAAAGTTCGAATGGATCAGACATTGGCTAATGGGAATCAAGAAAATAGAATCTGTTAATACTTTTTCTTCCTTTTTTTTTTTCCCTCTCATATACAATCATACATACCTTCGCTTCTGACTCTTTCTTCCGCAGTTCCAGATATTCTTCAGGATTAGCACGTCGTTGTCGGTATTCGTCAATAGTGCAAAAGTGTAACGAGTTTCCAACATAATTGTCACGTAATATAAACAGATATCGAATCACAGTTCCGAATAATTTAACGACAGCACCATGAAACTAATAAAAGTATGAGAAGACAATTGAATAATGACATAATAATTGTTATTGTTACTATTAATTTTACCTTGAGGTGCAAATTAGACGATTCAATATGACGTAAAACATCGATAGTAGAATAACTTTCATAAGATCCTTGCAAGGAGAGAGACATGACAGAAGCCACCTGAGAATCTTCTTTACTCATAAAAGAGCTCCATGTATGAGATGATTGTAAAGAGATACCACCACGGATTTGTTCCAGCTAGTAATAAGTAGCATAAATGTGAATTATAGATATATTTCTTTGTTTCAAATGATATGTCACCTACCTGTACATCATATTTCATCGAGATCACCTCGGGTTGGAAAGTAACAAAAGGCAAAGATGTAGAGAAATGGACTTTTTGTGAGGAAAGTATGATAAAGGCTAATACGAAAAAAGAAGAGAGTAGAAGTTAGAACCAAATATTTATATATCTATATTGATTTTACCATTATCATCAGTAGAGTTTGGATAGTTGATAATATTATGTTCATTGACGCACAAGTAGACGCTAAGCTGTGTGGCATCCAATTGAAAATCATATGTAATAGGTATAAAGTGTAACAAATCCGCTGGAGGACCTGAAGTCCAGTCTTTGATGAGGTCTTGAACTAAATAAACATGATCACGAAGTAGATAAATATCAGGATTCTTGATTTTAGTATCCAAAGTCCAAGTACGATGTTCATTCCAAACAAGTGGTGAAGGCATATCGACAAACATCTAATTACAAATAATAAGAGTTAAAACATAAAATATATCCGTTTTTATTTCCATTATTACCTTGAAATTATCTGCATGAATAAAACCGGCAAAATTGACACTTGTTGTAACATCAATTCCTTTCAAATCAATATCCACAGTACTAACATATCCATCATTGTTGGTAACAAAAGGTGTAATTGTTTTGATACGTGATCCTTCCTTAAACTTGATATCGAACCATCCATGAGGACGTGTATATAATCCATTCTGATCAATATCCAGATCAGGCATGTCACCATTGTATTTCCAATCCTATTTCATGTAGAAAGAAAAGTCAGCAATTTTTTTTTTGTTTTCCCTTTCAATTCATTATTAACCTTTGACATTTCCCTTGTTGGAATCCTAAGATTACCATCCGTCATAAAATCTACCATAAAATCAAACGAAGTTGGTATTCGGGTATCACCTGGTGAAAGTACAGTTGTAGGTTTGTTGGTTCGATGGGAATTTGGGAAAAAATAATCTTGTATAGAAGCTCTAAAAAAAAGTATTAAAAATATTGTTGAGCTATAATAGTAAGTTATCCCAATTTTTTTTTTCTTTTTTACCTTTGCATGTCAGTCCATGGACCATAATTGAATAAGGCATTCCAAATAGATAAGTGTACACCCCATTCTGGAGGTAGACCACCGTTGCCAATATCAAGACCAATACCAGAATAACCATTAGAAACAGTATTTGGGACAGGTCCAGGAATATCTGCATAATAACATATTGCCATTTGACTACATTCCATAATATTCTCTATTTTCGCATAATCATCTTGATACAGTCTACGAGAATAACGATCTTCAGAACCACGACGAGTACTTTGATCTTCATGTTGTTTTTGTTTTTTCTTTGGATTATCAATTGTGTCTATCCAGAACATCCATTGAATCCAACGCCATATATGTTTCCACCATCTATCATTAAATAAATGAATAAATAAATAATTCTGTATCGAATGCGATCATTCTATTTTTCATCATTTTATATATTTATATATATATATATATTACCCGTATGTTCGATGTAATCGTTGTGAACTGTTCATATGTTGAGAATCTGATTTGTAGTTTTCATTCTTTTCCAAACTGATCTGAGGTTTCCGTAATACTAAATCCAAACTTGATTTATAATAATCCATCGATGTCCTAGATTGTCCAGCACTATAAGTTCCACTTGTTTGAGTAGCTTTAACCACAATATATGTCTTTAGTCTTTGATTGCCAATAATGATGGCACCTGTCGTACATTCAATCTGAATAGGCATCAATCTTAGTAAAAGTGATGATTCCGCCATAGTTTGACTTTCTGGATCCAGGACTTTACGGGTACCTAATACCGTAAGAGAGTATGATGATGATGATGATGATGAGAAATAAACAAGGTTTTTAATGATAAATTAAATAAGTAAACCGAAAAAAAAGTCATTACCATCCATAGATATTGTATCATCAGCAGGAGTAGGCGGATCTTCAGTTGTGATAGGAGATTCAGTTTCCAAACCCAATATAATTTTCATTCGTTCATAAGCTGGTATATTGTTGTAAATAAACCATTCAAGACCTTCAACACTACATACCACACGGCAGGGCAGTTTTGTATCTTCTATAAAATATTTTAATTTTTTTTATTAACGCATAATATTTATATAATAATAGATTACCTTTTATCCCAGAGTTTGGTTTTTGTACATTGAATAACCAGTATTGTATAGTGATATGACCTTTGACTATAGTAATAGATTGATTGGTAGAATGATAACGAAAATTTTTGAATAAGATGCGAGCACCGAGTAAAGTCACCCTAATAGAATCTTCATTTAAAGAAAAGAAAAAAAAAAAAGAGTTAAAATATTGAGATTGTTATTTTATTTTTTTTTATCTTGTTCTATTTTACCTAATTGTATATATGCTCCATAACGTCTCCATAAGTATTGATTTGCTATCAAAGTAACCAGACGTGCAGCCACTCGATTGAAATAAAAGAGAAAGAATAGGACAACAATAATGACCACAACGCAGCATACGATAAAGAGCCATAATTCAGTGATATTTGGACTACCTTTTGTAATTGTCTCTACATTTGAAATGACGTCCATGGTATAATATATACAAAAAAGGTGGAGAGGTCAAATTACAAATAAAAAGAAGATTATGATCAATCTCAAAAAAGTTTAGTAGAGAAAAAAAAAAAAGAAAAAAAAAGGGAAAATGGAAGAATGACACTGAAGAAAAGAGTGAAAAATGGAATGCCGCCCTTTTTTTTTTTTTTTTTTGACCTGATGGGAATGCCTTTTTCGGGTAAGTGATAGCAATGACCTGAAATTGTCTTTTTTAACGTTGTACACATTATAAAGGTGACCCGTAACATACTCTCATCTAGTTTTGTCTCCTTCTCACTTTTATCCAACTAATGAATCATATGAGAATAAATTAAACTGATATATTTTTATTTATTCCAATATCTATGCTTTTTCTGTGTCTGATCGAGTTTACAGTATCGGCAATTGAAAAAGATGATCACTTTTTTTTCTCCCTCGTTTTGGTTCTTTTCCTTCTTTCTCTCTCTTCTTTCTTTGGGTATTAAATGTTTTTCACCACTATTGGAAAAAGACGATCTACCATTCAACATTTGTTTAAATGGCCTTGTCAAAAAAGGAATTGGATGGTAATTATATAGAAATAAAAAAACAAAACGAAATCGCTCTTTATGTTCCTTATTTTTATTTTTATTATTATTATTATTATTGTTATTATCGCTAACACTTCTTTCTTTTTATATAAGAGTGTTGCTGGCATTGAACGTTCTCACCGTGCTCTTCTTTTTCCAGGTAAAATAATAATAATAATAAAAAAAAGATACATATATAAAAGTCGAATACTATATTCTCACCGTTTTTCTTCTCATTCTATGGGGAAACTTGTGAATTTATATAGGTCAAGGTTCTCAAGTGGTTGGTATGGGAAAAGATTTATGGGATCGCTATCCTAGAATAGTCAAAAGGGTATTTGATCAAGTAGACGATGCTTTGAACATGCCTTTACGGTCATTAATTTTTGATGGAGATCAGGTAAAAGATTAATTTATCGAGCGTCATTAATATATCTTTGGTTTTTCATATAGAATACTTTAACATTAACGGAAAATGCACAACCAGCTATATTAACGACATCTATTGCAATTCTTCGAATTCTTCAAGAGGAATATGGATTTGATTTACAAAAGGCATGCGCGTATGTATTGGGACATTCACTCGGTGAATATACGGCTTTAGTGGCGTCGGAATCATTATCTCTTACGGATGCTGTCCGATTGGTACGACTTCGAGGTCTCGCAATGACACAAGCAGTTCAAGATCGACAACCTACTGGTATGACGGTATTAGTAACACGAAAAGGAAAATTGGATGAAATCATGGATTCTATTCAAACTGTACAGAAACGCTTATCGACAAATGAAGTGGCTGAAATTGGAAATATCAATAGTGTAACTGCATTAAAGAAAAAAAAACCCAACTGTGATCAAAAACTTACCTTTTTTTTTTTTTCTTAAAATAGTCGACTCAAATTGTTATTAGTGGTACAGAAATTGGATTGAAAGAAGCTGTAGAATATCTCAAATCAAAACGGATGATTGTCAAATCCATGCCACTACCGGTTTCGTAAGCAAAAGAATATAATCAAACAGAATCACTGATTCTATTATTATTTCTTTTTTTTTTTCGTTAGTGGTCCATTTCATAGTTCATTGGTTAGTGATGCTGCTGTTGTCATGTCCAATGCACTCAAAACAGTATCATTCAAACAACCTATTGTCAAAGTTATCTCCAATGTGACAGGAAAACCAGTAAGCAGAAAATGTTATATCGTAATGTTATTATTGCTATTACTTAAAACATTCCAATTTTTATCTTTCTAGTATACATCTGTTGAAGAAATACCTCTATCACTCACAAAACATATAACATCTACTGTCCAATGGCATCCAAGTATTCATTATCTTAAAACTCAAGATGTTAGTGATTTCGTATCTTTTGGGCCAGGCAAGGTATTAGCCAATATGTTGAATAAGGATTATCCTTCCGATACTATCAGGTACATTAGTCATTTACTATTAATATAATGACAATTCATTTATTCCTTTCCTTTTTTTTTTTTTTTGTAGATCTTTAGATAGTATTGATGATATTTTAAATTATGTTCAAGAATTCTCAGATTAGATATAGAATAGTTTTTTTCTTTTTTTTTTGAATACATATATCAATAAAATAAACAAAAAGAAAACATACATTGCTTAATAAATGCTAATAAAAATATTCGTTCCAATCAAACTAATAAAGTCAATATTTCACCTAAACAATCAATAAAAACGTTTACAGCAAGGGAACCTAAATAAATAAATAAAAAAAAAGAATGTTGATACAGTGAAGTACCAACATTGTTTATTCAATATATTTATAAATACATTCGTGGTGGATGTGTACAAATAATAATCATAATCTAATAAAAATAAAAATCTATCTATCTATTTCTTCTTTCCCTTGGCCTTAGCAGAGGATGTCACCTTGGTACCACCACTAGCAATAACCTTCTTCATTGCAGCAGATACAGTTTCTTCGCTTTCAATCCAACTAATGTCAGCCAAATCTGTATCACCAAAACGTTTTTGGAATTTAGTCAATTGTTCACTTTCATCAGTTACACCTTCCTTCAACATGGCAGGATTCCATAAAGGATGGTTTCGAGTATCTTTGGTTAGTCGAATTTGTGAGCGAACAGGAGATGTTGTCCGTACAGTGTATGTTGCACCATTGCTTAATACGATGGTTTGTAAAAATTGTTCTGGTTTGGCATGGCTAGTTTGAGTTGATGCCAATCGTTTTGAACAATGATGTTGTGTGAAGACTCGGAAGGTACGTAAAGTTGTAGTTGTATTCATCAGTCTTGTGTTCATAGAGTTGTACATTAAAAAAAAAAAAGAAATGGAAAAGAAAAATATGAGCCAGGAGAGGATGAATGGAAATGGGCTATGGACGGAGTTATAAATCCAAAAGCCACTTTTTTTCTTTATTTCTTTTCTTGGTCAAATGCAAGCAAACGCTTTTCTTCTTGTGTCTCCATTCTTCTCGATTTTACCACATATAATATCAACATGTGGGCTTTTCGATCTAGTCAGAGAACACTGGCGACATCATGTCTATTCTCTTGTCGTATTCAAACTAGCATTTATCAACGTACATTTACCACTGATATCAAGAATGTAGGGAACAATGACAAAAACCTTATAGACTATATAATCCGCACGAAAGCAAAAACACCTACTTCCACAACGAACTCAACCAATGTCAAAAATCCCAAAAATCGATACCGTCGTCGTCGTCTTTTGAATAAACTCAAAAAAAGAGTTTATGCACATTCAATGTCCAAGGATGTTACCTCACCTGTCAAACTCTCTGTACGGAAAAAGAAAACTTTTCAAAACTTGGAACCTATTTTACTAGATGAAACAAAACAAGATCTAGATGAGTCTTGGCATGAATTAGATATATCTTCACAATACAAACGTAAGTACAAAGCAATAATGAAAATAGGATCAACTACTTTTTTTTTAAACTAAAATTTTCCATTTTTCATTTCTTAGGCATTTACCCAGATGAACATATACCTGTTGCCACTCTAGCCCATGGTTTAGATAAAACACTATTTAAGTAAGTAGTTTTTTTGTTAAGAAAAAAAAAAAAAGGAAATGAGAATGAAAATGAAAATTCTCAATAATTTAATTATATTGAAACTAGATCTGGTGTTCATCCTCTGAAAGATCTAAGCTCAAAGAAATTCCTATTTTCACCTTATTTGGAAAATATCACTCAACCAGACCAATTTGATTATGACGCCATGTTACCTTACAGAACTGCTTCCGAAGACAAGGTCAGTCAGCAAAATCTTTTTAGGTTTATTTATGCATCATCTTTGATTGACTTTTTTTATTATTTATTTACTTTGTAGACTCTAATTGCCATGGCCAAAAAAGAACATGCTCGTTATACTGGATCGACTTCTTCTCTTTCAGGTGTATTATGTCAACTTTATTTTAGACTTTCTAATCATCGACCACTGGATACTGCTCACTTTTCTCGAGGTTTTGTGAATGAGGTAAATCATATTATTGTAAAATCATATATTAAAATTTAACTTTTTTTATATTAATTTATTTGGGATGATTTACTAGCCAAATCAACATACACGTGGAAGTCGAGTACCAAAAACTATTTATTTACGATGGAAGGATGGTGTTTATGCCGTAGATGCAGATAAATCATTTGATGGAGAAGAAACAGTTTTATCATATTTGGTAAGAAAACATAAAATAAAAAGGGAAATTAATACTAAATATTTGTTTGTTTATTTTCTAGGGTCGGTCTATGGAAAAAATGTTGACGATGGAACCAAAGAAATATGAACGATATTTGAAGGAAAATTCATCTATGGTGACTGAAGATGAACGTAATGCTCCTGAAGCTTTTGCTTATGGTAAATTTGGTCATCTCTTTTTACGATCACAATTAGATTGTTCTCATGGCAAACTTCCTCGGCGCAACTTTGATTTAAAAACAAGAGCAACATTACCCGTTCGATTGGATATTCCTCATTATAAAGTATGTCATTTTTTATTTATTTATTTTATTTTTTTGAATCTAATGATATTTTTTTTTTCAAGGAATACTATAATTACAAATTAGAACAACATCATGGTCTTCACTATTCATTTGAAAGGGAATATTATGATATGATGCGAGCTGCTTTTTTGAAATACAGGTAATAATCGGCTTCTGAATACAAACATATATGAGGGATTTACTGATGTGATACAAACGTGGACCCTGCGTTCTTTTTTTTTTGAATAGTTTCCAAGTACGAATTGGGCATATGGATGGGATTATGGTGACATATCATAATACAAATACAATCTTTGGATTTCAGTATATCTCAAGAAATGAAATGGATGCAAGATTATTTGGAACACAAAAGATGGGGGATCAGGTCTTTACAAGTTGTTTATCCATGATGGAAATTCTATTTGACAAATTCACTAAACAATATCCAAAAACGGTAAATAAAAAAAAATAGTAGTTATTTGTATATCTTGTGACTAATGAAGCAATCATGGGGTCTTTTTAGACATTACGAATCACTTTAGATTGCTCTGAACCAAAGTATGAAGATATGCGCATCTTTGTGGAACCTGTCAATGATGACGAAAATACAACAACAAAAACCGGGGAACAAGCAGTATATGATGAATCTGTTAGCGACCATTTATCCATGTATCGACTCTATACACAATCTTATCTGAACAACAAATTGATCCAGGGACCAGTTTCGGTGAATAAGGAATCGGATGTATGGGATATATATTACAAATTAGAAGAACAACAAAATATACCAAAGGAAGACTTGATGACCAAACTCAAGAAATTACGACGATATCAAGCAACTGCCTTCTTACCCCAATCAGAAGAATCTCCAAAGTTTTTGAATCGGTTCAAGTCTCCACGTGTGATCTCTGAAAAGAAATCATTACCCACAGATGAAGATTTGGAAAAATTGAACCTTACAAAACAATCTTCCCCTTAGTGTATAGATATGTTAGATTTTTTTTTTCTTTTTGGCAATAGAATTAGTATTTGTATATAGTTTTTATTTTGAAATGAAACGTTAAAATAAATTGAATTATGAAACAAAAAAAAAAAAGGATGTATTTGTTTTTTTTTTACAATAACAACAAACATATTTTTCATAACAGGTCATAAGTGGAGTGCATTCCCCATCTTTATTTCTTTTTTTGACATCATGATGGTGATGGTGGGAAGAATGGGCGGAGATGTGCGGTTTCTGTAAGGTACCAATGTCATCTTGTGCAACGGTACATCACTGACCATAATGGTAACCAAAAAAAAAAAAAAAAAAAAAAAGACTGAGACAGAAAACTTTTTTTTTATTGTAAAAAAGACAAATGTATATAGATGAGAGAAATGTCGTTGATGTATCGTCATTGAATATGTATAGATAGATAGATATATATAATGATAAACAAAATGAAGGTATAAAGACAGACTAAACTAATCGATGACATTCAGCCAAATGACGATCCTTATCCAATTTCAAACATTTGAGACCACAATAAGATTGAGATTTACATCGAGCACATACTGGCATAGAACGTTTTTCAATAGAGCAGTAAGAACATACCATGACTATTGATCCATACGAAGAAGAAGAAGAAGAAGAAGCAGATGAACCAGTCACACTACCATCACTATGAAAAGATTGTTGTTGTTGTTGTTGTTGATAACGTAAACAGGTATCCAACATGGAAGAAACCTGTTTTTGAATCAATATCACCTTTTGTAATGTCACGTCCATGAAATCCATACATTTTCTACAATCATTGGCAGCCTTGGCCCAATCCTTTTCACTAAACCGAATTGAAGCTCGACACTGATAGATCATTGCACGCATTCCTTGTAAATACATATCTGCCTGATTATCATACAGTTTCAATCGTTTACCCAATCGCCATAATTCTTGACACCATGGTTCCACCATTGTTAGATCATCCAAATGTAGTAAGATATGTTCCGTGGAAAGACATACCAATTGGAACGCCTCTTCACTCATTTTGCCATCATATTGTTGTTCTTGTTTCCTTAAAAGACCCATAGTATCCGCCATAAATGAAGTTTTCTTTTCCATACATCCATCATCTGAAACTGAAGGGGAAGGAGGTGGAGAAACCATCGCCGTCGTCATATTGCCTTTTTCGTTCAGCGTCGTAGATGATAATCCATGATTAGGTTCAGAATGAAAAAGAATGGTAGGCATACTTGAGCAATAATAAAAAAACCTGATTATAAGGAATTTTGTATGATATAAGACAAATAAATAAAAAAAAGGAAAAGAAAGAAAGAAAGAAAAAAAAAAAAGAAATAACAAAGATCAAGTAAAAAAAAAAAAAAATATACACCGACCGGAGTATCAAATACGCACAAACACACCATTCTCACTTTTTTTTCTTTGAGTTATACAGGAGTGAGCTCCGTCGTCTATCTTCTAATAAAAAGCGATCATTACCCAGGTTGATTGGCTTCAACCCAGAACATGTGACCTCTTGTGTAGCACAAATCTTTGGTAGCCCTATCTAAAACCATTAGGATCGCCTTTTTTTTTTTTTTTTGATAGCCCGTTACGAGCAAGAAGAGATTTGTAGAACATAGAAGAAAAAAAAAAGGTAATCTGATTTTCATTTGCAGTTGGAAAAAGTTACCAATTTTGTGTTGCGCTTAGTCAAAATAAAGTTAAAAAAGGATCTTTTTTCTTTTCTTGTTTTTTTTTTTTCGAGGAGGTCTAAGGAGAATGATTTAGCCAATAAGATGATGCAAGGATTGCATTACATGACAACAGTATAGATCGTTGTTTAACTTTGTTTCGTTTAAGATGATGATGATGATGATGTGGGATGATAAACATTAACACTTTTTTTTTATTATATCTACTTACATATATATATACAATACATATTTTTATTTTTTTTTCTTTGGTGAAGATAACTACAAGATCGTCCATTATGATGTTACATTGCTATCACCTTTGTTCAAAGGGGAAAATCTAATGTAAACAAAAGAATCAGGGGGATTCTTTATGCCTCTCCCCAAATATATCTACATCCTTTTTCATTTTCTTTGTTCCTCTTTCCTTTTCTCCTTTCAAACTTGGATTCATCATCATCATCATGATGGATAAAACTCATTCCGTTCATGTTAGAAAAGGATCAACTACTACGAATACGAGACAACAACAACAAGGATTTACTACAGTATTTAGTGATGATGATGATGATCATCTACAAGATCATTCATCATCATCTTGGAAAGTGATTCCATCGTTACAGTCACAACGTACCTCTTTCTCGCCACATTTCATCGATCCATTACAAACATCCACAGCCTATCATATTCATCAAGCAGAGATTGCACTATGTCGTCTAAAATCTGCTGTGTTAGATCATGATGCGCGTGGTTGGAAAAAAGTAATGAAACATAAGAAATGTGGCGTCGTGACGTATATGAAATCCTGTTCTTCTTCCTCCACCACCGCCACCACTGCTACTACATTAACTTCCATGACATTTCCTAATAACTATAATCATCATCATCATTATCATCATTACTATGATGATGAAAAAATCCCCATGTTTAAAGGTGAAGCCATTTTTGAAGGATTCACACCTCATTCGATTTTTTATGTTATCGGCATGCGAAAATTATGGGATGAACAATATGAAGATGGCAATCTGGTCGAGAATCTAAATGATACCACCTCTCTTACTTATGAAGTTTGTAAACCATCATCATCATCATCATCATCAAAGTAAATAATAATTATCATCACAATAAAAAAAAAAAAGAGGGGGGGGGAACGGATCAATTGCCCTGATATGGTATTCATCATGTCAAACGGAGATCCAGGTGTCTAACTAATATTACTATAACAATAATAACATACGACATACAACAATTACGTTTCTCCTTTTTTATATATATATGTAGGTCCCGTAGAGATTTATGCTTGGTGGAGAAAATCGAATGTACTCATAATGGTACGATTCTTTTTGCTTGTACCAGCGTTGAAACACCTAAAGTACCTAGATTAGAAGGTCGAGTCCGTGCTCAAATCAAGGTAAAAAAAAAAAAAAAAAAAAAAAAAAAGCTCATCCTCTTTCTTTTTGTTCTTGAAATAAAGTTGATGGGTTGGGCATTGGAACCTTTATCTTCTGGTGCAGTACCTTTAACTAAAGTGACGTTTGTGATTCAAGAGCCGACCAAAGGTTGGATGTCAAGTTTAACAAAGAAATCATTAGCAAGAAGACCATTAGTGATCTCCTTGGTACATGATTATTTAAAAGTCAAAGCGGAACGAACTCGTTTATCAGAATTACAACATCGACATTGGGGTCAAGCAGCTTCTATTAGAAAACGACCATCATTAATGATGGTGTCACAACAACAACAACAACAGCAACAACAACAACAACAACAACAACCATGTTTTAAAAGGTACCAATGAAAAATTTATGCTTTCTTCTTGCTTTTGAAACACCGCATCAAGCTTTTATCTCTTTTTTTTTCTTTTTTTTTTTTTTTTTAGTTCTTCACTTCTTCAATCTCCATCTTTTAATGGATCCACTCCAGCTGGGTCATCACAACAAACTCTTTCTACAGGCGTTTCTTTCTCAACAGTCTATACGAACAAACATAATAAACGAATCACTTTTGCTTCTACTAAAGATATTGCATCCCTTTCTACTGAACAGCAAAAGAACAACGATGATAACGACGACAATGGAAAACCAGTAGAAAACCCATATGGTCTCATGTCTCCACCATTAACACCTTCTATTCCTTTTGGAAAAAACATTTATCCTTCTCATCGACACTTGGCTACTAGGGACCAAAGTATGCTACTCTTGAAACATCTATATACATCACAAGAAGGATGGCAGCTGGAATATAATTCACCTGAAGCAAAAACTTATATCAAGGAGTATCAAGGTGTTCGATATGCAAGATTAGAAGGTTGGATTGTAGGTGATTGGCTTCCGGAACAAATTAGTTCCATTATACATAATGTTGATGCAAGAAAATACTGTAAGCTGACTAAAAGCACAAACAAAAAGATTCTCCCTGTACATCATGGAATGAAACTCGATCTCTGATTTCTCCTTTTTTCTTTTTTTTTTCTTCTTTTTGTATCTAACTCCCTTTGTTTTGATTTTATAGGGGATGAGAATTGGGAAGGTGGCAGTATAGTGGATCGATTCAGTCAAAAGGATTATTTGATGCATTGGATTATTGGGAATAAAAAGAATGATTTGTCACAACAACGACAAGACATGGCAGTCATTACTCATATTGACAGTGAAAATGGAGGTAACAGGATATTTATAGCTAGCAAAAGCATTGACGATCATCAGATACCAAATCAAGATGGATATGAACGCATACATATGACTCTTTATGGTTGGGTAATATCCAATCATGCAACCACATTATCACCAACAAGAAGAAATAGAAGGAATACAGGGGATTACAATATCAAATCGAAACACACATCATCATCATCTCTTGTCTCCTTTATAGTGGATATATCTCTTCCATGGGCACAAAAACGTATCGTCGACCAGACACAATCATCATCACCTACAGCAACAACAACAACAACAATAGCACAATATCAATGTTTAATCAACCTTCAATCCTTTTTATCATGTCATGGATGTCCACCATATATTCGTCGTGTATCAGGAAAAGTCACAGCAGAGCATTTCGATACTATGACTTTGACTTATCAAGTGACATGGATTGTCAAACATCACCCGCCTTATCATCATCAACCACAACAAGAACAACCTGCAACATCATGGTGTACGGATATTCGAGTAGATCAGTCTATGTATCCAGATGGATATCTTATTGATGTTTCACCTTTGGATGGCACGCGTCTTGACATCACATCCGACCAACAATCAGTCATGATTTTCACAACTGACGCTTCTATGGAAGGGGCTTTGATTCACGTGAAAATCACTCATCGTCAACCTGGTCGATCATCCAATGCGGCAGAACATCAGACTTTTTCATTACAATCAGCTGAAAACAAATCCAAAGGTAAAAAAAAAAAAAAAAAAAATCAAGTGAAATATAGGTTAAGAATGAAATTAATTAATTTTTTTTTTTTTTTTGGTTTATCATTTAGTATCAACCAATCCACGAAGCATAGTCAGTGCGAATAACAATCATCATAAACGATCTGTTACACCTGTGATCCATTGCGTCTCACCTTCAACTTCTCATTATCATCATGGCACATTACAAGTACCCAAAGGTTATGTTTTAATTCCTGAATCCAATAAAGTAAGAAATAATGAATATAAACAAATATCAAAAGGAAAACTCATTTATATATATATATATGTAGTCACAACAACAACAACATCACCACCACCACCACCATCAACAACATCTGATCAACCTGACTGATGATTTGACATTTAATGGGCAACAATTAGCGTTGATTTTCTTTTGTATGGTGATGTCTTATTACATAGGAAAATTAGCCAGTACTTGTCCTTGATCTATATGATCGTGTAGTGTGTATTAGTTATCATTCAGAGTATTGTTTATAATAAAGTTTGTTTTTTTTTAACTCTTATTGTTGAAAATGAGTCAAAAGAAAGTGACAAGACATGCGATTTTTTTTTTTTTTGGTGTCATGTCCATGCGCATTCACATGATGAGAAAGAATTGGTTTATTGTTAACAATTGTGTCCCTAGTTACCAAGCAGGACAAAAAAGGTAATGATGGGGAAAGGAAAAAAAAAAAAAAGAGATACAAGGGTTTTATTTTGGGGGGATAGAAAGCAAAAATCATGGATGATGGTCTCGGAATATATATATATAATATTATGTGAATGTTAGCAATGAGCTTTCAATTCAAAAAAAAAAAAAAAAAAAAAACGGGAAATATATATACATATATATATATATATATATCATAAAGATTGATATGGAAAAATTATTGACAAATCTGGAAAACCCGATATCATTCAGAGATAGGAATATCTAGAATTGCCTAATATGGCTATGGGCGGAAAAAGGGAGGGGGTGTTATTATTTATCTGTTTATTTATTTTTTATTCACCTTTGTGTTCCGTACTCCGCTTTTAGAATAAGAAACATTTTGATAGAAAAAGGGATTCTTGTCTATGATTTTTTTTTTTTTTTTTGCACTCTTCCTTTCCTTCTTTTTTCTTCTTTTTCTTCTTCTTCTCCTCTTTACCTACTTATACGATAATCTAAACGAACAAAAGAAGAAACGATGTTTCCTCCTACTTCTTTTGCGATGAAACCAATAGAAATACCTTGCATGAACACCATCAAACAAGATGATTTATTTTCTTTATGGCAAGGTAAATACAGTAAAAAAAAAAAAAAAAAAAAGAAAAAATATGAACTGAATGGATTATTATTTTTATTAGTGTTTTCAAAAAATAAATCAAATTTAGAAAATACAAAACGATTAGAAAATTTCAGTTGGAGGCTATGGTATCATGAATCATTACAACATCAAATCCCAATACCCGTAACATCCAACAATTCAAGTTTATCGTCACATTCTACATTAGGACCACAAACTCCATTACCAGTAAAAGAAGAACAAAAACGAATAAGCAAGTTTTATTTGGATGATTCAGAAGATGATTTAGATGATGATGATTTAGATGATGAAGAATTATGGAGTACAGTTAGTACCAAAGATGATTATTTAGAACAAGCTTATCAACATGATTTTGATCCACCAACACCTAAAAAGGAAATGACTCCGGACAACCATCTATTTAGTTCCACACATGTACAAAAAAAACCAACTTATTGTTCATTACTCTCACGTTTATTTCAATCTTCCAGTATTAAGGATAATAATAATAATAATAATAATAATAATAATCATGTTAAAACAGATCTTCCTCCTCAATTACAATCATGTGTTGATTGGGAAAGATCACAAAATAGAATTCCATATCGTTTAGGATATTCATTACCTTTACCTGATGAAAAAAATATCATTTGGTAACACAAAATCAAACTACACACATTACATTACATATACCCGTTAAAACACATCCAATAAAATAGGATTCATTCAATAGTATAATATTCATAGGCGGTTATTCAATATGTTTTCGCGCTCCCTTTTTTTTTTTTTTTGAACCTTTTTTTTTTTTCCACTCCTTTCGTATGCAATCCATTATTATTTGTTGTGTACGTTCAAAACCCTATTTTTTTTTATTTTATTTTATTTTTCGTTCTTTTCTTTCTTTCTTTCCTTTTTTTTTTTTTTTGTTTTCCCTCCTTTCTTCTTTCATTACTACTTTTTATTCATATATATTTTATTTTTTTTTCTTCTTTCTTACTTTTCATATTCTTATAAACAACTTGAATTCATCATCTTGACCTCCCTTTTTTTTTAAAGCGTGATTGCTCTTTATAATGACAAAAGGTAAAAAAAAAAAAAAAAATAATAAAAATAATATAATATTTAGTTTTATTCATTTTTAATATATTTTTTAGATCAATATGTTTGTCAACGAGCTGCCAACGCCATTATATCTGAAATAGGACCTTATCAAATATCTTCAGATGCTTTACAAGCTGTTAATCAATTCCTTGACCAAGTCTTAATGCTTTTATTACAAAGATCACAATGTTTGGATCTCTCTCAGATAAAAACTCATTTTTTGACCTTATTACCTCTTAGTTTGGGAAAAAATGCTATTGTGGAAGCTGAATTGGAAGTCAAAACTTATACTGAAACTAGTGTTATTGATTATCCTTTATATGAACGTATGCGAAGCTGGAATGCAACTAACTTTCCTTTAGATCAAGTGGCTACTTGTTTAAGACAAGAATGTATAGATCATTGTACTTTGGCTGATAAAAGTGTTTCAACTAATGATAAACAACAAGATGAACAACAACAAAATCAATTAGTCCTCTCTCCAATGGTCATCATTTATATCACTACTTTATTGGAACATTTGGCTGAATATATTTTAACAACCATTGCTGTCACTGCTGATCAAGAAGATACTGAATATGTACGAATCAAAGAGGTTTATTTAGCATTACTGGATGATGCCCAAGTAGGTCAACTCTTTCAGCAATTAGATCTTCGTATTAAATTGGAGGTAAAAAAAAAAAAAGCTTATTTCTTTTATAGTTACACAATTCAATCTCAAAAGGTAATTACTCACCTTTCCTTTTTACTTTTTTTTGTTTTATTATTTTTATTCATTTAGAAACGAACTATATCCTATCAACAGACTCAAAGAATGATGACTTTACCTTCTCCAGTTCCAAGTCCTGTAGCCTCTTATAAAAATCAAGCATCCATTTCTCAAGATACATTTGGTAAAAATAATAAAAGAAAAAAAAAAGAAAAAGAAAAAGACTTCATTTCTCACTTATCAACAATTTTTCCTTTTTTCTTTAATTTTTTTTTTTTTAGTTCATGATGAAGACGAAGACTACGATGATAATGATGACTTTCACTCTGAACCACCTCCATCTGCTCATACACAAACCTCTTTTTCCATCAAATCTACACAAAGTTCATCTTATTACCGTCCAGTATCTGTTATTAGCAATGGAACAACTGCTACCAATCGTTCTTCATCAAGCATCAAAAAAGGTTTTCGCTTCTTTGGGAAAAAAGATAAACGATCATCAGTCGCTAGTCATGCTACAACCACAACAACTGGTACAGCTAATACTATCACTTATCAACGGCCTTCTACTCCTTCATCTATTCAAGTCAATGATCCTGATGCTCCTTCTTTGGATTTTGAAGATTTGATTCGTTCTGGTAATACCATGAAAGTCTCCTTGACTCCCAATCGTTTGCGATCAATCGAAGTGAAATCACCATCACCATATGACCAACAATACAAATCTCCTGCCAGTCCAATCCCTTCTCAAATAAAATCAACCAATCCTTCTTCATCTTCCACCCGCCCTCCTCCTACTGGTGTTCCCTTTGAAAACCCACGTGCTGCTCCTAAACCGCCCATCAATAAAAATCAACATCCATCACCCAAAGTAGCATCCAAACAACAAACTCCACCATTGACTCCTAATTCCAGTATATCCTCAAGACCATCTAAACCCAGACCTCCTCAACCATCTTTTGAAGAAGATCAACAACAACATGGCAACATACAACCAATTAAAACCATGAAACAATCTCCACCTGCTCCATTACAACTTGTTGGTCGAAAGAATCAACAACATGGTACGGATTCGGAAACAGAAGATGTATGTGTGACAGATTTACCTTCTCCTCCGAGCACTAAGGAACATCATCGTCCTTCTTCGACAACATTTAGTGCCTTATCTAAAGAAGAGTCCCCTGTCTTGTCTCCTACACTGTCTTTTACAAACCAAAAGCCAAGATACAATCGACCCTCTAGTATGGTGGCCAAACGAGCTTCAGGAAGTATACGTCCGACTTCTTATCATGAAAGTTATGCATTGACAATGGAACAACAACAAGCAATGACGAATGCTGATATCAGACCATCTTCACCTTCTTCACCTAAACCTGGTTCAGTCTCTGATGATGTTGTTCCACCTGTGAATACGCAATCCCCAGCAACAACCAATACGACAACCTTTGTTGATCCACATATTACATCAACACGAGCAATGATACGTAGACGCACAACAAGGCCTATGTCACAAGTGATTGTTGAGGAAGAAAAGGAATCTACTGTGAATGAACAAGATGAAGGCAAAGTTATAGCAACAAAAGAACATCAGGAATTACCACCATCGTCATCCTCATCCTCATCGTCAACAACAGCAACAACAACAACAACAACATCGTCATCATCATCATCATCATCATCGTCGTCGTCATCATCACTACCGCCGACATCAACTTCAGTGCCATTGCAGGACAAAGGCACTCATTTTATGACAGCATCCACTATATCTTATGATCGACGAGATCGCATCCTTCAACTTTTACAACAACAACAAAAATGGAAACCTGTGATGGTTGATTCAAGCATGCAAACTGATCCTATACCTGGCTTACCATCATTGGCCACTCTTCTTTCAACAACTATACCTACCTTGATTGTAACAGAAGATAAACATCGACAAGAACAACAACAACAAGAAGATAAGGAAGACGTAGAAGAAAGAATATCTACTGGAAGTGAACGAGGAATGGTGGATGGTGATGAAGAATGGTTCCTTCAAGATGAAGATTGGGATGATACACAAGAACAAGATTCTATGATGGCTGAATGGCTTCTTGGTGAAAATTGATGGTTTTTTATTTAGTTTAGTTTATTTCATGTATATCATTTTTTTTTTAATTTATTTATTTCTTACATATTTATAATGTTTATTTAATTCCTTTTACTTTTCATTTTTTTTTGAAAATAAAAAATGAAGCTTACCTATGATTAACATCTTTGCCTTTTGAATTTTTATGTCCCAGCAAACAAACGAGTAGAAAAAAAAGTAAAAAGTAAACTTTATCTTTTTTTTTTCTTCTTCTTTTTCTTCCTTTTTCTCTTTCTTTCTTTCTTTCTTTTTTTTTCATATATTATTAATGTTGGTCGACTCAACAACATTGAAATCAGCTAAGACAAGTTCTTCCACATATTTAGTCAACAAATCCTCTTGTGCTTGTCGTATTGACCGCTTACTCCATCAACAGCAACATTATATCTTTATTACTAGTGCTCAGCCAACCCATCTCCCTCGCCAGACGTTTATAGTTTATCATATTCGTTTGAATGTAAGTCTATTATAGAATGTTAGTTGTGTGTGTACTCATAGTAACTGTTAGGATATTGAAACCAAACGACGGTATAGTGATTTTGAATCTTTACGAAAATTATTGGTCCAACTCTATCCAGTTTGTCTTCTTCCACCTATTCCAGGAAAACATTCCATTTGTAGGTATTATTTGTTTACTTTCTTTTTTTTTTTTTTGAAACAGGATAATTTGATTCCCCCCTCCTTTTTTTTTTCTTTCTTTTGTTAGTGGATTATGCTGCAGGTACCAAAAAAAATGATCAACCTACCATTGAGAGACGAAAACGTATGTTACAAACCTTTTTGAATCAATTGACAAGACATCCTCAATTAGGACGTGATCATTTCTTTCATCAATTCTTAACTTCAAACGTGGATTGGGTAATAATAACATTTAATTATTAGCATGAACTTACTTTTTTTTTTTTTTTGTTTGTAGGCTCAAATCATTCATTCATCATCTGTCAGTTTTCTTTCAAAACAACATCCATTACATATGATGACTTCACCAACATCCTCCTCCAATGCTTGGGTACATCAACCTTTACTTTCTCATCGTATTGTACCAACTCCAACTAGCTCAGCATTCAAACAAAAGCCAGATCCATTTCTTTTCTCAGAAGAAAAATATACCCGAATGGCCAACTTTATGCACCAGCATATCGAAAAAAATCAACGCAAAGTCATACGAAGGCTAGATGGTAAAAAAAAAAAAAAAAAAAAAAAAGTCTTTTATATTGTAACATTAACTTATTTCTTTCTGTAGAATTGGCCAACGATTATGCAGAATTGGCTGCCTTGTACAATGGTTTTAGCTTAAATGAAATGAATACTATTGCGATCGCTATTGAAAAAATGGGACAAACAGTAGATGATGCTTATACCAAAACAGGTGACATGGTAGGTAAAGAAAAAAAAACAAACAAACAAACAAATAATATTGTCTTCTTGAATTCCTTAATGATTTAGGTACTCAAATTAGAAGGAGAGTTTATCGAACCAACTCAATCACAAATTCAAATGGCACGAGTTGTCAAACAAGTCATCCAGTTTAGATACCTCAAACAAGTTCAATTGGAAATGGTACAACAGGCTTATGATGACAAACGTTACGAATTGGATCGTCTATTACGAATGGATCATCAATTCAGTTTGGAACAATCACGACATGATCAACAACAAATCATTCCTTCTACTTCGTATGTAGGTCGGATGTTCAGTTCTGTGGGATATTCTTTACAGCATTTGATTGACGCAGATCCATCCAGCACTCGACGAAACCAAATTGGGAAATACAAAGAAGCAATACAGATGGTAAGATCATAGTAGAATGACCAAAAAAAAAAAAAAATTTAACTAATTCATCCTTCGCACACGAGCCATTAGCTTGAAGAAGCATTGTCAATATGTAGAAATGATACTCGATTGGCAACGGAACAACTAGAAAAGGAAATCGCCCGATTCGAAGATGACAACATATTGACTTTACGTGAAACATTGATGGCCTTTGCCGATGTCCATTTACAATACTGTCAAAAGGTAAGGTATAAAAATAAAGAGGGACTAAATAGTTGAGCTCATCTCACTTTTAATAGAACCTTCAAGCCTGGCAAGATACCAAGCACAAAGTGAATCAAATTTCACGTTGATTCTGATACCACACATTTTGATATTTGTAGCTTAGTGCTAGAATATATCAATAAACTTTGTATAATTTGTGATTTTTAAATTTTTTTTGTGTTCAATCGAAATTGGAATGAGTCACATCATTAAGTTTGAATGATTCACGTATGATGTATTTTGATGGTTTCATTATTTTTAATTTATTGAGTGTGATAGTTTTCTAATGATATCTTGATGCTGTGGAAACTGCTTGGACAGATCATCCGCATCAGCTACTTTAAAATCACGAAATTCAAATCCAGGAGCTACGGTGCATCCCACCAAAGCAAAAGCATCTTCATCTTTGTGAACCAATTCAGCGGCAAACCAAGAATGTTTTTCGATAGCACACACCAACGCATCACCTTGATCTATATTGTTTCCCAAAGAATGGATCTTGAGTGTCCCATCGGGCTTGATTTCATAAATATGCAGATGTGTGCTACCAAAATAATAATGCCATAACTCGTCGGATTTGATTTGATGGAAAATGGATGTCTCGTCTTTCTTCAGTAAATAATAGATCGCCGTCGAACAACTTCTATCCCCATCAAAACCATCAGCTTTGACTGTAGATGGGTCTTTATATATCTCCCTATAATGTCCACCTTCTGGATTTAATTGTAAATCGTACTTTTCGATAAGATAGGAAGCTGTGTATTTCATCTTTTTTTTTTTTATTATTATTATTATTTCTTTATCTTGGAGGTTTCTTTTATATCGTTTCAAAATTCCCGATCAACCTATTTTTAGACAATCATACATAAGAATGCTAAGCGAATGATAACCATAAAGTGGTAATGACAGTGTGAATCAAGAGTTGGAGTCATTTGATACCTGCATGATAACGGATAAACAGTGTTCTCAAGTTTACCGAGAGGCTTATTCAGTCATGTTGTTGTTTATTATGATAAGAAGTCTAACTTTATTATATAAAATATAGATAATAATAAAAAAAAAAGTGTTGATAAACTAAATGAAAGATGATAAAAAAAAATGCTATACAGTGTACAAAAAATAAAAGAAAAGGATGAGGTAATCAAAGATGGATCAAAGTGAGAATAAGAATAAAAAAAAAATGCTGATAAAGGATTATAATAATAATAAAAAAAAATCTATCGTCTTTTGCGTTTGCCAGCAGTATCTGAACCCTTCAATCGGCTATGGATAATCTTTTTGGCGGAATCATCAGGTTTGACCTTGTTTCGATTTCGATTCTTGACATTAGCAGTTTCATAAAAGTGGACACCAGCCTTCTTCTTTTTGTTGCTAGGTTCTTCAACATTATTGGTCTTGACCTTTTTACGAGGATTAACGGTATCTTGATCATCATCATCATTGTTATCGTCGTCATTTTCTTCGGATTCCATGTCACTCATTTCCAATTCACTGTCTACTTCTTCTTCTTCCCCTTCAATCACAGGAGCTTGTACTTTTGGACCATCTTCACCTACCACACTATCAAACACTTCATCCCAATCAGTCACATCATCAGGAGGATTGTCCTCTTTTTCTGTTGTCTTGTTGGCTTCTTCCTTTCTTTGTTTGATCATTTCACGTTCCTTTTCCCGAAGTTCCGCATTGTTAGCCAAATCATCTTCCATAAAGTCAGAGGACACAGCAATCTTGCCAAAGATTTGTTCGACCTTGAGTTTCTTTTTGATGTCTTCCATTTCCAATTGTTCTTCGGTCTTGGGAGCCACGGCTTCAGGAGGAGCAACGTAATAAGGGATACGACCACGTAACCAATCATTGAGCACCATCACAGCTACATTATGAATATCAGGTTCACCACGTTTTAATAACTTGCCTGTTTTGCGACCTAATTGTTCCAAGAAATCAATAGGATCCTTCCAATCACGAATACCATAAGTTCGCTTGATATATTCATGTCGTACACGTTGAAGAATGGTGGGAATAGTATCATCAGGATTAGGAATATTTTCAACACGAACAGAACCCTTGAGAATAATGTCCACTTCGTCATCTTCAACATTGGGAGGAACCACACCAGGACAATCGATCAAATAGATACGTTTCATGAGGGTAATATATTGCCATACTTTTGTTTCACCAGCAATAGGAGCCACACTGCATACTTTTTTGGCCTTCAATGTATTGATAATAGATGATTTACCAGTGTTGGGATAACCAATGAAACCAACCGAGATTTGTTTCTTATCAGAATGTAAGGATGAGAATTGACGTAACAGTTGAATTAAAGAACCTTTGCCGAAAGAATTGTTGATAGAGGCATGGAAAGCAAGAGTAGGACAATCTTTGGAAAGTGTAGCCACCCAACGAGCCTATCATAAAAAAAAAAGAATAAATTTTCCCATTTTTATTTGTTAAATATTATCAAGTTCTTACCGTAGACCAAGTAGGTACCAAATCACATTTGTTCAAGACAAAGATCAAATGTTTATGAGGTTTTTCCTTGCGAATAAAATTTTCCACATTCTTACAACGAGTACCCATAGGATCACGAGCGTCCAATACATGAATGATGATATCTGAAGAATCGATAACTTTGTAAAGTTCATTCCAAATACGTTTCGATTGACCAGCTTGCAAGTACCAAGCACGAGCTTCATCCACAAAGTCGACTTCCTTGTTGGCCAATAAACTAGAGTCATTACTTGGTTTGTAGTTTTCTATAAAATATTCAAATTAGTTTTTCCTATTCAACTTTTTTCTTCCTCCTTATTTACCATGTGTATCATCCACTCTTGACATCATTTCTTCCATTGATCCAGAAGTCAACTTGGGACGTTTACGTTGAGCCTTGTTACCAAAAGTGTTTGAGAAAGAATCAGTTTCCAAAATATGCATACGACTTGTTGAGGTAGGATCTTGTAACAAAGACATGGGTAACTTGTTTTGTTTAAGTAAAACTTGATAAGGATCATGAACTTTGGCACCTAAAGATTCTCTAAAGTCTTCTAAAGCCTTTTGACCAATCACACGAGTATTACCTATCAAAAAAAAAAAAAAGAAGAGTTCACTTTCTTGATCTATTCATTTATGATTTTTATAACTTACCGAACCATTTTCTGTTGGGAGCTACTCTAGCAGTTTTGACTTCAGAGCTTTGAAAGTCGGCAGCTTTAATAATATTTCCTTTCGAGTCCCTGATAGCTTTACCACCTTTCAACATGTTGATATATTTGAGTTTCTTGGCATCACGATAAAAGTTTTCTCCCTTGACTCGTAAGTTGGAAGCACGATCATCACCACCAGCTTTATCTCTTGATACTCTGTTCTTTTCTTTCTTGAATTGACCCATTGTATAATATAAAGATATAGAGAGAGAGTGTATAGATCCAAAAAAAGAAAAAGAATAAAAAAAAAAAAAAAAGAAAAAAAAAGAGAGAAAGAAAAGAGATGGACTGCTTTTTCTTTCTCTCTTTGTACTCTTTCCCTTGAATTTAAAGGTCAGTTACTTTTTTTTTTTTTTCATGCCAATTTCCCTTTTTCTTCTTTCCATTTTTATTTTATTTCCCCTCTCTCCATTTTTTTTTTTTTTTTTTTTTGAAAGATGGCTTCTCAAGGTGAGATATTTTTTATGATGAAATTCTTTTTTTTTTTAAAAAAATAATACAAAGAAAACTAATAAAAATTTATTATTATATTGAATGATTAGATATCATCTCACAACTGCGTGACCTACAATCAGCTATAGATGATTTTACGGACCTGAACATTACTACTGCTACACATTCGGAAAATTATTCAAATGAATCCATTCATCAAGATAAGATACAAATCGAAGAAAATCAAAAGTCTTTGATGGATTCTGTCTTACCTTTTCAATTATCTGATGATGATGATTTCTCCAATTTACTTGACCAACTGAATGAAATTCAAATTGATCCAATAGATACTCCTATGACAACAGAAAAAACATTGATATCAACAACAGAAGATCATACTATTCGAACTATAACCAATGAAGAAAAAATTTTAATAGATGATATGACTACTCCACAACAACGATACGTTAGACCACTTTTACCTTATTATGCAAGTTCTCCACCACTTTCATCAGTATCTCGTACTACTTCTACACTCTCTATCAACAGCAAAAGATCTATCCGATCACATAAAAGTATGATGGGCAATAGCAAACAACGATCAATCACAACTTCTTCTTCTACTATTCATCCTAGCAATAATAAAAGATCATCATCCAACAAATATCATGCTCGTACTTATGGTGAAATGATGCGGATTCCTGATATTCATGAACGAATTCGATTTTATGAAAAGACTTATAACCTTTGTGTACGTTCTGAATCTATTTTGGCAAACTGGATCAAAAAAACAAAATCAAAAGGCGTTCCACAACCAATGCTTGAAGGTAACACATGCATACACAACAAACAAACACATATATATATATATATATATTCATTTTTCCTTTTTTTTTTTTTTTTTTTTTTTTTAGGTTACACTCCACCTCCTCGACCAATGTTGATGCCTTCTTCCTCATCGTATATGTCACTTGGATCAAGAAGTGAAAGTGGTCACTTCCGTTTAAGTTCATCTCTCAGTGGTTCCATTAGTATGTTTTTACGTAAAGCTTCTTCATCCACCACAAACAATAAACGAACCCCAGCAATACCGGATGGACCATCACGTTCCTTTGGACGTCAAGGACTGGACAAAACACATCGTTTGGCCCATTCTATGCATTGGAGTACTTTACAACCTCACCAACTACAACAACCACAAGTATCATCTACTATCTCATCATTCTCACCTACGCCATCTTTACGCCATCAACATTATCGTCATCGTCAAAATCATCATCGATATAAACCATCGTCCTCATCATCAACATATCACATGCCTTTACCATCACGTATCACCCCTATGATAGAATCATATCAACCGACCTCTTCACCCTCCATGCGATCTCTACGTATACCTTCACCAGTCAAAGCAACTAAAAAACAACGTTCTTTATTCCGATCACAGAGTTCGATTAAATTACAACAAAGTACACCTTGTCGACAAAAAGGAACATTTTTATCCACAGCCAAATCAATCAAACAATCTCCATTCGCTTCAAGAATACCAAGACAATCTATTACCTCACTCAAGGATCCAATGGATCCAGTTAAACGAGATGCCACTCTTATCTTTAGTCATTTGAAAACTGCTCCTACCACGCCAAGGTCATCACTCTCCACTCGTAGTCTCAAAAACAAGTCAAGTGCTTGATCTTATTATATATATTCAAACTCCCACTAAAAAATTTATGCCTTCCTTTTTTTCTCACCCCTCTCTTTCTCTTTTTCTATCTTCCTCTCTCTTTTCTTTTTTCTTTTTAAAAAATACATATATATATACCTACATTCACTACCCCTTCCTTTTATTTTATTTTTCTTCCTTTTCTTTATATCTTTTATTGAATAAAGAAAAAACAATGTCAAAACAATCGTGGACTGTCTATCTAATATTTGTCGTGTTTACAATTACTTTGGTAGGTTATCTTTTTTTATTGATGATAACAAAAAGAAGATGGAGCTGAATTGTTATTAATATCATTTTAGGGTGCTTTACAATATGGATATCATACAGGTGAACTGAATACCCCTCAAAGCATTATATCGAAATGTCGACTTAAGAATGGATTAAATCTAGAACAAGATGGCCATCTTCCACCTTGTCTTCCCATGTCAGATGCGCGATATTCTCTTGTGGTAGCCATGCTGTTGGCTGGTGGACTTGTGGGTGCGTTATCAGCCTCTCATTACAGTGACAAGTATGGACGACGACAGACACTGGTCTATAACAATGTGCTATTGGGTATGGGGTCCTTGATCATGACGTTGGCGCCTAGTATTCCTCTGTTGATGGTTGGCCGGTTTCTTGCAGGTATGGGTGGGGGTGTAGTGACAGTGGTGGTACCTGCCTATATTTCCGAATGTGTTCCAAAACAGATGCGTGGTCTCTTTGGTACTTTGAATCAATTGGCTATTGTCACTGGGATCATGATTTCTCAAATCGCAGGTATGATGCTTGAAACAGGCTGGCGATGGATCCTCTTGATAGGTGTGATCATAGCGGTCCTACAATTGGTATTACTTCCTTTTTGTGTAGATTCCCCTCGTTATTTGGCATCTAAGCAAGGTGGCACGCATCAAGCTAAATTATCTCTTTTACGACTCCGTGGACCTCCTTTAGAAGATGTGGAAGAAGAAATTGAAGAATGGAGAAGAGAATCCATCGTTGGTCCTGATGTAACTACAGCTCTTAATAACAACAACAACAATTATGTCACTTTGACTCGATTCTTGACATCTTCTCAATATCGTCATCCTCTCTTTTTGGTACTTTTATTACAACTTGCTCAACAATTTTCTGGTATTAATGCCGTCATTTTTTATTCGACTTCCATCATGTCCAGTGTATTTCCTGAATCATCAGGTAAAAAAAAAAAAAAAAAAAAAAAAAAAAGGAATGTATTGACAAATTTCTTTTTATGATTTAGATCGTATCACAGTATTTGTATCTATTATTAATTTGGTGATGACGGTGGTATCTGCTTATCTTATGGATCGTTCCGGACGTCGTACATTATTTTTAATCTCTTCATCAGCAATGGCTTGTAGTAGTCTTTTACTCGGATGGAGTATTCAATATGGACATGATGGGACATCAGCATTTGCGATCGTTGCATTTGTGGCTGCCTTTGCCATTGGTCTTGGACCTATTCCTTTTCTCATGATCCCGGAACTGGTGGAAACATCTGCGGCGGCAAGTGCTGGTTCTGTAGGATTGGCTTCCAACATGTGTTTGAACTTTACAGTGTCTGCAGGATTTATGGGTTTACGTGATATCATTGGTCAAGGTCAAGTCTTTTATGTATTTGCAAGTATCCTGATGGCTTGTACTCTGTTGGGACTTTTGTACTTACCGGAAACCAAAAACAAGAGTGCTGATCAAGTCGTTCGTTCTCGTTGGGCCGTTCCTCCTCCCTTTTGGATGAAACATCAATATAATCCTATTCCCACTAGTGATAATCCTCCCTCTTTATGATTTTTGTTTTTTTTTAATATTGTTCAATAAAGGTTTTTTTTTTTTTTTTGGAGATAGACGGGGCTTGAAACATGCTTTAGGATCATCATGTCTTACCATATATATATGGGTGATTTCCGAAGTTTGGCTTATAAAAAAAAAAAAAAACTAACTTGATGGTGCTGAGGATTGCTTGGTCAAACTTTATTATCATAAATTATAGAACTCTAAAAAAATATATATATTTTTTTCTATCCTTTTTCCTTTTTTTTTTTTATTTACGGATGATCAGAGAAAAAGAAGAGTGGGTGACAGTAGATGAATGGATTGCTGAAGAATTACATCGGATTGAACAACAGCAAGCACCAAGGCATTGTCAAGATTATGAAGCGTTGATTGAGATGATTGAGGAGATAAGTCGAGCACCCAGTTTGACAGGAGCATTTCTTTCTTTGTTGGATTATTGTTGGAATCATCCATCCCCTCATCATCCATGCCCCATTCTCTTGTTGATGCAAATGGAACAACTCTTGTCCCTCACGGAATCAGACGAGATCCATGCGCAACTTCATCCCATGATCTCCATTCAAACCCCCACCCATACATCCTTATTCTCACCTTGCCATCAGATCCAACAATGGGCTCAATCCCTTCTTTGTATGCCGCCTGATGAACAGTCTCATCGATTGCATGTGGGTATCAATGCTTATCATCATGCAAAATCTTCTTCTCTCTCTTACAGAAATGACAGTCATCGTGATGTGACACAAACTATTCATCATCTTGAACAACTGATGGAACAATCGCATATCCAATAAAATTGTAAATAGTTGCAAATATCTCTCTCTATTTATATTGTGTGAATTCTTCTTGTTTATTTGGTACAACTAAAATAAAATAAACTAAAAACTATTCTATTCTATCCTTTTCCAATGTAGATTCTGCTGGTTGATAATCCATTTGTTTTCTATATCGTTCATAAGGAAACGTAGGTGCCAATTCAATGTCATGTCGTGGGAATAGAAATTCAAGAAATAACCAAAACAAGTAATCCAAAGCCATCACCATACAAAAAATCTTGCCTGCATATAATCCACATCCATAATATCGACGTAATCGTTCTATTAATGGAGACACTTGAGTTTGGGTAATGAGATCATAAATCTATTATAAACCGATAAATAAATAATAAAGAAAACAAAAAAAAAAAAAAAAAGGTGCGTGAGTCTATTTTTTTTTTTTTGCTATAAAAGGATGTTTCAAGTCATACACCCAAAAAGGCATCATTGGAAACTTTATGCTATACCTTTTCCGTTCGTTCGGCTACATTGCTCCAACTATACATATCTTTGAGTTCATCATTGAATTTGCTTGGATCCACCTTTTTGAATCGAATCATATGTAATGCTTTGGAAATGGCAATAATCAAATCTATAAAATCATCATCAATCCCAATGATATCTCTTTTTTCTCTCTGTTTATACTTACCATCTTCTTCAGGTGTAGCATAATTGATCATATGATTAGGTAAAACTTCGGGAACTCCACCTACTTTTGTACTAACAACAAGTAAACTATTCAAAAAAAAAAAAAAAAAGAAAAAAGAATATCAATATCTACTTATTCTTCTTGTTATATTTTACCCAGCACATGCAGCTTCCACAATAGCAATACAAAAAGCTTCTGTTAAACTTGTATTTAAAAAGATATTGCCTTGAATCAAAATATTTCGTACTTGATGATGTTTCACTGGTCCTAGTAATTCTACACGATCTTGTAATAAATGTTTTTCACGCATCTGTTCTAAATCAATACGTTTCGGTCCATCACCACCTATGCATATATATAAAAAAAATTATATACCAATTTGTTTTTTTTTCATCTTTTTATTCTTACCTATAATAAATCGAACACTTTTATGCATTGCACATATTCTTGGGATGACAGCTACTAGTAAATCTACCCCTTTTCGATAGACAAGACGACTAATAACTACAATTGTAACTAGAAAAAAAAATAAGTCAAAATAATAATAATTACAAAAAAAAAAAAAAAAGACTTACTCCATTTGGGATCAGCAGCAGAAGGATCAGGTAAGAATTGAGAAGCTACCACGGCATTGGGTATAACAGAAACATTTCTTGGGGATAATGCAGCACGAAGCACGGTATTTTCTTTACTAAAATGAAATAATTTATAAAAAAAAAATAGATAAATAGAATGATAATATAATATATATATATATATATATATTACCTTGTATGAGAAACACAAATAACATGATCGACATCACTAAGAGTAAATTTCAATAATTTGTTTGTTAATATGGAACTGGCATCGGCAAAACCAAACAAAGAATGATCAGTAAAACAAGCTTTCAATCCCATGGTCTTGCTATGAAGAATGGCTTCAAGACATAAGGCAGAAAATGCACCATGGCCATGGACAATTTGAATAGATTCACGGATTAAAATGTTGCGAAATAAGGGGAAGATACCATAAATAGTGGGTAAAGTTGCTCGAGAATAGACTTCCAAGGTAGGAATATAGTACACTTTTAAGCCATTGGTCAAATATCGTACACCTTTTCGATTACCATAATCATGAGTAATAATAATAACCTATATCAATAAAAGGATTGAGTTTTTTTTTAATATTTTTATTATTATTATTATTATTTTTTACTTTATGTCCACGTTGAATTAATTGTTGTGAGAGTAAAAAGAGATGACTTTCTACCCCTCCCATGTTAGGATAGAAGAAATCGGATACCATACTATTTAATATATATATAAATATCTAAGTCATATTATACAATATTAGATAAAATAGCATACCAAACATTATATAGCATAAAGAAGATAAGGATATATGAAAACAAAAAGCAAGAGAGAAAAAAAAAAAAAAAAAAGAGAGAATTTGGCGTCCAATCAAAATGACCGACTGGATCGCCCAACAGTGGAATCCAGTGATCATCATAAATTGTTTAAATATGAAATTTGTAACAGGTGGTACTACAGATATTTATTTTCAAAATAAAATAGAACAAATGATAATGATATATATAAATATATAAAAAAAATAAAATAAAATACAATATAGAATATCAATGTAATCGTTTAATAACATCTTCATCCAAATAAGCTTCTGCTTTCCAAAGAGAGATACTTCCAGTTAAATGTTGTTTTGACATAAATCCAGATTGTTGTACTATAGATTGAATAGATTCCTATATAATAAAATAATAAATATAATAAATATTATCATTTAATATTATTTACCTTGACCATAAATTCTTGTTCAAACATATTAATACATTGACGATATAATTCAAATTGTTCATCTTTTTCAGATATTTGATCAAATAGTTCATGCATAGCTTCTAATACTTGTCGCACTATTTAAAAATAATTATTAATAATCATTTTTTTTTATTATATATATATATTACTTACTGCCTATCAAAATATCATTCAAATCGGAAAGTAACTGAGAATCACCTTTGGGTTGTTGGTCTACATTTATACTTGATAATATCACAGCACCTTTTTCATTCAAAGTGGTCCAAGCTTCAAGACTTGTTTTTTAAAATTAAAAAAAAAATAAGAAGAGTTTAAATGCCATTGTTTGATATAACTATTCATTTACCATTGAGTTATATTGTCAAATTGTATAGGTTTCTTTTGGTGTTTAGACATTTTATCAAAAGTAGAGAATGAACCATCAACAGAGAGAAAGAAAAAAGTAAGAAGAGATAAAAAAAAAAAAAAAATAAAATAAAATCGCGCGAAAAAAAAAGTAAATCTTACATTTTTATTTTGCTGCTGTAAAAGAAGCGGAGTCACATATCACATCAATTAGCCAATCACGTACCTTCCAATTTTTTTTTTTTTTTTTTTGGATGACTTACCATAAGTACCTGCGTATCAATGTATATTCGCACATCATCAATCAAACTAGAATGAGAGGATTGTAAAGTTGACAAAACTTGAGTGCAGTAATCCGGAGGATATCTTTTTGTTTGGATGATTGGACAAAGCCAGGAGAAGTTCTATAGATCATGTTCGTGATACCGACCATCATCATTTTCACGCTTAGCATTGGCATCCCGAGACATTGCATGATACCCTTTCTTTCTTGTCAGACATGATGGATTTTGACAAATGACAGTGACTAGATTGCCATTCTTCTTAACCTTCTTTGGATGACTCAGTGGTTCATGACAAAAGCAGCATAGTTTTTATATGCGGAATTCAGGTGTGATTGCCATATATGATCTTTGACCAATTTCTTTCAGGAATCTGATGTGTTCCCCCCCCCCTCGAAGATGGCCCTTGATACGAGAATTAATTCCACAACCAGTATCATCATAAAAAATACACCATCTTGCTGTTTTTGTTCAATGAGACACTTTGATGATATGTCTTCACCATTTTGACATAAGCTTGGTCTCGATAGATGTTCTTGCCTCGTTTTTGTTTCTTGACCCATTGATTCTTCACGTAAAATTGTAAAAAATGACTCTTTATGAACCTTTCAAAAAAAAAAAAAACCTTAAGCTTCATCGTCCTGTCCTTTTTAAATATTCCTGTTTTTCCTATTCATACCTTGAATGAAGTAAGAACACCTTCTTTACTTGGCATAGTATGAGATCCACCTTTCCCAGAACTTTTTCATAATCTTGGAAGGATGTCTTTGGTGTTTGACACTATTAAATATAAATATATAGAAAAAATAATTAGTATAATATAGTATCTACAATTTTAAGGACGACTTACAACTGCTCGATGGTCTTGTCTTTTGTGACAAGCCGATCCTTCAAGTATTGCTTGGTTTCGGCATGAGGGTTGATACATGATCTAAAAATAACAAAAAGATACGTATTAGAAAGTGATATCATCCATTCCAATAGCATATCAGCTTTACCTGTATTGAGCTTTGTAACAGTTAAAGCATATAACCTACGTAATGTTTTGGCTTTAATTTTTTTATTTTTTTTTTGCTGGTAGAGTCATTAATAATCTTTGCTTTAACTTCATCAAATATTAGAGGATGTTTTCGGTTGACCAGAGGTTTGACACGGGAGTCCATATCCTTGTTCAAAATATTTCCAAAAGCTTGCATCATGTAGTCCAAATAGTAGCTTTATTGCAGTTTATCACTTGTTGACCATTTTCTCTTGATACTAGTATGATGTACAGTTACATTTCGGTGACTCATAACGCGTCATGTATAAAACAAAAACGAGTGTTCGAGATGGAATGTACTTTTGAGTTGTAATAAAAAAGTAAAACGTGAATCAAATTAATAAAAAAAATAGTCAATAAGAACTTAAAAAAAAGGTAAATCAAAGTAACAAGTAGAAATAAAAAAGAAATAAAAAAAATAAAGGAGGTACGAAAGAGTTGACACGAAAAACAGAGGGGAAAGAGAGAGAGAGCTATGCGCATCAATAAAATTGTGTTACTCCGAAAATATAAAATTAGCCAATTAAAATTATCCCTTTTTGCCTGTTGTCAATAATGCTCATCAGAAGTATTTAACATTTCATCATCACATTATCATCACATATTGTATCATACAAATCATCACATCATAATCACTACCTTTTTTCAATTTCTATAAAGTGTTTAATTTCATTTGAATAAAAATAGAAATGTATATATAAAGAAAAACCATCAGATACAGTGAAATATTATTAACTGTTTGACGTACTTATTGAAAGATGAGGTACTTGTAATGGAGTACGATGCTTGAGGGAAATAAAAGAAATGTAGGAGAATTGTTTGTGGATTAACCCATTCATTTTTCTGTGTACCTGAAGAAAAATGCACAAACCTATTTTTTTTTTTTTTTTTTTTGTGACGGCAAGATTTATGGTAAAACCATCAACCACGTTCGGATGTTGAAACCAGTTTTCAGGAAAAAAAGAAGAAAAAAGGTTTCTTATTCACTGAAATGATTCCCCAATAGAAGAAGAAAACAATGACACATCTCGCATATTATGAATGAAAGGGGGAGAAAAAAAAAACAAGTTCTCCTTATTTAAAATCACTAGAAAATTCAATCTATTCAATCAAAAATTAATTTTGAACTGTATGGGTAACACAGAGGAGCCTAAAAAAAAAAAACGACAATATGGCTGGTAAGCAGTAAAAGAAAAAAAAAAAAAAAAAAGGAGTGAAAAACTTATTTTTTTTTTCTTCTCTTTCTTTCTTTTTTTTTTTTTTTTCTTCTTGACTTCACTTCACTTTATAATGGAATTTTTATTAACAGTTGCCCAAAACAATATTGAAGGAGCAAGACAATTATTACAAACTGGAATTGATGTCAATTGTCCTATATTATGGAATGCGAAAAATACATATTCACCTGTCATACCCAATAACATTACACCAGATAAACTTCAATCAGATCAAGAATATCATTCACGTCCTTTGAATATTGCTGTATTAGGTGGACATGTAGATATGGTACGTTTATTACTTAGTGCTGGTGCTGATATTAATATGAAAGACGGTCGTGGAAGGTAATAATAATAATAATAAAAAAAAATATCTTTTTTTTTAATAATATATTATTATTGAATAATAATAATAAAAAAAATAGAACTGCTCTTATTTGTGCTATATATGGATTGGATTTGGATGCTTCAAATATCAATACTTCAAATTTACATTTAATTTCTCAAACACATTCAAGTCACCTTGAAATTATGAAAAATGTATTATTACGACATCCTAATTTATATGTATCAACATTGGATTCACCACAATATGAAATTAAAGGTATTACTCCATTATGTCTAGCAAGTTATTTGGGAAAATCAGATATTATTCATTTATTATTGGAAGATGGTCGTGTAAATGTCGATGGCACTGACAGTAAAAATGCTTCGGCTTTAATGTACGCAGGTAAAATCAAAAAATAATAATAATAAAAAAAAAGGAGTTATATGACTGACTTTTTTTTTTGTATTTTTTTTGTCTTTTTTTGTATTTATATATATATATATAGCTCGTGATGGAAACTTACCTATTGTTCAAATGCTCCTTGGCTATGGTGCTTCTCCTGATATTACTGATAGTCATGGTTGGTCCGCTATTCAATATGCTGAAAAAAATCCTGATATTGTCCAATTATGTGAAGAAGCTTTACGAACAAGAAGACCTGATATTACTGTAAGTTTTTCATTCTTTTATGATTATTATTCTTATTTAATACCTTAATATAATAGATGATACATGCACCTGTGAATCCAGTAGCAAGATACCCTACCAATTACACTAAATTATCAACATTGATCTCATCACTTCCTCAATATCAATCATCACTCTCTCATTTGGAATTTGATACCCTGCAAGATATCGATTTGATGGATCCAATCACTGCTCCTATAGTTCAAATAGTTCAAATGTCTTTTTTACATGCAATCAAATCTCATGATCATACCTCTCTACAAACTCTTTTACTTTGGTCTCCACCTATCATGCACAACAATCGATCTTATGGTGCTCTATTGATCAATTATCATGATACAAAAACTGGTTTAACTGCCATTCATCATGCCATGCGTGCAAAACCTCTTCCTTCTCTTGATACATTGGCCATGTTATATCAAGCAGGTGCTGATATCAATGCTCAAACTTATTATGGTCGTACAGCTCTTCATCATTTGGCTCGTATTGGCGTAGATAAGGATGGAAAATCTTGGGGAATACAGAAAAGTGCAACCAAAACTGCTCAACAAAATGCTCGATTACGTGCTAATTCATCAGCCTCATCTACTACTCAACCACCCACTATGCCTACTCATTTTGAAGAAAATGAAGAATCATCCACAACAACGACAACAACAACAACAACAAAAACATCACAATCAGTCACCTCTCCCATCTCTCCTTCTTTCGGAAATCGTCTTTCTACAGTAAGTGCCATGTCTGCTCGATCCACTGGCTCTGACACCACATCAAGAGGATCTATGGTAGATGTTCTTCAAGACCCTATGACAAAATCTATTTTGGCTGCTCCTACTATACCCGCTCATCTTGGTTTATGCGCATCTTTACTTATTCAACTAGGTGCTCTCGTCAATATTGCTGATCCAACTGGTAATACTCCATTACATTTTGCTGCTGAATTTGGTGCCGTTACTGAAGTTCTTGAAGTCTTGATTCTGGATGGTAATGCTGATTTACATTTAAAAAACAAGAAACAACAAACTCCATTGGATATTTGCAAGACAGATGAGATTCGCAAGTGCATGTTAGGTAACACAACCAGAATATATATATATATATATATAGTACTAATACATTGCCTTTCTTTCTTTCTTTTTTTTTAAAAAAAAAAAAAAGCTTTGGAACAAGAACGAAAAACCAACCATCGCACTAAAATCACTACTTCATTAGCAAGTACAGCTGGCAACATCAAACCTTTTGATACAGCAAGCGACTACCGACATTCTTTGACTCGATCCATGTCACGTTCTACAGTACAATCATCTACTCTTCACGGTGGAAAAGGAGACGCGGCCACAACAACTTCACCCTCAGTGATCTTACCTACCTCTATCTCAGAAGCAGCCAATAGGGACAAGGAACTCAAAAAGAAAGACGACGTTTTGGACCAAATCGACGCTGATTTTGAAAAAATTTTGAATGCTTTTTTAAGTTATCAAACCACATTCACCGATTCAATCGAAAATGCATTAGCTTATATCACAGAAACCATTCTTCGTTCATGGCAACCAGATCATATAACAACAGCACCATCCACTTCACCAACCTCCATGGCTCAATTGGAACGTACCATTGTACAATTAAGATTTGAATTACGTGAAGCCCATGATATGTTTGATCAAACTGACCAGCGCGCGGAAAAAGTGATGCTCCATTATCGTGAAGAACTGGAACAAGTGGAACAAGTCCATCAAGCGGATTATGATCTTTTGGACTTGCAGCAAGACAAGGTGGATAAATTATTTGATGTGTTTGAACGTATTGATAGTCGATTCTGTCAGTTGGAAGTAGATCAAGATGAATTGATTGGACAAGTGGAAAGTGCTCGAAAGGCGGCCATACGACAATTACGACGGCTTCATAATAATGAGGATGGTGATGATCTTTCATGTTGTTTGACCAATCTGATGCAAGCTTTGGTGATCTTAACCACTGTCCCTATTGGTGATCCTGTCTTATACCTTCGAGAAGATCGATCTAGACTTTATAGCGATTTGGATAAAGTCATACAACAACTATTTCAACGAGCCTCCGATACCACCACTCAGGAATGGGTTGCTTTTTCAGAAAAATGGCATCAAGTGAAAGATCTTTTGACAAAACAACCAACCACTGAAGAACAACCAATTGAAACACCAACAACGAAAACAAAAGCATCCCATTGGAAACGCCAACTTGTCACAGCCTCCTTGTACTCAAAATCAACTCAAAAAAAAGAAAAAGGCAATCGATCATTGAACGAATTGGAACTCTCCTTTGATATTCTCAGCTCCAACATTAGTGAAATTCTCAAGGATATTGAAGAACTTGAAGATCAATCGAATCAAGTGATGGAAAACAAGAAACGAATGTACGATGTCTGTTTGTCTCTGGAAAAGGAATTGGCGACCAAGAAATACGAGGGGGAACGAACGGAAGCTGTAGTACAAAATGAATTGGATCAAATCATGCGATGCACCAAAGCTTTGTTTGATCGACAATCCAATCTGGATAAGGAAGCTTCAGTATTGAAGAAGGAACATGAAGCATTTGAAGCACAATTGGAAGCCACCAAACAAGAATTACGTCAAGTACGACCACCTCTCTTACTTCAAGGATTATTGGAAAGGTTGGAAACGGATGAAGGTCCTTTGGTACGGGTGGAAAAGGATTGGCAAGAAGATGCAAATTTGGTGACCACATTTATGGACGACATCAACAACAACAACAATGATGATGATGATTGTGATTTAGAATCAGATGAATCTTCCTCCTCGTCTTCATCCTCTGCTTCTACAAATAATGCCAATAAGCATCGGTCAACAAGTATGATGAAAAAGTTATTCAAAACACCTTTATCGATGCAATGTCTGATTTCTCGTATGGATGCAAGTCTCTATTGTCTCAAAGTATTGGCCGCTCATCATATCACACGATGTCGTCAAGCTCTTTTAGATGTCCAAGCTAATCTGACTCAAGCAAGCGAAGAAGTGAGTGATGCTCGCAATCAAATGACCACACTTTATGATGATGCTGCCGAAGTGGCACGTCAAGTATATGTATTCAAAACCGAAGTGGAAATGATCATTCGACATCGTAAGGAAGAAGTGGTCAAGGTATGGGAAGTTGTGGATGAAGTTTCTGTTGGTATTGATACTACATTGGCTACTCAAGAACATCAACAAGAGTTACAACAACAAAAAGAAAAGAAATTACCTCCACCGCCTCCAAAAACAACAAAAACAAAAACGGAACAAGAGGATCATCAAGATCGACATCAGTGGGTGTTACGTGAATTGGAACGATTCCAAATTGTACATGAAAATTTACAAGATGCTATTGAAGAATTGAAACGTGATCAAACTGAAATTGGACAAAGAATTCGACATGTAGCAACAAGTTTAATTGAACCTCAAGTGGATCGATTGGTGGGTCAAGGTGACCGATCTTTACTTTCCATTAGTGATTTTTTGGCAGAATTGATGGATGCTATTCGTATTCATGATCTTGGTTTGAATTTGGATGAAAAAGATACAGGTTCCACCATGATTAGGTAAAAAAAAAAAAAAAATCAATATATAATATAAATATGTAGAGATTTATTTTTTTATTTGGTTTTACATTTTTAGTACCAATGGAACAAATCATGTTCGATTATCTCGTTTGACCAGTCTTAGTAGTACCAAATCAACAAATAATCAACCAAGACGATTATCTATTGCCAGTGGACGATCCAATGTTACAAACAATAATCGCATTTCCATGGTTCGTGATAGAAAACGTATGTCCATGATGTCTACTTCTAGTTTATCTTCTTTATCCTCTTACCAACAAGAACGTATGTTATCGCGTGCTTCCAATCTTAGTCAGGCTTTACAACGAAAACGATCTTCTTCTCAATTCCTTCATTCTTAGTCTTATGATATTTTAATAAATGTTTTTTTTTTACTTTACTCCATTGGATGAATGTTGTGTAACAGTAGACTATGTTTATTTATTCTTGCTTTTCTTTTTCTTTTTCTCTCTCTCTTTCTTTTTGTTTTTTTTTTTTTTTATTATTTATTTATTTATTTATTTTTTTCTTTTTTTTTTTTCTCTATGCATTTTGTATTTCAGGCTTTACATCGTCGGGTAATGTTGTCTATAATCTATCCTGTTTTATACTAATCAATCATTCTTATTATTATCATTTTAAAAAAGCCACTAGAACCTAGATCACTGGCTATCGCCCGAGGTGTGTCAGCTGTTTTGTTGGCACTAGCATTTTTGGCTTACCTTGGATATTTAATTTATCAAGTAAGCTTGAAAAAAAATTTTTTTTTCCTTTTCTTTTCTTTCTTATTTCTTTTTTTTTTTTTATTTTATTATTATGGTTAGATATATACAGATAAACGTCTCTTGATCATTTCAACCACTCACTTACAATCATATCCTTCTCCTGATGTTGAGATGTGTGTTTATGGAAGTCCGTTTGAAATCACATCGTGTGCATTGATCGATATGGAATATAATAGTCAAGTGGTACCTGGTTGTACTCCTTATTTAACTGGTTCTCCTGCCGACAATCCAGGTCCTCAGTGGTGTAGAGTATTCAAAACAGATCAACTCATCTTTGGTGTTGATACTCCTTCACAACAACAACCTAATGTCAAGACCATTCGACGCGTAGATATTTACTGGGCAATTAGTAATTTGACGGCTTTTAATCAAGTCAATCCTTGGGCACCTTCTGTTACTGTCACTCTTTATTCTCCTCAATTCAGTACTTGGCGACTCTCACCAGATGATCTTACTCGTATGATACCACAACAGGTAAATCTTTTATATACAAATTTAACTTTACTGACAATGGAATTTTCTAATAGCAAACAGCATGGCGAAATCTTCAACTACAACATTATGTTTCCACCACCATTATGAACTATTGGAGTACAATATATTTTTCTCCTGCACGATATCGAGCTATTAGACCTTATGATCCACTTTCCATATTTGGCATGGTAAGCTTATGCAAAAAGAAGGAAGGGGCTTGTGCTTTTTTTATATGTATATGCATATGCTCAGCCTTATTATTATTATTATTTACTTTATAGAATAGTAGCTTCGTTGACATTGATACACTTCAAACCTCACAACATGACTGGCCTCTTAATAATGCAAATCTGAACTACGCAAAGTTCGGGGTAAGATCAGAATTTTTATCCTAATTACAACAGACTGCTGATGGATGTTATTATTAGAATTATCAAGGTGAATTTTCTTTTATGTTGACTGCTGGAGATATGGAAGTAAGAGTAAGTATCCCAAAAAAGAAAAGAAATATAATCATGTCCATTCATCTTGTTTGTATTTTTTTTCTTTTTTAAAAAAAAAAAAGACTGAACAACGACAACATACAGTACTTGCAGCTCTGGCATTATCAGGCGGCGCTTATGGTGTCATCTTTGCTATCTATTGTGTATTATATGGGACACCAAAACTCACCCCTTTTGGATTCACTCATGGTATGTCCATTTGGTATTATCGTGGACGGACCAAACTTGGAAGGAAAAAGACAGATGAACAACCAGTAGTACAACATGAAAACAACTCTCGAAATAGTAAATATCCACTCATACCCATGGATCATATCAGTGTTCAAAGTGATAATAGCAGCAACAACAGTCTTCAGGATCTCACTTCAACCGATCATATCAGCATCCCAACCGAACATCCAACTACTGAAAATGATCGAAAGTCATCACAACCACGATTACAATACTTTGCTCATTTGGAATCACGTGTACATGAATTAGAATCAATTTTACGTGAGTATTTCTTGGATGTGGATTATTTGGATGCTTTAAGGCAACGACAGGATTCAAGCAGTACCGCCGATCATACCCAATCCATCACCTCTTTTGGTCATGACTTTTTACCCCTGGCGCCAACTGAAACAAGAAAATCAATCACTGGACAAGACTGGCAGCGAACGAAATAACCGTGCATTGTTCATAGTATACATCTTTTTTTTTATGATAGTTTATCTTTCTTTTATACATACATACATACATTCTTTACATTTAATAAAATCTTCATTGTTTCTTTTTTTTTTTTTATGTCACTAAAAAACTTGATTGTTATGATGATGATATCATTACAAGATAACATTTCCAAGGATGAGGGTTTCAACGAAACGCAAAGCGTATATATATAGCGTTTTATTGAATGCAGATTAGGAAAAAAAAAAAAAAGAAGGTAACGGATGATACTAGCCTTTTATAAAAAAATGAAATCTATTCTAGGGATAAGGTATCCTTTTTTTTGGGTCGTATAGAATGTTTAACAGATACTTTCAAACCTTGTTTGGAAAGTGTCTTGGCCAACTCACTTGATTCTATAAAGAAAAAAAAAATGAGCTTTCTTTTTTATTATTATTATTATTATTTTTTTTTAAGAGAATACCTTTGACACCAGGAAAATCTTTGGTTGAATAGACAATAAAAGGATTGGAATAGATATAAGCTACTGAGGTAGCAGTTTGACATGAACTAAAAAAAAAAAAAAACGAAAAAAAAACGTTATCAATTAAATAAAGTTTCTATTTTGACACGTGGGATTTTTTTTTTACTCTGATAGAATGACCAAATCAAATCTCAAACTATAGGTATTGGCTACACGAACACTGAGATCAGGGAATGAAAAATAGATTCCTAATTCTTGTTCTTGGTTACGTAACAGTGAAGGTGAACTGGATAATGAACCTGTCATGGCACGTACTTGGTTTGAAGATGCTGTGAAACAACTGGATGATGATATTAATGTCGAGGATGATGGAAATGATAGGTTTTGACGAACGGTTTGTACGGTATCCAATGGTTCAAGATGATCTTTTGACCATAACGATGCATGTAATACACAAAGAGGACATTCTCTATAATATAAAAAAAAAAAGAGAAAAAAAGGAAATGAGCGAATATAGAGTAACACATTTTATTTGCGCGCGAGAGATCTCATCACGATTATTTTTCATTCTACGACACTTTTCCCTTTTTTTTTCTTTTTTTTTTTTTTTTATATAATTACTTTAAATCGATGGGTTGATCATTCTCATCATAAATCATCAATTGAATAATTGGTGCGGGATCAATAGGTCGTCGATCTTTTTCTCCAAATCCAGACATCCGGCATTGTTGTGGTTGTTCCATAATAATGAGTTGATATTTTCTATTTCTGTGACAAGTTAAGATTAGTAACTATTTCCTTATTTTTTTCTTTTTTTTTTATTTTTTTTTTTTTACGAACGCAGAAGTTTGATTGGATGGATAAGGGATAATTCCAACATAACGATGAACTTGTTCTCTTCGATTAAGTGGAATAGCAGATGATTTCCATTGTGCTGGTAATTCTGAAGAAAATGATGATTGAATGTCTTGTTGTTGAGGATCACTCATGAAGAAACGAAAAAAAAAGAAATGAAAAAAAAAGAAAAAAAAAAGAAATGAAAAAAAAGGGAGAAAAAAAAAACCTAGGGACTCTAAAGAAATCCGGTAATTTGGGTTGATTGATATTTATTTATTTATTTTTAAGTCGTGGCTTGAAAAAAAACCCTATACTGAGATTGCTTTTCTGTACACGTTATTTCTCCCCAACCTTTTCAAAGTGACACATGTATAATTGATTCCAATTCTTTTCTTTTTTTTTTTATTATTATTAATAAAAATATATATATTTTTTTTCTTTCTTTCTATGAAGGAGATAATAAGAAGAAAAAAGGAGAATTGGTTATCATCTGCACCATGTGGGATTTCCAAAGTTTCTAGTACATCCCGTTTAATATGTTGATAGTCCGTCCCGGTCATTATTATATATAAAAGTAATTCTTCTTCTTTTCCAAATTTGGTCGAGATTTCATCTGTTCAAAAGGAAAATGTGAATCCCAATTTATTCTAATTTTTAGAACTCAGTATCCAATGTTTAAATACTGAAACAATGGAAACAAAAAAAAAAAATTCAAGCAAGACAAAATAAAATAATAATCCCGGTTCTTTCTTTTTTTTTATATATTTTTTATTTTCTTTCTTTTTCTCATTTAAAAAAAAAAAAGAATGACAGTAGTGGATTCAACACTTGTAGCTAGGTAAAAATAGAAAAAGAAGAATAGAAATAAAAAAAAAAAAGGAAAATATTTACCCCAAAGTTCAAAAAAAAATAGTGATGGATCTACCCTTTTTCTTAAACCTAAACCGAAAGTGCATGAACAAAGAGTGACTATTCATCATTGGCAATTACGAGATTTAGTATTAACTTTACCTGATTTGACAAAACATGAACTTATTGTACCAGCTGGTCAAGATATTTATCGAGTAAAGATGATTTCCTTTTTTTTTTTTTATATATTTTTTAATTAATGTTTTTAATTTTTTTTTTATGATCTAGTATAATTACAAAACTCGACAAAGACAACATTTAATCAGAGACATGGGTTATCCACCAACTTGTATGACTACTGGGTAAAAAAAAAATCATATTCATTCGTTTTGTGCCAAACTCCGGTCACACGCATAAAAGAAAACATGTGATATATTTATTCTTTTTTTTTTTTTTAATATAGTTATGGTTATTGGGCTGCTGGTGGACAACGTGGTGATTTAACTTTACGTGATCTCAATAGTGATTATCAAGTGTAAGTTATATTTTTTATTTTATATATAATATATTCAATATTCTTTTCTTCTTAATTAGGAGTATTGCTACTTCACCAAGTTGTACTATCAACAATGGTCTTTGTTTTACGAAATTTGGTGAAGATATTCGACTGTTAGTTGCTAACAATGATGCTACCATTCGCGTATTTTCCGCTCCTTTACTTCAACTTTTAGAAACCATTGATTTTCGTACGGCTGTCAATCACTGTAAATACTCTTTTTATTATTATTATCTATTTACACCAACTCATACTCACTTCCTTTTATTATTCTCAATATAGCTTCTGTTAGTCCTGATGGATCAATGATGGTCTCCGTGGGTGATGATAATAATATTCATCTTTTCAAAGTAAACTCAAATGGACATTATGAATTAACATCAACTATGGCAGGTAATATATATAAAAGAAACTGGATAGGAAAAAAAAAAAAAGGAACTCAATTTTATATTACAATTAGTATCTCGTGACGCCAATTTTTCTATTTCTTGGAATCATTCTTCAGATAAATTTGCAGTAGCAAGTCAGGATGGTACAGTTCATGTATGGGATATTCGAAGTCAATTACCTTTATGCAAATTTGGTGGTGAACATGTAAGTATGATATCTATCATCCTCCTCTTCTTTTAACATTCTTTTTTTTTTTTTAATTAGACAACTATTACAAAGAATGCTGCAAGATGTGTCAAGTTTACACAAACTGGAGCTGTGGATCTATTAGCTTACTCGGAGGTAAAAAAAAAAAAAAAAAAAAAAAAAAAAAGATTTGAAAAATCCATGATTATTCAATGACTCATTTGGATGTACTATTATTGTTCTTATTATTATTATTTTTAGCATGTATCTCATGTGAGTATAATCGACGCAAGAACTTTCAATTCTCAACAAACACTTCGGGTAGGCCCTGCTGGTCAAGACACACCTATTACTGGTCTCTCTTTTTCTCCTGATAGTCATAGTATGTTTGTTGGTAAGTCCTTTTTTTTTTTTTTTTTATTTAACACGAATTTTTTTTCAACTAACTGACAAATGACATGTTTTTATTAGGTCTCGAAAATGCTATACTGGAATATGAAATAGATACTGGTACAAGACGACGATTCCCAGGAGGCTCTTTATTATAAGCCGTATTCATTTATTTATAGTGTAGTTGATTTCATTCGTTTAGTATTATTACAATGTATATTTCTTATTTATCGAATTTTTTTTTTTGTGTATATATAATTATTAGTGAATAAAAGGAAAAAAGATGGGATCATAATGTAAATTTGAAATAGTGATAACAATGATGTAAATTCAATCTATTGCCTTCCAATCGATCAAACGAACATTATTGGTCAATAACTTTCAATGAATTTGTTTCCATAGCAGGGAGTGTCTCTGAATATGATCGTCATCAAAGAAGGATCGTAAAAGATAACGGTGACAAAATATCATAGTTTATTTCAACGTATACTGCATGTAAACGAAACTACGCTAAACTACACTTAAAAGCTTTTCCTATCCTGCCGTATATCCAATACTGTCGTATATTCTTTTCCGACCGTAATACCCATCATACTGTTTTACCCTGTAACCCTTGTCGTAATATTCCATTCTTGTTGTATCTCTCGTCTAAATAATCTACCAAAGCCTATTCTAATCTACATAGATCATGATAGAGACTGCTTTGCTTGCTATTGATATCAAATGGATGGTTGTACCTTGTTGAAAAGAAACGACGTTTGTAATAAAAAATCTAAAAGATAACAAATAAAAAAAAAATAATGTTCATAAGAATCCATTCCATTTTGTTCCTTTTCATTTGTGAAACTAAAAACAACAAACTTCCATTTAGTATCATACTTACACTTGAATAAACAACTAAGAGTGACTAAAAAAAAGTTATTATGGAAGCATAACTTGAATGTTCCCTATATGAATAAAAGATGATCTAAAAAGTCAAGATGAAAAAAAGAAAATAAAAAGAGTCGGATAGATAAAATAAAAAATAAAAATAGGAAAGAAAGAGAAAAGAAATTGTAACTTTTTATCGGAGCTATTTTGGCTAATGCATGGAAGAAAATGAATTTTTTTATTGATCATATGAATTTAATCTACATTAATGATCACCTTGCCAACATGAGCCCCACTTCCCAAATATTGAAATGCAGCTTGTACTTGATCATCAGAAAAATCAAACTCTTTTTCCACAGGCATGTGTAATTTTTTGACGTGGACAAACTGAACCAATTCTTCCATTTGTTGCTTAGAGCCAACAGAAATCCCTCTGATGGAGCAAGATTTGGATAATACCAAGGAAGTCACATTGGGCATCTCGGTGGGTTGAGCTAAGAAACCGACGATGGCTATTTGACCTCCACGTTTGATGGACGCAATGGATTTAGCAATGGTACCAGCCCCACCATTTTCAATCACAAAGTCCACACCTTCGCCTTTAGTTAATCGAAGCACTTCTTTTTCCCAATCAGGATGCGTTTTGTAATTGATGGTGTAATCTACCCCATATTTTTCCTTGACATATTTTAATTTTTCATCCGAAGAAGATGTGATGATGGTCACTGCACCAGCTGCACGAGCCAAAACCAATGTAGTGATCGATACTCCTCCAGTACCAAGAAGAAGAACAGATTGACCAGCTGTAAAACGTATCGCACCATATAAAGAATTCCAAGCTGTCACACCTATTTTTTTTTTTTTTTTTTAGTTCATTTTAAAAAAAAAAAAAAAAAGAATCAAACTTACCAGTACATACCAAAGAAGCAGCCTCTCCATAAGATAGATGAGTATCATCTGGGATTTTTACAACACTTTCTCCTAAAACAGTTTTATATTGCTGAAGCACCCCATCTACAACGGCGCCAGTGCCATTCCCCACATTCTTTGAAACACCATAAAAATTTGTAGGATAAAATGGGATAACCACTCGATCACCCACTTTAACGTTTTGTACAGATGATCCAACTTTGATCACTTCACCAGCTCCATCGGAACATGGCACATAGTTTGCTTTGACAGGACCAGGATAGCTACCATCAGCTATCACAAGATCTCGGTAGTTCAGAGTAACAGCCTTGATTTTGATCAATACTTCATGTCCATCGATATCTGGAATCGGCTCCTCACGCGACTTGATGTCCTTATAGCTTTTATTACCACTATTACGGTATACAATTTGTTTTGACATTTTACTGATGGAGTAATAATGGCAAAAGAAGAAGAAAAAAAAAAAAACTCTTCCTTTTTTATCTAGATTTATGTTTACAATCACTTGTTCTTAGCTTATTAATGGCCCGTGTGCTTATTAATCCTCTCGTCAGATCGATTTTCCGATGTGTTATCACAAAAAAAAAAAAAAAAAAAAAAAAAAGATTGTTTTCCAGTTTAGTAGTTTCCCTTGCAGAGACATGTTTGGAAAAAAAATCACCCAAGATTTTCTGTTGTACTTGCCATACCATCAAAGATAAAGTATCATCCAGTATGTATGCTGTTCAAAAAAAAAAAAAAAAAAAAAAAAAATATTATCCAATCATTTGCCCAGATTTCAATGATATCATTTTTATTTTCAAAATAAACTTCATCATATATACTATCCAATCACAAGAATAAAATAATATAAAACAATAACTATCAGAAAGAATTAATAAGCATCACCATAAGTCAAAGAGAGTCGATGTTTGAGATAATCACCAGATGTACGGAAAGGAAGGGAGGTAGTAGGATTGGAAGGAATTTGATCACTAGGCACAGGATCTAATGCGATAGCGCCACCTTGAACAAAGTAAGCCATGCTATACCGAGGTGTTTGTAAAGTGTCAGGACGAAAAACAACACGATGTTTGGTAGACCGAATACAACCGTTAGTCCAATATTGAAGACAATCCCCCATGTTAACCACAATACAATCCTCTCTCACCGGTACATCTACCCATGTCATTTTCTTGGGATCATCCATTTCTTGATTGCTTTGAATTTGAAGTCCTCCCACTTGTCGTTGCCATAAAAGTGTGATCAGTCCATAATCAGAATGTCTATCAGAAAAGTACATGAGTTACATGATTCTTTCATTTAACAGTTTTACCTTCCAATACGTATTTCTTCTTTTTGATCCTCCTTGTTTTCAGATTTGGGTGGATAATGTAACACGCGTAAAACATCATTTGGTTCTGTATCGTCCAAGTACTTTTTAGAAAAGTAGGTTCTTCCGCCTTGATCATCAGGAATCTTCCAAAAAAATAAATAAATAAATAAATAAAACTGCCAAGCTTTTTTTTTTTATTATTATTATTCCATTTTATATAGTTTACTTTGAGTGCTATGGCCAAACATTCCATGATATTGCATGCAATCGTATTGCAAAGCTATATATGATCATTCCACGATCATATTAAAAAAAAAAAAGAAAGTCTGTGAACTATATCTAAAACATATTATAACTGTTACCTACGTTTTGAAACTGACGAATCAAATCCAAATTCTTTGCAAACACTGGAGGCAAGTCTTGAACAGGATTCCCATTGACCAAACGCCCAATATGAAAAGATCTATAAAAATTAGTTAGTTTCTTCTTTTCTTTTCTTTTCTTTTTTTTTTTTTTCTTCAAAGCCGCATGCCTTTTATGGTCAATCCCACTTGACTTACTCTTTTAAATCCCCTTTAGTACTATGTTCAGGATCCACTCTAAAAATAATAATAGTAAGAATAATAGTAAAATCAGAAGGTATCATACTTTGCATATGGATTTTACTAATACTTACTTTTCTTGGCGTATGGCGCTGTAACCAACATTTGTATTGATATCACGTAAATATTTCAATTTTTGGTCCATAGGCATAGAAAAAAACTCCTGACTCTAATAATATAAGTTGTTAATCAATAAAAGTATATATTTACTTTAATTATAAAACAAAACTATCTCTTTTTTTTTATTATTTGCCTTTTCAAACATAGTCAAATGTTCCTTTTGTTCTGGAGGGATCCGTATGAATAAAAAACCAACATCCTTTGCCGCTGAGAGAACTTTGGAAGCAGTTCCTTCTAAATCATTGTTCATGTCATCAAGATTAATAACAGGAATCTCGGTAATGATATGTTCCAAACTAGGGGCCATACTACTAAAAAAATAAATAAATAAAAAAAGAAAAAAAAGAAAAACTAATAAACAAAAGGTGAGAAAAAAAAAGATTTTTTTTTAAGGAGGAGTACACAGGTTTTATTATGCAAAAGAAAAGGCTTTTTTTTAAGAGAGATAAATTCGGAGTTCAATGTGTAACAGACCACCAAATCAAAAAGATAACAAAAAAAAGATATCCAAACTGTAATCTATACTTTTCTCCATATGGAATCATCACCATCATAACGAATGTAACGTAGAACAAGAAGATTCAATGAAGCCAGGATAGAAACTGCTCCAGTATATTGGATAGCAACCGTCCAATTATAATGTTCTAATAATGTATTTGCTATAGGACTACCAAATAGATTACCAAACATTGTCATCTACATAAAAAAAAAAGAGTTAAATATAAAAAATCATTCTTTTTTTTTTTTTTTTTGAATCTTCCATTTACCGCGTAACATAAACTGAGATATTTAGGTAATGCTTGAGTTCCCACCAAATCTGTTACAATAATAGGTAACAAAGAAACAAAAGTACCACTACTGAACCCTATACAAACGCAATATACAACATAGATACCATATGTATGGGAAAATTGCCAAATCAAACTTGAAAAAAGTCCTATCATAAATGATCCATTATAAAAAAAAAAAAACATCGTTCATCCTACTTTGAATATACCTGAACAAAATGTAGTAATAAAAAGAGTATTGATACCACCTATCTTATCTGCCGTCCAACCCATCATAATCCTTGCCACTGCATTCATTGCGGACATGACCGAAATCAAAGTGGCACCTTGATCATCATCCATACCAAGGAATCCAGCATACAGTGGAACAGAAAAGAACGGGAAAAAATAACCAAAAGTGATCAAAAAAGAAAATACCAATAGAATGTAAAATGACACAGGATGATTCACTTCTTGTCTAGTGACTGATGATGATGATGATGATAATGATGGTATTCTTAGTAAAGCCGTCGCCGTTCCCAATAATACCCAACCAATGGCACCTAATACCAAGAGAGATCGTCTGTAGCCTAGATGACTGATCAAGGTATGCGTCACAGGACCAAAGAACACGCCACCTATGCCTGCGCCTGCGGATGATAATCCTGTAGCCAATCCACGTCGTTGAGATGAAAACCATTGGGCAGGTAACCCTACACTGACTGTGAACGTCCATCCTGCAAACACACCAAACACTACTCCCTGCGTCACAAACACATGCCAAGGTGATGTACTGAAACTGCTTAGAACCAGACCTAACGGGGCCATCACCGTGCCACATATCATCACCAGTCGTGCTCCAATTCGCTCTATGATCGGTGTCATGTACAATCCACCAGAAAGAAGACATGATGATGCTAATGTGCCCACAAACGAAATTTGGAACGTTGTCACTTGATCATGAAATACCTCCTCCACATATCTGAATCCCATTCAAAAAAAAAAAATGTAAGTGATTTTTTTTTTTAAAAAAAATAAAATCACTTACAGTTTTTGAAATGTCCCAAACCTAATGATAACAATAAAATAAAAAAAAAAAGGAATTTGTAAAATGAAGTGGATTATATCATATAACACCTACGAGAAAATAATACCAAAGTCATAAAAAAGAACCAAAAAGGCAGCAATCACGGATAACCAACCTGATTGATTGATGCTTGGAAAGCGAGCTGGTTTGGTTGCTGAAATGACTTGTTCATCATACAAATCCATCAACGTTGCTTGTCGATGGAGTGTTGAGGAAATATCACTCTCTGATTCTTCATCAATCCTTTCAAGTCTTGTTGAAAGCATTTATATCAGCAAAAGAGACGGAAAAAAAGAAAGATCATGGACGGAATAAATAAAAGATGGTTCTTTTTATTCAGATTGACAACATATCTTGTTTCATCTGAGGCATTGTTGTCATGGAAATATTATCTTTTTTTTAAAAAAAAAAAAAAAAAAAAAAGGGTACTGTTTATTCAAGAATACATGATATAATAAAGGAATATACGATGAGGGAATCATTAATGTCTAACTAAGGGGATTGTTGTTTCACTACCATATGCCGATGCCGTAGTCCATCTAGATAATCCACATTGACAAAGTATTCACGAAGCATGCCTTCCAAATAATCCATCCGTTCTTCCAAAGTCAATGTTGTTGTTGTAAGTGGTAATGAAGATGCGTGTGTATTATTTCGTTGTGATATAGCAAGAAGTTCTACAGAAGAGTGATTAGAATGTGGGCGTTGTCGTTCGTCGATGGCTAATTTGCTGGTAATATCTTTATGATCATTGTCACTGCTGTCAATATCGTGTTTTTCTTTTTCATTTGTCCATTGACTTTTCCCACACCAATGGTCCACACGATGAATCAATCCAAAAGCAGATATCCTTGGTGTTCCAAATATAGCGATAAATAAGGTGACCATGATGCCATAGGCACCACCGGCCATTCCCAAAGCAGCAAGTATTGTATGTTGACGCTGTTCCCTCTTTTCAAAAAAAAAAAAAAAAAAAAAAAAAAAGTGAGTCATTGTTCCATTCTTTTCTTTTCTACTTACTCTGACATCTATTGTCGGTGACGCTAATTGAAAAGTAAAGAATCCATGATATTCCTATCAATGAACAAAGAAAACAAATGAATATATGTATATATACAAGATTATCCATCCCACTTACACCATTTGTCAAAGCTATACTTGGATGCAAAGGCCAATTATGTTGATTTGTTTCAATGGTCTCAATATCCACATATTGTCCAGTCTAACATGTAAAAAAAAAAAAAGAGATAAGAAGGATAAGTTTATATTTTGAAGATATCATTATATTTGGACTTACCAATCCAAATAACGAGCTTCCATCACCGGGTGGAATAGCGCGATACTTGTTGGGAGTAAAATAGATGTTGGTTGTAAAATTTTGTATGGTAGTCGCACGGTATTTTCCTTGTTTCGCTTCATCAATTGCATTTTGCTATATACACACGAACATGAATCAACTTACGAACAATGAATCAACTTTATATATTTACCTGTTGTGGAATATGAGCAATATCGGATTGACGCCATGGACTGAACGAAGCAGCATAAAATTGGAGAGCCAAGGTAGGTACAGCTAAAGTGACTTGTTCAAAAGCAGTGATATTATCCATTTTCCAATAAATATCGACACGTTGAATACTTGTATCGTCGCTCCCATTGTTCCGAAATTGAAGTCCATGTTGTCTAGCTGTAAACACTTTACAGTGAGTGGTCGGATCATCTTGATTACCATCAATGATATAGGGCGTACATCCTGGTATATCTGTCGCCACCCAATGCATATCGATCAAGGTACATTTTGCAATCGTAAACGTAGACCTTTGAGAACATAGCTCTACATCGGGTGACTCGTAACCTGTGTCTGGGATCTGTTCGCTACTAGTCAATAGAAGTCGTTTGTCATTTACAAGCTTTTTTTTTTTTTTAAAAAAAAAAAAAAAAAAAGGGGGAAGGTCAGTTACAAGAAAATAATCAATAATGAAGTGTATTTCCTTTTTCTTTACCAATTGTATTAGATAACCACAATAACATAAAAACGCGATCCCCATCATCGTACTGACTATACCACGACTGATTGTCAAAGCTTTGGATTCTAAAGGCTTTAAGAAAATAAAGTAATATTAAAGTATATGAAAAACAGGATACGTTCAAATAGATCAAAACCTATGAGTCTATAAAAATATTAAACTTACTTTTGGACGCCATGCTTCTACAATAAAATGCATCTTGTCATTCAAAGAGACAAAAGAGAGAAAAAGAGAGGGAAAATAAATTAAAAAGAAAAATAAAAAAAAGAGTCGGCTAAGCCCAAGAAAATTATTAGGGACGCATAATTTTTAGGAGCACAAGGGGGGGTTTAAACATTTCTCGAGTGATGCAAAAGTGGTACAGAGAAAACTAGTGCTTATAGAGAGAGGGGGGTATTACACTTTATTGGATCCCCTGCCTTCATCTTTTCACATCTTCAGATCACCCCCTTTTTTAAACATCACATATAGCATAATAAAGACAAGAGTGACCTTTATTGATAAAATAGGAAAAAAAAAAAAGAGAACTATACTATTTGGAAGCTTTGTCGATGTTGCCATTGTAGTCGAGATACATTATTCTAAATGTTAGCCACCATGAGTAAAAAGCCCTCTATGTACATGCTTGACAAGATCCAGACAAGAGAGCCTTACTTGAATATTCCGTACTTCGTATCTTCCGCCTTTTGCATCAGGTGTAACTGGAATGAAACAAGGTATCGCGTTGTGGTATGAGATCTGCAGGGATTTTCGTAAAAGTGAGCTTCGTGATGTAAGTTCGTTCCAAAAATATATATCGTGACAGTAAAATGGTAAAAATATAAAAGATCAAAAGGGTTTTTCCATGTTATATAAAATTTTCTCCACTTGATACCAGCTGTTGAACGTGATCAAGTGGTATAGGAATTGTTTGAATACTTTACTTGACGTCTTGTCAAGTAAAACCAGTTGATATCGATCTCGAGGTGTTAAATAGCTGTTTATTTCTTCCAGCAGTTCCAGAGGAAGAATGGTGATGTCATGATATGTATTGAAGAAAGAAGAAGTAGTTGATAATACCAGTATCGTTATCATCGTTTGTTGTATCCTTTTTCATCTTTATATATGTCATTACGATTGGTCAACGCTTTACCAGGACACAAAGGCCAATTATGCTAACTTGTTCTAACGAATTCAGCTTCCCCATATTGTCCAGTCTAAAGAAGAAGAAAAAGAAGGAGGATAAGTTTTTATTTTGAAGATATCGTCTGACTTACCAAACTAAATGACGAGCTGACATCACTTCACTTTATAGAATGGCATCATACTGAGAATTAGGCCTTTATAAAAGATTCATATTCGACTTATTTTTAGATGTCATGCTTCTATGATAAAATGCATCTTGTCATTCAACAAATAAAAAGTGATAAAAGAGAGAAAGAGAAAAGAAAAAGATAAAAATTGAAAAAGATAAATAAAAAGAAAGCTAAGCCGAAAAGAAAAAAAAAAATATTTACGCCAACCAAAGACGCATGATTGTTAATTTTTAGGGACAAAAGGGGGTTTTGAATATTTTATCAAATGTGATAGAAAATTAGACCAAGGGGGGTATTATTTTTTTATTATACAATAAAATAATTTAATTAATCTTTTCCTGTTATTGATTTTCTTGGTGTTGGTGTTGGGTTTGATGGATTTTGTTGATATACTGGTAATGCTTCTTGTCGTCTCAACCTTAAAGCATCCAAATATTCTACATTTAAAAAGTATTCACGTAGAATCATTTCTAATTCTTCTACACGTGATTCTAATTGTCTATTTGTTTCTGTTCGTTCCAATGATGAGGATGATGATTGTTGTAATGGCTTTGAATCTTGATACATTAATTCATAAACATCAGAATCGGAAGGTGGTCGAGTGGATGATAATAAATCTTCTTCATCTATTGCTATTGTTTTTTCATTTGTTATATGATGCGTATCGTAATAATTTTCCTGTTGTTGTTGTTGTTGATGATTTTTCGATCGTGATAATTTACTACGACCACGGTAGAACCACATGGATAAATTATGACTGACTCCAAATGGCGTTAATCGTGGTGTACCAAATAAAAGAATATACAATGCTGTCATTGCGCCATAGGCACCACCACCTAAAGCTAATAATGATAATACCGTGTGCTGTCTTTGTTCTGTCTACAAAAAAAAAAAAAAAAAAAAAAAAAAAAAAAAAAAAAGGTGGTTACGAAGGGATGAATGGATGATGATGGGATGATATTACCTGAACTTGAAAATTACTTGTTTTTAATGCCAATCCAAATTGACCTTGATAATTCTAAAATAAATGATCAGAATTAATAATAAAAAAAAGAAATGTTGCACTTACTCCATATTTTTCAAAATCGGGAGATAGATGATTGAGTTCCCAAGCATATTGATTGGTTTGAATGGAATCAATATCATAAAAGGTATTATTCTATATTTTATAGTATTTTTTTTTTAAAAAAAAAAAAAGTTGAAGGGATTAAAACTAGATGCTTGTATATTTTCTCTTATCTTACCAAACCAATCACTGATAATGCATTTCGTTTCAATGCGCGATAACGTGAGGGCTCAAAGTAGATCATCGTCGTATCATTTAAAGATGAAGTAGAAACATATTTTTGAAGCTGAAGACTATTCCAGGTACCTTTCTAATAGTATACCAAAAAAAAAAAAAAAAAAAAAAAAAGATGAGTTATCGTATGATGATGAATGATAAACATTTACCTGTTCCGGTAACAATTGTTGTATGTCAAAAGGAGATATTCTCCAGGGAGAAAATTCTTGAGCATAAGTAGTGATGGCTACATTAGGCATAGCAAGACTAGAAGCACTGACTGCTGTAACGTTATTGATAGACCAATAAATATCCACTCTACGTACTAGATTCATGTTCCCTTCGGTTCCAAACATCACTCGACTATCATTGGCTTGAAAGACTTTACACCATTCTCCATAGACAGCGGATGAACCTGGATTAATAAAACCGGCACATCCAGGTACGACAGTTTCATTATATGCCATATCGATCAGTGCACAAGAAGTGATGGCGAAATCACTACCTACTACACACATCTCAATATCTGGTGATGTATATCCTGTATCAGGGATATTGCTTGTGGAGATGAGCAATAATGTTTGATCAGCGTAGATCTGATATCAAGTTCAAAAAAGAGTTTTAATTACATAAGGTAATATGATTATATGATTATATTTACCTGATATAACAAGTAACCAAAATAAGCGAGAAAACAACATGACATAAGAACTGCTGTGAACCCTCTAGCTCTAGCTAATGATTTTGATTCTAAAGGCTAAATAATATTAAGAAAATGTCAAATATATATATATATATAATGATGATGAATTAAAAAAAAAACAAAGGCTTACTCTTCGATGTAATGCCTCGAAAATAAAATGCATTTTTGAATAAAAGACAGAAAAAGAAGAAAAATGAAAAAAAAAAAAGATTCTTTGAATTATTTATAGGAGTACAAACAACCTAGTCATGTGCGACACAAAGATGATAGGCTTGGCTCACCATAAACAAACTACGCGCATATTGAAAAAAAAAAAAAAAAAAAGATCTACTTTTCCCTTTCAAGAATTTTATTGTGGCTCATCGTCAAAAAATCGGCGTTTCATCTCTTGGCGCCACCCCTTTTCCTGCAGAGAGAGAGAGAACAGTAACTGGTGATTGAGCTATCTAATCCTTTTATGGAAACACTCTATTCAACCTTATGCTCTTGAAAAAAGAAAGAAAGAAATACATTCCATGGAACTATAAAGGTATCACTAACCAAAACTATATCCAAAATAATATAACAAATGAAACTTTTTTAATATCTTTCTATCCAATAGAAAAAAAAAAAAAAAATCATCATTGATCAAAATATAAATTGAGTTCCCTATGCGAACAAAAAAAAAAAAAAAGACGAAATATATCACATGTTTTTTGGCTTTTTCTAATCTATATATAAAAAAAAAAAAGAATGATGACTATAGAATAAGTTCATTTCAGATAAAATTTCGATAAATCGTCTTTCAATATGTTATCATGATCTACAAAAGAAAAACTGGGTGCATCGGGGCTCTATTTTTCCGTTGGGAACACAAAGGTTACTTTTTTTTTTCCCTTTTCAACATTTTCACCTAATTTCTTCCTCTTTTTTTTTTTTTTTAAATTGAACTTGTGATGACTATCTATAAAGACTAATAAGAAAACAATGTCTTTATAACAATTTATAAACGATAACTTTATACTTGAACAATATGGAAAAAAAATACAGCACTAAACAATTGAAGACAAAAACATAGTAAAGAACCCAAAAAAAAAGGTAAACGCGATTATTGACATTGTTTTTCTTATATTTATTCGCAAAACTATTTTATGAATTAGAGTGCTCAAACAAAATGATATAATATATCAAAATTGAAGTATTATTTTATTCGTATTGTCGACTTCTATTTGCTTCTCCGCTCAAACAGGTAAGGTTGTTTTGCCTACATATTTCGAGGCTTTTGACTTTTTTTTTCTTTTTTTTTTCTCTTTCTCCCTTTTTTTTCTTTTATTAATTATTCTTTTTCAACTCTATTCAATTAGTCAATACCCTTCATGACAAAAAGTGATAAAAATACTCCTCCAGTGCTTCATTTATCTGGTGGAGCTATATCAGGAATGGTGGCATGTCTTACATTACAACCTCTCGATCTTATCAAAACTCGTTTACAACAACAACGACAGGATCACCTTGCTTTTTTACGTGAAGCCAAACTGAAAGGTTTACTTGTATCTCCTCAGAAAAGGTACACTATATTTTTGTTATTATTTTGCAAGTATCTCATTTTCTGTCTCTTTTTTTTTTTTTTTTTTTTTTTTTTTTTAGTACCATGTATTCTACTATACGTGACATTGTCAGCAATAATGGAATAACAGGACTTTGGCGTGGAACAGTACCGACGATCTTGAGGTAAGTTGGAATAATATTAATAATAATAGAAAAGAGAATAAAGAAACTAAGGGAAGGATGATATATCAAACCTTTTTTTTTGGATTAGAAATGTACCAGGGTCAGCCATGTACTTTTTTGCTTTGTCAGAAATTCGGAACATACTTGCCAAAACAAGACATACTTGGCAACCATGGTTATCTATCAAACATTCATCAACACTTGAACAAAAACAATGGGAAAATCTTGTATCTGGTATGTCTGCTCGTGGTGCTGTTGGATATGTAATGATGCCAATCACTGTGGTCAAAGTACGATATGAAGTAAGTGAATGAAACAATAATAAATAATTATACAAAATATCCTCATCTTTTGTTTTTTTTATAGAGCAACTTTTATAATTACAAATCTATGACAGAAGCATTTACATCTATTGTCAAGCATGATGGTATGCGAGGTCTATTTGCTGGTTATGGTGCAACTTTTATTCGAGATGCTCCTTTTGCTGGTATATATCTCTTTTTTTATGAAAATTGTAAGAAAAGAACTCATGGTAAGATAGAAAATAAAAATAAAAAAAAAAAAAAGATGATGACTGATTATTATTCTGTGATCTAGGATGGATGGAACTACATGATTACAAAATGGCCAATGCTGTCATCAATTTAGGATCAGGAGTTATTGCTGGTATGACAGCTACCGTGATCACACAACCTTTCGATATGCTCAAAACTCGAATGCAATTGAAACCTACCATTTACAAAAACCTCATACAAGCAGCTACAAAAGTGCTAAAGGTAAATAAGTATATAAAAATCGAAAACTACAATGGATTTATTTTATTTATTTGTATTAGGAGGAAGGTGTCATGGGTTTCTTTGATGGCATGAGTGTGCGACTGATAAGGAAACCTCTTAACTCGGCAATCGCATGGACTATTTATGAAGAAATTCTTCGATGGTATACCCGACAACAATCTTTGGAAAATCATTTATAGACTTCATACTTTATTTTTATTTTTATTTTTTCTTGTACATACTCATTAGTTCAATAAACTCTTTATTTTTTCCCAACTACTTTTGCTACACTCCTTTTTTTCTTCTGATGTATTCATGATGTACTTTATTAGTTTTTTACACATATATTTTGTAGGTTATATTTTCATTTTTTTTATTATATTTTGTAAATCAATGACTACATATAAAAGAAGAATACAGACCAAACGCCATTCACTTTTGTCATCACAAACAGAAGCAAACAAAGCGTAAAAAAAAAAGTACAAACTAAAAAAAAGGGGAGGGGATAGACTATATGATTCTATATTCTACTTGGATTCCGCCAAACCAACACGATCATTGCCCAAATCATAGACACTGTAATACTTGCGAAGGAAGACATCTCCAACTAAGAAAATAAAATAAAATAAAAAGGAATCAATATATAAAACATCATATAAAAGAGAATTCTATTGTATTTACCAATCCACATAGGGCCAGCAGGAGCAGGGATATCCATACTAAGGAAAAAAAAAAAAAAAGGAACAAATATGTAAGATCAAAGTTTTTTTTTTTTTTTGAAGGAAAAAAGAAAATACTTACCCCATGAATCCAGAAATACATTGATCTTGTACTTGCAAGATATAATCCTTTCCTTCCAAACAGAAATCGTTGCCATCAAAGACAAAGCAAAATTCAGGAAGATCAGGTACCTTTGCACAGTCCAAAGTATATTGTCCAGCCCAATTCTTTTCAGCACCCAATTCCTTATTGATCAATTCAGCAATGGTAGTAGGAGCCACTAACAAAGAAGAACCAGTATCGATAGCAGCACCAACGGGCTCCAAATCGGCATATTCACCGCCCAATTTGATGTCATCTAGCTTGACTTCCCAGTAACCTTTACGCTTGATAGGCAACCAAGCGATATCACCTTTGTAATGATCAGGATCCGTACCACCCAACACTAATTCACCACCTTGTCCTTCGGCATCATCACCATTTTGATCATTGAGCCAGAAAGAAAATACGTGTTCATCGAGTAATGCTTGATTTACCATTTGATAGAAAGGTGGCACCACACGTTGTACTGAAATAGTATCATAACCCAATCCAAGAATACCATCAAATCGAGCCAAAGCGAAAGTGAATCCAGGTTCCTTGACTGATTCAGCAAATCCTTGATCTTTGATAGTAAGACCGCCAAAATGTAAAGTGTCCTAAGGAGAAGATTTCGTTAGTATATATATAATTATATATAAATTATCCCGAACTTACTTGACTAATGAATCCTTCCAAAGAACCAGTACCATATTGAATAGAAAATTCAGTTCCATTTTCCTTGAAAGAGCTTGATTGACTAGAATCATATCGACGATGTAAATAACATGCAATAGAGGTACAATGAGTAGAAGGTACCCAAAGGTTAGAAGAACCGGTATCAAAAACAACAGTGAAAGGTTGGGGAGGAGTTCCAATTTCAATTTCACCATAGTACTGTAACAAAGAAGTAAGAAGAAGAAGAAAAAAAAACACAAATAGTATCAAAAAAAAAAAAAAAAGGAAATATTGTTAATAAGGAAATATTGTTAATATATGAATAAAAGATAGTACATTATTTTATCTCGTTTTTTTTACCTGAGCATTCATATAGTTGGAAATGGGCACACCATGTTCAACACCACCATCAGGACCCACTTGGAAAGTCTTGGCATTCAAGTCATAAGCACGGTTAGAACCAAAGTATTTTTGAGTCAAATATTGACCAGTGTGGGAATATCTTTCAAGGGATTCGGCAGGGGTTTCTTGGACCTTTTTGATAGGGACCCTACAATAACAAAAAAGGAATAGTCAGCATAATAGCAGTAATAACAGTTGAAACCAAATAAATAAATAAAAAAAAGGGTGTCTAGATATTTGAATGGTTTTTTTTTTGAAGTAAAATAACTCTCTTTATATATATATAATACTATCAAAATAATCCCCCGAAGTTCATCCCATTGTCCCAAAAAAAAAAAAAAAAAAAAAAGAAAGAGTATTTCACACTAGAAACCTTTTTTATTTACCTTGTAATAGCTGCATTAGAAATAGCAAAGAAAGCAGCAGCGATGGTGGATAATGTAAACACTTTCATGTTTAATAAATTAAAAGAGAAAAAAAAAAGTAATGACAAAAAAGAAAAAGAAAAGAAAAAAAGAAAAAAAAAAAGAAATTAGAAACAAACCTGAGGGGAGATGACCAAGGAAAAAAAGTAAAGCCCGCTCCATTTTTTTTTTTTTGGACGCGCGTATGATAATATAATTTAAGAGAATAATCCACCGACACAATACTATATCAGTGTATCATTTCCTTTTCTTCTTCTTATTATTATTAGTATTAAAGAACAAGTCCACGAGAAATTTAGGTTTCACATTGAGACAATCCTTCATTTTTATTAACAAACAATGATTATCTTTACTTTATTGAGACTAATATTTATCATATCAGAAAGAAACACGAGCCTTATCAGAGTAATTATCAATAGTATCATATTCTCATCCATTATCATCATTCCATCATGTAATCCATATGCTCTCTATCAACACCTTGAATGTTTTCCCATTATTTTGACCACATATAAAGATTTAGATCCTATCAACCTAAGGTAATGATTCCTATCCAAATAATAAAAAATAAAAAAAAAAGAGTACACAAAAGAAAGATGTTTTTTTTTATTAACAAGGGCCAGAAAAAAAAAAGATATAAAAAAAGACAAAGAGGACTAAATGAAGATAACTAAAAGAAAACTATGAGTTAAGAAAAAGGGATGATGAAGAAGCAGGGTAATAGTACCTAGTTTAGAACTTCATGTTGTGGGGGAATTGACCCTTGGACAAACCAAACTTGGCAGACAAGTATTGACGGAGGAAAGGAGTCTTGACAACAGCTTCGAGGATAGCCTTGTCAACAGCCTTTTGGTCAGCAGCCTTGGAAGCAGGAACAGCCTTGGCACCTTCTTGTTGAGAAGCAAGGAATTCTTGAGACTTGGTAGCAGAAGACTTCTTGAAGTAAGCATCGTTGAACTTGGCATCGACAGCACCAATATCGATCTTGGTGGAGGTGGCAATAACGTAAGCTTGGTCAACACGACGTAAGGGGACACCATTGACACGGAAAGGACCAGTAACGAGAAGAAGACCAGAGTCCAATTGCTTCAAGACAACAACACGCTTTCCACGGTGACGACCAGCCAAAAGAATGACAACAGTACCAGGGGTGATGGATTCACGGAGACCAGCAACCTTGACAGTCTTGCGAGACTTCTTGGGTTGAGGAACATCTTCAGCAGGGTAGAACTTGCTGGCCTTGTTGGCAGGAATGGTACGCTTACCACCATTCTTGGCACCCTTGACTTCAACAGTCTTATCAGCAGCAGCTTCCTTCACAGCAGCAGGGGTGTTGTACTTGTTGCGCTTGTACAAAGCCTTCTTGGCGTAGATCACAGAACGACTGTAACGAGACACACCGGGGACAAGGATGGAGTTTCTAGAAGAGGTCGACATGTTTTTTTTCAACTATAGAAAAAAAAAAAGGAAGATCAGTTTCATGAATTATCCATTATTAGAACTATAATTGATGAATTAGATGGAAGAAAGAAGTATCTAGATAGAATAAGAATAGATCATGGTCGATATATATTGGTGGAATACTGGGCCAACATTTTTTTTCTTAATTGTCTCGGTATTTGTTCATTGTCGTCCATGCATAAGTGTAGTTTGCTTTGTACTTTGAATCCATCCATCCATCCATCCATCCATCCATTGAATCTATATCGATTTCTTTCATGATTTTATTTTTCGATATTGTCTTTTTAAATGATCGATTCGTTCGTTTTTGTAGATTACTTTCGAAAGGGTAATTCGTGTATTGAGATAATCCGTCGAATGTGTTTTGAATATCCAATTATCATCCATCCATCCATCCATCTATTCGTCTATCCATTCGTTTATCTATCCATCCATCTATTTATCGATCTATCCATCTAATTCATCATGTTGTATCTATCATTTCTATTTCTCTGCTTTCACTTACAATATGGCCTTCGCGAAAGAGGAGGAAGCTAATGATCAATCTTTGGCTCACATTTCTTTTTTTTTTCCTCCCCCGCCAAATTTGGGCAACAAGCTAATTTCAATGTCAGCTCTCGTTTAATATATATAAGCAACCGAATTAAATATATATTGTTAATATCATCATTTATTCAATAAGATATACATAGGTTATTAAACTATACAGATAAAAAAAAAAAAAAAAAAGGAAGAAGATACCAAATCAAGAATCAAAAGACCAAACCTTCAACCAATGGCAATGGGTTTCCCTATTTTGTAACAAGGCAACGATTTTATCTTTGTCCATTTGTATCCAATTAATATCATCCATTGGCATTTTCGTCTTGTCATCATCTTCATCTTCAGGTTTGAGAGTTACCACATAATCCTTCCCTCGTTTCTTGTATTGATCCAAACTTAACATATCCCATATCCTGAGTCCAGCTCTAGATCCACCTACATAGAATCAATATTAGTTCTATTTTCATCTAATATAAATGACTTACTTATCAATCGTCCTTGTTCTGAGTGCATGGCTAAAGAGGTAACCTGACAAGTATGACCAAATAATGTCCTGACAAATTCAAAACGGAAATCACTTGATGTAGATATAACTCTGTATTGTCTGATAGTATTGTTGGTATGTGCTGTCATCAAAAAAGGTTCAGAATATGTCATGGATGTCATGATTGGATTGTCAAGTTCCGTTGTTGATCCTGGTAATAGGAAGGGTTGATCATAACAAAGAGTCGATGAGTGTCGAGATGAGACAAGTCCATCCAATGTAAAGATCATTTCCTATCATGATTTTTTTTTTTAAAAAAAAAATAAATGAATGAATATACACGTCTATATATATAGATAAATAGATAGATAGATACCTGAACACCTAAAGATGAATGTAATCCAGCAGGCATTCCAAAACATAAGAGAGCACGCCAACGATGAAGAGAAGATGGAGCCAAATGAAGAAGAATGGAGGACCAAGGTATAGGACTATGTAAGGTGAAGATTTGTCGAGGTTGTTGTTGGGTGGTATCGAATGCCAAGAGTTTCATACTAGAAGTACATATGATCGTAATTGAAGGACAAGTATCTATCGCGACCACGGAATCCCTAGCTCCAACATCATTGGATCGTTTCACGTTTGTCACCTTGATTGATTTCGATCCCTCTACAATAAAAGTCCACAAGCTGAATCCACCCTGTTGATGACCAATAGCCAAAGTATATTGTTGATTGTTCTCAAAGGTTACATTCGCCAATTTAATTGTTGTAAAACCGTGTTGCTGTTGTTCAGATAGATCGTCCATAATGTAACCTAAATATCGTGATGTTTGGTTCCCAACGTACCATACTTCCACTCGATTCGCACAGGTGTCCAGAATACAAAGAATATCACGGGTATATTGAACTTGACGAAAAAAGTTAACGTCAGAGTTTGTAGTTGGTATATTGATATTGTTGAGACGGTGAGAAGAACAATGACCTAGAGATAATATCATACAAGTTTAAGTAATAAATACATTGTTATTATTATTATTATTATTTTACCTGATAAAAAGTTTTGATGAATGCGATATTCTTCTTTCCAATTAATAGTATCTGGTTCATTTTCAATAGCGAGTTTCCATTTGAGTTTAAAGTTGGTCAAAGGCGTACTGAAACGATCTTGATATAAAGGTTTCCATAACTATAGTACAAAGAGGTTAATATAAGACTGATCCAATGGAATAAAATAAAACTTACGCCTGGATCACGCGCTAAACGAGACCAAGAACGATTGACTTTGCCACATTCAATCAAATCAAGAGCTGTAAGATAAGAAAAAGTACCAAGAACGAGTTCATCCGAAAATAGATGTTTCGTAAAGTCAATTCCAGTGCTGTGTTCAACCTGTCTTCTCTGTCGCTTTCTAAAAGGAGGCATAATCTAATAGAAAAAAAAAAAGTGAAGAAACAAAAAAAAAAAAAAAAAATTGAATTCTACCAGATAGCTGAGTGGGGACGTACTTATTTCCACCCGAAAAGAAAAATCAGTGAATCATTGACCAATCATATTGCACAGTGTTTTGTTTTTTCATTTTTTTTTTTTTTTTTATTATGCTCTTGAGTTAAAATTTTCAAATGCTCATTAAGAATTCAGACTTTGGAAGAGGTAGAGATGATTCTTTTTTTTTCTTATTGACTGGTAGACGGAATTGGAATTCAAAGAACTGCTAGAAAAGAGTGAACTTCTTGTTTCACGTTTCACCAGTGAAATGAAATGAAAAGAAGAACAATCATAGAAAGCAAAACTTTGTTAACGTTTATCGGCGATTGGATTCAATTTTTTTTTTTCATAAATATTATTATTTATCTTTTTTTTGATTCAACCATCATCATCATCAATAGGAGAGATAATATAGAAAAGGAGTGAGAACAAAAAATAAAAAAAAGTTGATGATTGAATACATCTTAATTACGAAAAATGGTTATTATAATAGTGAATCTCCCTCCCTTTTTTTTTTGGAATGACATTACCTGTCAGAAAGAACCGGTCGTTCCTTGAAAATGTATTTTGCACTACCAACAAAAAAAAAAAAAAAGTTAAAAAAGGGTCAAGGAGAACTTAAAATTTCTTTTTTTTTTCTTTTTTTCTTTTCTTTTCTTTCTTTATATTACTTCCTGCCCTTTCCTTTCTAATCATTTATTTTTTTTTTCTATCATGAAAGCTTATTGTATTGCTCTCTTGTTTGCTCTCGTTGCTATTGTAACTGCTCAAAGTAACTCTAGTCCTTTCTATATTACCAATCCTCTTCCAGGTACTTCCCTTAAAGCTGGAGACTCGTAAGTTACATTTTTTTTTCTACATTGAAACCAAATTAATATCTTTTTTTTTTTTTGGTTCTATGTATTAAGTGTTGATATTAGTAAGTGAATAAATCATTCTTTCTTTTTTTTCATATATCTAAATATGAAATGTTTACTAATTTTTTTTTTTTTTACTTTTTATCTTTTAGCTTGGAATAATGGTCTTGATCAAAGTGTAAAAGTGATTGTTATTCAAGGTGCCAATGCCAACACCATGTCTCCTACTGGTATTAGTTTCAATGTTCAAGGAGGTGATGAACATTATCAATGGACTGTAAGTCATTTGAAAAAAAAATTATTGGATGATTGATAAACTAATGATTACATTCTTTCTTATATATAAAGGTTCCCAAATCTCTTGCTCCTACTGGTACATTTGCTTTCCAATTCCAATATACTGATGACAACGGTGCCACGTGAGTTTTCGTTTCAATTTTTTTTTTTTTTTTTGTTTTCTGTGATAACACGGTTGATGGTTTTCGGGAATAGAAACTAATCACATTTTCTCTTTCTATATTTATGATATTTTTTCCTTTTTGTATAGTCAATATTCTTATAGTGGACCCATCACTGTTACTGGTGGTACCGGAACTATCGGCTCTGCTACTGCTTCTGCTTCTTCTTCTTCTTCTGCTGTTTCATCTGTTTCCGCATCAACTTCCGCTGTTACTTCTTCCTCTTCTGCTACTTCATCTGCTGTTTCATCTGCCTCTTCCTCTTCTGTTGCTCCTACTTCCTCTTCTACTTCTGGTAGTATCAAGACCTCTGCTTCTGCTACTTCTACCCCTACTCCAAACTCGGCTACTGGTCTTCAAATTACCTCCTTTGTCTTGGCCATTCCTGCTTTGATGATGCTTGCATTGAATGCCTAGACTGATCATCACCATATTATTATTTATTACATTTTATTTTGTCACTAGTTAATGTGCTTCCTCATTCTGTTTTTCATCTATCTTATATAATCTGTGATATCTTTTTTGAATTTATCATAATAATAATAATAAAAAAAAAACTTTTTTTTTATAATCCATATCCACGTATTTCTCCCTCGTTTTTCTTTCACCTCCTCTTCTATTTTCATCTGATGTCTCCTTATTTCTTTTTATGGTACAGTGATGATCCTACATATCTACTTCTCAAGAAACCTGAAAGACCAAAACCAAGAAAAAAAAAAGAGTGACAATATCATAACATTTCAATCAGAATATTTTTTTTTATTAACAAAATTAGATAAAAACTAAACTAACTACTGTATTTCTATAATAAACCATCATTTCGAAACAACATCATATATTGGTATCCAGTGTGCGCTGATGTAAATTCCTGATTGCTAAGTCCAACTTGTTCATAGCTATAGTCGTATTCACAAGAGAGTTGAGCTGATGGTGGTAAGATAGATTCAATGAATTCTCGGAACAAATCATTCGCATCATGTGGTACAAAACAAGGGTGATAATCGATCTATTCAAAAATATAATAATAATCAATCCATCATTCATATATATATATTATATATTCTTACCTCTAATAAAAGACCTTTGTATGTTGATCCCACTAAAATATTCGCTACCCGTAATGTAAAATCATCAATATCAAAGCTTGTTCCCTATATCAATCATTTTCAAAAAAAAAAAAAAAAAAAGAATGAGTTTCTATCTATCTATATTATTGTAATACTTACCTCTATAGTAATACTTTGTCGTAATTGCCAAATATTCCTTAATCTGGATAGAATAGATTCTATTTCTTTTTCTGCTTCTATCACCACACCACCTTCCACCATACAGTAGAGTTGTCCAGGTTGTTGTCCAAGAGCTACTTGATACATCAATTTACTATCTTTCCCTTGGCGTTGTATTGTATTGGCATCACGATACATTTTCATTGTCAGTGACCACGTTCCTGCGTTTCTTCCGTGTAATGTTTTAGTGACATGTTCTGCAATGTATGTAAAGTCGCGCATCCCAGTGGCATTTTTCCAACGAACAAGACTAAAACAAACAAAGAAAAGGTGAGTTTATTGTTTTATGAATAATCTCTACATTGAATATTAAAAGTCTTTTTATTTACCAAGTAACTCCCATAGTCAGGATAGAGAATCAATAAAAAAAAAAAAAGAGAAGAGACGAAAGACAATCTTCTATTTCATTGGTGACTGTGAGTTTGAATGTCCGTCTTTTTTTTCAAATCAAACTTTTTTTTAAAGTTTCTTTTGCCCCAATCTTTTCAGTTTGTTTTCTCTTTTTTACTTTTGTTTATATTAAATTTTTTTTTTTGGTTGAATATGGGTAATATATTTTCGAAATCAACTGCTTCCACAACTTCAACTCTTGGAAAACGTGTACGCGGTGAAGAGGACGAAGACAACTCAAAACGTGTCAAAGTAGACATTCCACCTGTCTTGGAAAGTGATGTCGGGATCTCTGCCTTTGTGAACCCTGACTTGACTGGTTTCCATTGTATTCTCAAAAATAGGCAAGTCATTCACATCAAACAAAGGAAAAAAAAGAAAATGAAAATGAAAAACTAACATGATTATATACAGGGCTGAAGATTTCCTTGTCAATGAAGTAGATCTAGATGGTCATGTAGTAAGGCTCACAAGTTTTGAACAACCGAAAACTCATAATGTAAGTATTATATTAATGAAAAAAAAAGGGGAATGATTGTCATAAAAAATAATGAGCTAAAGAATGATCTCTTTTTCTTAGCCTGCTAGAATGGACAAACTTACCGACTCAGAACTTGATGCCAAAATGGAAGAATTATTTGATGCTAAAGTTGCCAAAGAATTCCGTTACCTTTTGGATCATCGTGATGAAATTGATCGTGTGGTTTCTATTCAGGTAAATAATAATAACAATAATAAAAAAAAAGGATGATGATTTTATAATTGAAGAAAATATGAAACAAATTGATCTTTTTTTTTTAAAAAAAAAAATTATAGACAACAAAAGAAACTAGACAAGAGCTATACAAGATTATATCTACTTTTGATACACCTTTGAAATCTTCTGTGAAAGATGGACTTTTGACTATATGTTGGCCTGAAAACACCGAGAACGTCAGTAAGTATACAGTATTTGAAAAAAAAGAAAACAAAATAGGAAGAGAAAACAAGGACTTAACCATGTTCACTATATTCATTAGATCGTAGGATTTATATTGATTACCTTGCTATGGGTGGTGATTATCTTCAATTCAATGTATACAAAACAAATATTGATACTATGGGTGCTGCTAATTGGATTTCTAAAATTGTCAAGTATGTGATTCAGTTCAGGAGAAAAAAAAAGGAAGAGGATTGGTATTGATATGAATGTTTTCTATTCTTTTATTTTAGGGTTCCTGGAAAAAATATCAGTTATGCCGGTACCAAAGATGCACGCGCCATTACTGTGCAATCAATGACCATTTCCAAAGGTCGCCCTGATCGATTTGAGGAAGTCAAGGATGAATTGAAGGAACATGGTATTTCAGTGGGCAATTTCAAGTAAACAAGAAAAAAAAATATGCAGATTTCGAACACAGCTAACACTCATGTTTTAGGTTTACTCCAAAAGGTTTGACTTTAGGTGATTCTGATGGGAATCATTTTGGTATAGTTCTCCGGTAAGTGTTGATTTTATGGATGATTAGGAATAAAGGAATTGATTTGCCTTTATTATTATTATTATTATTATTATTATTATTATTATTATTTAATAGTGACGTTTCTGGTGCTGATGAAGATTCTATCACCACCTCTTTGAACTCTTTGAAATCACAAGGCTTTTTGAATTATTATGGTATGCAACGATTTGGAACAAGTAGCATATTGACACATGAAATTGGTCGCAAGATTTTACAAAAGGATTATGCTACTGCTTCTGATCTTATTCTGATGCCACGTGCTGGAGGTAACATTATTAAAAAAAAAAGTGATGATTTAGACATGAATTGATTATTTTTCTTTCTTTTTTTTGTGTTACCTTATTCAGATGGACCTAGTTATGCTAAAGCGAGAGAACTCTGGGCAGAAACAAAGGATCCCAAGGCTACATTAGCTATTTTCCCTCGACGAGCTAACGCTGAAATTAAAATGTTGAAAAGTTATGAACGATTCCCTGGAAATCATCAAAAGGCCATCAAGAACGTAAGTACCAAAAAAAAAAAAAAAAAAAAAGAATAGAATAGAATTGTTACTCTATGTGTGTGTGGGGAAGGGTATATTTTTTCGCACGATCCTTTCACAACATTCTCTAATTTTATATTTACCCCATATTTTATAGATAACACGAAATTTGTACCTCTTGTATATTCATGCCTATCAATCATACATTTGGAATCGTGTTGTATCTGAACGTGTCAAGCGATTTGGTTGTACTGCCCCTATAGTAGGAGATCTAGTGATGGTTGAACCTAATGATGATGATATTAAGAAGAAGCAGAATGGTCAAGTTAGTAATAATGTTGGTCGACGTGATCCTTGGGCTGTAAGTTACTATAAAAAAGACTGCAAAAGGTGATGAATTGATTTTTTTTTGTTTTCAGAGAAAGGTTCCTTTGGTATTGACAGAAGAAAATATCCACTCTTACTCTATCAAGGATGTTGTTTATCCTGTACCTGGTCGTCGTACGATTCTCCCAAAAAATGAAATTGGTGATCTTTTCCAAGAATATTTGGGTAATAAAAACAAAAACAAAATGGATTGTTATGTTTGTATGTATATATTGATATCTTTTGTTATTACTTTAACTATGACCTTATTTAGCTGAAGATAAACTCAACTTGAAAGACAATGTTTTTGAGTAAGTCTTTTTTTTTCAGAAAAAAAAAAAAAAACAGGAAAAAAGAATGGAACATGATGTGTTTAATTCTCATTCATACATTCTCTTTTTTATCTAGTGATATCCCTGGTGATTATAGAACTATACTTTCTGTTCCTGATAATATGTCATGGTAAGAATGGATCATAGATGAATTTAGTTTTATAATATTTAATTTTTTATTTTCTCTTTAGGTCATTTATTCGTTACAATGATCCTACAGAAAAACTTGTCAATACCGATCTTGATACAGCATTGGGTGAACCTCAACCAGTTGGTGAACCTGATGGTAAGCACCTGGCTTTACGTGTGGAATTTACATTGGGATCCAGTCAATATGCAACTATGGCTTTACGTGAAATCATTCGTATTGAAACATCTTCTCAAAGCCAATCCAAATTGGTCCATAGTTTATAATGAATCCTCTTTGTTGTATAGTTTTTATTAGTTTATAGAAAATGGAAATTCTCTTCCTCATATAGTTTATTTTTCCCTGCATCATTTTTTTTTATATAATACATCAATAAAATAACGTTTTGTACTCATATTATGGATTAATGATTAGAGAAGTAGATAACTTATCATCTTATAGTCTTCAAGTCTTTGATAACGAAGATGGATGGTCACGCCACTTTTTTACTATTTCTGTCAAATGAAAAAAAAATTAAATATTCATCCGTCAATCAATGGTAAAAAAAATACTCGTTCTCACGAAATAGGATTACACTGGCAAGGAATTTTAGTGCGGGGGAAAGGGTATATAATGTGCCACTTTTGGTAACTAGAAGCTTCAGGTTCGGCGACCTAAATAGTAAAGGTATAATTGGTATTTTTGTGCAACTATAAAATCATGGCTGATTCAAAAATACAGGTATAAAATACATCGGCTTTACGATTTTTTTTTTCTCTTTTTTTCATTCTTTTTTTTTATTATCTACAACCTTATCTCATCCTAAAACAAACCATGTCTGCTTCTAACCAAAACGTTTACTTGAAAGCTACTCGCTATGGTAAGGACCTTGTCCGTCTCTTGCGTGTCTATCGTGAAGGTCAAGTTCAACGCTGTACTGAATTGACTGTAAGTTGACTAATTGGTTGATATATATATATATATGTAATAACTCATACTCTTTTAATGTAGGTCCGTTTGTTGTTGGATGGTGATATTGCTACTTCTTACACCAAGGCTGATAATTCCGTTGTTGTTACTACTGGTAATGTTTTTTTTTTTAAAAAAAAAAAAAGAACAATGCTCTACATTAGTAACATTATCAACTGATTTTTTCTCTTTCTTTTATAGATACCTGCAAGAACACTGTCAACATGTTGGCCAAAAAGTCCCAAAATGTCGATAATATTGAATTATTTGCTCAAGAAATTACTGAACATGTTTTGAAGCAATATGCTCACATCACCCATGCTTATGTTGATATTATCAAGCACAAATGGTCTCGTTTGTCTGTTGATGGTAAGCCTCATCCTCATTCTTTTGTTCGTGATGGTGAAGATGTGCAAACTTGCTCTGTGGTCCGTGAACGTGCTGGTAACAAGGTCGCTATCAAGTCTGGTTTGAAGAATTTGTTGGTGCTCAAGACCACTGGTTCTGCTTTCCATGGCTTTTATCGCGATCAATACACCACCTTGGCTGAAACTTGGGATCGTATTTTCTCTACTGCTGTTGACTGTGAATGGGTGTTTACCTCCAACGATGATAAGGTCTTGCGTCATATCAACTTCCCTGCTATCCATGATAGTATCAAGAAGATTACTACCGATACTTTTGCCACCGATGATTCTGCTTCCGTTCAAGCTACTATGTACTTGATGCAAACTCAAGCTTTGGCTAAGCACCCCGAAATTGCAGAAATCAGCTATGCCTTGCCCAACAAACATTACGTCGGTATGGACTTGTCCAAGCTCGGTTTGGATAACACTGGCAAGAACATGGATATCTACTATCCTCAACCTGATCCCTCTGGTAAGTTTGAACATGTTAGAACAAAAGGATAACAAAAGAGAGAGAGAGGATGATGATCATCCCATCATTGAGGGAAGAGGAATATTAGTGATTGATAATTTTGGAATACTGATCAATTCTGATTCCTTTTTTTTTATTATTATTATTTTTTGATAGGTCTCATTACTGCCACTGTTGCTCGCAAACCTGCTTCCAAGCTCTAAAGGTTTTCTACTGATATTTTTTTTTATTTTAGTTTTTCTTCCTCATATTTTTTAGTTTTATTCTTTTTTTTTTTTTATATCCATCATCCTCCTCTTTTCCCTCCAAGATTTTTTTTTTGTACATCGTAATCCTTGATGGGCTATGGTGATACTTTTTAGGTTTTTTTTTTTTTGTACAAAAACATTCATATATACTTTTCTTTTATTTTGACCATATGTAAATAAAACTGGATTCAAAATTATGTTGGACTGTAGTGAGTTATTATTGAATTGGGTGACGATGAATGTAAGAATCATTCTACTGGCGAAACTTGTACATGAAATGTCATTGATCAATAATGACTATGATATTGGCATTGCAAAAGTATCACCAACGTCTATGATTTTTTTCATTTTCCTTCGTATCCATTTGTCTCCTAGGTTACGTTTGATGTGATGAACTCCTCTCTGATTTTCAAAAAAAAAAAAAAAAAAAAGGATATCTTCCAACTGTTGGTTTAAAATGAAAAAGGGATGGACCGAGTCAACGGAGTGCCCTTTTCTTTTTCTTTCTTTCAACATGTAAAATGTTTCCACATAAAGGATGATTTAAGTTCTAATGTCTTAAAAGCTGGTAGTGAGACTGGCATTTTATAAAATCATAAAAAGAGAGAGAGATGCATAGGTGGCCTTTTTTTTTTTCTTGTGTAAGGGCAATTGCCTCTTTTGAATAAAGCATAAAAAAAAAGAAGTCGATAACTTTAGTTTGGAGGTGATAATTCCTTTTTTTTTATATATATTGTATGTTTGTTATATTATACATTGATAATGAGTGTGTGTATATGTAAGATGGTAAAGTAAAAAACAAAGGGGTACTATTGATCATCATTCATGTCAAGGTTGAATCATAAAAAGCAAACGGAGAATGAAACCCATGGAAGAGGGTATAATGGAGTTCGTTGTTGAAGGTATAACTCGCATTTCATTGGACAAGATTACAAAATCTGGACGCGTGAAAAAAGTATTAAAGCCAGTTTGATTTCGCTGGTTTTCCCTTTCCTTTTTTTTTTTTTTCTCTCTCTCTTCTTTACCCTCTTTTTTTTTCTTTTTATTGTTTATTTCCTACATTATATATATCAAATGGCTTCATTCAAACGAATTGCTTATGAAGACTTGAAGACTTCCCCTTTATCTAAATGCATTGGTAAGATGTTATGTCTATTTAACCGATGTTCCCATAGCAACTTCTAATTTTTTTTCCTTACCTAGATCTTGCCAATTCTTCTGTTGGTGGTTCCATTGTTGCTGTCACCGATGAATTCTTTGCTCCTGCTATCAATATGATTAACCCTGCTCCTCCACTTCATTGTCCTGGTCGTTTTGTTGGTAAACCCTCAAACAAATTGATTAGTGTTCTTTTTTTTTTTTTCTTTCACTAACCATATTCTTTTTTTTTTTCTTATTAAAGAAACTGGTGCCTGGATGGATGGTTGGGAAACCAAACGTCATAATCCTACTTATGATTGGTGTATTGTCAAGCTCGGATTTGCTGGACAAATCCATGGTTTTGATGTGGATACTCACTATTTTACTGGAAATCAAGCACCTGCCGCTTCTATTGAAGCTACGTTTTGCCCTGAAGGAAATGTACAAGATAAGAATGTGAAATGGACTGAAGTACTTCCGAAAATTGATCTCCCTCCCTCTTGCCATAATGTATGTGTTTTGGACAAACCTACTGAAGTATACACTCATATTCGTGTCAACAACTATCCAGATGGTGGTATTGCTCGTTGTCGAGTCTATGGTACTGTTAGTCCCATCTTCCCCAATGATCCCTCGTAAGTATTACTATTATTATTATTATTGCGAATGAAATATAACAAGTATATTCTTCTTTTTATTAGTGCAGTGATTGATTTGGCCTATAGTGGAAATGGTGGACGTATTGTGGAAGTGACGGAAGAACATTATGGTCCTGGTAGTAACTTATTACTCCCTGGTCGTGGCAAAGATGCTGATGATGGTTGGCAAAGCAAACGTTCTCGTGGTGGTGATCATCGTGATTATGTTGTGGTCAAGTTGGGTGCTAAGGGTCATCTACTCAAGGCGGAAATCGATACTTCTCACTTTAAGGGCAATTTCCCTAATCAAATCATGATTGAAGCTACCAATTCTGATGAAGAAATTCCTTCTAATGCTCAATGGGTCACTATTGTTGAAAAGTCTAAGGTTGGTCCTCATGGTCTCTTTCAATTTGATACTACTCATACTGATAAGGTGTTTACTCATGCTAAACTTAGCATTCTTCCTGGTAAGATAGAATAGAATATTTTTTTTTGTTGGAATCTAACTTGTTTTTTTTTTTTTCCTTTTGGATAGATGGTGGATTGAAGCGTTTGAGATTGTATGGTGTACGAGAAGGTGCTACACTTCCTGCTTTACCCTGGGCTGGATTGACGACACCCAAAAATATCTTGATTGCTGAACCTTTGACTTCTGAAGCTTATGCTGCTTATGGTGATGTAATTGAAACGAAGGATTCTGTGAAAATTACTGGAGCCAATCAAGGTACTGCAGAAAAATATCATCATGTGGCACAAATCAACAACTTTTTCCCTGAAGGTCGTGGCAAAGTCAACATGTGTATCTTCCATTGTCATCCCACCACTGAACTACCATTTACTGTCAAGTTATTGGAACGTCATCCATACTCCACTCAATTTTTTATTCCTATGACAAAAGGTCAAACTCGTGGTTATTTAGTTGCTGTCGCTTTGAATGGTGCTGATGATAAACCTGATATGTCCACTCTCAAGGCCTTTATTGCTTCTTCGACTCAAGGCGTTAACTATCGTCAAGGTGTATGGCATCATCCTATGATTGCTTTGGATGATGTGACTGATTTTGCTTGCTTTGTTCATGAATCTGGTGTTCCTCAAGATGATTGTAATGAAGTGGATGTTGAACCTCATGTTGTCCATGTCCCTGGTTTCCATAATTAATGTCTTTTTTTTAATACTGATATTCCCTCTCTCTGTTTATGTAATATATAGTAGATAATATCATTGTATCATTATTATTCCTCAATAGAAAAAAAAATCAAAATTAAAAATAAAGAAAAATAAATCATGTAGATCTACGTTACAAAAAAAAAAAAAGGTTGATAGTCGGTACCTGAATTGCATCAATGCCATGGATGCAAAATCCCTCTTCTTTTTTTTCAGTGTAACATAAATATCAACTACTAAAACAAAAATCGTCATCATGCGCGGGTAGATGACCTTAAAATGGAGATAAGACGTGTTGAAACGAAATGTTCAATGGGAAGAATAGTTCTTCGCTGTGGATGTTCATCTGTGAGGTACCAATTTAAAGTTCAATTACCGCATCACATCACATTCACATAAAAAAAAAAAAAATTAAAAAAACGCGGGAAGCGAGTTAGTTCTTTTTTTTTTCTTTCGTTCTTTTTTTTCACTTTTGAAGGTATCTCATCATGATGCCTTCAGACTATCGTAACAATTTTTCTCCTTCTATGCGTCCAACTTCAGATATTTTGAAAACAAGAAGTGTCTATTCCGAACATTGTAAGTCTTTCATATTTATTTTGTCTAAAATCACTCAATTTTTATTATTATTATTATTATTATTATTATTATTATTATTATTATTGTTATTATTATTTTGATAGCTGAAAAGCTGAATAATTGGTATGAAGACTTGCAACGATATGAAAAAAGTCTTGAAGATATGGCAGCTGTGACTCTTGATCAGGTAAACAGATTAGTCAACAAAGAAGAACGTGTATATTGAACTTCCGTTTTCCTCTTTTTCTTTTAACAGAATTTCAAAGAAGAATTACAACATGTCGATCAATGGTTTTGTTACTTGTCCATTGCAGAACGTACTGCTACTATATATACTTTATTACAACATTCTTCGCCTGTTCAAACTCGATTCTTTATGAATATATTACAACAACAAAAACGCGACTCTATATTGACTTTGTCTGATCAAGGTAACACCAATGTACTACCCTTGTTGATTTGATCGTAATATGATAATCATCCCTTTTTTTCTTTTCTTTATTTTTAGATACGTCACCATTTTATCAGGCTGAAAAAGAAGCAAGTCAACGCTTAATGAATATGATTCCTTTCAAGACTGGTAATAATCCTCTATCAACTCCAAAACAACCATCTTATGACCGACATTCTATTGCATTTGGCGACATGGATGATTTTAATATGCCTGGATTATATAAAAATCAAACTGGAAGTAACCAACAACTCAATGTACCACGGCACACTCATTCTACAACATTGGTATCACCAAGAACTTCAGTTTATCCAAGATCTTCGGCGCGTTCACGACCTTCTTCTGACATTGACTCCTCGCCTGATGTTTTCTCTACTTGGCGATCCTCTATGGTGGGAAGTATTGGTGATAGAAATTCTATCATTGAACAAAAATCTCTCGATCTTTTTGGTGATGGAAATGATTCTTATGTATCTATGGCATCAGGTGGCAGTGGATTTCAACCTTGGGGTCTTCCTTCCAATTTACCATTTAGTGATTCTATTCATTATCATGACAAGCCTCTACCTCACATTGGAACAGTGAAGGAAAACGATGAACAATCAGGTTTATTTTTGGATCAACATTATCAACAACATCGGACTCCACCAAATCAACAACCTGTCAACACAAAGATACGGACGACTGCGACAACAACGGCAGCATTATCATCCACCGCTCCATTGTCACCTACTTCTGCCTTTACAAAATATTATTCTGCATCACGAACGACGACATCACCTGCTTCAACACCAACAAACTATAATAGATCAAAATCATCCACTTCAAAGACACAAAAACAAGTACCAAACAAAAGTTTCGGCACCTTTTTGGATCCTAAGGATGCTTACCCAGAAGACCATGATTACTATAGCGATCACAGTGATACATCTCAGCATAGTAGACAAAGTACTGGTACCTTACAAAATGGGCAAAAATATCACTCATCAAGACAACAGGGCAAATCAAAAGAAAAGAAGACAGTAGATTCTGTTGTTGATATGGAACTCCTGAATGGTAAACAAAAAAAAAAAAAAAAAAAAAAAAAAAAAAAAAAAAAGGAAAAGGAAATATCTCTTGTTTTAAATTGACATCGTTTGTATCTTTGTTAGATGTGCCTGGTTGGTTCCGAAGTTTACGATTGCATAAATACAATGCTATTTTTGAATCTATGCGATGGCAAGATATCATACGACTTTCCGATCAAGATCTTCAAACCAAAGGTGTAGCTGCTCTGGGTGCTCGAAGAAAGATGCTCAAAGTGTTTGAAACTGTACGAGATCATTGTACAAAAAATGTAAGACCTTTCTCGAAACATCTACATTGAAACTAATGATCATTTTTTCCATCGTAGGATATTCCATATTGATCAAATATATATATAAACATTTTGCCGGACAAGAATGTTTCAATCGATTAACCTCCTCCAGATACACACATACTATAGTCTTATTCACAGTAGATATATCAACTATCCGTATATTCCCAACTCCAAGATCACCCCTTTTTTTTTTTTTTCTAACACGATATCATATTATGAGATAATAATAAAAATAATAAAACAAAGTATATCAATCTTTTCGCTGATAATCAGCCCCTATATTTTTGTTTTCACAGCATTGATGCACACATCCTTCAAAAAACATATTCAAATTGTCACATCCTTACTCTTTTACTTTCACAGTACCATATAGACATATATATATTCATATTCATCCAACAATCATAAAAAAAAAAAAGACGAAAGACAAATTAGGTGATAGTAAAGAGATAAAAAAAAAACCAATATGGATCTTTTTTGGAGTATATCTTTATTTAGTTCTTGGCAGCGAGGAGAGCCTTTTGGGTACCCTTCTTTGCGAAACGTTGGTTACGGAGGAACTTGGCATCCACCTATTAAAAAAAAAAAAGAAAGACATTACGATATGTACTTGGTTATTCATTTTCTCATAACTTACACCCTTGAGAGAGGGGTACTTGTGTTGAGCGGGCTTCTTAATACCATTGCGGTGAGCCTTCTTGTCTATAGTTCGAGAAAGAAAAAAAAAAAAAAAAAGAGGATCAATAGGGTTGTTATCGATTGTGTTATGACGTCCGAATATTGTCGTTTTTTTTTTCCATTATGACTGTCCTATCGCTCTCTTTTTTTTTTTTTTTTGTGGAATGCTTACTTTGGTTATGGTTGGTGTGGTTCTTAGACTTGGCCATGTCGTCTCTATAATAAAATAATAAACATTCAATTAATGATACTTTCTATAGAAAAAGTGGGTGGGTCGATTGAGATATAGTTGTATAGTATTGGGATGAAGTGGAATGTTGAAAGTTGATCGTTTGATTGAAATCCGTAGACATATGAATGTAATGGATGGATGGATGGATGGATGGGGTATCTTTACCACTGATTTGTACAAAAAAGTTAAAAGAAAGAAAAAAAAGAAAGGGCAAATAGAATCTCACTTACAAGCACGTATGGGGGGATTGTCTCCGCGGTTCGGTCCACACTATCCCTATTTTAACACCCGCTTTGCATTGCCAGAGGAATGATGATCGTTCAACAAATGATTTGTCACCTTCATCATAAAAGTTCTTTTCAAGTATCTATCTATAAAGTTTTTATATCGTTATCAGCTTTTACTATGCAAGTTGATGTTTCCAAAAAAAAAAAAAAAAATGAAGTAAAAATAAATAAAAGACTTTTTTTTTTAGAAAAAAAAATGCCCCTGATCCAGAAAGAGAGAAAATAAAGAAGTAATGTTGGTAACATTGAAACAAGAGCGAAAACATTGACATTTCGTTTTGTTTTCATCCAAGGAAAAGAAACAGGTGGATAGTAAAAATGATTTTGATTGGAGGAATGATATGAATTGTTTTTGTTGTTATTTATAACATATTATACAATGCATCGAGAAGGTTTTTCAAGGAGGTATTAAAAAAATGATTTGATATTTTCCTTTTGATTTTATTTTCTTTCTCATTATCTATGTTTTTATTCATTACTACTGTATTTTTTATCTTTGTTTCTATTGTCATATCAGATGTAACCGATCATCGTGTCATCGTCCATCAACCATCCAATCATCAACAAGTTTTATATGATTCTTATTTGAGAATAGAATATGGCATGGAAAAAGGCAATGGTAAGTAATATCATACAATTTCAATGATCTTACTCATTTTTCATTATTATTATTATTTATTTATTTATTTCTAGATTCTAATGTTCAAGTTCAATTTGAATGGTCAACACAAAATATATCCAATACACTCAATGTTCATCATGGTATCACCACAAGAGTCCTAGGCACTCGTCAAGAACATGTTGCTTATAATTGGAAAACCCCAGGATGTCCTTTTTTTATTCGATATCAACCCCAAAACTATCAATTTGCCCTTCTCCTGAATGCAACTGAATTGATTCGTATACCATTGGATTTCAGCCTCATCAATATCTCTGGTTTACAATGTCAAAATAAAATTAATCATCATCATCATCACTCTGCCCAATCAAATAAAACAAAACATCACTAAAAAAAAAAAAAAAGGAATCAATTACCTATTGGTATATAGAATGATCGGCATAGTACCAGTAATCAATTATCAATACTGTATTCATTGAATAGTCCTGATTTAACTCATAAACAATAAATCAAAAATAACATACTGCATACTTAAAATAAATCATTTTATTGTTATCAATACTGAAAAAAGAAGTACCATACTTTACTCTGTTACGGATCTAAGTATTTCGAACCATTCCGATGTTTGAAAAAAAGAAATGGAAAAAATGGTTAGTATCATGATCAACTAAATATTATTTGTATATGTGCACTTACCAAAAAAAAAAAAAAAAAAAAAATCCAAACAGTAAGGAAAACGGTGAAACAAGAATCGCCAGAGGAAGATAGCGTTCTGTCGCGTATGACCAGTTGAACGGAAAAAAGAAGATACCAACAAGGAAGTAACTAAAAAGAAGCAAATGATTTTTTTTTTTGTATTTTGTAGAAGAAAGAGAAACAAAAGAAAAGAGAAAATAAAAAAAAAGTCTCTTTTATATTGTTTTTTTTTTCCTCCAATCATATTGAAGTTATCAAATAATCATGATTATTCTATTAAATCAAATCAATCATCCATTATTCTATTAAATCAAATCAATGATCTAATCATTATATGTCATAAAATAGAATATAGAATTCATATTTCATCAAATAAAATAAAAAGGTTAGTTGTAAGACATTAATGTATAGTTAAGGGATTCATCGGAGATTCGAAATCATTCTCAAAAAGTCGAAAAGATGTACTCCTGGTTTTTCCTTCCCTTTTTTTTTTTTTGTCTTTCCTTTTTTTTACTCGTTATCTTTATGACTGTCCCTACTGGAACGTTACAAGCCTTAAAAAAGTTCTCTACCTGTGAAGTAAGTTTTCTTCTTCTTCTTTTTTTTTTATAATGGTTTTTCATTCTTATTTATTTCTCATATTTTCTTATTTAGATAGCTGATGCATTATTAAAACTAGGTCAACGACCATGGGGTGGATATATACCTGACATTGATATGTGGTCTCCAAACCATTGTTCTGGTGATACTCGTATTATAGGTCCTGCTTTTACTGTCAAGGTATATTATTATTATTATTATTATTATTATTATTATTTCGCTCTATTCCTTACCGCCCCCTCTTTTTATATATATATGATTGTATAGTTTGTTAAAAAAGAAGATGACTCTGCACCAAAACCATCACAACATTTTGTAAGACACATAAAAAAAAAAAAAAATAGAAATACTAGTTTGATAATTTATGTATCAGTTTCTTCATTTAGGTGGATGCAGCTACTGAAGGTAGTGTCATGGTTATCTCGGCACCTCCAGGTACATATATATATATGTATATAACGAATCATTATTATCGTTTTGATATTCATATCATTTTTCTTTATTAGATGTCAAGAATGCCTGTTGGGGAGGATTAATGTCTGCACGTGCTATGGCAAGACAAGTGCAAGGTGTAGTGATTGATGGCCGAGTACGTGATCTTGCTGAACATCGTAGTATGAAATTCCCGGTAGGAAGATCAAGAATAAAAGTTTAATATAGAGATGTAGTTTTCTTATTAATCTTTTTTTTTTTTTTTTTTTATAAAATTAGGTATTTGCAAAATCACATTCCATTTTGCCACAAAATGCATTTGTTCGACCTTCTGAAATTCAAGTGCCAATTACATTGTCGGGTTCACCTGTAGTGATTCATCCTGGCGACATCATGGTTGCAGATATGGATGGTGTTATTTGTGTCCCTGTGGGTTTGGTGGAAAGTGTCATCAGCAACTGCGAAAAATATACAGCTATCGATGATCAATGTATGAAGGCTCTCCAAGAAGGCCACGGAATCCAGGAAACTTTTGCCAAATACAGGGGTTAGATGGATCCATACCGATTCTTTTCTATTGGTGGTTGGTCCAACTGATCTTGGTTAGTTCATTTAGCTATGTATCCTTCCTTATCTTTCTGTTCGATTATTGAATAAAATTATGTTGTATAGTGCGTATGAAGTATCGTAATCTCTACGTCAATGTTGCTTATAATCTTGTCACCATCATCATCATCATCATCATCATTATATTGTTTTCTAACTTTATAAAGAGAATCTGTATAGTCAATCATTATAATATTTCATAAAATATCTTCTTTTGTTCACGTTATCCATTGATTTATTATCTGTTACACGTTGACCTACGGAGTGTCCTGAAAAGGCTTTGTATATAAAACAAAAATAAAACAAAAATCTATGTACTCCTTGAAAAAACCTTTTTTTTTTCTCACCTTTCTCACTCTTTTTTTTTTTTTTTTTTTTTTGAACTGTATCTTATTTTTCTCGAGTTTTAGCAACATGGTGCCTGGCTTGAATGAAGATATTATTACCGAGATTCCTGTCATAGATCTTAATGACATGAATAGTGATTTGGAAGGAACCGCCTCCAAGGTTCTCTCAGCAGCAAAAGATGTTGGTTTTTTCTTTATACGTATCCCTCCAGAACAGAAGGAACATTTGGCTATGTTTGAGAAAGCAAGTAAAAAAAAAGAAATTGGTTTATACTAACGTGGATATATTTATTATTGATCAACGCCTTTATATATTATTATCTAGAGTCAAGAGTTCTTTTCTATGCCTATGGACCATAAATTGAAGTATTTGCTCAAAGTCGAAGAAAACGTTGGTTACAGTGCCATGCGTCAAGAAAAGTAAGTATTATTAAAAAAGAACCAATAAACACTTACATTATCTTTTGATTTTTTTATTATTTCTAGGGTGGATCCTAAGCATAGTACCAAAGGAGATTTTAAAGAGTAAGTTTAGTACCCATAAACGAAAAAGACATATAAGATTAAAAAAAAAAAGCGACTCATTGATTTTTATAGATCTTTTAATATTGGGCGTTTGATCAATGAGGATCCTATTCAAGACTTGCCTCCACTGTTTGCCAACAACTTGGATTTGATCCGAAAGTTCCAAAACGTAAGTAACAGTGTAATATAATATGGACACAATTCACAAACTTTTTTTTTTAACATGATGAACGATTATCGAATTATTATGGGTGTTGTAGATCTGTAATACAACTGTATGTAATATCATGGAATGTTTGGCCATTGCTCTCAAGGTAAATACATGAAACGAAAAAAAAAAAAAAATTTGAAACTTAGTTTTTTTTTTTTTTTTTTTTTTTGAAGATTCCTGAAGATCAAGGTGGAAGAACATACTTTTCCAAAAGGTACTTGGATGATGAAGCACCTGGCGATATTTTAAGAGTGCTGCATTATCCACCCAGAACTGGAAACGACGATGATCAAAAAGAAGAAATACGTATTGGAAGGTAAACTGTTATATGAAAGTTATTTCATCATTTAACTCTTGTCTTTCTGATAGACATTCTGATTATGGACTGCTCACACTTTTATGGCAACGACAAGTAGGAGGGCTCCAAATCCAAGGCAATCAAGAAATGGATGATCCCAAGAAAATGACATGGATAGACGTACCTGTGAAAGACGATTGTATTATAGTCAACTTGGCGGATTGTCTTCAATATTGGACGAATGGTTTAATTCGCTCCACTACACACCGTGTTGTTTTTCATCCTGATACTCTGCATAAATCTCGATATAGCATGGCGTACTTTGTCCAAGGTGGTGCAATCCCGTTAGATCCTGTGCCTAGTGACCAAATCCCTTGTACTCCTCCTACTTCTCCCCCTTTCAGTACATCTGGCGACTATGTCAAGTATCGACTCGCTTTGACCTATGGCCACTCTTATTAGTTCTTTCTTTGATGGATGGTTACCTTTTCTCTATTTTCTGATTGCTTAGTATAATTGATTTAGTAGTTATATGATGTAGCGTAGCTTACTTTACTTTGAAAATAAAAATGATACCATGAAATGTTGAATTAAAATTTGGGCAAATGATGGATGAAGAATAATAAGAAACGCTTTTTTTTTTTTTTTTTTTGAAATGCATACTTAATGGATGATACTCTATCGGATATATAGATTTTGTTAGAAAAATAGCGGACACCATGGAGTATATTGCATATCCTATATATGGAATTTATTTTTCTCATGATGTATACGTTTTATGCTGTGTTCTAACTTTATAAAAAAAAAATCTATATAATCAATCATCCCAACCGTTCATCACCAACTGACGTGTATATAGTAAAGTACAAGAGTTGCATTATTTTATTATTTGGGATATAAAATATGATAAAAGAAGAAGGGAACTAAAATACATGAGATAATATATATAAAGAAAATCAGAAGTAATATATATATATATAGTAAAATAATAGAGAGAAGGGATATCATCTAACAATATAGATAAGAATACGGTCAAAAGGAGATCATCATCAACACTAGCATCATTTCATTTTGACAAAAAAAAAAAAAAAAAAAAAAAAAAAAAAAAACGAAGTATCACCTTATATAAATCATCTGAAGAAGGACATTCAAAAAGCAGGTAATTTGATGAACGTAGTAGTATCGTCGTAGATCAGAGTAGCCATCACATAGTAAGCAGTCAAAGCCAAAGAAATAGAAATCCAACCACTAGCAGCCACCAAACCATTGTTATGAAGAAAGTTACCCAAGCAACTTGTCAAAAAGGCCAAAAAGACTTGTAACAGAGTAGCACGAATAAGCCAAGGTTGACGGAATGTACCCAAAAAGAAAATAAAAGAAACAAAGGTATAACCCAACATATAAAGTCCTACACATGTTTGAAGCGCATCTTCACCTTCTTTCATCGCAATTTCCAAAAATCCACTTGCTGGAGAGAACATGATACCAAATGAAAAGAAGAAACCAGAATAAGTCATCATGGTCGTGGCCGCATATGTGTTCCCAATCAAGAGTTCCAAAAGACCAGAGGTGAATTGACAAATCCCAGTAAAACCCAAAGCAACACCCACTGTCACTTGTGGCAAATTCGTCAACAACCCAATACAATAAAGTCCAATCACCAAACTACCAGTAGCAAAAGACGCAAATCCAATAGCAGCAGGATTACCTGGTTTAAATAAAGGTCGTATATCACCCACTGGTTTTATTTCTTCATGAATACTTGGTGTTCTCATATCAATTGATTCGTGATGTTGGATTTCTGGTTTTTGAACAATATTCATAATGACTTTTTTTTAAAAAATATATATATATGAAGAGTAAAAGAAAGAAAAAGAGAATTTTGAAAAAAAGGAAATAGATATAACTGTAAGCAAATTACAATTCCGCTAAAATCTAAACGTTGTGTCACATTCACTTTCCCCACTTTTTTTTTTTTTTTTTTTTTTGAAGCATCAATCTAGGGGAACAAATGAATGGCCTTTGCTCATCAGAAATCATGCGATCCAATCAAAAGTAGAGTGTGAGTATTTTTCTCAAATTTCTTAAAACCTAAATAGGATACTTGTAAACTTGTTAGACTACATTTAGACTTTTTCTCTTTAATCTGTCAAATTCAAATCTTTTATTGCATAAAACACCATACATGAGCTGATTCCATCACTTTATATATATATCTGTGAAACAATGATTGATTGTTCTTTTTTTGATGGCCACTTTCTTAAAAAAAAAAAAAAAAGATCAATAATCGTTGCTTTAAGGTTCGCCTCTAATTTTCTCTCGTCCTCACAAAATGATGTATGATGATTTATAGTCAACCATATGAATCATCATATCTTTATATTTCATCTGGTTTATCGTTGAGTGTCATTCTCATCTTATTCCTTTTAATAATAAAGATGAAGATATCTACTTGGTCGATGAACTTGTTATTTTCTCAGATAAGTCATCGTAAATCTCACGAAGAAGATTGGTGGGGAAGAAGAGAGATAGACTAGAAATGAGAGACAGCGACAATAGAACAAAGGGAACCATTTCCTTATGTAGCCTTTTTTCCTTGGCTTCTTTTTTTTTTTTTTTTTTTTTATGTGTGTAGAGGAATGGGGCTATCCTGAAAAGGAATTTTCAAGATCTTTTCCTTTATATGACTTATATTCCCATTACTATATCTATAAAAAACAAAAGTGAGCTTGATTTTTTTTTCTCTGATATATCTGGACAAAAGGATCAAACAAAAAAAAACCGAGGGATGACATGAATAAGCCTCTAGTATCATGATCATCATCATCATCATAGTGATGATTATCCAATTTATAAGAATAAGTGGAAGGAAAAAATATACGGTAACGGTAAGACACGGATGAATGAAACCCTCATGTTAGAAAAAGATCTTTATATATTCATTACTGTCCTATAGGTAGAAGGAGGAGAGGATGATATTGCTTTTCTTTAGCGTTGTCTAGACTACCCAACAACATTGTTGAATGCAAAAAAAAAGGTATGTGTTTGACAAAACGAAAAAAAAAAAGGTTCACTACAAGAAGTAGTTTTGTAAATGGATTACCATCGTACAATCATCAAGATGTATATCGAGAATTACATCAACCTTTTCCCAATTGTTTTTGTTTCTTGGATCCAGCTTTCCTTAAAGGATAGGTAATTCATGAACGTGGGGTAAGACACTGAGCGTGATGATTGGTCAACCAATCCACTGGATTGATATGATATATATTTTTTTTTCTAAATCCGCCTTTCCGTTGTGTTGCAGGGTGGGTATATAATTTAGTCAGTGAGAAAAGAATTCCAAAATATCCTTTAAAGTTCAAACTGTTTGAGGTACCGACCCTTGAAGAAGATGATGTTTGTGTTGAATTTCAGATGAACTTGAATAATCATCCCGATCAAGATGGGATCTATTGAATGCTTATGGATGCATGAACAATGAATCCGTATCGGAGATTGTTTCCATTTGACTCTTTTTTTTTTTTATTTTATTTCATGCAACTATTTTATACTATACACATGATCGTCAAGAAGTATTCTTTTTTTTTTTCTTCTCTTTCGGTTAGTAAGAATGAGAAAAAGTCACTAAAAAAAAAAAGGAAAACAACAACTTTAATCTAACTGCCAACTTTACTTGAACATAAAATATCTAAAAAAAGAGAAAAGAGTAAATTATAGTTAGCTGTCATTTGACACCTAGAGATTTCCCTCAGCGCGGGGAAAATACCCACTTTAAGAAAAAAGGTTCTTTGCCACACACTTACAAATTTTCCCTGAATGTACTTTGTTGTATCGATCGTCTTTTTTTCAAAAAAAAAAAAAAAAAAAAACTATAAAAGCATAAAAACAAAATATACATATTATTTATTCTCATTTTTTTTCTTTTTATTCAATTCATTTACCTCTTTTTTTTTTTTTAATTTGTGATTCTTTATCATGAGTATTAAAGCCAATGAAATAGAACATCTTGATATTCCAATGAATCAAAATGAAATAGCTTTACCGGCATCATCATCTCAGTTACCTCATGCTAGTCAACTTCCACTTGCTCAAAGGTTTTCAGCAATCCCTCTTGCTTTTTGTTGTTTTGCCATTGGATCTATTCTTATTGGTTTCGTCAATACTGGACTGATCACCAGTGTCACTGCATTACCTGTTGGTTCTTGTATTGCTACTAGTGGTGTAGGTTTATTCATTGGATCTATAAGTGAACTTCTTAAAGGTAAAAAAAAAAAAAAAAATGATGATGATGATGATTTGACTGATTGATATATATTATTGATATTATAGGTGAAACATTGACTGGTACAGCCATGGGTATTTACTCTGGATTTTATTTTGCTTATGGTATTCTTTTCATTCCTAGCTCAGGATTTTTGGAATCAACAGTTCAAACAGGAGGATTACGAGAAGTACAAAAATGTGCGGCTCTTTTCTCATTTGTCTATGCCGTACCAGCCTTTATGCTCTTTTTGGGTTCATTGAAACAAGCTTGGTTGGTTCGATTCTTGATGCTTCAAGTGACACTTGCCTATTTTTTAAGTGGTCTTGGTAATGCTATGGGAAATACACCCTTAGTAGTTGCTGGAGGCTGGTTCTCCATTACACTTGGTATCACAGCATGGTACATGGCTGCTGCCATGTTGTTCACAAAAGAAAATACTTATTTTGTTCTCCCCTTATTTTAATATCAATTTTTTTTTATTATTCCTCCTCTCCTAATATCCTTTTTTTTTTAAGTAAGAAATTGAATTCTTCTATCTATTTATGTATTTTTATTCAAAAATAAACGAGTTGAACTATATTTTCTCATTTTATGAAAAAACAAATTGAAAGAAAACAGAGTAGTAGTTAGATTACTTAATTTGGAAGATGCAGGAATGGATTCTTTTTTAAGGGGAGCAAACTCGCGCAAACTATTTTCCCACTCTTTTCTTTCCGCTATTTTTTTTTTTTTGTGTACTATTTTTAGTTCATTTTTTCCATGGTTTTATAGGTATTCAGTCGATAATATATGAGAAAGCTACATACAAAGAACAAGATAGCAAGACAATTGAATCAAGGTAAACTGGAAAGAATGGGTAGTGAAATGATATCAATACCTATAACTCATTCCCTTTTCTTTCTCTTTTTCGTTTTAAAGATGCTTGAAAAAAAAAAAAAAAGAGGAACAACAATATAGATTGACTATAGGTGACAATGGATAAATTTGGAATCGACTCCTTCAACAATAGCAGTGACAACAACCAATAAACGGCACTTTAGTGACAACACTGGAAGTATCAATAGTAACGGACCAATAACTGCTTATATGCGGCACGACACCTGGATCAAGATTAGTGTTATGGCGTACTAAAGTAGGACGATTTGTACTATTAGATAGGCTAGTGTAGTTAGTTATTACTTGTATTGTTTTCATTATTCAACAATAAACAGGGATATTATTGAAATCAAAAATAGTTTGTATGGAACAAAGGCAACGGTCTTCATAACGGTTCCTAACGATGGGATTTTTTTATATTATTGTATAATGATGCTAATGATGATTGTTAAAGTGTTTATTGAATACATGATTGATGATCGATGAGAAATTATGACAATGAGAAACCGGTGGCCGATAATAATAGAATTCAGAAAAAATAGTGTCATTGCCATCATCCTACAACTATTATCATATCTATCTACAAATCATCATCATGAACTATTATCACGCGAACAATTATGCCTAGTTTGTTGTATAATACTGTAAATGATAGGAATTAAAACTATGATGAGTCAAATATATATATATATATATATTTATTGGATACGAAAGAGCTGGGCAAAAAAAAAAAAAAAAAATACTAGTCTACAAGTTGTCGTCAGCTTCCTTATGAGGATTCATTGAATTAGCTATACTGCATATCTAATGCACTTGATAGAGGTATGGGACTATATCATCTAAACTACTTGAACTTCCTTGATCTACAACAAAACAAATAATAATAAGGATGAAAGCAAATGTTAGTAAGCCACTTGACCATTTCACTTTTATATAATTTATTTATTTATTTATTATTATTTTTACCTTGAAGAGAGCACTGATGATTTCTGCAAGAGGTTGATCTATCCATCGAGAAGGAGAAAGAAAGTGTTGAAACCAACCTAAATGACCTAATAAAAGAAGATAATGAAGAAGGGAAAAGAGTTATACCAGTCAAAATAGTAAAAATGGTCTACCAATAAAAATGATCTATGTGTTGCATCATTTTACCTCCATAATCAGTGGTCATCATCAGTACATAAGGATTTACCTTGATTTCTTCCCAAGGGATACACACTGACAGAGCTATAGGATCATCTAACGCATTGATGCATACCAAAGGAATCCGAACATGTTCAATATAAGATGCCGAACTTGAATCACGATAGTAATTGTTGACAGTAGTGTACCCAAACATTTTACTAGTATAAGCACGATCAAAATCTCTAATAGTATTAGCAGTAAGCACATCCTCTAGTATCAGTTCAGGATGTTTCTTCAACATAGTGAGATGTCGTCCAATGACTCGATTCGATTTCTTGGCTAATGCGTTGGAATAGATCATTCGATTAAAATAATTGCCATCTAGAATATTTGCACATATCAAAAAATCAAATGGATTGCCAACAGAGATCGCGGCTTGCAAAGGAGTGTTTTCTTTTTCTTCGCCCAAATACTACATACAAAATGAGTTCAATCAATGATTGAGATAGGAAAAAAAAATTTTTTACCTTGACTAGAATATTAGATCCCAAAGAAAAGCCAATACCAACCATTGGAGTGCCTACTGGTAATTTTTGTTGAATATGAAGTAATGCTGCCCGAATATCTTGAGTATATCCTGCGCTATAAGTTTGTGGTGTTGTGATTTCTGTTAATCCACAACCTCGAGCATTCATCACCACAGCTCGATAAGGTTGAGGTCCTTGGAGAACCTAAGGAATCAAAGATTGAGTTTATCAATTAATAGTAACACAAAGAACTTACCTTTTCCAGAACGCCATGAATATACGATTCATGACTTCCACCTGTGAGACCATGTAAAACCACTAATATTGGAGTAGTTGTATTTTCAAAAGATCGATCTTGACTTACCGTCCAGTCAAGAGACAATTGTCCACCATCGTCCAAAGTCAAAAGTTCTCTATCAAAAAAAAAAAAAAAAAAATAGATAGATAGAGAGTAAATCTTATAATGTAATGACTTTCTTTACCTTTCATAAATGACATGAGGACTTTTTCTTTTAAAGATAGCAGCATAGCCAGTTTGGAGGTGACCATTAAAAAGGTAAGGAGTTGGTGAATACGTATCGTCTAAAGAAGGACAGTTTGATAATAAATAATAGGCAAATGGTACACCTTTTTTGTCGCTAGTGATCTCTACAGACTGATCGTGACAAAACAACTTAAAGTTGCAATTCATGATATAGTATAGAAGGAAAGGAAAAACATATTGAAAAAAAAAAAAATAATAACAATAAAGTAAGAAGAATATAAAGGGACCCAGAAAAAAAAAATAAAGGAACGGAATGGTTGGCATAAAACACATTCTTTAGTTTTCTAAATCCGCAAAGGAAAACTATTGGTTGGGAAATGTTTTATTTCAAAATATAACTATGTAAAGTAAATCTATGTAGAATAAAATAAAAAAAATAAAATGATACTAATGTTGAGGATAAGAGGGATAATAAGTTGAAGGTGGAGGATTTGTAGGATAATTGGGAGACATAGGGTATCCAGGAGAATCTTGATATGATTCTTTAGTTGCGAGCATATGTTCACCTGCATCAGCAAGTCCACCAGCGCGTTTCTTTCTTGCTCGTAATTCAATCCTTTTGCGTGCCAATCTAAAAGAGTCTACACCACAACAAAGTACGTTACGTAAGAATTCAGGAATGTAAATAAGATAAGCATCAACAAAAGCCATCCAAGGAGATAATTTGTTGGGAGTAAGTTGTCCACCTAGTTGTTGATAATGACCTACATTGTCATCAGGTGAAGCTCTTGCCATACGTCGATCAACATTGAAATATCGTAACATCAATAACATAGCAATACACATAGTCACACAAATCACAATGACATAAATCCCACTTTTCACTTCATCTGCTGTCCAAGGTAAATGATCTGAAGAATGAGTACCATCCGTGCCTTTGATCACATCTGCATAAACTAAACCAGAAAGTAAAAGTTCTCCAAGATAAAAGATTGCCATAATTGGTCCCTGTTAATAATAATAATAATAATATAAGTTTAAAGGTGTTCGATTCTCTTTTTTATTTTTTTTTTCTTATAATTTACCTTGACACACCAAAACATTCCATGTGCGTGTATATCACCTGCTTTCCATTGATCAGAAAATACAGCCAAGTAAGTGAAGAGAGCCGTCAAGATAATAGATAATGAAGTAAAATTGATAATCACAAGGTAAACATGAGCACCACGGAAACTAAAACTTGATTCACAATAAAGTCCTCTGGATTGCGTAATAAGAGAAACCAATGCATCAATAATTGCCCTAAGAAAAAAAGGAAGAAGTAGAAGAAATAAAATAAGCTTAATTAGTAAATATTATATATTTATTAAATGTATTTTCTTACTTACCATATCGGGAACTGATAGACAAGAATATCAATGATAATTCGAAAATGCATTCCCCATTTGGATTTTCTAATGGTTAAGAAAAGAAAAAAAAAAAAGAGGTTAAAAATTATCATTCATTAGTTATATATTTTAATATTTTTACAAATTGACTTTAAAAAGGAAAAGCACTTTGGTTGATAAAGCTTCTTTACGACCTTGAGCTTCTTCACGATAAGGAGCCAAATAAGCTTGAAGACATGTATATAAATTGTAAACGGCAAATGCTTCAAATAAGGTGGCGAAAAATAATATAGTAGTAGCATAATCAAATCGTAAATATGAAGCCCAAGCTAAAGTAGCATAGACTGGAGGGTAAAGTATAATACGTAACTTGTGTCGTTGGATTTGAGGATCACTATTTAATTGTATGAAATTAGTTACACAAACAAGAGTAAAACTAGTCCCACACTGTGCCGTTCTCATAAACATATATGTATAATCTAAAAACTTACTAGTAGTTCCTTAGGTGACGAATAACCAGTGTTAAAGCTACCGACCAAGTAATCACGAGAAATAAAAGGCATGCAAGCCAGCCTACAATATGCCAGTTATATCTAATAAAAAATAAAAAATAAAAAAAAAAAGAATTATTATCTCTTTTTAGTATTTGTTTCGAAATGAATTCAATTCATGATACTTTACGTTGGATGTTGCCAGACGTCCAGAAAATTAAAACTTGGTTGTCCACTATATATATATGTATAAGTTTAAAAAGTAGAAATAAAAAACAGAAAAATATTTTAATGAACTTACAAAAGTCCAGCATGTCGAAGTCCTCCAACAGAAGGACAGGAATCTTCTGCAGTACTATTCCCACTTTCCATATATAAAAGTTTGTATATTAGAATACAAAAATATGGTTGATAAGAAATAAGAAAAAAAAAACAAACGAAAAAAAGAAGTAAAAGGAAGAAGAGAGACCAAAAAAAAGGGGAACCTATTTTTAAAGGAACCGGCGACTGAAAAAACAATACCAAGCTACAGTTCGGATTTTTTGGGAAATTGAAATGAGCTGAGCCTACCAAGGACAGATCACTTTTTTTTTTTAAAAAAAAAGAGGCAATTGACTGTATTTCTAAAAAAGTAATCATTTGATGTAACAATATGCCAAGAAATGATGAATAAAAGGGAATTATCATTATATTCTTTTGTGGCTAGGTTTTGTAGCATATTCAATATCCTTTTTTACATAAATAATATTAGCCACTTTGAAAATAGAAATCAATCGATAATACTGTTCTTTTTTTAAAAAATATCAAAAAAAAAAGAGAAAATTTGTAACATGATTAGGAAATAATGATATAGAAAGTGATATTTCATAAGAAAGAATCATATCGTGTTCAGATGTTAATTGTAAGCACTTTGTGTACAAGAGTCGTCCATGACTCGCGGAGTATAAAGTGGTCTTTTTTTTTTTTTTTTCCTTTTGGTTCCTTCCACTGCTCTTACACACTACTCGCTTTTCCTTTTTTTTTTTTCTTTTTTTTTTCTTTTTTTCTCTGTCTCTTTTCATTTTTACGGTGAATGGATGTTGTTCGATGCTATCAGACTCTAGCTTAACCAATATATTGACTGTGGTAAGTTTATCAATCATTGCAGCAAAATATGATTTAAAGAAGAAAAAAAAAAGAAAAGGACATTTTGATTTGACTGCTTTAAAAAAAACAGAAGAAAAAAAGATAAACAATACGAAACACGGTATACTAAACTCATCATTCTTGTTTTTACTTTGAATAGAGTGGTGTATCACAAATCCGATATAGAGCTTATCAACAATGCTGCTCACAGTCTTCACTCTCGAATTTTTTTACATGGCAAGACTCAGCAACGTCACCCAACAACAAACAAACGACATTGATCACAGCTTATACACAACTCATTAGTCAAAGTATACCTTGCATGTGGCAAATGCAACCATCAACAAAGCCTACAACTCCTTCAAAGATGGATACACAATCAGAAACTATTACTTTAGAGTTATGGGTCTTTTGGTTTGACGATCGACATACAGGTCTCATCGATGCAAACTTATTATTACGGGAACTAGATGGTAAAAAAAAAAAATAAATATAAAGACTTGTTGATTGCTCATCTTTTCTATATTCGTTTTTTAATTAGAACTTCGCGTTGGGTCATTTACTTGGGAAAACGTGTCTTCCAAAAATACTCATCGGTCTAATGCTTGTACCTTGGTTACTGTTGTGATGGAATATAAGCTATTTATCAAAGCTATTCGGAACTTGATTCTACCGTAAGTAAAATAAATAATAATAATAATAATATTTTTTTTTGATCTAAAATTATTTTTTATTTATTATATAGATACATGTTGAAAAAAGATGCTTTACCATTGGGAGAATTCTTTGTATTCCCACCTTCATACCTAGAACCTGCTGTTGGAGAAGATTGTGATACAAATCCATCGTCTTTACTGTGCTGTACATACAATATTTATTTAGCATCGACCAATCTCGTTTTTCAACCTAATACGCGTAGAATTCGATTACGACCTTTGACATCTTCTGATTTAAATTCCAAAGCAAAAGGTAATTAAAAAAAAAAAATAAAAAAAAGGAAAAAAAGGTGATAAAGAGAGAGAGAGAAAAAAAAATCAGGAATTTATTTATACATATATATATATATTCTATCTAATAGTTCTGCTAAGTCCAACCGGAGAACAAGCTCTTCTTGATCCATCTCGACGACATACAATAACACATTCATATGAAGATCGGCTATTGAAACAATGGGCAGCATTATTACAATTACCTATATCTCAACTGATATCTAATAATATGCCATCTTTGGTTCTTATCTGTATGTCTTATGGTGAAAAGGTATATTATCCTAGTCGACTTGTCTTTATGATTACTCCAACAAGACAATCTCCAAGTGCACTAGCTGGAATGAATGGAACAATGGGATATAATCATGGTTTGACAGAGGATATTGCTCAAAAATGGAATCGAGAAATGTGGTTGGAACAAGTATTGGCGAATCAGGCGGATAAATCTAGATATAGGGTGGACTATTGGACATATACAAATCCTCGATTACATACAACATTAGCAGCCTTAGATTCCTTATCAACAAGTACTTTGAATACACCAAATTCGACGGATGCAAATTCTCCTCTAATGATTCAAGGTGGTGTATTGATCAAGGCATTAAGTGAACCTGTACTTTCAAGTCCTTTGATGGCATCCAAATCAGTTGCTACTCCCTCAAGTCCCTTACCGAGAGATGATGGTGACGATGACAATGAAAAGGTATTTGGAAGCACTCATGGCGATACACCTACAGGTGCTAGTCAATTTCTCGTTAGTGGTTGGCGTGGCAATCAGACTTTGACAGATTTCGTACAACAACATTTCATCAGTGGATCAACTGATGATTTACCTATGCAACTCAATGGAACGATGGATATGGGATTATTGGCTGGTACAACAACGACCCAAGATACTACTGCTTCGATGATGATGACACCACAACAACATCATCAGCAAGATACACTCATCATGCCTCCTACAAATAATATGATGCAAGCACATTCTCAACAACAATCTTCATATACTCACTCTACACCTACTCACATGATGTCAAATGCCAATTATACCTCACCTCTTCAAATGTCTTATACCGCATCGCCACAACAACCAGTACCCGGACAACAACCTATGTATGACCAACAGCAACAATTACAATTACAGCAACAACAACAACAACAGTTACAACAACAACAATTACAACAACAGCATCAACAACCACAACAACATATAAAATCAGGTCAAAATTTAGCGATAAATGATGGAATGAATGGTGGTAGCACAATGGATATGAATTCTATAGATGTCTTGGACACAATGGTTTATGATATGTCAACTCCTTGGGGTGGTGATGGTGGTCTTGATAATTTGGAATTAGATCTTGATGTTACAGAAGAGGATTTTAACTTTTTTGAATCGGAACCAGCAAAACCAACCACTACAACAACAACCAATATGCCAACAGAAACAGCTATGGCCGATATTCAATCTCTTGATTTTTTCCAAGTCAACCCTGAAGATTCCTTACAAACAAATGCAGTATTGGATTCCCTCGATTTTCCACAAACGGATCCGGTATCTACAACAGACACAACTACTGGTTTGGATGAATTGATGACTAGTGCTAATTATGACGGTATGATACTTGATACTCCAAAACAAGAAATAAATCAGTCTGTAGATATGGTGGTGGATTCTTCACCAATGCCAATGGATGGAACAAATACTATAGTGAAACAGGAACCGCAAGATGAAGGCAAGATAAGCAGTACTATCTCCTCCGAATTCCCTGCAGATGCTTCCAATCAGGATTCAACAACTTCTAACAAATGGCCTACTACTACTACTACCACTGCTTCTACTGCTCCTATTCATGGTGGTGGAAGAGAACAACGACTGGTACCTCCTTCTTTTGCACCACTTTCATTATCCACAATTGTCAATGATGCCAAATATATGGAAGGCGGAAAATTCACATATGTACCAGAGGATGACGATATGACGACTACCTTGTCTTTTGGAAACAGCAAAAAACCAACAGGATCAACCAAAGGGCATAGACGAAAACAAAAGGATCGCACTTATCGCCCTGATTATGTACCTATTATCAAGAAAAAACGGAACAAGAAAAAGGTGGATGATGAACAGGATATTACTCGATCAACAGTGACAGGAAAGAATCAAACAATGGAAAAATCATCAACACCAACTCATTTATTGGATAAGGATGGTGACCATGACATGATGAACACAACTCTCAGCAACAACATCGATACTATCAGTGACAGCAATAGTATCAGTAGTAGCTCTGATTCTAGCGATAGCGGCAACAGTGTCGATGACAGTGAATCATCAAGCGATAGTGACAATAGCTTAATACAACGTCTTCGCGACAATGGCATCCAGAATGGTAATATCAAACCCATGGCAACATCCATGAAAAGAACGTTATCATCTTCCACATCAACAACAACTCCTGGACAAGATAGTAAGAAGGATACCGAGGACAATGACAGTCGGCAAAGTTTGATCAGTATAAACACGGCACCAGTGGATGACGGGATTTCGACAAGTGATAACGGTAGTAGGGCAATGGAAATGGATTATGCTGATGATGACGTTGATGATGATGACGATGGGTTGTGGCTGGAAAAACTAGGTAAAGCACGAACGATTTATTTACATCGATTGGTGGGTGATGTCAAGGTGGTCCATGGCGGAAAACGAAGATATCTTTTGGATCGATTGCATTTGGATTATGATACACCATTTGCGACTACTGTGACGCCCGGATTGGTTCGTCCTGATCGTTACCATGAAGAAGATGATCGACCATTACATTACCTTTGTCAACAAGCAGTTCTTGGTGGATATCCCTTTACTGGTGGTTTGGCTGAAATATCGACGAATGGTGGGGAAGTTGCTTTGGGTGAATCGACTCGTATAATGATTGCTCGTCGACGTGATTTGGTACAACATGCACGTGGAGGTAAAAAAAAGAAAAAGAAAAAAAAAAAAAAAAAAGGAAATCATATTTATCTTGTATATATATATGTTTAGGTGCTACTCATGTCCCTTGTTTACCTTGTGATTTTGATCGTGTTACTCAGGATTTCAAATCTATTCTTGGTGATATCTTTGATCCAAAGATAACTGTAACTGATGAACCTCTTCCTCTGAGTGTGACTGATTTTACGAGCTCTGTCAGTGTTAATGGACCTTTGAATGTGCAACAATACTATGAATTGTCAGGTAAATGATGAATAACCAATATAATTAGAAAGAAAAAAAATATAAACTGTTTTTTTTTTTTATCTATCTATATAGAATCCAATCAAATTCATTCCAAATATGGCAAATATCAAGTTAAGAAACGGCGACCGGCAGAACCTAACTTTGACACATTACACTCTCCTGATATTGTGGTTAGTAGACATGATGAATTTATTGAGGGATCACCAAAAATGATAGATTTTTGGGAAAAGTTGCGTCTGGAACCTTACTCTGCCAAAAAGAATATCAGTTATTTTGCTGTGTGCCCTAACAATGACGAACTGGAATCTGCTGTGCAAGTATTCTTTAAAGGGTTATCCACGGTTTATGAAGCATGTTGTCTTGGTGCCCATCATCCTGGTCATATTGGTCCTTATCGTCGTGGTACGGTGCCTGTGACACTTTTGCGTAAGTTACAAAAACACTAAGATAAAAAAAAAAAAAAAAAAAAAAAAAAAAAAAAAAAAAAAGAGATTGTTAACATGATCCGTTCTCTTAGCTGAAGAACAAGGACAATCAAAACGGGAACGACAATTGAAAAGTTATATGGCGACATGTGAACAACTTGGTACATCGCTTGGTGGTGTGATGGCTGAAAATGTATATATTGTGATTTATATGGTCAATCCTTATCCTCATTTATCATCCCACCTTGATCTCAGTAAATGTTATGATCGATTGATGAACGCCTTTGAACAAGCACGATTACAACACACAAATACCTCTATCATCTCTGGAACTACAGCCACTTCAAGACTTCCTTCGGAAAAGACTCGAGCAAGATTGGTGATGCAACTAGTACCTATAGAACATATTGTGCGTTGTACTGATTTTGGAAGTTATACCAAGAATGGTCTTAAGGAAATAGCATTCTCGGTTTACAGCAAATGTCCTACGATTGTCAACAATCATGTCAAGATCAATGTAGAAGAAGAAATAACAACACCCAATACTGCTGAAATATATGCGCCACCGTTTGTATTGACGAAACAAATTCCAGAAAATATCACTTACTCTTTAACGCCTTCACTCAATGCACCTGTTCTTCTGGATCAAGATGCGACACTTCATCTAGCATATGGCTATAGTTTGGATCGTCGATGGATGGTGGTAGTTTGGACAGATCATCGTGGTGAACTTGTTGAATTTGCAGTATTACGCGCATCTGCTCGACAATCAGCTCCATTTGTGACAGTGTTTGAAGAAGCTTGGAAACGTACATTGGAAATTGCTGGTCAAACTGATTTTATGTGGACTTTTGTTATTGTCAAGATGGGATTGATGTTTGAAAATGAATTACAAGGTAAAGAAGAGAGAAAAAAAAATAAAAGGTATCAAGAAACTAAATATATTTTTGAAAATAGCATGGATTCATGTTCTTCCTGAAAATGAAAAAACAGCTGTGATCAGTATGGATATGGAATCATCACTACATGTAGATGCATTGGTTGGACAAGAAGAACCTATACCTTATTTTGCTCCGGATACACCACAAACACCCCAAACACCGAATGTTGGACCTAATCATGTCTCTACCCCACCTCCTACACCACAACAAGCATCATCTTCTTCACCTGGTAACAAAAACAACATTAGTTCTATGGATATGGTGGATACGACGACAAACACGACTATGACCAAGATCTTACTTCTTAATCATCGAGTGGCCTATTCACGAAAACGACAACGGGTATCGGAAGGAGTGACATTGATGGATGCCATCTCTGATCCTGAAAGTTGGATATTACCTTTGGCAAGTGGTTACTTGGTACAACTTCCCAAGCAAGGGTCACCTACAGCAGCAAGTGAAGAACAATTTGGACGGGCGCCTTGTGTGGTAGAATTACATCTGATATACAATCAAACACAACATTCATCATACACCACTTTACGGGATATCATCAAACAGTATTATGCCTTATCTTATGTTAATATCATTCCCTCTTCTTACAATTGTTTACCTTTACATGTTGTTTTGGCTGATCGATTATGGCGTTTACTTTTGGTCGTAGATTACTAGTTTTTTTTTTTTTAAGTTGTATAGATCCACATTCCTTCCCTTTTTTTTTTAATAATATTATTATCATCCTATTCGTCCATACTCCTCCACCACCGATCATTTATTTCATATATTTTCTGTAAATAAAGAAATTAACTTCCTCATTCCCATCTTTTGTTACATAGCTTTTCCTTTCAGCCGGAGTTCTCGCTAAAGCCATTAGATGATTGGCTGATCCGATGATGTTTTTCTGTTCTTTCTATAGAAAAAAAACTGAAAAAAGAATCTTGAGAAAGAAATTTTTCTCTTAGTATGAAGAAGGATGATCATCCGTATGGATTCTTCTTGAAGTGACCGTGATTGTAAATTTTTCTTTTTTGAAATGGAACAAGACGAGTACAATGGAAAAGAGGTATATAAGATCCATTCTTTCTCCTCTTTTTTTTTTTTTCCTATCATCCTCTCTTTAGATCATCCACACATGCGTCGTTCTATTCTATTTTTCCTTTTCCTTTCATGTCTTGTGACACTGGCTTTGACTCAAGGTAAAAAAAAAAAAAAAAAAAAAAAAAAAAAAAAGAAAACTCATCATTGGTTTTATTTATAGAGGTTCATGATGATCATACCCATGATGATCATACCCACGATGATCATACCCACGATGATCATACTCACGATGATCATACTCATGATGATCATACTCATGGTGATCATTTAGCTACTCATACACATTCTGATGCAGAAGCGAGCCATGGCCATTCTCATGCTGCAGGTTACGATGAAGAAACATGTGCTGTGGAAGAAAATCAACCGTACGATTTGAACTTTAGAGTCGGCTCACTTTTCATCATTTTAGGAACAAGTGCCGTTGGTAAGCATTCTATATATGTACATATAAATTGGAAAAGTAAACCCTTGCCTTTTTTTTATTTTTAGGTATCTTTGCACCCATCTTATTATACCGTATTCGTCCCTCGTCTAGCAATAATGGTGTACGACATTGGATCTTAACCATAGCCAAATTCTGTAAGTAGATCATCCCCTCTTTTTTTTTTATACATATATTAATCATCATTATCTCATCTTTCCTTTTTTTTTTTTTTTATTAACTAGTTGGTACTGGTGTGATCTTGGCTACTAGTTTTGTACATATGCTTCCTGAAGCCATGGAAAGATTCCATTCCCCTTGTCTTGGATCGAACTGGCAAGCGTACCATGGCTTTGGTGGTGTATTTTGTATGGTGGCCGCCTTTGTGTTACAATGGATTGAATTGGCCGCCATGGCTCATCTTGATGCTAATCAACATCATCATGGTTCTTTGGACGAAGAAAAAACAACACAAACGATCAAAGGAGATGGTCATATGCATTCTGTTGCTTTGGAACAAGATTTATCAGTCCGAACAATTCATACTCTTTTATTGGAATTAGGCATTGCTATCCATTCTATCATCATTGGTATTACTTTAGGTACAACATCTGAAGGTCCTTTTTTAGCTTTGTTTATTGCATTGATCTTTCATCAGGTATTAAAAAAAAAAAAAAAAAAAAAAAAAAAAAAAAAAAAAAAAAAAAAAAAACTCATCTTTCCTTTTTAGTTTTTTGAAGGAGTAGCTCTTGGTACAAGAATCAATGATTTACAATATGTAACATGGATAAAACCATTGGTGATGAGTTTGACTTTTATTTGCATGACACCTTTGGGAGTGGCCATTGGTATTGGTATCCGATCGGCCCTGCATGTGTCAAGTATGGTCTTGGCCCAAGCCATTCTGGATGCCTTCTCTGCTGGGATCTTATTATACAATGCCTATGTCTCTTTGATGAGTGTTGAAATCAGTAATAGTGTTTCCTTCCGTCGCTCCAGTTTTGCTCGAAAATCCGTTTGTTTATTATCCATGTATCTTGGTGCTGCTGTCATGAGCGTGCTTGGTATCTGGGCCTAATCTATCTTCCTTCTTATATATTCTATACAATTTATCTCTATCCAATAATAAAAAGTTAAAGAAAAAATAAAAGTAATTGATCTTCAAATCATTAGCCATTTCTCTAAATTCTAATGGATATTCATCATTCCATCATCTATCTACTAAAGCATTATCAAGAAAGAAAAAAAACTTCAATGAATCAATAGTAATATAACATATATATACTTTTTATTGTGGTACAAATAATACAAAAAGGAATAAAGGATGGAGTCCAAAAAAAAAAAAAAAAAAAAAAACTAAACTCGAAAAAAAAGGAGGGAAATGCTACTTGTCTGTTGCTAACCAACATTCCAAGATTTTCTTGACCACGGGACCACCTGAGGCATCAATTTTCTCCAAAAACCGTATATTCATCTTTCGTTGATCGTCCCTGGGATTGTAAAGTATCTCGTCAAAAGCATCCAATGGCGTGTCTTGCCCTAACCCCACATCATCAGGTTGACATGACATCAATAAAATATCCCTTCCAGCACTATCGACCTGACCAAGAATTTCGAATTTTGCGTTCGCCAAAGCTTGTTTTGGAATGTTGAGATGGATCGAGGAATCACCTTTGGTGAGCTGGACGCTAAAGTGTTTCTGGTGAGAGAGTGATACGGTACAATTAGGATGACTGAACATGGTATGGGTGAATTCAATGCTGAGTGTTGGTAATGGAATCTGTGGTAAGTTGAATATATGGTATGATGGTGCTGTTGACGAGGATGTCGTCGAACTTGCTGGTGCTATTGCTGTTGATGATGATGATGATGGTGATACTACTGTAGGTGCTGATGGTTGTGTTGAAACATTTACATCCATGGTCTTTTTTGTCGCCTTCTTCGAACCTGTTCCTGATTTGGATATACTCTGTTTGTTTTTCTTAGCCTTTGCCGGTTTGTTGTCTAAAATAAAATAAAATAAAAAAAATCAATAAAATAATGAAACTAAACAAGAGAAAACATATATACCGTTTGCTTCCAATGAACTAGTAGGTTGTGAATCCATTCCAGATTTTTCTTGTTGATGTTGTTCATGTACAATCTGGGTTGCTGCAAGACTAGTATGTGTGGAATCACCAAGCGAATCTTCTGAAGACATCGGTAAAGTGGTTGATTGCGATGATTCTGTTGATGGAGGTAGTGATGGTGATAGGTCAGCAGAAGATAATGTCGATTTCTGAGAGGCCAGAGCGCGTTTCTTCTTGATCCGCATGCATATTTCCATTCGATGTGCCGCTTCCTGTTCTTCCCTAAGTGCTGCTTCCTTTTCTTCTTTAATACGCCGTTGTTTCGATACCCATTCTTCTTGTTCCCGCCTTCGACATTCGTTTTGCCACCTTTCCCGGATACGTTGTTTTTCTTCTTCCTTAGTAATCACTGGTGCTCCCTTGAGAATTTTGCCTTGAAGCCATAAAATACCACAACCATTGCATAATGTACCTTCACCAGCTGGTCCATGTCTCCACATGACAGTATGTCTTGTACTACAATATACACATTTTCGGAATTCATCTTCTTTGCCTGGTATATGCTGTTTCGTTTTGGGCGCTATACAAAAAAAAAAAAAAAAAAAAAAGAAAAAAAAAATTAGTATTAAGTTCAATGAAATTTTTTTTATTATCTATATAACATACGTTCAGCTTCATGTTGGTCAGATTCAGGTCGTTTTCCTAGTTTGATGGCCAGTCCAATTTCATTTCGTTTCTTTTCAGCAGCAATCGGTCCACTAATAATATCTGGCTGTGTATGTACTCGTTGTATCAGATCTCCCATCGATTGCTGTTCAGTCTTTGAAATATTATAATCGAGATAAGTTCGTGTAGGGACCTTTTGCATCTATTGGTTACAAAACAAACAGTGTATATGTTAGTAACTGTGAAAAAAAAAAAGATTCTATGACCATGAGAAAGTCAAGTCATAATGATACCTTTTTGATCAGTTTTTCCCGGACAATTTCAGGTGGATGAACCGTTGACTGTATCGCATTGATGATGGTAGAAGAAGCATCTAGCAGACGTATATTGACAGGTTGATGGTCTTGTTCCTTCAAATTTGTTGTAGAAATCGGACTAGCTGGTACGTCTTTCTTAGCTGCCATTTTTTGTATTTCTGGAATAGTAGATTGATCACCAAAATAATCGATTTTCTGTTTAGCGTTCCAAAAGAAACAATCCGCATCCGTTCGATCCAAGGGTAGCATAAAGGAACATATTGCCTAATTTCAACAGAAATAAAACCAAAAATATATTAAAAGTCTAGTTTCAACTGGATGTTTATACTGGCCTTTACCGATGAAGAATCCTCTAGTACTTGCATTATAATATCCTTGGGGAAAAGATAGCGTTCGCTTGGTTGATCCTTGAATTCAATCACAATATCTTTATATACAAGTAAGTTGTTGCTTGATGGTTCGACTTTGCTTGAATCTAAAATGAAATAAGTAATGTCAATAAAAAAAAAAAAGATCCTTATAGTAAAGTATATATTTATTTCTATAGAGACATACCATATGAACCTGTTTCAATCGCTGGTATGGCTTGAGTATCTGAAGTGACAGTAGCTTGCGATGATAAGTTGTCATCCAATGAAGAGGAAGAGTGGACTGCTGTCGTATCTAAAGACGTACCCGTCGTTGTTACTTGATCCTGGCTTGTTTTTCCTTCGTCCTCTATGATTGCTGTTGTGTTTTCATCAGTAGTTTGATCTAGAGTTGTACCATTTACCGTCTTGTCATTCATATCTGTATCAGTATCTGTTGGAAGTTTGGGAGCTATTATTTCATCAGCGTCGCGGTTACTGGGTGCAGTTCCGTTTGTTGTCGCGTCTCTTTGATTGTCGTCCTGATTAAGACTTTTCTCATACTGATCAATACCTTCGACATTAGCAGCCTTTCCAAGTGTGACCCATGAATCGGATCGGATCGCTTCATAAAATGAAGTTTCATAAAAAAAGTGAGGACCTAGAGCCAGAGTCGCCTGTCCAAGCTCCCGCATCTTAGGATAACGTCGTCGAATAACTGGGTTGCGTTTCGGTTGTTGTTGAGGATCTGGACGGTATTTGACAAATACATTAGTAGACCAGTTGATACGTGATTGTAAAAGTGAGAGTAATATTTGATGGCTAGTAAAGAAGAAGAAAAAAGAAAAGTGAGATTATTGATTGGTGACGAAACAATTAGATTTGTATTTTATTCGATCTTACTTTTTTGAATCATATTGGTCACTACGTTCAGAAGTCGTTGGTATTTTATAATTCTTGAGAGCTATTTCAGTTCGTCTTTTCGCAGCTGATATTGCCGAACTTGACATGATATCAGTGGTCAAGTAAAAGGTAGAAAAAGGAAAAAAAAAGAAAAGAAAAGTAAAGCAAAAAGTTAGTATTTAAAAAATGAAAACGCCTTTCCATTCCAAACTGAGCGGCAAATGAAATTGGAGAGAGTTCAGCTGCCTTATCCATCAAATTCAACCATCTTTCCCTTTACCTTTTTTTTTTTTTTTAGACAATATAACGACCGATGGCTAGAGTAAGTGGATTTACGAAATATACGGATAAATGAACAACTAGATGAATGGATGAATGAATATACGATGAGTGAATTGAACGAAAACAATAGATGGATGGATGGATGGATGGATGGATATGTATATGTACGAAGCAACATGCGTATATTTTGTCTGACTAAGAAATGCATTCATTTCTTCTACATTGTGAATGGAACAAAAAGAAAGGAGAATACAAAAAAAAAAGCTATTCATGTCATGACATTATATATACATTATGCCAGTAGACATATATAAAAAGAAGAGAGGGGGGTGAATGAATGGAGACGGAAACTTCTGCATAGAACCAATACTAACATTCATTCTCTTTTTTTTTTTTTTTTCTAAATAGTTCCACGAATACCAGGTGGTTGGACGTAAGCTTCCTTCCGAACAAGACCGTACTCCTAAACTCTATCGTATGCGTATCTTTGCACCCAACGATGTTGTTGCCAAGTCTCGTTTCTGGTACTTCTTGGCCAAGCTCCGTAAGGTGAAGAAGACTGCTGGTGAAATTGTATCTGTCAACGAAATCTTTGAAAAGCGACCTGAACAAATCAAGAACTTTGGTATCTGGCTTCGTTATGATTCTCGTTCTGGTACTCACAACATGTACAAGGAATACCGTGGTATGTCTCGTGTGGAAGCTGTTAGCACTTGTTATCAAGATATGGCTGCTCGTCATCGTTCTCGTTTCGGTAACATTCAAATCATCCGTGTTGCTGAAATTGCTGTTGCTGATGTTCGTCGTCAATACATCAAACAATTGTTGGCTCCCAAGCTTGCTTTCCCCTTACCTCACCGTCTCCAACGTGTCGACAAGGCTCACCGTTCTCTCTTCCAAGCCAAGCGTCCTTCTACTTTCTATTAGAATGATGTTTAGTTGCGTTTATAGTGTGTCTTTATAGTGTATCCCAGTTATTTTTTTTATTTTAATTAATATATTGAATAAATGATTTTTTTTTTTTTTGTTATGAGTCTGATGGCTAAATTACCATTTTAGATCTTCAACCGAAAATATGCAATTTGACTTGTTTTTGAAAACCCGATGTCAAATCTCGACTTAATCAATTCATGTACGTTATTGTTGTTAGCAAGACAATCCCTATTTAGAAATATTCTTTCTTGGAACAAAATCAACAAACATGCGGATGCGAACCGTTTCCTTGGATTTTTCCCATCGAATGGCGCTCCTTGATTTTTATTTTGCATAAAGGATCGTCGTTTCAATGTCTTTCGTATCTATAATATATACGTAAATTAAGAAAATGCATTCAAACATAAAAAAAAGAAATATATATCTTTAAGATGTAATCAATTCTGTTGACATGAAACAAAGTAATTGTAACAAAATAAAATAAAAAAACTTTATTGAATAAAAAGTATATATAAGCTGGCGTCTGTACAAATTAATGTAATAAAACTATAAAAAGTCAAATAAACAAAAATAATAAGTAAACCTACGTACCGTAATATCTAGTTTTGTAGGCATTCTTTTTCGTTTAGTTTTTGTGATGATGATGATGATGATGATGATGATGATGATGATGATGATGATGATGATGGCGCCGTTGCTGCTGAAGACAATGGGCCACCTTTCGGTTTGATATAAAAACAGGATGAAAAGTTAGTTCTGTTCGCCCATGTCCATCTTATGATAGTAGTATACGTTCATTCCATTTGATTCTATGATCTATTGGTCCCTGGTGACCCTATTGTATGTCTGTCTATTTCGTTGGTGCTACTGTATCTTCATCTATTTTCATAATCCTATTATATGTTCGTCCATTTTATTGATTCTGCTATATATCCACTGGGTTGTTCCAGATGAATAGCAGGAAACAACGTTAATCCAATATGATAATGGATGGATATTGCAGTAAAAAGATCAAGGTCAGAAGAATGTGTATAAACAAATAAAAGAAGGAGAATAATAAGATTAGAAAGAAGAGAAAAACAAAGCACTTGTTTCTTTTTTTTTTTTTTTTGAAACTTACCTCTAATATGAATAAATATTTGTAAAGTCACACAGAGAAAATGAGAAAGATTATAGTAAAGAGGTTGGAATGTATAAAAATAAAGAAAGTAAGCAAGGTTAGAAAATATCATCGGTCATTATTATTTTTTTTTTTTTTTGGCTTACTTCAATCATTCATCTTGATATCTAGATAAACACATTCAAGAAGTGGCAGTGCGTATGAATACAATATAGATTCAAATAAAAAATAAAAATAAAAATAAAAATAAAAAGATGAGATCAATATCATATAAAATTGATGGTGTAATGAAATGGATACCTTATTAAACTTGAAGAATAATACAATGTTATAACAAAATAATGATACTTCAGAAGAAAATGGAATCAATTATATTGACATGTACAAAATAGTTGGAATAAAAATAAAAAAAATTTATTGAATAAAAATTATAAATAATAAAATACTATTAATTAGTATACTAAAGCTGAAGGCGATACAAAAGAAAGACGACAAAAAGAAAAAGAAAAATTACTGCAAAGATAAAGCATGAAAAGCGGATTTTGAAATTGCTCAAGCATATAGTCTACTACTGATGTTAAGGAAGTCAAAAATATTTCAGGGCAACCGTTACGATGAATCAATACATTAATGATAATCCATCAGTATCAATAGAAAAGAAAGTATCAATATGAATTATGCTCTGTATAATCATATTATAAACTATAAAAAAGAAAAAGATCAAACAAAACAAATGTAAAACTTGGTCACCAATCTTTACGGTGCAGCGAAATTAGTATCACGTATCACTCATTACGTATATATAGTACATACATTTCTTAGTATGGATGCTTTGTCTTCTTCTTAATATATATTTTTTTAAAATACAAGAAAATCTCACGTACTCAACTTCCATCTTTATTTTTGCTCATTCTTCCAAACACCGATCGCTTGTTATAAAAGCTCAGGCATTTTGCATTTCTCTCTTTTTTTTTCTTCAACTCTTCTTTTTTTTTTTTTTTTTTTTTACTCATTTGATGTCCTTCCGTAATGTTGTGATTCTAGGTAAACTTGTTATATATTCACTTATGCATATATATCTTTGTTTCTCATCCCTTTTTTCCTTTTTACTCAACTTAGGTGCAGGTGTGAGTGGTTTGACCACTGCTATAACTCTTTTGCGCAATGGTGCTAGACAAGTTACTGTCGTTGGTAAACACATTCCTGGTGGTGACAATGATGCAGAGTATCCGTCTGCTTTTGCTGGTGCTTCTATCATTACTTTTGCCTCTGTGAACGACAAACGTCTTCAAGGTCAGTACCCATATACATACTACTATTATCCTTGACACTTATATAATTTGTTTGTTTTTTTTTGCTCCTACTTCGATAGAAATTGACCGATATACATATAATGAATTTCATCGAATTGCCAATCAAGAACCTGAAGCTGGTGTTATTTATTGCCCTGGTTACCAGTATTATGAACGAGAAGATCCTCCTGGCGAAGATAATCATTGGGTCCGCGATCTTTTTCAAGACGTAAGTCTCTAGGTATAATAAAAGTAATTAACGTTGGTGTATTAACACAGGCTTCATTGTACGTTTTATTTGTTAGTATGCAAAACTCGACAAGGATGAACTGCCAGAAGGAATCACTCATGGTTATCGATTTGTTGCTTGTAAGTGAAACAAAAAAGGAATACCGTTCTCACGCCTACGCTATGCAAGATGGCATTGATCTTGCAATTCAAAAACACAAATGTGACTATGATGACTCAAAACTTGTCTTTTATAGTTACTGTCAATGTCTCTCAATACCTTGATTGGTTGGTCAAAACATTCAAGTTCTTAGGTGGTAAATTGGAACAACAAGCATTTGACAGTCTTCAAAGTGTGATCGAAACATACAAGTATGCCGATACGCTCATCAACTGTACTGGACTTGGTAGCAAATATCTCAAGGATGTTCAAGATAACACCATGTATCCTGTCCGAGGTCAAACTGTGGTTGTTCGTGCTCCCCACATCAAGTTCCAACTGTATAGAGATATAAGTCCTACCGAACCCTATTGTACCTATATTGTTCCTCGCTCTGATGGTACTGTGGTGTGTGGTGGTTCCATGGATGCTGGAAACACCAATCGCAAGGCTGATCCTCAATTGGCCAAGACTATGCTGGAAGATTGCTACAAATTTCATCCTTATATAACACATGGTCAAGGTCCTGACGCGTTTGATATCGTCTCTGTCAATGTTGGTCTTCGCCCTGGACGCAAGGATGGTATTCGTTTAGAAAAAGAAATCAAACGTAAGTTCCTGATTATTGGTATTTATTTTAACACTAACCTGATTATTCGTTTTACTCTTTTTTTTTTTTTTTTTTTTTTTTTTTTTTGGTAGATCGTGCCAATGGTGATCGGGTGACTATATGCCACAACTATGGACATGCTTCTCATGGGTACATATCAAGCTGGGGATCTAGTGCCAAGGTCTTGCAACTTTTGAAGGATGAACGTATTTCGAAGCTATAAAATGAAATGGCTCCAATGTTATTTTTTTATTATTATTATATGACGGTTGGTCGGTTACTTGATTCGTTCGTAGTATTGGTCCTCTTTTTTATTTTTTTATTTTATTCTTCCTGTATTTGAATTTTTTCCCGTATTCTACTTTTTTCAAATGAACGGTGCGTGTGAATTTGTTATTAATTGAATAAATGACGTTGAACACATCTTTTTTTTTTATTTATTCGTTTGGTCCATTTGATTTACTTGTCTTCTTACAGTATCTACTTCATATCAATAATCCACATCCAACAATGGGAGGAACGAGCACAACCATGGAAAGGAAAGAAGGATGAACTCTTTGAACTATCTGCCTTACTGCAAAAATGGATACAAATATAATTCTTCATTGATTCAAATCCGGAGGAATACCGTGTTGTCTCCCAATGACGATGATTACATTATAACTCATGCATGCAATATAATTGACCAAGGTCCATCATGCCTCAGATTTACGTGGATCGCTGTAGAGTACATACCATTTCGACATTATGTACAAATAGTGAATGATTTCGTATAGCATGCATAATAAATCGTTTGATCATCATCATCATCATCATTGACTATATTGCATATCACTTTTTTATTCGCATTCGGTGAATACAAAATGATTGTGTCTTGTATACCTTTTTTCCTAATCTGGAAGAACTATTTTTTTTTCTCCTTGATTGGTCTGTATCTGTCGTAGGAAAACTTCATCTACCTTACTCTTAAATCAACCTTTGCCTCTCCTCATTTCCACCAGTGATATCGTTAACAGCAGCAACAATATTATTTTATTGGGTTTTCTTTTTGCGCCTCTTGTCTTCGTGTCTCTTTTGTTCTAATCCATGTAATAAAAAAAAATGCGACGGTTACAACTTTTTTGCTTTGTAAATTTTTTTAATGTGATTATGATGATTATATTGGCAATGTCCTTTTTTCTTCTTTTTTTTTTCTTCGTTTTCTTTTTTTTTTCCAATATGATTTCCCTTGATGCTCCAATTGGACTGGTGCATATCATTATAGATTTTTATTATTGTTACTATTACTTACAATAAAAAAGTGGAAATTGAAGAACCAGTGTTCAATAAATTCAAATAAAGATCGACAAAAACTATGTTTAGTAACGTAAAGTAACAATAAGGAAATCAAACTCCATAAATAGATGCCCTTTTTCCATCGTTTAAGAATGACTTTGCATGAATATTGATTCACGTGAGGTCTTTTTTGAACATTTGACAAAAAAAAAACGATCATCATCCATAACTACAAAGATGTGAATAGATCGACCAATAAGGAGAAAGAAGAAAGAATAAATATTTATCAATAAATGCAAATTCAAACTAAAAAAGGAAGAAATGGTATCCAAACTTTTTTTTTTTTTTTGTGGCAACATGGAAAAATTCGAGAGAAGGGGGGGGGAGAAAATGAAGTTTCATCACCCTTACATGATAGATTCCTTCGAGATAATGACGATAACCACCCATTTTAGATAAAACGCCAAATTCAGAATTAGAATTGAAGCTGCACACGCGATGAAGGGAGAGAATGTCTTTTATCGGAATACTAAATGTTCCCAGTGGATTTTTTGCATTTAAAAAGGGGGCCCTTTTTTTTCTATTTTCTTTCTTTCTTTCTTTTTTTTTTTTTTTTTGTCAATTTCCATTCTATTTATTTCTCTTATTATTCAATCATCATGTATTTTGAAAATGGTAATCGTAGAAATACAATGATTTCTGCTTATTCATCTTCATCACAAACATCTATAAGGATCAAATTAATATGGAGACAAGTCTCTAATGTATTTCGAAATTCATCAGGCAAACGATCATCAGTTATGAATAGTAACAGAACATCATCATCAGCAGCAGAATCAGCACCAGTATCAGCATTATCATTATCATCTTCATCGTCATCATCATTGTCAACGCGATCATCTATGGAAACATCACCAAATACGTCAAGGGCAAATCAACGTCACCATCATGTACGAAAAAAACAATGGATAGATAGGAATAGTGCCATCTCAGATATTACGATACCTCCTTTCAGTCCCACGTATTGTAAACCGAATGAATTTCCATATTCCAATTTTTATATCAAACTACCCAATGGTAAATGGATGGTTCGTTATCGATCTGGTAATCGTGATATTCTTCGTACTGATCAATTCGAAGGTTATATGATATGATTCCCTTTTTTTTTTATTATTATTATTATTCTGTCTACCTTTTTTTCTTTTTTAATACAACAATCATTTAAATATAATCATCATTTCCTTTTTTTTTGTTTAGTGTATAGTCTTTCGTTTAATTATTCTCCCCTTATTGATTTCCCATTTCTTTTTTTTTTTTTTTCAAGGTCTCCCCTTGAAAAAGAAACTTACTCTGTATACATGCATTCATACATTATCCCCTCGAATTTCAAAGATATATTTATGCCTTTATTTGATCACTATCCCTCCTCCTTTTTATTATTATTATTATTATTTATTCTGATTGCTATCTTTCTCTCTTTTTTTTTTACAAATTTATCATCATCTCTTTTTGTATCCAATAAACATAAGCATACATTTGTCTATTACATCATCATCATCATCTGACTTGAACCTCTATTGTCATCTTAAGTCTTGCATCATCAATGATCCATGGTTATACTTACAAAAAAAAAAGAGTTGTATCATTTCCTTTGGTGTTGTCGCTTCTTTATACCTCTTGAAATGTTTTTTTTTTCTTGTTCTTTTTTTCCCTTACTTCCCCCCTTTTTTTTTCTTTTTGGTACTTCCATTTTGATTTCCTAATTAAGATGACGTACTGAAACCAGCGGATGCCAAAGGATGATCTCCTTGATTATTTTTTTTTAGAATGAGAAAAAAAAGAAAAAAGAATTATCATAGACAATGAGTTTAATTATTCGTATTATTATTATTTTCATAAAGATGTATGATTTATAGATCATTATAAAAAAAAATCATCTTTTATAACCCGCTTTTTGATTAAGCTCAGAATAATATGGACTTGGACTATCATAATATTTATGAATTATGCTTTAGTTTTGACAACGATATGATTAACAAGATTGATCAACCATATAAAGGAAGACTGGATGGAGATAACAGTGGCTTTTTTATTATTATTATTATGACTATTATTATTGCATATATAAAAGTATCTTTTTTTTTCGTAATATTACTTGAAATAAGAATTAAAAAAAAAAGTGAGAGGATATGAATGAATGTGCTATACTAATGAATCAAATGACTAATAAAGTGAAGAAGCATATTGAATATACATATAAAAGTAAGGAAATAACTAAAAGAATGGAATGTGTGTATGTGATTATGATGAAAGGTGGAATAGTGATAATAAACAACAATATCTATCAGACAGATTTTCTTGCGGCAAAAGCACCGATTTGTAAAAAGAGACCAAACTGTTCACATTCTTGAATATATCGATCAATAAATCGTTCGTATTCTTCAGGTTGTCGAAGTAAATGATGAGCTAGAATAGGTTTCATTGCCTTCATAGCACTTTTCCAATTCCATAACATTTCTTGGGAAATCGGATTACCTTTTTCACCATAGTTTACTAATTTCAGTTCCTTTTCAACTATTTGAAATCCATGTTCTGGTAATAATGTATCCAAATGCTTCACGATAAAAGGATCAAGGCCACGTTGCTGTATAGTTGTATATACTATAAAAAAAAAAAAAAAGAGAGAGATTATTGAGTGATGAATGATATGTCATGATTTTCTTCCATTATAAATATATTGATTCTTACATGTTTTGTTGAACATTTCCACCATAGGACTCTTTTGTGTTACCTAGAATAATCATATAAAAAGGATATATCAGTATAGTTCCTTCCCACGTCCGTTATTCCGGAAGTATAACATATCCGTTTGTCTACTGTTTCTTTTTTAGTTCCTGATCGTTTTGTTAAACTTACTGTAAAGTCCGATTCCACGAGTTGTACATAACCTCCAGGTTTCAGGACACGATAAATTTCTTTCAATATAAAACTCCATTCTTCTACACGCCAAGCAGTGATTAAAAGTCGCATATGTATCAAATCAAAAGAGTTATTTTCATAAGGAAGTCCTTCCAAAGCATTATGTAAATCAAATGTAACGTTTTGTGGTCGAATAGTCGTGGGAAACATATCTGCCATATCTAACCCTCGAATCTGAGAACGAGGATAATCAAGCGCCATTTCCTATATATTTTCGATAAAAAGAAAAAAAAAAAGTTCAAGCGTGAATCAACTTGTATAAAGCAAAATGTAGTTTTTTTTTTTATGTATTCATTATTATTTATTTTTTTACTTACTAAACACCATGTAGATGATCCACATCCAATATCAAGAATCTTGGCTTCCTGCGCCAAAGAGGTTGCAATAATAGGTAAAACATTTCTAGAAAAAAAAAGTTATGATGAATGAAAGAAAAGAAAGAAAAAGAAAAAAAAAATCACTTTTTTTTTCGCAGTTTATAAAAATTGGTCACTTACCCATTAAATATAACTTTGAGAGAAAAGTGTTGCTAAAAAGTAAATAAATAAATAAATAAATAAAAAAGAAAGAAAAGGAAAAAAAAATGAATGATTGATATCCTTACCGAATTTAATCGATCTTGTTCTAATTCATCTCGTGGTAAACAATAAGCGCTAGAGCCAATATCATGATATATTCGACCATCCAGTATGATAGATGGACTAGATTGCACATGTAATGATCTTTCACGTGAGCGATTGGTATCTTGAGAAGCAATCGATTTACTATGCTTTGTTCCCATCGATATATCTATTCTTTTTTATGGATCTATAATAATGATATATTTATATGATTGAAATAAATAATATAGAAAAAAAAAAATAAGAAAAGAAAAGAAAAGAAAACGAAAAAGAAAAAAGAAAGAAAAAAAAAAGATCTTTTTTTTTTTTTTTTTACTTTTATTAATATTTGTGTTGTTGTTGTTTTTTTTTTATATCCTTGTCATACGTTCTTTGACCGGTTTAGTCAAGACCAGTGTGCAAAAAATCATAAAAAGAAACCCCAATGGAAGAAGCTTTTTTGGTGTATGTTTGGTGTTCATCCAATAGACTGGTCTGGCTCCGCTGCTGTCAAAAAAGTCGCTCCGAAAAATGACAGCCTAAACTGTCGAAATCCCATGCCCCTTTTTTTTTTTTTTTTTTTTTGATATAAAGTCTAGAAAGCAATGTTTTTTTGATTCATTGCCAATAAGACACTCCGACATTAACACTGCTTCATATCCATTGTCCTTTTTTGTAGGATCCCCGTTCCCTCTTTTTCGGAAATCTTTCACCATCATTGGTTGTGTTTTGCTTCTTTTTATTCTCTTTATATCGTTCGCGCGCTTCATCGATCAATCATCATCAATGTAATAGATAAACATTTTCTTTTATTGGATAACATTATTAGTTTAAAAAAAAAAAAAACTATATTATAACTACTATACTGCCAAACAATAATCCATCATCAGAGTTTCTTTCCAACAAAAGCATAAAACTGAAAGAAGTTGGTAAGTCCGCATTCTTGGCTGTATTGATCGAGAAGTTGATCAATATCGTGTTCAATCAAATAGTTCTCCATGTATGGTTTCATAGCTTTCATCACATCGATCCAACAGTACACCATAGTTTGTGCAACAGAGTCATCACGGTCAGAGAAATCCAAATCTTGCTTTTGTCTTTCTTCCAATTGAAATCCATGATCAGGAATCCAATTGTTTAATTTTTCAACAATACAAGACTCAAGTCCACGTTCTTTCATCATTGTACGCACTATTGGAATATATATATAAAAAGTAAAATAAAGTAAATAAACCATTCGCATCTCTTTTTTTTTTTTTTTGGAGATCACTATATCCATTTACTGGTATTGTTCAATAATTCCACGGTAGGATTGTCCACGATCGTCTGATAGAATAATAATAATAATAATAATAATAATAATAATAATAATAATAAAAAGAAGAGGCATAAATTATTAGATTTGAATGTGAAAGAATATGACTTACCGTAAATCTGGATTCTATAAGTTGCACATATCCTCCAGGTTTCAAGACACGGTGGATTTCCTTGAGCATAAAATGCCATTCCTCTGTACGCCAAGCTAAGATCAGTAATCTCATTTGTACCAAGTCGAAAGTATTGTCTTCATATGGGAGACCATTTAATACATTGTAGACATCAAACTTTGCATTCTTTGGTCCATCCTTGGGGAAGAGATCAGACATATCTACACCTTGAACTTGTGCATCAGAATAGCTATTTGCCACTTCCTATTCATAATGGAAAGAAAAGTTAGTTTAGTTCCTTTTTTTTTTTTTGGGATAAAAAAAAAATTTACCACACACCAATCACATGAGCCACAGCCAATATCAAGTATCTTTGCATCTTTAGGTAAAGAAGACGTAATAATAGGTAGAATATTTCTATTCGAATAAAAATCATAAAATAAAATAAAATAAAAAAAAAAATAAAAAAAAAGAGATCTTCACGTTGATCTTTTCCTTTAAAGCTCCACTGACCCTTTAAAGACATCTTTCAAGACGGTATGTTGCTATTAAGGATATTCAGAAAAAAAGAAAATTTAAGTTTAGTACAACAATATGGACGATCCTTTATAGAATAAGATCAAAAATACCAATGATAAACGTTTCCTTTCTTCCGCATCCCTTGGTAAAGTATAAGTACTAGATGTGATTGCATGATAAGTACGACCATATTTCTCTACAGATGGATTCATATTGTAATCATTGATTAGGATTATTTAACAAAAAAAAAAAAAAAAAAAAAAAAAAAAAAAAAAAAAAAGACCTACTTAAGACATGGGAATTTTAATCTTTTAGACATCTTAGAGAGAGTAACAGATCATAGATCAATGTAGAATAAAACATACCGAATACAATTTCATTGAGATACAGATGTTTTATTGATGTGAGAAAAAAAAAATAAACGAAGAATGCAAAAGTACAAAAGTAACATAAAGAATGATGTCTAAAACTAATAAAATAAAATAATAAAGAAAAAACTATGCCTTGATTTTGATACCCTTCTTCTTGAGAAGTTTGGTTTTGGATTCTATCAATAATAATGATAATAATTAGAATCTTCATTTCATTTTATCATCAAATTTACCTTTAATAAGTGCTTCATCTTCTTCATCATTGAAACCAATTTCTTCTTCTTCTTCTTGTTCTCCTTCGATATTTTCTTCCATTTCCTTGGTAGACTTGTTTTCCTTTCCATCATCAAATTTGTTACTTAATTTTTTGAATTTAGCGACATAAAATCCATCCATATTGTGTACGTGAGGATAGAATCGACGGGTCATTTTCAAACTCGGATGGAATGATTTTCCACGGTATCTATATCACCCCATTTATCAAAAAAAAAGTGCATAAACCTTAATTAATCTGACTTTCTCGCTGTTTTGCTTTTCTACTTACGATACGAAACCTTCTCGACCAAAATCCAAACTAGTTGGTACCAATTTGATATTAGGTCGTTTTCTTAAAGCATAATCCACCACTGCTTCATTTTCTTCCACCGTCACTGAACAAGTAGAATAAACAATATATCCACCTGTTTTTGATTTAGCATCTACAGAATCAATAGCGCTTAATATAAGTTCTTTTTGAAGTCGAGGAATTTCAATAAAGTCACGTTCAGTCTATCATAAAAAAAAAATAGTCAATATATATATATATCATTAATGTTTTTCTTTTTTTTTTACCTTATTCAATTTGACACTTTGATCTTTAGAAATAACACCAGTACCAGAACAGGGAGCATCCAATAATACACGATCAAAGCCACCAATTACTTTTGGGAATTCACGACCATCATAATTACAAACAACCGCGTTCTTGACACCCATACGATGAATGTTAGCAATTAAACTTTTCAAACGATCTTTACTAGCATCATTGGCAAACACCATCCCAGTATTCTTTTGTAAAGCGGCAATATAAGTTGTTTTTCCACCAGGAGCAGACGCCATATCAAGTACACGTTCATTGGGTTGAGGAGCAAGAGCCATTACTGGTAAGAAGGAAGATGCTGCTTGAAGCATATAATGACCAGCAAGATATTCAGGAGTGGCACCTATTTAAAAAAAAAAATGTAGGGTTAGTTTTCTTTTTTTTTTTTTTTTTTTTTGTTCAACTTACCAATAGGGACATTAGAGTCAAAGATTTGAAGACCCACTTTACTCCATTTTCCAATAGGATCCAAATTCACACCACGATTGATCAAAGCTTGAGCCAAATCACGACGACGAGTACGTAAAGTATTGGCACGGATAGTGACAGGACGAGGGACTTCATTAGCTTCAAAGAATTCAATCGCTTCAGAAACAGGGAATAGGTTGAATAACATTTCACATAAGAATTCAGAATATCCATAGTAATGAGCAATATCCTTCAATAAACGATCCACATAGTCTTGACGGGATTTGCTGGGATCACGCAAATTCTTGAAATCATTGAGTACATTCACCACTTCCTTGATACGTTCACTGACACTGGTGATGTTGGCCAAAAGTTCATCTTCTTCACCTTCAGGTAATTGATATCTTTCCCCTTCTTGATCAGCAATGTTGGTTTGTAAAGCAGCATCTTCCAATTCCGCTTGAGCCATAGCAGCAAGTTTGGCTCGACGAGCTTCAATTTTCAATGATTTCTTTTCATCCAATGTACCTTCAAACTATATATAAAAACAATAATCGTTGAATGATATGAATTTTTTTTTTAAAAAAAAAGATCATGCCTTCTTTTCTTAACTTACATTATCCAAATCTTCATCAGAGTCCAAATCTTCTTCTTCTTCTTCTTCTTCTTCAGACCCTTCCAAGACTTCATCATCATCATCAGATCCAAGGAAATCAGTATCAGCCTTAGGGAAAATCATATCATTATCATCATCGTCACCATTTTCCATGGTATCCATATCAAATTCATCATCCAAAAGATCTTCGTCATCGTCTGATCCCATTTCCACATTATCCCATAGATCTTCACCTTCATCCTCTATTTTCTTTGGTTGGTCCTTTTTGCCAGATGACTTTTTCACCACAGGTTGTTGTTGTTGTTTGATCTTTTTTTGATTGGTCTCGACTTGATCGGTACGTTTGCGTTTGTTGTTTTTCTTTTCAGCAGCAGCAGCTTTTAACTTTTTGGCAGTTCGACTTCTTTTACTACTATCATATACAGGACCATCTGGATTAGGTAAAGGAGCAGGAGGTCCTTGTTTGTTTCTAGCACGTCTACCCATTTGTCAATGATTATAATAAAATATATATAGAGAGAAAAAAAAAAAAAAAAAAAAGAAAGCTTTCAAAAAAAAAAAAAAAAAATTCAAACTGCCCTTTGCCTTCACATGAACAAGCCACGAAGCTGGGTTTGAATGGACAAGCAGAACGTTTGACTTTTATGCAAAATGGAAAGCTTTAAACATGCCATTGTTGTCATGATTTGTACCTGGTATGCAAAAAACTTGTGCTGTATAAAGACTTTTAAGAATAACATATAATTTATAACATCGAGTTTCACTCCTTGAACATCAATCAACATAATCAATTTATATTACACGCACATATATATATATATATATATATATCAACACATCAGTAGATAAGATTATTACTTGTCATACAATACGTACTGTCAAAGAAAAAAGTATGATTGTATTAATAATAATAATAATAACAAATAATAACAAATAATAATAATAAAACAAAGTTGATACTATGCTAAGAGGGAAAGAGACATGATGCTTGATATAAATAAGAAACGAGAGTGATACAAAAGAAATAACATTTCAAATAGACAAAAAAAAAAAAAAAGAATAATAAGAAAGATTTTTATTGATTCCAATATTGTTGTTGGGGATACTGTTGGTAAGAGAACATTTGTTGTTGACCAAAGTAATTCATTTGATGTTGTTGTTGCTGCTGTTGAGGTTGAGAAGAGGCAGCATTTCCACGAGTAGTATCATTCTTGGAGGGATCAACAGATTGAGTTTGACCTTGTTGAGATGATTGTTGACTTTGTTGAGATTGTTGTTGGCCTTGTAAATGATGACTCAAAAAGCCTTGTAATTGTTGACCACCAGCATTACCATAAGGAGACTTTTGATAATCATGTAATCCAAATTGTTGTTGTAAATCATCGTAGCCACCAACAGCACCAGTGTTTGAAGGTTGTTGATTGTAAAGTTGGGAGTGAAGAGCGTAAGGAGAAGCTGTAGCACCATTACCAGCACCATAGGATGATTGAGTGGAAGGTTTATTGACAGAAGCTGCTTGTTGTTGATACATGTTAGGATACATATTCTTATTCATCATAGGTTGACCATACATAGATTGTTGATAAGCATTGTAATGGTTAGGCATGTAATAATAAGGATAGTAAGGCATTCCTGGGTACATTTGTTGACCGTGTAAACCTTGGTTTTGACCAGGAACAGATTGACCTTGAGGAGTACCAATAGATGCTGATGTATCTTGACCAAACTTGTCACGAGATGGATATGAGGTTGCGTTCGTAGTAGCAGGAGAATTACTGAAAGCAGAAGGATCATAATATCCCTATAAAAAAATAATAATAAAAATAAAGGAGTTGAATATATGACAATATAATTAGATGTTGATTATTACCATAGCAGCAGCACGTTGAGCTTCAGTTCCATAAACACCATAATCAGGCAAATTACCCATAGGACTCATTCCGAAACCTGACATACCAGTAGGATGTTGATTGGGAAGGTAAGAACTATAAGCAGATGTGAGATGATCCATACCGAATGGTTGTTGTTGTTGAGGTTGTTGAGGTTGTTGAGGTTGTTGAGGTTGTTGTTGTTGAGGTTGTTGAGGAATTTGTTGTTGAGCAGGTTGTTGTTGTTGTTGAGGAATTTGTTGTTGAGCAGGTTGTTGAGTTTGATTAGTTTGAGGTTGTTGTTGAGAATAAGTAGGTTCTTGTTTCAAGTAAGATGGTTGTTGATGAGTAGTTGAAGAGGTAGAGGGAGTAATAGTTTGTTCAATGGTTGGTTCAGCAGTAGGTTGAGGTTGAGTTTCCACTTTGGTATCAGTTAAGCTAAATTATATATATATATCATTAGTATGAGATTTAAAATTCATAATAAAAATTACCTTTCTTCCACAGTAGTAGATGTAGTAGTAATCGTTTCTTTTACAGTATCTTCATCCAAATTCAAAGATCCAAATTTCACATCAACAGAGGATACAGTCACTTCATTGTTTGGCATAACGACAGGGGATTCTTGCTTCAATCGACGGATAGTTTTCTTAGACTCATCTTCTTCAATAGATTCGGATACAACAGCTTCTGGCTCAGTGGGACCAGCACCCCAAGCATTAGATGGCGTTTCTACAGGAGCATTCCATTCATCTCGAATAGGTTCTTCATTTGTATTCCAAGCGTTTTCAGTTGTATTTGATTCTTCAGTTGTAGTCCATTCAGTATCTTGTTTTTGCACAGATTCAGGTTTGGGTTGAGATCTATTCAATTATTATTATTATTTTGATCAGTATTATATAGATATAAAATGGAATAACATAATATAAATATATATATGACTTACTTTAATAAACTTGCCCAAGACTTTGGTTTATCTGAATCGTCCAGTAAAGCAGATGATGTAGTAGTTTCTGTAATTTCTTTTTCTTCATTTGACCAGGATGGTTGTTCCCAAGAATCATTCGTTGAATTGACAGTAGTAGTTGTTGTTGTATTCCATTCTGAGGAAGGTTCATTTACAGGTTTTGTTGATGCAATAGATGCCCATGATCCACCAGTTGTCTCAGATGTAGAAGGTTTTTGTCCTGAATTGTATCCCCAAGAAGAAGAAGAAGTAGTAGTTGTTTTGGTAGTAGCAGTGGTGGTTTTTCTTGGGAAAGTGTTAGTACTAGGTGCACGAGGTGCTATAAAAAGAAAAAAAAATCAATTATCAAAATAAACAAATCTGTCAAAATTTTTTAAAAAAAAAAAAAAGAACGCGTTTTACCTTTTGCTGATTTGTGTCGTTCAATAAAGGTCTTTGGAGCTTGTGGACGTTCTGGTTTTTGGTATGACATAGTTTGTGCAGGAGAAGGTACAGTTGCGGCTGCTGCTGCCTTTGCTTTTTGTTGAGCTTCTTTCTTTGATTTTTTGGTCTTCACTTCTCCCCATTGAGTTGCATGGCCTTGAAAAATAAAAATAAATAAATAAAAAAAAAAAAATTAGATTTAAAAAAAAAAATAATCTATATTTTTTTTCTTTTAATTATTATTACCTTCACTAATACGATCTACCGCTACTTCCAATACCCCATCTGCTTCGTCAAGTGCAAATAAAAGATCTTCGTCTGACCAATCTGCAAATAATTCTTTGAGTGTATTCAACTTGGAAGAATATTTAGATTTCAGTTTTTTCAAGTCATTCTGTTCTGAAGAGCTTTGTGTTCGTGTTGCGTATGATGTCATCTTTTTATATTTGTGATTCTATCAATAATAATAATAAAAAGAGGAAAGAAGAATATAGGATGAGTATCATCTTTTTATTATTACTATTTATTCTTTTTAATCAAATATATTCTACCTTTTATGCTTTTTTCGTTATTTCGTATTCCCAACAAACTACTGAATGCTTGTATAGCTTGTATATAGGTTTTAAAAAAGGAAGTTGGAGTAGCTTGTAAAAGTAAAGAAAGAAAGAAAAAAAAAAAGTACAAAAAGGAAAAAACAAGAAAACAAAAAATTTGCTTTTGGCTACGTAAACAGAGTAGTGTGGTGTGAATGGAAAACTTTTCTTACCCCGATCCCTAACAAAAAAACTACAAAACATAGCAAATCGATTGCTTTCATTTTTTTTTCTAAGTCACACCACTTTTTTTGTTCTTTCCTTTTTTTTTCTATTCTCTTTTTTTTTCTCTATCTAGTTTTCAATGTCCTATTTTTCTTTAATAACCAGATCTTTTACTGAAGTCTCTATTACTGACCACGGTATTGATACCATTCACTTTCTTGAGGCTACTGATGGTCTCATAAATATGTTTGGTATATAAATTCTTATTCATTATTTGAATTTTATCTCTCTCTTTTTTTTTTCTTACTCTTCTCCTTCTCTCTTATCTATTCTTTCAAGATCTCTTTGGTTCTCCTGCCTTTGCAGTGGTTCAAAACGACTTGAAAGGAAATGTCCAGGTATGTATATTATTATATATTTCTTTAAACATCTCATTATTTAATCATATACTAATATTTTTATTTTATTTCATTGTAGAAAATTCGACAACGTTACCATAGTAATGTCACTATAAATCGAACCTTACAAAACTTATTAATAGAAGAAGATAAGGAACCAGGTAAACCATTGGCTACTGAAGCTCTATTATGGCTTACTCGGTAAGTATTGCAAAAAGAAAATGAATTTTATTCTGTTACTGAACTTTTTTTTTTTATTATTAGTGGACTTCATTTTACATCATACGCTTTGGATCATAGTTTACATCATCCAGATAACGAATTAGATATATCTTTCAAAATTTCGTATGATCTCACTCTTAGTCCATATCATTCATTTTTTGTAAGACCTATGTTTCAGGTATGATTAGATAGAGAGGGAGGGAGTGATGATATATTTAATATATTTTTTTTTATTTTTATTTTATAGTTGGCGGTGAAATCAATGCCTTGGCGACAAGACTTTTATCAAAAGATTGGCATGATAGATGAAAAGAATCTCAATGATATGAAAGAATGGATCAATGCTTTGAAAAAAATTATTAATATTATTCAAGAAGTATTTACTTTACATCCCGAATATACCAAACGATTAGTATAATCAATTAGTTTTACCTTATTTAAATAATAATAAAAATAAAATGTATACTTTTTTTTTAATTTGATTGTTACACAAAGATGGATGTTGTTATCAAATATGATTTTGATCATGGAATGAGTAATTCTCTGTTGAAGTGTTTTTTTTAAAAAAAAAAAATTGTATTAAATGGAATAACATTTTTAAATTTTGATCAACCATCACGAGACTACACGTGGTTTCTTTTTTAATTTTTTTTTTTTTTTACTGCTCTATTGCTTTGTATTTTGAGTTATCATCTCAGTAATGAATGAAAATGCCATTTGATTGGATGAAAAGATCACAACTACCTCATAATAATCCTTTATGACTAAGGAAAATGATCATCTTCTGTTATGTGGAACAATATTTTTTTTTCCATGTTTCCAAATCTGTACCCTTCTTTCCATAAACGTTATTATTTTATACTCCGGTATCACCTCGAAGAATATCAAAAAAAAAAAAAAAGGTGCTATCACCAATATTTTTGTCACCTCTTCTTCCCGTCTTTCTCTCTTTCTGATAATATCATGTATTTACAAAAGTGCCTTTTCACTCTTTTGATATTTTCAGTTTGTTCCATTCAAGCATTTATTCCTTTGGGTTGTCGTTTGCATAAGTAAATCTTAAACTTCTCCCCGGAAAAAAAAATAACTAACTTTTTTATTTCTTATCTTTTTATAATCAGAAATACTTTAACAGTTACCAATTCAATTCCTAAAGTAGATCCTCGTTATGGTCCATACTATTTTGATCAAGTCATTAATCATGAAACAAACTCGACCACTACCTTCAAGCAACGATATTGGGTCAATAGCGACTGGTACAAATCTGGTGGTCCTGTTGTTTGTAAGTATTGAATATTTATTATTATGATATCATATACTTAATTTTTTTTTCTTCTTATCAAGTGTATAATGCTGGAGAAACGGCAGCGGATGAAAGATCTCATTATGTGACCAATTCTTCTATGGCTTTATTGGCTCGTGAATTGAATGGTATTGTCATTGTATTGGAACATAGAAGTTATGGTGAATCACAACCTGGACCTGTAGGTTTTAATACATCATCCATATTGTCATTATAATATTGATTATTCCCTTTATAGGATTATTCGACAAAATACTTGAAATCATTAACAACATTTAATGCATTGGAAGATATGGCATCAATCATCAGAAATCTCAAGGTTAATAAATAAAAATAAAAAATGAAGAGATCTAGTATTTTTTTTTAATCGTATATATATTTATTATTTTATTTTAGATTCCTAATCTGGATAAACCTATTCCTCCTGCACCTGAAACGAAATGGATTGTTTATGGTGGAAGCTATTCGTAAGTTACATTATATATTTGTCCAAAACTTTATTCTTAATTTTATTTTTTTATTTTGATTCATTGTAGAGGAAATTTAGCAGCCTGGATGCGATTCAAGTACCCTGATATAGTCTTTGCTGCTGTTCCTTCCTCTGCTCCAGTTCAAATGCGTTATAACTTTTATCAGTACTTTCAACCAATTCAAAAATATGCTCCCAGTCACTGTGTTCGTTCCATCGAAACTGTCATTACTTATGTAGATCATATTTTATTTAGTCCATTCCCCAAACCCAAGGATAAACTCAAGGAACAATTCGGTGTAAAAGGATTACAGCATGATGATGATTTTGCTGAGTGTAAGTACCTCATAGTATAATGAAACCTGCTTACTTTCAATCTTAACACCTTTTTTTTTTTTGTTTTATTAGTGTTGACCTATCCTTTGGGTCTCTGGCAAGCAATGACTCCTGATGAAAATCCATTTAATGACTTTTGTTCTATCTTTGACAATACAACCAGTATCCATGACACTGTAGAAGCCTTTGCCAAATATATCAGCAAAACAGTCCAAGGCGCTTGTGGCGATCAACCTGTCAACGAATGCTTAGATACCCATGATCCAAAATCAAAACAATACACTGATATGAAATCCGAATCTCGTGCATGGATGTATCAAGTTTGTACTGAGGTAAATATATTACATTGAATGACAATATTTATTGCTTGAATGTAATTTTTTTTTTTTTTTACACACAGTATGCGTATTGGCAAACGGCAACTCCTTTCTGGAAATCATCCATTGTATCACGTAAATTGACAACTGATTGGTATCAACGACAATGTCCTCTTTACTATGGCGAACATGAAGTGCCATTCCGACCAAGATGGAGGTATATCAATAACGAATATCAAGGTTGGCATATCAAGCTCTCTCGAACTTTCTGGATTGATGGTGAATGGGATCCTTGGAGAACTCTAAGTGTACAAAGCGATGATGCACCTAATCGAAAAGGTTGGAATGAAGATGCTGTTTTTGTGGTCTTACCAAAATCTGTTCATCACTGGGTAAAAGAAAAGAAAAAAATATCTGTAATAGCGATATAGAGAAACGCTCATTGATTACTATTATTATTATTATTATTATTATTATTATTTAAATAGGACTTTTTTGTATCTGATAATGTTGATCAATCTATCAAAGATGTACAAGAACAGTTGATCAAAAAAATGTCTCAGTGGATTCAACAAGAAAACAACAAGAAATCTACTCATTCCGAATTTCACTATCAACATGCCGACAACGATCAAGTCAATACAGTGTATTAGTTAACTAGTTTTAGTGTTATCCAATTGTTACAATAAAGTGTATTCCTTTTTTTTTTCTTTTTTTTCTTTTTCTTTTTCTTTTTCTTTTTCTTTTTCTTTTTCTTTTTTTTTTTTTTTTTTTTACCATTAAACATACATAAATCGTTTAAGCATTCACTTGTTCATAAAATCAGACAATCATCCATCATACCATCATCACCGACCCCATCCATCATACAATCCAGCATCGAATCCATCTTCACACGTTTTTTTTTCCCATCATCACATGTTATCCCCCTGTCATCATACAGTCATTAGCAACAATATCCTTCCAGCATATGTCGATCAAAATGGTGAAGATTTCTTTTTATTGAATCAAAATAATAAAATAAAGAAATAATAAAGAAAGAAAATGTGAAGTAATCTTTCTATTTGAGGGGAACGAAACGAGAAGAGTGAGTGGCACCAATACCGGGACGACCGTGACGAACAGGCTTATAGGTGATGCTAAGAAAAAAAAATAAAAAAAATAAAAGTGAGTTTATATTTCCCATTCAATATTATAATAAACTACTTACGAGAATTCACCGAGGTAGTGACCAACCATTTCAGGACGGATTTCAACTTGGTTGAAAGTCTTACCGTTGTAAACACCAACAATGGAACCAATCATTTCAGGGACAATGATCATGTTACGCAAGTGAGTCTTGACAGTGGCAGGCTTTTCACCAGAGGGGGCTTCAGTCTTAGCCTTACGAAGCTTCTTGATAAGACCCATGGGCTTGCGCTTCAAACCACGTTGGAATCGTCTGCGAGCACGGCAGTGGACCAAGTCCATGAATTGTTCAGAAGATAAATCCAACAATTGATCGAGATCGACACCGCGATAACTGAACTTGCGGAAAGTTCTCTTTCTTTGAGTGGTTTGGTCAGCCTATAATTGATATGATGATATACAAAAAAAAAAAAAAAAATACATGAGTATACATAGATACGGATGAATAATGTTGTCATTGTATGGTTGATCCATCCATCCATCCATCCATCCATCCATCCATCCATCCATTCGATTATCTCTATTTTAATGGTCCTTCCTATCGCTTTGTTGTTTATCTTTGTATTTATATTTCTTTTATATATATATATATATCCCTTACCATATTGCAAAGGGTTGAGAAAAAAAAAAGGAAGGAGGAATGGCTTAACGGTTCACAACCTGTTTTGTGTGTTTTTCGTGTCGGCAGATTGAAACACCGCTTCAACAAAAAAAAAAATCTTGCTTCTATTTCCTTTTTTTTTAATCTTTTTTCTTTTTTTTTTCTTTAATTTAATATTATCATGAAACGATCATCAGGTGGAATCGGTAGATCTGAAAAACAGAAACGTACAAAATCCTATCATTGCTCCAAAGTAAGCTTCTACTTTAAAAAACAAGAAAAAAAAAACAAAAGAGAGAGAAAGGCTTATGTTGAAAAGAGTGATATTGATATGTCTTTATTTGTCGTTTTTTTTTTTTTTCTGGAATAGAATCGTTATGGAGGTAGCAGTCCTTTCAGTATTCAACAAGGCATGGCCGGTATACTTGTCATGTGTACTCGAACAAAAGAAGCAAGAGCAGCCAAGGAAGCTATCGATCTCTTCAATCAGGTAATTTTATTTTCCTTTTTTTTTTTTGATTGTATGATTGACCACATTTATATATAACGGACATAGTATGCGGATCAATTCTATCCAGAAACAATTTCTCTATATCAACAAAAAGACGAAGAAAATGATAAAAATGAAGAAGAAGAAAAAGACGAAGGTGATTTAGAAGCTTCGATTGCAAAAGAACTAGAAGGACTCAAAGATACCAAAAACAACAAGGAACGGTTCACTAATATTTCCACTGGAACGGATTGTAGTAAGTGATAAACATAACGAAACAATGAAAAGGGGATGATCTAATTTTATTTTATTTTTTTTTTAGTGTTGTTTATCAAGACGTGTCCTGAAATTGAACCTGCTCAATTTGTTCATGATATATTGACTGACATGGCAGAGAAACAAATCAAGAAAACAAGATGTATTTCAAGAATTTTACCAGTACAACGAACATGTTCAGCCAATATTCCTGAAATGGAACGTGTTTCTAAACTAGTGATTCATCCTCAATTCAATACAAAGGACGATGATGGAAACATTGTTCCCAAAGTGGTAAGTAAAAAAATAAAGCTAAAGTGTTTGGATTTTAATCTTATTGTGCAAAAATTAGTTTAGTGTGGTGGCTCGCTTACGAAACTGTACAAAGTTGGATCGTTTGGATGTGGTCAAGGCATTTGCTACATCTATTGGACCTGATCACAAGGTGGATTTAGCTAATCCGGATTATGTGATCTTAGTAGATATTACAAGAGTAAGTTACTGAAAGGGAAAAAAAAAAAAAAGGAATCATATGATATAAGAGTTCATTTTTAATTTTATTTTATTCTATTTTTTATTTTTTTTTATTTTATTTTTTTTATTATAGACCATATGCATGATGTCAGTAGTCAAGGATTTTGGAAAATTACGAAAATATAACTTGGAAAGTCTTTTAGGATTAAATGATGTCAATGAAAAGAAGAAGAAGGATGTCGTGAAGTCTGAACCATTAAATAACAAGGATCTGGAAGAGGCATCAGTGAACGAAACTGAAAACAAGAATATCAATGAAGAACAAGCTTGATGCAAGAATAGAAATAGATTGTACATATCATAGATTTTTTAAGTTGTTGTTTTATATATATGATTCTATTCTTTTATATGAATATATTACGTTGAAACATGATATGATATATATATATCCTAGTGATGATAATGATAGATGTGTGAGTATATGTGCGTGTTAGACAAACAAATGCATACATATGACTTTTTTTTTTAACTCATATGATAAAATTGGAAGAAGGGGAATGATCATGATATCCGACAGGAACGGGAGGGGTGCCGAAAAGAAATGATCCAATTGCGGTATATTAAATCAAAAGTTCTCTTGTGTTTTCCGATTCATGGAGATACCCGCTTACAAGGTATAGTAGAAAAGCATAGAGATCCCTTATTATTAACTAAGCGAATCCATTTTTAAACGATAATCGTACATTAGATTTTTTTTTTTTTTATTTTGATCACACATTGTCCAGAAATCGGATCGGATAATCAATAACCGAGATCAAACATTGCCCTTGAATGTGAGTCAAAAAAAAAAAAAAAAAAAAAAAAGAGAAACCCACAGCCGTAAACGCGGGAAATCTTTCAAACCATGTAAAATAAAAAGAAATCAATTTTTTTTTTGCTTTCCAATTTTCTTTTCCCACTCTTTTTTTTTCACTCAACTCTTTTTATTATTATCATTATTATGAAACAAATAACTGAAGTTATTGTTAATGGTGCTGGACCTGTTGGACTCTTTTGTGCTTACATGTTATTGAAACAAGGTCATTCTGTCTATTTGCTAGATAAGAAGGCTGGTCCCACAGATCAAAGTCGAGCATTTGGTATCACTCCTCGTTCTATGGAAATCCTTCAACATCAAGGTATAGCTTATCGTATTTTACAACATGCATTATCTATTCGTGGTGCTAGACTTTTTATTAATGGAACTAATGTAAAAACAAAAGCAAAAGAGTGAAAGGAATTGACACTAAACACCTCTTTTTTTTTTTTTTGTTTTATTAATATAATAGATGGGTACTTTCTATTTGGATGAACTTGATACTGTATTTCCTCAATTGACTTCACTTCCTCAGTCCAAAGTGGAAGCAATTATTGTAGAAGAAATTGAAAAGATACAAGGCAAAATTCATTGGAACACAACCCTAATTGATTATGAACAACAAGAAGAAGGTGTAACAGCTCGTGTCAAGGATATTCTTACTGATGAGATCAAAGAGATTTCTGCAAAATATATTGTAGGTGCTGATGGTTGTCATTCTGCTGTACGAAAACAGGATTCTACTTGGACTTATGATGGACAAGCTATCAAGTCTCGATTTGCTTTAGCTGATCTGATTTTGGAAGGTCCTGATGTAGACCTGATTCGAAATCGTCAAATTTTATTTTATCATTCAAAAGGTAATCTATTTAAAAAAAAAAAAAAAAAAAAAAAAAAAAAAAAAGACGCTGATGTGTATATCTTTGAACATTAGGCAGTTGTATCTTGATTCCAATGCGACATGATGGCGATGATGATAAGGCGACTTTACGTCTGGTGGCCAACTTGGGACCTTATGAAAATGATGATGGACCACGGGTGAATCATGGTATAAATACTAGGGAAGTATTGACAGAGGACAAGGTCAAGGAAATTCTGAAAGATCGAACTGAAGGATTAAGAGTGACCATGCATTCATCCATCTGGTTGACTTACTTTAATATCAATGAAAGAATAGCCAATGGATTTAGACGTAATCGTGCCTTTTTGATTGGTGGTAAGTATTACTACATTTTTATCTTTTTGTGAAGATATGAATTCATAGATACTCATTTCTCTTTTTTTTTTTTTTCTCTTAGATGCTGCACATTGTCACTCTCCTGCTGGTACATAAAAACAAGTTTAAAAAAAAATTATACTTTATCGATACTCATTGTTGTTTTATTTTATAGGTGGTCAAGGAATGAATATTGGACTTCAAGATGGTAAGTTCATAGAGACAAATTGATGATTTCCAATAGTATATCTTACTAACTAGTATTTATTTCCTTTTTTTTTTTTTTTTTTTTTTTTACAATGATGTAGCTGAAAATCTTGCATGGAAACTCTCTATGGTATTGAAGGGAGAAGCATCGGATCCTGAGAAAGTGTTAGATTCATATACAATAGAAGTAAGTCTATTAACAGTTTATGGCAATGTTTTTTATATATTGATTATACTTGTTTTCCTCATAGCGTGAACCAATGGTGAAAGCAGTGATGACTACGGCTGGATCATTAACGAGAATGGTATTTAGTCAGACATACTTCATGTGTAAGGAATGATGATAATGAAGGATAAAAAAAAAATGGATATTCACAACGTCATTTTTTTTTTTTACATGATGTAGCATTGTTAAGATATCTTATTATTTCCGCAGTATTCAACATTACATTCCTTCGAAGAAGTATTGTGACAAGACTTATGCAGGTAGAGACAGAAAAAAAAAATTTTATACGGGAAGGATATCTTATTATGTTTTATTAGGTTGACTTTAAACTTGGAGAATCACCTATTCTACTGTCTTCAAATACCAAGCAGCAACAAGTTCTTTTACCACCTGGATCTATGTTGAAGGATACTCGTGCACTATTGAGCAAGGATGTGACAACACAATTGGAACGACAAACAATCTATCAAATTCTGGAAAAATTCAATAGCAACAATCAACACACTCTACTTTGGATGATCACACGACAAACTTGGCAACGGGAACCCAAAGAGGAATTAACACAATCTTTTATTAAACGAATCACTGAATACAATAGTTGTCGGGGCTTGGTGGTACAGTCGATCACTCAGTATAGTAGTTATATTGATGAAAATCAAACAAAGAAGACTACGGATAAAGTTGATTTTTGGGTGGATACTCATGCGATAGCAGCAGAAGATTCTTTAAGTAACAAAATTGGATTCACAAAATATTTGAAAGCAAGCAAAGACGAGATTCCTCCAGCAGCGTTGGTGGTTATTCGACCTGATCGATATGTAGCTTACAGTGGATTAATTAGTACATTAGATGAATTAGAGCATGCTTTTACCTTTTTGAATCGTTATTGTTTATCCAAGAAACAGAAATAAAAAATATATTCCAAGCCCAGCGTTTTGCATTGGGGTTACACAACATTTTGAAACCAGGTGGCGTTCCTATGATTTAAAACAATGTATTTAGTAGTAACCATATTATTGTTGTTGATTTTTTTTGACACGATACTATACTATTAGATTTTTTTTTTTATTATTATTATTGTGTGCATTGTTCTTCTTGTTGTTGTTGTTGTTGTGTTGCTTCCTTTGATACGCCGCCTCACCTCTCACCATTGATGTTTCCATAAAAGTAAATAAAAAAAAATCATCCAAAAATAGCCTTTCCATTCACCAAAAAAAAAAAAAAAAAAAAAAAAAAACTTTTTTGTTTCTTTCTTTTCTTTTCTTTTTTTTTTTTTTTTTTTGCATGTCCTCTATTGAGTTGACTACTTCTTCAGAAATAAAAGAAATTACTACAATGTCAAGTATTGTACCTAGTGACCCTACTTCACAACCAGTAACGTCAAGTCCTATTACTACGGAAACTACTCAGCCAGTGACAACTACTCCTATTACCAGTGATCCAGTCACAACACCTATTATTACTACTACTACACCAACTACTCCAATAACCACTCCTCCTATTACAACAACAACTCCACCACCAATAACTTCAACAACTCCAACAATACCTACTACGTCTGATTCACCTATTATTCCAAGCCCTCATTCTTCTTCTTCTTCAAGTTCATATATACCTAGTTCTATTTGGACCTCTATTTCTATTCCTGTTACCACTGTGATCACTTCTGATGGAGTAGTTCATACAATGACATCTTATTCATACAATGTCACTCAAACGCAAATACCAATATCTAGCTCAACTCCTTCTTCTGTGAATGCAGGTGCTATTGCTGGTGGTGTGGTTGGTGGATTGGCAGGTTTGGCCATTGTGGGTGCAGGCATATTCTTCTTTTTAAGACGACGTACAAGGAAACGACAACATCATTTATCTTATTCAAGTACTCAAAACAACAATACTTTATTTGGTGCAAGCATGACTGGATTAGATCGTGGAGATGAATTCTACAGTGGTGCTATGAGTGCTGGTTATAGTGATAGCAGTAATCGATTATCATCCACATCCACTAAAGCAAGACCCTTTGTGGCACCTATGATTCCTCCTCATTCTGAAGATACTACTTATTATTCCTCTCCTCAACAACAACAACAACAACAAGAATATCAAGACTTTTATCCTTATCAATATGTTCCCAATCATCCAATGCCATATCCTCCATCTTCACCTTCTACTGTTGAACGTCATGTTCCTCATTTAGTGGAAAATGATGATGATCATTCAAAACAAGTCCCTCATTCAAAAGATGAATAAATCATTATTATTTATTTTAGTTATTTTTATCATCCCTGTATAGATCTCATGTTTTTTTTTTTTTTAATAAAATCTCTTCATATTATCTTTTGCCCTATTTTTAGAGTTTTCCTAGGTTTCTCAAAGAAGTGATTTTTGATTCACAGCTACGCGATTTCTTTTTTCCCTTTTTTTCTTTCTCCTTTTTTTTTTTTTATTTTTTTTTTTATTAAAAACGTGGTGGTAATAAAAAAAAAAAAAAAAAGGTGATTGAACTAAGTCTCTTTTATTTATTTATTAAGGGGATAAATATTAAGATCGTTTGAAGAAAAAGATGAACCAAATGGACAAGATACAAAGAAACATGATGTGATAGCTAGGAATCAATGTAT